TGGGGCAAAAGCTGTCGGAGCGGAAACATCTTTCAGGAACCATCGTCAAGGCCTCCGTCCTACAACTTACCATCAGGAATAATCTCCCACACAACGAAATGCTCAACATCGTTCCCGATCGCGTGGCTTCTGTCTCGACGCAAGGTAAACCCAGTTTCCCGCTCCACGATGCATGTCGCTGAGCAGGTGTTCGTACCAGTCTCGGACGCAGAGCTGCTAGCAGCCGGGATTCCTCGGGAGCTTTTCGATCTCGGCTTTGTGCCATAACACAATGGATGCTCGGGACGGAAGACGCAGTGCGGTCCGAGTACAGGATCAGGGAGATACGCGCACACACACACATTACCCAGACTTGGTTGACGCTTCACTGCACAATGTTGACGATCGGAACATCTGCACTGCAGGCGACCATAACACTATCAAACCGACCACTGCAATCAAGTCCATACGCCTGCCAAATGACGAGCGCTCCATGCAGCGCACCCTGTAGGCGTTCCATTCTCACGCTGGCGGCCCCGGTGAGTTGGTACTGACACCAAAAAAGAATCTTCGCCTCTGCGCATACACGAGCGTCCATATCGCCCAGGCGGACAATCCGTGGCACGAATCCATGCGACAGTGCTGGTGCTGCCAAAAGATTCCATTCGACGGAGGCAGGTCTCTTGCATTCACCAACTTGTCCAATGCACTGAAAAGATAAGTGACCGAAAAGCCGTTTTGTTTTCCGGTGGTAACCCGCGTCGCTGGACGTTCTGTGGCGAGCCATGGAGACGCCCATGTCCCTTCGACGAACGCACGCCGCAAGTGCATTGCTCCATGCCGAACGAATCCCATCGATGCATCCAGGGCGCCATCCAGGTATCTTGAGCACGGGCGCGCATGCACGAAGCTACAGAAGAAGGGCTTGAAATACATCCAGATGAACGAGATGGCGTGCGTCTCGCTGACTTGACGGAGATACGAATGCCTCGATCGGCATCCGAAAAGGACCCCTGCGATTCGGGAGCGTCCATCGTTTCTTTTTTTCTGCCGGAGGATCTTTCCAGTTGATCTATTGACGACGCAGTGCGCCGTTGTTCGGCAGAGCGGAATGCTTCTGATCCAAAGAAATCAATGCCAAAGATATAACGCATTTGATTCCGGTCTGGAGCAATGCACTGGTATTGTATGAGCTGCAACCCAGTAGGTCTTGAGCGCCGTACGTTTGCACTGGAAGTGATGCTTCCAGGCAAAAAGTAGAAGATATTGCTGTCCTATGGTTCGCTATTATTGACTAGTAAGTAAGAGCAGTACGGCTTCATTTGATCCAAAAGTGAAATCGACCACCGATAGGATTGTGACAAGCGTCAATTGAGACGAAGAGCGCTCCTATAGCACGATAGACTCTATGACAGTTGCTACATAACAAACACGGATGCTCCTGCATTCAGCGTATATGTCGTGCAACTCCATGCTTCAATGTGTCCAGTCATGGTCGGCCGTTTGCGAGCGTGACAGTCCACGTCCACTCAGAGAAGCAGTTCTCCTCGAGAGTCAACGTAGGCACAGCGTTAGGGTCCACCTGATAGTAGCGTCTCACAACTGATACCAGCGTGATTAGGTGGCTTAACGGTACGATACGTTTATCCTAAAAAATAAAACACCCCAGCAATACGACAGCCAGTGCATTGCTTTCTTCGGGAAGACGACTCGTCTATTGTTAGGCAACGTTGCGGTACGACACGCATCTCACCGGACACGTAGGAGAAGGCGTATATCAGCAAGAGGGATCCTACTCGTCCCCCAGTATCCATTCGCATTCCAGAATGCTATCGGAAAGAAGGAACCGACGAGCGCCGCCGATCACACTGCTGGAGTATCACAGGGGCATATCATACTAGGTGTCCCTATTACGGCAATAAGCTCCTGAGCAAACCTTCTGCAACCATAACACAAAGTCTGAAATGCTCTCCCTATTTTGGATGACGTCCGGAGGCTCTATCCGTAACGTCCAGGATGGCACCTGTGCCTGAAACTCGCCCTGCTCCACCTACTGAGCGCACGTGGACCTGAAGGCGCACAGGAAAGAGCACCATACGCATCTGCCGCCTACACTGCCGAGTGAATCGTAAGACACCACGACCAAGAAAAGCGTTTATACACAGTACGCACCAACGCATGCCATCCCCCTCTGATCCGTCTGGAGTTGCCGGACGCACGCTTCACAGTCGCAACTAGCCGGCTGTCCCATGAGCGAGGTTCAGCTACAGATCCACCCATAACAGATTCGATGTCCCTGCTCGCCTCGTAACGTCCGCCACTGCTCCCAGAAGCGAAGCGCCTCATTCGCACAAACGCGTGCTTAGACGGCAACGTCCCTACCGTACGCAAGAACCGCGCCCGTACAACCCGCATCACTTGAACTGAAGCAGCGATACCTACAGTTCCCGATGCGTACAGCGCTCGTCACGCCCGGGGCGCTTGGCGATGTGGCTTTCAGGGCAGAGAGCGTGGGCGAGCTCGCCTGGGAAATCGCGCAGTCAACTGACACGATGCGCGTGCCGCCGATGAAGGGAAACGTTGTCGTGATCAGTTACGTGTTGTTCTGCTGTAAACATCGGATTTCTGTTGAGGCCATAGCAAAATACAGTCTTTCGGTTCGGTTTTGTTTCAAACTTCAACCAAGTCTAGTAAAGTGCTTTTTCGCAGCATATAACAGAAGCGTTCATTGAGGGTTCATTAAAAAACGAAAAACGGAAAGCTATGGAAAACCAGTCGACGATCCTGGAGGGCTAGGGTCGCCGGCTGCCAGAAAAAAAACAAAAAGCAGTGCCGAGTCCAGAAGAAAAGGAAGGGAAGATGAACCGAAAGCGGGAGGCCCTACGTCGGAGGCGGCAAGAAACATGACTGTAGAACGAGATGGAGGTGAAAACCTTTCTTCTTGGACACATCAAGGATCCCTACAGGGAAAAGTTGCGATACCCTATCAGAAAACGTGTCGACTCGTACTCCTTGAGGATTATGAAGGTTTCTTCATAACTATTCCATTTGGTGAAGGAGATGTGTCGCGACGTACCGCAGATGGAAATGGTGGAGATTCCTGACAAGTTTTTCGATAAGACCTTTATTCGTCACTTGATGCTTGGCACAGAGAAAGGACGGATGGAAAATGAGCGGGTGCATGCTCTCCACGAAAAACATCCCTTTTACAGCTTCAAGGGTACTCGGTACAAGGGTGACCGGGATGTTTACGACTATGGGGCGATGAAGTACCTCACGAACCTGAAGAACCGTTTGACAGAGAACCTCGAACGTTCCATGATACGCGCCGTGGTTGCACTCTACCCGGGCCAGTCTCGCCAAGGAAAATGGGCGATTATCATAGGAATCACCAAAGATCGCAAGCATGAAGATGAGATCGAACTCGTCGACAAGAAGACATCACGTAAGAGAAAGAATGAAGCTTCTGTCATCCGTGCGGCCATACACGAGTACCGTACAGTCTTGGGGTTGGCAAATCCGACAGACAAGATATCAGAGTTGAAAAAATATAAGGAATGATACTATCGCCTCGTCCTGCGCTATTTTGTGTTTCTGGACCGAGAACTCGAACGCAAGGCAGAGGCGAGGCTGAGTGAGGAAAAAAATGAAGAGTGGGAGAGACGGAAGGCTTTCCTAATGGGTAAGCGCTTCGACGTGGTTCCAATGTGCAAGATCAAGTCACATTTGTGACTATCGACTCCGGCGTCCTTTACGGCATCATGAAGGAGATCAGTTCCGAGCTCAATGTCAGCAGGGAGGAGTTCTCCGGTGAAAACCGGGAGACGTACTGGAAGAATATCCTCAATTTCAAACGTCTCAAAGTCAGCGCGAAAAAGAAATTCACTGGGATGCTCGAAACCGATGGAGCAACCATTTGTGTACACTATCGGCGGTTAAAGAAAGATCGTCCAGTCCCGCCCTCGGCTGAGTCCTCTGCGAAACATGAAGAAAACAAAGAAGCGAATCCTGAGACGCAAAAATTGCAGGATGACGACCTTGTCGTTGGCGCGGTGAGGCATGAAGAATAGAAGGAGGCAGATCTTGCGACGCAGGAGGTGCAGGATAACGACCTTGTCGTTCCTGCGGACCCGGGGAATACAAATATCATAACCATCGTTGTGCCCAAGCATGCGGAAGATGGTACTGACGGCAACTTACGTCAGAAAGACACGCGTGTGTTGAGATTCTCGAGAGCGAGAAATTATCGAGAATCCGGTATAATGAATGCGAGGAAGAAAATCGAGACTTGGGATGCAGGAATGAAGGATCAAATGGAAGCTTTGAGCGAGTTGACTAGCCGACGAACGGACGTTGAAGCTTTTCGGAAATTCATGGAAGTTCGCATTGCGCATTGGGATGCGCGGTGGGAGGAGTATACAAAGCCCCGGTGGGCTCGTCTGCGTATGAATTTCTACTGTGGCAATCAGCGGGCGTTCGCGAATTTTTTTTAATAAGTTGAGCGCCTTGAAGGAGAATGAAAGTCAGAGGCTCGTAGTAGCGTACGGAGCAGGACGTTGGGCGTCGAGAAAAGGGACTACACCAGCTCCAACGACAAGGGTGTACAAAGAGTTCGCAAGGCATTTCGTTACGATACCTGTATTTGAGTTCCGAACATCGTATACACACCATGAGCTGGGTTGTATACTCCAGAGAGTCGAGATGGAAAAGTGCCTGCGGAGTCCTGAAGATATACAAAAGCACGTACCGCTGACGGAGGTGCAACTGGAAAGGAGGGCGAAAGTGCGAGGGCCTCTCGCATTAGTAAGTACAGCCAATGATGGCAAGAAACGTATGGAGTGTGTGAACCCAGATTTTAATGCCGCTATCAATACAGGAAAAAGTGCGGTGCTGGAGAAAAGATCTCCAGAGTGGACAAGAGGGAACTTTATTGGACAACCTCTCAAAGTTGCACTATATAAGAAGAAGTTGTAAGCAGTACTAGGTGACCGGTCCAAAAAGAAGGGGTGGCGTCTGCCCTTACTTGGAGATGTTTCGTCTAGGGCGCGGTTACAGCCACTACTCTACAGCTGGCGACAGCGTTTTTTCTTTTGAAAGGTGTTTCTTTCCAGGGGTGCGTCCGCCAAGCGACACTATCCAACTGGAAGCCCGCAAGCACCAGCAACGTCCTCTGTAGAGCGCAATCACGAAACCTGCACAGGATCACACGTGGGCGGTACCAGCTTCGCTGTCAATGCTCCTCGAGAAAATGCTCTGCAGCGGGATATAACGCGCTGCCTGGCCGAACTGTAGGCCGAAGCTCACCAGCCCGTTTCCGTGACTATAATATATCGTATCGAGGTTTCGCGTCGTAGCGCTTTGTATACCGACGGTTAAATAGAGTGTGGAGGCAAACGACGAACGCTTATCTCGCACGTACGCAGCACAAGTTAAACTAACTCAGACGATACCGCTTGCAGACGATTCGACGGCGCCTGGCTCATCACTGTGCAATTCGTCGTGGCAGACCCCTCTGACGCTCGGAGTACTTTGGTCGGCAAAGATATTGGCTAAAGAGGTTTGTGTACTTGCTGCTGGGAACTCCTTCTGTTCCAGGCCTGGTACGAGCGCCAACTCCGGGAGATCGTTTACGAGCATCCAACTTTGCCGGACGTTGGTGATGCGGGCGGGCGGTGGTAGCAAGTCGAGGCGCTAGCGCCGCGCTTCTAAGGCGTCACGAGCGAGCAAGCAGTGAAGCTTCGAAGTATACGGTGCCACGTACGGCAAAGAGCGTTGTCCCCCACGTAATCCTGACCGTTTATCTTACGCAAACGCGTCGGTAACCATTCCTTGCTTTCCCAACATTGAATCTATCAACTGTTTCACCTGTGCGCACTACTTGTTCACGAACTTAGAGTGAAATCCGCCTCGCACGAAGCCATTCGGATGAACCATGCTACCTGTGCTCCGCCAGCGATGAGGACGCGGGTCTGCGCTCATCCGTCGTGTTTTGTACTAGCTGAAGGACTTCAATAGTACCAGTGCATGAGAGCATTGACAGCAAGTCTGAGAATACGTCGCCACCGCAGTGCAAGCGCGTTACAAGCACACACGCACATGAAACCGCTACTATATCCATCTCTCTCGGAGCAAGCATCATCGGCCCAGTCACTATTTCGATCGATCTAATAGTTCACATCTTCTACGGTTTCCATTCCACACAGGATTCACATTTCGATATTCTGTTTGCTGCTTATTTTAGCAACGCAACAGAACAAGTCGCTGTCGCAGAATAGCCCCAATCTGACCACTGCGCATCTGGTTCGGTCGCTGACGTTCCCTCACGAACGCAAAGCGGAACTATGGCAACAATGTGTATCGAATGCTACAAAGAAAGCGGATATACACGGAGAGCAGCTCGAAAGGTGCGAAACGAAGCATACAGACTGCGAGTTTTTCCAAGCTCCATCATGAATGTGGCATTTGGTAAAAGAACCTCCCCAATACCGTGACATTGTAAACGGAGCGCACCGTTCCAGTACAGAGCAATTTTCATTCCCGTGTTCACCGAAATGGAACGATGCCTGGCGGATCCACTCCGCTGCAAACAGTATTTGCGGAAGGCCAAAGCTTCAGCGATAAGGTGCACTTTGAAACGCTCCTGAAGCAGATGTAGTTCTGTGTACGTGTAATTGATGCGCTGCGTGTATTAGCACCAATAGTGCTGCTCGAAAAGCCCTTGATAAGAAGGTAACGGGCAAAACTTTTCGTTCCAAGTCACTCGACAGCTGGCGTGTATTGCGAGGTGAGGTCACTCACCGGTTCAGAAGTAATAGTACGCGAGCGTGTGTTTCAGTGCTGCTGCCGCTTATTCCACCAGATGACTCGAGACCTGCTACATAAAAGTCATGAGTTCCGTGCATCAGCCACGTCCACACTGCGGCTGAATTGCCCAGAGTGCACTTAACACCATCGAGGAGCGCTTTTGCAGAGCGTCCTGCCTCCCATGCATGGATCCCTTGACTGGGGCGTTCTGAGCACCTTCAGTCGATAGGCTATTCTTGAAAAGATCAAATGATGTTCTGCACGTGTTGAATTCGAGGAACGACATAGAACCAACGACCGAATGCCGTCATATTCATCCCATTGTTCGTGCTAGATAGACCGCCGCTGCCACTGGTGCCTGAACCAGAAGTTCCGCTGCTGCTACCACTACCGGTGTCACTGGTGCCTGAACCAAAAGTTCCGCTGTTGCTACCACTGCTTGTGTCACTGGTGCCTGAACCAAAAGTTCCGCTGTTGCTACCACTGCTTGTGTCACTGGTGCCTGAACCAGGAGTTTTGCTGCTGCTACCACTGCCGGTGTCACTGGTGCCTGAACCAGGAGTTCCGCTGTTGCTACCACTGCTTGTGTCACTGGTGCCTGAACCAGGAGTTCCGCTGTTGCTACCACTGCTTGTGTCACTGGTGCCTGAGCCCAAATTCCCGGCTCTGCTGCTACTGCTGCTGACAGGGATAGCGGATGTCTGCTCGATGATCCTATCCGGGCCTGAAGATGAGGTAGTTGGAGCATCGATACCTGTTCCAGGGCGGGGTGTTGACCCTAGACTGCTAAAAGTTGGCGGACTTATCGTGGTACGCATCGCTGTTGCGAATGCCCCCAGTGTGGATGAATGCGAGTTACGTTCTCCGCCGGGTTCCACATTGTCTAAAAAGGAGCCGCCAGAAGTGCTCGTTGTAATAACCGGACTAAAGGGCGGTGGTAGTGTTGCCGTGGTCGCCACAGGTAGAGTGCTTACAGAGAGCGATGAGGCCTGTGATGATGTGGGGGTCACCGACATCGCATTCATCGTAGCGATGTACGGAGTTGGTGTGGGATGAACAACAGCTGGAGTAACCGTTGCAGTTGCTCTTGGAGCGCTTTCGGCACTATGGGTGCTGTTCCGCTCAGGTTCAGCAAAAAAGGCCTCAGAGACGCCAGACGATGCCGTGCCATTCGAGGTTGACGTACCCGCCTGGGTGCATACGCAGAGGTCGCCAACGCAGACCTTGGCCAGGTTACCAGAACAGCTGCCGGTGGTCGTTACGCACCCGCAGATATCTCCCAATAGACATGTGTAGACGACTCCTCCGGGGCACGGGGGAACCGAAGTAGACGAGACCGTACTCGTCGATGTAGACGTCGACGTGGTCATCGCTACGGACGACGGCGTGCCAGTCGACGAAAACGAAGATATAGAGGCCGAGGGAACATTCGGAGAAGGTGAAGAAGAACTCGTCGACGAAGGCGTAAAATAAGGGATTGTTGTCGCTGCAGCAGTAGCCGATCTGTCCAACGATTGCCGTAACGAAGCACTCGATGACGCACTCGATGACGCACTCGATGACGCACTCGATGACGCACTCGATGACGCACTTACAGATGCCTTTCGAGTCGGATGACGAGAGCGACCGCTCGATGACGATACATGGTCAGACGTACTGCGTGAGGAAGAAGAGCTCATGGAGTACGAGTACGAGGCACTGGCAGATGCACTCGCAGATGAACTAGCAGACGCACTCGCAGAGGCGCTTAGAGATGCACTCGCAGAGGCGCTTAGAGATGCACTCACAGAGGCGCTTAGAGATGCACTCGCAGAGTCATACGCGCTCACAGAGTACGAACCAGAAGCGCTCGCAGATGCGCTGGCAGACGCAGACTCGCTCTTCGACTGAGAGTACGAGTACGAGTACGAGGCACTGGCAGATGCACTCGCAGAGGCGCTTAGAGATGCACTCGCAGAGTCATACGCGCTCACAGAGTATGAACCAGAAGCGCTCGCAGATGCGCTGGCAGACGCAGACTCGCTCTTCGACTGAGAGAACGAGTACGAGTACGAGGCACTGGCAGACGCACTCGCAGAGGCGCTTAGAGATGCACTCGCAGAGTCATACGCGCTCACAGAGTACGACCCAGAAGCGCTCGCAGATGCGCTGGCAGACGCAGACTCGCTCTTCGACTGAGAGTACGAGTACGAGTACGAGGCACTGGCAGATGCACTCGCAGAGGCGCTTAGAGATGCACTCGCAGAGTCATACGCGCTCACAGAGTACGACCCAGAAGCGCTCGCAGATGCGCTGGCAGACGCAGACTCGCTCTTCGACTGAGAGTACGAGTACGAGTACGAGGCACTGGCAGACGCACTCGCAGAGGCGCTTAGAGATGCACTCGCAGAGTCATACGCGCTCACAGAGTACGACCCAGAAGCGCTCGCAGATGCGCTGGCAGACGCAGACTCGCTCTTCGACTGAGAGTACGAGTACGAGTACGAGTACGAGGCACTGGCAGACGCACTCGCAGAGGCGCTTAGAGATGCACTCGCAGAGTCATACGCGCTCACAGAGTACGAACCAGAAGCGCTCGCAGATGCGCTGGCAGACGCAGACTCGCTCTTCGACTGAGAGTACGAGTACGAGTACGAGGCACTGGCAGACGCACTCGCAGATGAACTAGCAGACGCACTCGCAGAGGCGCTTAGAGATGCACTCGCAGAGTCATACGCGCTCACAGAGTACGACCCAGAAGCGCTCGCAGATGCGCTGGCAGACGCAGACTCGCTCTTCGACTGAGAGTACGAGTACGAGTACGAGGCACTGGCAGACGCACTCGCAGATGAACTAGCAGACGCACTCGCAGAGGCGCTTAGAGATGCACTCCCTGAGGCGCTTAGAGATGCACTCGCGGAGGCGCTTAGAGACGCACTCGCGGAGGCGCTTAGAGATGCACTCGCAGAGGCGCTTAGAGATGCACTCGCAGAGGCACTGGCAGACGCACTCGCTGAGGCGCTTAGAGATGCACTCGCAGAGTCATACGCGCTCACAGAGTACGACCCAGAAGCGCTCGCAGATGCGCTGGCAGACGCAGACTCGCTCTTCGACTGAGAGTACGAGTACGAGTACGAGGCACTGGCAGACGCACTCGCAGAGGCGCTTAGAGACGCACTCGCAGAGGCGCTTAGAGATGCACTCGCAGAGTCATACGCGCTCACAGAGTACGACCCAGAAGCGCTCGCAGATGCGCTGGCAGACGCACACTCGCTCTTCGACTGAGAGTACGAGTACGAGTACGAGGCACTGGCAGACGCACTCGCAGATGAACTAGCAGACGCACTCGCAGAGGCGCTTACAGATGCACTCGCAGAGTCATACGCGCTCACAGAGTACGACCCAGAAGCGCTCGCAGATGCACTGGCAGACGCGCTCGCAGAGGCGCTTAGAGATGCACTCGCCGAGGCGCTTGCAGATGCACTCGCAGAGGCGCTTACAGATGCACTCGCACAGGCGCTTACAGATGCACTCGCAGAGTCATACGCGCTCACAGAGTATGAACCAGAAGCGCTCGCAGATGCGCTGGCAGACGCAGACTCGCTCTTCGACTGAGAGTACGAGTACGAGTACGAGGCACTGGCAGATGCACTCGCAGATGAACTAGCACACGCACTCGCAGAGGCGCTTACAGATGCACTCGCAGAGGCGCCTACAGATGCACTCGCAGAGGCGCTTACAGATGCACTCGCAGAGTCATACGCGCTCACAGAGTACGAACCACAAGCGCTCGCAGATGCGCTGGCAGACGCAGACTCGCTCTTCGACTGAGAGTACGAGTACGAGTACGAGGCACTGGCAGACGCACTCGCAGATGAACTAGCAGACGCACTCGCAGAGGCGCTTAGAGATGCACTCGCAGAGTCATACGCGCTCACAGAGTACGACCCAGAAGCGCTCGCAGATGCGCTGGCAGACGCAGACTCGCTCTTCGACTGAGAGTACGAGTACGAGTACGAGGCACTGGAAGACGCACTCGCAGAGTCATACGCGCTCACAGAGTACGACCCAGAAGCGCTCGCAGATGCGCTGGCAGACGCAGACTCGCTCTTCGACTGAGAGTACGAGTACGAGTACGAGTACGAGGCACTGGCAGACGCACTCGCAGAGGCGCTTACAGATGCACTCGCAGAGTCATACGCGCTCACAGAGTACGAACCAGAAGCGCTCGCAGATGCGCTGGCAGACGCAGACTCGCTCTTCGACTGAGAGTACGAGTACGAGTACGAGGCACTGGCAGACGCACTCGCAGATGAACTAGCAGACGCACTCGCGGAGGCGCTTAGAGATGCACTCGCAGAGTCATACGCGCTCACAGAGTATGAACCAGAAGCGCTCGCAGATGCGCTGGCAGACGCAGACTCGCTCTTCGACTGAGAGTACGAGTACGAGTACGAGGACGAGGCACTGGCAGACGCACTCGCAGAGGCGCTTAGAGATGCACTCGCAGAGTCATACGCGCTCACAGAGTATGAACCAGAAGCGCTCGCAGATGCGCTGGCAGACGCAGACTCGCTCTTCGACTGAGAGTACGAGTACGAGTACGAGTACGAGGCACTGGCAGACGCACTCGCAGAGGCGCTTAGAGATGCACTCGCAGAGTCATACGCGCTCACAGAGTACGACCCAGAAGCGCTCGCAGATGCGCTGGCAGACGCAGACTCGCTCTTCGACTGAGAGTACGAGTACGAGTACGAGGCACTGGCAGACGCACTCGCAGAGGCGCTTACAGATGCACTCGCAGAGGCGCTTAGAGATGCACTCGCAGAGTCATACGCGCTCACAGAGTACGACCCAGAAGCGCTCGCAGATGCGCTGGCAGACGCAGACTCGCTCTTCGACTGAGAGTACGAGTACGAGTACGAGTACGAGGCACTGGCAGACGCACTCGCAGATGAACTAGCAGACGCACTCGCAGAGGCGCTTAGAGATGCACTCGCAGAGTCATACGCGCTCACAGAGTACGACCCAGAAGCGCTCGCAGATGCACTGGCAGACGCGCTCGCAGAGGCGCTTAGAGATGCACTCGCAGAGTCATACGCGCTCACAGAGTACGACCCAGAAGCGCTCGCAGATGCGCTGGCAGACGCAGACTCGCTCTTCGACTGAGAGTACGAGTACGAGTACGAGGCACTGGCAGACGCACTCACAGATGAACTAGCAGACGCACTCGCAGAGGCGCTTAGAGATGCACTCGCAGAGTCATACGCGCTCACAGAGTACGACCCAGAAGCGCTCGCAGATGCGCTGGCAGACGCAGACTCGCTCTTCGACTGAGAGTACGAGTACGAGTACGAGGCACTGGCAGACGCACTCGCAGATGAACTAGCAGACGCACTCGCAGAGTCATACGCGCTCACAGAGTACGACCCAGAAGCGCTCGCAGATGCGCTGGCAGACGCAGACTTGCTCTTCGACTGAGAGTACGAGTACGAGTACGAGGCACTGGCAGACGCACTCGCAGATGAACTAGCAGACGCACTCGCAGAGGCGCTTAGAGATGCACTCGCAGAGTCATACGCGCTCACAGAGTATGAACCAGAAGCGCTCGCAGATGCGCTGGCAGACGCAGACTCGCTCTTCGACTGAGAGTACGAGTGCGAGTACGAGGCACTGGCAGATGCACTCGCAGATGAACTAGCAGACGCACTCGCAGAGGCGCTTAGAGATGCACTCGCAGAGGCGCTTAGAGATGCACTCGCAGAGGCGCTTAGAGATGCACTCGCAGAGTCATACGCGCTCACAGAGTACGAACCAGAAGCGCTCGCAGATGCGCTGGCAGACGCAGACTCGCTCTTCGACTGAGAGTACGAGTACGAGTACGAGGCACTGGCAGACGCACTCGCAGATGAACTAGCAGACGCACTCGCAGAGGCGCTTAGAGATGCACTCGCAGAGTCATACGCGCTCACAGAGTACGACCCAGAAGCGCTCGCAGATGCGCTGGCAGACGCAGACTCGCTCTTCGACTGAGAGTACGAGTACGAGTACGAGGCACTGGCAGACGCACTCGCAGATGAACTAGCAGACGCAGACTCGCTCTTCGACTGAGAGTACGAGTACGAGTACGAGGCACTGGCAGATGCACTCGCAGAGGCGCTTAGAGATGCACTCGCAGAGTCATACGCGCTCACAGAGTATGAACCAGAAGCGCTCGCAGATGCGCTGGCAGACGCAGACTCGCTCTTCGACTGAGAGTACGAGTACGAGTACGAGGCACTGGCAGATGCACTCGCAGAGGCGCTTAGAGATGCACTCGCAGAGTCATACGCGCTCACAGAGTATGAACCAGAAGCGCTCGCAGATGCGCTGGCAGACGCAGACTCGCTCTTCGACTGAGAGTACGTGTACGAGTACGAGGCACTGGCAGACGCACTCGCAGAGGCGCTTAGAGATGCACTCGCGGAGTCATACGCGCTCACAGAGTACGACCCAGAAGCGCTCGCAGATGCGCTGGCAGACGCAGACTTGCTCTTCGACTGAGAGTACGAGTACGAGTACGAGGCACTGGCAGACGCACTCGCAGAGGCGCTTTGATATGCACTCGCAGAGACAGACGAACTCACGTCGTTCGATTGAGTTATAGTGGGCGAAGCAGTCTTGGTCTTTGCCTGCAAGGATGAATATGATACGCTTGTAGTGGCCCTCTTTGAACCACGGCTGCTTATTGATCTTGATGGCCTTGTGCTTGTATACAGTATTTGCGACTCGGATGGTGTTTGCGAAATTGCTGTCTTAGACCGCTGCTTTGTGTATGCGACCGTCTCTACTGATCTTCGTACTGGTTTTGATTGCTGTACTGTTATTGGTGCATTCGACTGTGCTATCACGCTGCTCTGTGCTGTTGCAGTCCCTTGGGGCGTTTCTCGCTCTGTTTTTTGTTCAGAATTTTTTGACAATGCTTGCTGGAACGGAAAAATCTCGAATGTACATATTTTCGAAATCGGGACGCACCAGAACCCGTTCGGAGTCCGGGATATTCCCGATGTAGGTTTGGGATTAAGTCTATATAAGGCCCATTCCATGATCGAATCCCAACCGCCTTCCTTTTGGACTACGACTTGCGACTCTGACGTGACGTTCTGAGCGTTTCCTCCATGAAATGCCGTGATTTCAAATGTCTCCGTACATACACGGCACTTGTTGAGCAGCAGATATTCCTTGCAAACTTCGACCTGTGTATACACACACTCTCGCGTGCATGAAGGAGTCAAAATTGTTCCGAATGCGTCGACGGCATTGGTCCCTTCTTGGAACGGTCGAACAAACCAATTTCCCGTGGCGACCTGAGGCCCGGGGTCGACGCCCTGCACGATCGAAGGGGTCTCTTTCGCACAAATGAGCTTTTCCTTATCGCAGATTTCGAGGACTTCAAACCGTACGCATTTCTTTTCAGTCTGGCAAGGGCCAATCTTCGTCACAGGTTCACAGAGACCGTTCCCCGACACATATCCTCCGCCTGTGCTGTATGCTTGCTGGTATAGCTTTGTTGGTCCAGCGGAAGCGGCTCTTATTCCCACAATAAGAAACAAAAACCCCACGAGAATACGAAACCAAAATCTACTAAACATATCGATCTCAGTCGAAGTACCTTCAGAGACTAGATCCTCTGCACCCTCATTTCACTTTCAAAAGCCTAGACTCCCAAGCTAAAGCTCTCGCGGGAGATCAGGTCTCAAATAAACCTGAGAATGAAAAACCTGGATCAACTATTTCCTTCGACCGCCAAAGCCACCGCGATGCACACCACCCCCATGTTCACCACAATACATCGACCGTCGAGAATCACATCACAGCTCCGTCGTTCGATGAAGAGAAAATCGCCTCCGAGGTCACCATATCGCCGTACGAAGATACCTGAGCCACAACCCGAGTCGCGTCCCCGTGACGTGACGAAGCCGACCTGTTTCTTCCACACGGTCCGGCATCCCCGCGGCGATCTCAAAATGCGATTCGATTGATGCCACATATCAAGAAATCGACGGCTCGCAGTCTCAAAGAACCGGTGTCGGCGGCGGCGTCCCCTAGTGGACACGTATCGACCGCACGGGGACTGCGTGACAACGGGGATGTCGCGGCGACGCAACGGTCCAGCGCCGGAAACACTGGGGCCCATCGATTTAGCGACGGCTGCTGATCCGCGGGTGCACAGCGGCTGCATCAGTGTTCCTTGCTATGGAAAAAGAACACTACGAAACAAACCAGTCACAAACTATATATGAAAGAACAGCTATCTTACAAGCCCCATGCACTACGCCTGCCTAAGAGGTCTAGTTTTCCGGAGAAGCTCTGAAAGTGGGTTAACGCGGGGTGCTTGGGCGACGGCGAAGGAAGCCCACGACACGGACCTTGACCGCAACGAACGGAGGCCCGGAGGCAGTAGCAGAGAATGATGACGAGAGTTCTGCGTACTTATCCGCTGCTCTAGAATCAACGCTGCAGGTTCGGGCACAACTCCTGGATACATCCTCGAACTTGGGCTCAGTTTTACCTCCTACATTGGTTTCTACCTCAACTTTGGAAACAGTCTCGGTGGATATTTTGGAGGACGGCTGGCGGCATACTCGCGATCGAAGCTAGAATAGGCGACTTGCTCGCCTACGTGTTTGGGGAGCGGATACTAAGCCGCTGAAAGGTTGGTTCATAGAGTATCCACTGTGGTTGCGGGTAGCTTCACGCGTCCGGCAAGATAAAGGTCGCATTTGTATCGACCTTGACTATGTACTTTTGAATGTACGCTAGCGCTGTGCCAGGCACTCAATGAACGACTGGAATGTAGGAGGTGCTGGTGGCATGTGCGCTCATATACCCCGTGGAGGGTGCGTTTAAATCGACGACGTACCTCTAGAGTGCCGCAGCGCTATTCCTATTCCCTTACGCGCTACGACTCGTTAGTTTTCGCATCATGGAATATTTTTGGGATAGCCTCGATACTAGACGACGAGATATCGAATCACCAGTACAGTAAAGAGGATCTGATACAAGTCGGGGACTCTGCAATAGGAAAAGAGACCCAAGGCGATACGGAAGAAGAGACACAGAAACCTCATGATCCACGTACCAGAAGAATAACCAGAGAAAGCAGCTCGGCAAAAAGCCCGAAGAAGAAGAAGACCAACAAGAAAAGACAGAAGAATAGAAAAAAGAACTCCCAAACGAGCCCATCACAAGTCATTTCCCGAAAGGGCACCCCAGCAGGAACTCAAGAAAGCCGTCGCCAAACCCAGTCACCTACTCACAGCGCTGAAGATCCGAAAAGCCGTGCATGCAAGCCTTTAGACCAATTGGCACGCGAGTTTGTAGATGCGAATCAGAAGACTGCCAGAGAGTTGGGACTGCTTGGGCCAGAACACAACAGTTGCAAACCTCAGTACCTGAAACGACGTACCAAAACTCGGATTGATGAATGCTACCGACTCAACAAGATCGTCAACCGCACCGCCATACGCGCCAACGCCGGAGACAAGGAAGCGACGGCAGTCCTAACGGCGCTACAGGCACAACATGAGGAAGCTATCAAAAGAAAGAAGAAACTTTCCAGAGAAGACAAACGAGAGGATCGAAACCGCAAAATCGCCTCCCTAGCGAAATCTATGCTAGAGAGCACCAACGAAGATGAGACCTGGCGCTACATTCGATCGAGACTGGACCCACCAAAAAAGTGCCTGGGACTCACACCAATCGTTTATGAGGAAGCGCTGAGGACGGAGAGTGCCTCAGTGAATGAGGCCTGGACGGACCACGGCACAGAGCTGCATGAAGACGCAACTGGGCACTGCCGAAACCGAATCTATTGGCACCAATATGCTGCCAAACTACAGCGCCTCGACCCGGTACCGGAATGGAACGACCCAATCTTCTGGCCTGAATCTGTTCGGACCCTGCTATGCTCAAGCAACCGCAAAACACCTGGCTTTAACGGTATCCCTGCGGAGTGGATGAAACTGGTGACCCCAAAAGACGAGACAACAGGGACACCATCGATACCAGATGAACCTGACACAATCTTAGGCAAACGCCTTCTGGAGCTCATCCAACGCATGTTCGAAGAGGCGTACATCCCGGATGTACGGAGGACTGCCGAGGTCGTACCGATCCTCAAAAAGGACTCCCCCACAGACATGAACGACTACCAGACTATGCGCCTCATCCCGTCAATCATGAAGCTACTTTGCGCCATTCCCACGAACCGGATCCAGAGAGGCCTCCAGGAGCGCAAGTTCTTCGCCCCAGAACAGGCTGGATTCCGGAGCCGCGAGGAATGCATGAGCCATGCCCTGACCCACATTGAAGTGGCGCAACGTCGCTCCATTGGCGGCCAACAACCAACTTACGTATGCTTCATCGACTTTCAAAAGGCCTTTGAAACGGCCCCGCACGAGGCTCCGTTTCTCAAGATGGAACGCGCCGGAGTCTCCGAAAAGTGCTTGGCGTTCTTCAGTGCGCTCTATGCAGACTCGTGGATGCGCATCCGACTGGGCGACGGGTCAAAAACCCCTTCCATAAGAATCCGACGTGGACTGCGACAGGGCGAACCCGCATCCACGCTCCTTTTCAGCATCTTCATCAACGATCTGCTGAACAACCGCAGACAATTCGTGGTTGAGGTGCCGTGGATAGACTGCGGAGAGCCCGGTAAAGAGCCCTCGCATAGGAACCGCCTCGCAGGCCTTCTATTCGCGGACGATGTGGTGCTGTTGGCACCCGCCCCGGAAACGCTTGCGGCTAGCATGGAACAAGTTAGCGCCTGGGCCGATCGCTGGGAGATGAGCATAGGAGCATCGAAGTGCGGCGTCATGGTCATCCATGGAGACTCGCAGAGCATTCGCAATCGCTCGTGGCGGTTGCAGAATCAGGAAATTCCGATCGTGGAAAAATATCGCTACCTGGGGGTCTGTCTCACGCCGACGCTCGACGAAAAGGCACACGTTGACGAGATGATCGCCAAGATGCATAGAGGTACAGCGATCGCACGCCCATTCCTATCCGATCCCTCTATCCCCTTAGCAATCCGTACGAGGGCGCTAAGGATGTGTATCATCCAGCCTGCGACCTGGGGTGCTGGGTGGTGCGGCATGAAGCACACAAATGCCTCACGTCTGCAGACAGCCGCTAACAGGGCAATGCGACTCGTTGTTGTTGTTGGATGCTCAATGCAGAGCAGAGCAACCAACCCGCTGGCACTCGGACTTGAACTCCAAATACCCTCGACAGAAGCGATAGCAGCAGGCTGCCGGGCATGTATGCGGGCCAAAGGGCCCACTATGCGCACCTCTTTGAGTCGGATTTTCATGCAGACCCCAACGCACCGCTAGAACACTTGGATGAAATCAGCGCAGATTTGGCTGAAGCGCCTCTTACGCGAAAACACGCTACCCAATCGTTCCCCAGAAATATAGAATTCTCCCGTCGCCTGAAGCGTACGGTCCAAACGCCAATATGGGAAGGTAGACACGGTACCAGTCGCGCTAGTAACGCCGGCTTGACCCTGTACCGGAACTACAACCCAACATACACGTGCAAGTACTGGTGGGAGGCGCTGGAATTCCCGGGACTTGCTCGCGGTACCCAGTGGCTTGCCAAAATCCGCGTTGGTGGCTTCTGACTACCAGCACCGGCTCTAAGCCGTATAGGAACACTGGAATCGCACTGGGAATCACACTGTCCCTGCTATCGAGACGAGACCCCTCGAGACGCTGACATATTTGGGCTTACAGTGCCCGCGCTGGAAACAGGAGCGCAACGAGCTCCTTGAAGGACAGCAGCAGCTGGGCATCACCGTGATAGTCGAAGGCCGGACACTCACTCTGAGTGTAGCACTGGCAACTGATGGTCCGCTAACCGAGCCTCAGTGCTCATTAGTGGCCAACAAATTCACGTGCTACCTTCTAGAAAGAAGGGTCCAGCGAATCGGATGCGCACACGGGCTCAGTGCGCTTTCTGTGCTTACCCACTGTGGTGGGTGTCAAGCACAAACCTGCATTGCCAACCGACAACAACGCATTCCATGCATGATCATGAAGGAGAGAGGCAGCTCCCAAGATATATCCGAACAGTCAGGTTTCTCCAGCGTGTCGTGCAGCGAAGACAAGCCTGCATCCGCAGACTGTCCGAGCACACACTGACGACGAGAACCGATTCTATGTCGGGTGAACCACGCCTCGAGCCGACGCCCTCCGTGGTAAGGAAACGCCGTTCTATCTCCGTGATGCATCTGCACCAAAGGTAAGGACGCTATTTTGGACAATTAGGGTAGGCACAAGGCACAAGGTAGAACGAATGAAACGACCAGAATATCCAAGAAGAGGTGTAGATAATGTAACTTGGAAGTAGAGGGTTTGATGGATACCTCACCGCGCACTGAAGAATAACACAAAAAAAGAAAGAAAAGAAAAAGCGTAAAATCGGAGAATGCTGCCACAAGTAAACGTCTTGTCTATGAAAAAAAGAATCGCGCTCGGTGGGCGCACCTAGGAGATCGGGAAGTTAACTGACAAGATGCGTGTGCCGTTGTTGAAGGGAAACGCGATCGTGATCAGAAGCGTGTTGTTCTAGCTGTGAAAGTCGGATTTCCGTTGAGATCGTAACCAAGTACAGTATTTCAGTTCGTTTTTGTTTCAAACTTCAAACAAGTCTAGTCAAGTGTTTTTCGCAGTATAGAACGGAAGCGTTCAAAGAGCGTTCAAGAAATAAAAATAAAAAACTAAAAAAAGAAAAGTTATGAAAAAGCAAGTCCACGATCCTGGAGGCGCATTGGCGCCGGCTGCCAGAAAAAAAAAACAAAAAAACCGTACGGAATCCAGAAGAAAAGGAAGAGAGGAAGGACCGAAAGTGGGAGGCCCTACGTTGAAGGCGGCAAGAAAGACAACTGTACGACGAGATGGTGGTGAAAGCCATTCATCTTGGACATATCAAGGATCCCTACAGGGGAAAGCTGCGAGACGCTATCAAAAAGCGTGTCGACTCGTACTCCAAGAGTATTGTCAATGCGTCGTCGGGACTGATGTATTTGGCGAGGAAGATGTACGAAGACGTGAAGCACATGGAAACGGTCGAGATTCCAGACAAGTTTTTCGACAAGACGTTTATTCGTCACCTGATGCTTGGCACAGAGAAAGCGCGGATGGAAAATGAGCGGTTGCATGTTCTCCACGAAAAACATCCCTTTTACAGCTTCAAGGGTACTCGAAACAAGGGTGACTGGGGTGTTTACGACTGCGGGTCGATGAAGTACATCACGAATCTGAAGAACCATTTGACAACGAACCTCGAACGTTGCATGATACGCGCCGTATTTGCACTGTTCCCTGGCATCTCTCGCAGGAGGATATGGGCGATTGTCAACGGCATCACGAATGATCGCAGGCATGAAGGTGAGGTCGAATTCGTCGACAGGAAGGCGTCAAAAGAGAGCACGAATGAAGCTTCTGTAATCCGTGCGGTTATACAAGAGCACCGTGCAATCTTGGGGTTGGCAAATCCAACAGACAACATATCAGAGCTGAACAAAAGATAAGGAAAGATACTATCGCCTCGTCCGGCGGTATATCGTGCTTCTGGACCGAGAGCTCGAACGCAAGGCAGAGATGAAGCTGAGCGAAGAGACAAATGACGAGTGGGAGAGATGGAAGGCGTTCCTAATGGGTAAGCGCCTCAGCGTCGTTCCAATGTGCAACATCAAGTCACATTTTGCGAAAGTCGACCCCAACGCACATTACAGCAAAATGAAGGAGATCTGTCCGGAGGTCGATGTAAAGAAGACAGAGTTCACCGGTGAAAACCGGGAGACGTGCTGGAAGAATATCTTCGATTTCAAACGCCTCAAAGTCAGCAAACAAAAGGTATTTACTGGGTTGATCGAAACCGATGGAGTAGCCTTGTGTGTACACTATCGGCGGTTGAAGAGAGATCGTCCAGTTCCGCCCTCGGCTTCGCCCGTGACGAAGGATGGAGATGAGAAGAAGGCGGATCCTGTGATGCAGGAGGTGTAGGATAACGCCTTTATGGTTGGCGCGGCGAAGCATGAAGAAAACAAGAAGGCGGGCCCTGAGACACAGAAAGTGCAGGATAACGATCTTGTCGTTGGCGCGGGCCCCGGGAATACGAATATCATAATTATCGCAGCACCGAAGCGTGCGGAAGATGGTACTGACAGCAACTTGCGTCAGAAAGACATGCGTCTTTTGAGGTTCTCGAGAGCGATATACTATCGAGAATCGGGTATAACGAATGCAAGGAAGAAAATTGGGACGTGGAATGCAGGAATGAAGGATCGCCTGGAAGCTTTGAGCGAGGTGACGAGCCGCGGAGCGGACTTTACAGCTTTTCGGAAATTCGTGGAAGATCGTGTTGCCCATTGAGATGCGCTGTGGGAGGAGTATACCAAGCCCGGTGGGCTCGTCTGCGATTGAATCTATACAGTGGGAGGCAGCGGGCGTTTGCCAATTTTTTCAATCAGCTGAGCGCCCTCAAGGAGGATGAAAATCAGAGGCTCGTAGTAGCGTACGGAGCAGGGCGATGGAAGACCCAAAAAGGGACTACGCCAGCTCCAACGACAAGAACGTACAAGGAGTGTGCACGGCGTTTCGTTACGATACCAGTAGATGAGTTCCGAACATCGTATACACACCAAGAGTTGGGGTGTACACTTCAGAGAGTCGAGATGGAAAAGTGTCAGCGGAGCCCTGAGGAAATAGCAAAGTACGCACCGCTAACAGAAGAGCGAATGGAAAGAAGAGCGAAAGTTCGTGGACTACTTGCATTAGTGAGTACAACTCCCAACGGCATGAAACGCATGGAGTTTGTGAACCGTGACTTAAATGCCGCTATCAGTATAAGGAAATGTGCGGTGCTGGAGAACTGAACTCCAGAGTTGACACGAGAGAAAACTTTATTGGACAACCTCTCAAAGTGGAACTATATGAGAAACAGTTGGAAGCAGTAGTGGGTGGCCGGTCCAAGAAAACTGAGAGGCGTCTGCACGTCAGTTCAAGACGCTATGTCTAGGGCGCGGTTGCCGCCACTACTGTACACCGCTGGCGACAACGTTTTTCTTTCGAAAGGCGTTTGTTGTTGGCGGTGATGGCGACTCTCACCCGAGCGTCTGTCCGCGTGCCCGTAGCGCAACAGGCGGAAGTTCTCAGAGCCAGCGAAAAAGATAAGCAAGTACGGAATGAGCTCGCACGGGCGCTGCAAAATATATGGCAAGGCGGCAGTATAGTCCTGGGCCGTTTCCTTCACATCCAGCGATTAAACCAACGCTGGTCGCGTGCACAGCGGGCCCCAAGTCGTGTGCCGTTGTCAACCGGGCAAGCGCAAGGAACGTCACGTTCTAGCACACTGGGGAGTCTCCAGCAGCCGTGGGAGCCGCTTGGAGCACCACCGACAGCGTTTCGCTTTCTGAGTGACCTCGTCTTCTACTGGAGCACAGTGGGAATCGGTCGCCAAACACCCGGAGAAGAGTTTTGTGACCTTTTCGAGTGCACCATAGCTACCGGTGATCGCATCCAAGTGGCAACCCTATCTTGGAAACAGCGACTATTGGAAACATTGCTCTATGCCACCATCGACTCTTTTCAGCTGCTTCTGTACTGGCTCCGGGTAGCACTGCGTCGAGTCGCCCGGTTCTTGGAGCGTGACTGGTACTCGCAATGTCTCTTGAGTCGCGAGAGACGCTGCCGAGTAGCCAGTACCTTACGTTTCGTAGACACTTGCTGCGCACGTCTGCAATTGCTACAAAGCTCCGATCGCCATGCACTGGCACTCACGATACAGTGGCTCATGCGTGTGCATCTTGCACTGTTCTATTTGTATGGGCGCTACTATGACCCAGCGAAGAGGCTTGCTGGTGTGCGTCTCGTGCATATTGGGCGGTCAAGGGCGTATTCACCTCGATATGATGCTCTAGGTCTTTTGCTCATCGTGCAGCTCGTCCTCGAACCCATTGATGTGTTGATGCAGCGTCCAGCATGGAAGCGAAAGCTCCGCGTGCTTTTCAAATGGGCACTTGAGCTGTTTCGCAAAATGTATGCCAGTGTATCCACCTCGAAGCGAATCGCAGGTGATGGCGTCTCGCAGGCTCGGCCTCAGATGGTGACCGCTGTGCACACCACAGATCGATTCTCGGGCGAAGAAACCGGGCTTCCTGGCTCCAGAACGACAGATCAACAGCGGTCATGGTCTGTGGTATCGCCCAAATTCGAGCCTGTACCCACTGCAAGGCGAGCGCGAAACGAGTCGCGACACCGCTGCGTGCTCTGCTTGGATCAGTGCCAGGACCCCACATGTACTGCCTGTGGACACGTCTTCTGTTGGATCTGCATCCTGGACTGGGTGCGTCAGCAAAACTCTTGTCCAGTTTGTCGTCGAGAGGCACAGTTGAATGACTTACGTTGCCTCTACAGCCTCGGATGAATTCATTGTATGCCTAAGCGTTCCGTGCTCGTCGGATCGCTGAAAACGCCCTAATATGACAGTGTCTAACCTGACGGTGATTGCACCCATGCCAGAATTGAGTGGAACAGGTCTTCCAATGTGGACGTAAACACGTACGAGAGGATCGATTCCAGTTGTCACCAACGCAAGCCATTGCAGGCGTTTTCTGCGACTGCTTCCTTTCTCTCTCTTGTATCGGGTATCAAGTACGTCGGTCTCCCACTGTCCCTCGAGCTACGTTGCCAGAAGTCGAAGGATGCTGGTAGCAAAATTAAATGAAGTCCCGATTACGCAGTTTCCGGTCGTTGTTGGCGCAATTCATGTACATGCGGGAGCTTCGATCTAAGCGCCGCATATTATTTTCATCTTCTTTGCGTGCTACCTCGGAACGCGCTTCGCCTGGATTTCGTCGGGTGTAACTAAGCGTGGACCACAGCGCTCCTCTAGGACTCGCCAAGTCAAGCGCAAAAGTGTACCTGATTGTTCAGCGCATTCTCTTGACGGGCACAGAAGGCTGGCCTCGATGCCCGCTATGTTTCCGCGTCTGATGCCGTTCCGGAGATTGCAGGCTTCTGCAGAACAATTGCCGCAGCACGTACTCTGTCCGCTGTAGGTGCAAGCGCACACTCTTCCATTCAGCTGAGGTTTTGTGGAAGTCCATCGTATGCATGATGGGGCAAGTCGATCCATTCCGATCCTTTTATGCTCTTTCCAAAGCGATGACGCACGCTCCAGTGAACGCGATCATTGCGATGACTGAGGCCGAGTCTGGTTCGCTTTTCAATGAAACTAGTATCGTCGAAATTCTCTAAAGGCATACCCCGTGGAATGCATTACTCTGCTGCTCTCGGATGCCATTTGGTTGGCGATCTTATCGAAAACAGGTTTTCTTTGAACGACATCGATTATTTGACTTGACGAATTCACGAAATGATCGGCATGAATTTGTGAGCAAGTCGTCGTGAGACAGCACCGAGATTTTTCCATTCCCGCCAAGGAAGCAGCGCGAATTGCGGCGTCTATGGGTCGCCCTGAAACAGGTAAATCAAAAAGATGAAGATTGCGTGATATGAACGTGCAACGTACAGGGAAAGGAAAGGAATAGACTCTTGAACGCGAGAGTTGCATAATAATAACGGTCATGTCATGAAATCTGGTTCGAGAGCGAAGCGAATTAACTAGTGTCTGCTAAAGTAACAAATTCAAGCTGCGAGCAGTCGAAAAAGTCGCTCCGAAAGGACGCCGGAGAATCCTACAACCATCCATGAATCCGTATGCCCCAGTTGCGGCAGTCGGAATGACGAGAGTGTGTATCAGAAATGTTCGGAGAATACGTCGAATGGCAGAAACAGGGCGAGCACTTCAGTGTAACAATCTAACCCGACACGCTTACAGATGACGCGACGACAATGGCCAAACTTGGTCTGATGCGCGCTTTCGTATTCATGGATATTCTACTCGAACCCTCTTTGCAATCCTTTTCCACCTCATGCGCGTCGGTACGCCGGCAAGCGTCCAGGCTGTGGAACGCATGCTCCCATTTTAGGTTCAAGCAGCATGCTTTGGGATGAAAACGCCCCCGTGAATCCATGATGAGCAGTAGAATAGAAAACTGAATAAAGGGAATGGCTTTGGCTGCAGACCGAACGTCCGCTTGAAGAAACCCACATGGAATTGGTATACAGGCCCACGAAACGGAATTTTATAGTGCAAAATCAAATATTCGAATCAGACTTCTCCCACGGCGTCGCTGCAGCAGTCTGTAATCAGGGACGAAACCACGGCAACTCCCCAGATCCGTCTGAGCTTCGACATCCCCACAAGAGGCTTGCCTTCCGAGACGGAATTTCGATCTATCCAGCATCGTCATATGCGCCGCCGCCGCTATGGCCGCTATCGCCTGCAGAGACATGATGGCGTTGTGGTGCTGTGAACTGCTTCAGCACGGAAAAACTGAATGGAATCATCCGGAAGCGAAAACAAGTTGCTACGTTCGTGCCGAGAGCGCCACTTGCAGTTTGAATACAGGCAACGCTTCTGATGATGTTTTGCTTGCGGCAACATGTGCCATAACCCCGGTACCACTGCAACGTGGGAGAAATGCTTCAAACTTGGACCCTTTCGAGACACGATCTCCGAACCCGTTTCGCCAGTTGAAAGTGGCTGTGCATCTTTTGGGCTCGAAGAAACATAGAGAGTCAAGAAGCTGCACTCTCCGTCGGCAAAGAGACGAACAAGACATGCATACGAGATCATAGACGTTGCATAGTCTGCAACATTGCTGCCTTCGTTGGGCCCAAGAGGCGAATCGCTGTATGGTCCGACACCGCAGTTGCCATTCGTTCAACGTTCTCTGCTAATGTTCTGGACGCTGCTCATTCGCTGTCTCTTTTAACCTGAGGCTCACTCTAGAATAGGAACTGTACACGTGAGTTTCGAATACGAGGGGTATCCATCCGCAATCGCTCCCAAGGTTCTACAAGACAACTGGCAAGAAGAACCTAATACGTAACGTTCTTCCGGACAGCGTTCTTGCTCGGTGCAGTCAACGCCCGCTGTGCTACTATACTCTGTGACACGCAACGAATAAATAAATAGGCCTGAAAAGGCGATTTCTATTCTGGTGTCGTATGCAAGAACACGAGGCTCGTCTCGCAGCTGAGTATACCTCAGTGAACGATAGTCTCGCTGACGTCGATTCCAAGGACAGCTTCACAACGGAGACGCCGTCTAGGTGCACAGGAAAAGCTTGTCCAGTGAGCCCATGGTGACAAGCTCCCCAGTTCGTCGTGGAATCAGTGACCAGCTGCGCTATGAAATAACCAGTCAGCAGCAAAGAGCCAAAGCGGTTACAAGTCCAGAGCCGAGTGCTCGAAATTGCTTGACAGGGTGCTCTCTCGTGCCTCTGCCTTCAAACGGCTCCTGCAGTCACTTAAAGTTAAGGAAGCAGACTGAGTGAGCTCCAAAAGCCGTGCGTGAGGCTCAGGGAACCGAAAGTACCCCATCAACCGAGACGCACCTCGTGCGCTACAGGCACCGGCTGTAGGAAAAGAAAACTTCGTTGAGCAACGTGCCTGCGCTAGGCAGTCAAGCGAGCAGGGAACTTTGCCGTCTCCACCTCTACCGCAGCCGCCGTACAGCAGCTTGCTCTATATGAACGCTACAAGATAGCTAGCGCGGAGTACCCATGCGCCAAGGTTGCCGCAGTGCCCCTCAAGGTCACCACCGGACTGCTCCGAGATGCCGGAGCAGCACGGGATTTCTTGCAGGCGCGCAGCGTACACGTTATCGCGTTGCTACCACTCCAGGGAAGGCTGTTTCAGGGCGGACTTGTAGACGGACCAGCACAGCTTTGAACTTGACAATCCCGTGAAGCAAAGGTGCGTTTGCGCCGATGGGCACCAGGAAAGAATTGAGCCTCAGCGAACGCAAAGTCGTGGTAAACGTTTACGACATTGTCGACCTGGCAAGCACAAACGACCGGCTCTACCGGCTTGGACTCGGGGTATACCACACTGGTGTCGTTCTGGGAAGAAGGGAATATGCGTACGGTTTTAAGTGGGGCCCCGGGACGGGAGTTTTCTATACGACACCTCGCTGTGCGCCAAACGCGCGCTACCGTCAGAGCCTAGAGTTCGGGCCGATTATCGTAACAGCAACGGAGGCGAGAGAGCGCTTCCGAAGAGTTTGTGAAGAGTTTACTGGTTCGAGCTATCATCTATTGGACAAGAACTGCAACACATTCACCGCTCGAGTTGTTTATGATCTCACGGGCCAGAAACTACCGTCCTGGATCAACCGAACCGCCCGTTGGGCATCGGTTTTCCGGTGCTTGCTTCCTCCAGAGCTAGCGCAACCGCAGTCCGTGCCGAGTGCAGAGATGCTGCCCTCAAGTCATGCACTGGAATATCGATCCATGTTATCTGGTCCTCCGGGGACGGAGGAATGCTCCGATGGGGACGCGCACAGCGGAAGCACGCTGTCGCGGGCGAGCACGCCCCCGAAGGAGGACTCGCAACCCTTGCCTCCTCGAGTTGAGCTGAACGAGATCCTCCAATAAGGAGACAATCGCACGCTGCAATATCTACAAGTAAGTCAGAAAGGCTGATGGATTTCAAATTTTTACTTTCCTGCACGAAGACTATATGAAAAACGTGCTCACCACTGCCGAGGAATGTCTTGAGAGAAGCTGTTTCGCGAAGCGCGCAGTAGGTGCTCGAAACGGGCTGTTGATGTCTTGTAGATGAAACCGGCAGCACATGGATCCGTTTTTGCAGGTCTCCGGAGAGTATCTGTGCAGTGCCAGTGCGCTAGTGCATCGTGCACACGGATACTCGTCGCTGTGTGATATATTCAGACTTGTGTGCTTCCACGAATCGCATCCTACTTATGTGTGCTCCGATTCTGTTCTCTGCCCGAGCTTGCACGATCGCACGTGCAAGCACTTGGCAGGGACACGTTTACAGCGAGTACACAAACTTGGTCTCGTTTGTGCGGAAGCGATCTCGGTAACTTCTGAGCGCGGCGCTCGAGTGCATAGAGGTCTGTTGCGCCGAGCAAGTGCTGCAGTCTCGAGGACAGCGCCCCCGGACTAGCACGGTCGTTCAAATAGCTGGTGTGTCGGCGAGTGTTGGTAGAGGACAGGTGACGCTTGCATGCCATGTTCGCCGCATTACACTTGGGAACTTGAAACGACGACACAGGTACGTTGTTCTGCGGTCACGATCCCGATACGCTGATATAGGCCTGCTGGTTTTCCAAGTCTTTTTCAAAAGCATGTGCTCTAGAGCACGCTCCTTACCAGTAACCGAACGGGAATCCCGGGGAGAGCCGCAAACGTTTCTGTTTTCTTCACTGTAAAGTCATGACCTCGTTATAATCAGAGCGTTAAATTTTGGAACATCTGTACCAGCACATTTTCTTGATTCGAATCGTTTCTCTTACAAGTATTCAACAGAAAGAATGTTTCATGTATGTTGGGGAAATGTGGCGGTAAGACCCGATGCTCGCACCGTCAGCTTGCGAGGAAATGGTCTCATGTGTTCAACTCACTCATTCTGGGGTCAGCAGGTAGATGAACTACCCTATTTGTTGTCACCACACAGAACGTCTTGCGCTGAATAGCTAATTTCCCAAACCCTGTTTGTAAGGCAGTATCCTCGCCAATTCATTTTACTCTGGATGCTCTCCGAGAAATCGTGTTGAAAAAGCTACTGAATGTGAACATGGCATATTGTTGAGACGAACTCTGATAAAGAGACACGAATGGGCGAAGAAAGTATGCAAGCATCTCTGCAACTCCTTCGTGCAATGAAAAATACTCCACTGATATCGCACTGAAACACGAACGTGTAGTATATGAAGGACTCGTGCTCGTATCATTCTATCAGAACATATTTGGTACAAATACTAGTCCTGGATACGGACGCCCAAAGAGGGGCAAAGCGCTATTCATAAAAAGATGAGATGAAGGACCCCATCCAGAACAGCACAGCTTCCTACTCGATGGCGCCTCGCCCAGCTTTCCTCGCTTTGGTGTATCTCGTGAGGAACTATTCCTTGGGGTTCCAGGCGCAGGGCCCCCCGTCGTCCATATTTTTCAGTAATCCTTCCATCAAACCTTTCGACGACAACACTGCCTATGTTCGGGACGAAATGTGCAATACGACCTTGTCGTAGAATCATTGATTTGCAGAAACACGTCCCAACATATCTCGACCTGTCGCCGCGCCACATCGTTGATCGGAATTTCCACTGCGCTCGTACCAGAAAGCCTCAAAACAACCACAAAGATTAGAAGCATATGCGGCCAATGACGAACGCTTCATGGGGTGCACTCTCTGGGTATTCTACCCATCGTAATCTCGCATTGGTGTTCCCGAAAACTGGGGACGTATGTAATGTACTCATGGGCCAATTGATGAAGGCAAAAGACGAGCTGGAGCCGGAAGAAATCAAAGCGGTAGCGAGCTCCGAAGTGATGTCGCAAGAAGAGCGAGAATCACATCAGATCGTCCAAGCAGCACGCGTTAATCTCGGCCTCGGACGGGCAGACGTCGCATCCAAAGGACAGTCGAACTGCCACAGATACCCAGCTTGCATCTTGCGCTATTACGTTTTCCTGAACAGAGCTTACCAGAGAGCAATGCAGACTCCCACCCCGAATCCGAATGCCTTAGCCTCCGAAAGCGTCTGTTCGTTGTCATTCCCGTATGTCAGATAAAGGTCTATTCCGTCACCGTTTACAGTCGTGCACTGAACTGTATGGCCTTCTCAGAAAGCGACGGCCCGTCTCTGCGTAGAAGCATGAAGGATTCGACCAATTGCGCGATGAGCAGCAGCAGAACACCTTCAAAGAATCTCATAGTTACAGAGGAAGTTGAAAGCTGTTCACACGTAAAATGGATCGATGAAAAGTCAGTCTGTATGTAATTGATGAAAGCTTGGCCTGAATTGAGCGACGAGTTTCATTTTCAAACATTCAAGGTAGATGAAGAGGTGAAATCCGTTTCGGATATGGATCACGGATTGAAGGGCATCATGGCCGTCGCCATACCTTCAAGTCAAATGGATGGAGATACAGGGCAGAACTGAAAGCAGATGAATTAACAAGACTGTTCCATTGCTCAGCGTCATAGAGATTTGGGGTTGATGGACACAAAGAGACGTACCAACATTTAGAATCAGGGCGTCCGGACCGTCCTCGACGAATTGAGCACTGTCTAGAGCAGCAAAATGCGCCGCACGCTGCATTTAGAGCGCACATGATTTTCCAAATGGTCTAAGCGAATGAGCTTTGGCAGGAGTACTTGCGACCACGTCTGTGTAGCCAGCATTTTGGGTTGTATGGAGATATCACGTGTTCCTGAACATGTTCAATGATTTAGAGAATGATGTGACCCATACGCGCCGTCTTTCGGTAGTAGGCTCAGGCTCTGAATGTACAGACGCGTGCGGCAGCCGTACGCCTTCTCCTTCGACGACAGCATACAAAGAGTGCAAAAATCGATTTTGTGCGATTCTAATCGATAATTCCAGTTGCGACTTTAGCGTACAGTGGGCACTCGTGCCCGCTGATACAAGCGGGGAAGTAGAGAATGAAACAGAGGCGAATACAAGAGATGATGCTCGGTACGCTGACCAGACGTCAAATGGCGAGGGAATCGAAGGCAAGAGACAGGGTGTGATGTGATCTCACCAGCAACCGAGCGGAAAAGCACTCTCTGTAGCCGCATTTTAGCAGCTCGATCAATGTCCGGAAATACCTCGTGCTTCTTGAGCATCTAGCGGCGCTGCGTCTAGCAAAGTTTCAAGGGAGTCTTTTCGCACTCTATTCGGCATTGTGCTAAAACGTTGAAGTGCTCGAAGTGAACTATCAGTTCCCAAGCGAGATCGCATTCGAATCCCGCCCGAAGCAGGGTCCTGATACATGGCGGTTCAATAATCCAGAACGGCTGGGGCGCCTTTTACGTACACCGGGCACAATTTTTACGTGCTGTTGGCATACGACTATGATGTTCCACGACTTGAAATTACTGAGTATATTCTTAATCGCTCGTAAAAGCACATGGTTCGTTAACGAAGGTGAGCCCCTTCCCCAGGGCTCGCCCGTGCAGGACAAACACGCGCGAGCGAACGCCACGCTCTACTCAGTTCAAAATGGAGTACTGAACTGCTCGCTCTTTTCCTGCAATTGGATCTTTTCCAGAACTATTTTCTGAATGAGCAGCCCCAAAATTCGAAGTACAGCAATGAGCGCCTACGGATTTACAGCTAGTTCAAGGAAGCTCCGTCGTTGGTTCCTACTGGTTCCTTTGAAGCTCTGCCACTGGAATTCGGTGCTTCAACGAAAGTAAGATGATCGATTCGCCACTACCTCGAGCACGAGCTCCCAATACAATCGACATTAGCATTCAATTCACACGCTCTAGCCTAGACTACTGCACTTTCCTTGCACATCCCATGCTCAAATCTACGATTCTTCTTGAATCTTCGACCATTCTGTGCCAAAGCAGCTCGTGGGCACTGCGCTTGGCACCGCTGGATTGAATACCAAAAAATCAAGTACTTTCATTGGGGACTTCTTCACAGGCGCATTCCGAAACTGCACTGAATATGCGACGCCAAATAATCGATTCCACTTAAAGGACAAATCCATCGCTGTTTGTGAGCATTCAGAGAACCGCATTCGACAGCAGCATGGCATCAAGTACGGATTGTATGCTCCCTGAGGCCCCCATCTCTCCTGTTTGAATGGAAAAGTGTCTTCGACTCCGACTTGAGTCATCGGAGCGATCGCTTCCAGTGGAGCATGCGTCACGGCTTTGCATATAGGCGTATACACAGACAGAGAATTCTCGAGTTGTTTTGCAGCCTGGATTTTCCTTCCGGTGTATTCTTCATCAAGGACAAGACGGTACTCCGCAAATCATCTAGTAACTTGAATAGGATGCGCTTGCGTGTGCAGCAGGCAGCGTACCCGCCGAAAGGATCGCGCTGCTGTTGCCCGTGATCGTTGGTAACCGCAACAGGCGCGGAATCGGAGGCCAGCATCGAGCGGAGCCTCCTGTACCCGCCACAGGCACATGTGCCGGGCGATGGAGCAGGCGTTCACGCGCATCAGGGACGTCCCCGGAGGACGGATGTGCTCGACATGTGGGAACACCAAACACAGTCAAGTGTCACCGCTGCGATGAGCGCACCGATGCTATATCAAGTGAAGATCCTGATGGCAAGCGACCAAAATTTGTCGGCGCTGCCTGAGCATGAATTGCGTCGTTAACAGCTGGAAGCAAAGAAATCGGTACATGAACGCTGCCATCGCCATGCCCGGTTTTGTGACAAGTCAGCTTCAGGAACTAGAGAGTCCGACGTTTTGAGCCAGAGATACGAGAGCGAAACGGGTAACAGTCGCAGCAGAAGCGAGTACAGGCGAGTGTTGATGACAGTGCGCGGAGACTCCAACCTCTTGTGTGCAGGCCCGAGTTAAGGACGTGAACCTGTCCCACCATAGTCCGGTAGGGGTAGAGCACGGACGCAAGGACGTGCGTTCGTGGCAAGCAGGTTGGGCGTCTCGTCGAACGGTGCAAGTCTGCCGCGCGGAACGAGTGCGACCATTTCCAAGCGCCTCTTCCTTGCCGTTTCCCGCGAACGTCGTACGCGGGACGGCTGCCAAAAACAGAATCGAACAGGGACTCACGGGGACTTGAACCCCGGACCTCTCGCACGTTCTTCGGTAACTCCCGAAGCGAGCATTCTACCCCTGAACTATGAGTCCCGTTTGTTGCTGGCGCCTGCGATCCACCTGCATCAGCACATCGCGACCGCCGAACTGTAGCAATTATTTGCGATATTCTATATATAAATGGTTGCGCTACGAGCGATGGCGATTGCGCGCGATTTTTTGCGACACATGTGTATATTAAGGACAGATTCATGGGTGATGCTTACGGTATTTCACCTCAACGGGGTTCCACTCGCAGATGCGTGGAATCAAGAGTGGTTTCGTGCTTAACAGCAACCACGTTCGAAGCGCGTTCATTAGAAGAAATAGAAAACCCAAGGGAAAGAATCGTCATCGAAGCGGCGGATCGAAGAGGGTCGGTGTCGTCGGGGTTTGACAAGGAAACGAAATAATCCTCTCCTCGCCGACCATCGAGCAAGGGAGAGCTACTGACGAAGAAAAAGAATAGTGGGGATTGGCGAGCAAAACTTGTTCGCCGTAGAGGACGATGATGAGACTAGAGTGGCACAGAGGGCAAGTGTTTGAGAAATCCCTGGACTGATGCATTGTACCAGAGGCATTAAAGTCAAGGAGTTCATGAACAGTTACTTGAACGCCGAACGCAATATTACACGATGTAAGATGCTGAAGACGAGAACCGTGGAGCTGACGCGAGCATTTTTGGGGCGCAACCTCTCAGGCTCGAAGTGTACAAAGAGAAACTGAAAACGATTGCAGGACGCTGGTCGAAAAAGGCTGGCAGCCGTCTGCGGGCGGATATCAATTTACCCTATGGTCGCGATATGTCTTCGCTCCGCGAAGCAAACAGGCACGGATCAACTGGCGGGTTACTGGAAAGCGCGTCCGCGAACGGATACCAGTTGCGCATGGCCGCTCTGGTTTCCTCAGAGACGTTCTCGGTTACCGCCACCGCCCAGGCCTCTTCAAAGTCGGACAGAAAAGGATGGACGCCTGCTTCGCAGAGTCGCAACACCCCGCGCTCTAAATATGCCTTATCGCCCGTTGCGGTGGCGAGCGCGGTGACGCTGGCCAAGTCAGTAGCCCCGCGTCGTTCAAAGAACTCGTGGCAAACTTTCTCAACATTGTTTCCGTGCAAAGTTTTCACGACCGCATCAAGTTCTGCTTGCGCAAGCTTCGCTGCAGACGACGACCCCCTGATGGAACGTGACAGACGTACAAGCAGACGAATCGCCATCGGCGACAGCGTCTCGACCGTAGTGCTGCCCCGCAAAGCCGCAACGACCGCTCGGGCAGCGAGCGCATAACGAGCACTCTCCACAGCGACTTGGAAAATGATATCCAAGAGCTCTTCTGATAGCTCGGAAGGCTGCGTGGCCTTGAGTATTAACGGAAGCGTCAGCTTTTCCGCCTCCTCCAGAGGTGCCGCGCGGCTGATGAGCATTGTTCCGTCGGGGTCGGTCTCCATCCAACCGGGAGTGCGCGGACGGCGAGATGCTCGTTTCGCTGTGGAGGTCTCATTGGTGGACGCGCTTGTGGTAATGGCACCCGCATGAACGCGGAGCCGTTCCAGACGTGCTGTAATGTCCGCGCGATTGCGATGCAACGCAAGGTAGCAACGTGCAGCGCCGCGCACTGCGCGTTGGTAGTACTCATGCTGATGAAGACGATCTTCCCAGCGAATGAGATCCACATAGGCTGCGATCGTGGATTTCCGTAGACAGTACGCATGAAAGTCGTACTCATCTTCGCGAAAGTCTGTGAAATGCCGCAGAACTGCCGTGTAGTATTTCAGCGCACGATCGATGCGGCCTTGTGCAAGCGCTGCATCCGCGTAAGCTAGTTCGAACCACATGACCTGCAAATTGTACAGCGCTTGAACAGGAGGTGCCTCTCCATCATGTGTGAACATCAAAATCAGCTCCATGGCACGATCAGGTATGCCGGCTAGCAATGCGTACTCAGCTGCGAGTGAGTTCAGTGCGCGATCACGCACGTCCAGGGATCGTGCTCGCTCTGCTGCCTCGTAAGCGCGGCGATATGCTCCAACAGACCGCCAGATCCGCGCTATCGCGGCTCTGCATTCAGGCGAGTCGGTGAACTGTTCTAGAAAGGCGATAGCGCGTTCAGGGTCGCGCGATACCCGCATACAGTGTTCTGCGGCGAAAATCGCGGTCGCCTCATTATGAACCGCAGCTGGGACGTTACCGATCAGTTCGAGAAATACCTCGTCGATGACGCGCTTCTTCGCATCATCCTTGTAAAAATTTTCTAGGATGCGAGCGAAACTAGGAACCTGGGCGATTTCCAGAAAATGATGCATGAGCTCTTTGACTCTTTTTCGGAATTCATCGCAGGATCCCTCCAGGTGGCGAAGCGCTCCTAGCGCGCAACCTAGCACAGGCGCCTCGTCAGGGGTGAAGCACTCTTCGCCGGCGCTGTCGCAAAGTTCCCTCGGGACTGCATCATACAGAGCCACAACATCCCGGCCCGTCGTATCGTTTCGCACAATACCCTCGAGGTACTCCGCATTACTCGGATTTCGGCGCAAGAGTTGCCAGTAACACCTGTGGGCTCGCTCATGATCCCCGATCCGCTCCGCTATACGCGCAGCGGTGTGGAGCGCGAACGTACGATCGAGGATTTTTCCCTCCTGAATGCAAGTCTCGGCGTACTTGAGGGCTTCCTCACGCATATCCGCCTCTTCCAGCAATCTCAGGCGGTACTCGTACGCAAGCGAGGCTTCGGAGATGTTTGATCCCTCTGTGCCGAGCTGGTATTTGGCTGCGATGCGTTCCCATGCATCCAGAACCCGTAACGCTTCCTCGTGACGGCCCAGCAGGTGGTTTGCAACGGCAAGTCCCAGCCAGTTTAGACGCAGCGTCGGCCGCTGCTGAAGCATTTGCTCGCGAGTTCGGAGGAGCCCCTCAAAGTCCCGAATGTGCGCCTGAAGCGGAGATAGTTCGCGCAGCAGTTGCGCATTATTAGGGTCCAACCGGAGCGCCTGCTGGTACGCCTTGGCTGCCTCCTTGTACTCTCGGTCGTGTCTGTGAAGAAGTCCTAAAATATGCCACGCAACTTGGGACCGAATATCTTGCCGGAGGCCGCGCCTGGCGAGCTCGTAGGCCTCGTCGCGTTGATCCAACGCTCGCAAGATGAGACCTTTCATCGCGAGTGTCTCTCCGTGGTCGGGCACTGCACGCAAGATCTGGTCAGCGATCTTGTTTGCCTTTTTGTACTGCTTGATTTCATAAAGTCGAAACATTTGTTTGAACAGCGACTGCTCCTTTGTGGGCAGCGACGGCTTCCGCCCCTGCGCTGACCCAGCACCCGCGGCAGACACCGGAGCCATCCGCTGTGAGTGTCGTGCTCGTACTCCAACAGTTGATCACGTCCTCTGTAAGTAATACTCAAGATTCTTCCCCGAAGAAAATCATGAACAGAGCGCTGATCACTGGACGTTAGAAACTTGATCTTGTCAGTAAGCAGGGACGTGCGTAGAGCCTATCGCGCTCTGCTAGGGTACGGAATTCTCGGCAGACGCCCCGATCAGATGATGGCGTCGATACCCTGAGACACCCACATGTCCATATTGTCGCATTTATTGTTCGAGGCCAGGCCGCCGTCGATGCTTGTACCATGGGCGAAGACCGCCTCAGCGGTATCGCGAATTCGGTGATCCCCGGTTCGTGTAAGAGAGACGCTGTACGCCCGCAATGCTCGTCATCCGCAGCCTCGATGTTTACGCGCTGTGAAACCGCTGTCCATCACCAATGATCGTAGGCGATTCGCAGATAGGTCGCTGTGCGTGTGGATCCGCTGCACTCGGCCCGAGTTGATGCGCTCGTCCCGACCACCCCAGGTCGATAGCTTCAAGGGCTGCAGCGCAGTCCAGTGGCTTTTGGTTGTTGTTGGAACGGGCCGTTTCAGCGCTACGCTGCGATGTAATCGAGCACCACTGCATAGCGAGACGCGAGGCAATACGGGCTCCTTGCATGAAAAGGTTTAGGCGCATGGGTATAGCGATCTCCGTTTGTGGACCTGTGCATACACCCATGGATTCATGGAAGCAGGTATGAATGAGGTGCCGGCCGCGACCTATGCGGAGGAGCAAAAATTTTTGCGCACTGGTCTGGGCTCTGCGGTCGTTTCGCTGCATGTATTTCGTCGTGTTGCAGTGGTAGCATGCAACGCGCCGTTTCTTTTAAAGCTCGTCAAACTCAGTATAAGTCGAAATTGTTCCAACAGAATCGCCTCAAGTCGCCGTGCATTCCGGCCGTTTGTATCGAATGCCAGTACGATATATGTACGCGTCGTCCGTGAGCATTTGCATCCAAGCCACAGATGGATTGTGCTTCAGGCTTGGCATTGGATTACGCAGCAAGATAGCACACGAGAAGCCATTTCAGCTGCTAGGAATCGACCGAGCCCCGCAGCTCGTCAAGTGCTTGCATTTCGCGTGCGCAATGAGCCATCATAAAAGGTGCCGAGATATCTGGCGCATAGGCAGCCTCGCATGCCCAGTAGCGACATTGAAAAAATACCAGCGGGCCTGTGATCACCTCCCAGATGCCTTCCAGACTCGTATTCGCGGCCGCAACATCAGTGGCCTCCGCGAACAGAAAATGGAACAAGCGCAAAACAGTTCGATGACCGGGCTCCCATACAGCCTCGCAGAATCACGTCCATGCGGAGGAGCACCTGCCACAAGAGCATTTCGCCACAGGGGCAGCTCACATTCGACTTGCAGTGCTATTTGAGCCATTTGGGGGTCGTTGAGCCCCAACACCTCCGTGCATCGAGACCCAGGTTTGAGCAGTTGCACTGGCAACTGAACGTCGACGCGGCGATCGGCGCCAGCGGATGCCACGGGATGCGACGCGCCCGCAGATGCGCATCTGCGAGAGGCGGTGCACTCGGCTTGAAACCCCGCAGTCTACATATGCAACAACCTCTCCTCCATGTTGTGCTTGATTCGGGGACAGCATACATTCTGGAACCGCACCTCAGTGTGCCCAGAACTTTACTGTAGCACAGGACTCTGTGAAACGCTCACAGTACAATCCTCGACTCAGAGGGCTCGTTCGAAATATGGCGCCGGCTCTCTCGGTAGTCGCAGTTTGGCGAGCAGTCGAGTTTCTGTTGCGCTTGAATTATCAGCGTTTCGAGGGAGCGCTGTCTGAACGATACGCATGCTTGGAGGCTGCTGCGTCAGTAATCGAAATACGTACTGTGGCTCTTCGTTCGCTCGATGGGTCGTACGCGAAAACCTCGTCCGAGGTAAGCCCAAGAGCACCGGAGAGGACGCGGCTTCTGCAGGTACGCATCTTTGAACACGCCGCTCGATCGATGCAGCAACGGCTTCGAACTGGAGACCGTGCCCGTGACACTCTCGGAGTGGTGCTGCTGGTGCACGGCCTATCGCCTTCGGGAAACCGGGATGCGCGCATGGAGGCGGTTGCGCGAGCTTTGGCGAGTCTGGGGTTTACTGCAGTTATCCCCGACTTTGTCGAGTTTCGAGAGTGTCGTATGGGCCAGCAAACACTCGATGAAATCGCTTGGGCAGTCGTCGCCGTTGCGAAGGCTTTCCATCAGGAATCTATTAGTTTGTTCGCGGCATGCGTCGCGGCAGGTTATACGCTTTGCGCTGTTTTGGGTAGTGGCGAACACATCCGACAACGGGTTCGAACGATCATGTGCATTGGCCCGTACGCCGAAGTTGAAGCGATGGTCTGGTGCGCCATGTCCAGCGACTCTGCCGATGACTACGGTCGGAATGCGATCTTCTACAATTTTCTTCAGTATTCTTCGCTGATCTCGGAAATCGAGCATGCAGGTAACGCAGCCAACGGACATGGATGGATGTCGCAGCTACTCCATGCGCTTCGTCTCGCTTTGGAAGACTCGCATTTCCTCCGAGGGAGCACGGAGGCAGCGATGCTACCCAAGTATTTCAAAGAGCTGCGGGATCGGGTACCACATAGTTTCGACACTGCAAACGACGCTTCTGAAGATGCTTCGAGTACGAGGACAAGTCACGTTCAGAGAGTTTTCGAACGGTTCCAACTTGACAAAGAGTTTCGAGAGCTGCACACGAAGGCGATGCTCTCGCATCCGGCAGTGCAAAAGTTGATCGCGTCCTGCCAACCGATACGAGTCGTTTCCCGGGAACCTATCGATTTTCCCATCCTTCTTTTGCACGGCGAATGTGATAATATTGTTCCCTGTCGGGAAAGCCGCAGGCTTTTCTGCGCTATGATGCACAACAAGCTCTGTACGGTGAAGCCCCTTATTGAGATAACCTCGCTCCTCAATCACGGCGACCGCCAGCGTCTGAACTGGTTCACAGACACGCCGCAAATTATCCGCCTTATTCGTCTGTTTGCGCAGTTTTTCACCTGGGCTGCACAGCCGCGAATTTCTGTTCCGCAGTCGCATTCGAGCTCTGCGAAGAACCGTACAGAGTCACGTTTGCTGCAACCGCGCATCATCCGATCGCGTTGAAGCGCAGCGTCGCTTTCCCACGGCGAATCGCTCCTCTTGCATAATGAAGAACTGCACGACACAGAATGCTTTCGCACAGAACAGCTTCTGGAAAACCGACTCCATGCGATGGAGTCAGACACTTTCGTTATTCCCTAAAATACAGGGTTTGCAACTATGTCATGCGTTATCCATCCGAGCTCGTTTCTGGGTCATGGAGCCGAATCCTGCCCGTGTATTCACCACATACCCGAGACAAGTGCCGTCAGCGCTAGCTCCCGGATGCTAACGAACCACGGATTGTTGGCGCGTTTCATTGCTCACAAAGGAAGCCCGTCAGCAGATGATGCCCGATGCGTATCGAAAGCGCCTCGTCCATCCCGGCCTGTGTCGAAATCGATTCGCATATTGTGCCATTAGCAGAGCAGTTTCCGCTGCCCACTTCCCCGACAAACATGCTCCGTAATGAGGCAGATGTGCGTGCATCGCTAGCGACTCGAGCGCGTCTCGCAGCTTTCGCTGTCCACACATCAACAAGGCGCCCCAGCACCGGGGCTGCTCCGCAGGTCACCACAGGGCTCTGCGGTCGCTTGTGGAACCCTTGTTCTGAACCTCGCTTCCATTGAAACCACAGCGAGCACCCGAAAATACCCAAAACATTTCACAAATGAATAGAGGTCCGCGGCGATAGTGTCACCGCCAGGTCGCTACGAGTAGAAGCGGCTACGCTGCAACACAAGCGAGACTCCGTCGAGAGCTGCACGCCACGGCCCTGAGGAAATAGTCGGAGACAGACGCCACTAACAGGCACTTCGAATACTGGAAATCTTGTCGATCCATGCCACATTTACGCCTAGAAAACATCAGAAGCAGTTAACGAGTGAGCACATGGTATGTAACCGGTGCTTGGTGCTTGCACGCGTTTCGCCTGTATGTTGCAGTGAAGCGCGGCAACGCCGTGCGTGCATCCAACTGCTAATTCTGATCAGTCTCTATGAGACGCTTCCAGGCGAGGCCTATGTTGCATCCCGTAGGGCGCCCCGCTGGATGCCATGAATGCCGACGCGTGAACGTCCCTGAATCCAGCCCGAGGGCTTCGTCTGCACCTACCGTTTTGATCCAGAAGAACCCTGGACACATTCTCGAGTGCGGCATCGGAACCAAGATCCGACTGCGCCGCGTCAGAATACTATAGAACACTGGGCTGCTCGCTCTGTTCCTGCCTTGCGATATGTTTCCAAACCTTTTCGATATACAGTCTCGACATTCACATTGTGGTAAGCGCGGATGACGGATTCATGTGCAATGCTAGGATTCATGGTCATGTTTTCGAAGTGGCTGATTCGGCGCTTTGCAGCTGGGATTCGTTCTGTAACCAGAATCGTGATGAGCCGCAAACCCATCGAACACGAGTTCCTAAAATAACCGATATCGTTCGCCAATACATATGTTTGTGCATCCATGCTCCTGCTCTCCGCATATATAGCATGCTCGGATACAGCATTCTTCAACTGTTCGATCTTTCCGTTCCGTGGTAACTTTTGGGAAGCAGGTAGCAGTGCGCAACATTGTGTAGAGGTGAAAGTATACTCGACTTGGTCGCTGGACGACATCCGCACAAGCGTATCTGGAAAGTTCATTCACTGACCTTGTCACGGCACATGAAAGACTCCTTTCGAAAGTCAAATATGCCTCTCTTCGGCGCCAGCGACGAACCGGCATTCGGCAGAAGCATTGTACCGCTAGGGCACGATGCTCTTAAAGGATTTCGCCTTCCCCATTTCCATGAAACATGGTCTTGGACTCGGAGCCCAGTCGTCTCTCCCATCGCTGCTAGTGTAGAATGCGCCACTGTTTAGAAGAAGAGTGCGTTGATGGATGGAAGTTTCTTGACTTTTCATGCAGCATGGATATTCAGTGTGGTACTTGTGCCATCATGCACATCAACGTGTCCCGCAGATCCTCTATCGACTGGAAGAAAGTGCGCTTGTAAATGCAGCGGATAGCGTACTCGGGGCAGGTATCGCGCCGAAGAAGCCTGTGAGCTTCGGTATGGAACCGGGCACGGAAACGGTGCAGGACACCGAGGCGAGCCTTCTGTGCCCGTCATAGGCGTGCGCCGAATGATAAACCAAAAGCTCGCGTGCCACAGGGCGACTCTCTCAGAGAATAGGGTGCGATGGACCTAAATGAGTACCTGACTATATTCAAGTGTGATAGCTGCGAATAACGCACCGAGGCTGCATGCATAGGAGATGACAATGGAAAGCGATGCCTAGATATCAACTACTGTCTGTGCATCAAATGCAGCGACAAAAGCCGGAAGCAGCGAAATCAGGAACTGAACGCAGCCACCAACAACGTTCGAATCGTGACAACGGAGCTGAAGACAAGGGCAGACCGACGAACGTAAAGCCGGAGATAAGACAAAGGAAAACGAAGCCGTCCCAGATAAAGCTCGCAAAGGCTGGTCGTCATGACATGAGGAAAAGACCCAAACTTTACGGTGTACGCTCGTGTTCGCAAAGTGGGCCCGCTCCATTTCATTCTGATAGGGGTGCAAGCGACCTCTGGTCCAGACCTGAGGCAGATGCGCGCGATTGCCAGACTGCGTCTCATGAACGCAGCGTATTGACTGTGGACGTCAGCGCACGTCAAGCTCCGCTCTTAAGACGGAGAACGCTCCCAGCTCTGGCTGGGTATTCGGTCCGAACGCAGATAGAAGACGCTCGTCACGTACCGCTCGTGATACCTTCGCGTGAGGACGTACTTGTGCACATGGCGCACATTTGCGGATACCCCGCTGGGAACTATGTACAAATGGTTCAGGGTCACTGTAACAGGTCTTGGAGGGAACAAATCAACCTCGCCCCGCTCTCGTCGCAACTGTTCTTCTATGAATTCGTTTGGAGTCATCTCAATTGGCAAGCGAGGAGCCGTTTCCTCGCCAAGCAGGACAGGCAGCGGCGGTGGCTCACGATGAAAGCCCGACTCGATACCTGGAATTGCGTTATCATAGCTGCCAACAGGGCTCTGTTCCCGCCGGAAGACCTCGCTCGCGCGCTTCGTTCCAGGCAAGAAATCATCCTGTACCAGAAACTCGCCAAAGAAAGGTTCCACCCGAATGAAGTTGTTCACATTACCGTGGGCATCCCGAGCGACCATTTGCTCGGGCGCATACCGCCACTCGCCGTCTACAACATACTTGTACTGATAGTCACCAGGTTCTAGATTAAGGAGAATGTAAAAGGCGTTCCCGCTCCGATGCAGTGGATGACGCCGCTTCCACCCGTCAAAGGAGCCCGCGACTTCCACACCCGCAACGGCGCCGTGGTGCCAGTTGAATGCCACTGGAACCAGGTTCCGCTGCGGGACTTCTAGGAGCTCCATTTCAGCCAGCTTGGTTTCGGTATCCTCGAGCTGTGGTGTGTGCACGACGCCGTGGTCCACAGAGCGCCTTGGTGGCACCTCGGCGCCTCCGTGCTCTCTCGAATCACTGCCTAACGCAGGAGGAAGTTGCATGGCGCTCGGCAGAGGAGGCGGCCCCGAGGCAGACGCTTTCGCTTGGAGGGCGTTTTCACTCATTCCAGAGGTTTCTGGCACAGCCCAGCCCGGAGCGGCTCTTGGTACCCCACCACTAAAGTAGGACTCCATGCCCAGGCTTGCGGGACTGTGCGGGCTGAGCCTCGGGCTTATTGCCGCAGGCGCGGCGCCTACGGAGGCCGCAGCAGCGAGTGCCGCAGCACTCCGCTCCGACAGCGCTGCTGAGCCCCGTGTGAGGACTCGCGAGGCCGCGGCGGGTGCCCCTGGACCACCCTCTCGAGAGAACGAGTGTCCCATAACGCCAGCAACGGCAACTCCAACGTTGCCAAAACCGTTGTTGCTGCGGGACGCACCCGTGCCTCCAAGGAACAACGTTGTCAGTCGCGCGCGATTGGCGTCTTGGTAGGAACGTTCAAAGGAGTCGGATGCCGGCAGGTGATTCCCTTTTCGATGACAAAACGTTTCCATGAACCATGGATCCCAGTTTGCGGAATGGGTATTCGTAATCGAAAAAAAAGGTTCATCATGCGGCAACAACCTGCATGTTCCATGAACCAGATATCCTCTCGGATACACTGGTCGTTTCGTGCGCTCTATCGTGTGCCAGTTGTCTGCCTGGCTGCACTCGCAATAGCAGTCATACCGCTGGAGCAGATGCAGCACGGAGACAGAACCGCTTTTCCATACCACTGAGGGCTTCGACTCGATGCTTGGTTCATCCGAGACCGGGTCGGAGTACATAATCATTCTGGGGGTCAGCAAGCTGCTCAGAGAGGCTTACTTTCTGCGACTGCGCGAATCGACATGCAAGGAGACCACTGCGACCAGGGCGATGCCCAGACCCAGCATACCCAATTCGTGTCCCAGAATAGATTGCGTTGCGGACGGCTGCCCTGATCTCACGAAAGGACCCACCACTGGGAGGCGCATGAAGCACGAGTCTGGCGGACTTGTCCGGCTCGCGGGACCTTCCGCCTAAAGGATGAATTTTCGACAATATGGAAACCGCTCTCCCCTTTTAACGTGTTTCGCAGAGAAGGAAAGAAATTTTTATCCAGTTGCAAGGTTAGAGGTTAGTCTCTGTCCATGTTTGTGTATAGCGCGGTTGATACGCGCACCTTGAGATCCAGCAGGCGTGAGATCCGACGTGCATCTCGCCCTTGAAGGGAAACGCGATCCTAATCAATAGCACGTTGGTATGACGTACAGGTTGTATTTGCATTGCATGTATCTCATTTTATAGTCTTTCAATTCAATGCTTTTTCAACCATCACGTTGGTATATTCATGTGATTTCTCGCGGTTTCTAACTGAAGCGTTCAAAGTGCTCTCGTGCTAAAAAATAAAAAAAGAAATTCATGGAAATAGAAGTGGAGGACCCTTGAGGCCTTATGTCGTCGGCTGCCGGAAAAAACGGAAAAGAGTCCCGAGCCACGTGGAGCATGGGAAGATGTAGAAGCAAAAGAATGAGGTCCGACGCCAAAGGCTGCGAGAAAGACGAAATTACGACGAGATGTCGGTGAAAGCCTGTCTCCCTAAACATATCAAGGATCCGTACAAGGAAAAGTTGCGAGAGGCCATCAGAAACCGTGTCGCGTCGTACTTGACCAATGCTCGTCACGCATCTTTAGGATTGATGTATATGGCGAAGGAGATGTATCGCGACGTGATGGAAATCAAAATATTCGAGCTTCCGGACGAATGTTCCGACAAGACCTTTATTCGTCATCTGATGCTTGGCACAGAGGAAACGTCGAGAAGAAACGAGCGAGTGCATGCCCTCCACGAAAAATATCCCTTCTACATCTTCCACGGTACTCGATACAGGATAAGAGTGATATTTACGAAATCGGGGCGAAGAAATACCTCACGAACCTGAAGAACCATTTGACAATGAACCTCGAACGTTTCATGATACGTGCCGTGCTTGCATTCTACCCGGGCATGTCTCGGCAATGAATATGAGCGATTATCAATGGCATAACGAACAATCGCAAGCATGAACAGGAGATCGAATTCGTCGACAAGAAGACACCATGCAGGAAAAGGTGTAAAACTTCTGTAATCCGTGCGGCGATTCAAGAGCGCCGTCCGGTACTGGGGCTGCTCAACCCATCAGAAAAAGTAGCAGATATGGGAAAAACATTATTCTCTCATCCTGCGCTATTTCGTGTTTTTGGACCGAGAACTCGAACGCAAGGCCGAGATGAAGCTCCGTGTGGGAAAAAACGAAGAGTCGGAGAAACGGAAGGCTGCGCTTCTGAGGAAGCGCTCCAACGCCGTTGCGCAATGCGGCGTCAAGTCACACATTTTGACAATCGACTCCAGAGCCCTTTTCCGCATCACGAAGGAGATAAGTCCGGAGTTCGATATAAGCAGGGACGAATTTATGGATGAAAACCGAGTAACTCGTTGGAAGAATATCTTCGATTTCAAACTCCTCAGAACGAGCGCGCAAAAAGTATTCACGGGAACGATCGAAAGCGATGGGGTATCCACGTGTGTTCACTACGGGCACCTGAAAGTGTATGATCCTTTTCCATCTTCCATATGACCCTCGGCGAAGCATGAAGAGAAGAAGGAGGCAGATCTTGCGAGGCAGAAAGTGCAGAAGAACGACTTTGTGGTTGACGCGGACCCCGGAAACACGAACATCATAACCATCGCAGTACCCAAGCGTGCGGAAGATGACATTCACGGTAGCTTACGTCGGAAAAACATGCGTCTTTTGAGGTTCTCGACAGCAAGATACTATCGAGAATCCGGTATGATGAATGCGAGGAAGAAAATCGAGACATGGAATGCAGGAGTGAAGGATCACCTGGAAGCTATGCGCAAGGTGACGAGCTGCGGAGCAGACTTTCGAGCTTTTCGGGAGTTCATGGAAACTCGTGCTGCCCATAACGAGAAGCTTTCGAACGAATATGCCAGGCCCCGGTGGGCTCGTCTGCGAATGAACCTGCTCTGTGGGAAGCAGCGTGCATTCGCCAAATTCTTGAATCAGTTGAGCCCCCTCAAAGAAAACAAGATCCAAAGGCTCGTAAAGGCATATAGAGCACGACGCGAGGCGTCAGGAGAAGGCAGCACACCAGCGCCATCGACGAGAACGTACAAGGAATGCGCACACCGTTTTGTCACAATACCGATAGACGAGTTCCGAGCGTCATACGTCCACCATGATCTGGGGTGCACAATCCAGAGAGTCGAGATGGAAAGGTGCCAGCGAATTCGTGAGGATATCAAAAACTTCGGAGCGCTGACGGAACAACAAATGGAAAGGAGGGCACAAGTTCGGGGATTTCTTGCAGTGGTGAGTTCCATCTCGGGCAAAAAACGCATGGAGTTCGTGCACCAAAACATAAACGCCGCTTTCAATATCAGGAGATGTGCAGTGATGGAGAAGAGATCTCCGCATCTGGCGCGAGCCAACTTTATGGGGCAGCCTCTCAGGGTTAAAGTGTACGAGGAGAAGTTGAAGCCAGTAACAGGCGGCCGGTCCAAAAAGCCTGGGAGGCGTCTCCACGTCAGTGTATAGACATGTACGCTATCGACATGATGTATGTACGCATGTATGCCCGATATGCCGGCGGCTTACGACTCATGCAGCGTAGTGTGCGTTGCAGGGACAGAAAAAGCGACGATGGATGAGATCTGACCAAAAGAGAGATATAATCCTTTGGACGAAAAGCGTCTTGCACGGCGGTGTGCCTAAGACATCGAATCCACTCCAGCAAGGGCTATCACGAGCAGGGATAAATACGGCTTTGCTTTGCGCGTGTCGCATCTATCGCGCTGACGCTCGTGTGGTCATGACGGTCACTGCTTGCATGCGATGTCGGCTTCTGACTCGATATGTTTACGGACGGGAGCGTGGTATCGTGCGTAAACGGCACGAGAACCCCGCGCAGCTGATATAGACGGCTGCAGCGCTGGCGAGATATGCGCACGCATGCCGTCGATGCGTGTCACCGGTCGCATTCACCGGCGATCGACGACCTACACTCTCAGTGGCGTTGCGCCAGTGCGCCGTCGGTGCAAAGCACGGCCGACGCACGTCTGCGCAGGGTATGCGCTGTCCGCATGCACACGCAAGCGAAGTGATACGCTTCGGGAGACCCCAGCTGCCCAGGATGCATCCCGTGGAATGTCCAGGAATACGCAGCAAATCGGAACGAATGCCTCCATTTGACATGGAACGACAAACGTTTGTTTGCCTTTTGGGAGACAAGAAACGCCCAGCATCCTCATCGCAAAGATGCAGTCAGGAAACTGTTTTCTGGGCGGAAACTGGCTCTGCGTACCAAGGCTGCACATGGGAACACACTGCGTTGAGTTCCGCAACAAGATGCTGGCTGGTGGCGGTCATGAGGCCTTTGCGAGTCGCTTCGCGCGAGACAGCATGCGTTTCTGCTGCCGCGCAGCGCGTCGAGCCTTCAGTGATGCTGCGCGTTCGCGCTGGCGGGCCTCCTTTGCAGCAGACTGCGCCTGCAAGCGCGCTTGCCATGCGCGCGCGCGTTTCACTCGTTCTTTCTGTTGCCGCTTCAGCGCGCGTTTCAAGAGCCTAGGATCATCCTTCACTTTGCAACCCGCTGCGCGCTTGATTGCCTTCTCCAACTGATGCGCCACACGAGCTTCCTGTGTCTCGGTTGCCAACTGCTTCTGCTCGCTGACTGCTTGCTTGACTTGGGCCAGAGTCACTTTTCTCGAATGACCCCTAGGCCCTTCTTCGTCCATCGTCCGCGAGAAGCTAATGCGTTTCTCTTGTGCATCACTGGTGTTAGCACTGGTTTGTGCACGAGGCTCAGCGTCAGATAACGCAGTTTGCGCGCCTCGAGGCATAGTTCTTGAGTTTGGTGGCATGCAGTCCGCTGAAGGCTGCTCGATACCGGCATTGGCGCTGTTTCTCTCAGCCCTGTTTACGCTCATCGCAAGTTCCGATGGGGAAAGCTTGATCGAACGCCTCCTTTCTTCACCAGATACTCTAGTCTCCCCGTGACTACCACGCAGCTGGGCATTTCTTCGCTGTGCTGCTGGATCCTTGCGAGAGCTCGTTCCGACGGCGAGCGCGTCACGTCCGTCAACGTCGTGTCCGTAGCGTGTCCTCGCTGGGATTGTGCTGGCAACTTCCTTCCAGATCCACTCGTCTAGTTTGAGCACGTCAGCCCCATCAAGAGGGCTGGCGCTTGCTGCCATGCTGGGAACGACTGACACTTATGGCGCCTCCACAGAACACTAAACCAGTTTTTGCTAAACGCTGTGAGAAATCCGTATCGCCTTCGTCTCCGAGCTTCCACGGCTCGAAACTTCGTCAGCGCTGTAAGTTACGTCCACTTCGTGCGGCCCTCTTCGCGAGTGCTTGTGCGTCTCACGCACAAGAAAGAGGTGTACGGAAGCAGATGCGTATATCCGACAAGACTCTTTCAGAAGAGAGTTGTTCAGGAGCTGATAAACTAAGCTTCAAAGCTTTGCTGCTGCTTCCTTTCCAGTACACGCCACGAAAGAAGTGTCTCAGAGGAGTCTGTCGAAAGATGGCAGGACTCGTACCGACTGGCGTGGTGGAGCGGGATCCCGGGGCACGGCCCCCAGCGAGTCGGTATTGCGCGATCCGGCAACACAGGCGGACGCACAACAGACGCGCTTCACACATGTACATGACTGGAAGGGTGTTCAGGGAACCCGTCGATGATCACGCGACTGAGATCAATGGCTCAGAAGACAACAACCGAGGCGTTCTATACAAACATCCAGATGAACTCAGAGGTGCACTCACTGGTTGGGACAGGCTGAACCTGCATTCGCTATACTAGGGGATTACCAAGCCCGCAGCGGGGTCCGCTAGACCGCCTCGACAGCTACCTGGGTTTATGCGCTCTAGTCACGACACTTTGATCGAGACCTTTTCGAGCAGAGCGCATCTCGGATGCGGTTCAAATGATTCACCGATACCCGACTCGTCAACGCATTTCAGAGTCTGCAGGGACGGCACGGCACCCGTACGGTCGCATCGCCTTGAGTGAGCTCGAATGCAGATCAGTATGGCTATCGGGACAGGAGCGAGCGATTTGCTTCGCCATTCGCTTGGTAAGCGGCATCGCCGATCAGAACGCGATATGCATATCGAGTTCTCGCATCATCGAATCAAGATGCTCGCTATGATTTCGTCGGGGAATATGGCGATTTGCGGCAGGTGCCACCAGCGTCGTGTTGGAAAAAGATGAACGAGTACGTATCCATTTGTTCGATGTGAGGCACCTTGTGTTCTAGATCACTCGTCCACACTTATTCTGAGGTTATTTTGAATCCAAAAACGAGTTGCAAGCGATGTCATTCGGCGCGGTTGCATCTACTAGACCATCCATAAATCTTTGTGGGTATTGCATTTCCGGGGTGTCCGCCGCAGACGCAAGTACGCCGCTTTGATTCGTCCGCTCGAACACGGTGATCCATCGATCTGTGAGCTAGACACCACAAGTCGATTGACATATGACTCCAGACGGTACGTGGTTAGGATGGAACGCTGGGCTATTCGCTCTGTTCCTGGCTCGTGATTTTTTCCGTATTTGTCTGATGCACAGCCTTGGAATGCGAGATACAGCAATAAAAACTTTCGGACGCTCATGCAATCCATGGATGCTCAGCTGTCTTTTCGGCATGACTCCGCCAATTCTTTACCACTAGATTTCGATACAGTACCGGAATCATGATGATGCGCAATGCCCTGCAACCAAGATTTGTAAAATGAGCCATATCATTATCCAGTGCTTACGTAAGAGTCTCCAAACTTCTCCATGCCTAATAGGTCGCTCGCTAAAATCACGCATTCTTCAAGTTTTCGATCTTTCTCTTTCAAGGCAACTCGCGGGAGCAGCTAGGCTCGCCACTGGATTGAGGAGAAAAAACTCAACTCTATCTTTTGGCGACTGCTTGACGCGCTCAAGTTGCGTGCAAACTGTACTTGTCCGACAGAGTAATCGATTCTGTTCGAAAGATAAATCCTCCACGCTTCGTGGCCATCGACGAAACGGGATGCCTTACCAGAATGATACCTCTCAGGTGATATTCGCCCACAGGCTCCGGTCTCTTCTGTTTGTAATGAAAAGGGTATTGGACTGGGACTTCAGTCATCGCAGTGATCGTCTCGAGAGGAGCGTGCGTCCCCGTTTCGCGTGACAACAACAGAGACGGATCATAAATTTCTTGACTTGTTCTCCAGTCTGGAGTTGCTTTCCGGCACTTGCTTCATCATGGACCACACCGTGTCCTATACATCCTCGATCAAACGGAACAGGGTGCTTCTGCGGGTGAAGTGAGCAGAGTACTAGCAAGGAACATCACCCAGAAGAAGCTCTTGATCGAATGTAACTGGCCAGGTGCCGAAAAAAAAAGCAGAATATCGAGGGCGGCTTAGTGTAACGGCCGAGAGCATTCGCTAAGCGAAGAGGCAAGCGGTCACGTGCCACAGGATAGCCCTCAAAGAAGGAGCCATTAAGGGCATATGCGAACACCTGATCACATCCAACTGGCACCTCTACCGAGAGCTTACCCAGATTGAACATTAGAAGAAGAATCACATTGTCGGTGAAGTGTAGATCGCCACTACCGCCAGTACATGAAATGCGACAACAACAGTCCGAAGCAGCAAAACCAGGATCTGAACACTGGAAACAACATTCTTCCATAGCGGATAGCCGAACTGGAGGAACAGGAGCGATCGGTGAACGCTACGTAGCAGATACGAGAGAGGAAACTGAAGCCGTCGCAGAACAAGCCCGCATATGCTCGTCTTGATGGTCGCTGGATGCTACATAAACTATAGAGTACAAGACCGTGTCAGAGGTCCCGTTTCATTTTTTGTTCTGACAGGAGTGGAACCCGCTCTTGAGGGATGCCCCGGTTCCCAGTTACCGCGTTGCCGTGCTTTCCGCCTCGATGGAGTGCCCCGCGGGTTGCCGTCCGGCCGCCGTACGTGTTCGTGCGCACGCAAATGGCCCCCGCCAGGATCGTCGCGCGATGCGCATGCATCGACGCGTGCGTGCATCTCGGCCTCGGGACGCATCCCGAGTGCTACCAGAGATTCCATTTCCATTGAGCATTTTGTTGCATACGCTGACACAACACGAACGTGTATCTGTTGGGTGTAATACTGAACAGCTATTTCGCTTTGAAACATGCCGTGCAGCTGTGCGTCTGGTTGCCAAAAGTCAAAGAATGGTGGCTCTACTCCGTCCATTCGGGACCACGTGGCGGACTACTACGGCAAAACGCTTCAGTCAAGCGCCGACCTAAAGACGAGCGCTTGCAAGCTTGCCGCGGCTGTCCCGGAGAGCCATCGCAAAATCCTGGCGGATATCGCTGACGAGGTCCTGGAAAAGTTCTACGGTTGCGGGTCTACGCTCCCCGCTGATGGATCTCTCGAGGGCGCAACAGTCCTAGATCTGGGCTGCGGCACAGGTCGCGACGTGTACCTCGCTTCAAAGCTGGTTGGCGAGCATGGTAAAGTCATTGGGGTGGACATGCTCGATAATCAGCTTGAAGTCGCCCGGAAATATGTAGAATATCATGCAGAAAAGTTTTTCGGTAGTCCGAGTCGGTCGAATGTGCGCTTTCTCAAGGGTTTCATCGAGAACCTAGCCACTGCGGAACCGGAAGGTGTTCCGGACTCCTCGGTAGATATCGTGATAAGCAACTGTGTTTGTAACCTATCGACGAATAAGCTGGCGTTATTCAAGGAGATCCACCGTGTCCTTCGCGACGGAGGTGAGTTGTACTTTTCCGATGTCTATGCGGATCGCAGGCTGAGCGAAGCTGCCCAACAGGATCCGATCTTGTACGGAGAGTGCCTTGGCGGTGCGCTCTACTTGGAAGACTTCCGTCGCCTCGTGGCTGAGGCAGGGTTCCGCGACGTGCGTTTAGTTTCGGTTGGTCCCGTCGATGTAAGTGATCCGCAGCTACGGAAGCTCGTACCGGACGTGCAATTCTATTCGTGCACGTTTCGATGTTTCAAGGTCGCGACACTGGAGGCAACCCGAGAAGACTACGGCCAGTCAGCCACATACTTGGGCGGGATTGGAGAAGAATTCAAGCTCGATCGCTTTTTCACGTTCCCCAAAGAGAAACCTGTGCGTGTGGACCGCAACACCGCTGAGATCATCCGCCACAGTCGCCTTCATCAGTGGTTCTCTGTGAGCGCAGAGCAACAGCACATGGGATTGTTCAAAGCAAACGATTCTTACGCGTTGTTGCACGCACCACTGAGTATGCAGGTTGAGCAGCTTGTCTGTGAAGTGAAGAAAGGATCCACCGATACCTGCTCGGAACAAGCCTCTGCAAATGGTGCCTCTTGCTGTGCGACAGGGCGACGATGCTGCTGACCAGCGCACAAACCGATCGCGATGTCACCGGGCAGGTAATGCCAAAACACCTCACATGTCGTAGTTTACGGAAAGGAAAATTCTCCAGCGATGCATCGAGATGAAGACTCGGCATCGCAGCGGTAGCTCTGAAGCCAAACTTGTAAACGCTGACTTGCAGCACGCTGAACATATTGCAAATTTGGTGCCATGGACACCACCGTATGAATACTTAAGGATGCGGTTTCGGCCCCACAGCGCACAAAGCTCACAAAGACGTCACCCCATATAACCACCAGCACAGATCGCAATCGATCCCGATCGCGTATCGACTTGTGCGTTGAGGGAACACGAGCGAGCGCGTAGACGGTAGTGCACCCGCGGAAGCTGCGCGATTGGCCCCGCGCAGCTGGATCGCCAGCGGCGGCTGGCCGGCGCGCCGAGCCCTCCACTCCAGCGGCCTGCGAGATACTGGATGCTGCCGGAGCGACTACCCTGTCTGTAAAAGTGCGCTGCGTACCAGCGCTCGCAACAAAGCAAGCGTTTGTGCACAGTCTCGCACGAGGGTGCTCATGCGTTTGTACACCCACGGGATGAAGGGTCAGCTTTATAGGTGCGAATCCGTGGAACGAGAACACGCAGGCAAATGGAAGGCTGGGTGGCAACAGCTTCCGGGGCTTCTCGGCTTCATCCAGAGTACAAGCCGCCCGCATTGTAGCTCCCGTTGGCGGCGTGGACTGAAAGATCCGCGAAGATCCATCCGCTATGTTGGAACCGTAAGCACTGTTCGGCGGAGGCTCTTGTTGAGTACCGGTGGGGGCTCAGGTTCCGACGAGCAGGATCCAGGCCCCGAACCCGAGCAGCATAAAAAGAACCCGCTCAGGCAAGTTCTTGGCTATGCGGATACACGTGTTTTTAAGGATCCGTCGGGAAAGAAGATTGTGCACGGTGTTCGCGTACCCGAAACGGGCGAGTTCCTTCGTGTTCGCTATCCAGCACACGTGGAAATACCCGCGGTAGGCGAGCGAATGTTGCTTCTCGGGCGCTTCTCTTCCGATGAGAACGGCACGGAGATTTTTGAGGTTCTCGACGTGCGGTTTGTATCTGACATGGAGGGCCCGTCGCGCCCCGTTTCGAATAACCGTCATGTTTGGGATTTTCGCCAAAACGGCCACGGCTTGCTTTCCCCGTACGCTCTGGTAGGAATGGAAAGGAACACGTCTGGCCCCGCCAGCAACGCCGACCAACAGAAAACCTCTAAGACACCTAACCCCGAAACAGCCAGCAATCCAGAAGGGCCTGCATCGAATCCTCCGGAGCGTCCTCGTGACGAAAGCGAGCGCAAGTCCAGCGAGCCGTCAGCATCTCAGCCGTCCGACATCGCAGAACGTGTCAGCGCGCAAGCCGTTGAAGCAGAGCGTCCGTCGCAGAGCAGCCTCGTTCTGCATGGAGACACTGCAGGCAGCTCATCTGACACCAAAGCAAGCAATGTAGCAAGTAGCGAGCTCCCGCCAGCGCAAGAATCCCGGGAAGTCGAGCGTTCGACAATAGAGGGTACGATCAAGAGCATCCTCTACAGGAACGCGCAAAATGAATTCGTTGTATGCGTACTATCCACCGGTGAGAAAATTATTGGATCTTGCGCAGAGGACGTGGACTTTCTCCTCAAACCGGGCGCACGCGTTCGCCTCCGAGGTGCATGGGTTACGCATCCAGTCTATGGCAAGCAGTTTCAAGCCGGAAAAATACGTGAGAGTGCGTTCATCGCCGAAAGCGAGCAAGACCAGGGACGTGTGTCGCTAGTGGCACTCAAATCGTATCTGGCATCCGGTGTTGTGAAAGGCGTGGGCGTTAAGATGGCCGAACGCATCATCAATCGCTTTGGTGAAAGCACACTCCACGTGCTGGACACTGACCCTGCCAACATGCTGACACAGGTCGAGGGAATCGGTCGCGTCCGAGCAGAGCAGATTGCGACTGCGTGGAGAGCCCAGGCGCCGTTGCGCGCCCTGATGCTCTTTCTGAGACCGTACGGCATCGGGCCTGCGATATGTAATCGCATTGCTCGTGCGTATGAGGGTGACCCCGATCCCATTGGCCGCATTCGACTGAACCCGTACCGACTTGTGGAGGACGTGCGTGGTGTCGGTTTCAGAACGGCGGACCAGATCGCTGCAGGCTTAGGTATAGATCCCGAGTCACCTGAACGGTACGCAGCTGGCCTCCTTAACGTGCTTCAAACGGCAGAAAACCTTGAGGGCCATAGTTTTCTCCTGAAGAGCGATGCTTTTGACCGCGTACTCAGACTTCTTTTTGGAACCAACGCTGCTGCTTCCGATGATACGAACCTTGCGGAAAGGCAAGCGCGATTCTCACAAGCGGTTGAGGACCTGAAACGTCGTCAGGCGCTGGTTGTGAATAATATCGGTGGCGACGAGGAGCCTCACCTGCTGACACCGAGGATGGACAGAGCTGAGCGTGGGATCATAGAGCACTTGAGGCGGCTCTTCTTCCACTCGAGGAAGCCGATCGACTCCAGCGAATCCGCACGGCGCGCAGTCGAAGGACACGTCAACCGCGAGCACATCCTTCGGTGGATTAACGTGAACTATCCGACGCTATCGGCGGCACAGCGCGAAGCGGTCTGTGTTGCCGCCGAGCAGCCTATCATGATTCTCTCAGGTGGACCTGGTGTCGGCAAAACGCATACCGCTACGGCCATTGTGCACATGTGGCGTACGCTGCTCGGAATTGAGAACGTCCAGCTGACTGCCCCCACGGGCCGAGCTGCGAACCGCCTGGGCACTGCGGCCAATGTTTGGGGTAACGCGCGCTGTGCCACCATTCATCGGTGCCTTGAATGCGATAGGCAAGGGAGGTTTCTTCGAAACGAACACAATCAGCTCAATACGAAGGCAGTGATTGTCGATGAATGCTCCATGATGGATGCCCTGCTGGCACATGCGCTCCTCCAGGCGATTCCGAACGGAGCACGCCTGGTCCTCATCGGTGACGCAGACCAGCTGCCAAGTGTAGGTCCAGGCCGTGTCTTTGCGGATCTTTGCGAAAGTAATGCGTTTCCCACGATATACCTTCAGGAAATCTTTCGACAGGCCCTCAAATCGATGATTGTTCGTGTTGCGCACGAAGCCCGGAACGGCCGCTACCTCTCGATGCCCCGAGCAAAGACTCCCGCAGAGGCGCTAGAGCTTGGGCGGAAAACCGACCTGGTCTTTCTGGAAGCAGCTGATCCAGTGATAGGTCTGCAGTTCCTACTCGAGCTGTGCTGTGGTCGAGATAACGAGCCAGAGGGCGAACGCAAGCCCGTGCTCCCCTTTGACCCGCTCAAGGAGATCCAGGTCCTGTCGCCCGGACACCGTGGCGTCATAGGCGTGCGTAACCTGAACCTTGAACTGCAGAAACGCCTGAATCCCACTCGACTGCCGCTCTCAAAGCAAGCACGGACGTCGGAAGTGTTTCTCCGCATCGGTGATCGGGTCGTGCAAAATATGAACAACTACGACAAGGGCGTTTTTAACGGAGAGGTCGGCACTGTGATGCACGTCCCCGACCTCGACGCGATCGACAGCGACAACGATCAGAGTAGCCAGCTTCTGGTGGAATTTCAGAACCACGACGACTGGGTCGCCTACGACTATCCCATGGAAGCCGCCGATCAGCTGCAGCTCGCCTGGGCCATGTCCGTGCATAAGGCCCAAGGCGGCGGCTACCCGTGCGTTGTGATACCCATCTTTATGACACATTCGGCCCTGTTGACTCGGAACCTCTTCTACACGGCTATCACGCGAGCTCAAGAGTTATGTGTGGTTATCGGGAACCTGACGGCCATTCGGATGGCAATTCGTAATGAAATCACTACAAAGCGCAACACGAGCCTCCTGCAACGCCTTGATGAACTGGAACTCGACGCGAAATAGACCACACAGCGAAGATCTCCGATTTAAAAGATAAAATCCTTGATGAGCTTGATCACGAGTCCAAGAGCGGTTTCTATGACGTCGATGGCATACCGGCAGGCTGGGAGCACACAGCGGTCCCGTTGATGCACGAACACCACAGGCGCCGCGGAACGTCTCGCCGCACAACGTCGAGCGCGCGTTCTACCGGCAACATGAAACACCTGACGAACGTCAAAGGAAATCATGCGCTGGTGCTGCGGCTCGGCAGCTGGATCTGTACCAGTGGTGGTGCCGCGTAGCACGCCGTACGCGGTCCACGACTGGTGGCGAGCGTGCGGAAGCGAGCGAGCGTTAAACCGCCCAAAGGACTGCGTCTGCGTAACGCCTCCAGGGGCACTAGACCTCACGCCCACAATTACCAAGTTTCAGCAGTCCCGTTTATGAAAGTCAGCGCGTACCCCTAGAACCGCTTCTTCTTCTTGGGTTTGTCCATGGACCAGGGTTGCAGACCTATCTTGGGGTAGTGGTCCTCGGCGCGACTAAAAATGCGCAAAACCGCCCGCACAACGTCGTCCAAACGTGCCTCTTTTCCCGTTACAGGTATGGTCACTTTCTCCGCAACCTCGTTACCGGGGAGGTTTTTAGAGGCCTCGCTCAGTGCCTGCAGGTTCGTGATGACGTCGTTGAGCTCCTTGACATCCTTCATCAACTCGTCCCGGATCAACCGCGTGCGCTCCAGAAGCGCGTCGAGATCCTCGATAGAGCACCCACTCTCTAGGCAAATCTGCGCCTGCTTCCGAACGGTCAAACGCTCCTGATCGTCGACAGACATGCGCAGTGCAGCGGAGGCGAGTGTGAATCGGGACGACGTTCCACGGCGCGTGAGCTGCGACAGCGCACAAGTTGTAGCGTTCACCCTCGGGCGCACGAACGTCAGTCCTGTACTAGGAGTCAGTTGGAAGCACAACATAGTTCCCAGCAGCGGAGCCACAACGACAGCGTTATACGAAGCGCCTGCTCTGACGACGTCGACGATCATGTACGAGATCCGAGGGCGTCGTCTCGGGGCGAGAGGCGACGCGAGTCGCGCGCACACCACCGCCGCCGCGGCGCTGCAGCGGCAGGCAGCACAGCGCGCTCCGTATCTGCGTGCCGCTGCGGCGCTGCGATGCCGCTGCAGGCACCACCAGCGTGTGCCAGGCGGATCAGCAGCGGCGCCCTGCGCAACGTGTCTTCCATATGGTGCGTTCGCCCGGGTACGATCCATGCGTCTAGCGAGTATCCCTTGTACTCAGATTTTCTGGATGTTGTCAGCGATGAGAGACGCTTTTCTTATTTAGATAGTTCTACGTTCCGCAAGGCACGGATCTGTGGTCTCGTCGGAACTGGGGAAAACGCTGTGTTCAAGCAGATAGATCGTGTGTCGGTCTTCTGTTAGCCTCTCGTTGGGCATGTGATCGAATCCTGATCGCGCGCGCGCGCGTGCTTAACAGGTAGGCCCAAACCTGTGGAGATGCGTTGACCGGTGACCGACACAGGCTTGTGTTCAGCTGCTGGACGATGTGGCAGCATGGGCGCTCTTTCGACTGGGAAAAGAGGGATGCGTGTCGGAGGAACGCAGTCTCGTGTAGATACACCCGTTGCTTCTGGAGGCTGCAGTATAGTCCAGCGCCGCGTGCTGGTCGTTTTCGTGGACGGGGCTGTACGGGGCTCGGAAATTGTCCACCAGTCGCTGTGTTTGTGCGATCGTGCGCATTTGCTAGGGAAGGAAGCGGATCATCGGGGGCACGGGCCGTGTCGATCGCGAGTCGATTTCAGGACATGCGAACACCCGCCCAGAACTTTCATGAATAAACCAGTCTTCATGTGCGAGCTCGGAGCGTCTAGCAGACACCCGGCCTCTATTCAGATCGGGGCACGAGCCGTGTCGAAGTGATGCAGGGCTGCAGTCTCGTTCCGCTGACCCGCACCACGACCCGCGAGCAGCATCCATCACGGGAGCGCTTCTCAAGCCGACGCCTCCAGAGGTACGGCAGGCACTCGTCGCTCAATAGAACGTACGAAACGACCGATCCGTCTGAGAAGAAGTATGGGGAATGGAACTTGGGTGCATCGCAATGGGGGCGTTTTCGGAATGCCAGCAGCCATTCCTGCGATCTGCGAGACGCGAGCGCAATGATCTCGCAGCGCGCAGCGCATTGGGCGAGCGCTGCAGTTCGTGAATCCGAGTCGCTCGAAGCGTCTTGGGCGAAGCACTTGCCACGGAACCTATGCGAGCGACTTTTAAGTCAACCGCCTTTCTGCAAGTCTACGGTGGTGGTACGACTCCCTGCAGTAATCGTCACAGGCTGAGGCGACAGACTTGGACTTTGGGCCGACGGCGATCTGGCTACAAGTGCGCCTCCGTTGCAGCGCTCTCGCTCACACAGCGGACTGAGTACTCTCGGAGAGAACTTCTTCGAGCTTTTTCATTGTTGCCGGCAACCGCTGTCTTTGCCTATACGGCAGCGATGACCGTGCAGCAGGCAGCTGCAGCTGTCGCGCCGTCGACGACTGGTGCACCGGCAACCGCACCCAAGACGGGTGCTGAGATACCAGTCGCACCGTTGCCGTATCCATATAATGCCCTTGAGCCGGTCATTGACGCCAAGACGATGCGTCTGCACCATGATAAGCATTTTGCGGGATACGTGAGCAAGACGAATGCGGCGCTCAACGAGGAGCAGCGGAGGACGTTTCCGGCGATCCTGAGCCGGCTCTCGACGATATCGGATCGGGCGTTGCGCGAGACTGTGCGGAACCAGGGTGGCGGCGCCATAAACCACCGTATTTTCTTTCAGACCATGCGCGCACCGGTAGCGGATGCCCAGAAGAATGTTCCGGACGGTGCCCTTGGTGATGCTATAGCGCGGCAGTTTGGATCGTTTGAAGCTTTCCAGAAGGAATTCAGCCGGGCCGCGAAATCGTTGTTTGGTTCCGGTTGGATTTGGCTGTTCGAGCTTGGCAACTCAACGCGCCGAGAGTTGCGGATTGGGACCTTTGCGAACCAGGACTCGCCGCTCATGCAGGGCAATTTGCCGCTGCTCGGTCTCGATGTCTGGGAGCACGCCTACTATTTACGCTACGGACCCGATCGAGGTGCTTACGTCGATGCCTGGTGGCGAGTCGTGAACTGGCCTGCTGTGGCCAGAATCTTCGAGTCCCGTCAGCTGCCGTAGCGCGGCGACGAGTTGGCGCTCGAAGCGCGTGGGACTTTGATTGACTTGTTCACGAGGAAACGCTTACGGCTACACAGCGGGGCTAGCAATGAAAGACGCCCAGCGGTCAGCCGCGTAGGTGGTCGTCTTCGTGCAGCAGCTACGAAAGACGGCTTGCTGGTCGAGTGTGCCAAAGCGCACCGTGCAAGAACGCCGGAACGACGAAGCAACTGCAGGGCGGCAAGATATAGCGTCCTGAGGTGCACCGGCGCTCGTCAAGCCGGTGCCAACGAGCGCAATCTTCAATAAGGCCCCCGTATAGCACCCGCGCAAACTTTCGCTAAGCGCTTCGAGAATATGAGAGATGTTTGGGCTTGCGCTGCTGCACAGCGGCTCGATGCGGAACGCGTTCTGTGCGCAACGAACATCGCCTCGCTGCACACGGAAAGAACAACGAATCCAAAAGATGTAGCGAACTGAACGTGATCCATGCGAATATTAACAAACTAAAATGATGCTAGATGGATGACACAGCGCGCAGAGGCTGCATCGCCAGGGCCGTTGCGCGCTACGTATCCGGGTAGCGAGGTCCGGGGAAATCGAAACGATGTCTTCCGTCCCTGGAAGCGTACGGGGTATAACCCGCCGCTGGGGCGCGGCTTATACCCAGTTGGACATCAAAAGGGACGCGTCCGATGAGATAACTCGGGCGAACACGCGGACGCTTGGTTCACTTGCCACTTCTGATGAACACCAGCCTATGTAGGCATTTTCTGCTACTGCTTCCGATGGATCTCTCTGATTTCAGGTCTTAAATGCGCAGATCTGCCACATGCCTCCAGCTCTGTAGTCAACCGTCGAAGGGTACTGGCGGCGGCTTTGAGGTCCCGATTTCGCAGCTTCCGGCTCTTGGCGACGCATTTGATGCATAGACGGGCGTGCCGATCGACACTTTGCTCCGATTTATCAATTGCTTTGTATACAGCTTCAATGCACCTTTCGCAGCGTTCACAGTGAGCTTTGGTCAGGTGTTTTCATATGTCCATGACGCTGCTTCTTCCTGCTCCGAGCGTTCGCAAGTCGTGCATGAACGCGTGCTTCTCTGCTCGATCTATGCCTTTGCCGGGCACAGAATGCTCCGCTCGGTACCGTTTGCAATTCGGCATTCGGTGATGTCGCCGAAGATCACGAGCTTCGTCTGGGCATTCCCGTCGGCGAGTATGCTGTTCGCTGCACGCTCGGGCGTGTGCCTCTTCACTCGATAACTCAAGATCCGCTACCTCGTACGCGCTTCGTTTTCCGCGCACGCTTCCCATAGGACATGACGATGAGCGTGACGGACTCTGAGGCACCTGAACCACTCGTGGGCATCGTGTCCATACGTTCCACCGGCGTACAACAATGCGGACAAGGCTTCTGGGGCTCCCTTCTGCTTCGCGCACTCATCGGGCCACTCTGTCATTCGTTTATCTCCGCAAACACGAAGATGAGAGGCGCGCGAATACACCTCACCATTGTTGGGGCAAGTCGGACGACTGGAAACTCGTTGCTCAAACCCGTTGCCGATAACCGCAAGTGGTCGGATTACTCTTCGGATCTCACGCAAAAGCAAGCGTAGAGGTTCTCTCTCCCTTCAGTCAGGCTTGTGCAGATCACATTGAAAGAAAACCAGTTCGCGAGACAATGCATCCGTATTGCTCGTTGTTCCTCCGTAAATTTCCTGTTCTGAGCAGGGGCACGTCTGGCCTCAGACAGATCCTTAAGCCTGCGGGATCTTCGCAGTTGCTGACGATGGATACGCTTGCGCTGGTGGTCTCGGCGGAGGACACGACGTCTCCTCGTGGTCGTGGTACTGACCTCTCGTTGCTCCGTTTCTCCTTCCCATTCGTAATTTCCCTCGCCTTTTGCCGCCAATTGTTCTTACAGCGGTTCGTGAGCGCCTTCGAATGTACTAGCGAAAGGTGCATAGTTCGCTTCATACCGTCCTTGGTCTTCATTCGCTGCGCATCTTTTTCGACACGCATGCTCCCCGATGGACGCCTCTGTCCTGCCGTTGGACGGGCAAACCCGTCCACAACGAATGAAAAAACAGAAAGATCGAGAACATGAAGAATTTGTATTTAAAGACCGCTAAAATGAATCAATGAAGAAGCGTCAAGGCTTGTACGCGTGCATTGAATAATGGAGTCGAATACGTTGCGAACCCGCGGTCGCGGGCCTCGTGTGTCATCTTGATGACGGTTGCGTAACGAATTCCAATCGAAGAGCGTGTAAAGAACTACTCGGAAAAGTCGCTCAAGACTCCAAAAATCGGCCTATGAACCTATAAGCGCTCGTCACCAAACTTGCAGTGTCGAGCCTCTGCACCTAGGAAAAGTTCGGAGAAGCATCGCAAAGCACGAACGTAGCGTCCAGTTCGGCGCCCGTATACCCAATTGGACACGACTCAGATCTGTCAGGTTTGATCCATGAAATCCAATCTTCAACGCTTTCTCACGGTACACGCCAAGGCGTCAAGCTGGTACCGCGGGCATCGCGCGCGGTAGCCCAGCGCCCTGCACCGCGGCACGCCAGCGAGGCGCTGGTGGCAGTGCGCTGCTGCCTACGTGAGGCGGCGGCTGCACCGCTGCACCCGTTGGGCTGCGCGATCGGCATTGCAGCGAGCGCCCATTATCGGTGCGGACGCGCGCGCGCGCACACGCATTCGCCAGGGTGCCACGAGCCGGTGTTACCGAGTACCGGTGCGGCGACTCGACGCTTGTACTGAAGCCTTCGTATAGGCGCGCGAAGTGAACCAGGCCGATTCAGCCCATATATCGCGTAACCTTGGCCTCGGTCACTGCTTTTTTTCGGTCTCTAGGGGCAGTGGTGAGAGCGGAAATACGACGTTCGCGGGCTGCTCGCAAGCGTTCGAGCGTTTGCGCTGCGTGCCTCGCCCAGCAAAGCGCGCACACCAAGCCGTGAGCACCGCCCCTCGGAGGTGATCATTAGCACTGCGCTTCCAATTCTACGCAATTTGGTTTGAAAGCGTGCGAATTGAGGCGAAAAGAGCGACACTCGAGGTAACCAGTGACTTGTTATTCTAGGGACCGCGCGACGGAACCGACGCAACTCTTGCAGCGAACTCGTGCCGAACGGCTTTAATTGCGGACGTGCTACGCACGCAACGACTGGGGACGCTCTCCTTTCAGTTGGTGGATAAATTCGAGTGCTGAGCGACTGGGTTTTGTCACATTGTTTGTGAACTCGTCGACGTGTGCGTTCAAGTGGCGAGACACGAAGCTACCTCTGCACATACGCACGCATACCATGCGGCAATTCATACCAGTGATTCACGGCTCGTTGGACTGGATTGCTTTGGAGGCATGCTCGCTCGCCTCACTGAAACCGGTCACATTACCACATCAGCGGCATCGTGAGCCGGCTGCAGCGGTTGAACTGCATCCAAGCGCCGCAAAATTGTACAACTATTGCAGATTCAATGGAATCCCCGGTAAGCAGCTGGATTCCGTACCAGAAGGCGCAAGCGTCGCTGAAGAGGCCCATGTCGCTGTATACTTGCAGCCGATAACGCCAGTGACGGGCGAGAGGCATCGTGCCCGTGCACCGCTTCTTGTGGACTCGCCGCACTCTGGAAGAATCTATCCGGTCGACTTTGAATTCTATCCGGAATTCACCAAGCTCCGCCGAGGCGAGGACGCCTACGTCGACCGTCTGGTCGCGCCTGCGTTGCACAGTGGCGCTACCGTAATCGCTGCTCTCTTCCCTCGAACCTATATTGACGTGAATCGGCACGAGAACGACATCGATGTGGAGCTGCTAGCCTCGCCATGGCCGTACCCAGTGAGGCCTTCCGAGAAAACCGCTCGTGGTCTGGGTTTGTTGCGGCGCTATGTGATTCCCGGCGAGCCGGTTTACGCCCCCGGGAAGCGTTTAACAGTCGAACAAGTTCACCATCGTATTGTATCTTATTTTGAGCCCTATCTGACCCTAGTCGCGAACGCGATAGATGCTCTCCACTCCGAGTTCGGTGTTGTCTACCATCTAGACGTACACTCGATGAAATCCAGGGGAAATGCCATGACGCCGGATGGTGCTGGCGCTTCGCGTCCCGATGTTGTGGTCGGTGACCTGCGCGGCCTGGCATGCGAACCAGAATTTACGCAGTTTGTCGTACAAGCGCTCGAGGCCGAGGGCCTTAGCGTCAGTGTCAATAAGCCGTATGCTGGTGCCGGCATTCTACGGCGATTTGGAGCACCTCAGGATGGAGTACACTGTCTGCAAATAGAACTGAATCGAGCGCTCTATCTGGACGAGGAGCAGGTGGAATGCCTGAGCGATGGCCGATTTGAGCGGCTGCAGAGCGCGCTCGCTCGCGTCTTTGCACGCGTTGCTGACTGGACGCTGAAGCGTGCCGCAGAGGAAATGGGCAAGCCGATCTCAGAGCAGGACACGGAAGCGGACTTTGTGCGCCGCGTACTTCCGTCCGTCGCGCGGCGCTTGCGCAGCTCGGGAATGCGCGTCTCGGCGAGCCTTCTGGAGCCACTGCTGCTTGGCGATGCCGACGGGGGTCATGAGTCGGACCCTGACTCCAATGACAGTCTCGACAGTGATTACGAGCAAGAACCGGAGATTTCGGAGAAGCAATCCCCAAAAGGCTTGTACTGCATCCCTTCCTGACGGCGGACGCTTCGCTTCCACTGTTGAAGCGCCGGATACAGGCATCGTGGTGGACACCTACCGGTGCCGGTGTTTGACGTGGATGGCGCAGCGGCAGCTCTGGAAGTCGTCGTACACGGGACTGCTGCCGCGCTCGCACCAGGGCGCTGTCCGACGAGTGCACCGCGTCTGCTGGAAGTGGCGGGCTACTCGCTTTGCGCCGGGCGCTCATCGTAAACGCGTGCTTACAAACAAACAAAAGAACGATACAGACGTGCCTTTTACCTCTCTGTCCGACGTACCGAGCAGTTGGACCAGCGCATTCGCACGCAACCTGAGACCTGCCTTGATAAAAGCCGTGTCGCACGCAGGTCTGCGAAGTTCCAGCACGGAGCTATCCCGATGCTATCGTTCCATGTGCTGGTACTGGAAGCTGTTTGTGGCAGCAACCAGAACGTCTCGGGTGCCAGTGTATATGTGGTAGTCTGGTCAGGGGTTTCGCGCGGAGGTACTTATTCAAAGTGCCTCCTTAACCCACGAATGACCACATGACGACTATTCGGAAAACGAGCGCAAGCCTCAAAGCGTCTGGGCGTTGGGACCACGCTTCCTCCCTGGCCCCGTGGCGACGTTCACAAAACGGCGGTTGTACTTTGCTCTCAGGTTCGCTCTTCCGCGGGGCTTTTTAGGTTTCTCCTGCTTCGCCACTTTCGGGGTTTGTGCCTTGACCTTACCCGCACGCGCCAGTGATCCGTGAACCTTACCCATTTTGTAGCGAGTTCCAGTGCGCTAACCAACTATACTCGAGTGCCACAAAACCTGCGCGATAGCGCAACGGGTGCGCTTCCGCTGGTCCAGTAGCGCGGCGCGGCGTATTTGCCTAAATTCAACAAGTCAATTGACTTAAGGATCTGTTTTCGGCAGTGAGCGCTGGTGCAGCGCAGAAGCGCAGCGTATTTTCCCTAAATTCAACAAGTCAAATGACTTAAGGATCTGTTTTCGGCAGTGAGCGCTGGTGCAGCGCAGAAGCGCAGCGTATTTTCCCTAAATTCAACAAGTCAATTGTCTTAGACAAGCCTGATGGTGCGCGACGTTCTCCGAATCGACGTCTCGGTAGGCGCACCTCCAGATCCGGCAGGCAGAGGACACGATGAGCATGCCGATTTCAAAGGGAAATACGCGACCCTGAACAATTGTCGATTTGCCGGGAACCAGCAGACATCGCGTTCGAAACATACACTGTTGCTGGTGCCGCGTTCCATGCAAGACGACGGCATGGCATGACAGCATCAAGCGTGCATCTCGAACGGACGCGGTGTATTTGCGTTAGAGGCATGGCATAGACTTCGACCTCGATGGTGTTCCACGCCCAGGTACGTGTCGTCAAATGCATTTTCGTGGTTTATATCAAACGCGTTCGTAGTGCGTTCATTTGAAGAAATCAATATAATCCAACGGATCTGGTAAGGACATTGGAAGTCGAGGATCCTCGAGGGCCGGGGGCCTCAGGCCTCAGGCACCGGAAAAGCAGAACGAAAAATCCTCTCCTCGCCGACCAACGAGCGAAGAAAAGCAAGCGATGAAGGAGAAGAAGATGGGTGGTAATGGTCCAAAAAAGGTGTCCACCGGACTGGGCGATGATGAGACTGTCGTGGCACAGCGGGCACAAGTTCTAGCGATCCTCGCCATGACGAGTTCAGCCAGAGGCAATAAACACAGGAAGGTCGTGAGCCGCGACTTCAATGCCGTCATCAATATAAGATGATATGTAGTGCTGAGGACGAAAACTGCGGAGCTGACGCGTGCGAGCTTTGTGGGCCAGCCTTCTCGGCTCGAAGTGTGCCTGGATACACTGAAGCCGATAGCATCGGGTCGGTCAGAAAAGTCTGGGAGGCATGTGCACATGGGCAGATATATTTACCTCCCATGGCCAGAGCGCGTTTCCCGTTATAATGGCCGTGTGTATGAAGGACTGTTTTCTTAGGGCTCGAATGGATACCGAATTCGTAGGGCCCTATCGTTCGCATGCGTGTCTGAACTAGCCCTCAACACCTGTATCAGCTTAAAATCGGATATTGTATTGCTCGCTCAGCGTCTGTCTTGCGATTTTTTCCTAGATGCATTCGATGTACAGCCTCGACAATCAGATTGCCGGAATAAACGGCCAAGCATGTATAGTACGTGATAGGATGCCCGGTTGCTTTTTCGAAGTGCCCCCGTTGACGCTGTGCCGCTGGCGTTCGTTACGTACCCGGAGACTCGCGATGATGTGCGACGCGTTCCGATCAGTGATTCCCAAAATCAACCGGTTCCATGATCAGGTTCATATGCACAAGACTGCGTGATACTCCGCTCCTGACATGTTGGACGCGCTTACCACGCATGCGTCTCTTTTTCGATATTGTCTGTTTCACGACAACTCGTGGGTGCAGCAACTCGTGCCGCTGGATTGACGACGACGACGACGACGACGACGACGAAATAAAAAACTCCATGTCGTCCCTTGGCGACCATACAGAAGCTCATGCACAAAGTTGTACGGATTTGATGGTGTCCAAATCATCGACTCCGATTGAAAGACAGGTCTGCCTCTGCTTTGTGGCCGCCGCCGCCGCCGAGCCGGCACATGACTGACGCAAAATACCTCCCAGGGCGTGCGCTTCCACAGGATGCCGTCTCTTCCGTTTGCATAGAATCGGGTGCTGGGCTCGCACTCGAGCCATCGCAACGATCGCTTCCAGTGGAGCGTACGCCAGCGTCTTGCACGAAACGGGCGTAGATGGACCTGAGGAACTCGACTTGCTCTCCAGCGTGGATATTCCCTCCTGGACTCGTTTCGTGATGGACAATATCGCGTTCCACCAATCCTCTATCGAATGGAACGGCGAGCGCTTTCATGCGTAGCGGGCAGCGTTCTCGAACAGAACATCGCGCGGCAGGCGCCCGTGAACGTAGAACGCGACCCCAGGGTCGGCAAACGAGGATGGGATCGAGGCGAGCCTCCTGTTGCCGTCAAGGCCACGTGGGGAGCGATGAACCGAGCGTTCACGCGTCACGAGGCAGCGATCGGAGTGGCAGCTGTGGTGGTGAACAGGTGGCAGCACCTGACCACAGGCACGTGTCACTGGTGCGAGGGGCGCACAGCGACGCTGCATACAAAGAAGACGGAACTGGCAAGCGCGGTATCGATTGCAACTACCGTCTACGTATGGAAAGCGTTGACATTAGCCGACTGCGGCGTCGTCGGGGCTTGAACGTCGCTGCCTCGCCCTCGATCGCCGACCTCAGCGAGCAAGCATGTGCGTCCGGATGCAGCCGTGTCCACTCGCCGCGCTGCGACACGCTTCGATGCCAAACCGGGTACTGTGCCCCATTAGAGCCCAATCAGCAACGCACCCAAAATCTCGCGGATGCTGCGCCCTGTAGGCTGGAGTCGGCCACAATGCAACGCACCAACCTGGATGCGCTCGAGCATACGTGCACCCTTGGTGGCGTGCATCGGAAACGTCCACTGCGTATTTAGACAAACCTCAAATTCTGAGCATCGAGACAGGCCGAGAACTGCCAAAACATCGTAACTTGCAATGAAAGAAACTGTAATCTCTCGGCTGGCTGCCACCGCCAATCATCGCGCATTCCGGGATAATCTCATAGGCTGGTTCCCCGATGCTTCTCAAAGAATCCGAGCCAGGTACCAAGTGCGGCTGGCGCCAGATGCTCCATGGCCGGGGCGTCTTCATCGCACAGCGTGTATGCAGCGACCGCACCGGCGCTATAGGCGCCATTGCTGTCGCTCTCGGCAGGCACTAGGCACACACGATAGGACGTATGAAACGACCAGAATATCCGAGATGAAATATAGGTCATGTAACATGGAGGTAGGGGTTTGACAGATACCTCACCTCGCACTGAAAAAAAAAGCCAAAAAGAAAAGAAAAACGTGCATAATCGGAGAACGCTGGCCTATGGAAACGTTTCGTCCATGAAAAAACATCATTTGCCAGCGGACGCAGACGCCACAGACGTCCGATGTTTCCTGCTTTGATTCGTGGTGCAGCGCGCTTCTCAGAACGTCTTCGGGGTGACTTGAGAAAAAAGATGCAGCACCAAGCCCCGAAGCCGCTGATTCTCATCGATATGGACAACACGATTGTATCATTTGACGACGCGTTCGTGAAACGCTGGAAGGAATTGGATCCACACGCCGACGAGGCCCTGATTCGGAAACGGCAGCACTTTGAACTCGAAGAAAACCTGCCACCCGAAGCTCGGGCAATAGCGGAGAAAATCATGGGGGAGCCCGGGTTCTATGCCTCGTTTCGACCACTGGAAGGAGCTATCGTGGCCCTGCGCGCGATGATCGACCGGTCCTGGGAGGTCCGGCTGTGCTCGGCCCCGCACCCGCTACAGTGGGAAGACTGCGTGCGAGACAAGTACAGCTGGGTCCGCGAGCACCTGGGTAGCGATTGGCTGCACCGCATTATGATCGTGCGTGATAAGACCTGTGTTCGTGGTTCTGTGTTAATCGACGACAAACCCAGTATATCGGGGTTCTATCCCGATCCCGAGTGGCTCCACGTCGTTTTCGATCAGCCGTACAACCGCGACGTGGAGGCGCGAGCGCGCCTGAGTCACTGGTCCCAATGGGAAGAAGTGCTTACACCGATCCTGAAGGCTCAAGGGTTTTCTGTTTAAAGAAACGGAGATGAATGGGCCCAGCTGGCAACGTTTGACCGGTGAGCGAGCCGGCTCTCCAGCTAGATGCCAGATTAAAATCGGATATTGTATTGCTCGCTCAGCGTCTGTCTTGCGATTTTTTCCTAGATGCATTCGATGTACAGCCTCGACAATCAGATTGCCGGAATAAACGGCCAAGCATGTATAGTACGTGATAGGATGCCCGGTTGCTTTTTCGAAGTGCCCCCGTTGACGCTGTGGCGCTGGCGTTCGTTACGTACCCGGAGACTCGCGATGATGTGCGACGCGTTCCGATCAGTGATCCCAATATCAACCGATATCATGATCAGGTTCATATGCACAAGCCTGCGTGATACTCCGCTCCTGACATGTTGGACGCGCTTACCACGCATGCGTCTCTTTTTCGATATTGTCTGTTTCACGACAACTCGTGGGTGCAGCAACTCGTGCCGCTGGATTGACGACGACGACGACGACGACGACGACGACGACGACGACGAAATAAAAAACTCCATGTCGTCCCTTGGCGACCATACAGAAGCTCATGCACAAAGTTGTACGGATTTGATGGTGTCCAAATCATCGACTCCGATTGAAAGACAGGTCTGCCTCTGCTTTGTGGCCGCCGCCGCCGCCGAGCCGGCACATGACTGACGCAAAATACCTCCCAGGGCGTGCGCTTCCACAGGATGCCGTCTCTTCCGTTTGCATAGAATCGGGTGCTGGGCTCGCACTCGAGCCATCGCAACGATCGCTTCCAGTGGAGCGTACGCCAGCGTCTTGCACGAAACGGGCGTAGATGGACCTGAGGAACTCGACTTGCTCTCCAGCGTGGATATTCCCTCCTGGACTCGTTTCGTGATGGACAATATCGCGTTCCACCAATCCTCTATCGAATGGAACGGCTAGCGTTTTCATGCGTAGCGGGCAGCGTTCTCGAACAGAACATCGCGCGGCAGGCGCCCGTGAACGTAGAACGCGACCCCAGGGTCGGCAAACGAGGATGGGATCGAGGCGAGCCTCCTGTTGCCGTCAAGGCCACGTGGGGAGCGATGAACCGAGCGTTCACGCGTCACGAGGCAGCGATCGGAGTGGCAGCTGTGGTGGTGAACAGTTGGCAGCATCTGACCACAGGCACGTGTCACTGGTGCGAGGGGCGCACAGCGACGCTGCATACAAAGAAGACGGAGGCGGCCTCTGACCGCAGGCACGTGTCACTGGTGCGAGAGGCGCACAGCGACGCTGCATACAAAGAAGACAGAACTGGCAAGCGCGGTATCGATTGCAACTACCGTCTACGTATGGAAAGCGTTCACATTAGCCGACTGCGGCGTCGTCGGGGCTTGAACGTTGCCATCAACACGCTTACAATGCGAACAATGGAACTAGAGCGGAGGGAATGACCAGCGTATTTCGTACGGGAACTAGGAGACAGGAGACGGAAGCAGTTGCAGAAATACCCCGCAAAGGCTTTTACTGATAATAATGGGAGAATACCCAATTGTAGCGTGTACGTCCTTGTTAGCTTACCAGTTCCATTTCATTCTGGTATGGATGGAGACGGATACCCGTGGCGTCATGAAATGACGCCAGCGACCCCAACAGCATCTGCTGTGCAATCATGGCAGGTTGAATACAGGTTTACCGCTCGGTTTGGCCAGCTGGCTCCGATGCTGACGTACACCGTTGGCCATTCTTCGCGTGATGTCGAGCCTGAAGAGGCAACACATGAGGCGCCCCTTCTGCTCAGCAGGACGCCTACGGGCGTCTGATGCGCGCGCACCAGGGAGAAAGCGCCGCCCACAACGGCGGCGATGGAAGCATGCGCTTCGCTTTCGCAATCGAATATGCTTATAAGCAAACGGGAACGCAGCATCGGTATCGCCACATCAGTGCACGCGTTCGTTGTCACTGCAGAGACGCACCCGGCGCTGGTGGAATCGCAGGCTCAAAACTCCGTTCGACATGCCCTGGAAACGTTTTTGCCAACGTGGATTTGCTTCGATACGGATGCACGCTGCCAGTCCACATGCAGGAGCTATCGCGCCGGGCATAACTTGCACGACGAAGTGACACCAGCGTCGATTGCCAGTGATCAAGTCGCATCACTGGCATCCATCGGCTGCCGCCAAAAGACGAACCCAGAGGGTCCATCCGGCAAGAGACACGTATTTGATGCCGCAGCTCTGGACAAACGCCCTTCTTCGCCGTTCAGTGCTTGCATTGCGAATCTTACAGCGGGGTATCACTGAAAACCTCGAAACAGGCGAATAGATTTAAGATGGAGTCCTCGACAATCAGCTACGCGAACAAACACTCGTACAGCACTGGAAGGCCCTTGCACTGCTGCTTCCTGTCATTTCGTGCGATGCCGGTTGCAGCGTCCACGGCCAGCGAAGCAAACGCCAGAGATACCCGCATCTTCATGCGTTCGGTGTGATCGAGAGCGTCGTCCGACAGCCAGCATGGAGCATTGAACCTTGGCGTTGCGTGGCAGTGCGTCCAAGGTCCATTCCTGCGCAATTACCAACGACCCGGAAGACCATTACGTTATCGTACAGGTTGAGCAACCAACACGCCCATTCACCGCTGCTGTGTTTGGCGCATTTGTCTCTGCAACGTGTGCACTTCGTTGCGATCGAGTCGAACGAGTCCCCGAGGTCGAAGCGCGCCCCGCCTGCCGAGACGCTACCTGTCTGTGACTGCGTCGATGACGCCGTTCCGCTTCCGCGCCTGCTGCTTCCGAGCCAGGCACCCGGTTTCGCGACGTGTTGTGCGAACTCCATAAATACGAGACAAAATTCGAGCCTAGCGGGTGCTGCGGCGACGATGGAGGCTGGGACCGAGAGCCCGACTCCGTGGCCGGTCGAGTGACAACGTGTACCGTCTGACATAAGCCCACCTGAAAGCCGCACTCGAGAAGCGTGTCGGTATCCTCGAGCACGTTGCCGAGATACAGAATACGCAAGTCCGACGCGGTTGAGCACGGTGGCTGGTGGAGCACTCGGAGCTGTTCGAGGAGCTCTTTTGGCTGTAAAGCTAGGAGCGCCTCTTTCACTTGACCTATTGTCGCATAAACAGGGAAAGATACCGAAAACGCATCGCCATTCACGCAGAGGAAACGAACCTTGGTCGTCTCTAGTGCAAAAGTCCCCGGTTGCAGAACTTGCTCCGAACTCAAGCGCGCAGGCACCGTAGCTGTCACTTGTGCCTGCTCCGCTGCGTCCTGATCCTTGTCAGAGCTCGGCTCGCTCTCCATGCCGCCAGAGCCGCAACGTCCGGCGCGCTTCGCAGCGTTCCCTGTACCAAGCGAGGTATCCGAGGTGAGCGACGCGCAACTGGTGTTTTCCGCAGCAGGTCGGCGCCCTTGGTTTTCCGCGCTACGCGGCGTCTCTATTTCAAGAGCAACCTCCATATACGACCCGCAAACTCGAACTAAGTACCGAACTGAAGTGGCGACGACGCAACGCCGACTCCGGTCCAGCGTCTGCAGCGTTCACAGGCCGCTGGCAAAACGCGGTCTGCTGGATGATGAGGCCTTACAGTCTTCTATCTGGCTCGTAAGCGAAATTAAAGACCGGAACAGTCTCTAAAGCGAGCAGCTTTGTAACATGCCTACAGCAACAGATAGGTCTGCGAGTCAAGATGATCAGCGTATCGGTTCGAGAGCGTTTGCGAGAGGCGCTCCCGTTGCTGTTCATGTACGCACTTGGGATGAATTGTCCAGGTTGGTAACAGCCACAAACAGTCGCGCTCACGGTAAACTAGGACCCATCCTCGGCATCAGTAGCACCGGTTCTTCGAATCCTCGGTTTCTTTGACAGAAACCGGTCGACGCTTCGTCTCACCGGGAGCAGAAGGCTCTGTTGGGATAACGGTAGCACATGCTTTGGCGTACAGAAGCAGTATGCCGCCCGACTCTTCCCGGGGGACAGAAAGGACCACGAGCGGAAACAAGTGACCCACGGAAAACCTCGCGTCTTCAAGGTGAAACTGAATGCTTTCTTCCAAGAAAGCTATCGCGAACGGATACAGCCCCTCGTCTCGCTTATACCGGCATCCTCAGCCATGGACTGTAAGGGGAAGCAGTCGCGCTCGCGAACTCCCGAATTCTGAGGGTTCTCGCTCGCGACCCGTGACCCTGATCACGCGAGCTTTTATTTCCTTTCTTACTGACAACGAAGGGAACGTATTTGAATAAGGTCAAAGATTGCACGAGCTAAGCGGCTGAAAGCGCGTTCCCATCCCCGAATAGGAACTTTTTTCCCAGTTGCTTGGTCGTCACTACGGAGACTAGCAGAAACGTCCTCGAGAAACCCATCAGCTCGAGTGTCACGTCGCGTGTTGATAAATGCAATCGTCTCTGACCCGGAATTCCGGAATGACAAATCGAAATCGAAGAACAGCGAGGGTCAACGAATATGGATTACGTTGGAATGACACAGATGCTTGCAGAGCGTTCCATAACGATGGTCGCGATGGAGACGAATAACATCCAGAAGAACTTCGAGTCTCGTGTCGCTCATGACATCCAGCTGATGCACAAAGTGTAAATGAAGGGCGTCTCGGGAGAGAAACATTGTCTGTGCCGAACCCGCTCGATGTTTTGTAAGTCTCGACGTTCCCTTCCCCCGCGAGTGATCGAGATAGGAATCCGGAGCTGAAATTGGCAGCCGAGATCGCGGAATACCTGAGGATACAGCTTCTCGAAAGCTTCTCTCTGAAAAAAGCGCCTGTCCGAGACGCGTTTTGGCCCTTCCTCTGGACATCAGATACTTGGAAGAGGGTGGAAACGCTTCGAGTACCCTGCGAGAATAGGATGCACAAGGTAGAACAGATAAACGCCGCCCCAAGACGTTCTCTCTCCCGCCGACGAGGCGTAGCCTCGCAATTGGTTACGTTCCTTTTCGTCACGTGAGCGTCATGGGCAATCTACGATGCCATGGCATCGTGGGCATGAAAGGAAATGAACGGAAAGCGAATGAGGAATTGCAGCGGAAGTTTCACACGAAAACTTCCACATCAAAGCTGCCGAGACCGTAAACAGTCAATTCGGTTTCCGTTCTCTCTCTGGTGGATACGGTGTCAGCGTCCAACTGAAAGTATCGCCGAATACTTTGGGCGAAAGGGAGACGAAGAAAGGTGTCTGCCTCTGAAAGACAACGAAAGACTCGTGCGCGTGGACCCGGGTTTGCCAGAGGTTGTCACCTTCGTGGACTCGAGTACAGCGTGAGAAACGCGTGATTACGGCAGCAGAAGATGCAAGCGCGAGGCGAGGTTCACATACAACGCGAGGAAATCACACAGAAAAAGAACCAGCGTACAGGTGAATCGTCAGCTTGTCACCTCATTCACGGGACGACGGACTTGGCTTACAAAACCTTTCTAAGAAGGTACTTGAGCGTTCTCCCTGAATGACTGAAACACAGAGCTCGTTCTGGATACCAGCGACTGAGACGCTGCCCGTCACCTGTTCTAACATAAAGCAGTCCATGGGATCTACACCCGCCTCTGGTGCCGAGCGGTGAAGAGAAGCCCATCGGGTTCGGAAACATGGATGCGGGAGCTACGCACCCAAAGGCCTGTCGCAGGTGCGGTACGTCGAAAGCGACCAAACAGAAGTTCATGGAAATGCGGTATGGTTGTCTGGTACACATCAATGAATGCCGGTCGCCGATAACGTGTTCGTGTTGCGGAATTCGCCTCACGATCATGAAAAAGACGTCGACGACGACGACGAGGGTCATCACTAGCGAAGAAACGAAATTAAAAGAAAAGAGGTCGCCTCTCGCTCGGATCCACAAAGTACTGCACTAATTGCCTCTAAAATGCGGATCCAGGGCAAACGCTCCCAGCTGAAGCACATCATGGAACCGTTTCCACAACGGGTGCCTCAACATCCGGGAGCTATTGAAGATCAGATTCAAAGCGGCCAACAACCTGCACCGTTTCCTCGCACGATAGAAAATGATTATCACGACTCGTAGACAAGAAACCCCGTAGCATCCTTCCAGAGCAAACGTCTCGAGGCAAGAGAAAGACGATCTTGTCCTGGATCTCGTGAACAAACAGCGTTATATTCTGATACAATCCTTCACGAGAAAATGGTATAAAAAGGGTATCCCACAATGTTTACGCATGCCTGTACGCTTCACGATAGGCGCGTACGCACCAACACATGAACACAGCCACGGACGCCATCGGGTGAACGCGTCCCGCTCTGCGCATCTCTGCCGAGGCGCTCGCTCGCGACGTCAGCAGGGCATCCATTCGTTCCATATTCGACCTCTGGTGCCTTTAGAGTATCACTGCGATAAGTTTCTGGACGCTCTGAAAACAGTTGTACGGAGTTTCTAGTCATGAGCAGCGTGTTCAGTCCAATTCACGAGGGTAATACCTATTTTTTGCTGATCCATGGAAAGTTCTTGCGCAGCGAGTCGGGTAAGACAATTACCGGACAGACACCATTCGATGGAACGCCAACGTACACCATCCAGGCAGCAACCAAGGAGGAAATCGATAGGGCGTACGAGAGCGCAGCTCAAGCGCAGCGCGAATGGCGTCGGGTGCCGCTCTGGAAACGAGCGGAAGTTGTGCATAAAGCGGCAACCATTCTGCGTGAGCACGTAGACGAAATCGCTACGGTCATTTTGCGCGAGGTCGGCAAGAACCGCAAGTCCGCGGTCAGTGAGGTGCTTCGGACCGCGGACCTCTGCGACTACACGGCCGAGGAGGGCTTGCGTATGGAAGGGCAACTCCTGGTCGGAGACTCGTACCCCGGGCAACCGCGCAACAAGCTGTGTCTGGTTCAGAGGGTGCCGCTCGGGGTGGTGCTTGCGCAGGGACCATTCAACTACCCCTGCAATCTGACAGGTTCCAAGGTCGCGCCCGCGCTTATGGCTGGAAACTCTTGTGTGGTGAAGGGTCCCACGCAGGGTGCAGTGTCTGCGCTGTACTTGACTGCAGCGTTCCACTTTGCGGGAGCCCCGCCTGGAGTTGTGAATTTCGTTTCCGGCCGCGGCTCCGAAATCGGTGATTATCTCGTCCAGCACCCGCTCTGTAATTGTATCTCGTTCACTGGTGGTAACATTGGGCTCGAGGTTGCGAAGAAAGCACACATGATCCCGATGCAAATGGAACTGGGCGGCAAAGATGCGGCTATCGTCTGCGATGATGCAGATCTCGATCTAGCTGCGAAATGTATTGTTTCGGGCGCGTTCTCCTATTCGGGCCAGCGGTGCACGGCTGTGAAGCTCGTCCTCGCGGTTGAGTCGATTGCAGAGGAGCTCATTTCAAAAGTCGTGGAACGCACCCGGGCACTGACAGTGGGGCATCCCGAGGATAATTGTGAGGTAACAGCGGTTATCAACAAGGCAGCAGCGGACTACGCGGAGAGTCTCGCCATGGACGCGAAGGAGAAGGGTGCCAAGTTCCTCCTAGAGTACCGACGAGAAGCCAACTTGATCTATCCTCTGGTTGTGGACCATGTGAATGAATCGATGAAATTGGCATGGGAGGAGCCTTTTGCGCCAGTGCTGCCCATCATGCGCGTCAAAGATGAGAAGGCTGCAGTCGCGTTTGCAAACCGTCTTCGCTACGGTCTTCAGGGTTGTGTCTTCACGCGTGATGTGAATCGCGCGATATCGCTTTCTTCCAGTATTACTGCCGGCACGATCCAAGTGAACGGTGCGCCAGCTCGAGGTCCAGATCATTTTCTGTTCCTTGGTCACAAGGACTCGGGGATTAATGCGCAGGGTGCCAAATGGAGCATCGAAGCAATGACGAAACTCAAATCAATTGTAATCAATCTCCCGGAGGAGGCGTATATGGTGGCCAACTGAGACCCTTTTGTATGGTACGTGGCATCGAAGCACAGGTCGCGGCGGATGCCGAGATGCTCCTCGCGGCATCGAGGCGTTACGACGACCGCGAATACTGAGCACGATACGCCTTTTGTGATGATGTATCGTCCGCTCTGTGTGCAGCGTTACGCGAATATGATGTGTGGTGTTCTTTATGACTCGCAGGGGGACCAATGGTGATGACTGGTGATCGTCACATTCATGAATGGGAAACTGCCGCCATCGGGCGGGTTGCGTAAACGCAGGTATCCATGCACGCCGCTGCATGCCCGCTCTTGTGACGTGCTCGAGCCAGATGGGTATCACCACACGATGAATGTCGATGATGCCACAAATCCGGTTCAGCATACTCGCTCTTGTGACGTGCTCGAGCCAGATGGGTATCACCACACGATGAATGTCGATGATGCCACAAATCCGGTTCAAGGAGCATGGATTCCCGTCCACGGCATTTTGGGATGCAGTGATCAGTATGTGTTGGTCGACGAGGCGATCCCTTGCTCGCTCCTGGAAACGACTTGCAGGAACGAGAAGCGCAGTGGGATACCACAACACTTTGGTGTGGCGTGTATAAAACCGATATGGGTGGCGACCTTGGAACGTTTTGGATGCCACCACCAATGACCTCCAGTGGTACCGAGACAGTCGTAACCGCGTCTACGCAGGGAAACTTCCGATGAACGGCAGCGTAAACAGCCATGGAAGGAACGAATCGCGCATTGAATGAGCGTACTTCAAAACAGGAAAAAGAGCCCAGCGCTTGTTTCCATTTGGGATGCTGATTTCTATGAGACTTGTGGCTCAGCGTCTATGGGCGAGTTGGATGTTCCGCTACGGTCGACGTCCGCATCGACAAGTTGCGCGGATGGGCAGTTTTCCACATGCGTCGCGATATGGTCGACAACAGGGCGACCATGTCGCCACAGCCACGCCCCGAAATCATTGCGGCTCCATGCCACAATCCGATTATGAGCGGGTATCCATGGAGCATCGAATTCGACTGCGTAGCGGTCCCAAGAGACCTGGTTCAGTGCAGACGCCATGCGACGCTCAATGTCCTCGCGATCGCTTCCGCCCGAGTGCTGCACGTTCTTCTTCTTCTTCTTCGTTTTCTGGTCCCATGTGCAGAGGATCACCAGCCACGCGCCACAGAAATAGACGAAGCTTCGCAATAGGTAGAGCACTCGTGCACCACTAGAAAAAGGCGATACAAGCACTGATGCACCCGCGACGTCCGGTTTCAGTTGCAAAGTCTCCGGACGCGACGAAGCGCTAATCGCTTCAGGCCGGAGCTGCCAGATACGCACATGCGGCGCCTGGTGAATGCAAGTCGCCTCATAGGTTGTAACTGGCACTCGATATCGACGCTCATCGGGCAAAACCAAGGATGTGCCGGCATTCACCATGAGGTCGTAACTCAGGTTCGCCACAAGTAGGCGAACGCTGAAAGCAGCCATCGCTCTGAGTGCTGCCCGATGTTGCGCCATTCGGAGTAGGAGAGGTTCCTGTTCCTCGTCCAGTAGAAAGAGTTCGCGACCGGTTTGCCCTGCGAAGACGCCAGCTAAAAAGTGGCTCCATCGGGGGCAGTATCGCAACAAACCATAGCTGCTCACGCCTAAATGAGGTGTGGCAATACAGATGAGGGTGTGCGGCTCCAGACCCGCGACCTTCGTAGTTCCTTCGGTGTCATCGAACAGCGTCTCGAGGGCGCTCCGCACATACAGTCCGCCGAGGCTAAAACCGACGAGCGAGATCCACTGAAGCCGCGACCGATAGTCAGCAACAACGTGCTCTATTTCCGCAGCGACACGCTTGCCACCTGAACTGATCCCGTCGGTGGTGCGACGCCAGTTGCACTGCACGGTGTGCACCAGCAAGCCACGCTGCTGCAGTGCGTGCGCGAGGTACGTAAGGTCGCCGGGTGCTCCCTGCAGTCCGTGCACTAGAAAGCAAACATGTTTGCTCGATGTGTTTGACGTTTCCATTTGGAGCTGGAGTTTTGAAGCCGCGTCCCGAGGCGGCGCGCGCCGCTGCGTGTTTACAGCCCGACCTGAACGGGGCAACGGCGTTCGTCTGGACGTGAGGGCAAGGTTGCTATTGTGGCAGCGTTGCGCCTTGTCGATGCCAAGTAACAGGACGTGTACTTCGCCAGCAAACATAAGCTGGCCTTTGCGGTTGATGCCTGTTTTCGTCGTCGGCCAACAGGTCGGACTAGTCAGGACTGCAACGAGCCGCGCGCATAACGCTTTGCTACGGTTGCAGCCATGCCCGCTCCGAAAGGTGTCCACGTATCAGCGTCCAAACGCTCTTCTGACGCAATAAGGCGATGCTTTCGGCAACATGGGCTCTCGAATAGCAACCTTCGGTGCACTTTACTGGAAAACACCCATACGGATTGTGCCCAACGAGTTACAGCATTGGAGCGTTTACTCCACGTAGCGCGCGTCGGCTTCGTACGCGCACACACAAACACACACACACATGGATAGGGTCACTGCTCATGGACACTTGGCTCGGTTTGTGCTTCGTGTCCAAGCTAGTCGTCGTTGCGTCCAGTCAAGTCGCCGAAGAGAAATCAGTATACCTGTCGCGTGCCGGTATCAGGCGCTGAAGCCTCTGTCCTGACTTTTTGCAAAATGCATCAGCAGCATCATGTCGCTCGTATTCGAGGAGCGGCGGAAAAAGCACATGCTCATTGCAAGGAATGCAGTGGTCTCCAGTACGGACCTCGAATAAGACCAGCACTCGGAACGCCACTCCAACGAGTGTCCACGCACGAAAGCGATCTCCAGTCAGTGCTGTATCGTTCGTATCTCGCACAGTCTTTGAACTTGCACGTGGTCGTTTGCGCTGTGGGTCAAGGGCGCTCAGCTGCCGTAGTCCTTGCGTGCAGTCGGTACCTCACTGATATCCGATACTGTTATTGCTGGATCAAATTGCCGACGACGCGTTTTGTCGCAAGCACTTCTGAAGCACCGGCTTGACCGGTGCATCGTTGAAACACATTTTCCATTCAGTCGTTTCGCGCCTCTGCAGAAGGACTCGTGGCATCGTGGTCGGCACTGCTCGCTGTACATTCGCGTGCAGACTGGTCGGTTGCATGCCAGCCGCGGTTGTAGCGTGTGAACAGCTCATCCAACTCTGCAAGTCGTTTCGGCCCGATACTGCGCTCCTCGAGGCACATTCCAGCCTCAGGTCCACCGTAAACCTGGAAGTAAGGCAGTGACGTCACGCCTAATGACCGGCAGAGCTTCTTGTTCTCATCGAACTGCACCGCATAACAGCGGATGTACTTGGACGCTTGTTGTTGGCTTGCAAGCTCCAAAAAGCGTGGGTACACGTTGGCACACGCGTGACACCAGCTCGCTTTAAACATAACTATTGAGGCTCGTCCTGCCTCGGTGTCGGCAGTTACCCATTCCACAAAGTGCGCGTGATCTGGGACAAGCCGCACCGGTTCCGACGCGGACGCGGCGCTGGGATCAATGCACGCGCGCCAGTGCAGAGACCATCTGCGTGACTCTACAGGATGGCTAAGAACGCATAGACGATCAGCAGAACGACCACATCGCCGATAATTCAGGTTCCAACCCGTAGTGATAAACGCCGCACAACTCATGCAACCCTCCACAGCTCACACGTCAACGGATAACAGAAGTACAACAACAGCGTATTTCGTTAGCGAGAGCCGAGAGCCGGCGCTGCGGTTCCAGCGCGAAACAGTGCACATCGAGTGTCTGTACATGTTAGTTCCAAACGATACAATAAGGAAAGTAATGCTTATTATATGACACCTGCACAGATTGCCCTGCGTCTGTGCGGCGCTGCGCGGCAGCAGCAACAGCACCGGGCGCACGCAAAAACGCATCATCTGGGATCAGGCACTGATGCTGTTTCTAGCCGCCGCCATGCATCCTGTGGCCCTATGTCCGTGATGGGCAGTTTCAGAAAAAAAGGCGGGAAAGCGTCCGCACGCGAGGCACGCACATGCATAGACAGCGGATCGACTGTTGCGGGACACGCGCTGCACACACTGCTGTGTACCTTGTTTACTGAACGCAATCTACCGTCTGCGTTCGGATTGTTCGCGGTCGTCGTTGCTACAGAGCAATCCAAACTGCTATGTTAGACGCGAAACCTGGCGTGGAGCAGTGGGTGCGGCGTCTGGCAGCGCAAGCAGCGCTAGATGAAAGAACTGTAGACGAAGCGCTGCAACTGGTTGAACAAGTTCGTTTCCCTGAAGACGAGGCCAGCTGGGCAGCATGTGCGCTTCTAGTGGCGGTACAGAGTCCTGAGACGGCTGGACACGTGCTCGGGGCGTTTCTCCGCTGTGCCGACGTTACACCGCAACCTAGTCCGAAAGGCAGAGGTAACTGTATTAGCGACTTTTTCGAGCGGGCGAAGATGATCTCACCCACTGCTCAGCGCATGGAGCAGCTCCTCGTGGTTATTGCGAACGTCCACCGCAAGTTTGTGGAACTTTATCAAGGCGACATTTTCGACGAGGAACGGGCCTGGATATGTTTTCTCACGGCTCTCGCGCTGTTGGCGTCACGAGGCGGCCCGCTGGGCGAGCTTCCTGACCTCGTGAGTGCCTACCATCTAATGGTCGCTGTCATCCGCCGGTTGCAACTGAAGATGCTTAAGCAGCCAGATATCCTCGAGGAAGATGTCGAGCGATACTTGGCACGACTCGAAACGACGATGATCCCATGGGATGACACGAGCGGCATGCAGGACCTCTACAACAGCGTCTTTGTCGGCCGCCTCGGGTTTGACGGCCGCATTCTACTGCAAGCACACCATCTGGGACAAATGTTGTGCGAAATGCATAAGTTTCCTGCCAAGGACGCAGCACCCACTTTGGTTCAGAGAGTGAGACCGGAGCGGTGCGTCCCGCGCTTCTCACGCGTTATCAGCGAAACGCTATCATCGCTTCGTGCAAAACGGCAGCGTATGGAGTCGACACCATTATCGTCGTCGTCGTCATCGTCGTCGTCGATGGCGGTGAAACCATCTCTGCACGCCGAACAGGTGCCACCTGCCCGTGGCGCATCGGCTGAGGATGAGCAGCATTCATCTACGGCACCAGGTCCGAAAAGCACCGCTTTGATATATAATGATGCTGAAACGCCGATGCCCTCTACTCAGTGCGTATACCCGGATCAAAAGGACTCCGCCGATGCTGTTTTTGATGAGCTGGCAGCGGCCGCGGCGCTCCAGAACCTGGCTCGCCCGCGAGAAGCAGATTCCGCGGGCGGCAAAGTTGCTGCTGCCCTTCGGACACCGCAGCGAGCTGCACTCTCTACGCAGAACCCCAACCGAGTGCCGCCACCCTCGCCACGTCGCACCCCGATTCGGGGCGGTATTGCCTCTGTTCGTTGGGTGCGCGCTATAACCGCCCTTGCTTCTCGAGTTTGTGATAATCTCCGGGAAACTTACGGTGGACTTGGAGTCGACCCCTTGGGTTTCGCGAATTCGGCAACTGGGTATCTGCTCCAGAGCTTTACGGAGCGATTTCATCCCGAAACTGCAGAGCAGCGTATCGGGGAAGTCATGGCAGTGTACTGGTACGCACTGGAAAGCATTTTGAACGCTGAGACGCAACGCATGAACGGCTCGACAGACTTTGTGCCGAAACTACTTGCGCTGCAACCTTTTCACAAGGCGCTGCTCCTGTGTGCCGTCGAGACGGTGTGCGCATCATACGGCATCCGAGACGAAATCCACTTTGAGCACCTGCTGGAGTCGCTGAAGCTCTCGCCGTTCGATTTCATCAAAATCATTGGCGCCTACGTGCTCAATGTGGAGAATCTCCCGCCCCAGGCGAAACGTCGTCTTGCAGCCTGCCAGGAGTGCGTGCTCTGCGTGCTGGCCTGGCAGTCGGACTCGTTACTCGTACGCGCACTTCGCACGGGCGACATGAGCTCCATACCAACAGCGGCATTGGATTTGTTCTTTGACAAGCTGCTGATGCAAGCGGATTATCGCATCCTGAACGTCTGTGCTCGCCTCGGCATCTGCGAAGAAGCGTTTGAAAATCGGGTGTGGTCGATTTTCAAACTGGCGCTCACGGAGCAATGGGAGCTCTTCATCGGGCGCCATCTTGATACAGTTCTACTTTGCTGCTTCTATGGAGCAGCGAAGACGCAGCGTTCCCTGCAGTTCAAATTTGTGGATATCATTCGAGCGTATCGGGCAGTTGTTGCGGACTCTGAATGCATCCGACTGAGTGACTCGCTGCAGACAGTGTATCGGGATCTTGCCTTGGACGATGGTGGACGTGGCGACATTATTGCCTTTTACAACCTTATTTTTGTTCCACATATGAAGCGCTACCTGTTGGGACAAACTACTCCAGAGGGTCCAGCCGCTGCTCTCTCAATGAGCAGTACACCCGAAAGGCGCCGTGAATCCGAATCTGAACTCGATGCACATCATGTGAATGCTCCGCACGCGTCACCCGTATCTTCTCCTGGCTTGGGACCGCGTATCGTGGACAAGATCATTTCGTCGCCGCTGCGTCTACCACGAATACGTAGCCAGTCCGGAGTGGTTAGCCTTCGCGCGAGTCCCGCAACGAGCCCGCGAAATACATTCCCAGTTTGGACGCTGCCGACGTATTCTCCGCAGTCTACGCTAACGCCCCTTGCGTCCTCGCGACGAGCGGCGCTTCTGGCAGCGAGATTGCCTCCGAACGCGTCGCCACAGTTCCAGGCCCCACGGCCCGAGGGCAGCCCCAGCACTCGAACCCAAGCGGCGGCGGCAGAGGCGGAAACGCAGGCGGAGGCAGCGCCTGCGTCACCGCACCAGCCGTTGGCCGAGCAGCGCATCACATCCCCGCCTGGACGCCGGAAACTTGTCTTTTTCTAAACAAACGCACGGTGCTGATCAATGAACGCACTCCTCCTCTGAACGATGCGTTTGCGAATATGTCCTGCAGCGCAGCACGATCGCTGAACAACCCTTGACTGGACAGTGCCAGGACCGATTCCGTTGCGTGTTCGTGCGGGCGCTTCACGCCAGTCACGTTCCGTGACGCAGTTCCTCGAGATCCGGCACCGTCGTGCGTTACGTACTAGTGCAGTAGCAAGTGAAGCAGAGTGAAGCAATGCGCCCACAGCGACCGTACAGAACACTTTGCTAGCTGGACGAACGTTACGCATGCGCCTCTCGCATCAGAGGAGGCCACTGCATTGACCGATGTTACGAGCCAATGCGCTCCGAGAAGCGCATTTGAGCACCATGCGTTGACCAGGGGCGTCTGACACACCACCCCTCCGTGTTACGAAGCGTACAGCGCTGAACGAAGTCAAAAGAAAGCCCGAGTCGCGTGGAAGTATCGAGTGGTTTCTGTGAACCGCGCAGGTCGTTCTCATACCATACCTAAAAGTTAAATCTCAATACCCTTCAAGTTGATCCTGGGATTTCGATAGCGATGCCGCAACAGAAGCACCGCTCACCACTAAACGCCCTCCAAAAGCCAAACGTTGCCGCCAGCAGCGGTATACAGTGGTGGCGCGAAGCCCGCCCTAGACAAGAAGTCTCCAACTGACGTGCAAACGCCTCCCAGTCTTTTTGGACCGGCCACCCACTGCTGCTTTCAAGTTCTTCTCATATCATTCCACTTTGAGAGGTTGTCCAACAAAATTCCATCTTGTCAACTCCGGAGGTCTTCTTTCCATGGCCGCGCACCTCTTTATATTGATAGCGGCGTTAGTCACGATTCACAAACTCCATACGCTTCTTGCCATTGATTGTACTAACCAGTGCAAGGAGTCCTCGAGCTTTCGCCCTCCTTTCCATTTGCTCTTCCGTCAGTGGTCCGTACCTTTTTATATCCTCAGGGCTCCGTTGGCACTTTTCCATCTCGAGCCTCTGAAGTATACACCCCAGTTCATGGTGTGTATAGGACGTTCGGAACTCATCTACAGGTATCGTAACGAAACGCCGTGCACACTCCTTGTCCACCCTCGTCGTTGGAGCTGGTGCACACCCCTTTTGGGTCTTCCATCGGCCTGCTCCGTACGCTACTACGAGCCTCTGACTTTCATTCTCCTTCAGGGCGCTCAACTCATTGAAAATTTTCGCGAATGCACGTTGCCTCCCACCGTATAGATTCATCCGCAGACGAGCCCACCGGGGCTTTCTACACTCCTCCCACAGCGCATCCCAATACGCAACGCGAACTTCCATGAACTCTCGAAAAGCTTTAAAGTCCGCTCCGCGGCTCGTCACCTCGCTCAAAGCCTCCAGGTGATCCTTCATTCCTGCGTTCCACGTCTCAATTTTCTTCCTAGCATTCATGATACCGGATTCTCGATAGTATCTTGCTCTCGAGAATCTCAACAGACGCATGTCCTTCTGACGTAATTTACCGTCAGTACCATCTTCCGCACGCTTGAGTGCTGCGATGGTTATGATATTCGTGTTTCCGAGGTCCGCGCCAACGACAAAGTCGTTATCCTGCACTTTCTGCGTCGCAAGATCCGCCTGTTTGTTTTTTCATGCTTGGTCATGGGCAGAACTGGACGATCCACCTTCAACCGCCGATAGTGTACACACATGGCTACTCCATCGGTTTCGGTCATCCCACTGAATTTCTTTTCCCTGCTTACTTTGAGACGTTTGATTTCGAAGATGTTCTTCCAGTAGGTCTCACAGTTTTCACCGGAGAACTCCTCCCTGTTAACATTGGACTCGGGACTGATCTCCCTCATGATGCCGTAAAGGATTCTGGAATCGATAGTCACAAAACGTGACTTGATGTTGGACAACGGAACGACGTTGAAGCGCTTACCCAGAAGCGCAGCCTTTCGTCTCCCCCACTCTTCATTTTTTCCTCACTCAGCTTCATCTCTGCCTTGCGTTCGAGTTCACGGTCCAGAAACACAAAGTAACGCAGGACGAGGCGATAGTATCTTTCGTTATCTTTTTTCAACTCTGATATGTTTGCTGCTCGGTTTGCCAACCCCAGTACCGCACGATGCTCTTGTATAGCCGCTCGGATGACGGAATCCTCATTGATGCTCCTGAGTGATTTCTTCTCGTCGATGAATTCAATCTCATCTTCACGCTTGCGATCGTTCGTGTTGCCATTGACAATCGCCCATATCCCCTGGCGAATGAGACCGGGGTAGAGTGCAAAGATGGAGCGTATCATGAAGCTTTTGAGGTTCATTGTTAAATGGTTCTTTAGACTGGTGAGGTACTTCATCGCCCCGTAGGTGTAAATATTCCAATCCCCCCTGTATCGAGTACCGTCGAAGCGGAAGTCGGCGTAAATTTTGTGGAGGGCATGAACTCGCTCATTTCACCTAGACGTTTCCCCGGTGCCAAGCATAAAGTGATAAATAAAGGTTTTGTTGAAAAATTCTTCCAGAATATGGACTGTTTTGATGTCCGTAACGTCATGATACCATTTTCTTAGGAAATCCACCATTCCTTGAGAAGCGTCACGAACACCGCTGGAGTTCGGCTCGACACGGTTCCAGATTGCCTCTTGAACGTTTTCCCTGTACGGATCCTTGGTATGTTGAAGAAGACAGGCTTTCACCGCCATCTCGTCGTACCGTCGTCTTTTGTGTAGCCTTTGACGTAGGGCCTTCCACTTTTACTTCTTCTTCTTATCCTGTTCCTTTGCACTTGGCACTGTTCTTCGTTGTTTCGGGCTGCCGGCGACATTGGCGCCCAGGATCCTACACTTCCACTTCCGTAACTTTCCTTTTTCAATATAAAAACCGAAACCACTTTGGATGGGACAGCTATTACGCACGAAAAAGCACTTGAATACAGTAGAGTGAAGGTTGAAACACGATTGAGGACAAACAATGTATTTTTCTACGACTTGAACATCGTTACAATTTGTACGTTAGAGCTACACGCTTCATTTTTCCGATGGAAAAACACTTATATTGACAATGGATCCCAGATTGTGCTATGAATGGGTATCGGATTCAGCGAAAGCGTCCATCATGCTGCATCCTAACTCCAGATTCCATTACGTATACTTCCTTTCAGATGTACTACTCGTCTCGTGCTTCCTGTCATTCGCCGGGTGCATGCGTTGATGCACACGCCTTAGCGTCTAATCCGCTGATGCCGATGAATCACAGAGACAGGACAGCGTTGCCGTACTACTGAGAGCGTCGGATCGAGGAATGCTCCACCTGACACAGAGTTGGAGTATAGGATCATTCTGGGAGCCAGCAAGCTCCGCAGACAGACACACTGCCTGCGATAGCGTGAAGCTCTATACTAGGACTCCACCGCGACCAGATCGACGCCCAGATGCAGTTTAACTGCCGCTAGTACCAGAATAAACTGTGCTTCAGACGAATTGCTCAGATTTCTATGCAGCACCCGCCACTGGGTGGCGAGCACGAAGCACGTGCCTGGGGTACTCGTCTGGCTCGCGGGTTTTTCCGTCGAGAAAATCAACTTTCGACAAAACGGGAACCGTTTCCCCCTTTTATCGTTTATCGTGCAGGGGAGATAAATTGGGGTACCTTGCTAGTTAATGGTTAGTCTCTGTTCTTTGCTCCGTATGCTGCGGTCGGCTAGCGCGCCGGGGAGATCAGGTCGTACGAGACAAGACGCACGTGTCGCCGTTGAAAGGAGACGCGAAATTGTGAAAATCCGTTTTCTTATTGTTCTACCGTACAAGTTGTATTTGCGTTAAAGTCGTAACAAAGTAAAGTTGTTTCATGCAATTGTGTTTCAAACCTCAAGTAAGTGTATACAAATGATGTTTAGCGATTCAGATCAGAAGCGTTCAAAGAGCCTTCTTCTTCTTCAAAAATAACAAAAGTTATGGAAAAGAAACTGGAGGATCCTGGACATCTGGTGTCGTCGACTGCCGGAGACTAACGAAAAACATGGCGGAGCTAAAAGGAACATGAGAAGACGATGGAGCAAAAGAGGGAGGCCCGAGGTAAGAAGCTGAACGAAACACGACAATACGACCATATGATGGTGAAAACCTGTCTTCTCGGGCATATCAAGGATCCGTCCAGGCGAAAGCTGCGAGAGGCCATCAGAAACCGTATCGAGTCATACTCCATGAGTGTTATGATGGCTTCTGCAGGTATAATGCATTCGGTGAAGGAGATGCACGACGACGTAACGGGCATCAAAACAGTCGAGGTTCTGGAAGAATTTTTCGGCAAAACCTTTATTCGTCACCTGATGCTTGGTACAGGGGAAACGTCGAGGAGAAATGAGCGGGTGCATGCCCTCCACGAAAATTACGCCGAATTCCGCTTCAACGGTCCTCGAGACAGGGGTGACTCGCGTATTTACACCGTCGGGGTAATGAAGCACCTCACGAACCTGAAGAACTATTTGACCATGAACCTGGAACGTTTCATGATACGCGCCGTCTGTGCGCGCTACCCGGGCCCCTCTCGCGAAGGGATATGGACCATCACCGATGGCATCACAAACGATAGTAAGAATGAGCAGGAGATCGAATTTGTTCACGAGAAGACATCACGCAGGAGAGCAAATGAGGATTCTGGAATCCGTGCGGCTATTAAAGAGCATCGTGTGGTCTTGGGGCTGGCGAGTCCAGCAGGAAAGATATCAGAGTTGAAAAAAGATACGGAAAGATACGATCGCCTCATCTTGCGCTATACCATACTCCTGAACCGACAACTGAAATGCAGGACCGATATGGAGCAGGGTGTGGAAGCAAATGCAGTGTCGGAGAAACGGAAAGCTGCGCTTCTGGAGAAGCGCTTCAACATCGTTCCGTTATGCAACATCAAGTCACATTTTGTGAGTATCGACTCCGAAATCCCTCACGGCATCATTACGGAGATCTGTCCAGTGTTCGATGTAAGCAACAAGGAGTTCACCGGTGAAAACCAGGAGACGTACTGGAAGAAGAATATCTTCGATTCCAAACGTCTCAGAACGAGCAAGAAAAAGGAATTCACTGGGATGATCGAAAGCGATGCGATAGCCATGCGTGTACATTATCGGCGCTTGAAGGCGGATTGCCCAGTTCCGTCTTCGTTGCAGTCGCTGGCAAAGCGTGAAGAAAACAAAGAGGTTAGCCCAACGAAGCAGGAGGTGCATGAGAACCACTTTGTCGTTGGCGCGGGCCCTGGGAACACGAATATCATGACCATCACAACACGCAATTGCGGGGATGATGGCATCGACGGCAACCTACGTCAAAAACACATGCGTGTTTTAAAGCGCTCAAGAACGAGATATTACCGAGAATTCGGTGTGATGAATGCAAAGAAGAAAAGTGGAACGTGGAATGCTGGAGTAAAAGAGCACCTGGAAGCGATCAGCCAGGTGACGGGCCGAGGAGCGGACTTTCTAGCTCTTCTGGAGTTCATTAAAGTTCGCGTTGCACATGACGTGGCACTGTGGAAAGAATATACAACGCCTCGGTGGGCTCGTCTACGTACGAATCTGTACTGTGGAAGAAGCGTGCATTCGCCAACTTTTTCAATCAGTTGAGCGCCCTCAAGGACGACGAGAGGCAGAGGCTCGTCGTAGCATACCGATCAGGGCGCTAGGCGTGGAAAAAGGGACTACCCGAGCTCCAACGCCGAGAGCGAACGAGAAATGCGCACCCCGTTTTGTCACGATACCTGTAAATCAGTATCGAGCATCGTATGTGCACCATGAGCTGGGGCGTACACTCCAGAGGATCAAGAAGGAAAAGTGCCAGGGGAGCCCCGGGGATATAAAAAAGTACGGAGCGCTAACAGAACAGCAAATGGGACGGAGGTCTAAAGTTCGAAGACCCCTGGCATGAACGAGTACAGCCAGTAACGGCAGGAAACGTATGGCGTTCGTGAACCGAGACTTTAACGCTGCTATCAATATCAGGAGATATACGCTGCTAAAGAAGAGACCCGACAAGCTGACGCGAGCCAGCTTTGTGGAGCACTCCCTCAAGACCGAACTGTACTAGGAGAAGCTGAATCCAGTAGCAGGTGATCGGTCCAGAAAGACGAGGATCCGCCTGCACGTCCGCAGATAAACATGCAGTCCGAGGGCGCGAGGTACCCAGAAACACACCGACGGCGGCTGCGCACGCAGATTCCAGATATGCGTGCAATGCGTGCAATGCGTGCCGCCGCTTCCGTTCGTTGACCCGCGCGCGCTTGTCGGATTCAGGACCCCCGCCTCCAAGCAACGTATTCGTGTTGAACGCTTCAGGTACGCCTCGTTTCTGTGGACAACACCCGGGGCTGATCCCATTGATCTTTTCATAATGACAGGAGTTGTGGCAGAGTCTGAGAATCTGCCGCCAAGTGGCGCAGAAGCAAAGTCGTTGGTCGATGACGCGGGGTTTGCGCCTACCGCACCTCCGCCAGCTGCAGTTGCACCAGCGCCGGTTGACGAAACGGCTGATGCCTTGGGTTCCAGCAGGAGCCGCGGGAACGGATCCGGTACCGAGGTGGTAGCTGACGCCGATGAGGAGGAGCAGGTAGCGGCGGCAGCAGCGAAAGCTGCGTCAGCAGCGGCCTCGCGCATTGCGTTTCGTTTTCGCACCGTGCGACCAGGAGACTTTGAACCCGAGCGCCACTTTTATCCGCGCTGTCTTAATGCTCAAATTCATCCGTCTGTGCGTTTCTTCATGGGCTTGTCCCGGGAGCGCATCGTGTCTCGTTATACGCACCTGAATACGCGGGTCGACCCAGTGGAGCTGCGACGCCTGTTGGCCTACTCGCCGCGATACTTGCGCTGGGCCGGCTGCGACCTCATGCACGTTGTGGACTCACGATCCCAGCGGAAGTGCATGGTGGTCATTGAAACCAATAGTTGTCCCAGTGGTCAAAAGTCGACACCGCTGTTCGATGACCAAGATGAATACGGAGGCTATCGAACGCTGCTGCAGCGAGCACTGCTGTCACGGTTGGAGTCGCCAGCGGAGCAGCCCATTGCTGGAGGCAAATTAGCCGTTCTCTTTGACAAAAATCCCATGGAAGCCAGCGGATACGCAGCGTGTTTGGCTGAGCTCACCAACGAGGAGGTTTATCTCGTCCCGATGCTTGAAGAGAACGCTGCCGACTGTGCCGAACCCGAGTTGCGAACGCTCGCCGACGGTGCTCGGGGTCAAGCGACGACCGGAATACGCGCTACAGACGGGAGCCCGACGAGCGCGCCTGCGACCTCGAGCGGTACAAACGTGGCGAACGGACGATCGTATGCCTTTTTCAAGAATGGCATTCTATACGTTCGGCGACCGAAAGAACACTTGCTGGAGAGTATGATTCCGAATGGCGCAAACAATTGTGCAGCTCGTGACCGCGTAAGCGTTGTACTCCCGCCGGATTCACGAAAGCAAACATGCGAAGCACAGCCAGCTCTGCGCTCCGAGGCGGCATCGACAACCGCAGGTAAGAACGGCATCCTCCGAGACGACGACACAGCCGACGTTGTGCCGATTCGGGCGGCGCTGCGCTATGTGACCCAGCGCCCATGGAACCGGATACCGGTGCACACGCAGACGATCATCACCAATTCTGTTGTATCATGTCTTGCTGGCGGGCGCAACAAGCTCGTTGCAGCAAAAGCCTACGACAATGCCAACGTGGAGCTGATGGCTTGCGGCCTGGAGATTCGCACGCCACTGACGATCCGCGACGTGCCCCTGAACATGCTCAGGCGATGGGTTGATCGCCTCGGCGGCTTTGCCGCAATCAAGGTTCCATACTCCAATGCAGGGCAAGGTGTTTTCACGATCACTTCCCAGGAGGAGTTTGACAGATTCTACGAGGCCGAATCTAAGCGTCCGAACCGATACGACAAGTACATCGTGCAAGCGCTGATTTCGAACCATGAATGGTCTTCCGCAGGGAGCGGCACATCAGCAGCAGGCTCCGTCGAATCCTACAGTCGCCTCTATCATGTGGGTACCATGCCGGATAAGCGCGGTCACATCTACGTCAATGATCTCCGCTTGATGATCTGTGGCGGGCCGGACGGCTTTGTGCCCGTCGGTCTCTACGCGCGCCGAGCTCGCGCACCGCTCGCAAAAGAGCCCGGCAACAACAGTTGGGAGCAACTCGGCACCAATCTCTCCGTCAAGGTCGGCGAAGGCCTGTTCACATCTGAATCCGAGCGCCTCATGCTTATGGACAAGAAAGATTTTAATCTGCTGGGTCTGAGTCTCGATGATCTTATCGACGCCTTCGTGGAGACCTGCCTCGCCGTTCGAGCCATAGATGTCATGGCCCAGTGGCTCTGTTCGGATGCCGGCGGTCGATTCAGCCTGCCCCTCTTCCGTTCGGTCTGTGGAGATGATTCGCTCATTCGGGAGATCATACGGGGCAGTCCAGAACTCCAAAACGCTTCAGGGTGAAGCTTGTGGGATGGAAGCGCGGCGAATCCGCCTTTGGTGAGGTCTCACACAACGCGAAGCATACGCTGCACGCGACCCCTTCAACCGCATCGCTGGGCGTTACAGTCGAAGGGACATCTCCGCAGATCTCTCGCTTTCGCTCGCTCTGGGAGATGTGTGTGCTCTGGAGCTGCTACATCCGGCGCTTGGGTTCATGAAGAAGCGAATCAGGCCGTAAACGCGCGCTCATGACGGCGCAACGAATGCACCGCGTCCAGAACAAAGCGCACTGGTCGTGTGGTTCAGCGAACTGGGCAGCACGACTACGCGATGAACGCTGACGCTGCTACCAGCGATGATTCACGGTGCACGTCGTCTGGCGAGTCAGACGCAACTGGAACGGATCATGGAGCAGTCGGCAGCATTGGTAAGACGTTGATCGGCCTAGGATCCGGTAATAGCGGCAGCGGTATTCGTTCTGCTCCGAGTATCGGGGATCGCTACTGCTTTATGCGACGTACGCAGTGCCAGGGCAAAGCGTTCGTGTGATTCTCGGAAAAACTCGCTCAGCGCGCGCGTATACAGCAGCAGCTGATGCTCGTGTGCGCATCTCCGCATCCATCGAGACGCGGTGCGCTGCAAGACCTCCACTGCACCGCCGATGTGCTGTGTACTGTCGCGTCCCGGAACGGGAACTTGACTCCCCAGTGCTGGAGATTATGGTGCATGCTGGTGCTGGTGCTGGTGCTGGTGCCGGTGCTGGATAACCGCTCCACTGGTTACCGGGTGCTGCGTTCGCATGGCGGTAGCCGTGTGCGTACTGCAAAGCCGCCTCTCGCTGTTTCTCTTCCGCGTACTTTTGGACTACTCGCAGGACATTTTCATCACAAAGTAATTGTAAACGGGTCTCTTCGTCTTTCACGAGCAGGAGATGCTGCAAGATAGCCTCATCTATCTGATTGCGCTGCAATAGGTCGGTATGTTGGCCTTGCGATGTAGCCGAAACAGGCGTGCCGCTCGTATTCGGTGGAATCGCTGACCAGAGGCTGGTCTCCAGGTGAGGCGGCTGTATCCGATCCCAGGGCTTCGTTTGCAATCGCGTTGGATCCAGCGTACTTGGGCCTCGTGTCCCGTGGAACGATGTCAATAGGTTTGCAGTCGTGGCAGCCGCTGGTGCGGATACGGTCGCTTCTGGTGTTCCCGCCGGTGCAAGCGCCCCTGCCGGTGTGTAGGAAAACGAGGTTGGAGCTGGATGCTCCACGCGATACTCTGGAATCACCCGCAGGCTCGGTGGTGGTGTCTGCCTGTCGAGCGAGCGCTCACGAGGTGGCGACGGCGGCATCGGTTCGTCGGGCACACCGGACGATAGCGACCCAGGCGAAACGACTCCAATGGTACCGCTTTGATGACTGTCCGCGTTGCGTGGAACGCATCCAACAGTAGAGCCGTTGGCGAGAACGTCGGACAGCTGCTCGCATTCGCCAGCTGCTCCCAGCGGACAGGAACTCTCGACATGTGGCGGCGGGTAGAATGTCGCATCCTCCCGCATTTCAGCAAGAACTTTCTGGCGATGTTGGCGTTTCTTTTGCATGAGACGACCCTCCTCTACGACCTCTGAGAATCCATTGCCTGGAGCGTGCGTCGATCGCTCTTTGGTCGCACTCGTCGCACCTGATTCCCCGTCCAATGCCAGTTCATCGGTATCAGCCACAATGCCAGCGAGGTTCACAGGGGCATGCGTGCGCTCGTCGGGAATATATTCAAAGGCATAGACTTGCACAAGCACAGGCTCTGGGGCGAAATGAACACGCTTTGATGCAGGTTTTCGAGCAAGTTTCGTCGATGATGCGTCAGCGGATGTTCGGATCCGAAGGGCTGGACGCGGAGCCTCCATTTTCGCTCGCTTCGCAGATCGACTGGTTATCGCACAAGTTGCTGCTGCCTCTTCTGGTGCTACGAATGATGTTGATTCGGCTGATGATGCTTCCTTTTCGGCGATATCGCCGGTGTGACCTGCATCACGCACGGTAGGTGTAGGTACATGATGCGTTGCTTCGTTCGCACATCGCTCGGGTATTGTTGCTCCAGGTGGTGACGTTGTCTCGAGGGCATCGGAGTGATGCATTCGCTCCGCTCGAGCTGCTGTTGCGTGTGCTGAAGCTTGTTGTGGCAAGAGCGACGCATCTGCGTCACTAACGTCGACGGTCGGCTGCGTACCTACAGATTCCGTAGCTCGAGCAGAAACACTTTGGGAAGCTTCATCAGAGGAGCTTGTAAAAGCCGGCAAAGCTGTGTCACGTTCTGGTCGTGGACGCGGTCGCTTACGTCCCGTTTTCATCGACGCGTCTGCCGAGGCGAAACTCGAAAGCGCCCCGACCGCCAGAGGCGTTTCGTGTTCCCCAACAGTCGACTGTGCTGGCTCTGATGTATCATCCTGGGATGCAGCGGCCTTTGCAGAAGCGTTACTCGCATCTGTATTCGCGTGAATAGATGCTTCAGTGGTACCAGGGTGACCGGAATCGGTTGTTTGGACTGGTGCATGCACGGCTACCGGTAGCGAACGACTCTCACCTGCCTCTGGTGTTTCTTCGGGCGCTGATGGCGTCGAGGGTTTTTCTCGGCCAGCTACCTGTTCCATTTCAGCGATTATATTCGCAGCCTGCTCACGCAAGGTCGCAAGTCGCTCGCCCCAGGCTTTTTCGGATGCGTTAGCGACGAAATTCTCCGCAGAAACGCCTTTGCTGCGTCCTAATTTTCGAAGCGCTTTACGGCCGTGAACCAGCGACTTGCTTTCCTCCAGAAAATCGACCACATCCTCTCTCTGCATCGACTTGACAAGGCACTTAATCACCTGCATCGACAGGTCCAGTAGGTCGACGATGTGTGGCTGCGCTGCCCGCAAGGCCCTTTCGATTAGCTGGCCGAGCACCGAGCGAAGTTTCGTCTCCTGTAGGAAAAAAGTGACACTCTCGGGATCTCGAAGCTCAGAGACCAGCGTCCGCAGCAGAGCCCGCCGAGTATCCCAAGTCTCTGCTCGCGACAGGGCCCGAACAAGCCGCTGGCCCGCTTGTGCGTCGCACGGCATGGAAGCGTGCGACGCAGTCAGAGCCTCGTGTCGACGAAGAGACTTGTTTCCACGAACACGGTAGGCGATTTGGGCAGAGCGAAAGTCCGTTTCAGTCAATGTCGAATGGAAAAGGACTAGACAAACACCGCCACAGGTGCGTCGAGGCTGCGCAGCCCAGCAGGCGGCGTTTACCCAGGTGATCAGTGCAAGTAGCGTTGCGGGAGCAGTGTCTCCTCCTTGAAGCGCGTGACAGCTGTCCAACAACGAGGGCCTTGAGCTGAAAAAGCCTGGAGCAAAATGCTCGCCCGATGCAGGAACCGGGGCGTACTGGACACTCCTTCACCGCCAAGTTGGTACGATGCTGGAGTATATGAAGAACGTAGTTCGAGCCAAGCGAGCTTCGCCCTGGGCGCTCTCTACAAATGAACCTGGACGCTGTGGTTCCTATCTGTATCTTTATGTATTTTAATGAATATAAGGGACAGCTTGCCAAACGCTGTTGCCATTGCGGATGACGCAATGCGCATTCGCCCTCGCACGATTGATGGTGTGTGGTCTCGTTATAACAGGTACATTTACGTATTTTTATGGACACATATGTACGATAGGCCTCGCGTCGGGGACTGCTCAGCTACGATCCCTTTATCAGCGCTTCTCGGTTGCTTGCATTTTCACTGACTCGGTACAGCATTGGTCTTTATCCAAAGAGGTGCGTCTGGAATCTCGAATCGTGCACTGAGAAGACGGCGATATGGCACCACATCGCCATAGCAAACGAGAAACGCTAAAGCACAAGTACAAAGTGCAGCGGAAAGTGGCGGAGCACAATCGACGAATGCGGCGCCTGGCTCGCAAGCAACGACAAGAAGGTATCATTAAAGGGCAGCGCAAGGCCCAGCGCGAGCTCGGTGTACCGAACCTCTACCCCTACAAGAAGCAGTTGCTGGAGCAGGCAGCGCGACGACTGGCCCTGCGATCGACGGTGACGGCAGAAGCGGGCTCCTTGGGCGAGTCGCCCGTGTCCGCTCCTGCGTTATCCGGTGCGAATGCACTCGGGAAGACTCCGGTGTTCCGCGAAGTTGCGCGCTCGAGGCGATCTTTTGCTGCAGCGCTTCGTCGTGTCGTGGAGTTATCGGATGTCGTTGTCGAGGTGCTCGACGCCCGGAACCCGCTGGAGAGCCGATCTTCAGCGCTCGAGCTGCTGGTACGTCACGAGGGTGCGCGAGCTGCTGGCGGGAAACGGCTGATATTGGTGCTCAGCAAAGCGGACCTGGTTCCACGTGAAGCTCTCCAGGCCTGGCTGTGTCGACTTCGGGCCGAGTACCCGACATTGGCGATGCATGAAGGCCTCGATCAGACTGGTCAGCACCGGGGCCCGCGGCAGCCAGGTAGCGCAGTACAACCAAAACAGCTCTCGCAGCTGGTGCAGCTGCTCAAGCTCTATGCGAAACGGCGTGCGGACAAGCAATCATCCAGCAGCACCATCACTGTAGGCATCGTCGGCAAACCGAATGTGGGCAAGTCAAGTCTACTGAACGCCCTCTGCCGTGAACAAGGTGCTGTGGCGACTGGCGCCCGTCCGGGTATCACCAAAACACTGCAGGAGGTTCGGCTTGATAGCAACATCCGGTTGCTGGACTCGCCTGGTGTTGTGCTGGACGATGTGCAGGAAATCGATCCAGCACCCGTGGTGGAGGTGGAGCAGACGAAAGCCGCGGGCTCACCCGAGCCAGTTGCCAATGCGACATCTGGCTCTCGAGACGAAAGTCGAATGGCGCTCGCTGGATTTCTCGCTGTTGAGGAGCTCAGCGATCCAGTGGCTGCGGCTCGCCTGGTACTCGAACGATGTCAGTATAACGCGGATGGAGCGCTCTCTCTACTCTACGAAATGCCTGCATTTTCGATGTGCGATATGGTTGCTGCAAACGAAGCTACTCGAGAGGAATCTTTTGCCACGCAGTTCTTGGCACTGTTTGCAAAAAGGCGTGGGTTGTTACGCAAAGCGGGAGTTCTTGATCTCGAAGCAGCAGCTCGAGTCCTGGTGCAAGATTGGGCAACTGGCAGAATCCCATACTATACGTTGCCGAAGCACGTTGGACTGCCTTCGTCGCAGCAGCTTGGAGCCCAGATCGTTTCAAACTGGGATAACGCTTTTGATCTTGATGTCTGCGAGCCTTCACCGAGCGCAGAAGAAGTTGTGATGGATGAGAATCCTGCTACCGACGCTGCCCCGCTATCGGTCGCTGATGTAGACGATGAAGTGGTGTTCCATGTCTGGAAGCATAAAACTCGGAGAGAAAGGCAAACATTTGCTTTGCCGCTTTCTCCTGGTGCTGCGGTTGAGAACGTCGCAGCTGATGCGGATCTCGAAGACTTTGAATTTTCCACGACATCGTGAACCTCGGAGATGAACAGGCCGGGCGCTCTTCACACACGAAGCCAGCTCTGTGCGGTGCAGGTCGCTCGCTTGTGAGTGTATCGCATATCTGCGGCACTTTATTTGTGTGTCTTGAGATCTGTGTGTCTATATGCTAGAGTATCAGCGGGTCGTCAGGCGCGTGTGTGGCTCCTCGAGCATGCGCTTCCCTGATCGCTCGACTCGGGGCCCTGCGGGCATTCAACATTCTCGACGCATCTGCGAGACGTGTGTCATGGATCCAACCGGCATTGCACCTAGCCGCTGGCAAGGCGCCTCTGAATCACTGGACATACGTAAGCATCGTGCTCGAGCTGTTGAGCTCTTTTCGAAGGGAATCTACCGACAACATGGCTTGCAAAGTCATCGGGGCGGGACCACACAACAGGGGCTTTGTTTGGACCCTCTTTTCAAAAACGCAACCAGAGACGGCACTTGGATGCATTCATTCAGCTTTCCGCACACGTAACAGGTTGCAGCTATGCACAAGCGCCTCGTACGCGACCGGTCATTAGCGAGATACCTGCGTAGAATCGCGGTCTTCGTAGAGAGCATGCGTTCCGTGCGACGCTCCAAAATGACAGCGTATTCTGTCCACGATTCTGCCTGCTCGTCATTTGGCTACAGACCGTCGGCTTTGTGAGCGCAAGCTGAAAGCGTTCACGCAATGCGCATGATGCATCATCAATACAACCAGCCAAGCAAGACGGGATTCCTGACCATGGACTAGATTTCGCGTCAGGGGAGTCTGTCGAAGAAGCAATGCGTGCGAGGAGGACGTGAGCCAATCACGATCATCCTCCATCCGCCCGGTCTTTCTCTGGGGTATTGAGTGAATGCTCAATCATTCGGAATAGAAGCCATGACGAAAAGCACCAAGAGACAAACGTGGGGTCACTGCAGCGGCGTGCATACCAGCCCAAGCGCTTGCTGGGGCAACCAGTGCTTGCTGAGCGAACGCTGCGTAACGCTCTTAGCGACAGCAGTTTTAGACTCGCGATCGGCAGTGGCACACTCGGCAGGTCTTTTGGGCGAAGGATCAGGACGCATCCGGGATGCACTACTGCACACCTGCGGTACCAGAGAGGAACGAGGTTCCCGGACAGACCGTATTCCCGCTAGTGGAGGGTGCCGTACCCGCGCCTCGGCAATGCCTAACGAGGTTGCTGTTCAGGACTTGAATCTCTAGAATGCTTCCTACAGATGACGAGACTTTGGACTCAGAGCAGCGCACTTGCAAGAACATGTATCAACACGGTAAACGTGTAATTGTTTGTTTTTCGCACAGGTATTCAAAACGTGGATTGTATATTATAGAGCGATGAAAGGTCGCGAGATGACTTTATGCTGGCTGGCTGGCTGGCTTCGGAGCAAAACGCCTTTACTTGTCCAGACCAGACATTGTGCGGACAGCAGACGTATGAGGTACCCCTCTCGTAGTGCGTTCCTTGAACGACTTGCACCGACCACAGCAAGTTTCAAAAGCTATCTACATGAGCGTCCCGTCTTTCATGTATTCCAGCCCGGATGATATCCATGACGTACCTCCAAAGAAGCCGCTGGATGAGAGGTTTTCGAACGGTTGATACAAATTGCGGTGAAGCGACACGAGTGAACGAAGAAGATGGCAGGCTACTACTTGTAGCTGCAGCACCTTGAACAGCGCACGATCGATTTCGCACTGCAACGCGAAAGTTTATTCCACCAGGGGCATATTGCCGTCTCAATGTATGAGACTTTATTCAGTAGACTTGGTAGATTTGTGTATGGATAATTCAAAACGGGGGCAAACTGCTGTTCATAGAAAAAAAGCAGCGGGGCTGTCGGTACTATTAGCCCTGGCTACGACTCGGTTATGTAGTTACTTATACATCGCCAAGAATTGTCTAATCGTTCAACATCGCATGCTGCGGGGAATCACGTTTTGCGACCTATTCGTTTCACGTTCTTCTTCACTGGCCTTAGACGTTGCCGCTTTCCATCACTATAATGTGGTCACGGAGTATGCAGATGAGATCGGCAATGAGCAGTGCTACGTGTGAGCGATGGCTCCCGGTTCCAATCGAGTAGGGGGTATGTCTGTCGGTCTCTGTGCTACGCCCGATCCAGCGGTTTGGGCGCTGTTTCGAACGCTCACGGCAGTCGCAGTGCACAATGGAACGTCGGAAAAGCAGAATGTCGGAGATGAGGCACGCGATGTGACTGGTGGAAATCGCAGAGCTGGTACGCAATGACGGCAGATTTCCCGGGTGTCGGTACTCGTCGTGAATTCCCGGATCATTGAGCCGTGAGCACATTCCATCGATCAGAACGAATTTGCGGTGGGTTGCTCGACACTTGCTGGCCTGGCGCCGGATAGAAACACAATTCAAACCAGTTTCTCATTCCAGCGTCTGTGCAGAATGGACTGCAAGAAACGGGAATAAACGTGTATCCGTAGTCGGGAAGACTGCGGCGCATAGTTTGTTTACGATCAATAAAACGAACGAAATTCCTGTTGAGTAGGGTGATGCATACCTCGCCCGCACAAGCGTAAGATACTACAATGGCTACGCTTTTGATACAGGCGTCGAGGGGTATCGTGCCAGGCCCCTGCATCCCCTTGTCTGTCGGGGCGGTACTGCGATGGGCAGTAGCGTCGGCACCAGCGACAGAACCTATAGCAAGAGTTCATTCTACGTGAGTTTCCGATGTACAATACGTTGTTTTGGCTGCAGTGCACCGGTGAGAGCACGCATGTGCCAATGCGGGGTGTCGGACACGTGTCCTTTATCGATCGGTGCAGCGTCTCGCGCGGTGCACGCATCGCGCTCAGTGCGCGCACCTAGGAGATCAGGCAGGCGTGAGACACGACGCGCATGCCGCCGTTGAAGGGAAACGTAATCGTGATCAGCAGCGTCTAGCTCTCGTGTTAAAGTTGTATTTTCGTTGACTTTATGGGCAAGTATAGTTTTCAGTTCAATTGTGTTTGAAAACTCAAACAAGTGTATTCTAGTGTTTTGTCGCAGTATATAAGAGGAGCGTTCAAAGAGGGTTCTTTTTCAAAAAAAACTAAACAAGGAAAGTTATGAAAAAGCAAGTCGACGATCCTGGAGGCCCAGTGTCGCCGGCTGCCAGAAAGAAAACAAAACACAGTGCCGAGTCCAGAAGAAGAGGAGAAGAAAAAGAAGCAAAAGGAGGAGGCTCTACGTCGAGTGCTGCAAGAAAGACGAATGTACGACGAGAAGGTGGTGAAAGCTGGTCTTCTTGGATATATCAAGGATCCGTACAGGGAAAATTTGCGAGACGCTATCAGAAAACGTGTCGACTCGTACTCCAAGAGTACTGTCAAGGCGTCGTCAGGACTGATGCACTCGGCGAGGGAGATGTATCGCGACGTGACGCACATGCAAACAGTCGAGGTCCCAGACGAGTTGTTCGACACGACCTTTATTCGATACTTGATGCTCGGTACAGGGGAGATGCGAAGGGAAAATGAGCGAGTGCACGCCCTCTGCCAAAAATACTCCTTCTACAGCTTCGAGGGCACTCGATACAGGGTTGACTCGTGTATTTACGAATACGGAGCGATAAAGTACCCCACGAACCTGAATAAACATTTGACCGTGAACCTCGAACGTTTCATGATACGCGCCGTGTTTGCACTCTACCCGGGCATCTCTCGCAAAGCGATATGGATCATCATCGATAGCATCAAAAACGATAGTAAGAATGAACAGGTGATCGAATTTGTTCACGAGAAGACATTATGCAGGAAAACGAATGAAGCTTCTGTAATCCGTGCGGCTATACAAGAGCACCGTGCAGCACTGGGGCTTGCGAGTCCAGCAGAAAAGATATCAGAGTTGAAAAAAGATAAGAAAAGATACCATCGCCTCGTCCTGCGCTATTTCGTGTTTTTGGACCGAGAGCTCGAACGCAAGGCGGAAATGAAGCTGAGTGAAGAGACAAATGAATATTGGGAGAGACGGAAGCCTGTCCTAATAGGGCAGCGCTTCAACGTGGCTCCAATGTCCAATATCAAGTCACATTTCCTGACGATCGATTCCGGCGTCGTTCATGGCATCATGAGGGAGATCAGTCCCGAGTTCAATGTTAACAGGGAGGAGTTCTCCGGCGAAAACCGGGAGACGCACTGGAAGAATATCTTCGATTCCAAACGTCTGAGAGTGAGCAAGCAAAAGTTGTTCACTGAAATGATTGAAACCGATGGAGTGGCCTTGTGTATACACTATCGGCGGTTGAAGAGAGATCGGCCAGTCCCTCCCTCGGCCGCGCCCGTGACGAAGGATGAAGAAAAGGAGGAGGCCGGTCCTGCGACACAGGAGGTAGACGATAACGACCTTGTCGTTGGCGCGGCGGAGCATGAAGATGAGAAGGAGGCGGATCCTGTGATGCAGGAGGTGGAGGATAACGGCCTTATCGTTGGCGCGGTGAAGCTTGATGAAAACAAAAAGGCAGATCCTGCCACGCAGAGAGTGCAAGATAATGACTTTGTCGTTGGCGCGGACCCTGGGAATACGAATATCATCACCATTGCAGCACCCAAGCGTGCGGAAGATGGTGCTGATGGTAACTTGCGTCAGAAAAACATGCGTCTTTTGAGGTTCTCGAGAGCGAGATACTATCGAGAATCGGGAATGATGAATGCAAGGAAGAAAATCGAGACATGGAATGCAGGAATGAAGGAGCACCTGGACGCTATGAGCGAGGTGACGAGCCGAGGAGCGGACTTTGAAGCTTTTCGGGAATTCATGGAACTTCGTGTTGCGCATTGGGATGCACTGTGGGAGCAGTATACCAAGCCTCGGTTGGCTCGTCTGCTTATGAATCTATACGGGTAGAGGCAGCGGGCATTTGCGAACTTTTTCAATCAGTTGAGCGCCCTCAAAGAGGATCAAAGTCAGAGGCTGGTAGTAGCATACGGGGCAGGGCGCTGGGCGCCCAAGAAAGGCACTACGCCAGCTCCATCGACGAGAACGTACAAGGAGTGTGCGCGGCGTTTTGTTAAAATTCCTGCAGATGAGTTTCGAACATCGTATACACATCATGAACTGGGATGTACACTTCAGACGGTGGAGATAGAAAAGTGCCAACGGAGTCCTGAGGAAATAGCAAAGTACGGACCGCTGACGGAAGAGCAAATGGAAAGAAGGGCGAAAGTGCGAGGGCTACTCGCATTAGTAAGTACAACCAGTGATGGAAAGAAACGGATGGAGTCTGTGAATCGAGATTGTAACGCCGCTATCGATATAAGGAAATGTGCGGTGCTAGAGAAAAGACCTCCAGAATGGACAAGAGAGAACTTTATTGGACAACCTCTCAAAGTCGAACTATATGAGAAGAAGTTGGAAGCAGTAGTGGGTGGCCGGTCGCAAAAGTCTGGGAGGCGTCTACACCTCGGATGAAAGCGTTATGTCTAGGGCGGGTTTCTCGCCACTAGTGTGCACGGTCGGCATCGTTCGACTGCGTTTAGGTTCTCTCTTTTGCAAATGAAACACATCCTCCATCAGACTTGCGAAAACGACGCAGCGCTCCTTGTCGTGCGAAGGCGTTTCCGCGCTCGTGCCTGCAACGCTGTACATACCCGTGTGTCTACAGAGGCCGGCGCCATGCAACCGCCCTGGCGAGCAGCTGTTTATCCGGAGATGCTTATAGCATCTTGAACTCGGAGTCGAGCTTCGTTTTCCGTTGTGCGCAGATGGTGGCGTGGTCACACGATGCAAGCTGCCGCCGCCGCCGCTGCTGCAGTCGTCGAGGTGCTCGGTCCCGAAGAATGCCCAGTCTGACCCGCATTCCAGGTCGCAGCGCTCGCTGGATCCACAAAGCGAGTTTCGAACGCTTCTCGCTCTGCCTCGTAGTCGATGAGCACTGTTTGCCCCTCCTTGCCAGGTAAATCAAACTGACAATCAAGGAGCACCCGTTCCAAGATACCCCGAAGACCTCGTGCACCAACGCCTTTGTGAACAGCCTCGCGTGCCACTGCCCGCAGCGCTTGATCCGTAATGTGCATATCGACGCCACTCATGCGAAACATCTCTCGAAACTGACGCACGAGTGCATTGCGCGGCTCGGTGAGCACCTGGACCAACTGCGGTTCAGTGAGCGCCCGGAGATTGACAACGATCGGGAGACGTCCCACAAACTCGGGTACCAGTCCGTATCGAATGAGGTCCGTTGACTCGACATGATCCAGCAGTGCATCGTCGACAGCGTCGGAAGCAGCCACATGCGCACCGAAACCAATCGAAGTCGCTGCTAGTCGATGACCAACGATGCGCTCCAGGCCGGAAAACGCACCGCCACAGATGAAGAGGATGTTGCGCGTGTCCATGGGAATGTACTCGGCACGAGGATTCTTCCGACCGCCTTTCTCCGGTACATTGACGATCGAGCCTTCCAACATTTTCAGTAGGGCCTGCTGGACGCCCTCGCCGGATACATCGCGAGTGATGCTGGGGCTCTCTGACTTGCGCGAGATCTTGTCGATCTCGTCGATATAGACAATGCCCCGTTGGGCCAGATTCAAGTCGAAATCCGCTGCTTGGAGCAAACGGTGCAGAATGGATTCAACGTCCTCGCCAACGTAGCCGGCTTGGGTCAGGGTGGTTGCGTCCACCATAACAAAAGGGACCCGGCACTTGCGCGCCAGGGATTTCGCCAGCAGCGTCTTTCCGGAGCCGGTCGGCCCCAGCAACAGAATATTCGACTTTTCGAATTCGACGCAGTGATCGAGGAGGCTGTTGAGTGTCAACGATGCAGCCGATGAGGCATCACCCATTCGGTACGGAAGCGAACCAGGCATACAACCGGCGTTGCCAGTCCCGTAGGAGGCCGCACCGGGCGTCGAACTGCGCAGTTCCAGAATCGGCCCAGGGCGGCTCTTGACCGACTCCCGTGACGTCGCATGTGCGTCATCTGCACCAGTCGACTCATGGATGTATGGGGCACGTGTTTTCGTGCTCGCAGTCAAGTCGAGGTCACTGCTTCGAAACGCTGCTTCCGTTAGGTCGTCAAGCACAATCGGGCGGCGAGACATGTTCGACTCCGCCGGGGATGCCTCTGCATCACTGTCGAGCGGCATGCGGCGAGGACGAACGTTTCCCGATGACCACGAGGATGACGGGTTTGCGTTACTGCTGTCGATGGAGTGGATTGCTGGAGGAACGCGTGTACCAGCACCCGATGTGCGTCGTGACCCATGCATATCCGACATCATCATCAGCAGAATGCGCCCTGCGGAGGACTGGAGCGACGGTTTCCCTGAAATCGTTTGGGATGTGTTGCCGCTGGTGCTCGTGCTACTGCTCGTGCTACTGTTGCTACCACTGGTACTGTTATTGCTCAAACTCTCTTCGAAACCGGGCCAACCAAAGCGGGTGCTGGTGGTATTCTCGTTTTCGCTGGTGCCACCCATGCCCACGGTTGAAGCAGCGGAGGCAGCCCGCACGCGCTCCATCAGTTCACTCGCGAGCACCTTCTTATAGTGATTATGGGTGGCGACTGCCAAGACGCGTTTCGCCTTTTCCTGTCCTATGCAGTACTCGTTCAGGTGGTCGAAAAGCGCACGCGGCGTCGGGAGCGCCGCAACCCGCTGTCTCAGGAGCCGCGTATAGGTCGCCATTAGGTGACCGTCCCGCACTGCAGAACCGTAACGAAACTCGTCGGCGTCCTCCCAGCTTCCTGAACGAGTACCGCTTGTGCTCAAGCACTGGACACCGCCCTGGCGCCGACACCGGTGAATGGTACCGACTGCGGCCAAACGAGGCTCCACTGACTTTTGTCCCAGAGAGCACCAGGCTTTCCAGTCTACCAGATAACTCCGTTGGGAAAGCACCGCATCGACCCGAACCAACGACATTTCCTCTGACAAGTGCAAGCACACACAGACACAGCCACAAAAGCTCGCGCTGACCTGGCGCTGCTGAAAAGCCGTTTACTCAGGAAACGTTGTGCAGGCGCGCCGCGGGATCGTTGCCGCTCAACGGGCTCGAGGTGCACTGCCGGCGGACGCGTGGCGGCGTTCTCCGCACGAGATGATGATGATAACGATGATAATGATGATGATGATCACGGGGTACGGCTGCGGCATCCTCCGCATCTGGGGCAGCGTAGGGCGCGCGGTGAGCGGCCTGCGCGCGATCCGCCCATCGATGATGCTGGTGCCCCAGCGCTGTCTGTGTGCTGTTTCCGACCTATGGATCGCAATGGAGAAACTGAAACTCATGAGACATGAATGTATATTACAGTCATGCGTGCGCAAGCTCGGCGCTGACCAGCGACGCTGCCGGTGCTGCGCAGCGTCCCCTGGAGCGCGCGAAAGACGCTCTGTCTTCGAGTTACATCGGCATGAACAGTGTAGGTGGTATTGTGGATGCAGTGCGGCAGGTGCTCGGTGCACAGTGGAACGCATGAAACGACCAGTAGATTCGCGGGGCAGTATTGGTCATGGAACGTGAAGGTGGAGTGCAGCATGCAGGGCGCTTTCCCGGATGCAGGTATTCATTACGCAAGCCGGGACCCGTGGTCCACGGAAACCTTTTGTTTAACGAGAGAAATTGACGGTGCAAACCAGCACGCGATCCTCGTCTGCTTTGCCTCGCAAAATGGGAGTAACGACATGCGGGTATATCAACAACACGTCGCTATCTTGCTGCTACGTTCCGGATATTCATTCGTTTGCTTAACTTACCACCATTCGATCATCGAAATTCGCTTGAACAACAACACGTCGCTATCTTGCTGCCACGTGTTTCCCGCTTCGCATATTACAACGCACCGTATGGCAGGCGACGACGCTGTGCCGCTTATGCAGTCAGTACCGCAAGGATGCCCAGACCTGCGGCAGGCACACAACGCGCATGACGCGCTAAACTTGCAACTAGAGCATCTTCCAGCGGCTAATGAATGCCCCAAAGAACAGGTCCAGGGAACTCGTGGCGGCCGCGGTTGCATGTGCACATGCTGTAGTAGCGCGGAGGATTGCGGTGCGCTCGGTGCTGGTTGCCTGCGCACCCTGCCACCAGTGCAGCCACCACAACTTGTCCATGGCATCTGTGCGAGAACACGTAGCACGCGGCCGCCTTGCCTATGTGAAACCGTTCATTGTTTACGGCCAAAGTTTCGAAGAAAGATGGTGAACCGAGACTCGCTGAAGCACATCGTTTCTTTCTCCAGACCAGTACGGAGACGATGTCGCGACGTTCATGAGCTGAACAACTCCAGCAGTACCCAGGATGCTCCGTGGCACCCTTGGAAACGCGGGCCATTGCCGCTGACGTTGCGAAGACGCCAGGGTCCGCATCCGCACGCCAGCGAGCAGCGAACTCTAGACGTGCTATTTTCAAGCAGGCGCTGGCTACAAGAGACCGCATCCCGGTACGGGCGCTTCGCTTCAGGCCAGGTAGTGATACAAGCTTGGGTCCTGGGGGTCGCGCTCCAGATACTCGCGTGCAATCAAGCTTTCAATCCGTTCCTTGATAGAATGGACATCCGGGGTAAAGCGGGTACTCAGCGCATTCTGGACGCCCGCCACAAGCTTCTGGTGCGCAAACTGGCGATGCATCTTCATGATGCGCACAATGGTAGCCTCGAGCAGCGGTACCTGATCATCGTGCCCGTTCTGGCGTGTTGCCTGGCACTCCTCTCGCTTGAACCCGTCCGCAAGATAGGCAAACGAAAGACGCCGTTGCTGCGGGTCGAAATACCGGTTCAACTGGAGCGTATCGGTGGGGCGTAGCTCCGCGCCCGCCGGCGACTTGATGAATAGGCAATGCTTCTTGTTGCAGAGTGAGAGTACGCAACGCTTAAACAAGTCCAGAATTTCCGGGGCTTGGATATTCAGCGCGTCACAGATCTGCTCGAAGGTCATCTCATTGCGATCCTCAAATAGTAGCAACATGCATAACTGGTACGTATTCAGTTCAAGTTCCACCTGGTCATACCGCGTCATATACGGGAACGCAGCTCGTGTGCACTCCACGAGCCCTTTGCTGAGTACGTGAATCCAACGTAATTGGCGATACTGCGTCTGATGTGCGTAGAAACATTCGTATTCTGTGAGGCAGGATGCCAGCGCCGGCGGCAAACGGAGATCATCGTCGCTGGGAAAGGACGGCCAGATGCTCGTGGTCGTAAGAATCGCTTGGAAGACGGGCGTATGCGACGGGGTCGCGTGCTCCAAGGTGACCGCACCGGTTGAACGCTGCCGTTCCCTATTGTCTAGGATAGCGTTCCATTGGTTGAAGCGCTCCTGGAACCTCAGCGATGTGCGCATATCACGCAGCATTCCTTCAACGCGTGCCGTGAACAGGGGTCCAATGACCGCCTTGAGCTCCTCGACGAAGGTGATCTCCAAGTCGCGCGCAATGCTCAGATCGAAGATCAACCGTCTGCACAAGAGGAATTGATACAAATCGGCAAATACATCCTTATCGTAAACGTACTCCAGCAGTTGTACGATAACTCGGAGGTGTCCACTCAAGTCCGCTCCTGGTGGTTCGATCATGTAGATGCGCTGGAGAACTCGGTCCACGTAGGATGCAAGCAGCTTTGGTATCATGCTCATATCCCGTGGATTATTCAAAATAGACTCAAACGCCATTCGAAAGTGCTGGGAGAAAACCTCGTGATTTTCAAAGCACGTTCGCAGAACAAGTTGATATGTTTCATGCAGGTTAACAAGCTCGCGGACCAGCCACATACCGGCCTGTTCCGTTGGTGAGATCTCTGCCTCAGGGCCGCAGCTAGCATAAGGTGCATCAAACTTTGGTGACAGGACACAAGAGAGCGCGCTTGACATGGGCCCTGTTTCCTGCTTCTCGCTACCGTCTGCGTGTCGCTTTCGTGCGACCGAGCGGTCCGAGTCTTCATAGCCAACACTATCGCCGTTTGGATTCATTTCAGTGGTGATTGCGTCATAATGCGCAAACAAGGCCGCGCCTTCGGCTTCGGCGCAGCGCGCAAACTGTTGCGCGATGGGTCGCAGCGCACGCTCTTGGTGCGCCTGGGACTCAGGAACGAGGCGACCACTCGCGTTTGATCGAGCAAGCCCGCCGTTGCCGTCCATCGGTTGCCCGCAAAGCTCATGTATCCACTTGCCACTGTAGAGCCAGTACACCCTTTTGAGGTCATCAAACTGCCGTTGAGATAAGAGTGCGACAAATCCAGAGGTCTCCGCAGCAAGCAGCTTCTCCTCGTGTGCTAGCAAAATCACGTTCTCGATGGCATCCTTGACGCGATCCATTGATGACGGGTGCAGCACTGCCTGCGCGATAGCGATTTCTTGGCGCAAGGCTGCTTCTGCCTCTCGCATGTACTCGGGGAAGGAGCAATCTCGCAGCCAGCGTTCTGACGCCTCCGCGTAATGGGTCTGAAACGCTGCCAGATAAGGGGTTTCTATTTCGTCCGTATAATAGGAGACCCAGTCCGTTGCCGTGAAGACAACCACAGCCGAGTGGATGAGCGCCCGATCCACGACTTCTCCACTGCGGTCTCGGGCAATAAGTGTCAGGATCGCGGTTCGGAGTACGTCGCGCATCTTGTCCAAAACCTTGGTGCGGAACAAAATTCGACCCAAGTGTTCCAGAGGAGGTGGTCCGTTCTCCTTGTCCGTATAGCAACGGTCTAGATAACTGAATATCTTGCACACAAACTGCACAAGATGCTGGTATGCCATCCACCATGCACAGAACGCATGCAGCAGTTCTTCAATGGATGTGATGCTCGCGCCCGCACCGTTGTTTTCCTCGGAGGTATCAGACACGTCGTCGGAAGCCATATCCATGAGCTCGATTCCTTGTAGACTCCCCTCTTCCATGGACTGGTGACTCACCGGAAACTGGTCACGGTCCGAGTCACCCACGGTGCTTTTCGAATGACTGAAGTGTGAGCTCTGAGTATCCATACTGGTGCGAGCTCTGCCAGCTCGCAATGCTGAACGCCCGCTGCGTGCCTCTTCCAGTTCACGCATTGGCGAGCAGCCGCTCGGTGCGTAAGACAACATCGCCGACATTGCTCGGTTGGCACCTTCGCGAGTCGGTATTCGCCTTTCCATGTCTGGAAGAATCTTACTCGTACAGAACGCCCCCATCTCACGCTCGACTTGCTCGTAGAGCGCCCGTTTCACTGCACAAGGCCCTGGTTTTGTGCACAGGAGGAGCACGGTTCGGTACAGCTCCATCCAAACCGAGGCACTGAGGATGCCCCGCGGCGCCGGCACGTGAACCGTGTGTATCGTCGGCCGCGTTAACGCGGACTGTCGAGTTTCTGCAAGCGACCGTGAAGGCTCGAAGTCGTCGGCAAGGTCTCCACCGCCAGAGGAAACCGGCGAACCAGGCGGTGCAGACTCTTCCCCAACCAGCTCTGCTTCGCGCGTCTCGTGAAACGGCGCCGTACTCACCGCGTGCCGGGATGCCGGCGGCGTTGTAAGCGCCGCCATGACACGCTCTACAAGCGCCCGCTCCAACGGCTCAAAGCCCTTCTGTACAAGGGCACTCCAGTCTCGCCGAAACTGGAAGCGTAGGGGCTCACTGAACGCATAACTATCGAGCACCGCGAGCAGCTCGTTCGTAGCCTCCTCAGCAGGCACCGCAGCCGACGCAACGGTTGAAACGGACCCTGTCGTTTCAAAGTCGACGTCGTCGTCATCACCTCCAACAGGTCCCCTGCTACCTCGCTGCCCTGAGGAAACGTCACGAGATCCCAAAACCTGACGCCCAGCTCGTGCCCGACGACTGTACGTAGAGTCCATGGTATCCGTACGAACACTTCCAGCGCGTGTACGACGTTTCTAGTTTCGCGCGTGCCGCGCTAGCGACGCGACAGCGCCGGATGCGCCTACCGATCGAACTGCATGTGTGAGGCGCGCACGGATCATCACACGCCGCGAGCGCTCGCGAAGCGCAGCATGCGCGCGCGCAACGCAGTGTCCATCTTAGATCTGAAACAAAAATGGACATTGACCCAGACGGAGGCACAGGCGCGGCATCCGTGGTAGTGTGCTTTCGTGCAGCGCCTGGCGAGCGCATCTTCGATGTTGTTGTTGCTGTAGTTGTTTGGACATAACTATGGCGCACAGAACAGAGATCCTCGATTGCGCTCATCGATAGGGGAAAGTGTCCATCATGATTCACGCTAGCTGCAGGTTCCACGATCGCTGGTCGACTGCGGAGATCCTGGCTATTGTCCAGGTCCTATCGTGCATCGAATGCCTGCCTTGAGCGTTCGTGATAGCGCGTATAGCGCCGGTGCGGAAGTACAGCACGGAGGCGTCGATGCGTGTGCGTGGCGCCGGCAGCCGCGCGCACCCACACGAGCAGCGTCCGGTTGGATGCATCGCTCTGCGGACTCTGGCATGCCATGGGCGCTTGCGCATGAATCGAGCGCTCTGCACTGGGGTTTGAGGCGTTCAAGGCAGGCGCTCGACGCTCGCTGGAACATGCGATATGAGCGGTATCTCTGAGGGGACCGATGGGTAGCGGCTCGTGGAGCCTGCAGGTATGGTGCGGAATGATGGACGCTATCCTGCATGTCGATATGGGCCATGCAATCGCGCGGATGCGTGGTGAATGTCAAGCTTCTGTCAAATACAAAAAGTTGGGCAAGATGCATGCTCCCGAGGTGTGCGCAAAAGCGGCAATAACGCGCTCCCACGACGCCGGGATCCAGGTCTTGTGTCGATGTAATTGAGTGCATCAACGAGATGAGCGGCCCGCTTGCGCAGTTCACAGCTGTGTTCCCAATTGGAATCGATCGCGCGGGATGCATGAAGCGCCGCCTCGAGTCGTGAAGAAAGAGCATGTACCTCAGGGATTTCGTACCTGGGGCGACTCGCCTGATGCGAACGCCGGCCTCGAATCCTCGGCACATGCGGTTTTGGTACTGCATCCATGTGAAAGTAGTGGCTGCTGTTCGCTTGCGTCTGATATCGCATATTGCAGGGATACGCGCGCCGTAATGATGCATGTACAGTTCAGATGGAGGGAACTTTTAAAAGCTTGCTTTGGCACTGTCTCACTGAGTCGACACCCGCAAAGTCTTGGCGAGGCGGTTCCATGTCCCTGCGGCAGCAGCACCAGCAGCACTTGCCGAATGGACGCTCGACAATCTTATGATCATCAGAGGGATTGATCGTGTCCTCCACAGTGAAAGTTGAATCGGGCATTTCTAAAGAAACTGTGGTCTTTATCCCTGGTAATTGGCAATATTTACGAAGCCGACAGCATCCAATGAGATGCACAACCCCTACCCCGCACGAAAAAACACTGCTTTACGTCCAGATGTTCACAGTGGCGTCCGGGAACGTGCATGCAGGGTAAGCACTTGGAGGATCCGATGAGGAATGATGGCTCCACAGTTACAAGCTGATAACAATTGCGGAACCGGGGATCCCTCGTTCGTCCCAACGGCCTTATACGATGTAATAATGCTGGGTAGGCACGAGCGTCTCGAACTGCGCTCGACACTGGAGCTCGACCCAGCCGAGTGCGATGTCAATGTTGCTCGTTGGAGATCATCGCCAGATCACAAGTGGACTACCCGTTTGGACATGGTGGTGAACGAACACGCACAACGCTGGCTCGTAAGCGTAAACGAACGTGAACTGAGGCATCCGCGACGAGTGCTTCCTCCAATCCTTAGGGCCAAATTGATTCTTTGTAACAACAGGGACACTTTTTCTGAACTGGTCGCTCGCGAAATTTATCCTCAGTGGGTATACCCAGTTCCGGATACCTAAAGGAATAGAGGATACATCCGATATGCGTTGAATCGTGCGACTCCGGCCGCATCAAGATACGGCAGGCTAACGCGCTGACGAAGACATCTCGAGCGCAACGCTACCCTGTGCAGAGAGGCAACTCTGCGAAGATGATTGCTTTCTTTGGTTCGCAAGGATTTTCAACTGATGCGGGTGTAGATCCTTGGAGTTCAAATTCACCAGTCGAGTAGCACGCGTCAAGCGCCTCAAATCCATCAAGTTCGACGTGAATCGGGCTCCAGGGCGAGCTCGACGGCTTTAGTGTACAAAGCGTCCTCTAGAAACCGGCGACGCGTGCAGTGATTCCACTCTGTAATTGAATGACATGCATGTACTGTTGTTCGAACCTAGGGTACAAGTACCGCTCAGGATGAGATTCGGCGGAATCACCACCCGCTCTGAGTGCTCGGGAGTTTTCTGTATCCCCTGCACTGAGGTACATCGAGGATCCTGGGCCGGATCAAGCACACTCTCTCTGGACCAAGTGTCGGAACGCGTCCTTGATTCACATCGAGCATACCTTCTCGCAGTAATCGAGGAAGCGACAAGCCCCGAGGGCGTTTCGCTTGGAAGAGCATTCATTACGCCGCCTCGGCTCAGTAGCGCGACCTCTGAGCTACGCATTCTGAAAATTGCAACGCCATGCCGCGAATCCACGTAGCGGTTCGATGCCCTGACTAACAATGTCATCGTTCGGTGTCAGCGACCTGATGGTGCCGGTGAAAACGGAACGCCGTCGTCTGCACACCATGGTTGTCGTTGTCGTTGTTGTTGGCATCCATTGAAGCAGTGCAGTTTTCTGCGGCTTTTTCCGAGTATGCATCAGATTCGCTCAAACCGGGATATAAGAGGGCACCGCCAAAGCGCTTCAGCCCGAGGCACGTACGCATGTCTCCAGAAATTGCAAAAAGCTTCTCTGGGATGGAGAGCATTACCCGGATCCGAACCGTACGCGGCAGCGTCTAATCGAAGCCTAGGGGTCTGGCATCTCCCTGCGTGTCCGCGGCACCAGCTGCGGAATTCAAATAACACACTTGACCAATGACACCGAAGGAAAGCATTCCTCTGCCCAGTTACCAATCAGAGAACTCGCTGGATGTGAAGCGTACCCGTCTCGAGCTCGGCCGAAGCCACAAGGCACGCCTACTCCACTGCGAAGATCATCAGAACCACACCTTGCCTGGGAATCGGACAACCGCCGTGGTCGGCACATCACGAGACGTGTGCTTTTCGCAAACAACTTGCCATAGCAACTTGTCTCGTGCAGTTAATCGCTTTCCTACCCCATATCAAGGGTAACAGCGGCAACACCATGCGGCGGTATGAGGCCAAACTCCGTGATGAGTGCGTCTACAGCTTCCGCTGGTGTCACATCATAGTACAGGTGCAAAAGTTTCAGATTTGGATAGCGTTCGCGCCAGTCTTCACCCAGCGGTGGTTGGATGCCACCATTCTGACCTACCTGGGAAGCATTGGGCCGCATCCAGGTGCCCCATGTCAATTCATCCGGATTTCCCAGCTCATTCAAGCAAATTGAATCGATCAAGACTCGTTCGCTAAACTTGAGCGATTCACAAGCAACTGCTACGGGAATACGCTCCTGCTTCGCAAGGGAGGCAACACTGGCCGTCCCTGCTGCAGCCAGCACCGCACCGTTGCTGAAACAAGCTTCCGCGCCGAGCAACAAGAGGTTTGCCTCCTGAACCAGCATCGGTGCGCCCTGAAGCAAACCGTACGTACACTGGGCAACGCCACCCTGGAGCAGACGATGCACGAGCGCGCAACCGCGATGACGCGGTCGAGCATCAAGAACAATCACCCGAAAGCGACGTTTGTGTTTCTGCACAGCTCGCAGCAAGATACTCTCGACCAAGAAGGAGGCATCATAGGTCATTACGACATCTCCGTCGCGAATACGATCCGCCCCTGCGTCGAAGATCGTCTCCAGCGCGAGCACCACCCGTTCTTCAATGAAGGCGTCGATGTCGTTTATGATTTGCTGCTGGAGCTCAAGGAAGCTCTGCGCTAGTGCTTGTATACCCAAACGACTCTTCACAAAGCGCACAGCGTTGCCCATGGCGATTGAAAGCGGTCGCGAGTCCACGAGAAACTGAATATGGCGATTAAGCGCACGCTCGAGCTCTCGCCTGGTCTCGGTGATACTCTCTGTTCCAGAATCCGACACTTTCACTGGCATAGAAGCTGCTGCGTCCGTCGCTGGTGGTAGTGTACTTGACGAGTTCGTCGGTTCAAAGTCCGCGATCATTTCGCGTAGTGCCAACAGCAGCGCAACGACTCTCGCAGAGCCGCCCTGTACCACACCGTGCGCGAGCTGCTGGCCGAGTCTCACCACCCTCGGATGCAAGCCGCTAGTTTCCACAAAGCTGACTTGTGTGGCGTCGGGCCGTAGCGGCTCCAACTGCGGCAAGTGTGCAAAGAGCGGCACCAGACGCTGAGCTGGTGCGCGCTTCAACACAGCTCGCTTCTCGGCCTTTGCGACTGCGTCGGGATCGTCGTACTGTAGTCGCTGCTTCGTTCGTGCTCCACGCGAAGTCATGACAAGGATCTGTTCGCTTCCAACTAGGCGTGCAAGCGCGACGGTTCGCAAGCCGCGGCTTCGCTCACAAAGCCGCCTCAACCATCGGTGGCTGAGTCGCGTCGACAGCTTCGCGGATTGGTGGCACCCACAGTACCTTCGCTTGAAGTTCAGGTCTTTTTTCGTGACAAGGCTGCTCTTGGACGGCTTTGCTGTCACTTCAAGGTATTACCACACGAGAAATGACTTTCTGAGGCCCGTTTTGATTCGGGACTCTAAGCGAGGCTTTCCGGGGGAACGCACCAACGACACCCCCACGAGACGACGCCTGGGGCGGCGGACTTGGCTTCGAGTGCGGAGTGTGCTGGGGTAGCCTCGCTGGGCCTACTGGTGTGCCTGGACAAGAACTAGAGCACGAATATTGGGCGTGGGTGCTGCGGACCTGTCTGCCGGAGAGAAAATAGATGCCCTGGAAGCTGGACGGGACGAGAAAGCACCCAAGTCCAGGCACTGCAGCAGATCACGAGGTGAAGCTGCGCACCAACTTTGAGACTCTCCGCGAAACATATGGCCAAAGCAATTATACGTTCTCCCCAACAGAAGAGGTTGACGTTCAAAAGCACGAGCGCTTGCGGAAACGAGAGCGCTTGACCCTGGCTAAGCGCACGAGCTCAAGGCGTTCGTTCCGCGTGCCGCCAGTGGGTGCTCCGCCAAATGCCCCGAGGAACATACGTCCGATAATTTTGTTTATGACTGCTTTTACGCCTCGTCTACAGAATGGAGAATTGAATTCGAGAAGCGTGGGGACAATAGCATCTTCGCCCGCCGACTAATAACCGGATCAGTCTATGGTATTCGTTTGTGAATATCGCGATGCGTTGCAGCAGCGTTCCCGGGAGCCGGATACGTTCTCGAGGATGCTCGGCACCAGAGAAAGCGCTTCGTCACAGATTGCGGCACCATGGCTCCCGAGGAGAGCCTCTTCGTCAGCTCTATTGCCCACAGGCATCTCCTCCAATTCGCCTCCGACGCAGCATGGATGTACCGCACCAGCCGTGCTTTGCTCGGAGTTCAGTTTTCTCGCGAGGTCGCCCTGCAGTCACCTGACTTGGTCTTATCGCTTCGCGATAGCTGGCCCGTTTTCACCTCGCGATGCGATCCACGCTGGAGCTCCCGACTGTCGAGGTTGCAGATGCTGTCCTGGCTCTAGCGTGGATCCCTCCGATTCAGAGGCGTGCTCCTCAGCAGCTAACGCTGTCTCACTATAGTATTGCTTACCACCCGAGAGCGTAGCGAGCATCCGCAAGAGTCCCGACGCGGCATCGATGTCGCCAGCAGTGCGCGCCTGGCGTTCTTCCATGGCGGGCCAGTGTGCGCGTGGCACGTAGACGCGACTGCGGTCTTCCAGATGACACGTCCGTAGGCCTACCTCGATCGCAATGACCCAACTGAGCGCTTTACCCCAACCACAACTGTAAAGATGAGGCTGGTCAAGGGCTTCCTCGCAGGGGTCTGCATGGATCCAGGTCTCCCTCGATTCGCTCCAAAACTCTGTCCAAATATGATCTTCAAAGTCGAAGACGAGTCGAACACGAGGCACCGAGCACGCACAGAGGGCTAACGCAAACGCCTGGGCCCATTCTCCGCATCGGCCGCGTCGGCTTTCGGTAAGTAAAAACAGCGCGTCATTGTACCGGGGAAAGCGTACGAGCGCCCCGCAACCTCGCTCGTCCGTGGGACACTCGTAGACCTCTACGCGCTCAGCTGCATGCAAAGCTTCACTGGCGGCCGGCAGGTCTACGCCTTTCAAGCGAAGTGTGCGTATTCCACAGTGCTCACAGGGCGGGCTGTCCACCCACTGGAAGTGTTCTCGCTTGAACCAGTGCAGTGCCTCTCGTACAACAGCCGCAGTAAAGCAGATGTCCGCCAACGGAAGAGCATCCCCTGCTGCCGGCTGGTTATCGACCCCAATACCGGGTTCAGTTTGGGAGCGTGCTAATTGAGAAAAATGGCTTTCTGCCGACTGTTCAAAGCGCTGCACTGGTACAACGCCGCTAGCTCGGGCAGCTTCGACTTTCTGAGCGTCAAGGCGGCTGGCTTGCACCCAGTGTTGCAGTATGCGGAACAGGAATGTGAGACACTTTGTCGCTGATTCTCCGCGTTTAAGCAGCAACAGGCAGGAGCGAAAAGGTCCTCGGGTGCGACGCGCTAGTTCAGCGTGCGACTCTGCCAGCGCGCCTAGGACTGGGAGCAGCTCTTCGACGCTATGACCGCCGTCTGCACGCACTTCTGTGCCGACTTTCAAAGGCATATCCAGAGCATCGCACCAGAAAATCCAGCACAGGTGCTGCGCACTGGGCTCGATCCCTGATAAACGTTGGAGCTCGGTTCGCCAGCACGCCAGGGAAGTCGTTTCACCGATCTCTGCCCGTGAGAAAGTATAGCACATCGTCTTGCACCATACACCCAACGTTCCGTCGTCATCGTGCGCCATTTCGGACCACCGGTTTACACCCTCGAGCAGTTGTTTCTGTTCCACGCTTGAAACGGAAAGGAAGCGTGCATGGAACTGGCGTAGAATTGAAGCCCGTCGCGCAAACGTTGCTGCGCGCACCGTTGAGACGCACACGGTCAACGGACGCGTTCGTGCTGGAGGCATTCGAACGGAACATATCCGGTGGTGCGCGTGATTGCCTTCAGAAAGGAAGCATACAAGGGTCCTGCGATCCCCGGGCGGGTGCCGAAGTGCAGTCCCAGCACCGGACGCAATATGGATCGAAAATGCAGGGACTTGCTGGCGTCTTTCCCGCATTCCGCTAGAGACGCTTGCACATCTAGCAGCGCCCAGAAATATCTGCTGGCTATGAAAAAGGTTGCGGAAACGGAACTGTAAGCGCGGGGGCGTTACTGCAGGAGTTCCAAGTGGTGCAACCCAGGCGCCCAGTTTGCAGCGGAACTCTGCAACCGCATCCCGCCGTCATGGCGAACAAGCACACAGCTTGCGCCAAGCAGACGCACATGATCGATACTTTCTCTCGCACACGACGCAAAGGATATGCATTCGACACGTATTCCGAGTTTCCTATTCCGTGGGCGATGCGTCTCCAGTACGTGTTGGCGCGTGAACGCTCCGCGTCGGCTGTCAGTACGGATCGTAGTGCTGGATGCTGGAGGCGAAGCGTCTCCATCGCACGTTTTTGAAAGCCTGCACGCATGCCGGGAGGCAGCGCGCATGCGTGCGCGCGCACGCATCGCATCGCAGCGCGCGCACGCATCCAAATCCTCCGTGCTCGTTCAAGCTCGTCTTGGGGTTGAGGATCCGCTTTTACGACAACGCAGAGAGGAACCTATGTCAGTCCAACTACGCACAGCGGAGACATACGCAACACGAAGTAATAGTCAACAGAGCTTGCTGAGAAATAGTGAGGGCGTGCAGTTCCCGCGCCGCTGCAGCGACCAGCAACTCTTGTTTCGGCAGTGTGGCTATCCGCCGTCGCTCGGGGCGAGCACAGCGGGCGTCGGTCAGAAGAGAGAGCGGTCCAACGAAGCTACGCTTACTGATTTGCTGGAGAGGGAACTGCTCCAGCGTCCAGTCGCGCGCCCTTTTGCTCGCATTCGGCGGCAGCGCGGGCACCCGAACGACGCAACGCCAGCGCAAACCCGTCGCCTCCATATGGACGGCGTGAGTCGGTTAGGTTCGCCAGCGCCCCAGCGCGTCGAGACACCGACGGAGCTCGAAAGCTGGTTGCACTCTGCGTTGAGGCCGAAAGAGGTAACCGCCTCTATCGGAGATCAGGCGGCCTCGGAGCCCGTTGGCGAGGCCCAAGTCCCCAGCATCCGTCGATTGCTGAGACTCGCTTCCCAACCGCAGCTCTCGAAGCATGCGTCGCCAAACGGGCAGCCTCGGGCTGACTCTTCTGCCCTAACGCCAAACGCAGCTGCGCAGCAACAATCACCCGGCAGTACCTCCTCACATGAATCGCCTTCATCGTTCGATTCAATTGATGAACAGGCATGCATGGGGGCGCTATTGCGAGCATCCTTAGATCCACAACGAGCGCAGCGCCTTTTAGAGTGTGGTGCTGTACAGTACCTCGTACAGAAACTTCGAGATTCCACGAATTCCCAGGTAGTGACGCAGATAGCGGCCGCGCTGGTGAACCTCGATCCCGCGACTACCCCAGTTCCGGGGCTTGCGCAGGCGCTCAGCAAAAAGCTCTCTCTGCTGACGTCTGAATGTTCCGAGCGGTTGATGCTCTACACCCTTGGAGACGGCTCGAAACCAGTCCTTAGTCGAGTTGAGATCGACACACTTGCGCGGCACGCGCTCGCTTCACTGCCGCGGCATCTTGTCTTGCTGCGGCGACTGGCGGAGCTGAGTGCTGGCGGAGCGAACGGCCACGCCACCTTCTGGAACCATGCCGCGGTTCAACTGATCGAAAAGCTGAAGCCGGCAACAGCCGCGCAGGCAGAGCATCTCCTTGCGATCTTACAAACCATCCCCCTGGCCTGCATACAAAACAAGCGAGCAGCATTCGCCAACCATATTGTCATCCACATCGCTTCGCGCTTTCCCGATCAGAATAGTGTCCAACGAGCCGCTGTGGAACTGCTCGGAAAAATTGCTGCTGCCTAGTATGCGAAGCGGGTCAGTTACACATGGCGATGCGCATTCGCCGGGCGCTCCGAGCCCGTGTCTGGCCCAATCGCCCGTGTATGGACTTGAGAAGCGCCACCGTTGCCGGACAAGCAGGAGAAAATGCGCACCCGAACTACTACAGCGAACGCGCTACACTCATGTCAGCGTAAAAATAAGAAGGCCACAAACATGGGCGTATGCACTAAAGTTTGGGGCATTTCCTGCAGGCACCACCGACAGCAGGCGTTGCGGGCATTGTCTGCGACTGGTTCCTTTTCCACCCATTTATCTCCGGCTTGCAATACACCGGTCTCGCATGTCACTTGAGCTCCGTTGTCATTAGTCGAAGGATTTTGATAACACCATTAAAGGACAAACTACGCGGATTTCAGCTCTTGTCGACACGTTTGATGCCCAGACGATGGTTACGATCTGCGCTCCTCTAACCAGTTTCAGCTCTAGTTTCGTGTACAATCTCGGTGCTCGTGCTCCAGCGGTGACACACGGGCGTGGTCAGATGTTCCCGCATGTCCAGCGAGCATTTTCAAGCCCCCGAGTGCCGTTCAACAGCTCGTAAATACTCGCTTCATCGCTCGGTATGCGCCCATTCACGGATACAGATTGCTTGACCGGGTGCATTCCTTCGTTTGCGCTGCTGGGCGATCGACTCGACGAGCAGTCGGTCCGTTGCACATGCCCGGCCTCACTGACGTATTCGACAGAGGATATGTGAAACTCGATGCTGTCCATGATGAAACAAGTACCAGAAAGAAAATCCAGCCTGGAGTACAAGCCCAGGAGCTTTGATCTGTCAACGTTCGCTCCATGCCAAGCGGTGACGCATTCCCTGCTTCAAGCGATCGCTACGATGACTCAAGTCCGAGCTCAGGTAATTTTTCTCGTCCATGTAGATGTGACGTGAGCCTCTGGATACATACCGCATGAGAGGTATCAGGCTGCTGTTTCCGAATGCTGTTTCGTCGGTGGAGACAAAGAAGGGAGCATTTTTCTTTCAAACGGAATCGATTATGATGAGAGATAAACTGCTCCGTGAAATTTCAGCATGAGCCTGTGAACGAGTCGTCAACGGGCGATGTCGAGGTTGTGGATTCTCATCAAGGCAGCGGCGCGAATGGCCATAACAGAACCGTGGGAAACTCGAAAAATGCCAGATCCGAAAGTGCTCTACGTAACGAATGGACGAGTGCGTCGCCTTGTACGCCCGCGTTTGATGATGATATCGGCTGTTTACGAAAAACTTTTCTGGTGCCGTCGCGATTCGTCTTGATGATGGTGACGGAACGCACTCCACCCGCAACGCGTCGATGGAGCCACTCTGAAACGACGATCGAGAATCCTACGAACGATGCTTGAACCCGTAAGCCGCCATTGCTGCTCTTCGGGCGTCCAGAACATGCATCTAGATAAAAATTAGAAAAAACTTGCCATGTGGGAACAGAGCGCCCAGTATGCAGTGTTCCAGCTCAATCTGAGAGCGCACGGCAGACTTGAGACGCAGGTCAGGAGCGCCATCCCTCCCTGCGGTTGGTAAACGCACACCTCGAGCTCGTGCTGCACCGTATCCATATAGCAGGCGAGTTATGCTTGAGCTTCAGGTCTAGAGCGCAGTCTCTTAATAAAGCTGACACCCACGTCCAGCAATGTCGTGATGCACCCGATTCACCTAGCTGCCAGGCTTCGATCTGCGGGCGAGAACACTCCAGAGCATGACAATCTCCCTTCGACGCTGTCATGACATCGCTGTCTGGCTCGCTCGCTCGCTCGCTCGCTCAAACGCTGAGGCGACTTGAATCCCCCGCGAAGCATTCACGAGTTTGTTTTCGAGTCAGCATCATGTTTTTGCAACTTGGAGCGAGGCTGCTGTGGTGCATTCAGAAACGAGGAGACAACCGTCGACAACAGTATGACCAGACCGCCTAGAGCGCCCTTCCAGCCGAGCCGCTCACCCAGGAAAAGCACGGATAGTGCCGCGGCAAACAGAGGCTGCGTCGCCAAAATGACTCCTGTCTCGCTCGCTGATACTCGTTTTTGGCATTGCGGCTGCACGTACGCCGAGAACGCCGATACGAGGAGGCCAGTCCAGGCAACGACCCCTACGGTCACCAAGGCGTCATACCAGCTGAGTGGCGGCAGTTCAGCACCGGCATGCACGTGCCCGTTAGATTGACTACTGAAAACAGCCCATCCAAGACTGCAAACTGTCTGTACAAGGATCTTAGTGGCCGCCAACGGTGTTGTATCGGTAATCGCACGAGCGTATCGGTCTAATCGTAATACATAGACGGAAAAAGTGAACGCAGCAAGAACCTCCAGGGAATCACCGAGCCAGTTCGACGGCACAGTGGACGTCTTATCTTGCGAAAGCAAGAACACGCCCAAAAAGGCCATACCTGAAGTGATCAACGTCTGGCTGTTGAGTTGCGAAGATCCTGGTTCCAGAAACCCAATCCTAGCGAAAAAATCTGATAACAATGGAATAAATACAGTTTGGAGTTGCACGAGAAAGGCCGCACGCGCGGCTGGTGTGTACTCCAGCCCAATCACCTGCGCCACATTCCCCAGAAACACATAGAGGCCGAGTTCGAGGCCACCTCGAAACCATCGATACGTATCCGACCAGAAAAGCGCCGTCAGCGTGCTCGCCAGCTCGCGAGGCGACAGCTGGGCGCCCAGGCGTCCTCCTTCACCACCATAGCCATTGGCCGCTGTCATATCAGCACCATCAGCATTACCATAATCATCATCAACAGGAGTACTATTCGTCCTTGCCCGTCGCAAGCGTTGTTGTAGCACTAGCCACTGCGTGCGCCAAACTGGCCAGAACGTTGCACTCGACAACAACAGACGGGCAGTATTGAATAGAGCTGGTGGCGGTGGATGTTTCAATGTGTACAGCTCACGCACAGCGGGCGAAAATGAACCCCATAAAAACGCTATGAAATAGTAGAGCGCCCTGCCTGGTACCTGCAACCCTGGCAGCACTGTTACCGCTCCGGTAGACCCGGTGGTATCGGCGGCAGCAGGCTTGTTCACGTGCGGTTGCCTGCTAGGCTGCTGCTTGCGACTCACCAGTATCCTATCCTGCTCCTGCTGAGGGTCGCTCTGGTTCTGCGATCGAATTTTCCTCACCCAGAAACCTGTTCGTGTAGGTCGACGGAAGCGACGACCAGCCTCGAGCACCGTCAGCGGTACCGCACAGCGACGGAGGGCCAGCGTGCTCCGCGGAGCGCCTGCCGCTGCACATAACGGAAGGTCGCCCAGTGCCCAGGTCAATTCAGCTTCCAGGAACATTGGTAGAGCTCGAACACTAGGGTGAACAGGAACCACGCTGGCAGTTCCTTTGCTAAGGCGTCCACTAGCGCCGCAACGTTTTCCAGTAACCGGTGAACTTGCCGCTGCCACGACCGCCGCATACAGCGCTGCACTGGCCGTTGGTCGGATGGTGGCGGAGGCGATGGCGGATATGCTGCGGCGCTTTACATGTCGACAGATTCCCAGGATTTCAAAGACCCGGAAGGCAACACGTTCAAAGTTCGTTGCTATGAAGCATGAGCTTTCGAAAGCGGGTTACGAAAGGTAACTCGCGTCGGGCATACCGTTCCCTTGCGGGCGAAGCGCACGTCGGCAGCGGGCGACAGCCCCGCACGCTTCACAGCGCCGAGCCCCTGCCTGAAAGAGCGTCCGCTGCGCTCGGGCGTCGCTACCCAGCAGTAAGTTCGCAGAGTAGGCCTGCACGTGCTGCATAGTGACCGGAGCCCGTTTCCAGCAATACTTTGCGCGACTCGCAGACCATGGTTCACCGACTTGAGGTAGGCTTGCATCAGCGGTCTTCCCGTTCGCAGGCGAAACTGCACTGAGCTGCTCGTTCACCTTGAAAGGTCGCGATTGGCAAGCACGGTACAATGCAGAACATTGAGGGGGAACGGTACCGCATGTGCAAAGTGCTCACATCGATCAGCGTGCGGAACGATATGTACATCCATTTTCACGCGATACCTATCAACCATCATCATGGTTTGGCTTCTGGTGCCTCCAGACCAAATCCCGTGCTCAGAGGATCGCGCTTCTTTCGACGCATGCTGGTGCACTCGCCCGAGGACAGCGGGAACAGCAAACGCATGTCGCCGCAGTGCATATACGCTGGATGGACGACCACTCGCTTTCGAGCAGTCGACGCTCGCGAGTATTCAGCAAACGTCTTCATCATGACGATGTCGCAGTTCCGAGGAATACGCTGTGACACAGCGGCCGGTGTCGCGTTCCTGGCATCCCGCTCCCTTGTTGGCGCTCGTGCGTCCGCATGTGCACCGAAGGACGCACCAGTGCGCGTCTACGCATTCGGGGTACCAGCTGCGTTGCGACGCCACCGAAAACTCGCGAGTACGCGAAGCTTTGCTGGACGCACACCCTAGTATTGCTCAAAACGAGCACCAAGTAGAGCAGCACCTGCCCATGGAGTTGGTACGACAACAATGTCGTGCGTGGTAACCGAGCATTCAGGTGCTGAAGCGCGCAAACCCTTCACAACCGAAAATACCACCGTCATCGCGAGCGTCTCGCAGACAGTGCAGGAGGCGACGCGTACAACCAGGTCGCCTTGTAGGAGGCCTCCCTGGGCCGCTGGTGACCCAGCCTCTACCTGCACCACCTTTGCGAACGGTCTCAGGTTCGACTGACCCAGACTCGTCTCAGTCCAGTCTGAGCTTTGTGCTGGCTGGTTGTCTCCGGGGCGGTGTTCCCGGCTCGAGGCAGTCCGCACCGCTGGTGCGCTCTCCACGACTCGTGACGCAGACGCTGTAGACGGTGCGGTTTGCGTGTGTGCTGGCCCGCTTGGAAGCATCTCCGGAAGCAGCCTTCCAGTTTCTTTCATTATCAGATAATAGTCGGTTTGCAGGCGCACGAGACGTTGCCAATACTGGCGGATCTGGTGTACATCGCAGTCCGAACGGGGGAAGCCGTCCTCGTGAACGAGTGGATCTCGCACCCCGGCAGGCGTGGCTTCTAAGCAGGATACCAAGTGTTCAATGTCACGCACGAATTCTTCTTACTGTAGGGCTAGCGCTAGTAGGCGCTGTACGCTGTCGGAGGTCATTTGTTCGACGTCTCAGACAGGCGAACGACGGCGCGTAGCTCCAGGCGTTGCCCCGGGAACCTTTACGGACGAGGTCGTTTACGAGGCTCAGCGTCCGAAGACCATAAAACGAAAGTATCATCGGAACTTGGCTCGAAAGGAATCTGGGCAGAGTGCTGACGCTGTATACGATTTTTGAATGACGACAACAACAGCGACAACCGGCCTCATGGCATGGTCAGAAATCGGGACTGTCGAGCAGTGGGACGCACGAAAACCGCACAATTCAAACCAGTTTCTCATTCCAGCGTCTGTGCAGAATGGACTGCAAGAAACGGGAATAAACGTGCATCCGTAGTCGGGAAGACTGCGGCGCATAGTTTGTTTACGATCAATAAAACGAACGAAATTCCTGTTGAGTAGGGTGATGCATACCTCGCCCGCACAAGCGTAAGATACTACAATGGCTACGCTTTTGATACAGGCGTCGAGGGGTATCGTGCCAGGCCCCTGCATCCCCTTGTCTGTCAGGGCGGTACTGCGATGGGCAGTAGCGTCGGCACCAGCGACAGAACCTATAGCAAGAGTTCATTCTACGTGAGTTTCCGATGTACAATACGTTGTTTTGGCTGCAGTGCACCGGTGAGAGCACGCATGTGCCAATGCGGGGTGTCGGACACGTGTCCTTCATCGATCGGTGCAGCGTCTCGCGCGGTGCACGCATCGCGCTCAGTGCGCGCACCTAGGAGATCAGGCAGGCGTGAGACACGACGCGCATGCCGCCGTTGAAGGGAAACGTAATCGTAATCCGTAGCGTCTAGCTCTCGTGTAAAAGTTGTATTTTCATTGACTTCATGGGCAAGTGTAGTTTTCAGTTCAATTGTGTTTGAAAACTCAAACAAGTGTATTCTAGTGTTTTGTCGCAGTATATAAGAGGAGCGTTCAAAGAGGGTTCTTTTTCAAAAAAAAACTAAACAAGGAAAGTTATGAAAAAGCAAGTCGACGATCCAGGAGGCCCAGTGTCGCCGGCTGCCAGAAAGAAAAAACAAAACACAGTGCCGAGTCCAGAAGAAGAGGAGAAGAAAAAGAAGCAAAAGGAGGAGGCTCTACGTCGAGTGCTGCAAGAAAGACAACTGTACGACGAGATGGTTGTGAAAGCTGGTCTTCTTGGATATATCAAGGATCCCTACAGGGAAAAGTTCCGAGGCGCTATCAGAAAACGTGTCGATTCGTACTCCAAGAGTACTGTCAAGGCGTCGTCAGGACTGATGCACTCGGCGAGGGAGATGTATCGCGACGTGACGTACATGGAAACAGTCGAGGTCCCAGACGAGTTGTTCGACACGACCTTTATTCGATACTTGATGCTCGGTACCGGGGAGATGCGAAGGGAAAATGAGCGAGTGCACGCCCTCTGCCAAAAATACTCCTTCTACAGCTTCGAGGGTACTCGAAACAAGGGTGACTCGTGCATTTACGAATACGGAGCGATAAAGTACCCCACGAACCTGAATAAACATTTGACCGTGAACCTCGAACGTTTCATGATACGCGCCGTGTTTGCACTCTACCCGGGCATCTCTCGCAAAGCGATATGGATCATCATCGATAGCATCAAAAACGATAGTAAGAATGAACAGGAGATCGAACTTGTTCACGAGAAGACATCATGCAGGAAAACGAATGAAGCTTCTGTAATCCGTGCGGCTATACAAGAGCACCGTGCAGCACTGGGGCTGGCGAGTCCAGCAGAAAAGATATCAGAGTTGAAAAAAGATAAGAAAAGATACGATCGCCCTGTCCTGCGCTATTCCATATTCCTGAACGGAGAACTGGAACGCAGGGCCGATATGGAGCACGGTGTGGAAGCAAATGCAGTGCCGGAGAAACGGGAAGCTGCGCTTCTGGCGAGGCATTTCAACGTCGTTCGGTTACGCGAGATCAAGTCCCATTTGTGACGATCGACTCCACAGTCTTTCAGGACATCATGAAGGAGATCTGTCCGGATTTCGATGTCAGCAGGGAGGTGTTCTCCGGTGAAAACCGGGAGACGTTTGAAATCGAAGATATTCTGCTTCGATTTCAAACGCCTCAAAGTGAGCAAGCAAAAGCTATCCGCGGGGATGATCGAAACCGATGGCGTAGCCATGTGTGTTGACTATCGGCGGTTGAAAAGCGATCGTCCTGGCCCGTCTTCGATATTGCCCGTGACGAAGCATGAAGATGAGAAGGAGGCGGGTCCTGCGACGCAGGAGGTGGAGGATAACGGCTTTATCGTTGGCGCGGTGAAGCATGATGAAAACAAGAAGGCGGATCCTGCCACGCAGAAAGCGCAGGATAACGACTTTGTCGTTGGCGCGGACCCTGGGAACACGAATATCATAGCCATCGCAGTACCGAAGCGTGCGGAATATGGTCACGACGGTAACTTGCGCCAGAAGGACATGCGTCTGTCGAGATTCTCGACAGCGAGATACCATTGAGAATCCAGTATAATGAATGTGAGGAAGAAAATCGAGACATGGAATCCAGGAATGAAAGAGCATCTGGAAGCGATGAGCGAGGTGACGAGTCGCGGAGCGGACTGTAAAGCTTTTCGGAATTTCATGGAAGTTCGTGTTGCGCATTGGGATGCACTGTGGGAGGAGTATACAAAGCCCTGGTGGGATCGTCTACGTATTAATCTATACTGTCGGAAGCAAGGTGCATTCAAGAAAATTTTCGATGAGTTCAGCGCCTTGAAGGAGGATGAAAGTCAGAGGCTCGCATTAGCGTACGGAGCAGGGCGCTGGGCTCCGAAAAAAGGGTGTACACCAGCTCCAACTACAAGAACATACAAGGAGTGCGCAAGGCGTTTCGCTACGATACCTGCAGATGAGTTCCGAACATCGTATACACACCATGGACTGGGGTGCACATTTCAAAAGGTCGAGATGGGAAAGTGTTAACGGAGCCCTGAAGATATCAAAAAAGTACGGACCGCTGACAGAAGAGCAAATGGAAAGAAAAGCGAATGTTCGAGGGCTATTCGCATTAGTAAGTACAACCAATGGCAAGAAACTTATGCGATTCCTGTATCGCGACTTTGAGGCCGCTATCAATATAAGGGCATGTGCGGTGCTGGAGCATAGACCTCCAGAGTTGACACGAGAGAATTTTATGGGGCAACCTGTCAAAGTGGGACTATATGAGAAAACTATGAAACCAGTAGCAGGTGGCCGGTCGAGAGAAACTGGGAGGCGTCTGCAGCTCAGTTGGCGACTTCGTGTCTAGGGCGCGGGTCACGCGCCACTACTGTACACCGGTGGCGTCGTTCGACTCTCGAACGGCGTTTGGTACGTGAGGAACAAGTTACCGGCCTCTGATGCGTGCTTCGCTTCAAGCCTCGGGTGACAAAGTCGTTTTCATCAGGACTGTACCGTTTCTTTCTTTCGTTTGGTTTGCGGATCGTGCGGAATGACCGCGCTCTGGGAGGAAGCTTTTGGCTCAGGGGTCTGGGCAGCGCTCATTGCCATGCTCGTGTGTGCGCTTATAGAGCGCTTCGGTGGCGCGGTCGGCGGTGTTCTGGCTACTGTACCGGGCACCATTACACCAGCGTCGATTGGTATGTGGCTTGCGCGGAAGGATGTGGTGTCGTTTCGATCCAGTATGGCGTCTGCACCGGTGGGGCTGCTCGTGAACGCCGGCTTTTTGACGTTCTGGCGATATCTGCCCTACTGGGTTGAGCGCCTCCATCTGCGTCGCTCTGTGCAGTTGCTGCTACTGGTGGGCGGCTCACTCACACTCTGGGCGCTGCTAGCAATCCCAGTGATGGTTCTGGTGTCGTGGCTGCGTCATCGAGAGCAGATGCTCATTCTCTATGCGCTCGGCACTGGAAGCGCATTGCTGGTGCTCGTAGTCGGTGTCGCTGGGACGTGGCACACGCCCAAGAGCACCAGCAGGGCCAGCGGTATTCCATGGTGGATGCATCCGGTGCGAGCCTTGCTGGCGTTCTTTGTGGTGACCGCTGCGGTGTGGCTATCGCATCAATGGCCAGCGCTCGCTGGGATTTTAGCGGTGTGGCCGGCTGTCTTCCTCACCACCATGGTTGCACTCTGGTGGAGCCATGGAGGTGATTTCCAAACGAGTGCCGCATTTCCCATGATCCTTGGACTTTGGGCACCTATGTTATTTTGTGGACTTGTTTGCTTTTTATATCCTCGTTTTGATGTAAGCATTGGTTGTATCTTGTCGTGGCTGCTTGCAGTGGCGCTTGGCACGATTCCTCTCGCAGGGTACATCCGCTGGCGCCAAGCGGCAGTCACGCTAGAGCATTTCCCTGTGAATCTACGTACCGCTGAGGATCTTTTCGTTGAGAACGCTCCTGAAAGTTCACAGTCATTGGCGTAGATGAAGCGTTTTCCTGTGCAACAACGGGATGCTGAGGATCCTATCGAAGAGATCGCAGCCAACCGCTCACAAGCGTTTGCGTAAACGCAGTCCTTGCGCCATATCGGTCGCCGAGGTTGATCCAGCGTTTACGTACAGCGTTCTGTCCATTCATTTGCTTTCGATCAAACGATGTAGTTGCATATGAATCACATGTGACATGCAGTTGGGAGAAGCGGAATGGCACACGGGCTCCCGTGTATCGTACTAGGATGCAAACGCATGTGCAATGTGTGTGTGTGTGTCTGTGTAAAAGGGAAGTCTTGAATCGGCTGCAATCCACGGATGAATTCACACCACGCTTTGAGAGTTTTCTGTCAAGATCTGGGTTTCCCTGACCATTTGTGAGCTCTCGTGATGGAACAAAGCTGTTTTTGGATATAGAACGTGTTTATCGAGGACATTTTCCATGGATATCAGGTGATATTCAGAACAGGGGATTCTACAATGCCTGTACCAGCATAACTTGTTTGTTTTAGGTGTATTATCGCTGGTATTCGATAAATTAAATGAATTTATCGTGTAGATTGGAGAAAGGTCGCGTAAATACTTGATGATGTGACTGGTAGTTTGCGAACAACGGCCTTGCATGTACGCATCAGTCACACCACATTCAGCAGGTGTGTGAATCACGCGCCTCGTAGACCTTCCAATGAACGTCGTGTACCCGAAACAGAAGTTATCAAACGATATCCACGCGATTGTCTCGTATTCAATGTATTCCCGTATAGAATCCCACTGAGAAATTCGATTAGTGAAGCCACCGGACGTGAACTATTCGCACTGTTGACATGGACGGCGTTGAATAGACATGGATGGATAAAGGAGAAAGCACGCTTGGATGCCAAACCGTCTCGTGTTCAAAAGTGCACTGTCGATTTCGCAGTCAACCGATGACGCCGCTTTCAGGTTGGAAAGATGCTCGTTTCACTCGATGAGATTTCAGTCGGGAGACATGGCAGACTTGTATGTAGACATTGAAAGAGAGGTAAACCGCTGTTCGTAAGGAGGAGACGAGCGAGCATGCCGATATCATCCGTTCGCGGGCGATTCAATCGTACGATCGCCTAAACAGGTAACACAATACGCAGGACCTAACAGCACCTCATCCTTCGTCGAGGCACTCGTCGGGTTTCCCGCTTCCTATGATGTTCCGTGCTGCTTTCAGGAAACGCTGGTTTCCATCACTCAGAATCTGCCAAGGAGTATGCAACTGAGGCTGGCATTGAGCCGCTCTTCGTGCCCGCCTATTCTTTCTGGCTCACTCCGATTGAGGGCGTTCCCTCTGTTCCCGAACGCCATTGTTACGTTAACGGATCATTAGACGGGTCACTCGCTTCTACGACACCGTTCTTTGAGGAATCGTTCTCTGCACTCAACAATCCTGAGCCGCTGTGTTGCTTTTCTGCTCGTTGGCGGGATGCGGTGGAGGCGCGCGCTTCGGTCTGTGGGTGTTCGCGCTACGGAAAACGCCATGAAAAGGCACCTGAGACAGCACAGATCCATGGAGACATAGAAGGAGCGAGTTCCGGAGCCACCGTCTACCCAGTGCCTCTGGAATCCGACGAGAAAGCGTACATAGCGTACAGCGACGATACCCATGACTCCCCGCCATGTCAAGGACACGGCGATGGAAGAGCTGGTCTCCGCGGGCAAGTACGCAGCATTCGAACAACTCTGCGAAGGGCAATCAGGAACGCGCCCAGGTTTTCTTGCCTACAGGGATAGGCTGAAGGAAATGTACACGGGCGACAGACGCTGATGGAATATCAATCAGCACGCACTTTGTGAAGCCGGGACCTCTGTCGCGACATTGGACGCATGCCCGAGCCCTCACAGTAGAGGAAGCGAAGCGAACGCTTTGTGGCGGGCGTGGATCCCGCGTCGAAGAACATCACATTCATCGCCGTATCGCTAGATATAGCGGACGCAACCAAAGACCTGACCTGAAACCAGGTGAAGCCGTTTAACTTTCCCACTACGCGATTTCATTGGGATTCGGGTACGGTGGAAGTCCGGAGGTATCCGAACATCTGGAACGACAAGGTCGGAACCGATCCCGATGCACCGAGCACCGTACGGAGCAGAGGCGAATGCTTCGTGCGCTTCATTCAGGAAGTACGCGAGTGTCGAAATGAACCATATGGGCGGTTGCTGGCAGGATAACCTGGGATCACGCTGAACTCGGCAACGGTATCGGTAGAACGTAGACACGACTCGCGCATTCGCCACTTCCCTCAACGGGCCGGAAACCCAGGTGATCTCAAAGTCGTGTCGTTTGGTGATACAAGTCAATGGCCTTAGACGTGATGCAATGCCCAGAAGCCCGCACTCCCGGTCAAACGGCCAGACCGAACAACGAGTCCAGGAATCGAGTATCTGCGAGACCCATCGATGCGTTCAGCACGACATGTGTACGCATCACGAGCATGCGGGCCCGCTGAATCTGGTAGAAAGAAGAGCGCGACACATAGACGGATGCACGAGAAGGTGCACAGTGAGGTGACTGAGCGTCAAATGGCGAGGCGGTTGCAGGTGGGAAACGTGCTATGGTGTGATTCCAAAAGGCATTCATGTGCGCTGGGGCACGCCCCGCATTGAGCACTGAACGTGTCGAACGGCAACCGATGATGACCCGCGCTTCCGGAGCGTCCAGCTGCTTTGTATGGCGCGAATGTTCAAGCGAATCGTTTCATAGCTCGTGTAGGCACTGTGGAAAATGCGGAGCACGTTCGAGAGCGTAAAATTAGGGTGCCGGAGAGAAGGCACTGGATTCTCGCCTGGATCCAGGCAGTCGTGTAGACCGGTTCAGCAATCCATCAAGGCTGGGTCACCTTGTTTAGAGATAAACCAGGGCGGATTTCCCTTTGGGAGACTGGTGAAACAACAAGGGATACGATTCCTCGACATTGCAGGGTATACATGAAGAAACATTTTCATTTTTGCATGCACTGCGCTCTTTATGGGGCACAAATCCGAATCCATATGAGGTTTCATGTTGAATGATCACCGAACCCTAACATGCCACATGTAAGCTTCCCGCAAACTCTTTCAGGATAAAGTTCTCATAGAGGCTCGCTGCATCGCGAGCCTCGGAGAGGGACCACCACCACCACCACCACCACCACCATGTTTTGGTATTCCTGCGGAGAGCGACTGCGGACATCACTCGCGCGGCCGAGCGCTCGTCGTTTGTACGCGCCCTTAGACCAGTTCACGGGTTTCCGCTGGTCAAAGATGACGATTCGTAACCACCGTTTCCCTTTCGAAGGTCGTAGTGCGTCTCACTATTACACGGGGGACAGTCGTGTGTCACGTACAGGTGCGAGCGCGCTGCACACTGCACAACCGCTGCGCGGGTTCGACGCAGGGACACTGCGGCCTGCAGCGGGTCAGCGGTACCCGACCGCAAGCATGCGCGCTCCCTGTGCTGGCTACCAGCTGCCACCGGACTATGTGATTGTCGCGATTGCAGGAGCTTTGCTCGCTGGAGCGGGGTTCATGCTTCGGAGTCTTGGTGATGTGATCGGAGAAGAGTCGCGACTTCCGTCAGCGAGCAGTGCGAAGACGCGCAGGGAGCTGTACGGAAGCCGGCGTTATTTGCAGAAAAAACCGCCTCGAGACACAAAATGAATACAGATATGCCTCTAAAGACTAGCCAAGAGATGTTTCTCTGCTCAGCAAGGCGTCACGAGTGTTTTTAATTTTGGAGAAGGGGAAAGCGCGAACGATTCTCCAGGTCCGTCACCAATGAGGATTCGTAATGGAGCAGCAGATGCTGTGCATGGGACACGCGTTTCTTGAGCAGAGATTCACCCGGTCGTGTGTGACTAGAGCCAAAATATGGCGTGACCAGCGTGGGTGGAGCATGTGCGCGAACAGGTCGGGCGTCTCTCCCGGTGGTATTCATCGCCATTGAAAAATTGCTTCCAGTGCGTTTTCTGGTCACTGTGCATCAGGAAAAGAGCTTTGCTGACCGCGCATAGAACGCTAACGCATCGACTTTTTATGTGCATTGAGTATGTGGCCGCGTCAGGGCGATCCTCTGCGCCTTATGCGCCGTGCACACGGTACCGGCTCGATACCGAGGTGGTGGTCGTTTGTCGGACTCGAGGCGAGCACAGGTGTAGCTGCACTGCGTCGAGACATTTGAGATTTTCAGGTGGTGCGAAATCGTGTTTACTGGACTATCAATCAGCGTCCTTGCTAACGATGCTGTGGCTCTCTTGCGTCAGGATGGACACCGAGGCTGGCAGCTGTTCCGTAGGAGACGCGACCTTAACACACGCGATGCGATTTCGCTTGTTTTCTCGATGATGCTTTTCGGGGCCAGGGCCCTGGTGTTGTCGGCGTCGTTGTTGCGGATGCAGTTGCTCGCCCATGGGCCATGAGCGTCTCTGAACGTAATCTCGCCATGACTGGGACTTTGGATGAAACCGCTCTTCCTTGATGGAGCGCTGTGCGGCGGCGGATGGATCTCGGAGACATTTGTATCAGCTGAGTGTTTTATGGCCCGGCGACTGTCTGTCACCGTTTTTACGGCGACAACCGGATGCATGCATCGATCCGAGGCTGATATGAAACCGGATACATCCGATCGCCCATATCTGTGAACGATTTTGTATGGTATATAATCGATAAATCTGACCAGAATCCCCGGAATGCGCGGTTGCCTTCGGCGACCACGAAAGAGACCGCCGCGTGCCTGTCGATGCTTGGATGTCCTGTCGACGTGAGGCGACTCTTCCCATCGGAGACGCGGATACGCTTCAACCAATTGAGGGTTAGCGGGCGCCGATCCAACCGTGGAAGCTTGCTGCTACGCTGAATGCTTCGTTCCCTAAGAGACAGGGTTTTAATCGATCGAAAGACAAATTTGGACTGGCCAACACGCCCACGAAGGCTCGCGGCAAAAATCCCGAATCCTTCGCTGCCAACATCCTCTAGAAATCGTACAGCTTTCCGATTCTCGTACGGGCGTCTGCTCTTGGTTGCCAGAGGGTTGTGAGCTGAACGACCCCACAACGCGCCTTGGCTCTCCGTGATGCCGGTAGCAGTCGCGCGCTCCTGCATCGCTGCGTACCAGCTCCGATCCTGACCCATGACGGAGCGGGCGCGCCAGGTCTTTTGATCACCGACATGCGTGCGCAGCGACGGTCTGTCCTGAATATCAATATTCGTACAGTTTCTGTTTCGTGTTTCCAGCACGCCGCGATGCACGTTTTCCGCGCGCGAGCATTCAGTTGCCACGTGCGCCGTCGCCAGGGAGATTGCAACGCCACTGCCAGTTGCGATCTGCGCTGCGTGATGCAGGGCACGCTGTGCACGCTCGCGCACCGCTGCGATTCAAAAAGATCGCACGATCCGGTGCACGCGCGCACGCATTCGCCAGCATCCGTGTCGCACATGCGCGCTCGCACGATGTGTGCTATCATGCGACCTCTAGTGCGTACGCACGAGGTATCGCGTAACCCTTGTGTGCGAGTTGGAACCGGGCACTCTGAACGAATCGATAACGCATTTGACAGTCGAGGGATATTTTATGCTTAAGGGAATGGGGAAAGGTTGTGCTGTACGATTTAGGGACGGGAGCGCAGCGAACACACTGGGCGAGACGGAACAGTCTTGTGCTGGTCGCTCGTGTTACGGGCAGATGTTCGTGTTGAGCCGTGTGCCGCCAGTTTTCTCGCGCAATGGTTTCTCGTTGAGCAAGATTAATAGAGGATGCACTCTGTCCTTGGGTTCCGGTATACGTCGTTTTGGTTGCGGCGGGCTCGACGCTCGCTCGAGTGCTTGGTGCGGTCAACCGCGCTGCTTCGTCCACACACCCAGTTTCCCGCGCGTGCTGCGAGGCGAGAAAAAGCAGCGCAGCATTGGTGCGCAAGGTTCCCGGCGAACTGTTATGGTAGCGCTCACGTCGAAGCCGGTGCCGTGGAAGCGCCTCGCGGGCTGGTTCGTGGACGGTTTCCCTGTGTGGTGCATGTTGGCGTCGTATCTCGCGCTGAGGTATCCTCAGGTGTTCATTTCCGCACCATTCGTTACGAGTCCACAGGGCGTGACCTTCGGTTTATCGCTTATCATGCTGTCTATGGGTATGACGCTAACCTGGCAAGATGTGGGTCGGTGTCTGGGTTTGCAGCCGCCCGCCATGGAGGCAGGTACGCCATCGGGGACGCTGGCGACCTCATCGATGGTACGCCGCGCAGTCCTCGTGAATACGATCATGTGCTTCGTGGTCATGCCGCTGGTTGCTTACCTACTTGCAAAGACAGTGATGACCTCAACTGCAGTCGTTTCATCGCTCTTAGGTGCATCGCTGGACACTGTCAAAGCTGTCCCAGGTGGTATGGATGCGGCTAGTAAGGCTCTCAAGTCAGCGATCCTGACTGGCATGGTCCTGCTAGGATCCGTATCTGGCGGACAGGCAAGTAATCTGTGTACGTATATCGCCAAGGGCGATGTCGGCATGTCCGTTACAATGACCACCGCCACGACGCTTCTCGTCACGGTGGCGTTGCCGCTGATCACCTCGCTGTTGCTGGGGGCGGCAGTACCAGTTGACGGCGCTCGTTTGGCCACCTCAACGGCACGCGTCGTCCTGCTGCCTCTGGCGCTTGGTATTGCTTTGAATACCTATGTTTTACGAACAAACGAAGCCCGCAGCAGACTGGCACCATGGCTACCGGTTCTTGGTGTTGCTGCGACCCTGTTCACCATCGTGGGTGCCCTATCACCAGTCTCCGCAACGGTGCTTGCTGCTCTGAGTGAAACTCCTTTGGTGCTGGCAGTGGCCGGCTTTCATATTTTTGGCGGTTTCCTCGGTTATTACATTTCGAAACGAATGCCAGGTTTCTACGGCGATGAAGCCACTGCGCGCACCATCTCCATCGAGACGATGTTCAAGTCGCCAGCGCTAAGTTTCATTCTCGCGGCGAAGCACTTTGACGGTGCCTGGGTTCTCGTACCGTCGTCAATTAGCCTTGTTGTGCTGGCGCCTATCGCTGCAGCGTATGCAGTTTTGCTGCGCCGTTCCGCGAGCCTGAGCTTTCCAGCGTTCATGGCGGGCGCCTCGAGCCTGACTCCCTTCAGAAATCTCAAACAAGTGCCGCTCGGCAGCGCTGCACCGTCACCGCAGCCCGTTGTTCGTTCCAATGTGCTCACCGTCGGAGAAACTCGAGTGAAGTCGCAGCCGCCCACAGCGCTGCCGATTGTGACCGCTCCGGGCCGTCTCCTGCATCCGCGGGTACGTGTCTACTTTCGAAACGCTCCGAATCCCGTGATCGTACCAAAAAGCGAGCTGAGAAACTTTTTGCTGAAAATGCGGAAAATGAAAGGAATGCAGGTGGTTAAGATCGTGGAAGTGTGAGCAGCGTGCGCCTCAGGGTCACACAAAGTTCGCATCTTGACTTCATTGTCTAGTTTCTTGGGAGCATACTGCAACACGCTGCTCTGTGCACGCCGGAGCGCATGGCAGGGACCCTGCTGTCGAGAACGCTTCTCATCCAAAAGTCCGTAAATATACGAGGGAAATCGATCCAGCTGCAGTATCAGTGCATCACCACTATTCCCGAGGTATCCCGAGCATCGCAACGTATATCCCAGAGTCCGTAAATATACGAGGGAAATCGATCCAGCTGCAGTATCAGTGCATCACCACTATTCCCGAGGTATCCCGAGCATCGCAGCTGCTGACAGCGGATCCTGCCCAGTTACAAGCCTCGGCCTGTGCGTACAGACGTTACGTGTCACGCTCGGAGGACAGCATTGATGCATACATGTCAATGGACCGGTTGCGCAGACACGTGCCACAGCTTTTCTATGGACAAAGCCTCTGGATACTCCGTACTGCGCAGTACGGTGTCCCTGCGAACGCGAACGGGGTCGCTTCCCGCCGGTTCTTTGCTCTCCGCCCGTACCGCGCTGACACCATAAAACCGAGTACTCTCTTCCGCATGTCAAATTCCTATGCATAATATCCTGCACGTGACAGCAAACACCGAGCAGCTCGTGCTCCTGATGCGTTAGTATGACCTGCAAACAAGTACAGAGAAACTGGCGTTATACCTCGCGCTGCTCGGGCATCATGCCCGTTTAACTGAACCTTGGCGTTCTCGTCACCGAGTTAAAAGTGTTATGATACCTTGAGATCCAACCAAGAGCTCCTGTGAGAGGCTCGTAAGCGCCAGCCACACAAGCGGTGTGATATCGACGCCACCCTGCGGCGGTATGATACGACGCGTCGGCCGCAACAGTCCCTCGGTAGCGAGCACAACGATAGACCAGGGCGGACGCCCAGCATTGATCTGAGGAAACCACGGAATCACAAATCTCAGCAGAAACAAGACTGTGTACGTGGTGAACACCAGCGAGAGCAAGCCCCGAAGCGGTGCAACAAACGCAGGAACCTGCACACTGTTCGCCACTGTGGGTGTCGTGAGCGCACTTCCAGTCACCGCTCCCCAAGCGAATGCCATCCACGTGGAAGCGACGTCCGTCACCATGACCAGCGATTCACAAAGGCACCTCTTCGACGGGGCTCGCTGCTGTTCCGCAGCGTAACCGGTGAACACCGGATACCGACCTCGTGGTAACAGCGACTTGCGCCACCAAGTGCTGCCGCTTCGAACGCTTCCATAGTGTTGCGTTCGAGCTCCCGCTCCATTCAATTTAGAGCACACCCCGAACCTAATATCCCTTCGAAGGACGCACCCGGTGTAAAGGAGAAACATTCACCACAGTTTCACGAGGCTCAGCGGAACGCGACGGCAGCGCTTGCCAGTGCACTGCAGGCGTCCAGGTCGAACGGCGAGTCGACAAACGCTGCTGCTGGCTTCGTTGCTACTGCCGCGGGCGTACGCCTGCTTCAAACCGGCAATGTTTTCCACGGCAACGTACCTGGGTCCATACCAGGTCACACAGCGACACCTATGGAGTCAATCGAGCCGGTTACAATCATGTCGGCCTCGACGCTTTGTGCGATCCATAGCGTTTTTGAAGTTGCAAGGCGAGCTTGCGTTGTTCTGCGGTCGACGCTTGTACGCGAGCGCTGTTCGACCTGGTGACGCTGCCGCAGCCGGACGTGTAAAACGTGTTGGCGTACTCGTTTCCGGCACAGGTCGCTCGCTTGAGAACCTTCTACAAAGAATACATACTGGGACGTTGCTGGGTGCCCAGATCGTAGTCGTTGTTGCTTCGCGGGCCGACTGCTTCGCGCTCGAACGAGCGGCCCAGCGGCACGTACCCGCAGAGGTTGTGGCTGCTCGGGCCTTCTCAGACACAGACCGATTCAGTGAAGCCATCACTGAGGTCCTGGTTGCTTATCGAGTTGATTTAGTGGTTATGGCGGGTTTCATGCATTTCTATCGGATTCCGCCTCGCTATGCCAACCGTGTGCTGAACATTCATCCGGCCCTGCTGCCTGCGTTTTGTGGGCGAGGGTTTTACGGAAACCGAGTACACCAAGCCGTGCTAGACTTTGGTGCAAAAGTGACTGGCGTCACGGTTCATTTCGCGGACAACGAATACGATCATGGACCAATTGTTCTACAGAGCGCCGTTCCCGTCCTCGATGAGGATACCGTGGAGACACTGGCTGCTCGGGTATTTGCGGAGGAGTGTCGTCTTTTGCCGGAAGCAGTCGAACTCTTCTGCCAAGATGCCCTGATTCTGGATGGACGTCGCGTTCGGATCCGACAACGACAAAACGTCTAGAGCAGCGGCATAGCGTTCGTCAGCGTTGCCCCGGACTGGGCGACAGCAGCGCGAGTAGGATAATGAGCACATTACGGAGAGAGCATTGGCACATTCAGAACGACAAAGTGGCGGTTGGTAGACGTCTGGAGAAGCAACCCATGCGCTGCGTTCAGGTGATGGAAGCATGTGGCGGATGCTGCGGGCCCCGAAAGCGCCCCGGGGATGCTGTTTTGACGCGCTGTTTCCATTTGGGATGCGTACGCAACAGCCGCTTCGGGCTAGACGAGCACTGGAGGCTGACTTGTTTCGGAATCCGTATGCCTGGTGTAACTGCTGTTGCAACCGGCGGTGCTCGACGTGCTGTTGCCATATGCCGGCCTCGTGCAGATGGTGCTTCGTGCACCCGTACCAGCCGAGCGTCTTCCCGCGGGATACGTATGCCCGGATCAATATTCCTCACAAGATGCGAGCACTTGAAGACAGCTTGAGCACGACGGATGGAATGCCGCGTAGGCAAACGCCGGGAACAACGCGTACAAAGTAATGGGTACTCTATGAGGACCGAGGCAATGACCCATGCGCTCCCCGGTACTGCAACGGATAAGTAGCGAATCCGGGAACCGCTAACGAGCAACACGCCATATAATCCATTTCGGATCGTTTGTTTGTTTCGAGTAACGAGGAGCTCCTATGCGATGTACGCGTTCCAGCGTGCTGGCAGAAGTGCACAGCGTCGTCGTCGTCGTCGTCGTCGTCGTCGTGCAGGTAAATTCGCACATTTTGACAATTCCAAGGGACTGGAGCATCGCCTTCGTATATCGATGCACATGTATCCCAGATTTCAAAGTCTTGCTTCATGGCGGGCATTTTTCGTTGCGGTAGTTCACGCTTCCGTCGAAAGCGCCGTATCCGAGGCGTCTACGTCGAACAACGCAAAGTGTCGCGGCACACACTGCACTGCAAAGCTGCATTATCACGCGAATCCGAGTTTTTTTTTCTGTTGCCAGAACGTTTCCATTCACCAGGGATTCCCGCTTGCGCGATGGATATTAGCATTCGGCATCGCAGCAGACGCTCCCGCGCTTGACTCCAGGCTCGATCACATATACCTTATCTCGCAGATCGAAGTCGTTTTTCACGCTCTACCGTGCGCCAAGTGCCTGACGTGAGCGTCTGCGCCAACAACGGTAGCGCCGGTGCGGTCACAGCATGGCGACAACACCGCATGGTCATTCCAAGGAGCGCTTCGGCTCGAGGCGTGCCTCACCTGACCCAGCGTCTTGGCTCATTAGCGATTTGTGCTCGCAACCAAGTGCCATATCGCTCGCGTAGCGGCAGTTTCGCCCCACCCGTATCAGTTTACAATGGAACATGAAAGTGCTTGCTCCGTTCCTGGCAGGCAACTGTTTTCGTACTCTGTTTAGAAATGCGGCTTCAGGATGCCAAGTGCAGCAACAAGGGCTTTCGGATTCATGGAGAGTTTCGGGATTACCGCTCGTTTCTTCCGAATGGATCCTTCGATGCTCTCCCGGTAGCATTCGTGACATCACCGGAATCGAGATGATCCGCGAGGCAATCGAACAGGGATTTGCAAAACCTAACCATATTACGATCCAATTCATATGTACGCGTTTGCACGCGTCTACTTTCCTAACATGTAGCATACTCCAATCAATGGTGCTTGGTGTTTTCGATCTATCTATTGCGAGGCAACTCGTGGAGGTAGCCATTCACGTGGCTGGTTTGACGAGGAAACCTACTCGACGCCGTTTCCCCGGCGACGTTTTCTCCCAGCTCATGCCCAAAGTTCGCTGAACTTGGAAGTTCAGATACTCGATTCCTTTCGAAAGACAAATGCTTTTCTTTTTGAAGTCATCGACGGAGCGTCATTCAACAGTAGCGTGATACCTGCCAAGGGGTGCGCTCCCAGAGGCTTACGTCTCTCCTGCTTGTATGGAAAAAGGTCTTGGACTCGGACTCGAGTCATCGCAGCGAACTGTCCCAGTCGAGCATAAGTCAGCGCTTTGCGGGAAGCGAGCGTAGACAGATCGGCATTTCTGGACCAGTTCTCCGGACTGGATTTTCCCTCTGGCACTCGTTTCACCCTGGGCAACTTCGCGTTTCACTCATTTTCTATCGAACCGGCCGCATGCGTCTGCGTGTGTAGCGAACAGTGTACGCTCGCGGCGGATCAACCAGAAGGAGCTCGGCATCGTGAGGTACGGCAACTGACCCGGAAATCGAGCTTGGCATCGAGGATAACCCTTTGTATCTGTCAAGGGCATGTACTGAGCAATCAAGCGAGCGTTTACGCGGCAAAGGGCAATAAACAAAAGACGAGGTGTCGTGGACGTATTCGACCGCCTGACCACATCCAAGTGTCACCGCTGCAAATGGCGCCCCTGCGTTGCATATACTGAAGAGACAAATGGCGATCGACGCGTGCATCGCCAATATCGTCTGTTCAGGAAATGCGTAGAAAAATGCCGAAAGCCGGTAAGTGAGACCCTCACCACTGCCATCAACACCCTTCGACTGCATGCAACGGATTCGGAAGCAAACAAGAGACCAGCGTGTTCCAAGCTCCGAGACCTGTAATAGGAAAAGGAAGCAGTCACTGAAAAAGCTCCCATTGGCTGGAATTCATAGAAGTGCACTGAGAAGCCAACGTTGGCACGTGCACCCGAGTTACAGAGAACCCGATCGACTTTATCCTGAATTGGATGTAGCGGAAACGCGTCCCAAACTTCAGCAACAAGCGTCCTGACCTCCGTTCAGCAGACGCTTCATGACACACAGTCGTGCGCAAGATACGCACGTCGGCATACGCATGGGCCTTATGAGCATCATCCCACACGGAACGACAGTTGCTAGACATGTGTCCTCGCGATGATCCACAATGATGCTCAGGTTGGCGTATATAGTGCGTCTGTTTGCTTCATGAACTGGTGCGCTTCGGAAATCGGTGTCGTTTGCCATCGCATGAATGCAGTTCTCCGCTTAATGAATCGTGACTCGACAAGCCGAATTTCATGTCGAGCGGTTATTCTCAAAGCGCCCTTGGCTGGTACCAGCGACCGGTGTCCGTAAAATGCTCGAGTCCGCATGAGCGTTTCCCTGCAGGTCTGAATACACCTGTGGTGCGGGTATCAATGTCCGACGCGACCCAGGCGCGCCTCAGTACGAGGGTTCGCAGTCATCGTCTGTGCTCGTTCGAGAGCGGCGTTCAGTAGATGCTGCGTGTAGAGGAGTTCTTCGTTATGCAACTGGCGCCCAATACGTTGAAGCTGTGCATAGACTCCGGATGGCAATGCACATGTTGCGTCGGAAACTGTGGTTTCCGTGCACATGGGCTCCGGAGTAGCTTGCGCCTCTGAGGGAACGCCTCCAGTCGCCGCCAGAGCTGTAGTTGCCGGTGCATCCGCACGGCTGCATGGTGGTAGCCATTGTTCGCGTGGTGGCCAACGCGTTATCGCCCAGTGCGCCCCTGCACGAAGCACCTCCCGAGCTGATGCGGCCGGTAGCGCCAGCTCAGCTCGCAGCAAGTCGAAGCTTGCGGGGTCCAAGTCCTGCGTTTCCAACGGCAGCTTCTTGTCGTCTGCTCTTACAAGTTCCTCACTTAGAGCCATAGTTTCCGCAATGAAATCGGTGTCCAGCTCTTCATCGACGACGCAACCGGCGTGCTCCGCGAGCTCGTCACGAAAAGCGCAATCAACTGCTCTAGAAAGAAGAAACTCGCGCACGAGACTCGGGTCTGTAGCAGGATCCCACGGGCACTCTGCAGCGTCACGCAGGTATGTTCGCAGTGCCGCGTCGTCGCCTCTCTTGAGAGGTTCCCGAGCAGCCGGCTCCCAGAGACGCAGTTGCGTGTCCTCCAGCCAAGCGACTTGGATCACCAGCGGTGCACGCTCGACAATGGTGTCAGGCGCATCGAGCGCGAGCCATACGAACCGCTCCCACTGGTTCGCCATGTCAGCCCCAGTCACTACGAAGAGACAACCAGTCACGGCGCTTTCGAACCTGCGCCTCTACCCTGTAAGTCTACCACGCGTTGCAGTGCAACAGCGTCAAACGTCAATGTCTTATGAAGCAACGTCGCCGAACGCTGCCGGTCAGGCGGTACGCGTCACTGCGAAAAGTGAATCCTCATGTGAGGCGCACCTGCTCCGTGCATCTACGGGGTCGTTTCTATGAAGCAGTTTTTCGGACGAGAATGTTCATTGGGGATGCCGTCGACTAGGTCATTAGGGTCCTGCCACCAAAGGCAGTGTATATTGTCCACTCTGGTGTCAGGAAGAAAGCTGCACCTTTTTACAGACCGCCGCTTCTAGGTGGACCTACCATTCTTGAGCGGCGTTTGCGGATATAGAACGCAAAGCCGGCACCGGACCGCATGCTGACTGAACCAAGAAGCTCGTTTATGGACACCAAAGACACACGTTCTACCTCCCGGGTGGTAGGTCCCGCGAACCGAATGAGCACACAGGTCTAGCGTGTCGTGCACCTGCTCACTTGTTGGTATCGAGCCAAGGCCTGCATCACGAACTGGCGACGCAGTTCATGCATGGTGGCGAAGGTAGCGTTCAGTGCCCGGATATTCGTGCTACTTGCCGGATTCGCTCCACGATTCGCACCACACACTGGCAAGCCTGTACATGTCGAGCGTCGGAGCAGAAACGAACCACGAGACCTGACCTCGCCTCGAGTCGACGTACTCCATGGCATGGTAACGCAGTGCCAACTCCGTGTTGTGTCCGTACCGATCATACAGGTGCTGCGGCGGGTGCTCGCAGCAGGCACTCGACGCTCCGCGAAAACCTACGAACGGACTAGTACCGCCCGGGAAAAGGACGTCCAGCGGCTAATCGAACGCGGATCTCGGGTCTGGAAAGAAGGACGCTTTCCCGAATGCCGGTATACACAGAGTCATCAATCTAGGATCCTTCGTCCGTGTAAACGTGATGTCCTTGGAAACAGGTTACCAGGTCTGACTGCCTGCAAGCACTCCAGAGTACTAGCGGCACTGAGCGGCAACTGGCGTGGAGGCTTCGGATGCGCTTCCCGGGGTGCATCGCTCGATTCACCGATCGCTGGTAAATGGATCACCCTGACTTGTGCGTAACTGGAACCTTCTAAATATCATTATTGGGAGGCAAGCGTTCCCCTTATGTGCCTACAAAACGGAGACACGTGGACTGCATTCGTAGCGGCACCGTTGGGTCGCACGCTTGCACCGGCACCAGTGCTGGTGAGGTGTCGAACGGGGCTGTCGACTGGTGCAACGTCGCCGCGGTACGCTACCACTGGGCAGGCACACGACAACAACGCTCGCGTGTACGTTCGGGGTGGTGTACGCTTGAGAACTGGTTGGCGACAGAGCCACTGCTCGATGCATCAGGACGGCACAGACGCTTTTCGTGTTATTCGTTCCGCTCGGGAGCTGCTCGAGGCACGAGGCTACGAGCCGTCGGAGTTCGGGCTCCGTCCCAGCGGTGAACCCCGGCGAGCGGTCGTCATCGGCGCCGGGCTAGCAGGTCTCGCGACCGCCATGGAGCTTGCCGACGTTGGCTTTGCGGTGGATATCTTCGAAACGCGCAACTTTTACGGAGGCAAGGTCGGTTCCTGGCAGGACAGAGACGGTAACCATATCGAAATGGGACTGCATGTCTTTTTCGGGTGCTACTACAACTTGTTTGCGATCATGCGTCAGCTGGGCGTTCTCGATCAGCATTTCCTTCCCAAAGAACATCGCCATATCTTTGTGAACCGTGACGGGCGTCTGGCGGAGCTAGACTTTCGATTTGGACCAGTGGGGGCACCCTGGAACGGCCTCAAGGCGTTCTTCACCACCGAGCAGCTGAACTTGATCGATAAACTGCGGAACGCGATCGCGCTTGGCACATCGCCCATCATTCGAGCACTGGTCGACTTTGACGGTGCGATGGAACAAGTTCGAGAACTGGACGAAATGAGTTTTACACAATGGTTCATGCGTCACGGTGGCAGTCGCGGCAGCATTGAACGCTTGTGGAATCCCATTGCATATGCACTCGGCTTCATCGACTGCGATCAGATCAGTGCTCGTTGTATGCTGACGATCTTTCAGCTTTTCGCTGTTCGGACGGAAGCGAGTCAGCTTCGGCTTCTGATTGGCGCCCCGGTCCAGTACATGCTCAAGCCCATGCTAGAGTATATCAAGGCACGCGGCGGTCGCTTATATCTTCGACAGGGTGTTCGAAGTTTCATCACCGAGTCGGATGCGGAAACCGGCCAGGAACGCGTGGTAGGTGTACGAGTCCGTTCTGCTGCTTCGACATCCGCCACGAAGAACCGGGCAGTGTCCAGCACGTACGTGCCAGCTGATGTCGTGGTCGCTGCCCTAGACGTGCCCGGGATGAAACGATTGATTCCAGACTCGTGGTGTGAGCAGTACGAATACTTTGCCAATATCAAGCGTCTGGAGACGGTGCCTGTGATCACAGTACAGTTACGCTTCAATGGCTGGGTAACGGAGCTCGCAGACGGGTCCCTGCATCGAGACGGCGACGCTCGCGGTCTGGATAACTTGCTTTACAGCGCGGATGCGGATTTCTCCTGTTTCGCTGACCTTGCGGTAACGTCCCCCGCGGATTACTACCGAGCTGGACAGGGCTCGCTTCTACAGTGTGTGATTACGCCCGCCGATCCCTATTTGCACATGGCGGATGCAGCGATTGTTGCCAAGGTTTGCAGCCAGGTCCAGGAGCTTTTCCCTAGTGCCCGCAACCTGCAATGCATCTGGAGCAACGTTGTTAAGTTAGGACAAAGCCTTTATAGAGAGGCACCTGGCGCTGAGCGGTATCGACCGACACAGCGATCGCCGATCGCGAACTTGTATCTCGCGGGGAGCTACACCCAACAGGATTATATTGATTCACAGGAGGGGGCGGTGCGGAGCGGACGGCTCGCAGCCCAAGCGATCGTCGAAGACCTGCTCACTGCCATGAAACAGGGCAACGGGGCAACGCTGACCTATGCCGCTGCACCGCCAATGCAACGTTCTACGCTCTCGACGGAAGCGTCCTAGCGGTAGCGTCTTGTCGTGGTATGCGGCGTTGCCTCGACTCGTTGTGCGCAGATGCCTTGCGAATATAGGAGCTCAGTGTCAGCGGAGTTCGGCTGATGGTGAGGCTACGATGCTGCCACGTTTTGGCGTGACAGCAGAAGGAACGGACGCAGCATCGCGCGTGCTGCTGGATTCCGAGCTGTGAACTCTGGAACACCTGTGCCAGCACCCCCGTTTCATTTTGGATCGTTTGTCTCCCCGCAATTCAACAGCAGGATTTGTATCCTGTAGACGGCAGGGAGGTTGCCGAAAATCGTTATACTGTCACTGCAAGCATTCGAAAAAAATGACGTTGACGAGTACGTCATGTTGCTCTCAGCAGGTGATTGAACTTGTCTTCTCGTTGTGTTCATTCGGAAGGTTGTGTATTCATGCTAGAACTTTCCATAGTCTATCCACACAAATGTCTCTTCGTGAGTTGATTTCAGCGCGTAGTTTCTCTGAGATTTACAACCGGAGTACCCAGAAGATAAGAATTTTTCACACGGGTGATCTGGACGGTGTCAAAGAGACAATGATAAACACAGAAAAGAAGCGCGCTTCTGTCAGCGACGGCCTCCGGTTCAGCAATACGACATCGAGCACGCACTGAAACGCAAACCCGAATGATAGTTGGCACTGGTTTTCGCCTCAGTCGATGAGTCTTTATCGGGAATGACTGATTCATCTGTATACGGGTATTCAAAGGGAGACAACCTGCTGTTCGTAAGGAAGAGACGAGCGAGCATGCCGATATCATCCGTTTGCGGGCGATTCAATCGTACGATCGCCTAAACAGGTAACACAATACGCGGGACCTAACAGCACCTCATCCTTCATCGAGGCACTCGTCGGGTTTCCCGCTTCCTATGATGTTCCGTGCTGCTTTCAGGAAACGCTGGTTTCCATCACTCAGAATCTGCCAAGGAGTATGCAACTGAGGCTGGCATTGAGCCGCTCTTCGTGCCCGCCTATTCTTTCTGGCTCACTCCGATTGAGGGCGCTCCCTCTGTTCCCGAACGCCATTGTTACGTTAACGGATCATTAGACGGGTCACTCGCTTCTGCGACACCGTTCTTTGAGGAATCGTTCTCTGCACTCAACAATCCTGAGCCGCTGTGTTGCTTTTCTGCTCGTTGGCGGGATGGGGTGCAAGCGCGCGCTTCGGTCTGTGGGTGTTCGCGCTACGGAAAACGCCATGAAAAGGCACCTGAGACAGCACAGATCCATGGAGACATAGAAGGAGCGAGTTCCGGAGCCACCGTCTACCCAGTGCCTCTGGAATCCGACGAGAAAGCGTACATAGCGTACAGCGACGATACCCATGACTCCCCGCCATGTCAAGGACACGGCGACGGAAGAGCTGGTCTCCGCGGGCAAGTACGCAGCATTCGAACAACTCTGCGAAGGGCAATCAGGAACGCGCCCAGGTTTTCTTGCCTACAGGGATAGGCTGAAGGAAATGTACACGGGCGACAGACGCTGATGGAATATCAATCAGCACGCACTTTGTGAAGCCGGGACCTCTGTCGCGACATTGGACGCATGCCCGAGCCCTCACAGTAGAGGAAGCGAAGCGAACGACTTTGTGGCGGGCGTGGATCCCGCGTCGAAGAACATCGCATTCATCGCCGTATCGCTAGATATAGCGGACGCAACCAAAGACCTGACCTGAAAACAGGTGAAGCCGTTTAACTTTCCCACTACTCCATTTCATTGGGATTCGGGTACGGTGGAAGTCAGGAGGTATCCGAACATCTGGAACGACAAGGTCGGAACCGATCCCGATGCACCGAGCACCGTACGGAGCAGAGGCGAATGCTTCGTGCGCTTCATTCAGGAAGTACGCGAGTGTCGAAATGAACCATATGGGCGGTTGCTGGCAGGATAACCTGGGATCACGCTGAACTCGGCAACGGTATCGGTAGAACGTAGACACGACTCGCGCATTCGCCACTTCCCTCAACGGGCCGGAAACCAGGTGATCTCAAAGTCGTGTCGTTTGGTGATGCAAGTCAATGGCATTAGACGTGCTGCAATGCCCAGAAGCCCGCACTCCCGGTCAAACGGCCAGACCGAACAACGAGTCCAGGAATCGAGTATCTGCGAGACCCATCGATGCGTTCAGCACGACATGTGTACGCATCACGAGCATGCGGGACCGCTGAATCTGGTAGAAAGAAGAGCGCGACACATAGACGGATGCACGAGAAGGTGCACAGTGAGGTGACTGAGCGTCAAATGGCGAGGCAGTTGCAGGTGGGAAACGTGCTATGGTGTGATTCCAAAAGGCGTTCATGTGCGCTGGGGCACGCTCCGCACTGAGCACTGAATGTGTCGAACGGCAGCCGATGATGACCCGCGCTTCCGGAGCGTCCAGCTGATTTGTATGGCGCGAATGTTCAAGCGAATCGTTTCATAGCTCGTGTAGGCACTGTGGAAAATGCGGAGCACGGTCGAGAGCGTAAAATTAGGGTGCCGGAGAGAAGGCACTGGATTCTCGCCTGGATCCAGGCAGTCGTGTAGACCGGTTCAGCAATCCATCAAGGCTGGGTCATCTTGTTTAGAGATAAACCAGGGCGGATTTCCCTTTGGGAGACTGGTGAAACATCAAGGGATACGATTCCTCGATATTGGTGGGTATTCTGGCAGGATCCCGCTGAGCGTCGAGCGCATGACGGCTTCTTTGAGGGTGTTTCCGCTTCGTTGTTCGCGTCATTGCTGCCCCGGCAAGTTCACTTAACCTTGCGCCACTGCACACCAGATAGCAGTCGGTGCCCCGTTGGAAGCGATGTGCGTGGTGCGTAAAACACAGAAGCCTCAGCTCCTGGACCCAGAAACGCTCACTAATGCGTAATAGAGGCCAGAGAAGCGACTAGCACTTCATCGCGCTCAACGCTTTTCTCTTTTCAAGATATCGATAAGGTGTTTCACGCAAACCAGTCGGAATGACATGCTACCCAGTGGGGAGAAGTGGCAATTGATGCTCGACACGGCTCCCGAACGCCACCTGGATCCGGTGATGTGAAACCAAGTGCCGGAGCGCGTCCTGATAGAAGTTGCATCACATACCGATTGCGTTTCAGTTCAACGTATAGACGCACCTTGATAGCTCGTATCAGAATTCGTTCCATTCTAAAACGATGGCGTTACAGGTCGATGTATAAACGCACCCTGATACCTCATATCGGTATACGCTCTTATCATGTAATCGTTGCACCATGGCTTCCCTTGTTGTCTCATTCTGGTTGCTTATGGTGCTCATGCTCATGTCTAGCGTCGCCAACCGACTTTAAAGTGCTCCAGTCTCGCCGACAAAAGTGTCACGGACTGAGGCGAGCATCAGACTCGGCGTAACCACGCTGCAAGACGTACCGAGTCGCGGAAACTCCATGGACCATTTCTCGTTCAACAGTGATGACAAGACGGTGACTCAGGCACCTCATGCGCGTGCTTTGCTCATGATGCCGCCCAAGCGTTCCGCAACGTTATCGGCGAACATCTAGGCAGTGCGGCCACTGGACCCAGCGCTGGCACCTTCCCCGCCGACCCCTGTCTCTGTACGAAATGCATAGAAGTGCGGTTCGCTGGAAAGTATGCCATACACACACAAACGCCCCTTTACCGAAGCAGCAGTCGCCAACACGACTCGATACCTCGTGAAGCACACATCCAAGTCTCGAAACGTCCGCACGAGGTTCGCAGTAAGCCGGTGTCCGTGTCCGGCACAGAGCCCGAAGTCTCGGCCACTGGAGCGTCAGGGGAAGCAGCCGCATCGACGTTGCGACCATGAAACCATCGGTGGTATGTGGACCTCCAAGCGACCTCCAGCATCGCGTCACGACGACGAGATGAGGTGAAACGAGCGCTGCAATCATGTGTATTTCGGAGACAAGAAAAATGGAAATGCGAGACGCGTTCGCAGCACTCCAGTTACCCCGTTTCCCGCTTTACCGTCGTTTTTTCTTACTTGGTTTGCGTTTGGATTTCGTGGATGGATCTTCGGTATCCACAGCATCCCCGTTGGTCTCGCTGGTCCGCGGCGTGAATCCCATGGCCTCCGGGTTGAGGCGTTCGTCGACAGCACCGTCGAGGGTGCGCGGGGCGCCCACTCGTTCGGGCTGCTTCGATGCCAGGTAACGCTTGATGCCAATAGTTTGGATTGTAGAGACGATATTATTGGTGACCCAGTACAATCCCAGGCCGCTGGGCACGTTCAGAGAGAACCATCCTACCATGAACGGGAGGAAGCGCAGAATCGCATTCGCTTGTTGCTGCTGCGGATCCTGAACCGGTGGCTGCAGAATCTTCTGACTGATGGACTGTGAAACCACCAAGAGGCACGGAAGGACCAGATACGCGATTGCATCATGCCAGCCTATAGGCGGTGCACCGTTCTGGAACGGAAAGAGCCAGCTGGAAAGCCCCTGGCCCTGACGCACGGGGCCCTCGAGACTCGGCAACCAGAAGAATCCCTGATCCAACCGATTATCAGCGGCGAGGTTCATGAGCGCTCGATAGAGGGCTATCCAGACTGGCAACTGCACAAAGACTGGTAGACAACCAGTCAGCGGGTTCACTTTGGCCTCCTGGTACAGACGGGCCGTCTCGAGGTTCAGCAACTGTGGGTTGTCCCGATACCGCGCCTGAAGTTCACGCACTTTCGGCGCCAGCGCCTGCATCGCCATCGTGCTTTTCATCTGCTTATAGTTGAGCGGAAAAGTGATCGCCTTGACAATAATGGTCAGAAAAATGATAGCGAATCCATAAGAGCCAGGAACACCGAGCGCTGCCAGGGTATCGCCGGTGCCCGTGATGATCGTCTCAATCAGGTGCACGAAACCGTTCCAGAGGCCTGCTTTCTGGGCCCCAGCTGCCGCAGTCGCTGCAGCAGCTGCACTCGTCGAGCCGTCAGCAGCATCGACCAGCAGAAGTGATGCACTAGCCAGCGCAAACGTAACCGTATGCCAGCTGTCCTGCAGCGCAGCTAGCGATTGACTCGGGTCGACGAACTGTAAACGAAGGGACTGCACACCAACCGAACGCCGGCGCGGCGACATCAAGCCTACACGTCGTCGGTTTGGTTCACCACCAGGCCGCAGCCTGCAGCGCCGCCACGCACCCCCGAGGCCGCACCCGGCTGCCGTGTACCCGCACTGCCGCGAAGCGGTTGCAAGGGAACGCACTGACCCTGTGCCTGACGCATAAAGTCCAGCAACAAAGCCTATTTTACACCCGCAACTTCCAGCAGTCGGTCCAGTCGCAAGCACTGGAACAAAACGAAACAAAAGCCGCTGCTCGCTACGAGCAATGCTGTTTGTATCGTTCGCCTCCGCCTCCGTGTCCAGCTTTCGCCCAGACACCTCCAGCAAACGACCGCATATCCGCTGCGTTGACAGGATCTGCAACGCTCCCATACCTGATCCCAGTAATTCGACCTGAAAACGGTCGCAGGTACTACGCAGCAACGGCAATAGGTGTGAGAATAGCGGGCGGTGTCGACGAGCGAACTCCGTCCAGCGCTTCAGCAGGCCACTGTGTGAAGGGCGATGACGTCGACGGCGGCGGTGACAGAATCGATCGCGGCAGTACGATCGTCTCTGGTGCGGCGGAGGCGATGGCGGATATGCTGCGGCGCTTTACATGTCGACAGATTCCCAGGATTTCAAAGACCCGGAAGGCAACACGTTCAAAGTTCGTTGCTATGAAGCATGAGCTTTGGAAAGCGGGTTACGAAAGGTAACTCGCGTCGGGCATACCGTTCCCTTGCGGGCGAAGCGCACGTCGGCAGCGGGCGACAGCCCCGCATGCTGCACAGCGCCGAGCCCCTGCCTGAAAGAGCGTCCGCTGCGCTCGGGCGTCGCTACCCAGCAGTAAGTTCGCAGAGTAGGCCTGCACGTGCTGCATAGTGACCGGAGCCCGTTTCCAGCAATACTTTGCGCGACTCGCAGACCATGGTTCACCGACTTGAGGTAGGCTTGCATCAGCGGTCTTCCCGTTCGCAGGCGAAACTGCACTGAGCTGCTCGTTCACCTTGAAAGGTCGCGATTGGCAAGCACGGTACAATGCAGAACATTGAGGGGGAACGGTACCGCATGTGCAAAGTGCTCACATCGATCGGCGTGCGGAACGATATGTACATCCATTTTCACGCGATACATATCAACCATCATCATGGTTTGGCTTCTGGTGCCTCCAGACCAAACCCCGTGCTCAGAGGATCGCGCTTCTTTCGACGCATGCTGGTGCACTCGCCCGAGGACAGCGGGAACAGCAAACGCATGTCGCCGCAGTGCATATACGCTGGATGGACGACCACTCGCTTTCGAGCAGTCGACGCTCGCGAGTATTCAGCAAACGTCTTCATCATGACGATGTCGCAGTTCCGAGGAATACGCTGTGACACAGCGGCCGGTGTCGCGTTCCTGGCATCCCGCTCCCTTGTTGGCGCTCGTGCGTCCGCATGTGCACCGAAGGACGCACCAGTGCGCGTCTACGCATTCGGGGTACCAGCTGCGTTGCGACGCCACCGAAAACTCGCGAGTACGCGAAGCTTTGCTGGACGCACACCCTAGTATTGCTCAAAACGAGCACCAAGTAGAGCAGCACCTGCCCATGGAGTTGGTACGACAACAATGTCGTGCGTGGTAACCGAGCATTCAGGTGCTGAAGCGCGCAAACCCGTCACAACCGAAAATACCACCGTCATCGCGAGCGTCTCGCAGACAGTGCAGGAGGCGACGCGTACAACCAGGTCGCCTTGTAGGAGGCCTCCCTGGGCCGCTGGTGACCCAGCCTCTACCTGCACCACCTTTGCGAACGGTCTCAGGTTCGACTGACCCAGACTCGTCTCAGTCCAGTCTAAGCTTTGTGCTGGCTGGTTGTCTCCGGGGCGGTGTTCCCGGCTCGAGGCAGCCCGCACCGCTGGTGCGCTCTCCACGACTCGTGACGCAGACGCTGTAGACGGTGCGGTTTGCGTGTGTGCTGGCCCGCTTGGAAGCATCTCCGGAAGCAGCCTTCCAGTTTCTTTCATTATCAGATAATAGTCGGTTTGCAGGCGCACGAGACGTTGACGATACTGGCGGATCTGGTGTACATCGCAGTCCGAACGGGGGAAGCCGTCCTCGTGAACGAGTGGATCTCGCACCCCGGCAGGCGTGGCTTCTAAGCAGGATACCAAGTGTTCAATGTCACGCACGAATTCTTCTTACTGTAGGGCTAGCGCTAGTAGGCGCTGTACGCTGTCGGAGGTCATTTGTTCGACGTCTCAGACAGGCGAACGACGGCGCGTAGCTCCAGGCGTTGCCCCGGGAACCTTTACGGACGAGGTCGTTTACGAGGCTCAGCGTCCGAAGACCATAAAACGAAAGTATCATCGGAACTTGGCTCGAAAGGAATCTGGGCAGAGTGCTGACGCTGTATACGATTTTTGAATGACGACAACAACAGCGACAACCGGCCTCATGGCATGGTCAGAAATCGGGACTGTCGAGCAGTGGGGCGCACGAAAACCGCACAATTCAAACCAGTTTCTCATTCCAGCGTCTGTGCAGAATGGACTGCAAGAAACGGGAATAAACGTGTATCCGTAGTCGGGAAGACTGCGGCGCATAGTTTGTTTATGATCAATAAAACGAACGAAATTCCTGTTGAGTAGGGTGATGCATACCTCGCCCGCACAAGCGTAAGATACTACAATGGCTACGCTTTTGATAGAGGCGTCGAGGGGTATCGTGCCAGGCCCCTGCATCCCCTTGTCTGTCGGGGCGGTACTGCGATGGGCAGTAGCGTCGGCACCAGCGACAGAACCTATAGCAAGAGTTCATTCTACGTGAGTTTCCGATGTACAATACGTTGTTTTGGCTGCAGTGCACCGGTGAGAGCACGCATGTGCCAATGCGGGGTGTCGGACACGTGTCCTTCATCGATCGGTGCAGCGTCTCGCGCGGTGCACGCATCGCGCTCAGTGCGCGCACCTAGGAGATCAGGCAGGCGTGAGACACGACGCGCATGCCGCCGTTGAAGGGAAACGTAATCGTGATCAGCAGCGTCTAGCTCTCGTGTTAAAGTTGTATTTTCGTTGACTTTATGGGCAAGTATAGTTTTCAGTTCAATTGTGTTTGAAAACTCAAACAAGTGTATTCTAGTGTTTTGTCGCAGTATATAAGAGGAGCGTTCAAAGAGGGTTCTTTTTCAAAAAAAAAAACTAAACAAGGAAAGTTATGAAAAAGCAAGTCGACGATCCTGGAGGCCCAGTGTCGCCGGCTGCCAGAAAGAAAACAAAACACAGTGCCGAGTCCAGAAGAAGAGGAGAAGAAAAAGAAGCAAAAGGAGGAGGCTCTACGTCGAGGGATGCAAGAAAGACGACTGTACGACGAGAAGGTGGTGAAAGCTGGTCTTCTTGGACATATCAAGGATCCCTACAGGGAAAATTTGCGAGACGCTATCAGAAACCGTGTCGACTCGTACTCCAAGAGTATTGTCAAAGCGTCGTCAGGACTGATGCACTCGGCGAGGGAGATGTATCGCGACGTGACGCACATGCAAACAGTCGAGGTCCCAGACGAGTTGTTCGATACGACCTCTATTCGATACTTGATGCTCGGTACAGGGGAAACGCGGACGGAAAATGAGCGAGTGCATGCCCTCCACGAAAAACATCCCTTCTACAGCTTCGAGGGTACTCGATACAGGGTTGACTCGTGTATTTACGAATACGGAGCGATAAAGTACCCCACGAGCCTGAATAAACATTTGACCGTGAACCTCGAACGTTTCATGATACGCGCCGTGTTTGCACTCTACCCGGGCATCTCTCGCAAAGCGATATGGATCATCATCGATAGCATCAAAAACGATAGTAAGAATGAACAGGAGATCGAACTTGTTCACGAGAAGACATCATGCAGGAAAACGAATGAAGCTTCTGTAATCCGTGCGGCTATACAAGAGCACCGTGCAGCACTGGGGCTGGCGAGTCCAGCAGAAAAGATATCAGAGTTGAAAAAAGATAAGAAAAGATACGATCGCCCTGTCCTGCGCTATTCCATATTCCTGAACGGAGAACTGGCACGCAGGGCCGATATGGAGCAGGGTGTGGAAGCAAATGCAGTGCCGGAGAAACGGGAAGCTGCGCTTCTGGCGAGGCATTTCAACGTCGTTCGGTTACGCGAGATCAAGTCCCATTTGTGACGATCGACTCCACAGTCTTTCAGGACATCATGAAGGAGATCTGTCCGGATTTCGATGTCAGCAGGGAGGTGTTCTCCGGCGAAAACCGGGAGACGTTTGAAATCGAAGATATTCTGCTTCGATTTCAAACGCCTCAAAGTGAGCAAGCAAAAGCTATCCGCGGGGATGATCGAAACCGATGGCGTAGCCATGTGAGTTGACTATCGGCGGTTGAAAAGCGATCGTCCTGGCCCGTGTTCGATATTGCCCGTGACGAAGCATGAAGATGAGAAGGAGGCGGGTCCTGCGACGCAGGAGGTGGAGGATAACGGCTTTATCGTTGGCGCGGTGAAGCATGATGAAAACAAGAAGGCGGATCTTGCCACACAGAAAGTGCAGGATAACGACTTTGTCGTTGGCGCGGACCCTGGGAACACGAATATCATAGCCATCGCAGTACCGAAACGTGCGGAATATGGTCACGACGGTAACTTGCGCCAGAAGGACATGGGTCTGTCGAGATTCTCGACAGCGAGATACTATCGAGAATCCGGTATAATGAATGCGAGGAAGAAAATCGAGACATGGAATGCAGGAATGAAGGAGCACCTGGAAGCCTTGAGCGAGTTGACTAGCCGAGGAGCGGACTTTGAAGCTTTTCGGAATTTCATGGAAGTTCGTGTTGCGCATTGGGATGCACTGTGGGAGGAGTATACAAAGCCCTGGTGGGATCGTCTACGTATTAATCTATACTGTCGGAAGCAAGCTGCATTCAAGAAAATTTTCGATGAGTTCAGCGCCTTGGAGGAGGATGAAAGTCAGAGGCTCGCATTAGCGAACGGAGCAGGGCGCTGGGCTCCGAAAAAAGGGTGTACACCAGCTCCAACTACACGAACATACAAGGAGTGCGCAAGGCGTTTCGCTACGATACCTGCAGATGAGTTCCGAACATCGTATACATACCATGGACTCGGGTGCACATTTCAAAAGGTCGAGATGGGAAAGTGTTAACGGAGCCCTGAAGATATAAAAAAGTACGGACCGCTGACAGAAGAGCAACTGGAAAGAAAAGCGAAGGCTTGAGGGCTACTCGCATTAGTAAGTACAACCAATGGCAAGAAACTTATGGGATTCCTGTATCGCGACTTTGAGGCCGCTATCAATATAAGGGCATGTGCGGTGCTGGAGCATAGACCTCCAGAGTTGACACGAGAGAATTTTATGGGGCAACCTGTCAAAGTGGGACTATATGAGAAAACTATGAAACCAGTAGCAGGTGGCCGGTCGAGAGAAACTGGGAGGCGTCTGCAGCTCAGCTGGCGACTTCGTGTCTAGGGCGCGGGTCACGCGCCACTACTATACTTCCGACCGCAGCAACGTTTGGTGGGTGAAGGCAGCACGCCTCATTTCGAGTGCTGTGCTCGAGTTTATACCCCAGCTGCGGGAACTTTTGCGGATAGCCATTTCTCGCCAAGTGTCTCGTGTGTTCGCAGGTACCTATGGCTCGTCGATGGAAACTAAAGCTTCCAGAGTTGCGTTTCCTCAACTGGCGGCGCTGGGAAGCCTACACGGACAGTTGGGAGACGTCCTCTTCCACGGACGTGGAAAAGCTCGTCGAACCAGCACACCGTGAAACGCTGTCGCTTCCAGACACCAGCGAGGTGCGTCGTCTACTTGCGAGTCTTGCACCGTTCGAACTAGAGCGTCTGCAGTCAGTTCAAGCTGTATTCTGGCTGCTGAAGCCGTTCCTGTGGCCGCGGGAGTGGCGCATCCGGTTCTACGTGGCGCTCACCTTCGTGCTCACTGTTGCGGGCAAGGTGCTGACGGTGCTCGCACCGGTAGCGCTGAAACGCGTCATTGACGCGCTCGCGTCAGCACCCGTTGGCTCGTCCACCGCTGCTGTTCGCAAGGCAGTCACCTACACCGTACTATATGCAGCGTCACGCTTTGGTATGCAGCTGCTGAACGACGGCCAACGCTATGCATGGCTAACTGTCTCGCAGACGGCAACTCGTGCCATAGCCTTGACGACTTTTGCGCATCTGCACTCGCTCTCCATCGATTTTCACTGGCAGAGACGCACTGGAGAAGTCATTCGCGTTATGGACCGGGGCGTCGCATCCCTCGGTGAAGTACTCTCGGTTTTCGTATTCACCGTATTCCCAACCGCGATTGAGCTCTTGCTAGTGCTCTGGGTTTTTTTCGCCATGGGAAGCTTCTGGATTGCCATCACGGTACTCGTGTCGGTCCTGGTATACGGTGTGTACAGCAAGCAGCTTACCGAATGGCGAACGTCGTACCGCAAACTGTACAATGAGCGCGATAACGCCGCGGAGGCGCGTATGGTTGATAGCCTCCTCAACTCGGAAACGGTGAAATTGTTTACAGCAGAGGCGCGAGAAGTCAACCGCTACACGGAAGCCTATGTAGCGCTGCAGGAGAGCGAACGCACCCTGATAGCTACGCTGGGGCTGTTAAACTCTGGACAGTCGGTGATCATTAGTTTGGGTGTTGGTATCTCGATGGTTATGGCAACGAGGCGCGTGGCACGCGGCGAAGCGAGCGCCGGCGACCTCGTCATGGTGAACGCCTACATCCTGCAGCTGTATCAGCCGTTGCGGTGGCTCGGTTCTGCATACCGGCAGATTATGAGGGCACTTACCGATCTGGACAAGCTCTCAAGACTTCTTGCCCTGGAACCAACCGTCCGAGACTTGCCTGGTGCGCCAGCGCTGCGCCGTCGACACGGACAAGTGGAGTTCCACCAGGTGACCTTTCACTACGATGTCCTGTGGAGCGGCACGGAACCGGGTGCAGCGACGCGGGCCCAGATGCCCAGTACCGCCACTGACACTGCCACTGCTACTAGTAGTAGTAGTGGTGGTGGTGGTGGTGCTGGTGGTGCTGGTGGTGTTCACAACCTGAGTTTTACCATTCCGCCCCAACGGGTCGTTGCGGTTGTCGGTCCGTCTGGAGCCGGAAAGAGCACCATCGTGCGTCTGCTGCTTCGTCTGATTGACCCGCAACAAGGTGCCGTCTACATCGACGGTCAGAATATTGCACATGTATCCCAGCAGAGTGTTCGGCATGCGATTGGCGTCGTCGCTCAGGATCCTGTCCTCTTCAATGAGACCATTGCATACAACATTGCATATGGTGTCGATGCCGCTGCCACACCGGCTTGTATAGAGGCAGCGGCACGAGCCGCCCATATCCATGACTTTATCACCAAGCTCCCTGACGGTTATCAGACGGTCGTTGGCGAACGCGGCGTGCGACTTAGCGGCGGCGAGAAACAACGCGTCGCCATCGCTCGAGCGATTCTGAAGAATCCCTCCATTCTGGTGCTGGATGAGGCCACCTCGGCGCTCGATACCGCAACGGAACGGGCGATTCAAGCCAACCTAATGGAGATGCGGACGGGACGCACGACACTCGTGGTGGCACATCGCCTCTCCACTGTCATCGACGCAGATGAAATCCTCGTTCTGAACGGGAACGGTGAGATTGTCGAGCGTGGTGCGCACGCCGAACTGGTGTCGCGACCTCAGGGCGCTTACCGCGCCATGTGGGAAGCCCAGGCACGCGCCCAAGTCACCACATCGGATAGCGTGCCAAGTACGACGGCATGAGCAGTTGCACTTGGTCTCGCGTTCCGTCTAGTCAGGTATAGGAATTGCAACGGGCGCTGAAGCAGGTCGCATTCGAGGCGCGTGTGTGGCAGCGTCGCTTGGATAAGTGTGTTCATCCGACGTTGCCGCCATGCAGCATATTGCAGCAGCGTATAGCACAGCGCAGTGAAGCAAAACTCGATCAACACGAAGCACAAACAAGTTGCCGTCAGTGTCATGGTCCGATGTAGCTGCGTCATTTGAGTGTGCTGCTGTTGCTGCTGTTGGCGAGACGCTCGTCCGACAAGCCGAGCTAGCTCAGCGAGCGTTCAAAATCCGGCTCTGTGGAGATGAACAGATCCATGAGGTTGCTGCCGCCAACGCCACCGCTGCTGCTGTTGCCACAGATAGCTCTATCCCGAGTATGGTCCAGGAGAAGGCTCTCAACAGCCAGATCCTGAAGCAAGGGCGGCGACGGGCTTCGAGTGAGCGCTCCTCCGCTAACACAAGCCAACATACCACTAAAGCTACCGTCAAGCTCGTAATCTAAATGAAGCCCAGCGCCAACAGCACCTCGTCGAAATGGCGAGAAGCGTTGCACGCCGTCGATGAGCGGCGACGCGTACGGTGATGATGCTCGCCGAAGTTTAAGCGTCCCGCCCGGAGACACCGTTCCCGGGTGCAGCGTTTCTCCGCGTTCCTGTTGACGTCGAAGATTCAGCACTTCGCCATGAAAATCATCGACAGCATCCTCGCCAACGGCATGCAGGTGCTTGTACCTCGGAGGCGTAGTGTGGCCCTCTGGATCCGGAGCCCCGTACGCAACGTGCTCGGGTCGTGTCCGGTCGTCGACGTCGTCGCCCACGAAACGCGTCCGCAACGCCACTGGTGATGCATCACGCCGCTCTGTGTTAAGTCGGGCAATACGCACGCCATGCTGACATGGAGCCGCGGACGACGCAGCGCCGGCAACTGCTGCCGATGCGACGGCGCTTGCGCTGCCGTTGCTGCGCTTTCCTGGGCCTCCCTGGCGAGCATTCGCAGCTGCTGTGTACATGAATGCTGCACTGGATTGCTCAATGGTAACCGTCGTCGCGATGCTAGTGGCACTGCTTGCGTCAAGCGATGTCCTGATTCCTGGTTCCCGACAAACACTTCGCATGGGGAACGGTCGAATGCCGTCATGTCCGGCCGAAGGCATCGTTGCCAACCCGCCGCCAGCCGTTGCCGCGAAGGACAAACGTGTCGGTGAGCTGCCGCTCGGTGCCATACATCGCAACGGCGACGCCAGTTCGACAATACCATCCACCGCTTCGAGCGTGCGGCTGCTCCCGGTCGGCGATGCTGGAATGCTGAGCGGGGCTCCCGAGCCCCACGACGCGTACGACTGCGCGGGTGCTTCGAACTCCTCGATGTCGGCACGCAGGGCCGCTTCATCGAAAGCAGAGGCCTCCACATCTGCATTGCAATCACGATTGTTCGCTAGTTGCGTATCAAACGTCAGGGCGGCTATTGGATTATGGCCCCGATCAGGCAATGCCGCCTGCAGACTGTTGTAAATCGCTGCTTCCGCTCCAAGTTTCTGTGGCGCAGCAGCCCGCCACGGGGCTGCATTTGCATCTGGCGGCACTCGGGGGTCTTTTTTGTGTGCCCGCCTGCGCAGCGCTGGTACCCAGGAGCCGTCAGCGACGTCCATGCCGTTGCGCTCTGCAACGGGCGCGCGTTCATTGCAAATCCGAGCCCGATCCGGTCCATTGCTTTGCAAAGAAAGATTCGATGTGAGCGCTGCACCTGCATGTCGTCGATGCTCTCCACCAATGCCGGCACTGAGCAGGTAACACTCGATCGCACCACCGCTCGAACGCACATGCAACTGGTAAACGACCGCCTTGGAGGCTCGGTTTCTTGCTTTGGGATCGTCTCCCCAGAGTAACTCGGTTCCTGGGGGCGCTTGCACTGCGATAACCATGTGTTTCTGAAAAATCGACAAAGACAGAATATCTTCATCAGTCAGATAAGCATAGCGCATGACTTTCTCGGACGTACTCAAACGACGTAGATCGTCGCGCAGGATGCGAATCTGTTCATCAAGTAGACGGTCCGACTTCTCCAACTCGAGAATCTCCTCGCGCAGACGAAGGATCTCCTGGTCTGCAGCCAAGTCGACACCGCAGACAACGGCGTTTCCGTCGGTAGTGAGCCCTGCACGTTGGACGGTCGCTGTTTCGGTCTTGGCAGGTGCCTCCCCGGACGCGTCACGATTCACAGCAGCTAGTGCGGTCTTGCGGGTGCCGGGGTTCCCAGCAGCGGATTCTCCCATTCCTTTCCATCGGATGTGGTTCTTGCCTTGTTTCTCGATGATCCCGACGCCCTCAAGCACATTGGTAATGTCATATATCCGTCGCTTCTTCACACCCAAGCGTTCCGCTACTGCGTTCAAATCCAGTAAACCGTCGTCCGTTTTAAAGACTAGATCGAGAAACCGGCGCGTCAGCTTGAAGAGCGAGCAATCCTGACGACAACCGCTGCGCCGTTTCGCGACCTTGGCCCCCGACGCTCCTCCGCTGCTGGTACGCGGCGTGCGCCCCAGGTCCAGCTCGTCCTCCTGAAAACGATCGTCTGGCGAGCTACTGAGTCCATCGTTCGGGGAACGAGCCTGCAACGGAGCGTCCGCACCGCCAAGCAAGGCCGACGTTACGGGCGACGTCAAACAGGTCTCACTATCGAGCAGCGGGCGACCCAGCCAACGCTTGACGGGAGTCGTCGCCGACTCACTCAGCTCCAAGGTGCCATGACGACCAGAGCCTCCGTCGGTTTTCGAAGTAGACCGCGACTGCCGGCCGCGCGGCCTCGCCGTACTCGCGCTCGGAAGCGCATCGTCGAGGACGGGCGAGAACTCCACACTCCCCCGAGGATAGAGCGTCGATCGCCGGCTGCGCGCCTCGGGCGTAGCGGCAGCAGATTCGCTCATGTGTTCCGGTTAACGAGCAACAGCCCGGTAAACAGTTAGCGTCTAGGTTGTGCACCTGCACAATAAGCGACTCAATCGTGCACACACACACACACACGCAAACACACCGCGCACCAGGGCACTGTATCGCAGGCAGACCCTCCGTGGAGCACGCAAAATGTAACGGCCTTGCGGGAGCACGTCACACACGTGCTGCCGCCAGATGTGTACCGAGGCGGCGCTCCGACGAACGCCGCGCGCAGATCATCCGCCACCGAAGGCGGCAACGGCGATGCAGCGTATCGACGCTTCGATGCACGCATCGCCGCCAATTTCCCGCGCTTTCGCTACGTGGCGCCGCGCGTCACGAGTTTCGTTACTGCAGCGGGCGAGCGGGCGCGCGTGCGCCTGCCCTACAGCGTGTGTCCGTGCTCTGGGAAGGATCGATGGCGGTTTCCCGCTTGCTTTACGCTCGGATCATGGGATGCACGATCGCGTCGATCTTGACCGTTGATACGCGAGCAGTGCATGAACGGACACGTGTCCGCTGTATGGAGCGCTACAGAGGCACGGCGTCGATACCGATGCATGCACACTGGAATCGCGTGCGTGTGCGTGCCACCTGGCGCTGCATGCAGCGGACACGTGTTCGTTTGGGCATATCCCTACGTCATCGCCTTGGCGTTCGGCGCTGCGAGCATTCGCCCGTCGAAGGCGATGACTCAGCGGTATCGCTGACGCTTCACCGGACGCATGTCCGCGAGGCAACGGTTTGGATCCAGGCTCTGGAGAGGCCCGTCACGGCGATAGGATGCCTTGCGTACCGACGCTACAGATACCGGTGTGGTGGCCTCAATAGCGGGGACCGGGATGAGTTGCGCGGCTGCCGGTACACGGAGACGGCATTGCAGAGCAGCGCTATCACCAGTGCCGATGTGCCTCTCTGCGCTCAGCGGCGGGTGCGAGCTCGCCCAGAATCCCGTCAAGCCACTGTTATCGCACGGGCGTAGTAGGAACCAGCGCTTCTTCGATGTCGCATGCTGATGTCCGCGTTCGTCGAGCTCCGAAGCCACAACCGTGGCCGTCTCCAGGGCGCATGTCACGGTGCTTCCGGGGCGGTAGAGAAGCTGGCGGAGGAGGTCTCGTAGTCGACAACGCAGGTTATGCAAATCATCGTCTAATTCAGAGCTGATGTTTGCAAGATCTTCCAGTTGTCTTTCGAGATGCGCGCGCTGCGCACGAGCGCCTGTCGCTGCGCTCAGCAGTCGGCTCGGGGTCAGACTTCGTAAACGAATGCGCATCGAGGGTGTTTTGTAGTTACCGCCGCGCGCTTCTCGCTCGAGAATGCCGATCGCCTCGAGCACGCTGATGACGTCGTAGATTCGACGAGGAGCTACCTTCAACGCTGTCGCTAAGCTCGAGCACGTCTGGTGCTCGGCGTACGATGCTTTTCCTTCGGCCTGCGGAGCAAACAGTCCCAGCAAATGCGCCGTCAGAAATCCAATGCTCCGCGCATAGCGACCCGAGGTACGTGGCGAGTCTGGGTGGCAATCCTCACCGGTCGCAGGACCTGATCCATGCAAATGCTGGTCATGCGGTCGCGGGTGGTACGGGTGGAAATGCTTCAGCAGAAACGATGGATTGGTCATAAGGATTCCGATATCTATATCGGGGTGTGCAGCGTACGGGCTCGACGGCGTGTCTGCCGCCGCGGCGCTCGGCGATGCCTGTTCCGCCACGGATGCTGCAATGCACTGCCGCACCGTGAGTTGCTCGGATGCGACGTTCCTGCGGCCGAGCGTCTGCTTTTCTCGGGCCCCTGAAGCTTCGTACAACGCATCCATCAGAGAGCGGGGTTGCAGCGGTTGGTGCTCTGTTCCACGGATTGGGCGGCGAGGTTGTGGTCGTCGTCCTGGCGATCCAGCGCTCGGCGCGTTCAGAACTGTATCGCCTCTGTCCGCAGCGAGTCGATCAATCTGCTCGGTGCACCAGCCCGGCCACTCTTTGTCGGGTGCCTGCCCCAGGCACGCTCTCAGCGTCGGTGAAAATGCCGATACGCCGAGCGGCGAACTCGACACGCCCTGCGACATACGCCGATAAGACACCGGCGTCTTCGGAATATCTGGGCTCACATACCACAGAAAACTCTCAATGCCCCCGAATGAACACGGACTCTGGGGAACAGCCGTTGCTTGCGTCACTGGTCGGGCCGGTGCGACCGCACTGCCGCTGTCTGTGGCCTCGACAGCTCGAAAGCGACTATTCCTCGACCAGGGTATGAGGTCATGTGGTGACCACTCTGAAAGCGGCAGCCACGGCGGTGCTCCTCTGGAGGTCGGCTCGGGTGAGGCGGCCCGCGTCCGCCCAGCGGCTCCGTCAGCAAGTGCTTGGCTTGGTGTATCGGGGTGTTCCTTGGCGACGCGTTGCGCGTTGCCCGCGCTAGCCACGCGCTCGGGGAAAGCGGCCACCTCATCGCATAAGAGCGCTTTCCAGTCGATGTCGTCCATTATGAGAGCATAAACTCGAGATCAGGTGCCCAATCACATCTAGTCTCTTTAGAGCTGACCCAGTATACTCGTTGAGTGCAGCACGTGCAAGAATTGAAACCTGGTGGCGGGAAAAATGTCGAGTTGGCGAGTGGCGCCGAGTGCGGCGTACCACGTGCTGCCGGTCGAAGCGATGGCATCTTGAGTTGTCCTTTAGGTTCACGTTTGAGCAAAAACTACTCGATGCCATCCGCAGGCCCTTCGCCAGCTGCAGCTCAGCGTTGGCATCCTGCGTTTCATACGAGCAGTAGGATCCTGCTATGGCTGGGGCTCAGCGTCGGGGAATTAGCGGATGTTTTGTCGAGCAAGGCTCTCTGGTACGTAGCAGCGACCTGTAAGCGGTGCTATGACGGGTTGCTCGTGCCAGGAGCGGCCGTGATCGGTTCGTACTCCCGAAATAAAATGCCGTGTCAGATTACTACAGAATAGGAGCTTCTCGCAAAGTTCTTACCTTTCGATACTGCTTGAACATTTGTTGAGATTTAGTACTTCGACAACCCAGGTATAGCTATAAGGGCTTATAGATTCGTGAGTCGTTTCGGGATTATCGGTTGGGGTGTCGGCGTGGCGCCTTTAGCGATTTGCAGCTGGAGTTCCTTAGGTTATTGGAAACAAGATGATTCGCGATGCCTGCGAACACGCGCACTTACAATAACCGATGTCATTGACCAGTGCACTCGTGCAAGTTTTCATGCTTTCCCTTTGGATACCGTGGAGCAGGCGCACATCACGCAATCCTCGGTTTTCCCGATCTTTGTTTCTTGAGGGAGCTCGTGCGCGCAGCAACTTGCACAGCTGGACTGGCGATGAACAATATTCGACGGTGTCATTTGTCGACTTGTTGACAAGTTCATGCCGAAACACCACTGAAATTTTCACGTCAAATAATCCGTTTTGTTCAAAAGACGAGTCCTGCTCTCTTTCTAGCCATCGACGTAACCGCATTCGATACCACCAGCAGCAGCAGCAGCATGATACCTGTCAGGGGATGTGCTCCCAGATGCGTCCATTTCATCTCTTTCCATGGAAAAGAATATTTGACTCGGCATTCTGTCATTGCGACGATGGCCTAGTTTCGACAGATTGTCATCACTTTGCACGAGGTGAGCGTAGATGGATCGAAATTTTTCGACTTGTTCCCAAGCATAGATCATACTTCCCATGCTTGGCGCATGATGATAAACATCGCTTGCCACAAATCCTTTATCGAATCGTGCAGCGTGCGCCTCTACGTGTCGCAAGCAGCATATTCGCCACGGACGTTGCCCGGAAGAGGCCCGTAATTGTAGCGTATGGCACCGGGCGTAGAAACTGAGCAGGGCTTGCACGGGAGCCCTCAGAATCCGTCAAGGGCATGAACGGAACGTTAACGAAATTCTTTCCTCGCGACAGGAGTCCTTCGAATGAGAGATTGTAGTGGATCCCTACGTAAACATGACCAGCGACAAGCGTCAACACTGCGACGGGCGCACCAGCGCTGTATTCAGATGGGATGCACATCGTAAGCGACGTGTAGATCGCAACTATCGCCTGTGCATGAAATGCGTCGACCAGCGCCAGGATCAGCAAAATCGGGATTTGAACGCAACCATCAACATCTTTCGACAACTAGCAACGAAGCTGTACGAGTACGAGAGACCGGCGCATTCAAAGCCATAGATAACAGAGTGGACTATGAAGCACTCGCCGAAGCAAGGCCCAAATCCTGGTTTTCATACCATGGCGATTTACCCAGACTATAGTATGTACGCCCGGGCTGGTTAAATGGACCGGTTCCTCTTTGCCCTAAAGTACGCAGAGAACACAGACACGCTGAGCGATTCTGAGCAGCACTGGAGTGACTTCTCGGAAAGTGGAACCGTCGTTGGATCCCCGAACTCCATGTCCATACGTTTCCCTTAGATTTCATATTTCTTCAGATGAACGCAATTCGTACATATCTGTTATAATCCGCGAGAAAGCATTTGATTACATGCATCTCGAACTGGAACCCAATTCAGCCGAAAAACTGGAAATGGGCATACGAGATCGCCCGTGCGTCCGCAATCCTAACGACCGCATCGACGAAGGTGATCCAACAATGGACAAAAGATATCTTGCACATCGCCTCGCACACGTCGCATGCTAAATACTCAATCATAGTCATTTAGGCATATTTATATCCTAAAAGTACACAGTGTTTCCGATCGCCCCCAAGCTGATGCGCACTGCCCGCGTCCCCGCAGACACGCGAAAGAGCGCGCGCGCGCGCGGCTGAAGGCTCGCGATCTCCGCATACCCGCAGTAGCGCCCCATGGGCGGTGGCGGCAGCGCTCCTTGGCGCCAACGCTGATCCCGCGCATGCATGCGAGCGCACGCACTGTAGCGCGTCACGCTGTGACCTGTAGACGCCATAGCATTTCGGGTCCTGAGGCAGTGGAGCAACACGCTCAACATCGACTGAAATGCGTTCAAGTCCAATGTTCATTCTTCAGCGTTCAAGCTTCGTCACTTCGGATGGCAGCCTATTTGGCAAGGTCCAGGGACAGCGACAAGCTCGCAAGTGGCGTGGCGGCGCTGTACGGCAGCTGCAGGCGTCAATGGAAGCGGGGAACGTGGCTCGGCGGCGCTGGGCGTTCCAGCAGGCGAAACGGCAGGCAGAGGAAACTATTCGTAAAGTGCAAGAAGCTCGCAGGAAGCAAGAAGAGTTGATGCAAGCCCTCGATATGCCGGTTAGAGCGCCCCCGCCGCCTCCAACGTCCGTGGTTCGGGATACCTCCCACTTGGAGGCTGTGCGGCGAGAAATCGAGGCCAATCGACAAGCCGCCCAACGCGCCGCCGAGCTGGCAAGAGAAGAAAGCAAGGCGACAGGGCGTGCGGCTGGAGCAGCGACAAGCACTGCAACCTCTTCAGGGGTGACGGCGGGAAGCGGCCGGGACTCGACGGCGGGGCGGAGTGCTGCTGCGGCCGCTGGCTCGGTTTCAGCACCTAGCACCGCCGCTTCTAAGGATGCGAAGGGCGCGGCGGGCTCTGGAGATGCGGGTACCGCTGCCCCAAAAGCAGCAGGCAGCGCTAGTACCCCTACATCGCCATCTGCATCAGCCGGCGCCACAGCGACGAATCGAGCGAGCGGCAGCATGCCTGCTACAGGGTCAGCAGCATCGACCAAGTCGAGTCCAGCACCGCCAGCGAGTGAGACAAGCGGTGGTCGCACTAGCCAACCGCCGAAAACAAGCGCATCAGCGAGCGAGCCGGGATCTGGCGGTGCTGATGGCCCTACGAAGACCGACCGTCAGGGCAAGCAACCAAGCATGCTTGCGTCGACAACAACGACGACGACGACGACAAGTCCCTCATCGTCTCCGAACGAGCTGGGAAGGCACCGCTTGAGTGAGCGCGAGCTGCGACCGAGCTTTACAACACCAGGCGAATCGGATCGAGAACTTGAAAGCTTGCGACGCGCACGTGATGAAGCATTGCCACAAACGAAACGGGGCGTCTCTTTCGGTGATGATTCTACACGAGACGACTCGGGGTCGGCACAGCCGTTCGTCCCCGAATGGACATCGCCGGGGAACGCATCTGCACCATCGTCTGGTCCGAACAGGGCGCCGTTGGGGTCCCGCGTTCAGCCGTCCGACGGGGCTGTAACCTACTCCGCGCCACGTGACGCTACGTACATCGCCTCAGAGACGGAATCAATAACTGCCCCTAGAAGTACCACAGCGTCTGTGACTCCGTCATCCGCTGGTTCGGAAAGAAACGCCCAGGATCGGGACACAGGCCTACGGAACGGAACGCGTTCCGAAATGGACATGCCTTCCAACGACAGGGATGCCAGCAGAAGCGCTGCACCCAAGGGTTTTGGGATGTATATTCGCCGGGCCGGCCGCGAAAACAAACAAACCCAACATGGTGATTCGCCGGCAGATGGGTTACCGATGCCTCAAGGCTCCCTCGGAGACGAGTCTTCAACCCGCGATGCCTCCCGGAACCCAGGTGGCGAGTCACCGGTGCCAAATGCTCGAATTCATGGAAGCCGCGCACCAGTGACGACAACGAATGGTGTCGCAGGGAGCCCGGCTACCTCGTCCCGAAACACCCCGAATGTGGCGGCAGACCTGGAACACAAAGTGATCGATCATCTGCGTTCGGGGACGCTGACCACCTTGACGGTACCACAATTGCGCTCGTTTCTGCAGCAGCAGAAATTGCCAACCACGGGTAAGAAGAAAGACCTTGTCGAGCAGGTGGAGCGCTGGTGGCAAGCAGCGCATCACCAAATTCGCTGAATGAACACCAGCAGCAACAGCAGCAGCAGCAGCATCAAGGCGAAGTGCACCTGACTGGGGCGATGCGCTGCGACCCCGAGCACCGCATCGTCGGTGACTGGGTCCTTGACGCAGAGCGACGCAAGCATACGAACTGTTAGCATCCGGGGAGGGAGCGCTCTGTTTGTCAATACGTGGGCGCAAGTATGTTGTTCCGTTGCAAATGGACAGGGAACGGGTTAAGGGCACACAATAGAAACACAGCTAAAGGGCTCGAACCATTTGTGTGGTTCCTTGGCAACGCCAGGGACTCGAGGTTCAGCACAAGTGACGCTTGCGCTCGTTGCCAATCAGTTCACCGACCGGGACTGGGTATCTCGGGGGACCCTCAAAGCGCCCCAGTAACCGGCAGACTCGACGCGACGTATCGGGATCGTAAAAGACTCGCAACCGGGAACGCGTATACAGTACACTCGCCCGAACCGCTGGACGTTGATTCCGATCTTTTTTTCACCCGTACGCCAACATAGTTCCGCGCAAGTTTCTACAGCGTTTCTCATGGCACCAAAGTTTTCAAAGCACGGCTCCTGGCGAGGTTTCCGCAAAACACAACTGCAGGCCGTCGAAAGGTGGCAGGGCGACAGAGACCTGTTGCCTTTCGGGTGCCAGCATACCGTGCTTCATATACCTGCCATGAAACCTGTAGAGCCTCTTGGTCAGATACGGGTCCCATACGCCCGTCCAGCTCCGCATGTAACAATAATCAGAACACGAATCGTGTATCTGTTTAGCGAACGCAGAAAAGCAATGCAAAAACGCATCGCATCGCTGCCGCTGCCAAGCCAAATCTCCAACAGTACCGCCCGGGTACGGAGTTCAGGTCGCTGTACTCGAGGCAACACTGCCGAGCGGGTCTGCGCTCTCTACGAAAACCAACAACCCATTCATCCGCTACGCGAATGTGCTGAACCAGTACGCGTTAGAGATAACGTGTTTCATGCGGCCTTTCGGTTCCGTTCGTCTTTGGCGAGGAGCTGCTGCGTTCCCGCTAGCCGCGTGGTTGCCAGCGTTCGCTACACGGCGGCTAGCTTCGTCACAGTCGCGAAACCTTGCCGAGCCTCCCAAACAACCCGTTAACGCTAACCAGGTCTTACAGAATGAATATGAACGTTTAATGGTACTGGCAGAGCAAGGAGGCGGACCCAGTGCCCGCAAGCGTCACCAGGCACGGGGCAAGCTACTGGTGCGGGAGCGCCTCGCTGCGCTGCTCGACCCGGGCTCGCCGTTCCTCGAGCTGAGCGCTCTCGCTGGAGCTGGCGACTACGTGTATGCAGGTGCCCCGGATGACGACAGCGAGACGAAAATGCCGCCAGGAGCAGGACTCTTAACCGGTATAGGTCTCGTAGCCGAACGCTGGTGCATGATCATTGCGAACGACGCAACGGTTAAAGGCGGTACCTACTTTCCGCTGACGGTGAAGAAGCACCTTCGTGCACAAGAAATCGCTGCGGAAAATCGTTTGCCCTGTATCTATCTAGCAGACTCGGGTGGTGCCTATCTCCCGTTGCAGCATCGAGTTTTCCCCGATCGTGATCACTTTGGTCGAATCTTTTACAATCAAGCTCGAATGAGTCGGGATGGCATCCTGCAGATCGCAGCAGTGCTCGGCAGCTGCACTGCTGGCGGTGCATACGTTCCAGCCATGTCCGATGAGGCGATCATGGTGCACGGCACGGGGACGATTTTCCTGGGAGGACCTCCGCTCGTGAAGGCGGCTATCGGCGAGGACGTGTCCGCGGAGGAACTCGGTGGAGCGCTGGTACACACCCAGCAGAGCGGTGTCGCCGATCATCTCGTGGAGAACGACGCTGAGGCGCTGCTGCGAGTGCGAGCAGCGGTGAAGCGGCGAGCGCTGCCAGCGCGCCAGGCCTCTACCAGCCCCCTGATGGAGTCCTTTCCGGCACCGCGAGCGTCGATAGGGGATCTAGAGCGTACCCTCGTTGGGGAAAACCCTCGAGCTGACGAATCAAGCGCCCGTCTTATCGGTGGAGCTGGTGCTGGTGGTCTGGATATGTATCAACTGATCGCATGCCTGGTGGACGGCTCCGTCTTTGATGAATTCAAGGCGCAATACGGAACAACGCTGGTAACTGGCTTTGCGAGCATCTATGGTCAACAGGTGGGCCTTGTCGGGAATCAGGGGGTGCTCGTGAGTGATGCGGCGAAGAAAGGGACGCATTTCATCCAGTTATGCGAGCAGCAGGGTATCCCGCTTGTATTTCTACAAAACATCAGCGGTTTCATGGTTGGAAAGCAGGCCGAGTGGGGCGGTATCGCCAAGGACGGCGCCAAAATGGTCAATGCCGTAGCGTGTGTTCGCGTTCCGAAGATCACCGTCATTGTTGGTTCCAGCTACGGAGCCGGCAATTACGGTATGTGTGGGCGTGCGTATGGGCCTCGTTTCCTTTTCACTTGGCCCAGTGCCCGAATTGGAGTCATGGGCAGCGAGCAGGCCGCTAACGTTCTCCGTCAGGTGCAGGGGGGGCGTTCCGATCCGGCGGCGGAGGCAGGTATCAACGCCCTAACCAAGCGCTACGCGTTCGAGAACAGTGCCTGGTTTGCAACAGCGAACCTCTGGGACGACGGTGTCGTTTTACCACGCGACACACGGCAGGTCCTGGGCATTGCACTGCGAGTCGTGGAGTCGGCATCTGAAACGGAAACCTCAGTAACTGCACAACGGGGTCGCTACGGCGTCTTCCGCATGTAAACCCTTGGCCTCGTAGTGGCACGAATCCTGTCCCCGGAGGCGCCTTGTCGCGTCGTGGGTCAGCGCCCATCCGCTGCTCTCCATGGCATAGAATCGATGCTGAGAGCCGGATTATCGCCGAGTTCGCGAACGCTGCTGGTTATCGAGGCACCCATCGCAAGAGTCTTCCGGGAAGGCTACTGCATTCCACCGCCTCCAGTGCAGTGTTTTCGCATAGAAGCGAACTTGCATCGATCATCCCCGTGACCCTCTTACGCCAACGAGAAAGCGCACATGCATATGAATGCGGATGTGCCTACGGGGAGCATCGGCAACATCCAGCTAGCCGATACCTCTCTTCGAGTCATTTGCTTGATGATCGTCGACCAAGGAGCGGGGAAACCACCACCATGATGTGGTATGCGGGAGACGCTCACGCGAATCCAGTGCCCCGGAGAGCGTTTGCCAACTATTGCGGTGCACCAGCAGTGATTGCCACCCGGAAATAGCGCTTCGCTCTGTGACTTGCGTGCAGTGCGCGAACCTAAGCTCTTCGTTTCTGAATCATGAGCACTACTTTTCGCACCAGTCGTTACAGCGCGCTTGCAGACGACAGCACCGCATTCGAAGCATCACTTTACCGGGTTTTTCGTCGAAAGCATGCATCCAGCAGTTGTCGTATCTCGCGAGAAGATTCACCAGGGCGCCTCGCACATATCAGGGTACGATACCACGGCAGTTTTTCACGCTTTACATTCGCATATATTCGAGGTTTTATCTGGCCGGTGTCAAGTCTGGTTATCGCCGGTCCACTTGGGAGACGTCCAGCGCATTCGTGCTTGCGCTCTGCTCACTTGGTTGCATGCGATGCCTCGTAGAGTTCACGCCCGATCAATATCCGGCGAATCTCGCTCGTCCCTGCCCCGATTTCATAGAGTTTCGCATCTCGCAACAGCCGACCCGTTGGGTAATCCGAGATGTACCCGTTTCCACCGAGCGCTTGGATAGCTTGCAATGCACACTGCGTTGCACGCTCCGCATTCTGGAGAATCACAGAAGCGCAGTCCTTGCGAAAGCGACGCAGCTGGGGATTCAGGCCGCCGTGCTTGCTGCTCGCAGGAGGCGTAGGCTCGCCTATTTGCCTCGTGAGTTTGTCCACCGATGCCGCAACGCCAAAGGTATGCGCCCGACTCGCTGCTAATGCCCCGTACATATCCGCAAGCTTTGCTTGCATCAATGGAAAGGTGCCAATGGGGCTACCGAATTGTTGACGTTCACGAACGTACGGCAAAACGACATCCAAACAGGCCTGCATAATACCGAGCGGTCCTGCGCTCAGCACCAACCGCTCTGCATCCAAACCGGCCATGAGAACAGTGGTGCCAAGGCCGGGCTCACCAAGGACCGCGTCATCCGGCACCCAGACGTCATCGAAGACGAGTTCGCAGGTATTACTCCCGCGCATACCCAACTTGTCTAGTTTCTGTGCAACGCGATATCGCGGACCCAGCTGCGCCGTCTCCAGCACAAACGCCGTGAGTTTCGGCTTGCTCTGCTTGGGTAGCGACGAACTCGAAGCGCTCTCCACCGCCGCCAGTGTCGATGTCGATGCGGAGTGCGACTCCAGCTCCGGGGTTCGCGCATACACCACGACTACATCGGCATCGGGGCCGTTCGTAATCCACATTTTCGTTCCCCGAATACTCCATCCTGAACGCAACTCTCCGGCGGCAGTAGTACGCTTGCGCTGATAAGCGCTCGTTCGCATGGAGCCAAGGACATCAGAGCCAGCGCCTGTTTCGCTCATGGCTAGCGCACCGACCCAGACGCCGCTGCACAGAGGCGGCAAAAGTCGCTCCTTCTGAGCAGCGCTACCATGTCGCTCTATCTGCATCATACAGAGATTCGAATGCGCTCCATAGGAGAGCCCGATACTCGGTGATGCTCGACTTAGCTCTTCCATGACGAGACAATGCTCGACGAGGCCTAAACCGAGTCCGCCATAGGCGTTTGCAGTCGCCACACCGAGCACACCAAGGTTGCCCAGTTCTGTCCAGAGTTGCTCACGTGGAAAGCGGTTTGCTTCGTCGATAGCGGCAGCGTAGGGTGCAATGTACTCGTGCGCGAAAGCACGAACGGTGTTCCGTAGTCCCGAGCGATCCGAGTCCAGCACGGTGCCGAGGAGAACCTCGTCGGCATGCGTATGCCGCCCGTCGTAGTAAGTGGGTCCAGGGGCGGTCCACCAAGCGCTGGTGGACGGTGCGCTCGCCGAGTGTGCCGAAGCGGGTCCCGCTGACGCGACAGTGCTTTGCGGCGGTAGCGACGATGATGATGATGAGGATGATGATGAGGATGATACCTCGCGTCGAAAGCGCTTCCCTGGCGACAAGACCCCCGTTCGTTCACGGTTCCGCTGCAGCCCAGACGGCAACGGCACCTCGAGTCGCGTCACTGAAGCAACTGCACCCACTTGTTCACGTTTTAGCGCATGCTCCACCGTACAATACCCGTGCTGGCGAGAGAAAACGCGCAGCGGTGTCCGCGCGTCCGGGCACACCTCAGTGTAGCGTTCGCGAGACTCAAAGCGCCACTCGCTCCCCGTCCTATGGTCTGCAATGCAGCCGCAGACACAGTCACCGGGATACCACTTGCGTGCGTGGTGGTAGCAGCACCGCCACCAGAGCCGCGAAAGCACGTCACTGTGCTTGGGGGCTTCACGAAAGCCAAACGCTCGGCCAAGCCAAAGCATCACAAAGCCAAAAGCCTTTCCACGTCACAAGCCCGCAAACCTGTACACACGAAACACCTGTTCAGTCACACACTGGGAGTCAACGACGCTTCCAGGGCACTGCACACGAACACACACCCTAGACGAGCAGGCGGGTACGGGTGCTTGCGGTTGTCCAGGGCGTCGCTGGGCGCTGAACGTGCCAGCGCAGGCAAGGCCGTTTCTGCCAGGCCAGATACAGGAAATCGCGGCATCGATCTCCCGCGTATGCCCCGTCGAATCGACAGGCAGGAGAAAGCACGCCTTGTTCGACAAGCGAGGTCCCTTAGGCGTGTACCGACACGCGCACACTGGATACGTACTCGTAAAGGCCTTGGAGTGGTCGTGTTTGAAAGCTCCTGGAGCGGGGAACCACAAGTCGGCGTGGTATGAACTCGGCAGCAATAGCACTTGACGCTGTTTTTATAGCGAACCGAGGCGATGCCGCACTCCGAGTCATTCGTACGGCGAAACGACTTGGACTCGTGACAGCGGTAGCTTGCACTCGCGCTGAACTCGTGCGACCCACAGCAGCGGTCGACGCTGCCGACTACGCTGTGGAACTCGACGGGGCACTGCCCGCCGCTGGTCCAGCCACAGCGCCCTACGTCGACGTGGAACGCGTCGTACTGGCAGCGGAACGCTTCCGAGAGCGACTCCTGGAACGTAAACCTGATGCTCGCAAGTCGGTATCCGCTCTGCAGGTGGCGGTGCATCCAGGCTGGGGGTTTCTTTCGGAGCGCTCCGACTTTGCGAACGCTGTGCTGGAGCGCGGCTTCCGGTGGTGCGGGCCGTCGGCACACGCCATGCAGGCCATGGGCGAGAAGGTGTCTGCGCGGGAGACCATGTCCAAGGCGGCGGTACCTGTGGTGCCCGGCCTGCGTCTCGCTCAGGTAGCGTCGCAGTCAACGGAGGTGCAACGCCTCGGAGAGATGCTCGTAAGCCAGGTCGGCTTTCCGCTCATCCTCAAACCTGTTTACGGCGGCGGTGGCAAAGGCATGCGCGTTGTACGACATCCCAGCGAGCTGCCGCGTGCGCTGCAGGCCGCTCGCCGCGAAGCACGTATCGCATGTGGCGATGATACGCTCCTGGCGGAGCGATACCTCGAATCTGTTCGCCACATTGAATTTCAGATATTCGGAGGCTATCGGGATGGAGCCTACGAAGCCGTGCATCTTTACGAACGCGACTGCTCTGTGCAGCGACGTCATCAGAAGATCGTGGAGGAGTCACCGGCCCCTGGTCTGCCGGTCGCTACCCGCGAAAAAATGGCCCAGTGTGCGGTGCGAGCCGCCCGGGCCGTCGCCTACGAGGGCGCTGGCACCGTCGAGTTCCTCTATGATCCCGTCCGGGAGGATTTCTTCTTCATGGAGATGAATACGCGCCTGCAGGTAGAGCATCCGGTCACCGAGATGATCGTGCGCACCAGGCCCCTGAACGTCGGCACGCTCCAGAACAGCAGAAGGACGCTGGACGGGAGCCCCGGAGACCGGTCGGAGGCCGCCCCAGTGGACCTTGTCGAGTGGCAGTTTCGCGTTGCTGCTGGCGAGCCGCTCCCAGTTGCCAGTCAGGATGCGCTCTCGATTCGTGAACCAGCACATGCGATGGAGTTGCGTGTGTACGCTGAAACACCCGATGAACAGGGCAACTGGCTGCCCCAGCAAGGCCGTCTGGAGCGGTTCGCGATCGACGGTCTCGATATCGAACAGCACATGCCAACGGATACGCTTCGTGTTGATGCAGGTATCCGCACCGGGGACGAAGTCTCTATCGAGTTCGATCCGATGATTGCGAAAATCATTGTGTGTGAACCGGAACGCCCCCAGAGCATTTCAGCGTTGCAACGGCTGCTCGAATCGAGTCAAATATGGGGTGTTTCGACGAATGTTCCTTTTTTGCAGGCTTTACTCGCCGACGAAGAGTTCCTGCATGGAGTAGGTGGACGTGGTCACGGTGTTCCGGTTACCTGGTTGGAGCACCGCTTGCCGTTGCTGCTATCGCGTACCGTCTCCGCGGGTGCAGTGCGGTCGGAAACCGCACCGCCGGGGACGCGATCGGTGTTGGAAACATCCAGCACGCTGCAAGGCGCCTCTTTGGAGACATATGCATCTGCACGAGAGACGCAGAAGCGTCCCGATGAACAGGGATGTCCTCTGGACCTCGAGAGTCGTGGCGACGGGAGCGATGTCGCCCGACTTGCCTCGTCTGCAGTGCCGGTGTGGAGAGCGCTGGCGGCAACCGCCTGGGCTGCTACCGAGCCCTACTGGCTGCTGAGTCGACCTTTCGGCGGCTTTCGTAATGATGGACGCGGCAATCGATTCGAATGGTACCTGGAGTACCCGGTGCTGCAGCAGATGCAGCAGCGAGCACCATTGCAGCGACCTACAAACGAGTCGATGCTTCCGTCGTTCTACCGAGCGCTGCTTCGACTGGGGCGTGCACCCGCTACCGTTTGTTTCTTTCCGAGCGCTGCGGATGCTGCGCCCCGAACCGGCCTGGAAAATCACCCCGAGCGCGATGATCTTCTCGACTGGGTAGTGGAAATACAACAGGTCTGGCCGGCTGCCTCAGAGTCAGCTGTTGTGCCTTTGACGCTCTATCCGGATGAACGACTCGCGATCGACGGTGTGGTCGCTCCGGTTGACGCGTATTGTGTGGAGGCGCCTTTGGAAGCGACCGATCATGAAGAGCTAGCCCCGCAGTGGTGCTTTCGCCTCGCGGACGGGACAATTGTTCGCGTCCATACACCGCTCTCTTTCGCGCTGTGGCGTCTCGGGAGGCGGGAACTTACCAGCACCAGCACCAGCACCAGCGCCAGCACCAGAGTAGCACAAGCGGAGACCGGGTTGCATCGCCGTCCGGCAGGCAAAGCCGCTGTCGAGTCGCTCCCGGGTCAGGTGCTGAGTCCCATGCCCGGTCGACTCCTGGAACTCCTCGTGCAGAAGGGCCAAATGGTGCATCACGGGGAGCCACTCGCTATTCTCGAAGCCATGAAAATGGAGCATACGGTTCGAGCACCCATGGATGGCGTCGTGACTCGTGTCACAGAGCTTCCGTGTGGTGCTTATATGCCCGCTGGTACGTTTCTCTGCATGCTGCGGGATCTGCGGAAGGAGCCTTCTGAACAAGCAGACAAGGTTTGAATCATCTCTTGCGGAGCACTGGACCTATTTTGGTAGCGATAGCGCGACGTGAACTTGTGCTTTGGCTGCTTGCTGCAGCTGCATTCGTTACGGGCTGTGCACAGCGGCAGATGCCTTCGAGAAACGTATGGCGCACGGTAATGAAACCTGAGCGCACTGCAACATACCCGGAGCTGCTTGTAGAGCGTACAGCCACTGCAGCAGCTGGTTGATCCGGAGAAAACAGTTTCCAGTTGCATTGCGGATTGCAGGGCGCTGCATCCATCGCAGGGAAGAGTGAAATGGGGTTCCCTCGGCTGACTCGGGGACACACGTATTCGTAAGGTTAGGGTCTTTTTCACTAGCCATTAGACTGAGCCTACACGCGCTTTTTCTTCAGTGACTGCTCCCTTTTCCTCTCTGTTTTGAATCAGGATTTACGCGTGCCGGTCTCCGATGTCCATCAAGGTCCGTTGTCAGCCGTAGAACGGTATTCACGGGAGTGTTCGGGTCCCGGTAGCGCCGCTTTCGGCTGTTGTCGACGCATTTCACTCACAGGAGGTAGTTGCCATCTAGGCTACGCTTGCCATGTTCACCTTTTTTATGGACAGCCTCGGGGCGCGCTTCGCACCCGTGACACTTGTGCATGCTCGGGTTGGCGCTTACGTTCATAAGACCCCTCGCTTCCAAGGGCCGTTCCGTGAAGTGCGAGCGCTTCCCTCGCCACGCTTTCATGGTCCTTGACGAGTGCAGAACATTCCGCTCCATACTCTGTATTGTTCCCGCGCCTGATGCCGTACCCTACCGTCACGGGCTTCTTCTTGGCGTTGTCGTCTGCATGGGGGCTCTCCGCTGGATTGCCCGCACACGCTGTACAGTTCGATAGAAGATCTGTTGAACGCGAGCGTGTTCATCATAGAACGAGTATCCCAAGGAACATCCAGACAGGAGCCCAAGTCGATAAATTCCAAATTGTCTACACTTCTTTCATGCAAAGCGATGATGAACGCTCGACTCGAGGTTATCGCTGCGATGACTACATTCCGATTCAACGATCCCTTTCCATGCAGATACAACAGAATAGACGAAAGCTTTAGCGAGCATGTCCCGTGCCGCGATCCACCATGTCGTCAAAGATCGTTTCTTCGATGACCATAAAGAGAAGAGTAAGAGTGTCCCACACGTAATATATTATTTGACGTGAAACGTTTCTTATGGTCTCTGCTTCAGCTTGTGAACGAGTCGACAACGGACCAGGTCGACTTACTTTTCCGATCCAAGCTCCGGGCGCGTAACGCTTCGCCCCGCGAGTCGCCTTGAAACAGAAAGACAAAAAACCTGACGCATGCGTGATATGGGTATGCTGTAGGCGAGTACGGAAGGCGGGAGCCTAGAGGCTCGAACGTTTGAATTTGAAAACGATGCTGGTTATTTCACCAGCCATTGGTCGAGGGCACCGCGACTCACGTTGATTCTGTTACTTGATGAATCCCAGCAGCAAAGAGTCTACGGAGCCAGCCCCGAAAACATGACCAAGTATCCTGAAATGACGTTTGAGTCCGTAATCTCCTGATGCTGCACTTGGAATGTCGAGCTTGTCATTCTGTAAACAAAAGTTTCGAAGAAAAATCTCAGGATTCGACCAAAACGCGTATCTCGTAATTCCGTGGCAATCTGCCACGTCAAGAAGGTGCCTCGTTTCACTGGACTCCGCAGGAAGCGGTTGCTTTCAACCGCGCCCTAGCAACGGGATGCGACCTCTCACTCGTTTGGCTCGGTTTTGGCACAGAGGCTTCTGCGAGAAACGAACCTCACTGGTGCTTTGGAATGAACCCATAGAGCGTACCGTTGTCTTGACCCTGAACCGGCCGGAACGAGCAAACGCGCTTAGCGCCGAACTTGTCGAAGAGCTCAGAACGCACCTGCACCGCGTGCTCGAGCTGGCCTCTGCTCGTCCGGTGCGGTGTGTGATGCTTATTCTGGCATCAGCGCATGAACGCATATTCTCTGCTGGTGCGGACTTGAAGCAACGAGCAGCCCAGAGCCCTGACCAGCAGCGCGACTTTACGCGAAGACTGCGCGAAACGCTGCAAAGCCTCGCAAAGTTGCCGTGCTTCACTGCTGCAGCGCTCCGTGGTGGTGCCTACGGAGGTGGACTCGAACTTGCCCTCGCGTGCGACTTTCGAATCGTTCAGGAGGGCGCGATCCTGGCACTTCCAGAAACTGGACTAGGAATTTTACCGGGAGCGGGCGGCACCCAACGACTTCCGCGACTCATAGGCGTTTCTCGGGCGAAGGAAGTCATCCTTCTGGGCCGTCGACTTGACGCCCGACAGGCACACCACTACGGACTCGTTAATGTGGTCGTTCCAGATGCCGATGCGGGAACAGCGGCAACGGACAACACCCTGGAGGAAGCGCTGCAACTGGCTGCTTCTCTGCGGGAGCGCAGTCCGATGGCGCTCCAGTTGGCGAAACGAGCGATCGATGAGGGTATAGATGCGAGTTCACTCGCCCGCGGTCTAGCGATCGAGGACAGCTGTTATGCGGAGACGTTTGGAACCAAGGATCGAGCAGAGGGTCTGCAAGCGTTTGTTGAAAAACGATCTCCGCGGTTTACCGGTGAATAAGGGATGAGCTGGGATAACCAGAGGGGTTTTCTTCTCCGGTTGTAGCAGCGCACGTGCATGGCGACGCATGCGAATGCCCTGGTTCTTGTCTGGGAAGCGTACACGTCGGGCGCCCAGCGCTGCACTCGGTAGATTCGCAAGTCGTTTGGGCAACTTTTCATCCATTGGGGGCGTACCACTCCAGAATTCCTTCGTTTACGGTCGTCGCGGGTGCGTCTAGGAACGTGGTGTGTGATAGCGTGGCCCACATATCCGCATCTGAACGCGAACCCTCTTGTGTGGCTGTTGGGGAGCGCTCCCGTTCTCGGTGGCGTGCGCGCTTCTTCGCAGCATCAGAGGCTGTCGATGTATTTGCGTCGCGGGCTGGGAACGACTGCTCCTTACATCCGAAGCGCGTAGGCGTGGCATCTTTAGAGGAGCACTCACAGGTTTTCAACTGCGAGTCCTAGTCTCGAGAAGAGACGCGATAGCCGTCCAGAGAGGCTACGCTTCAGCGATCCCCGGTGATCATGTGTCCGTTGCTCTCTCTCTATTTGCGGTTTCGCATTGATGTGCGTTTGTGTGTATGTGTATCCCAATCGATCTTGTTCGGATGGTACGGCAGCAATACCACCATCATCATCGCCATCACCGCCAGCCGCAACAACAGCAGCAACGTTCCGCGACGCTTCCTCGCAGCAGCGTCCTATGCAGAGCCATCCCCGCGAAACAAAGCACCGACCGTTGTGATCCCGAGCTTACCACAGCCGACTACGGAAGCGCAAACAACAAGACGTGTCCAGCGCTATACCTATTGGGAGCTGCTCAATTTCACCTGAAGCTTCACTAGGTTGCGTGGATCGTTTCCCCGAATGACCTCCAGAGTCACAACCTGGCCCGGTTTCTTCTCCTCGAGGACGCGGAACAGGTCTGCTTCGTTTCGGATCCGCTCACCGTCAAGACCGACAATAATATCACCGAGCTCCAACTGACCAAACGTGGAGCGACGCGTACCCTGGAGACCCGCTTTTGCGGCTTCGCTCCCTTGAGGAACGTCGAGAACAAGAACGCCCTCATTAATACCTAGAATCTGCGCTTGGCTGCTCTCCAGGTACGAGATGCCTATCATCGGACGCGTTACCTTGCCGTATTTAATCAGGGTGTCTACCACTGTCTTCAGGGTATCGATGGGAATGGCGAATCCCACACCAGCACTTGCGCCGCTCGGTGAGTAGATGGCTGTGGTCATGCCGATGACACGTCCTTGCGAGTCGAGAAGCGGTCCACCCGAATTACCCGGATTGATGGCGCTGTCGGTCTGTAGCACGTTCGTGATCGGTCGCCCAGTGGGTGAACGTATTTCCCGCCCCAGACCACTTATGATGCCTTGCGTCATTGTCTCATTGAGTCCAAAAGGATTCCCGATTGCGTACGCTCGCTGACCTACATGTAATCCCGCCGAAGAGCCCAGGGTAACCGGACGAAGCGTCTCCGTTGGAGCGTCTATCTTGAGAACGGCCACGTCCTTGTCGGCATCGTAGCCCACCAGACGAGCCGGGTAGGTTTTCCCGTCGGCCATGGTCACCCGCGCAGCCTCCGCTTGGCGCACAACGTGAAAGTTGGTCACCACGTGACCGTCTTTGTCCCAGATAAAGCCTGAGCCGTTCCCAGACGGGACCTCCATGATATTCAAGGAGGAAAAGTCGCGTCGCTCGATCAACGTGGTGACCAGTACCACCGAGTCCCGGTTCCTTTCGAAAAGCGCAACTGTGGCTTTTTCCTCAGGACTCAGGTCGCTTTCCGTATACGTCGCTGACTGCGTTGCCGCGACCGCCTCAGTCACTGGAAGCACATAGTTCGGGGCACTGGGCAGCGAGAGCGCCGACACTGCACTGTGATCGCCAGGTGCAACGCACCATAGGGCAGCACCAAGGAGACTCGCAAAAGTCCGACCCAAGCCTCGGCTCAGACAAGTTGAGCTCAAAGCGCGCAGGTGCTTCTGACTCGCTCTTAGTTTCCGAATCCCGGGCACTGTATCAGCAGTAGCAGTAGCAGTAGCACCAGCCGCAGCAGCACTCGTACCTGTCCGACCAGCTACACTCCCGCAGCGCAGCCTCGACATGAGGAAGCGACGAGGCAAAGCTCGCAGCTGCCACTGCTCCCGCACCACCGGCAACAGAAACCCCACGTTAAAAGCGTTGCTCGGGTTTCCTGAAGGTAACGTCTCGCGCTCCATAATACGCTGGGGTACGTCCGTATGCCAAGTGCAGGCACCGGATCGCCATGCAGTCATCCATTCATCCATCTTGATCCCGATGCGCATTCAGATTCCGGGCGCGTTCGACGGCCCTCTGCTCGAGCGCGCGCAGAGGCACCTACTTCAGAAGCGGGGCCTGCGTCTAGGCGTCGCTTCGACCCGATGATTCCTTTGTGTTGAATGGGATTTTATATGGACCAGGGATCCCAGATTACGGGATGGGTATTGGCATTCGGGAAAGCGTCCATCACGCCCCAGCACACTGTCACGTTGCATCAACAAAGACGCCGACTGCTTCGTTTCGGAGCTAGATACAGGATGCATCGGCATCGACGGGTGATCATCGACATCCGTGAGCGCGTCCTGTGCGCTGCACTGTGCGTTGAAGATCCGCGACCACCAATGACGATAACGAATGTTTGCGCTCGTAGACTCATGCGGTGTGTGCGTACGTGTAGGTGTGTGTGTGTGTGTATGTGTGTGTGGGTGTACGCAGATGCATCACCAGCCGAGACTCGGTGGTAAACGAATCGGCACTGGGAGCGTTTCCGGATCCCGCGCCTCCAAGTGCACCAGCACGCCGATCAGGGGCCAGTCCAACGGACTCGAGTCTCTGGTGGAGCACCGTGGTCGTTTCCGTAACTACCGATCGCCATCGCCAATATTCAGGAGATATCGATTTGATCCATGGATTGCATCAAATGCGTTTCGCGAGTCCACGGCGGGTGTGGATACGGGGCAGTGCTGTGGCAGCGCGAGGGCGGCGACGCTGGCTGCCCGAGGATCCCCAATCATCGCTTCAGCGTTCGCTGCGCGTAAACGATGGATGGATGAACAATGCTGTCAGATTCGTTGCTGTTGGTGTTCTTGGGTACTCATGCAACGTTTGCAGGCAAGGGAAATGATGGCAATCGAGCGTTCAGGTTGTAGCCGCGAACACACAGCGTTTGTACCAACTTTCTTGAAACCGAATTTCTCAACCTGCGTGCGTTCCAGAACGTGGAGTCTCACAGCTGAACGCGTGACTCGACAGGCACGTTGCCCGGCCGGTGTACTTCCCGTCAAAAAACTGGGGCTTCGCTGTACACTGACAAAGTTCGAGCCCTTCACAGTCCGACCGAGTCTGAAGTTGCCGGTTACGGTTTTGGGGATTGCGGGTGTGCTCGCTGGGGCCGGTGGAGGTGCCGGCAAGGTTTTCGCTGTCCCTGTCGGCCTTCTTGGTGTTTTCCTTGTCGTGAACGCCGGCTTTCTGCTGAGGTTCCGTTTTGGGCCCGATGCGATAGAGGTCTGGAAACGGGGTGCAGCCGACTCCGTACAACCAACGGCTGGTGACGATGCCGCGCTTCGGGGCTATCGTTACGTCCGCGGCTGGCACTACGACCGCATCGAATACTGGAAACTGTGGTGGCCGCGCTTTCCGGTATTGTTTTATTTTCGAGAATCGGAAAGTTACGATGGACGCGGGAGCATTCATTTTCTACCGGTCGTTTTCGACGCCCAACAGTGGTTGCGGGGCTTCTCGGAGCGCACGCAACGAAAAGACTCGGGGCGTTTTCGGTACTGAGCATGCGGTATACATGGAGTCGTGCCGCCAACGCGTCTGCGCCTCGTTGTCATGCTTGCACATATGCATCAGGTTGAGGGCTGGTCGTCCGCGCTAGTGCAGTGCGAACAGCGCGAACCGGCACGCTGCTCACTGTACACGAAGTGATAGCATCGATGGGTGCTCTGCAGATGCATCAGCGGTGCATTTGCCCAGGCGTCGGGATACGTTGCGCTCAGCATCGCTGGTGTCGAAGATCACCCAAGCGTCTCCCCGAAAGCAGTGTTTCATCTGCGGACTTTTTGTTTGGAGTGCCGTTGCTTCTCAACGCTTGTCAAGGTGAGTTGTATAAAGATCACGGGAATCACGTGTTCTGATTGTAAACAGATCCAGAATAACAAACGCAGACTTATCACTAGCGCTATAGACGTCCTGTGCACGCCTGAGCGTACGAAGCGCACGCGATTCGTAGAAGCAGCGTCCGTGCTTTGCAACGCTAGGGCATCCTGAGCGCGTGTACACCCATAGAGGCATGCCTCTATGCAATTGTACACAGCATACATACATACACGAACGTCGCTTTGCGCTGTCGACGCGAACGATGCATTGTGACGTACGCCGAAGTGTATGTGTGTGTCTAAACGTCTGTATATGTATGTATGTTTGTACGAGAATTGCGTGCACTTGATAAACAGCGCGGTACAGGCGGATGTGTTGCATCCGCTGGCATCAGCTGAGGAGGTCACCGCCCCAGCACGTGATCTACCCATGGACGCCGCGTGGAAAGGCCCGTGCAATGCTAGTGCAACCTGAGCGTTCTCTTACAGGGGCACAGCATATACACCACCCGGGGTCCGCCAGATACGCATCCAGCGTTCCTGGAAGAGGGCGCATGCGCGTTGCGCGAAGACCTTATCGAGACGGGGTTTTCCCTTTTGTGCCAGTCGGAAAATCCGAGAGTCGTTGACCAAAAAACATCTCCTGGCGACAGCAGCGGATACGTCAGGCATATCCAGCGTACGCTTCACCCGTCAGCGATATCAAGTGCTGCACCAGGTATACCGCAGCGTTGGCACCTCTGCAGCCGCCTTTCAGGCGATACATAGAACGCGTCCCTGTGGCAAGGCGCCGGAGCGCGATACGCGAAGCGATATTGCATTTCCAGGCTTATCCGGAGATCGACTTTGGAGCACGCGGGACTGCGGATCAGTTGACTGGTTGGGTTTTGGGGCTGGTTGTTGGATTCCATTCTCCACGGCGTTGTGCCCAGGGTGCAGTGCACGTGCTGGCGGTAGCGCCCAGGCGTTCCCTGCTTGGTCCGACGTGGCAGGCGTCGCACTCGCTGCACCGCTGCCTGCGAGAACGCACGGACGTGTCGCTCCCGAACATGGGACAGTGCCTGAGCTGCACCCGAGCTAGGGGTCACCGCCGTGCTAACTTTGCCCCGACGGTAGCGGCAGACGGTACATCGACCGGCACGGGGGAGCAGGAGGAACCAGAGGAGGAGGAAGAGGCCGAGTCGCTCCTTTTCCCTCGCTTCAGTCGGGCAAAGGTGGACACTGAGAGCGTTGCACGCTTGCTTGATGACTCCAAGGCGGACGCAAAGGCTCGTATGGAACAGAGCCTGAAAACAGAGAGCAAGCGCGAGCGTTCCTCTACCCACAGCTCGTACACAGACGCGCAAGAAGAGTCGCAGGGGTCGTTTCGTCTCTCGAGAAGCACAAGCCGCTCCTTTTCGACGTCATCCGAAGTTGATGCCCTCAAGAGCACGCTCGCTGACCTGGAGGAACAGGTGAGCGTGGTCGAGTCTGAGGACGATGCCATTGAACTGCTCTGTCATATGGCGGATCTGCGACGAGAGATGCAGATCGTCGCAGCGCTCCGACACCCGCATCGCGCCCAGAAGATTCACAGTTTGCTCATTCGTCTGGAATCCTTGATTCATCGCTTGCAGGCGTACGTGCTGCGGAGTCCTTCTCCTGATGGCTTTCGTCGAGTCCGTGAAAGCAGCCGAGGCGTCCTCTTCCAGCGCGGTGCTGCAGCTCGAGTGCGGCCAGTCACAGAAAGGGAACGTCACGCTTTACCCCATCGGTATCTGAGTTTCAACAGCGCCACTTTTTACGATTCGGGGGCCGTTCTTAAGAGGGAATCAACGGTGCGAGACCAGTCGGGGCAGCTGCGTATCGATCCAACGCGTGGTGACGGCCGTTGCCTCTTCCGTTCGGTAGTACGGGGTCTTGCATTCTACGCAGGCCTCTACCCCGGGTCGAAATGGTCGGAACGACGTGAACGGCGCGAAGCAGATATCTTGCGATATCTCTGCGTACGAGAGATGCGAAAGCATCGAGACCTGTTTCTGAGAGACCAGGTCGTTGAAGAAGACTTTGATGAACATCTGCGACGCCTCGTGCACAGTGATGAGTTCGCTGGCGAACCCGAGTTGCTCATTCTGGGACCGCTCTTACAGACACCAATCTGTGTCTATATGAGCACGGGAGATCAAGCGGACGCCAATGCTGCTAGAAGCTCGTCCAATGAACGGACCAAGTCGAGTGATCTATTTCTGGTTGCCGTCTATGGTCGCAGTTTCATCGCTGAACCTGTGAGTTTGCGGTATCAATCGATGCATTATGATCTGCTGCTTCCGCGAAGCGATCATGAACTCGGGAAAACTTAGACTCGCAAGAGCGCGACTGCTGCGCAACGTTCGTGCTTGCAAGGTAGTTGCAGGCGCGGGACGAAGCCGCTAGACTCGTCCGCAAAAGCGCGGCAAAGCGCGGTTTTCATCGGTTTGTGCGTTGCGCCTTGCACGTTTCGTTGCGAGGGATGCTCAGCGACTTACAGGAAAGGATTTTTCCGAAACCCTGTAAGCAATCAGCAATGAAAAGCGTGGGGTTTAGGCGCCAGCGTGCATACGTCAGCGCTTTGCGATCAGTGGCACGGCGTTTATCCAAGACACCAGATGAGGTCGGGAAATCAGATTCTCATCAAGACATAAGCCACTGGGATACGCATTCCTCAAGCACTCGAGCTGCTCGCTGGATTGCCGCTGCAGTAGCCGCCAGGCCCTGCGAAGCATTTGTCGCCGTCGAGCCGTACAAGAACGGAAACGCAACCGCGCTGTAGCCCTTGTCGGGATGCGGTGCAACGGCTGTGTGGCGATACCAAGAACGACCAGGAATACCGTCCGAGTGGATGAGTGCGCGTTCCACGTTCATGAGCGCCTGGTTCAGCGCTGCGTACTTGGCAACGTCCCGGTCCAGGAGGCGACGACTAGCGCGGTCCGAAAGCGCCGCACGACACTCGCGCAGTGCCCAGCATTGCGCAACCGTGAGCATCCGCTGTGCCGAAAACCTCTGCGCAGCGCCTGCGAATGCATCCATCGCTGGCTGCAGTTGCTGCTGCACGACACTGAGAAGGTCTGGGCGGCTTGTCTCTAGCAGCCGCAGATGATAGCGCAACCAGTGTGCGTAGTCTGTGACATTCATCGGCAGCAGAGGCGCATCGACCAGATCCAAGAGCAGCGTGCTCACCAGCTGCGTCGCAACAAGATGCAGTCGGAAATCCGGATCCGTGAAGCCAAGGAAGTACGCTTCGTCGTCGTAGATTGAGTGGTACACTGGATACGACGGGTGATCAAGCTCATCGAAACCGATGTCGAGGCTGCTGACCCCCGCATGGTGCAGAAAAGCGGTATGATCGCTACCGCCTCCCAGAAGATCCAGGAGCGGTATCCAGTTCGCAGTCGCTGCCCGATTGTGCAGCGGACCTGGAGGCTCGTCTCGAAAGTCCGTACCAAGATGGGGCGCCTCGTTCGGCGAGCTTCGCTGAAGCGCTCGCTCCGAATCAATTGCCTGCTGTCGACGAGCTTTCCAGTCCTCTACCAAAGCCTTCGATGTGATTGGATCCGTGAGACCACGCATAGCCTGCTCAGCAGCCTGCGTGAGCAGCGGAGAACCCGCAAGACCCAGTCGAGCAGTAGAACCGCTCACAATCACATCCGCGTTCACGTAGACGAGTGTGCGTCCCCGAATACGACTCTCTAGATTGGTTTCCACGTGTTCCACCGATCCAATGGTGCCCCATTCCTCGGCATCCCATGAGGCGAAAACTAGAGTTCTGCGTGGTCGCCATCCGCGTCGTAGAAGCGCTCCAAACGCTCGAACGCTTTCCATCTGCACCAGGGTGCCGGTATGCGGATCTACAGCGCCATAGATCCAGGCATCATGATGATTCCCAAAGACAATCTCTTTGTCACTCTCCAGGTCGCCATGCGCGCCCGGTATCACGCCAATGACGTTGTAAATCGGTTTCAACGCGTACTCGTGGACAACCTCAAGATCAAGACGCACGTCATCGTTTCCGCTGAGAACGTAGAGCTTCGAATCCAGGCCGCCGCGGAAGGCCTCCGGTGCCGTCATCAACGATACCAGGGTATCGTTCTTGGAACCGGCCCGCTGCCAAGACTCGTGCATGCGACGGAAGAGGATCTCAGCACCAGCAGCCGATATTGGTACCGAGGGAATCGAAGGCAGGCAAGACTCGCGCACAGCCGCCTCGTAGGTGCGTCGCGGGGCCGCCTCTGTCGACCCGTAGCCCGGTGTTGACGGATCCCCGACACAAAGTGCATTAAACTGGACAGAGCCGCGCTGGACGGCCTTTGCTGGCCGCCAGGGTCCGTCGGGATACGTCGACCCGCGTGCTGCCCCGTCATCCCCGGGGTCCGAGTAAATGAGCACGGCAGCTGCCTGCCGGACTTGTGCGTGGAATACTTTCAAACCGCGGAAGAGTTGCCCGTAGCGAACGAGTACGACCTTTCCCGAGACGTTGATCCCTCGGCGCTCCAGTTCCGCGTAGTCCTCTGGACGACCATAGTTCACGTAGACAATGGGCGCTGAGCGAACCTTTCCCGATGCAGCATAGCCGTGGAACGTGGTAGCGTTCGACACTGCCTCGGTCGCAGCGTCTCCGCGGATGCTCGGCTCGGTGAGATCCATGATAGAGGTTTCCGGTGCGCTGGGGTCGGTTTCACTCCAGCGAATGACGAGATGAGATGGTTGACTGCCCAGGAGCACCTGAAACGTCTCTATCTGAGCCGGGATTCCCGCAGCAACCCACTCGTCGCGAATCAGCTCTGCAGTGCGCTTTGCGGCATGTGTTCCGCTCATATGCGGCTCGGACGTCAGCCGATGCAGCAAGTTTCGCATACGTTTCGGGTCCGGTGCACGCAGGAGCAACGCATGCCAGTATGGATGTCCCATGAACTGCGCTTTTTGCGACAACGCATCTGTGGGGGCGTCGGTCGGTACGCGCTCGCCACTTGAGCTCCAGCGCGATAACAGAAGGAGCACGAGCGACAACGCCAGCGCACCGAGCGCTGTGTACGCCCATATTCGCCAGTGGTCTCGAATGCACCAGAAAACCCGGCTCTTTAACGACTCACGGAAGGGGTTCCCGCTCAAGCGACTCCGACGCTTGGGATGACGTACAGCGACAGCGCCGCGCTCTGTGCTGTCTTCTTCGTTCCGCCGAAAAAACGGGAGTCGATCCTGAACCACTTCCTCGTGCTCCGCGGACTCCACGTCCATAACAAAGTCATCAATGATCTGCTCATCGTCGCTGAGCTCTCCGAGTGTAGTCTGGAGCCCAGCGCTCTCCGTAGACGCACCCTCGGCAGGCATGAACCAAGCCTACACCAGACCCAACGTCGTACTGCACTCTAGTGGACTGTACTGTATTACACTGTACTGGACTGCCTTTTTAGGCGCTGTTGCGCTCGCCGATCGTGCCGGAAGAGAAGCAAACGCGGCAAGGGGTGCGCGTACTCACCAGCAGCCTAGCAGCGGATCGAATCGGTGGCACTGCTGGTAGCCGGTATCGTCCTCGATGTCGCTGCTTGTTACTGGTGTTCAGAGACAGGGCGTTTATTCCGTTGTGTTTCATGGCGTCGAGTCTATGCGTCGAGCTAGAGATGCATTGAATACGGGACGGGTCCTGATGTTCATAAACAGAGCGTTTATTCCGTTGCGTTTCATGGCGTCGAGTCTATGCGTCGAGCTAGAGATGCATTGAATACGGGACGGGTCCTGATGTTCAGGGATATTGCATTTATTCCGTTCATCCGGTCATTCTAGGGGTATCTTGAATCAATTCTAGATCACGGCACCAGACAAGAGAGTCTCCAAGGTGAAACTCTTGCGTGATCCCGGGCGTGTAGACGTGTCCGCGCAGCAGCTCCTTCTACAATACCGCATCGAAGGACCAACTCTTCTGTTCGGATTTGTGGTGGTATGAGCACACGAGTCACAGCATAAAAGACCGCTTCCGCTGCATAAAAAGATGGGACAGTTATCGTAGAATAAGTCCCGACGCTAGATCTATGTAAAAGTAAACCCTGAAAGAGCTTCCGATTTACGTACTGAACTACCCACTTACGGGCTCTCCGACGAACGCACGCAACTTATTACCAACGGGTGCCTGGCCAGTGATTATTCGGTCACGAGAGGACCTCTCTGGTGCTCATCTGGGCGTCATGCATATCCGTGAAGAACAGGTGCGTCAGGTTATCCGAGGCTACGAGATCAGTGCGCCTGAACAGGCGCCCTCGCGAAAACCGAGCGTGCTTATGGTAACACTGGAAGAGGCCAAGGCTCCTGCGCAAATGCTTCTAGGTTCCGAAAATGCAGCCCAATCTTTGTCGTTCTAAGAGCGCTCGAGTGATGCAGGGCTCACGGGCACCGAACATGTCATGCGCGTTTGCGGCATATTGTACACCCAAGTCAGGAAAACATAGAAGAGCTCCACGCACTTACCGTGGACGTATGTATTGAGGTTTGGGCGGCTTAACACGCTTATCAACACCAACTGTTACAGGCTGGTTCTGTGACTGCTTCTTATTCTCTCTCTCTCTTGTATACAGCTTTGCATTTGCCAGTCTATCGTTTTCCATCAGCATCATTGCAACCAGTCGAGAGATGCTAATGGCAGCTATAAAGTCAAGATTGCACAAAATCTACCCAAGCACTGGACATGGCATGCTCGTAGGAAATACCCATACAGTATCCTTTAGTGCTAAATCTACCCAAGCACTGGACAAGGCATGCTCCCTAGCAAAGACCCATACAGTAACCTTTAGTGCAAAATCTACCCAAGCGCAAATCCGCCTCCATCCACAGGATATGCCCTCAAGAACGGTGGCGGATCGAGTGTCTGTGGGGCGCCCCTGCGGGGCTACCTCCATATGCGGAGACGCTGTGCGGATACTGCCGAGCGGAACTCGCTCCGTCGAAACTTGCCGTTGACCCCAAAATCATAACAGACATTTGGTGCAGGGTGCGTCTCCTTCAGCGACTGCGTACTGGTTTCTAGTTGCTGGACGAACGCGTTCATGCAGGGCACAGACGTCCTGGTTCTGCTGCGGGTTTGGAACGCTGAACTCGAGCGAAACGCATCGTGGCTCACACAGCCTCAGGGTGCTCCGGCTGTACCCAAGTCGGAGGGTGAAAGTGTGGCTGCAGCTCACGCAAAGTACGGCTGCCGAGAACCGGGAGTACACGGCGTACAACGTTCGAGTGAAGGTTGTGGAACGCGGCCTGCGGAATTCCCGCGAAGGACGTGGCGGAACGAGTGCGGCGCGCTCGGTGGTGGTGGACTCGGGTCGGCGCTTACCACGGCAATCACGGAACAGAATGAACGTAGTGAATCTGTGGTGTTTCAGCAAATCAATTCACAACGCCAGTCCGAGGGCTTGGCTCGGGTAAAAGCGGACTCGGGAACGCGTACGCGACCGGGGAAAGCTGCTACTGTTGCTGCAGCGACCAGTGGACGTCGCACGCCGCGTGCAGAGACTGAGCGTCTGACAGCGTACCAAGAGCTGAAGACTGAAAGCTATACTTCCCCGAGCGCTACGCGAGTACCACTCTCCAGACAAATTTTGAGTGCATTGCGTAGCCATGTGAAAGCGATCCCGATGTCTGACGTTCATCGATCCCATCGCATGAGATTTCTGCGCCTCTCCAGGGTGCCGCCATGCCCATTAAAGTGCAAGACAGAGGATCTACCGTGGAATATGGGCATCGAGAGAGCGCTTTGCACGACCGAGTCCGGTTTGGTGATGCCGCCCGTGGAACCACGCGACAGGGAAGCATTGGGCAGCCCGGAACAGCGCTGGAACTCCAGCGAATCGTATCCTCCCTTGACATATCGCACGGTACGGGATCCCCAGGTACAAGAGCGATCCAGTTCTGTTGCTGATGCTCGTCGTCGAGTGGTACCGCCGCGGGCAGACTCTGCGGCGGAGTCGCCCGAGGGCCTCTGCGGTCACAGTGCGCCGCTTCTTGCGGATGATTCGAAGCCGTCTCGACGGGAGATTGCACCGGAGTCCTCGCATTTCCAGAGAGAGCGGATAGATTTCATCCACGAGTATAATGGTGCGCATGGTGTAGATGGAGCATGTGTCGGTGGCTGCCTTGGGCTAGAAAGAGCACGCGGCCACGTGACTGTTACTGGAAGAGAGCATCCGGGGATTGCGCCTCGACCAATTCCTGGAGAGAACAACCCGTGCAAACGCCGCCGCATGGCGGATGACCTTGCGCAATCCAAATGTCACCGACTCGGAGACATGCTCGGTAATCGTTACCTCTTTATGGATGCCATGGACGCAGAATTGCCGCGGTACATCCTGCTGCTTCCCCTTTTGGCCCGAGTGTTGGCCGTATCGTGCCCCGGTCTCCACTGCGTGGTGCAGTTTCCGCTCAAGTGGCAACTGGATTTGGCCATGATACAGCGTTCGTGGTCCGTTGGAGAGGGAAACGCCGGTGATCGCTCGGGCACCATCACATCCCAAATCGAAGGAGAGAACCGGCATCGAGCGTGCGTTCCCAAGAGTTGTACACCGGGCATTTGGCGGGCGCCAAGCCAGCATGCAAGGGCACGAGGAGCAGCTGCACCAACCTGCAGTGCAAGACGATCAGCAGTGCCGCAGCCAAACGATTCCGAACGCTCGCCGGACACGGCATCATTCCAAGAAGCGCTGATGAATGCTCTACTTTTACGTGGCTGGCAGCTGCTTGTATTGCCAGCCTCAGATTCGGAATCGCCACAAGCAGACACGGCAACACTCTCCCTCGCTCAGGTTCATCCACATAGCTGGCGGGTATCCAGTCTACAGGATGGCCAGCTGCTTAGCGGTTGGCGACGAAATGATGGAGCACCATGCGAGCCACCGTCTCGCTTGCCGTCTTCTGTGTGGAGGCGAGTTCAGAAATTACGCACACGAATCGGGGGCTTCGGCGCGGAGGTCTCGGCTCCGGACGCCGGATGGTCATACGCTTCGCATTCGAAGCACACCGGCATTCTGAGCTGTGATAATGTCGCTCAACATGTAAGGCCCAGCTGTGCCGACGACTTGAGATTCTACGTCGCGTACGATAACGGCTCGTCGGTAGAGCTGGTGACCTGCGCCGATCCAGTGCTCTACGGTGTGCGCAAATCCCGTGTGAACGGTTGCCAGCCAGTGCTGGTTTTTTGTTTCAATCAGCATCATGCTAGTATTGAGCTTGCCGATCTCGTGCTCCCGCTGACCGAAAGCGTATATGCGCACGCTCCTGCGTGCGTACCACGTGCGACACGTTTGCCATCACAGCCTAGGCGGTTGCCTTCAAAGGGCATGCGTTCCCATGAGAATGTTCTTGTCGTCGATATTGGTGCACAACCCGTGGATATGCGGATGGCATTCGACGCCCATCGGGAATCGACTGCTTCGACGAAATCTTCCGCAAATTCGACTCCGTCTGAAGCGTTGATCACGGAAAATCCCGACACAGATACCGAAAGAAAGATGGAAACCGCTGCGGATCGTCAGAGTCCGTGTTTTAACGGCGATATACCATCGCGTGGAGGCCCCGATCTGCTCGACCCTGCACGTCGAGCGCAGAGCGCAGATCACGGTCCATTATTGGCCGCAGACGAGCGCCTCGACCATGCGCACATGGAACGTGTTCATTTTGATGGGAATCCCAACGAGGATGTGTCGGCAGTCGCGAGCGGACAAGAGTCCAGGCCTGTGCAGCCGCGCTCCGACCATCACCGCAGTTCTACGCAAGAGCACGATGCTGCGCTGCAGCGTACCTCTATGGACTCCCAGCGCGCCGTACCCCAGGCTCCAGATGTGCATCGAGCGCAACGAAGCACCGAGACCCGCTTTGAGCAGTCCACCGGCTGCGTCTACAAACCATCACTGGGCCAGGCGCTGAATGACACATTCACAACGTGCCGAATGCGACGCACCTGAGCTGAGCGAAACTGCGCCCAGCGTCGTTCCGCTCCACATCATCGTTGTTCGCTGCACCTATCGACGTTATCCACGGTGCACGAAAAACAGTCTCTCTAAATAGGGTAATCTGAACGCAGCTCCAACTCAATGACAATGTCGCTTTGGGGGTCGCGCGCATTACCCGAATCATTGTCGTTGACGCTTCTGAGCGAGCGGTGTCGGTCGGGTGTCCGGTACTCGTACGAGCTTTTGTTTGGTTTGGCGACTGCGACGTCGACGACGCTCAGGTGACCACATTGTAAAGTTGGAGCGTACCGGTGCACTCGCTGCGAGCACCTGCGTTGTCCGATCCGCCACATAGAGCGGAATCGGGACCCGCGCTCTCGTTTTCAGGTAGATACTGAGAACGCCCCGCCGAATACCTCCTGGAATGAACGTTGGCAACTGGTGCAGGACTTGCTCCACGTTCGTCTTGAGTGCCTCCGGCGACATGGAGAGCCTTCCGACTCGGATGGCACAGCAGGTGCCCGCCGCTAGCCCCGGATACCAAACAGTGCTATCGCGTACGCGTTCACATGCTCGAATCACCCGCTCCGCCACCACGGAAGTACACTGGTCTAAACCAGAAAAGTTCACAGGCAGAGGGTATTTCTTACGTCGAAAGAACTCTTTTCCGAGAAGATCCGGCAGTAATGGCCACACGCGCGTATCGGCGAGGAACAGGTCATGCTTGGCAGCAAGCCGGCGACGTTGCTCAAACTGGAGGTAGTCTCGGCGAAGCTGCCTTACCGACAGCACCTCGGTGACGCGTAAGGATCGAATGCGCTCACGCCACTGCGCTGGCGGTGACTCGACCAGAAACCGGCGGTACGGTCGCACGGGGTCTGGGCACACCACACACACCGACAGCGACGCGCTCACAGCGTCACCTGGCTCCGTCGATCGATAGAGAGGGTTCGGCAACGGTATCAATCGGGGCCGTCGCGGCATATTTTCCGGTATACACTGCAGGGTCAGCACCAAAAATACCCAATCCGTTGCACCGTCCGGCTCTGACTCACTACCCGAGTCCGCGTCCAGAAGGTCCCGTGTACGGCGTCGATGCTTCCTGCACCGCTCTAGAAGAACTTTGATCGCGCTTTCGATGACGGGCGGCCTCTCTTTCGTGTCCCCTTGAGACGCACTTGGATTCGAAACGGATTGCGTTACAAGTTCTGACATTGGCTTTGTTGCCAACAAACGTACCAAGTACCGCACAAGTATCGATTATATGTGTAGTATGTGTGCCTGGTCGCGGGCGTGCACGCCCGCCGTCGGCGGTGTCCGGCGAAGGCGCACCCGCGGCTGGCGTCCCCAGCGACTTGTAAGCCAACTCGTTCGCGCTCAGCAGAGGCGAGGCTAGTTGCCCGTTGCTTCGGTTTCCATGGCACCCAGGTACACACCGAAAGTGACTGGTTTTGTCGAAAGCGCGAGCTGGTCGTTGAATGGAGGAAGCAACACGCACCACCTGCTGGTCAGCGGGCGAGGAGAGGCTGCGGTGCTGGAGGCCCCAGCAAGGAAGTCGCGGTATCAGACGGCCGCTGGCGTGCGTACTCCGACCGTCCGACACGTCGCTGCGGTGCGACACCTCCGCTGTACCCAGGAGGCGGGCCCTGGCAGTCGTTGGAACGCCTCTTCTGGAGCGTCCCGGCCAGCGGACGATCGTTTCGCTGTGCGTGACTCGAATGTGGTCGAGATACCGGGACGCACGCTATCCGTGTCGGAGCTGAAAAGCGAGCTCTTGCGATCCGTGGCTGAACAGAACCGGGGTCTTGCGTCCACCAGCTCCAGTCGAAAAGAGACACTTGAGCTGGTACGCGCTCTGGAACGTGAGCAAGCGCAAGGAAGCAGTCCGTCGACGACGATTGCGGCACCATGTAACCTCGGCTGGGCGGAGCAAGCGTCCAAAGTATCCGGTGACTGGAAGCTGTTGTTTACAACCGCCCTTGATGTGCTTCTATTGGGATGGAGTGTCTTACCATTCACTCCGCAGGTCGGATCGATCTATCAGAATATTCGTGTCGCGCTATCCGCGGATGCGATGGAATTCACGCTCGAGAACGTGGTGCAGTTCGCTGCACCAGCTAGTTTCCTGCTAGCCCAGTTTGGTATAGAGGATTCCGACGCTACGCTACGGGTATTTGCACGCGGACAATGCGACCGCAGCCGCCCACAGCGACTGTATCTGCGTTTTGAGCGTGCGCGGCTGGAGCCGAATCGCTTTCTGGGACGCCGCATAGACGAGACGCTACCACCGCTGCAGTTGCCGCTTCGAGGAACTGCCGTTGGGTGGACAGAACTGACATTCCTGGATGAAGATCTGCGAATCATTCGAACTGCAGTGAATGATGTGTTTGTGCTGTGGCGCGTCTGAGCTGCAGCGCATGGAATTCGTTCGGGTCCAGGATCGATGGCGCTGATCCAGGGCTTTTGAAGGCCCGCGTGCCGCTGGCAACCGTGTCGAACATAATACCAAGCTTTCACAAAGGTTTCGATACTCCACAAACTCCATGCAAGCATTCTCGAGCGGCGTGGAGGCTTGATCCAACGCGCCACGATGTGTCGATTCTACCGTGGACGCCTCTTGCAACACTGGATATGCGCCTGCACAGTTGCCGTGCGCGATGTCTGGGCCTCTTCGCCGTGCCGCTGGGTGTATCCGGTCAAGGCGGCGCTTGCAACGAAGGTGTGCTAACCACAACCAGAGCTTTGTTACCAGAACACGGTAATCGTACAGACACTTTTCCAGCTGCCTTATTCCATCGTGATGCGCAGCTACCCAGAGTAGTGCGTGCCAGCGGCAAACAGAGGCCTTGGATAGGCGGCGCTGCATGCATGCATGCATGCCGCGGGACACGATTTGTGACAGCGAGCGTCACGTTTCTCTGTGGACGCTCTGCACCAGGCGACACATGCCTCTCGCTGACCTGGTCCGCATGCAAATTGATGCGCACTCGGTATAGCGGCATGCGGCCGGCGGAGATGATCTCGCCACCCTAGCGTATGAGCTTAGGGTGCCCTACGACACGGCTTCGTTCATGAGAAATACGTTGGGCAGTCACGAATGAACATGATACGTCGAACGCTAAGCATCGGTCGCAAGAGCTGACAAGCGAATGCTTCTGTGTTTGCCTAGACTCGTGTCCGATGAGCATGGAATACCGCATTGCTGGATCAGCTCCTGCCTTGCGTTTTTTGGAAGTTTTTTCTGATGTATAGCCTCGACGTTTGAAGTGTAGAAATCAGGGGTTGAAGGGTTCATTCGCAGTTTTAGGATCCTCGGTTGGATGCTTTGCAGTGGATGCGTTCACGCGTTGCCGCTGGAACTCGTTGCATCATCGTGATGAAGGTGATGATTCTCGACGCCATCGAAGGGGAGTTCGTAAAATATTCGACATTCATACCCGATGCATATATACACGCCTCGACTTGTCTTCGTTCCATAGGTGTAACATGCTCAGATCACGCATGCTACAAGTTTTTGATTTTTCTGTTTTAATGCAACTCGAGGGTGCATAAATTTGCACCACTGGATTGACGACGAAAACGAAAATCGATGTCGTATCTTGACAGTTTGTGTATAAGCTCATGCCAGAACTTCACTGAACCTGTCTCGGTAAACAGTCAATGCCGTTCGTCGTACGAATATTCCTCGCTTTGTCGTCATCGACGAAGCAGCATTCGACGGCACCGCTATGACAAGGCTCATGCGATGCGCTTCCAGATGCTCCTGTCTCTTCTGTTTACATACAAAAGGATCTTGGACAGGGACTAGAGTTCGTGCAGCGACCGCTTCCAGTGGGGCGTGCGTCATTGCTTTGTACGAAGGAAGCGTAGACAATTCGAAGTTGCTCGACTTGATCTCCAGCCTTGAATTACCTTTTGGTACCTGCTCCGTCATGGACAAGATCGCGTTCCACAAATCCTCCATCGAATGGAACAGCGTGCAGCGGGCAGCGTACTCGTCGAGGGCCTCGCCCTAGAAGAAGCTCGGCATCACAGAGAACAGTACCGGTCGTGGAAATGGAAGCGTACATCCAGGGGCGCTTTCTGCATCTGGTACGGGCATATACCGAGCAGTGAAACACGCCTTCATGCGCGGCAGGGTGGCACTCAGATCGGGAGGTATCGTAGACATGCTGGAATACCTGACCGCATCCAGTTGTCAGTAGTGCGAAGGACGCGCCGAGGCTACATACAACGGAGATGACAATGGGAAGCGAAGCTTGGATTGCAACTTCCGCCTGTGCATCGAATGCTTAGAAACAAAGCCGGAAGGTGCAAAGTCAGGACCTCTACGCCGCCATCAACATCTGTCAACTGTATCCAATGGAGCTTGAGGGAAAGGAGAGACGGGCGCATATCAATCCGGAGATAGGAGAGAAGCACAGGAATCAGTTGCAGAGAAATCGCGCAGTGGCTACTGTTGGCGACAATAAGAAGGCTACCCAACTTTCATGTATACGCCCGAGTCAAGGTACCCGTTCCATTTTATTCCGTCTTGGATGTCTCGCAATGTCGAAATGTTTGCGCAGGGCATCGTCCGAATCGCGGTACTTTTGAAACCTTTATCTCATTAGAGCGCGCTGCTTGATTAAGATAAAACCTAGTCGACGTATCTTCCTATCGCATCTGACGAATTGCTGTATTGTTGCAGCCTCTCGCCCATAACAGCGCGATTCTCGAGCGAAATAGACCGAGAACGCGCCGCCAGGAGAGCTGCGCTTTTTGCCCTGCGTACCAGAAACCGACTTTTCTTTCTACATTCTCCGACGATTCGCTGGATGGATCTGCCACCCATCGCATAGGCATGGATGGCGCTGCGAAGTATGGAATATAGAAGCATGTCCAAAAAAACTGCGGTTGCTTTCCTTCTGATCCTCGGAAGCGTTCACGCTCCCGTACAGTTCAAACGGCACATTTCAATCGCGTTGCGCTGAGCAGCGCGAGTCTGACACAGCGGCAGGCGCCGGTTTGCTCACGAGTTTGTACAGAGCACGACGAAGAGCACGCTAGTGCAACTTTAACAGTCGCGAGGCAAAAACCGGGGTATGCGTATGCGCTGAAAAACACGGCTGGAGAAGTGTGAGCTGAACGGCCAAACAGCACGGCGAACAGGCCGCAGGGCTCGCTGGAGCCCCTGAACTACGCTACGCACTGGGGTCTCTTCCGTGCTCGCTGGCTACTTGGAGCGTACTTCCGATCGCTTTCAAGTCGTCGTTCAACCATCACTTACGCCCTACACGCTTAACTGGTGGTGCAGGCACCGGCGCGGCGCGTACTGACCTCCGCAACGCGTACTGACCTCCGCAACGCGTGCGCTTATCGGCCTCGCCTCTGACGTGCGCTGCGTTCGGAGACATCGGAAAAAGCTTATCACACGCCGAGCTGATGCAGAGCTCCAACGAACCCGACGGCGCTGCGCTTCGAGCTCCGCGACCGCACTTTACGGCTCAGATTCTGTACAGTGTCCGACTGACTACAGCAGGTCATGACGACGACGACGACGACGTCCCGACGCCACCAAAAAGTGACCAGATACGCGAAGCGCTTTCCCGAGTCGATGCCTTGCTGTCGCAGAAACCAACAACAAACGATACTGCACGGACTCGGTCAACGGAAACGTTTTCAACGCAACTGAACCAGGACAGGGTGACCCCCGAATACCTTGCTCAGCAACGTAGGCGTCCTGCACAAGCATATGAGGAGGGTGCACCATGTCAGCGTGCTGAAAGCGTTGCTAGAGCGACACTCGCATCACCGTCGCCAAGCGCGACGGATGCAGAAGGGCGGCGCGTCACGGCAGACCATGCGATGCTTTCGGCGTATGCGGCGTGGCGTGCACGAGAGCTTGCCCGCAAAGCTCGCGACGAGGCAGAGAGAGCCCATTTCCGACGACAACCGTAGCGCGTTTCCTCGTTTGCGTTGTTGCTGGTGGAGCGTCTCGCATGCTACAATGAAGGCATGTGCGGAGCGGTACACATGTTGGATCGCATGCAACGGCACTGGATGGTATGCTCGAACGCGGCGCACGCCCGGTGCCTCTCAAAGGAATAGTTGACGCACTTGGGCGTAAACTTCATCCACAGAGCGTTCTGCTGGGATGCGATGCACGCGCATGCGGCGTTCTAGAAACTCTATGACTGGCATGGTCGTCTCTATAAAAGTGCGAAAGCGCTTGCGAATAGATTCAGGATTATCATCGGTACGGCCGCTGCTGCGACTGCGCTGCAGGAGGCGGCGCTCCATTTCGGCTTCGGAACACTCGAAGAAAAGGCAAAAATCAGCGCGGCGGAGTAGACACTCAAAATCTATGGCTTGATCCAATGCACGAGGGAACCCATCGATCAACACACCAGGCACTGCGAGGGTGCTACCCGCATCAACTAGTTTCTTCCGTAAAAGTTCCAACGTGATATGACCGGGCACAATGGCGCCTTGGCGAATCATCTCGTCAATCAGCTGGCCCTGTTCGGACTGAGTCTGGATCTCAGCGCGCAGCAGATCACCTGCTGAAACATGCCAAAAACCAAACTCGGCGACGAGTCGGGCGCACTGGGTACCCTTGCCGGCGCCTGGGCCGCCGAGTACGAAAACCAACCGAGGCGGCAGACGCGCATGACCCTGCAACGAGGCAGCTTCCTGGAGGTACGCACCAAGCCACTCCAAGGGCTGCGCTGGCTGCGCCATACAAAGTCGGGATAATGCGGTCGTAAGCGTCTCTAGTACGGTGGAGCTCAAGTACGACTTTGCAGCGGAGCCTCCACCGGCCACTTGCTCGCCGACGACGCGCACTCGTTCGTATATGCGCTCCACTTCTGTTGCATCGTGGAAGCATTTCGCAAGATCACTCGTAATTTGCGTTACATCCCGACTGGTCCAGACCCCACAGTGCGCCTTATCCACGCCGAAAAGCGCACGAAGGCTTCGGGGCGCCAGGGCGCGGGCTTCAGCGGGGTCTACGGGTCCGCACAACTCGAGCCACCGTTTCCAGTCTGTCGCCGAAGTCTGCTCCAGAGGCGTTGCCTCTTCGTTCGACAGGAACACCATCTCGACAGGCGGAGTCGCTCTGCGAAGCACGACGATCTCAGAACGCCCTTCACACAGCGCAGCGACGTGTTGTTCGTTGTGCACCTCATCGTCTGGGGCAGGCGTCGTGGTCTCGGCGGGCTCAGGTGAAAGCAGCGCACGCGCTCGTTCGGGCGTCCAGACGACGGTCTGCCGCGCAACCTCGGTCCAACCGTCTGTCTTTCGTGCGTACGCCAGAATCGGATCTTTTCGATAAAAAGCTTCCGGCTGAATAACGAGCAGCACAAAACCCGGCCAAGTCGTTCGTTGCGTCATATGCAGTGCAGCTTTGTGGCTGGAGCAGAAATACGGCAAGTGCTGTAGGCGTCGCTGTGTTGCCTAGTTGCTCGTTTGAAGTCAGTAGCGCATGCGACGCGCGTCATTCGAGCGACTCGCATCGATGGACACGGGACAGCTATATCCCGTTTTGTACTGTATCGCATTCGCGCATCCCCGCATGCGCAGCGTGCATCCCCGGCATGTTGAGTTGATTCCTGAGATAGCTATATCCCGTTTTGTACTGTATCGCATTCGCGCATCCCTGCATGCGCAGCGTGCATCCCCGGCATGTTGAGTTGATTCTTGGATCGTGCGCGGCACCCGGTTCATCCGTATGTTCTCGAATGGTTCATTCTACGTAGACGTCAGCGTGGGCGCACAGACGCTGGATCGCAGAGACGTGCATCGCATCGCTGTCGTGGAGGTGTCGACGTTTCACCAGCACCTCTGCAATGCTTTGCTTGGAAACAGGCACTCGATTCCCCGAAGCGCCGGGTCGCGCGTAGCAGCTTCATGCAACGCCGTTCATCGCGCATAAAGATGAAGTCAGCATTCGATGACGAGTGTGCGTATGCAGGTTCTGTCGAGAGGGTAGCATCCCCGGAGTCACGACTCGTACACAGCGACATGGTGATCGGGGCGTCCATCATTGATCGCTGAGCGTACTCGTAGAGGTGATTAGGTCACGATGACTCGCTCAGTGGAGCGAGCATGAGAGGCGCGGCGCTTCCAGGACCTTTACGACAGAAAGGGACCGGGACGGAATGTGCCTCAGCGCCTCGTCAACAAATTCGCTGGGTCCCCATATAGCATCCATCCGGGGTCGTTCGTGTCATTGCGAAATGCACGCCTCCAGTCCCAGTGTGACTGCTCAATCGCAGCATGGCGCATCTGGTTCGAGCAAACGCTGTCCAACGGTGCGAATGGGATGTAAGACATCACGCCGGATTCGGGTTTTGCTGTTGTCGTGTGATCCGCCGTGTCGTTTCACGTCACATGCATGATCTGACACATGCGGATGAAATGGCCAGTAAACAACCGGAAAGCGTTCACTTTCTCCGGGTTTCTCATGCCAGCAAAGCTCTTGTTCTTCAGTGACAGGGAACTCCGCATGTGTACCACCCGCAAGCTTCGAGACGCCAAACTCCGCGCCTCATTTCGTCATCGCGCACCATTGCAGGCTCACAGCGGCACTGCAGCTGTCGCCTGCCCAGCATGGTAAGCAGCGAGGCGTCCGTGCGTCGCAGCACGTCGCTCTAAGCGGACGCATAGCGCCAACATACGGAGCCTGTGCGCGCCACCGCTACAATGCACGCCGCGCTCGTCCATTGACCATGCGCGATGCACTAGACACACGCACGAGGCTACGAAACGACACCACTGCGGCGCGCCACGTAGACACGTGGCGCTCGTGCAGGCTCGCGCAGATGCGCCAGCGCATGCGATCCGTTGCGTCCGTGATGTTCCACATTATTCCTATTTAGTACATTCATGAAATAAATGGACAATGCACAAAGAACACAGCGCTGGGGTGGCATGGCGCGCAATTTGGCGCGAAGTCAGCGATGGCGCGCAAACTGGTTGAATACCCGCAACAGCTTCAAGCGCGTTAGGACTCGCCACCACGTATACGATACTGTGGTTGCGTCAGTGTTCGTACTCGCGACATGTGGGTGGTCTTTGTGAATCAAGTAAGGCGCACGCATGATGGAATTGATGTATCGAGCCGTGGACGCTGGTACTTAAATGCGAACAAGCTCCGGTGCAAGCGGGCTCGGTCGCTTGCGTATATGACTGTTGTTCGCAGCTTGCCACGGCCACCGGGCTTCTACGTGACGACGCAGGATGGTGACACGCTTGCGAGTATCGCGTCACGCTATGGCATTGACGCGAAACGTGTTTGGGAGCTGAATAACCGCGCTTCGCGTTTAGAGTTTAAGCGTGGCAAGTTCCCATTTCTCCCTGGTTTGAAACAGCACGAGGTTTCGAGGCAAGCGCCTTCAGGTGGCGTATCCCTAGAGGAGGCGCTGGAGCGGCCACTATGTTCTGGGCAACGCATCTTTGTACCGAATGAAACAGTTGCACAGACTGCAAAAGGCGGTAACCTCCATGGGGCTTCCTTGCGCCAAACGGCACCTCCAAAAACAGTCGAAGCACCTCCGGTTACCCGGACGTTTGTTCCTCCCAAGGCACAGACCACTCCGCAACAGAAATCTTCAGCAGCGATGGGTGCTCCATCCGCGCCACCGGCCAAGGGTGTCCCGGTTGTAGAGCAGCAGGCACTGCCGCCGTCACCACCATTACAGGGTACGCTCGTTGGCTCGGTTGGGACAACGGATTTCTTCCTGGGCGTCTTCGCGGTGCTCGTTGGATTTTATTCGGCGAAGATGATGCTGCCGCGGTCGAATACCGAACCCGGAACGCAGCCAAAGACCTCACTCCTAAAGGCCTTGTATAAGAGGCTCGTGGGCTTTCTACAGGCCATGATTACTGTTGCTGTTTTGATTGGGCTCGCGGCAGGCGCGCTAGGCGCTCGCCTCCGAGCGGCGCTGCTGTTCATCTTTAACGCCTGCACGATACTCTTACGTGGCGTATCGCAGATGATCGTCCTCTTCGGCCAGTTCATGTGCGGCATGCTCGGTGTCGTGGCGCTTGCGGTTCAGGGTGTCGTTCAACTGTTCCAACGGCTTGCGCAGGCGGCATTCTTGCTGATCGCGTCGATTTTTTTGGTTACGTGGCAGAGCGCGGTACGTCTCTGGTCGGCAGCCTCTACGCGTTCGAGCGCAGTACTAGAGAACATCACCCAGCGCGGGCTGTCACCATCGCTGCCCTCGGCGGAAACAGGATTGTGGTCTGTACCAGATGAGCGCTCTTCCTCCGTCGACCAGACGGCATCCGAGTCGTTCTTTGGGCTCATTCGGCAATTTTTCTCGCGGGATTCGGGAAGCGATCTCATTCGCTGCGTTCTTCGTGAACGCACCCAGATCTCGGACGCCTTCGTTCGAATGCGATTCGATCTTCCGGGACCCGACGACCAGCTAGTTCTCCAGATGGGTCAACGCATCGAAGTGCATGTTCAGAAAAGCCGCCAAAGTCTCTGGAGTGACGTTCAGCCCCTTGATCAAGCGGAATCTTCTTGTGGGCTTGGAGCAATCAGGCCGCACCTGCTAGCGGTCGCCAGTGATCGCCATCAGCCTGGTAGCTTCGAGATCATAGTGCCCGTGTCGCACGCACTGCAGCAAGTGCTTTGGGAAGCGAGCGACGCAGATAATGCGACGCATTCGGCTGCCGCTGCTCCAATGGACGCCGAGTACGATGGTGCTTTCAGTACAGGAAGCGATGTCCAGGTCCTGGAGCGGCCATCTACCTCCGACCACGTATTCTCGGCGACGTGCAGTGCAAACAATGACGAGTTCGACGAGCATTTCCTAATCGCGCTTGAATCCCTTGTGGAAGGTGTTGATGCTATCCGCGTTCGACCAGCCCCGAATACGGAGCTCATCTACCGTCGCGCGATGAATCCCTCCGCTGGGACCGTTGTGGTGCATAACGTTGTGCTCTTAGCATGCGGTCTGGGCATTGTATCCGCGGTGCGCATCGCCGACGAACTCCTACAAGACTCCGAGTCCGCGGTGAGCCGCATCACGCTAATCTATTATAACGAGCGCGCCCGAGATTTCATCCTCCTCGACGACTTGGAGCGCATGAGCAAAGACCATGGTGAGCGATTCCGCCTCCATTGTGTTTGGAATGAGAACGCTGGCGCGTACCTTGCCAGCACAGGATTCCCCCGAGCTGCAACGGCTTCCGCTGGTGCGGGTACAAGCGCAACCGTCGCTGCCGCCGCAGCCAGACGCAACGGCTACGGCCGTGAAAGACGCGCGGCACAGCCGGTGCCTGCTACCGTCCGGGTGATATCGGCCATACCAGCGTGGACGGAAGGTACAATGGCCATTATCAGCGGGAACGAGTCATTCTCCCAAGAAATGTGGTACGCCTTGGGGGACTCGGGTTACCCGGAGGACGCGATCACCTTCATATAAATCCAGCGTCTGCAACGGCGACGCCGTACGCAGCGGTTTTCGCCCTAACGCGACACATTGATTGGGGGTTTGTCCATTATATGCATGGCTGATTATTCCATTTAAATACAAGTCATTCCGCGTGCTCGTTTTCGCCTCCGGGTTGCGCTGCCCGAATCGTTTGCGTTGCCCGCATCAAGCGTCCTTCAATGCCTCGTTCTGTCGTCATCCGGAGTTGCAAGACAGTCCAACAGAACGCTTCTATCTGGATCTCGAATTCCGCGATCGACAGGCAAGTAGACTACAGAGAGAGCGCTTTTGCGTACGCTGCTCACTTGTAGCCGTATTCAGGATCACGACGGACACGCATGCAGACACGCATACATGCAGACACGCATGCATGCAGACACGCATACACGCATACATGTTTGAACACGTGTCCTCTGATGCTGTCCAACAAGTCCACCTTCGTTCCACGCGACGCAGTGCGCCCTGTTCCAGGCCAGCTTCCCACCGGACCCAGTGATCCAGGACGCCACGGACCAAGACAATAACGAAACCACAGGTGCCACGCGCGTTGCTTTATCTCTAGGAATGCGTTCGAGTGGGCGGCATCGCTGCCCCATTGTTGCCGCGCGGCGGAGAAGAAGCCATCTGCTCGAGCGCTTCAAGCTCCGCTACGGTGTTCACGCCCTCTAGACGCCAGAGAAGACCGCTTTCTTCACGAACACAATAAACATCGACGTCATAGCCACAGTCCACTGCCATCTGAACGAGATCAGTGGCGTAGTATTCGAAGCGCTCAGGTACAGGACTCGAACTGCGCACCCGCTGGTTGCCTTTGTCGACTCGATGCGGTAGCGACGCTGCAAGGAGCTGCATCGAAAGCGCACGATCCACCACCATGATGCCGGAGTAGAATTCTCGAATGGCCAGGATCTGGGCGCCGTCTGGTCGCTGCAGGGCCTCGCGATACTCCACAATGGCGCGCAGGGCGCCGCTCTGGGCGTCGCGAACAACGCGTCCATAGGCGCCCGCGTCTCTGGACGTATAGCATCCGCTCAAAATGACGCCGAACGTCTGCGATGGCCCGTTTGGATGGGCCGCTGCCTCACGCTGACGGCTTCGTTGATCTAGCAGTGGTTCCAGAATCGCAGAATCTACCCCTGGATTATCGCCGTAGAGCACGAGTATGTCACCGGAGAACGTCGAAAGCGTCGAGCACAGGGCCGCATAGAGGGCGTGGCCGGTCCCGAGCGGCTGGCTCTGGCGAACCAGGAGGTACGGGAGCGCGTCAAGCGCTGTTCGGATAGCGCCTTCGACAGACTCGTTGCCGACCACGACAGTCGGTATTCCCATGGTGTGGAGCGTCTCCACCACATGTCGAAGCATGGGTTTGCCACAGAACGAATGCACGACCTTGGGGTACGCAGCGCGGAACCGAGTACCTCGTCCCGCGGCGAGCACGATACCGACCACAGCAGCACTTTGGAGTTGCGCTTGCCAGGCGGATGCTGGCCCCAACTCGCCAGCGTCTGCCTCAGCCAAAAGCGCACCAGCTACTTCCAAATCGCCCAATCTCGAGGTTTCCGCCAGGCGAATGCCGAATGAACCACTTTCAAGGTGTCGGAGTTCATTCTCTGACAGCGACGTGGCCACCTGCTCCAAGATTTGTCGAAGCCGCGACCGCAGCAGCCTTTCTAGCCGACGGGCGAGCGTTTTGGCGACCTCACCCTCCAGGGCGGTTGAACTGACTTCCACGCGTATCCGCCAGAACGGCTGTGTGCGCGACGGACGTACCAGCACGCTCACAGCGTCCTCAATCGACACATCTGGAAATTCCAGCTGAATCCGTTGTAGTTGCTCATCGATGAGGGCCGTTTGCACCCATTCCGGATCTAAGACGCGAGTTTCGTCTGCAGTGTAGCGCCAGTTTGCTGCGGCGTAGCGACTCGCCTGGCGCAGAAGCGGTGTTTCCATGTCATGCTCTGTGAGCTGCGCGTTCACCACTTCGCTGTGTCCAGCCGAAGCAAACACCTCTAAACGTTCTAATAAATGCGTGACTGGCTCCGTACGAAGCAGCGCCTCCATCGTAAGTAAGGTGGCAACGCCGTCGCTGCCCGCGGGGTTCGCCAATCGCGCCAACGATACGATGCATTCAGCAGCGTACCGCGCTTCCCGCGTCAGGGGCGTGCTCACGTCCCGCAACAACAACTCGTAGAGCTGACGCTGCACCAGAGGTGCCACGTAACAACCAACATGTCCATTCGGCTCGGCATAGACGGCGAGATTAAAGCAGCGCTCGACGATATCGCGGCCGTACTGAGCGCCTGTGGGCACCAGCACCAGGTTGCCATCGCAGAGCGCACGGATTCGCTCGCGATACACACGTCTGCAGTAAGCTGTTAGCGCACAGCCGAACGATAGTCGGGGCAGTACTTGTATGGGTGTAGTTGTTGTTTCCGGGGCCGCCACGAGCAACTGGACGCAGCGGCGCAGGAATGCAACCAAACAGAGCGCTATCCAGTCACCGTCGTAGACTACGATGGATGAAATCGATGATGCCTCTTTCGTTCGACCCGCTGAACGCTGCTCGGATGATGCGTAGTAGACCAGGCGATCCGCATCGCCGTCCAGAGCCGCCATGCGGTCGCCCGACACGAGACAACGGAAGTCATCGCCGTGTCCAGCGTGCTGGTGGATGTACTCAGCCCCGCAGCGCTCGTTCACGGCCTGCGACTCCTCATGTCGATGCGTCGTGCTCAGCGGAAACGATAATAGCGATGATACCTCCGCAAGCACCACCGAAGCTGATCCATATGCGCAATCAACTCGAAGTCTCGTCGTCGAGTCGACTGCGCCCGATCCAGTCACCTCGGGATCCCGTTGCAGCGCTCGACAAAGCGCATGGTACCCTTTGACGAGCCGTTCGTGGACATAGGCATCAAAGGTACTCAATCGTCCATTTTGCGATGCCCAGACTGCGTACTGCGTGAATGGTGTGGTGGTGAGGCCCAGATTTCGCACCCCCGAGCACTGCGTCGCTCGTAGCAAGACTTCTAAAGCTACCTGTGCGAGACGAGCGGAACTCGGACGATTGTCGTAGCCGAGGATGACGACACCACCGCGCCCGGACTTGTCGTCGATGCTTGAGCCTGCCGCTCCCGGGAGAGTCGCGGTTTTCTCGGCGGCGGCCGGTTCCCTGCCATGAAGCATTCGATGCGCTAGGCGGTGGAACAGGGAACCAAGAGCCACAGCCCTCGGTGCATGAATCGGTACCGTCAGCGTTTCCACGTTCATTCCGTCGAAAGAGTCGTTATTCGCGGAATCTGTTGGTGGTGCCAGCGTCTCCTGCAGCAGGTCTGCGAAGAACTCTCCCAGCAAGGGGTGCGGCGTATCCTGGAGGTGCGCTTGCAACAGACCCCCGTCGCTGCGCACAACCTTGACGCCGTTCTCACTTGACGGGTTGTGGGAAGCAGTTATCATCAGGCCCAGTACACACTTTCGAAAAGAAGCGACCAGCGCGACGACAGCTGCGGCTCGGGCGACAACAGCGTCCAAAGCGGGTCCGTCGCGTACGCGGACGCCTGCACCGGTATAACGCACGGCTTCTGTGAGCGGGTATCGATTGGAAAGCCAGTTTGCGAGCTCGTGAAAGGGATAGGGAGAAGCATCGGTCGTGTTTAGACATTGACCGGCTTCGGAACGTTCCCCTAACGAGCAGAGCGTGGCACGTCCGACACCGCCAGCGAGCTTGCAGGGTCGCAACCGCACGCTGCGAGGCGGTGCGCGACCACGGAGCCTAGTTTGGTGCCTCGTTATAGGACGAAGCTGAGGCGAAACCGTTCGTCGACTTGCAACCAGGGCCAAGTCAGGGACCAGGCCGCTTGCCCCGAACATGAAGTGTACTCGGTGCGAAAAATCGATGGCGAGCGTCATCGCCTGTGCGCACAAGCTCACTGGCGATGTTCGCTTAGGACCCGTCCCGTTCCGAATAACTTCCTGTTGGGTTCCGCATGAAAGATTTCCTGCTGGACGCTGTGATCTTCGTTGTGTCGAGAGGGTTCCGTGGGAGCTTGGACTTTGGGTGCAGTTATGGAATACGGAGACCAGTGGGGCTATGCATAGACCCCTGCAAACAAGTGCTGAGCATTTCCAGGAGGAATCGTATGCGCGCGCAGTCTGTTGCAGGTTCGGTGGACGCCCATTCGTGGTCAGCGCTTTCTCGGGTATGAGTAGCGTCGCATGCTGCCCGTTCGCCCTTGTTGAAGAGCCGGAACTCGACACGCGAGGAAGCGTCGACTCAACGATGGATCCGATTGTTCTGAAAACGTACATATATGTACAATGGACAGATCGCTGTACTGTAATGCGTGCGCGCACGGAAGCAGTGCACGCTTCGACCGAGTCTTCGGTGCGTTCGATTCTTCGCGAAAAATAAAGATATTTATCATTTACAATTCACTGGACTGCACGCGTGCACAAGGGCGCAGCATCGACAGCGCGCCGTTCAAATCGCCGGGTCAAGCGCCGAGCGCTCCGGGTCGCCCGCTTCAGCAGCGCGTTTTTCTCACTGTTCGCCGTTGCCGCAGCGCTGCCTCCAAATGGGCGAGACAGGGCGCTCCGAAATGTACCGACTGCTTGCGTTCGAAATGAGTAGACTCAAACTGACTATGGAACGGTTGGGTGAGACTCTGGACCGTACCGATGCAACGACAGCGGCAGCGATAGGTTTTGTGTTGTTGGGCACGCAACTGAGCGTGGGCGCGCGCTGTGCTCTCCAGACAGCCCCAGCGCAACGATCCGTCGAGTCCACGTCACAGGACGCCTCTGAGCTGGCAACTGAGGAGTAAACGCGTTGTGTGCGCGCGATTACGACTTAAAAAAGTGCCATGAACGCGTTGCATCCCGCAGAGGATATGCATCGGAGTGTAGGCGGGTCGAATGGGCGGTGCTTCCGGCTTGTTTGTAAGCGGGGGCGCACCACTGCGCCGCCCAGCTCTGAACAAAGTGCCAAGATCGTGCGGACACCTGCCGCTGTTATTGGAGGTGCAGAATCGGGCGACTCGCTGCAGCCGCACCGGGCCGGCATTCCCCGGAAGAAAGCTCCGCCAGCGCATCCACCAAAGCGAGGTCGCGTGGCGTGCGAGCTCCGCGCCCCAAGCCACAGAGGTTTGAAAATCCTTCATGGTCTCGTCAAGCGTGCTGCTCTCTGGTGAAAGCCGGTCGGCATGTACGCAGTCCACCTCCGTGTTGTTCTTCAAATCGCGCCTGATAACATCCATAGTTTACGGTGACGAGGTGCCTTTGCCAGAGTCGGAACGCTGGCGCACTGCCAGAATGTTTCCCTGGGCCATGCATTGCTTAAGAGCAGTCATCCTAGAATAAATCCAAGACCCAGACTTTGAGCCTCGCTTCACAATGAATCAAATGCAAGTATCGTCTCCAGAGCATCTTGCAGCGCTCGATTCGCGGGAGCTTGTTTCCGCTGACGGACGTTTTCGGTCGACCGACAACAAGTGACGCAGCATAGTCTCTGTTCCAGCGACTTTGTGCGATACGAACGGGCTTAACAAACGAGCACCTCATCGTCGAACCTGATGCGGTGTTACCAGAACTGTCTCTGAGGCAGTCCGGCGTCTCTATGTAAAACACGCGCCTCCACTTCGCTCATTGGCAGTGTGAAAAGTCTACGAGCAGCGCTCGGTTTTCACGTCGCTTTCGATGACAGCGAACCTGGCGGCAACCGACGACTGGGGTGAGCTCCTCGACGTCCTGGACCCGGGGGATCCAACCGGCTCCCGGGTGATAGCACGCTACGATCGGTTACGCGTTCACCGCGAAGGGCTGCTTCACCGTTCGGTGCACGTGTGCGTGGTACGCTCCGTGCCCGACTGGCCCGCCCAGGTGCACGGTCTGCGCAATACCAACTACAAGCTTCTGCTTCAGCGACGGAGCGAGTCCAAGGCGATTGCTCCCGGCTGTTGGGACCTATCCTGCGCAGAGCACTTGCGCGCCGGCGAGTCCTTCGAAGGAGCTGCTGTGCGGGGCCTGCAGGAAGAGCTCGGTCTAGCGCTTGCACCGGACCAGCAGACGACGCCAATACATGCCCTTGACGACGGAGAGCCGGCCTTGCAGCTCTACGACTATCCGAGCGTCGGCTTAACGGACTATGAATGGAATCGAATTTACGTAGTGTTCGTTACGGACCAGGCTGATGAGGCCCTGGCCAAACTCAAACTCGATTCCGCGGAAGTTGCTCAAGTTCGGTGGATTACCCGCGAGTCGCTCCAAATGGAACTTGCAGAGAATCCATCGCATTTCACTCCGTGGTTTCGAGATCAGGCTCGAAAGCATCTCTTACCCAGTGCGTACAACTGAGCATGGTTCGTGAGCGACTTGTTGCTATCACACATGCTGCGGATCGTCGGGTTATACCCGTGTCAGAATAAAGTGGAAAGGGTCCATTTCGCTGATACAGGCGCAAACGCTCAGGTTGGGGTCTGTTCCCGTTGCCGTCAATAACGGCCTTTGCTGGCTTTTTCTGTGCATGTTTTCTTTTCCTCTGTCTGAACGCAAGCTTTACATGGACCGGTGTCTCGCTTCTCCCTGTAGGTCCGTTGTCAGCGGGTAAAAGATATTGATGGCAGCATGAAGTTCCTTATCGACGTGCTGCTGGCTGTTGTGGATGGGTTTCATGCACACGCGGAAGTTGTCATCTAAGCGTCGTAGGCCGTTTTCACCCTCTTTGGACACAGCGCCCAATAGCCCGTTGCAGGTTGACGCTTCACTGCGATTGGATGCTCGCATATATCCGCTAGAGCTCCTACTCCGAAAGCTGTCCTGGAGCGTGCAAAACGATTGCTTCATCGCCGTCGAGAGGTGCCGTCGAAGAGTGCAACAAAAGCTCCAGTCGATGCCGTCCTCGATTTCCGTACCTGGTGTCGTACTCTATGATTCCAGGCTTGTTCTGGGAGATTTTCTAAGCGAGTGCTCTGTTTGGTGCACACGCAAGCGCGCGCTTTTCCTTTCGATAGAGGATTGGTGGAGCGCGACCTCGCCTATGATGAAACAAGTGCAAGGGTAGGGAATCCATGCTGGAGTACGAATCGACATATAGCTATCCCTGTGCGCTCATTTCATGCGAAGCGATGTCGCACTCCTCATTGGAAGCGATTGCTGCAATAACGAAACTCCAAGCGCAAGACCCTTTTCCATGCAAACAGAAGAGACGCGATCCTCTGGAAGCGTATCCCATGAGAGGCACCGTGCCGCTGGCGAATCTCGTTTTTTGGATGAGGACAACGAGAGAGGGACTTGTTTTTCGAATAGAGTCGATGATTTTTACACGACCAGTCTAGTAAGACTCTGGACATGAACTTGTGCATGGTCGCCAAGCAACGCCACGGAGTTCTCTTCGTCGTCAGTCCGGCGGGATGAGTTGCTGAACCCACGAGTTGCCTTGCAACGGGAAAATGAAATGCTTGAAACATGCTTGTTTCGAACAATCTACATGTAAGCGCATGGGAGGCATGGAGGTTTGTACACGTGGATTGTATAACGTATCGGTTACTCTAACGAATCCTGTTCGAGGGGCCGTCACAAATCATCTTCACGACTGTGACATAGCGAATTCCAGTGACAAGTAGCGGATACAACCACTGCGAAAAACACGACTAAGCATTCTAGAATTGGGTCAGAGTCTGTAAGCTCCTCTCGCTACGCTTCGGGTGCCGAGACCGTACTTCTGAAAAACTGCGGAAGAAATCAGACGACAGGAACATAGCACCCAGTCCAGTGTTCCAGATGCATCTGGTACGAGTGTCGTCGCTGCCCAGTCAGAGAGCCAAACGACGAACTCGGAGCCGTATGCGACAAGCAACCTCCGCTCAGGTGCCGAGTGTATCAGCACTTTCCGTAATCGTGCGTGATTTGCATCGTGGAATCAGTGCGTCTCGCCTTCGATCCCATTCGCTGACCGGCTGCCTGCCTGCCTCGCTGGCTGGCTGATTTCTTGCTCAGGTCCCGCTGACCCTGCGACTTGGTTCATTGTGCTCAGCTGCGTCGACGGGAGCCCGTATCTGTCGCCACACCAGCGAAATCGTTGCCCTGAAGCCGATACGTTCGATAGGAACGTTGGAGTAAGAATCCTTGCAGATTCAGCATATCGATAAACTGCGAGAAATCGGTTCCATGTTCAATATGATGTTGCTGAGCGATTTGCCGCAGTTCATCGAGGTGAAAAAGAGCATTCTGGCGACGGTTCGCCTCCTGGTGCAGCACCAAAAGGAACCGCCGAACATCGTTCGCACGACTGGTGCCGCCTACGCGCGAAAAGTCAAGCACCCCGCGTTCATCCGAGTACACGTCCAGCATGGAGCACTGCATGATTTCAATGACATCGCGAGCATCCTGAGCGCTAACAACGGAGCGAAGTTCAGCGCGCGCTCTTGCTTGTGCAAGTCGTTTCAGCGACTCAAGCTGACGAGTGGTGACCGGTGGCAGCGCCTCATGACCGTGAACACCAGCAAGCGCATGCGCATTCCGGCGCATGAGTAGATAAAAATCGCGCAGGATTTGTTTCGCCTCTACACTCAGCACAGGGTGAATAAAGCGGCGCGCAAAGGCCACGTATGTTCGGAGATCCCGCGTAGATGCGGGCTTTTGTGCCCATTTCCTCGACTGCTGGAGGCGCTGCCAGAGGCTAACGCCCACGCTGCATTCTCCCGCCTTGTTGTTGGTAGCGGGCGGACTCGAGCCGTCGCTCGACTCTGTCGAGAGCGACCAGCGCATGGGTGCCGCGCGCTGGCGCCGCCCGCCAAACGTGGCCATGACATGCTCCGAGATGCGCTGGTCGCGGCAGCGGTCAGGCTGATCCTGAATCACAAAGACGAGGTCAAATCGTGAGAGGAGCGCGGGACACATTTTCAAGTTCTCGCAGACGGTGCGACGCTTGTCGTAGTGCCCTCCGATAGGATTTGCAGCCGCCAAAATGGAAGCCCGGGCAGCGAGTGTGCCGACAATGCCCGCCTTGGCGACACTGATGCTCTGCTGTTCCATGGCCTCCAAGAGTACCTGATAGTCCGCAGACATCTTATCGAATTCATCGATGCAGCAAATGCCCCGGTCGGCGAGGACGAGCGCACCCGCCTCAAGCACGTACTCGCCGCTGCCGGACTCGCGACTTACGGTAACTGTCAAGCCCGAGTTGGTCGTGGTGTTGCCACAGACATAAACGGAGCGCGGGAGCAGTGCAGCAGCCGCTCGCAGCATCTGCGATTTCCCGACACCGGGATCTCCAACGACGAGTACATGGATGTCGCTACGCGCTACGGAATGCTCCAGCGACTGCTGGTGTTCGCTCGCATCGCTCGCGTGCAATGCAGAGAGAATGTCGCTGTCCAGCATAGAGATGCCTGCTGGCCCGACATTATCTATGGCGGGGACCGGACGGGTTCCGCCACGGTTGCTGCCGCCCAGAATACCCAGCAAAAGCGCCGCCTTAATGATATCATGACCGCATATGAGCGGACATAGCGATTGCACGAGGAACTCGAAGACATGTCCGCGATGCTCCAAAATTCCCCGGATGCACCGGAGATCCTCATCCGTAAACGAATCTGCATGCGGCCTGGAGCCACCGATGCCGGCTGGCCGAACCATGGTACCCTTGGATCGAAGCGACTGCGAGGTCTGGCCTCCGTCTTGCTCAGTGGCTGGATCTGGGGCGGCTGCCTCGAAGGTTGTCGCATCAGCAGCAAGCTCCCTCTGTTCGCCTTCCTTGGCGTCGTTGGTGGGAGTCAGCGAAATTACCTCGAGGTAGACTTGGTAGAGCGCGTGGTCGCGGCCCCGTCGCGCGCGTGACGCATCCGCATCAAGACTCAGAAACCTGACAATGCCAACAACATCGACGATATCACCGGGCACTACAGTGTCCAACATGTCTGCATACGTGAGCTCGCACTCCACGGTCCGCGGTATACCGCCGACATCGGCAACATTGCCCACAGACGACAGCTCCTGCAGACGAATCCGTTGCCAGTCTAAAGTTACAGCCGAGCACCGATCCGGAAGAAAAACACGCGATTTGCATTCGGCAGACGCCATACAATGCGGTGGTGGATTATACTGAAAGTTCGGGCATGTGACACGTTGGCTTTTGCCACATGTCGCGCAGGCAACGCTGATTGAGGACAACTGAGGACGGATGCTGCTCATTCGAATCACGGTGCCTCGAATACCAACGAGGCGGCCAACCGCATGTGCGCGCAGTTCGCTAAAATCGGTTTGGTCGCGTAGCCCCTGAAGGCGAACGACGGCGCGCGGTAAGCGAACAGCAGCCAGGTGCTCACCAATAAGGTCCAGGTATTGCTGAGGGCAAGAACCGAGAGCATGGAGATGATCGGCGCGAACCCATGCGTGGATCTTCACTACCTGCACGATGGCCAGACCGAGGCAGTTCAGGGACTCCTCGGGGTTCTCTATAACGGCGTCAGCAAAGGTGCTCATGGTAGGCGAGCGCACAAGCAGCGTGTGCTCGACCGGCACGCTGATCTCATCAATGGTATCCATGAAGACACGGCAGCGCTGCATGTCGCCATCGGTTTCGGCGGATAAACGCTGCCAGCGATCAGTCGCGTCCATGGACTTTTCTCGGAGAGATTCGTCTCCACTTTCGAACGGGAACACTGACAGACCCGCTGCAGCACCTACGATGCAGCTTCCAGAACCCGTGTCGTTCCCAGCAGGTCCCAGAGCGTTTACCCGAGCTGAAGACAGCGGCGCTGGGCGAACGGATTCGAGTGCTTGACCTAGAGACGGTATACCAACCGCGGCAGCTGTCTGTTCGTAGCGGCACCGTGCTTGCGTCGCAACTGACTGCCCCTCTTGCGAAAGCAGAAACAATACAACATTTGCGGTGATTGCAAGACGAAAGTCACGATTCGTAGCGTTGCTATCCGCGTCGGTATCGTCTGCCCAAGCGTAGCACTCATACTCTGGCAGCCCAAGGGGGAAGCGAAGCTGCATCGGAGCCGGTTCGGAGGCTTGGCGGTTGCGCTACTCCGGCAGCGCCAGCGTGATCCGCCCGTGAACTTCCCGAAAAGAAAGTATGGATGAGATTTCGAGCTCGCGTGGAACGGTAGCGCTTACAGAAACTTGTTAAAACACGAGCTGCCGTCCAACCAGGGCAAGTGTGACGGAGTCTTGTCGCGAATCGTGTGCAAATGACAACATAGCAGCTGCACTGCTCAGGGAAGTGTTCGACGTTGTCGCTCTGCGCGCACACGCACACACGCACACACGCACTGCAGCTCCCGTTGCACGCATACGTGACACGTGTCCGCGGCTGCGCATCTGCACGCATGCATTAGATTTCGCGCCAAAAACAATTGCTGGCATCGCTTCATTCGGCACAAGCGTACGCAGGGCAGTGTTCCCCAGCTGTGCACTTATTCGCAGCGCGCGGTGAAGCATTCATCATTCCGCGCCCTACTTCCAAGTTCCATAACCCACAACTCTTCTCGGATATACCAGTCGTTTCGTATGTTCTTTCGTTCGCCGAGCGCCTGTCCTGATCATCCGCAAGAGCGCGTCTAGCGCCGATGCGGAAGCAACACGGAGACAGAGCGGCGTTGCCATACCACAGAGGGCGGCGACTCGAGCATTCCCTGACTCACCCGACGCAGGATCCGGTCTCGTCGTCGATTCATGCTTAGCCAGTCTCCGCATGCAGACTAACCGTCGCTGCATGACACGCTGGAGAGACTTCGATGTTCGGAGGAATCCCGGGAGACGCCTCTCGCCTTCGCGATCGTTTATGGAATGCATTGTCGGTTCGCGACGCGGGCTTTTGCTTGGCATCCCTCAGTGCTTGGGGGTACAAAGTGCTGGGCTCGTGTGTGCATCCGGTTCAATGGACCTTCCGCCTAGAGAGCAGACAATTGCTGGTATGCAGTGCGCATAGCGCTGACCAGGCGAGCATCCGCTGGATACAAAGCGCCAGCGGGATACACTTTTTCGGGTTTCAACATCGTTTACCTATAAAAGAGATCCTCGAGTGCGCCACTCATACTGTCTTTCAGGAGAGCGTGCATCATCGGTAGATCCATGACAAGGGCTGCCTGTACGCGTTGCGCCCTGTCGAAGTTAAGGATGACGTTTGGGGCAGAGGCGCTCGGAATGCCGCTGCACTTGCGAAGACGCTACCCGCGTGCTTGGATACGTGTCGCGAAACCGTGTGTGTTAGGGGACAACTTGAACGAGGCAGCGGATACACCACTGCAACGATTGCAGAGAACATGTCCAGCAGTTTGTCCAGCTGGGCAGATGCTCGTTGGCGAATCGCTGCTACGTCCGGATGTGCCTGCCATGGTTCCCGTGCACCTCTCATCCTGGAGGATGCGCGCACGATAATTTGGCCACCCGATCCGAGACAACGATCGAGGTTCATGGAAGCCGCAGATCCCATGTTCATTCCGGCAACATGGATGATCTAAGACACAATCCGCAAGTAATGCATGTGCTCCTTGAACGAAACGCGAACATTAGCATCTCGAGAGCAGTTTCGCGCGCTCTGAAGCGACCAACGAGCGACTTGTCAAGCCCGTGCGTATCGTACGCGTGCCCCCTGGCATGTCTAAATTTCAGTCGTTGCATCATTCGTCGAAACATTTCGAGTCGAGCGCACGGCAGCGCCATCTCATTCCGGACACCTGATGTTGAGTGATGTCTTCACGAGCGCTACGACGTTGCCAGAATTTCGGGAGGTTTCCGTCCTGTGTAGAGCCACCAGCAATTTGCAAAAGCAGCAATTTGAGTCTCTACACAGTTCCGATTAGACGCTTTCGTGATTCGCGTCTAGCGCCCGTGCGAATTATTGAGAGACGCATGCGACGGAAAAGAATGTCTCTCACGCACTACCGCAAAGCTTCGTTCGAAGTATACGCGCGTGCCGTACAAGCCGCTTCACCCCGGTAGATGTCGAGAGCCGCGTTGATGCCTAGCAAAGCTTCCAATGCCAAGTTGCTGTGGCTTGTGGCAAATATCCGCCGCCCCCTCGTCTCAAATTCGACCGCTGTAATTTGCAAACGAATGGACCCGTGTAGCGCCCATCCAAATAGACCTCGAGTAAAGGCGGCACGTGTCGCTCGCACTCACTACGATCAACGACGAATCGGTGCTGCAGCGGAGACCAGGACAAGCAACTTGGTCTTGATTCGGCGGCAGTACTCACCGTTCACCTCCGCCGTACGCAGCGTCTAACGGTCAGCAAGGCCTAGCCTGTCTGCTTTGGAAAGAAAGCACCACGGACGCACCGAAGGTGGCTTTTCTAGGGCGTCACCGGGGTATGCGTCCTGGTGAACAACCCCATCTTTCGGTGCAGGCCAGGCTTCGAGATGCTGCCAAGCGCTGCCCAGCCGGGAGGCAAGCGCTGCTGGCATCTCGCTCAGGCGGCCGTCACGAGCCTGGAAAAGGCGCGCAGACAGCGCGCCTCGCGGCATCAGGGTTCGTTTGTCGGTCTCAGCGTGTAATGTAGCCGCTGCTGCCCCGGTCTGGGATAGAAACGCCTCCCAGTGAAGCATCGCGAATGGCGAAAGCGGCCCTTTGAATTCGAGCGTGACCGAGTAAGACGGAGTGCAGTCTCGCGGTCCAGTCGAGGAACACGGATGTGATACTTCATCGCCGGCCAGTAACACGTCATCATCGCCGATGAATGTATAGTCGGTCAGTACGAGACTTGCACCCATGAACGGAACGTCACTCGAGGCCAGCAAAAGCGGCACATCCGTATTTGAAAACAACCAAGGCCCAAAATGCAGAAGGAGCTCAAAGAGACCCTGAACGTTTCCGGCGCCACGAACGACAACTGGACAAGAGCGTGACCTGGCAGCGTCAACTGGCTGCGACATCCAGTCCTTCTCAAATGTCGCATCCGCGCGCATAAAGTGCGGTGAAACTGCAGGTCGCACACTGCGCTGATCTCCTAGCACATCATACTGTACTGCAAAGATAGAGTCGAGTAGGTTGCGAACCCGCTCTGTCGTATGGGACATAAAACCAAACGGCAGCGCGAGATTTCGCTGTTTCTCTTCTTTCATCGACTGGGTGTTCGCATTGGCGCCCATCGACGAGGGTGCCTTTTTCTGATCGCCGCCGCAGTTGCCCTGACGTGGAGCCGTCTCCAGTCCCGATATCCAGCCAAAGGTCGCCCAGTAATGATCACCAACCACATGGAAACCCGTGGATCGAGCCAAGGTCTCGGGCGGAGTGCATTGCGCAGCTCTTCGATACACACGGTACAGGGGCAGAAACGCTTGGCGCCAACGCGAGATGCGTTGTTGCCACCACTGCAAGGCAGGAAGCTCGCAATTCGTCGATAAATGCATATTCCAGCCTGCCAAGTCCTCCAACAACAATGGAAGCGTCTGAGGCTGTGGCGACAAGCCTGCCGAGAGTCTGCGATCCGCAGCAGCACCAGCCTGTGAAGCTCGAGCGCCATCACTTTTATTCGGCAGTTGCGTACCACGTTGCGGCCGTCGCACGCCTGGATGCCAGAGTTGCTGGAAGTCAAACTCCTCCTCATGCAACGCACGGTGGGCTAGGCTCAGGCGCCGCACCCAGGACCAGGCGCGCTTCTGTTCTGGGCCAGCCGCCGCAGCGGGAAAGCAGTAACACGACATGGCCCTCACAGCTGGCCCAACAGGGTCGAGGTTGTACCCTCGCGCTTGTCTGCTTTCAGCGATCGATGCGACGGCGTGCAAACGACGCATAGAGCGTACGCACTCGAGCGCACGCTTTCGGTCAACGAACCGCAGGGTCATTCGTATGCAGCGCCGAAGCACCAGATCGCCTGGTATATGGGTACAGGGTGCTGGTCCTCGGTTGGGGAGACCCTCCTCGCGTTCGTCCGGGGGAAACTCGGGTGGCGTTTCCGGTTGCCTACTCGGTGATGCCTCGAGAAGGCTTGCGTCTATCCGCGCAAGCGACTCCTCAAGAACGCTAGAGTGATTCGTGTAAACTAAAGAGCTACGTTCTTCCCATCCTGTGGACGTTCCTTGCCAACAATCTTCGACATCCAAGCTGCTCGCTGGTTTTTGTAGTTCGTTCGCTGACCAGACCGGCTCGTTCGAGTCTCGACCACTGTCTGTGGCGCGTCTAGCTTCCCGTCGGCGCTTGTACTCTAGCGCCGTCAGCGTTTCGATTTCTTCAGCTTCTAAGTCAGCTTTCATAAGCTCATCATCATTACGAAGAGGTGAAGCCCTCGAATCCGTCAACGTCCCCGAAGAGGCGCTCCTGGAAGGACACTGTCGTTTTTGGTATCTCGCCTGGAATGAGTGCCGGCGCTGGCCAGTATGCATCGGGCGTGTAGCGCGGCGGGAAATGCACGATGACTCGAGGGCAACGGAGCTTTCTCGGGTTGTCTCAGTATTGGAGTTGGTTGCTCAAGACAGGTTCAGAGACGAGAGGATGTATTTTGGACGGGGGCCGCGTTCCCCTCGAGAGGCTGGAAATCCAAGACGAAGCGCAACCCTCGGCAGCGAGTGTGCGCGCTCGCAAGCTCTCGCGGCAAGCGGTCGTCCGCAATGCACTACGGATGTCCTCGATCCTCGCTTTGTACCTTCAAGTCGTTGCCAGTAGCACGAACGCAACTGCTGCGCTCTCCTTGCCACGAGGCTGGATATCGTGGAACATTGTCGGCGACAGAAAGTCCAATCCAGTGCATCCTTTGATAGAGTGACATCGGACTCGGTAGTCTGCGAGGTGTATTCGTTTTCGATGCCATGCACCCGCTGCAACTCGACATCGATGCCCACAGTATTTCGCGATGCCCCCTGGTCTACCGCGCTGGCTCAGGTGCTGATCGTCACTGGCGCTCATCGATTGCGATTGCTCAAATCATCGGTCTAGGTATGCGCATCCATTGCATGCGACACAGGTTCTTCTAAACTCATTGAACAGCAGCTTGTCGCCACGGCAGCGGCACGTGGCAGAGCGCAATCGAGCAGATGCATCGGAATATGGCGCGAACGGTTTGGACGAGGCGCTGCACCCTGCAGATGCAGTTACACCCAGAGCGGAGAATTCAGGATCTCCGGTACCTGCACACCATTTTTGGGTTTGTCTATCCAGGTAGCAGGTATTCAACAGAGGGAGTGTATCGTGGATGTTGGAAAAAAGTCGCCGAAAGACTTTGTGAAATCACGGCTGGCGTGGAAGAAACTTGCATGTGTATGTCAGTGACTCTATGGACGGACAGCAGACGGATGAACCGCCCTTCCTGTCGTCCTTGTCCAGAATGTCGCGAGCCGAAACGGCACCGCTCAAACTAAACCTAAAAGACTGTCTCGTTAACAATACGTTTCACTCTGTTTGGTTTTTGCGAGATACCACCAAAGAAACCCGCGGGTTCGAAATATTCCTACTTTTGGTACGAACGGTGAAGTAGAGACACGAATGGACTGAGAAAAAAGCACGCTTCTCTGGGAGACAGTCACGCGTTGAACAACACGGTATTGATTTCGAACGCGAACGTTCATACCAGGAGGGCACGAGTTCTACGCTCCCGCGATGAGACTCCTTTCGGGAAGAATCGTTGACCTGTGTATGCGTACGCATACAGGCGCCATCCGATATTCGTATCGGGGAGACAGACGAGCGGAACGACATTACTCGCCCGGGCGTCGATTCAGGTATGCAGTCGCCTACGAAGAGCTAAACGGACGGATTCGTTCAACAAATAGCCTTTCGTCGAAGCGCTCGTCACGACTTCTCCTTCATATAAATATAGATGCTTCTGTCCTGGTCGGAGACACGGTCGCTCTCCATGACTCCAAAACGGCCAGTGTGCATACGTCTGAGAATGGCGCTGAGCAGCACTTGGTGCGAGCCTATTCTCATTCGTTTCATCGAGCCGAAGGTGGGTACTCTGTTTTCAAAACACCGTTTCTAGGCGCGCCATTTCACAGACGAGTCGTTCGCATCCATGCCACTGAGGCTCTTCGAAAACTCTTTCTCTGCATTCATGAAGCCCGACCTGCCGTAGTGCTTCTCCGCGACTGCATGGGAGCAGCCGCCCAGCAGCGCATTGACCCGTGGCCGTGCTCGCGACAGCTGGGGTACTAAAAATGGGCACGAGCACCAGTGGACACATACATACGTAGCAAAAAGCGAGCTTCAATTCAATTGTCCATCGAGTTCGTTTCAGTTCCAGGGCAAACAAGCGGATACAGTGTATGGCACGCGCATCTCTGCTACCCCGCCAAGTAAAGCAGAACGAGGAGACTCCACTGAACAAAATAGAAGGATCTTTTCGAAAAGAGGACGAGGCTGGACGCGAAGGAAGCACTGCCGAGGCCAAAACATCAGTCCGAAACCGTTGCCAACGCCTCCATATCCAAGCACATCAACGAGAAGCATCTTCCAAAGCGTAGGTAACAGACCGCTATCAGGGATCGCGTCGCTTCGTACTCCATGCAGGCTCGTCTAGCTTCTCTCGCCCTGAAGTGCGTCGTCAAGCAACTGCTAGCATGCCTCTCGGAGACTGGGCAGCAACCTGTACCCATTGCGCTGGCGCTTTCGATCCGACCTCCGTAGTGCAACTGATGTGCGGAACAGAAGATGCTGAACGATCTGATATCTCAGGGGCTCGTTTTCATCGCGAGTCGGACATGGTGGACGCCACGAAGTATACCAACAAGTTGAATGATGATGGCGTCAGGACTCATCTCCAAGCCCTGACCACCGTTTCGAGCAGGGTGGAATGCGCTGGCCATTTGCTCCCGAGCGCACACGAGCGTCCAAAACATACCGTGCTGCGGAAGCGTCCATCGACTTTGTGTGGAGCGAACTTTCGAGGTTACTTTCTGGTAATAATTCTGGCTATCGTGCTGAAATACTGCGAGCTCTTTAATGAAAGAAACCGGTAACCTGCAGGAAGGGGCATTGGATTCCCACCCAGAGCCAGGCAATGGCGTGCCGTATACGTACACCGGAAAGCATTTTCCGGTGCGGTCGGTAAGCCATAAACCTGATCCATGACTCGACATTCCCGGAGTATACGACTTTGCAGTCCGGATGCAGACGACCGTCAACTCGATCTCCTGCGAGCGGCTGGGGGCGTCCGCCGATATCTCCAGGGTGCGCTCCGTCCGACACGCCGAGATATGCCCCAGGTTCAGGGCAGCCTGTGCGGGAACTCGCTCAGGACGTGTATGCTGTACGCTTCTCGTAACGCTGGTTACGACGCAGTTGCCTGAGCAACAGGTATTGACGTAGTTGACCCTAGGTGTCTTGTCTGGTGCACTCGAGCAGGTCTCTGTCGACCTGGGGCAAGCTTGTGCTCGTTGTTCGTCGAGCGCCTTCGGGGCCCTAACGAGCTCTTGACGGGCGACGCTCGGTGTGCTTCATCTGCCTTTCTGGACGCACGCACTGGAGCAGCGGTCCAGAGGAGTGGATACTAGACGGCGTTTCAAAGCAGAGTTCTTCCATGCTGTCACAGCCCGTTTTTTTGTGAGGTATTCCTCATGTTGGGCCTGTTCAGGAGCACATCGCTGGGTACGGGCCCTTCGCGGCCTCGCAGGAATCCGTGCACGCTATCTCCTCTCTGGCAGCGGCGTTGCAGCTCGGAAGCTGAGGCGCTACGCTACGACCTGCTCGTTGTAGGCGCCGGTCCAGCAGGCCTGTCGGCAGCAATCCGGGCGAAGCAGTGCCTCCCAGAGGCACGCGTGGCTATTCTCGAAAAAGGCTCCGAAGTCGGCGCGCATATCCTTTCTGGCAACTGCTTCGAGCCGCGAGCACTCGATGAGCTGCTGCCAAACTGGCGACAAGACCCAAAATTTCCAGCTCATGAGCCAGTCACTCACGACCAGTTTGCACTGTTCCTGAGCCACCGACGTCAGCTACCGCTCCCTGTGCCCCATTTGATGCGAAACGATGCGAATTACATCGTCAGCCTCTGCCAGGTCACTCGGTGGCTTGCCAAACAGGCGGAGGCACTCGCAGTGGACATTTATCCCGGATTCGCTGGTGCCCGGTTGCTGGTCGACGAGAATCCAACCCGAGTTTACGGAGTCGCAACCAATGCTTTCGGAATAGGTCGCGATGGTCGCCCAAAACCCAATTATGCACCGCCGGTGTCGATCCACGCAACGTATACGCTGCTCGCGGAGGGTTGTCGAGGATCCCTGACACGTCAGGCGATCGAGCGCTTCCGCTTGGCCGATGCATCGGAACCGCAGTCTTATGGCCTCGGTGTGAAAGAGCTCTGGCGGGTCCCTGCTTCCGTTCATCAGCCGGGCTCTGTTCTCCACACTGTGGGTTGGCCTCTGGACATGCGCACATACGGCGGCTCCTTCATGTATCATTTCCGTGATCGTATCTCAGGTAGCATGGAAAACCTGGTCGCCGTGGGCCTTGTGGTCGGCCTCGATTACGAGAACCCGCTTCTATCACCGTACGGGTTGTTGCAGAAGTGGAAAACGCACGATCAGATACGCAGGGTGCTTGCGCAGGGCGAGCTTCTCGAATACGGTGCACGATGCCTGAACGAGGGAGGTTACCAGAGCATCCCGCAAGTTGCATTCCCTGGTGGGGCGCTGATCGGGTGCAGCGCAGGCTTTTTGAATGTACCAAAACTGAAAGGAACGCATACCGCCATGAAGAGCGGCATGCTTGCTGCCGAGTGCTGTTGCGAGGAGCTCAGAAAACCGGAACCTAGTCCAGAGCCCTCACAGTACGCTGAGACGTTACGCCGCAGCTGGATCATCGAAGAGCTGTACGCGGTACGCAACATACGCCCAGGGTTTCGCTGGGGCCTCCTACCTGGCCTGCTCCACGCTGCAGTGGACACCTATCTGTGGCGAGGTCGTGCGCCCTACACCTGGAAACTCGGCAGGGCTGATCACACCGCAACCAGACTGGCTGATCGGTACCGTCGACCGAGCTACCCAGCACCAGACCAGCGGCTGGTGTTTGATATTCTCACAAATCTGGCTCGCAGTGGTACGAATCATGAACATGATCAGCCTTGCCATTTGAAGTTGAAAGATCCTACCATCCCAGAGCGGGTGAATTTGCCCCTCTACGGTGGACCAGAACAATTCTACTGCCCAGCCAAGGTCTACGAGTACACCCCAGCGCCACCGGACCCAGCTTCAAAGACGACGACGACGACGACGACAATCCGGTTGCAAATCAATGCGCAGAACTGCCTCCATTGCAAGGCCTGCGACATCAAGGACCCGACCCAGAATATCGTGTGGACGCCCCCCGAGGGCGGTGGTGGCCCCAGGTACTCGCGCATGTGACCCTAAAGACGCAGCGAGTTGGACTTGACGAGCGCATGCCGCTGATAGACGACGCATTGTGTGCATCTATCTTTGTGTGCATTTATATGCGTTTATGTGCATTCGCAGTCTCCTGGTGAGAACGCAGCACACGCCCACGGAACGACGTTGAGTAGCGATGCTGCCGCAGATCACCCCTAGGGAGAACCTGCTCCGAATGAACTGGGTTGCGCCTGGAATCACGTCTCGATTCAAGTGGCGTTTCACGACTCTCGCTTCTTTGACGGCGACTGAGCACCCTGTGAAATGTACAGCGTGTGTGTTCAGCTGGACATGGAGTCATATTTCGTAGCCCGTCTCGAGGTCACCAGTTCTATCAGAACGACATGGATGTGCATTGGCAGGTCTCGTTCCACGTTGCGAATCCCTTTGCCCTGCAATTCTTGGATCGGGTCTATATGGTGTGCACGCGATACCGCGGCACCGAATCGAAACACTGAGCATGGACTCTGGCGGAGATCCAAAGCGCTCCAGAGAGGTCGATTCTCTGGAAGCAGCCATCCCAGGGATTCTCGCAGGCTCAAGCGCGATCGAGTCCCTCGCTGTCGGTATCAGCCAAGTTTTCCGGTTACTGGAAAGCGCATTTCGCATCCCGGGGGTACCAGAATCCGAAATCACGCCCATATCGATACGTCGAGGCCACAACGTCCGCTTCAATAGACGCTATGGTGTACCGAGAACGCAAACGTGCCAAAATCGGGTGCATCCTACGGGGTCTTGGACCGCTCGCTTTATGAGCGAGCAAGGAAGGAAGGAAGCTGTTTTGCATCCATGGTGCTTACAGCGCACGGCTGAGCGCGTAGCGTTCCCGAAACGACCCCGGTGTGTGCATCAGGTCTCCGGCTACGTAAAACGTAGTACCCTTGGGTATGCTTTGGAAATCCCGCCTACTGCCGATACGTGCTGTGGTGTCACCCTGAAACGCCGCGGTCATGCGCGTCTCCTCGGCAGTGATGCCGCCTATGACGTAGACGATCACCACCGAAAATGGAGAGCCGTCCGCAGACGCACTTGGCAGCAGCTCCTCGAAAGTGTCCGTGGGCAAGCGCCCACGTGCAGCGTCCTCCATGACTTGTGCGAGAAGTGGTTCATGCTGGATATACTGGTTATCCACGCTGGCGCTAAATCCACGTCTCAGCGTATTTTTGGCGCGCGCGAATAGGTCACGGTTACCGAACAAGTCCAGAGAACGGTGTTTGGAGCCACAGGTCTGCAAGAGCATGTCCAACGCGGCTAGCTCCGAACTAGGCATCTGCAACTGCTCGTGCAGTAGTCGTTTGACCTGCTGCAACAGTTCCGGTCGCGTACTCTCGTACCGGAGCGCAAGCAGAGCAGCCAGTCTCCAGGCGTCTGCGAGTCGCGCCGAGCGCATCCCCAAAGTGGATGCCTTCCCGTCTGCGACGAGCCGCACCCAGTCCCGAAAGCGTCGCAGATGCTCCTGTTCAGCATCCCGAGAAACCACATCCTGCTCAATTTGCGACATCTGCAAAAGCGCTCGCTCCTTCACTTGCTGGCTCAGCGCGCTAATCAGTGCGACGTGTTTGCTTGCCAACTGCGATTGCCGACGAAACTCAGGGAAGAATTCGAGGATCTGCGTCATGCGCTCCGTATCGGTTGCGTCGTAGTCCCCATTCGTGGCAATGTCGATGCCCGGTGCTACAGCAGTGGGATCCGCGAGCGCTGCATCCTGTCGGGCAGCGTCGGTGACATGCGCAAGAGCGGCATGGCGACGTTCTTGAAAGGAGGCCACAAGCCGATGAACGGCCTCCCCGATGTCCCCGAACGTCGCATACCGATTCGCTGCGTAGAAGTCATCGCTCTCGGGAAGTACGATGTACTCTTGTTCCTGCGGTGCTGCTGCGTGTGGCGGATCTTTTCCCTCTAAAGTGGTAGGTATTCGAACCCGACCCGCTCGGATGCCGAAGAATTGATGCAGCATGGCTTCGTACGTCCACTGCGTCAGCAGAGGAGTGACCGGATCCTCTCTCCGATCCAAGATCACGACTAGGCAGCGTTTAGAGCCTGCTCCATGAGCGCTCAACGGTGAAGTCCCTGGTGAGGGGTCAGTCGCTGGTACTTCCCAAAGTCGCGACTCCTGGTCAATACGCACTGCGAGCCGTTCTGCAAGCGCACGGCAGCTTCGGAAGGAGCGCAGGACCCGAAGAGAAGCCGGTTTCTGTTTCAAAGAGACCAGGATGCTGAATAAGGTATCCAGTTGGCGATCCAAGGTGAGCTGGTGCGGGGCAAGGCCGGCAACAGGAAGCCGCGGCTCGTTCTGAACAGGCGCGTCGCAGAGGCCGCCTCCGGTGGCAACCCACGGGCTCCAGGGAAGAAAGTCAAAGTAGATTTCCTCGACATGGACCACGCTTTCCAGAGATGCGTCCGCGTCTGCGAGATCCTCCAGCAAAGTGCGGCGAATGAGGTTCACGAGGAAGATGTGGTACGCACCAAAGTGCGGTTGCGCCAGTTCCCGCCGCAGCGCCAGCAACGTTTCCGTGGAAGGACGACCAACCACGATGCCTGTGACGTATACTTGTCGGTCGCGAGCTGGCTCCTGAACAAGGTTCTCTAGCTTCTCCACGAGCACAAAGTCTTCTCTGAGCGCCTCTGTTTGCGTCAAAAGCGTCGCGAAGGTTGGCAACGTGTCGGCGTCCAGAACGAGCGCTTTCAGGCCTTTGGGCGCCGTGATTCGAGACCTGTAGAAGCGACTTGCACTTTCGAAGTTCATCAAGAAACGTCCAGCTCAGGATACCAGACTCAGCGCTGGAACGAGCGTGCCATGCGTTGGTAACGACAGCATCTGCAGCGGTTACGCTGACGCGCCCACCACGGCTGGTCATTCACTAGTTCGTTCGCTTCGACGCAAAGCGCTGATACGGTGATGACCGCAAATGACATGGGACACGTCCATATGGCTATATCGAGCGTATCCGCTAACGTTCGGGTCAGTTTCCTCGTATGATGAGCACCAGACGTTGAGAGGTTTCTCTCTGGCTGCTCCATTGTCTTTTGCCTCCTGTATCCGGCTTTCAATCCGACTGTCTCTCCTGCGCCTCCATTTTCGGTGTCATCCGTCAAAGGTTGTCGATGGTGGTGTTCAAGTCCTGATTCCGCAGCTTTAGGCTCCTGTCAAGGCATTTGATGCACAGGCGCAAGTTGCGATCGTTGCTTCACTTCCCGTGCTCATCTTGTTTATACGCAGCGTCGGTGCGCTTTTCGCACCGCTTTCATGATTATTCTCAGGCGCCCTGCATGTATCCAGAACTTTAACTCATCAGGGATGCTGCGCTGTGGAGCGTGAACACAAGCCGCTTCGCTCAGTGCATGCCCTTGACGGGAGCGGATGATACCGTGGAATTCCTTTGCTCGGTTTCAGCGCCTGGAGCCTTCGACTTCCAAAACGCACCTGTTCTGAACGCTTTCCTGAACGAGTACTGAATCCGCTGGACAAGCAAGTCCAAGATGTTCCATTCGATCGTGGATTTCCGGAGCGCAATGCTTCCCAGGATGACTCAGGAGCCAGAGAGACCGTTGAGGCTGCAATACATGTCGAGAAACGCCGACCCGTCTAGGCTCCCTTCATGCACAGCGGTGACGCATGCCGCAGTCGAAGCTATCGCTGTGATAACGCAAGCCCGATTCCAAGACCCTTTCTCCCGTGCAATCAGAAGAGACGGGTCCCTTTGGTACCATATCGAATGAGAGGTACCATGCCGATTTGGAATTCGGTTTCACCAGTTGCCATACGGGAGACGTGGATTCATCTGTGGAACGGGGCATCGATTATTTGACGTGACAAGCACAGTGAACACCCGGCATGCGCTTGTGAACAAGTCATCACGGGCGGCGTGGCGTATGTTTCCTCGTGCATCCACTGGAGAGCATTGCTGCGCCCATGAGCTTCCTTGAAACAGAGAGATCCAAATCTTGAAGCAAGCGAGATTTCAGTACGCGACACATAACGAATGGAGAAGCGTGGAGATTTGTCCATATGCGTTGGATTCTGATAACGCATATTTTACGAAAGCTTGTTCGTAGGCGAGATGGATCATCCAGATTGCTGTATTCTAACGAATTCCGGGGTAAGGGAATCCAGGGATGCACTCCAGGAAAACAACATATGAATCCGTTAGCTTTTGTTGCTGGATTCCGAATGTTGACGTTGTACATGTGAACAAATGTCGAACAGTCGCAAGTCAAGAGCAGAGCGAGCACTGAAGCGTCCCGTTTTTATCGGACACGACCACAACGTCTGCGTGATACTCGATCACCACTAGATCACTGGATCTGTTGCATTCTTATTCAAGGGGAAAATTTCGGAACGGGGGCCTTCGAATATGGAAGCGTTCACATAGCGGGCCTCGTTGGTAATACACTGACGAGTGACAACATTGGGCCACCCAGCGGAACCCGGTTGTACGCATCCAATCGACACTGCAGGAAGGCTACAGCCGTTGTGTGTACATGTCGACACTCAACGGAGACGACAACCGTTACTGATAACGCATCCAAGCCCAGCTTGTGTGCATGAGATAAAGCCAAAATGCTGCGTATTTTGTAATCAGCGGAGAAGGTGCGGCAGCGCGCTTATCCTTGGGAAAGTTTCCCAAAGAGATCGTGCACAGCAACGAACTGCTATGCTTTGAAGCTGGTTTTTCCGCGTACGAACACTGCGGTAGGTCACTGAAGCGACGTCCACAGCCAATATGAGAAGACGAACCAGAGCCGCGAACCCTAGGATACTCTTCGCAGCTGCGCTGGCTGCGAGCGCTCGTCGAAAGTGCTTGCTGCCCAGAACGCAGTGCCGCTCTTGCACCCATACGGCTCTGAGACTGTGACGCACCTGGCGTCTATGGAGAGTAGCACACGTTAGCGGTTGACGAATGTAGTGCGGACAGCAGTCTACCTTGGTTTGCGGCTGTCTGAGCCCAGGTCGCTGAAGCGGATGCGCACGCCTCGTACGCGCTACAGGACCCCAACTGCCAGACGTTTCTCCGTGCGGAAAAACATAAGCTTGTGTGCAGCAGCAGCAGCAGCAGCAGCTAGGTATTGCATTCGTCGGTTTAAGTAGCCTGTACACGTCTATGCAGTGCGCTGAACCGAGGCCGCGATGAGAACGACTGCTTCTACAAGCGCACCGCTTGATTCCGAGAGCGCTGTGCTCTCTGAAGCATCCTTTTTGTGTTGGAAAACAAGCCACCAAGTCACACCATGGGCCAGCGTTCCTCGAATCGTTTCTGATTCCGCACATATCTCCGAGACCAGGATTGAGCGGAAGCCACGGTTTCGATGTCCAGTCCCGGTCCTTGCGGAATGTTGTTGCACCCTGCGCGTATCGTCGAGTGGCACATTCGTATACGCACGAGCCACATCACTGCGTATTCCATTGCTGGACTTGCGCTGGCTGAGACGCTCTCCAGATACCCGTTCCGATCTTGTATGTGAGATACAGTAAAGCGAAGATTCCGAAAAGTATCCAGGATCCCAGCAGCGTACCCAAAAAGTAGTGTTGCCGCAAAAAACGCCGCCATCCCACAAGTACCCACTCAAAGTGCATCGTCGCGGAGCCGTCCTCCATTTCCATGAACGGAAACTGTGCTCGATCATACGCGGAGGCGCTTTCCATCGCCGCAAACTGGTAGAGCTCCAGCCGCACGAGCATTTGCACTGGCGGATGCGAGCGAACAAAGCGATCGTTGATCCACTCACCGATACCCAGCGGTATCAGAGAAATGAGGCCGCCTAGCAGCTGGTCACGGAATAGTCGACGGATCACATTATCGCTGAGGACGCCTATCCAGTGAGCTACCGTTCGCAACATCACCACGGCAAAATGAAAAGCCGCCCTTCGGGAAGCATTCCACGTTCGAAACACAGGCGTGCTCCGTGCCTCTTGGACGATTTGCAAAGTAGCACAACGGAGCAGCTCAATGCTACGCAGCTGAGCGTCTCGGCTCGCGAGACCGACCGGCTTTTGGGTCCAGCGCCAAACGCTCAGAGCGCTCAGAAAGGAATGCGGCAACGTGAGAAGGCTTTGCATGGCCCGCTCAGTGCTCGAACGATAGGCCAAAACGCGGACGCTGCGCCGCTGCTCACAGAGCGGTAACGCAGGTACCCTAGCCCGCCGGTATACTCGCGGATGCGGTTCCTGCCACATCGTCAGAACCACCGTCACAGTCCCAGCCTGCTGATTTCGGACCGACTCTGGCAGTACCCAGTGCAGGACAGCGTTAAGTGTACCGCTCGCTTCACAGCGACCTTGCCCGTCACTCGACGGCATGCAGCGGTCTGGGTTACGAGAGCGACCGCTTTCCAGCGGTACGAGTGTTCGCCGCCTAGTCCATAGCCTGCGAACGAGCAGAGAAGGCAGCGCCGCTTCCGCTTCGGCAATAACAATCCCCAGCGTGTCGTTTTCGGGCATTCTCGGGGTGAAAACGAAGGCAAGAGGTGCAGAGAAGCGCGTCCGAAATGGAACGCCCCAGTATAGAACGTTCAACTGCACGAGCACTGCACAGAAGAAGAGTACGACAAGCACGAGTCCAGTTTGCCATAGCTGTTGGAAAAAATTGAGCTGCTGTACTCGCTTCGCTGGTTCAGCGTTCCTACTTCCTGGTGCTGCGCGGGTGTGCTGCTGCCGCCAGGGCAACCGTCGCAGCGCCGGCGTGGTGCCGCCAACATCCATTCCACCAGCAAAACAGGTTGAGAGCAAGAGCTACCTTGAGAATATATTTTCACACTTTCATGACTTGTCACCGACGACAAAGAAGTGTGCACACTCGAGCGCAGCTTCGCCAACAGAAACCCCTACTTGGGCGCTTTCGAAAGGCGGCATGGTAATCGGGACGCACTTGTGTGTCCGATGGCGCGCGCCTCGGCACACACAGACGACGACTGCGTCTTCGACTGAGGCAAGTTGCTGCCTGCCCCAGATGGGCCCTGCCAAGCCCCCGGGATATCTGGGTGGAAGGCATTGATCGTCGGCGACGTGCTTAGGAATCGGGTGGGATTTCATCTGCTCATTCGAAAGATCCGAAGTTACGCTGCTTGTGTGGATGTATGGGAACTCGTTCAGATTCTTCGAGTTTACAGTGGAGAAACAAGGACGTCAAGAGGTTCTTTACCTCTCAAACGCAAAGCCTGGTCATACCGAACCCTAAAGCGGCCGTCGGACGCACTTCTGATACCTGGAACAAGGCACGTGGCGTACGCAGCAGCCTCTGTGCACCAACAGCACGTACTCAGGCAGTCTGCACTGGTGTCCAGCGGGGCGCTTACGCCGGGCACTCGGCACCCGGGGAATCGGGTGATCTGCCGGGTATTGCCGACGAAACGTATGCGCAGTGGTCGTTTACGGAGTTCTCAGATCCGATGTGGAATCCATGACGATTCCTGAGATGCCGAAGAGTGTTGCGAGCAGTGAATCATCCGCTGTTCAATGTCAATCTCGTGTCGATCAGGAATACTATCGACGCTGCGCTGAGGAAGCGCTGCTCCCGATATCGGGCAAACGGCACGCGGAAAGCGCCCCAGCAGCGCCGTGACGCCGCCGATCCACTGCAGCGTCTCCGGCAGCGCGCAGGCGGCGAGAATCAGGCTGCTTGCCTACAGAACTTACGGAGGCATTGAGCTCAAAAATGTCCAGAATGTCGAGGGAGCCGCTGTGTTTCGTGGTAACGGGTGCTCAGCCTCGGCAGCGTGCAGCTCCAAGTGTACGATGTCCGACACCGAGACCTCTCGCTGGCACGGACCGGTGTCCAGTCGTCGTCGGGGTATGCCGCCGGCGTTCCGGCGTGCGCAAAGCACCGCTGGTGCCGCTCTCGGAACGCCTCGTGCTTAGCACTGTTGAGGACGGGGTCGTTTATCAGCAACTCCGTGAGAAACTGCACGGTGCCAGCGTGTACCTCGTGGGCATGATGGGCTCTGGCAAGTCCACTCTGGGAGCTTACCTCGCTAAAGCACTTGAGTACGCTTTTATTGACACGGATGTCATTATTGAGAGGACGCTGCAGAAAAGCATACCGGAGATCTTTGCTCAGGATGGTGAAGAAACTTTTCGGGACGTTGAGAGCCTCGTACTCGAGTCGCTGCAAAGCCACGTCCGAACAGTGGTTGCGACTGGCGGTGGCGTTGTACTACGGCAGCGCAACTGGGGAACCTTGCATACGGGACTCGTTGTGTACCTCAACGGAACGCCCGATATGCTCGCTAAACGGGTGCAGGGCGGTGCGGGTCGCCCGCTGCTCTCCAATACAATGCACGCACCAGCGGACTCGACTATTCCTGAACCTGCGGCAATTGAAGCACTCAGCGCGCGTCTCGCGGAGATTCTTTCGGAGCGCGAGCATTTCTACAGACAAGCCGATGTGACTGTGGAGCTTTTCCCCGACTGTTCCGTGGCAGAAACGTCCCGCGCTGTCGCAGCAAAGCTCATTCGATTCATCGAAGAGAACCCGTCCGCATCGTCGAAGCATCGCCGTCAGCACAGTTCAGCATCATGATTTGTGTATGTATCTGGCTGGGAACAAAGAGCGTCCCATGCCAAAAAAGAACACGAGTGAATGGATTTGCGGTCGTTCGGACCAGTGCAGTGGTGCGGTCGGTGTTCCGGATCATCCTGGAGCAAGAGCGCTGCAGGAATCTGAATGGCATGAAGCGCTCTTGCTTGCGCTGTGCGGTACCCAATGAAACCCATGCCAATGCCCCCTCCAAGGCTTGCTCGTATCGCTCACCTTAGAATGTGCTTCCTGCGACCGTATGCGCGCCGTTGACAACACTCACACAGATAGGGTGTCGCTTCCGACCCAGCAAGCCTCGCATCTGCGGCTGCATAATTATAGGAGCGCGTGTCACATATTTCAAAGAGTCTAGCCTTCAATAGACGGCCGCGTTAGGGTGCGTTGCATCACCGGCAAGCGCTGCTGGACTAGATTCTACTAAACAATGATGTCTACTCTTGGACTTTTAAGCCCGCGGGAGAGTCGCTCTCATTCCAAGGATGCTCGCGTGCCGCTCTTCGGCGTAACGAAAGATATAAGGGTCATCTGGGCGATTTCCTGTAGGTGATCGCTGGTATCAAACTGCGCAGGACTGCTGTTCACTACTTTGATGATGACGCTGGCATCGCGGGTGTTCAGCGTCGAAGCGCCGAGCGCACTCCCGTACAATCCTGGGATACAACGCCTACTTAAGCGATTCGCTCGAAAGGCTTGCCGAGGACGTGCTCAAACAGCACGCCCATAAAGGCTATCGGCTCTGGTCGAGCGTTGCGCTGCAGCACTGCTGTTGTATGACGATGTAGACCATGAAACCGAGCTACAGCGCGGGGCCGTTTCCACCAGAGGAGCGCGTCCATTCGAGGGGCCTTCATCGACATGCCTCGCGATTGGTCATCGTATACCATCAAGCGATTATCAGTAGCCCATGATATCCCTCTAGATCGAGCGTGGAACGAACGGTATGGATACGGAGCAGCTGACCAGCGTTCAAAGTCGGATGCGTTCGGGAAACTGGTGCTCAAGGAAGAGACGACCTGCTCGTATCTCATGAGTTCCCGGCAGCATCCAGTACCGTAAAAGTGTACGACTCGGGATCGATTCACCACCGAGCCTGAGTTCATCGAAGAAAACACTCCGGCCGATGCAGTCTTCACTGCGTTCCGGCAGTTTTCGCCGCTGGGATGCCGTGCACTCGCCCGGTAAGCATAACGGTACCGCAAAACCTCGCTCGTTTCTCGACAATGAAAGCTATTTGCGTTCATGAGGAAGCAGGGCGTCCAGGATGAACACGGGAACCCAGTGCCCCCGACACGCTCCTGCGATGAACGTGTGCGCCCAGCCGGTGTATCTCTTTACGGAAACGACGTTTGTGTTTGTTTGGCGGACGAACTGGAGTCAAGTCCATGCTGCGTTGCTCAACGAGCGCTGCGACGTGCACACAGCTTCGATAAAGCACTTTAGCGAGTGGTTGTGTGCGCTGTGCTCGGCTGTCTCGAGGAGTTTTGTTGTCGAGACGCGAGGCAGTTTCCGAGGAACGTTCCCAGAACACCGTAAAACGAGATCGGCCGGGTTTGGGCTCAGGCAAGTGCAGGTGTTTGTGGAACTTGTCGATTCTCTGGTACGCTACACATCAAAAAAGGTGTCGTTTGCTAGATTTCGAGACACACCGGTGCAGGTGCCTGTGGAACGTCACCGGTTTCCCGGTGTAGAGCGTGCTGGCAACACGAGACGTGCATGGAGGTACAGAGCTGTTCCCTATCACCGAGTCGACTACCCCGCGTCGCTGTTGTCGGCTCAGGCGCTATCGGACTCACGCTGTTTGGAAAACTTGTCTCTCTGTACCGAGCTAGTTCCCAGAGCTTCTTCTCAAGCTTGACGCTCGTTTGTCGTACCGAGGAGAACGCCCGGTGGATCACCAGCCGGGGCGGTATCGCCCTGTATCACGCTTCCAAAACCGAGACACCAGCCACATGCGCCTCCGGAGACCTCGAATGGTGTGCGCTGCAACCTCCTGCAGTGAACGTCGTGGATCAACAACGCTTCGCAGAGACTCCAGTGGACCTCGCGCTGGTCTGCGTAAAGAGTCATCAGGTCGAATCTGTCGCTCCGCTTCTGCGACGCATGTTCGAGCGTCATCGCGAGGCTGGTGTTGTGGTTCCCCTCTGCAACGGCATCGGGCATGTGGCTCGTTTGGCGACTGCGCTGCCTGCGGATGTCGCTGTGTTACCAGCAGTAACCTACTTGGCAGCGGAGCGGATCGAACGGCATACCGTTAAGATTCACGGAGCGGGCGCAACCTACGTGCTCGTGAGGGGTAGCTCGCATGCGTCAATGGAGACGCGTCCGAAGCAGGCAATAAACGCCTTCTCTCGCGAAGCATGCAATGCCGCGAACACGGCAGACCAGACGGAGAGACTGAGAACGCTCCCAGCAAGCGAAGGTGTCGGTGCAACGCGGCTGCCGGCACCAGCGCCCAACGCTTCCAGTTCGCCAGCGTTACCAGTCGTTACCGGACAAGCAGCGCTTGCGTACCCTGTTGGTACCATGCTGCAGCCGGAGACGCTCCGAGCGACCCGGCGGTTCCAGGATGATATGCACTCTGAACCATGGGGCCCTGCACTGCATCTGAGCGCCGCACAGTGCCGCTTACTGGATGAGGATCGCGGCCTCTGTGCCTGGCTGAATGCCGCTCGACTGGGTCCAGCGCTTGTAACCAATGACGAGCGACCTTTCGTGGAGAAATTGGCGGTGAATTGCGGTGTCAACGCGGTCGCTACCTTGCTTGGCGTGCGAAACGGTGAGCTGCTGCATCTTCCAGACGCCTGGCAGGTTACCGAGTCCGCTGCAATGGAGGTGGCGACCCTGTTTGGCCTGCCGCACGCAAGCATCGGGCCACGGCTTCGACAGATTGTCGAAGCGACCTCCGGCAACGTGAACTCGATGCTAAGCGATGTGCTTGCGGGTCGCGTTACGGAAGTTGATGCGCTGAACGGCGCTGTGGCTCGACTGTCTATCTCGAGAACGAATCGACCTTCGGTGGTGAACGCGACGCTAGCAGCGCTCGTGCGCGCTCTGTCTCAGCGTCAGCATCAAGCAGAGTGCTGCATTGCCACGCCACAGCAAACCCATCCTCCCGACACGATTCACAGGTAGCCCAGCAGCAGCGCATATGTACGATAGGAGCGACTTGCGGAGATCCCGTGTGAAACCCCGTATCCAACATCGATACTGGTGCCGGATGCATGCAGGAATATCGCGCTGGTGGACGCAACCGCAAATATTGCTTTGTGTGATGTGATGAAAGCGCTCTGTGGGCATTGTGAAGGACGCAGTGCCTCGACTGGATCGGATCCCGAGGAAGCGTACACTGTTTTCTTTTGGCGGGGCCAATGCCTGACTTGGGTCTGTGGCTCGAAGCGGCAGGGCATCTCGACAGAGCGCATGAGGTAGCCGCTTTCACGCACTGAGACGCGGGGTCTGCGTCTGGGGCGCGGTGTCGGTTACCCCGTGCCAACGAAGACCCCAGCATCCAGCGATTCGAATCGAGAGGCATCTCAAGCAAAAGACGCATTGACGAGAGCGTCGCAAGCAGCGATGCGCCCCAGGGCGTTGGTGTTCAGGCGAATCGTTGTTTGAATCAGCGTCCACTGGATATGTTGTTTGGGGAGAATCCAGAAAGCAACCTGGTCTAGACAGAATGTGAATTCAAAGGCAACTGCTGCTGCCGCTGCCGCTGCATATTATCCGCGAAATGCGGCTCGTCGATTGCGCGATAGAGCGGTCTCGAACTGAGCGGCTTCAAAGCTGTCGCAATGAAGCGTGTCGCAGATATTCGTGATATTGTCAATGGGATTCGCGGATATTCGGCGACATGTCGAAAAAGGCACCTCGCTTGAACAGAACAAAGCCGGGAGTTGAAGACCAAGCGTGGTTCCGGACGGAAGCCTCCACCCGGCTTGGGTTCGTACCGAGGCAAGCGCAGCAGCCGAGTCTTTCACTCCAGTAGACGCTCGCATACGTTCTCGTCATCATGCAGCGCTATGGATGCATGCAGAAGTGTCGGGCCTCATTTATTGGCGGCAGAGGCTTCTCTTTACACGCAGTCTGTTCGAATACCTTGTTGGAGCGAGCTCTGATTTCTCCCAGTGGACTTGGATGATCTGAGTACGACTCACCATGGGCGATGCCCAGGACGCTCCTTTGTTCTTGCCCGATACTAACGGCCATTTACGAGCACCCTCCCGGGATCCTCAAAAGGGATGAGGGTGTCGCGGTAAGCTCCGTCGGGCCTGTTGACGCCTCCGTCACCACCGAGAAGACCATTTACGAGAGTACTGCGCTCTTCATGGTGTCAGGAAAGCTCAGCGAGTGATCGCAAAGCGAGGCTGACTGCTGCGCTTCATGTGCCTGCAAGCACCGTAGACAGCTGGCCCAGCGCGTTCCCTGCGTATCGAGTCTCTCTGGCAGTCTAGTCAGACGGTGATGCTCGGCATCCGAACACCAAAGTTCCGGTAGACATGGATGCGTGCTTCTGATGCTGTGCATGCTACAGCGAGTGCCGTTTGTGCTTGTCCACTGCATCCCGAAACAGATGCGGGAGAATATTGCACCTACCCCACGGAAAAAAAAAGCGAAGCACGTGTCCAGTCCGAGTTCTCTTACCTGCCAGGGAGCAACGCTATGCAAGCGCTTGTTGCAGCGCAGTTCGAGTTTCTTCGCTTCGTATCGCCCGGAAGCGAACATGCGGCAGCGGTCTCATCGGTAAAGCGTCTGAAAGTAAACCTGCCTGTGCACTCAATGTGGTTCGATATCGTGTGCAAATGAGGCTGGTCAAGTCGACACTCGGTGTTACGTGACCACGTAACATGCATATGGCCTGCCAGCAGCCACGCAAACCATTTCGTTGCGAGCAAGCAACACTGAGGCCTCTACAAGCGTTCATAGCTCTGTAAGGCAGCGCGCGAGCCCTGTGTGTCGGCACGTTGGTAGCGATCCCGCGTCTTGCGTTCCGGCCAGCGCTCTCCACGCGGTGGCTGATTCGTCGCTCCTGCAACTCGACAAAGCGCGAGCGCAGCACGAACGAACAAGTACCTTAAGCGCTGCCGACTGCGAAATACCTCAAAAGCAGTTGCTGCTGTGGTCGTTGTACTCGTGCGAAGAACCCAGAACAAGCACGTCGACGTTGGACGTCTCTGTCACTGACTCGTAGCTAGAGACTATCGCGACAGGTCGAAATCGCACACATCTTTTGGCGAACGACTTGTTCGGTGGCCGTGAATCGTAAATTCTTTCGTATAGCTGCCCGCTTTACACCAGATCCACAGACTAGCTGACGTACACGCTGGTGCTGTGTCTGCGCTACCGCGGACAGCGGCGTGTTCACGCGTGCTGGCAACCCGCTCAAGACGCCGTTGGTGTACAGCAGGTCAAGATCCAACGCTCCCGTCGCGTTCAAGTCTTAGAGTGTCTTCAGCCGTCAACCAGCAAACAAAACTCTCTAAGACCAGTTTCGCAGCTTGTCGAGGCTGCTTCGAATTCGCACGGAGGCTGCGGTACCACGAGCGCTCATCGACATTCAGGCGCCCGTACCCAGCGGGCGGCGTAGGCAGCGCGGATGTCGTCGACGATGGTACTCACTTGTACAGAAATGTTCCGTCTATCAATATCCATCGCAGTGGGGCAGGCGCTACACCATGCGCTCCACGTGTCCGGCTGCAGCGGGTGAACGCCAATAGCTTGCGCTTGGGCATGTGCCCAGCGGTGGCTACGGATAGCGCTGAACGATCCAGGTCAGGCACCGCATCCACCAGACGAGGCTGGCACGAGCTCGGGACCCGGGTACTGGACACCACACGGCTCGGGACGAGCGCGCAGAGAGCGCTCTGGCGGCCTGGAGCGGGTGCGGCAAGCGAGACGCATGAAAACGTCATGCTTGGGCGCGCATATTCGCCAGCAGAAGGCACGCTCGGCATCCGATGGAATGTCTGAACGGACGAGAATCTTCGAACGTAGGCATAGGGTTGGGATTCGTCGAGCCTGGGAGCATGTTGTAGCGCGGTGGACGCTGTCCCGAACGCGACGATCCATGACACGATTCTGGGATCCGTGGTCAATGGAAACGTGTCCCCCAACCGAGGCAAAGAAATACGCGCTGGACACGTAGCATCGAATCGCCAGTCGAGGGCGTGCGTGTAACAGGTAGACATGTGTCCATAAAATGACAGATATGTACAGATGTCACGTGACGTGACGGGAGGGATCCCCAGCAGCGCCAGCGGGCTGCCAACGCCGCGTTGCTCCGTCTCGCTTCATTGCGCGGCCTGCGTACCGGAGCGGCGCCCTTCCTGGACCTGCCGCAGTGGACACACCTTGAAACGCAGGATCCTGTACACTCCGCTCGTTGAGGTCTGCTGTACAGCGCTCAGAATGCAGGCTACGCGGGCTCGAATCGAAGAAAGGCACCGATCTTTCAAGAAAGCTGTTGATTTGGACGAAGCAAGGCGAAAGCGTGATGAGCACAAGGTGGAAATCCGGAAAACGAAGCGCGAAGAGACGCTGATGAAAAAGCGTCGTGAGCACCCAGCTGTGCAGGCAACGTCTCGGGCCGGTGCTTCAGTCCCAGGCGACATGGCGGCTGTCCATGACCCGACAGCAGCAGCAGCAGCAGCAGCTGGAACTGCACGTGCTGCGCCCGCCGTCGGCGAAAACTTGCTATCAGCACCGGTTTCCGGCGAGAAAGCCGCCGGGTCACTGTCGGAGAGCGCTGTACCAGTAGAGAGCATGCTGGACGCTCCCGGTGAATCGGCCGAAGCGAGCTCCTCTCTGTTAACGACGCGTTCTCGGCAAGAAATCCTGGCAAGCATGCCAGCGCTCCGAGACACACTCTACCAGGCTGGAGCGAGCCCGGAGCAGCTGTTACGCACTGTCCGCGAGTTTCGCCGTATTCTCTCCATCGAACGAGCTCCACCTATTCAAGAAGTCATCGAATGCCAGGGCACCGTCGAGAAACTTGTCGAGTTCTTGAGCTACGACCAGTTTCCGGCGCTTCAGTTCGAGGCGGCATGGGCACTCACGAATATAGCCAGTGGGAATACCGAGCAGACCACAGTGGTTGTTCAGGCCGGTGCAGTGCCGCACTTTGTTCGCCTTTTGCGTGCGCCTAATGAGGATGTTTGTGAGCAGGCTGCATGGGCGCTGGGAAACATCGCCGGAGACTCGGTACAGTATCGTGACTTGGTCCTTGCTCATGGCGCGATGGAACCGCTGCTGCAGCTTCTCCAGACCCAGCACAAACCAGGCATGCTCCGCAATGCGACGTGGACGTTGAGCAATTTCTGTCGCGGTAAGCCGGCACCAGACATGCCCCTCATTCTAGCTGCCTTGCCAGTGCTCGCGCAGCTGGCTCAAAGCACAGACGAAGAGGTACTGGTCGACACCTGCTGGGCGTTGTCCTACGTCAGCGATGACAAGACCGAGCATAACGCTCAGATCGACGCGCTCATCCGCTCGGGCGTCGTGAAACGGGTCATCGAACTTTTGGGTCACGAGTCCACTGCCATCCAGCAGCCGGCATTGCGCACGATCGGCAACATTGTCACGGGTACGGATGAACAAACACAGGTCGTTTTGGATTGCGGGGCGCTCCCGTATCTTCTGCGCTTGCTATCATCCAGCAAACGACTCATTCGCAAAGAAACGTGCTGGACGATCAGCAATATCACTGCCGGCACGATTGAACAAATTGAATCGGTCATTCAGAGCGGTCTGATACCGCCCCTGATCTCCTTACTGGCGAATAGCGACTTTGAGACGCGACGCGAAGCGGCCTGGGCGATCAGCAACGCCACCGCTGGAGGAACCGATGCTCAGATACGAATGCTCGTCCTGCACGGCTGCTTGAAACCGATGTGTGATCTGCTATTCGCGAACGATAGCAAGCTGCTGATTGTCGTTCTCGAAGGCATCGAGAACATTCTCGCATCGGGTGAACGCGAACGGGAACGCCTGCACCAGCCTGCCAATGAATATGCGTCGTTGGTGGAACAGGTCGGTGGCCTCGAGAGAATCGAAATGCTGCAGAACCACGTCAACGAGGATATTTACTTCAAGTCGCAACATATTCTTCGGACCTACTTTGATGTTGAGGATGAGGACGAGATTCAGGGGTTGGTCCCCATGGCCGCCTCAGAGGGTGACGGTTTCGGGTTTGGGATAGAGCGAAACGATGCCTTGGCGCGTTCGGGGTTTCATTTCGGCACGTCGTCGTCGTCGTTGATGATGACTTCATCGGGTATGATGACCGCGTCCACGAGCGTACCTCATGCGACTCACGAAACCGCGTTCGGTGCTGAGACTGCCTCGCCCCGAACCGGTCAGGTGTCGTGGCGACCCAGCGACGACACCAATGGCGATGGCGATGACGCAACGAACGGTATGCCCATGGGCTCGTGAGCTGCGCTTGCTTTGCACCCGCGCAAGCAAGCCAGCGAGCGAGCGAGAATGACTGCTGGATGGCGACATCGGACGCACCACGCGTCGCGTTCAGCATCGAGCGTGGCGAGCGCGAGTGCAAGCGTGCCGGCATCAGCACGTGTCCATGCTAGCGCGAAGCACAGACAGACGCTGTGCTTGCTGGTGTGCGCGTGGGATGAGGCACTAGGCCTCGGGCAGCGGCTACCGTCGGGATACGTTCGGTGAGGCGTGCGCTGTTGCCGCTGGAGCGCCCTCCACGCGAGATCCAAAGGCATATCGGACGCGTGCGGGCGTACCGGTGCGCTTTGCTTCATTCGCCTGGCGACGCAGGAGGTCGGCGCGAGTCTCTCGCAAGACAACTCGACGGGCACTCGGTGGAGTCGGCGGGCCAGCGCTTCCGGTCTTTGACGAACTCGGCAGAGCGGTGACCGCGGAACTGGTTCGTGCGTTGGCGACGGCGACGACGTTCCCGGTGCGCTTGGACGTTGCTTTGGAGGCAGGCGTATTCGCGATACCAGTCGAAGAGTTGTTGTTGCGCTGCTGCTGCTGCTGCTGCTGATTTGCTGTTGCGAGCGGGGAGCAAAGGCCCCTGGCTAATTGCCGCTCGGTGACGCTCGTATTGCTTGTGGCGATGCCGGCGTCTGCTGGATTGATGTCGACGGCTGTGTATACCTCAGAGACGCCGTCGACGACGCATGACACTGTGGTATCCACGGTGGTGGACGCGTCATTCGCATTGCACCCCTGCAGAGCGTGCAGCGCAGCGGCGCTGTGCCTCGTATTTGTGCCTGGCGGCGATGCAGCTGGTGCCAGGCGAGCTGAGCGCCTGCTGTCGCGACGCCCCGCGAAGCAGTTTTCTTTGTCGTCTTCAATGTCGCTGGCGGTGGTGTCATCTGGTGGCGTCGTTGCCAATGTGCTGCTGTGCGCACGCTGCAGTACCGTACGCTGGTTGGAAACGACCTGAATGCCATTTCGTGTACCAGGCAAAGAACGGATGCTGGAACAGGTCCCGCGAACCTGAGGCCGCTGCAACTGCTCAATTTGCTTTCGGAGGAGCGCGATTTCATCGTCTCGCGCTCGGATGTCGTCCTGTGCTTTGGCGACCGCTTTCATATACTTGGCAACTTGGGCGCTTTCCACGTGTTTGCTAGCTCGCGGAAGCTCCACCTTGGCTACGCGCTGTGCGAACATCAGAGAGCTCAGCGTCTCGGTTTCGTCGGCTGCCGTTGGACTTACGTTCACGAACATGAGGGTTTTGCTGTCGCCGCCGAGCGAGTCTTGCAATAGGTACGTGAGCTTGCTATTGCGATACGGTACATGTGATTGCTTCGCGAGGAGCGCCATAAATACGTCGCCGAGCGCCGATAAACTCTTGTTGATGTGTTGTGCCTCGCGAAGACGATCGCCTTCAGCTTCGCTACGAGAGACGCGTTCGCTACCAGCGAGATCGACGAGGTGCAGTTTGCCTTCGAGCTTATCTCCGGTACTGCGACTGACGGCCTCGATCATGATGGACACAATGAGGTGGGATCGCGACGAATGAATGTTCATTCGCGTTGCGCCCTGAGAGCGGTTCCGCGTACCCGCCTCGATGACTGACCAGACGTGGTCCAGTTGTTCGACGGGGATCCAGATCAAGTCTGGTACATAGGGCTTGCCGTCTGGACCCAGTTTGATCTCGAGGCGGGTCTCTGTCTTGCCGGATATGAGGTCGCGAAGAGACTCGTTGTAGATCTCCAACATGCTAATTTGAATATGGCATGAAAAGGCAGCACTTCGCTCTTCACAAAGCCGGAAAAGCTCCGCCAACGCCCGATAATTGACACCCCGTGACTCTGGAGAACCGGACATCGTGTACGTCTTTCCGCTGCCTGTTTGCCCGTAAGCAAAAATGCAAACGTTGAAGCCATCTAAGGCGCAGGTGACGAGCGGCGACGTGTCTTCGTAGATCTGCTCCTGAGAGTGCTCTGGACCGAATACGCGATCAAAATCGAAAATCTTCTGCCGTACAGCGATTTTGTCGTTATCCAGCACGTTGCACACAGTGTGGTCGTTTTCCGTAGGGAGCACGGGACGAACGCGGCAGAAAACTCGAATGTTGCCGGTAATCTCCTGGACCTGGTTGAAGAGCTTGCGACGCCAGTGGAACTCTTTCCGCCACATGGCCATGCTGTGGTCACGGAGCCGCTGGCACCGCTCGATTGCTTGAGAGAGCGTCGCGCTCTGGGTGTGAATCATAGACGCAGTCGCGTCGAGAGAGGCGCGAGCTTCCGCTCGTAGCTGCTCCAAAATGGCCTGAAGCAGCTGCGTTTGCTCCCGGGCATGTCGCAGGCGATGTGCTAAACCTGCGCGATTCAAATCGTGAGCGGGATCCGGTTGCGTGCCTTGGAATGACAGCTGCGACAGGTTCATCTTTTGCACAGCCAGCGCCGAAACGTTCGCATTCTGGGAGCCTTTGCATTCGGTGTCCAACGATGCTTCCTCGGAAAGCGCCCCAGAAGGTCTGACGTCAGACCGTGCCTGCAACATACTACGCAGTGTGCTGTTTTCGCGACGCATCTCCTCGAGCTCGTTCCGGATGCGTCGCACTGCAGCCATCACACCGTCCTCGGAAGAGCCTAGGATCTTGCTCAAGGGGCTCATGATTCCATTCATGAGATACGAATTCAATACCTTGCGACAGAGCGTTGGAGTATTCCACTGGTCGTTCAGACGCACCGTTACATTTGCGTCGCTCTGGTTTTCTGCGATGCGTTCGATGAGCATTTTGCGATTCGGTCCATGCTCCCATATCATGGCGTTCGTCCGCTGGTTCCGAATAAAGTACTTGTAATCAAAATCACTTGCGGCATCGGGATCTAAGGTGAAACAGTACTCCCAATCACCGTGCCATGAATTCCGATTGACGCTGCGTCGGCCGGATTCTTTCTGAGCGAGTGCCACGGGCAACACTTTTTCCATGCGTACGGCACGCTCCACGTTCCAGCAACCGAGTTCCGGGATCGAACCCGAGACATAGATTTCTTCGTGAGCCGGTTCGCTAGGTAGGTGGTGCATGGCGAGTCGAACTTTCACTACTTTGGCGCCACGGTCGTCCAGTAAAACCTCCGTCGCCATCGCTCGCTGCAATTCGATGAGGTGCTCTGTGTCACGGTTGACCCAGCGATTGACAGAGAACGCCCACTCGGTGCACGCTTCCCCTGGACTGCTGCAGATGCTCTCGACGGAAACCCGTTCCAAGAACCAGCCAAGTGCGTCAAGTGCGTCGGTGTCACCGGCTTCGTCCTCCAAACGCAGTATTACCTTGTCCAGAGAGCCGATATCTTCTGCGGCAGGCACCGTGAATGACTCAGAACTCGATCTCAGGAGCGGCACGAGTTCGGGCGCCTCGGCGATGGAGGAGCTCGAGCTTTGTTCGAAACCACCACGAACCAGATGAGCAGACGTGTTCAGTGCAACCTCGGGTAAAGCGTTCAACGAACCAACTAGAGTAATATACACGAAGAAGCGAGCGCCATCTGGAGTTATATCACCGGAGGTCAAGGTTATACGGTACTGCATTTTCGGAAGGGCGCTCGCGTTCACCTGCGAACTACGAGCACCCTGCGACGCGTCGCTTCCACCGGCCTTGCGACTACGCTTACCCTGCGGTTTCCGTGGCGAACTCGTCTGGTTTTTGGTCATATATCGGCTAAGCTGCGTCCAACTTGGTCAGCACGGCTAATAGGTCAACCGCTTCCAGCAGTATACAAAAAAGCGCAGTAGTTTGCGCCTCTGTCGACACGCAATCGTGCTGAATCGTTGACACGCACACGAGCACGCATACGATCAATCGCGCCGGTGCGTGCAGCGCTCCCCAATGGGGAATTCGAAATGCAGCGTTACAGCGCAATGCGTTGCACCGTCGACCGCCGCAGCGATACGTGTCCGGATGATCGCTGCTGCTGCTGCTGCTGCTGCTGCTGCCGCCGCCGCCGCTGCCGTCGTTTCAGATCTCGGGGCAAGCGCGGCTGCGCTGCACTGCGTGTCTGCGCCGCGTAACGCCTTCGCGATCATCGGCAAACGTCCTTGTAGCGCGCATCCGGATTCCGCTCTGGTGTACGTCGATGCGCTTTCAACAATCGCTGCCGGCATCCAGTTCACCGGTGAGCCAGACGCGAGAAACGTGGGAGAGGGTTTTGTCGTGTAGTCGTCTTCGGGCGCAATATTGGTTTTCCTGCGAGGCGGTGCATAGCGGGCGCTCGAACACACGATGCCATGTACTGTATGGATCGCAGACGAATTGCCTTGGAGATATACATGCTTTACTGAACAGTCCAAGGAGGACTGCATTCATTCTTCGATTCAGTCATATCTCAGTAGTCAGATGGTTGAGGAGCGTTCAAGGAAATAAGTGGATGTGCGGCGAGCCAATAACCGATATTCTGAAGCGTGCTTGTGGTTCATGGCAGAGAACGACCCGTTGATCATTGTCGGGAAAGCAACAGCGATGATCGCGGCCGCCACGGGCGTCTCTGTTTCTCAACGGCTTGTTTGTTTGGTCCTGAAAACATCGGGATACTGTCCAAGAAAGATTCCTAGTTCTTTGACGGCCATCTTCCACCTAAATCGCAACTATAGTGTTCCTGGAACGTCGCGACCGGTATGAAGCACAGGGACGACGGTTTGTTTTCTCAGTCGACGATCGTTCCATCGGATGATACGGCCGGAGCCTATATGGGTATTCGTGGGGAAGGAGCCTGTTTTATGTGCGATCGAGCTCGAGGAAAGCGACGACATCAGCATCTGTTCCAGCTGCAATGGATTCCTTTGGCGGCCTCAGTTTCGCAAGTAGAGAAGGCTCGTACAACAGCATCCTTTTTGTCGAATCATTGAAGACTTTTCCCGGATGTCTCGCAACGCTCCTCTAATGAACAACGTGTCATTTCACCAGTCCCATTGCGTTCGAGCTCTTGCCGATTGTTTTCAGGGGCATAGCTCCTTTTCGTTCGTCCGTGGTCTACTTGCTTCGACGTCATCGAGGGAGTGTTTCCTATCGTAAAACGAAGTGATCGTTCAACTGGACGAATTGCGAAAGCTTTCGGCCCGCTCAGAGCGGTGCATATTTCGTATTTCTTCCGCGAGGCCTTCTCCATCCGGGGAGTTCCCGTATCGAAGAGCTTCAACAAGTGGGTTCGTTTGAAGAAATAAAAAGCTCAAAGGTTGAGCTAGGCTGTACACTTCTGAGGGTCGAGATGGAGAAAAGCCAGCGAAGCGGTTCTGCGACAGAATTATATGCATAGCTGACATAGCAGCAGATGGGACAGAGTGCACGAGTCGTAGCAATCCTTGTAGTGATGAGTTCAAGCAGAGGCAGGAAACGCACAGGGTTCCTCAAACGAGACATGTCAACGCCACCATTTGTATCAGACGATGTGCGGCGCTGAAGAAGAGAGCCGGTGCACTGACGCCATCCAACTTTTTGGGGCAGCTTCTGAGGCTCGAAATCTACAAGGAGAAGCTGAAGCCGTTAGCAGCGTGTCGGTTGAGAAATGCTGGGAAACGCGTATGAGTGGATACATATGTATCATCGATGGTCGAGAGTCATTTCTTGTTCCACTGATCATGTATATGCCCGTAGAGACGCAACTTGGGAGCTCAGAGCTGTTCGCCCTGTCCACCCGTATCCCTCTATCGCCGTTCGTATGAACAGGTAAGGAAACATCACTTTTTGTGGCTTCTTCCGTTGTATTTCATCGAGAATTTTTCAAGTGGAATGGATCGTAAAATACACATTCTTGTACGTAGCGTTTTACAGGTTCTGTTCTGGGTGCACCACGTTCAGAACAACGACTGAACGAAGGGTGCTTCAGCCACCTGCTAACCATTGCGTAACGAACTTGTAGAAGTAAGGCTCTTTTTCGCAAGCTACGAGCGACAGCATCAGCGCATGCCGCGCCATGTCTCCAACATACAGGAGCCATTCTCTTCGTCGTATTCCTGGGAGAATATCAAACATGGACGATCAAGTTGTGGTAGTACAGGCTTTCCGGAATTCACTGCTCAGCGTCCAACGATGCGGATGTTCCGATCTTTGCAGAGCATCAGAGAAACAACACAGCAGCAGCAGAAGCAGCAGAAGCAGAAGCTGCTGCCTGTGGAATTTCTTGGCCACCTTGCCACCGTCTGCTCCCGGGAGCGCAAGCCGCAACACGGCCTGCCCAGAGAAGCATCCCGTCCCGTGCAGCGCTGAAGCGTCCGCATAAGCTCTGCGCGTTTCTTGTGTATGGTGATCGACGCCTACCTGGCATCGCGTGCCGTTCATTCGGAACTCGTGTTTGATCTGGGGAAACAACCGCACGGTAAATGCCTCGTGACGGCGTCACTGGCATCATCATGCGCAAGTTGATTGTCATGGTACCCGCATGAGTGGCGTTCCACTCGATAACTACGACAACAACAACGCCACCGTGCCTGTATCCGTCACCGGCACTCCGCGGACACGCCGCTCATCGTTTAGGCGCTTAGCAACATGTTGAGCGCCTGCTCAACGTCGCCACGCGAGGCCTCAAGTGCCTGTCGGCTGGCGTCTGCACTAAAGCCCATGCTCATTAGCTGGTCCAGCTGGTCCGCAAAGGAAAACGTTGGCGCCGCGGCGGCCTCGTTCGCAGAAGCTCCGCGAGTCGTGTTCCAATTCAGGACAGTTCCATCGAAGCGCAGGGGCTGGTCCATGGACGTTGCAACAGGGTGCAGCGGCTGGACCCGACTCACTGCAGTATCCGATTCGAGACGCAGTCTATCGGATGTCATCCAGTCCACGCAGGTGGCATCGAAGGCTTCATCGTCGCGACGCCATATGAGCACGAAAGCTTGCTCCAGAGCACTGGGATTTTGTCCAGCATCGAAAACTTTTTCATCGTTGTAGAGAAGCCAGCGCTTGTTCCGATAGACGTAGGCCACATAATGTCCCGTCTGGAGTGAAGCGCCCAGGTGAACCATAGCCGCCGCCAGCGCATACCGTGTACGGGAACTGGATGCCAGCGCAGCGGATGTCTCGGCTTCGGTATTTGCTGTCGGTTCTTCCTCGGGTGTCGATGCGCCGTTCGCCGCAGCCGAATTGGCGCTATCGAGTAGCCATTCGATAGCACGCTCGCCATCATGGTTACTGGCCTGAAGCGCTACTCGTGCCTGCTGCAAGGTGAAACCCATATCCATGAGGAGCCGTTCAGACGGGTCTATCCGAGTCAAGGCGCGCCCACTCGGTGTGCCCGACGCTGGCGCTTCTGCCGCTTCCATCCGACGCTCCGGAGGCAGACGATCCCATTCGGATTCGTCGACAACGAGCCAGGGTTTCATATCGAGAACGATGGTACCGTCGGCTCGCTGTTCGAGACCACGCTGCGGGTCTGAGAAGGTCACCGCGGTGGACACCTTGCGAGGCACCCAGTCCTCACCGGCCTCGAAGCGTCGCAGATGCATAATAAGAAAAGGTGGACACCGACTGGGGCTCTCTCTCCTTTCAGCCTGATTCGGATCGGCGACTCCGATCGATGCTCGACACGACGGGCACTGGAACGAGAGCAGCTCACTGGCAACGCTGAGGTCGAGGCATGCTGCCAGGGAGACACGCGCAGAGGATTCCTGGTCCTGCTCCGCGGAGATCGCCTTGCTCCTCGTTGAGTATTCAGCACCTCGGACCGACGACGCAATAGGCACGTATAAGGAAGTTGCTTCCGTGGAGTTCATGCCAATGCGATGGCAACGCAAACATTCCGTTCGTTGAACCAGTGGAAAGATGAAGAAGCGGGCTGGGTCTCGAGTTCCTTGCCGCCGAGCCTCCGCCGTGCATCGACTAAGAAAATACTCGAGAAACTCGTGAGCGTCCTGCTGCCTTTTCGTCGCAAATTCCGGATGACCTTGCCCGATTAGGTTCTGAAACATTCGCGGTGCAATGCCCTGGGGCGGCTGGTACCGGCGCAACAGCCCTGCGCCCTCTGCTGGCGTCTGAACGTCACTTGTGGCGGGTGCAGGTTCCGGTTCGGGCGCTTCGGCCATTCTCGAAGGCGCCTCGTGATCCGGAGCTCCAGTTTTCACCGGTTTTGGCATCGTCGCGTGCTCGTGCTCATGGATTTTGGCTGCAGAGGCGCGCCCCAACTCATCGATGCGTTGTGGAGTGTGTTCACGCTTCCAGTACCGCTGGCTTAGCAAGCCATCCGCTAGCTTACGCATTTGACATTCAAAGCACTGCAGTGCACTGCCCGCCTCGCACCTCGTGTAATGGCGGTCCAAGGATTTGTTCTTGAATGGGAAGGAAAGCGCACGAGGCTCTTGATACCAGCGATAGGGCGCAAATACCAGCGCGTAGATGCACTGGAGCACACTCGAGATATAGCACGTATTCCCCATATTCCGCATTCCAGTTGCGACGACATCAGGCGCATAGAGACTGGGATCCGTAATCCTGCGCAGACTCGGATTATGGTCCGAGAAATTGGATCCCAGCTCCTTCAAGTTAAGCTGGACATTCTGCTCTATCTCTAGTTCAATCAGGCTTTTCTCGGTCTTCTCCTCACGACGAATATCAATACCGAACTCGCTCAGATGCCGTTCAAGCTCTGGGTCTACACGGAGCTCGTCACAGACGTAGCAGTGTACGTCCGCTGTGCCGTCGGCGGTAATGGTACCGAGCTTCACCGCGACAGCATGATCCGCGTTCATCCCGCCATAGGCTTGAAAATGCTCCCATGCGTGATTCTTTCCACCGGTGCCATCAAAGTTCGTTCGCCCGCACCCAAGGTGCCCACACGAGAGACAGAGCCAAAGATTTTCGCGCAAATCGCAGGAGGAGCATTTTGCCGTGGAACGACTGAGCGATGTATCCACGTCGATTCCCTCCAAACGACAAACCGTGAGCGTGTGTTCGCACGGCTGCAACTGCAGCTCCCATGCCTGCACCTGCTCCTTGCGTGACATGGCCGCCGCTTCGTGCACGCTCTCTGCCAGCGTTATCCACGCTTCCAGCTGTGAGGCCGGGTAGGCCCCAGAGCGGAGATCCGAGCTCCAGTTCCGAGCCGACCCTGCCTCGGGCTCTCGAAGACAAGCTACCCAACACTTTGCAGCCACGTCGTAGATACCTTCCAAGCGCACTGGAGGAACTGGTGCTTCCAGGGACTCTGCACCCTGTATGGTGTAACCTTCGCTCGTTCGCAGAACTTGAGGCGCTAACGTGGCTGTTGTGCCTCGCTCGGCCTCTGCTGCATCCTTCTGAGCCTGCACCAGGGTGCTCTGCTCGAGACGATCAGCCTCCGCCAGCGGTGCTCTTCGCAAGTTCGCAAAAACTTGATGTTTCGTCTTTCGGGTGTGAAGCTCCGCGTGTCTTCGGTATGCACAAAAACACTGCAAACAAGTCAAACAAACACAAACACCACCAGGAGAGTCAACGTCTTCAAAACAAAGCGAACACTCCTCTTTTTCAACGCAGTCGATCGACGGCACACCTGATCTATTCATTGTTTGATTCACCCTAGTCTGCGAGTTCGTATACGCAGCACGTCAGCGCAGAGCTCGTCGCTTGTTCAGAAGCGCGTACGCTCGGATCGACCATGGGAATGGCGGCAGTGCCGCGTGCAGCGCTGCAGGGCAACGATCGCCAAGCGTCGGCTGCTGCAGCTCCGAGCGATGCGAGGCTCCGACCGGCCCAGTGGACTGGTGATGGTGATCCATGGTCAAGAGTGTGGAGGATATGGAGGCACGTACCTGATCCATGGTCAAGAGTGTGGAGGATATGGAGGCACGTACCTGATCCATGGTCAAGACTGTGGAGGATATGGAGGCACGTACCTGATCCATGGTCAAGACTGTGGAGGATATGGAGGCACGTACCTGATCCATGGTCAAGACTGTGGAGGATATGGAGGCACGTACCTGATCCATGGTCATGCTGGTGCGCCCGAGGAAACTCGTCCAGACTCACTGATTTCGTGTCGGAGACGAAACTACGACATCCGTACGGGTAACGTATAGGCGCGTGTTGCACCAACGCGATGCAGCTCGAAGCTCGCTGCGCGGAGGCTGTCTCTTTTTTGTGGCTCTATCTCGAGGGAGAACTCATTCGGATTAGAGTAGTCTGGGCTTTACTGGACGCGATTGTGGCACAGGAGGAACTGAGGTCTCTGGTCTGCTTACTGGCAGCGTTTGCGCTGTCGAAGATGTCCAGTTCAGCGCGTTGGCCCCGGAACGGTCGTACGCCGGAATTGAGCGGCGGTGCCGTTGGCGGCTCGCATTGCTCCCGCGAAGCGCCTCTCTGGACGAAAAAACTGTGAGGGATTCCTGGAAGAGTCGGCGTCCGATGGATCTGCATGTGTTCCTTCTATTCCTAAAAGATACTTACGACCTGAACTTGAGATATGCAAGAACGTGTTCAGATGCTCGATGATCTCTTCCCTGGCGTTCGAGCAGCATAAGCAGCGCGCTCAAGAGTACAAGATTGACGCACCTGCTGCACGGCATCATGGAATCACGTGCCTGCGTTTGCGGCACACGCGAGATCGCCCGCCGCACGCTGCGCCGCTGCAGGCGAAGCGCGCGCGCTGGAGTGCCGACGGGTGCCCCAGCCAGCGGCAAGCGGGTGATAACACCAGCGACATGTTCGGGCACAGGCTCGTGTGCACTTTCGATGTTCGCGTTTCTACCAGTAGCAAAGGCGGTTTTCCCGATCTTTTGTCGAAGTTTTCCATCACACGCTAGGTTTAACGAAGCACTGGGTCAGCGTAGGCACGCTTGCGGGTTCGTTCGTATTACGAGGCCGCGCTACGTGGCGCTTCGCGTTCGACGCCGGCACACCGTGCGTGGCGTTGCGAGAAGCCTCGTGGCGGTCGTGCGGCCCGGAGATGTTGCTCTAGTTCCATCACCGTATCCAGGCTCGGAGGACGCTGTTGTTTTGGTCGTTGGTCTCGACACAACTGGTCGAACGGCGGACGTCGTAACGTTGCACGCTGTTGGGCGCTCGGAAGACTCGGCGGTTTTGTACGAGCGCGAGGCAGGCGCTGCAACGCGCTTCGAGCGTGTCGATAAGCTGGCGCCCTTGAAGCGTGTTCAGCGGGATGAAACGAAGGATGTGTGGAAGGTGACCACAGCGGAACTTGAATCAGTGAAGGCTGCGTTCTTGTCACCCGCGGGACAAGCTGCCGTACAAGCCGAGATGGAACAGATCGAATCTAGCATTGATCGGCGCATATTTGAGCGTAGCCCGTCACCAGCACCGACGCGGACGCAGCTTCTGACTGGTTCGGGAATATGTGCCGGGGCCTCTGTGGCTTGCGTGGTAGCACTGTCTCAACACGGCAGTGATGGCCTAGCGTCAGCGTCTGGCGTACTTACGGCTGCCGCTTTCATTCTTTCCATTGTATCTGGAGGACTTGCTCTCGCTGCTTTGCGCCAACAACAATAGATGAAGTGATGATGGAATACCATCAGCGCGGCTGACGCGTTATGAAACTGTACAACTCGGAGCGAGTCGTTACCAGTTGTTCGCCTTTCAGACAAGAGTTTGTTGGGCGCCTCAGAAAACTAGATAGGTATGCACTGGACGGCAGCGAAGGGCGTTGGATTAGAATCCGGAATGCAGCAGCGAAGCGCTCTTGGATTATGACGGAACGCTGTATCTCGAAGCAGACTGTCATAGGAACCCGCATCTGCAGACAGTTTGGTTGGAAACGCTCTATGGATCCGAGCTCTCCGTGGATGGCAAATGGAGCGCTGCACGGCATGTTTCCGCGTACGATACGCTTTCGCTAGGGCGCAGTGCATTGTTTCGGGCTCAGGACGAGGTCGTGGTGCTTGCGCGACCTCCCAGGACCCGACCTGTACGCATTTGGGCATGGGTCCAGTTCCGGATGCTACCATGCACCGGTTTCAAGTAAAAATGGGAAACTGAACTGCTCGCTCTGTTTCTGCCTAGCGATATCCCGCCGTAGATTAACGATTTACTGGCTCGATTTTGAGAAAGCAGCAGTACGGGCTCACGGATGCAAACATAGTTTTAGGATTCATGGTCGTCTTCGCGGAGTGGCTCCTTCCAAGCTTTGGCGTTGGAATTCCTTACGATACTGGAGTCACGACTCCAGATGCCCTCGAACAAGCGTTCGTAAACTAATCGACATCATAATCCAGTGTATACGTACAGGCATCCAATCTTCCCATTTCGTTATATGGAGCATGCTCGGATCACACTTCGTACAAGTTTTCGATCATTCTAATTCATTGCAACTCGTCGAAATAGCAATACGAGGGAAAAAGCTCGACCTTGCCCCTTGACGACTTGTTCAGAAGCTCTCACCGGAACCTCACTAAACTGCTCACTGCAAATAACCGATTCTCCTCGAAGGGTATATGCTCATCATTTCTAGGCCATCGACGAAGTGGCGCTTGGTGGCCTCATGATACCTTTCGCATGATACGCTGCCTGGGGTTCCCGTCTCTTCGATTTGGGAGGGAAAGAGTGTTGCATTCGGACTCGGGAGATCACAGCGATCGCTTCTAGTGGAGTGCGCGCCACCGTTTTCCACGGCTGGGGCGTAGACCTATCGAAATTTCCTGGGTTGTCATCCTGCCTGAATTTTTCCTGCGTTGCTTGGTTCATCAAGGACACGATCGCATTCCACAAATCCTCTAAAGAAATGGAACAGCATGCGCTTCCAGGTGCATCGAAAAGCGTCCTCGCAGCCGGCGATCGCCAAGACCAAACAGCGATCGTCGGGTACGGCACCGTGGAGTGCAGAAACGGAGTTCTGCATCAAGATGGACCTTTTCAACGCCTGTCAAGCGGCATGGATCGACCGATGAAGCAAGTGTCCTCGAAGCACAAGGTGACGCGCTTTGAGAGATGTTCGGTGGACGCATGTGAACCCCTGGCCACTCGGAAGTGTTGCCGCTGCGGGGACGCACCGATGCTGTACACAACGACGACGAATCCGGTAAGCGAAGCATGGATCGAAACATCCACATCTGCATGAGATTCATCCATAACACCCGAGAAGGGAGAAACAGAGACTTGAATGCGGGTATCAACATTCTTGGATCGCTGGCAACCGAGCTCGACGGCCAGATACGGTCGGCGGATGTACAGTTGGATATCAGAGAGTGGAAAAGAAGCAGTCAGACCAAAAACCCGCAATGACTAGCGCTGACGATCGTCGAAAGAGCCCAAACGGTTGTGTGTACACCCGATTTGGAGTACCTGTCCATTGTATTCTTGACATGGGTATCAATATGATGAACGTCGATCGCGAATCAGGTATGTGGATGCCAAGGGCGCATGCGCAGACGCGCTCCGATAGGTTGCAAGCGACTTGATCTCTTCAAGGCGCAGCACGAACAACAGACGCATGATCCTTCAAACTGGCTTTGCATCTCGGAATGAGAAACTTATGGGAGCTGCTATGCGAGAGTTTGCAAGCTCGACTGTTCAAAGCCTGACCAAAGCGAATTTCGGTCTCTGGGTTTCACAGATACGACCGGTAACTGCCAAAGACGTCGAGGCGAAAGTTTGCTTGTTTTTCGAAACGCGTTTGGCGCAACGAAAAGTATTGTGGCGCGTGACCAGCAACGGCAAGCAATTCCAGCAAAACGATGACAACCCACATGCGCGAGTGCTGACCACGCGGCTCAGTTGCGGACTAGAAACGCCTTCTTGAAACAACGTGGTTTGATCCCGCTCGTTCCTGCCTGGTGGAGAATTCCGATCCAGCAACCGAGCGCGTGCAGTGGGCACACCGAAGGACGTCGCCGACCTGGCGCCAGCATCGACTCGACGTGTCCAGTTGTCGCTAAACAGGATCATTTAGCTGGGGGCGCCTACGCACCAGTCACTGTGATGCGACCAAGACACAGCGATTGGAATACTTGGCTGTTTCTGAATTTGCGTAGAGCGTGACTTTCAAAGGGGCTGAGAAATGCAGCTGCGGACAGCACCCTGAGATCCTAAACAAGGCGCTTCCCAGAGATCTCTCAGCGCGCAGCGAACAACACGAATCTGCCAGTCGAAGCGAGAAGCGCGGATGCCGTCTGTACCTGCGCGTTGCCACAAGCCACGAGACTTTTTTGCAAGCTTCACTTGCCACTTTCGGAGCGCATGGTGTTGGTGAGCGGTATTGTTGCAGTTTTCCGAGCGAACGGCACGTCGCCACTGTCTGCATCGCTGCAGGTTCGAAGCAATCTGGTGGATACTCGTGAGCTGCCGAAAGGTACAACCTTCCTGCATGAGTGCTCGTCAGCGTTGTTTTTTATCTTCGTTGCAATTCAATGGCATCGACGCGCGCTGTTTCCGATATATTTAATGGTAACGGCTCCGGGACGCACGTTTAACAAGTACACCAGTTCGGAGCCGCGTCTTAATCGAGAAACGCGGGTCGTTGCAAATTCCTTGCAGAGCCAGAACGACACGCAGGATGTCGCGAAGCCGTCTACGCAATTCTACCGACTCCTTGACAAGTCCAACTTCATATGGAACACGAGCACGTCAATGAGAGCGTCCATAGTCTGTCTGGTTGCCAGAGAGGTGGCCCCTGAAAGCCGGCCTTTGCCGTCTCCTGAATCAGGGACGACGCAAACAATTGCACACCGGAAACGAAACACGCTATTCGGAAACGTGGGTTCACCACGGCAAAGCCGCGTTCAGCGTGATACGCTCGCGTGTGGTTCACCGAAAAACGCGAGGCATACCCTCGGCGGAACAAACCGCAGGGACCCCTGCCTGCATCGTCGCGGAATTTCAAACGCTTCCGAGCATGCTGGTCTCCGACTGCTTCCTCGGGCGTTCAGCGCTGCCGATGACGACCATCATAACCAGGGTTCACGACTTGGGGCGCCAAACGGATGTGGGGATTCTCACGATGGTGCGGGAAATCTGTCCGAGGACTCATCCGCGGACAGGTGCTGCTCTAAGAGCGGCAGACGTTCGTGGAGAACCATTGCAAGATCTGTATTTTCCAGGACTCGCTCTCGTGCTGCTGTCTCAAGGTGTTGCAGCACTCGTTCAAGGTCCTCAACGAGCGATTCCGTGCTTTCGAGTTCTTTCCATTCGCGCTCACTGAGCGCGCCACTTGTATGCAAATCTGCAATGGCTTGTCTTATAGAGTCAGACGAGGGTTTCGAGGCGCGCTTTCGCCAAACTGTTTCGGACGCCTCCAGTTTCCGTTGGACCGGTGTCGCAAGTTGTTGCTCGTCGTCCGACGCTCTAGTCCTCGGTCTGCGACCTGTACTCAGCCGCTGTGCAGATACAGGTTTGGGCGGCTGCAACGCGTCACCTGGTGCTACCTGTGAATCCGTTTCTGCGATTGAGACTAGACTGGTAATCCGGGGAGTTTCTGGCGGACTTTGATTCAACTGCGGGTTCTTCGGAGAACTATTCACTAGTGAAGAGCATGAACCCACGACATGGTGGTTCATGGCAGATCACTCTGCCAAAGAATCACTCCGAGTCCCGGCAGTTCTACAACGCCTGCTTCGAGTCCCTCTGCGTCAGCCAAGCTGACGAACGGAACCGAGCCCAGCCTGACCGAGCCGGACTCCGAAGTTGACCTCCACTCTATCGGACACACAGACTAACGTAGTTTCCTTCTCGGAGAGGCGTCTCCTGGTATATCTATTGCTGCGTTTCCAAGGTGTGCCTCGTGGGTCCGCCGCCAACCGCATCCGCCACCTGGTGCGCCGTACGAACAAGCGATCCACCGGTTCACGCACCGACGCCGACTTTAAAGCTCCGAATGAAATGTACTTCAGATTTTCCGCGAAAATCTTTGCTCTCTTGCCAGTTTTCAACTGGAATGCGCATAATATGCGCGACCCGAACGTTGCAAACAACAGCGCTTCGACACGTGGCTAGGGCAAACGCTGCCATCGACGGTGGACGGTTGTGGCGCGCCGCCCGCCCTCGAGAGTGCGTCTACAGACGCCGACGCGCAGACGCCTCCCAGACTTGTGTCGATCGGCTGCCTGCTCTCGATTTCAGCTGCTCCTTGTATATCTCGAGCATGAGAGGCTGATCCACAAAAAGTCGGCTTGCGACAGCTTTCCGGGCCTCGTCTTCAGGACTACACAGAATCTGGTGTTGATGACGGCATTCAAGTCCCGGTTCGCGAACGCCATGTATTTATAGGCGCTGATGGAACTCATACAAGCAAGGAGTCCTCAAACTCGTGCCCTCTGTGTCGCTACAGTCTCGCCATTGTCGCGTCGGGCAAACTGCTTTTGTCGCATATCTCCCCTGTTCTTCTTCGTCGCTTGCTCGTCTCCGTTCGACGTTCGACGAGAAGAGGATTCTTTTTCGTTTTTTCTGGCATCTGGCGACGACGGCGCTCCAGGATCTTCGACTTTTATGTCCATACCTTTTCCTTGGAATTTGTATTTCTGTTAATGGAGACACTGGTAGATGCCCTTTCGTGAGGATCCCCTTGGAGGGCAAGGGATTTGCGGAAGGGAAACGACATGCGCCCCAGCGGTATCGTGCTTCATGCTTCAGCGATTTTCCTAGTGGAGCGATCATCACGTTGTACGATAGAAAACACTCCTTCGATGGGTTTGAGCCACGGATCCTCTAGAGGTTTGAAAAGAAGCTCTACCCCGATATAATCTCAAAAACCGCGAACGCAAGGGGAATGCTGGAATGCCGCGTTATCCAATAGAAGAACGTCGCGAGATGTCAGGGAAAACTTCTTCAATGATTCGATGAAGTCTCTGGTTTACTGTGATCCTTGTCTGGGAGCGATACTGAGGCCGCCAAACGAATCCACTACAGCTAGAACATATGATGATGTCGTCGCTCTCTTCGGGCTCGGTCGTACGTACAACAGTTCGCTGCTCCGCGAATACCCATATAGGCTCCGGCGGTTCCGTCCGAAGCAAGTCCTATCGACTGAGAAAACAAGCCGGTGTCCCTGTGCTTCACATCGATTGCAATGTTCAACGAATTCTATCGTTGCGATTTCGGTGGAAGGTGGCGCTCAATGAACTAGGAATTTCAAGGGACTGTATCTCAGAAATTTCAGGACCAAACGAAAAACTGCTGAGTACCAGACACACGCGTGGCAGCTTCCATCATCGCCCTTACTTTCCCTCGATTGATCAACGGGTCGTTTTTCTACCAGTGACCGCAAGCAGTCCAAAAAATATGGCTCTCTGGCACTGTGCGCATATACTTGATTCGAGGATTGTTCCTGAGTTATCTGAGTACTGCGTTTTGACCGACATGAAGGAAAAATACAGTCCTCCTTGCACTGTTCAGAAAAGAAAATATACTAAAGGCAATTCATCTATGATCCATACGGTACATTGCATCGTGATGTCAATCTCCTGCTATAGACCCCAACGGAGATGAAGCAAAACTGAGCTCAAAGCCTCTAAGCCGGACGGTGTCGACAGATGCGCTTCGATTCATGGGCGTGCCTGCGACGGACACGGTGACGATGAGGTACTCTGGGAATAGTCGATCCATGCAACTCCATAGAGAAGGCGAGTTTCGATCTCACTGTTCACATAGTGTGTCTGAGTCGCAAGGAACAAACCGCTATGAAATATGGTAAACACATGCTTGCAACGAGTCCAAATCAAGGAGCAGGCGAAAAAGGAGCTAGTCTCTGCATGCAAGTATGAAACATGCGAGCCAAAGCCTAAAGAGCGTTGGCGGAGCTCGTTCCAGGTTTGTAGGTTATGAAGCAAACATTGAAACAAGTCTACAAGGACGATAGGGACCGACGGAACACCAATCTGTGCGCATATTCGTAAACCTCGGCCAGCGCCGAGCACCGACACGCATGTTCAACTGTGCCAGGTGGATGACGAGAAAGACTTTATGGTGGGTGCGGATCCCTGCTTTGAGGACGTTATGGTCGTCGCCGTACCTCTACATCAAGAGAATGGAGCCAAAGTCTTGAGCGCAATGCAAATGTACCTGCTCAGATTCTACAGGGATAGGTATCAATGGGAGGCGGGCATCATGGACGCCAGGAGGCATACCGACAAGTGCAATGACAACGTCGGAATCCATGACGGCGATCTGCGCACCGTATCGAGCAGAAGTGGATATTTTCTGTACGCTTCACTCAGAACGCGTACCTGGGCGTCGAAATGGCACAGGCACACGATCTATGGCAGGGGCACGTGAGACGGCGCTGGGGTCGCCAACGATGTCTATTGCGCAGAGGCAAGCAGCGTGCATTTACCAACCTATCTCATGCGTTCGCAAAAGAAACCGGGGATACATTGCGTCGCGTGGCGGTAGTCTACGGTGTCGGACGTGTCGTATCCCGCAAAGCATGCACGCGTATTCCGTCGCGGGCCTGCAACGCGTGCTGGAATCGATTCTGTACGATTCGCGTTAAAGTCTCGAGAACAACACGCTCGCATCACGAGCACGGAAACACGCGGAAACGGTAAGTGATTTGAAAATTAAAACAGAGTCCGGTACAGGAGGTGGTGTACTGTAAGGAGACCAAACTCCAGATGGCGCGGCAAACAAGGGTAAGAGGCTTGCTATGGTATGATTCCACCATCAACAATGCGAAGAATCACTTTTTGCGACCAGAATTGAACGCCTTGATTAGCATACGAAAGGATGCCGCACTTGCGGAACGTCCACCGGCTTTGTTTCGAGCGAACGTTCGATGTCGTCCTTCAGCAGTCAGCGTGGGCATTATGCTGCAACGCTGCAGACTTTCGATGCACGGAACCAGCGGCGAGGATATAGAAATTGGAACTCTCACCGCAAACAACGCTCTGGTGTCGAACAGCACAGCAACAACGTTTGTGCTTCGTGTACGCATACGCACTGGAAACGATACTCCAAGGCAATCAGAGCACGATAATGACGCCCCAAGATTCGATATCAAAGAGTATCGCTTGCGCACAGCTCAGCGTCACGACATCCAATCGTGAACATATCTGCAGAAGCTTATAAACCTCGTCGATTCGACTCCCGAGCGAGCGGAATCGAGGGCAGTTTCGCATCGACTTGATCAGCAGCACGCCTCAGCTTCGTCATTTCATCCAAGTCAAGGCGCCAGCCCAACGCCTGTGCATTTTGTTGAGCTTGCCAGGCGTTTTTCGCTCCCGGAATAGGTATGGCTATCGTCGGTTTCTCCCCAGCGGCACGCATCTCGCCTGCAGTGATGACATAGTTCAAAGCGACTGCCGCAAGCGAGACCTGGCGCTTCGCAGCGATCCGCTCCATCTCGCTGAGCAGAACATCCACGCGTTCCACAAGGGACGCAGCGAGTCGTTTTCTCACGCCAGATGGCAGACGTCCTTTCCGATATCGACCGGTGAGCAGGCCCTGAGCCAGCGGCGAATATGCTAGAATCTGAATGCCGCGATCTGCGCAGATTTCGCAGAGCGTTCGATCGTCGGTGGCACCCAGGCACCGCACCGTCTCCGGGTCTCGGTGCAGGAGACTCCACTGCACCTGATTTGAGGCCAAGGGCACCTCGTGGACTTGGCGGAGATACGTATCGCATTTCAGAAGGCGACTGGGGCTGAAGTTACTCACACCCACGCATCGGATGAGGCCTTCGTGGTAGGCCTCGGCGAGGGCGTCCCAGATGGGTTCGTCGTTTTCGCCGACAAACGCAGGCCAGTGCTGCTGGTACAGGTCGATGTTTTCAAGACCGAGACGGCGCATGGAAGCTCGCAGTGCTCCCAGCACAGATCGACGCACCGTTTCCCGGCGCTGCGGTCGACTGAGCCATCCCAGCAGGTTCAGCGATAAGCCGGCAGTTCGCCAAGGAAAGGGAGCGTACTTGGTGGCAACATTTATTTCGGGGAGCGGCGAGTCAGGACCGGCATTTGCGAGAACCTCTTCCGTCACTTGGCGACCGATGCGTCCCACAAGTTGCTCGGAGCGCCCCGGAGGTGTACCGTACACCTCCGCGGTATCGATGAGCGTGACCCCGTTTCGCAAGCTTTCCCGCACCGCATCCGTATTGTCTTCCTCGGAAGAGCTGCCCCAGTAAAACCGATCACCGAAAGACCAAGCACCCAGGCCAAGTGGTACTCGCAGTTGCACGCCACCGTTGCGGCCAGCGAGCAGCACAGGCTTCTCCGCGGCATACGCCACGTCTCCTGATCGAGTGGTCAAACAGAGACCGAGCGACCGTGCCGAACGCGGTGCGCCCGCAAGCGACGACCCAGGTAACACTGGAAGCTTCACAAGGAAAGCAAGCTTGGAATCCATAATCGTTGTACCTTTTCGTCGGTACAAGCGACACTCACTTGTTCGAGGTGAACACGGCAAATTCACACCAGCATTAACGGGTGTGCGCGGGCGGCGCGTTTGAGCGTACGCATGCTTGCAGCGTAAAGGCGCTGGGGCACGGGATTGTAGCGTTGATGCAGATCCAACTTGTTACGCGAGTGCTGACTGTAACCTGGAAAGTGTTCAGCTACGGTGGAGCTGCCCTGCACTGATGCAACACCGGCAGTAGGCGAAGCATTTGCAGTATTTCGGGATACACCGTGCCTCTGTTTCGTGGACTGCTCATGCGATGAACGTCAATCGTCTAGCGCATGTTCGAGGAACTTCGTTTTGGAAGCAGAACAAACCCCCGTTCTTGCGTGTCCTCGACAGCTACCTCATTCTGAGAGGTTGCTCTGGCTGCAGCGAACACTGCCGTGGTGCAACACGTACCAGTGCTGAGCGGCACCTTGGCCGGTCGGTGACAGCTGGCGCTCATGGACCGCCGAGAGGAGTTCGCTGCCACAGGCACTGGATCTCAATCGTTTCGATCGCTGGGAGCTGTCGAGAGCCCCATGCATCGTAGTGCGTTCTATGCGTTGTAATCTGCGATTTACACCAAAAAACAGCAAGTCCAAAGTCATCGATCCTTGCGGATATGTGCAGCGCTTTTCGTAGTGCTTAACGTTCCGTTCGATCCTTGGATAGGATAACTGCATCTCTGGCGGCAGCGATGGCCTCTTCGGGGAGCTTCAGGTGCGGCAGCTTGCCCGGAGGCGGCATCTTGCTTCCGCTGCCGATCAATGCGATCTTGTTATTGCAGGCGAGACCAGCCCGTGACGGTGAGTTCAGAAACTCCTGCAGCCGCTCCAAACCGTGCACGTTTTGACGCAGCTGCGAAAGATGCGGGAACGCTTTCAAGCTGCCAGGCAAACAGGTCTCAATGTGATCGAGCAGCTCTGCGAGGAAAAGGTCCGCGTAACTCGGCTCAGACCCGCCAGTTTGCTGAACAGAGAGAAAACGGGGATCGGAGCCCTTTGCGCAGGCTGCAACTTTGTGCCGACGACAGTAGGATTCTAGCGCTACCAATTTGGGCACCATCATTTCCGTATAGACCTGGATGGCTTGGTCTGCAGACTGGGAGCCGTAGCAGGCTCGCGCTGTGGCGCCATTCAACTCCATGACGATATTCGCGATCATGTCCACGTATGGATCATTGGCGCCTAGTGCATACTCGCTCACCTGGTGACCGTACGTGCGAGCAAGATGCCGCAGAATCGCAAGTGTCTCCGTGATGGCGATCGGGCGCGTTGCGTGCTCACCACGAGCATCGATGAGGTATGGCAAGTTTGGAAAATCGAGTCCAAGCCGGTGTTTCACGGACAACCACGCGTCCCTCGAGAAAGGTACGTCGTCGTTGTAGTCGCCCTGCACATAGCGCCTGTCCACGAAATCGAGGTTCAGATAGTAGAGCAGGCAGCGAACCGGGGATCCCAGTCCCCGAATGTCCCAGTACCCGACAACGATAGAGCCGGGTTCACCGGCCGGTGGACTGCGTTCACCGACGGGTTTATCCACTCGATCGACTCGCACGGTTGGCATGCTTCAGAGTTATAAAAAATTGGCTTAGAATTATTGCCGAGAAACTTCAGTAGCCCAGTAGCGTCTTTCGCGGCAGCCCCGAGGCGTCTCGAAACCTCTACTCCCAAATGAAGCACGCTGGTACATAGGACGAACGCGCATGCGTGCGCCGCTTCAGAGGTGACATCTCGATACCGTCCGTTAAGTTCTAAAAGTTACAGAAAAATACATGTTCATGGAGAATGCCGCTCGAGAGGACGACGTCGGATGCCAGCGAGAGTTCCGAGGAGACAGAGCGACGCGTTCGTGCGCCTCGCCTGGATATGCAGCGTTTCACATTGGTACTGCCTCGCCGAGCGGGTGACCTGTGATCGAGCAGGAGAGCTCATTGACGCTGCATTCGTGTCAGGCGAGAATGCGACACTGGACTGCTCGTTCTGTAAACGCGTTGAGGTTTTTGCGTACGTTTTAGGTGGACAAGCCTTTGGCTTCGAAATGTAGCAATAAGGGTTTACGAATTCATACGCTTGTTCGGGGTTTTCAGTCCTCGTTTTGGTAGCGGGTCCTTCGATACTTTGCTGCTCGATTTCATGAGGTCAATGGAATCAAGATGTTTCACGACGTATTTGGACATGGGTTTGTGAAACAATCGATATCATGATCCAGCTCATACGAAAAAGGCTGTAATCTTCTCGTTTCCTTTCACGAAGCATGCTCATATCATGGTTCTTCAATTTTTCAAGCCTTCCGTTCCAAAACATCTCGTGGACCAAGCAAATAGCGCTTCTAGATTGATGAGCAAAGAATTCGACGTGGTTCCATAAAGCCATCCTCACGAGCTCATACCAAAAAATGACTGAACGCGTCAGATCGAATCATCGTTTCTGTTCGAAATACAAATGCTTCTTCCTTGTTGCTATCGAGAAATCAGAAATCGACTGCAACGCGATACATCTCTTGGGAGATACAATGACAGGCTCCTGTTTCTCCTTTTTGCATACATGATAGTCTTGGGCTCGGACTTGAGCCATCGCTGCGATCGCCTCCGGTGATGCGAGCGTCACCCATTCGCAGGATGGCAGCGTAGAAGAATCGAGATTTCTCTACTTGATAGCCAATATGAGTATTCCTTACAGTGCTCGTTTCATCATGGACAACTACGCGTTCCGCAACTCCTCCATCGAATAGAACGGCGCGAGCTTGCGTGTACAGCGGGCACAGTATTCGCCAACTGGATCACCTGGACATAGCTCGTGATCGTTGGATACGGCGCTGCCGGCATTAACGGAAAAGGGCAACGAACGGGGCCTCCTCTACCCGTCAAAGGAATGCACTGTGCAATGAATGACGCCGTCCGTCGCCGCGGGACAGCAGCCGAAAGAGGAAGTGTGTTGGACATATGGGAACGCCTGATGACAGTCACGTGTCACCGCTGCGAAATGCGCACCGGTTTTGTACACAAAGGCAACGAAAACGACACACAGAGCGTAGATCGCAACTCCCGCCTGTGCACGACACGCTTTGACAAGGAAAACGGAGACGACGGAATCGGCAGTTTAACATAGTCAGCAACATCCTTCTACTGCTGATATCGGAGATGCAAGGACGGTCGAGACCGGCGTATTCAAAGCCGGACATAAGCGAGATATAAAGGATGCAGTCGAAGAAACAGCCCGCAAAGTCTGCTGGTGATGATTTCAGAAACAGACTCAAATTTCGGCGAGACGCCGACTCCTACGAGACCTGCTCCATTGTATTCGGGCGTGGATAGAACCGGATGGTGGCATTGCCATGACGCGTCATCGGCAAACCCGAATGATGTACTTCGGAGTCCGAAGGGTCCCTTCAGAGCTCATGCGACACGCTTCGCTGTTTATCTATATCCAGTGCCGAGAGCGTTTCAGGACTGAAGGAATTCTGGAGTCGTGCACGCTTCAGCACGAGTTCGTTGCTCGCGAAAATGTCTTAACGCTCCAGGCTATATACAGCTTACCACGCAATTCCATGGGGCGCACGGATTGTACCACAGGAAACATTCGTGCTCGCTGCCTCTGTGAGCGAGCACCGGAAACTTTCCAGCATTGTGTATGCAGCGCTTGATATGCGAGGTTGCTAGCTATCACCAAGAGACCATATGTTTCCTGGTACTCTATTCAAGCAAAAAACTGACCACAAACGTCGACAAGGGAAACTTGAACTTGGGACTGCTCAGAGAGACTCGCTGCATTCCTAACCCTGGATCGACGCTCGCATCCCAAATTTGTCTCCAATACATGCGACCACGCTACACGAAAACCAGGTGTCCACGTCGATATTTTGACATTTTTGTAGCGCAGGCTCCTGGTGCACAACAACACATCGCCAGGCTGGCGAGAGCTCTCACGGGTGAGGCCCTCGGGAGCGACGCGGATCCATGGCTGGTAGCTACCGGCACCTGGACAAATCGTATGGAACGACAAAAGCATCCCCAGAAACGGATATCCATCGTGCAATACAGGATTTCCGGTTCAGGGTAATGACCCTGTACCATAACGGATAAAAAAGAGATGCCCTCAGGCAGGAGAAACGCTGCATGACTCGTACGCCAGGAGCGAAGCGTCCAGGGACAGCGGCAGTCGCGATGCTGGCGAACGAGGGCCTCGCGTGCCGACACGCCGGCCAGCCGCATCGCGCCCAGTGCCGCAAACGGGCCGCTTTCCTTCACAGGCGGCGGCGTTTCTAACTCCAGGGCTTTCATTGAAGGCTTTTACAGTCAGTTGGTGAGCGAGGCCTGCGACCCAGCACAGCACGGGCGTCTTTCACGCTGTAGACGACTCCTGAGTACTAGATCCCACTGGAGAACGCTGCCCTAGAACGAAGCTTGGATATTAACACGACTTGCACGAGTTTCGTTTGAGGGTAGGTTCGTGGTGGCGTCCAGTGCCAAGGAAACGCTTCCTCCGCGGTGCAGTTCGGGGTGAGTGTTCTACCGACGCGAACACGCGTGTTGGTTATTGAACTAGAACTAGGGCTTGCGCTGTTCGGGGAAGGCATGCCGTGTCCGTTCGGGTACAGCATTGAGGACGTGACGACCCCGGTGAATGGGAACGCAAGTCGTTTAAGGAACTGTCACGGCCTTGCGAGTGCTGCCCGCTCCTGCAACGCGTCCGCTGCGCGTCATGACCAACAAATTGCCGTCGTCGCTAGCAGCGGGAAAGAGCCTGCCGTAGAAGACTACGAACAGGACTATTTTCCTGGCATAGGAAGCATTTGTTTGGAGCAGTCTCGCCGAGCACCTGAGGAAGAACGGCCGAACTGCGTGCTTCCGGAACCTCCTTTGCGACCCGAGGAGCTGAATCAGGGCTACTGGCGGGATGTCGAAGACGAGGAACTGTGCGCTGACGGAGACGAAATGGAAGAACCTCTAGAATCGACTAGTCCACAAGAGACGCCTCTGGGTACTGAAACACGCCCAACGGAGCACGACGCGGGAGTACTCGTCGTCACCGGCTCGAAAACTTCCGAGGATGCGTCCGCATTGTCGGGCCCTGTTGCTATACAGCATACAGACGAAGCGAACGAAGCGCTGGCGGGGATGTGCGTTGCCCACGGATCGGACTCGAGCACCTGCAACGGGTGTACTGCGGAATGCGAGACCTCTCCGGCGAGTCGTGACCCCGTCCATGCGCTTAACAATAGACGAGGATTGGGGAGCTCTCAGCCATGGAACGGGAGCAACAAGGCCGATTGGTTAGATTGTAGCAGTATTACGGAGAGTGAAAACTCGTTATTCACGGAGCGCGCTTGTCAAGGCGGCATTTGTGGCGACTTGGAGCCGCGTGCGGCACTGGAGTGCGCACCTGATCCTTTGTCTGGCGACCGTCTGGCGGAGGGTCGAACTCGCACACTACCGAGAAGGGCAGCACGCTCCCCGGCATGGCGCCGAGAGGCACCTGTGGCCATGTGGCCACCGCGCCCAGCATCCAGTCTGCAATCTAGCTCGAAGCTCGCTGCAACCGTTTCGGAGAGCAGTGCATCTGCGTCGCACTGGACCTCGACACGAGCAGGTGACTCGCCGCCGGCTCTGGGCTGCATGGCGCCAGCGGGTAACGCAGCAACAAGTCCTGTTCCTCAGATGGAGTTACCACGGGACCAGCGCAGCACCGCGTACATTCGACAGCGCAAGGGCCGCCCGCTCTACTATAATTCCTATCTCAAACTGGATCGGCTGTTTTCTTGCCAAGATCCGATCAGTTGGCGGTTTGGCGATCATGCACACGACGAAATGTTGTTCATTACGGTGCACCAGGTATACGAGCTGTGGTTCAAACAACTCATCTACGAGCTGGATAGCTTGCGAGCCCTTTTCCTGGCCGAATCGATGGCAACCGATGGAGTCAGAGCTCAGCTCAGGGTTTCTGTGGACGCAAATCGCATGATGAATCTCGCTTTGCATCGTCTGGATCGCATGGTGGAAATCCAGCGAATACTCGTCGAGCAGATCCGCGTTCTGGAAACCATGACACCGCAGGAGTTTCTCACTTTCAGAGATTACCTGTTTCCAGCAAGCGGATTCCAGTCATGGCAGTATCGGCTGCTCGAAGTGAAGCTCGGTGTCCGCGCAGAACAGCGCATCTCAAATCACTGGAAACTGCATCTGTCGGAGGAGCATCAGGCCGTTTTGAGCGATGCAGAAAAAGAACCCAGTCTCTTCGACTTGATTAACCATTGGCTCGAGCGACTGCCGTTTGTCGTCACGACCGAGGCCGACTTCAACTTCTGGGACGCGTACCGTAAGGCAACGGAGCGGATGCTGGCCCTCGATCGAGCGTTTATCGACCGTGAGATTCACGCTGGCGCAGACCGCGCTCGCGCCTACCGAGAACTAAGTCGCATGCGCAACCTCTACCGCTCGGTGTACGAAGAACAAGTTCACCAGGAAATGGTGGAGCGCGGCCAAAGACGCATGAGTTTCAAAGCGATGGCCGCAGCGCTCCTCATCATGCTCTACGAGCGGGAAGCGCCCTACCTCCAGTTGCCGCATCGGGTGCTACGCCGTCTGCTCGACCTCGACGAGGGCATGGCGCAGTGGCGTTTCCGGCACGTACAACTGGTATCGCGAATGATTGGCTCGAAAACCGGAACCGGAGGATCGCTGGGCGTTCACTATCTCATGCTCACGTTGGAGGCCAGTCGGGTGTTTACCGACCTTGGCAACATGGCGGCCTTGCTGATCCCAGCGCGACTCTTACCGGATCTGCCGGAGAAGCTTCGCCAACAACTGGAATACGCCTGGACGCAAGTGTAAGTGTGTTTGGATTCCTGCATGGCTTTATGAATGCGTTCGGTGTGCGTGTTGGTGTGTGCCATGTTCCAGCATCAGCTATTGGAACAAGGCAGCGTCCGACTCGCTGGTGTCGTCGATCCTGTGGTGTCCTTGGGTGCCGCGACTCTTACTGCCGGCAGATGGCGCACGCGTGCTCCACTTGTGTGTCAGATAAAAATGGGATACGCGAGTCCTCGCTCCCTTCCTGTTTCAGCGTTTTTCCACAGAAGCTTTTTAGATAGATAGCCTCGACGTTGCAAGTGCAGTCAAAAGCGCTAACGAATTCGTTCATAGTTTCAGGATGCTCAGAAGCGCGCTTTCCGAAATGGCTCCGTCGACGCTTTGTAGCGGGAAATTGTTCCCTCATTCGCATCAGGGTGATTTGCGACGCCCTCGGACAAACTTGTGTAAAACAACCGATATCATCATCGAATTCTTGTGCACGAACTTGTATTCTTCTTCGTCTACCGCGAGTAGTATACTCAAATCACTGATACTTCACGTCTTCGATCTTTCTGTTGACATGTAACTCGCGGGTGCAGCAACGTGCGCAGCCGGATTGACGACGAAGAAACACGACGTCATCGTTTGATAACTTCTTCACAAGCGCATACCACCTATGCGTTCACTGAACTTGCCACGTCAAATACTCTATTTCGTCCGGGAGAAAAATCAACCTCTCTCATAGTGGTCATCGATTCGTCTGCTTTCGACGGCCGTTCGATACCCCTCGCGGGATATGCTTCCAGTGGCTCCTGTTTCTTCTGTTTCCATGAAAAAAGGTCTCGCACCTGGACCCGAGTCATCGCAGCGACGGCTTTTTTAGAGCGTGCATGACTGCTTTGCGTCGAGAGAGCGAAGACAGATCCATTTTTCTCGACCTGTTCTCCGACTTGGATTTCGCTTCTGTTACTTGTTTCATGGTGAACAGCATTGTGCTTATTGGAACCTCTGTCGAAAAAGGCAGCGTGTGCTTGCGTATGCGCCCGATACAATACGCACCACGGGAATCGCCCAGAAGAAGCCCCTGATCGTATAATGTTGAGGCGTGTGCGGAGACGGAGGAATGCATCACCACGAGCCTGTTGTACTCGTTATGTACCGAAGGATGAAGCGTGTCTCCATATGGCACAGGGCGGCGCTCTGGGAAGCGGTTCTCGCCGACCCATGAGAACAGCCAAGTGTTGCAGCTGAGACGGTCGCACCGAGTCTATCGGCAAAACAAGATGAAAATGGTAAGCAATGCGAAGAGCGTAGCTTTTGGCTGTGCTTGACATGCGTCGACTGGAATACGAAGTGGCGAGCTGGTCACTTGAACACTACACTGAGCATGCTTGTACTCATGAAAACAGTGCTGGAGGCAAAGGAGAAACTGGTGTATTGTACGCCGGATTTACGAGAGGAAAAGCATGCAGTCAATGAAATAGTAAGCAATATCTGGTGTTGATAACTGGAGTAAGAGACCCCAAATCTAGCGTTTACATTCGAGATAGCCGGACGCATCCTTCTCGTTTCATTCTGGCACGGTTGTAGCAGCGAAAGATGCATGGAAAAGGGTACCTGGCTGTACGACGAGCGCGTTGTATACGACCTCTGCCTGACAGCCTGCCGGACTGGACACGAGAACGGTTCGCGTTGTGCAAGTCGTACCATGCCCTGCTGTGCTGAGGTCGTCGACCCGCACGGTGTCGCATTCGTTCGGAAACCAGATGATTCTTATCTTAACTGAGCGCTTTTTAGGTTTTATCCCGTTGGGATTACGCCGGTTCATCTGCGGGGCCTACCGCTTTCCCTGCGAGCATGTTCCGCAGCGATGACACTTCTGGCTGGTACTGGAAACTGCGTGGTGTCTCGTAGTCGTCCAAGACGGAGTAACGCGGCACTGATCCCGTTACAGACCCAGCGTTGCCGTGTCGTGCCGTGCCGTGCTGTGCCGTGCCCCGCAGAGGCGACCTGGCTGCACCCATGCGATGCGTACCGGTCACTGTCAAGCTTGGATATCGCTCTGTCTGTTGCAGTGAATCCGATTCCTCGTTTACTGCACGTGTTCAGGGCCAGGTCCCGTCCCGCCGGGAACGCAGCGCTGGACGAGGACGCATCACGAGTACTAGCTTGCTGCGTTGCTATGCAAGTGATGCGCTTCTGGCCACTGCCGGAGCGCCCTGAACGCTAATGCGTATGCGTTGATGGATAGGAGGCATTGGGTCCAATGTTCCAGCGTCAGGGTCTCTTTATCGGCCACGAATTACGCAATTAGCGTCCATGTCGTGGGCGTTTCACCAGTGCCGCAGATGTTCCTGTTTTCTGCTCTTGAAGTTGTCGCGCAACGAGCTCGTCATACAGCCGCTGCTTCCTCCGACTGAGCAGCATTCGCTGTCGATGACGCTGCTCTGCGAGCTTCTTCTCCACGGCAATGGGTGTCGTGCCCGCATGTTTCGATTTGGTATACTCAGGAACATCACCATCATCATCGGAATCGGAATCGGCGGCGTCCAGCGTCGCCTCGTGGTCACTATCGACAGCATCAAGGGGTCTCTGGGACGCTGCAATCTCGGGATTCGTCTGGAGATGATTGGTATGCGAGTCAGACCCGGAAGCCACAGATGCTTGTGGCTCTTCAAGCCATGCTAATTCTTTGGGTAAAGGAACGCTGGTGGCGCCGGTCTTCACGCGCTCCAAATAGAGGCGATATGCGGGGCGCTGCACTTCGGCACTGCTCGCTGCATCCGTATGCTGGAGTCGCTGGCGTGTCTCCTCCTCGAGTTCGGACTCCCACGGGCTCAGATGCGGTGGCAAGCGACGCCCAACGCGATATAACCATGTTGGTAAACGAAACGCTTCATTGATCGAATCGAATACCCATTGAGGTTGGATATACTCCCGATCCAAGCGTCTGCTGGGCAGCATTTCGAGTGGACGATCAGCAATCACATAGTGAATACGATCGTCATCAATAGTCAGCGGCGATGTTGACGTGCATGGACTCTCATAGCCAACGGCTTCGGCGCCGCAGGCGTAGAGTACCATTTCCAAGATGTGAACGGGTGTCTCACGATGTACGTAAAAGTAGAGACCCCGGAAGAGATTCGCTAGCGTATCCCTTGAATGATCGGTTTGGGCAAGGCCGTCCACGAGTGAAGGCGGCGGAGCAGTTGTCTCGGGAGAATGCGTCCCCTGGTTGGAGACCGTTTCCAGCGCCTCTTCATCGACATCGGTGCCGTTTTGTACTTGCTGCGACGCTGCTGCTCCTGTGCCCGTTCCCGCGCTTGCCAGTCGCAGAGCGCCTGTGCTGTCGTGCATGTTCGAATCCGTGGAGTCCCTGTTCGAGCGCGAAACCGAAAGCGGTACATCGATGCAATTTGACTCTGGAATAGGCCCTAACTGCGCCAATGTGCGAACTTCCATCATTTCGCGGAGAAGCGCCCCGCGCGACTCTGCGTTGCGATCGACGCGCGGCGGGTACTCGACCCCTAAGACCCGACGATAGAGTCGAAGCAGCACAAAGTGGAGCAGTGCCTCATGGAACTCGAGGAACGTGCTCATAACTTTCAAGTCGACCGAAGGCGGCACATACTGAACAAAACGATGCGGCTGCGACCAAAGTATCCGTACACCCTCTATTTGAGCTTCGAAATAGAAACCTCTGACACTCGCAAATAGGCGGCGCAGGTGACCTGGTCGCAGCATCAGAAACAGCTGCCATTCTCTGGCTAACCGCGCACAATTTTCCAGTCGTGCCGGGGGGAAAAGCCCCCGACTGACACCGCGTCGCCCATCGCCCGGTCGAGATATTTCGGCGAACGTGTGCACCATCGTTAGCGCATCATCAAGCTCAGCAAGCGCATCCGTAAACGATGGATAGCGTTCGCGTATTAGATGCTCGAGCGAATAAACCGGTGACGATCTGGCCGCCAGAGCCGCCTGGGAGAACTCGCCACGCGCCAGCGCTCGCCGGTAGCGGCGTCGGAAGGCGGCCAACTCACGGAACTTGTTGATTAAAGGCTCGTGCGCAAGGAACTGGATATCCTTCTTCAAATAGTATGTCCGCCGCGGCCCCTCGAACTTGTTCCGAGGATCTCGTGGGAATTTGCCCTTTAGGATGCAGAGTCGGCGAAAGTCGCTGAGCGAGAGCTGCAGCATTCGCAGTGCTTTCGCTCTGGTAACATAGGTGGCAGCGGCCCCGCTTGTGCCTTTTTTATTCCGCTCTGCGACCATGGTTGCCGTTTCGCTCGCCGAGATCAGCTGGGACGCTCGCACGGTAAGCGAATCAGGGCCTACCCGGTTCCGTCGAATCTGCTGGAGCGCGTGGTACCCGGCTTCGTTGTGGCTCAGTGGACCCCGCACCGCCGAAAAGGTATACACCACTGACAACTCCCGTGAGCGCAGCCACAAAAATTAGATGAGGATGTCGAAGCACAAACGGTTTGTAGCGCGGAGTCACCCGGATAACCGTGGAAACACTCGGCACGACGGGTTCAGTTGCTCCAGCACGCTCTTGACGACGACGCAAGCGGGCCCAGCGCGGACGCGGCATAGCGTCGAAGAAGTACCGACGCGATGCGCATGGGTCTTGCATACGAACTGTCCTTATCGGCCAGGTGCGTCTATAAATGTACATATTGTACAAGATGAGCCAAACCGGTTCATGCTGCGCGGGCTATCTCGACTGAATCGCCCGAGCTGCTTCATCGAACAGTAGCTTGCAAGTTTTGCTGTCATTGTTAGAACCGTGTCAGCGTGGAAGTGGACGCATCAGCTTGGCCAACTCGAACGGTCACGCGACTGCTTGGCCAATTTCCTACGCTCAGCAGCACTAGATTTTTTGGACTTTTTTCCTGCCATGACATCCTTGTCTTGTCTCTGATCCCGGGCTTTTAACCTTCCGCCGGTCTCTTCTATCAATCCAGCTCCGCTGTCAATAGTCGAAGGATGCTGATGGTAGCGTTCAAGCTCAGATCTGGGTGCTTCCGGCTTTTGCCTACGCCTTTCAGGTCCGGACAGAAGTTACGAACTACGTTTCGCTTGCCATTTTCACCTTCGTAGCATACAGGCCGGATACGCCTTCTCCAGTGGTGCCACTTGGCCGAGGTCAGGTATTGCCATATGTCTACCAGAACGCTTCGTCCTCCGAGCGCTGCCCCGTGGCACGTGGATGCATGCTTCATGGCCACGTACGCGACCTCGGCGGATTCAGAAGCTTCCGCTCGATGCGCTGCTCCCTTGCCCCGCCTGATGCGGTACCAGACGACAGCAGGTTTCCTCAGAGCGACTTGCTGAGCGAGTGCTCAGTTTGGTGCACGCGCAAACGCATGCTATTGCATTGGACGGTGGATTTACGGAACAGGATATTGGCCATGATGAAACAGGTATCGGAACGAACATCAACGCTGGGGAACAAGTCGAGAAACTTCGATGCCCCTGCACTCGCTTCACATCAATCGGTGACGTAGTCTCCACGGGACTTGATCGCTGCGATGCCCCAAGCCCGAGTCCGAGGTCCCTTGTTCCATGCAAACAGAAGAGACGGTAGCCTCTGGGCGCGTATCCCCTGAGAGGCCGTAAGCACGTGTCGAGCGCCGTTTTGCCGATGGTAAGCATGATCGGATGATTTGTCTCTCAAGCGGAATACATTATTTGACGTGGCAAGTTCAGTCATTTTTTTATGATCTATTCATCACGTCCTCAATGAACGACGTCGATCTTTCTTTTTCTTCAATCCCGAGGCACGAGTCGCTGCGCCTGCAACTTGCCTTGAAACAGAAGGATTCAACAGTTGAAGCATGTGTGATTAGAGATGCTGCACGGAAAGAAGCTGGAAGAATTTATGCTCATGCGAATGATTTGGATCATGATATCGGCTAGTTTACGAATCCTCGTTCAACAGCGCGGCGAATGGCCCTGATGCCGGTGACGTAACGAACTCCATCGGAAAACGAGTCAAATGAAGCACTTTGAAACTGGCTTCCGAGAACTCCAAAGCTACGTACGAACCCCTAAGCACTGCTAGCTGCACTCTGTATCCCGAACCAGTGCATGTAGGAAAGTTCAGAATAATAGCCATGCAGGTATAGAGCGAGCAGCTCATTGATCGATCTCGATCTGCCAGCGGTGTGGCGTGTCAGTACGCCGCGGTCGCCCTGCGGGATAAAACAACGGCCAGAGCGACATCAGCCGCAGTTCTTACCAGCTACGGTTGCATAGACGAACTTACAAGAGTGTAGCGCTTCGCACTGAAACAAGCAAGGAGCGCCGGTTCGCTAAGGGTCGCACTTCACCGGCTCTCATGGTTCCTCAGCAGACGCCACCAGACGACCAAGCGCAGCCACGTACGTTCCACTTTAGCGACAAGTTGGAGAATCACCTGCGTCGAGTGGATGATCCAGGTCTGCGTTGGTGTCAACGTCGCGTTGAAAGTCGTCTGCGGTATTGGTTAGCACTTGCGCTCACCGCCATCACCACTGTGGAAGCTGGTGTTCTCTTTACGTTCGTCTTGTGCGGGGCCGGCTTTTGCAGACAAGCCTGCGTTTGGAATATGCACCTGCTCGTATTGAGTCTGGTCTCTCAAGTTCCGAAGCGCTTTATCTGGCGAAGCCGGCCGCACGTGCAACAGCGTGCCGTTCCCCTGCGGAGAGACCGAACGTCTTCGTTCCCATCGAGGGGAGTCACGTGTGCCTGGGTATACCCCGTGGCCCTGATTCGTGCTTTTCGGTGCACACAACCCGCAACGCATATGAGCCGTACTCAAAGTTTTTTCCTGTCTTGCGTATTCGTTGGTTCGGCGACACTGCTGACATTGGCTACAGCCTGGGCTCGCGTCTTTCTCGGTGTACATTTCCCGACGGATACGATTGCAGGTTTCCTTCAGGGCCTACTCATTCTCGCGCTAGTTCCCCGGCAATACGATGCATTTTGTCCCCAGATGCGTTCGATATGGGTCGCGCTACGGAACACGCCAAAGTCCTTGGATGGCCTGCGGTTCGTAGGTATGACTGCTGTCGGTGCCCAGCTGCTGCTGATCGCTGAACTACCCCGCCTTCAACTCTGGGGCAAGGCATCCTTCGTCTTTGGGGCCGAATGGAGCATGATCGCTCTTGGTGTAAGCGGCTTGCGATTCAGGCCATTTCGGCTGTCATGGGAGGTCCGTCTACTTGGCGCCCTGATCAGCGCGGTTTACGGAGCCGCCACTCTGTTCACAGCCGCGTTTTTCATTTCCGAACAACAACGCCATCAACGGTCTCCTAAGCGACATCACCAATCCCAGAGATGGCTAGCCATACCACACTTGGCGATTTTCCTCTCCGTATATGGTGCTGGTGTCCTGTTTTTTTGGATTGCTCCGAAAGTGCTCTCAAAATTTGAGTCATTTGTCGGATGACGCATTCGCACCGCATACATAAGGTTGCCGAAGAGCGCTTACAAGCACCGCGCTTCAGATTCTGCTCAGAACTGTCCAATGATTGGACACCCAGTATGAATGCAATGCGTTTGGTATCCACGCCCGTCAGCGGAGACATCGCAGTGACAACCCAGGCACAGAGCCACGCAAGCGTGGCTGGAAAACTTTGGGATGACACGCAAGCTTTCTCACTTCCTAGTCTACGGGGAGCATCCAGAGGATGTAACGATACGAGATTCTCGGCATAAGGTTTTGATGCCAACGACGCGCCGAGTTTCGTAGACACCCGTGTTGGCTCTCGAATGCATAAGAGAGGCATCATGACGAATTCGACATATTCCTTACGCGATTTGTCCATTATGTTTCGTTCTGCGAATATCCCAGCACCGATACATGAGGTCCCTGGAGCAGGACGCTGGTCTCAGCCTCGATTCGCCACAACACTCAAATCGGTATCAGGGGCTCTGAGTTCCTGGAGTCTCAGAGCCCCGTCGTTCTCGCCGCAAGCTGTCGAGGTGGGAGCGGTAGAGAGCGCGCACTCTTTCATCAGCATTTGGTGGCAAGTACGATTCTAACTCAGGATCAGACGTCTCGATTGTTTCCGCTTCCCAGGTCGCCTCGTATTGGTCACTAACACAAACGGGGCACGTTATCTGCTTGCGACCTTTGCAGTATGAACACGGAATCGTCCGCCCCAGCACGCCTCTCCCGCCACAAACAGGGCATTCAATCACGCTTTTTCCCGCACAAGTGGGACACTTCGGCTCCTCGGCACAGGCCTGAACGTACCGCATTAGTCGAGTGGCGTGGCGGGTACCGCTGCTCACACCGCGTCGACCAGACACACTCGTGCGCGACTGGAAGCGCTGTACACCGTACTTACGACGTGTAGTCCATTGCTTACTTGGAACCCCGTAAAACACGGTTTCGGCGTAGGCGAGGCTCTGTTCTTTACCTACCCACGAACCGGAGCGTCCCATTTCCAACAAAGTCGAGTACGTGACTCCGTTCACATGACAGAGGGATCGCACGGTGTAGCGGATGTCCGCGGAGTCAGGCTTTGTTTGTGGCCCTGCGCCAGTCACCTGAGCAAGAGCGCTGGGGTCTCGTTCGCACTGTCGGCGATCCGCAGCTTCAGTTCCAGCTCATATGTCCCATGATACAAGGGATAGATGATACGTCCGCTCCGTTGCAGGTATGAGCGTTACGTGGATGCGTGAGGTTGATGCTCCCACACCAGACGCTGGTTGCACGTGAGCGGGGCGCTGGTATGACTCACCGACTTATATTACGCGAGCTGTATCACGAACGGGGCATTGCTCTGAGAGGGTTCGTCCAGTTTGGATGCTGACGCAGAGTCCCTGTGCCTCATGCAAGTGCCTGGATGATATGGATTCCTCGTGAACGAGTCGCGAAAAGCACCTCGCCTGGTCGAGCCCAGGACTTGAAGCGCTGGGGCGACGATTCCATGCTGCGTGATCACTTTGGTCACACTCACTGAAACAGTACAAACTGAATGCATTCGTCTCTGGTCTGTGCGATACAGCCGGGGCTCGAGCGCCCCGTTCTGTGGCACCTTGCTCTGTACGCGGTCGTGGTACAGAGCCCTGTGCATGCCAGTCTGCGCTTCTCATTCCCGCGTATGCGCGTTGCATCCGGGAGACATGTCGCTCGGGGCGAGCTCGGCTTTTGTAGGGCGGAAGCGGCGACACTTCGAGCGCCTGCATACCAGCGGACCCGCTGCATCGCGAGTCGATGCCCTGCAAGGCATCAATATGCCATCGGAACTCCGCATGATAAAGCCGCGTCAGCGTATCCAGCGCCACAGCAATCGCATGAGTGAAGCTCTGAACCCACCGGGTCGCTGCATCTGACCTTCGTTGCGGCGGAGAATATCGGACTGGGCTGCGAAATGACAGAATCTTCCCCGTATGGGTAGAGCGATCCAGTACAGGGGTATCGGCAGAGATCGCACACCGGCGAGTCTGCGGACATCGCTCGAAATGATGCCACAGAGTAGAGCCCGGCAGCTGGAGCTTCTCTGCATCGGGATCGCATTTCCCTAGATAGTATTGAACTGATGCAAATGAAAAAGAGTGGCGTACGTAGAGGAACCAAACTGCAGACGATGGGTAGCGGCAGCGTGCCGGCATTTCGGCAACGCATTGGAAATCCGTCGATCTTCGTTTTCTAAGGATGCACGATGGTTTTCTGTAGCCAGAGATGCCCGATTGCAAAATAATTATCGGTATGTGGCACAACGTCCATCATTCCGTACTACACCTCAATTTCCCGTCGCAAGCTATTGGTCGGGACGAGGTCCAGAGAGCATGCAGCCGTCGAAATGCGTTCCGGATCTGCTCGAGCACCACGCACCGCATAGCATCCCTTGTTGACGTTTTCTGGTCAGAGAACATTGACGGTGATCGACGCTTCCCGTCCGAGTTGGCATGATGTCGGTATGTACCATACGCGTCGCCGCGACGCGTACTCGAGTTGTGAGTCGCTCGCACACCGCCAGTCCAATGGATAACGGTAGCAGAGACGCACCTGGGACATCCACATCGGAATTCCAGAATGCAACGTACCGCGGGGACGTTCTTACCGGATTCCGCTCAAGTCAGCAAGTATCCAGAGAGATCCAAGAATGCATGCGAAAGAGGCACATGTGCGGAGATCACCACATTTCCGGTTTCCTAGCACTCCTTTGTACCTTGCGGGTGCAAGAGAATCCATCATGAAGCACTCGATCCGCAGACCAGTGGGTAAAGTGCGACCGCTCACGCGTACGGTATGCAAAAAAAGGCTGCGTAGGGATTCTAAAGCGTAGCGGGATCCAGAGCCTTTAGGAACAATGCGAGGCGGCCGGCATCCAGACGTGCAGTTGCTATCGAAACCTGTCAAGGCGTTTAGCCAGATTTGGTCTCGTCCCTGTGGTTCAAACAGGTTGCTTCGTGGGCAGGAGCTCCGGGCATCCGACCAAAGGCGACCGAATCGATCCGAATGCAACTTTGTCATATTTATGGATTTTTTCACCACAAAAATGAATCGTTCGTGAGGACTTGGAGCGAGCGCCCCGAATACGCGCTCAATGGATGCGTAGGCACCGCGGCGATCGAAGAAGATATACGGGTCATGGAACTTGAACGTAGCGTGTAGCATGATAGACGCGTTCCCCGAAATCCGACGATCCATCCAGCAGTCCGGTATCGATAGCCAGTAGAAACGCTCTGTCCAACATAATCGACCGTCTCTCAGTATCTTCTTGGCGAAGTATGGGTCATGGAACTTGAACGTAGCGTGTAGCATGATAGACGCGTTCTCCGAAATCCGACGATCCATCCAGCAGTCCGGTATCGATAGCCAGTAGAAACGCTCTGTCCAGTAAAAAAGTAATCGGAGCGATCGGCTTTATCACAGTCCAGAGGGCGCAGCGTCCGTTGATCGGAGACTGTGTAGAAAAATTGGCGCTGATAACGCTCATCATTTCGGGTATCTACCAGTTGCGTGATACTGTTTTCTACAACTCCGTGACCTTCAAGTTGAACGCTCCTGCGGGTACTCAGAATCGTATTCGTGTCATGTTCTTGGATACGCCTCAAGCGAGACGCTGAGAACGTTGCTCACGAGCAAGACTAGCGGAACGGAAGCGCTGCGCGCTGGCTAAGCACCAGCGCCGGGAACCTGCATCCGCTCCACCGTCGCGACGTGCACCACTGGTCTAGGTACCCGCGTTTTCATCTTCGACATCGTCTTTGTCTTTGTCAGCGAACATCGCTCCTCACCGCCAGATTCCATCAGTCATGGTAGAAGTATGGCGTGTCTTGTTCGCGATCGTCTGTGTTTGCTTCTCCGCTATGTTTGCCGGCCTGACACTGGGAATGCTCACTCTCGATCTCTTCGATTTACGCATAATCGCAGAGTCGGGAACGGTTCGTGAGCGCGAACAGGCGCGAAGAGTCATGAGCGTACGCAAGCACGGTAACTATTTGCTCTGCACGCTGCTTACCGGAAACACAGCTGCGAATGCGCTTTTCTCTATTCTGACCGCGGAGCTAACCAGCGGCCTTATCGGCTTCGTCATTTCCACACTAGCAATTCTCTTCTTCGCCGAAATCATTCCCCAGTCTATCTGCCACCGGTTCGGGCTACGCATCGGAGCGGCCATGGTCTGGCTGGTGAAAATCTTCATGATCGTGCTCACCCCGATTTCCTTTCCCACAAGCCGCATTCTTGACTATTTTCTCGGAACAGAGCCAATTACGCGTTACAATAAGCGCGCCCTCAAAGCGCTTCTCAGCATTCAAACTAGAGATAATGCGATCGCAGCTGCAGCTGAGACAGTGCAGGCCGAGCGACAGCGGAAGGCGCTCAAAACACGGCGACGCCGTCGTCGAAAGAAACGAGGTAGTGTTCAGAACTCACCGGTAACTTCCACTGGGGAGCATCCGCGAAGCTCGAACGAAACTGCTCCGGGACACGGCAAGTCGCTCAAGGATGCGATGAGACGCGCCTTTCGTAGCCGGTCGAGCAGCGAGCGTGCGTCTACGGAGAATCCCACTCCAGAAAGCGAAGCGGAGTCGGGCGCGCTGAGAGTCACCGGCACAGCGGATGCGATGTCGAGCAAGCTGGACGCATGGTCAACAGCGCCTGCAGACGCGCTCGTCGATGTCGAGCGGGGTGTTTCACCTTCACCGGCTGATGCGCGGATTATCGCCCGTCCTCCAGAGGCGAGCGTCATCGGTGGTCGGGACTCGGCCTCGATTGTTGCCGGTGCAATTGGTGCCACGTACGCGGCAGCAGCGTCCAAGGCAAGCACTGAGCAGATCACCATGGAGGAGGGCCTGATCCTGAGCGGTGCTCTGGAATTTGCTGCCAAAACAGTCGAGCAGATTATGACGCCGCTGAATAAGGTTTTCATGCTGAGTGGCAAGGATCGACTGGACTTTAAAACCATGGCCAGCATCTTCCAGTCGGGACACTCACGTATTCCAGTCTACCTTGGAAAGCGCTCCAATATAACGGGTGTCATATTCACGAAGGATCTCATTTTGATTGACCCAGACGATAATATACCGGTATCGGCGATCTTGCTGCTCTTTCGTCGCGAGTTGCGTCGAGTCGTTGCGGATGTGCATCTCAACGTGCTGTTGAACGAGTTCAAGACGGGTCGCGGGCATCTCGCGATCGTTCAGCGGAGCAGCTCCGACGAAGCCGTCGGCATCGTGACCCTCGAGGATGTGATCGAGGAGATCATTCAGTCAGAAATTGTAGATGAAACGGACGTGTATCGGGATAACGTGCGGGATGAAGTCGTTGTCCGCAAACGCCGCATCGACGCGGATTTGCTGCGGATGCTGGATTCCACGCCCCGGTACGAGACGCACTTGACGGCCGGTGAGGTGTCCATTATTGCCTCCTTCTTGGCGAACAACTTTGCACGAGAATTTGGGGAATCAAAAATGAGCTTTCATCAATTGGAACATCTTTTGGCGAATTGCACCATCGCTGAATACGACCGACCCGGAGCGCCTATCAACGGCTTGGCTGAGGACGAGCCCTCACACCGAGATGCCATCTCCGATACTGCTGGGGCTAGTGACGACGATGCTTCTATACGCAAAGCGCCTGAGGTCACCGTATGGGACCTGGACGGCACGCGCAGTGCTGGGAGCAGCCCTGCGTGGATGGCCAGTCGGGGTCTGGACTTTGCCGCCGCCACGGGACGATCCTCCGGACGCAGTTTCGGTAGCAAAGAGGAGCACCATACGCTCGCTGCTCGGCGTTCGATACCGCTGAGTGCTGCCTCTGCAGATGACTTGACAGAGCGATCGGCTGATTTCTACATCTACAAACGAGGTGTACCGTCGCATCACGCCACCCTGATCCTGTCGGGGCACGTGGAAATCATGTGGGATCGACGAAGGCGCATCTCTGAGACAGGGCCTTGGACGCTTCTCGCGCGAGAAGCTCTCGAAGATGAGCTCTACGTTGCAGATTTTACTGCGCGTGGGGTGGAGTTTCCGCTGCGCTTGTTGCGTATCCCTACCCGTCTCTATCGGCGATCGATACGGTTGTCGGCGGAAGAAGCCGCCTCGCCTCAGGCTGGTGTGAAAAGCAGCGCTTCCTGAGCAGCACCTGTCATGGCCCTCTGGTGTGCAGCGCATAGCTCTGGGCTGAACGCACGCTGCGCGCGTGTGAAGCACTGCAGATACTCGGACCGTGCAACCGCACTGAGCGACGCCAATGCTGCCTGGAAACGAATCTGGTATGAGTTCGTCCAGATGCTGCTGCACGATGATGCTCAACGTTCGATGAAGGATCCATGACCGGTACGATGCGTGGATTCGCTGCATCGGACATGAACTTTGTGGTTCTTGACGACCGCTTAGCGTCTGCTGGGGGATCATGGTCGACGCTCGCTGACGTTTACAAGAAAGACACGGGATCTGGATTCGCAAAAAGTCGCTGCGCAAGTGCACGCTGATGCTGATGTGGACAAGCGCGTTATCACAGGTGACAACGCCTCGGACATGTAGGGTCTCATTTTCCAAGCCGAGTGTACCCATACGGCAGCAACTTTGTGGACCGAAGCGCCGAAGGAATGTATAGCTTCTCAAAGAGAGCGTTTGTCACGACAGTTGCCCGCGTGCGGCGGATAGCCACGAAATCTACGATTCGTAAATACGTCAAGTTGGACCGCACAGAGCCCATGTAAACGCTTCAGATGCCACGGTGGCAAAGTCAGCTCCGCAGACACTCGGGCTCGAGCACGGTCTCGGAGCGCAATCCCTCTATTGTAGTATTGGCGCTTGGCGAAACGTACTGACTGCTGATCGAAAAGTGATGTCCTCTTTTCACGTCGCTTTCATTCTCGCGCTAATGACGACTGTGCAGTTCAACCGTCCATGCTTCCGAGTGAAATCCTGTGATCGCTCTTGCAACCGTTGCTGCCGTATGCAGCGACCATGCCCGAAAAACACCAAACTTCGGTCGTTTCACATGACCGCTCATAGGAGAGTACACCGATCCACTGCCACCGGTTCACAGAGCGAGACGCCTGTTCAAAGGCACGGTCCAAATGGCTCCAGGCAACCTTGGGGATGCCGGGGACGGGCTCCTTGCCTAGGTTGCTTCAGGCGTCGAATCGAATCCGGCATCCGGCATCCGATTCGATCCGACCGACCCGAAGCGTAGGTATTCGCTGGAATATCCTTGCAAAGTTGCTACCGTTTTTCGGCAGTCACACATAGACACACACACACACACACAGAGAAGTTTGAGGCACCTCTACGTGCCGGTGCATGACAGAATGAATCCACGTCGATGACGCGTCTCGCTGCGAGAGCGCCCTGCACACGATGGGCTCTCCGTACACCGCCCGCTACGACAGCGCGCTGCTGCAGTCCATGCGCCAGCACTGCTGCTCCGCCTTCTCCGCTAGAGATGCACGTGCTCGGGCGTCGCTGAATCATCGGCATCCTTGCGATAGTACTCGATGAGAACGCGAGCAACACACTCGCGCATGACACGACTATCGGGAATGCGTCCTGCTCGAAGCGTTTCGCGCATTTTTGTACCGCTAATACTAACCGGTGTCATTCCTGGGTGCTCCTCAACCAGGCCGACACGACCTAGCTCTTCAAAATACGCAGCATAACCCACGGGAATCGCTTCAATCGCCAGCTTGCCACCCAGGCTGCGGAAGATGCGCTGGGCCTCAAAATCATCCCAAATGGGGGTCTGATCATCGTACGGGGCATCGGCGTGTTTGCGTCCTACAATGAAATGCGTGAAACCCAGGTTCTGTCGATAGATTGCGTGCATGACGGCCTCGTTGGGTCCAGCGTAGAACATGCGCATGTCGAGGCCCACCAGATGCAGCTGCTCGTGCAACGACTGTCCAGCTCGCTTCCAGACGTCCTCGTTTTGGTCACCTTGGCCAAGCACGCGCTGCTCTACCAGATTGATGTACGTTTGCATGCGAACAGTCGCTGGTACATCGTCCGACTTGAGCTCGCCCACAAGCGGATTCAAAAACACGCCCGTGTATCGCTCGGGATGCGCGGAGAGCAACTGTTCCGCCCCGTGAACCAGCGCATATTCATGCGCGCGATGCAGTGGGTTGCGCGTCTGGAATGCTACTGTCTGCTCGAAGCCTCGATGTTGAATGAGCTCTCGGACCTGTAGTGGTCCTTTGATGTACGAGGCGAACGGGCGCGGGTCGGGTGCTGGTTCAAACATACACAGCGAGCCGCCGAGGCTGAAGCGCCGGCTGTCACCTGTCCACAGTCGAGCGCCCGGGTGATCTGTGCGTTCCGTTCTATAAACAATGCGTAAAAAACGTTGTAGATCGCGCTCATATATCGTTTCCACGGTCAAGACTCCTATAGCGACGCTGTTTTCGTCACGAAGGACGACCTCATCGCCGACTTTAATTCTGGCGGCATCCTCTGCGTCAACAGGTAGAAAGATGGGAATCGTCCAGGCGTAGGCTTCCCCGTGCCGCACGATGCACGCACGCTCGAGAACGCTCTCGTAGTCATCGACGTTCATCGGCCCGGTAAGAGGTGACAGGGTTCCGTCCGCTATGCGGTGAAGCGTCGTGCAGTCCGCGCTGCTAACCGCAACGGACGGGCGGCTCAAGAGTGCCTCCACCGGCAGCCGGTTCCCGTACCGGTTCACTGGCTCGGCCAGTCCACCGTGAACTGGAGCTGTAACCATTTGATCGTGCTTTTGATAGATGGAATAAAGCAGAGCTGGTCAAGAAACCAGCCAGCCTTACGAAGTGAGCACCAGGCGCCAATATTCGTTGAAGCCACTCCCGGTACCCGTTGCGGCAAAAATGGGACGCTGCCGTTACGCTCCGCTGCGATGTTCTCTCCGATGACAAAACGTTTCCATTGACCGTCGGTTGCAGACTCCGAGATCGGTACTGGCTTGTGGGAAAGTGTCCACTATGACGCACTCCACCTCCAGGTTCCATTAAGTGTACTTCCTTTCGCATGGACTCGTTGTATTATACCTTCTATGGTCGGCCGAGCGCATGCCTTGCCGCATCCGCATTAGCGCCTAGACCGTTGGGGCGGATGCATCCCGGAGACAGCACGGCTTTGCCGTACCACTGAGGGCGTCAAGTCCAGGTGCGCTGGACTCGACACGGGATCAGAGTACGTAAGCTTTCTAGGAGTCAGCCGTATATGCTCTGGAAGACTCAGTTCCGGAGAATGAGGTCAGGCAAGGAGACTAGAAACACTGACGTCAGGTTTCCACTATCCTTTTGGTAGAACGTCCACGAATTCGAGGTCGAGAGCAAAACGAGGCGATCCGACGATCTGACGCATTTCTTGTTCTGGTTGCGACATCGCTCCGAACGAGAATCCACAACGAGCGCTTCCACGGGCAGCTCTTCGTTCACCTGAATCGTTACGCCAAGAAGCTCTTCCATCAGTGCCTGCTTTTCTGGTCCACTTAGGTTACAGAAGAACTGGCTAAACGGGTACGACGACGGGTACGAGTGTGCCTCATGTAGCGTTCGGCACATGGAACCGCGTACGGTTTTAGTTTCTGCGGTTTGCCTTATATATATGGCGTCTGCATAAGGTATGTACCGACCGCAGGGGTGGCGTACCAGCGCTTCAAGATAATATGGCGAGCGTCTCGGCAAATCCCTGATCCTTCAGTCAGGCCAGATTGTATTTCCTGTCCCGAGTATCAGTTTTGTTATCGCATGAATATTTGTGCACAAAATCTCTAGAGGAATGCGGACCGGTTGCAGCCTTGCATCCGGAACCCCTGAACGACAAATTGCTCGTCGAGGTGCTTGTAACTGAGCAAAGCTGGCGAGCCTTCGTCCTGCAAAATGCTACAAAATTTTTCACGGCGCCCTGTATCTCTCAATATTACGGATGCGAAGAGCTGATCTATGGATTCGGAAGCACAGAAATGGCGTTTGGCAACAGAGAGGGCGCATTCCACTCGGGTGAACACGGAAGAGAATGCTTGCATGAGAGGCGGCTCACCGCGAATTACAGCTTCGTCGTCCTTGAGTCCTGGCGCTTGGTGGAAAGTGACGTTTCCTGTCAACGGGAAAGAGGCATATGGGATGGAGAAGCCAAGACGTGCTTCGACGAAGGAAGAGCTATTGGACGATCCCGTCCGTTTGGTGTGAGTTGTCGGCGACCCTACGATTGAATCGTCGATAACGCCGATGCTGTTGTAATTCCTGTTTGTCTGCGGTATGCGAAAAGCGGTTCGCTTCTCGCTGAGTACCCGTGTGCAGGTCTACACTATCTCCGGAATGAGGGCTGATCCAGTGAGAGGAGCGCCATTGTTTCTTTGCATAAACGTTTGCGTCTCAAGACGTAATCGATTCTGTGATGCAAAACGCGCGACCGTCGCCTATAGAGGCGCCCTATTTTACTTGGCCCATTCGAGTCCCTTGTTCAGCGTTCGTTTCAACGGTACGAGCACGGCATATTGTGAGGCCTCCATGGTGGTGTTTCGTAGAAAACGTGCGCAGCAGTAGACACAGACGAGGAGGCAGCTGCTACGCCAGGGCAAGATACGTTCTCTTTGGGGTGCATAACGTTCAGGATACATGCTGCGAAATGTGTGACTCATCCGCCCGGTGACGGTAGAATTACTGACTCGTGTACGCACGGTCGTTTGCAGAGGTCATCAGCGACACACCCTGGCCTTCGTGAGACCCTTTTCAAATCCATACAATAGATTCTTTTTCTTGAATACCTGCGAACCAACGAACAGAAACTAAAAGCGCGTGCAGGGACAGGCGCTCCAAAATGCATCACACTCTCAAGATAACGGTACTCCGTTGACACTCTCTAACGCTGATCTCTGGTGCTGCGTTCACTCAATAGCGCTCTTCTCCTGTAATGCACTGGAGCGGCGCTGTAAAGTCTGGAACTGGGCAACGAGCCCTGTTGAATGTCTAGGACGTCTGGCCGTACAAACAGCATATCGCAATCTGGGTATCCTGGTCTGCATCCAACGACGAGTCGCAGAGGCGTGTTCATCGCGCCCTATACGATTCGTTGCAGACTGCGGTTCCGATGTGATTTCGGAAGCTACGCAGAACAAGCTTTTCTGGAAAGAAATTTCCCGACCTCATGTCACGGTTCATATACGTGCGTTCGCAAACATCTTGCAGTCCTCAGAAGAGATAGAAGACCATTATGCACGACCCGCGCTTGCGCAGGAGCGCGTCCTCGCCACTTGGTCCGGCACCGGCACTCAGACAGGCAGGTTATCGGAGAGCAGCTCCCGTTTGCTACGATTCTAGTCTAACGGTACTTGTCGAGCTTTGGTCAACAGACGAAACACCGCTTTTCGATTATGCACCGCTCCAGAGCTCATGTATAGCGTGATGGAACCCCGCATCGGGCACGTACGCACGTTTCACCGCTCGTCGTAGACAGCAGTGCCTCCCGCAACGTCACTCCGGGACGCTGCGCTCCTCGATCAGAACTTCGAGCTGATCACCATAACCGCCCCGGTCTCGCGCAAGCCTCACTCTTCTCGCATATTTCAAGTTCCATGAGTAAAGACATCTACTGGATTTTCGCCTCTCGACAACGACTACTTGCACAGCGGAAAAGCCAGGCGCTCACGAAAGCGCCTCACCAGCAGCTCACGGGACGTCGTGGTAGCCGACGGCATACCGCCCAGAGGCGCTGGACGAGTCGCGCGGCAGGTCGCCGTGCTGCACAGGCGCTGCGTCCAGGGTGTATCGACACTTGGTGCACCAGCCCTGGCTTTGGGAGCCCCCGAGGGCACTTTCGGTGCGTTCTGAACGATCATGACCGACTCAAACTTGTTTTCTCCTAAACCGAACCAAATAGTGAGCACCACGGAGGCCTCAGAACGCGCTGACTCGCTTGGCACGAGTGCAGAGTCCGGCGCGCTGCGCAGCGACAGCAGCACAAGCCCAGGAGGAGTGGGGCGACGCTCGCCACTGGACTTGTTATCCAGCGGACGCAACGGCTACCCGAGCACAGAACTCGAGCCGGTTCAGGATGAAGAACACCTTGGTGCAGCTCTGGATCAAGCGTTGAACTATGAATTACGTATCATGGCTGGGAACTCGAACCGCGAGCTCGCTGCTGCGATTGCCCGCAACCTAAAGATCGAGCTGATGGAAGCTGATGTTCGGCGCTTCTCCGACGGTGAGATCTATGTGTCGATCAAAGAGAACGTACGGGGTAAGGACGTTTTCGTCGTCCAAGGAACTTCGCCGCCGGTGAATGACAACATCATGGAGCTGCTCCTCATGATCGATACGTTGAAGCGAGCGTCGGCGAAGCGCATCACCGCTGTGATGCCTTACTTTGGCTACGGTCGTCAAGATCGAAAGTGTGCGCCTCGAGTTCCCATATCCGCTCGCTTGATGGCGGATCTTCTCGAAGTGAGCGGTGCGCATCGCGTGCTTGCATTCGAACTCCACGCTGGGCAGATCCAGGGCTTCTTCCGGATCCCTGTGGATCATATGTATGCAGTTCCGGTTTTTGTCAGCTACCTGCTGGAAAATAATTTTGACGGCCTCGTGGATCCTGTCATTGTCTCGCCGGATGCTGGCGGTATGGAGCGCGCTCGGGCGTTTGCCAAGCGCTTGAATGCGTCGCTCGCGATCATCGACAAGCGCCGGAGCGGGCCCAATGTCGCACACGTGATGCACATCATTGGTGAAGTCCACGAGCGTGATTGCATCATCATTGATGATATGGTGGACACCGCTGGGACGTTGACTGAGGCGGCCAAGGCTCTGAAAGACCACGGCGCGAAGAAAGTGCACGCGTACGCGGTTCACCCTGTATTGAGTGGTCCAGCGCTTGATCGCATTCGCGAGTCTGCGATCGACAAGGTCGTTGTTACGAACTCAATCATCGTAAGTGATGAACGGAAGCGGAAGAGTGGCAACAAGATCGTGCAGTTACCAGTGGATATACTGTTCAGTGACTGCATCAAGCGCATCCATCGGGAGCAAAGCGTATCCTCTTTATTTGATCAGTGAGGTTCAAGAGCAATGCGTTGCACTGCAGCGAATGCGGGAACAGCTCGGCACAAGGTACGCACCTGCATGTCCTCGGCGACTTGAGTGGCACTCGGAAACGATACCTGGCAGGCGGCGAGCGTGCTTTGTACTGTGCGGGTTCACGGCAAGATCATATGCAGGTGCACGCATATGAACACTCGAATGTTTTTTTGGTGGGATCTGTCTACCAGTGTGTTTATCATGCGCCAAAAACGGCTCATTTCTATGAAAGCGCGTGTCGATTCCGCGGTATCGTTGACGCGGTGTAACTTTCAAGAAAAATACCGCAGAAAGCATGACTATGCGGCACAAGCGTCCGTTACGCCCATGTCAGGATAAAATGAATGGGTCCACTCGATTGATTCGGGCTTGCATTCTGAAATCTGGGTCGCGTCCCACTGGCATCGATACCAGCCTTGGCGGGGGTTCTGCGATTGTTTCGTTATCCTCTCCCTCGTGTCCGACCTGAAAAACGCTGGTCACTCCTTCCCCTCTGTTTCCGTTGTCGACAGTATAAGGATGCTATCGGCAGCGCTCAAGCCCTGACTTTGATGCTTGCGGCTAATGTCAACGCTTTCCATGCATAGGCGATACTTGCAATCGATACCGCGCTTGCCAGTTCCGTCTTCTTTGTATGCAGCGTCGCTGTGCGCCCCTCGCACCAGTGACACGTGCCTGTGGTCAGATGCTGCCAACTGTTCACCACCACAGCTGCCACTCCGATCGCTGCCTCGTGACGCGTGAACGCTCGGTTCATCGCTCCCCACGTGGCCTTGACGGCAACAGGAGGCTCGCCTCGATCCCATCCTCGTTTGCCGACCCTGGGGTCGCGTTCTACGTTCACGGGCGCCTGCCGCGCGATGTTCTGTTCGAGAACGCTGCTCGCTACGCTTGAAAGCGCTCGCCGTTCCATTCGATAGAGGATTGGTGGAACGCGATATTGTCCATCACGAAACGAGTGCAGGAGGGAATATCCACGCTGGAGAGCAAGTCGAGTTCCTCAGGTCCATCTACGCCCGTTTCGTGCAAGACGCTGGCGTACGCTCCACTGGAAGCGATCGTTGCGATGGCTCGAGTGCGAGCCCAGCACCCGATTCTATGCAAACGGAAGAGACGGCATCCTGTGGAAGCGCACGCCCTGGGAGGTATTTTGCGTCAGTCATGTGCCGGCTCGGCGGCGGCGGCGGCCACAAAGCAGAGGCAGACCTGTCTTTCAATCGGAGTCGATGATTTGGACACCATCAAATCGGTACAACTTTGTGCATGAGCTTCTGTATGGTCGCCAAGGGACGACATGGAGTTTTTTATTTCGTCGTCGTCGTCGTCGTCGTCGTCAATCCAGCGGCGCGAGTTGCTGCACCCACGAGTTGTCGTGAAACAGACAATATCGAAAAAGAGACGCATGCGTGATAAGCGCGTCCAACATGTCAGGAGCGGAGTATCACGCAGGCTTGTGCATATGAACCTGATCATGGTATCGGTTGATTTTGGGAATCACTGATCGGAACGCGTCGCACACCATCGCGAGTCTCCGGGTACGTAACGAACGCCAGCGGCACAGCGTCAACGGGGGCACTTCGAAAAAGCAACCGGGCATCCTATCACGTACTATACATGCTTGGCCGTTTATTCCGGCAATCTGATTGTCGAGGCTGTACATCGAATGCATCTAGGAAAAATTCGCAAGACAGACGCTGAGCGAGCAATACAATATCCGATTTTAAGCTGATACAGGTGTTTTCTCTGAACGCCCCACACGTTGCGGCCGGCGACAGTCTCGCGCTTGTCGCTCTGAGGACTCGCGATGCACGAGCTCGCAGGAACGTGCACCAGTGAGGTTAGTGAGCAAGAAACAACCTCCTGTGATCCTTTCATAAGAGGACAAATGCAGACCTTGACAGGGCGGCCCAGATACATTCGGGACTCTTCAGATCATGGACGTGGCCTTTGTGCCAATGACGCGCCCGACGGCCGCTCCAGTTCATGCAGAATCGAGGAAGGTGGACCCCCACAGAGATGCCATCAGTGACACACAAAAGTTATCCCACGAACATGGAGAGTAAACACGTAGTCTCACTCACAGACCTCTCCCAGCATTTTTTGACAGGCCGTCTGCTATCGGCTGTAGCTTCTCTTTGTACACTTCGAGGCTGAGAGGCTACTTCACAAAGGTGGTTCGCGTCAGCACCACGTATCGTATGGAATTGATGGCGGCTACGAAGTCTCGGTTCACGAACTTCTTGTATTTATTGTATCTGCTTGAACTCACCAATGCAAGGATTGCTAGAACACGTGCCCTCCGTACCACACCAGTCTCGTCATCATCCCGTGGGGCAAACACCTCTTCCCGCCTATCCCGCCTCTTCTTCTTCTTCCTCCTCGCTCTATCAAAGACCAGAAGAGGATTTTGCTCTTTCGTTTCTCTCCGGCACCCGATGACACCGGGAACTCCAGGATTCCCAAGTTACATCTCCATAACTTTCTCTTAGATTATGTATTTCTTCAAACGGACGCATTTCGAAAGCATCTTCCATACACCGCGAAATCGCATGATGAGACACGCACCTGGTGATGGAACACCATTGGGATGAAATACTACAATCAGACTAATATGGACAATTTATGAAAGCATTTTGCCGCAGTCGCCGCCGGCACGTCCCACGCGAATCCCCGGGTTGACCTCGGGGGTCCATGGCAACAGCCTCCAAACGACAGCGAGCTTGCATGTCTCTTTTTCCGTAAGTTTCACACCAACCGCAGGCCGCTGATCATGGATTCCGTGCGTCCAGATGGCCGCTCTTCCGAAGCGTTCCGACCTCTCCGTGTGGCGCTCGGCGTACTCGAACGCGCTGACGGTTCGAGCTTGCTCTCTCTGGGCGAGACTCGAGTGCTCGTGAGCGTTTACGGCCCACTGCAAAGCGAGCTATCGACTAGATCGGGCGGTGTCGCAGTGCAAACCCCCCGCGATGGCACTTGTCAGGTCACTTGGCTTGAACCGGAACCTACGCTCAGCGACATACTGACCACAACACGTGAAGCGCACCGAGGCGGCGTCCAGGGCGCACCGTACCCTGTCCTGCCTCTGTCTGCAGAGCAGGCTGCAGTGCGATCTCGAGCGACGGGCTTACGAAGACATCCTGCCACGGAGACGCTGCTGGAGCGGCTCTTTTCGTCCGTGATCATCCTAATGGAGTACGCGTCCAGTTGTATCCATGTCATCGTTCAGGTGTTGCACCATGACGGTGGAACGTTGGCCGCGGCTGTCATTGCTGCGAGTTTGGCGCTCATGGATGCGGGCGTATCGCTGCGAGGCTTCCTGGTTGCGGTGCCCATCCTGGCACGAAGCATCGATCACGAGCAGGCAGACGTAAGCTGGCTGGTAGACCCGACGCTGGCGGAGCTGCGTCAGCAAAGTTTGGGTTCCAGTCTATGGGTTGTGGATCAAACCGGAAACATATGCTATTGCCGGCTCGAGGCCCCGTTTGCCCTGGAAACTAGCGCACCAGCATCACTGTCGGATATTAACGCCAGCATGCACTTGGAGTGGCACCAAGACGCATACCGGATCGCCGCTGGTGCAGCAGAGAAACTATGCAGCTGGCTTCGCTCGGTCATGGAGTCGCAGATCAAGGACGCGTTGCCGGAGATCCAGTAGGGCAGCGTCGTATAGCATACGCACCAGTTGCTTCCGGAAATTCTGTCGGGGAGAGCGTCTTTTACCGTGTGTGCCGTTGAGGAGGATGCTTCCCCAGCATGCGCATCTGCGAAGAACCGTCTCTCCTGGGAGCGTACCTCCAGCGGTGCGAGTGACTGGCGCGCCTCGTCTGCTGGGTGACTTGTCATGCGGGTTGCGCATCTTCCGGAGCCGCATCGGACGCGTGAGGCTATTCTCGAACCGAGAGCCGGCCTTCGCACCTACTAGACACGCTGGTCCATCTACGTGTCAACGGTTACTTTGCAACGATACTGCTGATGGTTCCCAGGAACCCCTGCAAATGTATCCCAGGAGGTAACAGCTTCTATAGAACCTCGGAGGCCTATTATCCTTTGATTCGCCAATCGCTGAACGCTTCACAAACCCGCGTGATGGTCGTTTCAGTGCTCATTCAAACTCGTAATCGGCTACGCGGAAGCTCATCATCAGGGCAGAGTTTCACAGACCGAACTCTTCATCAAGAGCTGCAAATCGCAAGGCATCTGAGTATTGCCAGATACCGCTTCTCTGGTGCCTAGCTTGCTGCTCTTCCGCTGCGAAACGATGCGCAGCGGGCCGTCTGGTACCTTCGTCCTGCGGGTGAAGACACCAAGCGAGTCCACGCTGAACGAGCAGCCCGGCAACCGAGGTACCAGCTTCGTCTATACTATGAAAGGATCGCGGCTCCTGTGTCGTTGGCCTGGACGCAACAAGCAGGTCGCCCAGCACAAGTCCTAACTCGGGCGCAATGCTTGGTGCGGGACCAGGGTCCTGTTTCGTCACCACCACATTTAGGGGGCGGTCCCATGTCAGTTCCCGTAACAAGGTACCGCTCTGCTCCCAGCACGGCTCGTCTGTATCAGGCACTGCAATGTCGTCAAACCTAAATGCAAACGTCTGTGCCGGGAGTTGCTCTAGAATGTGTACGTTCGCATCATGCGGAGGGAGCGTTCGCAAATGCGATGCATCAACCCAGAGCTCGCCGCCGCTGTCTATGAACCGTAAAAAAATCAAGTCGTGCTCACCTGGTGCAGTGTCCAGCACCCGAGCACGGTACCAGGGGCGTTCACCAGGGTACTGGGCCAATACCAGGTCGAATGGGTGCGGCATTGGCTTGTGCGCGGTCTCGGTAACGAGTTGTCTCGCAACCAGATCACAAAGCTCTTGAATGCGCGCTGCTTCAGCAGGATTTGCTTTTGGTGAGCGCAGAAAAAGCAAGCCGCCGGGAAGAATCTCCGTTACCGTTAGTGAACGCCAAACCACAGCTCTACCCGAGTGCTCTGCGCCCACCCGCGACAAGCCGATCTCCTTGCCCGCGTCTGCAGAGACCGATGGAGCGGAAACAGCCCAGAGGCCTCGACGAGTTCGCTGCGCTCTTTGTTGCGCGCTTTGCAGCTGTTGCCAGGTCGCCGCAGGAAGCGATGCTCGCTCGAGCAGCGTGGCTAGACCTGCCTGCACCAGATGCTCAGCCCAGTCCCCGGAAAAAACGACATTTTGCTCGGAAGGATCCGTTTGCGATAGGGAAGGCCCCAGAACATACAGCGTGCCGAGAAAAGTCCCATAGCGATCGACATCCAAGATACGGACCCGCACGTCGCGCTGAAGAACATGCCTCCGTGCCTCGTTGTATGCACGCCAGCTGCAGTCCTCTTCCGCGGACAAGCGCTGGCCCTCGGTTTCGATGGGCCGAGGAACCGCACAGCGAACACCAGCGAGCGCAAATGATACTAGCAGCGCATCCTTGTTGAGGAAGACTTTGAAGCGAGACCCACTTCGAACGTATTCAACGATGCCGATACGTTCGCTCGTATCCGACAACGATTGCTGGCTTCCGCAGAGGATTGGGAAGAGGTCGCGAGCTCGACGACTTGCTTCTCTGCGAGTGACGTCATGGATGCGCCGAGGCTGCGTCAGGATCGTAGCAGGAGTCGTTGACCCCCGAGGTACAGCGCTCTCTCCGGCACCAGACCTGTGAAGTGTAGAGCCGGTGGGCGCCCTCGAGCCGCCTCCCTGCTTTCGTTGCTGTTCTGGCGGTTGCTGCTTCCTCTTGCGCTCGATTTCGACAAAAGTGTTGACAGCTTGCTGACACGCTGCATCGCTTTGGTCGTTCGGGAGGGTCTTCAACTGAACCAGACCAGCTTCGAGTAGGGCAGCATTCAGCAAGCAGTCCGCCTGCCACAGGAGGACCTGCGGAACGCCCGTAGATGTCGATGAGGCGCTGCTTACCCTAGAAGGGCGCTGCGAAACAACTTGCACCCGAACGAGACCGGGGTGACCAATGAGACGCGTTCGTAGCCACTCGCGTGCAGTGAACCCTCCTTCGGTATCGAGCGGATATGCTCTGACGAACGCTAGCCCAACTTGCAATGCGCTTTGCAACGAACTCGTATGCAGCACCGGTTCCTGACTCGTATCTGTTGTCATCGATGTAGCAGACGCAGTCGTAGAGGTCGCCCTGGAACGTTGGTGCGACGGCAGCAATAATAGTGAATCACCGGAGAGCACTTGGATGACCTCAGCTTGCCAACGTGATCCGATTTCCGTCAAGTTAGGCGCCTCGAGTGGGCTCGCTGCTTTCGTTGTTGCGGGAGAAAACTTCCACCAGCCAAGCTCACGACGTCGAGCGTCTTCTTGAAGCGATTGCCAGCGCTTTGCATAGGCTGATACCAAGTCCATACCCCAGTCGCTCATCCAACCGAGACCGTTTCGGAGCAGGGCCTCTCCGAGCTGTGCATGCAGCGTATACGTCTCCTGTTGTTGTTGTTGTTGCTGCTGCTGCTGCTGCTGCTGCTCGTCATGTAATGAATCGACTCCCGAGCCAGAGACTCCGCGGACAGTCACGATCCAGTGACCCAGCGGCGTCTGCTCTTTCCCGTAGACAAGGATATCGCGCTGGAGCAGAAACCGCTCGGTAAGAAAACGGGCTTGAAGAGCGATTCGTCCAGCGGGAGAGTTCGGATCCTCTGGGGAGGCTTTTGCCCCTAAATCGGTGTTATTCGAATCTGCTCGAGTTTGGCCAGATGATACGGATGGGGTTGCAAGACCCGCGAGCCAGGCGAGGATGAGCGCATGCCGCTGCACCTGTCTGGAACTCTCTCGACTCGGTGCGGTTGCCGGCTCTGGAACCCGCAAAAGAACCACCGAACCACTAAGAACGCGTTCCACAACCGCCTTCAAATAAAAGGATCCGCCCATAGGTATATTCGCCTCCAACCAGGTCTTGACTTGGGTTACAGGCACAACAATGTGACGTTGAGGGTACTGCTTACTCCAGATGCCGCATTCGTGAGCTCTTGCAGCTACCTCATCCTGCTGAAGCGCTGGATAGACGTGCGCAGCAAACCACTGCGCTACCACGATATTCCTCTGACTGCAAAAAGCAGCGGTCTGGGAGCCCATCCCTACGTCACGCTGCTCCGGTGCCTGCGTTGCTGGTGCTGTCGTCGTCACCGTAGAGCTGCGTTCGCCTAAAGACGTCAAACCTTTTGGGCCAGTAGCGCTGGCGTGTGTACCCAATTGGTTTGGTGCAAGTCGTGCAAGCCCTGCTTTCAACAGCTGGCTCTGCAAAGACTCCTTCGGGTCTAGATGGACAAGTGCGTACTCCGAGTGCCCATCGGTGCCAACGATGGAGAAGGTGACGTGGCGACCAATGGTGCTTTTCCGGGACCATTCGCGGGCTTCAAACGCCCAGTCTTGCTCGATATCATCAGAAGCGGGGGATAAACCGTTCCCTTCGCACCCGTCCTTCGTCAGCAGAGCGTGACGATCACCTGCTTCCGTTGCCGGGGCAGGGACGGAACTCGACTCCGGTCGTTGAGCAGGACAGGCGCGTGGTGTTTGAATCCCAGCGAGTCGAACGCGTCGAGCAGCTGGCAGTTCCGTACGAGAGAGATCTGCTGATGTCGGTGTCCAGAGTACGAGTTCATCCGCCTCGAGTACCGTACCAACGATTGCTCGTAGCCAGACGGGCGACGAGCTCGCGTCTTTTTCCGCGGATATTTTCATGGTTCCAGTGACACTTTGACCAGCGTCTGTTGTCTTCGGGCTATCAAGTCGCATGTTCCAGGTGGCCGTAAACGTGTGTAGCACGGTCTTTCAAGACGCAAGGCGGTGAATCAAGTTGAAGCAACAGCGTTCGCAGCAGCTGCTTCTCACGATCAGAGACGATGGACGTCGTGAGTCGATGTTCCCAGAGACACTTGAAAGACGCTTCTTTGGAAGCAGCGTTTTCGCTGGGCTCGTAAGGAAAACGAAGTCGGGCTTTGAAGCGCACTGCAGCTCGTATATTCAGTTTGAAGCAACAACAGTAGCCGGCTGCTGTAACGAACCTCAAGGAGACTGTTGTCAAAGGCAGCGTTTCAGTTTCCTAGATGCAGAAATACAATCTAGTAAACCAGAAACTAAAATTTTTTGCAATAGAAACTTTTGCCTTAGCGGGAGATCGTCGCAGATCTGTTCAGGAACAACGTAAACAGACGATCTCAGAACCTGTTGGTCCGTCGTTCAGACTCCTCCGAAAATATACCTCACCCTCAACAAAAGATCGTCGCAAAGCGCTAGTGTAATTTTGAAAAGGTGAAATCACAACCCCTTGATCCCCGGTCTGAAGTTCTCCGAAAAGAAACTCGACTCTTTACGAAACCTCCAAATGAACGGATTCCGGATAGTTGCTGGGAGAACGGGGCAACGTGTCTGTGTTGTACCCGGCCGGCTGCCGTGCGAAACGAAAGTCACGGCCTCTGGTGCACGGTCGAGAGGACGTGTTGGATGCGTTTTACGTGCCTTTAGTAGACAAACAGGAGCCTCTGCGTCTCCGAAAGCAGCAAGCCTGTAAGGTTCAAGGCAAGTACATCTACTTCCTATACAGGAATCGAAGCCGCAGGCACCGGATCGGACCTGATGTGCTCACTGCAAGAAGCACAAGGTACCGCACTACCTACATGCTTACAACCTGCATCGTAATCTCTTGAGCTCTGGAACTGATACAGACGCTTGCCTTAAAGAGTTAGCGTTGGCTCACGAGTGAGACTCGCACTGCATCGCACTGTGCGTATACCAGTGGTCAACGACCTTGCACCAACCGCAAAACGCTGGTTCGGAGTACTCGGTGAACACTTGGGACAACGTTGTCTAACTGCACTCGGCGATAAGAAAAGCTTCTCTGGATGCTGGCAGAGGGCGTCACGAAAGGACTCACTGCCTCGGCGGTGGTGACGCTTGCCGAGTTTCGGCACTGTCTGCTGCAGGTCTTTCCAGCAGCGGAACGCCCGCAGCTGCTTGGCCTTGCTGTGGGCGTTGCCCCACGTGACTCGAAGAGTCTAGCTCTAGCGCTTTTAGGAAAAGCGTGGGCGCAGCAGCACGGTAAGCGTTTCGCAGCGATCTGGGTGCCCGAGGACGCCAACGAGGCCGAGGGATTCCAATGGTTCACACAGCTCGGTCGACTAGGCCTGGTTGTGGAGAAGGCAGCAGTCGCTATCCATGGACATCAATGGAGCAATGCTCGATCAGATTCGCTCTCGGTCTGTTCGTCTCCGGAACGACATGTGCAGGTACGAAAGATGCCAGTTCTGAACGCCTGCAAAGGTACGAAGGACGCGGAACGATTGCACGCCAAACCGGAAACCGATGAACCGGGGCGAGCGCACCCTGCCCAGGCGACTGCAGCTTCGGTGAGAGGACAGACGCCATCGGCTGCATTTGCAGGTCGTTTGCCCGCGTTAGACGAATACAGTGAACAAGGTGCATCCCGGAAGCTGCCCAGAGGAGCCCTGTGGGAGAGGCGACAACAACGCCTTCGCATTCTCTGCGCAGAAGCGCTTGAACGGGATCTAGGCTTGGTAGCCTTAGGACATTGTTTGGATGACCAGGTCTCTATTTTAGTGCATCGTATGCGCCACGGCGGCTTTCTCGATGGACTGAGTGCACTCGCGCCGGCCCAGGACCCGGTCGACCTACCGCTGCGGGTTCCGAGAATTGTTCGTCCATTTTGGCATCTATCCGAATTTCGACTCGTGGAGACGTGTCGAGCGGCAGGACTCGTTGAAGCGACTGGACGAGGGGACACTGCGGCTGTAGTCGTTTACAATGCTTCTGGACTGCGTGCTGCACGTAGCAAGGAAACCTCGGGTCCGTCTCGAGTTGGTAGCCCCGAGAGTACGCGCCCGATATCTGCGGAGACCTTTGCCGACCCAGCAATCGAGATGTTTCGTGCGCGGAACGCTGCCTCGAATGAACCTGTATCAACAACAACGGATAACTGTTGCGCCTCTCAAGGTCGTCCGGAGGCTACTTCAATCAAGCCTACCACTTCCTCCCCAAGTGATGTGCAACGCTCACCTGTTGCAGCGCTCATGGGCACTGCGTGTAGCGCTCCAGCGCCTGTGAATATCGAGCCGATCGAGAATGCCCGCACGAAAGGCGCAGCAGTAGCGTTGTCTGGTAGCTCGCGGCAGGTCGTTGCTGCGGCACCTGCAGCAGCGCATCCTGCATCGGAGAGTTCGGTACTGGACGAGCACGCCACCGCTTCAAGGCACCTGTACTTGGCGCCAGTGATCAAGGCACTGCGGAAACATGAGCAGCTTTTGGATGAAGAAGCCGACCAGCTCCTCCTACAATGCGTCGAATTTTCCTCACCTCTGGGGTACCTGGTGATTCGGCCCGCAAAGCTGGCAGAGCACGCCCTCACCAAGGCAGTTGGGTTGCGCGCTCTACTGCGTATTCTCCAGTACGTGGGTGCGCACCAGCGTGCCAATCGCACGGAGGCGCTGGAGCGGCTCTACGAGGACATCACAGCACCCGCTACCAAGATGAGTGGACGCACCCTCATGGGATGTCTGCTGAAACCCCAGAACTCGCTCAACCGCATTGGGGCTTTTTTGCACAAGGTACGATGGCGGCAATCAACAGCAGGAATTCCAGATCAGCTGGGTGCCTTGCAGGCCGATCAAACATTTTATCTGAAACAGGCAGCTGATGCACACGAGGGCAAGGACCCGTCTCTGCAGTACTGGCATGAGGCTTGTGGTAATCATAGCGACCTCGCTGGAGAAGCGGGCGATGCGGAGCACCCGAGCGACGCCTTGGGGGCAGCGACGCATGCCAGCACACCTGCTGCACTGCGGAAACACCGAGGTCGCGCTGAGAAGAGCCACATGAATGCGCGTGTTCGCGAGCAGCACGACCAGAGTCGGTGCCGCTTCGTCACCAAAGCGGCAGATGCTAGCGATCCCGCCTCAAATAACAAACTAGGCTGGTATCCGCGATTCGTTGTTTGCCGAGAGCCCGCCTCTAGTGCTGGGCGTTCATACGAGTGGATGCCGTTGGGTCGATGCATTCTCTGGGATCGGCGGTTCATCATACGAATCGAGCGTCACGAAGCTAGTCATAGTGGCACAACGAGGGGCAAATCCTCTCCGCAAACCCCTCCTGACGTTTTGACCGGATTCGAGGGATCGTTCTCGGTGGAGAAGAAGAAGCAGGCGGACGTCTGTGAGGTCTATTCGCTCGCCACAGAGGCGCTGCGAACGACGATTTCGACGAGTGCCACTGGCGGTTGGGGCGCAGCAGACCAGGTCGGCAACCTGGCTCCAGCTGCGCTGCCCCCAGCATCCGAACGTGGCAAGCACTGGTTCCGTGTTCGACAGATGACGCTGCACGACTGGACGCAGGTGACAGCGTGGCGTCCCCGGTTGAAATGGACCTTTGTGCCGTACGTTTGTCGCTTAGCATTGCCGGTGTTTGACGATGGACGAAACCTCATCGCCGTACCGCATTTTGGCTTCAATCGTCGACCGGATCTGCGATTTACCGTCCTGTTCGCAACTGCGAATCGTACGCTCCCTCCCGAGCTTGATCGTACCATCGGGCAGGGCATTGGTGCAGAGTCACTGCTTGTCGACGAGAATCCTGGGCATGGCTTCTGAAAGCGATCATCTCGGTGCCGGTTGTTTACGGATGTAGAATTCGGAGAGAGCGCGAGGAGCTCAGCGTTAACCGCGATTCTGGATAGCTCTCGAAGCTACGCATCTCACAAAGAGTTTTCCGTGGAAGTAAACCGACGGTTGCGAGTTTCCCAGTAAGAAATGGTGCTTGGAACAGTCGACTCGTTCGCAGGGCACGCTGGCGGTGAAGCGTATCTGAACGTTGCGACCGATTAGCCGCAATGTTATATCGTAAAAGACTGAAACGGAAACCGAGTGGCGAATGCGAACTCCGACAGGTAGCTCTCGAATGCGTATGTTTGTATATCCAGTTCAGAATAAAACGGAATGGGTCTCTGTATCGGATCGGTATGTACATGCTAAAATTGTGGTCGCTTCTCCGTGCTATCAGCACCAGACGTTGAGAGGTTTCTCTCTGGCTGCTCCATTGTCTTTTGCCTCCTGTATCCGGCTTTCAATCCGACTGTCTCTCCTGCGCCTCCATTTTCGGTTTCATCCGTCGAAGGTTGTCGATGGTGGTGTTCAAGTCCTGATTCCGCAGCTTTAGGCTCCTGTCAGGCATTTGATGCACAGGCGCAAGTTGCGATCGTTGCTTCACTTCCCGTGCTCATCTTGTTTATACGCAGCGTCTTTAAGCCCTTCGCACCGCTTTCATGATTATTCTCAGGCGCCCTGCATGTATCCAGAACTTTAACTCATCAGGGATGCTGCGCGGTGGAGCGTGAACACACGCCACTTCGCTCAGTGCATGCCCTTGACGGGAGCGGATGATACCGTGGAATTCCTTTGCTCGGTTTCGGCGCCTGGAGCCTTCGACTTCCAAAACGCACTTTTTCTGAACGCTTTCCTGAACGAGTACTGAATCCGCTGGACAAGCAAGTCCAAGATGTTCCATTCGATCGTGGATTTCCGGAGCGCAATGCTTCCCAGGATGACTCAGGAGCCAGAGAGACCGTTGAGGCTGCAATACATGTCGAGAAACGCCGACCCGTCTAGGCTCCCTTCATGCACAGCGGTGACGCATGCCGCAGTCGAAGCTATCGCTGTGATAACGCAAGCCCGATTCCAAGACCCTTTCTCCCGTGCAATCAGAAGAGACGGGTCCCTTTGGTACCATATCGAATGAGAGGTACCATGCCGATTTGGAATTCGGTTTCACCAGTTGCCATACGGGAGACGTGGATTCGTCTGTGGAACGGGGCATCGATTATTTGACGTGACAAGCACAGTGAACACCCGGCATGCGCTTGTGAACAAGTCATCACGGGCGGCGTGGCGTATGTTTCCTCGTGCATCCACTGGAGAGCATTGCTGCGCCCATGAGCTTCCTTGAAACAGAGAGATCCAAATCTTGAAGCAAGCGAGATTTCAGTACGCGACACATAACGAATGGAGAAGCGTGGAGATTTGTCCATATGCGTTGGATTCTGATAACGCATATTTTACGAAAGCTTGTTCGTAGGCGAGATGGATCATCCAGGTTGCTGTATTCTAACGAATTCCGGGTAAGGGAATCCAGGGATGCACTCCAGGAAAACAACATATGAATCCGTTAGCTTTTGTTGCTGGATTCCGAATGTTGACGTTGTACATGTGAACGAATGTCGAAGAGTCGCAAGTCAAGAGCAGAGCGAGCACTGAAGCGTCCCGTTTTTATCGGACACTAGTGCGGACAAAGCTTCTACTTCTCAACAATTGCTGCGCTTTTTCGATCGATAACCCAAGCAACTCGATGGTTTACAGGTACTTGGTCGTGGTCTGGCTCCCGGCCCCCGGTAGAGAGTGACGCTCACCAAACAATACGCTAACGTGCTGCGCATGTTCAGCTGACGAGACGGCTTTTACGACATGATCTGTGATCTAATGTCTATGCGATACTCCGATGCGCATCCTCTACGCCGCTGCACCAACAGGGAAAGCAGGCTCGCGTCTCAGCAACACACACAGCTCCAGTTCAGAAAGCGACAAGCCTCATGTCGCATAGCGTGCAATTGGCTCAGCCCCGAAACCGATTCTTTCGCTCCCGCAGCTCCGTCATCCACTGGGCGTCCGCTGCACGCAAGAAGACATTCCATTGCTGTTCGCCGCCAACAGTAGAGGGAATCGTCGCCTTGTTTTCTGCTCGCAGCCGCTCCGCCTCCTTGAGCTTGTTTCGGATGGACTCGTTGTTTGGTTCTACCGTCAGAGCGAATGCGAGATTCGCCACCGTGTACTCGTGGCCGCAAAATACGTAGGTCTCTGGTGGTAAGGCTTTCAGTTTCTGCATAGCCTGCAACATATGAGCACCAGTTCCTTCGAAAAATCTACCGCATCCGCCGATAAACAACGTATCGCCAGTGAACACTAGACCTGGAGCATCGCGTGGCGCTTCCGTATCCCGAACGTAGTAACAGACATGACCCCGGGTGTGGCATGGTGTCGCCAGAACCTTCACTTGCAGACGGCTCTGCGCGATGCGAAACTCATCCCCGTCGTGAACCGGCACCGTGCAGGCAGGGATTTCATCAGTCGCGCTACCGTAGATGACAAGACCTGGAAAACGACGAGCAAGCTCGCTGTTTCCTCCAGCGTGATCCCAGTGCTTGTGCGTGGTCAGCACGTGAGTGGGCTGTCGAACCGCGAGGCGCGCGTGAAGCTGTTCGAGGAACGTGTCTGGGTCTGCCGGATCGACTGCCACAATAACACGGCTGGGTCCGTGCTGGCTCTCGTCCAGAAGAACGTAACTGTAGTTATCTTGAAAGAGCGGGAACGCCTCGACCCTCAGACAGGTTCCAGGTATACGCACGCTGGTATCCGCGACTTTCCACGTATTGAGCATGGAGATAGGGAGACTCGACGCTCGCCGAGTTGGTCGGAGTACTGCTTCCGACGGTTTACCGCCGCACTCTGGAAAAACGTGACGACCGGGACGAGCAAGAGCAACCGGGCGCTGTTCACAACAAACCAAAGCGCTGTGGTGATACCGCGAACGCAGCACACGGTTGCACTGAGAACTCAGTGTAACGAAACGATGTTCGTGCCTAGTTGCGGGTATCCAGGACAGGCACAGGAAGCGCATGTACGCCGCACTGACTGCTGATCAAAACGCCTCACCCAGTGCGCTTCGACGCAGCTGCCACAGACAGAGCCGCAAGCAAACAACGCAGACGATACTTCCAGTTCAGAGAGCGGGTCAAAGACAAGTCGTACCGGATAGACGCCGGTTTTCGGAGCGGAGTGCACAATGAGACTCCGGGTTGCCCCAAGTGCTGGTAGGGAAACAGGTGCGGCGCCCGTCCTTTCGGGGAAAAACTGCACCCTCGACGAGTGAGAAACGCCCAGTACGTTCCGAACTGCTGCTAGGCGTTTTCGAGTTTTTGACGCTTTGGAACCTACGCCCGAACAGAGCTCTGCAACACGTTGACAACGTAGACGCTGAACGTATCGAGATACGGAGCGTTTCTCCGCAAACTGCCAGAAGCGCTTGCCCAAGGCCGGTGCGTAGCCGTCGGTGCGCATCGCGCTGGCCACGCGGCTGGTGTACCTTTCGTGGAAGCGTTTTGCCAACGACCAAAAAAATGCGTTTGTGTTTGCTTGTTTTATTTTGGGGATGAAATAGAGTATGTTGAATTTCATGAAATTTACGTGTCGCTTATGTAGGTAAAGTATCAGTTACTGTTACCCCGGCTCGTGCGATGATACGACTTCGTTCTGAGTCAGGGCCCCCGAATATTGTACCGATTTTTTGAGTGACAGCATTTGTCTCCATATACCGACATCTGCATGGAATGATGGGCTTGATCGGGTGTGGATCAAGATAGTCGCAGACCGGGGCAAGCGCTCCGCTTTACAGGCGCCGGAGAGCTCGGAAGCGCATACCACTGAACCACGGCACCCTTGCTCCATGTTTGGTGCTCGAGCGCGCTTTCTGTATACTTCGACGATTGACGAGCGCGACGGTGCAACCGGTATCGGAGAGTCAAAGTCTGAAAAGCGAAGACCCTGTAACCTACGTTATAGTTCACAAGTTGAGGTTCGCGACATCCAGTAACGGAGCTGGAACCCCATCGTCGTGCACTCTACACTTGACGAGAACGAAACGATGCTTCTACCGCTACATCCTGTGCATGTTCGCGAGTCATCCGCGGTGACGACCTGCACAGTGACGCTTCACGCGCGCGCCCTCGAAGAGCATCGCGAGAACTGATCATCAGTTGCAGGAGTAATGTCTGAGAGAATAACACAAAGTCGAGACTTTTGTTGGACGCGCCCGGTGATACGCTTCTCTCAGTACACCGTTACTCTGAAGATGCATTTTGAAGGGGTCGGAAACCAGCACAGGGAAGATAAAGATCCGTTTCAATCAGAGAATTGTAGCCTTTTGCAGCTTCGGCTCAGGCGCTTCTTTTGAGGCTGCCGCTGGAACGCGCTGTGGAGGCATCACAGCGCGTTCCAGCGGCAGCATCCCGACCGGCTCCATATTGCCACGCAGGCATATATCCAATGGTTGCACGTTTACTGAACTTCGGATGTCACAAGCGTGAGCGCCGCTGGACTTGACTTTTGGTGTGCGAGGATTGCGTCACGAGTTGATGCAAGCGGTGCGACTGATCCAACGTACTTTTTGCGGCGTGCTGCAGAGACCGGCTGCGCTGTTATGCGCTCCTGCAACGCTCCGCCCGGTCAGCAAGCCGCTGCTCGTGCAAGGCACCTGGACACTGCCGACCAAGTCGGATGTTTACCAGACCGCGTTGGCGAAGCTGTACGCTGCCCGCGTGTGGGCAACGATACCACGGGCGTGGTACGCAACAAGCGTGGACAGCGACGAGAAGACGCTGGAGCGACTGCGGGAGCGGCAGGCGGTATTGGAAGGTGCTCGCGTCGAGCTCAACGAAGCCGACCTCGAGGAGACCTTTGTGAAAGGCGGCGGCCCTGGTGGCCAGAAAGTGAACAAGACATCTTCGTGTGTAATACTGCGACATACTCCTACTGGAATAGTCATTCGCTGTCAAGCGTTTCGGTCCCAGTTCCAGAATAGACAGGAGGCCCGCCGCCTTCTCGCGCGAAAACTCGATCTGCAGCTGCGGGGAGAGGCTTCCCAGGTTTCTCAGGAAATCGCCCGCATACGTGCAAGAAAGCGGAAACGGCAGCAACGGGTCATGAAAAAATATTTCAAGAGTCGGTCCGATCAAGCTCGACTTGATTCGTGAAAGTCGTTGGCTGGCGCTTGAGAGGAACCGCGCTCGGCGGAAGGCTTTTGCTCGTTTTTGTGGCGAGCATTGACAGCGATGGGACATTTGCTGGTTTTTTCACACGGATACTTTCGTTTTCCTGTGCCCGGCGCTAGTTGTCGCAGCAGGTCCTGAGGCCCCTGCGACGGGACGTACTGGAGAATGCGCAAGCGCCTTGAGAACAGTTTGGTGCGTTGGCGAAGCGCAGGCTTTCAGAGATGTCGGTATGGAATGCCCAGCACCACGGAGATGTAATGGTCTCAACATGTCACCTTTTCTGGTAGAGAGAGGGTATACGATGTGAGGTCACAGTATATGGAGCAAATTTGACGCTCCGGAAAACCCGCATTTTCGACCCCGAAGAACCGAGCGATAGACACTCCACAGCTCAGTGTCGAGACGATTCCGAGACTGTTCTGGATCTTTATGGCTTTGCCCCTAGACCATCACGGTTATCATTGCAGAGTGAGACGCGATCGAGTTCGGTAATAGGGCGACGTCTTCACTGCGATTGTAGGTCAGTGCGACCATGAGCCTAAATCACCATCACCATCATCATCTTCTTCTTCCTCGCTATCGTTGTCGAGCGAGGCGCAATGGTGCTCGTCGCTCGCCACTGGATATCGAAGTATCTCTTCAGCAACAGTCGAACCGCGGGTGTTGCTGGCATACTGCTGGCTCATTGGCGAACACGCCGACAGAGAAATGCACCCGTGAACCGTTTACCATGGAGCCCTTCGACTGAGTGCAGTGCTTTCCAGCGGTATGCGTGTATCCTCATCGCACATTACCCTTTCGTTTATTCTCATACTTTACCGTGTATGAAGCCTACGAGATGCTTGCGATCATGCTCACCGGCTTTATCACCATATGGTCGATGGAACCCGACCCCGAAATCGCTGCCGCTCAAGGAAACCTGCCAGGGCAGAGATCGCGCTGCGTCTGTCGATGCAGCAGCCGACTTTGCGGCCTGGGACATTGCGTGCGCATGGGAAGGTATGTATATTTTTATCCATAAAAATACATCAATGTTCCGTACGATGGGGCTCAAGCGGAGACGCGCGGAGCGCCGCCCGAAAGACGCCTTCAGTTCGTATCGGTTGTTGTGTGCGAGAGCGCGTGGCTCCGTTTCCCCATGGAGCGGAACGGAAGCTATACACACCAGCGTGCTCACTCAGAACGAAACTTTTCCAGCGATGACGAGGGACCCGTTCAGAACGAGTCAGTTCCGCCGCCCAGTGCCTACAGCACCGTCGAAGTTGTGAGCGAGCGCAACGCTGACGAGCGGCGCCTCTACTTCACCCTCCACGATCACGGCTTTATAAGTGCGCTCCACGACATACCGCTCTACGTTGACCGAGAGAAGGGTATTTTAAATATGGTCGTTGAAATACCCCGCTGGACGAATGCCAAGTTTGAGCTGCGGACGCGACTTCCCTTGGCGCCTATCATGCAAGACGAGAAGAAGGGAAAGTTACGGTTTGTGCAGAACGTCTACCCATACAAAGGGTATATCTGGAACTATGGATGCTTTCCGCAGACATGGGAGGATCCAGAGCAAGTCCATATGGAGACGGGTGCCCTTGGTGATGGCGACCCGCTCGATGTCTGTGAGATCGGCCAGCATATCGCACAGATCGGTTCGATCAAGCAGGTGAAGGTGCTCGGCGTGCTGGGTATGATCGACGAGGGAGAAATGGATTGGAAAGTTCTGGTGATGGATGTGCGAGACCCCAACGCCGACAACTTGAATGATGTTGACGATTTGTATCGCACAATTCCTGGTTTGGTGCACGCTACGTTTTCCTGGTTCCGCACATACAAGGTGCCCGATGGCAAGGAGGAGAATAAGTTTGCTTTTCGCGAACGCGTACAGAGCCGCCAATACGCCCTTGAAATTGTCGAGGAGTGCCACAGAAGCTGGCAGCGACTTGTGTACGGAAAGGTGAAACACAGCAACCACCACTGTTCGAATACAACGCTGACTGATACACCACTCTACATGCCACCTGAAGAGGCAGCGTCCGTGGTCGAGCAGGTTCGCACGGAACTGAGCGCAACCACCGAGAACACCGGGGATGCGGGAATGAAACATGGTGCTCTTGCGACACGATCTCTGCGACCACTTCATCGTGAGGCCTCGATCAGTCAGCTGGAAAAATTCCACATGCCTGATTTCGCCCAGGAACTCACCAACGAATTCAATCAGCACGAGCGGTCTCTCTTCCAGGCGCCTTCGGAGACGATCAAGCACTTTCTGACGGAGCAACAGCGACAATATCCACACGGTAGTTCAGAGCTCTCGCTCCTCATCACCGAATATGGAACAGCAGCGAAGATCATCGCCTCGAACATCCGCGATCAACCGGAGGCACCATTTGAGTACATGCGACAAAACGCCGATCGACAGCTGCATACCGCGCTGGCGACTTCAGGCTTCTGTTGCATGATCTATTCAGCGCAAACCGGGCAAATGATGCCCTTGGACCTGGACGCTGGCATTGGCAACTATGTCGTGGTCTACACTGCACTCGTTGGTGAAGTCGGCGGCACGCTGGGCAGCCTTTTTTCAGTTTATTATCGCAAATCTTACTCGGGTCGCGAGGGAGATACTGCTGATCTGTTGCAGCGAATTGGATACGAGCAGGTAGCAGCTGGGTATGCACTGTACTCTTCGTCTGTGCATCTGGTGATTAGCACAGGTCTTGGCGCGCATATCTTCTTTCTGGATGATATCAGCGGGCACTTTGTACTGCGACAGAAGTTTGTGCAGATTCCACCCCGAGGTCGTGTCTATTCAGTAGACATATCGAGTTTACCAAAAGCGATTGAGGGCGTGCGCCGCTATCTCGCCCAGCTGGAGTCCTCGAATGCGTCCCGTGAAACGAAACATACAGCGCTGATGGACGGACCAGCACCTGGCAAAATCTTTCGTTACGAACACAATGTGGTGGGCAATTTTCACCGGATTCTGCGGCACGGTGGTATCTTGCTGATGCCGGGACCACGGACCAACGCTTTGGCAGACTTTTTGGGTGTTGCGGCGCCGCTTGCGTTCTTGGCGCGTCAAGCAGGCGGCAAAGCGAGTGTGGGTAAGCGCCCAGTCTTGGAGCTGAGTGCCTGGACCCTGGATATGCGCGTTCCGCTCTTCATTGGCAGTATGAGCGATGTGAGTGATCTGGAGGTGTGCATTCTCGGACATCCGGTTCCGGAACGCTCCATCGTTACCGCTTCAGAGACTGTCTCATATACGTGAAGCGTCGTAAACGAACTTTGCATCCAAGCAACGCGTGCGCACATCATGATCGATTCGGTATAGGAGCGTGAGAGAAACCACAAAACACTTTTGGACGGCAGCGCGTGTGGACGAGTCTTGTCAGCGCTTATCCAATGGTTCAGTGGATTCATCTGTGGAAGCACACGATCCAGAAACGATTCGCCGCGGCGAAGTGCTCGCTGACCTCGCATTTGACAAAGCAATTTCGTCTTTTCTTTGAATCCAATACGCAATGTTTACGAGCCGTGCAATGATCCGAATGGCAACACCAACGGCGCCTCGGCGGTAGACGCAGTTGGCAGAGATCTCGTCACGAATGCGTCGCTGCACGCTCGTAGCCCGGGATATCGTGGCACTTGTCGTTGTCTCTCGAGGTGCCCGGAGATCGAAAGTGTCCACCATGACGAAACACTGGGTTGCATTCACGATGTACCCGCTCCATCGCGACCGCTGTCATCAGCGATACCTCCGGTCACATCGTCATCATCGTCAAGAGTCAGGTTGCCGAGGTCTACCTCGCGCGCCATGCTTGCCCGAGCTATTTGCGCATAGATGCCATGAGCGCGCTCCATGAGTACGTAATGGGGTCCTTGCTCGACGACGTGTCCACTTTCGATGACACTAATCATGTCGGCAAAGTAGAGACTCTCGACGAGGTCGGCACGCAGCACGAAAACGACAGTGCGACCCGTGCAGATCGCTTTCAGGTCCAGTGCGACACCGTTCACCGTCATATCGAGCAACGCCGCGTAACTCTCCGAGTCCAACAGAAGCATACTCGGATTACGGAGAAGGACGCGTGCAATGCCCAGCGCCTGCAACTGCGACGACGTGAAAAGCGCCTGTGCCGTTCTCGCTGATGGAACCATGGTCTGGTATCCGTTCGCAAGACGTAGAATCACCTCATGCATACCGACTAACGAGGCCGCACGGCGTACTTCCGCAAAGCATGTCCCAGTAGCACCAAAAGCGATGTTCTCGAAAACAGTCAGGCCGGCAATGAGACGGCTACCACGCCAGGGCACCAAGCCTATGGCAGCCGTCAGGGCCGCAGATGTGTAATCCTGCATCGGGTGCTCGCCAAGCATGATCCTGCCGCTGTCGGGGCGGCGCTTACCCGAAAGTAGCTCCAAAAGCAGTCGCTCCTCGCGTCGTTTCCGTAGAATGATACAATGGATCTGGTGATGTTCGATGGTGAGGTTCAGACTATGAAACACGTACTGCGCATAACGGCTGCCGATACCATGCCGCGGGACCTTAGGATCGAGCGTATATGACTCCGCAAAAGAGCCGAACGGGGTTCCTGGGGACTGTGCGGAGGCGGGTGCGCTCCCGCTACGGCCACTGGTGGTTGACGAGACGCCGCGATCCTCTTCAAGAGGCGATGCGGTGGATGAGGCTTTCGATGCCCAGTCCTCAGGATCGTCCTTGACCGAGACATTATCGAAAACAACGCGTACGCAGCGGTCGTCGACGCGCAAAACAGTTCCCAATCCTGCCTGACTAGCATCAACGATATCGAGCACGAAATCCAGGTACGCATAGAGGTTCTGGCGTGCGTGCGAGTAACGCACCAGATTCTCCGTCATTCGAAGCAAGCTGATAATAAGCATGATGGCGAACAGAATGGCGGTTACTAGACGGCCGCTTGAGCGATGCTTCGTTCTGGCAAGATGCCCGCCAATATAAATACCCAATACCGCGAAAATAGCGAGCACGAGGCCAAACGTCAGACCGCGTAGCAAGGACTGCAAGAGGTTCAGCCGCGCATCATGTTCACGTTCCACATCCGTAAACTCGTAAAGCCGTTGGAACTCCTTCTGGAACTGTTCTAGATAGACGACGTTCGGCAGCGCAGCTCGGGACAGTTGCAGAAACTCACGAGCTTTCCGTGCTGCTTCTTCGTACCGCTGCTGGGCCCTGCGTGTAACGAACAGCTGGAGCATGCCCAGACCAGCAAGAATGGGCGTCGTGCCCAGAAGCACCAAAGTCAGAAACCAACTTTCAATGATACCGAAAATAAAGCTGCTGATAGCCTGCGCTGCGTACAAAGCGACACTCGACAGGTGCTCCACAGCGTCCAATACAAGTAGCTCCATTCGATCCAGTGTGTTCTGTTCGAAGAGCCAGCGATCGAGTCGATCCGTGCCGACACCCGTTGTCAAAAGAAGCGCAGCAAACGACCAGAGACGGAGTCGGTAACGGACACGGCGACCAATCGTACCAAGCGAGCGACTCTGCCAGAGAACTACAAACGCAGCGGCACCGCTGATCACCCCGAATCCGATAAGGTAGCGATGAATGCTCGACACTGGGTTTCCAGCGATCACACCGTAAAAGATCTGTGCCCAGTAATTCACGACGTGCCCGAAAAGGAACAGATACGCGGGAAAAATAACGCCAGATGCAAGGGCTGCCAACAACCCACCGACTGTCAACAGAGGTGCATTGAGGAGCCACTGACGCGGTGATAAGAGGTTCGCGATACTCTTCAGTTCTGCTAGATTGCGCTCAACGGTGTCCGAATCCACGGAGCACGCACAGAGCGAAAATCCACAACACTGGAAGAGACCGCATCGGCGATTCCAGAGGGGTGGCAACGCTGCACTCATCGCAGGTTCGTCGGCAGAATCTCCATTCGCATCATGCTGAGGTAAAGACTCTTCTGCACACTGTTTGGTGGCAGTCGAACTGGAACCAAGCGCCTTCTTCATCGATTCCGCCAGGGTGCGCGCGTACAGCGAGCCATCCGGGTAGATCCCGTAGACAAGCATCGCATAATAATCCATAAAAAATTCGCCGTGATCCGGCGAACTTCGCAACTTCTTGTTGAACACGTGTCTGAGGGCCTTGAACTTACCAAAGCCCCGCATGGAATCACCAGCTGGAAGCGACGTGGAAGCTTGCGCATCGCCTGGATATCGGCCAGCGGGCCCTGCAGAGCCAAAAGACGGCGATGTTTTGGGAAAGGCAGCCTGCATCCCCTGACGTGCTGCAGCTAACTGTTTCCCCGATGGATGTGGACCCTGCGCAGGTTGCGCCCCCGCAATATCGTCAACTGTAATCGCCACTGCGTCTTGGTCAACCAAACTCCGATTCATGGCGGCTTGAAAGGTCCCGTGTACAGCGTCGCTCGCTGTGGCAGGCGGCGTACTCTTGTTGAGATACTTGCGTGGAACGTAGGTTGGCGGCTCGTCTTCAGACGATGCGGAAGACAACGCCGAAGACGAGAGGTGTCCCGCCGAGCCTGTGTCCCCTGTATGAGCACCTGCGACAACGTTGTTTGCGGAAATAAGGCCAGTTCGAGGCGCGCTTTCAGACTGCGCACTGCCGCCGTCTGCAGCTGCTGCCGCCGAAGCTGTGCCTGCGACAACGTGTCTCTCGTCCGTACCACTCTGAGCTGCTGAAGAGCCACTGCTCTCAACTATGCTGAGTGCATTCTCGACAGCACGACCTTGAACAACACCAGCGGGTTCCATAGGGTTTCCGTGGGTCTCGAGATTAGCAGCTGCGCCGCTTCGTGAGCTCCCAGTCGACCGGGTGCTCCCAGCTGCGTTTGGCCTAGTAATATCCTCCCGTCGCTCCCCTGGACCATTACGGTTCGCATCCATAAAGTATCCAGTTCCCTTGTACGGATTTCCCGTGACCTCCACTGGACAATAGCACAAGGGGAACCCAACAGAGCGTTGCGTTTGTTCGCAACCTGGTGCTGCGGCGAAGAAACCGCGAGTACGAATCTTCTTCATGGCGGTGATGTGGCGGCACTGGGCGCCTGCGGGCCATCGCGTAGCCTATGCATCTGTCGAGCGCCACGTCAACGGATCTCAAGATCGACGCTGATGCGCTGATACATATCGGAATTTGGACACGTGTGCTTCGCGGACCTCGTGTGTGCCTGCGTGCAACGTACATGAATCGGTACATTTCAGTTCGCAAGATCGACGCTGATGCGCTGATACATATCGGAATATGGACACGTGTGCTTCGCGGACCTCGTGTGTGCCTGCGTGCAACGTACATGAATCGGTACATTTCAGTTCGCAAGATTGACGCTGATGCGCTGATACATATCGGAATATGGACACGTGTGCTTCGCGGACCTCGTGTGTGCCTGCGTGCAACGTACATGAATCGGTACATTTCAGTTCGCGAGATCGACGCTGATGCGCTGATACATATCGGAATATGGACACGTGTGCTTCGCGGACCTCGTGTGTGCCTGCGTGCAACGTACATGAATCGGTACATTTCAGTTCGCAAGATCGACGCTGATGCGCTGATACATATCGGAATATGGACACGTGTGCTTCGCGGACCTCGTGTGTGCCTGCGTGCAACGTACATGAATCGGTACATTTCAGTTCGCAAGATCGACGCTGATGCGCTGATACAAATCGGAATATGGACACGTGTGCTTCGCGGACCTCGTGTGTGCCTGCGTGCAACGTACATGAATCGGTACATTTCAGTTCGCGAGATCGACGCTGATGCGCTGATACATATCGGAATATGGACACGTGTGCTTCGCGGACCTCGTGTGTGCCTGCGTGCAACGTACATGAATCGGTAACGTTGCGTGATCCGATTGGAAACCTAAACTCGTTTCAGACCGGAAGCAGAACCGTTCGGGATGGAACAGCGTCAAAGTGTATTCTTCCATACCGCGGTTTTTATTTTTTTGAAATTGTATGCGTTCAGGAGAAATGATTCACGCAAAACGTTGTCATTTTGGGTGTCTCGTTCGATGCTGTCAAAAATAATACTTGAGGTCTTTACGTTCCAGAACATTGCCTGCAATTGCAATGCCATTAGGCGGTGTTTGGCGATATGGTTTGAACGCGGGCTTCCGTGCGCCCGCTGAAATCCCTAGGGCTTTGCTCGGGTCTTGCGCAGAGTGCTTGACAGCCAGCAAGTGGCATTGGATCACGCTGGGCTGTAGCCAGGGCGTTGGGTATACTCGAATCGAGGCACTTGTCTGTGGAGCAATGGATGATGTACGTTCTACGAAGCGTGAATAGATAGGGCGTCGTCCGCTGTTTCTGCTGGGGGATTCGTCCATTACCAAACAACAGCTAGAGGCTTGCCATGAAAACTCGCCCTTTGAATAGGGATTTGCGGCGCATCTAGATACCTCCTGTGCCAGTGTCGCTTCATGGTATCGCCTAGCATTCGATCAAGCCCTCCGTTACTCCAGCAATTGAAGCCCTCGAGAGGAGCAACGGTGAAACAGATGCAAAGTAAAGTATGCATCCATGCTACGCAGCGGATCCTGGTAGAATCACTGCATACAGGGGATTCGTACAGGAGAAGGACCGTTTTCGCATTAGTCCAATGATATAGAACAGGCCAGTCTTCAAGACGAGCATCTTAACCATCCTCGGTTGCGTTATCCGAGCGGAATAATTGCCTTCTACACAATCACTCATGACTGGGTCTGTGTTCACAGCACCTGCATGAATCGGGGTATAACCAATGAAGGAGATTCCCCACGATAGCGCACGACGCCGCGTTCGTGCCAGTACCACCATGCCATGAACACATGCTGATTACGCCATTTGCATCGCCAACTTCTCGTCGACAATAGAAACGCACGAGACTCGATGCACTTGTCCGCAATGCGGGCGACATCGCGTGCCTCAGAGATCCGTTTGCGATTGGCCGTTCAATATATATTTACAAAGATCCAGGCCGACTGTGTGGCGTGCAGACGGAGACAACAAAGCCACCGTGGATCGTCATCAGCCTACAATGCCACAGATTCGTGCACGATCCACCGTTTAATAAAAACGGAGATCGTCGACGTCTCGCAGCAAGCGCATGCGTTCGAGTTTTGCATGCAATCGTCAACGTCAATCTTCATGCAAGAGAAACTATTCGTCCGAATCACTGAGCAGAAGCTAATTGCCAGCGAATTCCATCCGTCACACGAGAGAGAGAACATCCGCATATGCTGTAGTACATTTTGCGTGAACGGAATCAAGGAACATCTGTTATTTCCAGTGGTTTGCAGCTTCGATGCGACGGCGACGACGACGACGACCACAACATCGCCTAGCACGACCCACCCATGCGTTCGAATCGTCCAAGCGAGGCCATTCGCCAGCATCCGAATCCTATGCTGCGCTTGTTTCCCGTCAGACACCAACAATCACTGGGACATGGTCGCCGCCCTGTTCAAGCACCACAGAGCGCGCTCGATGATACGCTTCTCCGTCGAGAGATACAAGTTGCGGTGGATCAAGCTTGATGCGTATCCACGAGCACTTGAAATATCGGCACGATTGATCGTGGATGTGCTGTCCTGACTCCAACTGGAACATGAACTGGGCCAGTCGGAGCCTTGATACACCGGCAGGCACCAACAGCACATCCATGCAGGCGTCGTGCGCGTTCGCCAACGGAGCGAACTGTGCCTGTGGCGAAGCGTGGGTAACGTTCATAATCACAATGAGCACATACTCGCGTTGTGCAATTGTTTCCGTGAGTTCATCTGCAGTTCGCCATCCCATTTCGGATTGCGAATCACGAATCACGTGGCGATACTCAATCGCAGCAGAGAAGACGCGCTTACGAAGAATATACCAGCCAGCTCCGATGTTGAAACGAATCTGTCCCAGGCAGCGCATCCGCTCCGTTCGGATGTCAAGGTCCGCCACCAAACCTATCGTCAGCGAAAGGAACGCATACCCATTGGAACGACCGTTCAAAGACGATCGCGAAGTCATACGTGACGACTCTGTGGAAACAGAGTCCGCCTCATCAGCCTCTTCACCGGAGTTGGAACGAGTTAGGAGCGGAGTGTTCTCGGAAGAGACAGCCTTTGGACGCCTCCTGAACCGCAGACAACCACAACAACGGCGCTCTCGATAAGACTCCGTTTCTTTCGCCCAGGATTTCGCAGAAACATCCGTAATCTCGTAGTGAAAGGCGTCTAGGCGCTCGCAAACCCCACAGAGCTCGCCACGTGACGTGCACTGGTGCAAGAGCGTCCCTATACGCCGGGCGGCCTCCAAAGCATCAACGACACCGAACGAAGCGGCGAGTCCGTTTCCCGTGCCCAGCGGAATGATACCCAAAGGTACTTCTGTTCCATACAAAACGTTTGCGACCTGGTGGAAAGTACCGTCACCACCGACACAGAGGACTGCCAGGGGCTCGCTCGGCGCAAACACGGCAGCTCGGGTTGGCAGGTCATCAGGAAACTGGGTCCAGAACTCCTCTATTTCTAGAGAAGGCTCGGCTGCAAGTAAAGTACGCTTGACCTCCTCCCAACGGCGTTTGACAGCTTGAAAATTCTTGCCCCCGCTCCTGCTGTTAATTACGACAAACAGGCGTTTCGTTACCATCGAAAAAGCAGACGGAGTTGCAATGACGGGCAGTGGTCAGTGCGAGTTTCGCGATTCCCGTACAGGAGCCAAATCAAAACGGTACACCAGAGTGCTCGCGCTGTTCCTGCCTTGAGCATTTTTTTCGAAGTTTTGTTTGATGTTCAGTCTCTATTCTTGAAGTGGAGTTATTGGTGAATGAAAGATTTATACTAGGGTCTAGGTTGGTCAACCGCTCGCTCGGAGTGAAACCTTCGACGTTTTGTTGCCTCTGAAATTTGTGACCTCATAGACGACACAATAAAGCGGAATTCAATTGAATATGGGTTCGTAAAATATCCGGTATCATTATCTAGTTCATACCTACAAACCTCCACGGTTCTGCTCCAGAGTTGTGTGTCGCATGCTCAAATGGCATATTCTTCAAGTTTTTCGAATACCCGCGTGCGTAGTTGTGTGTGTACGTTCATATGCGGTTGCCTATCAGTTTACGTGTGTGCACGCATGTGTACCCGCATTTGTTCATGTGCATGGATGTATATCCATAAAGGCGTGTGAGCGTCTTTATTCTTATGTGCGTATGAGTGTCTTTATGTGCATGGGCGTACGCGGATGCGTGTTCATGTGCATGTGTGTGTGTGTGTGGACGCGCCACTGTCGCCTCCCGGAGCACTTCATACGAGAATAGGTGTTCTGCATGTCTGCGAGTCTCTCGTTTTGTCCTGAGCTATTCAGATAGCGAGCTTCGGACTCGAAAGGCGGGACATCCGGCGTTCAACATTGCCGGGAAGCCACCAATCGATGGTGATGGCGATGACGATGATAAAGAAACCCCTTGAGGCCCATCACATTTTCAAGAGCTCCGCTGTAGCCTGCGCGTCTACGCCGTCCCTACGTGCAGGTTTTCGCAAACGTGGCAAAAGTGATGTGTCGACTCCTTCGTGAACAGAGGTTTGGATCGCTGCGCTTGTGATCACGATAATCGGGTCCGCATACCAGCTCGCAGAGTTACCACCGCTGCGCGACCTCGGTGCGTCAGAGAACAAAGCGGCTTAGATCCGTTTTCAGCAGCATGCCACCAAGCGCATCGCGAACATTCATCACGTCAATGAGAACTCGTTGGCCTCGCATTTCCGGAGCCTCAAAGCTTATCGTTTCTATGATACGTTCCACAACCGTATGTAAACGACGTGCACCGATATTTTCCACCGTTGTGTTCACCTCTGCAGCAATCGCCGCCATTTCGTGAATAGCTGCATCCGTGAACTCAAGTTCGACGCCTTCGGTCCGAAGAAGTGCCACTTGTTGTTTCAGGAGCGAGTTCTCTGGTTCGGTGAGTATTCGGTACAGGTCCGCTTCGGTGAGACCTCTAAGCTCCACTCGAATCGGCAGACGACCTTGGAGCTCCGCCATGAGGTCACTAGGCTTACATTGATGAAAGGCTCCCGCAGCGACGAAGAGAATATGATCAGTATTCACGTTTCCGTACTTTGTGGAAACGGTGGTGCCTTCCAGAAGCGGCAATAGATCGCGCTGCACGCCCTCCGCCGAAGCATCCGCTCCGTGTCGGTAATGGCTTGGCGTACAGATCTTGTCGATTTCATCGAGAAAAACGATACCATCCTGTTCGGTAAGCTGAAGCGCCTGGCGGGTCAGGCTCTCATCCGAAAGTAAGCGCTCTGCTTCTGCCTCCTCGATGACGCGACGGGCATCCCGAATTTTCATCCGCCGTTTGGAGGATGAATTCCCTCCAGCTCCGCTTCGCTGGACAGTAAAGATGCGATCAAGGCTGCGAATCATCTCCGTCATGCGCTCGGCACTGGCGTCACCGAGCTGCAGGAATCCCGGTCGATTCGAAAGCGGACGTGTTTCTTCGACCTCGATTTCGCGATCCTCCAAGGCACCTTTTCGCAGAAGACTTCGGAAGGATTCACGGGTCGACTCGCGGGCTGCCGGACCGGTCAACTCATCGAGGATACGATCCTCCACGAGCTTGTCCAGTTCATTTTTGAGTCGCTTACGTTGTTTCTGTTTCACGAGAGAAATCGCGTTCTCGACCAAGTCTCGAATGATTTGATCCACATCACGTCCATGGAAACCAACTTCTGTGTATTTAGACGCTTCAGTTTTCACGAACGGAGCGTCGACGAGCTTTGCAAGCCTTCGTGCGATCTCTGACTTGCCAACACCAGTGGGTCCGCACAGTAGAATGTTCTTAGGAGCAACCTCTTCCCGCAGTTCTGGAGGCAGCTGGTGGCGGCGCCAACGGTTTCGCAGTGCAATAGCCATGGCACGTTTTGCTTCCGTCTGACCAACAATAAAGCGGTCTAGCTCCGCAACTACCGCACGAGGCGTAAGTGCTCCCGTAGCGTCCGGTTGTTCTGAGGGCGTCTCGGAGGTCGCAACAGAGTCGGGCTGGTGAAGCGACGAGAGGCTATCGTCTACGTTCACAGTGTGACGGTCACCAGAAGAGCATACGCTTCGTACACTCGTTCTGTACGTGAGTGAGACTGTTGAAGACGAAGGCCTTTGCAACGAAAAGCGATGTTGAGAAAACGAAGCAACGCTTCGTAGCCACAAGCGTTGCCTCGAAACGCTTCCATTGTGCTTGGTGAACGTCCGGATGTAGCGAGTTATAGAAGAGAGTTCAGCTCTACTGTTTAAACGCATCTCTTGCGATAAACAGTAGCACACCTTCGGCAATAGCTATCACGCAGGGTGAACAGAGAATAGCAAATCCCGTTACTGCGGAGAGTTCGAGGCGGGCTCGCGCTATGCGGCGCGTACGAGCTGGCTGCGCTACCAGTCCGGCGAGCGCGACACTCGCTTTTCGACATGGAAGACCACATATCCATGTAAGCATAAAATGGAACCGGTCAATAAATCTAATCGGGAGTAAGCATTAATGTTGGCGTCTTTTCTCATTGTCATCAATAACAGCTTTTACGTGTCTTTTCCGCGACTGCTCCTTTGTTCTCTGTTGTATCTCCGGCATGAGATTCGTCGATCTCTATTTTTCCATCAAGCTCAATCGTCAGCAGTCGAAGTGTGTTGAAGGCAACTTCCTAGTCCCGATCTCGCCGCCTCCGGCTCTTGTCAAAGTACTACATGCACGGCCGGAAGCTGTAATCTACGCTTCGCCTGCCATTTTCATCTTCTTTAGATAAAGCAAAAGTGCGCCCTTCAGCGCCGCGGTCCTTGACTGTGTTCAGCTGTTCCCAAACGACCATCACATGACCTCCGAGCGCCATCCTGTGTCAGTTGAAGGCACGCCGCATCGCCCGGTACGGGACCGGTACAGTGCGCTCCGCTCGATACCTTCTTCCGTGTCTCCGGCCACTGCCGAACCCTGCGATGACGGGCTTCTGCTGCACGATACCCTCGAGGAGTACGTTTTGCGCTACGTGCGCAAGCGCGCGCTGTTCCACGTAACAGAGGATCCGCGGAAAGCAACGCTGTCCGCAAGGAAACAAGAACCCCGAGAGAAGTCCAGTTTCGAGAAGTGACATATAAGTTTTCACTCCGTCTACGGTCCCTCCTTGCAAAACGACGACACGTTCTCCAGTCGAAACAACCGTTGCGATGTCTCAAGTCCGGGTCCAACACCCGATGCTCATGCAGACAGAACAGCCGGGAGCAGCCTCTGGAGGCATATCCCTCGAACGGTAACCAGCTGGTGCTGCGGAACCCTGTATCGTTGATGGCCGCGAAGAGAGGAGCGTTTCTCTTCCCTACCTTGTCGACTATTAGATCACGTAGGGAAGATCAGTGAAATTGCGGCATGGACAGGCGAGCGAGTCCTCAGTGAACGATGTCGAGTTGCTTTTGTCGTCCGTCCAGTGGCGTGCAGAACTGCGCACATGCGTCGCCTTGAGGCAGCAAGGTCGGAAACTTGAAGAACGTGTCACTTGGGCGTGCGACGCATAAAGCTAAAAGAGAAGAACGGAGGTTTGTGTGTGTGTTTCTGTGAACTGAATTATGATACCGGATAGTTTACCAACCCATATTCATTCGAATCCCGCTACATTCCGTCAACTACGACCTTCCAAAGTTCAGGGGCAGCAAGGCGTCGAAGGTTTCACTCCGAACAGACAGTCGAGCAACCTAGACCTTGGCGTAAATGTTTCATCCAGGAATGATTCCACTTCAAATATGGAGACTATACATCAACCAAAATTTCGAGGAAGCTGCTCAAGGCTGGCATAGCGCGAGCACTTCGGTGTAACACTTTGATCCGACGCTGGTGTAGCAAACGCGAACACTGAAATGTATGCCAGTGTCACCGGGTTCGCCAGATTCGCACACTGCCTCGATCGCTCGTCGCTTTAGCACCCCTAGCCTAATCATACTCTTGGAGGAACGGAGGTCTCGTGCATGCCTGCTTATCGCAACAGAGGATCCAGGGCTTGGTCTTATATTCATTGACCTGATTCCATTGAGGAACAAGCTTTCCCGGGATGTTTCATGCATGACGCACGAACAGTGTAGCAACGCAACGGCACGAGAAATTCCGCGGCCGAACAGCTCCAGCAAGACCCAGTTGGTGTCTCCTGCAAAGCGAGGCCATCATATAGATGCGAGGGCTGGACCCAGGCTATCTCGAAAGAACGGAATACCTTCATGTCCGGAGCGCAACGAAAATGCCTCGCGCGATGGTATTTTCTGTAGAGAACGCACTTCATGGATCCGCGCTCTAGTTATTACAGTATAGTGCCTTCCTGTTTCACCGGTAGAAACGGTATATCGAGCGCGACGCCATTCAGTAAGTGGTATGGGCTGCTTCGACGCAGACAGTGTGTGGCGTCAACTGCGTGCAGTTCTACGCGACACGAGAACTCGACGCCTTCCTGCAGCACGATCTAGCCGCTGATTCGCTGATCGTGTATACTTGTGCGAATGCGTTGTCTGGTTGTCAGCATCCTGTACACCAGGGATGCCTGGTGGAACATCCCGAGAAGCGGCCCGACGATTTTGCGCAATACGCGTCGTGGCTTACGCTCCAGGGCTCAGTGCCAGAGGGAAATGCGCAGCCTCTTTCACGAGAACTCGGCATGCTTTATTATCGAAGGAAGATAGAATGGTTAGAGCTGCCCATACCATCGCTGCAGTTTCCGACTCGGTTCTCAAGAGACCTGACCCGATGCGCTGAATACAGTTCACATAGGGTAAGCGAGTTTCGTTGGACTCCCACTCCAACAAGTCTACCAAGAGGTTCGCGCTTCCAATCTGACCACATAGGCTTCGCAAGGCTGTTTGAATGAGCGCTTGGATTTGATAAGGCTCAAGTCTCACGGGCACCGCAAAGTCGACGTCGAACCTGAGGTACGCGAAGCGAGCAGGCAGCGTGCAGCAGGGTCGCAGCAGACGCATACCCGACACGTACCAAGAGACGCCTGTCCCGGTGAGCTGAACGCCTGACGAGTCCCGATGCAGGCGCGCTAAAAGTGTTGCTTCGTGGTTCGTTAAGTGCTCGGCTTCGTCTCCAGGGCGGTCTTGAAAGCCCAGAGCTCACGAAGACGTTGCTAGGATTCTGTTGACTGGGGCTAGCTCCGAAAGACCGTGTGTTCTTGCGACATTTCCGAATATCATTGACAGAGGCTGGCTGCTGGCTTGCGTCGGTTTATCTCAGACATTTATGGATACAATGGACATTGCACATCTTGCCGTCTCCTGGCGACGGCTGGCAACGGCTCTGTCTGCGACAAACGGAACCCGTTCGAGCATCCGCGCTCCTTGCAGACTCAGAAGCATCTGATTTTGTACGTTACAGTTGCAATTCATCAACGGGCTTTTTGCTATGGTTGCTGCGTTATCCTTGCACGTTCATTCTCATTTTCCGACGTTTTCACGTCACTTGTAGAGCTTATGGAACTGGACGTGCCTCTTGATGCACAAACGCAGAAACACTGGCGCTCCTGTGAAAGGCGAGTTGCTGACGCTTTGCGGGTGCTGCAACACGGCGCACTGCGCGGGGAGCGGGATCTCGTTCACGCCATTATCTACCGCAATGCGAACCAGCACCACAAACACGCCTACTTCCAAGGGCTTCGAAGCGCAGTGCGGGCGCTGGATCGCTTGGACGCTGCGTTTGCTGCACAGAAAGGAAGCTTCGCTCGAGGAACTCTGCAACTTGATGAGAGCAACTGGCTTGCCGCCCTGGCTCAACTGGATCAGGTACTCATACAGCACCTGTACTCGCGGCAGGAGGTCCAAAAGCGGCCGCCGCAAGTCACACACCCGCACGGGACGAACGCCTCGTCAGCCCCGGCCCTGCAGTTGTCTTTGGAGACGATAGCAAACGCACTGGAGCCTTTGTTGGAGGTTGCTATTGAGTGGCTTGCAGTTGTGCGTCACCGACTGCGCATCAGTTTTAAACACGCTTGGCACCACTTGGTCCTGCGTGCGAATTTCCTAGCGCTGGGCATGGCCCTTGTGGCAGCTGCAGGTCGGCTGCACGCAATCGTAGAGCGGGCGATGGAGAGTCTGACACACGCCCGCTGCCATTTGCACTGGATTCGAAAAACGCGTCAGAAGCATGCTCGACATGCCAGTACTCGTGAAAAGCGTCCGCAACAGCACCCATCGCGATCAGCGCAAAAAGCTGATCAGTTGCGAGAGCCAGTCAGCTCTGGAAGGCAACAGAGGCACGCAGGCATCACGCGTTCAACCGGTGTCATCGTCACGGGTTCTATCGAGGCACATGCGAGGATGCGCAGCACGAACGACGAACCTTTACATGCAGCTCCTTCTCTGTATCACGCGTTAGAGGCGACACGCTCGCGCACCTCCGAATGGAGCGCCGCCCCTAACGTTTTTTCGACCTCGCCTCCTGATCGCGCTGCACCGCAGCGGACTCGGGAAGAAGAGCCCGCAGAGACCATGCCGCGAAGCCATTCAGTAGACAGCCTTGATGAGATATTTGCAGCGGCGGAAGCGTCGGAGGCCGACAGTCTTGAGCACCTGAGGCGTTATATTGACTGAATAGTGACGAAGGGAAGGCACTTGATGGGATAGAGCCACAGGTTTGCATTTGTGACCCGTCCTGGGCCAGCTTAAACTGTCGCAGACGATACGGTCATGTCTCGTCGCAGACGATACGCATTCCAAATCGGAGGATACAGGAAATCACAGAATACGCATGTAACTATTGTTTTCCGCGCGAATGATTCTGGCTGGAGGTTTTTGACGTTGCATCGAGCGGGGCTTGGAACGTCGAAGTAATCGGAAGCAGCAGCCCGCTTCTATTAGCTTTCTCGCCGGTGGTGCATTCCTTTCTGTGTCAAAACCGAACACTTGAACAGCTCCAGCAGTGCTCGTTTGTCTCCTGGAAACAAATGCGTGTACATGCGGATGCATCCTGTGCGGAGTTCTGTTCCGTCGGCTCTGCCTAGAGAACACGGGCTCGTAATTTAACAAGCCGCTCTTCTCTTTCCACGCGTAGAAGGCTAAGTATCCACCAACACGATCTGGAAGCGCGCTGTCTGTCGCCCCAGGGTCGCGGTTCCTAGTTTGAAGGCGCGCAGCACGGAACAGCCTCGCCATGACCTCGCAAGTGGTGTCGGGTCGCGCCTTGTGGACGCGCCACCATCATGTCTCTGTCCACATGCTGCAACTATGCCGTACAGAGCATTGAGTAGCACTGACTTGGTATACTACGTTTGTAAAATCAAGGTTCCGGTAAGCGCTCTAAAACTTAAGAACAGAAAGAACTCTTTGCAAATCCTCGTTGAGTCTCCGGGCGAAAGAATCTATTCGCTCCACCTGGGGCGCTCATGAAAATGTCCTTGTTCCTCGGCGCGACCTAGCCATGGGTAGCGTAGGATCTGAAGGCCCTATCCGAGCCCGAGCAAGCCACAAGTTCGAGCACGATAGGCATCAAGCGAGCTCTGCGCAGCAGGTCCGCGTCGGTATGTGTTTGGTAGCTGGCCATCACGTCCACATTCATATCAGAATAATATGGGACTGTTCCATATGCCTTACTCGGGTACATATGCTAACGATAAGGTATATTCCCACTATGAGCAACATCAGCCTTTGCGGGCTTTTTCTGTGACCGCTTCCTTTTCCTCTCTCCTCTCTTCGACTTTAAAATGAGCTGGGCTCTACTGTCTTTCCTGATCAATCGTCAGCAGTCGAAGTGTGTTGAAGGCAACTTCCTAGTCCCGATCTCGCCGCCTCCGGCTCTTGTCAAAGTACTACATGCACGGCCGGAAGCTGTAATCTACGCTTCGCCTGCCATTTTCATCTTCTTTAGATAAAGCAAAAGTGCGCCCTTCAGCGCCGCGGTCCTTGACTGTGTTCAGCTGTTCCCAAACGACCATCACATGACCTCCGAGCGCCATCCTGCGTCAGTTGAAGGCACGCCGCATCGCCCGGTACGGGACCGGTACAGTGCGCTCCGCTCGATGCCTTCTTCTGTGTCTCCGGCCACTGCCGAACCCTGCGATGACGGGCTTCTGCTGCACGATACCCTCGAGGAGTACGTTTTGCGCTACGTGCGCAAGCGCGCGCTGTTCCACGTAACAGAGGATCCGCGGAAAGCAACGCTGTCCGCAAGGAAACAAGAACCCCGAGAGAAGTCCAGTTTCGAGAAGTGACATATAAGTTTCATTCCGTCTACGGTCCCTCCGTGCAAAACGACGACACGTTCTCCAGTCGAAACAACCGTTGCGATGTCTCAAGTCCGGGTCCAACACCCGATGCTCATGCAGACAGAACAGCCGGGAGCAGCCTCTGGAAGCATATCCCTCGAACGGTAACCAGCTGGTGCTGCGGAACCCTGTATCGTTGATGGCCGCGAAGAGAGGAGCATTTCTCTTCCCTACCTTGTCGACTATTAGATCACGTAGGGAAGATCAGTGAAATTGCGGCATGGACAGGCGAGCGAGTCCTCAGTGAACGATGTCGAGTTGCTTTTGTCGTCCGTCCAGTGGCGTGCAGAACTGCGCACATGCGTCGCCTTGAGGCAGCAAGGTTGGAAACTTGAAGAACGTGTCACTTGGGCGTGCGACGCATAAAGCTAAAAGAGAAGAACGGAGGTTTGTGTGTGTTTCTGTGAACTGGATTATGATACCGGATAGTTTACCAACCCATATGCAATCGAATCCCGCTACATTCCGTCAACTACGACCTTCCAAAGTTCAGGGGCAGCAAGGCGTCGAAGGTTTCACTCCGAACAGACAGTCGAGCAACCTAGACCTTGGTGTAAATGTTTCATCCAGGAATGGTTCCACTTCAAATATAGAGGCTATACATCAACCAAAATTTCGAGGAAGCTGCTCAAGGCTGGCATAGCGCGAGCACTTTGGTGTTCCATTTTGATCTAACACGACTTCAGCGCATTGAGCTCTGCGGTTCTCGGACAGCGCTCTTGGAACTGCGCCTACTTGTCTGCTTCCCTCACTTTACTGTAAATGTCGAGGTTTTTGTCCCGAATATGGACTCGGGACGTGCTGCGAGCTTTCTGGGTCCAAGACCGACGGGTTCTACACCGATGTCTAGCTCCCGCTTCGTGTCGGCAGTGGCAGCTGCAGGGCTTCGGTTCGCGCAAACTCACCGATACGGCAGCGCGCTCGAAGGAGGAAGCAGAGACCGCTGCAGGTGGAGCGCCCCATGCGCAAACTCAGAGCGAAGTTCTCTCAACTATTGAGGCGCTATTGTCGAAACCGTGGACTGGAGAGTTTGAGGCAAACCTTGTGCCACTGGAGCCTCACCTGGAACGAGCAGCAACCATCTTAGCCCGCGAACAGGCGGACTGGCAGAAAGTTCAAGTCGCTACCGGTCCAAGTCCAACCGCTGAGGCCCGAGCGTTTGTACACGACCTCCATTTGCTGTTCCTCGTCAAGGAAATGGCCCCGACAGCGTCTTTACTTGCAGAAACCGCCCTGGACCTTTTACGTTTGCGTATGGATGAGACCGGTTTCCTTGGCAGCCAAGTCAAACCGTCCAAGTCACAGCTAGAAAGCGAGATCGAGGACACAGTTCGTGCCTATGAGGCAGCAACACGCCGTCTAGAATCTGCTAAAGAGAAAGCGGTTCGGGATGCTCCTATCCGCGAGCCGATTTGGAACGAGGCCATACGAAAATGGGAACTGGATGTAGGCATCCACATCCTGCAGCTGAGGCAAACCATCAGCATAGAGGGATACAGTGAACGGTTCGGAGCGATTGCAGGGCATCGCATTGTTCCAGCTAGAGTGGTGTCCATCGAGAAATCTGACTCCACAGGCTGAGCTGGTCAGTGCAAATACGAAAACACGCTCTCGATGAACACATCTATTGGAGATCCTGTGCTTGTCTTTCGCTCAAGAAGCCTTTGAATTGATCGTTGCTCTCGCGACGTATCCATACAAAATGGACAAGTGAAGCAACACCGACGTGGTAGACGATATCGAGACCGTGTTCGATGGAATCCCAGTCGGGCCTGCCCAGATGTGGAAACGAGTGAGGTGGATGCTGGTTCCGGCCTTGGCTGGATGCGAAACTATCGCAAGACAAGCATAGCGATGCAGACGGGCGCCAGTTTTGTAAGGACAAAATCACAAGTCACTGTAGGTGTTGTATGGGGGCCCGATATCCGCTGAAGACTTTTTGCAGGTCGTGGCATGCATTCGAAAGCGATACACCGACTCAGCGATTGCACACGGAAGCACACGCGTGGAGTTCTTGTGAAGCAACTGCTTCGTTAGCTTGCACTGGGGTCTTGTGCGCGTGAATTGATACGCGATGTTCAAAAGAATGTGACAAAATCTTCGATCGATTCGAAGAGCTAAAAGCTATGCGATTCCTGCATCTAACTGATTTTCGCGTTCGCCAACGGGTCAGGGGCAACTCACCAGATCAGTGCCCTACTGCTTCTAGACTATCTGTGACTACCTATATGCGACACTGATACCTTCGGAGCGGCGGAATCGAACCAATGCGCTGCGGAGCACCAACTCCTCACATGAAGGTAGTAGATTGCGAACGACATGAGGCGCGCGCTCGATCTGCAGTCAATGCACGGCAACGTTCGCTTCGTGCACATGAACGCCCGGCAACGAGAATTTCCGCGACCCTTCCAGCTAAAAGCGGTTATAACGACCAGAAGATAGGTCTGAGGATTCACAGGCCCTACTTAGCGGGTATGAAGGCGCTAGTCGCAGCATCCAATGATATAGGTGCACAGCTCTGCCCGGTGATGTTTCGGAGGTGAACCAGCGACCCTGAAGCATGCCACATCTTGATCACGGTGCATGGCGCCCTGCATGAAGAAGGCATCGAGTCGGACGCAGCGCGCGTCGCCCATGAGCACTTGCAGCGCGCGTGGAAAACGATTTGAGTGCATTCCCATGTGGTACGCGGGTACTCTCCAAAAAAGCATCGATAAAAGCACCCAGTGCACTGCAAGGAGAGGGCGCACTCCTCCTCCTCCTCCTCCTCCCCTCCGTGTATCGTTCCAGACTGTGAGCTCGTGTTGCGAACACTGGCAGTTGCGAATCACAGATCGCTGCAGTGGCCCGCCACTGGTCATCGAGTGACTCGTCTCGGAGGTGCGCTCGCCGCCCAGCGCTGCTCCGTGAGCGCGCCCAGTGCTTCATGACCACATGGGTATTGTTCCGGATTTTTCCAGCACCTCATTGGCATCCCCTTTCACCGTCGCATCTGATATCCTGACAAAACAGCAACACCACGCAGGGGAATCGTCTGGAGTTGTTCAGCTGGGCGGAGCGCCCAGCCGCATACCGGGACTCCAGAGTTCCTAGGTATCTCGCATCGAAATGCGCCAGCGTGGCGTGCGTAATGGCCTTCAGCACGCGCTGGAGCGCGTGCTCCAGTGCTCGTCCCACTCCCGAATGTACTGACTAGCCCTTGGTATATTGCAGCTGCCCAAAAGTTGGGCGACGGCATTTCGAAACCATTCCTGCGCCGAGACTGCGCTATCCGACGAGACAGAGTGCATTGCGCTGCACTGTTCGAGCGCTTCTCGCCAGGCTCTGTATAGCCGCTCACGCCATTGTCGTAGGCAGCTTTCCCAGGTGGCAGATATCGTCGCAGTCGCTGGTCCATCGAGTGTTGCAGCAGTGGCAAGAGTAGTAGCAGCATCAAGAGCAGCGTATCCTGCATCCGGCTCGAGCGCAGCAGACTTGGCGGCATCGTTCGAATGGCGTTGTCGTTGCAGCGGAGCAGTTGTAATCGAGGCAGCTTCGTTCCATTCTGCTCGCACGCGAGGCTTCAGCGGTGCGCCGCTCGGCAGGCACTCGACGGCGAGAAGCATCGTGAGCCATGCAGTCGCTCGCAGTTCGGGAGTGTCGTGCATCCAGTTATGGAACGGTGCTTCGAGCACCTGATAAAGTGCGCCTTCGAAAACGAGCGGTGTCGCCTCTGCAAGCAGTGGTGCCAAGTGTGCCATTCTGTCGGCAGTAACTGCCGCGAGCCTGTTCAGTATTTCCGTCAACTGTTCCGTGATTTGCACTTCGAAGCAATGACTTGTGAGTTTGGTGCGCAGCTCCTGTGCCCAGCGTTGCAGCTCATCAGCAATTCCTCGAAACGGTTGCGAATCACCGACGAGCGCGATGCACTGATCATAGAGCGTTGCTTGCGCCCCAACGGTAAGCTGTCCCAGTAGCTCGCAGTTGTGATGCCATAGACTCCAGCGCTCTGCAGTGACAGGGCCCTGCAACGCTGCGAATTCACCTGCCGACAGCGCCTCGGCAAATAGCGCGACGAGATGCCTCTGGAGCAGAATCTTCACTTTGGCGACGGATTGCTCCTGGCTGTCAGCAGTTTCGCATACTGCGCGCCAGCTGCGATGCTCTGCAGCGAAAGCCTTCCATTCGACAAGCTTGGCTGCGAGCGCTGCGAGCGACTCCCCCAGGCTCGACACATCATCCGGCTCTGAATCGAGTAGTCTGCGCTCAGATTCCGACAAAGAGCAAACAGTGAGTGCATGCCGCAGCTCGCATTCAAGGCGGCGAAGATTCCGAATTTCCACCTCCAGCGCCGCAAGCCGAGTCCACTCCAGGGCCTGGAACAAGGGCCGGTGACGCAGTGCTGTGAATACCCGTCGCCAACGCTTCTCCTCTGCTCCAAATTCCGGTGTATGTTCGCGTAAAAGCCTCGAAAGATCCTGCAACTGTTCAGGAATATGCTCCACGTGCGTCAGCTGGCCCCAATCGAACGCCACCAATGTCGAGGGAGGCTCCAGCTCCGGGCTAGTAGTGCCAGCGGTCAGGTCGAGGGCGGGCCCTTCGAATGAGGTTAGCGTCCTATGCAACAAAGGTGGCGTCAGAATTCCCGCAAGTGCGTCCGTCCCGTTTTGTCTAGCGTTATTGACAGTCTGCTGCACAGCAACGCCATCAGAGACTTGATCCTGAGGCCCGGGCGAAGGCGACCGCCTCCGAAGAGCAGACGCTGACGAAGGCACCGGCTGGCTGCTTGCAGCGGCTGCGTCAAGAGGCAGACGTGCCCCTCCTTCGACGTCGACCGCAGCACCTTCATCTGCTGTGATGCCTTTGAGAGTGACAGGAGGTTCTCGTGCAGTGCTTTCCATGGTACCTGAGCTCATGACTTTGTCGGTCGTCGCTCGCTGACCCCGAAGCTGCAGCTCCGCAGCATAGCACTCTCGATAGCTATCCTGGAGCACCTGCACAAAGCGCGTTGCCTCAGCTAGGTCGCTCGGAGCACAAAATAAACAACTCCCATCGTTGAAGAGGAGTGTGAGCCTTGTTTTCGACTCCGTCGACTCTGAAACCCACTCAACTGCTCGTAGATCCCTGGCGTCCCAGCTTCGGGTGAGTAGCAGACGCTCGCCAGATAACTTGTGTAGGGCAAGCGTAGGCCGCTGTTTCGAAACACCCTGTCCTTTTTTAGAGGACCTGGTTAGTGCTAGAAATCGCTTTTTCTCTGTCTGCTTTCGCATTCTCTGAAGGAGGCGTCGCCCTGTGCTTTCCCACTCCACTCGTCGCAACTCGAGGACCGCAAGACATTCCTGGCCAACCTGAAGCGCCACCGCTCCGCTGACCTCTTTCTGAGGTTTTGAAGTACGATAAGTTTGCTCTGACTGGCTCATTCTCGAGATTGGAGGTTTCCCACTAAACACGCGTTGAACCGCTCTGCGGCCCAGACGTCTCGTGCTTGGTTCGCCTCCTGTCGAGGAGAAATCAAAGTCTGGCGGATGCCGGAACGTGTCCCGCACACCTGCATTGATCGCATTGTACCTCGACATGGCAGGGTGCTATACTGGCCTCGTTGACGTATTCTGAGGCTCTAGGTTGAAAGAAACTTGTCAACCTTGAGTGCTTTGCTTTTTTGCCCTCACTTGGGCGGAAAAATCTGTATGAGTTTCGCAACCGGCCAACGCGTCCTCCGACTTGCTTGTGTTGAAAGAGAAACGCTGCCCCCTGGAACCGTTTCTCGGCGAACGCGTAGGCCGTGCCCCAGACGAGACAGTTTCGGGATCCAGGGAAGGGGTTCGGAAGCTTCTAGCGTCGAAGTTTCCAGAATCACAGCGGTTTTCGCACAAACGCGGCTCACTTTGGGGCGGCAACCAACTCTGGCGGCGGCAGCACTTGCTGCAGCCAACAGCGAGAAAAGCCTCGACCAGCCCCGCGAGACAATCCACGACATAGTGGTGTCGAAGGAAAACCGCCGCCCAGGAGACCGATACCACGTAGGCCCATGAAACAGAGACAAGTGCGAAGAAAACCCGTCTTCTATGGCCACCTGCTGCTTGATTCCCGGAAACAAACGACTGCCCCTTGAAGGCGCTTGCCATCAGCGCGTACTTGCGGCAGGGCGTCATGGAAGTTATGAAGCGTCTCTGAGAATGCTGCCGTATTGCATATTCAGTACATTTGATCGCCATCCAGGTGGCCGTGGCAACATGCAGCGATGGGAACGCCGCGAACACCCATAGGTTCCGTTTGAAAAGGGTAGAATACAGAGGAAGCCCCAGCCACTCGTCGATCGCTTCGAGTCGCGCTGCCGAACCTGTTTGCCTCCGAGAATACCATCTGCGGGACTTTGCGTTTGTGGATGCAGCACACTGTTGTGATGTTGGCCAGAATGCACCCGTTTCCTGGAGAACAAACCAGGGCGGGGCCGTTGGCCATACAATGTGCAGGATAATGGCTATAAAGTTCAGCCAACCGTACGAAGATAGCAAGTCAAGAGTAACGGTCCAGGTCGTGGGATCCAGCGATGTCGCCGACATCCTGGGATTCTTTGATGTGCCAGCAACAAGATACAGCAACAAGAGGAACGTGGCAGCTGGCACAAACGCATGCAGACTGTAGATGAAAGCAGCAAGCAACTCCGCTGTGTAAATATGACCCTGCGATTCCGTAGAATCATTCAGACGCGAACCGCAAAGCCAAAGCTGCATCGACATTGCACTACTCTGGTTTGGTGCCAGCAACCGAGTCTGATCGATCGTAGCGAACGGACGACGGTCTCGCGAAGTCTGCTCGATGAAAGCCCAGCTCATTTCATTTCCAGAGTCGCCCGTGTTCTGCAGTGCATGCATTCGATTCAGTTGCAAGGCACGTGTTCCTAAGGCGCTTGACAGTGACAGCATACGGATCAAAGCCCGATCCAACTTGGGGAGAAAACACAGATGTTGGACTGGCGGCCTACGCTGGGCAGGCACCACCACCCCGTAAAAGTTATAGATTAGCCACCATAATGTAAAGGGCAGAACTGCCCACAACAGATTTTTCCTTCTTGCACGAGAGTTTGAGCGTTTTTTTGATTGACTGGTAAAGCAAGCACGAGTGTCTGGCACCCGAGTCCGACGTATGTGATCCTCTTGCTCGGGCCGTGAAGTCTCCTCGCTCTCCAAACCTGCCATGATTAGGGAAACAATCCAGCGAGTGATGCACTAAGCCAAATACCGCAACGTGCGTGTAGTTTCCCAGGCAAAGACTCTGAGTTTGACACAGTGTCCGACTTTTCAAATGCGCTCCTTGCTCGTGAAACACAGCCCAAGGCGCTCACAGACAAGCTTCCAAGTGGTCTCCCAACAGCGTACTCGTCTGTGTACAGCGTACAATCAACAACGTTTTGAAACAGGGACACATAACGTCGAACTGGAGCAGTGCCGTTCCCGCCTTGTGCTGCACGCATGCATGACGCGTGGACACGGATCAGTCCGATACGTGCATTGTGCTGTCGATCGATTTTTTTCGATGAAAAGAACGTTCCATGGACCACGGGATACCAGCGTGCGTAATGGATATTGAAATAAACGGAAGCGCTCAATGTTCTTCACTCTACCTCCAAGTTGCATCACTTTTACTTCCTTTCGGATGCGATGGCCGTTTTGTACGTTGTATCGTGCGCCGAGTGCCTGCCTTGCTGCATGCGTGATAGCAGTTATGCCGCCGGTGCAGATGCAGCACGGGCACAGAACGGCTTTGCCAGATCACTGAGGGCATCGGATCGCGGGACGCTTCACCTGATACGAAGTCGGAATACGTAATCATTCTGGGGGCTTGAAAACTGGGCAGGCAGATGTTCTTTATGCGGCAGCGGGAAGCGATGTACTAGGATTCCAACCCGACCAAGGCGATGCCCAGACACAGGATACCCGCTCCTAATCCCAGAATAAACTGTGACGAGGCGGTGAAGGACCTCACGAATCTGAAGAACCATTTGACAATGAACCTCGAACGTTTCATGATACGCGCCGTGTTTGTGCTGTATCCGGGTGTCTCTTGCAAAGGAATATGGGCGATTATCAATGGCATCATGAACGATCGATAGTATAAAGATGAGATCGAATTCGTCGACAAGACGACATCACGCAGGAGCACAAATGAAGCTTCCGTAATCTGTGCGGTTATACAGGAGCACTGCGCAGTCTTGGGGCTGGCGAATCGAGCAGGAAGGATATCAGAGTTGAAAAAGATAAGGAAAGACACTATCGCCTCGTCCTGCGCAATTTTGTGTTTCTGGACCGAGAACTCGAATGCAAGGCGGAGATGAAGCCTAATGAGGAAAACATGAAGAGTGGGAGAGACGGAAGGCGTCCCTAATGGGTAAGCGCTTCAATGGCGTTCTGTTGTGCAACATCAAGTCACATTTTTGTGACTATCGACTCCAGAATCCTACATGGCATCATGAGGGAGAACAGTCCGGAGTTCGATGTTAGCAGGGAGAACTTCACCGGTGAAAACCGGGAGACGTACTGGAAGAATATCTTCGATTTCAGATGTCTCAAAACAAGCAAGAAAAAGAACTTCACTGAGATGATCGAAACCGATGGAGTAGCCATGTGTGTACACCATCGGCGCTTGAAGGCAGATCGTCCAGTTCCGCTCTCGACTTCGCCCTCGGCGAAGCATGAACATGAGTAGAGGACGGATCCTGCCACTCAGAAAGTGCAGGATCACGACCTTGTCGTTGGCGCAGCGGAGCATGAAGATGAGAAGGAGGCGGGTCTTGAGAAGCAGAAAGTGCAGGATGACGACTTTGTCGTTGGCGCAGACCCCCGAAACACAAATATCATAACGATCGCTGTACCTAAGCGTGCGGAAGATGGCATTGACGGCAACTTATGTCAGAAAGACATACGTCTTTTGAGGTTCTCTAGAGCAAGATACTATCGAGAATCGGGAACCATGAATGCAAGGAAGAAAATCGACACATGGAATGGAGGAATGAAGGGTCACCTGGGAGCTTTGAGCGAAGTGACGAGCCGAGGAGCGGACTTTCGAGCTTTTCGGAAATTCATGGAGGTTCGCGTTGCTCATTGGGAGGTGCTGTGGAAAGAGTATACAAAGCCCCGGTCGGCTCGTTTGCGAATGAATCTATACAGTGGGAAGCAGCGGGCGTTTGCCAACTTTTTCAATCAGTTGAGTGCCTTGAAGGAGGACGAGAGTCAAAGGCTCGTAGTAGCGTATGGGACAGCGCACTGGGCGCCCAAGAAAGGCACTAAGCCAGCTCCAACGACAAGAACTTACGAGGAGTGCGCAAGGCGTTTTGTTACGATACCTATAGATGAGTTTCGAACATTGTATACACACCATGAGCTGGGGTGTATACTTCAAAGGGTCGAGATGGAAAAGAGCCAGTAGAGCCCTGAAGTTATAAAAAAGTACGGAGCACTGACGGAAGACCAAATGGAAAGGAGGGCGAGAGTTCGAGGATTGCTTGCACTAGTGAGTACAACTACCAGTGGCAAGAAACGCATGGAGTTTGTGAACCGCGAATTCAATGCCGCAATCAATATAAGGAAATGTGCGGTGCTGGAGAAGAGACCTCCAGAGTTGGCGAGAGAGAATTTTGTTGGACAATCTCTCAAAGTCGAACTATATGAGAAAAAGTTGGAATAAGTGGTGTGTGGCCGGTCCAAACAGGTTGCGAGGCGTCTGCACAACTGTCGGAGACGTTCTGTCTAGGGCGGGCTCCTCGCCACTACTGTACACCGCTGGCGGAAACGTTTTTCTTTTGAAAAGCGTTCGTTGTTGGCTTTGGTGAGCTCAAGCTTTGACTATCATTTGTTGAATAACCAAATTAAAACCAGTGAGTGGATCGTGTGCTCCAGTGGAAAACACCGTGCTCCACTGTTGGTTGCTTACGCGCCTCACTCTGAGGAGGCCGTGCATTTCAGGAGCGATCCGTCCCCTGCTGCTACAGAGCGCATAACGCCGTGACCTCCCGACGAGGCACTGACAAGGTTAGTGTACAAGTTCCAGGATCCGAGCAGCACCAGACGGCAACGCGCTACAAATGCCAAAGCAAAAGCTTAAGCTGCCGCGTGGGCCGCAAGGCCGGCTTCCATCATCCTCTACTGATCCAAACCGAGGTAACCGCATACCTGGAGGTGGCGGTTGGGGTCGAAGTCGCGCTACCGTTAAACGAATACGGATGTATGCTCGTCCCGCTTATGAGCGAGACCGCAACGGACGCATCCAGCATGATCGTGGCGACCTGACGAGTTCGGTCGTGAAAGAACCCGGTGCGGGTCGAATCGCTCCAAATCGTCGTTGGTTTGGAAATACTCGTACAATTGACCAGGAGAGTCTCCAGACTTTTCGAGAGAGCATTTCAGGTGCAGAGCGCGATCCATACACGATAGTTCTGAGACAACGGCATCTACCGTGGACGCTCATCAAGGAAGGCATGGAAGCGAGAGACGTTGAACGTTTTGAACATGCCGCAGGCAGGGCAAACCTGCGGTCGCATGCATTGGCGGAAGGCTCGGAAATGACAAGGGGAGTACGGTTCAAGTCCTCTCAGGCGCTGCTTCGTTTGGAGCCTTTCGCTGAAACATTTCACCAACGTCGCTGGAGAAAGCGACCGCGAATCGCCTTCGATAGTATAGAAGAACTGGCGGAAAGCGTTCGAGATACTGCCACAACTGCAGCCGCGGCCGCCGGTGCTGCTCAAGCCACCACTGCGGAGCCTGGCGCTGGCAGCGAAGAGCCGAGACCCGAGGCAGGCCCAGATACATTGCGATCACGCAGTCTGCCTCCAGTACCAGGAGCCGAACGGTCTACAGCAGGTTCATTGAAACAGCTTGCCTCGGAGCAGGTTCCTGAGCGCAGCATCGATGCACTGGGCAAGACGGCGTACACGAAAGGCCAAAGCCACCGCATCTGGTCGGAGTTGTACAAAGTCATAGATGCTTCCGACGTGGTGCTGTTCGTGCTCGATGCTCGGGATCCACTCGGCACCCGTATACCGCTCATTGAAAATATGCTCCGCAAAGAGCATGCTCACAAACACTTGGCTTTCGTTCTGAACAAGTGCGACCTGGTGCCAAAACATGTCACTGCTGTCTGGTTACGTCTCCTGAGCCGTGAGTATCCCACCGTTGTTTTTCGTGCAAATGACTGCAAACGCGCATTCGGGCGTGGAGCGCTCCTACAGCTACTCCGGCAGTTCGCGCGCCTGCATCGCAAAGATCGCCAGTCCATCACCTGCGGTCTCGTGGGCTACCCTAACGTTGGCAAATCGTCCATCATCAATGCTTTGCGGAAGGAGAAGGTGGTGCGAGCCGCCCCTATTCCCGGAGAGACCAAAGTCTGGCAATATGTAACCCTTTTCCGTCGTGTGTACCTCGTTGACTGCCCAGGGGTGGTGCACGCGCGCCTCGCTGGACACATGGACGTCTCTGACATGGTGCTTCGCGGTGTTGTTCGGATTGAGAGCCTCCGCGATGATGCGGAGCGGCATATACCGCGTCTGCTTGAACGAGTCAACCGACATCATCTCGAAGCTGTTTACCGAGTGAGCCTGGATGGATGCGACGCCGACGGTTTTCTCGACGCTATCGCCCGGGCTCGCGGCAAACTTCTTCCTGGCGGTGAGCCCGATCGCAACGCTGCAGCCAAACTGCTCATTCATGATTTCATTCTGGGTCGACTGCAATGGTACGTCGCACCGCCGGCGATGCCCTCCTCAGTGGCGAAGGCAAACGCAGTGCTCTCTCTGGACGGCAGCGCTCGCGCCTCTGTCATTGGTACGAACGCGGTTGAGGTGTCGTCCGCTGGCGACGATCGGAACTCGCAAATGCAACGCCATACAGGGAGCAATGCTGGCGTCTCGAGTCCCGGATCAGAAGCGCTTGACATGGACGAAAGACGAGCCCACTCTGGATCAGCGGCCACCCGCCCGCTGGTAGATGGAGCTGATCTGCTCCTGCACGATCTACTAGCCGAACAGAGTTTCGATGAAGATGATGAGGCTCCTGAGGCGCTGTCTGTGTTTACGACAACGAATACTAGCCGAGATACCAGCGCTGGAACGCAGTTCACACCGGATGCAGCGGATAGTACTGCGGGGACATCGTCACCAGTCCGAGTCTCTGAAACTGCCGAGCGGTCCATCCGAAAAGCCCGGAAAAAGTCAACATCAACGCGATCGAAGCGGCGTGCAGGTCGTCTTTCCAAGCGGTTGCGTCGGCTGGCAGAGTGGAATACGGAGCCCGTGCTGCAGGCAAATCTCCAACGGACATTGCAGAAAACCGAGCCCAGGGTCCATTAAACGAGTACAGAGTGAGAGCAGTACCATTTAAGAGATTGTAGAACCTTAATTTCAGTGGGCCTGAGTTACGGAACACCATAATCGTTTATCGCTAGCAACTGCTGGGGGGCTCGTTTCTGGTGTATATATATCTATGGCGCACCAGCTTTGCTGGAATGCCGAACCGTACCAAACCATACCATACAAGTGCGTTGCTCCAAGCGAGAATCCAATACCCTTTCCCTTGGCCTCTGAAAGAGTTCAGTCCAAGCCCATAGCTTTTCCGCAGGATGCGCATACTGAGCATCACACGATTCCCTCGAAAAGTTCGGTCGAAACAACGCTGTCAGACGCTCGGGCAGCACGAGGCATTTCCGCATTGTGACCGCGATGTTGTCGTTTCTGTGCATATATATCGCTTTGGCTCATGGTTGCTCGTGGAATTACACGATACCAAGCATCTCAGTTGTGTTTTCCTCGTCATCCAACGTTCGCCCAGAGCTTACCTTACACCATCTCGTGTGTGCGTCTCCGTTTTGCGTCCCTTGCCTCTACTCGTTTCATCTTGAACTCGTGCTCGTAATACGCGCGTGCTAGCCTGGAAGAATCGATGGGAATCATACAGAATAGATTCCCGCACTTATCATACACTTCCGTGGAAGGAGCAGAAGTGCTGGCCTTGCGCGTCACAGCACGCTCTGCGAAGCGCGCTACCTCCAAACGAAGCGACTTGTCGATCGTTTCCTTTCCCAAATTGCTGAACGAGATGAAGAATGCATGTTTCTTGTTGCGATTCATCGGAAACCGTTGAATACGCTTGCACGGTCCCATATACTCCTGTAAAATGTCGTCTGCAAGCACCAGGTGGACGCTCAGTTCTCTTCTGCATGAATTGCCAAAAGTTTTCTTGTGTTCGATAAGGGTCTCAGTGCCTCAATGCGGGTCTTGAAGCAGTTATTCCACGAGTTAGTATGCCTGCCGACGTCCATCATGCCCGCTCTTCTATAATACTGGGCCCCGGAGAAGTTCAGCAGTTTCACCAGATTATCGCTCTAGTCTTTTGCTCGGTCCAATTGATTTTGGGGTACGGCGACGGCTACAAAGACTTTTAGCGGAAGTTCAGGCCCACGAATAAGACTTCCTCTATATCTACCCTGAACTACTGAAAAAGAATCTCGTAGCTCGATTCATGCGAAGTATTTGAAAAGTGCATGCAGATTCATGTTCCGTAGGCCTCCATGCTCGATGTAAACCTCTTTCCATTTCCTTGCTATAAGAGCGAGACCTTGGACGCGCTCCGCAAACGCTCTTCGCAAAGTTCTGGAAATGCTTTAATCATGTTCGCAGAGGCTAGTTGCTGTTCACTCCGTAGGACATGCAGTACAGAAGTGCATATACTGAGATAGAGGGTCTTGATTGGACATTTGGAAGCCAAGCGGAACACAGTTTTGTCGTGCCGACGGCGCTCGGATGCGAGAAGCGTTCGTCGCTCATGAAGGCGCAATGCAAGATAAGACAGTGGCGCGAAATGTACTCCAGGTATCGCGTTTCGACCATCCTTGGAATACGATGTTTTTCGGTCCGCATCCGAGAACAATACGATGAGTTTGATCGATCGTTTTCTTCTGGACGCTTTTTCCGAATTCGCCACCATCAGCTCTTCCATCAGTCCCGACTTTTCTGTTTGAGTGTGATGAGGCTGGGACAGTGATAGAGCGGTAATTATGAAGAGTTGGATATTGAGCCGCATATTGTTTTCGGTATCGAGGATAATCTTATATTTTTAAGCACCTGCGCTATATATGATGCTTTCGCTGAGTTGCCACTGCGACGCGTCAAGGTATTCTGAGAAGCACGTGAGCAGCTCCTGGTCCAAAGATCAAGCCTGATTGCGTCTTCTGTCGACAGCACCAGTCGCACTGCAGCACGAAGGTGTGATCGAAAACGGTTCCGAATGAATGTGAATAGCTAGTGGCTCTGAATCCGCAACTCGTACAAACAGTTACTCGATGAGTTGTGTCATAGCGATAGAACCGAAGCGAGCCCTGGACGAGTTAGTAGCTCCATGACCTATGATAACTTCCCGTATCTTACGATTTTTCTCAGATTCATTCTTTTGATGCGTTCTTGTTCGTAGACTTGGACAAGGCTTTGAACCGGTCTTGCTGTACAGAGAGTTTTTCCATTCTTTTCGTCCCAGTCCCTTGTTCGGGAGAATCTGTCTCACCTTTCTCAGGTAGTTTCTTCTCCTACTGTTTTGCAAGGTGGGGTGGTATGAATTTGGCCGCTGTACTCCAAATCTGAGTTATTCCTCGGGATTCGAACGCAAAGCGTAGATGATGGGCGCCATGCTAGCCGGTTGTATCGATGTATATCTCCACTTCTCGTCGAGCAATTGTTCATCGTCTTCCGTTTAGCGAGCACGCCGCTGACCGCACCGCACTATTCCGCTTCCTCCTGCGTACGAAGAGAGAATCAACACAGACGGGAAGGGGAGGCGAAGCCAGAGAACGACATGTCGAGCAACGATTAGTCGACGAACTTCTGTGTCTTGTGTGCGAAAGACTCGTCTATGGACCTGCGAGCTTCAAAATGGCATGTTAGGACAGAAAAGACGCTTTCGACTGGATTGGACCAAGTAGAGCAGGCCGGCAGGACAAGCGACTCAACGCCTATCCCAGCTGCGCAGGAATTTACCGCTCATGAGTAATGAAAACCTAACTTTGTGTAAATGCATAACAGAATATTGTCGTAAGCAGAAGCTGCGAACTAACTCGATGAAGAAATCCGGTCGCTGTACGATCCTCTATTCTTGGTGACTTGTAGGAGGCCACAAGATCGAATCGCCGCTAGAGCGGATGTCATTGGAATGCGCACATGTCCCTTCTTAACGAAAACTGAAGAGACCCGCTTCGAGGTACCCATATTTAGGTCTGCGTCCTGTTCTGAATAAAGCGTTATCGACTGAGAGGATAAACTCGACGCTCCAGTGATAAGCGCTCGCGTTGCAATACGAAATCGACAATGTGTTCTTCAATTAGCGACCGCGCCCCCGAAGAGCGTACTTCTTCCCTTGTCCATCCGTATCTCTTCATAACAGTTCGTATCGAGGTTGCGAGGACTTCATATCCTGTGGCTTCTTGTGCATTGTTTCTTAGACGACGTATTGGGTGAAATGTATCGACAAGGCTCCAGTCGTAAAATTAGACTTGATCAATTCGTTTTTGGGTGCAGAATGTTCAGGATAAGGACTACGAGAAGCGTATGCGTCTACCTGCTGACCATGAAATCAATGATTCAAAGAAATTAGGCCCTTCTTCTCATTCACGGTGTGACATAGAAAGTCTTTCTGCGAAAATCTTCGATTCCTGGGGACGCATTTCTTTGTTGAGTGCATACGAGCAAAAAAAACAAATACAAAAAGGCTCTCCTGCTACAGGTGTACCAGAGTTGTCGATTCAGAGTATAAAAACACCTGCTGGAGCTTGTTCGTGCCCGATGCCTTTAAAAGGCGCCACCAGCTCGTGCAGTACGGATCATGCGGTTTTAACTTAGGTACTGTTTCAGATGCTTCCATTCCGAGCATGGTCATCGCTCCGTTCATTCGGAAAGCATTCTTCATTGAGTGATGCAATGACAAGTGTGCACAAACAGCATCGATAGATTCCTGACAAGTGCCACAGCCGCGCACATCGATAGCTTTCATTGCGTCAAGGCCGATTGCGCTTTCGGTCACTGGAACGCGCCAAGCTGCAGACGCTTCCGGCAATCAATATGAACCACCAATTCCAACGCATAAATAGCGTCGCTCGAGAAGTTTGCAAACGGAAACCCATGCTTTCGGGATGAAAGACGCTCACTGACTCAGGTTACTATGTCGCCGAAAAGCCCGGTTATCGGCAACAACCTATAGGTGCATCCATCGCGCATTGCAGCACATTTTATGCTGAACTCAGAGATCCCTATCCGCGAGCAACATGAACTGCATGCTTCATCCAAGGCAAAGCCGATGTCCTGCCTGCTGGTTGGTGACGACGAGCGGCTTTCCCGAATGATCCATTGCTGGGAAGAAGAATGCCGGAAGCTGGCCTTCGAAGGGAGTTTTGGCATCAGTTCCGTCGCTCTGTTGCACCATCTTCATGGGCACGTGCTTTGGATGCAGTTGTCGAGAGACTGTCTCGCATCCTCGCGAAAATTGGCAGCGATAATAAGAAAAGAACTTGTATCACCGCTGAAAGTTTTTCGTGCTGGTCCACAGATACTCTATCCAAGCGCTAAAATCAGGATGCACTACAGGTCAATGGTTACCGAGTTATCTGTGTAAAGAAGGCATGCTCTGAAAGACAATGTAGACTTAGATGGATCGAGCGTAAAGAAATATCTAGCAGGGCACCGAGTCTCAGGCGCGATGCTAGAAATGAGTTGCGTCGACGCCAGGCCCAAGCGGGCTCCCTGGGCAAAAGCCCCCAAAAACAGGAACGCACACGTGTATACTTGCGTATCTTTATGCATGGAAGTGCGTATCTATGAACATGCATAGGAATGCGCAGAGACGCTTTGAAATTTAGGATTCCGCGGTTTCAAGGCTCGCCATACTGCAACGTGCACGCTGCTAATCTTGGCATCGGCATACAATGAAACGATTTCCTGATTCCGAGCATATTTCTGGTAACGAACACAAGAGCCACCGCAGGAGCATGTTCATCGTCTATTCTTTCCAAAGCGTGGTGGAACGACAACGTTTTCGTAGAGCCAACGACGACTACGTTAAAGGTGCAGAGGCCAATCGTCGTTGTTCGCCAGGTGTTTTCGGACTCGCATGAGACGAACCTCTCTGCTATCGTCATATATTTATACGTATTCGAGGTCGCGTAATGAGGCACTGCGTAGCATGCTGAAAAGAACATCATGGACAGCGCGAAGAGGGACAGTTTCACAGCGGTTAAGGGCAGACGCTCATGGATATCGCTCAGAATCCAAGTCAATTTTTCTGGGTGGTATGCCATACTACCCAAACAAGATAGCGTTTCAGAGGAGGCGCCAGATCTATGGACTGTTTATGGTACTGTGCTGTACGCAAATCGACCCGGTCGCACTGCAAGTATCCTTGAAGCGCCAGCCGTGCTCTTGCTCCTTGTTCAGGACGTTCGCAGCGCTCCAGACGCCTCTCCGGATGCCGATGGACACTGCAGTTTCGGGCGCACGTCAGGGCTCGGGGCTGAGCTCCCGTTGGCGACGTTTCCGTTTCTCCCGGAGTCGTTCGCGATCACGACGGCGGTCTTCAGCATCCACCGCAAGCCGCTCTTCCAGTAAGCGCGCGGCATACGCTGCGTGTTCTTCTTGCAACCACCCCGGCCGGAATGATTCTTGCACATTCTCCTTGTCATGGTTAGGAGCTAATGATGATTGGTGACGACGTGCGTTCTGCGCCTCATTATCCTCATCTCGCTGCTCGCAGAGATGTGCGTTTTCTCCACGTACGCTGAAGAATATTTCTTCTTCGGATTCAACCGCGGCATCCATAGCTGCAGAAGACGTCGCCGGTGCTCCTGCTTCCGCCAATTCGGATCTCGAAGTGGCCTCCGCGGCACTAGTCGCTGCTCGTGTTTCAAGTCGTTCTTGTCGATATCCATACACGTCACGAGCGAGGCGCTCGTCCGACTGCTTAGAATCTGTCACTGCCAAAAGCAACTGCGATGGTGCAGCTGCAAGACCCCAGCTCAGCGCAAGCGCCTCGGCATCTATTTCCGTGACGTCGAAAACATCCTTGTCAGCCTGGATGGCAATGTGTCGGAGATAGGTTTCCAGGCCGCGCTGCACGATATACTTGAGATGGGCATCGGCAGCGACGATCGCAGACACCTTTTTCTGGACGTCGATGTAAGAATTTGCTCGGATCCGAACGCGTTGCAAACTCACTCCAGTACGCTTGTAGATTTTCTGAACCAATGTCTCCTCTTTGCCACGAGTCAGAAACAGAAGTGCGCGTCCGTCGCGTTGGTACCGAGCAGTGCGACCCACCCGATGCACGTAGCTGGCGACATCCTCCGGAGCATCCACTTGGAGCACCCAGTCGAGGTCGACAAAGTCGAGGCCGCGTGCAGCCACATCCGTTGCGAGCATGCAGGCAGCTGGTGCTTCGGCAAATCGTTCATACATCTGCAAACGACTTGAGAGCTTCATTTGACCATTCATGTAGAGTACGGGTAGCCCGGGCCGCATGCGACACAGAATTTGGTAACAGGCTCGCACCTGTTTGCAGGACGTGAGAAACACCAAAATTTTCTGCTTCAGATGCGAACGGAGGAAGGAATACAACAAGCTCAGCTTCATGAAAGCACCATCAAGCACCACATAGAGTTGTTCGAGACGCTTTGGCATATCGTAACCATCTACTTGCTCCTGATCACGAAGCGCAATGTACTCGGGGTCGTGCAACGAAAGTCGCGCCAAGCCCCGAACAGACCGAGTCTGGGTAGCGGAGAAGAGCACCGTCTGGCGGCCTTCTTCAGGTGTAGCAGGGTTGCGCCTCGAGGATTTGAGCTGCTGTATAATAGCATCGATAGTCTTTGCAAAGCCGAGGTCGAGGATCCGGTCTGCCTCGTCGAGGGCAAGGAAGCGCAATCGGTCCGTGGTGAAGTAGGGCGTCTCGTCGAGGTGCTGCAGAAGACGCCCCGGTGTTGCGATAAGGATGTTCATATACGGGAGGCGGTCACGCTCTTCGTCAGTGCTGCGACTCCCGCCGATCAGCAGACCAGCAGAAAATGTGTGAAATCTGCCAACATTCTGCAGGACTGCGAAAATCTGATATGCTAGCTCCCGAGTGGGCGTGAGGATAACGGCACCAAGACCGTCTAGTTGACTCTGAAAGCCGTCCAAGTAAAGTCTTTCAAGAAGCGGTACCAAAAAAGCGAGCGTCTTCCCAGAACCTGTTCTAGCGGCGCCGAGCAAGTCCCGACCCGCCAGAGCATACGGGATCGCTGCCCGTTGAATGGGAGTCATTTTTGTGTAACCGCTTACTTTTAGACCTTGAAGGGTTCTTCTGGAGAGTGGAAGCTCGCTAAAGTCTCGGGAACTCGACAGAAATCGCAGCCGATCTGTTGGACTCGCTGCGGAGTTCTCACCGAGTACCTCTCGGAGCTGCGCTCGTCTCTGCTGAAGCTCCGCCAGTTCTGCAATCGCATCTAGTCTGCGAGACTTTCGCTTCGATATTTTTGGCGGCGCACTTTGCTTCTGTTTCAGACCCATTTTCTTCAACAAAGCGTGTTTATCGTTGCGAACAATAACGTCGACGAAAACGTACCGAGGGTGGAACGACGAGAAGCACCGGTGCACAGCGGAGGCCGTTGCAATCAATGATTCCGTCGTCGCCTTCTTCCCGTGCAGTACAGGCTCGCAGGGAAGCAGGTTCAGCCGGCCGTTTCAGCGTGTTCGGAGACAGTCTCTACGTAGAAATTGTGTATTGTAAGGAGTGCTACTCCAGGACGACGTTTGCAGAGGTTTCGATCGCTGGCGGAGCTCCAAGCCTAGCACGGGAAAGGCCTGTAGATGTTTCAGATAAACCTCCGAGGCAGCGTGGCTGCCGCCTAGAGCCTCGGATCGGAACGGGGAGGCTTTCGGGGGAACGGTTTGAAAGTGTTTGCGATGTTACACAGCTGATTTTCATAAGGCGGAAGTTGGATGCGGAGTCAGCACCTGACTCCGCAGCCAACTTCGGGAAGAGCAGGTGCCCGGACTCGGAACCTCGCAGGAGCCGCCTACCGCGCATGGATTTGGCACGGCACGCTGTGAGCATCGTCGCAGCAGTGAACGGAGCTGGCAAACTAAGGTGCTTGATGAAGATGTTGGGCGCGCTGCCTTTACTCCAGTGACGAATTCGTCTGCAAGCCCTGGCGAGCACCCCGCGGTACCTCGACAGCGTCAGAGGCCGTTGACTACGCCAAGCAGTATGCGCTGGTGACTCCATCCAGAAAATGTCGACCGCTGGCGAAACAGCGAAACATGCATGCTGTTCATGTAGTGTGAGCAACCTTTCCAAAGACCCATAGCCAATATTCGACTGCGATAGCGCTCGCGATCTCCGCTGGGATTTAGACACCTCAAGGCTTTAGGTGTTGGATATGCCTACCTGCTTGCCTGCATGATCCAAGGTGGAAACACGTTACTGTGGGTGCTTGGCAAAGCGTCGCGCAGGACTGCTCTCTATATCTTTGTACATTGCATCAATGCGTATAGCCATCCGCACAAGGAACGACGGCGTTGCCGCGTTCCAGACGCAAGCCCTATGCCTTCTACTTCATTATCAGGAGTGCTCCCGCAAGTTTGTGGCGATAGTACAAGTATGCTGGTTGCATGCACGTGCACATGGAAGGTGCTCTGTCCATTCAGCTTGGGGACGCTCCCATGCATAAAACAAAGCGTAGAGAGGCAACATGGTTGTGCGTGATCGAGGGGTACAGAGCGGTCCTGGAGAATGCAAGCGAAATGAACTTTCTCACTCCTTGTTTGGATTCGTAACACTCGGTTTCCCTGCAAGTAGTGAATTCTCGGCCTAGCGCTATCGGATTTCAGCGCCACAATGACCATCTTTGGTGCATGTCCTGAATATACACCTGATGCAAGGATCGTAGCACCCTATGTTTGCGCAGTAGCTGACCATGCCTGAGCGCAACGAACGATACGTCGTCTTGAAGAGGGCCTTGTGGCGCAATACGCAAATAGACGATGTTTACTTCTAATTGAGCGTGCCTGACCCCTGATATCGGCAATCATTATGCACGGGTCAGGCACTGATCGAGGAGCGCTCGCGAGAGACAGATACAGGCAGGGCAACAGGATTTCATGACCATTGCTGCAAGCCAATTCACTCTATCGGAAACAGTGAATCAGAGTGAGTACGAATGTTCCGGCACACAGAACGCGTTTTCAAGCATGCTTCCGGCTGGTGGAGCTCGGCTTGGATTGGCTGTTGCCGAAATAATGCTTAATATTGCGTTTCAGATTAAAACGGAATACTGAACGTCTCGCTCTCTTCCTGCCATTCGAATTGTCCGAAGATTTTCACGTACGGGCCCGAGGTTGGAGATGCAGCTATCAGGGTTTCCGGATTCATGCGTAGTTTAAGGTTATGGGTCGAGTTTCCGAAGTTGCTGCTTCTACGTTCTGCCGCCGGAATTCCTTTTGTCACTGTCATCAAGGTGATTGGCGACTCCCTCGACCAAGCTTTCATACAATAACCGATATCGTTATCCAATGCATACGTAATAGCCTCCATTCTTCTCTTTTCCTTACAAGTAGCATGGTCAGGTAAAGCATTCTCTAAGTTTTCGATCTTTCTCTTTCAAGGCAACGCGTGAGTGCACTTATTTGCACCGCTTGGTTGACAACTGAAATACTCAACTACATTAGTTGAGGACTGTTCATAAGCTCATGCGGAAAGGTTGCTGAATTTGTCACGTCAAACAATCGATTCCATTCGAAATAGAACGCTTCCCTTATTCGTGTTCGTTGACGAATCAGGATACGATAGCAGCATCATGCCTCTAAGAATATACGCTCCGAGAGACATCGATCTTTTCTCTTCGCATGCACTGAGGTCTTGGAGCCAGACCCTAATCCTCGCAGCGATCGCTCGTGCTAAAGAGCGCATTATCGTTTTGATGAACGAGAGCAGAAACGGATCGACTTTCCTCCAGCCTGGATTTTCCTTCCGATTTTCTTTTCATCATAATCAACATCGTGTTCCACAAACGATCTACCGAATAGCAGCACGTGCGCTTGCACGTTAAACAGACATACTAGTCGCCGAGTGGATCACCCAGAACAAGCCTGTGTCCGTAAGATACGTCACTAGGTGCGAAATCGGAGGAAGGTTCGCCCAGGCGAGCCCTGTCTACACGTCATGGGCACTACCGAGCAATGAGGCAAGCCGTAACGCACCACGGGGTTGAACTCGTTGAACGATGTGTGGTGGAGATATGGAAACGCCTAGCCACAGTCAAGTGTGAATCCTGCGAAGGTCGCATTCATGTTGCGTATCCAGAGGGCGAGCATTGCGAACGAAGCGCAGATCACAACTACCATCCGTGCACGAATTTCTTTGACAACGCCTGGAATCAGCAAATTCAGGACTTGAACACTGCAATCAGCACCCTTCGACTGCTGACAACCAAGCCGGAGCGACAGGACAGACTAGCGTATTCAACGCCCCAGATAATAGACGCGAACGTGAAACCCCCACAGAAATAGCCTGCGAGGGCTGGTGTTGATGACAGCAGACATAGAACCGCTGTTGAAAGTGGGCAACCAAGTTGGAGGACCTATCCCATTTCGGTCTGAAACGTGGTTTCAGAATGCGCCCTGTTCACTGTCGACAGTGTTCCGATGCGATGCGGATTTGTGACGTGTGAGATGCACATCAACGGCTATCAATATATAGTTACTGTGAGGATCTGAGCCTGCGTATACGACAACGCTGATCTTCGCCCTGGAAACCGGCAACTTGTAGCGCTCACACTCCCTGCTCGTCGGATACCGCCCAAGTGTGTGCCTCCGCTCTCATCGTAAACGCAATTCAGAGTAACCGGTTCTTCTGCGCGCATGCGATCATGACAATCACCAGCGCGCTGATGCGCAAGAGGCATGCTCAGTGAAACCCTGAAAAAACCCTTTACGCCAGAAAAATCATAGACGACAGGTTCCCCGTTTTTCTACCGATTTGTAGCCATGCCGCTTCCTCTAGCTCCGACGACGATTGAAACAAGGGCATGAGAGGTGGTATCGCCATGCCCGAGCGCTTGGAAACCTTCGGTGGAGGCCGCGAACTCTGGACTTGGGTCGATGGTACTTTCTTGAGAGATGTCCATTTCATTCATTATAGATCTAAATTGTCCAAAGTGATGCTCGCGTCGATGCCCGGCAGGCTTCGCTGTGCGAGTCGAAGGATGGCGATTTGAATTTCGTTGCTTGGGTCAGCGCGGTGCTCCAGAGGCGCTCAACCGGGCCTCTTCCGCAGCACCTGAGCATATCCCGGTCAACCAAACGAGGGAACTGCTTGAAACGTTACTTAAAGCTAGTGCTCGTATCGGAACGTTCCTCCTTGTTGAAGTGAACGGGAGGACGGTGTTTGCCCGGGTTCTAACTTTGGTCTGGGAAGAGCCGAAAGCGTCTTGTTTACGGTGCGATCAGTTTTCAGCCAACCGGCAAGTTGCAGCTGGGACGGGAACTCTCGAGACTTGTAGATCACTTGGAAAAGAGCGCTGTTCGCTGATTAAAGGACAGCAGCAAAGAGAGGTCCCGAGGGTTTTGTGTTGAGATTTGTCGAGCGCTTGAGCAGACAACTGGATGCCTCCAGTTGACACCGTTGCGAACGAAGCAGCGGATGCATCCGCGGCTGCGAGTTCCGAACTTCTGTCTGTCGTCTCGGCTACGAATGCACAAAAAGCATCTTCTCATGACGAAAGCACTCAAGTTTCGACCATTTCCTCGCAACTGGCGGTAGACGACGGAGCTGAAGCCGCAGCCAAAGTGGCACTCACATCCGAGCAACCGGTATCGGCAGCAGAGCCGTCCGCTCGACCTGGTCTCGACGGCTGCATTGAGAAACCTCGTGGAGAACTGGCTGGGCCCAATGATTGCACTTGTACTGCAAACCCCGGGACCGAAAGTCAGCCAGGCAGAGATGTTGTTCGTAGCCCAGCCGAATGGCCCGCGAGCGATGATGCCCTCCTCCGTGAAAAGATACAGCAATGCCCCAGGATGGACTGGAACCAAGTCGCTCTTGCTTTCCAAGGCAAATATACTGCATCCGAGTGTTCTCAGAGATGGCGACAGCTTGCTGGGCGGCGTCATCTAAAAGGGGCCTGGTCGCCCGAAGAGGATGCGCGAATCATCGATCTTGTCCAGAAGCTCGGCGAAAAGAGCTGGAGTCGCTTGGCCACCTTTCTCGAGGGGCGTACGGGTAAACAATGCCGAGAGCGCTGGTTCCACCATTTGGCCCCAGGCGTGAACAAAGCGCCATGGACAGAAGAAGAGGAGCGCATTCTTCGTGAGAAACACGCTGAATTTGGCAATCGGTGGGCGATGATTGCCCGTTTTCTTCCAGGTCGATCAGACAACACAATCAAGAATCACTGGAACGGGACAATGAGACGTGAAAGAAGCCGTCAAGAACGACTGAAGCGGCGCGAAGAGATGGAGAGGCGCAAACGGGAGAAGGAGCAAGAGCGTCAACGGGCGAAAATGGAGAGAGAAGCGAAAAAACGTGCTGAAACGGAAGCGAAAGCCCGGGCTTCGTCCGAGCAGCCCACTGGAAAGCGTGCGCGAGTTCATGCTGAAAATTCTCAGTTACACACCGCAGCTTCCAAAGAGCGCAAGCAGGTTGCTTCGGCCAGCGCCCTTCGAGATCTTAGTAACTTGCCGGAACCTGCGAGAAATGTGCATGTTGACACGCACCCGTTTCAAGCTGAAATGTTCACACCAAAGGCGGCGCGTGCTGCCCCCTGCGCGGAGACCGATGCGGATTGGTTGACCTATTCAACACCCTTTGCGGCATATCAGGGAGGACCCTCCATCTCTTGCGCTCTTCCGAACACAGCGGCAGCTCCAGAACAATATAGCCGCGTTCTACATTCCGAAAGACGCGCCGGTCCATCGCTTGCAGGTGCGGCTTCAGCTGGGACGATGATGTCTATGCCATGCAGTTCGGCGAGCAACACAGGTATGGTGCATCCACACGGTCCCGCTTCGTGCTGGACTCCGGTTGCCTTTCCTGGAAACTTGACGCCAGACGCCCTTTTGAATGAGAGCTGGGCAACGAGCGCGAATCTTACCGCATACGGTATCCTGGATACGAGCTCGGGGCCCTTCATGGCATCGCCGGTCGCCATGACTCCGAGCAGCATGGCCGCATTCTCAGCAGTCGCAGGTACGCATCTTGGGATATTTACACCAAATCCCTCACGCGCGATGGGATTTGCAATCGCCCCAGGCTCCAGTGCTCCGCAAGAGAAGCCACCATCGACGCCTCTTCGTGTTGTTGCTGGATCGTTTACGCCCATGACGCGTTACATGGATGTAAGCGCCGGCTGCTCATCGGAGCAAAGAGAGCGCGAAGCTGCCCAGACTTGCGGGCCCATGGTATCCCAAAACACGGCACATGGAGACCTCAGACAGGCCGGTCCATCCAGTGCTGGTGATCGGAGCATAATTTCAGCGGAATTCGTTTCGAAAACGTCGGATGATGCCATGAGGCCTGTCACTGGTCCAGAAGCGCGTGTTCGCGAGATGCCCGTCCATGCTGGTCGTTCAGATGAGAGGCAAACTCCGATCCGTATGCCGCACTTTGGCGCAATGGTAGGCGGCCGAATGTCGACGCCACACCCGTCCTCCTTGGGTCAAGCGCTGGATGCCTCGGAGGGCTTCGAGAGCCATGCCCAAGCGCCAGCGTTGAGTTCTGGCACCCACTCGACCATGCTGCATGCTGGCCCGGCTGTGAGCGGGCGGCAGCCGATACCACCACCTGCCCCATCTGGCAAGCCCTGGTTCTCGCCTATGTATGGAACGCGGCCACTGAGTTCCCCGCAGCATCCCGGTAGCCACAGTCACGCCACTACAGATGCATCACGGCGATTCCGGGGGTCTACGTATCATGTTTCCTTTACCACGAACAATACTGGAGCTACGAGCGCCTCGACGATCGGTGGAACCTTCACGGGTACTGCTGCAAGCCGCCATCGATCCTTGCTCAACTGGGGGCACGCCAGAGACTTTCCTGAAGCGCGGCAAGCAGTGGCCTGCAGCCCCTCCGCACTTTTAGTGAACACACCCGCAGATGGCCAAGCACGGGTCGGAATCGATTCTTCGGCATACCGGGCGAGGTATCTGGCCCGCGTTGCTGAGCATGGCCTTTCAGCGGAGCGGACGCAGCAACCAGGTTCGATAACCTGTGCTACCGACCAGGACGAGCTGAGCAGCTCGTGGGCTCATCTCCCGTGTACGCCACTGCCCGCGACACCGCTGCACAGCCTGCTCCTCTCCGAGAAGGCCTTCGAACATATCATGCCAAGCGATAGCGGGAATGACTTTCTTGGTCCCGCACGGCTGATGGTGAGCAGTAGCCCCGCTGAACATAGGCAACCGTCACCGGTGGCGCATTCGAGACCGGGAACGCCCGTCCAGAGCCTTCGTGAAAGGTTCCTTCAGCTGCCGTCAGAGCCGCCGACTTCTCCCGGAGAGATATCCGCTTTGCGAGCTCCGGACTGGGCACCAGGCGCCTCTAGTCCGCGCGCTTCTCCACATGGTGCCTCAACAACGAGCCTACCCAAAGATAGCGACGAGTGGCCCGTCGTAACGCCGCACACTGGTGGACGCGACGGCGAACCAAAGTCACCGCGGCACTGGCTCCGTTCGAAGCCATGTACAAAAGTCGGTCCCTGGCAGCACCAGGTGGATGCAAGTCTCATGACCGATACACCGCTTCGAGAGTCCGCAGATCGCTCCGAATATCGCTAGAAACGCGACGCTCGTCGCACCCGATGCCAGTACCTGCACCATAAACACCCGAAACTACAGCATACTTCCGAGCATGTCGACTCGTGTTCGCATTACGCAAACGCAGTCTACGCTGGCATGATCCGCACACCGAGACGCCTCCGCAACGCTCTCCCGTACGTCGATATCCGTCATGCAACTGGATATCCCTGATCAGGGCGAGCGAATTGTTCGGGGAAACAGTCAGGAACGCCACCAGCGTCGTAAAGCTATGGCGCCCGCAGCATGCGCGATAAACACCACGGCGATATCGCGCAAGGATGTTCACGCGGTGCACACACATACACCTGCGAACACTCGCTTGCTGCCTATACGATGAGCGTAACTGCTGCTGCTGTTGCTGCTGCTGCTGCAAGGACGTTACGGAAAGCAAACAGCCTGAACTGTTGAGGAACATTCCGAAATTTTACCCAAAAGCGCTGACCATCGCGTTGGACCTGGTGTCCGTATTCATCGGACTGTGCCACACATGCTCTTCTGGGTTCGAGCGAAAAGCGATTGGAAAGCGCGCGTATTGTTCCAGACGAGACGCGTGGTGCTGTCGTGCAGTCACAATACGATCGATTAGCGTCGATGGGTGAATGCATGAATTGATAGATGGATGGGCGAGCGGCGTCGTGCGAGACCTTCCGAGATCCCCGTGGTATGGAGACACCAGTACTCGCCGACTCGGTCGTCGTTCGCGGCTAGCGTCGTTCTTTCCTGGTCAGGAACCACAATAGCACAAATACGCATCATGAAACGCCTCGTATGGCGATCGTCGAACGTGAACGCACGGACTAGCGACCAGACAACCGGGATTCGGTCTTCACGAAACATTGGCGACTTGTTTTTTTTTCAAAATTATACAGAGGTACGTGGAAAAATAGGCGTTCGCATCCACGCAGCGCACTGAAGCCGAAATTCGACACCCGGTTTCACCGAGCTTGGTGCTGCCGCTAGTACCGCAATCCTCCCTTTGCAGCAATCAAAGAAAGCGCGTACTTCCGATCCGGATCAGTGTACGCTCGGATGCGCATTCAGTTCCGCCGAGGTCGTTTCGGTGCGCGTTTGCATATCGAGAACGCCGCGTACGCTTTAGTGCACGATGTGCGAGACGCTGAATCCGCCCCTGGTTCAGGATCGACAATCCACGGCAGGCAGCGTCATTACCAGTCACTGGGAAAGGTACAGGTTCGAGCAACGCGTCCCGTAGGAACAGCCATTCTCTTCCCAGGCCGCATCGGCAGCGTCTCGGTTTTTCCAGTCGAGCTCATCCAGCTCCCATGATGAGTTTGCATTCGTGATGAGTGAACCGCTCTGCGCGGTGTATGAGTAGCCGAGCGTGTCAGTTTCCCCATTCGGCTGCCAAGCGCGCGCATCAGAAGTCGCGTGTGAGGCCAGAGCTGTGTCGCACATGACCGGAATCTCCTCGAGCACGTACTCCTCATCATTATCATCTGCGTAGTTCAGATCCCGTTGATCCAGCGCTGCCTGGCACCAGTCCCCGTGGCTGCGCGCTGACTCGCGACAGATTTCATCCAGTGTTCCCCAGTTGCAGCGACCTGCGCCACGTTTCTTGGGAATCCAAACACTGCCGGAACGAATCTGCTCGCGCGAACGCTTCCCCGGTGACGACCAGGGGGCTAGAGGCTCAGCCCCGACTGACACTGGTAACAGCACGTCCGAGGCTTGCTCCCGCGCACTCGCCGTAGACGCTGTGTCGTGCGCCGCCAGCGAGCGCAACGTCAGCCGCTGCACGCTGGGCGCGGGGCTCGACAGGCCACGTGGTGTCGCGGTGTCGCTCTCGACCACCGTCTGCAGTGTTTGTCCGTCGCCGTGAGGTTCCGCGAACTGCGCACCATGATTATCCCGAGAACTAATCAAGTGCATGAAACGATAAATGTTCGAGTTTGGGCAGTTCCAGCAGATCGCGCTCGTTTCCTGGTCGCCGAACGTGCACGGTTTGAAACACGTACCAGATAGGTTAGGTGCTTTCAGCGCAAATCGTGCGATACCACTTCCTCAAAGCAGTGTGCTCGTCGCAAAGCGCCCTGTAGACCGTGAAAACGGCCGGACGTGCTCGAGCTCGAAGTGCCTCCTCCAGGAAGGTAGGCAGGTACGGCACGTTTCCGGTTGCACCAGGCTCTCCCAGGAGCGCGAATCAGTTGATGCACGCGTCCATCGCCGGCGAGATTGCGTGCGTGCGTGCGTGCGTGCGTACACGTATGTACCGGAAAAGCCGCCGCGTCACGTGCGACACGCGCGCTCCTCCGGATTTGATTCCGGTCTACAGAGCGTCTCCATTTTCAGATGACAAAACGTTTACATTGACCATGGATCCCAGAATAGCGAATGGATAGTGACTTTCGGGAAAGCGTCCATCATGCTACACTGTACCTTGTATTGCTGATATTTCCTCTTGGCTGTACTAGTCGTTTCGTACGTTGTATCTGGCACCGACTACCTGGCGTTGTGTGCTAGCAATAACGCGTATAGCTCTTGTGCGAATGTTATCCTGAGACGGAACAGCTTTGCTGTACCAGAGAGGGCATCGACTCGAGGTGCGTGTCACCGCGCACGGAATTGGGACTCATCATCATTCTGGGAGCCTGGAAGCTGCGCGTACAGACGTAATGCCTGCGACTGCACAGAGCGGTATTCTAGGAGACCGCGGCGACCAGAGCGACACCCAGACGCAGCATCCTGCTCCTAGTCCCAGAACGAATTGCGTTGCGGACGAGCTGCGCAGGTCTCGCCACAGCACCTGCCACTGGAGGAAGCATGAAGCATGAGTCCGGCAGACTCGTTCGGATCGCGGGACCTTCCGCCTAGAAGGTAAAGTTTCGAAGATATGGAAACCTTCCCCCGTTCCAACGTTTACCTTTGAGTTGGAATGTAGTTTACATCGAGTTGCTATTTAATGGTTCGTTCCTGCCCTTTCTTACCTGGGAAAATGCTCGCTGCTCACGGGCGGGCACGACTGGGTATCTGGGCAATGCGTTCCGCGCATGGTATCCAGATCCATGGGCTCGCCCGTGCGGTAGTGATACGAATGCGTTTGTAGCCTCTGTTGACTTTCGCTCATTCGCGTATGCTATCGTTCGCGAACGATGTGGCTACAAATAAGTAGTGTCCGTGGGGCACTAAGACCATCGACCCAAGGATATCCTGATACCGTCGAAGCCTGTCCTTCTGGGCGACGTACCGGGACCGTTTGGCAGTGGCGTTTGTGCGCGAGCTCAGAGCCTGAGGCGCACGTGCGCTGGCGTTGCTCACAACCACCGCTGCACGTCCAACGCTGTGGCGGTGCCGAGAGCCGGCCTCCACCCAATACCCCTCTGACCGAAGTAGACTTGCTATGCTGGCAGCCGTGTCACTCTTGTCACGGCACGCTTCAAGTGCTCTGCCCGCACTGCGATGGGGAGGGCTCGCTACCCATCGAGACTCAGTTCGTGGAGTGGGTAGAGAACCCAAAAGAACTCGAGTGCAGTGCATGTCGTGGGTCCGGGTTCCTGGACTGTCAAGAATGTTTGCAACAAGGTTTCATACCGCGCTGGAACGACGCCGAACGAGCGCAGGCAGGTCGGTTGCTCGAGGAGCGCTAGGTGTATGCGCTGCTTTGCAAGCATGTCACGTGAGGCACCTGTAAACTGTTCCCGTGAATACCACTGGCAGTACGGTTCGAGTACTGACGCGAAAGGGGGTCCACGAGGCGGAGAAACCGCCGTATCGGTCTACCTATGGATGCTCATTTACATCGGGGATGTCTCTACTGTAGCGGGCTTTCCGGTCCGTAAACGGATATGTTCTGCGGTGCTCCATGTAATGCTGCTACTGGTTTGCGTCGCCCTCGATCATGAATTGCGGCTGATGAATGTACTTGTCCGCTCGCGTTCTGGACAGCAACTCGGCGACCAAACGATCGTGACATCGCCAAGGCGACGGTCGGGAACTCGTGACCCGAGCGCTGCTTTCTCCATCACTCAGACGGCTCGCGTTATGCAGTTCGATAGGCAGAAGCCCTGCTTTTTTCAGAGGATGAAGTACCACGTGCGATACGGCGAGCTTCTGCCTGCTGGTTTGCAGAATGGCGACGTGCTGGCTGTTCACCTGCTTGTTTGCGAGTCGCAATGCGGCGTGATGCCGGCGCCATGTGTCGAACCTGCACCACACAAGCACACCTCACTGCCACAGGTGACAAGGTCCGCGAACTTTTGGTATTAGCTCGTAAACAAGGCCTCTATGCACGACGTCGAGTATTTTTCGTCGTCCTTCCAGCAGCACAAATTGCTGCATCCACGTGTAGCCCTGGAACAGAAACATCAAAAACTTGAAGCATGCGTGATTCGATCATGTACCACGAAAGGTAATGACAAGAATGCAATCGTGTAGATTTGAACTGCATCATGGCATCGAATATGTGAAGGTGCTATGTTACAGGGATTCGCGATTAATTCTGCTTCAGGTAACGTTACGATTCCCAGCAGCAAACAAGCCGACGAGCAAACCAAATACGCTACCAAGAATCCTAAGAAAAGCAATGGTTCCACAATTCGTTTTCGCTTGACCTCGAATGCCGAGCATACATATCTGAATAAAGTTCGGAAATAAAAATAACCAGGAACAGCGTGAGCACCTCCCTGTTCCAATGTAGTTTCCAACGACATTACCCCGGGCACGAGCTTCGATGCTGGATCCGCCGCCCCCTTTCGATCCGCGCCGTCTCCAGATGCGCGTCCCGTGATGCATGCATCGGTAATCCGCCGCTGCTGCTTGCCGCCGCCGCTGGGATCGACGCAGATCAACATCCGCGCCTGCGGGCGTGCATGTCGCACTGCGAAAATGTACTTGTCGGTTACCGAATTGCGCACGACGCATCTCTGGATTCCAGATAGCGAGGAATGTGGACGGCTGCTTTTGTCACGTTGACGGGATCATCTGTATATAGGCGTTCAGCGCTCTCACCTCTGGTCAGCGGACGAGCGACAGCATCACCGAGCTTTCATTCGAGGTGGGCGCGCTTCGGTGTCAAAAGTAGGCAGCGAGGTCGGCAATGCGCACGCGCGACGCTCCAGTGTCTCCTAGAACCGCTAGGATTCTTGAATGTAGCAGCTGAGGAGGCAGTGCAGAATCCGCTGGTTATCCAACGCATCGCGGACTACTTCAAAACGTTGTCCATACCGGAACCAGTTGTGGAATATGGGCACCCTGTCATGATGACCATCATGGTGGCGGCTATGGGCCTCGGAGGCGCTTACCTTGGTTGGGCAGGTCGCTTGAATCCTGACAAGCGGGCAGGAGTGAAACAGAAGCAGACACATGCCACAGTCATGGGAGCATTCACCCTGCTCGCGTTTTTAGGGGCCTCCGGCGGTATGCTCTCTGTCGCAATGCAGGGCTTCCCGGTTGGTCAATCTGCACACGCGCTGAGTGCGGTGCTTGTGCTGGTCTTACTTTCTTTCAACGGCATCTACGCTGGGACTGGGTTCGGTGCCGGCAGCAAACGCGGGCGAGAAGCGACGGAAGCAGCTGCACAGGGCCGTCGTGTGCACGCGTACCTTGGTGTTGCGATCGTGGCCGCTCTGCTCCTGCACGCCTTCCTCGGTCTGCAGATGATTATTGGAAGTTAGATGGCATGCGACGAACTCATGTTGCAGGCACCGCTGCCTTGAGCTAGGAGTGGCACCCGTTGTGGCCGACATATCCCTCGTACACGGTATGAAACCGGCACTAGGTGAGGCTTGAACGTGATCCTCCCGAATCATGCCTTACACGCCAGCTGATTGTCTTTGCAGTATGGACATCGTTCCAAGGCGCAGGCTCGCTCGCTGATGCATATCTTGGAGAAGGATGCCTCCCTTGCTGTTCATGGTTCGTTGAAAATCCCTGATTTAACTGCTAGTGCATGTGGCTGCTTCATTCGCTTTATCCGTGTATGTACCCGAGAACTGGCCCGTGCTCGCATCGCGTACTCCGAGCTGGAAGCTTGCAAACGCCTGCACAGTTCGCGGGGAATGCATAATGGACTGTAAACTCGAATCGAAAGGACGCTGGGTTGTTTGTTCGATATCACTCCATCCGTTTGGAACTAAAATGGAACACGTCGACAAAGCCAACACGGGCGCACACACGAAAGCTGGGGTCTCGTCCCAGTGACGTCGACAATAGCCTGTGTACGGGCTTTTTGCGACTAATTGCTTTTCCTGACTATAATCTCCGGTTTCGAAAACGAGCGTTCTTCTGTGTACTCCAGCTCAGCTGTTGACAGTCAAACATCGTTCATGGTAGCGTATATAGCCCGATGTTGCTATTTCCGTGAGTTATCGACGCATATCATGTACAGGCGCAAGCTGCGACCTCTGTTTCGCCTGAAATTTTCATCTTCTTTGTATGCAGCCTCGGTGGGCGCTTCGCAGCGTTGATGCTTGGCTGTATTCAGGAGTTTCCATGTGACCATAATGTATCCTACTCCGATGGCGGCTCAGTGGCGCACGAACGCTTGCTTTATCACTCCATCCATGCCGTTGACGGATACAGAGGACTCTCCCCGGTGCTTTCTGCGGCTTCTGTTCCTGGCGCTGGGCCAAACGATCAGCGGCTTCCGCTGGGCGATCGTCTCGGTGAGTAGGCTGTTCGTTGCACACCTGCAAGCGCACGATGTTGCATTCGATACCGCACCATCCGCCTGTTTGCAAGCTGTTCGATTTCTGAGCGCGCTATCGAAAAAAGTGCCGCGGAGCTTCACAGGTATCGAAATACTTTGGTAATTCGTGGGTACGGAGTCCGCAGCTGCGGCCCGCTTGCGACGATGCGACCAATGCTGCTGGGATTCCCTTCTGTATCGCTCGCTCGTACGTCATTCTATTCACACTTTCGTTCTCTTCCGCTGACCTGAAGATAAAAGTCGCGCTTTGAGACGCAAAGCGAGTCTGCACTGCTCAACAGAGGGCGCTCTTCCTCGACATGTCATCGCGCGAGATGCATCGCGGTTCGGCATCATTATGTACTAGTCATCATCCGGATATGACTTGCGTCCATTCGAGCCCGAAAGCATCGACATCAGCTTGGGTGTACAGTGCCAACGCTCGCTTTCGTTGCGGCATCTCTATCAACGTCGCGACGACCGTGAGCGTTTCCGTCGCCGCTCGCAAGTCGTTCGCCTCCGTCGACGCCCACGGGATCTGTGTCACCAGTCGCCACTCTGGGAGGCGAGTATGATGATTCCACACAAGCGTCCATGAAGCGCTTCATACAGCGCTCGGCGTGGATCCGCGGATTGTTTTCCTTTTCGAGGCCTGCTCTGATACTTTCTGGTACCTGCGCTGTACGTGTTCTTATCGCCAATGCGCCGCTGCGACGCGTCGAGATGTTCTGGGAAGCTTGTGTCCAAAAACGTGATTTTGCGGTACCAAGACCGCATTGCGTCCTCTGTTCCGAATACCGGTTGTGCTGACGCTTGAAAGTCAGCTCGAAAGCTTTCAAAAGAAAAACTGACAGCTGGGCGCCCTGCCTCCTGAGCTCCTACGAACAAGCGCCTTCTGGGGTACGTCACAGCGAGGGAGCGTAAACAAGGCGTTGTCGAGAAACGCGCTACGCGATCCCCAGTGGTGCCCTGTGTCTCCGTTTTCGGAAGTCTCTCCCGCATGATGCCCGCTAGTAGAGAGGATTCGGCAATGGTTTCAGACTGCGGTGCCTGCTCCGACGTCTTTTCCTCGCTGTCGCGCCGCGTCTGCTCCGTGGAAGGAGCCCGCTCTCCTCTGACAGACGCTTTTTCTCATTTTCACTTCTACTTGGCGGCGCGGCATGGGTGTCATTGCTATACATCACAGCCGTTTTGATCATCGTTACTCAGAAGCATCCCTCGGACAGTGAGTCCGAGACGTGCCTGTTCTATCTGTGCCTGTATCCATCTGCAACGCCTCATGCACACGCTCGTCACCACCTGCTGCTGCAAGCACGCCCGTGGTCCCAGGCGCGCCTTTCCGCTGCACCTTCTCGCCCGCTCGCACGAACCGAGAAGCAATATAGTAGCCCAGGGATGCCGAAGGTAGAGCGAGGCGTGCCGAAGAACGGTTTGTTCATGGACGGCGCCAGGGATATGCACGACTCGTCTACCGATCCCGGAGCGTAGCATGGGCGCAGGACAACACAGAAGCCATCTCCGACTGGACCGAACACAGGAAAACACGCTGACCCAAAGAGCAGCCTGATGAAAATCCCAGCTGGGGACTCCCTGATCGCTCCTGCATCATGGCAGGCGACCTTCTCCAAGTGCAGGACAGGAGCATGCTGGATGGAAGAGCCAGAAAGCGCTGCGGCGAAGGCTGAGCCGGTGAGCAATCCTGCCCGTTTGGCGATGTAGACGCGACCACATCAAGGCATCGCCGCAAGCACTGATGTTGCTGTCATGCACGATTATCTCTTCTTTATGATTAGCGGTTTGTACCTCTTTGAGTACCCATATGCGGGTCTACCATTTGTCTCGAGTGACATCCCATCGACTACAGCGCATGCCCTTGCCTCCTGTGGTAACCGCCCGCGTTTCAATACCAACTCGATTGTGTGTGTTGCTGAACGTGCGACGATCTTGAATAGAGGCACTGTTTTTCCTTCTTCAATTCGTGTCTCTAGATCACCGTCCCTATCAAAGGTACGATATCCTCACGTTCTGTAACTACTTTAGTCATGTTTCATCGACAGCGTATAGAGTGGCGTGGATTCGCATGGTGGCAGTCGTTTAGATAGCATTGGACAGGGTCTGTTCTCGGTGCACAAAGTTTCGGATACGGGCTACACGACTGGTGGTTCATCCACCAGCTGGACGTAGAATGGCTTACTTGTACAGCTACGGCGGTTGTTTCACAAGCTCGTATACGGAACTTCGCGTTTTTCCGCGACCTTTCTCCAATCCACAAATAACATTCCCTATGATGAATTCCTGCGAGAGAAACAAAACAAAAGCGTGCTGGTACAGGTGTTCCGGAATTCACCGCGCTTCCCATACGGTATGCTTTGGCCGGGAATCCTGCGGAACGCAAAACGCAACACATGCCACTGGACCAGAGAAAGGCGCCTATCCAATACGTGCCTCGAGACGTCTTGGGTGCGCGACAGCGTACAGGTTCAGATCGACTTGTCCGCCAACATGATGAGCACGGTACACTGGTCTTCGTGCCTGAGCGATCTGAACTTGGCTAAGATACGGGTGTGGTTGCGAGTCGTCCGAAGCTTCTGGTACTGTAGACGAGCCAGCGTAGCGAAGACCGCCCCACGTACCGTACGCTCGATTGGAACCGCCAGCTGCTCGCTCCAAACGCTGGATAGATGAATGGATTCTTTCGAGTCCGGTGAATCTCGAATGCGCTTTCCAAAACATACGCACCCATATTCCGAGCGATCCAAGTGGCGAAATACATTCGTATCAGTGGGAGCGGGGCGGCGGGCTGCGCATGTGCTTGCAATAGTTGATCCAACACTGATTCGATATTCGATTCGCCATCGACAAAGATCATGCGGTTCTGAAAGCCCGCACGCTTCGAGTCCGGGAGCATGCGAGGTGGTACGCGCGAGCCACACATCATCTGCTACTACCAGCCACATCAAGATAGAAAACAACGAACGCTCTGCGATCGGCAGAGCGCCGACAGCCTATTACCGCAGGCGCATCCGCAGTTGTGCAAGCATTACCGTGCGGTTTGCTTGTACCGAGGCGAAGCCGATTTTCGATACAAGTCCTCCGTCAGGAGCGCAGGACCTGTCGATAAAGGTCCGCCTGGCGTTCTGCGTTCTCGAGAATTCGTTGGAACCTTGAATCGAGCTCCGCAATCAGCTGCTTCGCGGCGCTTACCTCCATCGCAAAACGTGACACTGTATCACGAAGCAGGTTGCTGAACGAGACCGCCTCGGCCTCAGCCGCCATGGAAAATTCCTCAAACCGTGACTGAAGCTCGAAGTGCTGTGCCTCTATGCGTTCCCGAAAGAGCATGCGCTCTTGATCCAGTTCTCGTTGGAGATCATGACGTTCTGCTTCACACTGCAGATGAAATCGCGCCCATTCATCGTGAAGACGGCTCTCGAGTTCTGCCTGTTCTGCAAGAAGCGAAGCTTTCCGGGCTTGCAGCGATCTTTCTATCGAACGCTCGTACATCTCGACGGAAGTCTCCCGATGTCGCAAACTGCGCTCTCGTGCCTCCACAAGCTCAACAGGAACCATTCCCTGCATGAGACGCTCCATCCGAACACGCTGCTCTTCGAGGGTGCGCTGCATGTCGCGCAGGCGTGCCTCCCATGCCTCAAGTTCCTTCTCTCGCTGCAAGACGCTTTCCTTTCGCGCTTCGAGATCTTCCACGCGGGACTCGCGCTCGCGTAGTGCTCCTTCCCGAGCACGGAGACGCTTGTCAAGTTCAGCGTACTCGGCCTCAATCGCTTTTCGTTGCTGTTCTTCAAGTTGCTGTAGAACGACAGCGGGAACCAGATCAGCAAGCTGAGGTAGCGCTTGTGCCAGTCTCGGGAGATTCTCGCGCCAGGTCTCAATAAGCGACTTTTGCGAGCGCGCCAGCATTCTGAGCAAGTCGTGGATCTCCCGAGCATCGCGTTGTGCTCGGAGCAAGGTTACCTGCAAACGTTCGCACGAAGCTGTCGTTGCTGCAGGGACACTGCTCGCTGCGGCATTGTCCGAATGCACCTTGAAAACTGCGGCGCTGACACAGGAATCTACCACACTTTGCGCCACACTCTGTAGCTGCAATCGCTGGATTTGGTCTGTGAGCGTCTGCTGTTTGAGCTCAAACTCCACTAGGCGTCCATTCTGCTCCGCTACAACCTGCCTCAAACGCAGGGCCTCCGCTCGCGAAGACTCCAATTCTTTTTGAGACTCTTCCAGATGCTTCTGTAGTCGGCTGAGCCATTCGTCTCGTTCTTCCAGCTCAAGTCGCAAATTGTCCACTTCAAGCTCTGCAAGCGCAACGCTTGCGAGGGTGCTGGTACTCGTGGTCTCCCCCAGGTTGGTCTTATTAGAGGAACGCGAAGCGTGCCGCCTTCCGATGCGCCAAGGACCACTGGGCATCTGTTCGTTTGTCGGTGTAGACACCTGTGGAGCCGTCTCCACCGCACTCAAGTTCGGAAGCGTGCCTGATATCCCTGCGTCCATCAAGGGTGGGCCTCCAACCCGGGGCGCTCGTTGACAGCTTCCACAAGGCGAACACGAATCGAGCGCCCCTGCGCTGCAAAGAGCGCCCAGGCTTTCCCGATAGCGACCCAAGGCACTCCCGAGTCCAACGTTTTGCGTGGTGCTTGCCAGGAGCCAGACTCGCGTCTGAGACGCAGCAACCGTTGCGCTGGGATCAGTGCGCGCCTACGAGCCTCGGCTATCGATAAAAACACGCCAACTCCGGAGCGTCCTGCAGGCTCGAGGGTACTCCACAACTCTTGAAGCTCTAACTTGCGTAAACTTTCTAACGTGTACTGAAGTACACACGAAACTTATCCACCTGACAAAGCCAAGCTGCTAGTACGCTTGCGTACGACGCAATTCCGATGTGGACACAGGTGCTACGGCACGTCGCTACCACTCGTTTCGTTCTCGAGATCCCGGCACACAAACTGCGCTTGAGGCCGCAGTATTGGCTACCAAACGCCACCGCTGCAACTGCGGCTACGCAATCAGCGCTGTTAATACTGTCTCTCTCTCTCTGGGTGTGTTTATACGGTATCGTCAAAGTCGCCTTTCACAGGTGTTCTTCTCTCAGGCTGGAAGCGAAGCGTTTGACTGTCATGCTGCGACAGCGTTCGGAGGAAACTTGGGCACTTGCTTGAGGTCCTTCGAAAAGCCGAATATATTGGTGCTCGCGAAACCGTTGAAGTGAGCGTCCGGAGGAAACTTGGGCACTTGCTTGAGGTCCCTTGCAAAGCCGGATATATTGGTGCTCGCGAAACCGTTGAAGTGAGCGTCCGGAGGAAACTTGGGCACTTGCTTGAGGTCCTTCGCAAAGCCGAATATATTGGTGCTTGTGAAATCGTTGATGTGAGCGTCCGGAGGAAACTTGGGCACTTGCTTGAGGTCCCTTGCAAAGTCGGATATATTGGTGCTCGCGAAATCGTCGATGTGAGCGCCCGGAGGAAACTTGGGCACTTGCTTGAGGTCCCTGGCAAAGTCAGATATATTGGTGCTCGCGAAATCGTTGATGTGAGCGTCCGGAGGAAACTTGGGCACTTGCTTGAGGTCCCTGGCAAACCCGGATATATTGGTGCTTGTGAAATCGTTGATATGATCCAGGGTTTCGAGACTGCGCCATCGTCATCGGCATTCAAGCGAGGATTTATAGTGTCATATACTGGAGCTTCAACTTCAGAAAGCCCCAAAGTATACTTTTGTTCGCAAGGGCAAAGCCGTTTTCCTTGACATACCCACACCTTTTGATATGCGTGTCGTTCTCTGCATCGCGTATTCGCCAAGTCATATGTCTAGCGCCTGCAACTCCCATCCATGCATATCCAGGCTACTTTGAAAGTGAATCTTGGACATTTCCGTGCCGTTGGACACTGCTGCAGGACGTTGGTTTGTTTCGGAGGTACAGTTTGTGGCGCTTGCCTTGGACGGATTCTTCGGAATGTGAACGATGAATTGATGGATTCGGTAGATGCGCTTGTACGTACCGTTCGTGGTCGCTGGGCTCTTCAGACGGGCATCAGGGACCGAAGCCTGTTGACGTTTTGGCGCTCCGGCAGGGAGCAAAACGCCTCGGAATGAGTTCCAGTGCCACGTGGCTCACTGGAAACATGGATCCTGTCAGACGACGTCATCTTTACCGTAGATTCATGGATGGGCATTACCCTGGAGAAGCATCCAGCAAGCCTCATTGCTGGACAATTGATACCGGATCACCGATGAGCGACATGCGCTCACGAGTACCGTTGACGCAGCGCAAACGAACGATCTCGTCATTGCGGAATTCTGCAATGATGCCAGCGATAAAGGCCTGGGGGCTCTGTCACCACGATACATTCATCGGAAGCGCATGCCGTCCAGTGTTTTCCATGCTTCTATCTTCTGATCAGGGAAAAGACTCTTTTTGCGCCAGCGTTTGCAACTTGCGCGGCTAAACGTTGGCAACGAACTGATCAAGGGCGTCTGGCTTAGGCCCAGCAACCCTTCACGGTTTCTAGAGCACCTGAAGGCTCGGCACACGCTCATGAGCGTACCGAGCGATATATACATTCAAGAGCATCATCCGATAGAATCCTCGATCAACGTAAAAGATGCTCACTGCGCGAACCGAATTTCCTGTTGCATGGACATGCGTCGTACCTGTGGGCGAGGTTACCACTTGCCAGCGATTGTCCCGCATTCAAGGCGGCACTTGACCGTGCTGCCACGTCCCAGGCAGCGCTCACAGCAGACTCGACACCCAGACGTTCGCATGAACTGACGAATACCTCGAGAGGAAACGAGGGGTGACGGTGCTGGTGGCGCCGACGGCGATGGCAGCTGCGGCATCTAGAGGCTGGTGAGACTTCAAGCTACGTCGCGACACGTCGGACGCGTTTCCACATACCAATAAACGTCGTGCTATCCGGGCTCGCTGGCTCGCGTCAATGATCCTAAACCCCTCAAACAGGGAACGCTGCACTGCTTTTGCCAACGACACACGCTTCCATTCATGTGACACAATCGACAAGTCGCTCTCGTGTCCGAGGTCCTGGTAGACAACACCTCACGGGATGCCCTACTGCTTTTCTTCCGATAACATAACCTTTACAATGACTACGAATCCCGGTTTGACACATGGATATGCCCTGCTGATCCGCAGCGCTCTCGAGATGGAGCGCAGCGGAACGCGTCGCGATGCCGTCGATTCGAACGCGATGCCGCTGGTGACCGTACAAGCCTTGGGTGTATCGCTGAGCTGCATTCCTGGTGGTGAGCGCGTCCTCCAGCAAGCTTGGGACCTGGTTTGCGAATAGCGTCCGAGTGACGCTGCTTCTCTCGCTTCAAGATGGCTTTCTGGGAGCAATGCAAGCGGTTGCTAATTTTCATACTTAAACTTCTTATTTCGGAAAAGTCGAAAAACGCACTTCGCGTCGCACTGGTGTGTGCAGCGGTGTCTATTACGATCTTCTTCGCAGTACTCAGGTCACGCCTGGAGTGTTATACGAACAACCTAGCTTATGTAGCGCTTGTGATTATCGCACAGCACCCGCATATAGGATCCGTTTTGCGCGCCGGTGCAATCCTTAGCCTTGCGAGTCTCATTGCGACGGTGTTCGGTCTTGTTGGTCTGGCGATGGCAGACAAAAGTGCAGCGGCGCTCTACTTTATAACCCTGGTGTTTGCGGGAATTGCAACCATTCTTCGAACGGACACCAATCCGATCTCTCCTGGTATGGGCATCTCGATTAACTTTCTGTTCGGGGCAATTTTCATTTTCTACGTGAAGACGCCTCCATCCGAGGCCTGGGATCGAACGTACCCCACATTACTATCAGGTCTCTTTGCTTCTGCTGCATCACTGATTGGCGCGATCCTCATTTTTCCAAAGTCTGCTCGCCGGAGTCTTCGGACGGGACTGGCGGCTAGTCTACGAGAAACCGGGGACGTCTTGCGGGATCTACGAGAAACGCTTCAAAAGCCGCCGAAGGATCGCCAGTTCTCTATCTCGATCGAGTCGGAAATGGGTGGACAGAGCTTTGCTCCGGCGGCGCTTGCCAAAGTGCAAAATCTGCGAGCAGCTCTAGCGCAGCATCGAGTGATGCTTTCGTATATGCCTTTCGAGCCGAACCTGCTGCCTCCGTGGCAGTGTGAGCCTGATAAAGCCTGGAGCCGCCTGATAGACGCCGTAGAGGACTTTGTATTTCAGGTGGATGCGATTGTCTGTGTGTTCGCCAATGAACAGGCGTTTATATCGGAAGCTCTCAACGAGCTCTTTAGCGATTCGATTCAAGTCATGGTCGATTTCCTCGAAGCAGCGACAGAGAGCGCTCACAAGCTTGCAGATTCTATACAGGCCTATCCGCGAGCCCTGGATACCGATGTTGTGCTGACACGTCCAATGCGCCGACAGCTGAACCGGGTCATTGCTAGAGCGCGCCATCAGCGCTGGCAGGCGCTTCGTTACGAAGACCGGGATCGAGATGTGAATCCCGCCTCGGCTTATGAATTTGCCTCCTTGATTTTTGTTGCATACAACATCCGTGCACTGCAGCGTCTTGTTGAGAATCTGAAGCAACGCGTATCGGAACTTTTAACGGAACGTCGGCGACTGCGCTTCGCACCGATTGCCAACCTATTTCGATGGGTGCCGATGATCCTAATGGCGCCTGTACAGTCGTGGATGAAAACGCATATCCTTTTGCGGAACCCGACAAATGCGAAATTTCTCATCAAATATCTTCTATGTGTAGCTATCATAACATTCCCGACGCTTTTTGTATCCCAGTTCTCGCACCGGGTGTACGCTTTCTTGCAGCACGATAACGCCATTTCTGCGTACATTATTGTGACGATCTTGTTTATGCGCGGCGTGGAGATGACGATATTCCGCGTGTTTCTCTACTTTACCGTGACCTTCGCTTCCTGCGCTTTGGCGTACGCTTTGACGGTTATGGCACCAACTGATCAGTACGTCATTGACATGTGGATTGGTGTCTGGACCTGGGGTGCGCTGCTCGTGGCGTCCATTGACCCGGCGTATATTGTGACGACATTCCCTTTCCTGCTGGCCCAGTACTTTATAATCGGATGCCAGTATGGACTCGGTTTTACATTTGTGTACGCGGCTTCTCGTGCTGTTTCGGTCTCTTGTGGCTGCTTCGTCGTTGCGGCAGTGAGCATTCTACTTTGGCCCTATCGAAGCGAAGAAGAAGTGCGCGCACTTCTGAGCCAGATTTTGACGTCCATTACCGAGCTATTCATCAAGACCAATGAAATATTTTTCAGAATGAACAAGGAGGGCGGCAGTGCAATCTGGGAGGAGACCGGTGGTGCCGAAATTGAGTCGAAAATCCGTCAGACTGAGACGCTTATCACAGTCGTGAATCTGCGTATGATGCTCGATATCACACCGAACTACCGCAAGTCGTCGCTGCCGCAGGGCCTAGGCTGGGTGGCGCTGCTCATGCGACGTTTCTATTTGCTTCGCCAGGTTGTTCGCGCTTCTCCGCAGATTCGCGGCTGTTACAGCACAACCGCCTACGAGATGTTCCTGAAGCACCTGGAGCCAGAACTGGAAGTAATGCTCAATGAGTGGAAGCAGACCGCTGAGTTTGCAGCGGAGCGGCTCCGATGCCGGCGAATTAACCGTCCGCCGCCCGACAAGCTTCTAGAGGCACTGCACCGTCTGCGGAGCGCCCGCGCTGGTGTCATCACAAAGTACGCTGCGGTCCGTTGCGATATGCTTCGACGCTGGCGTGAAAGCTTGATCGCGTTCCATCTGCATTCTGTAGATACCCGTCGAAGCGACGAATCTTCAACGGAACCGAAACACGACGGATCACTGACAGCAATATCCAGTGACTCGAGTTCGAGTCCGACGAACGAGCAATGCACTGAAAGAAATCCAATCGTGATTTCTCCGTCCAAGGACGCTGACACCCCGAATGTCATGGAGCCGGGCATGGACGTGGTTGCAGAACGCATGGACACAGTGGATCTGGGACCTCCGGACCTCCACCCAGATGACTCGGTCCGCTTTCTCGCTTGGCTGTATGCGACGCGGCTCATGTATACGGCATTCGACTGCGTAAGCGAAGCCATTGGTAATCTGCGTTATGGCCCGCGTCGACGAACTCGTTGGCAGCGCCTGTGGCTACGACTCGCTGGTAAGAGCGGCCGTGATCATCGTCCAAAATCGTCGTCGACGTCGAAGGCATCGAAATCATCGGACGAAAAAGCGCATTCAGCTTCTGATAATGTGCAACCAACGGAAAACGAATCCAATGCGAGGCCGGACCCCGACGACGAAGAAGCCTCAGCTGTGGAGGTACGAACCAGCAACCAGGTAGCGAATACTGCGCCTTCCATCTCTGGTAGTCGTAAGGACGCCGGTCACTATGCTTGCTGACGGATTACCTAGGATCGAGTTATCGACGCTAGATAGCTCCATGAAAATCAACTCTCACATATGGTGTTTGCCCAGTGAACCCACTCCCGATGCGGTAGATATTCGATATTCACGTCTCGCTGGGTTGCTGAAGCATACCATACCGCTTCCTTGCGTCACGCGAGAATAAATGCCCGCTCTCCCGGCCTCTGATAGTTTTCATTGCAAGTCGCCAGCGTTTCGGACCAGCGCCTTCAGTGAGTGCTAAACGATTCCATTAAAAATTTGCTTGGAACCCGGAGCCTCTCGACGTTTCACCAGCACGAGTCATCTCCCTATATTGATCCAGGGGTTCAGGTCTGAGCTAAGAAAGGGTCTGCGCGCATGGCTGCTCGTGAAGTTGCATCGTAGCGAGCCGCTCATCGTAGATCGCGTCTCCATCTGACGTTCGCGCAGCTTCTCCGTACAACATATCGTGCGTCTGTCTCTGTTTCAAAGTTATCGTCGCCGCCTATTTCAGTGTGCACTCGTGGTCATGAAGCTTGTACGCTATCCTATAGTAATCGATGGGCACTGTATACAATCGATTCCAGCATTCGTTGAACGCTGTCGATCAGGGTGCAGGATTCCAGCCTATACGATCCAGAGCTCGCCCAGCGCCATAGGTTATCACCACACGAAGCGACCTGTAGGTCATGACCTTTGCCTCCGAATCGAACAAGTTGACGAATGAACGCTTCTTGCCTCCATACGACGGAACTCACTGGTGACCGAGGCGGAGTCTCACGCAATCCTGCCGCAATTCGTCCGCATGAACCACTGTTCGTGCTTATGTACGCTCTTAGAAGGAGGCCTGCAAAGCGTCCTTCGATGTTCGAATCGGTGCTCAGCGCGCCGCGACGGGGCTCGCCGTCGACATTCCACTTGTTGGCGGGCGCCCTGGAGTCCTCCAAGCTCAGCTCCCCATAATGCCGATCCCTGGAAAATTTGAGCCCATTCATCTGCCTCCCGTTCGGGTTTTCCGCACCTGACCCCAAAGTATAGGGGAACAGCTACGGCTATGTTGATCGTAGACTAGGGATGCGCACGCACCGCGACATAGTTCTCTTCACCTAGCTTAAACAGTTGGTAACGAGTCTCTGTCTGTTCGACGATAGCCTGGTTTTCACGAAATGCACACTGGTGGATTTACCGTCGGTCTCGATTGTCTCTGAATATATCATCCGATTTCCTCATTGCAAACAAGAAACGTTGATCGCGCTCCGCCAATGCTCTTGGCATTGTCGTTCGAATGCTTCACATCTGGACGCAGAGATCGGCCAAAGTTTTCCTGAAACGGCCATGCAGCGCAACCCGCCAGTGTCTATGGTGATGGAATGAGTCGTGATATGAAGTATTGGGACTACATCGGATCGACGCCAGATGAGGTCAGGACACGCGCACATGGGAAGCGAGTCTGCACTGCTCGACAGAGGGCGCTCTTCCTCGACATGTCATCGCGCGAGATGCATCGCGCTTCGCCATCATGTACTAGTCATCATCCGGATATGACTTGCGTCCATTCGAGCCCGAAAGCATCGCCATCAGCTTGGGTGTACAGTGCCAACGCTCGCTTTCGTTCCGGCATCTCTATCAACGTCGCGACGACCGTGAGCGTTTCCGTCGCCGCTCGCAAGTCGTTCGCCTCCGTCGACGCCCACGGGATCTGTGTCACCAGTCGCCACTCTGGGAGGCGAGTATGATGATTCCACACAAGCGTCCATGAAGCGCTTCATACAGCGCTCGGCATGGATCCGCGGATTGTTTTCCTTTTCGAGGCCTGCTCTGATACTTTCTGGTACCTGCGCTGTACGTGTTCTTATCGCCAATGCGCCGCTGCGACGCGTCGAGATGTTCTGGGAAGCTTGTGTCCAAAAAACGTGATTTTGCGGTACCAAGACCGCATTGCGTCCTCTGTCCCGAATACCGGTTGTGCTGACGCTTGAAAGTCAGCTCGAAAGCTTTCAAAAGAAAAACCGACAGCTGGGCGCCCTGCCTCCTGAACTCCTACGAACAAGCGCCTTCTGGGGTACGTCACAGCGAGGGAGCGTACGCAAGGCGTTGTCGAGAAACACGCTACGCGATCCCCAGTGGTGCCCTGTGTCTCCGTTTTCGGAAGTCTCTCCCGCATGATGCCCGCTAGTAGAGAGGATTTGGCAATGGTTTCAGACTGCGGTGCCTGCTTCGACGTCTTTTCCTCGCTGTCGCGCCGCGTCTGCTCCGTGGAAGGAGCCCGCTCTCCTCTGACAGACGCTTTTTCTCATTTTCACTTCTACTTGGCGGCGCGGCATGCGTGTCATTGCTATACATCACAGCCGTTTTGATCATCGTTACTCAGAAGCATCCCTCGGACAGTGAGTCCGAGACGTGCCTGTTCTATCTGTGCCTGTATCCATCTGCAACGCCTCATGCACACGCTCGTCACCACCTGCTGCTGCAAGCACGCCCGTGGTCCCAGGCGCGCCTTTCCGCTGCACCCTCTCGCCCGCTCGCACGAACCGAGAAGCAATATAGTAGCCCAGGGATGCCGAAGGTAGAGCGAGGCGTGCCGAAGAACGGTTTGTTCGTGGACGGCGCCAGGGATACGCACGACTCGTCTACCGATCCCGGAGCGTAGCATGGGCGCAGGACAACACAGAAGCCATCTCCAACTGGACCGAACACAGGAAAACACGCTGACCCAAAGAGCAGCCTGATGAAAATCCCAGCTGGGGACTCCCTGATCGCTCCTGCGTCATGGCAGGTGACCTTCTCCAAGTGCAGGACAGGAGCATGCTGGATGGAAGAGCCAGAAAGCGCTGCGGCTCCCAAGTCTATACATTTCTTATACAAGTGGACAACACGCGTTGCGGTCACCAGCATCGTCCATGAACTCGATTTGGAATCAGCGCATCATTTTGGTACAATTAGGAATCTAATGGACAACACGCTTGGGGCCGCCACCACCTCCCATGCCTCTGCTGCGAAGGCACACGCTCTCGCCGGCATGCGCTTCTGTGGACACCACCAAGCGAGGTGTTATGACGTAGACACTGGAGTATGCAATATATCACGACGCCGCGGTAGGCTTAAGGACATCATAATCACGATTTTGAAAACAGATGGAAGAATCAGTGGGAACGTACGCGACGCTTCATAGTCGACAACCTGCGTTCGTTGGAGAGCTCGTGAACGCCCGGCAAGTCAGTGCGCACTCGTGGAGACAACGAGCGTCCATTTATTCCAACCGACAGTACGTGTTTGGCCTGCCACACTTTCAGAACTTTGCTTCTAAACGAAAGCGAAGTCGTTATTCAGTGTACAGGACGCAATGTGAACCGTGGCGGCAGCCGGGTCCCGCTGAGGCACGCTGGGCCGCGCTTGCTGGAGCTTGCTCCACCCTGCGCGCTGTGCAGCGCCAGGCTGACTTGCGTGAACCTCCATGCACCGCAACTGAGCCTAACCAAAGAGCGAACGCTTCGACCACCAACGGAGAGTGGCGTCCGCGGCTCGTTGTTGTCGGACCTCCGGGTTCCGGCAAAACGACACTAACCGAGCAGTTGCGTCAAGTGTACGGTCTTGTACGGGTCGGATGCGGCGACCTGCTACGTGCCCACGTTTTATACGGGACGGATATTGGTTTGGCTTCCAAGGCGTATATGGAATCTAACGAACTGGTTCCAGATGGAATCGTGATACCTCTCGTTCTCGAAAGACTTCGACAACGAGATTGTGAGGAACACGGATGGGTCCTAGACGGATTCCCTCGGACTGAAGCGCAGGCGCTGGCCTTGTTTGACTTTCTGGATATCGTAGGTGACAGCGCTGATGCAGAAAACTCCAGTCCTTCGATATCCATGGGCGCAAGGCCCGCAGGAACCATCATTCTGCTCGAAGCCAGCGATGAGTGTCTCGTGGAACGTATCCGCCATCGCCGCATTGACCCCGTTACCCATACTGTCTACAATATGAAGTTCAATCCACCAGAAGAAGAGGATATCATGGAAAGGCTCCTCCGTGTCCCATCGGATGAACCGGAAGCGTTTCGCCTACGCCTGACGCAGTACCGGGAAGCGCTGCCGGCGCTCCTGGCATGCATTTCCCAGCTGACACGGGCTCGGCGTGGCGATCAAGCGAACAATGTTGGCCTGATTCGTCTGAATGTATCCGAGCCAGGTGTTCAAGATCGTTTCCAAGAACTTGAGGAGCAACTGAAGCGAATCTGGGGAGCCAAAAGGCGATCCAACCAGTACGCGGAACACATATCCGGTTCGGTCTGGGTGCCGCATGCCTCGACGGCACTTGCACGAGCGCGAGCGGCAGGATTGCTGAATACGCCCTCCACGCGTACCTTTTCGGACTGGCGTGAGGACCCGGTCGAGACCTCACTCAATGGAGGCGCTGGTCAACGCGATCAACTAGGATCGGGCTTGAGTACAGCCCACGCGGACGACGATGCCGTGGAACCGATGCTTGATGGCGCGTCGATGTCATCTGGCCAAGTGTCGGCAGCGGAGCAAGGTGCCGCGAGCAGTCCAGTTCGTCGATCCAACGACAACGATGCTCCAGAGTTGACGCTGCGCTCAGATCCCGAGCGAGTAAAAGCGTCACCTCAACCAGTCGATGCCGAAACAGCGAATCGCTCGACGGCGAGCAAGTACGAAAAGGCGTCCATCACTTTGATTCGTTGCGACGGTGTTCAGTGCGTTCGCGAAGTTGTTCATCTTGGTGATATCGCTTTTCATGGGAGCGCGACCGAACAAGTAATGCTTCGTTGGAACGAACGACCTCGAACGGTCCTCTTGCTCGTCAAAAAGGGAGCTAATCTTTGTGAAATAGCGAAGCAAGCGGTGGACTACTTGCAAAACAGCGAACGGCTTCGAGTGCTCGTCGAGCCCTGGGTCCAGACGGAGCTGTTCGCGCTCGGAACCTATACCGATTCGTTCCATCACAGCCAGGACTTGCACCGCTGCGTCGATCTGGTAGTTTGTCTCGGTGGTGATGGCCTCATTCTGTACACATCTACCCTATTTCGAACGGCGGTGCCTCCAGTTGCTCCGTTTAACCTTGGATCTCTCGGCTTTCTGACACCATTCGAATGGAAAGACTTTCAGGGACACATACGTACCATGCTTTCCAGTGATCTTATGCTTTCGCTGCGAATGCGCCTCTTGGCCACGGTGGTGCGCGTCTCGGGCCAAGCCGAGCAACAGTTTCATGTTCTGAATGAAGTTGTCGTAGACCGGGGAGCTTCGCCTTTTCTCTGCCAGCTGGAGTGTTACTGGGATGATGCACCGCTCGCCAGCGTCCAAGCCGATGGGATTATCGTTGCGTCGCCGACCGGATCCACAGCCTACTCCCTCGCCGCCGGTGGTGCTATGGTGCACCCGAGTGTGCCAGCTATCTGTGTGACGCCGGTTTGCCCGCACTCGCTGGGTCTGAGGCCGGTTGTGCTCCCAGACTCGGCTCGTATTCGAGTCCAGGTGAGCCCCGAGGCACGCTCCCATGCCTGGGCGAGTTTCGACGGGAAGCACCGGCTGCAGCTGCGGCGCGGGGATTCGCTGCTTGTCGAAATGAGCAAGTACCCAATGCCGACTGTGAACGCTACTGATCATGCTGCCGACTGGTTTGGTTCTCTGAATCGTGGGTTCGGTTTTAACGTGCGCGGAGCGAAACCGAAACCTCGTGTGATGGGGCGCTCCTCCACAGCGGAGCAAGCGAGTGTTGATCGCTTTGCGGACGGCACCGAATCATGAGCAGTGCCGATTCTGAGACCTGGAATGCGCAGACGGGACTCATTCACGCGAGCCCAGCTGAGGTCTGTGTGCTTGCCTCGCACACTATCCACGCAAATGTCCAGAAGAGTGGCATTCAGACGAGTTGTGGAGTCCGCGCTTCACCTTGCACCCAGTTCATGGAGGCATCAGGCAGTGTAGATGGGGCGCAGATACCGCCAAGGCTCGGCGCGCCCGGGCGCTAAACACTCTACAGACCCCGTATGTCCAGCGTTCAGCAGAGCAATTGCGACCTCGGCGGTGAGTTCGACTCCGCCTAGGTACCAGAAGCGCGTCGAGTCAGCGGCTAGAGGTCGCGTTGAACGTGCTTCCGTGGTCGTCGTCGTCGTCGACATCTACTGTTGCTGCTGGTGGACCCGGCGCTTTGTTGCGACGACGCATTGCCGGCCGGTATCGTCGGAGCTTGCGGTGCAGATGCCGCTCCGCAGAGGCCGCGTCTGCAGGCCAGCGTCTGTCGATAAGCGCAGGTGCAGTCGCGTCCAGGCACTGGAGTCGTGCTGCCAGTCGCGTCGTAGTCGCACGGGGTCTGTTTCGTGGGGAGTGTTCGTGGCCGTTGCGCGGCTGCGGATGCAACCACAGGGTCCAGTTTGGTAACGCGCACCGCATCCGCACAATGCAACTGTCCAAACAGACACCACAGATACGTATCTCTCGCGTGGGAGCACTGCGACGCGCGTCTGCAGCCGCAGGCAGGCTATCGACTATGCAAGTCGTGCGGTTACGAGCGCGTAGGTCAAGCACATCGCCTCGGTCGCATGTTCTGGATGGGGGGCTCGTTACTGCCACTGGAGCAGTCCGGATCAGCGCGTATCTCCATTCACTTGACTTTCCATGTTTAGAGTTGCGTCGGGTTACTGGTTTCAGGCAAGAGATGCCGACTTTCATAAACACGAACACATATCACATGACCATTCTCGAGCGCAACAATCCGCTCACAACCTCTTGAGCGCGGAAAGAGCGTGCCACAGCATTCCCAAAAGAAGCTCTCAAACCGGAACCAACCTGTCCAGTAGAGTAACGAGATTAGACTCCAGGTGTACGGAAAGAGAAGCAAGGTAAAGATCAGGAACGCGTAGTCGTAGCGAGCTGGATGGATGTCGTTGAAGACCTTCACGACGCGGGGAACTGCGCCGCTCCACGCTGCCGGTGCCGGGGCTGTCGTAATCGTTGCCGTAGAGGCCCCGACCGACGCATCGACTGCGTCCGTGGTCGGCGTGCCGTCGGCTGCAGGGCCCACAGGCACTTGCGTCAGGCGATGCTCGCGAACCGTTTGCCAGTAACCGTAGCGATGCCGCTTCTGCCAGTCCGCAACGTACGGCGGCAGAAGCGCACCCTCGGCACCCGCGAGCGTCGAGCGCTGACTCGCAGCGTCGGGTCCCAGGCACGGACCCGCTGGCCAAGCTGATGCACCCTCCCCGGGACCCAGTTCTTCACCGCAAACGAAGCAGCGCGAGTAGTACTGCGACAGCGGTAGAAACACGAACGATTCTGGCTCCAAAGAGTCCGCGTCCGCGGCCGGCGTCAGAGGCGAGGCCACCAGACGCGGCTGGTGCAGCGCCGCGGCACTGTTCCCCGCGAATCCTCAGCCGTCTAGTGGCTCAAGCGGCTGGGCTCCAGCCGAAAGACGCTGGACGCCCCGTCCAGACCTGCTGGTTTGACGCTGACCTCCTGTGCGTTGCGTCGACGCACCCCCTCCGACGAACACATGCACGCGCTCGTTTGCATCAGAAGCTTTGGACGTTGCCCGATCACCTGGTCCAGCTACTTTCCCCTGATCACCGTTTATCATGTGCGTTCGTCTCGGTTGGTGGCAAGTTCTAGTCTCTCTGCCGGTTCACAGCGGTCTCTGGCGTTCCAGACTCGCCCAGGATACCGCCTATGAATGCAGCGCGGACGTCCGGCAGCGCTCCCGGCGGTGGTATCCGTTGACGCAGCGTCGAGGGATGATGAGGCGGCGACGATCGACGCCACAAACCCGCAGAGGATCGCATGCTCCGTTGGCCTCGGGAGTCCTAGTAGCGGCATATTGCTCGAGCTGGAAGCTTCATATCGCAAACATTGCTATAGGCGCCACTGCTGTCGCTTTCGGCAGGCTCGGCACACGACAGGACGTAGGAAACGACCAGAATATCCGAGACGAATTATAGGTAATGGAACATGGAAGTAGGGGGTTGATGGATACTTTACAGTGCACTGAAAAAAAAGCATAAAGAAAGAAGGAAGAAACGCGCATAATCGGAGAACGCTGGCGTAAGTAAACGCTCTGTCAATGAAAAAAATCGCAAACATAGCATGGTATGGTCTTTCAACTGGATTTTGGTTCATAACAGCTGAGTGGAATCGAATGCTTGTTAACAGTGCATTGCTGGAAGTCCTAATCACGGTGCAGTGTATACTCTGGATCCTAGTCGAATTGTTTGTAAAATGGATTCTTTATTGAATAGTGCACGGAGGACGGCATTCTACATTCAGGTCAGTCTTACGTCTACCCTCAGATGGTTGACGAGCACTAAAAGAGAAAAGTACATGCGCTCCGCGTCAAAAACCGACAGTCTCAAAGAGTTCTTGCGTTCAATGATAGAAAATGATTCGTTGATCATCGAACTGAAAGCAATAAGCGGCGAGTACAGCCACCGCCGGTATCTATCTTTCTAAACAGCTTGCTCCTTTAGCCCTGAATACACTGGGATACAGTGGGAAAAAGGTCCTAGTTCACGCACGGCCATCTTGCACGGAAATCCCAACGATTACAACGTTCCTGGAACTCAGCGACCGGTTTGAAACACAAGGACATCGGTTTGTTTTTTAAGACGGCGAGGCCTCATTCGGATGAAACGGTCGGAGCTTATATGCGTACTCGCCGAGCATGCATCCCGTTTTATATACAATCGAACTCGAGGGGAATGAGGACATCATCTTCCGTTCAAGCCGCAGTGGACTCATTTGGCGGCTACAGTTTCGCTTATAGAGAAAGCGTATTCAACAGCACCAACCACCTTGTCGAATCATGGAAGACTTGTTCGCTGACGCCTGGCGACGCTCTCCTAGTGATCAACTTGGTAGTTCACAATCCCCGCTGCGTCCCCGCTTTCGTGGATACTATTGAGGTAGAGCTGCTTTTCATTCCAGCGTACTCTTCGAGCTTAAATCGTATCGAAAGGAGTGTTTTCGCTCGTGACACGTAATGATCACCTCAGAAGGCGAATCGCTGAAGCGCTTAGCACACATTGATACCGGGAGACATGTCGCCTTTCCCCTGCAAGTCCTTCTCCATCCGGAAGGTTCTCGCCTTAATGCATAAAGAAGTGAGTTCATTTGAATGAAAAATTCATGGGAACGGTATAGCCATGCAAGTCAAGGATCACGGGAGGCCGCTGTCGCCGGGTACCTCGAAAAACGGAAAAATCCTAGGCTCGCCGACTATCGATCGAAAAAGGGTATCTGACGACGACGACAACGACGACAACGACGACAACGACAACGACCAAGAAGAAGAATAGAGGCGATAGACGAGAATAGACGTTCGCCCGACGTGACAATGCCGAGACTGAAACGACACAGAGGGCACGAGTTCCACCTATGCTCCCAGTGGTGCATTCCACCGGCGGCAATAAACACATAGAGCTCGTGGACCGGGACTTCAACGCTGCCATCAATATCAGACGACTTGTGGCGCTGAAGACGAGACCCGCGGAGCTGACACGATCTAACTTTGCGGGGCAGCCTCTCAGGCTCGAAATGTGCTTGGATATACTGAAACTGATTGCAGGCGGCGAGGCGAAAAGGCTGGACGTCGTCTGCGACTAGGTTAACAAACTTACCCTCTATAGTTGTGAAATGTTTATCATTTTGCAGATTATAGTTAGGCGTATGTTCGCTGAACGCCATTCTACAGACAAACGACGCCAGCAGTGTACAGTAGTGGCGAGAAGCCCGCCCTAGACGAAACGTCTCCAACTGACGTGCAGACGCCTCCCCGTCATTTTGGACCGGCCACCCAATACTGCCTCCAACTTTTTCTCATGTAGTTCGAGTTTGAGAAGTTGTCCAACAAAGTTCTCTCGTGTGAGTTCCGGAGGTCTCATCTCCAGCACCGCACATCTACTTATATTGATAGCGGCGTTAAAGTCTCGGTTCACGAACTCCACCCGTTTCTTGCCACTGATCGGACTAATTAATGCGAGTAGTCCACGAACGTTCGCCCTCCTTTCCATTTGCTCCTCCGTCAGCGGTCCGTACTTTGCTATTTCCTCAGGGCTCCTCTGGCGCTTCTCCATCTCGACCCTTTGAAGTGTGCACCCCAGTTCATGGTGTGTATACGATGTTCGGAACTCATCTATCGGGGTTGTAACGAACCGCCATGCGCACTCCTTGTACGTTCTTGTCGTTGGAGCTGGCATAGTCCCTTTTTGGGTCTTCCATCGCCCTGCTCCGCACGCTACTATCAGCCTCTGACTTTGATTCTCTTTGAGGGCACTCAACTGATTGAAAAAGTCCGCGAACGCCCGCTCCCTCTACCCGTATGGATTCATACGCAGACGAGCCAACCGAGGCTTCGTATACTCCTCCCAGAGCGCATCCCAATGCGCAACGCGAACATCCATGAATTTTCGAAAAGCTTCAAAGTCCGCTCCTCGGCTCGTGACCTCGCTCAAAGCTGCCAGGTGATCCTTCATTCCTGAATTCCAATTCTCGATTTTCTTCCTCGCATTCATTATACCGGATTCTCGATCGTATTTGGCTCTCGAGAACCTCAAAAGACGCATGTCTTTCCGACGCAAATTACCGTCAGTGCCATCTTCCGAACGCTCCGGGCCTGCACCTTAGAGATATTCGGCGCCAGTTTGCCTCAGCTGGGCATGCTCTGCTGCGTTTTGTGACGGATTCACCGCTCCGCCGATACACCACTGTTCGTCGCATGCCCAGAGTGCTGAGGATGGGCATGCCCGAGCTGCTGCAGCGCACGCTCCAGAATACGCTTCTTTCCTATGCGAAAGCGCCGCGCCAGCTCCAATCGCTGGTTGCTCGGCTGCCATTGCTCATCCTCAGTGAGCGTCGTCGGCTTGCGCGCGAGCTCTTCGCGAATCAGTGCTATCAGACCAGTCGCCGAGAGGTGTTGGACCGACTCTGGATTGCGCACGCGGCCTGTCGCATCGAAAACGATCGTCGTCTCTGAGGCATCGTCCCAGAGCTTGTACGTGTCGTGCGGGTTATCCTCTTCCACGAATCCGTACAAAGCCAAAAGTTCATCGTTGGTCAAAGTGCCGTACGATATGAAGACCTGATCGCCTGCATGCGTGTCTCGATTGCTTATGCTGAGCGAAAAAGCATCATAAAAGTACTCATAAGCGACCTTCGATTGGACGCGAGAAGAATGATTGAAGAGATCAATGAAAGGTGCAATGACATACTTCTTCAACGGTGCACCCTGCATGGACTGATAAATGCGCGGGTACAGCGCGTCAAATACGAGCTGCGACAAGACCACCACCAGAAAGACGTTCAGTGCTGCGAACGCGTCCATGAGATGAAAGTTCCAGCTCGCTAGGGAAAGTGCCCCAGCGAAACACGCCTGACGCCAGCGTTCACCGAATGGCGTCGTCTCGGAGGGTCCGCTGAATGCGCGCGTGACAACGACGTTCAACGCCCACTGAAAGTCCTGTTCGCTGAATAAACCTCCTCGCACTTTCAAATCGATTCCGCCTCGTTCGAATGTCTGCCGCACGAACCGACCATAGAGATCCTTCCATTTTCGTTCCTGCTCGCTGATAGCCCGCAAAAGACAATCATACTGGAGCTCCCGACGTTCTGCATCTGTCCAGTACAGAGGCCGCTCGTCAAATGTTGTCGGCAAGAGACGGAACCAGGGCGAAAGTGTGCAGTTAGACGCCGATACTTTGGCAGGGCCTCGACGCTGGTTTGGCCGGATCTCCCAGCGCTTTAATTTGCGACGCAAGACAAGAGTCTCTAGCTTTCGAGCAGACTCAGGATCTGCTTTGTACCGCTCGAAAAGCAACAGAAGCGCGAGACGAGCGTACCAAGGCGCCTGCTTCCAGAACATGGGCGCGCAGACCTCTTCTGGCAGAGGACAACCTCGTCCGCTATCATCGGAGCGGGTCTGCAACGCCAGAAACCCCGGCACTCGAGCGAGAATCGAACCTGCAGGCAAGGCGGTTTCAGCTCTGAGGCCGCGTAGGTGCTCGCGGCCAAAGTGCGCAATGCTGAGTTCAGCGGTTTCAATGCCGGCGCCTTTTGCCCACTCCATAAAGCCGACCTCTATGCTATGATCATTCAGCGTTGTCATATCTAGCTGTGGCGAATGCCTCGTGGCTTCCCTGGTCCATGTATTCTGCTGGGGTTCCTCGCCCGCTGTACTCCTTTGGTGCTCGCGCGTGTTGCAGTGTTCGCCGCTTTTTTCTTCGCCCAGCTCTCCCTCTCGAGATAGCGTCGCACGCACGCTGGACCGGAAACGAGTCATCAACCGATTACACGGAGAGAGGGCCGGTCCGCTGCACACGGACAACGCCACCGGGCACCGTTGCTGCCACACGGTCGACGGCAGCAGCCACGCAACGGTCATCTGGTCTGGTTCAGCTCTACCAGAAAACAAAAGCATAGTCCCAGTGAGTGACAACTGATCCGACGCAGCCTCACTCGAAGACGCAATCACACGCGCACCTCGCAAAAAGCAGAACCGTTCAGTGGACGACAATTTCGGAACGTCGCAGGTCACTGCGAAGCTATGATGCGCTGTGCCGCTGCGCTCCAGAGTTGCAAACACTCGCCCGTTCTTTCGGGGCGCAGCGTAGCCCGGTGCTCCAGTGTGCTTCCAGAGGTCCTTCTTGTACGTCTGAAACGTTTCTACGAAACCACTGAACAGCTTTCTATCGTCCAACACGAAACTCAGGAGCTTCAGTCCTTGAGCGAACGAGCATGAGCTTCGTGCTCGCGAGCAGTTCGAGATAGGACGTTTTGGATCAAACGAGGATCCGTCGCTGAGTTCGCGCACCCCTGGAAGCAAACGCCTTTCGAAAGTCGAACAACAGCGGTGTACAGTAGTGGCGGCAAACGCGCCCTAGACAAGAAGTCTCCAACCGAGATGCAGACGCCTCCCAGGTTTTTTTCGACCGGCCACCCACTACTGCTTCCAATCTTGTCTCATATAGCTCGACTTTGAGAGGTTGTCCAACAAAGTCCTCTCTTGTCCACTCTGGAGGTCTCGTCTCCAGCACCGCATATTTCCTTATATTGATTGCGGCGTTATAGTCACGATTCACAAACTCCATACGTTTCGTGCCATTGATTGTAATTAATAATGCGAGTAGCCCTCGCACTTTCTTCCTTCTTTGCATTTGCTCTTCCGTCAGCGGTCCGTATTTTGCTATATCCTCAGGGCTCCTCTGGCACTTTTCCATCTCCACTCTCTGAAGTGTACAACCCAGCTCATAGTGTATATACGATGTTCGGAACTCATCTACAGGTATGGTAACAAAACGCCTTGCGCACTCTTTGTATGTTCTTGTCGTTGGAGCTGGCGTAGCTCCTTTTTGGGTCTTCCAGCGCACCGCCCCATACGCTACTACGAGCCTTTGATTTCATTCTCCTTCAGGGCACTCAACCCATTGAAAAAGTTGGCAAACGCCCGCTACCTCCCACCGTATAGATTCATACGCAAACGAGCCCACCGGGGCTTGGTATACTCCTCCCATAGCGCCTCCCAGTGAGCAACACGAACTTCTATGAATTTCCGAAAAGCTTTAAAGTCCGCTCCTCGGCTCGTCACCTCGCTCAAAGCTTCCAGGTGCTCTTTCATTCCTGAGTTCCAAGTCTCGATTTTCTTCCTCGCATTCATAATACCGGATTCTCGATAGTATCTTGCTCTCGAGAGCCTCAAAAGACGCATGTCTTTCTGACGTAAGTTACCATCAGTCCCATCTTCCGCACACTTTGGTACAGCGATGGTTATGATGTTCGTATTCCCAGGGTCCGCGCCAACGACAAAGTCGTTATCCTGCACCTCCTGCATCGCAAGATCCGCACCCTTCTCATCTACATCCTTCGCCGAGCCGTCTACAAGGTTGTACTTTTCCACTTCCTGCGTCGCAGGATCCGCATCCTTATCATCTACATCCTTCGCCGAGCCGTCTACAAGGTCGTCATCCTCCACTTCCTTCGTCGCAGGATCCGCATCCTTCTCATCTATATTCTTCGCCACGGGCGAAGCCGAGGACGGACCAGGAGGCGAGCCCGACGGCGCTGGAGGCGCAGAAGAACGCGTTTGCCGTTGGCGTGGACTCTGCGAACACGAACATCGTTACCATTGCAGCACCCAAGCGTGAGGAAGATGGCTCTGTCGGCAACTTATGTCAGAAAGACATAAGACTGTTGAAGCTCTCATGAGCGAGATATTACCGAGAATCCGGTATAATGAATGCGACGAAGAAAAGTGAGACATCGAATTCAGGGGTTAAGTGAATTTGGAAGCGATCAGCCGGGTGACGAGCCGCGGAGCCGATATTTAAGCGTTTCCAGAGGCTATGAGCACTCACGCATCTGAAGTCGAGAGCCTTTGGAAAGAATGCACAAAGTTCAGGTGGGCTCGTCTGCGTATGAACCTGTACTGTAGGAAGCAGCGAGCATACGCCAGCTTTTTCATTCAATTGAGCGCCCTCAAGGAGGACAGGAGCCAAAGGCTCGTAGTAGCATACGGGGCAGGTCGATGGATCACCCAAAAAGGGTGTACACCAGCCTCCAACGACAAGAACGTACAAGGAGTGCGCACACCGTTATGTCAAAACACCTTTAGATGAGTTTCGAACATCTTCTACACACCACGAGCTGTGTTGTACACTTCAGAGGGTCGCGATGGAGAAAAGCCAGCGGCTCGCTGACGGAAATGCAAATGGCAAGGAGGGCGAAACTTCGAGGACTACTCGCTTTGGTTAATAAAACTAATGATAGGAAGAAACGAATAGAGTTCCTGGACTGAGACTTTAACGCCGCCATCAGTATAAGGAAATGTGCAGTACTGGAAAGAAGACCCCCGGAGTTGGCGAGAGCCAACTTTGCGAGGCAACCTCCCAAAATGGAGTGATACGAGAAGAAGTTGAAACCAGTAGTAGGTGGCCAGTTGCGGAACGCCGGCACAGGCGTCTGCACATCATTGGGTAGACAATCGGTCTACGACGGACGGTGTGAGAAACGCCACTCCTGTACACTGGCTTTCCAGCGTTTCTCTTTTGCAAGGCGTTTGGTGGTGTTTCCAGAGGCGAATTGTTTATCAAAAACGTCTTCTATCGATCTTCGAAACCAACGTGCTGCTTCCTCTGTGCGGCACGGGGCGTACGCTATGCGCTTTTCTGCTGATTGACAGCGGAAGCGACGAGTCCGGTTACTGCCTTGAAGACTTAGACGCTTTGGAGAGACCATCACGTGGATTGTTTCAGTTTTCTGACCTCCTCCTAACCACCACGCTCGGCTCTCTGTTGCAATGGCACGCGCAGCAGCTCTCATGGCAGCCAAAGCTGAACCCGGGCATCGAGAGAGTGGAAAGCTGCATCAAAGGTGGCGCAAAGCCAAGGAAGCCGGTCATCTAAGCAAGCTTGCATCGCCTGCAGAGCTGCGAGCACTCGTCCAAGCGAAACTGACACCCGAGGAGCAAGAGCGTTTCGGGATGCAGTGTGCAGGGCTGGCCGCCAAGGCACTTGAGGTACTCGACAAGTCGCTTACATCTTTAGAGCAAGACATAGAGAGCGAGTCGTGTGACTGGGAAATAGAATCGGACGCTGCTATGGACCGTGTTGCGAGACGATTCCTTGCCGATCTCGAACAGCTAAAGCAGACTGGCAGCACGCGTCGACTCACCCAACTCAGTATTTGGCGTCGCATCAGTCGCTATGTCTTACTGGCGGAAAGGCGAGCATGAACTGCAGGCTGAAGGCAGTCCTTTTGTGAGGCAAGTCGCGAAGATCGCGGACCAGGCATCCAAGACTCCGGAATACCGCCAGGTCGTTGCCTGCGGGCATCTGGAAGAGCTCGCAGATGCGGCAACTGCAGATGGTGTATTCGGTTCGCAGTCGCGGTCGATGTCACGTATCTTACGTCGCCCAGAAAGTCGGTTTCGACTCTTGCTCACGAAACTAGAGCTTGGTGAGGAGCTCTGCACACGCGACGAGCGGCGTTTGATGCTGGCATTGGATACCTCTGATGCGAGACTTGAACCCGAACGCATGCGCTCGAAGAAGAGGGCACCTGGTGGAGCGCAGGATGGCGCCTCTGCAAAGCGCGACCACGGGAGGTCTGCATCCGTTTCGTCGTCGTCGTCGTCGTCGTCGTTAGAGCCAGAGCACGAGGACGACGTGCACCCAGCGGCCAAGAACGCGTCTTCCGCGAGAAAGAAAAGACGACATCATCGGCGACGATCATCCAACAAAAACGAAACCCTGGAGAATCCTCAGTAAGCTAGCATTTGAGCGAGATTGCTGCCGAATCATCGCCGTGCCCTGGCCCTGTGGATATCGCATGATGCATCGTTTACAGCGTTTCACCCATGATACCGGGTGGTGATTATCGCCGCCGGAATACCTCAGGAATAGATCGCGGATCGTTGGAGGCTACGCTCGCGTCCATCGCGTGTACCATGTGCTGCAAAAGTGGTGCTTGTCTGCAGCTCCACAAAGAGCACATGATCGCGTGCTGTGCTGCGAGCACCACGGCGCCGGCCTCTGTCGGCAAACGCGCTCAAAGGCGTACTCGCGACAAGCATGAATTCAGCAGGAATATTGGCGCTGGTTGAGGCACTACGACTGACTATCGAGAGACCAGTCTCAGCAACCGCAGCATGCGTCGATCACTGGGGCGCAGCTTAAACTCCAGCAGCGATGCGGCCGTGTCAGAGCCAGACCTGCAGACTAGTGGACAGAGCGCAGCATGCCTCATTCTGGATTTCGCAGAAGTACCCGCCAGAGACGCTTTTCAGGGTAGCCAGTGGCGGATCGCGTCTATTTCGCTACCGGGAATTCGGACGGATTCCGCGTCCAGTCGACCGGGGACGGTTCACGCTTTCCACTCGGACGTCAACGCGTTTCACTTTGGCGATGAAGGTGCTGCATTCATCCACCGACCAGTCTGCATGACGATTCGACGAACATGGGGCGGAACCTTTGATGCATACCTCTGGAGCATGATTCGCAGAGGTGTACTTTTTTGCAGGTCGTCGAGGTGGAGCGTGTGGCGAGAGCCACATATTTGAGCGACCTCGCACCGGGCGTGATCCAAGACACCATTCGGCTGATGCTCAAGCGTGCCTCGCGTACCCGACATGTCGTTGCTCACCTTCGTGATGCTGGTGTGCTTCTGTGGGTAGCGCACTTGCGCCCGTTTGCGAAGCGTAGCGGACCTTGAGGACAAGTGGCACGCTCCAGCAGCCATGCGCTTGCATAGGTCATGCATTCATCATGTGATGCTTTCCAAAGCAGCACCTAGGGCGTGGTCATCAAACACGTCGTGGAAATCCCAGAACTGTACATTCCAGCGGGGGTGGTAGCGTCGACACCAGCGCTCAAACCCCTGGATATATGCGGGTCGCAGGTGCGCATCCAAAGAGTTCCGGAACGCCACCATGGACTCCTCGATGATCGAGGGATCCATGAGAATGCTCCCCGACAACGGATCCAGCATCACCTTGACCGGAACATGCTCATAACCCCAGAAAGGCAGTTTCGTCACGATATCGCCGACCGCTGCCCATCGGAATGAAAACGGCACATGTCGCTGGAACGCTGCGGCGAAAGCGCGATTCCCGACTCGAGGCGACCCAAAAGTCACACTCATCACCAGATCCGATGACAGACGCAACGACTGTGAATTCTCAAAACACGTCATATCGAGGGCAGCGATGGTTGCCAGGGCCCCGCCGAGAGAGTGACCGCAAAAGATCACCGGTTTGTGGTTGCAAGATGCACTATCCAAGGAGTTCATCGCACTACACGGTTGCGCTTCGCTCGCATCTGCTGCTGCTGCTGCTGCTGCTGTAGCAGTTTCGCTTCGACACCGCGCTGCGGTCTCTCTACCCACTAAGCTCAGCTGCTGTTGCTGCTGCCCGTGTTCACAACCGCCATGAATATCTGCACTGGACACCTTGGGAAAGCGGTTCGATGGTTGCACGCGCCTATCCAGGCTGGTAGCGACACCACAAGTGGCATCGCCGCAGGTGCTGCTCAAGGGCGCGCAAGCCGCATCCACTGCGGTTGGTGCAGTGCTCGAGGGCTTCGCAACAAGCGGTTTCAGCGTCTCCATTAACTCTTCACGCACGGATAAATAGGCGTGCAAAAATCCACCGTGCACCATTGAAGGCAATCGTCGCCCTATGAGATACGAAAAATCGTCACCAGCCTGAGCGCGAAAATCACCAAAGCGCAGGGAACGGATCCCGCGTACGCTCAGCATATACTGCCACCATCGTCGATGTGCAAAACGGCCTCCAGGATCTAAACCGAGTTCCTGTGACAGGGCATCATCAAGACCGCGCTCTATATCCGAATCGTCCTTGGCAAAGGCCTCCACTGATGCCTGGTGCTTCCTAGTCGAATCTATTTCGCGCTTGCTGTGTGTTGCGGGCGGTATTTGCGAACAAGTCGCAGCCGAGGTGCCGCTACGCCCGGCAGCCAAGGCAGTGGTGCTTACAGCATTCGTCGTACGAGGCATTCGAGTTGTACCGTCGACAGTCGCTTTCGCCGGTGACTCCCGCAACGACCCGCGTTGACCGTGTTTGCTGCAGGCGCTCAAGCGCCACGTATCCTGTATTTGCGGACATTCACGTGCATGCAGGTGCTCCTCGAGAGGAACCCGTCGGACATTCATATCTGTGCGTAAATTTCTGGTGCTTTTGGTACCGCGAAAGCTCACCACAATCCTATCCGCCAAGTCAATGACGAGCACATGTACATCTGTAACGGCGCTGGAGATATGCCGCACGACTCGTGCTTGCAGGGGGTCCATTTCGCCCACACCATAATGATTGAACATCTCTGCATACATATGCGGGTCATGCCACGGTCGATAGGACAGGTACGCCATGTTGAAGATCAAAACATGCGTCTCGAGGACAAGTGAGCGCGAGAGCCAGCTGTCTCCATTTCGCAGTGCTTCCTGCTCAGTCTGGTAGTAGAGGTTTGCTTTGCGCAGCTCTCGCTCTGCATCCAGTGCGTCCGCTGGCCACGGTGCCGCCTGGCTGGCGCTGTGCGCGGACAACTCCCACTCGGAGGAAACGCTCCTTTGTGGGGCTCGCTTTTCTTGATATGCAGCTGGGTCCGGAGCCAGCGCAACGATCCAGGGCAGCCAAACACCCAGCACTGTCGGAGGTAAATGCACATAGAGCAGGAGCACCGACCATGTAAAGAGCATCGCGAAGGCACCACCATTGAATCGTGCAATACCCAGCAACCGCAACGGTACGCCATCGAGGGACGCGTTCGCGCTGGGTAATGGTACCAGGCCCACTGCGATGGTATCGTTTGCAATCAGGAATATATAGGATATCGCAGTAAAGACACGGTAGAAACGAGCACCCATTTGTTTGTGATGACAACAGGTATACGGCAGCTGCTGGAGCACTCGGAAGGTGCGGTAGAGCTCCATGGCAATCCAACCATCGAGGAAAATGCGCATGGTAACCACGAGCGCAAACGTAAGCGAGTAGGCCACTTGTTGTTGGTGTCCACGCATAGCAAACTGAACCAACATGCCCGGCCAGGTGAGTCCTAACGCCGTTCGAGACCAGCCGCAAATGGCTGTCTCCACGGCGGCGATGATCAAACAGAGACCAAATACCACGCGGTTTCGTTCTAGAAACGTGTGGCGATCCTTAATATCACGATAAAGTCGTAGAATAGCCATGGCGTGTCCATAAAAACCAAATATCCAGAACCATTGCCAGACCAGGTCGGAGACATAGAGAATGGCAATCGTGGTGCCGCTCGCTTCCGATATCGTTCGTGCAATATTGCCTATAATATTCATCGTAAAGAATATAAATAGACCTTGTAGGAAGCAGCTGCGCATTTCGAAGGTGCAACGGATCCATCCATACCGATAGAGACGCAAAAAGTAGACGATCGTGAAAGTAAGCTGGAGCACGCAAAAGCAGTACACGACGACGCGGTCAACGAGGTTGAGTGCCGGGAGTGCCGCTTCGAAACGGCGTGCAAACAGACTCATTGCTAGCGTGTAGGTGACGGAGAGCACGATTGCACTGCATAAGTTGAGAATTTGCCAAGTTACCTGCTTCGAGGATAGCGTCTCAAGGAGGAACTTGGCTTCCTTTGGATCGCTTCGAATCTGTGGTGGAGCAAAGAAACTCGACAAACGACTGCGGTGACGTGCACTGCTTCGACGTGTGCGCGTGCCTCGTTCCTGTCCATTGATGAGTTCGCTGCTGCCTCTTAGCGTGCTGTCTCCAAATGTCTCCGACTCGAACGACGAGACGGAGGTACCACGAGCAGCCATGAGGGCAGCGTGCAAGCAGAATTAGAGTTGCATATTGTTCGGTACCCGTGCACTGCAGTGCAGAGTATACGGACCACGAAGCATGAATATGGCAAAGAAGGTTCGTTTTTATGTATGGAGCGGTGCGTATGCGCATCCGCTCACACACGTTCACAAGCCCCAAGTCGGCTAGCTAAGGATTCCTGCACTGCACTGCACTGCCGTTCTTGGTCGTTCGAATTCGCAATCCAGAAACGCATCCCATGCGGACGCTCGAGACGCTCTCTGCTCACCAGCGCAACTCCATGAGGCTCCATTCCTGCTATGCGTATTCGTATGCTATGTTGATGTGTATAGCAGAAGGTCGAGATGTAGAAGCAATGTGCTGTATAGATCGTAGACGAATAGAATGTTAGATATATATTCTTTACTGAACAGTGCAAGGAGGACTGCATTCCTCGTTCAGGTACGGTTCACCACAGTATTCAGATGGACGAGGAAAACTGAAATAAAGAAGCAAGTACATGCGATCCACACCGAAACCAGATATACTCATAGCGTGCTTGCGTTCACTGGTAGAAAAACGACCCGTTGATTACTTTAGGGAAGGGGAAAGCGACGATAATACCCATTACCTCTATCTATTTTTCTCGCCAGCTAATTCGTGTGATCCTGAATGCACTGGCATACAGTCGCGATAAAGTCCTGGTTCATGCACAGCCGTCTTGTATCGAATTCGCAACGACAGCGTTCCCGGAACGTCCCGATCGGTACGAAGCACAGAGACGTAGCTCTGTCTTTTTCAGACGATGCGACTTTCTTTGGCCGAAATGGTCGGGGCGTACATGGGTAGTCGCGGAGATGGAGCCAGCTGTATGTATGATCGAACTTGATGAGAGCGAGGACATCATCAACTGTTTCAGCTGCAGTGGATTCATTTGGCGGCCGCAGTTTCGCTCAGAGAGAAGGCTCGTCGAACAGCACACACTGTACCGAATCATTGAAGAAATTTCCCCTGACGTCTGACGACGTCGTCCGGTTGTACGGCTTGGTATTTCACCATTCCCCTTGCGTTCGAATGTTTGCTGATTCGATCGGGGAATAGAGCTGCTTTTCATTCCTCGATATAATCCGTGGTTGAGCCCCATAGAAAGTGTTTTTTCTATTATGAGACGTTTTTAATGCTCAACGGGGCGAGTCGCTGCAGCGTTCAGCACACATTGGTACCTGGCCACATTGTGTCCTTCGTCTGCAAGCCCTTCTCGCTCCGGTTAGCTCCTCATCTAACGGCATAAAGAAGCGCGCCATTTGAAGAAATAAGAAATCCAAGGGATGAGCTGCGGTGTACACTTCAGAACATCGAGATAGAGAGAAGGCAGCGGAGCGCATCGCGCGATAGAAAAGTACGGAGAGCTGACAGAGCAGTCAATGGTACTGAGTACTCGTGTTCTGGCAATCCTTGCATGGGTGAGTTCAACAAGCGGCATTATATGCGAGGAGTTCGTGAAACGAGACTCCAACGTCACCTTCAGTATCCGACGATATATAGTGCTGAAGAAGAGAACCGAGGAGCTGACGCGATACAGGTTTATGGGGCAGTCTCTCAGACTTGAGGTGTGCAGGAGGAAGCTGACGTCAATAGGTGGTGGTCGGTCGAAAAAGGCTTCACCTCTGCGAAAATTGCTTCGCCCATAACTTGCGTTGGAAAAGCAAAATCGCACACATGAAGACTTTGTGATTTGAACATGCTGTTGTTCGGGAAACAACAAGATGAAAGGCTTGTGCATATGCATCGGATAAGGATTCGGGTTATTTTAGGTACCCTTGTTCCAGCGTGTCGCGAATGATCTTGATTCAGAGGTCGTGACGAATTCCAGCGACAAGGCGTCATTGAAATCACTCTGAAAAGACGACAGAGCATTTGAAAACTGCATATGAGTCCGAAAGTCCTTACTGCTTCTCCTCAAACGCCGAAGTTGACCATTTAAAAAAGTTGGGAAGAGAAAAATGAAGAGCAGCAACAGAGCGACTAGTTCAGAGTTGCATGTGAATCTCGCAGTGGTTTAGTGCAGGTTACCCACTTGGAAAAAGAAGCAGCTTCGTGCGACCGACTGTATGCATCTACTTCGACGCACGCTGAGCGCGGAGAGCTAGGTCGACATGTCCATAGGTATCTTTTACAGCTTTCGATCCTGCACAGCTTCTTCCATTGCAGGTCTGCGGGTACTCGGAGTCAGCTACATGATTAGGTTCGAACGCAAATTACCCTCGATTGGAAAGAACTTCCATGATATCCTTGTGTAGAACGGCCTCTATACAGCAACGCAAAATCTAATGCAAGCTATCCATTTTTAGAAACGTAAAACTCATGATGAAATGAGGCAGCAGGCTGGCGCTCGTCAGCAGCCGAAGCAACATCGAATTCGAGATCCGCAGGCGGCTAGCCTCGGCGAGAACACCCGTTTTCTCAGACGCTGAAATGCGAACCGCTGTACAGCGGTTTTTCGGATGCGACCCGTTGTGCTGCGGCTGCGGCTGCGGCTGCTGTTGGCCGTAACCCTTCTGGTGACGCGCAGTACCGAACGCATGTCTTTGAGAACGATTCTGACGCTGCTGGTTTTGCTTTCCGTATCGGGCACTATAACGCTCCTCGTTTTCGGAGGTCTATTCAAAGCAAAGTATCCTTACTTGGGTGACTTTGAAGGCGACTATGCAGCAACTGCATCCGTTTGTTTCCAAAGTGCGCTTGCTTTCTCTGCGCTTGGAGCAGCCAGTGCGCTTGGTTTGCCGCTTGTTCACTGGTGGTGGGAAAGACGCTTGGCGCGGAGACGGGCGCTGCGGTCATTGGAAGACCCCTCAAAAAGCGCACGTGTCCGCTTCGTTGCTACCTCTTCGTTTTGATACTAATGCGCCCAAGAATCCCTCCCTGTCTACCAACGAGTACAGGGGGCGTGCTAGCTACGTGCGTCCATTCGTATCGCACTTCGTGTCGTGTGGCGAGCGCTGAACCACGCTCTCTCGCGAGGCCATGGACAAAAACGGTAGACTCCTTGTACAAAACTTCCTCGATCATTTACTGATCTTCGTTTCTAAACGGTTCGTATCGAGAACCGCCGCCACGGGAGCACTCAGCTTCGCGAGAGCATCTCTTCGCTATCTCTTCCACGTGTGAGGGCAAAGTGCCTGTCAAAATCTCGGGACACATCTGCATCACACTGCAGCTGACAGCCGTGATTTGTGTAGTGCAGACCGTCGACTACGACTTTCCTTTCGTGACTGGCGGGCCTCGGCTTGTCGCTGAGCGAGGAGCTTTTCGTACTCTGCGGCCTCCGCTTTCGCCTTCAAGGCCCTTGTGCGCTGTACGGCTCGCCGTCGACGCTTACGCTGTAATGACTGCGCGGTCACTAGACGCTGGATTTTGGGAGCTTTCTCGTAGGTCTTCCCCGAGGCAGTCGTCACTTTGCGCCGAATGACATATTTGCGCACGTCGTCGTCCTTGCTCAAGTTAAACAACTTGCGGATTTTAGAAGCTCGTTTCGGACCCAGACGACGCGGGATTATTCGATCCGTTAAGCCGGGTATCTCTTGCTCGCCTTGACGCACAATGGCCAGGTTCACTACGCTCATCTCGCTGCTGATGATGCAACCACGCACGCTTCGTCGCTTTCGCTCGCCATCACGCATACCATAACCCCGACAACCGACGTCTCCCTTGTGCATCAGAAGCCGTACGCGGTTCGGTGTGAGGACACCGAGACGCGCGGGAAACCCTTCCTTGTCCTGCGCACCCATTATGCGCAGGATCGTGCCGCGGAACTCCTCTCCGAGTAACGCTTCGCCATCCACTTCTTGAGCGATGCGCTTATCATAGATGGCTCGCAACCGACTCTCGTCGTCTATTTCAAACTGCTTCTGGCAACCTGTCGCAGGATTCGCGACGTTGAACTTCATCGGACTGGTTCAGAACTGCAGCAACGCGAATATGTTAGGTAAGATAGCGGGCTGCGCACCGGCAGTCGACGCAGTAGCGGCATGCTCAGCGCGCCGCACGACGGATCGCCGATCCAGTACAAGATATGTCATTAAGGAATTAATGTGCCTCCATGAAGTTCGGCTACGCACGCGATTTCAACGAGCGACCACACATGAACCAGGAGGTACCTGGGTAGTCCTGCGAAATGAACCTATGAAACCTCTCTATGAAGGCATTCAAGATTCGCGCGCTTTTGTGGTGCAAGTTTCCGTCCACATGAATAATCTTGGTCAACGAGAGCGTATCGCTTCGAGTTCTCTAGCTTGGGAGACCCAGTTGCGGAAATGACTCGGTACGCAGGAGGCCCTGCCCTGTCGACGACAAGCCAGTACCTGGATTGCATACGGCCATCGGTTGTATTCCGCTCGTGCATCGTATTCAAGTACACTCGTGCAGGAGTTGCGTACCAGGCTTCCGGGTGCTGACATCAAACCTACGCTACACGCATGGCCTCGACATGTGACGCATCACTCGAGTTCCGCGTGAGCTGCCATCACGCGTGGACTGCTCCAGTACCCCTGCGACATCCGCAGACATAGGCATTGCTGCGTGCTATCCAGGGAATAGATAACTGCGTTGGGACGTTGCCCACAGGATACGTGGCTGCACTGAATCGGTCACACAGATCCTGCATCGTCCGGGACTGCAACCGTGCATCGCCGTCGCTGGCCATATGCCTCAGTCAGCGCTGCACGAGCGCCACCGCTGGGCGGCCATCGCGTTTTCAGTGCGCATGGTATTGAGCTCCAGCGAGGAGCGACTGGCGTCGTCGGTATCGCATGTTGCGTGGTGTCTCTCGATACCACCTGGACGCAACATGGAACTCCGAGCGTCATTGGAACCAAACGTTGATATATATATATTGTGCTCTAGGCCGCAAGAAACATTGCGCGTGTTTTGCTATGCTGATAAACGAATTGCTGAGAAGCCCGAAAGCGCGGTGCACGAATGTCTTACCGACATACGGCGACATCGCGAACCGCGTGGACACGAGCAACCAGGCCTTACAAACGCAGCGGCATGATATGGGATGTTGCATCTCATGCTCGATGCTCGGCTCAACAGCGCGTGGCCTCAGACGCCTATTGTTTCCTCGGACTTTAACGTGCGACGAAATCAGAATGACTCGCTACGGGAGTCTCTGGGCGATGAACACTGACAACAACAACGCGACATTCGTGTTTCCATAAACGTTCCGAAATGGACTCTGGATGGTATGAGCGCTCGCTGGACCCTTTCGGAACTCGTCTGCTATGGAAGCGAACACGTGCATCCGCGGGTATCGAGTTCGAGGCATTGATCCAAAGTCGTATGAATCGCGGCCAGTCGGAGGCCACGTGGCCGCGCATCCACGCGTTGCTTGCTCGAGCGTTGCTCCGAGCCCAGCTTGTCGCTGGATATACCCGTGCGGAACACCCGCTTCGAAACCTAGGACGCGTTGGAAGCGAGTCTGGGACTCTGCAGACGCCTCCTGCGTGCTTTCCTGGGTCGTTCGAAGCGATCTTGGTAGAAATGGCAACGCTTACCCCAACGGAAGAGTCTACCAGTGCCCGCAGTCTTCGTCGTGACTTTCGGAATACCTTTCGACACCTCGCTGCCGCGCTTTTTGCAGCTGTTTTATCGGCTTGTGCCGACCATCTGCATCAGTGGAGCCTATTTCCGGTCTCAGTTTCGAAACTGGTCTCTGTTGGAGTCTACGCATCAAGCTGGCTTGTATACTCCTGGCAATGCAGCAGGAAGCCACAGAGGCTTACTTCGCGGCTTGTTTCGACAACGTCGCAACGCCGAGAACTCGCAACCATTGTGGTCCACCGAGCCGGGGAAAGCTTTGGACACACGGCAATGGTTGCCGGACTATTCATACGAACTGCCTCCTACCGGATCATTCTAACTTATTTCGTGATCGAATACGTGGCAACCTGGGCAGGGTTCAGCGTTTGGATCTCGGGACCTCGCTATGCTCCCACGACACCGAATGAAAGCTCGCAAGAGACCAGGCTTGAAAAGGCACCGGCACGCCAGCGAGTATGGCGGCTTTTGGAGTTTTTGAATGGACCCCATGCCCTAGGTGTAACCCTCGGATGGGTGCTCCCATTCGTGCTCGTGACGTATTGCACTTTTCGAGCGACGCGCGTGTCACCGACCGTGCATTCGTCCTCCATGATGGCGGAATTGAGCGCCATCGGGCTCTGGCAATCCGCTCGCATGCGTATCGCAGAGTGGCTGATGTTTGTCGCAGGCGCAGCGCATATGCTATGTATATGCGGCAACGTTCTCATCACCACAATATATCTTGCAACCGTGGAGCCAGATTCCCGGCAGTCGAAGAAAGCGTAGAGATTTGCGCTCTCGCGAGGCGATCGCTTGGATGGGCGCTTTTGCAGTGATGTACACGAGCAGCGATCCCGCGGGAGAACACGATCGTTGCCGCTGGTTTGGATCCTAATCCTCACGACCTGTTACTACGCTTGATATTCATGCGGTTCTCAATGGACCGTCACGTCTTGATATCAAAGCGGATTTGTTGCGTGTGCCGCACTCGCTTGACGGCCGGTTCACGACCCGTAGGCACCAGTGCTGTTCTGGACTTCCATACCTGGATGCGCGCCGCTTGGCTTCTGTACACTCGCTCGCTGACTTTGTCTATAGAGGCAGTGGATCCTGCTCATGGCCGTCCAGATGCGCATTCATGCGCCTAAACATCCGACTGGTTCGCGTTCCTGGGCGTTTACGATCATAAAATGAATACACCCGTGATAAAGTCGCCAGCTGCTCGGGCGATCCCGCCGTTGGCACAGGCGATCCCGGATGTTGCGAACCGCGGCGGGGCGCGATGCAACGTACCCGCGCCCCCTACCGTCCCATTCGTCGTTCTGCTCCAAACTCGTGCATAGACTGGGGGCACTGGTGCTTCGGGGAACCGCGAACCCATGTTTATTCTGGGCACAAGCATACTCCGCGCCTATACCAACGTTTCCGGACGTTTTCGTGGTCGGCACAGGGCAACCACGGCCCGTACGAACCAGTCCGAGTTGCGCGTCCGGCGCTGTGGCTCCGTCAAGTACCGGGCGGCAGCTTCTAGACGTTCCCGCTCGAGCGTGCTTGCGTCCGCCACGGGAGGAAACGCGTCGCACCTAAAAGAGGCCCTACAGGCCGGTGAAACTATAGCCTACGAAGTGGAGCCGGGCACCTTGCCCACGACCCTTCCGGATGGCTTCTGGTACCGCTGCCTCAGCGGCGATGTGGACAACTGCATCATAAACGGACTCGTTGCATACAGTCTCGGCTATGTTTTCGATGGAGAACGCGACGTATGGGAGACTGAATACGTTCCGAAAGAGTGGCTACAAGCTTTTCCCGATGGAGCGCCACCTGACTTTATCGGCTCTTCGAAGAACCACGCCAGAGAGGCAGATGAGCCGGTAAAGCGGGCGATCCAGAAGCTGCAACAGTCGCTACCAAAAGAGTATCGTCAATTCCTTCAACGTCGACTGCCGCAGTTCCATGGATACCAAATAAGCGAGTTGACACCAGAGAAAACTCGACGAGCGCAGTGCATTAACTATTTGTTGGCGCGTATCGACATGCAGGAGAAAGGGCTCCCGCACTGAAAGCCCGATCACGACAGGAGAAAGGCGAATCCCAGCCTCATGCCCAAGCGGGTCATGCGGCGGCGACCTCGTCTCTGTTCATGTGAGAATAAAATATGAACGGATCCTCTAACCTTGGCGGACACGCTAGATTTCAGGTCTGTTCGCATTGTCAACAACTCCAGCTTTTGTGGACCTTTTCTCTGAGTGGTTCTTGTAGATCCTGCGTACCCCCGGCTTTAGATACATCTGTTTCTCTGTTTACGCCAGCTCCGTTGTCAGCAGTCAGACAATGTCCATGGCAATGTAGATGTCCCGATTACGCTGAATCCGGCTGTTGTGGACGCAGTTCGTATATGAACAGAATTTGGTATCTTCGCTTTGCTTGCCATCTGCATGTTCTTTGTATACAGCCTCTGTGCTCCCTACGCAGCGGTGCCACTTAACTGTGATCAGATGTACCCATACACCCATCGTGCCTCTTTTCCAGAAGGCTGCCCTCTGGCACGTCAACGCTGGCCTCATCGCGTGGTACATGCGCTTGACCGGCACAGCGGGGTTTACTGGATGCGCTCCTCCGTTTCCGCGCCCTGCGATCACGGGCTTCCTCTGGGCGATTACTTTGACGAACACACTGTCCTCTGCATTTGCAAATGCACCCTACTCCTATCGACAGAAAAGAGTTGTGAAGCACGAGCTTGTCTATCATGGAACGAGTGCCGAATGGAGATGCCAGGATGGAAAACAGGTCGAGTAAATTCGATCTATCTACGCTCCATTCATGCAAAGCGAGCGCACACTCTCCGCTGGTAGCGATTGTTGTGATGAATAAAGCCAGATTCCAAGAACCGTTCCACGGAAACAAAATATACGAGAGCTTGCGAGCGCATATTACGTTAGAGGCATATTCCTGATGTCGAAGAAGGTTGCATCTATGGCCGCAACAAGAGGAGAACTTGTCTTTCGAACGAAAACGATCATTTGAACAGAGAAGTTCAGTGAGTTCCCGGCATTAGACGGTAAACAAATTTTCGATGAAAGACGTCGATCATTTTTTCAAGTCATGCCAGCGGCGCACAATGCTGCGCCCACCAGTTGCCTCGAAACTGACCGATCAAAACCTCGAAGCATGTGCAATTTGAGCGTACTGCGCGCCAGGAAAGGAGCATCATAGAGTCTTTTGTGTGTAAATCGGATAATGATATCGGCTTTCTTACGAATCCTCGTTCGAGCACCTTGCGAACCAATTTGATTTCGGTGAACTAACGAGTTTCTGCGGCAGCGACAATTCGAAGAAGTGACTCCTTAAAACCACTCAGAATCTTATTACCAAGCATGAATCCCAAGCTTCTATTGATGCACTTCGAACCTCGAGTCCGTATATCTAAGAACAACTTCGGACACGTCTCAAAGCACAAATCCAGCGCGCCATGCAATGCCCCACATTCACCTGACCTAGATGTGTCGCGCAACCGCGTTTCGCGTGCCCTGACCCCCGAGACATCCCGCATCGCCAACGAACGGCTGCGCGCATGCATGCGAGCGTTCCACAAGCGTATCACGCACCGGCAACGAACGCATGCAGCAACGCTGGGACACGTGTTCACTCGAGAAACGCCCCGGGGCGCGACTGCCGCGTTCGGTGCGTTGCATGCCAGAGATTCCGAAACGCTTCCTGGCGCTGCGAGCCGCACGCAGTCTACGCGTTCGCAGTGGAGTTGCTGTCTGGGGTACTCGCGGGCATCCCAGAAGCAATGCATGCCTCCGAACAGCGCACAGTGGTTGCGGAAAACCTCGAGCTTTACAGACTTTATTGACGGTCTGGCTTCGTCGTTGTTGTTGTTGTTGATGATGATGATCGGAGGCAGTGAAGGACGCACCCCCGCGCGCCTCACTCAACAACGACAACCGCTGCGCCCGTGTGCAGCGAACGCTCGATGCGTGCACCGGTGCTGGCGCTGCACGAAGCACTGCGCAAATGCATGCAATGAACGCATTGCCACGAGCCGTGCGCACCTGAACGCACACACTGCGCACCCGAAAAGGAACCAGCGCTGATCAAACTGAACCAGACCGCAACGCTGCACGCGTGATGCGCGGCACCAGCGAACGGGGCCTCGGGTGCGCGCTGGGGAACCCCCGGGGCGCCGCGCGTCGCAGCTTCTCTCGCGTGCTGCCCTGATGCCCCCAACCCGGAGTTCTTTTCAAGCAGAGCGCGGAGGACGTCCAAGTGCATGACGCTGCGGACGACGGTCCTTTCGCGTCTACTTCAAACGCTGTGCCAGCCAAGCGAATGCTTCTTGAAGGCCTTCACCGCGCTCCGCGCTTGTGCCCATAATGGTCCACGTACGCTCCAAATCCGCGAGCCCCAGACGCTCACTGACTTCTGAAACCCGCGCTGCGTCAGGTACGTCCTGTTTGTTAGCTAGAACGAGTAAGACAGCACCCTGAAGCTCTGGTTCAGTTAAAATCGCGTGGAGCTCTTGCTTCGCGGTCAACATCCGCCCTTTGTCTGTGCTGTCCACAACAAAAACGATAGCCTCCTGGTTGAAAAAGTACGATCGCCAGTACGGCCTGATTGAGTCTTGACCACCGAGATCCCAGCACTGCATCTTAAGGCCGTGTACTTTCAGCGTTTCCAAGTTGAAACCCACAGTCGGGGTGTGCTTGAGACTGGAGTCCGGTTCCAGGAGCTTGTACAGGATCGTCGTCTTGCCTGCGTTATCCAGTCCCAGCACAAGAACTCGTACCTCCCGCGTGCCAAACAGGACGTAAACCAGCTTACTGAATAACTGACCCATTCTTCAGACAGCGACACGGTAACCGGCACCTACAGGCTCCCAGCACCCGTGCTCTTGCTTCTTCCTCGTCTTCTTCTATTGCTGGGGCAGCGCTGCAGACGTGGCTCTCGGGGTCGTCCAGCGTCCCGTGTGTCCAGCGACGATAGCGGAACACTGGCGGGGGGCGTGTGCGCCCGTGGACTGCGGATACAAGGGTCCCAAGCGACGCATTCCACGTTCGCGCTGAGTGGCGTTGAGGGCGTTTATACCCGCTTCTGCAGACTCTGGTGGACAGATTCAACCTCCAGAGCGTATTCCGTTGAAAAGGTAGTCTAAAACGGGGAGAGACATAAAGTTGGGCACCAGGAGGCCAGCGACACGGCTCTGGGTACTCAGGGGCGCGTGGAGCAACGCTCTGCAGTGAAGATTTGCTGAACGTGCCGCGGGAACCCTTCTGGAGATGTTGGCTTTCATCCCATCATTCAGCAAAAAGCCGCAGTTAAGCGGTGTAAGAGGAATCGAAACAGGTGCCCATCCGAGCGGCCGGCGACGGAGCGGTTTCTACCAGCGCAGAGCAGGAGTCGGTGCCCGAACGCTGCGCTCCGAGTCCGACGACCCGAGCGAACTCTTCGAAAGAATATCCTTGGATAAGCCCCGGCGTCTTTTTAGAGTCACAGCCGAGCCAGAAACAACCTCGAACGGGATGTCCGCGTTGTCGCCGTCGGCCACGCAGCAGCATAATGGTGACGCTGTAGTTCTCTCGAACGAGCCAGACGCTTTGCAGAAGAGCGACGCCGAGCTCCGAGAAACCATCGAGCGACTCGGGCTTACGGAGGCGATCTTCGGAAACACATCCCAAACGGATAAGCAGGACAAGAACGCAGTTCCGCAACAGGTCAGCTTCGAGGAAATCAGTGCAATAAAGTGCTTCTACACAGCGCTGTTGGCCTGGTGCTTCAGTTGGCTAATGTGGAACGTGATGGGCTATCTGATTGTGAAATTTGAGGCCCTTGGTCCGGTGTCGGACTGGTATGTCGTTCAGCGATTAACAGTGGTCTTCCGAGCGCTTGTCGTCGCGAGTTTTGCGATGGGATCTGGTCTCAGTTTCTTTACGGGTGCCGGGTTGGTGCTTCTCGGCGGTCGCGTGCTCTATAGTCGATCGCAACGGACAGGGCCTACCTCGGAGACGAGACCGGATTCCCGATCTGAAAGCGACGCCCTGTAAGCGAAAGACGCCTCAACATGTCAACCGAATGATGGAATGCATCCTCAGTTACGGGGACACGGTGAACGCACCACCAGATCATAGAGCTGGGTTCGTCGGGCAGCGCCGTCACCACATTCGCCCGAATACTCAGAATGGTACGCGGTGCGGTTCCGCTTCTTCTGATGCGTTCGATGCATCCTTCAAAAGTCGTTGAAAGAGCGCACCAATGGCGCCTCGGTATGTCCATCGACTCAGAAACCGCCGCATCACATGCTCAATATCACCGCGGATCATGCCCGTGGCTGACTAGGTGTCATGTACACCACGGATACGTTGCCTCGTAGACGGATTCAGAGGCGCTTCGCTGGGCGACGTATTTTTGCGGCAGAACCGATGGCAGTCACCAGATGTTCCCGAATACGCTCGTGCGAAAAGCCGGCAATCAGCGAGTGAGACCGCCGTTCAAAGGTTTCTGTTTTTCACTGGCTCCAGCTCAGTGTTCCCATTGGGAATAGCGGGTCAATCGATGCTGCCACCATTCGGATGCGAGGGTGCGAGCGCGGCGAATGGCCAACGCAAGACCCCCGCTGCGACGCTCGATGCACCGTCACCGCAATGTCCACACAGAGACAGCACCGCTTCGCCATGGCGCTGCTGACGTTCGCTTCAGGTCCACCGAGCAAACATGCGCACTACCCGAAGCGAGCCCGGAGCTGCGAACTTGTCGTCAACGGCATCGGGCACCCTAACCTGAACGATCATTTTTAAAGAGAGACAGAGATCTGGTGTCGCCGTCTTGCACGACGCGCTCGATCCAAAATGCACACGACGATCGACTGCGGACAGCATCGAGCACAAAGTGCCAACGCTCGCTACTACCAACCGCCTCCGCCTAGTGGCGCCTGTCAAGTCTGGTCTGTTCGGTACTCTGGATGCCAGCGAGGCCGCTCGTTCAACAACTGCAGTGCTGGTTCAACGAGTGCGCCGCTCAGCGTTCGCGACTCGTCCCGAAATACGGAAAGCGTTCTATTGCGATACCTCGCTCGCGGTTTCAAAAGGAAACAGGGACCTTGTTTAAGTGTGCATGATAGCAAGTCCGGAAAGCATCAATACAATCGCAACGATGCTTTCGGTGTTTGATCGAGCGCGGCGAAACGAGGCAGGGGCGCATGTACATCACCAGCCACCGAGCGCTCACTGCAACCGTCACGCAACGCACCGTCCTCGCGAGCGACATCCTCAGTTTTACTTGGTCTTCTTCCTCCTCTCAAGTTTCTTTAGATAAAACTCGAGCTCCTTGCCCTCGAGGATGTAGCCGTCAGCACGGCCACATTGCCCCGGCCGCGATGCAATGCACGCCAGCAAGCGACCCGAGTTGAATTGATCCTCGAGTGCTTTCTCTAGTGAGCGCTTCGCCTGTCGTGCTGCCAGCTTTGCCAATACGCTAGCACTGCGTTTCGCTTCCGTGGTGGTGCCGTCTGTGGCGTCTGCAGAACTTACCGCTTTCTTGCCCAGATCAATGCCGTAATGCTGAAAATACCACGTACGGAACGGTGTTGCATCGATGTGGACAATGGAGCCTTTGACCAGCGTATTCGTGCGCACCAGCTCGTTATTGCTTGCGTTGTACACGACGCCAAGGATGCGCGTTTTTCGCGTCACACACTCCGACGCCCAGCTGTAGTTTCCCATCTCCAGCCGGAGTGCTCGGAACTTGAAGTGACCGCCCCGCACACGCAGCGGGCGAACAAGTTTCGGCCCCAGACGAGTGTTCGCCGGTGGCCGACCAAGCTCATACTTGCGCTTTTTCCGATGGATCTTACGCTTGCCGCCCGTAAGCCGGCGTTTATGGATCGAGTCACGCGAGATACCCATGGTACTTTGTCAACGCAGGTGCTTTTGCACGGATGAGAATGGTGCACAGCCGTATGACTCTTGCGTCACACCCCAGAAATAACAGCGTGCCTGGATTCGTTCAAGATTCGGAACAAGGTGACGTTTCGTCAGCGAGTCCCGGTTTAATGTGTGCGCCTCACGTACGTTGCACGTGAACGTAGTTCCCGGACCCGCGCTCGATCAAGTTCTGGTGTGTCGCTCGCGCCTGAACAGGTTGATGTTTCGCGGTGCGTAGCTTGTTATATTGCAAGGCTGTTAACACTGGGCGTCAACCAAGACAAACCTGCGCACAATCGGTATCAGGGTCAACAGGCTGGTCTTCTGTTCGCCTGACAAGAGCAGTAGCAGCATCTACCCAGGCGATCGGGTGTACCGCGGGCAGCGAGACGACGCCGCGCCCGCGTCTCTCGGCGTTGCCATTTCATCCGACATGAAACAATATTGTAATATAATGCTTTTATATGGAATCAATGGACACAATATGTTGGAGCGCGGCGACAATCCGCCCTACCGCAGTGCCGACTCGCGCCGCACCAGCGCCGCTCTACCGCCTGCACAAGTCTATCGTACCAGGAACGTGTCTATCCACGAACGTCAGTGTACTTTTCTCGACAGTCGCGGCCGGTGCTTCTGGGTCCTCGAACCCGTATCCTTGTGTACGACGTCGGTTTTGGTAGACGGATCGAGTGAGTACGGCTGGGTGACGGTGACGCCTGTGAGGTCGGGTGCTCGTCGTCGGCGACGTCTCTGTGCCTGACAGGGGCGGTGGTGAGCGCGACTGTGCGCAGCGCACGTTAACAGGGCGTCATGCGCATCGAAAAGTGTTATGTCTGCGGCGCGAACGTCTACCCGGGCCATGGCAGTGTTTTTGTGCGGAACGACGCAACTTTTTTCCATTTCTGTCGTTCCAAGTGTATTCGAGCCTTCCGACGCAAGCGCAACCCGCGCTACCTACGTTGGACGAAAGCTTACCGCAAGGCCCACGGGAAGGAGCTCGCCCAAGATCTGACGTTCGCCTTTGAACGACAGCGGCACACTGTGCCCAAGTATGACAGAGAACTTGTTCGGGACACTTTGGCGGCGATCGAACGCGTGACCCAGGTGCAACAGGAGCGACAAAAAGCGTTTTACCTCCAGAGAATGCGCGTGAAACAGCGCATAGAGCAAAGAGAGGCAGCCGTTGAGCTTGCCCGGCAGCGAGCGACAACCAGCCTGCGTGCCATCGAAAAGCTGCCGAGTGTACAGCGGCGACTGTCACACAGAGCATCCCATCCCTTGGTACGCGAGGCGCGCGCTGCGCTCGTCGCAGCCAGTTCCATGCAGGAACCTGCGCCAACGCACTCTGAGCATGGTTATATGGCGAGTGAGCTCACGGACGGCGCTCCGCAGCCGAACGGGACCCTGTCGTGAGCACTCGAGGTTCCCCGGTCGTGTCTTGCCGGGGTTGCGCTCCGGCCTTCGAGCACCAGAACCTGCAACAGATTCTGCGCAGATCGACTGGTACGGGCGCGAGCGATGCATTCTAGATGCATCTTGTTTCTGCCGAGCGAAATTTAGCGATACTCGGCATGGTATCGTTTACGCACGTGCATGTGTTCCAGCTTTGCGTGCGCTGCCGCATTCTACGAAGAGCGACCGTCGATCTCGACGAACGAGATGTCAGATACGTACCCGACGTGCATGGTGAAGGAATCGGGGCTGAAGTTTTACGTAGCAGGGATACCGTGAGGTTTCATGGCGCACGCTTCCGCCATTTGCGTCGTCAGCAGGTATTGCATTGCGGGTTTCTCTCCACCGAGTCAACATCAACTGCGTAAATTATCAAGTTGCCGACGATCGATTTCGCTGGAGGAGGTCCCGCTAGTTACACAGACAATGCCCCGCGGCATCATAATGACATCGGAAACTCGCTGCTCCCTGATTTGTGCGGACAGTGATGGAGATCACGAAGCGGATTGCTCGAAATTCGAATCCAGCGTCTCCTGCAAAACTACCGCGCAACGTAATATAGAAGCATCTGTAGATAACCGGTTATCTCCTGTGTGACTTTGGGCAGCGTCCGCGACTGCGGGCGCCCAAGCGGGTACAACGATTGACGGTACATCAGAACGCGGCACGTTCAGTTCTTCAGCGATCAAACGCTGAGCACCAGTACGCCGAGATCTCCGGTGTACCAGACGCCGGTACACGTCCGTGGATCACCCCGCTGAGGTGGAGCGCTCCGGAGCAGGGTGCCCGACGCGCTCGGCACTTGACATTGGCATCAGCCGCGCTCGTTTCTAATGTCATAAAGAACGCCGCTTTGTTCGGAGGCGCACACCATACGTACGCACCGCAGAAACCCTGACGTATTCCCGCGGCACTGACGGGAACGTTTTTGAACGACTCGTCATGTCTGGGCATCCTCAGAGAGATCCTCCTCTATATGCGTCCTGTGGAGCAGCTTGGCACCGCCACGAGGCCACCGCGCAAGCGAAAACGCGCGACAGACTGTTGATGCGGTACCGTTAAACGCAAGGGGAACTCTCCAGTGCCACAGACGCCATGCTCTGGTCATCTTTATGAGCTGGTCCGGTTCGTGTGTGTCTTGATGATCTCCAGGATCTCCGAATAGGCTTCGTATTTGGAGTTGCGAACAAGACCGCCGAACTTGCGCGGTTGCTCCTGCGCCAATAGCTCCTCGACCAACTGTTGAGCAGTGCGGTTTCTCGAGTCGCGCAACTCAAATCGCAAGAAATCACACGCTGCATCAGTCAGTGCACGAACCGTTGCTGGACGTGCATACCCGCATGCCATGTGCAGCGCGGTGAGCCCCTGCGAGTCTTGCGCGTTCACATCGACACCAGCCTTGATGAGCATTTCGACGACTTCGGCCAAACCGAGCGCCGCGGCAAAGTGCAGCGCTGTTCGGTTATCCCGGTCGACAGCGTTCACATCGAAAGGAAGACCTCTGCCGTCCAGGTGAGCCCGCAGTAGCTCTCGCGCTCGTTCCGCGTTCGTATTCGGTGGCTGCAGCGCTGTGTGCAACGGCAGCGGGTCATAGGTATCGCGCAGGTGCACTTGTTCCTTCTGCGCACTATCTGGCTGTTTTCTCCAAAACGAGCCAATACACTGTAAACTACGCGCAGATGACGCTTGTCTCGGAAGTTTTTGCGTCGAATACGAGCGCAGTGGCAACCGCTGTCTTGTCAACAGCCGTCGCTGCAGTCGAGTCGCGTGCGCAGGGCTCGAGGAAACCAGAAACATGCTTTCCAACGTGCTTCACTGCTGCCAACTTGTCCCGCCTATACCAGGCGTCAGGTTCTACAAGTCGCCGCCTCGGGTAGCGTAACCTCTATGTGTAGTCGACGATAACGACGACAACGACGAAAACGTCGAAGTCGTTGGTGTATGCTGGCGTCTTTAGTGGTAATGACAGTTGGCGTCGTGGTGCCGGAGCAGGCCGCGGAGCTCATGTGCGTCGCTCCGCGGCTGGTGCTCCCAGCGCGCCGTCCGGTTTAGGCACGTTTTCCATCGCGATGACCCAAGTGCGTCAGCAGCTGATCCTGGCGATACAAGCGTTGTTGACGAGTGCGTACATTTGCATATGCACTGATGCTTGTGGGATATTGCGAGCGTTGAATAGGACTGCATGTATATGTCTATGGACACGAACACGCATTGGCTGGTAAACAAAGACTGAGGTACGTTCTGGTAGGGATCATTGCCGAGGCGATACGCTATCGCCAGCAACAAGAGCGGCATCACAGTTCCTGGGAGACGATTCGTGCGGTCCGACGCCGCGCTCGGTCGTTGGCAGCCAACAACCGAACATTCGTCTTCATAATCTCTATGCCGAGGCTGGTCTCATAAATCCATCATGGGAATACGCTGGGGGCGCGTCGTTCGGCAGATACTGTTGCAGGTTTTTGCACGTTTCGTGCTGCGTTTTTACGACGATGTCGGACACATCTGTGGCTTCCACAACGCTGGGTCACGCTGAGCATGTTCCAGCGTTCCTGAACGGGTGTTTCACGGTTTCGAACTCGACCCGGATCCGCTGATATTTCCTGCGTGCAACCCGCATTCCTTCTTGGTTTGGTCCTCCCACCACCAACGGCCTTCACGTTCATGCTGGCCAGGGAGGACGGCACGCGTGCAGGGCTCACACCCGATGCTGATGTAACCGCGCTCATGGAGTTCGTTGTATGGGACTTCCAGAATTCGGATTGTGTCCCAAACCTGCTTCGAGCTCATGTTCGCAAGCGGGTTAAACTTGACAAGCATGCCGTCGCCCTCGAGACCTGCGAACGTCGGGTCTACCTGCGCCACGGGGATCGCGGCCCGAGTACCAGGTGACTGATCACGTCGCTGACCCGTGATCCACGCTCGAAGGGTAGCCAGCTGCTTCCTCAGGGGCTGAACTTTGCGGACGCCGCAGCACTCTTGGTGCCCATCCGTGTAGAACGAGAAGAGACCCTTGTTTCGGACGAGTTTCTCTACTTCAGTCGCATCCGGGAAGCAGTATTCGATGCGGATTTCATAGTGGCGCTCCACGCGATCGAAGAAACGGTACGTTTCAGGGTGCAACCGACCAGTGTCCAGGGCGAACACACGGAACGGCCGTTTCGTTTGCGACGCATACTCGACAAGGAGCACGTCCTCCGCACCCGAGAACGCAATAGCACAGTCAGACCCGAAAACTCGGAGCGCTGCGTCGATCACCTCCACCGGGTCGGAGTTTTCGTCCAAAGATGCAAATTCAGCGGGAAGACTCGGCACTACTGCCGTTGCGTGTATACCAAGCACTCCCGAGCGTCCGCTACGCAAAGTCGCACGTTTGGGTTGCCCAAGCGGCCGCCAGGCGATCACGCGTCGACTGCACGCACACTTAGACCGCCGTTGCGAACTGCTCGGGAAACCAGCTGTGAACTGGAACATGAGTCAGATGCACCTCAGGAAGGCTCACGTTGACGAAACGCACGTACCCTCTAGAGGAAGTTTTTCGTGGGTATCACGAGCGCGCGCGTTACCCAGACACCGACTCGCAATGCTCGACGTCGCACCGCCGGGTGCCGCTGCGCGTGCGTCGGGATCGGGGGCTGTTTGCGCGCGTGCCGCGACACCGGCGCGACGGCAGGCGTTCCCCCACAGCGGCCACCGCCGATGATTGCCACGGAGGCGCAGGGGGCCAAATTCGCATGGCGGCGGATGCAGTGCGTGCATGCCACGTGGACATGCATCGCCCTCGTCATTCGTTCGAACTGACACGGATGCGATGATGCCGAATCGGGATTCGAACATGCGTGTCCCGTTGGTGTTGGTGCTGTATCCGCAAGGAGCGCTTGCGCCAAGATATGACTATGAGCGTTCCAGTGTTTGCTTGTTTGTCACGGGAGCAGCCAAGGACTTGTCAGATTGTGTGCGGACCCAGTACATCACATAGATCCCACTGTCGAGTCAGTAGTTTGGAGTTTGATCCAGTTGAAACCGGTCGAGGACGGTCGTGCGTGCGAACGCCGTTCGCGTGGTGCGGGGTTCTCTCGTGGCTTGTGGCTGTGCTCATTGGGACCAGAGCTGCGGTTTCGAGACGTCTTGATGTATGGAAGTCGTCCAGAGATCGACTGGGACTCGCGTACGCTGCCTCACGGAGTCCGCGAGCCAGCAGCACCTCTGCCACTGCGACGGTGGCGAACGTGGGTATTGCCGGCGCCGGGGCTCCGACGAGCGCGTTGGCGGCGACCTCAGCGTTGAAGAGCTCACCGGCGGGGCCAGCGGCGGCCGTACTCACGGCAGCCGTGTGGATGCGTTCACGTCTCACGATTCTACTGGTGTTGGTGCCGTGTACACTCGGGGGTTGGTTGCTGGTCGAGGGTCTGCGCGAGTTCGAGAAGCGAAAGCCGGTTTGGCGAACTGCGAGTCCGGATGTGGCCACCAGAGATCAAGGGAATCAATAGTCCTTGGTATACATCCCGCAAACTTCATGTATGTACAGTTTCATGCGAACCATGCCATCTACAGCACGTGTCAATTGTATATATCGTTCTAGGTGCAGGGCTCGGAAGGCGCTTGCCAGCAAGGCCGTGTACTATGCGAATCGACTGGAGCTGATCTCGGAAATCGAGTGATCGATACTGTTTGAGAAAAAGCATCGAAAGTAAACGCACTGTCATGCATCGCTGATCGTAGCGCGAACACATTGTGCACGAGGCGTACTCATTGGGGCGAATACAAGGGACCGGCGTTCGACGACGGACCCCGACACCGGAACGCGATGCGTGGACCAGTGCACCGATAAACTTGTGGTGCGTCCACGTGACAGGTTATCATGCAGGCACCGTGCCGACAGTTCTCGTAGGTTCCTCAGGTAGGTAGCGCTTTAAACGAGCGTGCATCTGGCGATACACTGGGGCTGCCATTCGAACTGGGACAGGTTTCCTGCGCTCTTTCGAGCTCAGGAGACGCTGGACTACCTGTGCTGTCTGCTGCGACTAATGAAATAACCTATAAGCGCTGGGGCGCTTCATGGTGAACCAAAGCTATGCGAAACAGGCAAATTTTTCGCGTTGCTTGGCCCCTGCCCAGCTCGCATGCGTTACGGAACGAGCATGCCGCGTATCGCCAACATGCGATATGCTCGTCCTGAAACCGCACCACTGCACGCAATCTATCGCATCCTAAACACCCAAGCGTCTCGAGTTGTCAACCGTGCGTCACGTGCTCGTGCGGCATCCAGATGCAGCAACGATGGCCCCAGCTGCAGTCCTGCGCTCGCTTTTGGAATGGCAGCGTTTGTTCTATGTGGCCAACACGCCCGTCCACTGACTGGCGTTCGAGGCTGTTCGGCGTGGCGCCCTGGATGCACGACCAACACCCGATGCACAAATGATACCTCGCATGAGTCGGGGCGCATCGTCGGTGTTTGCGCGCTGTCTGAAGCGGCATCATTCCCGTCAAGGTCAACCGGGACCCGCTTGTGCGATGTATCGACGCTCGTGACCAGATGAAGTCGTCCGTCTCCCGTGAAAGGCGGCTTCATAACAACCACGCATTCCAGCTTGCTAGTTATCTTGGGTGTAATCATGCTTTCCCAAACTGACACTGCAGCATTGTCCTACGTTTTGTTCTTCACCGACACCACAGCCATCGACTTGAGCCTCTTTCAGGCCGAGAGTACCGCACTCGACGCATTCGGCAACGCTTCCCTCCACTGCAGCGAATCCTTCAACGCCAGCGTAAGCATCAGTGCCTGGGCATAGTTCAGTCGCGGATCGCAAGCTGAATGGTACGCGCGAGCGAGGTCATGAACTGCGGTTCGGGTGGCGCCACCAAGGCACTCGGTCACCGCTTCGCCGCTCATTTCCAGGTGTATGCCACCAGCAGGCACACCTTCGGCAGCGGTAATTTCAAAGAATAACCGCATCTCGTCGAGAACCTGCTCACAGTCTCGAGTCTTGAATGAATTGCCGTTCTTGTCCCGAACACTCTGGGTATTCGCATGCATCGGATCGCACATCCAGACGACTGCGAGGCCGCTGCGCTTCACCGCTGCCATGAGCGGTGGAAGCTTTCGCTGGAGAGCATCCACACCCATGCGTGTGATCAGTGTCAGACGTCCGGGAGTGTTCGCGGGATTCAGGATCTCGGCTAGCGCAAATACTTGCTCCAGTGTAGCGTTTCCAGACAGTTTCACGCCAATCGGATTGGAAACACCTCGAAGAAACTCAACATGAGCGCCATCAATCTGGCGAGTGCGCTCACCTATCCAGAGAAAATGAGCACTTGTCGCATAATACTGCGGCGCTGATAATAAATCGATAGGCGATCCCGCGTCTCGGTTCAGGTGCTCCAGGGTATGTGCATTGCCCGAAGGAGACCAGTCGGCAAGGCGCACTAGGCCTTCCTCGTACGGAAGTAAAAGTGCTTCGTGCGACGTGAACACATTCTCGATCACGTTTGTGTCGATACTTGTTACATGGCGGCCAGTGCTGCTCATCACTATGATTTCTTCATCGATTCCTTGCACCAGGTTTTGAATCGCCTTCACCAGGTTCGAGTCCACGACGCTGTCCCAGGCCAGTTTCTCGCTCAAAATCCTCAGCGATTCCATCGGAGACGCATGCAGGTGCTCAAGAACACGCAGATGTTCCAGAGACGCGGACGCATGCCGGTACGCCTGCAAGAGTCGCTGTGGGTCCGGAGTTCGCGCTCTGCCATTCGGTGCTGCGGAGTGCACGATGTCGCCCCGGAACGACGGCAGCCCGTCCGCATCCACAGGAGCAGAGCGAGGCTTCGCAAACTGACCTGCTATGCGTCCGATTCGAACGATACGCCGCTTGCTCCCAGTACTCGATAAGATAGCCGCCTGGGCAGCCAGCAAATGGTAGAGGCTTATGTTGTACTCGAGGGTGCGGCTCGAGAACGTTTCGGCACAGTCCCCACCCTGAATCACGAACGCCTCACCGTGACACGCCGCGGCCAAGTGCTCGTGCAGTGATCTGATCGATTTGGGTGTCACGAGACCGGGGAGTGTGCGCAAACCCGCTTCGACGAGCGCCAGCTGGTCTTTATCCGGGTACACGGGTAGCTGGTGCGCAGGTCGCTGGCGCCAGGAGCTCGGTGACCACGGCTCCGACCCTACCTGCCGACCCCCGATCGAGACGCTGTTTCGCAGTCCGAACGCTCCGCAGCCATCGCCGAGCCGTACGCAGACCTCCGCGCCCCGTTCAACGTAGTAGACGCGGCTGCTCAGCGCGACGCTTCCACACCGACGCACCGCTTGCCAAGCAGCGCGCCCGCTCACTCTTCGCCGAAACGGATTCGACACCACAAACCCTTCCATTGAACGTATAGTGCACGTAATAGCGGACGAAGGTCGCTTCGATGCAACTGAGCCCGCAACGGCTTCCGAAGCTGCCGCCCCCGGAAGCATTCTGCGCTTACAGCCAACCTCGCTGCTGCTGTTGCCGGACGCAAAAACGGCGGCAACCGGCATTCCGGCCGCCGCCAATGTCGACGCCTTCCTGCAGCGCATCCGGACACGTGTCTGGTTCCCGGCGGCGTTTTGATCATCGTTCACCTCAAATGTGTTCCACATTCCGGTGCAGGTCATCAGGTGCTTTTTCGCGGTTTTGTAGCGGTTGCGGTCGAAGTGCGTTCATTTTCAAACATAAGATACCCTAGGGAAAGGTGCGGACATAAAATTCGGGGAACTTGGAGGGCGGCATTGCTGGGTTCTACAAAAAACCCGAAAGAAGTCCATGTTCTCGCTGACCCGCGCGCGAAGCAGAGCGAGTGACGGACAGGAAGAAGAAGAAGAAGGAGATAGAGGAAACACTGTTTGCCTGACAAGTCGATGACGAGACTGCATTAGCACAGAGGGTATGCGTTCGAGGAATCCTTGCAATATTGAGTTCCCCTAGAGGCAGTGCATGTAAGGAGTTCGTAAACCTGAACGCTAACGCTGCTTCAAGTATAAGACGACGTGCTGTGCTGAGGACGAAACTCGAGGACCTGACGCGAACCAGCATCGTCGGGCAGCCTCTCAGGCTCGAAGTATGCCTCGATAAACCGAAATCGATAGCAGGCGGCCAGTCAAAACAGGCTGGAAGGCGTCTGCGAGGGCGTAGATATATATAAACGCTCCATCGTCGTAGGGTGTTTACGAATGACTGAACGCTCAGATACTGCAGCAGCGCGTGCAGCGCATTCGCGGCAGCGCACACGCATGCGCAACGGCGCGACGATGCAGGCGCGCACATCGATCCAGTGCGTTGTTAGCGGACTGCCATACGCGGGCATCGAACACCAGCGTGTTGCCGGCGTGCACGATTCCTGTAGGCAACTTGCGGTAGCGACTGCCGCCTCGAGAGTGCAGCGGAGGAGATCACACACATAAATGTATTCCATTGGATTGGGGGTTCTCGGCGAGAAGGTAACCTACCGTGCAATCCATTCGAGATTAGAGGCTCTTCGTGCAACAGTCTCCGCAACCGGCAAATGCGCTACGGACATCGAGGGGCAGGGCGCTTTTCGCCAAGGTCTGTGCACCCGTAATGATAGTATCCAGCACCAAACAATCCGCGTGTGGAAGACGTCGTCCCCCAGGCCGGATGTCTCTCCGAAAGCAGAACCCTTATTCCCATCATTTCCTCTAGTCGTGGAGCACTGGTTTTGCTGGAATGCTCGCGTGTCCAGGGGCAGCTCGGGGAGAACGCCGCACCGTCAGCGACGACGCACCGTCGCCGCGGCGCGATCAGCGCACCGTTTCGCGTCGGAACATTCGCCGCGTGGGGCCGGCAGCGCGCGCCTCTCCTTCGCGCTCCATGCATCGTGGCGTCGCCATCCCTGCGACTGTCCAGCCACGCTCCTATCTTTGCATTGTGTTGCGTGGAGCACGTATGGTCGAGCCGTCTGTGGTGTGGTGGTGCCTGGTGGAAGCGCTCAAGCGACGCTTACTCCGTCAACAGCGCTGGCAGTTATGGCTCCTGGTCGTGGGCCTTTTCCTTCTTTGTACGATACGCCCAAGGATGCAGAGTGTTCTGGATGCCGCCAGTAAGGAACCCGGGTCCCTACTGGATCCGAATCCAATGTATATTCCTGCGTGGGACGCACAAACCGGTGCGGTGCTAACAGCTTTTGATCCTCAGAGGCACCTCCTGCCGTTCCACTTCATTGCATGCTCTTCAGATGACTGGGGCCGCATCGCGGATAGCGTCCCACTATTTCGCGACTCGCATGCACGTCAGGAGTTTCTGGCCGTGGCGTCTGAGGAGCTGAAGCGTTCACTGCGCCAGACCGACTGGTCCATGGCAACCGTAGAAACCGTGCGTGATCTGCAGCGACTCCACGAGTTCCTACTTCGCCTGCAGGAGGCTGCAGGAGAACCGCGTCAGCGTTTCGTGCTGTCACCCATGTGGGTTGTCGGCGGACCCGACATCCCCGCCATGCAAAACCAGCTCGATATCAAACGGGAAGGCAGCACCGGGCCGCTGCGTGAACGATCATCTGACGCCCAGCTCTGGGTGGACGCTCGCGTCCAGCGCGCAGCTGCGACCCCGGAACGCCGGGGTCGCATGCGTCTGGTACAGCGGTCGCCTAGGGAGAGATGGCGAAACAGTCGCCAGCGGCTGCATGAAACGCATGCCGAGTATCCGCAGCCGGGTGTCGGGCAGCGCTCCACGGACCCCGTGGGCGAAACGCGGCGCGCTGGGGTAACTTTGCAACGCCCTGATTCCCTGAAGAGGTTCACGGGCCAATCGTCGACGTGGGGATTGCTGACGCGGCCGGTCGTACCTACAGACGCACAGGCTGTACACGCTGCACCAACAGGTTTCCCCTATCGAAGCATGTACATGTGCCGGCTTTCACGAAACGGTGCATCAATACTTCCAGGCCGCGATCTGATCGAATCCATTGAGGTTGCCGAATGGTACCGTAAGCTGTGGTACGATCGCGTGTGGGCACCTCAGTTCCACGGCAGCGCCCATATCCATCCACATCGCTGGCTCGAAGCGCTCGAGCGGACACGACCTCTGCGGCGACAACGAAGCACTGCAAGGACGCGAATTATTCGCAGCGCCTACGACAGCCTCCGTGAAGGCTACGTCTACGCGGGAAACATCACCGCTCTGCGTTCTGAGTTCGCGGATGGCGCTTGGTCACCGGCAAGCCTACGAAAAGGCATTGAGACATTTGCAGGGTTTTGGGGTTATCGACCGCGGGTTATGAGCTCGCCGCATAACACCTGGACGCCGTCGTTCGTCCAGCATCTCGTTGCGAGTCATGCAGTCTTTGGCATCGATGCTGGCACTGGTCAATGTGCGACGCTCGTGATTCCAAACGCGACTCAGCGCTCCGTTTCATGCATCGATCGTGAACCGTGGGATACGTTCGCGGGGCGTGCCGCGCGTCTCGATGCGCGCATGCCACTCATCCAGGAGCGGATTGCGGCGTTGAGGCCGGGATTTACGAGCCTCGCCTGGCACGCACAGAATGCACTGAGCGCGACGACATCGCCCCGGGTGGCTGCTGCGCACCTGGAGCATCTGGAAACGTTTGTGCATTGGGTACAGCGCCAGAATCATACTGTTTTCGTGACATCCAATGAACTTCATCAAATTCGTTTGCGTGGATGGAGCCTCGAGGTATGGCCAGATGCATTCGTTTATCGAAATTTTCTCCCATACGACATACTCGTATTGGTTCCGTGCCTTGAGGACATGTTCTCAGGAGCTTCGCCATGGGAAGCAGCGCCTTTACGCGTCGTCCGGCTTGATCAGCGTCTCATCCGCGCTCCGATCTCACAGTCGAGTCCCGAACTGACGCAGTGCCGACCCTGGTCGGCACTGATGGCGGATTCACAGCACGGGCATGCACTGCCTCGGAGCTTACGATACATTCAGCGGCAGAAGCAGAAACGGAAGCAGCTTGCCGCCACTCCGGCCTTTCGAGGTTGTCGCTGTCAGCGCATTCGATTGCCCTCGTTTATGGATGATGGCGTCCTTCTTCTGCCAGGCAACAGTCATTGGATCGAGGTTCGGCGCCTGTCGCACGAGTGAATCTTGACTGTAAATCACCGCCATGCATGCATGTTTGCATGAATCCATGCTTCCATAACGTACGTCATGGTCGATCACCGCACTGTCACAGCGATCACTGGCTATCAAGGAACACATGCACACGACTCCACGAATGCTCCGACTGGGCAGGATGATCCGCCGTCCGCCAGAGACGACGCACACCGCCCAGCGCCTGAGGATGTACTCGCGGAGACGCCGCGACACCCGAACACCCACTAAAATAGCCCCGGCGATCGAATCACGCCTCCAGCGACCGCTGCAGTGCATGCAGCGTTGTAGCAACCGGGCACCGGGTGCTCGAGAAACACGAGGCCGCTCGATCGCTCCTAGCCTCGATGACCAACGGTAGCGAGTAAGCAGCCGAGGGAGCGCTCAAACTTCTACGGATCAACAGTTATCTGCTGCAGAGTTATCGGGAGTCCATACTTGACCAAACCAACACGGTTCGACGCGCACCTGTTTTCCTCGGCAGGATAAGCGCATGTCTGCATGCGGATGCACCACTCTGCGCACCAGAGAACAGGGTGCCGGATCGAATCGCCTGCAGCGCCGCAGATGCACCACACGAAGAAGTCGTGACCCGCCGGCGCGGTACGAGCGCACTACGCGCAGCATTCGAGCAGCGCTGTTGTGCACCAGCGTTGACGACTGCCAGAACACTCTTCCGGAAAACCTATTCCACAATCAGAACACGAGGCAGTCGCTTAAAATAATGCTTACTTTCGAAGCGTTTGTAGCGGGTGCTATCTGGGATATTGAGCGCAATGGCTCGTGGCTGGCACCGCGCTGGCGCCGGTCAAGCGTGAAGCGTCGGGCGCCGTTGGGGCAGCGCCCGCCCGTGAGCGGAACCCGGAACTTGGCGGGAAAAGAGCCAAGCGGACCAGCACGGTCGGAGGGTCCTTTCTTTACCTCCAAATGGGGACGCTCCGAGAGCAGTCAAGCGGGATCTCAGGCCGGTGCAGGTCGCCAAAAGTTCTTGAACAAGAGCGAGCGCGTTCCCGAGCCGCTCGAAGACCCACTGTTCGAGTCACTGCTGGGACCGGAGCCCGCTGAGAAGCGCAGCAAACACAAGTCTTCAAAGAAACAGTCCGTAGACAGGCTGGTGCGAGGAAAGCAAAAGTACTTTTTCGAAGGCGCAGTATCTGAGACGGAAGCGTACAACATGTTTGCGAACTTGCTAGAGAGCGAGTCGCTCACGCAATATGCTGCCCGTGCAGAGGTCGAATGGTTCGATGCGAAGCGCCTTGAGGCAGCGTCTAAGAATAGGCGTGGATTCCCCTCCGTTGGCGAGATCCAGGACCTCCTGTACGATGAACTCATCGACACCGACGGCAAACGGTGGCGCGAGACCGTTGTGCCATCGGACAATCGCGTGCTCCTTGTCTTGTTTCAGGTTTCCCCGATTGACGTGGAATTTCCCAGATACTTGGAACATTTTCACGCTGCGTTAAATCTGACGCCAACGGATGCTATCCATTTGATCGCGGTTTCGCGGGAGAAGCCATCAACGAATCGCAAAACGATGCGCAAGCTGAACTTACGCTTTCCGCTTTTGAGCGATGAGCAGGGTGCACTTGGTGCGCTTTTTGGGACAGGAAATAAGCCCCATATGTTGATTTTCTATCGAGAGAAAACGCCGAGCGGCATCGAGGGTTGGTTCTTCGATCGCTGTGCGCGCGCCGAACTACCCAGCAAACTTTTGGAGAACACCGTTGACTATGCCCGCAAGCTAGTTGCCCAACGATTGCAGGCGAGCATGCGGGCAAAGCAGAATCCGACGAGCACCGGCGCCAGAGCGGCTGGCACTGATTCCGTTGCGAACACAGGAATGCAACCGGTGCCGCCGGGACCAGGTGCGTCACGCTCGCCGCAGGCCGCTGGTGCCCAGGCGACGTCCACGTCGACCGCGGGTGCCGCAGCACCAGAGCGCAGGATCGGACAGAATCCTCCGGCAGCAGGGCGCACTGAACTGCAGCAGCAGCAGCAGCAGCAGCAGCAGCAAAGCGGTGCCTCTGCATCGACACCAACCGCTGCCGAGAGACTCTCTGCGGCATCGAAAGCGGTACCGCTGGCAGATCGAACGTCTTCGACACCCGCAGCAGCGGGTCGCGGCACCGTATCAAAAAACGAGGCCAGGGCGCGGCTCGTGCTTAATCACTCAACACACTTGGAAGGCCTCATTAGCGTTTTAGAGCGGCTGGCGGTCTATGAAAGCATTCGCAAAATCGTTCCAGGAAGACTTTACACGGCACGGAGCAATGCAGAGCGCTTGAGCATTCGCGTCACCGTGCCTGTCGCTGGAGGTTGGAAGCTTGTCGCTCGCAAGGGAACGCAAGTTCAGGATGTGTTCGTTACCCTGGAAAGTCCCTCAAGCGCGTATGCAGTGGCCCACCAGAGATCCATTTTATCAAAGGAGCAATTGCAGCGACTCGTCGACGAGGCCATTGCGGCCTGACCTCAAAGACCCGCGACACGCAATTTCTGAGCAGTCTCTAGCCAGCAAAGTTCCGATGACTACCGTGAAGGCTGGGCCAAATTTGCCGACTATCGAATTTGGCTCGCAAATGGCGGCTCTTGTGCGTCGCTGATGCGTAAAACACAGAACGCTGGGGCTCTGTGGCTGGCTCTGGTGCAGGCTCATCCCGCGGAGGGATTTGGGCGTCTTCCACATGTCCACGAGTTCAGCAACGTAGCGTCCACCAGGACAAGTGCCCAGAACGCAATTCGTCATACTGCGTATGGTCGACGCTTGCGTATGCTGCCGTGGCTGCCAGGGCCCTCGAACGCCTCCTCTGCCGTCAACAGCGTTCCGTGTACACAAAAAAGCGGTTCGCGTGACACACACACACACACACACACGACTCGCTCGAGAGCGGCACGTTAGCCTCAGCCCTCAGGTCTCCATGTCCTTTTGTAGACGCTTGCAAGCGAGAGCCTATCAGTCATCTCAGAATAAAATGGAACGGCCTCTCGAACTCGGGCGTACACTCCAATGTTTGGATGTTGTCCCGTGATTTTCAACACCAGCTTTTGCGGGATTTTCTTTTCTGTGACCGCTTCCGTTTCGTATCTCTTACTTCCGGCTTTCAAGATGCGGGTCACTCCTGTCCCTCGAGCTCCACTGGAAACAGTCGGGGGATATTGATGGCAGCTTTTTCGTCCCGATTTGGCCGCCTCCAGCACTTGTCGACGCAGTTGACGTTCAGGTGAAAGTTGCGATCCTCGATTCGCTTGCGATTCCCATCTTTATTGGAAGTAGTTATGGTGCGCCCTTCACAAAGCAAATGATTGGCCGTTGTTCGGTGTTCCCCTGGATCCACTGGACCTCATCGACCGAGCGCCATCGTGCGGCTCGTGAAATCCTGCCTCAGCGCTCGGCACCGGCCCATGACGGGTACAGTACGCTGCACTCGATGTCATCGCCTGTTTCCGCGCCCGATACCGTACCCTTCCATCACGTAGTTCCGCTGAGCGATTCTCTGAAACAGTACGTTGTCTGCCGTACAAGCAAACGCGCTTTGTTCCATTTGATAGAGGATTTATGGAATACGATGTTGTCTATGATGAAATAAAATGCGGGAAGGACGATCCACGCTGAGGAACATCTCGAACAATGGCGATCCGGTCTACGCTTCCTTCATGAAAAGTGATGTCGTATGCTCCATTGGTATCGATTGCTGCGATGACGCAAGTGCTAGTCCGAGACACCTTTCCATGCAAATAGGAGAAACACGAACATATTCGAGAATATCTAGTAAGATGTATCATGGTGGTGCTGCCGAAAACAATGTCTTCGATGCTCGCACCGGGAAGACCGTTTGTCTTTCGAATGGGAGAGATTATTTGGCGCGACAAGTTCACCGAGATCCCCGCACAAGCGTATAACCAAGTCGTCCAGGGACGGTTTCAAGTGTCTTCCGTCGTCAATTGAGCGACACGGCTAGCTGCGCCCACGAGTTACCTTGAAAAACCAAGATGGAAAACTTGAAGAACGGATGATTCTAGGCATGCATTAGATGATGATATCGATATTTTACGAAACCTTGTGCGAGGCCGTCATGAACCAGTTGGATTCGGGTCACGTCACGAATTCCAGCGGCAGGGCGTCGAACGTGCCACATCCCGAAACACAACCGTGGATCCCGCATCGACTTTTGAACCCGATAAACCTCTTCGCATTACTAGGAATGCTGAGGTCTTACATTTAGAAGAACTCGGGAACAATCGCAAGCTAGAACAGAGCGAGTCGTTCAGTGCTATTTTCTATGAAGGTGACGCGGGTGTCGAGCGCCCGGACGCGCAGCCCCTGGTGCGACCATACCAACTGTTCCGCTCCCGCTGCACAGATACGCGTTTCCGCTTCTAAAATAGGTCTAGGAAGCTGCCGCGGGACGGGAACGCTTTTCGTCGTTCCCAAACCCGGCTGGGTCCGCCGGCTCGGTACACAGCATGTCCAAAAAAACAAGTGACGACCAACGCCAAACAGTCAGCAAGTCAAGAGCTGTGGCTTTCATTCACCCGGATCTCGGGCTCGGTGGAGCCGAGCGTCTCGTCGTGGACACAGCGCTTGAACTACGCGCGCGACACCATACCGTCGTCCTGTACACGCTGCATCTGGACCCTCAGCGCTGCTTTTCTCATGTTCTAGATGGTTCTTGTGGGAAAGTGGTTTGTGTAGAGAACCGTGTGATACGTTTCATTAGACGTTTCGTCTGGGGACACGCGTTGCGCGCTGCGCTCTCCTGCGCAGTGCTGGCGGCAAGCGTGCCGCTCGACTATGATGTCGTCTTCGTGGACCTGGTTGCAATACCGCTCATGATTCTATGGTGGAAGAGGTTCCTGCAAAGGATCAGCTTGCACTGGAAAACGAGTCGGTACCTGGAAGCCGACGCCGCACGAAGATCCCGTCCTCGACCGCTTCTCGTGTACTATTGCCATTTTCCCGATCGTCTGCTGGCACCTGGTGCCTCTTTCGAAAGCGTACCCACTGGCGTTGGTCCACCCAAACAATCGGAGACCTGGTGGCGACGCTGGCTGCGCAGTCTCTATCGCAGCGTTGTGGACAGCCTAGAAGCCTGCAGCATCGCGCACGCAGATAGGATCCTGGTGAATAGTCAGTTTACAAGTCGAGTCGTCGAGAGAACGTTTCCTCGAGCAACTCGGAGCCGAAAGCCGTGCGTCTTGTATCCGCCAGTACCTGCATCGCCGGCGGATGTGAGCGAACCCCGCATACCCGACATGGTTCCCAAGCGCCCGTTCCTTCTCTGCATCAGTCGCTTTGAACGGAAGAAAAGGATGGAACTGGCGGTCCACGCACTCGCTCTACTCTATCAGGATACACGAGTGCGTGAAAGGCGGGTAATGCTAGTGATTGCCGGCGGCTATGACGAACGATTGACTGAGAACGTCGAATACCATGCAGATTTGCAAAAGCTTGCCGAAAAACTCGGCATCACGGAGGCGGTGATTTTCGCTCCCAACGTCAGTGATGCGGCTCGTGACGCCCTACTTTCACGCTGCGTGGCGTTGGTGTACACGCCATCCTTTGAGCATTTCGGTATCGTGCCCTTAGAAGCGATGCGAGCGGGGAAGCCGGTCGTCGCCTGTAACAGCGGTGGTCCACGGGAAACCGTTGTCCACGAGGTGACGGGGCTGTTGTGCGACGAGCCGGTCACCCCAGAGGCGTTCTCACAAGCGCTCAAATCGCTTGTGATGGACGAGGAAAAGCGGCAACGGCTTGGTCAGAATGCACGGGAGCGCGCAGTGCAATGTTTCTCCCGTAAGGTCTTCGGAGATCAACTCGTCTCTCTTCTCGGTTGAGGATGCCATCGGAAGCCAGCAACGGGCGACGAGGCCGTGGCATTCGCAGCGCGCGCACTTGTCGTCTTGCGATTCCGCGTGCGGGCGTCAGAGTCGCGAATGCGCATGCGCGAGAGAGTACGCATCCGCCGCGCGCGCGTAGCACTTGACCGCGTGCCAGCCGCATCGCCATGCTTCATGGATCGAAGTGGCACCCAGAGCGGATGCTTTCGGGCACCTTACGCTCGCGCCTGGATCCGTGCATAACTGGCGTCGTCATTCCCGCGTTAAACCGTGCCAACACGCTGGCAACTCCACCGGGTTTACCGATTCCAGAAACACAAACCAGGAAGGAGCTCGCCAGCGAAATCCTTCCGCGTCCGAAAAGAAAACCGAACCCATTGGTAGCCGCCCCTGAACCTGGTGCATATCACGTGGATACCGACCATGAACATGCGTTTCGCCGCGGCGCTGGCGAAGATGCGGCGCGCGGGTCCATGGCGTCGAATGATCGCGCACGCACAGGTCGATGGATAGACTGGGACACGTGTCCACGGATGGGCGTTCCCGCGAAGCAGTCGTTCCGCGTACGCACCTGAGGGCCATTCGTGGACCGGTAGCCGGCGTTCCGTGTGCCGGAATCGTACGCGCTTCCATGTATGTACGTTTTGTGTCCTATCGCCGCGGCGATGCTCAGCTGCGTTTCCTGAATGGGCGTTACCCGGGCCGGATCTCTTTTTCCGGTGCTGTGCTGGGAGCCGTTTCGCCAGGAACCTTCCGCGACCTTGCTCGATTGGCTTGATAATTATCGAAGCATATCATCGGCCGCAGGGAAACATGACTGCATGCGTGATGGCGTCGAATGCTAGCGCCGTGCGGAAGCCGCGCATACCGGGGTACACGAGCCCCGGGGCCGATATCGACGCCATGCCGGCAGCAGCGCAGGTAGCGTAGGCTGCGTTTTCGCTCGAGGAGACCGCTTCCAGAGCCGGTTCATGGAATGCCTGGGGCGATCGACTTATTCGTTTTCAGTCTTATGGACTCGATTGGGACCGAATACCTCGACTTGAATCCGGAGAACGTTGCACCACCGTGTGCTTGCGTACCAGCGCGATCTGAGACACGTACGAGCGACAAACCTGCGTCTCGAAGGACCGCACTAGTCTTGGTCCCAGTCAGGTCGCTCCCAGAAATAGCGTGGTGAAGCATCCGTCTTGGCGGTGAGCACCTCCACGCCCGCGTTCGTTACCAGCAGCGTTTCCTCGAACTGGGCAGAGCGTCCGCCATCGCTCGTTACTGCTGTCCACTGGTCCGGCCAGAGAACGTCACGTGCACTGCCCTGACAAATCATCGGCTCAATGGTGAACGTATTCCCGGCCCGGGCCACACCAGGAGTTTTGTTTTTCCGGTAGTGGGGAATATTCGGAGCCGCATGGAATAGCCGATGGATGCCGTGGCCACAATACGTTCGTACAACATTGTGCCCCAGTTTCTGCGCTTGCTCCTCAACCGCTGCCCCAATATCCCGGAAAGCTAGGCCCGGTTTCACGATGCGAATACCAGCTTGCAGACAGTCGTATGCGTTTTTGACCAAAATTCGAGAGGCTCGGTCAACATGGCCCACCAGAAACGTCTCATTCAGGTCACCGTGGAAGCCGTCCACATAAAGCGTCACATCAATGTTGACAATATCTCCATCTTCTAGAGGCCTACAGTCCGGGATCCCGTGGCATATGACTTCGTTCACGGAAGTGCAACACGACTTGGGAAAGCCGTAGTAGTTCAGCGGCGACGGGTACGCACCGCGAGCGATGCACGCCTCGTGAACGACTGCATCGAGCTCGTCCGTGGTTACGCCAACGTCAACAGCCTTGCCCGCAAGATCGAGCACCTCACGCGCAAGTCTGCACGCTCGACGCATACCCTCGATCTCGTGCGGACGCAGACACGGTATCTGGTTGGAACGCTTCGCCGCCTCCTCCGCGGCCGATACCCCGGTCTCTGCGTAGTCCGGCCGCGGAATCGTCGGCGGTACCGCTCGCTGAGGCGTTACTTTCCAGGGTCGCAGTGGGCCGGTGTACCCTGCGTAGCCGTGAAAACAGGGCGGAGGGTCCGCCGCGCTATCGTTCACCTCGTTTACCGTTGCAGTGTGGTTACGCTGCAAGCTTCTCGCAAGCAACGCCAGGTGCAGGCGCTGGTGCAACGGCCACGTTCGGTTGAAACAAGCAACCGAGCAGAAAAACGCAGGAGGACCCTTGAACCCCAGTCGAGTACACACCGGGCAGCGGTACCTACCCAGGTGTTTACAGGCGGCGGCGGCACAGTGGCGCTCTTGACAAGCGTCCGCTGGACACTTCTCGAGCTGCACCGGTGCGGCTGCGTTCAGCGACTCGTCGGTGGTTTGTGGTGTACCCCACTTTGACGGAGCATCGAGAGCGCCATTCTTGCTCTTGGAGCTCATGCCTCTACACTAGACCAGGTCTGGTCTCTGGTACAGCCACAGCACTGGCCTCGGGGCGCTCGTACCGAAAGGGGGCAAGCACAGCATCCCCACCGACCGGCGTTCTGGATCGTGGAGACGCAGGGCGGCGCGCCGTTCTCTTTCGTTCTCTGTATATCGAGACGATACCAGGGGCATCCGGCAGCTCGCTGGAGCTCACCTGTATGTTATACCGAACCGGACGCAGCGGTTGAGCTGATGCGTCGTTCCGTGTCACTAGTTGCAGTCGCGCGCCTGTTACGTGTTGGCTAGGTCTCTCACTTCCCGTCGCATAAAGAGTAACGGGCGGAGCGCTTCCTCCAGCGTGGGTTGTTCAAGGTCAGGCGCTCGCTATTTTGATGCTGGCTGACTACTGGCTTGTGAAGCGGTCTCGTAGACGTGTGGCAGGACGCCCGCAGTGAGCAACTGGTAAGCGTCTGCTCCTGTGGGAACAGAGACTGTTCGCGCTGCTACCATGCGTGACCAGCAGCAGCTTGCTGGACGTCCGCGAAAACGTCGTTTCAGTGCTGTGAATCATCTAGATGCAGACTCCGGTGTGGGATCAACTGGAACTAATGCGGCTGCCGGTAGTCAGGTTTCTTCATTTTTGACCGCACTCGCTGGAAAGCGTCACACCGCTGATACCGAGCGCTCAACTGGAAACCAGTTGGCTGCCGCTGGCCAGGTTGCCTCCTTTTTGACTGTGTTAGCTGGCAAGCGAACCAGCGCTGATGCTCCGTCTTCATTCTCTGCTCATGGAAGAACGACCAGTGCGTCGCAAACAGCAGTTGCCAGGGAGAACCCTTATGTTAGTGAGCCGCTGTTACAGGCACTCAGAGAAAGCGGCCTAGCGGATAAACGCCGGCAGCTACACGAGTATGTGCCAGGTTCGTGGATTCGATGGGCGCATCATCTGCGTCTCCAGCGGCAAAACGAGATCGAATGGGAGAAATGGTTGCGATATGGTATGAATGTCACGAGTCTCGCAGTGAGCGAAGCAAGAGCACCGCACTACTTGGTTGCTGAGACGATGCTCCCGTCCAGGAGTAGTCACGAGACGCAACTGGAACCATGGGATGAACTCTTGGTTGCTACCTCTTCAACAGCTTGCTCCTATGCGGAGGCGCTGAAAATGGCGACGCTCTTCGATCCGACACAGGAGGCGTTTCGCCGGCCTTTTGACGCCACGTCCCTTGCCAGGTTCATTCAGGCGCCACCATATCCAAATTGTATGAGCATCGACTTGACGCTGCCAGAGGAGCGACGACGCATTCGGCGCGCAAGAAGGCTCCAGAAACGACAGGAAATGGAGCATCTGAGACGCGCTGGCGCTGCTCCGCCGCCACTTGCTCACCGACGAGCCTTCCACGGGGTGCTAGCGGCCCTGGAAGCGCGACAGACGCGAGCTGGCGCCGCCTACGGGGCCTTGGCCACAGACCAACTGCGTCAGGTTGCGCAAGCGATGGTAACAGAGCGCATGCGCCAGCATGAGGCACGGAACGAAGCGAACAAACGTTCCGCCGCAGAGCGTGCGCTTGCGCGGAAACAGAAGCTAGAGCGAGACCGTCAAAGAGGCCTCGTCACGAAAGTGTACGCGCTCTGGACAAAAGGTATGACGAGTCCGAACGTGCGGCGCTTGCTTTTCCAGCTGTCAGCAGCTGCGGAGCGAATTGGTGTGAACGGTTTTATTCTGGAATGGCGGGAACGTTTCTTCAAGCACTGGGCAGGTGGCCTTCGATTTGCGGTCTTCATCGCCATCCAGGGTGGTGAAACCGCGACTCGCCAATGGGATGCTCTCCTCGAGCGACGGATGTCTCATACGGAAGATCGACTGCTTCTCGATCGTGTATGGCAAAGCACCTGGATCAGGGTTCTAGCAGGCGCCGCCCCAGTGACACTGCGGGGTGTGTCCTCGGAGGACAGCGCCCGGATGCTCACATTCGAGGCGCAAGTCGCTGAACTGTATGATATTGCACGCGCACGTTTCCTCTTGCATGTCGCAAAAGACACCTCTACGCCAGAGCGGAATGAGCATGATCTGTTTTAGTGAGGCACAGCACAAAGTACCAAACGCTCTCCGCAAAAGATACCACTGCAATCGATTGGAAAGAGTATGTCCTGTTAGGGTGAAGCGGGCACGACAGGAAACGCTTCCCCAGCGTTTCCTCTTCCCAGGGAGCATGTGATCCAGGTTTTCGCCTACGGACATCTATCCTACTCGAATTCCAGACGTTTCTTTTGCATGCGACAACTCCAGTGCCGCGTTAAGCGGGTATTACATGATTCGCGAGGCGCTTAGAGCACGTCCAGAAGACGCGAGGCAGGCGTCCCATCTACGTGCATCCAGATCGAGGGAATGCGTCCGAAGTTGCCCCTGGCGAAGAAAAGCTCTCGTCACCTGTGTGTCCATAAACACACGACGCTAGGCCGCAGTGTTTTTGCTGCCGTTTGGAATCCTGTTGGTACAGGTCTATCGTTGAAGTCTTCATCGATGCGCTGCAGATGCGGAAGCAGCCTACTAAATTTCTTCAACGAGACGCCGTTCATGGCGCTGATTCTCAACGGATCCACCGAGCGGCACCCGGAGAGAGAGCGTCGTCGGTGCAGAGGCGGCCCGCAGAGGTACGAGGGTCCCATCCAGACGAAGCCGAAGCAACACCGTTTCCGAACAAGTTGGAGTACCAGCTTGGAATACACCTTCCTCTACTGCGTGAATTGAAAGCGAGTCCCCGGAAACACCTGGAGAAACGTACCGAAGCAAACCTCGATGAAACGCGGTCCGATGCCCGTCGAGGCATCGGCGGTATGCTGGTTCCCAGCGAAGGCGCCAGCCCCAATGGGTGCCTATGGCTCGAAGCACAGCACTTTCGAGCGTTTCAACTACCGGTTGCCATGATCGATATGCTGTTCGTAAACAGGCTGGCAGGCGTACATCGAGCACGTCAACGAGCTCGGTGGCGGCGGGAGCAGGCACCGAGGCCTCAACGCCGCGAGCCCCCACACGGTCAAGCGGAAAGCTTCTTCGCTGGATGCGAGCTACCAACACTGTATCTGCAGTGCCGACGAGGTTTCCGTTTGCTGTCAATTGCAGATCAGCATAGGACGGATGGACCAGCTCCGAGTCCGGAGAGAAGCGCCAATGGATGTAGACTTGTTGATCGAACTCCCGGCTCGTCATCGTACACGCTGCATTTCCCAGTGATACTAGGTCCATCTGCTGCTCCAGGTCTCTTTGCAGGACCCGGAGCCAGTGCAGGACGCTGTAGCGCTGCCTCAACGAAAGTACAGTCTGCACGAGAGTATCGGGAACGGAGCTCGAGGTGGGTGTGGCGCTTTCCTCGCCAGGGGGCTCGGTATGTTTGCGCGACAACGCCTCGACCTGGTCCAGAGCAAGCAGGCGCCGCCACCGCTGACTTGACACGGTTTGCGCGGTACCCCGTATTCGAAGCAAACGCAAGAGGTCTGCCTTGACGTCCAGGATTCCAAGAGCCTCGCTTTCGTTTGCGGCTATTCTTTCCAGTTCCCGTTCGAATGCTTCCGGGTCCAGTTCGAAGAGTTCGAGAGCCACTGTGGCCACAGCGCCGAGCTCATGCTTTAGATCTTCAAGGATTGCTCTCAGGAGTGCAGCTGGAACAAGAGGTGCGGGGGTTACCTCCGATTTCGACGTCGGCAGCCGTGCGTCGCCTTGGAGGCGCTCCGCAAAACATAGCACCGTGCACAGGACGACATACCGAAGCAGCGTGCCTTGGCTAGCGCGTGCTTCCACGCTGGCGGTACTCTCCGCGGCATACCCTCCCGTGGTGTCCATAAACGCGGTCCACTGCTTCGGTACTCGCCAACGCGAGTACTCGGAGAACGCTGTTCACGGAGAGCAAGTCTTGAACCGCCGGGTACTCGTGCGTCCAGTGCGTTGCCAGCCAACTGGATGGTGGTCGTTCAGCGCGCTCGCGCTTCAACCGCGTACACCGTCATTATCCCGGGAGGTCAAAGCCTGGTGCTCCGACTCAAGCCGCACATATGAGTTACGACTTTACGTGCTTTAGACTTGAAACGACATGTGTCCAGTTGTCATTGGACCTGTCTCTGCAGTACACGTTCTGAACCAACATGGTACCTCCTATCCTGAGCAATACAGCGCGTTCGCCAAGTACGGAGTCGCCCTTCCCACACGCACTGAGTTATCCTTGCAACGACGCTTACTCCACAATCGCGGTCTCTCCACGTTCCAACAACTCCTGGACGGTCGGAAAGTCTTCGGTTATGAGCGTCATCAGCTCGTCGCGGCTAACGAGGCCGTCCGCGTTCGGGTCCATAGCCTTGTTGAAAATGCGGATAGCACTCCGCATCCGAGCGCGGTTGATGAGGTTGCGAACTGTGCGCGCGTTAGAGAAGTATGGCATCTGCATACGCTTCTCGATGTACGCACGGCAGGCGGGGATCGCATCGTCTGCGATACGGTACTCCATATCGCGGACCATCACCTTCGCGATGTCGACCAACTCCTCGAGTGTATAGTCCGGGAAGCTGATGTGATTTCCGATTCGGGAGCTGATGCCGGGGATATACGAATAGAATTTGTTCATGCGGTCCTCGTAGCCGGCAAAAATGACCACGAGATCCTCACGCTGCTCCTCCATGACGTTCAGCAAAATCTCGATGGCCTCGACACCGTAGTCGCGATCATTCGCGGCATTGTAGAGGTAGTACGCCTCGTCGATGAAAAGCACGCCTCCGAATGCGCGCTTGATTACCTCCTTGGTTTTCGGTGCGGTATGACCCACGTATTGTCCGACGAGGTCGTCGCGCGTGGCAACGATGAGATGGCCCGATCGGCTGTAGCCCATGGCCTTCAGAATTTGACCCATGCGCATCGCAACAGTCGTCTTGCCCGTACCAGGCGAACCAGTAAATGCCATGTGCAAGGATGGTGTCGTACCAGTCAAACCCAAGCGGCTTCGCAGCTTGTCGACTACCAGCAGTGCGGCGATTTCCCGAACCCGATCCTTGACCGGTTTCAGACCAACCAAGTCGTGGTCGAGCTTCTGTAGGATATCGAGCACGCCCTCTTTCTGAAGAAACTCGTCGATAGTGCCAGCCTCTTTGTCGTCAGGGATACTCATCAGTTCTTCGATTTTGCGTTGGCGCCGCAAACGCTCCTCGCGACGCGCCCGGTCTCGCCGTTCCGCCTCCTCGCGAGCGAGACGTGCCTCCACGTCACGCTCCTTGAGCGCATCACTAAGTCGACGTTCAGTTGGTTGCTCATAGTCTGAGCTTTCGTCAGCACGCAGACGAAAAGCTGCCGGGACAGCAGCGCCACTACGCTTTGAATTAGAGCACTTTGCGAGTGCCGGCGCCCGAATGCGCAGTGAAATCCCCTGAAGACTAGTCGTAAAACCCAACATGCTTCAAAGTATATATGTCAGTCTATGAATTGAACTATATTACCTGTGTTAAAGTGAATTTTAGCACCGTATGTTACGAGCAGTCGCGAAAGCTCCACACACGCACACACACAACCGTTGTATACCGAGCGGAGCAAAGAATTCGAGCCATTCGTGTGATGCGACGCAGCATGCGCTCGCCCGCAGCCGCTCGCCCGCAGCCGCTCCGTCGTGCGCATGCCGCGCCGCATCACACGATCCCAGATGTGACCGATCGCGGCGAACGACGTGACATCGATTTCCTTCCGATTCGATAGGGCGTGTGTCCGCTGACCACGGATCCAGGACTGCGGGATGGATGCAGGTACTCGGGGAAGCGTGCATCATGTTGCACTCTAATTTCGATTACCGTTAAGTTCTCTTGGGCGTGCGGGCCGTTTCGTACGTTCTATCTTGAACCGAGTGCCTGCCGTGCTGTACCCATCATAGCACCGAGACCGCTGGCACGGATGCCGTATTGAGAAAGCACGCGGTATTGCGCGAATACTGAGGGTGTCGGCTCGATGCCATGATTCGTTCAACGCGGCACCGCAGTGCATAATCGTGCCGGGAGCCAGCAAGCTGTGCATGCGGACATCCTGTCTGCCGACGCGCGGAGCGATATGCTACGAGTCCGCTGCGACCAGGGCGACGCCCAGACGCAGCGTAACCGTCCCTAGTGCAAGAATAAAGTGCGATGCCGACGATTTGCTCAGGTATTGCCACAGCACGCGCCACAGAACAGAGCGTGAAACACGAGTCCAACAGACTTGGACGCTCCGCGGGACCTAATACCGAGGAGGTAAACTCTCGAGAATATGGAAAACCTTTTCTTCCTTCCACGCTACCGAGAAAGCGAAACGAAATTATGATACGGTTGCTAGTCAGTGATAAGTTTCTGTTCTTTCCGCACCATACTGCATCACAGGGATGATGCGTGCGCAGCTACGAGCCATCGATGCAGGGGCAGGGCCTCACAACAGACTCGGTGCACTGCGGAACTTGCGGCCTGATCCATATCTTCAAGGGAACCGATGCAGGGGCAGGGCCTCACAACAGACTCGGTGCACTGCGGAACTTGCGGCGTGATCCATATCTTCAAGGGAACTATGGATAGTCGCTCGACAAACTTGGAAGTACGGCGTGGAATGATGGGCGCTTTCCCGGAGGCCGATACCCATCCAGCCCGCAATCTGGGATCCATGGTCCATGGGAACGTTTTGTCATCGAAAAGAAAAATCCGTCGCTGCAGCGGCGGCGACGGCGGCGACGGCGGCGGCGGCGGTGCCCAAACGCGCCCCCGCGAATCGCGTTACCGTTTCACAATCGCTTCTGCAGTCGTTTGTATACTGTGGAGAGAATACTGACGAAAATGCCAGAAGAAACAACATCAACAGTGTAAAGGAATGATCATAACGAGCAGAGGGATACGAGGGAGCGTCACGGTTCAGAAAGGGACGCCAGAGACGGCGCAAAGATGGCTCGATCTTACGTACCGCCCCATATGCGGCGGCAACTGGAACAGCAGCTCCGAGTAGGTGCGGCAGCAACCGAGCGCCCACAGCCGTTTCAGGGAAACGGTGCTCCCGAGGGGCGTGCTGCCTCATCTGGGGGCTTCTTTCGAAGTGGTTCTGGGGCGTCAAGAGGAGGCAGCTCTTTTGGAGGTGGCGTGATGGGTGCTCGGGAACGCGGCACCGGGAGCGCTGCTCCGGGTGGCGGTCGGCGTTGGGGTGCGGCTCCGACAGGCCCTGGACACCAATCAGGCGCGTCATCGCGCTTGCAGCGCCTTGGATTGTGGGAGGAAACAAACCCCTACTACAGCAGTGGGCTGGGGAAGCCTCAGGAACAGGATCACGCTGCCGCTGATGCGAACGGCGAGGTTCTAGAGCTTTTCAACGGCCAGAATACTGGCATCAACTTTGACAAGTACGACGATATTCCAGTAGAAGTTTCCGGTGAGAACGTCGTACCGGAGATCATGTCCTTTGAGACCAGCGGTATGGATAAGATTCTCCTGCGGAATGTCGCACTGTCAGGGTACCGCAAGCCCACACCTGTGCAGCGGCACGCGATCCCGACGGTGATGGCTGGTCGCGACCTCATGTCATGTGCCCAGACCGGAAGCGGGAAGACTGCAGCGTTTGTGCTGCCTGTTCTACATCAGATGCTGTTGATGGGCGGCCCCGCGCCACCGCCATCCTCGTCGGGCGTAGGCGGGATTTCCTCGCGCTCCCGTTGCTCGTATCCAACGTATCTGATTCTGGCTCCGACGCGGGAGCTTGCATCGCAAATCTTCTCTGAGTGCCGGAAGTTCTGTTACGGCACCAGTATTCGCGCCGCCGTGATCTACGGTGGCTCCGAAAATACCCGTGAGCAACTGCGCGCCGTGGAGAATCAAGTTGATATTGTGGTGGCAACACCCGGGCGCCTTTTGGATTTTATTGACCGGGGCCGCATCCATTTGGCAAACGTCCGGTTCCTGACCCTTGACGAGGCGGACCGTATGCTCGATATGGGTTTCGAGCCTCAGATCCGGCAGATTGTGGAGAACTGCGACATGCCGGCGGCTGGCCAACGCCAAACGCTCATGTTCAGCGCAACCTTCCCACGGGAAATCCAACGGCTTGCCTCCGACTTTCTGCACGACTATATTTTCCTTGCCGTGGGGCGAGTCGGTTCCACCACGGATTTCATTGTGCAACGTATCGAGTTTTGCGAGGACCATTTGAAACGAGAGATGCTGCTAGATCTCTTGAACAGCATACCCGGCTTGACCTTGGTTTTTGTAGATACAAAGCGAGCCGCCGATGCTCTCGAGGACTTTTTACTGCGACACGGGTATGCGGCGTCGTCGATTCACGGAGACCGGAGCCAACGCGAGCGCGAAGACTCGCTCGCAGCTTTCCGTTCAGGACAGACGCCTATTCTCGTTGCAACGGATGTGGCTGCTCGTGGTTTGGATATCCCGAATGTTGCGCACGTCGTCAACTACGAGTTGCCAGCAGCCATTGATGACTACGTGCATCGGATTGGCCGAACTGGTCGAGCTGGCAACCAGGGCATCGCGACCTCTTTTGCGAACGAAAAGAATCGGGGCATTGTACGTGACCTCATTGAACTCCTACAGGAGGCCGGCCAAGAGGTTCCCTCCTGGCTCTATACGATGTGTCAGGCACCAGTAGCCCGGAGCGGTAGCGGTCGAGCGGGGCGTGGCGGTCGTTTCGGCGGACGCGATATGCGTCGCGAAACGGGTGCTCCACGTCGACCTGCATTCGCAGGGAATGCATCATCGACCTCGACGATGCGCGACGAGCCCTGGGGAGGTGGCAACTGGCGTGCCTCCGGCGGAAGCGCCTGGTAAGCACATGGACCGCTCCGTTGTACCTCGCGTCCGTTACTATGTACTCTAAACATCTCAATATACGAGCAGCAGGTTGTTGGTTTCGTTTTCAGTTGTGGCGTCGAGTGGATACCATTCCGAGCGCCTCGATGCTGGCGTCGCGTCTGAGCCCAGGCCTGCGCTTGCCCCGAATCAAAGTGCTTCAGGCAGGTCGTTCTATTGGTGCCAGCGTGACCTGGTCGTCCAAATTGTGAAGCAGACCAGTTGATGTGTCCTGTTCTGTGCACACCAGACAGCAGGCTCTGTAGATGTCTGGACGTGGCGTACGGCTCGGCGGTTTGTTTGTGCTTACCTGGCGTGCGGCGAGCGACCCAGCCGCGCCCTGAAAGCGCCTGCGCGTGGTTATTGTTATTGTTATTGGGTACTACAAGCAGCAATTGCGCCTTTGGGAGGATGCACCATCGACACATCGATTTTCTGTAATCAAAAACATGTGCCTGTCGGCAAGCGACATCCTCTGGTACGCCATGAGCCTTCCAAGGGTGCAGCGCCTGCACCACGGCGCACAGCATCGCTGAAGGTACTCGAAGCAGCTGGATAGCTGGGGCCTGGGAATGGGTGTGCGTGGGGAAAGATCACGGCGGACGATGCGCTGGGGGATACCCAGGGGAAAAAATAGATTGGATCTGTACGCATGCCAGGCTAAAATGGAACGCGTCCCCCAGGCGAACTCAGGTGTCTGCTCTAAGGAAAGGGTCTCTTTCCATGATCATGATCAGCACCAGCGTTTGCAGGCTTTTCCGCTACTGTCCGTTTTTCCTCTCTCGTTCTCTCTTATATCCGGCATTGCACAGGTCGGACGCTCGTATCCCTTGCGAGGTAATCCCAACAGTCGACGGACGTGGACAGTGGCTTTAGAGACTGGATTTCGGAGTTTCCGACGGTTGTCGACGCATTTCACGTACAAACCGAAGTTGCGATCTACGCTTTGCGAACCATTTCGATTTCCTTCGTATGCAACCTCTGTGCATGCTGCGCAGCGGTAACGCTTGACGCTGATCAGGTATACCCATAGGTCCATCATTTCTCTCGTGGCGCGGAGGCCGCGTTGCGGCGCATGAAGGCTTGCACCCTCGCTCAATACACACGTTCTTGTTGGGTACTGAGAGCTTCCCCATATGCTTCCAAAGATTTCCGCGCCTACTTTCGTTCTTTAACGATCACGCGCTTCTTCGGCACGGTGCCTGCGGCGCGCTATCCGCTGCGCTCGCAAGTGCAGGCCCTTCTATTCGATGCTATATTCGTGGAGCGCCAAATTACTCACAGTGACATAAGTAACGGAAGAAGAACCCAACTTAGAAAGCTTTCCGATCCGGTTACTGTCCCTTCTTGGAGAACGGTGACAATCTCGCCACTGAGAGCGATCGCCGTTTTGACTCAAGTCCGAGTTGAAGTCCCTCTGCCATGCACACAGAAGAGACGGGAGCCTTTGCAAGTATATCCCGTCGGGGGGACCATGCTGCTGTGGACTTTTGTTTCGTTGATGTCCACAAAAAGAGAAGGACTGGCAGTTCGAACGTTGTTCTTTATTTGGTGCGACGAGTCCATTGAAATTTGGGCAAGAGCTGACGAACAAGTCATCAAGGGACGAGGTCAAGTATTTTATTCCGTGAATCCGGCGGTTCGAAATGCTGCACCCACGAGTTGCCATGAACCAAAATGATCGAGAACTTGAAGCGTATGTGATTTGACGAAGCTACACATAGGGATTGGACACGAGCGGAGGCTTTTAAATGTGAATCGCATGATAAGATCGGCTATTAAATGAACCCTTTTTCGATAAAGTTGCGAATCATCTTGATTCTAGTGACGCTACGAAATCCGAGTAGACAGCATCGGAGGAGCCGCTTCGAAAGCGCGACCGAGAATCCGAGAAATTCCAATGAATCCATTAGCACCCTGTGTTCACTATCCTCTTTTTATACACATGTGATCAGAGAAACAAAAACGCTTTCTTCGAACGTCCAGGATAAATGAATACCTACTCACAGACGCTTCCCAGTCTTTTCCGACCGGCAGCCTGCTATCGGCTTCAGCTTCTCCTTGTACACTTTGAGCCTGAAAGGTTGCCCCATGAAGTTGGATCACCTCAGGTCCGCAGATCTCGTCTTCTGCACCGCATATCGTCTGGCGTGGATGGCGGCGTTGAAGTCTCGGTTCACGACCTCCATGCGTTTATTGCAGCTGGTTGGACTCACTATCGCGAGGCTCACTCGAACTTTTGCATTCTGTACCACTACAGTCCCGCCATTGGCCTGTCGAGCAAACACCTTTTTTTTTGTCAGTGTCCCTCTTCTTCGTCACTTGCTCTTCTTCGTTCGATGGCCGGCGAGCATATTGTTTTCGTCCATTTCGGGCGCCCGGCGATGACGGGCCTGCAGGATCCTCGACTGCCATGTGCATAACTGTCCCTTGGATGTTTTGTTTCTTTAAAATGAACGCACTTGTTTATGCCCCTTTGTGGTGACCTTCACGGACGGAGAAGGGCCTGCGGAGGAACGACGCATGATATCCCGATGTGTCGCCGTGTGCTGAACGCTCTAGCGATTCACCTAGAGGATCGATCAATACGTTTCATAATAGACAACACGCCTTCCATGGGCTTCAACCACGGAGCGTACGGAGGAACGAAAAGCAGCTCTACCCCGATAGAGTGCGCAAAAGCTCGGACGCAATGGGAACGCTGAAATGCCACGTTTTCCAACAGAGGGACGTCACCAGACCCACAGGTGAAAGGTCTTCGATCATTCAACAAAGTGGTTCATGCTGGCCTGTGAGCCTGCTCTACGAGCGAAACCGAAGGCTCCACTGGAATCCAGTGCACAGCTAGAACACATGATGATGTCCTGGTTCTCTTCGAGTTCGATCATATATACAACGGGCCCCATCACCTCGAGTACCCGTGTACGCTCAGTCGATTTCATCCGATGGACGTGTCATCTGCGGAGGGAAAACAAAGCAACATAACTCCGTTTCATACCGACCGCTGAGTTCCAGGACCGCTATTGTTGTGATTTCGATGGTAAATGGCCGTGCGTGAACCAGGACTTTTTCTGCGCTTGTATTCCAACGTTTTCAGGACTATACGAACAAACAGTGAAGAAACAGAGACGGTCATGGTGGCTACTAGCGTCGCTCTCTGCTTGCTGTGCGATGATCAATCGGTCGTTTACGATCATTGGCAGCAAACAGTCTTTGAGAATGCACATATCTGGCACGGAGCGCTTGTTGTTGTTTCTTTCAGTATTCCTCAACTATCTGGGTACATTGGTATGACCAACCTGAAGGAGTAATGCAGTCCTCCATGTGCACTTCCGTAAAGCGCATTTCCTATGGGCAACTCGGCTCCGATCTACACTGTACATTGGAGTGTGATATCGATCGTCTGCTACGCAGCGTGGCAGGTGGCGGCACGAAACTGTTTTGAACGACTGTAACGGGAGGTGAATGGTGGAACCTGCAGTTATGGTGCAGAATGATGAATGACCTCACGTACGCGGATAACGTTGGCGCCCAATCGAAGATGTTTCAGTTCGTGACTGCGAACCATCGATCAACGTACAGAAACGATCCGATTGCTTCATCCTATGGATGATGGAAAAAGAAGAGAAAATTACTATTGTATTGGCGAAAGTGTGCCGAAAGAACAGAAACAAACCACTAACTAGGAACTCGATAACAGTAGGTTTCCCTCTGTACGATAAACCTTAGAAAAGGGGGACGCTTTCCGTACGATCGAAAGTTTCCCTTGTAGACGGAAGAGCCCACAAGCCGGACGAGTCTCCGGGGCTCGTACTTCATGCCCCTCCCCCAGTGGCGGATGTTGTGACGAGACGTTAGCGACTCGTTCACATTGCGAATGCACTCTGGAACTCTGGGCAGTTGGACGGTGTCTGTGCGTCGCCCTGGTCCGGGTGGACTCCTGGAATATCGCTTCGCGCTGCTGCAGGCAATAGGTCTATATGCACAGCTTGCGGGGTTTCAGAATAATTATGCACTCTGACCCCGCTTCAGGTGAAGCACTCCTCGACCCGATGCCCTCAGTGGTATGACGAAGCCGTTCTGACTCCGTGATGCATCTGCTCCAGCGTTTTAGGCGCTACTGCCGGTGCATTGATGCAAGAACTCGGCACACGTTAGAACGTACAAAACAACCAGCACATCCGAAAGAAAGTACAAGCAATGGAACTTGGAGGTAGGGTGTAGCATCATGATGGAAGCTTTTTCGATTGCGATTATCCATCCCGCAATCTGGGATCCATAGTCAATGGAATGTTTTGGCATCGGAACAAAATCCATTTCTGCGCCAGAACAATTTTTCACTTGCACGCGAGACCACCCAGAGCCGGAACTTGGGGCAAAGAGCGCTATGGCGTCTTCTGAAAGCTTCTCGGGCAAGGAATATACAATTGCTTCGAATGACCACACAACTGACCCGGTTCGGCGTGTGCTCCACTTTCATAGCGAAGCGAGTAAGGGCCTCAAGAACCGGGAAGAGGGCTCGTCAACCAAGCCGTCTCCGGCAAAGACGTTGCAGTTGTCTGAGAGCTGCGAACAAGACGCCCTTGCTTGCGCCTCAGAGGTGCGTATCCGAACGGTTCGCTCGTCACCAGAGTCTGGGTCACCAGGTGTCGCCGCTTCGACGGTGCTCGCACGTGACCCCGCTGTCGTGCTGGGTGCCGGCCCAGCGGGCTGCCTCATCGCACTCGAACTCAGTCGTCTTGGTATTCCCGTAGAAGTTTTTGAATATCGCTCCGCGCATTATTTTAGACCCTATATAGAGTACGCTGGAGGTGGCGGTGATCGGGCTCCTTACCAGCGATATCGCGGACGATCGATCAATCTGGCACTTTCGGCGCGAGGTTTGCGTGCACTGGAAACCGTCGGACTCGCACAGCGCATCCAGCAAATAGGTGTGCCTATGCGGGGGCGCATGATCCACGATACAGCAGGACGCGTACACTTTCAGGCCTACGGTGGTCGTCCCGAGGAGTACTTGCTCTCGGTATCGCGCACCACGCTGAATCAGATGCTCGTGGAGACCTGTCTGCTCGATGAGCGCGGCCTGATTACGATGCATTTTGGAAAGAAATGTACCGACATTGATCTCGACCAGTGCGTCTTGACATTCGAGGATGGATGGATGTCACCGAGGCACCACGGTTGGCCAGAATCAAATACTGAGGACACGGTTGATTCGCCACCGAGTAGCCGCAGCCTCGAGCGAGAACGAAGAGCGCGAAAGCGCGCAGCACCCGCGCGCGGCTTCCTGGGCACCAAAGAGAGAACGCCGCGTACGCCGCAGCACGACGCTACGCACAGAGAGCCTGGTGCCGAGGCCGTCCCCGGGTCGCTGATGTCGTCAACCGGACGCTCGACGTCAGCCGGAGCGGTCTCGACGCGTCATGTCACTGCAAGTTTTATCATAGGTGCGGATGGTGCACATTCGCGGGTGCGCCAAGCCATGCAACGACTTGTGCCTTTCAATTACGAGCAGGAGTACATCCCAACGGCGTACAAGGAGCTCTCGATTCCGTCACGCATACAGCGAGATGACACCGGGGGCTCTTCGGGCGGTTACTTGTTGGCACCGCACGCGTTGCATATCTGGCCTCGACATCGCTTTATGTTGATTGCACTGCCAAACCGAGACGGCTCCTTCACTGCTACGTTATTTATGAACAGAGATGCGGATCCAGGAGCGCCAGACGTGCCTTCGTTTGCAACCGTTCGAACGCCTTCGCAAATCCAGCAATTTTTCGAGTCCTATTTTCCGGATATTTACGCGCTTGTGCCATCGCTGGTCGCAGATTACCAGAGTAACCCGGTTGCTCCGCTCTTTACGATTCGCTGTGCACCATTTCATTACCGCGGCAGGGCGGTTCTCGTCGGAGATGCAGCACACGTGATGGTGCCGTTCTATGGTCAAGGTTGCAATGCCGCCATGGAGGATTGCCGGATTCTGGCAAATTTCTTCCGTGAAGAGATACGCCTCGCTGCGCTTCGAGCACCAAACAGACGCGTGCGGGGATGCGTGCGGCTCCCTGCCTCGGACTTGACGGTTGACTTCGAGGATGGCATTGCAGAGGACGACTTGACAGATGCGAAAGGCCTGCAGCGTGCTCTAGCCGATGATGGATATCTGGGCGGTGTCGTAGATTCGGAATCCGAGGGCGCGGCACTTTTGGACCTGGAGCGGGTGTTCTCTGCCTATAGCGCTGAACGGAAACCGAATGCTGACGCGATCACCAACTTGGCGCTCGAAAATTACTGGGAAATGGCCAGTAAGACCTCGTCGCGTCTTTTCCGCTGGAAACGTGAGATCCAAAACCAACTTCACGCGCTCATGCCTTGTTATTTCATGAGCCTTTATCACATGATCTCATTCAGCAACATTCCCTATGCAGAAAGCGTTCGCAGAGCTCAGAAGCAGGATCGTGTCATGAACGCGCTCTTCCGCTCATTAGGCTTGGGCTGTGTCAGCTTTGCTGGATTCATGCTGTGGCGCGCTTGTCACTTGCTACGCAAAGCACAGAGAAATTGAGGATTCACGGAAAGCATCCGCGATGAATCGATCTGCTCCGAGCTGCACGACAGGCGTGCGTTGCGTGCGCACTGAGAACGCCACCAAGTGGGACGGCATGCGTCGTGTGCGGTGCGGTGCGGTGGAGTGACTGCCGGGAGCATCTAACGCTGACGCTTGCCCGCGTTACGCGGAGTTGTCTGGTCACGGCACGGCGGACGCAATCGACGCTGCACGCAAAAGGTCGCTGGATGCCTTCAGTCCCTATTTGTCTTTTATGGAATACTGCTAGGAAGCTTGTGGAGCATCCAACCGTCGGTGAAGGAGCGGTGCTCACATGCCTGGTAGCGGGCAACGCTTGCAATTTCCGGCACCATCTAATCAGAGACTCCGATGGTATCCAGTAAAGGAATCGATGCGGAAGGCGCCGGGTTCTCGTTATCGCCTCCGCTGTGCCTGCTTGGCAAAGATCCCGCACGGGTGCAGAGCCGGCCTCCAGTCAACGCGTGATCATGCCCTGATGTAACATACGCTGAAACTTTACGAGCCAGAAGCTTCGTGAAAGACCTGCAATATAAAATAGGGCATTTCCCAGGAACGCAGACGCTGGATATGTCACGTCTTTGAAACATGGACGCCGGGCCTACATATGCGAGGGATTGATCGCGTTCTCGAGCGTCCTGCGCGCCTTGCGCACGTGCACAGAGACACCAAAAACCATAGCACTGATCGGTTTACCGTTCACAAGCAGGAGCAGCGGCACCCGGAGCACCAGCACCAGTACCAGCGATGTCGCTGGCCGTCGTTCGCATCACCTGCGGTGCTGCGCGCGGAATCACAAGCGCCCATGTGCGAGCACCGTGAATACCGCGTCTTCCAGACGTCGTGTTTCCTAGCGCAGATCAATACGCCCGTGCATGTACATAGGAGTCGGTGCGTCATCCACGCAATGCACAATCTCCCAGTCTGCAGTGAACGTACTTGCGACGCTCAAACCAGGCATGGCGCTTTATGACAATCTCCGCGCGCTCGTATGCCTCCTCGTGCTGGTCACGGAACCTCTTGCGGTCGATGCCAGCATACCAGCTTTCGCAGCGGACGTCGTTTGATCCCCGGCATCTGCTGAAAAATGGGTGCTTTTCACGAACTGTTGCGCTTCACTCGTGGGTTCGGAAGATAGCGCAGCTTCTTTCTCGCGAGATCTGCTCTGTTTTGGAGTCCGATACGACTTGCGGAAAAAGTCCCAAAACAAATAGCAGAACGAAATACCAACCAACTGTCCGAAAATAAAGGCCCGCATGGATCCTGAGCACCCCTTAGGATGCCTAAAGTAAAAGTAGACGAAAGGATAGGTTGCGGTTAAATCAATGACGAACTGAACGATCTGCGCCATCGTTAGATGCTGCTTCCACCAGACCCTATACCCGAGCGCCGACACCGCGTAGTAGTAGTACATGAAAACATGCACAAACGAGTTTGCCACTACTAGAATGAAATGAATCACCATCGAAGTCCGAAGGTACATCCAGAAAAGCGGCAGCACTACGCAATGGTGATAGACGTGCAGGAAGCTCAGAGGCCGTTTCCGCAAAACCATGATGATGGTATCGAGTAACTCATAATACTTGCTGACGTAGAACACATACATCCAGAAAAGCAAGCGACCGCGCATCACGGTACCGCGGTGGTCGCAGGCTATTGCACGCAACCCGTCTGGCTCTCGTACGGCATGCAGCATGATTTCAATGAGCGTCCCGAAACCCATGGCCAACGAAAGAAGCGTGAGAAAAACGTTGTGCAGGACGACCGCGCTTCGCAGAGAGAACGGGCGGCGTGTCCGCATGACTCGCTCGAGCCCTGTGATCACCAGCAGGTAAATGGCGATACCGGCCAAAGGGTACACGGGGCGCGAAAGCGGCGCACCACGGAACCCGAAGTTTTCCGAGTATTCCAAGAGCGGTTGTAGGCGAGTCATACGTTCGAGCGTTTGTCGAATTCAGAAAAGCGCCGGCTGAAAAAATTGCGCAATACGCAGCGCCAGAGCAGAGACAATGCGAACAGTGCAGCGCTCCCCGCCGTGCGAGGCACGATGCAAACGCACGAACCGTGCGACTTCGAAGACGACGCAGCGAGACCGCAGTGGCCGAGAACTGCGCTCTGTACCAAGTTTCGCGTGTTCAAGAGTTACTTCGCTGTGAGCTACTTGGCAAACAACTCCGCAGGTAAACTTGGAGCAGTTCCCAGTCAGCGTATCGTTCCTGAGTTGCAACCCTCTTCTCAAGAAAAAAAAGATACCGCGCAAACTAGGACTATTTGGCTGGTAAGTTCCAGTGGAAGGAAGCTGCCTGTACGAAGAGAAGTTTTGTTTAGTGACGAAGCACAGGGTCCACACAATGCAGTCCCTGACTTGACGCCGTATTGTGCGCTGCGCTGCACCGAAGCAGTGCAACCGCCAACCCGAGCGTGCACCGAGCCCACAATGGACGCCTGTCTTGCGAGTGCGGTCTCAACACCGCAAAAGCGACTCGTTCGCGCTGCACCAGCACCTGCTTCTGGAACGGTCTACGGCGCGGTTCCGTGAGCGAACGCGTTGCACAAGCAGTCGAGAGCGCCGTCGTCACTTGCGCCGCACGAAGCGCCAGCACACGGATGCGTATATTTTTGCACGCATGCGTGCGTGCGCCGACGGCGGCGACGCGAATGCGCTGCCACAGCGCCCCAGGCACGACATCAGAGATTTGCGTTGCGCTCGTTGCGGAAGACGGTGCCAACGCTGCTGCCTTTGCCGCTACCTGCAACGCACCTGTACATGTATCGAAGACCGGAACGAGCCTTGCTGCAGAATCTGGAAATTGGGACGTAGTTCAGGTTCGAACGGTGTCTTTCTACGATGACAAGTCAAGAGTCGGGCGTACGTCGCCTGGAGTGGACGCTTACCACCGCGGAATCCCTCCGGAAACTCACCGAAGAGAGCGCAACTGCTCCGGTCGTTATTGACTACATCTTATCGAAGCAAGAGGTGCTGACCACGAGGGATGTCATTGACGCGCTGTTTCTGGTCTATGATCTTCTTGTCTGGTCAGCGACAAGCTTCGCAATGCCCATATCCACAGTTGTGCGCATGCTATCGTTGCCCTTGCTTGTCGCACTGCAACGGTCCGCCATTGCAGCCTCTCTGCAGAGTGGTCCGAGCCCATGGCCCCAGTGGGAGCACGTCGCTGTCGGGGGCACCTTTGACCGGTTGCACGCAGGCCATCGACTGCTGCTGTCTGCTGCCCGATACCTGTGCCGCTCGCATCTCTACATCGGGGTCTCCGGCGAGGCACTCGTCGCCGACAAGGCGCAGAAACACAACCTGCAGGCATTCCCCGAGCGGTGTGCTGCTGTCCAAGGCTTTATGCTGCTTCTGGGGAGCGTGGTTTCTCACTTGAGCACGGTGAACATCCATCTCGTCGAGTTGGAGGACGCTGCTGGACCTGCTGCGACGGACCCGTCGCTTCAAGCGCTGGTGGTGTCCGAGGAAACCGCCGCTGCGGCAACTGCAATTAACCGACAACGGCAGGAAAGGGGCCTGTGCGAAGTGGTTTTAGTTCAGGTTCCCATTCTTTGGCAAACGCGCCCCGATGGAAAACGGGAGAAAGTGAGTTCGACCTGGCTTCGGCAGATGCTCAATGGCTGAATCAGACACAGCGCGTGGGCGGAAACGCTGCGCGTGCCGCACGTTTTGCGACAAAGTCGCCTTTGGACTCGCTTCGGTCCACTGACGCAACCAAAGCACCATGTCGGTTGCGCAGCTGACCCGAAACATGATCGTAGACCGAGTTGAATAACTCGGTTGGTCACGGTCGGATCGGAGCGCGCAACAGCGGCTTCCGATTAAGACGGAGGACTTCCCGTAGACACCTCTTCCTCGCCTTTCCTGAGCTCGATCTCTCTCTCGAGAACTTTCTCAGCGCGTTGGAAAAGAAGCTGCCAGAAACGAACCGACTGGCGTTCGAGAAGCTTGCCCATGATCATTCGCGAGTCTTGAAACAGTTCTCGTACGACTAGTCGCAGCAGATTCGGATTCCTCCGTAGCGTATTCAAATCAAAGCGCTGCGATGTCGTCTCGAGCTCACGGGGTAGTGGCGGCAGCAGCTGCTCGAGCAGCAGCTCCTGGATCGCCCTGAGTCGCGCTGAATTGGGTTCCCCGCTGCTCGGAACGATGCCAAACGTTGCACGCGAGAGCGTCTGCAGAAACGCCAACTGTAAGTCATCCACGATATCAACGAATTCATTCAAGAGGCCTTCGCGCAGAAAGAATCCCTCATTTGAGAGCAGGTATTCTAGGGCGAGGTTCCAGGCAGCGTCGGCGGACATGGGCTCGAACGGATCCACCGCAAAACCAGCAACGCCCCTGAAGCGCAACATATCCGAGCTTGACGCAGCGCTGCTTGCATCGGGGAATACGGAACCGTTTTCGCCGCTTGATGCCCCATCTCCTCCAAGAGCCAGACTGCTCTGACGGATCATCGTGAAGAGTCGATTCCAGCGAATCCGGCGAGTGGTGGTATCGAGCAGCACCTGCTGGACTGCTTCCCGCAGCGCCGGCGTCGGAGCGAAGAGTAACCGCCGCGCAACATATGGGTACGCAGCATCAACAATCCTGAAACCAGGGTCGTACTTGAGCGCAAGCCCCTCGAGCGCCGTCAATGAACGCATCACCAGCGCCAGGCTCGCCGGTATCCGAATGGGATACGCGAACGCGACCCGGCCCAGGTTCGAAGTCAACGTTGCAAAGTTCAGGTCCGTGAGGGTCGCGCGACGTCCACCTCGTTCTGCATCCGCATTGCTCGCTCGCTTGGATGCCTCGAAGGCTTCCTCCAGCGCTCGGCTGACGGGCAGCGGGTCCACATCGGGTGGAAGGAAATCCAACGCCACCAAATCACGACTCAGCTCGGCGTACTCCTTGTTAATGAGATGCGTGATCGCCATGATCAAGTGATATCGTCGGTCAGCATCAAGTTCCGCCATACAACCAAAGTCCAGGTACACGAGTCTGCCTTCTGGTAGGGAACAGAGAAAATTTCCTGGGTGTGGATCTGCATGAAAAAACCCGTCATCCAATAGCTGTTGAAGTGAGCTCGCCACTCCGATTCGAATGAGACGCAGAGCATCCTGTTTTTCCCATTGTGACGGTTTGAGGCCGTTAATCCATTCCAGCGCCAACACATACGGCGTTGTGTAGCGCCAAAGGATGTGGGGCACGAGGATCTTGTCTCGAAGCGTCGCGTCGTTTGCTGCCAAGGACGGCGCTCGTGCGTACAACGATCGGAAGCGTTCCGCGTTCATAGCTTCGTGGACGTAATCCATCTCCTCGAAAAGTCGCTCCCCGAACTCATCCACGATTGCTGGCAAATCGGAGCGCAGTCGGAAAAACTTTCTCGCCTTATCTGCAAGCCAGCGTAGGATCAACAGATCCAGCGGCACGTCTAAATGAAGGCGTGGTCGCTGCACTTTGACAGCAACCTCCATCCCGGAATCTGAAAGCTGCGCCCGATAGACCTGCCCGAGCGACGCTGATGCAACCGGCTCAGGCATGCGACTCGCATCGAATGCACCGTTGCCAAATAACTGGTGCATGGCCTCAGCGCCAAGTTCGGCCCTGAGCAAGGCCCACGCCTCTTCTTTGGGAAACGGACCTACGTCGTCCTGCAATTTCTGGAGCTCAACCATAAAAGTCGGACCAACAATATCCGGCCGACTGCTGAGCGTCTGCCCCAGTTTGATTGCAGTGGCGCCAAAGTCGACGGCGAGCGCTCGTAGCTCGGCGGCAGAGCTTGCATCCATGCGGATGCCTTTCTCGTTCGCCAGCGCCTGGCGAAGCTCCGGGTCCCGTAGCCGCCAGCGATACCGTACAAACCAGAGCAACAGCGGGAACGCGACAGCCGCGGCCCGAGCGATGACCAAGTCGAATCGCCAACGATAGAAGCGAGCAAACGCCTGCAGATCGTAGTGAAGGAACTCGGCGCGACCTCGACGAGTGATCCAAGAGCGCAGGCGTCGCCAGTCCTGGCGTACCAGCGCCCATCCGCGAAGCCCCGCCTCGACCTCCTCGGTGTACCGATATCGGCGCTGGATTTGCTGAACATCCATGGGTATCGCATTCGAGGTTCCGGGTGCCGAATGCGCAGAAACGATGACGCTCTCCGTCTCCGACAGACTCGCTTTGGTGACGCGCCAAAACTGGTCAAGGTGAGCGTGCTTGCGGCGCTGTCGCCATAGGCCTCGCCGTCCCGTACAATCCCAACGGCCACAAAAGTAAACTTCTCGAGCGAAAGGCTGCGCACGCCAAAATACCGGTTGAGAGAGCATGAACGCCGTTAGAGGCACCTGGGGATGCACGGGCTGCGCTTGCAAAGTAGCGCGTGCTCCAGCTCTCACCCGGTTCACGGGTTCTGGGTTGCAACACCCCTTGTCACGACCTGAGAACTGCATACCATGCAATGCCCAGGTATCTTGCCTCGACTGTCAAACAAACGCGTGACTGCCCACGTGGTGATTCGTCAAAAGCCGCACGCAGTTATCCAGTCGGGACGTTCACAGCCAAGAACGTTTTCGTAACGGTGATGAAGCAGGCGCGAATCCGTGACGCCACCGCGCACAAGTCGTCGCAGCAGCTGTGCATCGATCGGTGAACGCTGCGCTGCGGCCGCTGCTGTCGAGTAGGCGCTGCTGGGGGGCTGCAGTGATGTCCGATGAACATGGAAAAATGAATTTTGCGTTCTGTCCCTGTCATGCGAATGTTATTTCCGAGGTATTCTAGGTGTACAGCATCGACATTGTCTGTGTACCAAGTGGAGCACACGGATTCGTGTGTAGGTCCAGGATTCGCGGTGGTCTTTTTCTCGGAATACGCCTTCGACGCTTTGCCGTCGGCGTTCGCGACGTCATCGGAATCGAGATGATTCGCGACGCTCTCCGAGAACACTTCAAGAAAGTAACCCGGATCATTATGCAGGGCATGCGTACGGGCCCCGGCGATTCTCCGTTGCGTACATGGAGCATGCCCAAACCGCGCATGCTCCAAGATACCGATCTCTGTTTCAGGACAGCTTGTGGGCGCAGCAGTGCTTGCCGCAGGACTGACGCGGAATAAATCGGGGTATCGTCCCGTGACGCCTTTTTCGCAAGCACATACCAAGCGTTCACTGAAAATCACTTGTGAACTGTTCGTAGACTCCGTTCGAAGCACACATCCTCGATTCCGTGTGGGCATCCACGACGCGCCATTTGACACCAGCGTGATGCCTCGTGCCTTGAACAGTACTCACCCTGACAACGGGCGAAATCGGGACTGGAAAGCCACCATCACCATCCTTTGACTGCCGAGCACGAAGCCGGCGAGAAAAGAAAAACCGGCGTGCTACGAGCTGGAGATAGTCGGGCGGAAACGGCATCGGTGTCGGAAGAGCGCGCAACGGCTTGTGTTGATGCGCATTGGCAGAGACTCGAACGCAAGCGCATACGCCTATGTTGCTACGCCTGTTCCATTTTATACTGACGTGAATGTAACGACAATCGGGAATGCTTTGTATCGAATGGATGATCTTCTCATGAAATAGGACAGATGAAGATTCAGTTCGCGTCTCGCGATGGACGTCCTGCGAGCGGAGACGCTCGAAGCCCAGGGCGCTCTGCTGAGTCACCGCGTTTGCCTGGCAGCAGCCTGTGCACTTGGCAGCGCGTCGCAATGCTAGCACGCAGCGTCCTCGAGCAGTCGTCTACAGCGACATGGCAGCGCCTTTTGCGTCTATATAGTCGCTGCGACGGCGAATGGCACGCAACAGCAAGCATCTTCGACAGCCTTGGGACTCGAAGTGTCACTGGATTCTTTAAGCTCGCATGCGCTAGCGGACCACGGGACTGGAGCTGACGCAACATCGCGCTCTCTGTGGATGAGACAAGGCCCAAGCTCCGATGACCGTCGGCGTTCGCGTGCCTCCCTGACTTGGGTGTGGTGCTTCTATCCAGTATCATAGACCATGTACACCGAGAATACAGGTGAGTCCATCGAGTCTCGCCTCCATTGGGGAATGCAGCACCAGGATCCAGGGAATGTAGAAGCCTCCATAGACAGCAGGGGTGCTTTCCCTGGTTAAAGACAGCGCTCGTCCATCCGGAAAACAGATGCGGTTGGACGCATCGAACCTTTACCAGGAAAGCAACCGCATGTAACCCAGCCAGAGCGACGGCAACACAAGCGGAGATCTCCAAGCATACCGCACTATGTTCCATCCTCCGTAGGGTGGCACGCGAAGAAGAAACCTCTCGTGCATGTGCGTTTCAAGGCTTTCTAATGGACGACGAGGCATCACCATTGGCATCATTGGATCAAGAAGAATCGTCCTCGCTTGATGGAAGGCTTTTGCAGGCGCCGCAGCCACGCGTTTTTCTGCGCACTTCCTGCCCGGCGCTCTTTCCGTATCTAGCCGCAGAACAAGAAGCGCGAACTGTGTGGAGACCGTTTCATGCAGTGTCTGCGGAACTGACGTCTTTTATACGCCTGCAGGACTTGTGCAGGCACGTTTTCTGGTATCATCTTCGACGAACGCCAGCGTCTGCACTAGAAGTCGTCTCTGGTTGTACCAGGGGCTGCTACCCCGTTTCGTGGTGTTTCCGCTCGGAATAGGTCTTTGTGCGGGATTCGAGCGCAGCACCGATTGCAGGCCTATCGCGCTACTGGTGTCATGTTTTGCGATTGTTTATCCCGAGAGCCCAGCCCATGTTTGCAAGCGGTCCAGAACATGGACTATGTTCGCTGCTATACCCCCGGTTCAAAGCTACATTCGTGACGGAATGCGGTCCCAGCGTGTCGACGAGGAGCTCCCCAGCACGACGCCCGAAGATCGCTGTGAATCGTGCCGTACAGGAGCTTCTGCGGATACACTCAGAATCGGATGCACCGCGATACCTGTTCGGGAGCTGCTTTCACATGGAAACGGATGTGCGGAGGAGGCGCAGAACGCTGTCCAGTGTCAACCTGATAGACATCGCTCCGCACTGAAATCGTCCGCAATAACTGACCGTCCCCCGAACGAGGTTACACCAGTTGAGGATGACGAGGAGGATTCGAACGAGGCTGACGCTGTGGTCATCGGAGCGACACTCAAGCATTGCGCCAACATGCGCAGAGACGAACAAAGTTGGGCTGTTTGCTTCTCCAAAAAACCTGCGAAAGCAGCAGAGGAGCGACCAGTCGCCGATAAGAACAGGTTCAAGTATGCTCCTTTCGCGGGGACGCTGATTCCTCCATTATAGGCCCTGGGAAACGAATTCCGATGACGATCGTTTGATGCTGCAGAGGCCACGACTCTGCAAGTCTCGCTTCAGGATACGCGTGCGCGCTTTCCAGAAACTTGCCACATTTGCATCGCTATTCCTCGTTGCTTCGGCTGGAATCGGGTTGCACATTCACGCGCACGCTGTCTATTCCAAGCGTGACCCACGAACGTGGGGTTTTCCCAATCCAGCACCAGAGGCTGCTAGTGCTACAATAGCCTCTGTCCTCGGAAATGCGCCAAGTTCTATGCTTCGATCGTACTTGTGCCATTGCCTTTTGGCTATAACGCTGCATGAAAAGACCTCCGTCGCTTGGTACGGCGTCAGCGCACCAAACGCGCTGCCGCCTCATCTCGGGCGTTTTCTTCAACGCCCTACAACTGCGATACTACACGGAGTCTCGCATGCCGTGCGGCACTGCTGACTGGCATGGTACTCCCTGTACGAATTTGCGCCACGTTCACTGTATCGTCCGTGCTCCATGGCTCGCTTTTAATCGCACCCGAAGCGAGTCACTTTGGATTAGCTCGTTGAGATAGGCAGATTCGCTTCGCAGAGATCATGCTAATGGTTCAATCCCGCCATTGCGTTGCCAAGTATCCACAATCTCAACGGTTAGTAAAACTAGCCGCGTTGACTGGTTCAGAATCGCAGACTCTAAAGGAGACCTCTGGCTGGTTGAAGTCCCGATCGAGGTACCGGGCGCCTGGGGCATCGACTTGAGCTGCAGCTGCTGCTCCAGACGTATTCGAGCGAGATCATAGCCGGCTCGTGCTGCATCTACAATGGACTGCACGAAGCGATCAAACTGGTCAGGAACTCGGAACTCCTCCGTGATCGCTCGATTCCGACTGGACTGTTCAGACGGGGCCTCCGGCGGCATGCGATCGCGAGGAAAGTTCACATAGCGAAGCACCTTGAAGACCAGCGTTAGCCATATCGTGCGCAGCTCTACTTCATCAGCTTCTAGTGGACGAGGGAGTTCGCCACTAGCGCTTCGGTTTCCAGAACGAAGTGACTCGGCACCGACGCGGCGGAGCTCGATTTCTAGCGCATCCAGCGAGTAACCAAGGCGGTAGGCCCGAACAGTGGAGGCAATAAACGACCGTAGTGCAGCAACATACGGCACGCCACTTTGCGGTAAGCATGCGTTGAGAAACGCCTCGTGGATGGCTCCCGCCACCCCGTTGACGTCATCGTTCTCAGCGGCGGAGGATAACACCAGCCGATAGACTACGCCGCGAGGTGACGCAGATTGGTGCAGTGCTTTCCGGTGGCCTCTCCAGTGTAGCTCGGCGCTACCGAAGCTTGGCACGAAAGCCCCTGGTGCCAACGGGCAACCCATACCTCCAGATAAAGGCATCAGCTGAGTGCGTAGCGTGCGTTGCGGCAAAGCGGCAACCCGTCGGCCTCCAGCGTGCAAGTGCGTTCCTGCCGCTGCAAATGAAGCCGTTCGTCGTAGCGTGCTCATTGCAAAGCAGAGCATTGGCGGTACACCCTTTCACGTTTCCGTTATCGCTCTTAGCAGGGACAGCAACTCCACGCAGAAGCTGCGAAGCAAGCAAGTACCCGCTGTAGCTCAAGGCGGACGCCAGCGCTCGACGCGTGCCTCGGGATCTTCGCACGCGCGCCTGCGCTGCCGTTGGGCAGCCGCAGGTCGCTTATGATCGATGGTTTTTTTCGATGACAAAACGTTTCCATGGACTGCGGAAAACAGATTGCGGGTAGGTAATGGCAATCGAAGAAGCGTCCATCATGGTGCTACGCCCTATCTAAAAGTTCTATTACTTATAATTCCCTTCGGATGAAATGGTCGTTTCGTGCGTTCTCTCTTTCGCCGAGTGCCTACCGCGAGCACCCGCCGTCGCGCGTATACCGCTGGTGCGCATGCCCCACCGAGACAGAACCGCCTTTCTATGCTACTGAGGGCGTCCGCTCGAAGGATGATTCACCTGACACAGAATCAGGGCTCATTATCATTCTGGGAGCCTGCAAGCTGCGAGGCAGATATGCCGCTTGGGGCAGAGCGAAGCGATACACTAGGAGTCTACCGCGATCAGGACGACGCCCAGACACAGCATCCCGCTCCTAGTCTCCGAATATACTGCGCGTTGACGAGTTGCTCAGGTCTCGCTAAAGCACCAGCTACTGCAGAGTCGCATGAAGCACGAGTCGGGGAGACTCGTCCGGCTCGCGGGACCACCTGCCAATAAGATAAACTTTCGATAATATGGAAACCATTTCCCCTTTTAACGGTTATCGTTGAGGGCTGCGCAATTTTCATCATGTTGCTCGTTAGTGGTTCGTCTATGTTCTTTTGTCTGCAGCGCAGTCCATACGCGCACACCCGTATCTTGTAGGCATCAGACAAGACGCGTATCAGGCGGTTGAAAGGAAACGCGATCCTGACCATGAGCTTGTAGCTCTATGGTAAAAGACGTATTAGGGTTGAAGACGTAGCAAAGTATAGTGTTTTATCCCAATTGTGCTCCAACACTCAAGATAGTGTATTCATGTGATTTTTCACGGTTTATAGCAGAAGCGTTCGAAGTACGTTCTTTTTCTAAAAATAAAAATAAAGTTGTGGAAATAGAAGTGGAAGATCCTGGAGAGCTGGTATCCCCGGTTGCCGGAAACAGACGAATAACATTGCGGAGCAAAGAGGAATCGGGGAAGACGAAGAAGCAAAAAGGGGAGGCCCGACGCCGAAAGCTGCAAGAAAGACGATAATGCGACGTGATGGTGGTGAAAGCCTGTCTTCTTAAACATATCAAGGATCCTTACAGGGAAAAGTTGCGAGACGCTATCAGAAACCGTATCGACTCGTACTCCAAGAGCATCGTCAAGGCGTCGTCAGGTCTGATGCATTTGGCGAGGGGGATGTATCGCGACGTGAAGCACATGGAAACAGTCGAGATTCCGGACGAGTTTTTCGATAAGACCTTTAGTCGTCAGCTGATGTTTGGCACAGGGGAAGCTCCGAGGGAAAATGAGCGAATGCATGCCCTCCACGAGAAACATCCCTTTTACAGGTTCGAGGGTAATCGAAACAAGGGGGACTGGGGTATTTACGACAATGGGGCGATGAAGTACCTCACGAATCTGAAAAACCATTTGACAGTGAACCTCGAACGTTTCATGATACGCGCCGTGTTTGCGCTCCACCCGGGCATCTCTCGCAATGGAAAATGGGCGATTATCAGTGGCATCATGAAAGATCGCAAGCATGAAGACGAGATCGAATTTGTCGGAGAAAAGGCGTCAAACGAGAGCACGAGTGAGGATTCCGTCATCCGCGCGGTTATACAAGAGCATCGTGCAGTCTCGGGGCTGACGAACCCAGCAGAAAATGTATTAGATTTGAAAAAAGATAAGGAAAGATACTATCGCCTCGTCCTGCGCTATTTCGTGTTTTTGGACCGTGAACTCGAATGCAAGGCAGAGATGAAGCTGAATGGGACAAAAAATGAAGATTCGGGGAGACGGAAGGCTGCGCTTCTGGGTAAGCGCTTCAACGTCGTTCCGTTATGCAACATCAAGTCACATTTTGACACCATCGACTCCAGAATCGCTCACGGCAGCATAAAGGAGATCAGTCCGGAGTTCGATGTAAGGAGGACAGAGTTCACTGGTGGAAACCGGGAGACGTACTGGAAGAACATCTTCAATTTCAAACGGCTCAAAGTCAGCAAACAAAAGGTATTCACTGGGATGATCGAAAACAATGGGGTAGCCATGTGTGTCCACTATCGGCGGTCGAAGGTGGATCGCCCAATCGTGCCTTTCGCTTCGCCCTCTGCGAAGCATGAAGAAAGCAAAGAGGCGGATCCTGTGATGCAGGAGGTGCAGGATAACGACTCTGTCGTTGGCGCGGACCCGGGGAACACGAACATCGTAACCATCGCAGTACCCAAGCACGGGGTATATGGTAACGACGGCAATTTACGTCAGAAAGACATGCGTCTTTTGAGAATCTCGAGAGCGAGATGCTACCGAGAATCCGGTATAATGAATGTGAGGAAGAAAATTTCTGCATGGGATGCAGGAATGAAGGATCACCTGGAAGCCACGAGCGCGGTGACGAGCCGAGAAGCAGACTTTAAAGCTTTTCGGAAATTCGTGGAAGTTCGTGTTGCGCATTGGGATGCCCTGTGGGAGGAGTATACCGAGCCCAGATGGGCTCGTTTGCGTATGAATCTATACTGTGGAAAGCAGCGGGCGTTCGCGAATTTTTTCAATGAGTTGAGCGCCTTGAAGGAGGATGAAAATCAGAGGCTAGTAGTAGCATACGGAGCAGGGCGATGGACGACCCAAAAAGGGTGTACACCAGCTCCAACGACGAGGGTGTACAAGGAGTGCGCACGGCGTTTCGTTACGAACCCGGTAGATGAGTTTCGAACATCGTATACACACCATGAACTGTGGTGTACACTTCAGAGGGTCTAGATGGAAAAGTGTCCGGGGAGCCCCGAGGATATAGCAAAGTACGGACCGCTGACAGACGAGCAAATGGAAAGGATAACGAAAGTGCGCAGGCTACTTGCATTAGTGAGTAAACTCCTAACGGCACGAAACAGGTGGAGTTTGTGAACCGAGACTTGAACGCCGCTATCAATGTAAGGAGATGTGCGGTACTGGAGAATAGACCTCCAGACTAAACAAGAGGGAACTTTGATGGACAATTCTGAAAGTTTTACTATATGAGAAAAAGTTGGAAGCAGTTGTGGGTGGCCGGTCGAACAAGTCTGGCAGGCGTCTGCACATCAGTTGGAGACGTTTCGTTTAGGGTGTGTCGTTCGCCACTACTGTACACTGCCGGCAGCATCGTTCGACTTTAGATAGGCGTTTGGTGTTGGCTGCGTCTTAGACCTATAACGAGGCAGACCGATACGAAGCTCGGTGAAAGGAGCCGTTTATGGGTCCCGCCGCTGCTCAGCCGCCACAGCTGGCGGCGCACGGACTCGACGAGAGCGGCTCGTTCCGGGACTCGGGCACCGGCGTCTTTGAAGACAGCTACACTGCACAAGGCGGTTTCGCAGAGCTTAAAGCTCAGCCGCTGTCGGAAGCGTCGATGCCTCGACGTAAACATCAGACTGAAAGAGGAAAACTTGGCCGAGTAGACGGATTGTTCGAGGAGGCGCCCCCCGGTGACTCGGTTGTTATAGATACCGTCACTGCAGAAAACGGTTCCAGCTCGGCACGTAGGAGGTTTGAGTGGCGGTTGGCACTCCGTAAGCTCGGTCCGGCTTTTCTAATCTCAATCGGGTACATGGATCCGGGAAACTGGGCTACGGATATCGAGGGCGGCTCACGTTTCGGCTATCGGCTGCTGTGGGTGCTGGTTGTCTCCAACGTCATGGCGTGGCTGCTACAAACGCTTGCTTCACGCCTGGGTATCGTGACAGGTCGCCATTTGGCACAGCTGTGTCGCGAGGCGTATCCGCGCATCATCGCGATGACGCTGTTCGCGCTCGCCGAAACAGCGATCATCGCTACGGACCTGGCGGAAGTCATTGGAACGGCCGTTGGCTTGAATTTGGTCTTGGGTATCCCGCTCCTGCTCGGTATCCTGGTGACAACGCTCGACACGCTCCTGCTTCTGATGGCACAGCGTGCTGGTGGGCTACGTCGGATCGAACAAATTGTCCTATCTTTGTTATTCGTCATCACGATATGCTTCGCATTGGAGCTGGTATTGAGCAAACCCAGTTTCATCCAAATGATTGGAGGGCTGGTACCGCGTATCGACGGGCAAAGCCTTCTGGTTGCTCTAGGTATGTTGGGCGCGACGGTGATGCCGCACAATTTCTACCTCCACTCCGCCATTGTGATTCGTGATGCGACTGTGAGGCGCCCTGCCGACTCGTGCGTGTCCACGTCGGCGACACGCACGGCAGACGGGACAGCGCATAACGGACACGACTTGGCAGGCTGCACTGATGATTCGGATCGCGGGCGCGAACTCGAGTGCGTCTATTCAGCGATCGACTGTGCGGTTGCGCTGAATGCGGCGTTCTTTATTAATGCGGCGATTCTTATCACAGCGGCATCCTCTTTTTGGGCGAATCACGTGCAAGTGGCGACCTTGCAGGAAGCACATGCCCTTTTAGAGCGCGTGCTACCCATTCGTCTCTGGGGTCGCGTGGAAGTTGCGCCGCTCGTCTTTGGGATCGCTTTGATCGCAGCAGGCCAGTCAAGTACCATCACCGGAACACTCGCCGGCCAGTATGTCATGGAGGGCTTTCTAGGACTTTCTCTGCAGATGTGGCAACAGCGATTACTGACGCGGCTATGCGCGGTCGTGCCGAGCGTGCTGGTTATCATCCTACTTGGGCCCGAGAGCACCTACAGGCTCTTAATTCTTTCCCAGGTAGTTCTATCGCTTCAGCTGCCATTCGCGATTGTGCCCATGATTCGATTCACTGGGAGCAAGGCACTCATGGGTGAGCGGTTTGCCTCGGGAATGTGGACTCGTATCTGTGCCTGGTGCGCTGCTGCGTTCATCATCGTACTGAACCTGTGGATGGCTGGCTCGATGCTCTTCGATGCCTTCCGGGTGCAGTCTGGTCGAACTGCTGGCGCAGTCGTTGGCGGTGTTCTCGCCGTTCCGCTCACCATCTATCTTCTCGGTGTACTGGTCTGGCTGTGTATGTACAGAGGGTTTAGAAATGAATGATCAGCGTAAAATTTGGCGGTCGTCTCACCGGCAGCGCTATGCGGTGCACGCCGCCGCGATTGATGCCGTCGAGGCTGCCGTCCGCGGCGACGAAGTACCAGCCTGGATCAGACGAACCTGCGACCTCGTCAGCGCTGCGTTCGCGATGGAACAGGATCCGATCCGTATGGATCAGCACACACTCTAAACGAAGACGAAACCTATACCGTGGGGCGTCTTTCCGAATTTGGCGTCCTTCTTCGCGGCAATGCCCACGGTCCACCGACGGCAGGGGCAGCGACAGTCCAACGCCAAACACGTAACGACGCTTTTGTGACCCGAAAAGCACAAAAACGAAGCTGAGCATCTGGCGCCGCAGTGTCCACTAGGCGGACGGCAATGTCGGGCGATTCGCGAGCAGCCACTCGACAACACAATGCACGCCATACCCGGTGAGCGCGTCAACGTGCTGGAGCGCGACAGGTCCCACGGCGCCCTTCTTTGTCACGCCTTCGATGAGTCGCGTGAGCGCTTCTTCCCAATGAGGAGCGGCATCCTCAAATTGGCCTCCATGGAGCCTGTTGATCACCAGGATAAGCGGCCGCTTTGGCGACGGCTGCGAATGCTTGGACCCAGCGTCGGCGATACCGTGACGACTGCATCCCGCTTCGGCGACGGACGCAGCGGCAGAGGGGGCAAGGTGCTCGCAGGTCTCCTGCAGTGCCGCGATGCACTCTTCTATCCGAGTTGCATCAGATCCGTCGATGACCCATACCACGGCATCAGCCTGTTGCAGATACCTACCCCAAAGAAAACGGAAAGAGGCGTCCCCGCCGAGGTCCAAGAGCACCCAAGTAACCTCCGGACCGTTGGCCGCACTCGTGACCGAGAAGCGGTCGAGTCCCACGGTCGGAATATAGCGCTCTCGTTGGCCATCAACTGAACCATTGGAGTCTGGGTGCACGGGTTCGGCAACCCAGCGCTGCGCAACGGCGGCGACGGGGTGCGCGTTCGAGCTCGGTACCTCACCCGCTAGCCTCTTGCGAATCGCGCGTACTAGCGTCGACTTTCCCGAACCCTTCAGTCCTAAGAAGACAACTCGATAGGGTGGATGCCTCTCTACCCAAAATGTGTTAGCAAGACTCGAAAGCAGTCCAAACATGCGGCGTTCGTTGCACGTCCCTTCGGCGCGAGTCTGGTGCTCCCTGGCCGCTCACGAACGTCCTCTGTGACCAGCAAACGGGGTCGCGCTGCCTCAACCAGAGCGTCTTGCCCGTAGAAGGCATGGACTTTGCTCAAACTCGTACAAGTGCCTAGCGGTGGTACTCAGCACGTGCGACCAGGCAAGCAGCGGCAGCAGCAGCAGAAGCGAAAACATCGATCATTCGGTCTGTCGAGTCGCGCACCCGCAAACGCCACCTACCTCCGCGGCACCCGAGCTCGGCAGAAGTTCTCTTGCTGCATCGACGGCACGGCGCTGTCGAAGCGTTCAAGGTAAGTATGCTGTTGGAGATGAAAGTCAGGTCTATGAGGTCAGTGTTTAGCACTGTGCCTCATTTCGTGCCCGGAGACCTGACGTCAGCATTCGTGATAGACTGAACTAGCGCACTGGACTACCCGCTTTGTCCCTGTCATGCGAATGTTATTTCCGAGGTATTCTAGGTGTACAGCATCGAAATTGTCTGTGTACCAAGTGGAGCACACGGATTCATGTGTAGGTCCAGGATTCGCGGTGGTCTTTTTCTCGGAATACGCCTTCGACGCTTTGCCGTCGGCGTTCGCGACGTCATCGGAATCGAGATGATTCGCGACGCTCTCCGAGAACACTTCAAGAAAGTAACCCGTATCATTATGCAGGGCATGCGTACGGGCCCCGGCGATTCTCCGTTGCGTACATGGAGCATGCCCAAACCGCGCATGCTCCAAGATACCGATCTCTGTTTCAGGACAGCTTGTGGGCGCAGCAGTGCTTGCCGCAGGACTGACGCGGAATAAATCGGGGTATCGTCCCGTGACGCCTTTTTCGCAAGCACATACCAAGCGTTCACTGAAAATCACTTGTGAACTGTTCGTAGACTCCGTTCGAAGCACACATCCTCGATTCCGTGTGGGCATCCACGACGCGCCATTTGACACCAGCGTGATGCCTCGTGCCTTGAACAGTACTCACCCTGACAACGGGCGAAATCGGGACTGGAAAGCCACCATCACCATCTTTTGACTGCCGAGCACGAAGCCGGCGAGAAAAGAAAAACCGGCGTGCTACGAGCTGGAGATAGTCGGGCGGAAACGGCATCGGTGTCGGAAGAGCGCGCAACGGCTTGTGTTGATGCGCATTGGCAGAGACTCGAACGCTAGCGCATACGCCTATGTTGCTACGCCTGTTCCATTTTATACTGACATTTGCTGAGCACGTTCCCCGCTGAATACCGGCGGGTCGGCGGCGTGCATGCACTGCTCTACGGAATGTTCGGCTGATGTTGTCAGCGCAGCAGACGTCTTAAACAAACATTCGACGCGGTCGTGGTCCGCTTGGCTCGAACGCTCGACTAAAGGAAGAGGCTCGAACAGGCGTCCAGCCACTCTGTCTGGCAGGTGCCATCTATTTACCAAGTACCAGCGGAGAATCTTGATTTTATGCCCACGTACTCTGCTGCAAGAACACCTATTGCCTCGTGTACTAGTCGTTCCGAGCGAATGCCCACGCGTACGGCGTATAGGCAACGCTTTCTCCCGCCCCGGCGCCAGCCAGCTGTACGAGAAAAGCACGTCACGCACCAAGCAGGTCACCACCTGTCTGCCGGGGATGCTCCCGACGGGCAAGAACCACTTGTGTCGATCGTAATGGTAAACCAGCAGTGCCAGCATAACAGACGTCAGGCCGCGAACCCTCCACGCACACACACACAGTCGCTGTTTGACTGATACTGTCCTGTCGAGAAAGCGTCCTCGTCTGCCCAGCTACGCAGCTCCGGAGCGCCGTCCAACGACTCACTCAAACTCGAGCTCCTCCTCCTCCTCGCTGCCGCTACCCGACACGGCTTCCATGGCGGCTTTGCGAGTTTCCGACTGGATGTACAAGATAATCAGGAACGCAACAGGGATCAGAGTGCCCAGGAACACCGCCAAGTACGCACCGAACTGCACGGTCATACCGCTCTCCTCTGCGGCGTATCCCATCGAAGGAAGTGCCCACATAGCCGCCGCGAGCGACACCGCTGACGCAACTGGCGAACCTGACTGCGCCTCCGGGGCACGTGTCGCACCAGCAACGCGCTGCTGCTGCTGCTGCTGCTTCAGCAAAACGGCGGCGCGCGTGCAGCCAACAGCTCGGTGAACGCGCATCGTCGAGCGGCTCGGTAGGGGTGCTCGCACCCTTTGCTTCAGCACAAGCCGCGACTTTGATGAATATCCAACCAAGTTTGTCACAAACAACGTGTTCATCGCTGCAACTTCTGTAGTGAGGCTTGACGAAGCGCGGCTTGCGATAGAGACAACCGCAGCACGCTCAGACAGCGATGGCGATCGCGGCACAGCGGGCCGAGCATCGCAGGCAGCGCAGCAGGCACCGGGGCCGCGAGATCACCACGGAGGAGGCGCGGAGGCGCGGAGGCACTGCCGCTGTACCTGCCGCTCGCGTCTCCGCGGCCCAGCAGCGGATCGCGAGGCGCGGCTGCCTGCTGCGCAGCCTGCGCTGCCAGGATGCTACACCACATCGCTGCGTCCACGCGTACCTGTCCGGGTGCGCGTATCATCATGCTTAGGACCAATGAATGGACCTCATTTTCTCCACAGATGCTCCAGCGTCCCATACAATCCAGATGCGTCTTCTCCCCCCGGAGGGGGGGGGACGGTTGCAGACCCCTGATGCATCCATGAACACACCCGATATCGAGCCTACTGCGGCTCGTGTCGATGAGGATGGCGCAGAGGTCGGCCTCAGAGGCGGCAGCTTACGTCCGGGAGTGGCCTCCAGAGCTCCTGGCCTGCAGCGGCATCCGCTCGGTGCGCTCCTCGCCAGCCTGTCGGCTATGTACCGATCGGCGGCGCGCCCGGGGCGCCTCGAGCGCGATCCGCCGCTGCTGCTGCCTGCTGCTGCCTGCTGCTGCCTGCTGCTGCCTGTTCCTGCAGCGGCGGCGGTGCGCGCCGCTGTGCTCGCGGCGGCATCTCGCCGAGCGTCGCCCCGAGCACAACCGATGCGCGCGTGCGCAGCAGTGCCACGAAGCGGACGACGCAGGCATCATACGAGAGGATCGACTTTGTGGCATTACTGTTTGTTGCTCAGAGCGTGCTTCTTGCGTATCTGTACGTTTCGAAAGCCTGCATTACACACCGACACTTTTGAAGCATGTTTGTGAACGGCTCACTTTCAGTAAAGGTCAAGAAGGGAGCAGCTTCAGCATCAGTGGCACGTGCCGCAGCGCACACGCGTCGAACAGCTGGTGTCGCTACAGCAAAGCGTACAGGTGCTACGCGTTCGCCTGTGCAAATGGTTCTTGCTCCACACGTCGCGCAGCCGCTGGAGACAGTGGTAGCTTTTGCGAACACACAAAGTACCAGCTTGCTCACAGCAGCAAATGAAAGCGACTTTGGCGGTTATTTCATTCCGGCGATATCGCTCATCATACTCGGTGCGATTATCCTGGCGCTCTCGCCACCACTGCGTGACTAGGGCGTCGGAACGTAGCCGAGCGGGCCTGGTCATCGCGTTTACCGGGTGATGCGTATGGGATAGTTTCAGTTTTACACGTTAAAGCGAAACAGTATAACGTCGCCCTCTTGCACCACATAATCCTTTCCTTCAGCACGGACGAGTCCCTGCTCCCGCGCACTCGTCAAGCTACCTGCCTTCACTAGATCCACGAAGGATACAGTTTCCGCGCGGATAAAGCCCCGTTCAAAGTCCGAGTGAATCACACCGGCCGCCTGGGGCGCCTTGGTGCCCCGCGGAATCGTCCATGCGCGCGTCTCCTGCGGTCCGCAGGTAAAGAACGTGCATAGCCCGAGCGTCTCGTATGCGGCACGAACCAAAGCCCGTAAGCCTATATTTTGGAGATCGTTGATGCCTAGCGATTCCAAGTACTGCTCTCGCTCGAGCGGTGGAAGCTCTACAAGCTCGCTCTCCAGTTGCGCCGACACCGCCACAACAGGGGCCTGTTCGAGTGCGGCGTATTCGAAGACCTCACGCACGAGCGCAAGCGGGCTTTCGTTATCCGGCCAGACATTTGCCTGCATTTTCGCCTTCGCCAGCGTTTCTGTGGCAGCAGCAAGCACGCTGTCGGCAACATTCGCAGCATAGATGACCGGTTTGGCGGTCAGCAGACCCAGGCGACGTAGGGCCTGTCGCTCATCCACGGTGCAGTCGGATAAAGAACGCCTGATCGGCATCCCAGCATCTAGCGCCTTCGTGACGCGCTCGAGTGCACTGCGTTCGGTGTCCTCGGCCAACTGACTCGAGGTCATCGTGCCCGCGCCTGCTGAACGGCGCGAGCTACCCGGCTTTCGCAGGCGCTCAAGCCTCTTCTCCACCATAGCCAAGTCGGCTAGCATAAGCTCTGTATCAATGGTTTCAATATCTTGCTTGGGATGGACATGACCAGCGACATGCACCACGCGTTCGTCCATAAAACATCGAACGACATGCACAATCGCATCACATTCACGGATATGCGAGAGGAATCTGTTGCCGAGGCCTTCGCCCCGCGATGCGCCCTTCACCAGACCTGCAATATCTACAAACTCCAAGTAAGTGGGGACGATGCGGCTGGAGCCGCCGATCTCCGATAGCACCTCGAGACGGGAGTCGGGCACCGTAACTACCCCAATATTCGGCTCGATCGTGCAGAAGGGAAAGTTGGCTGCCTCTGCTTTCGTCTGCTCGCACAGTGCATTGAAAAGCGTCGATTTGCCTACGTTCGGCAAGCCAACTATTCCGGTTTGGAGCTTGCAACGCAAGGAACGGCTGGACGCCAGTGACGCAGGTCTAGAGCGGTATCGTGCCTGGGTTTGTCTCACGGCTACTGGTCGTGCCCAGGCCGCTGTGGTGACTATCCCAGCGAAGCCGAGCATGGTGCTTTGCGGACGTCACCGTTCGCAAGGGTTTCAAAAGTCGGCGTCGCTGGCCAGCACCCAGGAACACCGCAGTCAAACGCGCCACCGGATGCTCCAGTTGATATTCAGAGAGCGCGCCCTGAGTACTCTGTGGTCGTAAGCGTCGATTCTGCAGCGCAGCACGCCACCCCAACGTGTACAACGTGTGTGAAGCGACTTCACGTTGCAGTACAACGGAGCGCCTGCAAGAGCACAGGTTCAAGTAGGCAACGCAGTGCAGCTGCCGACTTGCCGCAACGCAATGCAGCGCGACGTGCCGAGTCTGACGGCGTTACAGCCAGCGTGTTGCTGCTCAAGCGGTCCTCGATGCACTGCCTGCTGGAATACCTTTCCATGCAGGTCCTTCTTGTTTTTCGTTTGGTTTTCTCGCAGGTACTCACTGAAAGGAATTTATTGGGTTGCTTGGGGAAAAGTTGCGTAAAGACTTGATCCTGTAAATACTAGCTTGCGAAGACGCAGACTCATTTGCACAAGTCAGCAATTCTGCGGGCAGCACGTGGATGACGCACCCTGTTCGTCGACGTTATCCTGAACGCCGCGCACTCAAAACATAACCTGTGGAACTCTATGTACACGGCCATCTCCTCGTCCATACATGCTACTCGAGACGTTTTCTACCGAATAATACTAGAGAAACCACAGGTACTGAAGTGTCCACAACATTGAAACGAACGATGACGAAGGGACACCGATGGAGAACGGAAACAGGTGCGCTTCTGCTGGAGATCGTCGTGCGTTGAGCAACAAACGATCGATGTCGCACTGAAACGCGATCGCTCAGTCCAACACGAACGAGTTTTCGACTCAGTCTACGAGACCTCGTTGGGAGAAACGCCAGACCGATACATGCGGTACTCCAAACGGGCTAATCATCTGACCGAATCGGAGAGACAAGCGAGCGTCTCGAAAATGTCATTCCGAGCGGCGATTCAATCGACAGGTCACCTGTGAAGCGACAAGCGATCTTTTCTGTTCAGCAATGCGTCCATCATCGAGGCGGCCCGGTGGCTTCTCCGCCGCGCATTCCTCTGTCTCGCTCGTACACATCGTCGCTTTCCATCATTCACAGGCGGTGAACGAGTACGCAGCTCCGATTCGCGTTGAACCGGTCGTCGTGTTAACCTATTCTCTCAGGTTCACTTGACTCGAATGCATCGTGTCTACTGTAGCAACGCCATTTTGACGCTCGCGAATCATTGGATGAGTCACTCGCATCCGTGGCACCGTTCTTCGACAAGTGGTTCGATACCTTCACCAGTCTTGGACTGGTATATTGCCGGCCTGCTCGTGGGCCGGAAGGAGCGAAAAGATGCACTCCGGTCCATGGCCGTGCACGCAACGGAACAGGTGACGAAAAACTGCATGTGAGGAAGTTGAGATACATGCACGAAAAAGGCGAGTTTCGGTGCTACTGCCCAACCTGCGCATCTGAATCCCGAGTGAAAACGGATATTGGATAGATTCAGCACATCCATGCAAACCGGCTGCGCAAAGGAACAGATGAAGAAGGTGGCGGTAACTACGAGCAAGTATGATAAAGCCTTTGCACAATTTTGTGTGCAGCATTCGCTTAGCTCGTTCAAGGGTTCTCGTTTAAAGTGAGAATATGGAAATAAGTTGGCGTGGATGATGGAGACCGAGGGGATATCCATCCGCACGCACTCTGTTCGACCGAAGCCAATGTCGAGGAACGAGACCCCTCGTCCATCGTTCAAGCTTGAGGAAGAGAATGACGCTTTCGTGAGCGTGCTTCTCGGATTTCAGGAAATAATCGCCGCCACCCCACCTCTGTATGAAGACAACGGAGCCAGAAACCAGAATGGAAACCACATGAAGCTGCTCAAACATTGACGGGACTCGTTATGATCGGGGATCGGTCACGATGACCCCCAAGAGGCATGCCCGCAGTAGAGTGAGCGTGCCAAGACGCATGCCGACGCCCTCAGTACAGCACCGGGCAGCGGCAGATGCCTTGCGCCCTGCATTCAGAGAGAGCACACACACGAGCGCTCAAACGAAGCATGCGGACGACGTATGCTGGGCGATCATGAGACCGCTCGGGATTCGTCAACGATGTCGATTTTACGGATGCAGGAAGCAGGTATTCGCCAAATTTTCGAATGTGTCGGAGACGGCAATGACGAACAAGTTGGATCGTTTCGTGGCAGCCTATGGCGCTGGACGCAGTGTGACGCCCAGAGCAGCACTCCTGTATCTTCGACGAGCGCGTACACCGAGTGCTGGAATCGATGGTATACGATTCCTGTCGATGCGCTCCCTAACGACATACACGCATCACAGCGACGGATGCACACACGGAAACAGACGGATAAGAAGAGACGGAAATCGACATGGACACACGAAACGCTGGGCGGTAAACTCTGACCGAACATCAAATGGCGAAGCACTCGAAAACGAGGCGCTCGCGATGGTGTAACACGACCAGCAACCCGACGTGCAAGCATGTTCTGCGTACCCCGAGACCTGAGCGCCCCGCTCAACGCCTGCAAAAGTATCGTACGTACGGAGCGCTCAGCAGGTTTGTTTCAAGCGATACTTCGAAGGCATCGCACAGTGCATCGTGCGGGCATTGTGCTAGAACGCCGATGACTTGCGATGGAACGAGTCAGTGGCCAGAAGCGAGAGCATCGGATTCTTGCCTTGAGCAAAGCACGCGCATGGTACGGTTCAGGTATCCGTGAGAAAGGCCAAAACGCGCGGCATATACGTCTACATGGATCGGGAACGATTTTCCCGGTCAATAGTTGAACCATGATATTGTTCCGGTATACGACACCAGCGAGTCTATGAAGCTTAGAATCTATGGATGTACGACGGAGCAAGCATGCATATCCGAAGACGCGCCCAGGTTACCATCGAGAGCAACTCGGCCGAGTGCCAAGTCAACCGAATACGTCTGCTGCAACACGAACCTCCGAGAGACGCCCTTCACGTCAAGATTCGAAGCTGCTGCTGCTGCTACTGCTGCTGCTGCTGGTAAAGTATGTTCAGCGCGAATCACCAACGCCTCCGCTTGCCAACGCTCGCGTCGAGCAGGCAGTCATCCGGCCCTGGAGCAGCGGCTGCTATCGACAACGCCAGCAGTTCTGAAGCAGCTCCATAGTGAATTCAGCTTTACGGGTCCTGGGCTACATCCGTAATCAAGTCACCGAGGGGGCGAGTTTCAGGTGCAAACGATCACGAAACGCGTCGCTGCCGGCACCAGCGTCGCGCATGGAACGAAAGCGCTCCACGTAAACCTTGCCCCAGCTTGCAGCGCTATCAGACTCGAGCGGCGCTGTTGCTCGTCACTTCCAAGCGCACAAACGGATGCTTCAAGAGGTCCGCAGCACTCGGACGCTTGGATGGTTCCCATACCCAACACGCTTTGAGAAAGGAGGCGCACTCAGCGGATAGGTTCGGGGGTATTGGTGGCATGCGATCTTGGACCATTCGAAAAAGTGCTGCCATGGCATTGAGCGTGTGATACGGTCTGCGACCGGTGGCGAGCTCCAGCACCGTGCACCCGAGACTCCAGATATCCACGCTGTGATCATAGGGTCGTCCTTCAATCATTTCCGGTGCAATGTACCAGGGCGTTCCGACCATGGTGTGTCCGCTGCCGGCAGTCTGCAGATCAACACATGAACTCACGCCGAAGTCGGTAATTTTCACCATTCCGTTCTGGTTCACCATGATATTTCCCGGTTTCAGGTCGCGATGCGTGACCCCGTGGGAATGCAGGTATCGCAGACCGTGCAGCACCTGACGCGTGATTTCGCGTACCAGCGGCTCGTGGAACTCGTTGAACTGGGCCAAGTGTTCTGCGAGCGACCACCCGTCCACATATTCAATCACGAGGTTCAGATCGCCCTTCTCGCCGATAAATGACCCCTTGTACTCGACAATGTTCTCGTGCCGTAAACGTTGCCACAGACGCTGCTCCTTGAAGGCCCTCGGATCCACGGTGTAGAGCGTCTGGCCGCTATCCACCGCGTGGAACGATTTGATGGCCACGATTTCGTTGGTTCGAACGTTGCGTGCCATGTAGACGACACCGTAACCACCGCGACCGAGAACCTGGCCCAGCTCAAAGGTATCTACGGTGTAGAAATGATCTTTCTGGGCATTCGCTAGCGGTCGCATGGTCACCGTTCGACCGGTCGACTGGAATGCACCAACGGACGGCCGCAGTGGTCTACATTTGAGTGATAGCGGTGCTAGCGCAGAGACCTGTCCTTCCACAGCTACCGAGGCAAGGTTGTTGCTCTTTGAGCGTTGCCCCTCGGGTGCGCTCCGGACAAGCGCAGATCGCAGGTCGATGAGTGCTGCCTCAGAGCGTCCACTCTGAACGCTTCGTATCGAGCACTGACGCAGGTGCGTCAGGAGTGTTTGTCGAATATCGCTGCCCGCACGGGCAAGAACGATGAGTGCACGGCGAGTCTCGGAGCTGAGCTCCCCGGCGGGTTTCGCAAGCTCCAGTATCGACAGCAGGGGCAGGTCAACGCTCAGAGAGGCAGCAACGCGAGCGGTCGCAGCCTCGAGACACAGGTTCGCCAGCGCCCTGCAAGCGTCTGCCAGGGGGTTTGTGGACGCAGACTCGAAATAGTGCGTAGCCTGTCGCTGCTCGCACTGCTCGATGAAACGACAGAGCGTTTGCGTGACGAGGGGCCAGTTACGGGCAGCTGCACGACCGCGTGCGGTTGCACCCAAGTTGCCAAACGCTCGACACGCTTCGGCAATGGTGTCGCTAGCACGGAAGACGTGCGAATGGTCTGCAGAGGGGGCACGGTCGAACTCGTGCCAAAGCTGACCGCTCGCAAGTTCGGACGCGATGAGCCTGGCAAGTGCGGGAAACACCCCGATATCTATCAAGTAGTCGTGGACAGCACCGCTCTGAAGCGATAACTCGGCAATAATGCTGGCAACATGGAAGTTGAACTCGGCTCGCTCTGCTGGCTTGCGGAAGGCATCAATGTGTCGAAGAATCGCCTTGATGCACTTGGCCTTCACCAGTGCGAGTGCGCACGGTGGCTCCTGGGCGATGTTTCCGAAGGCTCCGGTCGCTTCAACCATCGCGCCCTGCATGATTTCATGTTCGACCAGGACCTGGGGGGCGGATAACACCTGCACGAGCGCGGGGATAACGCCCAAACGGACCATTCCTTCGGCAGTGCGCGGACTCCCAGCCGTGAGATTCCGGAGCGCGCGTGTCGCTGAGGCCAATGTGGAGAGTAGCACCCCGAGCGCAGCGCTCGCTCCGCACTCTACCAAAGACGTTGTGGTGCGGGTTGCAGTGGCAAGCTCTGGAATCACGGAACGCACAAATCCAATGAGTGCAGATGGTGCGTCGGCACGCACCAGCTTTTCTTCAAGCTCTTCCAGTACCGACAGCTCCGCCAGCGCAAAGGCTGCATGCGACTTGCCTAGATCAGAAGTCTTCGCGTCACGCAGCGCCGACACCAGGAACGGGATCGCCTCGCGCTCGACGAGCTTTCGACGTGCCTCATCGCTCCGAGCAGCGATTCGTGCCACTCGCAGCAGCTGGACCTCGGCTTGCGGAGCTGCCCAGTTCTCCACAGGCGTGTTCGAGCTGCAGCCGTTTCCAATACTGCTGGATGATGCTGAGTCCGTTCTCCGGTGCCCAGCGTCGGCGTCGGCTCGCGCACTGGCCTCCTCCGCCGCAGCCCGCACACTCGTCGGAACCTGACGCGGCACCAGCGAGCGACGGCGAGCAGAGCCCGACGCCCCTACCGCCCCCTTGACGCTGGCAACTGGTATAGACTGCTCGCTGGGACGTTGAGACGCCTGCTGCTGAAGGAGGCGCTGCCCGGCTTTGGCCGGTTGAGAAGTCTCACCGGGTTTTCGCCCACCAACGTCGGCGCGCGCCACCTGTCGTGCACGCACCGGAGCCGCATCCCCACTTTTCGATCCTTGCAACCCGTGAACGGGAACAGCTGCAGGCGCGCGTGCTGCTGCAGTTTCGATCGAGCGCCCCGAGCGCTTCCCCGCAGCTCCCTTGCTCTGCTCTTTATGCACTTCCTTCGGGTGCTTTTTCTTGCCGATAGTAAAGAATCCCATGAGGATCTCCGTTTTGCAGGTAGCTTGCAAAACAGCGACCAGCCTGTTGAACAAAGCGCTCGTGCTCCAAAGCCACCCAGGTCTCGTGCTGCAGTCCGAAAGAGCCGCAGCAGAGCATCTGGCTGGAACCTGCACCCGTCCAGCGCTGCTTGACGCGACACCGCCTCCTCCTCCCATGAAACTGCACATCGATTACGCGCCGCGCCGCTGCGCTACGCGATCTGTAACGCTTTCGCTTTGGAGGTACGTCGGGGCCCGACCATCAGTACAGGGAACGTAACCTGGAGGTAGGGCGTTTGATGAATACTTTACAGTGCACTGAAAAAGAGAAAAAAGTAAGAAAAGAAAAATGAACATATTCAGAGAACGCTCGCCTAAGTAAACGTTTTGTCAACGAAAAAAAGGTGCGCTGGGACGTTGGCGGAGCGCGCGGCACGTGCCTCTGTCATTCGCCTGGTGGAATCGAGAAGCGGTACACTGGAGCGCTTCACGATTCCACAAGGCTATAAATGGGGAATATGTCAAGGCATACCCAGGTTGTTTTAATGGTAATGCTGATGTTATTGGCGATGTTGGTGCCTTCAACATCTTCGAAGGCGTCTAGAGCAGGTGCAGTGGAAGCTCGGAGCGGTGCACGATGGATAGCAGTGCTATCTTCGACGCATAGTCGGGTCTGGAGTTCACGAGCTTGTCGAGGTGTCTGACGCCAAGCGCTATGCAATTTTCCGTTTGCGGACAAGAAGCGCGGATCCGAAGGGACCCAGTGATACGGATCCACCGTAGATCTGTGGAAGAAAGCACGTGCGAGCGCTGCATCCGGAATAGTCGGGCGCGTCTTGACTTTATGGACCTTGCTGGGAATGACGGGGATCATCGCACATCGTACGCGCCAAGTGCTTGGCCAAACGAGACCGCACAGGTCGCTCTACACACCGATGCACCTGTACTGCCATGCCGTTGCTTGTAGGGAGCGCTTGCTTTCGCCTCGCGCCTAGTGCGTGAAGTTGCACGACAACTCATCGCATCGCTCGATCGGCAGTTTTGCGGAAGCGTCCGCGCTGCTGGACTTGCCGCAGCCGATAACGCTGCATGCTTGTATTGCCTCGGTGGAGTTTGCGCAGCCGTTTGGGCAGCGTCTCAATAGGCCGGAATGGCTGAATGTACTTGATCGAAGCGTAGGCGTTCAGTTCGCGTTCGTCCATGTCAAGCATCTCCTCTGGTGAGACACCGAATGAGCGCGGTTCCACTCGTCGGTACCGGAAACGAGTATTTGCCAGCAAGTCCTCGCGGTTAAACTGGTCGACGTCACTGTCGTTATCGAACGGGGTAGCAATCTCGCTTGGGTGACCGTTCATTCGATGCGAACCCGTGACCCGATCGCTACGCGCTGCAGAGCTGTCAGCGGGTCCAGAAGCGCTCTTTCCGATGCCGAAGTCGGCGTCCGGTTGCCAGCCCTCATCTGGAGCGCTCTGGTATGCCTCTCGTTCGAAGAGGTCGCGCATTGCAGTATCAAACTTGGTGGCGTCGAAATCATGGTCGCTCTCCGCAAGCGCTAGAACCCGCTCCACAAGCTCCATTTCGGAGGAGGCTCGTCCGCCGGATGACGCTGCCTTTGCCGACTGCTCCAGACCAGCAGCGCGAGCAATGCGTTGTAAGCGCTCTGTGCGTTCCGCTAAATGCACATTTCGCAAGCGACGAAGCGTCTCCAGCTGTTTGCGCTTCATGAGGTCTTCACGCGCCGCCTTGGCCTCACGCTGTCGTCTCCGCGCTTCTTGCTTTGCCGATGGCTTGCGCAGTGAGCCCTCAATTCGACGCGGGTGCGAGGGAATGAGATCCCCATGCGGCTCCTCGAAACGGAAATTGTGTGCTTGCTCGAACTGATCCTGCCTTTCGAGGAACTGCTCGTCCTCTTCTAGAGTGTCAGACGTTTGTGGATTGCGGAGATTTTCGACAGATGCAACGCGCTGCAGCAGATCATGAGCAGGCCCGAGCCATCGATTGTTCACGACATAGTCGTACAGAAAGGCATCCTTCTCGGCTACGGTCTCTTTCTCTAAGTACGCATGCTGTCGTTCTTCATCCGACTGAGGTGTAGCATCCACACGCCGAGCGTCAGTGGTGGTTCCCGGTGCCAGTGCAGACACACCAGAGACATGGGTCTGTAGGATTTCCTCCAACCGACGGTCGGTTTGTTTCACTATGAAAAAGTCTTCACTGCTCTCTTCATTCAATTCTTCGCTGACAGAGCGCTCATGATAATTCGCTACACCATCCGGCTTCATGGTTTCTCTTGCAGCCCGCTCCAAGAATTCCAGTCGAAGAGCCTCCTGCTGCTCATCGTAGACCGGTATGCGAGGACGGCGTTCCACAGTCTCCATGTCCGGGGTTACAGTTCGGTCTCTCTGGCCAACTTGCGAGGAATTCGACGACAGCTGCGACGATGACATGGACGAGGAGGAATCCGCCTCTGCCTCCCGCAGAAGCCCCTCACGCCAGTACTGATCTAGACACACGGCCTTCTCCTTTTCCGCTTTTAGCGCCAGAAGGTCGTATCCAGCGACCGGCTCTGCCTCGTCATTCGTTGTGGTTCCTGGACTAGATTCAGATCGACCACTAATACTGCCCGAGTCATCATAGAAACGATAATTTGGATCGTAGATGCGGGCATCGCGCCTTCTGATTAGCTCGAGCGTCTGCGCCCACTGCGCGTCCAGTCGTTTGGTGAGCAGCAGGCCCAGGTCATCCTCCTCGGTGCTTTCATCGGCATCACTGGATGAGGAATGCAAGGAGCTGGCACCCGATGGAGAAGGTGCCTGGTTGCGTGCTCGTGCTGGCCGCTGGTCAACGTCTCTTCGTTCGTTCAGCTGTCGTTCGACTTCTCGAAGGTTGCTAAGCTCCTCTCGCCGTTTACGCTTGTCGTACTCTCGCGCAAACTTTTGATTTATCTGCAGCTCCATAATAGAGTGCACTCTATTGCGTTCACTCGGGTCGTCAACTCGGGAAACGGCGGCGGGAACGCGTCCTTGTGGCCTTCAAATAGAGATGGTGTTGCGGCTCGTCCCTGTTACCTGATTTCGCGAGTGCAACTTGTTGTTCCCTGTTCGGGCGGGTTTCGCCTTCGAAAGATAACAGGTCCAGTTGACGCGGCTCAGTTGAAATTAGTGGTATAAGTACTCGAAGCACGGCACAGAGTCGAACGCTGCTGCCGGCAGTGTACAGTAGTGGCGAGAAGCCCGCCCTAGACACAAAGTCACCGAGTGACGTGCAGGCGCCTGCCAGACTTTTTCGACCGGCCACCCACAACTGCTTCCAACTTTTTCTCATATAGTAAAACTTTCAGAATTGTCCATCAAAGTTCCCTCTTGTTTAGTCTGGAGGTCTATTCTCCAGTACCGCACATCTCCTTACATTGATAGCGGCGTTCAAGTCTCGGTTCACAAACTCCACCTGTTTCGTGCCGTTAGGAGTTTACTCACTAATGCGAGTAGCCCACGCACTTTCGCTAGCCTTTCCATGTGCTCGTCTGTCAGCGGTCCGTACTTTGCTATATCCTCGGGGCTCCCCGGACACTTTTCCATCTAGACCCTCTGAAGTGTACACCGCAGTTCATGGTGTGTATACGATGTTCGAAACTCATCTACCGGGTTCGTAACGAAACGCCGTGCGCACTCCTTGTACACCCTCGTCGTTGGAGCTGGTGTACACCCTTTTTGGGTCTTCCATCGCCCTGCTCGGTATGCTACTACTAGCCTCTGATTTTCATCCTCCTTCAAGGCGCTCAACTCATTGAAAAAATTCGCGAACGCCCGCTGCTTTCCACAGTATAGATTCATACGCAAACGAGCCCATCTGGGCATTGTATACTCCTCCCACAGCGCATCCCAATGCGCAACACGAACTTCCATGAATTTCCGAAAAGCTTTAAAGTCTGCTTCTCGGCTCGTCACCTCGCTCGTGGCTTCCAGGTGATCCTTCATTCCTGCATCCCATGCAGAAATTTTCTTCCATGCATTCATTATACCGGATTCTCGGTAGTATCTCGCTCTCGAGATTCTCAAAAGACGCATGTCTTTTTTGACGTACGTTGCCGTCAGTCCCATCTTCGGCACGCTTCGGTGCTGCAATGGTGATGATATTCGTATTCCCCGGGTCCGCGCCAACGACAAAGTTGTTATCATGCACTTTTTGGGTCGCAGGACCCGCCTTCTTCTTTTCTTCATCCTTCGTCCCGCCAACCATAAAGGCGTTATCCTGCACCTCCTGCATCACAGGATCCGCCTTCTTCTCATCTTCATCCTCCGTCACGCCAACGACAAGGTCGTTATCCTCCGCCTCCTGCGTCGCAGGACCAGCCTCCTCCTTTTCTTCATCCTCCGTCACGGGCGCAGCCGAGGGCGGAACTGGACGATCTTTCTTCAACCGCCGGTAGTGTACACACAAGGCTACCCCATCGGTTTCGATCATCCCAGTGAATACCTTTTGCTAGCTCACTTTGAGTCGTTTGAAATCGAAGATATTCTTCCAGTACGTCTCCCTATTCTCACCGGTGAACTCTCTTCTCCTTACATCGAACTCTGAACTGATCTCCTTCATGATGCCATGAAGGACGCCGGAGTCGATAGTCCCAACATGTGACTTGATGTTTCATAATGGATCGACGTTGAAGCGCTTCCCCATTAGGACAGCCTTCCGTCTCTCCGACTCCTCATTTTTTCCTCACGCAGCTTCACCTCTGCCTTGCATTCGAGTTCACGGTCCAAAAACACGAAATAGCGCAGGATGAGGCGATAGAATCTTTCCTTATCTTTTTCAACTCGGATATCTTGTCTGTTGGATTGACCAGCCCCAAGATCGCACGGTGCTCTTGTATAGCCGCACGGGTCACAGAAGCTTCATTCCTGCTCCTGCGTGACGTCTTCTTGTAGACGAATCTGAGTTCCTGTTTATGATGGCGATCTTTTGGGACGCCATCGATAATGGCCCATATCGCCCTGCGAGACAGGCCAGCCTAGAGTGCAAAGACGGAGCGTATCATGAAACGATCGAGCTTCATGGTCATATGGTTCTTCAAGTTCGTGATGTACTTCATCGCCCCGTAGGTTTAAATATTCGAGTCACCCCTGTGTCGAGCACCGTCAAAGCAGGATTTGGCGTAATTTTAGTGGAGTGCATGTGCTCGCTCATCTCTCCTCAACGTATACCCTGTGCTAGCCATCGGGTCACGATTAAAAGTCTTGTCGGAATGTTCGTATGGAACCTCGACTTCTATGATGCCCGTCGTGTCGCGATACATCTTCCTGGCCATATGCATCATTCCTCAAACAGCCTTTTGCAATACTCATTTAGTAACACGCGACTCGGTTTTTGATGGCCTCTTGCAACTTTTCCTTGTATGCATCCTTGATATGGCGTGGAAGATAGGCTTTCGTTACCATTTTGTCGTACTGTCGTCTTTCTTGCAGCATTCGACGTGGGGCCTCCCCCTTTCGGTCCTTCTTCTTCTTTTCCTGGTCTTCTGGACTCGGCACTGATTTCTGTTTTTTTTTCTGGCAGCCGGCGACCCTGGCCCTACAGGATCGTCGACCTGCTTTTTCATAACTTTCCTTTTTTTAGTTGTTTTGAAAAAGAACGCTCTTTGAACCCTTCTGTTGTATACTGCGAAAAAGCGCTTTACTAGACTTGTTTGAGGTGTGAAACGCAATCGAACTGAAAGACTGTACTTTGCTATGACTCCAACGGAAATCCAACTTCTACAGCTGAACAACACACTACTGATCAAGATCACGGTTCCCTTCAACGGCGGCATGTGCGTCGTGTCTCATGCCTGCCTGATATCCCAGGTGCGCTCACTGACCGCGATGCATGCACCGCGCGAGACGCTAGACCCATCGATGAAGGACACGTGTCCGACACCCCGCATTGGCACATGCGTGCTCTCACCGGCGCTCTGCGGCACACGCGGCAGCGGGTAGTTTCAGAAAAAAGAGAAAGCGGACACTCCTCCGCGGATGATCTGAGCTTACAGACTTTCAGTTCTATTTCGTTTCGCCCCCGCTGCAGTGTATGTTAAGACGTCGAAATAACTGTGCAACTTACCGTATATATCGTTGGCAAATTGTCTGCAGGATATATTCATTACTGAACAGCTCATGGAGGACTGCGTTCATCCTTGAGGTCAGTCGCACAATAATACGCAGATGGTTGATGAACACTGCAAGTAACAAATATATGCGCACCGCACCAAAAACTGGTATTCTCAGCGCATGCTTGCCGTCAATGGTAGAAAACGATCCGCTGATAACCTTACGGAAACTTAGTGCAACGAAAGTGGTCACAACGGGCGTCTCTGTTTCCCAACACCTTGTCCATACTGTCCTGAAAACACCGGGATACAGGCGCAAAAGAAGACTCTATTCATTCACGGCCATCCTCTGCCAAAATCGCAATGACAGCATTCCGAGGACTGAGCGATCGGTATGAGGCACAGGGTCGTCGGGTTTGCTATTCCATTCGTTGAGACTTTCTTCGGACGAAACGGTCCGAGTATATATGGGTATTCGCGGAGCGGGGCCCCCATCGTAAATAGGATCGAAATCGAAGAGAACGAGGACATCTTCATCAGTCTTAGCTGTAGTGGATTCATTTGACGGCCTCAGTTTCGCTCCTGCGGAAGGCACATACAACAGAACCCTCTTCGCCGGATCATTGAAGACTTTTCTCAGACGTCTGGTGAGGTCCTTCGATTCCACAACGTTGCATTTCACCATTACCCTTGCATTCGAGTTTTACCGAATCTTTCGGGATAGAGCTGCTTTCTATTCCCCCGTGCGCTCCTTGATTCAACCCCATCGAGGCCGCGTTTTGTATCGTGAAACGTCATGGTCGCTCCACTGGGCAGATCTCCGACGAGTTCGCCGTACCGTGACACACCGGGGGCGCATTTCGTCTTTCTTCCACACGTCCTTCTCTGTCCAAGAAAATTCTCACCGTAGTGCATCATGAAGTGTGTTCGTTTTGAAGAAATACAATATCCAAGAGATGAGCTGGGGTGTACACTCCAGAACGTCGAGATGGAGAGAGGCCAGGGAAGCGCTTCGGCGATAGAAGAGCACGAAGAGCTGGCAGAGCAGCAAACGGCACAGAGAGAACGTGTTCGAGGAATCTTTGCATTCATGCGTTCAACGAGAGGTAATAAACGCATGGAGTCCGTGAACCAAGACTTCAACGCCGTCATCCATATCAAACGATGCGTGGTGCGGATGACGAGATGCGCGGACCTGACACGATCCATCTTTATGGGCCAGCCTCTCAGGCTCAACGTGTACAAAGAGAAATTGAAATCGATAGCAGGGGTCCGGTCGTTAAAGACTGGGAGGCATCTGCGCGTCGTTATTCATTTACCCTCCATAATTGTGAAACATTTTGTCTTTCACCGACTCTACAGAAGACGGCAATGGACTTGGGCTTGTGTCCCCGAAACGATCGATTGCAGTGAAGCATGTGGCTCCGCTTTGCACCAAGGCGACATAGACTGATAGAAATATCTGGATGAGTTCCCAATCTTTGGTTTTTTCGGGTTCTTATTGCATCATGGACGACATCGCGCACCGCAAATCCTCGATTCACTGGAAAAGTGAGCGCTTGCGTGTGCAGCTGACAACGCACTCGCATACGGGATTGTACAGAAGAAGCGCGCCATAGCACGGTGCGACACCGGCGAAGTAGATTGCATCTATCCCTCTGGACCCTTCAACGGCATACACCAAGCTATAAAGCAAGCGTTTTCGTGCTTCAGGGCGACACCGGTATTACGCAATGTGGTAGACGCATAGGCATATCTCACGAGAGTCAGGTGTCACGGTTGCGAGGCGCTCAGCGAGGCTGTGTACCTAGAACTTGAAACAGTCCTGCGAAGCGTAGGTCGCAACTCTCGCATCTGCATGGAATGCACCAACGACTGACAGAAGCGGCGAAATCGGGACCTGAACGCTTCTATCCATTTCCTTTCGACAACGAACAACGGAACTGGAGGCAAGGAATACCCCAATACATTTAAAAACGTAGATGAAACAGTGGAAAAAGAGACCAGTTGAAGAAAAAGCTCCCAATGACTGGTATTGATGATCGTAGGAAAACCCGTAAACACTGGAGTGTATGCCGCAGTCAGCAAAACGGACCCTTTCCAGGGTCGTCTGACATGACAGCATCTGGAGAATCCACGAATACGCAGCTGCAGCAGAGGCAACGGCGGCGGCGGCGGCGGCGGCGGCGCATCCACAATGCCCCGAGAAGCACCCCCGTCGCGATCCGTACGTTCACTGCACAGTGCTCCGCCTTACGACGCGTCACTGGAAGCTCACGCGCAACTGCTGCTTTCGCTGGAACTAACGTGTACAGTGCGGCCTGGAGCGTGGCGGCGCTGAACGACCAGCAAACGATTTTTCAGGGAAACACCAACGCTTTGGCGAGTGCCAGGGTCAGGGGCGTCCAGCGTCGGATTTCTCGTGTGTGCCCTCTAACGGAAATTTGTTTGCGAGGACGAGACCGAGCACGGGCTCGGGTTCACGCCCTACCCAATGGAGTACCAGCACGCCCCAGCGTCTATCCGTGTACGTCCACCGCGACCGGAAAAACGTCTCCTGCCTTTTGTGAGCGCTGCTGGCGCCTTGACGCAACGTGTCTCGGGTAGTGCGTGGCCGTGTCGACCGGCTACCCGACGGCCGCCTCCGAAGCGACGAAACACCCGCTGCTGGGTTCTGTGCAACGCGCAACAGCGGCGAATAATTGTACCCGGAAAGTTTGATGCTCTTCACATTGGGCATCGAGAGCTTGTTTTACGGGCAGCGAGCTACGGAAAACCGGTCATTCTCACGTTCTCAGGCATGGCGGAAGTGCTAGGCCGCAGGGCGCAGTTGCCGATTGTGGCACGAACCCACATGGAGCACATAATTCGAAACTGGTTCGCATTCCCCGGCCGAGACGCAGATCGTCCTTTGCTGAACAGTCCTCTGAAACCCATAGTACAGGACGCAGACGCGTTCGAGGTTGTGGTCGTGCCGTTCGCCGAGATTCGCCACCTCTCGCCCGAGGACTTTATTGTACAGTTCTTGTACAGGGAGCTGGGCGCTGGCGGCATTGTATGCGGCTGGGATTGGCGCTTTGGTTATCGGGCGGCTGGCGATGTCGCGCTGTTGAAGAGCCTTTCGGCAGCGCTTGGACGAGAGAGCCCCAGCGGCTGGGTCTTTGAAACAGTACCACCAGTGCTCTCTCACGGTGACAGGGTTTCGTCGTCTACAGTACGCCGCCTCCTCGCCGCGGGCCGTATTCACCAAACCACGCGCATGCTCGATCGATTCCACGCTTGTACAGCACGATGCACAGTGCTTCGCAACAGCACCGAGTTTCTGGAACTGTGTGTGGATTCGTGGGAAAACCAGCCACCAGCACCGTCTCGTCTTTACGAGTGTCGTGTTGAACTCCGCGTACGTTGTAACGAATCCACCATCGCAAAAGACGTGTCTTGGAAACGTCTCAATGCCTATGTGTGGATCGAGTCAAGCGAGCGATCCGAGAGCGCAAGCGTACACGGCATCGCGGGTGCACCACTGCCGCTGCCGCTGCCACTGCCACGCCTCATCCAACTCTGGACCTGTGATCGAATGGATGTACCGGTGAATGAATTCGGGGTATCGGTAACCAGCGACCGAGGTCGCGAACTCGGGGTGCTGGAACGAGCTCTCTGCAATGCATCCGCGGTGGATGTGACACTCGAATTTCGTTCCGTTGTCACTGCATCAACGCCGGTGCTCGTGAACCGTTCGCCTCTGACGCGTTACACGTAGCGTCCGATGGTCCATTGGCGGTTCGTGGCGACTCTAGGGTCCCGTTTGACCGGTGGCCTGCAAACCAGCCCATCTGAAGAACTGGACAAAATGGATTCCTCCGTAAAAATTGTTCAGGAATCGCAGTGAAACAATCAACGAGCGATTCAAGACAGCGTGATTCGCGAAAAGCATATGTGAGAGTCGTTCGAGGCCCTCTACCAGCTGGAATCGCGGATTACTGGATAGCGCCATGAAAGCGCCCCAGCCGATCGAGTTCGGGAGCACTGGCGGCATCGGCCGAACGGGCGTGTAGTGGGCATCCATGGCCTTGCGCAGGTGCAACAGGCCATAGGTGATGGCGGTGCCGACGACGCCACTCGCAAAACCGATCAAAAAGTACTGCGCAGATGTATGCAGAACGGTGAGCACTCGTGACGGCAGCGTGTACACTCGCAGTGGTGGCAAGGACTTTTCGAACGCGTTCGCTGGCAGTGACGTTGCCCAATTGAGATAGCGCTGCCATACGCTCCCGATTAGTCCTCGCTGAACGGCACCCGTTTCCAGCTGCGACATCTGCGGGAACGGCGTGTAGGGCGCAAGCAACACCACAAATGAGGCCTCCACAACGGTGCCGACGACCAGATCAGAGAGCACATATTCGAGCTCGTCGACGAGTTCTCTTCCTCGTACGAGAAACTCACCGACGAGTTGTGTTCCGTTCCCGATGTATTCCTGGGCCAGGAGCTTGAAAATGAACTCGGGATCTGCGAGCACGCGATCTCGAAAGAACCGCCATTGCAAGAGCCACGCCACCAAGCCGCGGTCCTGGGCAAGGTAACGGGCGAGCGTTCGTCGCTCTATCCAGCCATGTTGGATCGCTTGAACGACTTCCGGCGGCAAGCTCTGAAGCGAACGTTTGTACGCGCGAAGCACACCGGCGATCTCTGGATCCGGAGACCAGTAGTCGCCGTGTTCGTCCGGGCCTTCGTAACGGCCACCCGAGCCACCATTGCCTTTCCCGAACGACCCGTTACCGCCGTTGTTGCCGCTGTCGACGCCACTGGTCGGGCTGGGGCCGCTCAACCCGTGGTCTACGTTCTCCGACAGCGACGCCGTCTCGCTGCCAACAACAGTACCTGGCTGTGGCTGGGATCTGTGTCGATCACGATCCTCCAGCCCGAGGCAGCTTGAAACAGACCGCGTCCGCGCGAGTCCCGGAAGCAGGTGGCGATCGCTGTTACGTCGCGACGCTGAGGATCGGCTTCGCCACACGCGTATGTTTCCCAAAAGTTTCACCGGGGGATCACCATGAGAACGCACACGACGTCGGGAAACGAGCGCCGGCAGCGCTGCTTCTGTTCTGGAGTACGCTCGGCGTGGGACGCGGCCCCCGTGGAGCGCCCTCACCAGTTGACGCTCAGGACAGTAACGTCCGCGCCTAGATGCACCCGCAACTGCTCCAGCTGGCGTCAGAAATGCACAAAACATATGTTTAGTGCAAAAAGGGTTGCCTAACCACTCGGACACGCCAGTGAAGTCAGTGTACTGGCGACGAGATTCGAACTCGCGAGCGCATACCGCGCAGTGGATATCGCAGACCCGGATGAGCCGCTTAAGTCCACCTCCTTGCGTGGAGCAGAAAAATGGTCGCTTATTCAGATATAAAGACAGCGGCGCTATGACTAGCTTGCGACTGATTTTTCCTTTCAAGTCCGTTTTGGTGCATATCGTTTCGTTCAGGTGCGTACCGGGACCGGCCGCCTGCTATCGGTGTCGGTTCGTTGATCTGCGCTTATTTCGCGCATTAGAGGCCTGTCCCACGAAGGCTGGATCGTGTCAGCGACTTGGGTCTCGTCTCCAGCACACCGCATATCGTGTGATATGGATGGCGGCGTTAAAGTCTCGGTTCACGAGATCCTTGCGCGCATTGATTCTGGTGGAACGCGCCAATGCTAGCATTGGTCGAACTCGTGCCCACAGTGCCACTTCAGTCTCGTCATCGCTCCGTCAGAGGCAGACACCCTTTCTGGTCAACTTCTCCTTTTTCTTCGTCTTCTTCTTCATCACTTGCTCTGCGTCGCTCAACAGTCGGCGAGAAGAGGATTTTTTCGATTTTCTTCGGCGGTTGGTGGTGACGGCTCTCCAGGATCCTCGACCTGCGTACCAATATCATTCAGTTGGAATTTTCGTTTCTTCAAATGAATGCACTTGTTTATGCCCCTAGGCGAGGTCCTTCCCGTATCGAAAAGCACTTGCTGAAGGAAGACGAAATGTGCCCCATCATGTGACAATGTGGAGGACGCTTCAGCGATTCGCCGAATAGAGCGATCCTTACTTTTCACGATAGAAAGCACTCCTTCGATTGTGCTGAATCACCGAAATGTACGGAGGAATGGGAAGCAGCTCTGGCCCTATAGAATCGGGAAACGCTAGAACGCAAGTGGAATGGTGAAATACCACAATATCCAACAGAAAGACGTCTTCAGACCTCAGAGGAAAGTCTTCAACGAATTGACAAAGAGGTTGGTGATGTTGTACGCGCCTTCTCTACGTGCGCAACTGAGGCTGCCAAGTGAATCCACTGCACCCAGAACAGACGATGATGTCCGAATTCTCTCCGAGTCCGATCGTACATACAACGCGTTCCTTCTCCGCGAAGATTCATAGACCCTCTGATCGTCTCGTCCGAGGCAATTCTCATCCATCTTAGAAACAAACAGACGTCCCTGCGTTCCATACCTATCGCAACGTTGCAGGAACGCTTTAGGTGCAATATCGGTGCAAGATGGCCGTGCTTGAAACTGGACTTTTTGCGACTGTATCCCAGAGGTTTCAGGACCATACGAACAAGCAGTTGAGAAACAGAGGCACCTGTGGTGGCTTCTATCGTCGCTTTTTGCTTTCCATAAGTTTATGGACAGGTCGACTTCTACCATCGACCGCAAGCACGCTTCGAGTGCAAATACTTCACTCTTTCAGTGTTCCTGAACCATCTGGGTCCTGTAGTATGACTAACATGGGTGAGTAATGGAGTCCTCCTTGCACTGCTCACTAAACAATACGTATCCTACAGGCAATTCGTATACAATCTATACCGTAAAGTTCCATCTTCATTTCGATCTCTTGCTATTTACCGCAGCAGGGGAGTGAAACAAATTTGAGTTGAAACCCATAATCGGTGCCGCATTCGGGGCAGCCTTGACGGCGACGCGGCATCCTAGTAGAGTAGGATCTATCGACGGCAAGCGAGCGAGCAAGCGAACTACTCCGTGCTATGCATGCCGTGAGGTGTCCAAGTACCGCCAGCCGGCGGTCAACACCTGCGGTACAAATAACACTGCCGCTTGACGGATGCTTCTCTGGTTGCTGATGCCCGAAGCGCATTCGGGTGTCCCTGGTCCATGGAAACGAGCTGTCGAGGGGAAACATGGTCGGTGAGCGTGCATACTGGTAACACTGACGGGCAATGTGTCGCGCGTCATACGCTCATCTGCATCAACGTCAGGTCTCGAGGAGGAAAGGCCAGGTCCGCGCGTATGCACTGTTCAGGGATTTCCGTTCCATCATTCCGATAACGATGCGCGCATGTCCAGCAGTTTCGAAAGGATGCGCATCACGCCAAGAATGCCGCAGGCCAAAAATTTCGGTACGCATTGCTGCCGCCACTAGAGAGCCAGTTCACCGGGACGTATGTGCTAATGCACTTGTGCGGCAGGCACACGCGTTTCCGCACTTGACAGGATCTGACGCTGACGACTGCAGACGCTTCTCCTGCCCGCGGTATCACTTGAGCGCTACTTCGTCCTCGGCTCAGTTGCGAGGAGGCGAACGCATGCGCCTCTCCAGATGAGTAGCCTTTTCGTCGCTAGAAAAGAATCCCATGTACCACTGGAGTATTGTGGGGCGTGACGCTCTGAGATGTTATCCTTGGCAATTTACAAAGTACCCACTCGAGCAAGAAATGTACGTCAAAAAACATGCGAGGCGCAGTGAACGAGGCGTGCCATTTTTCATCGTACATTAGCTACATGCGACTCGTGTGGGCGCGATGTGCAGGAAACACCTTACGGACGCTTATCATGAAATTCTCGTGACTCTCACTAGTCTCGACGAACAATCCAAATCGTGATCCAATCGAAGCAGCAGCAGTTAGGTTTTCACTCCAAGTCGCGGGATCCGGTGATTGCTCTTCACAAGACGGCCACGCTAAGGTAGCGCACATTTTGGTTTATGGAGGATCCATGCATTGACCTAGGAGCTCTTGCATCCGCAATCGTTTTCAGCGTCCAAGGAAGCGATCCTGAATCCACTCCAGCCTCCACGACGTACTACGATCCCCTGCCAACGCTCTTCGTCGGGAATGATCGTGCAATGCTACCAGCAGCCAGCCGGGTGCCGAACCAAACCTAGGTGCCTCCTTCGATACCCGATATGCCGCTCACGCACGAACGCAGGCTTACAGAGCAGCGCTCAGGCGTCTTGGGGGTACCAACTCGACGCTGTTGCCGCGCATATGACGACGTACTGAATGCCCAACGCATCGAATGCGAAGAGGCTCCCATGCAGCCATGCATGCCGCACTGATCGGGCTATCGTCACGCGTTCAGCACCGACTCTTTTTATCGAATGGATCCAATCTCACATGTCATGGATACAAGTTGTGCTCGACATGATTTGCGGCCTCGCAGCAAAGTGCACGTTGGATGCGCACTAGCGCCGCCCTGGACCAATCGAAGCTCGCCAGGAACAGCGTTGAAGAGGGCATCTTGTACAAAATGCGGAGCCATGTGCCAGCCCATAGCGTCATCGGACCCTCCTCGCGAGCGATCTGGTAAATGGCCTGCCAGACGCCAGCATACTCGCCGTAGGGCCGGGCCATGAGGCGTGTACGTGCGATGTCCATCGGCATCGTGCAGATCGCCGCAACGGTGCCGGCTACGCTTCCGGTCCAGACAGGTTTGCGTCCATTACCCAAAGCATCCGCGGTCGCTATATGATGCCCATCACCGGTCTTGGAGTCCGCGTGCATGCGTCGCTGCACGAAAAACTCATTGAGCGACTCGTAGACAACAAAGAGAGACACTGCGAACGGTACGTCTCGGGCAACTTGAGCCCAAAACCCGCGATAGAGACCTCCGCGATGCAGAGGCTGTCTCGCCAACGCTCGCAATGCCGATATCGCGTTTTGATGCTGTCCAGTTTGGACTTGCTGTTTGATGACCTCTGGCGGAACGCGAACCAATGAGGCGACTGTATCCGCCAACGCAGCGGCAATCGCAATACGAACGATCGTCCTCGGTGTTGATCGCCGCACAACATCGGGAGTCGGCTCTGCAACGTGCATCATGGATTTCAGCGCTTCGTAGGTGGCCATGTAGACGGCCTGGGCGGGTGCGTTTCCGATGACCGCCACCGGGAGGCCGCGCCAGAAACCCAGTACCCCATGTCGATTGACTATGCTGCGTGCAACGAATACGAGACGACGGTGCCATGGTAACCCCCGAAGCTGTGCCATCGTGGCGCTCTGCATGTTTGTTTTGATGGTGTCCAGCGGAATGAGTACCGTTCGTGTCACGAAAGCCGCCATGACCCCCGCGGCAAAGTTCACCCACGCTGGAGCGCTCTCCGCAACTCGTGCACGCTGCACGTCGTGCACATCGTGAGCATTACGGTGCCTTACACTGCACAAGTCTACGGCTGTTCTCATCGAGCTTCGATACCTTTTCTCAATGGAGACTTGGTGTTCTCGCACCAACAGACCAGGGTGCGCGGCTGCGCGCTCGTAGCCTCGGCAAGCACGCGTCGATAACGCGGGGCTCGATGCGAACGGCAACCACTCCATTTTCCAAATGCCCAACGTATAAACACCCTTTTCCCTAAATGTTATGAGAATGGACGTCTAGTGCATTATCTTTGCACACTTCATCCCTGCCGCTCTCTCACGGCACGCTGCCTACGCAACGACGATGAACGTATTCATCGATGCCACGCGCTGCGCCCGGCGCTGCGCATCCAGGAGCGCCGGCGGCGGCCAGCCGACGCGGCGCGAGACCCGCCGCAGCGTCGCGCGGCATCGCAGCGGGAGAAACTGCTTTGGCAGCAGCAGCAGCAGCAGCAGCAACAGCAGCAACAGCAGTAGCGGTGGTAAACGTTGCACGGCGCGATGCGCCCCTGGTTACCCACATCGCTGCGTATGTCATGCTTCATTTCGTGTCTCATAGCGGATGCTACGGCCGTGTTCGATTCGAATGCGACGATGAACGATTCGCGCTGATCCTGTCGTTCGCTCATTTTCCGAACTATTTTAGATGTTCAGCCTCGACATGCAAGGTGCAGCAGTCAGAGCGTACGGCTAGGCGCCTTGTATAAGGATACTCGGTCGTCGTTCGGGGTAGCTCCTTTGGATCAATGCCGGTTGGATTCGGTACGTCACTGGTATCCATGTGATTCGCAAAGACATTGAACGAGGGTTCGCCAAACTAGCCGATATGATTATCCGATAAATATGCCCAAGCCTCCATGATTCTCCTTTTGTCATATGCAGCGTGCTGAATCCACGCATGCTTCAAGTCTTCGACCGTTGTGTTTCGAAGAAATTCGCAGGGCGCAGCAGCTGGCGCCGCTGGATTGACGACGTAAAATACAACTGCAGGTCGTCTGCTAGCGACTTTTCCATAAGCTCACACCCGAAAGTTCACGGAACCGTTCCCGTCAAATCATCGATACTGATCCACGGACGAGGCCTCCTCTGTTTGTGGCCGTAAATAACATGTCAGTCTACAACAAGCTGATACCTCGAACGAAATATGCTCCCAGAGGCTCCCGTCTCTCCTGTTACGATGGCAATGGATTTTGAGCTCGGACTTGCGTCATTGGAGCAATCGCGTTGAGCGGAAAGTGCGTCACCGCTTTGCACAAAAGGAGCCTATACGCATCGAAATTGCCGGACTTGTTCTCGAGACAGGATTTTCCTTCCAGTACTTGCTTCATCATGGACAACATGGCTTCTTCGGATCCTCTGTAGAATGGAACACGTTGGGCATAATTCTACAGCAGACAGCGTGCTCGCCGAGGGCATCACCCAGAAGAATCATGTTATGGTCGGATATTGTAAAGTGCGTGGAAACGGAGGAGAGCATTTCGGAGAGCCTCCTGTGTCAGTCAGGGGCATCTGCCGAGCGATAAAGCAAGCGTTCACGCGCCACCCGTCGACGCTGGAATTAGAAGATGTGATGGACATATGGAAACGCTTGACCACAGTCACCTGTGACCACTGCAAAGCGTGTACCGAGGCGGAATATTAAGAAGATAGACATGTCGAGCGAGGCTTCGGTCGCAACTTCCGCCTTTGCACGAAATTCATCGACAACGTCCGAAAGTAGTGAAATCAGAGCGTTCACACCGCCGCCAGCTCCCTGCAAATGCTGACGACGGATCTAAAGAAACAGTAGAAACAGGCGCATTCGTAGCCAGAGATCACAAGGACCTAAAGGAAGCAGTCGAAGAAAAAGCTTACAACGGCTGATGTTGATAACAATGTTAAGAGAACCAGTGTTTCATGTGTATGCCCAAGTCAGGTAAGTTGAGCCTTTCCATTTGCTATCGACATTTCGCGTTGCCACTGGATGCATACGCATACGCGGCGCTGTGCAGGTGCCCAACACCGCAGGAGAACTCGAAACGCCGCCCGCATCCAATCGATTTGGGGAAAGCGCCGGCCAATATAAAAGACTGCATAATTCAAGAAAAAGCATCCAATCGATTCGGGGAGCAACGACGGCCAATGTAAAAGACTGCATAATTCAAGAAAAAGCATCCAATCGATTCGGGGAGCAACGCCGGGCAATATAAAAGACTGCATAATTCAAGAAAAAGCATCCAATCGATTCGGGGAGCAACGACGGCCAATGTAAAAGACTGCATAATTCAAGAAAAAGCATCCAATCGATTCGGGGAGCAACGCCGGCCAATATAAAAGACTGCATAATAAAAGACTGCATAATAAAAGACTGCATAATTCAAGAAAAAGCATCCAATCGATTCGGGGTGCAACGCCGGGCAATGTAAAAGACTGCATAATTCAAGAAAAAGCATCCAATCGATTCGGGGTGCAACGCCGGGCAATGTAAAAGACTGCATAATTCAAGAAAAAGCATCCAATCGATTCGGGGTGCAACGACGGCCAATGTAAAAGACTGCATAATAAAAGACTGCATAATTCAAGAAAAAGCATCCAATCGATTCGGGGTGCAACGCCGGGCAATGTAAAAGACTGCATAATTCAAGAAAAAGCATCCAATCGATTCGGGGTGCAACGCGCACGGGCACCTCATACACAGATCCGCCGCCAGCGATTGATGCCGAGGCGCGTCTTCCGATCCTAGTCAACAGGCTTCCAGGGCTACGCGCTCTGCTACGAGTGCTTTCTCCCTGGGCGGAGCAGAGGTCTTTGTGTGAGCCATTCACGGGAGTAATGGCCCCTGTCCCCCGACCTGGACCGCTGTCGCCGAGTTCTCGGGGGAAGACGAACGCTGCGGGTGAGGAGTGCTCACTGAGTGGCAGCTGCGGACCCGAAGCCTGCACACGTCGGCGAGACGATCGCGTTGCAAAACCGGGACTCTCCGTTTCTTGTCGCTGGTCTGTTTCCACTAGTCCTGGATCAGCGAGCAAAGTCATAGAGGTGGTCGGAGACCGCGCTCAGGCCACCGTGTTGACGAAAGAGTCTCGAAGCGTACTCGGAGGCAGCCCGAGTAGTGGACGGCTCTTGCCGTGCCTCGGCTCCGGCAACGGGGTGCCAGGCCAGAGCACGGCGCTGCCGAAAGGCGCTCCTGCTCGTGGCGCTGGGCGCGAACACCTGGAGCAATCTTTCCTTGACTTTGGGCAGCGGAACGGTGCGGGACCGGTGACTTGCCCCGAGTGCGGATGTACATATGTGGTAGGTGTTGCCGCAGACGAACGCGCGCATACCAGCGAACATCAACTGTTCCTTTATGGGGTTCCAGTGACGCACCCTCGCTTCCTCGACGCTGCGGTCGATTTGGGCAAAGCCCCTGAGCAGCAGTGGCCCGCGTTTGAGCGCATCCCGGGATGGATTGTGCACGTCAGTACGAGCAGAGGCAGAGCAAGCGCTGCGCAACACCAAAACAGATCAGGAAATATCCTGCACGTCCAACAGCCATGGTTTAAGACGCTCTGGAGATTGGCCTGTAAGGATTGGAGTGCTCATGCGGAAGCATCGGAGCCTACGATACCTTTTGGTACGGAGCTTTCAGAAGCGGTTCCACCAATCTGGATCTTTGTCTATATTGGCAGACAGCGCCGCAATGCCATCGGACTTGTCGTCGCGCGTGCCCTGACGCTACGGGAGCCATTAGACCATGTGCGGCAGGAGGCACCCTGGTGTGGACTCGAGCGTGTCTGGGTCCACACTGCATATCGTCGATGCGGGGTGGCAACCGCTCTCGCGGACACAGCACGAGCACATGTCTGGGCTGCAACAGTGGTTCCGCGCCATCGCTGCGCGTTCACGGAACTGACTACCGCCGGTGATGCATTTGCAGCTGGGTACGTCGGTGGTCGGGATCGAATTCGGTTGTACAAACCTACAAAGCACATATAGTTTCCAAGGGCGATATGTGTTGCTACCTTTATCGAGGACGGCTTCTTCTCCGTTTGATGATTTTGTAGAGCGTGCGCGGGGGTCAATGGATGGTGCTATTTTCAGATGCTGCGCTCCTGCAGTTCAGGTCGAGTTTCAGTATCGAGGGACAAGGGGTGCAGTGGAGGCGTCCCGGCATCAAGCGAGCCCTGGTTAGCGCGTGGGAGTCAATGTCCCAGGACGGCGTTCCGTGACGTGTCGCGCGGGTATCCACGGTGATCCTCAGAGATACTCGGCGAAAAAGGTAAAGTGGCGAAATAAAGCCTCGTTCCTATCGCCGTCATAGAGAGTGATTCAGAGCATGCTCTGGGTGTTTTCTGTGTGCAATGGACCCAGGGTAACCTTCATGAATGGGGAAAAGCGGCGCGCGGACCTGGGCCGCACATGCCGATGCAACGCTCGTCTTCGACGCCTCTTGAGTCGCTGCGTAAGGCACTCTAGTGATCTGACTGAGTGCATGACAGATGCATAAAAAATCTTCAAACAATTCAGTGAAAGATATGATGCGGCGTGAAACGCGAGCCTCACAGGTATCGAGCCGTACTTAGCTGCCGTTCATGATCCCAGCATCACGAGCAACATCCAGAGACACGCGGGAATCCCCCATTGGGCCTTGCACGCTTCCGAAGTAGGACGATGCAGGGTATCCCATTGTACAGCCATCAAATCTTACAGCACTAGACGAGCGGGGTAATCACGCTCCGAGTACTCATCCTTGTCCGCCTTCACGAGAACAATGCCGCTCGATAGCAGTTCAACTAGTCACTGCATCCTGGCCCTGATCCGCATCATCGGATATATCGAGGCCATCAAGCAACTCATCGAGACTCACACTGGGATAGTCGTCAGACTGGTCTGCATCCGTGTCTGCTTCAAGCACCGCATACGCATTCATTCCACGCTGTCCGTCGAAACGATTCGCATTCTGAACATTTCGTCGACTCTGACCTTGTGCTCGTTCAGATGCAGTCCACTTCCGATCCCCAGGATAGCGAATCCCAAGTCGTCCGAGACCATCCTCCACAAACTTGGTGGGATCTTTGTACAGATTCACCGTCGCTCGAAGCTCCGGATCCTGTTCCAGCTCCTGCATAAACTCCTCACGATCGCGCTCCAGAGCGACATCGCGCTGGTCCCGTTGTCGCCCAGTGACGCGAGCGCCTTCTCGCAAGGCATGCCGATGCTCACCAACATCGCCATCATCTTTGGGAAGCTCGCGCAAAGTCCATATCCGCTGCTTGGTGCGATCCCTCTGGGGATAACCTCGCTTCACGAGAACGATTTCCGGCAGTGTCGCTTTCAACGAATCGCTTTGCAGGGATTCGAACAAGTCGCTCTCATTCAAATTGGCCGAAACTAGATCGTAACCGAGCACAAGGTCACCCGCCTTGAGAATGTTTCCAAGGTGTGTGCGAACCAAAAACTGTTGATCATTCACACCCAGGTCTGCAGCACGAGCAACCGTTGCGTCTGCAAGGCGAAATCGCTGGTCCAGGTGCCCGCAGCTAGTCGCCGCTGGATCCCGCTCCACAGGTTCCACATCGAGCACCACAAACGCTGTGAGGCGACGCGCATTCATCAATGCTGTTAAGCCGAGGCGCCAGTAGGTGGCCCCGTCGATATGGTGCTCAAACCCAGTGAGCGGATCAAGCAGACGAATCTGGTTCGTGATCCGATGCACGAGCAGGAGGCTGGAGAGTCCACCCAGTTGCGTCGCAACTCGTGGTGGCAGATACACCAGATCCTCGCGGCAAATTGGTGGTATTTCCGCTGAAAACGTATACTTGTATCGATACACGTTGTTGCTGGGGTCATGCGACACCAGATGATTGCTCTGACGTTGACGAACACAGGCAACGTTATGCAGAAAGCTCAGGAATTTGAGCGCGTGTGAACGATGAACAAAGTAAAAGTCGAGTCCATCCTTCTGCTGTCGAATGCCTAAAACATCCTCGTGAGCGTTGTGCTTCAGAATCAACTGCTCAAGATAGAAGAGCGTTCGCTTGTGGTCTACGCGCTGTCGGAGCTGGACGACGGCTTCCCAAGCCTCGATTTTCGCAGCTTCCCGTTTACAGTCCGCGCACTGCTGGAGTTCCACTACGAACTCAACGATAAACGATTGTTCGAGAATGGTGCGGTTCAGGACTTCGTCCTGTACGGTTAAGCGAAGTCGGATGCGCCGCGAGTGCGGCTCCGTCCATACAAAAGCCGCATCGACAAGGTGCAGCTTCACAAGCCGCTTCAGTCGCTTTAGACAGATCGTCATCAACTCCTTTGATTCAAGATCCGCACGGACCCAAGTTTTCGGTGGAACAAGGTAGCGACCACAGAACTTGCAGTACACCAGCGCACACTGCTTCGGGAAGCCCTGCGTAAGGTCTACCTGACTCCGCAAACAGTGTACGCACATGTTGCTCGGGTTGGCGGTAATTGGCGCCCCGCAGAGACAACATAGAATCGTGACTGTCGATTGGTCCTGAACTGAAGTCGTACCCATGGTACGCGACAAGTTCCAACGACCACGAAAGTCGTCGAACAAAGTCAGAGCAAGCGCCTGGAACGACTTGGCTGCTCCACGTCGCCACAGGCGCCTGCAGGGCAACGCGTTGCGCTGCTGTTAACGCGCTCCTGTTCGGCCAGCCGGTGTCTTCTCCAGCGAACGCGTCCGAAAGAGGTTTCACAGGGGGGAGCGATTGGTTCTCGTGACCTCTAGTCTCCTATTGAGCAAACAACATAACAGCGCTGGCCGGAAGCTGTTTGGGTCACAAGGGATCTGGCCTCTTGATAAGACAAGCTACGCGCGGGAACCTTTTGGGAAGCGTTTGGTTATCAAGGGAACGGACCTCTACGTAAATAAGCTGCGCACGGGAACCTTTTGAGAAGTGTTTATTCTGCAAGGGAACTGGGTACGAGCTCAGCAGTGGGTACGTGGCGGCCTGCTGCATTCTAAAAGCGTCTGAAGGTGGCATGTCGGCGGTACACGACAAACAGCTGCCGGATGTCGGAGCGCCAGACAGGGAGCGTTGCTCGGAACCGGCCACTTTGAGCGTTTCGCAGCCGGAGGTAGTCTCCGAGAAGCAGTCTGCCGGTGAAAAGCGTGAACACGTTGTAGACGTGGCTATGAGCGCTGTGAACGAGGCGCGGAAGCTGGCTAGAATTGAGTTTCGGCGCTCTTTGCAGAGAACACTGGAAGAGCTCGCTGAGGAGGTGCCTATCTTTGGGCGCCTGCTGGCCTTTGAGCGAGCGCTAGACATGCGCGTCGCCAGGGCTCTTCAGCGGCGTGACGAGCGAGCAGCGGCAGCGCTGCTTCTTGAAGCCGCTGACCGAGGCGACCAGCTGGAGCAGGCAAGGCTGCCGGGGAACGCTCCGGCTGCTTCGAACAGTGGCTTGGCGTTCCCGTCTGTAGCGCAGTATCCTCGGAGAAGGTGTACCTTTCGTCTTTTTGTCTACAATACTTTTGAGGGCCAGGAGCCAGCGACGGGCGATGGAGCAGAAGAACGCACCCCCAGCTGGGTGCTTCGTATCCACGGCCACGTTCTCAACGGACCGCAGGTCGCAGAGCTCGCGTTCACTTCAGTCTTTGAGCGAGTTGTGATTGCAGTAGACCCAGATAACCATTTTCAGCAGGCTGAAACGATCGAATGGAGGCAGTCGCTGGTACCTGGCTCGCAGGTCCTCGCTGGCTCTAGATTAGAGAGCGCTTTCCCCAACGCGGATGCGCCGAGCGCTGGACCTGAGGCGGCACAAGCTGCCTGCAACCAAGGCCAACCGCGTCCTGGGCAGCGCACTGAAGCTCAACACCCAGCGGCAGCAGCAGCAGCAGCAGCAGCAACCGCAGCGGACGACTCCATAGCAGATGGGATCGAACTGCGCCGCTGCGGACAGCAGCCGGTTCCAGTAACGATTCTGCTGTACCTGCGACGTTATCCACCAGTCTATCAGTTGTCGCCGGAGCTTGTGGCGCTTTTAGGGGTTGAGCAAGACACGCTCGCCGGAGTACTAACGACGTTCTGGCATTATATCCGGCGCCAGGGTTTGATGCACCCGGAGCGGCCGGGGTTTGTTTTGCTGAATGAAGAACTGAGGCGCATTTTCGGATGGAGCAAACACGAGCCCACCTCTGCGCATGAGTCACACCAGGAGAACGAGCGCTCCCCGAATCTACCTAGACCCGAACGAACTGAGGAGCCTATCGACGACGCGTTCGAGGGCTCGGTGCCGATGATGCCGCTTCACGTCATTGGAGAGCGTTTGCGCGAGCATTTGGGGCCTGCGCCTCCCCTTGAGCTGCACTACACGATTCAGTTTGATTCACCAGTCGAGCATGATTGCTACGATATCGAAATCGAATGGCCAGATGCCTTGCCGATGGACGTCTGCACCGAGCGAACTGGAGCGGAGATCGCATCTTCCGGGCATGTTTCGGAAAAGAATGCAACAGCGAAACCTCTTTCAGCACCGGGTTCTGCGGGTCTCGTCGGCAGCGAGCGACCATCCGAAGATACCGACAAATCGGGGGACCAACGCGCTCCGCTGCACTTTGGAAGATGTTCGCTATATGCAGGAAGCATTGAAATCCAGAAACTGCAGCAGCAATTCGAAGAGACGCTCGAACGCATCCATGCTGCGTATTTACGACGTGATTTTTATAGGAGTTTCGCCAAGGCCCCCGCAGCGTTCCTGCGTGACCTCATTGTCAGCCAGGCACGGGACGCTCGCCTCGTTCGAGGCCAGTCGGGCCGAACCATCGAAGAAGAGCGTCGTTCAGGGCTGTACTACCAGCAGTGGCTCCACGAGGCGATTCCACGGTACCTGTGGCGAACGTTGCGCTCGCGGGAGCACCAGCATCGCCAAGTCCAATACGCGGCAAGCGAGGCGACCAAAGCAGCATCTCCATCGGCATCTCCAACAACCTAAACCTTTAAAGGTAAGAAGCGAGCCAACGAAAGCCCTCTGCATACCCCATGCGACGAACAACACTACACATGAAGATCTCCAGAGGCCGCACGTCCTTGGCGCCTCGGGCGTTCATTCCGCGCGGGGCGCCCGCTTTGCCGGTCGTCAGGTGGTGCAGACCCAACGCCGTCCGCAGCTCTTCTTCACTTGCTGCATACGGTATATCGATTTTGTTCCCGAGAATCAGAAACGGCACATCGCTGAGCTGTTCGTCGGCGAGGAGGCGATCGAGTTCAGCCTTGCTCTCGGGGAAACGCTCTCGGTCGTTCGCGTCGACTATGTAAACGATCGCATCAACGTTTGTATAGTAGTTTCGCCAGATCTGGCGTGCTACTTCATGACCACCAAGGTCAAATGCGCGAAACCGCACGTTTCCCAATATGACCTCCTCTGAAGTGGCGTGTTGTGTCGGAACGTGTTGCGCTAGCCGGTCGTCTTTCAAGACGTGCATCAGCGTCGTCTTCCCGGCGTTGTCTAAGCCAAGGAAAAGTATCTTAGCATTCTTGTAGTAGAGCCCGAGGTAACTCAGCAAGTTCCACAGCCAATCGAACATGTTTACACGCACCACCAGCGACGAGGTCTTTCGAACCTCCGCGTCTCCAAGCGGGTCACACGAATTCGTACACGCGCTGGCACTGTGAAGGCAGACAGACTGCAGTCTGCAGTGCGCGATGCGCTGACGCGCGACGCAGGACGAGCGTGCCGGCGCGCAGTATGGAGCGGTACCTGAAACTGCCTCTTTATGGACATTGCGAACGTCATTCGAGACAGCGCTCTGTGTTTCGATGCTTTCTGTTGTCCATGTCGATCGTTGACCATGAGAGCATGTGGTTTGTTCGGTATCCCATTAAGCTCTACATAGGTGCATGCATGCGAACACGGAGGCGTGGCAAGCAATCTTTTCGCGAAGCATCTCATGAGGTGCACACACTGAAACACACGGAGCAGTGATCGAGCATATTCGATCAACGGATCGATGATGCACACAAACACCCACACACACACACACTCACTCACGCAAACACACACTGATCCAGGATCCATGATTGCGCGTCGGTTATCCGTGCGTCTGTGAGCGAGGCTTTTTCATGAAGCGCTACGCATCGAGTTTCTCACAGCCACACTCATACAATCCGCCGAAGATAATGTTTCGTTTCGATGATTCTCCAGGTGCAGCGTCTGTCGTGCGTACAGCGGTGCTCAAGTGCGTGCGCTGAAGTACGCGGCTGCGCAGCGCAACGAACGCTGCGTTCGGGGGTGGCGCGTTGCGTCGCATCCCTGGTGCGCTGCGGCAGCATCATTGCTGGCGGCACGGGCATTCAGTTGTGGCGCTCTCAGATGATCTGAATGGAAATACAGTTTCTTTTGATGCTGAGCGGCCTCGGGCGTTTCTATGGTACGGATGCTATATAGATTGCGCTGTGCCCTAGACTGAGGGCTTCATCCAGAGATTTCGGCGTCTCGCTAGACGATCGGGGTGCGCGTGCGGTGCGAAGCTGCAGCTTCTGTGCGTTTTACGCTTTGGCATTGCTCGTCTCAGGTGCGAAGGTGATGTTGCAGCGTCGGCATATCGGGAGGCTCGGAAATCCTCGCATAGGGCTATGTCTCTCCCAATTCGCTGGGAACAGCGCCTGCATGCTCAACGGAAAGTCCGTGCGCTGCGCTCAGCACGGAACAGAGCGTCGCCGTACTTCCTGACACGCGAGAATTTTGTGGCCTGGACTCGAAATCCGGGTCGCGTGCAACGGCTCATGACCAGCAGGTGCTCGACGCTGTATCCAGTATGCACAGTACCTGCACTAGGAGGTCATGGATAAATATGGTACGCTTGTTTTGCCAACTATTTAGAGAAGAACATGCGATACAACACTGATGGGTTCGAGCGACGGCCGCACGCGGCGAACCCTAGCTCGGGTCCAGTGACGCCCCAGAGTCGTTCTCGAAAAGGCCAGCATGGAAGAATGCTATGCTGTGCGCCCGAAGGAAGCAGCGCGTTTGCCAGATGAGTCTGCGTATGCTGCGCAACGAGGCTTCGCGGCGGAGACCACGTCGCGGTATCTGTCCGCTCCATAAATAAGAGGTTTCCGCAATAAATCAGAGTGTAGAGTTCAAGTCGAGCGGAGGATAGACTTCAGCGAACGTCGCGTCATGATGCGGAGCGCAAACCGATACTCCCGCATGCATATGCCGCATGGGTATCAGCTCGCTACCAGAGCAGCCATATAGCGATGCTTTTGAGGGCGGCGCCTAACCGTCCATCCCCGCTAGGTAAAACGCGGCAGCGGCATATCGAACGCCACAGCAAGCGCCTACGCTAGGTTCGGCGCCTAGGTTCTCGCTTGATCAAACCGCTATGACTAACCGAAACGCTGATAAGGAGCGTGTCCAGCGCGACATCATCAGCGGCGGACCGATAGTCGCTTGCCGGGCAGTCGTCGATGCCATCCATCGATGCGGTACGAAACATAGAAGCGAGCAGACATCTTTCATGACGAACCACCTCGACCCATATAGTCCATATTAGTCTGATTTGGTACTAATTTACACAGTGACGTGCGGAGATCCGCGGACGACAGCACCGCGGCGCGTGACACAGCCGGCCGCCGTGCCGCGTCGTCGTCTCCGCCTGCGCTACTTTTTGCAGAGCCTCATCGCCGTCGACGGTGGTTGCAGTTTCGCTTAGCATAGAGCGTTTTCGGGGCGCGTTGTTCAGCTACACAGACATACGCTGCTACTTGGGCACTGCTGCACCAGCTGGAGGATCTGGCTGCATAGTGGGCAGCGTTTTGAAGAGGACTGGATCCCAACAGGAACTCGCGCGTAAGCTTTGCGTCGTTCTACGCTAAACCATGACGTTGCTGGAGAGCGACTTGTTGCACCCACCGAAGGAGTCGGAGGCGCGGAAGCACAAACTCAAGCGACTCGTGCAGTCGCCGAACTCCTATTTTATGGACGTGAAGTGTCAGGGGTGTCTTGCGATCACAACCATCTTTTCACACGCCCAAACTGTGGTTGTGTGCGGGAGCTGCGCGACCGTGCTGTGTCAACCGACCGGCGGAAAAGTACGACTCTCCCAGGGTTGCTCGTTCCGCAGAAAAGTAGATTAGAGGTTTGTTGAACCAATTGCTCCAATGGGCACGTTGATGTAAAGGTTGAAGCAGCTTCTCTCTTTTATGACGAGCTAATCAATCACGTGCAGAGGAATGGATCGGCTTTCTTGGCCTTCCCAGGGCTTCCACTGCGCCATACACTCTATGAGGTCCAGCTCGTCATACGCCGTGGCGAGCAGTTCCTCCACCAGGCCCGCGCCGATCTTGTCTTCCAGCGCTTTCCGATCGTCCAAGTGTGCTTCAGTGACCTCCAAGCGGTACCGAGTCAAAAGCTCGATGTTTCTGCGGTAGGCAGACTCGGGGGCCAACGTTTGGACGCGCTCCAAGATCGTGCGGTACGCAGCACGGAGTTTCGCTGTCGCGTCAGGGTCCGGCCGAAGTCCTGCGGGGTAACCCACTGGGTGCGGCTGACTCCAGTCTATTTCGCCGCTGCTCAAGTACACCCTTGCTCTGTCCCGGGTTTGCCCGTTCCCCGTATCGTTGCACAGCGTTCGGCGAAAGAGGAGAGCGCTAGCGACGGCTCCCGTCTCGCTCGCCAGCACCGGGATGCGGGCAGAAGCCAGCTCTGACCAGTAAAGCGGGGCAAATGATCTCTTGAGCGTTTTCCACGGCGGAAACGCCCGAAAAATCCGCATCCGAAAGCTCCTGGCCAACGAACACGGGTACCGTAACAGCGAGAACCGCGCAGGCGTTGCGTGCCGAAAGGGCCAGATCAAAACGAGAGCGCTGAAAACTGCGCACTCCATATCTTTCGATCGATTTTCCGGAGCTTTCATGAGATATACAGCCTCGACATTCCAAGTGCGACAATGAGTGATTACGGATTCATGCACAATTTTAGGATGCATGGTCTTTTTTTTCTGAGGTGACTCGTTCGATGCTTTGCCGTCCGAGTTTTTACCATCACCGGAATCGAGGTGATTCGCAGCGCCAGCGATCGGTGATTCGTTAAATAACCGATACCATCACCGGGCTCATACGTACACGCCCTCATGCTCCTCGTTTCCTTGCGTGCAGTGTGCTCAAATCAAGCATTTTTCTAGATTTCGATCTTTCAGTTTTAAGGCAGCTCGTGGGTTCAGCAACTGATGTCGCCTCATGAACGTTGAACAAACCTGACGTCATCCCTTGACGAGTTCCGCACGGACTCATGCCGAAACTTCGCTGAACTTTTCATGTGAAATAATCGATTCCGTTCGAGCGACAAGTCCTCCTCTCTTGTGGAAATCTATGAAACGGCATTCAGCGCAAGCATGGAACCCTTCACGGGATATGCTCCCAGGGGTGACCGTCTCTTCTATTTGCGAGGCAATGGTTTCGAACTCTGACTTTAATCATCACGGAGATCGCTCGCAAAGGAGAACGCGTCATCGGTTCGCTGGAAAGAAGCGCTCACGGATCGGAATATCTCGACTTGATCTTCAGCATGGATTTTGCTTCCGGTACTTGCTCCATCATCGACAATATCGCGTTCCACAAATCGTCTATCGAATAGAACAGTGTGCGCTTGCGTGTGCAGTGGACAGCGCACTCTCTGAGAAGATCATTCCGAAAAGCCCGCGATCACAGGATGCAGAATCGGGCGCGGAAACGAAGGAGAGCATACAGGAAAGCCTCCCGTACCCGTCAATAGCATGTACTGAGCGATGAACGACGCGTTCTCGAAGAATAGCGCAGCGCTCCAACGAGGAACTGTGGTGGACATGTACGAACACCTGACCACTACAAAGTATCACCGCGGCGAGGGACGCATTTGGGCTGTATCCAGAGAAGACCAACCTGGCGAGCGAAGTTTACACCACAATGCCTGCCTGTGCATAAAATGCGGTGACAACAGCCGAATGCAGCGAAATCTGGACTTGAACGCAGCCATTAACGTCGTTTGACCGCTGACAATGAAGCTGCAGTGACAGGAATGACCGGTGCCCTTAAAGTCGTAGATAAGAGAGAGGAGAGGGAAGCAGTCGGAGAATAATCCCGAAAAAGGCTCGTGTTGATATTCGTGGAAAGAGAACCCAACTTTATCATGCCCGCCCGAGTTGCGTTCGTATACCCATCCCATTTTACTCGTAGATGGGTACAGAAGCATCCGATTTGGAGAACAAGACCTTGTGTGCCGCAACATATTCATTCCACGTCAGTGGACACACACACAGAGGCATTTCTGCGCATTTTTCGATTCGAAGATGCGCGTCCTCGCAAACATTTGCAACAGTCTATTGTAAAGCGTACATAGCCTCAGCTCGCTGGCTAGCTCCACAGTAAAAGTGTCGGCGCATGGACGCTACTCTGAATGAAGCCACGTATACAGTTGGCTGGTTCGAGTTCCGCAGCAGCAGCAGCAGCAGCTGCTGCTGCTGCTGCAGGATGCCGCATGGCACGGCTATAATCTGGGCTTGTATCGATGCCAGATGCGAACGATTCTGGACACGCCTGGAGGCGACTCGCACGCGTACCTGCAACTCGCACGCCTAAACTGGCACCGGATATCGTTCGTCCGCTTTGCCTTTGCAACGTAACGTATCGTCGAGCGTCGTCTTGAAACACATGGATGCTTCATTCAAAACCGGACCAGTCCGTCATAGAGGTGACTCAACGGAACGCCCGCAATTCCCGCCAAGAAGCAAGCCTCTGCTGTCTTGAGAGGCGCGTTTGAAGTACGAAGTAGGCAACTATCAGCCGACCGCAGATATGCGGCACGTGCATGCCACGCAAGTCGCAGAGCACAGACGACAGCGTTCAGCTCCATCGAATGGCGTCAAGTCGACTGCCACGGAACCTAGGAGCCATCGAAAGCGTCAGATGATCTGGTGTGATTCCGGTTCCGGGAGCGTCGCCATATCACCAACCACCGACTGCGACATGTATGTATGGACGCTGCGGTGATACGCGCGCTCGCCAGAGAGCATCCCGCGTTACAGGGACACGGTGTGTACGGTGTTCGTGGGGCCGCGGTCGTCGAGGCCGCCTTTCGCCAACCCTCATTCGTAACAGAGACTGATCTGCTCGAAAAACAGCGGGGAGCCTAGTGGAGATTCGCAGGGTATTTTTTTCGTTGAAACTGTCATGTGCGGTAAGAGGTACCGAGCAGCCCTGTTTAACCGAAATTCTACGATGCAAGCTTCACGATCTTCATGGTGCTCGGGGTGCTGCTCTGGCGGTCGTTCCAGAACGACCAATACAAGCGGTACCTCGTTACGACCGGCTACCGCGATGGCTGCCTCCGTAAAGCGTGGCTGCACACAGAGAAGGCCCAAAACACCTGCGAGACCCGTCTTGTTCACCGAGTGTCCTTCAAGCTCGCGTTTCCAGTTGCGCACGGCACCCTCGAACTCACGCACCACGGACGGTCCTACTGCGCGTTTCAACTGTTTACACTGCACGGCGAGCGCAAGCCGCCGCAGTGCGACGTTCGCCGTTCCCGACTGCTGAAGTTGCACGCACCACGTCCCAAGAGCGTCGATGCCGCCGTCATAGGACCCACCAGTAAGCGACAAGCTCAACGTCGGTCCCAGAAGGTTCTTCAGACGCCTTACTACAAGCAGCTCAAACGCGCGCCCAGTCATGATTTGTATGCTGAGCTGCGCGTACAGGTGCCACCCCGCACGCACAACTGGGCGTTCAGCGACTAACGACGCGTTGCGTTCGTGATACGGAGGCCTACAGACGACACGATGAGCACGTGATCAGTTCCGGAGCAGCGCGCACCGCTCGTTTGTGCGCTTGTACGCTCCACAGGTCCAGCATCACGCGTCTCGTCCACAGTGAGATTCAATCACGTCGGACGCCATGGGCAGAAGCTGGATACAGAAGTCGCTGTTGCTGCTGCTTCTGGGACAGCACCGCGTTCGGCCCTGTTGCTGCCTGCTTCTTACACCAGAGTCGCTGTAGGTACGTCCTTAAAGTCCAGCAAAATCCCTTTTATACACTTTCTTCTAAAATGACGCATGTGGCAAACGCTGCGCATTTTTTTTGAAAGCCTGCCTCCTCCACGCGCTGCGCTATCATCTGCACCGCAAGCCGCCATGGAACCCCCGGCGGAAGCAGACCCCCGGAAACTGTCCGAGAAACAGCAAGAGTTCGAGTCTCTTCAGCAAGTTCGCAACTACTCGGCCCAACTGGTGGAGAATTTATCTACTTTACACGATAAGTTAGAACGCGACATGCTGCTACTTGAACAAGCCGTTCGTATGTTCACGACACCAAGCGTGTCCAAAGATGCACCAACGAGGCAAACCAAGGGCAGATAAAGCACCTTGGTGATTTCTTTGATAGTCGTGATGACGTCTCGACCGAAAGTTCAGCTTGGATTCCGTTTCGTACTGCTCAGTGCTGTGAGAGAGCAGCGCGGAACACCGGCACGACGTGTCAGAGCTACCGCCTACCTGCTTTTCAGGAACGCTTCACCCTCGATTCCAAGCATTGAAGACGCAGAACGCTTGGAACCGCAGCGACATATGCACCGTGTATCCGGCGGTAAAGGCCGGCGGCTGTTAAAAGTCTCTATATCTGCGGCTATGCGCGTGAATGTTTTCGTGTAGCCAACTCGATGCAAACGCTCCAAGCCTTGGGCTTTGTGCGCCGCTCGCCTCCATCACAAGCCCACACCTTCCACAGTCGCATCTCGCGCTAGAAAGCCCGAAACTTCATGAAAGGACTACGGTCGCGCTTCGTCGTCTGTACCGTGACGTGCGCTTGCGCATCTGCGGCTCGCCATGTATGGGTTTTTTCGATGACAAAACGTTTAGATTGACCATGGATCCCAGAATTCGGGATGGATAATGGCTTTCGGGCAGAGCCTCCAAGATGAAGCACCTACCTTCAAGCTCCATTACCCATACCTCCTCTCGGATATACTGGTCGCTTCGTATGTTCTATAGTGCACCGAGTGCCTGTTTTGAGCACCCGCCTTGACGCTTATACCGCTAAAGCAGATGCCGCACGGAGACAGAACGGCTTTGCCATACCACTGAGGGCGTCGGCTCGAGCGGAGGCGCCATGTACGTGTGCTGCACCTTCACGCGACACCATGCGTAAACCACGACGCTGGCATAGCGGAACCCAGCGTCTCATGATCCACGCTTCTCCCGCTCGCTTCTGCTGACGTTGCCTCTGGTCGACGTTTCCGTCGACGCGTTCAGGGGCCATTTGGTAAGGCGCATCGTACGCGAGGGCAGTACCCGAACGAGCTCCGCCCGACGCTTCATGCCCGCTGGGATCGCTAACGCTCGCTCTTCAATATCTCGCGTTACCAGTTCAATCAATTCATGTTTCTTTGGCTTCTTGCCGCCTATGACTTTGCCCAGACGTAACGCTCTTCGCTCTGCACGACATTGTTGTATAAGCTGGTCCATTTCTTTCATCCGCTCAGCGATGAGCGCCTGACGAAACGCTCTCTCTCTTTCCCATTTGTGGCCTTTGCGAAGGTAACGGAGATACATCTCCGCACCAATTTCCTCTAAAGTAGCGACAGATACCGTTTTCGTTCGCGATGACGGCTCCGACTTCGCCAGCGACTCGGTGTGGATCACGACTCCAAGTTTCTTCCGCGGGATGTCGAAGGGCCACGGAACGCCGCGAAGTAGACACTGACGCCGCAGGTATGCTCGCTGTCTCGCGGTGACTTTTGGCGGACGCCAGACAACCCGGGTGTTGCTCGTTAGGGCGTCAGTCAGACCACCGACTCGCAACGAGTCCGGCTGCGCAGAATCGTCCAGCAACCGAGCTTGACGCCATAGCGCTTCCCGCTCTGTCAGTGGTCGTTCTATCACCTGAGGAAGCATACCCGGCGGCAAGCGCTTTTTTGCCGCCTCAACCGCTTTCACGTTCACTGGCAGCAGTCGGCGGCTGGCATGCGGATGACTCGCAGGCAGCGTTGTGAGCGCAAACAGCTTCCCTGCAACAACGTCCGCACTGCCGGGCTCCTTCACACCGGCAGCACTTGAGCGTGCTCTCCGGACCAGCAGTCCCCAGACTCGCCCCACGCCTCCCAACATGAAACTGACGGCGACTCGCGAGAGTCTGGCGTGGTTTAAGCAGCTGATAGAGAGGCGGAGCGCTGCTTGCTGTAGAGGCGACGCCCGGTGCGCTCGACGGTCGCAGGGCGACGCATCCATTATACGCGGCTGGGATAGCGGCTTTGGAACGCTGAGATACGTTGACGTTGCAGTTGCGACGACACCTTGAGCCTCATCCTGGCACGATGTGTAACGTTCTCTTGTTATGAAGAGAGGTCCGAGCATGTTCGTTGGAGCCGTTTTCGGACCGGCGCCGTGTCGTGTCGGTGGACGGTGCAGCTGGAGTCCGCGATTTAGCCGGGAAGCACAGGAAGTGCAGTTCCCGTGTAGTTTTTCGTCTGGAGTAGCAAAGTGTAGTCCAAACTCATCGTATTACTCAAAAACGGCTGAAAAAAGTGCACTTTGGAGGAATGACGCACAGCAACGTGCTTTTGCACGCTGTCTCGCGGACGCCGAACATCGCAGCATCGCTCCTAGGGTGCGGCGCCAAGCGCGGAGGCCGCGGTTACGAGTGCTGGCGTCGCCCTCGGAGGACCTCTCTCTGGCGCCTGCTGCACTGGAAAGCGTCTTGTCCTGGTGTCGAAGGGACGCGCGGGATGCCCTACGGGCGGCACTCGCGGTCACGCTGCCGTCGCTGGCGCCGCTATCAGCGAAGGCGGCAACAGCGTGCCCGCAAACGCCGGAGTTGCACCAGGGACAAAGGCAAGCACTGAGCAGCGGTGTAGTAGGCTCGACTCAGGATTCTTTAGATTCCGAAAGACGCTTCATAGCGCCATTGGAGAAGGTTTTTATGCAGGAACCAGTCCCGTCGCAAATTGAGTTATCGATTTACCTCTGCACCGACGCGCACATCCAGCTCTTGAACAAGCACTATCGCTCCGTGGACGCACCGACAGATGTGCTGAGCTTTCCGCAACAACAACTCCGGATACTTGGCGATGTTGTGATTTCGTTAGACACTGCGCAACGGCAGGCGGGCGGACGCTTGCGCGATGAGCTACGAACCCTGCTGCTTCATGGCATTCTGCACTTACTGGGATTCGATCACGAAATCGATGAACAGCATCATATCCTTTTTGCGCGAGCAGAGGAACGGATCACGCAAATGCTCGAGTGGCGTGGCAGGGGCCTCATTGCGATGATCAGCGAACGCGACGACCACGAATCGCACGACGGCCCCTGATGATGATGATGATGATGATGAAGGAAGCGCTGATCAACGTTGCGGTTAGAGACGCTACAGACGACGATGCACGCTGGCTACGGACTGGTAACGCCAGCGTACAAGGATATGGAGAAGGTGGCCGGTAGCGTCGAGTTGATGCAAAGATCGAATTTACGGCACCGGTTACCAAGCTGCAGACAGAACTCATCCGGTCGACAGGCGCCCGCTGTGTGGACGCCTGCTCGGCTGTGGCGAGGCCGTCGTTTCGCCTTACGACGTTCGCTGCATTCTCAGCGCGGGGATTTTCGCTCAAGTTATCCGGACTCGGTTCTGTTGGAGCATCCTGCACTCGGACTAGAACATGGCTGCGTTCGTGAAAGCAGCGTGAGGTTGCAGGGCCCCGCGACCCGCTGACCTTCGCGCATCCGACCGACGTTGGTCATATCAGGCGATGTTGCACCCCGCAACTTGTTTCGGGGTAGTGTCGGGAAACACTTGACGCCGGCATGCCCAGCACTGTTGCATGCGATTCGGGTCGGGATGCGAGGAGAGCTCTTGTGGCGACTTATCCAGTAATCGCAACAGACCGGATCATTTAGGCCATATAAACGTAATGATGACGTCGACCGTTGCACAGGGTCATCTGCTCGGGCCTGGATCATGTCGCTCTGCATCGGCAGAATTTCTGCCTCGATCCGCACAACCGATCCAGAGGTATCTGCACCGCGGTACTGCGTCCTCGATGGATTGCCCCGTGGGCTGCGTCGACCTGAGCGCTCGTCCTCCGAGGCGTTTGCAGATTACAGGACATATCAAGCGATACGCATTTGTGCAGTTCACGTTCGTGGGACGAGAACGCAGGCACTGTATGTACAGACAGATGCACACAAAGCGTATCGCTCCCGTTATGGTACCTGGAATGATGCGGTGCCTGACAGAGCCCAGGCCCGCAAAGATCGAAATCGCTGTGCGGACGTTATTTTTCATCATCATCATCATCATCATCAATGCGGCATGCGTCACGTCGCTGCCCCGGATCTGCGAGCACGCCATCCCCGAATCCACCAGCTTCTTCTGGGTGCGAGACCCCGATTCTACTGCTTACGCAATGCGGAGCATTCACGCCTATCAAATCGCCATCGCCGCCGCGATCAACAGGAGAAGTGCTGCTCCTGTCCCTCCGGTGTGCTAAGCGCGATGAACTCAGCCATTAGCATCCTGTTCAATGCGAAGCGCTACCATCGCCTGGTTTGCTTCTGTGTCTCCCGTCGATTGCAGCAATCGGCGTCGCTTGCGGTAGTACCAGAGCCCGAACCAGAGCGCAACACTTGTGACCAGGAGTGGAACCATAATGAACAAAAGGACATTTGCGTGCTTCCGTATAAAGATGCCTATACTGCCGAAGAGCGTCGTTTCGCTGCGGTGTCCGCTTGGCGCGGATGATCGAGGTTCGTCTTGATCGCTTGTTGACCCGGAGCCCGTCGGGTGTGTGGTCGTGAAAGGGATGCATCCGCGAGCCGACTGAAACCCTATCCGTTTGTGTGCTCGATCATACACAGTGAAAAAGTTGCGCAGCCACACGAGACCTAATATCGCTTCGACACCATAGCTGGGCCCGAGGGACGGCTCCTCCGCGATCCCCATGCAGTAAAATGTTGGTTCTGGTGGATTATCTACCCGAACGAAATACTGTAGCGGAGTCAGCGTCAAGTTCCCAGCGCCAGCTAGCGTGAATGTTAGGTTGGGAAACTGTCGGACTTCCTCTGGAGAATACGATGCGCACGCAGCGTGATCCAGTATACTCGGTTCTTGGGCATTATCCGGACACACATACGGAATATGGCAGTAGTGCGCACGAAGGTAGTCTCGGAACGCCGCAAACGCTCCTGTTGAAAGGGCGATGAGCGTCGTGCCCGAGTCCACGAATGCGCTGTGCCGATTGGCAATGCCCGCATCGTGTCCATCGATATACACATGCTCTAGCTCTATATCATAAAAAAGATGGTGCACAATTGGCGTCCACCGGATCTCCATCGGATCCATACGAGAATCCATAGCGCCAAGTACAAGACGCCCTTGCTCGTCGCTCACACAGAGACTGAACACATCTTCAGGGACGAGTCGGTGCTGCAAGAGCGTTTCGAAAAACGGTAGCGTGCACAGCGGGTTGCATGACAGCCCCGGATACGCCAGGCCGAGCATCCCTTCAATGCCGCTGCCGAATACATCGGGACTGCGTCCCTGCGCTGACTCGATACCACCGAATACCATGGGCGCCGCACGGCCCGCTGCACCGACCATTCCCGCAACATAGCGGCCGTTGAAAGCAGTACCGTCCCCGTAACGGATCTGATAGATGCAATGTCCACGTCCGTCACAGATACCATGCTGATCAGGTTCACAGGAAAAGGTCTCGGGCGGATCGCCCAGCGGCGCTGTGCGGCTTCCGCAGTGCAGCGTGCGATCCTCGTCGACTTGCAGCCGCCGCTTGCCCGCCGGGCAAGCATCGCACACGCTCGTGATAACTGCTAACGAGGACGAGCCGGTATCCACTGAAAGGGTGTACGGGGATCCATCAATTTCGATTGTTGTTGCATACATACCGATGTGTACGAGTGAGCCATAGAGAGGCAGTTCTATTGGCGAGATCTGGGCATGGAGGGCGGCGTTCCCGTTGGGTTCTAGTGCAAGCGGCCGCGACTTGCTGATCGGGACACGATAACTGCTGTTCCGTAATTGAAACAACGTTCGCACGTGCATGTGTTGAGCATGAGTAGAAGCACTCTGTCCGCGGATCGTATCCCAGGTCAAAGCTCGTCGCTGTACGCGTTTCAGCGCGCACACGCGCTTTATGCGGTAAGCGCCTATGCTGCCGATCAGGGCCCCGAGGAAAAACAGCGTTAGCACGAACCCCAGCCATGCTGCGCTTGTTCGAATCGTTCGACGCCGCAACTCAGAAGCTCTGTGCATCGAAAGAAAAAAAGTGCGGCACGAGTGCGAGGTCCCTCGACACACTCCACTCTGGTGTTTCGTGCGGCCTGCGTCTGGACGCTGTACGCCACACTGCACTCGATTTGTGCGCTGCGCGATGGGTACAACGCGAGTCCCTGAGAACATGTAGATCTCTAGACAAATTTGGAAATAGCCCTTGGACGACACAAATCGATGCGTGCGTGCGTTCTGATGGCAAGCACGCTTACCAACGGGACTTACACTTGCCACGTGCAGGTAGCCAGAAAGATGGGAGTGGCATTTCGGGGCGGATAAACGCCTGCACTCGACCACTAGTCTTTTCGTTGTTAGCGACTGCACTCGCCTAGCTGAATGACTGTGATTGGTCTCATCGACCGTTCACCAGAAAACTTGCAAGCAGCTGCAGACAACAGGCGGCACCCTGCGTACTTGCACCGAGCGACAGCATCGCTGGATCGAGGTCGCTTCGCTTTATGAGAACAAAACTGCTCCGGATCTGGTGCAGCATAGAAATGCATCTAGAGGAACGGCAATCTCCGTCCTTGTTCCTATTCGCATATGCGGATGGAGGAAAATCTGGGTCGATGCATCGGCTTTTCATCATACGAGAGCGTCGACGCATGCCTATGAATAAACTGTCTCCCTAGAGACCGTCTCTGCATTCGGCGTGGATACGCATGCAGCACAAGCCCAACGAGTAACGGATATTTACGATGCCCATGCAGTATCCGCGGTTTTCCAGCTTCACCGCTCGCCCCCCGGACGCAAGCACTAGCGTTGGTCACGTTCAGGCACGCATGATGCAGAGCGAGTAGCGCGTGTACTGAACTGCCATATATCCATCGTTGTTCAATACGTGCAATTGCGTCTGCAACGATGCACACAATCCGCGATCCATTGGGTAAAGTCGCGAGCTTCCAGTAAGGTTTCAATGAAATATGGCATGCGCCATCGCCAGCTGCCCTCTTCATAACTGCGACCTGGATAATTGATTTGATCCTTCCGGGGATCAGCGCTTCGGAGAGAACGCCAACAATCCGTGTAGTCCTGCAGCGGGAGAATAGTCCACATCGATCCCGCGCCGAGATGCTGCTCCACAATCTTCTGACTCATCCATTCGGTGCAGTCCCAGGGCGGGGAACCGCCCTGTTCACCAAAGAATGACCAAAACATTTCGTGCGCTCGACCCCGATCCTCTTGCCACCACGCGCGCACCGTACTGCAATCGTGGCAGCTTGTCGAAGCTACGGTAAGGTACGTGTAGGCAGCTGGGGCGCCAAACTTGCCGATACCAGGCCAGCGTTGGATACGCAGGCCCAATATCCCGAGCTCTTCGAGAACCGCATAGACCTCGGGTGGCACCATGCCGAGGTCCTCGGCGCAAATCATCATATTCGCCGAGGACTGGAGCGCGCGCAGGTTTCGCAGCCCACACGCACGCCAGTTCTGCCGGCGAAAGAAGTACTGCTCCCAGACTTGATCTAGGAGTTCCTTGTTCGCAAAGCGCTGATACGACGGCGTCGATTTCATATGGCAGGTCGGAAAGAAGGCATCGGGACCGGCACCATCGTCGTGAATGAGACACTGGTTCGCTATCAGCGACTGAAGAACTCGAAAGGTGCGCAAACGTGCCTGCTGCTCCGCAGCCGGTAGCGCGTGCCAAGCGGTGCGATCCTCGCCCGCGATGAGCAGATAGCGCGCGATGGCATCGTCCGTAGCGAGGTGCTTTTTGAAGGTCAACACATGGCCGCCTTCGTGTACATCGAAGAACGTGTCCACGATCCGCTGCGATTCGGCGCCGAAACGCTCATCGATCAACCAGCGACGCAGATGCGGTGTGCACAAGCGGTAATATTCCGAGAGGATCGACCTGATCTCGTGCCGGTGTATGGGACTGGATGGTTCAAAACGCCCCAAGAGCCCCGAATAATTGTGACACGGAATGGACCAGGCTCGAAACAGACCGAGCACGTGGTCGATACGGAAAGCCTGAAAATACTGTGACATGTGTTGCAGGCGCTGGCGCCACCATCGGTAACCATCACGCTCCATCTCATCCCAACGATACACTGGAAAGTCCCAGTTCTGCGCGGATGACATATCGAGCGCTGGAGCTCCGATCGAGCGATCCATACGGAAATACTCCGGATGTTGCCAGGTGTCCGCCGAGTCCCGAGTTACACCGATCGGAAGATCGCCCTTAAGGATAACTCCACGCATCTTGGCGTAGTCCGAGACACTTTTGAGTTGAAGATGCAGGTGATACTGAATGAAATAAATCAGCTGGACGCGATCATATGCAGGCGAAGACGGACTGGTCAGCGCAGCCACGAGGGACTGGTCGTTGCCGCGCTCGGGCCACTTATCGGACGGGAGCCGCTTCATGCCTCCAGCGGGTGCGTGCTTCTCCCGAAGAACCTTGTAGAGCGCATACGAGGTCAACCAGCTAGTGTTTTCTTTGAACCATACGTCAAAGTCTGGGTTCTGTAAACAGGCGCTACCACCGCTGGATTCATAAACCATCTCGAGAAAACGTAACTTCATTTCCAATACCTCCGGATACGCCACCTCATAATTCGCGTTCAGGCGTTCTCCATCTTTCACCAGCTCTTGCTGTAGCTTTGCCCTATTCGCAGGGCTGATCGTCGTCATCGCATCCAGAAGCCACTTCAGGTTCATATAAATCGGATGTATCGCGTGGACAGAAAGTGCCGAGTAAGGCGAAGGCTCCTCGCCGGTATCATGAATTGGCAGAAGCTGTACAAGTTTCAGGGACGCAGCAGCAACCCAGTCGATGAAGAGCTTCAGGTCGCCGAAATCACCTGCGCCTGCGGAATGACGCGAGCGCAACGAGATCAGCGGGATCGCGACACCCGCGCCCTTCCACACGGTCGCGTACCGGAAAACGTCATCGACATGAATGAAGCGCGTTTCCGGACAACGCTGCGGTATTCGAAGCGTGCGATTCGAGCCCTGCTCAGCGCAGATCAAGTTCGGTGGCTCCTGATCTTTCGCGATCACGTAACGGTATTCAAAGGGAATCGCTGCAACCGGAATCGAGACCATGCTTGCGTAGAGACACGAGCCGATCGGGAACATGGGAATCTGTTTCATGGGATTCCAGGCGCCGAGCGCTTCGGGAGATCCCGTCACAAACACCTGATGACCAGCTTCCAAACGAGGTACATAGGACACGAAGCGAACTCGAATGACCGCTTGCGTAGACGTCGGTTCCTGGTGTGCCCAGCGCATGCGTGCCGCCGCTGCAGTATCCAGTTGCAACCAGGAAGTCGTTTTGGGCACGTTCAACTTTCGAAAAATCACATCCACAAAAGCAGAAGTTGCAAATACGGAGCTTTGTGCGACACGCCAAGAGTCGTAACAGTAGAGGTGTACGACGCCGGTGCCGGCCTGCTGGAACAGCGTCTCGTCAACGAGCACAGAGCGAATCGCCTGCGTCGCCTCCATGCGTTGCGAGTCCGCCGCTCCACTTCCAGATACGACAACGTACTTATAGTCGATGCTCACGGGCGTAGAAGCATCCTCAAGCACCAGGTCACGATCTCGGTCGAAGCACACGGAAGCGTGCCAGTTTCCCTCACCGATCGGATGCAGTGGCAGAGCTCGCGACACATCGCCTCCACCGAGTAGAGGGTGCGATCCAACAGCAACCAGGTATGCGTCCCCTCTTGTGACGTAGTTTATATGCAGATGAAGCTCTAAGCCCGGCATCTGTGAGCGTTGAGTACTGTCTCCCGCTGGGGAACCCGATAAACGCCCAGCCGGACGTCGCGTTCTCGGGCACGTGTCGCATCGCCTGCATCAGCGCGCTTCTGGTTTTCCATTTGGACGACGCCGACGTGGTCAGCGGCTTCGGGGTACAGGCTCGCTCTGTGGAAGAAGGAGCACTCGTCTGCCATTGGCTCGTGATTACAACCAGGCTACTAGTGGTGCAACTTGTGTAAATGGCTGCCTGAGCTACTGTCGTTCGAAGGTCTTCAACCGCCTTACGAAGGTTTTGTGATGCAGCAAACCTCGGGCACGACTGCCGCGGTACGTGCACTCGGCGCCAACGGCGGCAGCAGCACCGACGCTGTCGATACCACAGAAACGCTCGAACGCAAGTGCGTCGTGTGTCAGTCAACCGAAGAGGTGCGTGTTTTTAGTGCAAACTGTGAGCGTTTATGTGTGCCGTGTTTCGTGGAACGTTTTGAGCGCTCCTTCCGGTACGCAGTGCAACGCTGGTCTATGCTCTCGCACGGAGAGCGCGTTGCTGTTGCGTTGTCCGGAGGTCCAGCCTCGCTTGCGCTTCTTGAGCTTTTGCACGGACTTCGGCGGGGGTTTGCGCATCACAAGGGTAAGATACGACCCAAGCACTTTGAAATTGTCGTTTTCCATGTTATCGTGCCAGCGGGGTATGGGGGCAATGGGGCCAGCGGCGCTGCCGCTCTCCAGGCGCTTGTACAGGAGCGCTATGGGCTGACTGTCCACACCGTTGATGAAGCACTGTTTCTTGCCCGCGCAGATGCGCTAGAAATGAGTACTCGGGATCCGATGGCAACGAATCACCAGCTAGACGTGCTGGATCCGACCATTGCGCCCGCGCTCGTTGCAGGCATTGTAAACGCTCTGCTGGAGCGGATGGCGGAAGCATACGAGTGCAAGAAACTATTCCTGGGCACAACGGTTACCCGAGCTGCGATCATAACCATCGCACGAGTAGCGACCGGGAATCCGCTACGTCTTGACGCCGAGATCGGAGTAGACTACCACTCGTCGACCGCAGGCTGCCAGGGATCGGCATACGCCTCAAGTGGTCCTCTTCGCTGGCTCCGCCCGTTGCGAAATATTTCTCTTCGCGACGTCATTCGATATCTTCGCGCTCGTGGCTGCACTGCGTGGATTACTCCAGCTGAGCCATGGGCACAGGAAAACATAGAAAGCACTGCCGAGCGCTTCATATGGCGAGCTCTCGAAACGCGACCTGCAACTTCATTTTCCGTTGTGCATAGCATAGAGCGAGCTTTGAATCTAAGTGCCGACTAGTTTGGTCAGCGACCCTGCATGAGAGTCACACTGCTGCGAAGGGTGTTCTTTTTTGGACGAATATTTCCTCTGTTCTGTGGGTTCGGATGCGACGAGCGAGCTAATCAAGCACGCGATCGACGTACCGCATGCGAACAAAATGAACTGTTTCTTCATCGGGATGTAGTATACCGGAGAGCGCAAGTTTCTGTATTGGTGGTATCCTTCATACCGATGAGAGCATCGCCACCAGGGCGCCATTTGGGGCATCTGGATGATGCAAGGCTTCCAGGGTCGTTCCGAATTGCACGTGACTTTCCCATGGACTTGATGTCCGGAGCACGGTTTTAGCGCAATGTCCTGCACACGCTGGCAGCTGAGCTTCAACGTATCGATCCGGTATTGCAAGCAGGCCCAGTCGCAGAAAGCACGCCAAGGCTGGAACCGCTGCGCATGGAGCTATTCGCACCCTCTAACCGCTTCCCTCCAGGTATGATGCAGCCATTGGTACGAGGTCTTTCCAGGAACATTTCGCAGAAAGGCCCGGTCAACCGCATCACACGTGCCGGCCGCTCAGACGCGCGCGGGTACCTTCGCAGGCAATTTTGTCCCAGTTTGCAAGTCGCCAGCACAAGTGACCCCAAAGACAGCAGCTTCCCTATACTCGCTGTCACAGTGGCTTCTCCATGGTAAAACCCGTGGTTTGGCACGCAAGTTCCTCGGTAGCAGAGCATCTCAGTCTTTGAAAGCGGGTCTATCGCCGCGTTTGCAGTACGATCGCAACCACAAGAGCATCCAACGCAACACGCAAAAATCAGAACGCTCGAAGCGATCCCACAACTCGAGCACGCACCTGCAGCTGCACCATGCCGAATCTGGACAGTGCTCGCATACCTGCACGCACAGAGCTGATACTGCAATCCCGCCTTAAATTGACCCTATCTAACCGTTCGAGCTGAACCGAGTATGAGCTGTCCATAGGGAGCACGCATGCCGACACGTGTACGTCCTGGGCAGCAGCACAGATTTTTTCATTGACAAAACATTTACTTTGGCCAGCGTTCTCCGATTATGCGCATTTTTCTTTTATTTCTTCATGTTTTTTTTTCAGTGCGCGGTGAAGTATCCATCAAACACCCTGCCTCCAAGTTATATGACCCATACTTCTTCTCGGATATTCTGGTCGTTTCATACGTCCTATCGTGTGTGCCTAGTGCCTGCCGAAGGCGACAGAACGGCTTTTCTGTACCACACAGAGGGCGTCGGCTCAAGGGGCAGCACCGATGCATGCGCGCCCGGCGCGCGCGGCTCGACGAGCACCGCCGAATCGCTCGGATGCCGTCTCCTGGACGCTTTCGCGGCAGGGCGACGCGTGTCAAGTGCGCAGCGTTCTGTGCGCGCGTTGCGACAAGCGCTTCAAGCGCTGATCAGAGAGCTCGCTTAGAAGCATGTCGACGCTTGTGCTGGATGGACAACGGACTTCTGGACGGGACGTTCGCACACAGAATGTAAACGCTTGCCAGGCAGTGGCGAACGTTATAAAATCGTCGCTGGGCCCAGTCGGCCTCGATAAGATGCTCGTCAGCGAGATCGGTGACGTTACGGTGACGAATGACGGCGCAACGATTTTGAGCCTACTTGAAGTGAAGCATCCTGCTGCAAAGGTACTTGTCGATCTCGCCAAGCAGCAAGATGAGGAGGTTGGTGACGGAACGACGACTGTCGTCGTGCTTGCTGCAGAGCTTCTGAAGCGAGGTAACGAACTCGTGAAAGCGGGTGTGCACCCGACTTCAATCATAGCCGGATACAAGCTCGCTGTGCGTGAAGCTTGCCGGTACATACGTGATCGGCTCGCTGTCCCGGTAGATCGTCTCGGAAGAGAGTGTCTTGTGAACGCTGCGAAGACCTCGCTCCAGAGCAAGGTACTCGGCGGCGAGGTCATTGAGCACTTTGCTGGACTGGCAGTCGATGCCGTCATGGCGGTGAAAACCCGACGCGACGACGGCGCGAACGCACATCGCTACCCGATCCAGTCCATCAATATTTTGAAGAGCCACGGGCGCGGTGTTCGCGAGTCGACGCTACTCGGTGGGTACGGATTGAATCTGACGAGAGCCTCGCGCCTCATGCCGGAGCGCGTCACCAACGCCCGCATTGCATGTCTTGATGTTGATTTGCGTCGCGCAAAGCTACAAATGGGAATTCAGATTCAGAGCGTGGATCCGGCGGAGATCGAGAAGATGCAGCAGAAAGAGCTGGACATTACACGGGATCGCATCAACATGATACTGAAAGCGGGCGCGAACGTGATTTTGACCACCAAAGGCATTGATGACGCTGCCCTGAAATATATCAGCGATGCGGGTGCGCTTGCCATTCGACGAGTCGCGCCTGCAGATTTGAAGCGCATTGCAAAGTGCACGGGTGCAACGATCCAAACCGCCTTTGCGGATCTGACTGGCGAGGAGAGCTTCGACACCTCAGCACTGGGCCAAGCACAGGAAGTTGTCGAGGAAGTAGTCGCGGATTCGGCCTTCACCTTCATCCGCGGCTGCCGCGACTTCAAAGCCGCAACCATACTCCTTCGAGGACCAAATGAGTTTATGTTGGATGAAATGGAGCGATCCATACATGATGCGCTCTCAGCGGTTAGGCGAACGCTCGAATCGAACATGGTTGTTGCGGGCGGTGGTGCGACGGAAGCAGCGGTTTCCACTTTCCTCGAGAGTTTTGCTGCTGCGCTAGGATCGAAAGAACAGTTAGCCGTCGCTGAATTTTCCGATGCGCTCCTGGTGATTCCCAAGACGCTGGCGGTCAACGCAGCACTGGATGCGACAGACCTGGTCGCCAAGCTCCGAGCGGCACACTTTGCCGCTTTCGCCAGCAACGAAGGCACGCCTGCCATCAACGATACTGCGTCACGAGATAACGCTCCAGTAGCAAATGGTGTCCCTAGCACCGACGCCATTCAGCGGAACGAGCTCAAGTTCTGCGGACTCGACCTCATCAAAGGCCGTGTACGCAACAGCTTTACCGCAGGTGTACTCGAGCCTGCCATGAGCAAAATCAAGTCCCTGCAGTTCGCAACGGAGGCAGCCATCACGATTCTGCGCATTGATGATTCCATCAAGATCACCGAAGCCACAGAACCCGAAGAGCCTTCCTACTGAGCAGCGCTCTGAGGCATGCGTGCATGGCGTCCTCGGGAAACGAGCATAATTCGTGACGCGTCACGTCCTAGGAATGTACTTGGTACCCGCTATCCACGGGCTTTACGTTTGACGCCTCAATGGAGTATGGACACGTGCTTTCGAACCTGGTTGTGAAGCAAGATGCAACATGAAAATTGTTGCCAGGCGCACCGAGTACATGTCTGCATAAAAGGAGCACTCGAGATGCCACACGCATCCATGCCATTGGATTTCAAACGACAAAGTGTGGTATATGGGTGCAGGACTCGAACCATCAGCGACTCCCCCGCAGTGACCGTAAAACATCTCGCATTTGTACCATTCAAAACGGCGATGGTTTTGCGAATGGATGCAGACATGCGTATGGTGAGCGTTGACATGCCTATGGCGCGACGCCAAGCCGCCGATATCTCCCCGCTGATCGACTCATGGCGGTCTGTAGTGAACACATACCCATCGCCTATCATGATGCAGGTTGTGTCTTGGTGAATCTCCAAGCACTTGATCCAATTCGCTTCGAGTAGCGACGCACGCCGCACCGCATGGCGACCATATATGCCCAGTGACGCCGCCTTTGCCGCCGGACTCGCCGGCATCGTCTCGCTGGTTGCATATCGCTGGTCTTAGCGCGAACAATAATGATGGTAGTGATAAGTGCGGAACGTGCTTCTGCCCAATTGCGCTCTACATAATCGAAGCTTAAACTTCTTGAGGGCTTCAGGCGATCCGGATCCAAGCTCGAATGATACAGGCTCTAGCCATGAACACGCGGTTTCGCGCGGGCGAGATCATCGTTCTCTGAGCAGCTTGCTTCGCCCACTGAGGAACCTGCAACATGGATAACTGTTGGTATCATTTCAATCGAGTAGTACGGAGTTAGCGTGAGGCTTCTGTTCGTGACCCGCACATTGGAGGCGTTTGTTCCAAGCGAACGCACCGTTCCCAGATGAGAACCTATTCTGGGCACCCGCGCGTGTAGAGCTCGGCCCTGGGTCTTCACCAGCGAGCATACCCACGTACTATGGAGCGTACGCGGTGGCGGTGGGCGTCCACGCAACCCGAGTGGCGCGTGAACGCATCATTCCGTGCCATCGGCTTCTAAAAGTCGCTGACTCGACCGTTTTTCGCCCAGTCACCGTAGCGCGTAGGTTCGTAGCCCCTAGGCCCACCGTACTCGGGACCTGCTTGGGCTTCAGGGTTACAAAGGTCTACCAATTCCTCTGCCTCTGGCAGAGTTTCGGTCGAGTCAGGCTGCTCATCTTCGGGCGCCGGCGGTCGAGGCGGCCGGAACACCTGCGACCCTAGCGGTGGCGGTTGCTTCGGAGGTCGCAGTGTGCCCTGGTCCAAGTGGATTCGACGTAAGTTATGAAGGATGCGTGACGTCTGCTGTGTAGCCTTTCGAAAGCAAGGTACGTTCCGCATGAACGAGACCGTTTTCTCGACCACTGTGAGATGAGCGCCTCTCCTGGGATCCGAATTGTCGATCACATCATGATGCTGCGCGTGCCGTGTTCTCGCGGAGGCGTCCGGGCGTGATCTTGATGCGCACGCATGCGTGCGGCAGCAACAGGTACAACATATATGATGATAAGTCAATATTGTATCATATGGATTCGCCCATATCGCAAAATGTACAATACACGACATTATTATATATTCTTGTAGCTTGTGTCACAGCGCCTCGGTCTCATCGAGCAACCGATCGTTGCAGGCCCGTGAGTCAAGCGCACTCGTTTGGCGCTTCTATGAGGCGTCTGCTGCGTGGTCCGCTGGTGGCGGAGCTTGCCTCGCAAGTCTCCAAACTAGGATCCCGCAACCAACACACATGTAAGCAGTTTCAACAAGTACGTTTCCTCAACATTCACGAATATCAGTCGCAAGCGCTACTGCGTTCCTATGGCGTGCCAGTACCGGCAGGCGAAATGGCAGCCTCGGTATCGGAGACCGTTGCGGCGGCTCGGCGTCTGCTTCAAAGCCCGCGAGACGACGTTGTGCTCAAGGCGCAAGTTTTGGCTGGAGGTCGAGGTCTTGGCGTGTTTCAACCGTCTGGATTTCGAGGCGGAGTGCACATCGCAAGTACCGTGGACGAGGTGCAGCAGTTGGCAGGCAAGATGCTCGGCCAGCAGCTGGTTACGAAGCAGACGGGCGCCAAGGGTCGACCCTGCCAGAAACTACTCGTGGCGAAGCGTGTTTACGCCCGACGCGAAATGTACCTCGCGCTTCTCTACGATCGGAAAGTACAGGGGCCGCTGGCGATCGCGAGTCGCCGCGGTGGAACTTCCATAGAGGACATCGCCCGAGACACCCCGGAGAGCATCCAAAGCATACCGCTTCCGCTGCCAAAGCGCGGAGAAACCATGGACACCGCAACTGCAGCACGAATAGCTGAGTCACTGGGCCTGTCGCGGCAGCGTTCGGAGCGTCTTCACGAGGATGGCGTTGCGCTCATTCAGAATCTGTATCGATTGTTTCTCGAAAAGGACTGCACCATGGTCGAAGTGAACCCGCTGACCGAAACCCCCGACGGCGAAATTCATTGTGTCGATGCGAAAATCAACTTTGATGACAACGCTGCTTTTCGACAGCGTGACATTTTCGCGCTCCGCGATACAACGCAGGAAGACAGCCGCGAAGTCGACGCTTCGCGGTTCGGTTTGAACTATATCGGCCTAGATGGGAATATTGGCTGCATGGTCAACGGAGCAGGGCTTGCCATGGCAACCATGGATATTATTAAATTGTACGGAGGAAATCCGGCCAACTTCCTGGACGTTGGCGGTGGCGCCACCGTGGAGCAGGTCGGTGAAGCGTTTCGGATCCTCAATCAAGACGCCCATGTCGATTCGATTCTGATCAATATTTTCGGAGGCATCATGCGCTGCGATGTCTTAGCGCAAGGTATTGTGGATGCAGCAAAACGTGCGCAAGTTCGGGTGCCGCTGATTGTTCGGCTCGAAGGCAACAAGGTTGCGGAAGCCAAAGAAATCATGCGTCAGAGCACTGTCAGAATCATACCTGCAGATAACTTGGATGAGGCAGCACAGCGGGCCGTGAAAATCGCAGATATCGTTGGACGAGCGCGTGACGCAGGCGTGCAGGTTGAGTTTCGCACACTGTCCTCTGGAGCATAGCTGCTTTGATAAAGCAGCAGCGTAAGATGCGACCTCGAATCCATATGTCCAGTGAGCGCAAGACAATACGCAGGATGAACGAATGACATCGGAAAAGACTTCAAATACCTCCAGATTTATGAATAGATGCCACATATGAGGTAAGCATGACGCTGCGGACGCCGTCAGAGCGAACGTGTTGTCTCATACGCGTGCAGTTCCGCGTCAGGCGAAGCACACGGAAGCTCTGTTCGAGAACGTGCGCATCGCTGGGTCACGGAAACCGTGCCTGTATCATTGGGCGCACGAAACGGATCTCAAGTGTCGTTGGCTGCGTGCTTTGTGCCTGCCCGACTGCACTGCCGTGAAGCTTTGCGCAATGTGTATGAGCAATGGATTGGCCGAGAATCCTGTAGGTGCGAAAAAGCCATCGCACAACAGTAAAAGAAGTATGGTTCCTCTTCAGACGCTGCTAGGTTCCGTTGGCCGCAAACGAGTCGTCCGCTTGGAAGCCAGGGCTTCACTCGACATGTTCTCTGGCGCTGAGCCAATCCCAAGCGCTCGCGATGACGCTGCACGTGCTGCCGTTGTGGTCACACGAGAGAAACAGAACAGTCTCGCCGTGCCGCTTTGGGCGTCAGCTTGACAGTCCGTGCAGGTACCGTGCAGGTCCCCAGCTCTGCTTCAGAGGAATGAAGCGATGCATGATGCATGTCGTCATGAAGACCGTTTATCATTTGCACCACCGGTATCTCAGGTAGATGCTTTGCACATCACCACAACCGACGTGACTTGTCCACCGGACGCTCATGAGGTTCAAAACGCGTACCCTGAAAGTACACGTGAGCGCTTCCCTGAGGCACCGCCGAAGCGCGAGCACGCCCCGCATCCAATCTTGCTTCAGTTGGGACTTGGGCTGCTTGCACGGCGCTATGCAGGCGCAGCGACGCGCTTGCGAACATCTGCACTCGCTACCCGTGCGGTGCAGGTGCCGTTTGCGACCCCAGTAATCGCCGATCACCGCCATGCTACTCATGATGCTCCTGGAACCGACACATCATCATCTTCTTCATCGTGATCATCCTCTTCATCATCACAAGGATGGAGCCGACCGAACCTGCATCCACCGATGTACACGTCGCCTCCGCCTACCTGATACGATTGCGCTGTCAATATGCCACCTCAAAACGATCGCCGCCCTGCGATAAGCGTACACGCATCTGGATCTCCACCGCGAGGGACGCATCGATTCTCCAAGTCCATGCGAGAGCGTCCAGTGCAATCACACTGGAACTTGAAATCTCTCGCAGAGACTTGCAAAAGTGTGCGCGCGGATAGCGTCCTGAATTTCATCAAAAAAGGCCAAATATTGCTGAATGTTATGGAGAGAGAGCAGCATTGGTCCGAGCATTTCGTTGACCTGAAACAGATGGTACCAGTATGCACGCGTATACGTTCTCCCAATGGTGCAACGGCGCGCGCTCGCTGCTGAGCGGCAAGTTTGGAGTATTGGTCGCGCGTCGTGTGCCCAGCGGGGGTCACGCACACTCGTGTACAGCAGTGGATCAGAGGCTTCGCTGTCCGCCGCTTGAGACTCGTGGAATAGATCGAGTGCGTAGCAGCATTCCGCCATCACGAAGGGGTAGCGGCTCTCGAGTACATCGACGCCGCTGGAAACGAGTCCCAGAACGATTGCTGGCGATCCGTCGACAAGCCATGCAGAGCCGCCAGTGCAGAACACCGGAAGATTCTTCGATGTCGCAGAGCGAAGGTGCTGGACCATCTTAAGGCACTGGCGCAGAACATCGAGCATGGGCGCTCCACCATTGCCCAAGCCAACCAGATTGAAACCAGCAACCCGGTCGCGGTATGCGTTAGCCAGCTCCAGAGCCCAGCGTGAGGTCCCTCTGTCGAACTCCTCGGATCTGGAGATCGGAACCGAGAGCAGCGCATGCCCCGGCGTATTGCGAATGGCAGCGCAGCGCAGCGTATGCGTTCCCCATTGCTTCGTGCGCTCTGCAGGCAGCGTGTCCACAGTGCCAATACGTGGGTGCGCATTGGCGCCAGCGTCGAGCGCGTAACCCGTTGCCTCCAAGAGATCCCTTCTGTCTCGATCAGCTGGATCGCTACTGTCTGGTTGAGGCCAGCTCGACACCTCATACAGTGTCTCGTACAGGTCACAGCGCATGGCCTGCTGCAGGTCCAGGATGCGCTCCGGCGTTACTGGCATGCGCGAGCCACGCGTGTCCCCGAAGAGGCCTTCAGCGACGATCCTATGCGCCTCGTTTGCAGGCAAGCGCTTCCGAGTCGACCGATTCTGGAACTGGACAACCTGCGGATGTCCGTCTTTTTCAAGCATGTCGAAGAGTGCAAGCGCTGATCTCATGGAAAGAACAAGCGGGCCAGGAAACGCCTGCCAACTGCATAAATGACGTGCGTCTTTTTCAGCATTCAGCTCCAAAAACTTGGCACCGTCAGGTTCTTCGGTGCCTTTGTAGTTCCAAAAGTCCAGTGCGCTGACCCCAACGCAAAACGAGCTCTGAGAGTGGTCATCGTATTCCTGGGCGGCCTCGTTTGAGCCTGTCGATACCGGCACGCGTCCGCAAGTGGCGTGAGCGCCCGCCCCAGCGACCCGCAAGCAGTACCGCTCCAACAGCGTGTTTGCTATGCCCGGCGTCGACCCGCGTACAGTTGGCAGTACCCAAGTGGGTGTCACAATAGAGCTGGTTTCTGGGGTGCCTGTCCCATCTGTAGCTGCTCCGGAACTCCTCGAGAGCACGCCTAGACGCGCTCCGGGAGTACTGTTGTCAGCGGAAAGCACCTCGAAGTGCATTCGTGTACAATTTGCTTCCGATCAGCTTCTACCAACGCGTTTTAAGGAACCTCAACAGAAAGTCACTATCCTGGAGAAGTATCGCGCTAGACACGTCATTTTCCTCGCCAGCACTGACTCTGGAAACTGGGTGAATCTCAGGGGAAAGTATGAGTGCTACAAGCTCAGTTTCCAAGGAGCGCTCAACCCGCTCTCAACGCTTCTGCACACTGGCGAGGGGTGCCAGCGCGTCCGCGTCGACGCCGCTTCCAGCTGCTGTCCAGCGGTACTTTGGTGCGCGTTCAGTGCGGCGCAAGCGACGACCCCAAGTCTCTTTGTGCGACGCGGTCGCTGAAGGAATCCCTGTAGACTGTTTTAGTACCTGCTACTGGAGCAGTGCGAACCAGTCGCATTTGCGTTGTCGTTAGCGTGATCGCTCGATAGGCTGCCGCTGAAGCGCTCAGTGGACGCTTCGGCTCACGGTTACAGGGCTTCTGCGCACCGCATCGCACCGCATCAAATCAGGCACTTGCGTTTCCCAGTTGCCAATTCTCGAACCCGAAACCGGTTGTGCTTGTGTGATCAGTGGTCTGTAGGCACGCACCGTCTTCTGCGAGTGTCAGTGGCCGCCTCGACAGCTGCTCAAGGTGCGCCAAGCAGTATCCAGCCGAGGCTCCGAGACCCGTACCCAGACTCCTCTATTCCAGGGACATGTCGCTCGAGAGCGCCTTTCGTAAAGCGTCGCCCAGAAGGACGCACAGGGAACGCGCGCAGCCAAGGGGCCGTGCGAAGCTGGGGTTGCTCGAGAAACACCGCGACTATGTAGAACGAGCCCGTGCTTACCACTCGAAGCAGCAACGGCTGAAAGCGCTGCAGCAACGTGCAGAGTTCCGCAACCCTGATGAGTTCTATTTCAAAATGCTCCGACTACCGAGCAGGGACGGAAGGATCTCGGTACCACATCCGAGCAAGTTCCGTGGCGCGGATGCCACCGAGGATAGACGCATGCGCCGCCTCGACGCACAGACACTGCACGCGAAACTTGCACACGAACAGGCGGAGTACGATCGACTCGCAGCGGAGTTTCCACTTGCAGCTGCCGAGGTACGCGTTTCTGCCAGCACTCGAAACGCTGCGGGAGCCCGTGCTTCACACACTCGTTTTCATCCAATGACTTGTGTGCCGCTCACAGAGCACGGTGACCGAGGCCGAGCATTCGGCACAGGTCGTGACCCGTCTGCGGGCGATGCAGCGTTACGCGCACAAGTCGTCGAGGATTTAGGGCGCCGTGCTCAACGCATTGAACGTTTACGTACACTTACGCACCAAGTGTGGATAGAGTGCCAGATTAGGGGCAAGGGTGCCAAGAAGAAAATTCGCGATTACACTGGAAAACGAGCTGCAGTTTACCGATGGCAACCCGAGCGGAAACGATGAGAATGCCCAGCAACAGTCTCAAGCCTCCCCAGCCTGTCAAGGTGTCCCTTGAAAACGACGATATGGGGATCCACGAACTAGCACGCAGTACGAGCTTCTGCTCACGCAGCAAACAGCCTCTGTCGGTCTAGGCAAACGCAGATATCAGGCAGAAGCACCCATAAAGCTCGGATTCTACACTAGAAATACGTGGGGTTCCACTTTCCATACGTACGGGCATCAGATGGCGGGCGTTGCGGACGGGCCGCACGAGTGCGGGCAACGCCCTGTACGTGTCCTCAGCGCCGTTTTCCCACCGGAATCTCTATCTTTGGGGAGCCTATCTCGTTATCTCGTTCGGGCCGTGGTGACTGCGAGCCCACTATGAAAGTTTCAATCAAATAGGTGAATCCAGCAAACTGGGCGCACCCCGCGAGCATACCTTGTACGCCCTGCTCCCGGCCGAAGACAGCTCCAGAGGCACAGGCCGCGATCACCGCATTATACTTATCCTGGCGTTGTCGAACCGTGCGAGAGAGACCAAGACCAAGGCTATAAACACCGCCGAATAACCCCCAGGTCATCAGGAACTTCCGGCCTTCCGAGCGTGCTCCCTCTAGTGTTCGCCGCGAGAACGCACCGTAGACGAGCCCCGCTAACCCGCCCATAACACCCGAGGCAACACCCTGCGTGAACGTCTCCACCGCAACAAAAAGGAGCTTCTCACCGATGGGCAGTGCGTCAAAGTCCACGACGGGCGCCGCAGTGGCGGAACTCGGCGCCCTCGTTTCTTCTGTTGTCTTGGTACTCGACGTCCCGCGACGAGCGACGAGTGACTTTTTCCCCCGGTTTCCAATCGCTCTCATATTCGGCGACATTGCAGTAGCACATACGCCTCGGATCGAGCCAAAGTGACGAACATTGCGACTTGGATGTTGCAACATGGCCTAGCGTTTGTGGAGGCCTGCAACGCACCCTGGACAATCACAGGCGCTTGGAAGCACGCCGCGACTAGCAGACAACACACGCCGATGCAGCGTTCTGGTCGAAGCTGGTTGAAGCGGGGCGTGCTCTGGGCCAGTGAGTGTACTTCGCTGCTGCCGCTGCTGCTAGAGGTTCGGGTGCTCCATTCCCCACCGAAGCGCTTGTCCTGAACGCGAATTCCCATGCAAACCTCGCAGCGTGAAGCACAGTGGCTATAATAGCTTGTGGTTGGGTGCTTTCGCGTCGAAGGGCGCGTTCCGGGCGACCGCTGAGGTCTGTCGAAAAGGACACCAGCCCGTGGATGCCTGACAAAGAAGCGCTGCATCTATGCTCTGAATAGGGTTTCTGGTGTCCCCGAACGCTATAATGGTTGTCTCGCTGTTGTTCGTGTCATAGACAAAACGGCGAATACTGTGGATGCTGGTTGTGAGGTACAGGTCGTGACGCCTGCACGAGCGCGCGACGCTTCCTTACGATACCCGCTGTCTGGTTCCGAGCGCTCTGCAACTGGCTATGGCGACTGTACCACGCTACCCACGGTTCCGTGCGATACCGGGTGTCTGATGCCAAGCGCTCTGCAACAGGCGATACGGCTGCTGCAACGGGCGCGAGACGGCAATGTCAGATGAGAAAGGAACGCTGAACTGCTCGAATAGTTCCTTCATTGCGATTGGTAACGCAGCTCCTATTAGGTTTACAGCCACGAGATTCGAGGAATAGCTGTAAGGACATACGGATTCGTACTTAGGTTAAGGATTCTCGTTGGTTTCTCCGAGGTCGCTCATTCCAATCTATCCGTTGGAATTCGTTTCGTCACCGGAATCAAGGTGATTCGCGATGCCCACGAACAAGACTCCCTACAATAATGTGTTTTTTACTAAATTTGTACGTTGAAGCCTCCGCTCCTCTCAGCTCCTTTCGGATAGAACGCTCAGATGACGCATTTTTCAAGTGTTTGATCGTTCTGTTCAGCGGCAACTCGTAGGCACAGCCATGCGCACCACCGGAATGATGATGAAAGAAATCGATGTCGTTTCTTCTCGACTTGTTCACGAGTTCATGTTGAAAGTTCACTGAAAACGTCATCTCAAATCATCCATTCCGCTCAGAAGAGAAATCCTCCTCTGTGTCAATCGCCGAAACTACTTGCGACAGCTCAATGATAACTCGCACAAGATACGCCGAAAGCGGATTCCGCCTCCTCTCTTTGCACGGGAAAGCATTCCGGAGACGTACATTAGTCATCGCAGCGATTGCTTCTGGAGTAGTGAGCGTGATCACCTTGTATGAAGGGCGCGTAAACGGATCGACCGTTCTCGACTCGACCTCTAGCCGGCATTTTTCTTACCATTCTTGTTCTATCGTGGATAACATTTCGTTCCACAAATCCTCTATCGAATTGGACGGCGTGCGCTTGCTCGTGCATCGGTCAGAACACTCGATGCAGAGAGCCCTGGAGAAGCCCGAGATCGTCACAGATCGACAATGAGTGCGAAAAATAAACAAAACACACTGAGAGAAGCTCTGTACACCCCGCCGGCGCTTCTATCAAGCGATGGGGCAAGCGTTGACGGGCTCTCACGTGGCCCTCCACAGATGACGTCTATTGGGCAAATAGGAACACCTGCGCAAAATCAAGGAGCGTGGGTGCGAAACGCGCATCGAGACTTGATATAAAAGTAAAAAACGTTGCAAGCGAAGCCCAGATTGCAGCTTTTGGCAGTGCATCGAATGCGTCGACACCAGCCGAAAGCAGCAAAATCGGGCCCTGAACGCGACTTTCAAAATCCTTCAACTGCGAACATCGGGAATAGAGTGAAACTAGAGACCAGCGTATACACAGACGGATATGAGAGAGCGGAAACGGAAGTAGTTGAGGAAAAACGCTCCGGAAAGCCACTCTTCATGACCTTGGAAACAGACCCAACATTTTGAGTCTACATCCGAGGTCGGTGCGCGGATCGACCCATGCCTCGCTCCGCTTCCATTTCATTCATCGATTCTGCGATTACGACGATAGCGTGTATGTCGATAAACCGACCTGCAGACGCTTCGCAACCTGTTTTGACCGGTTGCATGGTATCGATTTCAGCTTCTCCTCGTAGACTTCGACCCGGAGAGGCTGCCCCATGAAGTTTGCTCGCGCCATCTCCGCAGGTGTCGTCCTCTGCTCCGTAAAACGTCTGATATTTATTGCAGCATTGACGTCTCGATTCACGAACTCCATGCGTTTTTTTGCATCTGGTCGAACTCACCTATGCAAGGATAGCGGAAACTCGCGCCACCTGTCTCGTCTTCGTCCTGATGACGACGTACTTTTCTCACCTATGTTTGCTCTTCTTCTTAGATCCATGGTCGGCGAGAAGAGGATTATTTCCGTTACTTCTTCCAGCCGACGACACCGAGCCTCCAGACTCCTCTACCTAGATGTCCATCACTTTCCTGTTTTAATTCCAAAACGAACCCACGTGGAGCGCTTCTGTTATAAACCGCTAAAAAGCACTTGAATACGCTCACATGTGGGTTGAAACACAAACGAACGTAAAATCTATCATTTGCTCTGACTTCAACGCAAAAACATCGTGTACGTTCGAGCAGTACGCTAATGAACAGGATCGTGTTTCCCCGCGACGGCGAGATGCACGTCCTCTCTCATGCCTGCCAGATATGGAGGTGCGCGTATCGAGTGCGCTATATAGAAAAAAGAACAGAAACGAACCAGTAATTAGCACGAAATATCGATTTCTTTCCTCCTCAGAGCCAAGCGTTAAACGGGGAAAATTGTCCATGTTGCCAAGAGTTTATCTTATAGGCGGCAAGTCCCGCGACCTGGACGCTTCTGTCGGGCCGGTGATTCATGCTCCCACCAGTGGCGGGTGCAGTGGCGAGATCTGCGCAGCTCGTCCGCAACGCCGTTTATTCGGGGATTAGGGGCAGATCGGCAGCGTCTGCGCATCGCCCTGGTCGCTGTGGACTCCTAGTATGTCGTTTCGGGTTACTGCAGACAGTAGGTCTGTCTGCGAAGCTGACAGGCTCCCAGCATGAGGATGGACGCCAACTCCACGTCAGGTGAAGCATTCCGCGATCCGACACCCTCAGTGGTGAGGCGAAGCCGTTCCATCCCCGTGTGATGCATCCGCATCAGCGGTTGAGACGTTGCGGCGGGTGCCTCACACAGGTACTCGGCGCACGATAGAACGTACCATACGACCAGTGCATCCGAAAGGAAGCATCCATGATGGAACATGGAGCTAGAGTGAAGAGCATTGAGCGTTATCATTTATTTCCATGCATATCCCGCGACCTGGGATCTCCATCGTCGACGCATGCGTTTTTCCAACGGAACATCGATTCGCAGCATCTATGTGGACTTTGCTATCCATAAATCAACAACTATGGGCAGCATCGAGAGCCGCCCCCGTGGACGCGCAGCGGTGCGTCAGCGTCGTCGTCACCGAAATCAGCGGAGGATCCAGCGCGGCTCCGCCCAGATACATCCCCCGAAACCTGCCAGGGACGCGTCGATCCTGAGCACCAGTGCCTCTTCAGGGCGCGTTGCTATCTGGTAGACGTCGGTGCCAGTTCGCACGAGCCTTCTGGAAGCACGCTTATCCGTACACCGAATATACGGGAAGCCGGTGGCGGATGTATACGCGCTTCTTCCTGTGTGGCAACAGGCTTCACTGACACACGGGCGCTGTGTGGAACGAGGATCAACAGCGGCGGCGGCAGGGTGTGTGACTAGCGCACCGCTGCCAGCAGCAGCTTTTCCTGCAGCCGCTCGGCAGTGGGGTCCTAATTGGGGTATCGCTAAGCAGCGCTTTCCAGGAATCTCTGAATCGACGATCATATTTCTGTCGCTCCCGAACGTTCGCGAAGCAACCCGAGCACGTAGCGGCCGCAACGAGCGCAGAAGCGCAAGCGGCAGCTTTTTGACAGATTTCGGGACCTCTGCGTCGGTTGTGCGCCGTACATAGGTCGTCATTAAGTATTACGTGTGACAGAAAAGTCAACTTTAGAGGTGAAAAACCTCCAAACGACACAGACACACACAGACAGACGTCGAAGCACTGTTAAGACTGGTGTCTTCACTTGGCGGACTGGGCTCCCGAGTGAAACATCGGGTAACAGCCAATTTTTCACGGACACAAGTGCACGACACTCTTAACCGCTGCGACTTGGACCAGTGTTGCGACCGTAAATGGTGCCAAACCAGGCACCAGCGTTACACTGGCCACCGCGAACCATCGACGCGTCCGCACCGTCTTCTTTCGTGTTCGAGACGAACCCTGCGGGAGTCAGCTCCGTGAGCGACCTTTTCACCAGCGATCATGATGTCCCGTTCCCCGATGGATCGGGATTTCTCTTCCCCAAGACGCTGCATTCGGCGAGTACCGAGAAAATACTCGAGCCGCTGACACAGCTACACCCGACAGGGCAGAGAATGCCGAACGAAGTACCTCTTCGATCTGCATCCGCTGACGGCGGTGTTTTCCCGGGCAATGAGCTGTTTATAGCGGCAACAGATGGTAGGGAGCTTCCGTCGGTGCCTGGTCGTCGACGCCTCGAATCTGAAGTGGACGAGCTTGCGCAGTTGATCAAGCTCAGCAACGAGGAGCATCGATCGGTGCAGCAGCTGCTCCAAGCGGAGCCGTTTATGGGCAGCACATGCGCTCTCGCCGAGGCAGATGATACCACCGCCGATGACCATGCAGGTTTTCTGATCAAGAATCACGGGTCGGACTCGACGTCTGACTTGTCGGCGCTGCTGCTGACACCCGCTCGCGGGACAAGAGCGCCCACCATGGCTAGCCCTGGCACGCCGAGTCCACAATCGCCGCGCAAGTCGCATGCGCTGGCATCGCCAGCAGCCAAGGAGCAGGTCACCGCGTCGCCGCAGGCATTTGCACCGAGTCAGGGGTATCTAGGGACGTCCGCTGCGGCCCGTGTGAGAAGCAACCAGCGTCCCGATGCCAGTCGCACATCTGCAGCACGCAGCGTCGAGGGCCAGCACCGCGTCGAGCCCCAGAACGAGTCCACTGCGAAAGCACGCCCACGCAAGTCACAGACAGAGACGCGTTTTGTTCACCCAGAGGTGCATCTACCAAATTCGGGCTTAACGACGCCACCGGAATCTCCCGGAGCGAGCCCGAGTCAAGTACCGGGCGTTCGTGCAGCGTCCGGCAAGAACGCGCTGACATTGCCAGCGGAGAGCGTGCCCTCGAAGCGTTCCGAGTCGCCGAGTAGCGAGCAGAAATCACCTTCACCAAAGTCGGATGGAGCTGGTACCAACGGTGCAGCGGCTTCCGTTGATGAATATACGCTACGCAAACGGGAAACACACAACTTGCATACTCGCGTCTCGCGGAAGAAAGTCTCGCAATGCTTCGAGCGACTCGTGACCGTGCTCACTGCCGATTGTGCAGTTGAGGAATCCGAGTTCATTATTTGCAATGAACTGGACGGAGCCTGCATCCCGGAACAAAGCATGATCTGCGCCTGCTGTGGACTTGACGGCTGCATGCGTCAGGATTGCAGGCAGTGCAAAGCGCCCACAAATACGTCCACAACTAACACCAATAACCAGCACGCAGCGCCTGCCTCGGGAGTAGACACACCGCCCAGTGTCGCTGCCGGTGACGTGTCGGCGGATAACGCGGACCCGAAAGCGCTCCTCACTGCGCCCGGTACCTGTTGTGGCTGGCGTGACCGTTTCATGCCACGTCGGGAGCGAGCCAGGGCGCTTCGAGCGCGTCTCCGTCATCGCGCAGAGACGCTCCAGTACGCAACACAGACCATTGTGCTGCTGCGTCGACAGCGTCGCTCCCTGGAACTTCTCCTGCTCCACGAATCGGAGTCGTTTCGGCGGCTCTGGGTGCAGCATCTGGTGGAACAAGTCCAGGGTGGTCAGCAGAAACCTCAGGATGAGCAAGTCGTCATTACAGAATGCTGCAAGTCAGTGGTACGCGCGGTGCTCGAGCAGTTTCACTGGCCATTTGGGGAGCTTTGGATGCTTGGTCTTCCGCCGCCGTCGACCGACACCGACAACGACAACGAGAAGGAGGCCTGCGCGGAACAACCCTGCGTTCGTGAGGGTACCGCGTCAGCGTCGCAGCGTCGGCAATGCTCCTGGGATACACTCCAGCATCAAGCGACGCTGATCGTGCCGCCACCTGCCGAAGAAACCGGGTATCTGGATCCATACTGGATGCTAGCGCTCCGTCCAGACAAAGCGCAAGCGACAGATCCACCTCTGCCCGATCTACTTGAGCGTCCCAGTGCCGTTTCCGAGGCGCGACTCGGTACCGAGCGTGATCCAGCCGCTCCTCCCGTTCGTGGAGATTGCCCAGCCGACTCACCAAGCACACTCCTGTCCTCTAGCGGGGTATCGAGTTGCAATGCCGCAGACGATCCACAACCGATGGCAACGAGTAGCAGCCGCTGCGCTGGCGGCTGCTCGGAATCGCTGACGAAACGCGAGCCCAATCCTGAACTGGACCAGAGCGCAGCACTGCTCACTGATCTGGAGTGCTTTGCTACTGAGAGCAAGCAGGTCCTTGCCCATCCATCGACGACGGATATCCAGAACCTGGTGCTTCGAGATCAGCGAGCTATTGGTGCCCGTCTCCGGGCCGGTGCGTTTGTGGAGTTCGACCCCCGGAGCGGCTCGGAGCGCACGTCCATCGCTTTCGAGAGAGCGCCGCTCGCACGGAGACACAACTTGCGTTGTCTGGTGGCGATACCGCTGCTGACCCCGGTTCACAGCGCACCGGACAAGCGTCCGCGTCTTTCCAGCGCCTCCGAGTCATCGACCAGTATCCGGGGCGTCGCGGTACTGGGTCACGTCGAAGCGGATGCCGCTGTGCAGCCACTGCTCCAGACACTGGAGAGCCTCTGGCAACATCTCATGGCGACGTTGGCTCGTGACTAAAGCGAGCGTCCATTTATGAAAAACTCGTCACAAGCATGACGAGTAGCGCGGATCGCGAACATAACAGGAAAAGCGGTTCACATTGTGGTCGAGACTGCGTCCAGGTTGATCCACAACAGACCTCGGCTCTCTCGCTTGCTTCTGGTGCGGTTCCGAGTGCTCCGAACGGCGACTCGCTGGGCAGCTGTGGTAATCGAGTGAACGAGCGAGCGTATCCACCGCCGTTGCACCAGAGCGTTGCCATTCGCACCCGGTGTACCTTGGTGTCGAAATACGGTTGCTTTCTGGAGGCGTCCAAACGTGCACCGCAAGCGCAAACCGCCGTGCCAGCGCTCCATGTCACCACACCCAGTCGAGGTTTTATGGATGTTCAGTGCTGCCCACGGATTCAGGACGCTGCGCTGCTTCTTCGGCGTACCAGGCGGCGGGTACGTCCCGGTTCAAGTCGAATCAGCACCGGTTCATCGGCTTCGACGCTATCCAGACGTGGCGACGAGGCCGTGAAGTCTGCTGGCTTGGGTGCTGGTTCGGCAACATGCTCTGACGAGGAGCCTGCGCCAGTTCGACGGCCTTGTCGCTGGCGTTTCGAAGCAGTCTCCGGTGAAGATTCCTCTACAGTTCGCGATGTCGACGCCTTGGTCGTTGTGTTGCTCTCGGGCAATACGCGGAGCTTACAAACAAAGAAACCATCCATGTTATGCACATGTGGATAATAGCGCCGTGCCTCCGCGAGGCTCGGGTGAAAGCGTTTCTCCCGAAAGCGGATGAAACCTGGTAAGCCGAACGGGATACCTGTTGAGACCACTTTCACCCGGGAACCCAGTTTGCGCAAAACATAATCGACTACTTCCTCATTTTCGTCGACAAGGATGCTGCACGTCGAATAGACAACAACGGCTCCCGTCTCACTGCGTGGGTTGCACGCATCGACCGCTGCAAGCAGAAGTTGTTTCTGGAGGTAAACGCAACGTCGAATGCTCGCTTCATCCCGTGTGTGTTTGATGGATGCATCATGTGCGATGACCCCAGTACCGGTACACGGTGCGTCCAGCAGCACTCGATCGAAAAAGTGACGGAATCCGCCGTGCTCAGACGGGCTCCCATTCGCCGACTTTGAGAGCGTCCTTCCGTCCAGGCTCATCACGACTGCATTCGGTACACCGAGACGTTGGAGGTTCGCAACGAGCGCTTTGCAGCGTTCCCGATTCACGTCGTTGGCAAAAAGCAACCCCGTACCTTTCATAAGCTGCGCGATATAGGTGGCCTTGCCGCCCGGTGCTGCCGCCATATCCAGAATCCGTTCGTGCTCGCGCGGTGCGAGTGCCATAACGGGTAGGAAACTCGCAGCCGCTTGAATCATGTAGTAGCCGGCCAAATATTCCGGTGTTGCGCCTACCGGTACTTCGCTCTGGTAAACAGTGAGCCCGACAGGCGACCAGGAGCCGACGGGATCTACATTCATGCCGCGAGCAATGAGCGCCATTGCGAGCCGCTGTCGCCGCACTTTCAGCGTGTTGGTGCGAATGACCAGGGGTCGGGGCGACTCGTTCGCCTCTATAAATGCAAGCAGCTCCGTAGGCGGGAAGAGTTCCGCAAAACGCTGTGCTAGAGAAGGCAGGTAATCGTACGCTGCGCAGATCATTTCCAATAGCTCGGTAACCAGCTCTGATCTACTTCGTGCGCCTTTCCGCTGGGGTGCGGGTTCGCTCAGCTCTTGAACGCGATTCTGAATCGCTTGTTTCAGTTCCTCGAGGTGTCCTGGACGCATTGCTGCTGGTGCTGCACCTGACGTCCACGCAGCAGCATCGTTCGCATCGAGATCGTGCTCAGGTTCCTGTGGAGAGGCCTTCGATGCGGCATCTGTGGCAGCGTCAGCGACCGCAAGCGGCTGCGTGGCCGCATACTGCCGCATGTGCCTCGCCAGGTACTCGTCTTCGTCTTCAGAAGTACTGACTCCATCATCTGTAGCATCACTGAGGTGCGTTACTGGAAACGCGTACCGCTCGACGTCCTCGGAGTCGGTCGACGCGTGGAACGGCTCCGGCGCCACCGTCGACGCGTCGAATGACCCTTCTTGGTTGAACGCGAGCCTATCATCGTTTTGAGGCTTCCGTTGAAAGATCGACATATCCTCTGAGTCTGAATCGGTTTGATTCGGGTGCGCTGTTTCCGACGCAGCTGCTTTTCGCTTCGCGGTATGAGCAGGCAGCTGCTCGCGAGAGGCGTCGCGCAGTTTTTCGTCTGGTTTGCTTCGAGATGGAGCGCGCAGCTTCCGATCTGCACCGCTTGGTACTTGAGAAACTTGCTTGATCTCATGACGCTTCTGTTTCTGCCCCAGACGGAGTGCAGACGCTGACTGAACGCCCGAAGCGCCGCGTCGCCCCGCGGTGCGCTTCACTCCCGTAGAGAGGCGCCGAACCATGCCGTGTGCGAGTTGAACAAAGCGGAGACCAGTTGAAACCTGGAAACCCTTTCGGAAACTCTAGTGAGAAGCGTGCGTGCTCGCCAGCGCACGCCGATCGGTTCCTGGTTAGAAGCGCGTCGCTCAAGCGGTTATAATGGAGCGGCGAAGGAGCCGCAGGTCTGAGCGCCACCCCTGGGTCCCGTTTCGAGTGAAAAGCGTGCAGTGCTCTGCGCTACCTTGACAGCAAACGAGTAGCTTTTCAACGGAGGGCAACGAATCGTTTTCGGTGCTTCAGAGCTCCCTCGAAAGACTATCACGAACCGGCACCAGTGCAGTGCGGTACACGGCGGATACAGTTCCATAGAGCGACACCGTAGCGGACGCCGGCGGTGCCCCCCGGCCGTCGTGGCATGTTTCAACGAGGTCCGAGTAGAAACGACCTCTTTTTTGACTAGTGCTGCACGTTTCCCGGAAGTTTCGGGGGGAAAAGTCAAAGTCAGTGTTCTGATTACTGAGGATCGCTTCGGATAGACGTCGTCAGAAAAGCTAAGCTGTACCTTTTGGGTATCTGTAACGTTCTCACCTTCCGAAGTGTCCAGTACGACGTTGCAGTCCTAGACTTGAAAGAAACCGCTTTCGATCTCGGCTTGCTCTGCAACGATCGCCGGCGGATGATTACCACTCTGTTTTGGGTACCCCGCGGGACAGCAGCAGCTGCTGCTTCTGTGCCTCTGGAGACTGCAAGTGAACCTGACGACGCCGCATCGCACTCGTCTGAGGACTGCTCAGACGGAGAGCGCACCAGCGATGCTGCGGAAGTGGGCCTTGAGCAGGTGCTCACGCTTCCAGACGACTTTTGGGAGACTAGTGATCCAAACTTGCACAAGCACAAGCTCGACTGGGAGCAACAGGACATTGAAGATGAACGCTTTCAGCAAGAAGACTGGGTTCTGTTTGCGGGGCGTCTCTACGAGGACGACAGTTGCGGCTTTGAGGTATGCGTCGTGGAGCGCCCTGATGTCGAGTGCTGCGCGAAGCCGCTCTCATGGGAGGCGATCGATACCAATATTTACGTCCATCATGATGGCATTCTCGCAGCACCACCGCTGAGCAGCGCATACACGGACTATGATGGACGTTGCCTTGCGGCAGTTGGCACATTTGCACCCACTGTAGAGCTCTGGGATCTCGTTCAAATGAATGCAGTAGAGCCGTTGATGATTCTGGACACCGTGGCTGCCGCTCAAACGAGCCCCTCTCTTGGACACAATGCCGCAGTAAAGCAGCGAACGCGAAACGCACAGCATCGCTTGACCCGGGATCTCCAACGAAAACGAAAGCGGCCCAGTGGAGATCGTAGCCAAGGCGGCAGCACCGCCGCTTCTGCATCTGGAGTGCTTTGTCTGGGCTTTCATCCCCGAGAGAGATGGATGCTCGCTGCCGGCTCTGCGACTGGTCATATCCATTTCTGGGACATTCGCGACGGAGCCTGTGTGGTGACGCTCCCCGACCTGCATCGCGACAAGCCACAGGCGCTGGCGTGGCACCCGCTACAGCACAGTCTTCTACTCACCGCCGGTTTCGATCGACGAGCTTGTCTGGTGGATTTACGAGCGCATTCACTGCATTCAGCGGCTTCGGGAGAGATCCAGCTGACTCGAGACCCCGAGCAGGTACTCTGGCGCTCCGAAAACCAATGCCTGCTCAGTGACGAGGGCGGCTCCATTAGCGCCTTCGACATTCGCCGGATCGGGAAGACGGAAACCGCACTGCTCTGGAGCTTTCAAGCTTGTCGAGATCGGCCAGCATTGATGACACTTGCACCAACGGTTCCGGATATGTTGGTGGTCGGCTCCACGGATGGCCATTTGCGGGTCTATGATCTCTCGATGCTGGAGCATTGCGGTGGTGTCTCGGCTACAGAGGCCTCCAAGGCACCGCAGTGGACGCCACTCGCTCAGGTGAACGCACATGCAGGCGCTCTGTTCGCGGTGGAGTCTTGTCCAGATGAGGTTTTCGGCTTCGGGGTGGCGTGCGGGGGCTCCAAGGGCATCTTGACAGTTGTCGATGTCGCTGAGAGCGCTCCGCAAGTTCTCCAGCACTTTCGTGGGCGCGCCTCAAGATCCGCTGCTGAAGTAGGTGCTCGTCTAGCTTGCATCGATTCGCTGGAAGAATCCGGTTCACTTGACGTCGACAAGTGACCGAGGGAGGCAGCGCTCAGCGCACAGCAGGTGCGTTTGCATACTGCGATCAGGGCCGCGATGTCTATAACTGCACTACTGGCGCTTGCTCCGTTTGCGATCAGTGTATCCGAATCGCACTGGTATACCTGTGTATTGAGAGGCTCGACGGTCATCGTAGCGTATCACGAGCACATATGCTACTCGTCGAAAGCTGCAAACTCGTGATTTATGCGTCGTGCGCGTGTATCCTTCGCTACTGGCATGAGGCTCGTCTTCAAGCGCTGACGCTAGGGCTTTTGACGCATTCAGCGTTCTGGAGATACCGCCTGATAGCGTGCGTGCCGCTGGCAACGTAGTCCCTGTTGCCACCCGTAGGCGGTTGGGTTCCTCGAACTCGCTCAGGCATCCGAGCTGGCGATCATTGTCGATTGTTACCGACGCTACGCATGGGAAAAGCCGACCAAAGGCTGGTGCCAAGAACCAAATCGTTGCGAACGGGGAGTGCTATTCGCCCAGACAGCATCACAATCGGAAGCACCAGCAACACCGGCACCTGAAGGCATTTCGTGTTCCAGGAAAGCCATCTGGGTGCGTGTTTGTTCGAGTTCCTGGCCAGCAGCTTTGCTTTATCGGTTTTCCGGGCAGCCGCAAGCCTACCAAAATACGGGTTGAGCTCGCTCTGGGGCGATCCGCTACGCTGCAGCCTTGCGAGCTGCAGGAATCCGTTTGAAGACGCAAGCGCTACCAGCCACAGACGGAGGAAGCGGTGTGAAGCGCTGCACGTGCACCGCTCCTAACGCCCAGGAGCACAAGGCCGTGGAACAAGCCTTCCGTCCTGTCCCTGCAGTACGAGCGAGCGTTCGGCAATACACGTCAACAGAAGGATAAATGTTTCAAAACCATGACGAGTAAATCTATATACCCATGCGCTGACGCCTCCCGGAACTTTTTGACCAGCCGCCTGCTATCGGTCTCAGTTTCTCCTTGGACACTTCGAGACTTCGAGGCTGTCCGAGAACGTTCACCTGCGTCAGCTCCGCGGGTCTTTTCATGAGCTCGGCACATCGTCTGATATTGATGGCGGCATTAAGGTCTCGGTTCGAAAAGCCCATGCGCCTATCGCCTCTGCTTGAAGTCACCCAGGCAGGGATTCCCAGAACTCGTGCCCGCCGTTCCATTTGATGCTCTGTCAGCGCTCCCTGCTTTTCTATCGCCGAAACGCTTCGCTGCCTTTTCTCCATATCGACCTTCTGAAATCTACATCTCAGCTCATCCCTTAATTTCTCTTAAATGAACGCACTTGTTCTTTAGATACCCAAGTGGGAACCTTCCCTGATCGACACGGATATGCAGAAGAGGGGCGAGGTGTGCCCCGGTGTGTCAACGTTTGCTGAACGCTTCAGCGATTCGTCCAGAAGAGCGATGATTACGTTTCGCAATAGAAGACACTCCTTCGAAGCGGTTCATCCGTGGACAGTGCGGAGTAATGGAAAGCAGCTCTATTTCGACCGAATCGGGAAAAGCGAAAACTCAAGCGGAACGGTGAAGTGCCACGTTGGTCAATGGAAGGACGTCTACAGATTTCACGGGAAAAGTCTTCAATGATTCGATCAAGTGGTTGGTTCTGTTGTATGTGCCTGCTGCATGAGCGGAACTGAGGCCGCCGAATGCATCCACCGCAGCTAGAACAGACGATCATGGCCTCGTTCTCTTCGAGTTCGATCCTACATACAACAGGTTCGTTCTCCGCCAATGCCGATATACGCCCCGACCGCTTCATCCGGAGGAACTCTCATCGACTGGAAAAACAAACCGACTGGCCTGTGCTTTATGCCGATAGCGGGTTCCAGGAATTCTGCTGTTGCGATTTCGTTCTAAGTTGGTCGTGCGTAAACTAGGACTTTTTTGCGACTGTATCCCGATGTTTTCAGGACCACACGAATTAGCTGGTGACAAACAGAGACGCCCTTGGCGGCGACGATCTTCGGTTTTGCCTTCCGCAAAAGGGGATCAACGGGTTGTTTTTGAAGCATCGACCGCAAGCAGTCTCTGAAAATATCGGTTTCTGGCGCGAAGCGCATCTATTGCTTTGTTTCAGTGTTCCTCAAACGTCTGCCTACTGCGGTATTTCTGAGCGCAATAAGGGATGCAGTCCTCGTTACACTGTTCAGTAAATATTATATCCTACAGACAACTCGTCTACAATCCATAAACTATATCGCATCGTGATTTCGATCCTCTGCTATCCATTGCGGCCGGCGGGTGCAACAAAATCGTCATGAAATACTGCAATGCTGAACGTGTCCGAGTACTGTCCTTATCAAGGCGGAATTGGACGCATCTCAGTCGGCTTTGTCGACGCTTGTTCACACTGATGACGAGCATACCTTTCGCTGCAGTGACGAGCGAGCGCAGCGCGTGCCCGCGGTGCTTGTCAACTGGGGCTCCGTGGCACGCGCTGACACCGGCATCGCTTTCATTGTCCACATGCGACAAATCCTTCATCGCAACGATCTCATCGAGTCAAGGGATCGAATGTCTCCGTTTACCGTAACGCAGAACGTTGTCTCCAGATCCAGTACTGCTTTACGGGGGCGTCGAATTCTAAGGCAAGCATCTCCCCTAGATGCGCTGCTGGGGTGCTGCGGCATGCTCCTGCAGCATATGCACGTCGAGGCGCTGCTGGACGGCATCGATAAACTCCTCTGTATTGAGGTAGTTTTCCCGTTTGCTGCCCTGTTCCGTCCCGTACACTGCAATCGAGAGGTCCTTTGTCATCTTACCATCCAGGATTGTCTCGATACAGGACCGCTCCAACGCCTCAGCGAAATGTGCAACATCCGGGGTTCCGTCGAGTGTCGCCCGATGGGCCAGGCCTCGTGCCCATGCCACAATACTAGCAACGGAATTGGTACTCGTTTCCTTTCCCTGCTGATGGAGTCGGAAATGTCGCGTCACTGTGCCGTGAGCCGCCTCCGCCAACAGCGTCTTGCCGTCCGGCGTAAGCAGGACGCTGCTCATGAGTCCCAACGAACCGTAGCCCTGTGCTATAATGTCAGACTGCACATCTCCATCATAATTCTTGCAAGCCCATAAAAACCCACCCGATGACTTTAACGCTTGAGCAACCATATCGTCAATGAGGCGGTGCTCATACCAGAGCGCGGCCCGAGTGAAGCGTTCCCGATAATCCCTTTCGTACAGTTCCTGGAAAATGTCCCGCCAACGTCCATCGTACACTTTGAGAATCGTATTTTTCGTGCTCAAGTACATTGGCAGCTTCCTCCTTAACGCAAACTCGAAGCAAGAGCGGGCGAAGTTTCGAATGCTTTCGTCTGTATTGAACATGCCGAGAGCGACGCCGCCGCCGTCGGTGCTCGACGCGAACTGGTGCACCTGGCGACGCTCGAGCTCCATGCCTTGGGCATCCAAAACTCGCAGCTCAACGCGACATGCTGGCGGCACCCGCAAGTCCTGTGCTTTGTACTGGTCTCCGAAGCCGTGGCGAGCGATGACGATCGGTTGCTTCCAGCCTGGCACAAGGCGCGGAATATTCTCAACCAGGATCGGTTCGCGAAACACAGTACCGTTTAAGACGTTCCGCAAGGTACCGTTCGGCGACGGGTACATGCGCTTGAGATGAAACTCCTCGACACGTGCCTCGTCTGGTGTTATGGTAGCAGCCTTAACCGCTGCGTGATGCTGTTGTACCGCTCGTGCTGCTTCCAGGGTAACGCCGTCGTCCGTAGCGTCTCGAACGGGTAAACCCAGGTCGAAATAAACGATGTCCAGATTGAGGTACGGAAGAATGAGTTTGTTCTTGATCAGGTGCCAGATGACACGCGCTTGTTCGTCTCCATCAAGCTCGACTATCGGATTTCGCACTCTGATTTTGGAAAAAGCAGGTACGTTCGACATGTTTGCACAAAGGCTTCGTCCTGTTGTTCGCCTCAAAAACTTGGGAAAGCAGTGACCCCGTCTTCGATTACAACAACAATTTCCCAAGGACCGGCACGGTGCAAAACCTGTTCGTTTCCACGAGCCCCCGTGGCTAAGAAAAGCACTCGAAAGCGCGCAGCAAGCCTTCCTGAGCACAAGCATCGATGATGGACGAGTGAGTCTGGCGGGTTCGAGAGATCGCTGCCGCGCCGGCTTGTGTTCGCTGGAGATCAAGCGCGCAGCAGGCTGCTGCTTATGGGGTGGTGGTATGGTTGAAACGGGGTTTCGGATAAGTGTGGCAGTGATGATGATGATGATGGTGATGGTATACCAGCTTTCATTGGACACTTGGCCAAAGCACCGGACTATGATGCAGCGACGGGATTCGCATGTATTTCGTAGCGTGCACTCAAGTGGAGAAATTTTGTTTTGTTGCACTGGATCGGAGAAGGGGTTTCAACGGCCTTGGTGATCTGATGAACCGATACGAGTCGGATCTCGGCTTGCGAACCTATCGGTGGATAGGCAGCTCACTGCACCGTGCTGCAGCATACGAAAGGAGCGTGCTAGAGCGTCCAAAATCGGATGACGCTGAACCCATGTCAGACTGGAATAGAGCGGGTCGACACGAGCGACCTGGGCGTACACCATAGATACTTGATTTCATTCGATTCTCATCAACACCAGCTTTTGCGAACCTTTTTCGTGCGACTGCTTCCTTTTTCTTTTTCATGTGGATTGCTCCAACTACGCAGGTACTTTTCGTATCGAACGCTTGCTTGTCAGCATACGCAGCTTCGCGATGCAAGGACAAGTCCCGACTTGGCCGCTTCAGGCTCTAATTGACGTCCTCGAAGCAAAGACGGTCGTTGCGATCGATGTTTCGCTTGACAATTGCATTTTTATTTGTGTACAACCTGGGTGCAAGCTTCACAGCAGCGACACTTGGCAGTGCGCAGGCATTCTATACGTATATCGAGGCTTCTCACGCGCCGATGGCTGCCTCTTGGCACGGGCAGGCGTGCTTCATTGCTCGGAACATGACCTGGACAGGTACAGAGGGCTCTTCTCAATGCCTTTTCACGTTTCCGTGGCTGGCCCTGAAACCCACAATCACCGGCGTGCTCTGGGCGATGCTCGCTGCGAGCACGTCGCTCCATTCCATAAAGGATACATGGAACGCTAGCTTGTCCATGATGGAACATTTCATGGAAAGACAATACTGGTTCGCAAATGAGTTGAGAAACTTTGATCCGTCTACGTCCCTTCGTGCAAAACGGTGGACTACGCCCCACTGGAAGCGATCGCTGTAATCACTCTAGTCCCAGTGCATGAAGCTTGTAGTCTTTCGAGTCGGTGATATTCCACGCACCTGGGTCTGGAATATCACCGACTCGAAAGACGATAGTGCTGCGGGATCGATGACCGAAAACCCAGCCGCCCAAATGTGCAAACCTGGTCGATTATTCGAACATGAACCTCACTCTTCCACTGCGACTTGAAAGCTGCATACGTCCCAGGTCACCGGACGAGTGCAGAGGTCGCATACTGTCGTACCAGAGACGCAAACTCGACAAGCCCAGGCGCCCTGCACATGCACTGTGGAACGCAACATCGCCAGAGCTCCAAACGTCAAACTTTAGCCATTTGCGTTCCTTTTACTGCTCAAGTTCGACACCACGGGGAACTCGTCGCCTAATCGGCACTCTGTTAGCGTTCGTCTATTGCACGTGAACTTGCCCTAGCGCAATAAACGGTCCCCGAGTGCGACCTTCGAAGCTCGGCTTGTGGGCAATGCGCTTGCTTGCTCCGATTGCACTGGAGTAGAGGCGGTACAACAGCTTCGTCGTGCCCATGACATCACCAGCGCTGCCGCTGCAGCTCCCGCGCTCCGAGCACATCGCTTTTTTGGGCCAGTACGTAAACCGGGACGTCAGGGCTTTGCCATCTACCTTTGAGCTTTGGGTCACGGAGCATAAGAAACTCTCTGCCGCCTACTGGACGGTCGTTGCACTAGCGCTGCTGGACGCCCTGGATCTGGTGCCACGCGAGCGTTTGCGAGACTGGGTGCTGGAGTGTCGAGACCCGTGTGGCGGGTTTGGCGGCGACGTTGGACAGGACCCGCATCTGCTCTATACGTTATCAGCGGTCCAGATCCTTTTCTTACTGGGAGAAGAGGCGCGCCTGGACCGGTCATCCATCATAGCATATGTGGCAAGCCTTCAGCAACCTGACGGATCTTTCGCAGGCGATACCTGGGGCGAGATCGACACCCGCTTCTGCTTCTGTGCGGCGCTTACGCTCGCCATACTTGGTGTTCCATTGCAACAACGCGAGCATTCTCGGAATTCTCCAGAAAAGACGAACGAAATCGAACGTCCCATTCGCACCGATGCCCTAGTAGACTACATCATGCGATGCGAAAACGATGACGGAGGCTTTGGTGTTATCCCCGGCGCAGAATCCCATGCTGGTCAGGTTTTCTGCTGTGTCGGCACGCTGGCGTTGTGTGGAGCTCTCTATCGGCTTCGAGACGGCGGCAATAGGCTGGCTCGTTGGCTCGCGTATCGCCAACTTCGAAACGGAGGTTTCAATGGTCGTCCCGATAAGTTACCGGACGTTTGCTACAGCTGGTGGGTACTGGCCTCGCTTAAAATCATCGCAAAGGACCATTGGATCTCTGCTGACGCTCTTGAGCGTTTCATCTTCTCCTGTCATGCGCAGAGAGAGAGTCAGAACACATACGCTGGCGGCATTGCAGACCGACCAGGTGACGAGCCGGATGTCTTCCATACCTTTTTTGGCCTGGCTGGTCTGTCGCTGCTCGAGAGGCAGCAGCTGATCGCCATTGATCCTGTCTACGCTCTTCCGTGTGCGCTTGTGAAACGCATTCATGCCGCCAACCCCAAAGCGGAACTCGTGGACACAACCGAAGGGGTGTCACAAGTTTGAATGCGATATCCATTTACGGATGAGAGACGTATCCTTCGCAGTTCCGATACACAATGCGCAAATCCTGGTGTGTGCTGGTGCTCGTGACACAGTGACCGGGAAAACAAGGACGCTTTTTTCACCAATTGGACAAGATTTTGCGGTGCGCCGTTAACTAACAACGTGCTTGTTGCATGTATGCACGGCTCGAGTTTCAGAAGCAACGGGATCACGTCTCTTTTCCTGCTAGCGCTCCCTGTCGTTGACTGTGCTCATCTTCTACGACAGCGCACAAGCGTTGCAGCGCTCAAAAAATTCATGGAAATACGCACGCGCAAACCAGAGCAATGCGCCCCCATCCTTTCTGTGGATATTAATGTATCTATTTTCACGTGCTCATCGAAGTCGTAACGTGTAGGAATTCGCCGATCCGACCAATAAATCAAATGCGCTTGCTGGTTGCTACCCCAGAGCGAGTCCCTGCCAGCGCAGCGCAGACACGCTTCATTACCGTTCGGTTCCGCGTTCGCGTACACCATGACATGGGCCATCATTCTGGTACGAGAGCGCGCAGCATCCACGAGGCCTGCCCCAGCCTCCCGGTCACTGGCACCGTGATTCAATCCCGCTAAGCCAGTCGCTTACGGATTCGCATACCAGCCTTGGGGCGGAGACGGTGCTCGAATGAGGAGAGCGACCTGCAACGCGCCCAGCGAGCGCACTACAGGCAAGCTCTTCGCACCCATACGTTGCCGCGTTCGCACGAGTGTGCCTCGGTGATCCGTACAAGGCAACAAAAGGCAGATGCGCTGGTGCGTCCTGATCATGGACCCGGGCTCGTGATCGCATTAGCAGCGCTCGCTCGATAGCGTCGATGCAACGCTCCTCAATACACTGATCGGCATCAAGCAGGCGGGGATCGCCCATTCGGTGCATCGATCCTACACCAGGAAGAAAATAGCGACAATGCGGGTGCGCTACTCGCCTCAGTCTGTCAGTGAGCGCAGTCCTCGGGTTTCCTGGATGAAATCGGCGATAGCCTGATAGTAACGCTCACCACCTCGATACCAAGTGTCATTATGTGTTCCATCAGGAATGTATACCATTCGAGCAAGCATGCAGGAACCCGCTCGAGCAGCGTTGTACAGAGCATCCATATGCGATGGAGGTACGAGTTCATCTTGCCGACCGCTGATAAACAGAATCGGAGACCGGATCTTGCCGACCAGGGCCAGGGAATTCCACGGGTTACGATTCAGTCGCTTGAGCCAGCGCAGGCCTCGTGGAAAAACCACGTCAATCATGTCGCCGATACAAGTAAATGTATTCTCCACGATGACGCCGCGGAGTTTGGAACCGTACTTGCGACCGAGCCAGAGCGCTACGGCACCGCCAATCGAACGCCCGAATACATAGAGGAGGTCGCTTTCGATCAGACGGGCTGACGGTACCCGACCTGCCGCTGTGGATGTTCCGCTATCATCCGCTGCGGCATGTTTTCCGGCGTTCAAACAGAACTCCATCGCTGCTGAAGCGTCGAGCTTGAAACCCTGCTCCGATGGCGTGCCAGACGACTCTCCATAGCCGCGATAGCTGACCATCAGAACATTGCACTGACATGTTGCGATTAGGTTGCGCACGTCTTGCAGGCGGTGTGACAGGTTGCCTGCGTTGCCGTGGAAGTAGATGATCGTAACCCGCGGCCTTTGACCTGTTTCACTTCGTACTGGAAACACAAGCCACGCATGAATTCGTGTACCGTCGACAGCTCGCAGCGCAACGTCCTCATACGCGAGACCCTCGAACTGGTCAGGGTACGCATCGTAGTGTCGTGAAGGTATCTGCGGCAGATAGAGAAGCTTCTCCTGCTTGAGGTACAGCGCGCCGCCCAGAAGCCCAACAGCACCGAGCGCTACACCTAGTATGGGCACGATCGCTGCCATTGCTCGCGAAGACACCGCACTGGTACCGCGTTATGCGTCCCCAAACGTTACAGGTCGAGAGCGTACGCCCGCACCTGAGAGCGCAGCCATTGGCTGCTCGTGAGAAGCCACCACGCATCGCGCTGGGCAGATCCAGTGCGGTGCCTCTTCTGGAGGTGTTGCTTCCCAGAAGCACGTTTTTGCCGTTATCGCGAAGTTAATGACGACAATGAATCAGTCTCGCGACTATGCGCGATACCGCAAGGCATTTGGAAATGGATAGCGCTTGCTTTCGGGAAACTGAGGGGGTTTTATCGCTGGTTGTCACCGGGTAGCGCACCGGAGTTGTCGTAGTGCGTATAACGTGGTGTGCAGGTGCCGGCTGCAGGTACGTGTCAAGAAGGAGCGCTGCAGCTGCTCCCTGCAAACTGCCTACTTTCGCCTGATGGTAGCGATTGAACGGTCATTTCCAGATTTTCACACCAAGTCTATCTTGCATCGGAAGCACGTAGGACAAGCACGTTTCGTATGCGCGTTGGAAACGTTCCGCACAATGCAACGCCGTGTCGAAGGTTGGGGCGTGCCGTCGGTTGCAGCGCGACTCTTGGAGGATCAAGTTACGTACCTGTTGGGGTAACGACTTCTGCTGTTGCGAGCATTTTCTCAACGTTTGCGTATCAAAGTGGCCTTGTGGAAGGAAGCATCGAGATCTAAAAGTTTGCGAATGCCTCCCGCTCGCAAGCACCCGGTGAACCTGCGCTGCATTGAGATGGTGCGTGCTCGTTCATGACGCGGTTGCTCCTGTTGACATGCACCCGGCAAAGCGTTTTCTTCTAAAATCCTTGCATATCCGTACTTCATCGAGAGACTCGTGTTTCCATCCATTTTAGGTCGTTCGTCTGCTGTGGAGCAGTTGGGATCCAATACCAGTGAAACCAGCACATTTTCAAGCATCTCTGGGCAAGATGCTGTCATCTCGGAGACCAAGCGCTTATGCACTCGAGCACGGACTCGTTTCCAAGCAGTTGGGACGCACAGCTGACGAAGGATACAGCGGGTCTCTGAAGTCATCGAAAGATCCAGGATTCCGTTCCTTGGAACCATAGGCGATCGTCGCATGAGCTGGGACGCAGCTCGAAACGTGGCTGTCGCTGCCAATGCCAGCTGTTGGACGCTTTCATGACGTGTGTACACAGCGACCGCAGTCCAGCTACGACCAGGCGAATGATGTACTAGTGTCTCTGGCGGTCTATGGAGTATCCATGAGGAAGACCGGGTTGCGCGCTGCCTACCTTTGCATGCTTTTGAACGCGTACACCGCAAGTTCAAGCCATCGACGCTGCACGATGAGAGGCATCCAGAGGCAAACTTGCGGTGCTGAACGGGCGAAGCCGGCACACGTCCGCGTGTCTGAGCGTAGGCACCGAGCGGCACGGCAGACGCTCAGGGCAGCTTCAACACCCGTGCTGTGTCTGCGTTTTCTAGCTCCTATTTCCGACAGGAAAACGCCACCGAGCATGCTGGATCCTTGACGCGATCCCGGTGACCACTAGAGTCCCGTCTCTTGTCACTGGCTGCAGCTACGCATCTTCAGGAGTCAACACCAAAGCATGGATCGCGCTTCAGGCGCAAACATTGCGGAATCCAGTGCGCTACGAACAACCGCAGTGCTTTCTGTGCAGAAACCCCAGCGGGTTGTACGCCACGCGATCGCTACGTACCTCAACGCCGATTACGCAGGTACCAGCAACAATGCCCATGATTTGATTCATCACGCATCCATAGTCAATGCACTGCCGCACTAGATGTGTTCTGAGTGCGTCTATGCACTCGTGCAGACGTCCAGCTGGATGCCCCATCGTGCATAGGCAAGTCTCCGGCGACACGTCGCTGCGGTCGGCGCTCGTCGACGGCCCTGCAGCGCACATCCAGCACCCACGATCCCGGCCTGGTACTGGTATCTGCAACGTCGTTGCGCTCAGCAGTTGGACTCTGTTTCTAGCAACTCGACAATGGTGACTCCGGGTTTCATCAGTAGTACAGTCGGTGCACGCGGTATGTCGTCGCGTTCCTGCAAAGCACTGGCGCTGAGCAGGATTCCTGTACTAGTTACCTGGCGGCGGACTCGGCTGAACGCTGCGAAGCACCGCGGTGGCTTGCGCCTCTCCCAAAAAGCCGACGACCAGGCTTCACCTTCGGAATCAAAGCAAAAGTCTGAACAGAGCGGTGCGTTAGATGGGAAACAGCAGACAACGGGTGTGAACGACTCGGAGCAGTCGCTTCGGCAACTGCTTGGGATGCGAGGCGCCAGCAAAGAAACGAACAAGTGGCGAATTCGCCTGCAGCTTATGAAGCCTATCACCTGGATTCCACTAGTCTGGGGAGTTGGCTGCGGTGCAGCTGCCTCCGGGCAATACCAATGGAACGATCCACAGGACATTGCAAAGCTATTGCTCTGCATGATCCTGTCGGGTCCGGTGTTGGCTGGCTTCACCCAGACGCTCAACGACTGGTTCGATCGCGAGATCGACGCTGTGAACGAGCCCTATCGGCCGATACCATCCGGAGCTATTTCCGAAGGTGAAGTCGTTGCGCAAATATGGGCGCTTCTCTTCGCCGGACTCGGCTTGGCATACGGTCTCGACCTGTGGCAGGGGCACCAGTTTCCCCGGGTGCTTGCTGTAGCGTTGTTTGGAACCTTCCTTGCATACATCTACTCAGCGCCGCCTCTGAAGCTGAAAAAGAACGGATGGCTAGGGAATTATGCACTCGGAGCATCGTATATTTCACTGCCGTGGTGGGCGGGCCAGTCGCTCTTCAGCGACAACCCGTTAGACTGGAAAATCATCGCACTAACGCTTCTCTATTCTTTTGCTGGGCTTGGCATAGCGGTTATTAATGATTTTAAATCCATCGAGGGTGACAGAAGACTGGGGCTAGCCAGCTTGCCCGTGATGTACGGTGTGGACACAGCCAAGTGGTTGAGTGTAGGCCTCATCGATATTTTCCAGGCGCTGGTAGCGGCCTACTTGGCGCTTGTTGGCGAGACGGGGTATGCACTAGCGCTCGTTGCGATGATTCTGCCGCAAGTGTACCTGCAGTGGAAAATATTTTTACCGGACCCGATGCAGAACGACGTCAAGTACCAGGGTGCTGCCCAGCCGTTTCTAGTTTTTGGGATTTTGATCACCGCGCTGGCGATTGGTCATCATGGACAATTGTAGAGTCGCTGGACGCAGCCCTGTGGAGACGGTCACACATGCGAGCACCGATAGCTGGCTGAGCGCTTCAGGAATAAGGAAATGTCCTGACGCTTCTCAACTGGATGCTGGTGGATAATGTTGTCGTGCTCACTGAGCTGCATCGCGTGCTCGAACGAAACACACGGGTTGCAATGCGCAGACGAACCGAAAGTTCTCGGCTATAGAATGCGTAATGAAGCGCGCTGCGGCAGGCACTTTGTTTCTCGGTGCAGTGAACACGGGTGAACCAGCTGTGAATCAACGGCCGTGTCCACGACAACACTCGTTGCACATTTGCTGCTCGCAACAAGCGCGAGCAGCTCGAATTGCGCATCAGCATGCCACTGCATCTTGAACGATTACCGGAACTGAGGCCGTGGTACATTGCCGTGCTGCATTGTTCTGGCCCAAAACGTACCCGTGCAGGGGTGAACCTCACAGACAGCCTGTTGGAACGCGCTGTGGACACGGAGATCTCGATGCTCGATGCTGCTTGCGGTACAAGGAATTGTACCCAAATGCTCTTTCCCCTCAGTTGGTCTCATCGAATAGACCGATAACGGTCTCTACGCAGAGAAATGCATCATCCTTGGAGCGGTATGGCCTGCTGCATTGCCGAGTAGGCGATTTCGAGCGAGCGAGGCCATCGCGACCCTGCTGGCAGTGCACACGAAAAGCGCTCACTTTCACCAACAGACAGGTAGGTAGCTTGAAAGGCAAGGAGGTCGCACTGCAGCAACCATTCCCCCTGATTGCCTGATTGATATCGCTTTGCGAGCCGGCAGCGCTCACTTTCACCAACAGACAGGTAGGTAGCTTGAAAGGCAAGGAGGTCGCACTGCAGCAACCATGCCCCCTGATTGCCTGATTGATATCGCCTTGCGAGCCGGCAGCGCTCACTTTCACCAACAGACAGGTAGGTAGCTTGAAAGGCAAGGAGGTCGCGCTGCAGCAACCATGCCCCCTGATTGCCTGAACGATATCGCCTCGTTAACCCGCTAGCCTGCCCGATAGAAACTGCACCTGCACAGTCACGCACGGTGCACCTCTCATGCCGTTCAGGCCGGCAGCGCTGACAAACACCACGCGCTCATCCGTAGATTTCTCCGGAAACCTTGCCCCGATATCCCTCGCAATAGTAGCGCCCGCGGTATGAACAAAAACCTCGTTCTCCGCGGTGACGACTCCAAGACGCCTTGCATCATCACCGCTACACTGGACGATGCGCGCTCCCATGCCGAAGCCACACCCAAGCTCGCTCGCTGGCCTCAAACAGCACCAACACCGCTACCAACACCACATTATGTCTCCAACTGCAAGTGCAGCAATGCAGCAGTAGCCCAGCTATATGGATGCATCCCAGGCGCCTAGACCGGCGATCCGCTACGCAACACGCTGCCTGGGCCTGTGTAGACGCTGCGGCGCTGGCGCTTCGCGAAACCAGACATACCCGCGCATACCGCTTCACACCGAAAACTTTTTGGTGCTTTTTGTTTTCGTATTGTTTCGTTGCTTGGAACGGTCCACGTACCTGCCGCACGAACTCAGCTCATTCATGGCCAAGCGGCCGCGTCCAAGTGCCTCACAAGAGGATCTCCAAGAAAGGGATGAAGCGATTGACGGGAAATTGTTGCGCTATCAAATAGCACAGCTTGGTGCTTCCTTGCAAGCTCGACAGGAGGAGCTGCAGAGGCTGCAGAGCCGGGTGGAAACCCTAGAGCGGGAACTGGCAGAGCATGATGTTGCGCAAAAGCCCGAGCTTCGGCCCGAATGGGAGCCTCTTGTCCAGGCTGCAGTGGCTGCGAGGAAGGTAGAGCGTCTCGAGCAGGACCTCGAGGACGCCCGCCAACAGCTCACGCAACAGCGGCGTCTTCTCGTTCGTTTAGAGTGCGGAGTCTCTGTTACCGGTACCAGCACTGCGACTGATCAAGCACCTGTTCCCAAGCCAGACTCGTCACCTGCTTCGGAGCAGTCGTCAGCGCCGGAACGCAACGATACGCTAGCGGGCACTGCGGCCGCAGAGGCGCCATCGTCGACCTCCGCTGGGCCTCAGCAAGTCGACACAAAGCAGGTATCCGTCCTACAGTCCCAGGTAAATGAACTGGAAACAAGGATTAGTCTTTTGGCAGAGGAACTCGCACAGGAGCGTGAACTCGCTCGAGCCGTTCGCGAACAACTCGAGAGCAGCGCGCGGGAGAAAGCGGAACTAGCGAGTGCACTCCAGGTCGCCCAGGAGCAGGCACAGAACCCAGAGCCAGAGGTTATTCGGGCGTCGGCCACCTACAAGAGCATGGAGGCCCATTTACTGATTCTTCTGCGGGCTGAACAGAAATGGAGTCAGGATCGGGAAGCGCTTGTCCGCGAACGCGATGAGCTCTTGATTCGCGCTAACCAGGAACAAACAGTCGAGAAGCGAGAGCTCCTTAGCGAGATCGAGAAGCTCAAAGCAAAAATAAATGAGAAGAACACGGAAACGGAATGGCTGAAGGAGAATGTAGCCAAACTACAGATGATGTACGAGGAGAAGAAAAAAGTCGCTGTTGATCCCGTGGTTCTAGACGAGACCAGCAGAGCTGTACGCCAACTGCAGGAACGGAACGCGGATCTCAGCACGAAATTACAGAGCATACGGACAGCCGAAGCGGTAAGTTTATACAGTTACTGACGTAGCGGAAAGCGCCTCGCGTTGCTTCTCCTGGATGCACGGGCGCTTTCATAGAGCTCGACTCCATTCAGTCAGTCAGTCAGTCAGTCAGTCTGACTGACTGTCTGTCTGTCAGTTTGTGTGCATGTGTTTGTATGCACATGACCAGCACCCATCGTTGACGTTCTTTGGCGAACACTGGCGTCATCTGGTGATATGCGAAGCCACAAGGCGACGCAAGCGATACGAGCGCCCGTACCGCCGTCGACGCCATGCAGCGGGTGCCGGTGACCACACGGGTATAGCGTTGCCGGCTGACTCGGGCCCAAGACTACCACACGCTTATCGAACCGAACAGAGCACTAACCGATTCTCATCAACCAGGATGTACAGAGCGCTTCTGAAGACGCATCGGAGTATTTGGCAGAGATCGAGACCTTGTCGTCCAGCTTGACCAAGGCGGAGGCCTCCATCGCACAACTCACGGAACGCCTTATCGAGAAAGAAGCAACCCTAGGCAAAGTGCTCGCGGAAAGGCTCAAATACATTCAGCAGCAACTGACGTTAAAGGAGCAGCTGAAAGTGGAAGCGAATCGCGCCGAGAAAGAACACGAGCTCTCGCAACAAATCAGCCATGCATTGACTGCAGCACGGAATCAGGTGTCCGAGCTGCAGAGCCAGTTGGAGAAAATGAGTAGCGAAATGCGTATTGTTCGCAAGCAAGCCGACATCGCCCGCCTCGGCGCCGAAAAGAGCGCGGCGGAAGCGTATACCCAGCGGCAGTTTGCCGAGTCCGCCCAATCGCAGGTAAGACGCCTCAGTGGAGAACTGGCTCAGCTTCGTGGTCAGATCGAACAGCAAACAGAGGCGCTGCGTGCTGCAGACGAAGCGAAAACGCGTAGCGAACGACGCGTGTCGCGGCTGGAGCACGAGCTCGAACTATTACGCAAGCGCAACGCTGCAACGAGCGCTAGCGATGTCGACTGGCAACACGAAATGATCGAAGATATGCGACGCAAGCTCTACTGCACCGTCTGCAAAGCTCAGGAGAAACAGGTTACACTGCTTCGCTGTTTTCACATGTTCTGTCGGGATTGCATTCAAACGAATATCGCGAATCGAAATCGCAAATGCCCGTTATGTGGCGAAAAATTCGGCACCGACGATGTGAAACCGATCTTTTTCGTCTGAGCGACTCGCGAATGCCAGGAGTACGGTTTGCTCCACGTAATGAGCGTCCACGCTTGCGAGCATGAATGTATGGATGTGTGTGCGGGCGTTCATATGCACGTGGCTTTTAACGAGATCATGTAGGTACGAGCGAGGATGTGTGGATTTGGCACAAGTCTCGCCAGGGCGCCTGGTACACCAGCACCACCAGCATCACATGAGCGATTGACGCCTGCAGCTGCCTCCTCTGCGCTGACCCTTAAACGATTCAAACGATTATCAAAGGGCGTACCTGCAGCGCATTCGAATGATTTCCAAGGGCAAACACCCGACGCGTCTGCTACGTGTTTTGGACACGAGCTCGCCTTTGCTCCTGGTCACCATTCATCGGATGCGAGATTTGCCAGATACTGCCGATGCAGCAGTCCTCCAGGTAGATGCGTTAAAGACGCGGTACCATGCAGCCTCCGAGGCAGCGGCGACGACGTGGTATTCGGGCGCTCGTCCAACAACTGTTGGGATTCAGCTGCGTTGGGCTACTCGGGCAAGGGCGCACTCACCCGCGCTCAGCTTCCGACTGACGCTGCTCCTGTTGTTGTTGTTGTTGTTGTTGCTGCTGCTGCGACCTCGATAGCGGATGCATCACAAAGTCCAGCGTCCGTCGCGTCACTGGCGCTGAGGGCGATGCATCCGCAATGCCTGGTGCGCTGCTGCCCAGCGCCCCGGGTTGGGTTTCAGGCTCCGTCTCAACGCCTGACTCGAAGAAACTCCCCGGTTGTATCTGACCAATGTCAGCGAGTGCGTCGCGGGCCTGCACCAACAGCGTCTCTGCTTCCTGTTGCTTCCGTCCGTGTCCGCGGCGGAAGAGGATATACACCCGCACACGCAAGCCGCGCATGAGGAACTCGCGAGCGCGGCGCATTTTCAGCGCAAAGTCGTGACTCTGTGTCACTGGCGAGAGACGAATCTCCTTGGTGACTTGTTGGCGTGTTTTCCGTGCTGCTTTCACCATATTCCGCTTGGCTTTGGCGGATCTCGTCGATAGTACGTCACGTGCGGACGTAACGAGTCGACAGACCGGCAAAGGGCGTGCTTTGGGCGCCACTTCGACCAGATCGAGTCCACGGCTCGATGCCTTCTGCAGCGCATCTGCCACAGAGAAGGTGCCCAGTGCCTCACCGTTGGTATCCACAAGCAGACACTGCATCGTAGAGGGAATTTCATCGTTCACACGAAGACGTGCTTTCTCTACCATGCGGGGCTTGACCTGCGATGCAGCCGCAACTACAAAGCTTCTCCGGGCCGTCGATGCAACCTCCACTGCAACTAGGCTTGCGCAGCTCGCCTTGCTGTACTTTGCTGCAGTCGCTGTTACACCGTACAATGCCGACTGCACATGTCCAAGCACCCGGGTGTAACCAGTGTCTGCAGCAGCTCCCGGCAGTCGACGGCTTTGTGTGCTAGTCCGGGACAGCGTCTCGTGCGAGAAGCGCATGCCAAACGCATCCCTACGAGGCATGTATCCGTGGTTGTCGTTCCAGCGGGTTACGGAGCGTCGTATCCAGCATGACAGGCGATGCAGTACACGAGCGGATTCTGGCATGAGAAGAGGGTCAAGGCGACAGCGCTGTTCTGGCGCTGACGTCTGCACACCCCGACTCGCGGTCTGTTCACGACGACGACGACGACTACTGTGAGGAGCAGGAGGAGAAGAAAAAGAAGTGATGCGCCTCATATGCAAGACGCTGCTCGCGGTGGACGCTTTGCACGCTGGTACAGCGTGTGCTCTACTGTACGCCGTTGCTGTCGCCACCCGAGTCGACGTCTCCGCTACGGGACCGAACGCCCGAATGAAGCCCAGATGCTGACAAAAGCGGTCCCAGCGGCACCGCTTTCGCCAAGACTCATACGTGAGAAGCGGTGTGCGCACCAGCGTCGCGGTACTCGCAGGGCAGCCTTCCTGGGCGAGGCCGTGTTGCGCGTGTGCCGACGCCAAGCCACGAAGCCAAACAGAACACCAGTCCCCGCTGTGTCTGGTGCGCATGAAACTCTCCTCGAGTCTTGAGTCCGGTACTCGTAGGTCACCCGTCGAAAGCAGCGCCGACCCACACAACAGCCAGCACCGGTGATGCGCACCCGTTGCCTGCCAGTCCCGCGTGAACGCAGTCGTACACCAGTGCTGCTCCGCTGACAAGCGCACACGCTCTGTAAACCTCGGGGCTTCCTCCACTGCACCTCGTGTAGCTCCTGGAGACGACGTTCGTGTTTCGTGCCAGCCAGCGAGCGCTGGCCTGCGACCAAGAAACGTCCAAGAAGCTCACCGTTCGCAGCAGCAGCAGCATCGCACGAGGAGGATGCGCAAGTCTCGTTTGGCGACCGCGACTGGTACGCCCTTTGTCTCTGCAACTGCCTGTCGCTGTCGTGCGTTGCCTGCAAGCGCTTTCGGAAACGCATCGAGTGGACAAGTCTGAGGTGTGGTGGCGGTATGGTCATCGTTCAGATAAAATGGAATAAACAGGTCTTCCCTACAGAGGTGTCTGAGGACGAGACGGCGCGTTCACTCATGGAGCGTTTACAGAAACTCACCGGGGTACCGTCCGAGCGCCTGACGCTGCTGGGCCTCAAGCGCGGGGCAGTGCGTGTCCACACTGCCGGTACGCTTGCTGCACTCGGCCTTCAGGACGGGTGTACGGTGATGCTGCTTGGAACGCCTGTGTCAGCGGGTGCGGCTGCTGTCAGCCAAGCGGTAGCGAATAGCCCGCTGTCGCCCGAGAAGGCTGGTGCTGGGGTCACAGGGACAACTGCCTCGGGTGCGTCTGCAACTCCCCCGCTGAAGCATGTGCGGCGGGGGCTTGCGAACCTCGGCAATAGCTGCTACGCGAACGCTACGATTCAGTGTTTATTGCAGGTGCCTGAGCTGCGCGACTACCTCAGATCTCGCGTTCAGAGCAGCGCTTCGTTGGCACCAGCGGTGACGACTGCTGACGCGGAGCACCGAGTTGTCATGGCGCTTGCAGCACTTGCAGAGACGCTTTCATCACCGAACGCAGTCCAAGGCTCGTCTGATAATCCCGAGCGCTTCTATCCACAGGTGGTCATGGCTGCTCTGCGGAGCGCGTATCCCCAGTTCGCACAACGTGACAATCACGGTATGTATATGCAGCAGGATGCGGAGGAGTGTCTTTCACAGATTCTCGGCGCTCTGGCGCGCATGGAGCCACCTACAACCGGAACAAATTGGGTAGATGCCACTTTCGGAACGCTGATTGCCTCAACCGACCGCTGTGACGAACCGAATGAAGTATCCACGGCGTGCACGCCCGTTGTCAGTCACGAGTGTTTACGACTGCTGCCGTGTCATATCAGCAAGCAGGTGAATCATCTGTCGGAGGGCATCCGCGAAGGCCTCGAAGGCTCCATCGAGCGATACGTGGACTCGCTGGGTCGAACCCTGAACTGGAAGCGGGAATCCCGAATCGAGCGGTTACCACCGTACCTCATTGTGCATTTCGTGCGTTTCTTCTGGAAACCGGTTGAGAAAGTGAAAGCCAAGGTTTTGCGCAAAGTCGTGTTTCCGCTGATACTCGATACGTTGCCATTCTGTACGGACAGCTTGCAGGATGCCCTCCGAGCAGCTCGAACGCCAACCGCCACGACAGAAGCAGACGCGGAGGGTGCCCTTCAAGACGCTCAGGTCGGTGGTAGCAGCAGCAGCAGCAGTAGCAGCAGTGGAAAACCCGACACACCGTCCGGACTGTATGAATTGTTTGCTGTGCTCACGCATCAAGGACGAACTGCGGACTCGGGCCATTACGTCGCATGGGTACGTGATCCCGAGCAACCCCTGGATCGCAGTGTTTGGCTCAAGTACGACGATGATCGTGTTGAGACTGTTACCGAGGACCAGATTCTTCGACTCTGTGGAGGCGGCGACTGGCACATGGCCTACATATGTTTTTATCGAATGAGGCCTGGACCAGGCACCAATGAAAAACGCTAGCATTTGTTTCAGCTAAATGAGCTTGATGGCGAAAGCAGCGCGGAAACGTGCACGTCAGTTGTGACTGCTTCTGAATCAAGCACCGATGAACGAGGATCAGTGTGTTCGCTCCCCGAAAGCCTCATATCAGCAACACGAGCAGATCACTGGACCCCTGTGAACGCTCTATGGACAGACGCGCGTCCAAGCGCCATTTCCTGAACACCAGGCCACAGCTTCCAAGACCGTGAACATCTCACAATGCGTTCACGAGGTGGTTACGAGCGCCTTCGCGAAATGCAACCTGCAGCATCCGCAGGTGAACGAGAAGCTTTTCATAACAATGGCTAGCGTTCAGCACGACGCTCATCGCTGCGTATGAATCAGCGGATAGATTTCTTCATGGTGTATCGTCGTTGTCCGCGGACTGATGGATGTGCATTCTCGATCGAGGCGGGAACACGAGCGTCATCCGCGAGTCCAATGAAGCGCTGAACCGGGACTAGGTCGTCATGATCGCATCCCAGTCGCGCGGATGTGCTGCGGTAACACCGCGAACGAAGGCAATGAAAAGCACACATAGGACGACGCGCTCATTTCGGTGCTTTCCTTTCACGGACTGCATATCTATGCGCACCAAGGCGCCAATGAAGCACGGTGTATGCCGGGCAAGCACGTCTCAAGGGCGTCGACATCTAAGGCACGCGGTTGGGCGGCGTAGCGCAGGTCACGGTGAACGCTCTGGGAGCGCTCTGAAAACATCTGGGTGCGTTTCGCAGGATGACGAGCACCTAGGAGCCTCGAAAGTACCGCCGCTCCTTGCATCGCTATGTCCACGACATTGTCTTACGGGGCGACGTTCGCAAAGGCGCCACATCGAGCGAGTCTCTCTGCAGAAGCGAGCAGTTTCGCAGCAAGCGTGGCGGTATATACCACCACCGCTCGCACCTATGGCGCTACTGGTTCAACATCAGTGACATGGACAGTGTTTTCCGCATCCCAGAGCGTCCGATTCGATGCACCCAAGCGCAGTTAATGAATGGGAAAAAGGAAACGGGGCGAGGCGGAAGCATTCGAGAACCCGTTCTCGTGTGTTGCCGTGGACATTGTCGCCTTTATAACGATGCATCGGAAGGACACAGTTAACAGGATGTCTTCTTATCCACAAAAATAACGTTCAAAACTTTGCCCATGAACATGATGCATACGCACAGCACCGGTTTCTGGTGCTCGTTGCGCTGGTGCTCGCCTCCGCGCAACAGCAGGTGTTTCCGTGCAGGCCAGTGCCACTTGTGCCGCCAGTTTCCGTTTCCGCACAGAGCACGCATCGCATAGTGCTTGCTCTCTGAACACAATCAAATCCAATAGTGTCCACAGCCGTGAAGATCACAAACTTGTAGCGTGTACTCTGTTACGGACGCGTGCTCCAGTGCGCACCACATGCTCGGGCGCGCTAGATCAGTAAAACGAGTACCCAATGACTATGATGAAGGCGCTATCCAGCCACAGACTCTAATATCTTTTCACTGCCCTTCGAAGAGATTTCGACGTGATGGAAAGGGTCAAGCTGTTGCGGCACTGCACAACCAGATACGTCAGTGTCTCGACTGCGACACCACGTGCTACCAGTAACGCGGGCAAAGCTGGTCTACCACAAACCAACCAGTGCCTGAAAGTATCACATCATTTTTACAACGAGCTGCAGCAGCGGTGATACCGAAACGTCCAGAACAAACACCACTGAATACGTTCACGGCCAAAGGTTCCGTGTGAACGACTACGCTCGCAGTGTGGCACTTCTGGCGAGAACGCTACGCACATGACGTTGAGCAAAGCCTGAGCTTGAGGCGGCAACCTCGACACCGGCTTTGACGCGTTGACTTGCAAGTCTCTACCTGGTCGCGCTACAGGCGGTGCCTCGAGTGGCCTCAAACACGAAGAAGCTGCCTAGGATGAGTAGAAAGCAAAGCTTGCGCCTTGGAAGCCTATGTTTCACATCAGTGCCGTCCGACCTGGGCTGTGTGAGGCGACACCTCCAGTGTGCCCAGCGGTCATGGTCACAACCCGCTACGCAGCACAAGGCCAGATTTTGCACCCTGTTGCGAAGTTCCGCAGTCGATCGCCGAGTTCAACGAAAGCAAGACTGCTCTGTTCTCGGAGAGCCAAGCGGTAACGCTTGCAGCAACTCCACGCCCAGCGCTGCGAGCGCTCACCTAGCGCGACTGCTGGTGCACTTCAGTAAGAGAACGGGAGCCAGTATGCTCGGTATCCTCGGGGCGTTGCTCTTCTCTACAACCGCGACGCTAGAGAGCGATACGCGGGTCCAGCTGCCTCCCAGTCATCAGCTCATGATAGCGGGTCCAGTTCAGGCACTCACGGATGAGCAGTTTATCGTGGCGGAGGCGTGGCACCTCGTTGATCGCAAGTTCGTCGACCACGCACAAATTCAAAACGACTGGAACAAACTGCGGTTAAAATACCTGCGTCGATCGTACCGCAGTATGGACGATGCACACCAAGCGATCCGCGACATGCTTCGAACGCTTGGTGATCCCTATACGCGCTTCCTCAGCCCAGCAGAGTACAATAGCTTACTTGCCGCAGCGCGTGGCGAGTTGGTCGGCATTGGTATTGAGCTCGCACCTCCACGTATCGACAACAGTGAGGATAAGCAGCATGCTACCGGCACATCGAAGGAGGCCGCACCACCCGGACGCGTCTCGGTGGCAGCGGTGCTCGATGCCTCGCCTGCTGCCCTGGCAGGCATCCGACCCGATGATGAGATTTTGCTGGTCGACGGAGAGGAGACAGGCGGTCTCTCACCTGATGAAGTCGCAGCGCGGATTCGGGGTGAAGCCGACTCTTTCGTGCGCTTGCGGATACACCGCAGAGGCGAGCGCGAGCCGCGCGATCTCGTTATCAAGCGCACACCGCTCCGGCTGGATGCGTTGTTGGCACGCGGCCCTGATCCAGAAGGTGTCGCTTACATCAGGATTCGCCAGTTCAACGAGAATACGGCTGAGGAGCTACGAGCTGCGGTCGAGAGAATGGCAGCGAACCGGAGTGCACCGCTGCAGCTCGTGGTCGATCTGCGCAGCAACCCCGGAGGCTACTTTCCTGATGGTGTCGATGCGGCGCGACTTTTCCTACCAAAAGATCGAACAGTAGTCTACACCGTTGACGCCAAGGATCGCGTGAAGGAGCTTCGTGCTCAAGAGGACGGACCACTGCTCCGAATGGTACAATCACCGGTTTGGGTACTGATCGACCGCGGCACTGCGAGCGCGAGCGAGATATTCGCCGTCGCATTACATGACAATGGTGAGGCGAAACTCATCGGTTCGTGCAGCTTTGGAAAAGGTGTCATTCAGACTGTTCAAGGGCTTCGTGATGGAAGCGCCGTCGCGATCACAACTGCCCGATACGAGACACCGAAGCATGAGAACATCAACAAAAGAGGAGTGTGTCCGGATATTGTGGCGACTTGCAAGGCACCGCCTCTCAACTCCGAGACAGCAAGTATACGCGACGCGCTTGCCTGCCTTCCGCGTTAAGCGCATATAGGGTAGACTAGGAAGGGGAGGAGGAGGAGGAGGAGGAGGAGGCGGCGGCGGCAGAAACATCTGTATCCCAGTCCCTGCGATCCGTGGTGGGTGCGCGTATTCCAGTGCCTGACGAGGCACCACCTGGAGACGCTCGAGCCGTACCACACGTAGCAATGGTTTCGGGCGAGGCCCTGCCCAGGATCTCCCACGATCAAGCATTCTCTACCGCGATGAGCATCTTCGAGGGGCATAAACCTGGCACAAAAAGGTTCTTTGGCCACAAAATGTGCCAGTTTCAGCGGCGAGTTGCTCAGGTGCGCTCCAAAGCTCCAATGCAGGAATCCGGGTGCTCGTCTGCGTCTCGAAGAAATGACGTTCAGAATCGATGCTGGATACTGCTCACTCTACTGCAATCGGATTTCAGCGCGGCGCTAGGCAGGCCGCGAAGCAGACCCCCTGACATGATCATCAGCATCATCAGCATTGCTCGCGGGGAGGAATTTCAACAGCCACGCGAGGCACTGGATCCAAGCGTCATCGAAACTGGGCGAATCCTCAATCGCATGATTGCTGCGTGGATAGAAGAGTACCCGGAGCGCTTCAGCCTGGGTACGAATCGCACGTGCCCATTGAAAACCCTGCGAACACGGGACGCGTTGGTCTTGTCCACCGATCTGCAACAGGGTCGCTGCTCGAACTCGATCCGCATGCGATATGGGTGAACACAAACGCATACGTTCCAGCTCGGCGAGTTGCGGCACTCGATGAATGTTGCCTGGCGTACTCGACGCAGATGCATCTCCAATGCCGTCGTTGCTGTCGGACGTCGAGCGCTCGACGCCTCTTTCGAGCCCTATCTCGATGCCGCATTCGTGATAGCACCAGTCTGCAATATCCGTCTGCGACACCATTGTGGCAATATCGACGACAGGATTACGCAGGACAACCGCACGCACGACTGAAGGGCGCACGGCGCTGAGGTGCGCCCCCAGGAAACCCCCATGACTCCCGCCGACAACACCGACGCGCCTGCGATCAATAGCGCTCCACTGGGGGTACCAGCGTCCCGAACTTGTGCCGCTGCCGTCGTTTTCGTTGTCAGAGCGACCCCCGTCGCCTAGTGGCTGGTGCTCGCCTCGGAACCAGCGCCAAAAATCAGCGTTCTCCAGTGCGCATTCCATGGACAATACACATTCTTGAACGTCTTGCTCGCCAATCTTACCGAGCAGGGAGCGAAGTCGAGCCTCGCCCTGTCCCAGTGAACCGCGGTAGTTCGGCAGCAACAGCACGCAACCCAGTCGAGCGAGTACCGCCACACCCGGATTCCACACGTTTGCCAGGTAGCACGCGTGCGGGCCACCGTGCAGCACCAGTACCAGCGGTACACGGCCGTGCGCATCAAGCAGCGCGCCCCGGTTCGGTGCCACCACGATCGCCTCGAATCGATCCGGGGGATTCGTCGACACAGACGAGAGCCAGCCGCCCGCTGACAGCGCCAACGACGCGATACCAATGCGGTAGGCCTGGTTTGCAGCCCCGTAACCCAGCGTGACGGTGCCGAGACTTGCTTCGGTGTTGCACCATTGCATCCGGTGACACTGGTCGCTGGGTGCAAAGCACCACTCGCTCACGCACTGAACCGTGCGAGTAGTCCCCGAGTCCGCAGCATCCTCCTTGATCAGCCGGGCGGCGAGCTCAATCGTCGGCGCCGTCAACAACGTCATGCTGGTACCGACCACGATGTCCAGAGCCAGACGCTGCGGATGTGGCTGCGGCTGCGCTTCCCCATCCGTAGGAGGCTCCGGTAGCCAGCTGCGCTTCACTGCCAGCACCTGATCCATGCGCTGGTAGCACGCGTGCTCAGACTCACCGATGAACGCGAGCGCTCCAGTGCGGCGATCGAGCAGGACAGGTCGCGCTCGGCTGCCGACGACTGCGTTCAACACAATCCATTCGGAGCCAAAGCATCCGTCTGCGCCCTCAAGCAGCACCCGAGCTGGATTTAACGGATAAAACCCGCCGGGCCATTCGCCAAAACGAGGCCACGTTTCCCCGTTCGGAGCCAGAAAGCGACGACATGGACCAAGGCGAAGCGTGCGTTTCGGTTCATCGATGAGCAGCAGCGGCGCCTCTATGATCCAGTGCGCAGTGCAATGCGGTGCATCGCAGGGTGCCTCCGCCCACACCAGCAGCGCATCGCTGTGCAATCGTGGACACGTTCGACTGTAGTACCAGGGCGCGTCTGCATCGGCACCAATGACCACCTGTACATGAGCGACGAGCGCAGATCCGTCTGCATCAGATTCACTTTCCTCGATTGGACGACGTTCCAGCAGAGCAACAACGATCACGCTCGGACGATTGGTACAGTACACGTGTCCGCGCGGCACATCCGTGCGCCGTTGCCGCGCGATCCAGACGAGCACATCGCCGCGGCACTGCGGATCCGCGGCATCGGCATCGGCGATCGCGGGCGCAGCCCCGGTGATCCGCAGCGCACGCACGCGCCATGTCGCCGGTTGATCGGCAGCTGCGTGCAGCAGCGCTTCGAGCGTGTACAGGCGCGGGGCGCGCTTGCCGACAAACTGCTCTCCGTAGTCGTCGATATGTCGGAACGCCGAATAGCTGGGCCACGGCGTGTTCTGCTCTGGGCTGGTTTTTGTTGTCAGGGAATTAATGTGTGGTTGATCTGAGAGCGCTGGGTTCGGATGCGTTGGTTGCAATTGCTCCGCCACGTAGAAGAAGGCCATTTGTGTTGCGCTGTATGCACAGCCTCCGAATAGCGCATCGCTGTAGACGTCGCCATGAACCCTGTCGGTCGGGATGCAGCGTACCAGGTGTGGTGCGCTCGGGTTTCCGTTCGCGAGCTGCTGGCGCTGCCAAACTTCTATACGTGCTGCATGCGGCGAGGATTTTGATGTGTTGGCGGACGTGTCCTTATCCTTGTCGCGAAAAAAGAGCAGTCGGTACGCCACCTCATCTGAGTCAAATTTGAGTACGTGTTGCGTCTCCTGCGCGGCAGCCGCTGGTGGCGTTATTCGCTCGATCTGGAGGAGAGGCATAGCGGCGTTTCGTTTCGAGCCGCTGACGGGTATGGAAGGTGGCTGGTTTGCCCTGATCAGGAACTGTTCCCAGTGCGTGTATCGGTACTGGTGTCCGATGCGCGGCTCTCTTTGCTGCCGTTCTATTTCAACTGTGACCAGCAGACACGGCGTCTGTGGGCTCTTTGGAGGCGCTTGAAGCGCTGCATCGCGGGGCTGGCTAGCCGTATCCGCTGTCTCCAACGAGGGTGGCGGTGCGCGCGTCCAGAACCAGGACGTCGACAGCGCTGCCGACACTGGCGTCGAAGTTTCTCGAGTAAAGTTCTCGAAAATCTTCGCAGCGAGTTCCTCTTCTTCCAGAGTGTTAGGGTCCTCGCCAGCCATTTTCGCTGCAGACAGCGGAATCCAGTTGCACAGGTCGCTCACGAGCAGAGGGACCCTGTTCGTGAGGAATGGCGCGCCCAAGTGCCGGCGCCCGAGCAGACGCTGACGAGGCGGTGATCCCAGCGGCTTTGCCAGCTGGCACCAGCAACAAGAAACGCCTTTCAAAAGAAAAACGTTGTCGTCGGTGGTGTACAGTAGTGGCGACCAGCGCCCTAGACAAGAAGTCTCTAACTAACGTGCAGACGCCTCCCTCTCTTTTTGGACCGGCCACCTACTGCTACTTCCAATTTTTTCTCATATGATTCAACCTTAAGAGGTTGGCCCACAAAATTCTCTATTGTCACCTCCGGAGGTCTCTGATCCATCACCGCGCATCACCTAATGTTGATTGCGGCGTTAAAATCTCGGTTTCGAAACTCCATCCGTTTCTTTCCATTGATTGTACTTACTAATGCAAGCAGTCCTCGAAATTTTGCTCTCCTTTCCATTCGCTCTTCTGTCAGCGGTCCGTACTTTGCTCTGTTCTCAGGGCTCCTCTGGCACTTTTCCATCTCCACTCTCTGAAGTGTACACCCCAGCTCATGGTAGGTATACAACGTTCGAAACTCATCTACAGGTATCGTAGCGAAACGCCGTGCACACTCCTTGTACGCTCTCGTCGTTGGAGCTGGCGTGGTCGCTTTCTTGGGCGCCTAGCGCCCTGCTCCGTATGCCACTACGAGCCTCTGACTTTCATTCTACTCGAGGGCGCTCAACTGGCTGAAAAAGATCGCGAATGCATGCTGCTTCCCACAGTATAGATGCATTCGCAGAGGAGCCCACCGGGACTTTGTATACTCTTTCCGCAGCGCCTCCCAATATGCAACACGAACTTTCATGAATTTCCGAAAAGCTTCAAATTCCGCTCCTCGGCTAGTCACCTCGCTCAAAAATTCCAGGTGCTCTTTCAATCCTGCATTCCACGTCTCAATTTTCTTCCTTGCGTTTATCATACCGGATTCTCGATAGTATCTCGCTCTCGAGAATCTCAACAGACGCATGTCCTTCTGACGTAAGTTGCCGTCGTTACCATCTTCCCCACGCTTCGGTGCTGTGATGGTGATGATATTTGTGTGGCCGGGGTCCGCGCCAACGATAAAATCGTTCTCATGCACTTTCTGCATCGCAGGATTCGCCTCCTTCTCATCTTCATGCTTCGTCACGGCCGCAGCCGAAGGCGGAACTGGACGATCTGCCTGCAACCGCCGATAGTGAACACACTTGGATACTTCATTAGTTTCGATCACCCCCAGTAAATACCTTTTGTTTGCTGATTTTGAGACGTTTGAAATCGAAGATATTCCCCCAGTACGTCTCCCGGTTTTCGCCGGAGAATTCCCCCCTGCTAACACTGAACTCGGGACTGATCTCCTTCATGATGCCAGGAAGGACGCCGGAGTCGATAGTCACGAAATGTGACTTGATATTGCACAACGAAACCACGTTGAAGCGCTTCCCCATTAGGACAGCCTTCCGTCTCTCCCACTCTTCATTTGTCTCTTCACTCAACTTCATTTCCGCCTTGCGTTCGAGCTCTCGGTCCAGAAACACGAAATAGCGCAGGACGAGGCAATAGTATCTTTCCTTCTCTTTTTTCAACGCTAATATCTTGTCTGTTGGATTTGCCAGCCCCAGTACGGCACGGTGCTCTCGTATAACCGCACGGATTAGAGAAGCTTCATTCGTGCTCCTGCGTGATGTCTTCTCTCCGACGAATTCGATCTGATCTTCATGCTTGCGATCGTTCGTGATGCCATTGATAATCGCCCATTTTCCATTGCGAGAGATGCTCGGGTAGAGCGCAAACACGGCGCGTATCATGAAACGTTCGAGGTTTACGATCAGATGGTTCTTAGGGTTCGCGGGGTACTTTTTTTACACCGTATTCGTAAATGCGCCAGTCACTCCTGTATCGAGCACAGCTGAAGGGTATTCAACCTAACTTTCGTGGAGGCGTGCACGAGGTCATTCCTCCTTGACGTTTCCCCTGTGTCAAACATCAGGTGACGAATAGAGGTCCTGGTGAAAAATTCTTCCCGATCTTCGACTCTTTTGAGGTCTGTTACGTCTTCGTACAGCTCTTTCTCCAAATGCATCAGTCCTGAGGAAGCGTTACAGACGCTGCTGGAGTACGTCTCGATACGGTTTCTGATGGCCTCTTGCAACTTTAGCTCGTACGCCTCTTTGGTATGCTGAGAATGTCTCCTGGGCTTATGCTTCACGCTCTCCCCAGTGGCAGGTGCTTTAGAAAGATCTGGGCAGCAACACGTCCGCAACGCAATTCATTCTGCGACTAGGGGCAGTTAACCCGCGTCCGGGCGTCGCTCTAGTCGCAGTGGACTTCTATAACAACGCTTCGCGTTGTTGTGGGCAGTAATTCTATCAGCACAATTTGCTAGTTCCTGGAATGATTATGCGCCCGACCCCTTCTCAGATGAAGCATTCCTCGTTCCGACGCCCTCATTGACACAGTAAAAGCCGTTCTGTCTCCGTGATGCATCTGCACCAGCGGTATAACTGCTACTGCGGGTGCAGCCAGGCAAGCACTCGGCACACGAGAGAATACACGAAACAACCAGTACATCCGAAAGAAAGCATAACTAATGGAACCTGGAGGTACGTTGCAGCATGACGGATGATTTTTCCATTCCGAATGCCCATCCATGCCGCAATCCGGCATCCACGGTCGATGGAAACGTTCTGTCATCGGAAAACAAAACTCAGCTACAGCGTGTCGGGTACCGGGCATCCCCGTACGGCCAGCAGCGGGGCTTCCGACGCTGCAGGGGGCGCGATCGTCGTCGCGTTCCCGCGAATCCCCGATGAAAGGCGCGAGGCCACCTCAGCCGCCAATTGACATCCAGCGGATGATGCGCGACGGCGGCACTAGGGGATCGTTTCTTGAACATTTTCAAGCCACTGGGCGCCAGCGACGGGAACGCTAGGCGAAGCACTCGTAGGCGCTTGTTGAATCGGTGCGTCTTGGGTGAACGGCGCATACTTGCAGGTAATCGGACTGCACAGAGAGCGCAAGACGCTTGGACTCGAGCAGCAGCATCGAGGCACGTTTCTCCAGCTGTGTCGAAGAACGGGGTTCGACGGGGCGTTTGAGGCTCACTGCTGCACGCCCACTATTTTATTTGATTGCGCTGTTTCCATAAAAGTTGCTTTTGGCACAGCGTTGGGTGTCGGCGAGCACCAGAAGAGGGCTTTCGTCGAGATAGAAGCGGGGCTATTAGCGAGCTCGTGAAGTTTGCGCGTTCAGTTCGCGACGCGGGCGACGTTGCCTCGCCATGGTGTCCAACCTTCTACCTGTGCCTGCTCCGAGCCAGGCACACGCACCATCGATGCATCTTACTTTAATGGAGCGGTTCTGGCGCGTTTGCTTTCTCGTTCGATGTTTCTTCAACAGCGTAAGAGAGCGAGGATTATACACCACATCGCGGGTACGGCTGTCGCTCTGGTTGAACACGGAAAGCAAGCGTAAGCGTTTCGCCAGAGGTCTGGGTCTCTTCTGCGCTATCTTTGCGATTATTCTGACTTTGACCTCCCTCCGGATCGACGAGGATCTCCGCCGCTACCAGACCAGCGCGCACATGGACTATCATTACAGGGCACGCATTGCTCGCTTGAACAAGGCACTCGTGCGGCGATGGTGGATTCGTGCGGGCAACGCTTCCTACGAACGCACCCGAAAAAACGTACCACCTCTTGCCAACAGTCTGGACCTCCAAGTGAATGGTAACATCATGCGAGATGTTGACGATCCTTTTGTATATTGCTCCAAAGCGCCGCTCTACCTGGACATTGCAGAGGCGACCCGGAGAGCGGTCGTTGCTGCAGCATACCCTGCACCCGCAATCTCAATCATCTTCGTTACAAAACGCCCAGGAGGCTATGATATGTTGTTGAACTCACTTGCGCAGCAGAGTCGCAAGAGCCCTCTAGACTATGAGCTCATTTGTGTTGACGAGTTGGCACCGTTCCGCGCGGAGCTGGTGCGCGCACAAGCCCGCGAGCTGGGTATCAATCTTGTCGCAATCGTTCCAAGCAAGCCACGTCAGACACGTTACCACTCGCTACCGTTCGGCATCTACAATGCACTGAATACCGGTTTCCTCCTGAGTCGTGGTCGAATTATCACGGTTCTCATGGACAATGGATGGCTCCCTGCAAACTACATAGAGCGCACGCTCGAATTTTATGCCAACCCTGCACACGCTCGCTCATTCCTCGCTTACCCTGAGTGGTTTTTCACAACGGAAAAACCGGATCAGCAGCGTCTCCATAATCCGCTCACAGCGCATCTGTTTCCGGACCCATGGATCGCACCGCCTGTGGAATACACCAAAGGCGGACGGATGCACGGTAATTCCTCCATCCGGAACGTGAACCCCGGCTACATGCGGCCCGAAGAGCTAGTCCAGGCGTGGCGACGCGGAGATCCAGCTGGATTCGTTCAACAAGATCCGAAAAATGGATTCTGGGAAATGAGTTTCTGCACCTGTCCATGGAGCGCCATTGAAGAACTCAATGGCCTGGAGGAGTTTCTTGACATTGGCGACGACTGTCACGAAAGCAACCTGCGCTTCCGGGCTCATCGTCTGGGTTACGATCTGTGGATCGATGGAAACACCATTATTCAGAACGTTTGGCACAAATTCTACGAGGACTCTAAGACTTGGAACCGCTACGCGTCGGATACCAATATTCCTCGATTCTTTACTGAGGAAATGTCCGCAATCAAGGCCGGCAAACGCCCAGTTGTGAGCCAGGACGCCCAAGTCGACTGGAAAGTATGGCGCAGCTTGGATTGTCCCATTCAGGTTGCTCGACCGGGTGCTATTTTCTGGTGAGTTCTGCTCATGGTAGCGAACGTGTGAGCGTCGCGCAAACGTAAAAGGCGCCATGTACCCGAGTCCTGGCGCGGCACCGGCTTGCGTTGCCCATAGCCGAAGTGTACCCCAAACATGCCAGTTTTGGATCCAATTCGAAGATTGAACTGCTTGCTCTGTTCCCGACTTGAGATTTTTCTCAGATCTGTTTAAGATATTGAAAGGCATGCAAAGCACAGCATTAATGGCGTGTGGCGCCGTACGTAGTATTCGGTTTCTCGGACGTTTTTTTCAGGATGGCTGCTTCGCAGCTTCACTGCTGGAATTCGTTACGTCAACGCAATCAAGATGATCCACGATGCGCTCGAACAGTGATTCGTAGAACAACCAAAAATATTCTCCAGTTCACAGGTACAAGCTTCCACTCTATTCCGTGTTGGCGCGGGACATGCTCAAATCACGAATCCATCGTCTTTTCGATCTTGCTGTTTCTAGGCAACTCGCAGACGCAGCGATCTGCGTCACCGGACTGACCAGGGGAAGTTTTCGACGTCGTCCCTGGACGGCTTCTCCAGACGCTCACGCCAAAACGTTCAATGAAATTGTCGCGTGAAATATTCGATTCTGTTGGAAAGACATATCCCCTTGTCTTTGAGGTTACTTACGAATCGGCATTGCACAACAACATGGTACCTCATAGAGGGATATTCCCTCACATGTCTCTTTCTCTTGCGTTTGCACGAAAAAGGGTCCTGGACTCGGACTTTATTCAACACAGGGATGGCTTCAGCCAGCGTATACGTTGCCGTTTTGCACGAAAGGGGCCCAGACAGATCAAAATTCATCGAGTTAATCTGATCCCTGGATGTTCCTCTAGGCATTTGTTTCACCATGGAAAGACGTCGCGTTCCACATATCCCCCACGGGAATCGAAGAACATACGTCTGTGCATGCCATGCGCAGAGTACTCGCCGGCGAGATCGCCCATAAGGAGCCCATGATCATGGAGTACGGCACTTGGCGCGGAAACTTAGGAGGATACCGTGCGACGCCTTCGAAGCACATCTGGGGCATGTATCGAGCGATAAGGCAAGCGTTCGCACGCCACGGAGTCGCGCGCGTAGGAGGAAGCGGGATTCACAGATGTTAGCACCTGATTAGAGCGACGACTCTTCGATACGAGTGGCGCACCGAGGCTGCATACAAAGAAGATGAAAATGGCAAGCGAAGCGCAGGTCGCAACTTCCGCCTGTCCATGATCTACATTCAAAACGTCCGGTAGCAGCGAAATCTAGACCTTAACCCTGCCATTAACATTCTTGCACTGCTGACGATGGAGCTGGAGGGAAAGCAGAGACCAGCGCATGTGAAGCCGGTGATAAAAGAGAAGAAATAGAAGCAGCCGGAGACAAGGCCCGCAAACGCTGCTGTTGATGCTAATGGCAAAGGCCCGGACTTTAAACTGAATGCCCTAGTTATCCACGTAAACCGTTGCATTTTACCCTGACTGAGGATAAACATGCTATGGACGCCCTACTTAGCCACGTAAACCGTTGCACTTTACCCTGACTCAGTATATACATGCTATGGACGCCCTACTTAGTCACGTAAACCGTTGCATTTCACCCTGACTGAGTATAAACATGTTATGAAAGCAGACGATGAGAAGCCGTGATGATGCCTGTCTACCTGACGATTCTCTCGCCTGATGAATCGGGCCCATGGCGAGACGCAGCGGACTGGATGCATCTGCGCTGTCCATATCAAAGGCAGTAGACTCCTGATCAGCGACGGTACCTAGAGGTACTGGGCAAGCCTCGGCGGGGACGCAACTTTTCGCGTGATACCCGCTGGCAGTTCGGCGCCATCAGGTTCCAGCGGGCGGCGCTTCGACGCTGCAGGAAGCATCGAATCCATCATGGGCACCAGGAAATAACAGAAAACAGCACCAGAATAGAACGAAATGCGATACGGAACGACAGCGCACGAACCGGGAGAGTCACTGTATGCTTTGGCGGTACGAGTCTTCGTGGGGCTCCTTGCGAAAAGCACGCATTTACCAAGTTCAAGATATAGCGAGCTCCCGCGGTGCAACTGCGACTATACACTGTGCTGGTTGCCCACGATACGGTACAGCGGCGTATTTCTAGCCGGTGCATAACGCAAATCACGCTCTTCGGCGACAACCGTGAAACCCCGTCGCGCCTAAAAGCGCGGCGGCGGTAGATAGGGAAGCGGGGCAATGTATGCATCTGGAAACGCGCAATCTATGCCACTCATTACGGCTGATGCATCCTTGCGTAACCGTCGAGCAGACGCACTGCTTTTCTCGTTGCTAAACGTCAGCGAATCCGTGGAGTCTTTGTTCGGCGTTCGGCACGAGCTCAAATCCGCCTCCGGAAACGTCAAGTGAGCGGGAGCTGGGGCCCCCCAGTGCCCTGCTTCATACCGTAACTCGAGGGTAGACGGCTTCCCATCTCTAGTGCGGGTCAATAACGTCAAGGCAAGCGCCAATGGAAGATAAAGAATCGTCTGGCGAAAGAGCCTCCGCGCTACGGCGATGTCTAGCGGGCGTCGAACGAGTTGCCCGGCGTGAAGCGTCAACCAGAGCGCTAGTAACGTATGACCGAACCCAAAGCCATCGGCGCAAAGGTGCTCGCGAACAAACCAGACCCCAGTTGGTATCAGCGCTGCCGAAGATACCCACGCCAACCGAGCGTTCCACACTGGACTCGTCAACGCTAGCATGCGGTAGCCAGCAGACATGTAGTCCGCTCGACAGAGCACTGCGAGGGCATGGAAATGGGGAATTTGCCAGAAAAACAAGAGGGCTGCTAGCGGGAATCCACCCCGGAGGCTCTCAGCGTCCTTGCCGCAAACGCCAGGAACTGCAGTCCCTGTGTCCGAGGATGCCGCAGCCCAGCCCATCAGCGGCGGGATTGCCCCAACCAGTGCACCGATCCAGGTGTTGAGTGGAGTCAGCACTTTCAGCGGTGTATAGACCGACACGTAGAGCAGGGTATTGCCCAGGCCGAGTAGGGCAGTCTGTGGATTCGTTCCCCAGTACAAGGACATGACGCCAGTCATGCCGCATATGCACGCGAAAGCGAGGGCATGGCCAACGCTCAGTCGACCTGCTGGCAGTGGACGAAAACGAGTGCGCTTCATGCGCGAGTCCAAACGTGCCTCCATGATCTGGTTCATCGTATTCGCTGCGGCAGCACAGAGAAAAGTCCCAACACTGAGCCACCCGAACCGACGCACTCGCTCCCAAGCGTCTCGCAACCCGACCTGCCGCAGTGTGTCCTGGTCAAGAGCTCGAGGCGCTGTCTCGTCCACAAGCCCCGGTGAAACGCCGGCAACACGGGCATCCACGGGGTATAGCAGGTACCCCGCTTGTGCGGACAAAACAACCATACCGGTTAATCTGTACTTGGATAGACGCAGATAGTCGCGGAAAAAGGAGCCTGCACGCGTCGTGAGCACCTCCGACAGTGTCGATTCGGTAGCAGCCTCTGAACTTGTAGGCAGTCTTTCCGAAACGCCGGCGGCGCAGCCCAGTTCGGTACTGAGGTGAGCAGCGCGCGTACCGACCGCTGTTGCGGTGCTCCGACCCAAAAGCGGCGCCCGAGCGCTCGCGCCAACAGCTGCGCTCAGCGGCACAAGTCGTGACACAGCTTTCAAAGACGTCAGCTCCCGAACACTTTGCCACAGAGGCGCTGTGGGTGGAACGACCCCAGGGCAGTCAACACCGGCCCAGGCCCTGTTCGCGAGAGCGCGCCCTGGGTAACAGCGAACCGAGTGCCGCTTTAGTAGAGGCAGCGTCCTCCCCAGTGACATGATTCTACCGGAGAAACTGCAGCCGCTCAAATGATGCGGCGACGACGTGCAGCGGCAACCTCGCCGGACGAGGCCTACAGAATGTCTAGAGGCGTTGGGTGTTATGCTTCAGTAGTGTGAGAGCGGCGACGCTGATGGTGCTCGCGGTGCGCAGTTTCGACAGGGATACGGATGAGACAATTATGTATATTATTGCAAAGCACGTTCGGCAGCCGCCTCAACGTCGGATTTCGATCTGGATGCCTCAGGCTATTCGGGTGTGCCGACACCAGCACGCACTTCACTAGCGTCTGTTGTGCACAAAAGCTGAATGATGCAGCTCGTCCTCGGCTAAGCGTGCACCTTGATGCTATCTGCACGATCATGGTTCGTACCGGGTTTGCGCATGCGCAGCACGATGCTTCTCTGCCTCCATCATGCGTTTGCATTGATGTATGTGACTGGGGTGCCAGCTAGATTCCGCTGCACGTTGCGAGCGTGCATTGATCATTCGCTCTCGAATGGGCGCTTTCCTTCAGGTTTCTTGCAAGTTTGAGGAGCTACCGGATCCAAGATGGATGTTTTTGGCCAAATGGTGTCATACGAGTGCACAGGAAAATAGAGATTATGAGGAATGAACATGCCGCTCTCGACTCTGGACGCATGAATGGTGCTGCGGTCACAGCGGTGACTCGACCAAATGGTGCTATGCATCTTTTTTTCAGATCATACGCAATACGTCCCTTGCTCTATCATTCTAAACGATTTGTCGATTACACAGCGTATCCCGTTTCCTATTTGCCAGATCATACGCAATACGTCCCTTGCTCTATCATTCTGAACGTTTTGTCGATTACACAGCGTATCCCGTATCCCATTTGCCGAATCATACGCAATACGTCCCTTGCCCTATCATTCTAAACGACTTGTCTACGAGACATCGCCCAGTTCATCGATGAACAGCAGCGGTCAGCCAAAGGCGCGTGCGTTACGCGACGGGTGGCGCGAAAGCGCGGGAGCCTGAGCGCTTACCGCCTCTGGGCGCAACGCGCGGCTTGCGCTTCTGGGCTAGCTTGAGCCTGTACGACACGAACGTTCAGAGCGGGACACACTTGGCAACTATTTCGCTTTTCTGGACTGCTTTATTTATCATCTAGGAGTGAAACTGGAGTCGGTTTTTGCATAGAAAACGGGCACTGCGGATATTCGCAGTTCATGAAAGTCAGCGGGCGACAAGCGGAGTCCTCTTGGTCGCCGCTGACGCCCAGCGCAAAAGTTGTCCAGCGAACCGAAGGCACTCTGCTAGACCTGACCGAATGGCCTACGTCGCTAGATCCAGAGTCATGGACTGTTGACCACGCCACCTACGCGTGTCTATGGAATGACGAGCAGCCGCTTTCTTCGCTTTGGAGCAACGAGGAGCTCGACAGTCAGCAGGTCGAGCTGCCTCTCAGCACCGAACGGAATATTCTTACACTGAACTCTCCTGGTCAGCCCTGCAACCCAAGTGGCAATGATCTACTCACCGCACAGCTACCTATGAAGGAAGTGAAAGAAGCACGTGCGAGCGTTTTGGACGATATGGCTGCGAGCCGTGCGCTCCCGGAGGGCTCTAATCTGCTCACGCTGGCGCAGCGTACTGTTCATACGGCTGGTGGCGGCACTATCAGCGTTCGCTTTAGAGACGATAGAGCCCTGAACGCCGATACCAGTCTCGCTCAAAGCGTTTGTGAAGAGGCGGCATTCACTGAAGCTCGCGGCTTTCTCGGGGCGAGCACCGTTTGCTGCCACACTGGCGGCCATGTTGCGGCACAAGTGCTTTGTCGTGATGGCAACATGAAGTCTTGCGATACGGGTCCCAAGAATCAGGTTTACATGAAAGCGGCGGATTCTGACGACTTCATCGGGGCCTCGGGTTTCGCGCCAGACGCCTCAGCGCCTGGCAAAGAGATCACCTCACCCTTGCCGTGGACGGCGGATCACCGGCAAGTTCCAGCATGGCCGCGGCACGCTAGGCGAATACGTGCCCCCTTGAACCTGGAGAATACCCTGAGGTCCACGAATATGGCGCTGGGACCAGAACAGCATATCGATGACAAAGGTTTACCAGGATCCGGGGACACATCTCCGCGGAAACCGAGCACCGCTCCCGAAGATTTCGAGGATTTCGGATCAACAGCTGTTGGCATGGACCGAATCGAGCGTGATTCGGCGCTATCCGGAGAAGCGTCAGCGATTCTGGACTCGCAATCGGCACTTCATTGTGCAGAGTGGCTTCATGAATGGAATGAGAGCGCGGATCCGTGGCGCACGTCACTGGCTTCATCGGGTCTCGCCAGCACCCCTAATCTGCATAGCTCTTCCCGAGGAAATTTGATCGATCCAGAAACAACGGCGACATCGGCGTCAAATCTGCCTGCATACAACATATGTGGTGGCTTGCTCCTGGGAACGCTGCAAACGACCGTCATCGCCATCGACTGCTCCCAGACGGCGCACGGGGATGCACCGACTGCAACCCGCTGGCAAACCTCGCGTGAAGCTGAGACTGGAGAGGCGCGGCACCAAGGCATGAGCCTCCAACGATGCCAGATCGGAGACGTTCTCAAGCAAAAGCGATCTCGCGAACGAGATCATCTAGAGGACTCGATGGATCAGGTTCCCGCTGATGCTCACTTCAACGCAATGCTTCACATGTCGAAGAGCCTGGTTCAAGGAGACGACGACGATGACGTTCCGCAACAGACGTCCGTGACGTATGCAACCCCTGCACGGAAGCGACAGCGCCGCTGTGACGATCCGCCCGGGCATCGGCATTCGTTGCATGCGGGGTTACCACCCTTGCAAAGCACGGCGCATCCACTGGCTACCGGCAACAATGCCGCGGACTTGGATAGCAGGCGCTCACTGCGGGACTTTGTGGTCAACAGAATCGGAGCGTTTCGGCGCATGGTACCTCGCCTGCGCGAAGCCGGTCCGTACTGGCAACTCGAAAACGGCACGACTTGGCGCGCGCCGGTGGTACTTGCGGATCCAACGCCGGCGCTTCATCTTCTCTAAATGGATTGATGCTGATGCACCGCTGACCTGAAGGAGCATGCTGGACCTGGGCGTCCATATGACACCCCTGAAAACTGATACACCGCGCCGTACTGCTTGAAGCGGCATCGAATCAGCTTGAAGTGTTAGAGCGGTGGTCTTTCGCACGCAAACCTCAACGTTTCTATGCTGATTTCAGACCAGAGTGGATCAGGCCCACGTGGCTAACTCGAGCGTATACGCTAAAGTTGAGGTCTCGTTCCGCTTTCATCTACAGTGATCCTCACAGGCTCGTTCTGAGATTGCTTGGTTCCCTCGATACATCTCTCTCTCTCTCTGTCGGATATCCGGATATCAACACGCCGGTCTCGTATATCGTTCCAGCTTCGCTATCAGCAGCAGGATCAGGTTGATGGCAGCGTTAGGGTCGCGATTTCGCCGCTTCTGGCTGTTGTCAATGTATTTCATGCCCAGGCAAAAGCTAAGATTCACGCATCGCTTGACTTTTTCATCTTTCCCCGAGTCTAGCATCGGTGCGTGCCACGCATTGGGGACTCTTGCCCGTTGTAAAGTGTTCCCGTATGGCAAAGATCCGTCAGTCTTCGAGAAGCGGCCCCGTGGCACGCGAACGCTTGCTTCATCTCTCGGTGTACGCCCTTGACGGAGTACAGAAGGCTCGCCCCAAAGTACTCCTCTGTTTCCGCTTCTGAACGATCCCTTACGGCAAATGCGCTGTCGGCTGCATGCGGAAGCGCACGTTGTCTCGTTTGATAGGGAAGTTATGGAATGTGATGTTCTCCATGATGGAACAAGTACCGAAAAGAATACGCAGGGTGGAGAACGCGTCGAGCGCATTCCAAATATCTACGCCCCGCATCGTGCAAAGCGATGGCAGACTCCCCAATAGAAGCGATCACTGCGATGACGCAAATCCGAATGCAAGACCCATTTCCATGCAAATAGGAGAGACACGGGAGCCCCCGGGAGCGTATCCCCTGAGAAGTAGCACTGCTGCTGCTGCTGCTGCTGAATGCCAAATCATCGCTTGAAGGCCCGCATTTTAGGTTCAGTTGTTGTTTTTTGCGAGCATTCGATTATTTGAATCGACAATTTCCGTTATCTTTCTGCATGCGAATCTCAACCATTCGTCAAGGGAACAAGTCGAGTACGTTTTACTCGTCGATGCAACAACGCGAACCGTTACGCCCATGGGATGTTTTGAAATAGAAAGATCGAAAACTTGAAGCGTGCGCGATTGGAGCATCCTGCACGTACGGAAAGTACAAACGCAGCGGCTCGTACGTACGCGTCGTCGGTTAACGATATCGGGTCTTTTGTACACCCTTGTTCGAGAGTATCACCAATCATCTTGATTCCCTTGACCTAACGAGTTCCAGCGGGAACGCGTGGAATGAGCCACTCCAGAGCGAGACAGAGGCACCCCAGCATCCTGCGGTTACATGTAGATCCGTATACCCCTATTGCGGCACATCTAAAAAGTTCGAAAAATAATTTCGTGGAATGAACAGAGCAAGTGGTTCAGTGCTCCGCATGAATCTTATACGGCTCTAGTGACTCCTTGGTACGACGAAAGGTTCACAGAGTACGGACTAATGAGCAGCGTTGCGCAATGCACGTCGTGGGACTTGCAACAACTGGGGTCCGGTCTGTCTGGGTAGGGTGCTGCACCTTGGGCTTGAACACGAACTGGGCGCGCTACTGGATGCGCCCCAGCAGCGATCACTGCTGATCTCACTCCGCTCGCAGGCAGTTACGATACACAGGGCGCATGTTCGCGAGCAACCCATCCGAAAATCCCTCCGACAGTACGTTTAGGTGCGAGTAAGCTCTTTTCGAGCAACGCGTTAGCCAATCGCTCTCAATCCACCAAGTGCCTCCACTAGCTCTGCGTCCACTGAATGGATTTCAGGTCTATGCCTTCCTGTACCATCTCCCACAGGGGCGACATTTCACGTAGCCTCTGCACATGCCGCTCGGCCATATCGACGGCATAGTCAATCTCTGATGCAGTCGTAAAGCGACCAATGCCAAAACGAATACTCGTATGTGCGAGATCCTCGTCGACACCGAGCGCGCGAAGCACATAACTCGGCTCCAGGGATGCCGAAGTGCAGGCGCTGCCACTGCTTACCGCGATGGTTTTCAACGCCATTAGGAGGGATTCCCCTTCCACGTACGCAAAGCTAAAGTTCAGGCATCCGGGGTAACGGAATTCACGCGAACCGTTGAGTTGGACATGAGGGATTCGTTGCACGATACCATTGTAAAGCCGCTCGGACAGTTCGACAACATGGGCATAGTCCCGCTCCAGTTCCTGTTCAGCCACGTCACAGGCTGCTCCGAGACCAACCACGAGCGGCGTCGGCAGCGTTCCCGAGCGAAGGCCACGCTCCTGACCGCCGCCGTTGATAATAGGGTCGAGGCGAACGCGCGGACGTCGGCGCACAAAGAGGGCCCCAACGCCCTTGGGGCCGTATATCTTGTGGCCACTTATGGAGAGCAGGTCGATGTTCATGGCCTCGACGTCGATAGGAATTTTTCCCACTGCCTGTGCAGCGTCGCAATGGAAGAAGACGCCGCGCTCACGACACAGCTGTCCGATTGCAGCGATGGGTTGCAAGGTCCCAATCTCGTTGTTCACAGCCATGACTGAAACGATCGCGGTATCGCTCCGGATGGCAGCTGAGAGCGTCTCGAGGCTAACACGTCCGTCCGGTTGCACTGGAACGTACGTCACCTGGAAGCCTTCGCGTTCCAGATGCCGGCACGAGTCCAGGACGCACTTGTGCTCGGTGGTGGTCGTCACGATGTGGCGCTTCGATTGGCGGTAGAACTGTGCTACGCCTTTGATGGCGAGGTTATTGGACTCGGTCGCGCCGCTCGTGAAAATGATCTCCTTTGGACTCGAGGCATTAATGAGTTTCGCGACTTGCTCACGAGCGCGCTCTGTGGCTTTTTCCGCGCTCCAACCGTAGCTGTGGGTACGGGAATGTGCATTCCCGTATTCGTGTAGAAAATAGGGCAGCATGGCGTCGAGAACGCGAGGATCCACGGGAGTCGTCGCCTGAAAGTCCATGTAGATCGGCCGCCTCTGTACAAGTCCTTCTTCTGTCAACTTGGATGCTGCAGCACCTTCAGTTGCTGCAACTCCTGCCTCGTGGTGTAGGGCGCGAGTCTGTTGCGCTCCAGGGCGCCAACAGGGGCGCAGCACGTTACGCAGCAACAACAGCTGGGAACGCATGGCGCCTTCGAGTCCTTTGACCGTCCTGCTTGCTGCGTTCCGGCTAAACGACTTGCTCTGCGTGATAAACCTTCCGTTTCCAGAAAGATGCACTCGGCACAATGTCGGCTTCGTGACCAGCAGAAGCTAGAGCCGCTTTCCACTGCCCCGCAAAGTGCACCTGTTGCTCGGTACGGTCGCTATTACCTGTTTTCACGCCTGCTCCAGCACACACTCCCAACTAGCTACGTCCAGGTTCAATCTATGTTCACTATTCTCCACAAGAAACAGTGAAGCAGAAAGGTACAATCGTATACCTGTTCTGCGTACGAAACTTGAAGAACACTTCGACAGGTGTGAATGTCTTCGCAGTGCGTTGCGTTCCCAGCGAGACTTGTGCGTCGCCTGCATTCTGCCGAGCTCCGCACTTTTGCCGTCGTTCACCTGAATTATGTTCCGCGCTGAAATACTTGTCACGAAATCCTTTTTCGGAGTTTATAGCAAACGCGTTTAAAGTGCGTTCATTTGAAGGAATAAAAATCCAGGAAAAGGTATGGATGTGCAGGTCGGGGATCTTCGCGGTCTGTCAATACCAGTTGCCCGAAGAAGATCGAAAAATCCACTTCTCGCCGACTATCGGGCGAGGAAGCGCAAGTGAATATGAAGATGGACACGGCAGATAGACGAGGAAAGATGTTTGGCCGACGGGAGGATCACAAGCCTGCAGCGGTACGAGTGGCTCGAGTTCGGGCAATCCTTGCATTGGTTCGTTCAGTTCGAGGCAACGAACGCGCGGAGTTCCTGAAGCGAGACATCAACGCCGTCATTCAACATCAGACTATGTGTGGTGTTGAAGTCGAGACCCGGGGAGCTTTCGATATCTAACCTAGTGGGGGTGCCTCTCAGACTCGAAATGGTATCCGGATAAGAGCTGAAACGGATAGCAGTCGGTCGGCCAAAAATGGCTGGGAAGCGTCTGCGCGTGAGTCTTCATGTACCTTCCATGATCTTGGGTGGTTTTGTTTCACTCACGATTTGGGCGAATACACGACTGAATCGCCGCAAGGGCTGATGTTTTCGGAACGCTCGCTGCGCTCTTCTTTACGACCAGCAGTATATGGGCGCTCTTCGCGCGCCTATACACAAGCCTATCATTTTCCCCGAATGACGTCTCATCGCATGAGACGCATACACTTTCATCCTGTCATACGCTTTCGCGTTTCATTACAAACTCGACGGCGCTTGTTGCTGAAAGCGTGACGGTCTACCATAGAGGCATGCTTTTTTCTTTGTCCATCCGTGTCTCCTCATTACGATGCGTTCCAGCGGTTCAGATGCCTCACATCCTACGTCTTCTAAGGGAGCAATTTCTCGACAGCGTACGTATTGGATCGCATGCACAAGGCTACAGTCGTGCAGGCACAGTTTGTTAGATTCTGTTTTGGACGTGCGACTTTCAGGATAAGAACGACGACGACGACGACGAGAAAGGTTGCTCAACCAGCTGCTGACCAAAAAGTAACCGACATGGACACGAAAGGTTGTTTTTTTTCGCAACCTCTCCCCGATCTACAAAATGCATTCCTTTTGTTGAATACATGGGAGAAAAACAAAAACAAACAACAAAAAAGGCGAGCTGGAGCACATGCTCCAGAATGCACTGCTCCAGCTTGAGCGATCGCTTGCATGGAGCAAGCTTGTCAAGTTCGTTGATGGATCTTACTTCACCTAGTCTGAAGCGTTTTCGGGGCGAGAATCCTTTGTTAGTCTAAGGGAACAGGTATACCTCTCGGGACGATGCTCGCTTAAGGCGAAGATCTCTATCACAATGGCAAATATATCCTAGTATCTATTCTTTTGCTGAGCGGCTCTTTACCGCGTTATTACTCAAGCGGGCCGCGTTTGATCACGATTTCACCGGGAAATCGCGCTCCTCTGCAAGTCCATAACTTGCGCTCCTGTTTGTATAGAAACATCAGCTTTGCGATTGCCTGATATTCTAACCTGAGCCCCATGGCTTCTACAATGTTTCCGAGAGCAGGCCCCCACTACTAAATGCCAGCGTTCGTGAATCCCGCAACGGTGCCTCTTGGGACTCTTGTTTGTGTTCGCTGTTGCTGGGACAGGTGTGGAAGTACGACTGGCCTGGGCCCAAGCTGATATACTTCGGATGGCGGCTGCGCCCCCAGTGTCGTAGCAGACAAGGTGCGTAATCGAGCTTGATTTGTACAGTCTCGTGTCGGTAATTACGATACATGGTCCCGTACGGAGGCCAGAATTCACGCGAGACCCCTTGTCGCCGCATCTGGAGATACTCGGATACGGTGAGATAGATGCGGCCCGCGTTATGCTCCAGATGCGAGGCGATCTGCTCCAGCAGATACTCTTCTAAGAAAGCAGGGTCTAAGTTCTCATCCAAATCTGGGACGTCGATACGGTTGCTCTCATAAAGATCAAAGTATCCCCAGCAACGCGATCTGCTATGCTTTCCATTAGCATGCGGCTGCAGCGGCATTCTCCCTTGGCATAACGCATGCAGTTTGCTCGCCTGCCCGAGCGCCACGTTGAATCCAGGTACCTGCGTGGACGCCAGAGTTCGTCGTTGTGCGCAGACGCCGTTGATATATCCCAAAGTCCATTCATCATATGGTGATCCGAACACCGAAGGCTCATAGCCCCAGATTTCTCGAAAAGCAGTCAATGCTTCTTTCAAGCGTTGGTGAAGACGACGAGCTGCGAGCCTGTGATCTGCACTCCACCAGGTGAACTCGCTATGCAGAGCATGTGAGTCTCGCCCACAGAGCCGATTCTCCACGAGGCACGCTCGGGCTGCATTCCTGCTCCAGGTTCCATTGTATGACAACGGGGCATGATCGGCGAGACTCTTCAGGAACTGAAAGGTGTACGTTGGCGGGTTGTGTGTGCTGATTCGCGGCACCACGAAACCATCTATGATTTCTACATCAAGGACTTCTGGTTGCCTGCGAATTTCCTCCAGCCAACGACGTGGATGAAGCACACTTCGGCCTCCAAACTCGGGTCTAAGGTTTCGCTGGTAAAACCAGTTGCGGAGCGCCTCCAACGCCTGCGCGTCGCCAATACTTTGTTCCATATATGTCGCGCGCCCTCTGGGGCCAGACCGCTCGACACCAGGTCTCCAGACCGGAAAAAAGACAGTGATTACCGGAGGCTCGCGCCCTTCGGAACGCGAACTCGTTTGCAGCTCCGTAAACGTGCGTGCGAGCGCCCTGTCGATAGTCCTCAGAACAGAGGTTCCGTAAAGTGTTGGGCCCGTCAGCGCCAAAGTCGTAAAGTTCTCAGGTTGGAGAACATAGTTAAAAGAAGCGTGCCTCGGATGTAAAATAAAACGATCTTGGAGCGCGGCTGCATGCCTTTTCGTCTGGTGCCGATTGAACAACGCTAGCACCAAGCACAAAAGAAACACGAAAAAACCGAAGAGTGCGCACACCAAAAACCTGTCACTAGTGAAAGACTTGCTCTGTCGTCTAACATAGGGTCGAAACTTATGCATATGCCTCGCAAATATTTCAACAAAAAAGAATACCCTCGCCGCGAAGTCCAGCGTCGGTTGCAGGCAACGTCACCAGTGCTTCGCTGGTATCGAAGCGTTACTTTGAACGACCCACCGATGCCGGCGGCCGCGTGTCGCTGCTGGCCGTCATCGGCGGTGACGTGGCTTCTTCTGCAGCCACAATTGCCTCGATCATCTCTGGACGCAGTGCTGTGGAGCGATGACACGAGCCGGGGGCGATCGTACGAACGATACAGGTGTTTAAAATCAAACGTGTTCCAGGATCAGGTGCGTGTTCTCACATCCTTGTTCGCAGTTCATAGCAGATGCGTTCGAAAAGCTTTCATTTGGAGAAATAGAAATCCGAGGGAAAGGTAGCGCATGGACGTTGGGGATCTTGGAGGGCTGTCAGTGCCAGATGTCCGGGAAAAAACCGAAAAATCCTATTTTCGCTAAGTATCGAGCGAAGAGTAGCAACTGAATATGAAGATGAGGAGGCGAGGTGGGCGAGAAAAGGTGTTTGCACGACGGGATGATGACGAAACTGTAGTGATGCAGAGAGCTCGAGTTCGAGGAAGCCTTGCACGTATGAGTTCAACCAGAGGCAATAAATGCAAGGAGTTCATTAACCGAGGCTTCAGCGCCATCAGCAATATCAGACGAGGTGCGGTGCTAAAGACGAGACCCAAGGAGCTTACGCGATTCAACGTTGTCGGGCAGCATCTGATGCTCGAAATGATGCCCGGATAAAAACTGAACCGGAGAGCAAGCTGTCTGTCAAAAATTGATGGGAGGCGTGTGTGCTTGGGTAACAAGTTACCCTCTACGGCCGTAGAACATTTCTCGTGTTCCCGATTATAGATACATAACATACTCATGGTCGCTGAAGTTCGGTTTCTCATTCTATGTCGTCATCATCAGTCTTTGAGGACCTTTTACGCGACTGCCTCCTTTTCCTACCTCTGATATCCGGCTTTGAAGACGGCGATCGTTGCGCTCACTGCTGCTCTTTTTTCAGCAGTCTGAGGATGCTCATGGATGCGTCCAAGTAAGGAGTTAGCCGCTCCTAGCTTTCTTATAACGCATTTCAGGCGCAGACCGCAGCTGGGATATTTGCTTCGCATGCTATTTTCACCTTCATCGTAGACAATTTCGGTTCGCCTTTCGCACCGGTGACACTTGGCTGTGGTCGGGTCTTCTCGTGCGTCCGCTAAACCGCATTCATGCGCTGCTCTGCGGCTTACGAATGCTTGCTTCATCGCTCGTTATATGCCTGTAACAGGTGGAGAAGCGCAAATCCGTGCGGTCTCCAGCCCGACATGAGATTTCAGTGTGGCGTGTGCTCCAAGCGCTGCAGTTCGCGGGGCTGACGTGTGCCTTTCCGATTCGACCCTGCTTAGATCAGGCCAAAGCCTCGTTGCGATGAATTCAGTATGAGGCACAGCCTACGGAGCGTTGAATGGGATGTACCGGACAAGCTGTTCGCGCGTTCGGCGCGACTAGAGGCTCCGGTGCATGGGTTCTTCTCCGAACGAGGAAAATTTCCTGTCCAGTGTCGATACCATGGGTCCAGGATGAAATCCGTTTTGAGCGAATCCCCTGGAAATAAAGCGCTGCCTGCGGCTGTGATTGTCTCATTCTGAAAGATCGTGGAGGCTCCCCAAGAACGCTTCACAATCGCGTTCAATCTTTTGCGTGCATCGTTCCGTACGACAGTGCCGCTCGTGTCTATGCGGCACGGCTCCTTGTGCGCAGGCGTCCATTTTATTGAACTGCGACAAGCATGTATGGAAACTCTGTTTCAGAGCTTCCCCAGAAGCCCAAGTTCAAACCTTTCTGTAGTCTCGAGTAGCCGTTGAGTCGAGTGCGGACCCAGTATCGTTCTCAAACATGATAAAATCGTACGGCAAGGTAACCACCGCGAGTGTGATGAAGGGATCGATGCGCTGCTGTGCCTGCAGAATTGAGCAGAACCGACGAAGCGATCGCAAGACAAACGTGGGGATGTCAGACCTCTTCCTTACCAAATCTTTGCGAGCTCGCGGCACGTGACGGCACCGTCGGCTTATACCCTGTGTATATGAAGACCAAGGCAACGTTGCAAGTCGATCGTATTCAGAGCATGCTGTAGCCGCCTCACATCTATTCGGATGTGCGCACTGCGCAGACAATGCTAAATTTTTAGAGAACAATCCATGACACAATCAGTTCGCGAGTAACCGTCTCTCAAACCCTGTTACGCAAAAGTCCCTCATCTATCAAGAGTCATCGCTTACTGCATGGAGACGTTCCCTGCTGGGGGCTGCACACTGATCGGGCGACCGGTGCACCGCGGCACAGCTCGCCATCCGTCGTCGGCGTCCGTTCTGGCTGCAGTCCACGAATATCCCGTAACTAAGGAACAGGGTGTTGAACTCATCTGCGTCCAGAAAGGCATTCAAAAGTTCCTGCGGTGCAAGCAGAATCGTCCTACACGCGTCGCTGTTTCCACACTGCGCGCTTATTCTGGGGATGTCTTTTCGAAATGGGTTTCAAGGTTACCACATGTTTCTTCTTTCCAGGGGGCCGGTAGATGTCTCTGCGTTGCGAGTTTGTCCCTGTTCGACGCACAGCTAGTTGCGCCACAGCACGATCATTTAGGATGGTTTCCCGCTCGTCCCCCGGGTTTAACTCCTGGGGCGTGACGACTACCATAGATTCCAAGTCACCTTTCGCTTCGGCCCGCTCAGCTAGCGGCCCGTGCACACAATTTAAACGTGGAGGCTCTGGCGTAGGCACAAAATTAGTTGCTATCTCAGCGCCACGGTGTCGAGCTTGCTGAACGTTAGAAGTGTCCGCGGAAGCCTGCTGCTGCTGTTGCTGCTGCCGTCGCCGCACAAAGCCGATTCGGTCATAGAGTTTGCCCGTGATCTGTTCAAGTCTCTCCTGATTCTTGACCGCCAGACGCTCCCGCGCAGCTTTCCGGTATGCTCGCTTTACTTTTGACCGAATCGACTTGGCCATCCTGAGCGAACAAGCCGTTCCCGCAAACGCACTTTGCAACGATGACGGTGTGGCGCGGCGGGCGCGCCTCCGTAGGGACGGAGGCCTCGCGTCAAGCGCCGACAACAGCCACCGTTGTATATTGCTTTCCTTCGGCATTGTATCGATACTTCTAACCTGAGAATCGCTGTATGCACAATGGTTATAGCAGGCATGTCGGAATGAAATAGAATGGGTCCACTTATTGTTCTCAGGCGTGTACGTGGCAGTTTGCAACCCTGCCACGGTTACCATTGTCATCAATCCTAGCTTTTGTAGAATGTTTCATGGACTGCTTCCACTTCCTTTCTCTTATATCTGGCTTTGAAAATGATTGCTTCTCCTTTCCATCCAGCCCTGTTGTCAGCAGTCGAAATCTATTGATGTCGGTGTTCAAGTCCCGACTACGCGGCTTTCAGCTGTCGTTCGCACATTTCATGTACAGACGGTTGTTGCGCTCGACGTTTCGTTCGCCATGTTTACCTTCTTTGGTCGCAGACATGGTGCGCCCTTCGCAGCGGTGACACTTGAATGTGGTCAGGTGTGTTCCCTTATGCCAACCAAACCGCCCAGCACCGGAGGCTGCACAGTGGCGCGTGCACGCTTGGCTCACCGTTCAGTAAACGCTCTTGACGTGTACAAAAGAATAAGTTCGAAAGCTCCCTCCAATTCTAGGTCCGGTTCCGTAGCTTGAGATCACATGCTTCATCTGAGCGATGTCCTCGGCAACTGTTTCGTCCTCTTCACGCGAGAACGTATGCTGTTCCATTCGATAAAGGATTAGGGGAATAAGATGTTGTTCATGATGAACCGAGCCCCGGACGGCAAATTCGAGCTGGAGAACAAGTCAAGCAATGTCGAGCCTGCTACGCTCCTTCACTTCAAGGCGATGACGCATGCTCGACCGGATGCGATCGCCTCCATGACTCAATCCGAGTCCAAGAACGTTTTTGCTACGCAGCCATACGAGACGGGAGCTCCTCGGTGCATCTCCCGAGAGCGGGGTTTCGTGCAGATCTCGAACGCTGTTATGTCGAGGACTCTACCAACAGCACGCTTTGTCTTCCGAACGGAGTGAATCGGTTATTGGGCATGACATATTCAGTGAACTCACAGCAGCAACACGTGAACATGTCGGCAGGAGACAACCGTAGGGCCCTAGCCGCATCAATCAAGCGGTCCGAATGGCTGCGCCTTCGAGTTGCCGTGAAAAGTAAATGTCGAATGCCAGACCAACGATGATTGAGGCATGCTATGCATAAGAAAGAAAGAAGCGTAGATCCTTGTAAGCATCAACTGAATAATAATATCGATTATTTTACGAACTCTTGTTCAAGTGCATTGCGAATCAAGTATACTCCGGTGTCGTAACGAACATCAGCAGCTCAGAGTCGAAAGAGCCACTCCGCAAAAACGACCGAGGGCTCTAGGACCGCATATGAATCCGTAAGCCCTTATGACAACATTTCGAATGTCGAGGCTGTATATCGAGAAAAGCTCAGGGACAAACTGGAAAGCAGGAGCATCGCGAGTCGTGCAATGCTCGATTTATAATTGACATGGGTGCAACATCTGAGGAAGCAACTAATGCTGCTTTTGAAACGCTCAGCGTCTCACACGCTTCACAAGAAACTTCCTCGGAAATCATGATCATTTCGCACGCTCCACGGCCTGACTATCCATGCTGCAACGTCGAACGCAGGGCGGCGGGTATCCCGCGGACCCATTGCGCTGACAATACGAAGACCCGCGAACTGCGTCGCAATGTCCATTTCGTCGCTTCGGTCCTTAGCAAGTGCTCGAGCACGCAGACAAGCAGTCGCCCGCTCGTTTCCTCTGCACTTGGTTACGGTGGGAGCGATTTATTGCGTACAAAAAATTCAGCTTCATTTCTTCGCTGAACGAGGCAGAGAACGTTTGGAAGCACTGAAACGGCTGGAGGAGTGCACATCGCCGTGCTTTTCGCGGAGTTAGACCACTCGCACGTTGCACGCAATTCGAACTGAAGAAACTCCATGCGCTGCTAACAAGTCTTGCACGCGTCTGATAAATCAGCTAGTCCACCCTATCTTGCCTAGGTATAGGGATACCGCTCGCATTTCTGGTACATTCGATCATGCTTCTGGCGGAAAGCCTCGGCGGCGTCGCTTTTGTCACCGTTCACACGGTGCTGTGCGTCGCTGTACTGTACTTACCGTGGAACCGCGGCGACCGAGAAAGCTTCCGTGTCACTTGTCTAGGGGCTTTGAGCACTTGCGCTGTTATCGCTCTGAGCCTGGTGAATCTTCAGTTGTTCTTCACTGGCTTGACCTGGCGGGAGCTGTCGCGGACGTATCACTGGCTGAGGCCGTGGCACAGCTGGCAAGTCTATCTACTGGACTCTGGCGGTTTTTTGGTGCTCCTTTTTCTGCACGAGTACAGAAAAAGACAGCAGACTCCAGTTAAGAGTTCGTCATCGAGCACGTGTGCATCGACGTCGCAGTCCGCTTGCCCGAATGCGGAGAACGGCATCTATCGAAACGAGAGGCGAAATACCTGGTGCATGTTCCGAAGCCTGCTGATCGCACCGATAACAGAGGAGCTCCTCTTCCGTTGTGTATTCGATGCAGCAATGAGATCAGCTCAAGTCCCTGAACTTGCCAGCATGATTTTCAACGGAGTCATGTTTGCCGTAGCGCACGCGCATCACTATTTCCGGCACCAGAGCAGGTCACTTCTCGGAAAGCAGCTTCTTGTAACGTTTTGCTTTGGTTGCGTCCAAGTCGTTTGCCTGAGACGGACGGATTACTCCCTGTGGGCCTGCATCGCAACGCACGCTTTGGCGAACGCGCTCGATCTGCAGAAAGTTTTCAGTGATAGGGGAGCGTCACATTTTCTCTACGGCGACGTAGGCCATCAGTTAGGAGCCCTGCTGCAAGCTGCAGCACCGCTCGTATTCATCTTGCGCTATGCGCTTGACATGGCCATGCAAGCGAGTCCGTTCCGGTCCTCGATCCTCCAGGTGCATGCGGACCCGGGGCTGCTCGAGGAACGGCGTGAAATCATGCGTCCAACGACGCCGTTTTCGCTCTTCTTGATAGAATATCATCAGCGTGATCCGATCTTCGGGCGCTTCATGGCTCTCTGCTCCATGCTGCCTCAACTTTTATTCGCCGCAGAGGTCACAGCTGTCTACTGTTGGCGAAGTCCGCGCGCATTGCTCCTAGCTGTTGGCCAGATTGTGAACGAGACGCTGAGCTACGCACTCAAGCGATCGTGTCGGATACCTCGCCCGCCAATCGCTCGACTGGAAGCAGATGCGTTCGGTTGGCCCTCTTCACACGCTCAGTTCATGTCCTACTTGTACGTTTTCTACGTACTCTATGTGTCTAGGCCACAGCGCAAGGCATCATCGAGCCACAACGGTGAAATGATGCACCAGACGCTTCCGAAGCGGAGGAAGACGACCGATTCAATTTCGGAAACCGTGGCAGTGATGTTTTTGCTAGGTCTGTCATCCGTTCTGGTGGCTGCCTCAAGAGTATACCTGGCATATCATTATCCCAGTCAGGTTTGGTATGGAATCATCATGGGCACTATTTTCGCGATAACCTGGTTCCTTGCGAGTGAAAACGTTTTCTTATCCTACGTTCGATCATTGCGGATTCTCGTATGGCTCGGGTTCGGCGAAGATGACTCTGACCTGTTTCGCAGTATACTCAGAGATGTGCATTAGAACGGCCCCCGGAACTTTCACGGAGCTTGGATTACACGGCAGCGTCGCAGTATACCCGTCATTCGACTTTGTATGCACCTCGCTAAAGCTCTAGTGGATACACTTTTAGCCGAGCAGCAACTACCATAAACTCGGAGACTAGTGCTCGTTCAACGGCGCGATGGGCGCAACACGTGGCAGTTTTCAAGGATATCCGGGCACGCGACTGACTCACCGGCTATGGAAGAATAAAGCTCATCGACAGTGGTTCTTATGGAATGTGTACGACGTCTCAACGCTGCGAGCTTGCAATGGATCTCGATATCGGCTCGCTCAAAGTTCCTATGGTATGCGCACGGCGCTGCAGCGGAGCGTGGCTGCGTTGATCCCCTGATGCAGTCTTTCGCCTATCGCTTCGTTGATCTCCAAGGCATGCAACTCAAAAGCGCGCTGCATCTACATGCATGTTTCATGCAAGTCTGACGAGGCGCACGCGGGTCCCACGAATGGGAGGATGAGAGTCGAGCACACGGACGCCACAGCAGATCGTGCATTTGCACCGATTGTCTGCTGTTTGGCTCGAGACTTGCACGGGTGCTCACAGCGAAGTCTCTGTCACGCTGATAACATATGCTGAATTGTCGCAAGCCGGGAATCATCATGAATGGATTCGCTTGGATCAGAGCTTTGTGGGCAATTTTCCGCAAATCGAGAGCAGAGTTTCACAGGCAGCCTTCGCAGTCGAATACATTTACAGGGCTCTGTCATCTCGCATGGTGCTTGCTAGGACAGCGTCCGCACCTCGTTCACGCAGACCTCTCAGCAATGAGGCATTGGGGGCGTGCTCACGTGGCAGCTCCACGATGACTCGAAGCCCTAGTCTCCTAGCTTCCGGTGCGAACCGCTCGAGCAACGCCTCTGAGTCGCTAAGCATAGGCACAAGACTGTCGAGGTCTCTCTTCGCGAGAAGCAGAATGCTAATGCGGCCGTCATCGCTGTGCTGCCTCTTTGCTGTCAAAAGCGCATCCAACTCGGCGGCATCGTGCACTTCGATGATGGGCGCCATCCCCAGCGCAACGCTTGCCTTGGCAAAATACAGCGTATCCTTCAACCCAAGCACCTTCATGATAAGCACACAAGCATCAGCTTGATAAAAGCGCGCGTCGTACAGTTGCCATGGATACACGAAAATGTCCTTGCAGATAACCGGACACCTGACGACCTCATGAACCCTCCGAATATCCTCGTAGCTGCCGTAGAAGCGGCGCGACTCGGCATTCACCACGACTGCTCTGGCATCGTTCTTCTCTTCAGCCACATTTGCCAGAATAGGTGCAGACTCTGTGTCTTCCGGTGAGCAGCGCTGGTACTGGAAAAAGAGCACGCTCTCCGGCCCTGCGGAGTCCCAGAAAACCGAGTTGAGGTCGCGCACCGGAGCGACATCACTTTTCTCTAAGCGGCTTTTCATAAGGAACAGAGGCATGCGCTGCCGACGCACTTCAATTTCACGCTCTTTGGCCCAAACGAGCTCCTCGAGCAGGTTCCTCGGTTTATCCTCGGGGTTCTCAACGCCCCAGACGACGTTCTCTGCGAACACCTGACGGCCATTCCGGATGGAGCGTCGCCGAATCTGGTCAACTGCCTCGTTTGACCCTTCGCTACGCTCGCTGTGGTTGCATCTTAGGCTTACGATCCAACTCAGTCTCAAAGGCATGTTCTCGATTATAGCTTATCGAGGAAGAGACGGAAGCAAGAAGGCACGCCTGTCACGTTGTGCCGCTGTGGGTGCCTCGCAAAGCACCATTTATTCCTGGACATATTAGGCCAAGACAGTCCGATGCTGTCACCTGGCAAGTGTGCGTTTGGCTTCGCAGCGCCGGAGGCTCGGCACTGCAATGCAGTGCTTGCCACGGGCACGACAATCCAGAAAATCGTCTGATTCCGGAGCGCATGTGGGTGCATGAAGGAGCATAGTTGATGCCCCGGAGGAAGGATGAGGCGTGCCTAGGTAACCGGTTGAATACCTTTCGCATAGGATACGGTGTTGCTGCAGAGTTCGCTCGATCATGTCTTTAGAACACACTCTAGAGCCCTGATGATGCATGCGGGTTGTATCGCTTTTTTCGTCGGATCCTATCCCGGATGCAGCCTGATGGTACACACGTGACGGGCTTCGAGCCGCGAGGGTGCATACCTGATGCATCAAGTGTGGGAATTCGCGGCATGAACAAGCATATCCGAAGCTGTTCATCATGCATGTCGCGTCAGCTGGGAACACGGTATAGATGCCTGCACGAGAAGCGGGCGCGTTTTCGGGCAATATTCGAACGTGTTCTCGGGGCGGAGCCTGCACTTCCATGAGGAATGCTGTGGCAGCCACGCAGTGAATGATTCACGAAACGATTCGCCGTCATATGCCTAGTCCCCAGCGGGTATACTGCGTTTAATTAACGTGGGGCGCTTGTCGCTTTCTGTGTCCTAAAAGCACAAAAAGCCTTGCTGATCAGGGTTATACTCGGTGCAGAGAATTCTGGAGTGCCTGTATCAGCACGCTGTTTTCGATTTATTTCGGGTTTCTCGCATACAGTCAACAAAGGAATGCATCCTGTACATTACAGAGAAGACACGGAAAGACTGGTGCTGTCAATGCTAGGATGCGTTCCATGGCCCTACGACTACAAGTTCGCCGTTCTGCGCTCAGCGCGTGCATGAACCACACTCGTCGTTGCCCCTGAGCTGAACGTCCTGCACCCAAACCAGATCCCAGAGAACGCCCACTAAACGACCGTCTCTCTGTCGATTCACGCCACGACATGCAGTCTCGAACAGGCCGCTATCACAGATGCCAAAGAATGCGACGTTTCCGTTCCGCAGATGCGAACGGCCACGAACACACGCAGACGGACAACCGAAAACGGCATGCTTATGAGCGGAACTGTCGCACGTCCAGCTGCACACACTTGATTCCGCACGGAGACGCGTGTGAGCGCTTCCCATGGGCGACAAGCGCTCATCATCTCGGTCGCAGAGACCTCATTCCCGAGAATACCTGCATCACAATATGGGTACGCCAAGCAGGGCGTACCGCTGTTCGTAACGAAGGGACGCACGGGAAGACCGGCAGCACCAGCCCGAGTGGCAGTGCGGCCGTGTGGAGGCCTGCACTCGCGAAACGCACAGCATCGTGCACTACGTCATCCCGTGTCTGAGCTGTCTCGTCGCGCGTTCATCTCCATACACTGGGTTGTCCTGATCGCGGACGACGCTGCTTTCCATCACTCAAACCCGGTCAAGGAGCGCGCACCTGAGGCAGGCGTTGAGCGGCTCCCTCCACTGGCTCGTGCTTCTGGGTTCATTCAAGTCGAGGCGTCTGCGCTGTTGTCAAGTGCCGTTTTCGCAGGCACGCGTCCGTGCACGAGCCGCTCGCAACCGTGAAACGCGTCTTGCACAATTCGTCTCTTGGTCTGTGTCAGCGATGAACTGGAGTGTTGCCCCTGTGCTCGTGGGCATGCGGCAGCGCGCCGGCGTGCTTCGGTCCTTGAGCGTGCCCGCGACGAACAGGATGACGAAAAGGTAACTAGATATACATATGTACGTGGGGCAGGGGATGTTTAGTGGCACTGTTTGCACACCGCACCGAGTCCAGGAGAGAAACCGGATGGAAAGCATCGGAAACACTGTTTGGCACACAGCGACGTGAGGGAGATTCAGAAGGATACCACCAGGCAAAGAAGAGGGAGATTCTCCGGGAAAGAGCGCAACAATGGGCATGAATGAAAAGCTGTCGGGGCGGAAAGATCAAACGTACGCCGTCCTTGAGGCGTCTCCGCCGAAACACATCAATGGGGAGAATGCTCCAGGACGTGAAATGCAGGATGCTATTAGGGATCGCACAGCGTCTTACTCGACACGTCGTGTCCAGCACCTCGCGCCTCGGTGCATACCGCCGAAGCATTGTTTTACGAGTTCTGGAAGAAGGTCTGGCAGCTGTCCACATTCCTCTGGATTATTTCGATCCAACTATCGTGCAGCAAGAGAACGGATGCTCGCGACAGACGATTCTCGATGGCCCAGTCATATGGTTCGAGATTCGCACAAACGCCTCGAATCGTACCTCGACATGCGCCAGCACAACGTCTTCGCTCGAAAAATGTTCTGCAGTGCATGTGCCAAATGGTATCAAATGCCTAACTGCAGACCGAAAAGCCTATGTTGGTGAACCTCGAGAGCTTCATGGAGCGCACCGTGTGGGCGTTGTATCCTCATCTTCGTGGGCCCGCAAAGAAGAGCTGATGGAGGGGATTCTCTGCTCCAGCTTGTACATGAGTGCCACTAGGTGTCACGGGGGCGATCCCTGGCATGGGCACGTGGTGTCGCGCTGGGGCCGCCACCCGTATCGCAGTGCGGAGGCAAGAGGCGTGTATTCGGGCACACGTTCAATGCGTCAGAAGAAGGAGATGATTGAGAGGTCGCGTCGCTTGCCCGTAGCCTATGGCGCTGCTCGTTCCGGGCAGCGTAAAACCTGCACTCGTACAGCCTTCGCGCCGAATGTGCAACGACTGCAGGAATCGATGCTGCACAACTCCCATAGATGCATCCCCGACGACATACGCGCCTCACGAGCACGAGTGCACCCTGCAACAGGCCCAGAAGCAGTATGTGGAATGGAGTCGCATGCACGAGATGGCCTACGACCAGCTCAGCAAACATCAGATGCCGAGGCAATCGCCAGTGAGACGCTCGGTATGGTAGGATTCCACAGGCCGCAGTACGCCCGAGCGAACAGTATCTGCGCGGAGACTTCAGCCCATCGATGACCTGCAGGTACCGTCTTGCACTTGCAGAGCGTCCGGCTTCCTTGCGTCGAGCGAGTTCTCGATGTCTACGCTCAGCACGCATCAGTCTGGGCGCTTCGCGAAAACGCTGCAGACCTGCGACGGAAGATAGAAACCCCATTGCCCAGGAGAGCGGGCATTGGATTCAAGCTTGAAGCGAGCCACAGGTATGGTATGGTACCGCGATCCAGCAAGATTACAGCGCTCAATATCTGCACCGAAAAACCTTTCCCAGGGCACCTGCTAGACGATATTTGGGTTTTGTTCCACGATATCACCCATCCTGGTCAAGTACCGCTCCAACTGAACATAAACGGTACCTGATTCCACGCTTACGAACTTTGCACACACATCCCGTGAATTCTGGTTGAACGCAAGCGTCCAGCACGATGCCATACCACAAAACACAGAGCCGTGGAAGCCGATGCACCAGAGGTCGCCTCGTCACGCTCGACGAGCGCCTCTGTTGGCGCTACGCCAGCGTTCCCAGTCGGCAGTCTAAAATCGACGCTGGCGACGTGCAGGCGGGCGAGTGTACCCAGGAGCGGCGTGTGTCCAGCACCGGCGCCTGCGCGTTGCCAGCGTCGATTTTAGACTGCCGCCCCGGTCAACGAAGCGCTTGTCGTGGCCCGCGACGCATACCGAATCCAGGCGGTGCTCGGTAGCTTGTCGAGACGTTCAGCAACGTCTCTCTGGACCAAAAGTCGTGTGTGTTCCATGGAAGACGCGTTCTGCAGGACTGCTGAAGAGGTTCTCGAAGCATTTCAAGTACGCAAGGACTATGGCCTCACTGAGGAACAGGTGGCGCTGTACGCCCAGCGGTACGGTAGGAACGTAACAGCTCGTGAGGAGAGCGCACCGCTGTGGCAGCTTGTCGTGAAACAGTTTCAGGATCAGTTAGTTTTAATACTTTTGGGTGCTGCTGGAATTTCTTTTATTCTAGCTTTATTTGAGGACGATGAGGATCGGGTAACAGCGTTTTTTGAGCCTCTGGTTATCGTCTTGATTCTCGCTGCGAACGCTACTGTCGGTGTGATTCAGGAGACCAACGCAGAGAAGGCGATAGAAGCCTTACGGGAGTATGAACCGGACGACGCTACCGTCTTGCGCTGCGGAGAACTTCGGCGGGTGCGGTCAGAAGAGCTTGTTCCCGGTGATATTATCGAGGTTTCTGTGGGTATGCGCGTTCCAGCGGACTGTCGCATCATCGAACTTGCCTCCACGGTACTCTACGCGGACCAATCCGTCCTCACCGGGGAGAGCATCAGCGTGAGCAAGTCTCCAGAGGCTATAACGGACACGCAGTGCATGATTCAGGACAAGACCTGCCTGCTATTCGCAGGTTGTACGATTGTGCGCGGCAAGGCCCGGTGCGTTGTTACTCAAGTCGGTGAACGAACGGAAATCGGGAAAGTGCGCCGCAATATCGCAGAAACAAAAGCGGTGATGACGCCTCTCAAGCGCCGCTTGGATGAGTTCGGCTCACTCCTCAGCAAAATCATTCTGTTGATCTGCGTTCTGGTGTGGCTGATCAATATTCGAAACTTTTGGAACCCCGAGCACGGGGGGTTCCTTCGAGGTGCAGTCTATTATTTCAAGATAGCTGTTGCTTTGGCTGTAGCAGCGATACCAGAAGGTCTGCCTGCTGTTGTAACGACATGCTTGGCACTCGGTACAAAACGAATGGCCCGCAAGAATGCGATCGTGCGCTCGCTGCCGAGCGTGGAAACGCTGGGATGCACCAGTGTTATCTGCTCGGACAAGACAGGAACCATCACGACGAATCGCATGTGTGTGACGCGTGTCTTGCTGGTGAGCGATGTGCTCCCCGCCGGCGATGGAAAGCTTCTGGACCTCGAAGTGACGGGCCACGGAGACTTCTCACCGTTTGGAAATGTTGTCTACAACGGTTCAGTCTTGGAGAGTCCCCTGAAGAGCCTGCCCCCGTTGGCGGAGCTGAGCATCGCGGCAACCTTCTGTAACGATGCTTCAATCACCTTCAACATGAAAGGAAGACAGTACGACAAAATCGGGGAAGGGACTGAGGCAGCCCTGATCACGCTGGTGGAGAAGCTTCGCACGCCCGATGAACACTACAATGCGGAAATATCTCACATGCCTCTCGTGCAACGTGCAACGGCAACCAGAGCCTACTGGAACCGGCTCTTCGAGCGCGTTGCAACACTAGAATTCACCCGCGATCGCAAATCAATGAGTGTCTTTTGTCGTCGTTTATCTGACGAGTCGCTCCATATGTTCGTGAAGGGCGCTCCCGAACGCATTCTGGAGAACAGCGATTATGTATGCATTGGCAACGGTATGCGTATTCCGATCACGCCGGTGCTTCGTCGTCAGCTTCTGGATGCGGTCGCGAGTCTCAGCAGCGGTGTCCATGCGCTGCGAACGCTCGCGATTGCAACTAGAGATCATCCACCAGCATTGGAAACCGTAGATATGCGCGACACCCAAAGCTTTGCGCGATACGAATCCAACCTGACGTTCATTGGGCTGGTCGGGATGATTGACCCACCGCGGGAGGAGGTGCGTGCTGCCATCGAGACCTGTGCGCTTGCCGGAATCCGCGTGATTGTTATCACCGGAGACAACAAAGCAACCGCTGAGGCTATCTGTCGACAGGTGGGTATATTTGATGACTACGAAGATCTCTCAGGGAAAAGTTACACTGGTCGAGAGTTTGAATTGCTTCCCGAGGATGCACGTCGCCAGGTCGTCCGAAGAGCGCGTCTTTTTGCGCGCGTCGAGCCGCTCTGCAAACAACGCATCGTGACGCTTCTGCAAGAGCGAGGTGAAGTAGTCGCCGTCACCGGCGACGGTGTGAACGACGCTCCGGCCCTGAAAGCTGCAGATATCGGCATCTCCATGGGTACCGGGACTGCCGTTGCAAAGGGTGCCGCGGACATGGTACTCGGCGATGATAACTTCGCCACGATCGTTGCTGCGGTAGAAGAGGGTCGCGCGATCTACGAAAACATGCGACAGTTCATTCGATATCTCATCTCGTCGAACATCGGGGAGGTTTGGTGCGTTTTCCTTACCGCTGTGCTGCATACACCCGAAGCGCTGGCACCGGTGCAGTTACTCTGGGTCAATCTGGTGACTGACGGTTTACCAGCTACCGCGCTTTCCTTTAATCGACCGGCCAAGAACATCATGCAGCAACCACCGCGACCCAGCAATGAGCACATCGTGAATGGGTGGCTTCTCTTCCGCTATCTCGTCATCGGTACTTACGTAGGTGTTGCGACAATCGCTGGGCTCATCTGGTGGTACATGTTCTATGCAGGCGGACCTCAACTCTCCTGGTCTGAACTGCGCCTGCATCGACAGTGCCAGTCTGGAAACGACTTGGGTACAGGTCTCGCTATCAGCTGCGACATTTTCCGAAGCAGGCACCCGAGCACTGTCTCCTTATCCATACTCGTGACCATCGAGATGCTGAATGCACTGAATTCTCTCGCTGAAAACGAGAGTATTACCATCGTCGGACCATGGACGAACCCGTTCCTCGTACTCGCGATATGCCTGAGTTTGGCGCTTCACGCGATCATTCTTTATGTGCCGTTCTTCAATCGTGTATTTGCAACAGCCCCGCTCGATTTTCAAGAATGGGTAGCAGTCCTATGGCTCAGTCTGCCGGTGGTATGGCTCGATGAAGGGCTCAAATATTTCAGTCGACTGCAGAAACGTCGTCAAACAATCAAGAAGATGCGGTAAAAGGCTCTGGAAGAGAATGCAATCCGGGAACACCAGCCGCTACAGCAGCGACAACACTCTGCCTCGGAACCTAGACAAGCCCTGGAGCAGAGAATTCTTGAGTACCTGTATCAGCACGCTGTTTTCGATTTATTTCGGGTTTCTCGCATACAGTCAACAAAGGAATGCATCCTGTACATTACAGAGAAGACACGGAAAGACTGGTGCTGTCAATGCTAGGATGCGTTCCATGGCCCTACGACTACAAGTTCGCCGTTCTGCGCTCAGCGCGTGCATGAACCACACTCGTCGTTGCCCCTGAGCTGAACGTCCTGCACCCAAACCAGATCCCAGAGAACGCCCACTAAACGACCGTCTCTCTGTCGATTCACGCCACGACATGCAGTCTCGAACAGGCCGCTATCACAGATGCCAAAGAATGCGACGTTTCCGTTCCGCAGATGCGAACGGCCACGAACACACGCAGACGGACAACCGAAAACGGCATGCTTATGAGCGGAACTGTCGCACGTCCAGCTGCACACACTTGATTCCGCACGGAGACGCGTGTGAGCGCTTCCCATGGGCGACAAGCGCTCATCATCTCGGTCGCAGAGACCTCATTCCCGAGAATACCTGCATCACAATATGGGTACGCCAAGCAGGGCGTACCGCTGTTCGTAACGAAGGGACGCACGGGAAGACCGGCAGCACCAGCCCGAGTGGCAGTGCGGCCGTGTGGAGGCCTGCACTCGCGAAACGCACAGCATCGTGCACTACGTCATCCCGTGTCTGAGCTGTCTCGTCGCGCGTTCATCTCCATACACTGGGTTGTCCTGATCGCGGACGACGCTGCTTTCCATCACTCAAACCCGGTCAAGGAGCGCGCACCTGAGGCAGGCGTTGAGCGGCTCCCTCCACTGGCTCGTGCTTCTGGGTTCATTCAAGTCGAGGCGTCTGCGCTGTTGTCAAGTGCCGTTTTCGCAGGCACGCGTCCGTGCACGAGCCGCTCGCAACCGTGAAACGCGTCTTGCACAATTCGTCTCTTGGTCTGTGTCAGCGATGAACTGGAGTGTTGCCCCTGTGCTCGTGGGCATGCGGCAGCGCGCCGGCGTGCTTCGGTCCTTGAGCGTGCCCGCGACGAACAGGATGACGAAAAGGTAACTAGATATACATATGTACGTGGGGCAGGGGATGTTTAGTGGCACTGTTTGCACACCGCACCGAGTCCAGGAGAGAAACCGGATGGAAAGCATCGGAAACACTGTTTGGCACACAGCGACGTGAGGGAGATTCAGAAGGATACCACCAGGCAAAGAAGAGGGAGATTCTCCGGGAAAGAGCGCAACAATGGGCATGAATGAAAAGCTGTCGGGGCGGAAAGATCAAACGTACGCCGTCCTTGAGGCGTCTCCGCCGAAACACATCAATGGGGAGAATGCTCCAGGACGTGAAATGCAGGATGCTATTAGGGATCGCACAGCGTCTTACTCGACACGTCGTGTCCAGCACCTCGCGCCTCGGTGCATACCGCCGAAGCATTGTTTTACGAGTTCTGGAAGAAGGTCTGGCAGCTGTCCACATTCCTCTGGATTATTTCGATCCAACTATCGTGCAGCAAGAGAACGGATGCTCGCGACAGACGATTCTCGATGGCCCAGTCATATGGTTCGAGATTCGCACAAACGCCTCGAATCGTACCTCGACATGCGCCAGCACAACGTCTTCGCTCGAAAAATGTTCTGCAGTGCATGTGCCAAATGGTATCAAATGCCTAACTGCAGACCGAAAAGCCTATGTTGGTGAACCTCGAGAGCTTCATGGAGCGCACCGTGTGGGCGTTGTATCCTCATCTTCGTGGGCCCGCAAAGAAGAGCTGATGGAGGGGATTCTCTGCTCCAGCTTGTACATGAGTGCCACTAAGTGTCACGGGGGCGATCCCTGGCATGGGCACGTGATGTCGCGCTGGGGCCGCCACCCGTATCGCAGTGCGGAGGCAAGAGGCGTGTATTCGGGCACACGTTCAATGCGTCGGAAGAAGGAGATGATTGAGAGGTCGCGTCGCTTGCCCGTAGCCTATGGCGCTGCTCGTTCCGGGCAGCGTAAAACCTGCACTCGTACAGCCTTCGCGCCGAATGTGCAACGACTGCAGGAATCGATGCTGCACAACTCCCATAGATGCATCCCCGACGACATACGCGCCTCACGAGCACGAGTGCACCCTGCAACAGGCCCAGAAGCAGTATGTGGAATGGAGTCGCATGCACGAGATGGCCTACGACCAGCTCAGCAAACATCAGATGCCGAGGCAATCGCCAGTGAGACGCTCGGTATGGTAGGATTCCACAGGCCGCAGTACGCCCGAGCGAACAGGATCTGCGCGGAGACCTCAGCCCATCGATGACCTGCGGGTACCGTCTTGCACTTGCAGAGCGTCCGGCTTCCTTGCGACGAGCGAGTTCTCGATGTCTACGCTCAGCACGCATCAGTCTGGGCGCTTCGCGAAAACGCTGCAGACCTGCGACGGAAGATAGAAACCCCATTGCCCAGGAGAGCGGGCATTGGATTCAAGCTTGAAGCGAGCCACAGGTATGGTATGGTACCGCGATCCAGCAAGACTACAGCGCTCAATATCTGCACCGAAAAACCTTTCCCGGGGCACCTGCTAGACGATATTTGGGTTTTGTTATTTGATTTTACGCAGCGTATCTGCTCGCCTACCGTCTGGGAAAATGTACTAGTCGAAAACAGTCAGGCCGACGGGTTCGTCGCATGATGCTTGCTCGTGTAGGCAACGCTATTCGCAAAGCGTTCGCTTCATTTCAAACACTATTTCCGCTGGGCGGGTGGCGTGGCGCGTCACGTTCCATGGTGCATGCTCTATCCAGTCCGCAGAAAGCGCTCCCAGACAGCCTGCTGAGCTTCGGTGTGGCCTGCGACATGAAAGGTCGACTTTGCTGCGCACTGGCTACACGAACAGCGCCCGACTCTTGCGCTTCGATCGATCATTTCGATGTTTCCGCGTACAGCACTGGCCGTAGCCTAAACACGACATGTTTGCCCGCCTGATGATATGGATCGCAGGCAATGCATCGCGATTATCGCCACTATGGAGCTAACGCATCGCGTCATTCAGCGTAGCATCTCGTCATCGCTTAGTTCAAGCTCAAGAGTAGCAAATATTGTTTGTGCTTAATCATCCGCGAAGTGTTAGCGTCATCGAAACGACTGAAGCTGGCCATACACACACATACGGGAGCATCTGATCACATACATCCACCTTCAGTCAATAAACATGACTCGAGCTCTGGAGCGCGATTGCCTCACAAGCGAATGACTTGATCTCCCGTGGGGGGGGGGGTGCGCCATAATGCTCCGGTCTGCCGGGGAGCCGCTGCGCTAGCATTCTGCATCATACGTCGCATCGGTTACATTCGCGGTAAGATATCGACATGCATCACCCGAGGAAGGAGCAAATTCCGTACGGAGGTAAAGCAGCAGCTATGCTGCAATGCACAACTCTGGCAACTACCCCGGGATACGTGGCGAACGCAATGAAATCTCCAACCAGTATCTCCGATTCGGCGCTTTTCGGCTGTCTGTGTCATAAAATGCTTCAGACGCCGAGTCTGAGTGGCGCTTCGCATAAGACTGATTCGCCTTCCGGCACCTTACCGGGTAGCATGCATGCTTAATGTTTGATGCAGTGTGACGGAGGCAGTCGTACGATGAGAAACGATCACACGCGTTGCCCGGTATTCGCTCTGTGTTGCCTGGACAACCGAATGAGTAGAGACCCATCTGGTGGAATCGGCAAACTTTCCAACGCTGCACAAGCCGCACCCATCCAACAACAACCTCGGACGCGAGCAGGACGCAGCACTCCGTGCCTGCTACGCACAGGTTTCGCTTTCGGTGCAACGCAGATGCCAAATCATCGATTCCAGTGCGCGTGGATAGAAAGCAATAGCTATGGCCAGTTATCTTTGGTACCTAGGCTGCGCTGAACAGCGACAGTCAAGGAGCAAGCGCTACCGCCCGGTAGAGAGCAGCGCCACACCTCGCGAAGCCGTCGAGTGTGCAGTGGCAGTCCTCCCAGCACGGTTGCACTGCTTCTAGAACAGAGTGCGCAACCCAGAGCAGTTCATAGGCGTGTCTCAATACCTGAAAACAAGTATCCAAGGCGAACGTTTACCGTGCAGCCTCCTCAAATGTGGTGCAACCGATAGCTCCAGGAGTGTGTCAAGCCCTAGCGCATGAACCTGACGGATGCCTTCCGAGAGACTTTATTCTATCAGATTCAGCACACAATGGCGTAAAGTACGTCTCCGATTCTTTCCAGGAGGCTCTGCACGCGAACGTACCTTGAAGCCCTGCTCCGGTCCGTGGAGCTCTCATACCAGAACGCAAAAGTAATTTCGTCTGCCGCTGCTTAACGACGCAACTATTGCCCTTTCCTGTAGCTCTGTACAAATGTAGGTGCCTACCTACCCGCCGTACTCGACTACCTTGCGTCCCTCAGTGCCGTAGCTGCTTGCCTGGTGTACACCTCAGCGCTCGAACGCATTCGCCGTACAGCGCAGCGTCGACTAAACGCGACACCACATTTGTCTCTCCTCGCGCTGCTCGACGGCCAGTCGTTTGCACTGGTCAGGGAAACCTGCGGCTGTCTCCGGAAACTTCTCGACCATGTTTGTAAATACTGCGCTGACACGCGTGCAACTTGTGAGTCGCAGTGGTCAGTCTCCGTCCAAGACTCTAGTGCGGGGGGAACTGTACGCGTCACCTGCCGGGGCCTTTGTGCCCCGAGCACAACGCTTAGTGTCAGGCGTGACTGCAGCCAGGCCGAGTCGGACGCTTGCGCGTCAGACGCTTTCCATGAACCTCTTTTCCCGCTTCTTTCGCGTGATACGTGCGAATCTGAACGCGCTTGTCTCGAGAATGGAAGATCCAGAAAAAGTCTTGACACAGTCACTGGAGGACGTGCAGAAGGACCTGTTGCGGTTGCGGCAAGCCTACGCCGAGGTCTCTGCCAGTAAGAAACGACTGGAACGACAGCGGGAAGCGGCACTGAAAACTGCTGCAGAGTGGCAGCAACGTGCACGTCTGGCACTCGAGAAAGGTAACGAGGATCTTGCTCGCGAGGCTCTCCTCCGGAAGAAGCAACAAGAGGACATGGCCAAAGCGTTGGAAAATCAGCTGCGTATGCAGGCTGAAAATACTGCAAAGCTTTACAGCTCGATGCAGCAATTAGAAGCGAAAATATCGGAAGCACAAGCGAAGAAGGACGAGTATATTACGCGTGCTCGGACGGCCAAGACTGCAATCAAGGTGAATGAGATGTTGACGTCAGTGGACACGTCCAGTGCGTTGTCCGCGTTTGAGCGCATGCAGGAGAAGGTCGAAACCTTGGAAAGCCAGGCTGAAGTGAGCCGACAGATGATCGGTTCCGGGGATGCGAGTCTGGAGAGCCAGTTTCGGGCGCTGGAGGCCGGCACCGACGTCGATGAGGAGCTCAACCGGATGAGGCGGGAACTACGAGGCGATTCCTCATATCGTGCTCTTCAAGCCTCCCGTGATCCTGAAATTGATGAGGAGATCCAGAGAATGAAACGGGAACAGCAGCAACGTTGAAGTATGAAACCGCAGCACGCGATTCTCCAGTCATATCCGCAGCCACTTTTTTGTGGCTCAGCCTCCTCAGTCGCTGCCACGGGCCTATCTGCAAACTAGTTTGTATGTGATACGAACGCATCAACCTGGGTAAAGATTCCAATATCAATCAGCTCTTATCGTTGATGCGTCACTGGACAGGGGCGTCATGCGTTCGCGTGCGCTCGCGCATACGTTGTCCTTCAAGCCTAGACGGCCGTTGCAAAGGAAGACGCATGGTCTGGTATGCTCACAGCCGCCTTCTATGTGGGTAGCGGCTGCCCAGCGAGGAGAAATCACGGCCAGCAGTTGCGAGCAGAAAGGCCTGCCCAGGCGAACGGGGAAAACCTGAGCAGATGCTCTTTTTTTCATCGAATCAAGGTTCACGATGGGGTTTAGTGACGGAGACGATCACCAGCGAACTCTCGATCTGAGCCCGTTCGCACATCAGCTTGCGCCCTTTGACGATATGGTTTGCGTTGTCTGCACAAGATAGAGTTGTAGGGAGCTTCTGGTCTGCAGGGCGTTAGCGATCAGAAATCGTCTCCAGTTTCCCCGACGCAATATGATCTTGGCGTACCAGTCATTTATCTATGATCAACGAAGATGAGACATGGCGCTCCATTCGATCGAGACTGGACCCACCAAGAAAGTGCTTGGGGCTCACACCAATCGTTTATAAGGAAGAGCTGAGGACGGAGAGTGCCTCAGTGAATGAGGCCTGCACAGACCACGGGACAGAGCTGCATGAAGACGCAACTGGGCACTGCCAAGACCCAATCTATTGGCACCAATATGCTGCAGAACTACCGCGCCTCGACCCGGTACCGGTATGGAACGACCCAATCTTCTGGCCTGAATCTGTCCGGACCCTCTTAAGGTCATGCAACCGCAAAACACCTGGCTTTGACGGTATCCCTGCGGAGTGGATGCAACTGGCGACCCCAGAAGACGAGACAACAGGGACACCATCGATACCAAATGAATCTGACAGAATCCTGGGCAAACGCCTTCTGGAGCTCATCCAACGCATGTTTGAAGAAGCGTACATCCCGGATGTACCGAGGACTGTCGAGGTCGTACTGATCCTCAGAAAGGACTCTTACACACAAAGACATGAACATCTACCGGACTATTCGCCTCATCCCGTCTATCATGAAGCTACTTTTGCGCCATCCTCACGAACCGGATCCAGAGGCGCCTCGAGGAACGCAAGTTCTTCGCCCCAGGGAGGGCTGGATTCCGGAGCCGCGAGGAGTGCATGAGCCATGTCCTGACCCTCACTGAAGTGGCGCAACGTCGCTTCATTAGCGACCAACAACCAACTTACGTATGCTTCATCGACTTTCAAAAGGCCTTTGACACGGTCCCGCACGAGGCTCTATTTTAGAAGATGGAACGAGCCCAAGTCTCCGGAAAGTGCTTGGCGTTCTTCCGTGCGCTCTATGCAGACTCGTGGATGCGCATCCGACTGGGCGATGGCTCAAGAACCCCTTGTATAAGAATCCGCCGTGGACTGCGACAGAGCGACCCCACATCCCCGCTCCTTTTCAACATCTTCATCAACGATCTGCTGAACAATTGCAGACAATACGGGCTTGAGGTGCCGTGGATAGACTGTGGAGATGCTCGGTGAGGAGCGCCCACATGGGAACCGCCTCGCAGGCCTTCTATTTGCGGACGATGTCGTGCTGTTGGCACCCGCCCCGGGAACGCTTGCGGGTAGCATGGAACAAGTCAGCGCCTGGACCGATCGCTGGGTTATGAGCATAGGAGCATCGAAGTGCGGCGTCATGCTCATCCATGGAGACTCGCAGTGCATTCGCAATCGCTCGTGGCGGTTGCAGAGTCAGGAAATTCCAATCGTGGAAAAATATCGCTACCTGGGGGTCTGTCTCACGCCGACGCTCGACGAAAAGGCACACATCGACGAGATGATCGCCAAGATGCATAGACGTACAGCGATCGCACGCCCATTCCCATCCGACCCCTCTATCCCCTTAGCAATCCGTACCAGGGCACGAAGGATGTGTATCATCCAGCCTGCGACCTGGGGTGCTGAATGGTGCGGCATGAAGCACCCAAATGCCTCGCGTCTGCAGACAGCCGCCAACATGGCAATGCGACCCGTTGTTGTCGTTGGATGCTCAATGCAGAGCAGAGCGACCAACCCGCCTGGCACTCGGACTTGAACTCCAAATACCCTCGACAGAGGCGATAGCAGCAGGCTGCCGGGCATGTATACGGGCCAAAGGGCCCAGCATGTGCACCTGGTTCAGTCGGATTCTCATGCAGACCCCAACGCACCGCGAGAAAACTTGGATGAAATCGACGCAGATTTAGCTGAGGCGCCTCTTAGGCGAAAATACGCTCCACTCGTTCCCCAGAAATATAGAATTCTCCCGTCGCCTCAAGCGAACGGTCCAAACACCAATATGGGAAAGTAGACACGGTACCAGTCGCGCCAGTAACGCCGGCTTGACTCTATACCGGAACTACAACCTAGCATACACATGCAAGTACTGGTAGGAGGCGCTGGAATTCCCGGGACTTGCTCGAGGTACCCAGTTGCTCGCCAAAATCCGCGTTGGTGGCTTCCGGCTGGCAGCACCGTCTCTAAGCCGGATAGGAGCACTGGAATCGCACTGGGAGTTACACTGACCCTGCTGAGGAAACGAGACCCCCGAAACGCTGACATATTTGGGCATACAGTGCCCGCGCTGGAAACAGGAGCGCAGCGAGCTCCTTGAAGGACAGCAGCAGCTGGGCATCACCTTGATAGCCAAACGCCGGACACTCACTTTGAGTGTAGCACTGGCAACTGATGGTCCGCTAACCGAGCCTCAGCGCTCATTAGTGACGAACAAACTCACACTTTACCTTCTAGGCAGCAGTTCCAGCGAATCGGATACGCACACGGGGCCAGTGCGCTTTCTGCGCCTACCCACTGTGGTGGGTGTCAAGCACAAACCCGCATTGCCAACCGACAACAAAGCACTCCATGCATGATCACGAAGGAGAGAGGCGGCTCCCAGGATATATCCTAACAGCCAAGTTTCTCCAGCGTGTCGTGCAGCGAAGGAAAGCCTGCATCCGCAGACTGTCCAAGCACAAACTGACGACGAGACCCGATTCTACGTCGGGTGAAGCACGCCTCGAGCCGACGCCCTCTGTGGTATAGAAAAGCTGTTCCAGCTCGGTGAACTATCTGCTCTAGCATTTAAGGTGCAAAGGCGAATACGGAACGGCAGGTACGAAGCACACACAATAGGACGTATGAAACCACCAGAATATCCGAGAAAAAGTCTGGGTAATGTAACTTGGAGATAGAGGGTTTGATGGATACTTTACAGTGCACTGAAAAACACAAAAAAAAGTAGGAAACAAATACACATAATTGGAAAACGCTCGCCTAAGTAAACGTTTTGTCGATGAAAAAAATGCATTCAGGGCACCGTCCGACAGGGGCGCGCACGCCGCTGCCTGCCTGCCTGCCTGCCTGCTGGCTCGTCGAGTGGCGCCGCCCTGCCAGGCGATGCGCGTGCCCAGTGATGCGCGTTGTCCGTTTTGTCCCTTTTCACTCCGTTTAGACAGCACACGCGCTGACGCGACGCTACTCCTGCTACCCGGCGCTCCGCGCTGTGGCTCTGCGCTGGTCCAACGTTTGGTGCCGCAGTGGTCATGGTCACTGTGGAGGACCTTTTGCAACAGACAGTCCCTACGGGGAAGCGTCGTAGTGTGAGAAGCTCTTTAAATGACTCCCTAAACACCACCGCGAGTTCTACTGTGGCAAGCGCGGGGAGCCAGGAGCCGGGACACGTGTCTGCGCCAGCGGCAGGGCAACGCCCTGCTTCCCCGAAGCAGCAGGCGTCGGAGCGCGTACAAACTGCGGGGCGTTGGCGCATCGGAAGTGTATTCAAGAGGCTTTTTCAACGAGCAGCACACCGGCCTGCTGTGCCGCAGCCTTCAGCGGAGAGCCCGGCCAATCCGGACGAAGGCCCCATCCTCCGACGGTACTCGGAAATAACCCGGGAGCTGCTTAACAACTGGGTCGAAAGCGACGCGCCGGAACTGGCGCCGCCGAACGACAAGCTTGGTGAAGAGCGTGTAGAGGAAGATAGCACTCTAGGGGTCGACCATAACTTGCCGCCTAGCGAACGTTCATATCGGAGACGCGTATCGCGGAGACGACGGTTTATACGCGCCATGACGTGCGGGATTGATCCTAACCCAGAGGATGGAGATGCGGAGCCTACTCCCCAGCTCTATGCATTTCGTAACCAGGAACTTCCAGCGGTGAAACCGCTCTTCCTTCCCTGGTTCGTGGCATTGATTCTACTCGTACTGGGTGTAGCCTGCCTGGGTATCGGTATTTACCTCTCCGTTACGAACAACTCCTTGCGCCGGTCTATACAAGTGCGATACGACGACAAGTGCTCCCTGAATGAACAGGATTGTGTTGTTCAAGTTAATGTACCAGAACGATTGACTGCTCCGGTCTACGTATGGTATCATCTCACAAATTTTTATAGCAATCATCGCATCTATGATGAATCTAGATCAGCTCGCATGGATGAAGGGCACTGGCCGCTGACCTATTCGCAGGTTCGAGACTGCCTACCCAAGCTGTACGGCGGGAATGTAACAGCGAACAATCCTAACGGGTATCTCGTACCCTGCGGGTTGATTCAGTACTCACAATTCAACGACACCATTCATCTGTGCTCGAGCCCCGATGTTTCCGCCTCTAGTTGTACAGTCCTCAGCGGAAATGACTGGACGGATGTTGGAGTTGCCTGGGAGAGCGATATTAATGCACTATACCACAATGGTACCGTGGATCCACCATTTACACCTGCGGTGAATGCACGCATCACGAGTCCCGATTACATCGTCTGGCAACGCATATCCAGCGGATCGAATTTTTTGCGTCTATATCGCATCATTAATCGAGACCTTGAACCCGGCAGGTATTCACTCAAAATCGCAAATAATTTCAATTCATATGCTTATCGTGGGTCCAAATATGTGAATATCGGCAAGGTTGCTGTCTATGGCATGAGGAACACGGTGCTTCAAATTGCTTACCTCACGACAGCTGGTGTGCTCCTGGTACTCGCGCCGGTGGTTATGGTGACCTACTGGTTGAGCAATCGCCGGATTGCAGATCCCAACAGCCGATTCTTGAAACAGATCATGGACGAGATCGACGATGCAGCGTGGATCGGAGAAGCGCCCGAATCTGCGAACTCGAGTGCGCTGTGAACCGCAATGCCGTGTGCCCTACAGTGCTTTCACGTGCAGCTACACGACGACTGTACCTGTGGTTGCGCCTGTCCATGGTGAACGCAGGGCAAGGCGCACAAATAGCGGGAGCGCCTCGACTATGGCACTCAAATGGGCCCCTGCTGGACCAGCATCCCATGGGAGGTACTCGTCGACTCTACTTAGAGAGACTGTGAATCATACCGGATTCTCACTGGCCTGCATGCAGTTCATACGCCTGCTGAACTTGTTTTGGCGCGTGCGCCCTGTGTCTCTGTGAAACAGTTTGGGTAGCATCTAGTTCTGAGCGTTGCGTCTGGCAGAGCTGTTGAGTTCCTTGTAGGTTACTCGCCCATGCATATATCATCATGGCGACTATCCGGTCTCGGCGACTTGTTCAGCGAAGGCGCCGGGGATACGAAGCGTGAAACTGAGAGCGCCGGTTCCCCTCGTGATTTCCGTATCAGAGTTACAAGGTGTTAGGCCTCGCGATGCGTGCAGTCCTGGAATGCACGCTCCGGCACAGTGTTGCCACGTTCCGTGCTGGACTCTACGTTTGCGAATTCACCACTCGATGCGAGTCTGTGCATACGCGGGAGATTCGCGCTTGCAAAGCTGCGGTCCAAATTGTTCGTTTCCGGTTTCTGGTCTGTATTTCTTGTGTACAGTGCCTTGGTCAGAAGGAGCGGATCGCTAGGAGGCTCAGCATCGCGGGGTCCGACGGTAGGGCCCAGGTCGCGTTGCCGGCGCATCCAGGTCTGTAGCTATTCGTGAGAAACCAGATGTGGGCTGTCGGATCCCGTGTTCCCGAATGAGGCAACTCTTCGTGTTGCGGTCGAAGGAGAAGCTCCTTCGTATCTAGCGGAAGGGCGAGATTCCGCCAGTGTCATCTCACAGGCAGCAACACAAGCGAGCACAAACAACCTCCAAAAACTGCGCGCTCGCAGCATGAGCGCCGGATCGTAGCCCCTGTTGCGCGCAGCTGGAAACCTCACTCCGATATCGAGCGCCCGCCTCGATAACCACGGCTGGTTGCTTGCGACCAGAGGCGGTATCCAGGCGCCGTTACCATGATCACACCAAACGCGGTCTAGAAGCTGAAAGCGTGCGACCTGCATATCATGTTCATTGGGTACTCAAACGAGCGATTTTGTTCGAATGTTTGAGAGCGCCCGCGGCAGTGCGTCGAGTTGGCCTCTGATTGCGCCATGGAGCTTGTCTAGTCGTCGAGAACATTTTGCACCTATGCTGAATATCCCGTGACATGAACTGAAATTTCACACGATACCTTTATTGGCTCGTGTTCACGCTGAGTCTAGCCGTTGTTATCACTGTGCACCTGTCCTAAGAAACTCGTATCGTAAACTGCAATTCCAGACCGTGCACTGGCCGGTTCGCTTCAAAGTGGAAAGTAGCATCGGCGGCGTTGTTCGATATTGGCTGTGAACGGGTTGGTGACCTGCGTGGGTGTCTTGTTCACCTCAACCCTCTTCGCTGCTATCCGTACTACGCGTACGCCAGTGCACAGGTTGCGCTCGATTCTAGCGTGCTTCTGCAAATCGCAACTAGACTCCCGAGAATGCACACGGACGTGCCAAAAGTCCTCTGCAAAATGCCTCGTAGGCCATCAGATACGGAAACACTGAGACCTCCCTGAATTCCTCTAACTCTGAGACAGAATTTTGGTCCCAAAGCCCACAAGAACCAGCCAAATTCAGAAGACACGTTTACCTGTTTGTCAGCGTTGACCGTTGGTATGCGAGCCTGCTGGTGCAGGTGTCGTACGCGCTCCGTAGAACTGAGGCACATATTGCGCCAGCGATCCGATATCGCTGTGAGTCCGCCGAAGGGCCGGGCATATACACTGCATGGCTCACCCATGCTACTGATACTACCGTTGCAGCAGCAGCAGCAGCAGCAGCTTATGATGATGGTGATGCACCTGATCATGATGCTGCTGCTATATATGCCCCCACAGATGAGACTACAGCAGCAGCAGCAGCAGCAGCAGCAGCAGCTTATGACGATGGTGATGCACCTGATCATGATGCTGCTGCTATATATGCCCCCACAGATGAGACTACAGCAGCAGCAGCAGCTTACGATGATGGTGATGCACCTGATCATGATGCTGCTGCTATATATGCCCCCACAGATGAGGCAGCAGCAGCAGCAGCAGCAGCGGCAGCTTGTGATGATGGCGATGCTACTGCTACAGACGCTACTATTCGTTTTACAGATTCTATAGATACAAGTGCGGCAGCGGCGAGCGACAATGGGAAATCTGGGTGGTGTCAAGACCGCGTCGGGTGCGGCGCCGGGCAGGCGCGCTCGATGATGACTGGAAGCGCTGGAGAATCGCAGTGCAGCATCGCGTGAAATCGTCAAGCTATTTTGGGCGGTTAGCCCTGCTGCTGCTAGCTGTCAAACTTGGACCCGCTGAGCAACCACTGTCCCTGAGACATGCTACAGTGACAGCTCGTTTGCTCTGCTGCGCATCATCCGATGAATATAGTGTACAAACTTGGAGGAACTTTGGCAGCATCCTCGCAAGATAACCGGCCCGCGGAAGCGTTTTCGATTAATGTGCACAATTGGAGTTTCGGCAGTGCAGTGACCCACTGGACGCTTGCCGACTGGTGTCATCAAGGACCTGACCTTGTAGCGGCAATATGTCTCGTTACCGGAAGCGAAAACGCGAGTCCGCAGAACAGTTTAGGTGTGGAAGGACCGCAGAGTGCGAAAACGCCAAGTGTTTTGGTGTTTCACGCGGAGTCGCCGCAAGAGCTGGTTGTGTTGGCGGCACCAGCCGGGCTTTGGCCGAACGCCCTATCTTGGCGGCCACCGCTGGACACTAGATTGTTCAGAGTCATCACGAACAGAGAGGGCAAACAACGAGTTGCTGAATTCGCGGATGTAGAGCAGAGCCAGCAGTTGGTTTTCGGTGCTCGTTCGAATTGGCCAAGGCTTCTCGTTCTGCATGGTTGTTCCTTGTGGCGAATATGGGGACCTCATGCCTCTGGTTTTCGGGTAAATCGTTGGCGGATCACACACGAGGAAGAATGCATGTGGCAACTTCGAGATATCTCCTGGATGCCTCAGTTGGACCTGCCTCTGATAGGGGTTTGCGGGCTTGCGGCGAACGGGGAAGTGCAACTCTGGATTGCTCCAGATACTGAAGATGACAAGGGCTTGTTTGCAGTACACACGCTAACCATCTGCGAACCGCGGATCATACTCGGGCAACTTAATTTCATCAATCCAGCTGTCAGCTATTTTTCGTACGGCGATGCTGAACTGCATCAGCCCTGCGCTGCATTTCTAAGATCGGAGCAATCATCCGCTGAAGACAAAAATGGGATAGCGAGCATCCAGACTGAAGATTGGCGGCTTGTTTGTGCGCGTGTCGTCTACGCAACGCAGGATAACGACGATTGCTTCCAGGTATGTGAGATTGGATTTCTGATTCCCTGCACGAGACAATCCAACGCAGAGACTTGCAACGCTGTGCAGCCGCTGCCGGACCGTGTTCGAATCATCGCAAAACCTTTGGGATCGATCTGTCTCTCAACGAATCGTTCCGGAGCAAGTGAGTTTCCCACAGGTGCTGATCCGCTCGTGCCAAGCGCTGGGCTCGCAGCCGAAGCACCAGCTGTGCCCTGTCGATTTCAGATATGTCCCAGCACTGGAGATATTTTCATCGTCATCGAGCGTCGCGAGGTTCAGCGGTGGCGCTTTGACTCCAAAACCGCCCAAGATGGGCTCTCGAAAGCCCTGGAGAATCACACCATATCTGGACGAGTCTCTGAGCCGTCACCCAGCGTCGACAGAGAACACGGCCTTTTGGGTGATCCTTCGTGGTCGCGCGTTGGAAGCTTTCAACACGAGCGGACCATCGACACAATGCGGTTGAGCCCAAACAGCCTCTTTGTCCTCCTTGGTAGCGGCGATGCTACTTTGACGGTCCTCAAGGGTGATCGGGTCGCATGGGCATCGGGCTCGACACTGACAGGATCTCTGCAGATCGGTCCTATGGAGGTCGCAGCGATGGCGATCGCACCGTCACCACACGCTGGCTGCGCATTCGTCCTAACGAATGCGCCCGTCGAGTTCGGTAGCATTGTCCAGTTGCCCGCAGATCACCTGGACGCCAGTTTCATCGCCAAGACGCTGTGCCGAATGATGCAACATCGCGAGGGAGCAACTGAACGCGTATTCGACCTCATTACCCGCATCAGAGACGAACCCAAGATATTTGCCCAAATCGTCAAGGCTTTGGAGCAGTTACACGCTCCGCGACGCTGCTTTACGATGTTGATGCTCTGCCACACGCTCCTAACCCCGCTTTGGTTGGCGCTGAACACCATATCCGTACCCGTACGCATTCTGGAGTCGCTATCGGGCGTCATCGCGTGCGCGAGCCACATGTACGCATCCGCGGACCACAACATGAAACCGTTAGACGTTCGACTCGAACGCTTGCGCCTGTTTACTCGCCCTCGTCTCAGCCAGCTATCAACAGGAGATTCAGAGCGCATGTTCTGCGCAGCACAAAAAATACTCTGCATGGGCGCTGCCTGGATTCGACACGCCGCCCTAACGACAATGCTCTTCATGCGAGCGGATGAGCTGCCGCCCTTGTGGGCTGCCTTGCGGCGGCAAGATTGGGCATCTATGATCCAATTTATCAAGCATCAAGGCGTTGCCTCGGGTGCAGTCGACGACCGACGGGTGACCCCGCGTGACACCGCTGCAGCGGCAGCGGCAATGGGCGATTGGGGCGTCACACCGGGCACCGGCAGTGCCACCTCGCAGGTACTGATCCATGATTTCCTGAGAGTATCGTTTCACTTCGTTCACGACCCGTATTATGTTCGCCTTATCAATATCGCTTGCTGTTGCGCTGTTGCAGTTCTAGCAGAGCTGCGCAGTTTGAGTTTGATACCACGGGAGCTGATCGCACGCGTTCGGTTACAGTTTGATCTGGAAACGGGTCACCAGATTGCGGCTGCTATCCAGGATCTCCGCGATGCCTGGCGTGGTATGGATGCGGAGCTGACGCTATTGCTGCGTACCCAACGTAATGGCTATATGGCAAACTCACCGCGGCCTGCTGACTTGAGTGACGCTATACGCACACGATTGGACGCACTCAAGTCAGCGATTCATCGGCACATGCTTGCAAACATTGCCGTCGCTCAACGTCTTTTAGAAAATCCTCACTTTGCTCTTGAGCGCCTTGAAGACTGCGCTGGCATGTTTGGAAGCAGCATGCGTGGCTTCTTTCTTCGGACTGCGCCTCTGCGCGTATCGTCGGATATGCTCTCTCACGATGCGGTTACCTGCATGCCTCTGGAGGCAGCTGCAGGACGTCGGCGATGTTCACGTACCGGTCTGGTAGCCACTGAGCTTGAGGCCAGTTCCTCGACAGAGGATGCGCTACTCCAGACGTGGCGGAATGTATCGCCTTTTGGTGGTGTCTGGTACGTGGACAGTGCGGCCCCTGCTCATGAATTGAAGGCCAAGTCCGATGTTGGAGCGAACCAAGACTCGTTCGTGCCATCTGCTGCTGACAGGGAGCCCCGATCTCCCCGCGACGGTACTGCGACAATGGTGGAGAGATTCCCCGACTGGTCGTTGGTGGGCAATCACCGCGACGTTCTTTTAGCCGATCTAGATGATCTCGGACCTGATATCGATATGCGCCATGTTGCATCAGGTTTGCGAGATGAAGTTTTTGGCGAAACGCACCGCATAAACTTGGCCTAGCTTGTGTTCAGTGTCGTAGGTGACCACACTGCCTGTAAAATTCATGAGAGCGCACTCGTAGCGTGCAGTGCCCGCATCCGTATCGAAAGGCGTTCCAGGAGGCCCCCGGAGAGGCGTCACGGACGCGCTTGCTGCCCGCCCCGGTTCCTGAGGTTCAAATCCGCCACAACGAATGCACTGGAATCATCACGCAAGTTTTCCATAGAGCATGCGCCGCGAATGGGGTACCCGGTTTCCCAGTGCTTTTCCACATGTGCAGCCATCGGGGCAAACTTGGGGCAATATGCAGCGCGCTGGTCGAGGCTCGAGCTCGTGATATATGTCGTTTGTGTCTTTATTCAGGTCACGGGCTAGAATACTGTGTGCAATGGATGACCGTTGTATGCAGGCGCGACGTTGAAACCTGTACTTGGGAGACGCGCTCTCGTTGCACCCTGGAGTTGTAGAACGACGCTGGCTCGAATCCTGGCTTGCACCTCTGTGCGCTCGACATTTGGAACCTCAGCTGTGTTGGACTTTCGTTATCCTGAATAGAGGCTTTCTCGAACATTTACACGCTGGAGGCTACAACTGCGGAACGTGCCGCGAAGTCTCGCTCTATCCAGTTGAGAAAACTGGTCTTCTTGAAGTTCTGCTAGCCTCTGCGCGGCGTCTTTTTCCTGACAGCTGCAGAATAGATGAACTCTTTACTGGATTCTGTTTTACGGCATATGTACGGTGCGCTGCACCTAATATGGCTCTGTCGATTGGCTAGCCGCTCCGAAGCGGCTAATGTCCGCGCATCTAACCCAAACCTTTGCATTGGTTCAGTTTAACAGAGGGTACTGCAGACGTGCATCCCAACGGGTGCCTTCACTCATGAACATACTCGCTGTAACAAGTTGCAACCCTGGAGCGCATTATTGACGATGACTGAACGTATCTGAGGAAGCGGGCTTCGCTGCTCATACAGAAGCTTGTAGAGAGGTCGAGCGACTCGCGCAAGGCCGTTCGAAAAGCACCACGTCCATACGGACAGTTCGGTAAGCCTCGACGCACAACAATTCTTGGAACGTCGCTGTACATACCGACGGTTCCGGGGAATTGCACGTCTTGCACGGAAGTTCGTTTTCCTAAACACACGAAGTTATACCGATGTCCCGCAACCAAGCGGTGCCAAGGCCAGTTTCTCGCCCGGGCCTCGAGCTTCAGGGCCACAGCTGAGACGCCTTTCAAACCTCTCCCAGCAGGTTTGCTTATGCACAGGCTTTCTCAAGTGGCTCCGAGTCTTGCCATCAGCTCAGTTGGAAGCCTGCAGCCGACGGTGGCCTCCGCGTCCCGGCAAGTAAACCAAAGACCGGGCAGGGACTCGCGTCGCTCCAAGTTGTCTACGAAGACCAGCGTGTTCTTTCGCGTTCGCTGCAGCGCTTCCTGCAGCTACGAATGCTGCAAAGCACGCATGAGGAGGTCTTACAGGGGTATGCGGGAATCCCATGGCAAAGGGTTAGCTTTTGATTGACGTTTCTTTCCCAATAGCGGGAGCATGCACTTGGAGGTAGTCCACGAGCATGACGCAATGTGTATGGAGAGCGCTCGCGACCCATACCTGCATACTGGCTTACACTGCGCAACCAGCCTCTCGGTGTTCGTAGCGCACCGCACCAGCAACTGAGGAAAGCATACCAGAACGTAGTTTGCGCGACCGCTGCAAACATTGATTGTTCAAGGACTATGCGGGGAGTACGCTACCGAGCCGAGGGACGGAAACAACACATGCCGTCGTCTGCCGCCGCGAGGATAGCAGGATACCACTCTCCTCAAAGTGAGCCGCTATTCCAGGCAGTCGTATCAGGGCCAGTGTGATAAACAACGACCTGAGAAACGCCAGAAAGCGCTTGATAATCGTCATCGTCACTGGAGTCAGTATCACAGGAACGGCGCATGCTCTTTTGAAGATGATTCCGACCACTACGCAGTCATATCAGGGCCACTGTGATAAACAACGACCTGAGAAACGCCAGGAAGCGCTTGATAATCGTCATCGTCACTGGAGTCAGTATCACAGGAACGGCGCATGCTCTTTTGAAGATGATTCCGAAAGAAGTTCGCTAGGGCTGCAGAGGAAGCCTCTCTGTCTCTGGGCTTAACGGTACTTTCAGCTTGCGATGCTGACTCCTTTTCTATTCGCAGTTGGGCGCTGGGCATCGTGCTATGCGGGTCCAGGCTCTGACCTGCCGAATCATTATGGACAGCGTCAGAAAGCTCGGGAACATGCTCCACTGAGGTACGAATGCCATCACAGACCTCATCTCTGCAAGTTTCCACCGCACAAGTGCTTCTCCGAAGCTCATGGGAACTTGTATGTAAAACCTGAGTTATCTGAGCCCCGGTTTCCTGTTGAGCACCTGGTTGCGGCGTCTGTTCATACCTCGCTGATATTGCGCTGGATATAGGCACAGACCCCTGATTCGGCTGCATTGCAAATCTGCCGTCGTGTTCGGCGTCTAACATCCGTTTCAGCCCCAATATGGTGTCGGAGAATGAGAGTCGCCGGCATTCAGAACCGGTGACACGCTCAGTAGCTTCCGCTGCCCAGCGATACTTGTCGTTAGGGAGAATGCGGCCCGCGGCAACGCAGTCCAATAACCACTGTACCCGCAAGGCTGGAATATTCCAGAGCACTGCTCTCTCATATTTCTTCCCTTGCGGCGACTCCGAAATGAGCATATCGGTATGATGGTGGCGGAGTCGTTCCGAGTAAGTAGCACCGAGCAACCGGACCAAGTGTTCGAGGGTTCTACGACACAGCACCATCTGGAACGTTGCTCCTGGGCCGTAAGAGGTGCGACGTGACTGGAAAAATCCAGAAACGCAGATCGTTTTCCCGCAGAGCCCTTCAAGAGGAACACGAGTGGGCAGCGGTTGGTACCGCGGGTCGGTGAGATAATCGTGAAGCGTGTTATCCCGGAGACAGTCCTGCACCCATTCGAGCGTTACAAGTGGCGCATTTCGCGTTTCTTTGGATGCAAACTGATCACCATGTACCGAAACAGCAAAATCTATAGTCGTCGCTACCGAAATGCGTCGCTCATTGTTCACCGAATCAATCACCTGGGCTCCAGCAGCTCGCAACTGCTTTGCGACAGAAGCAGCCAGAGCTGGCTGTACACGTATAAGAGGAATGAGGCTCACGCAGGTACCGCGAAAGCAGCTACAAGTCTGGGGTAGGAGCGACCGAGGACTCTTGCTTGCACGAGAATCAGCAGCATTTTCGCTCCACGCTTGAGCATGGTCCCGAACGCGGGCGCTTGCAATGCTCAAGAAGTCCGGAGGAATGCACTCTTGCCGTGCAACGCAAACTTCAAGCCACTGGAGTGAGCACCACATCACGCCAGAGCGCCAGCTCCACTGAAAGAAATCGAAGACCTGGGGGTTCAGCTCCGCTGCCAATTCGGATGGTGCAATCACATGTGTGATCAAGGGACTCCAGAATATGTGCAAAAATCCACCGGAACGACGAATCCAAGCTCTAGCACGGTATCTCTGGTCCTCGGAGAGTCCAAACAGGAAAAAATGAAAATCCTCCAATGGACTGGTAAACGTTTCCGCGTCATCGTCGTCTTGTGGAGGGGAGCATTCAGCAGAAACTGGATTCGCTGCGCTCGAATTCACCGAAGACGGTTCATCGACAACGGCCACCGTGGCATTGTTCAAGGTGCTGCACATGGAAGTACCCCAGTGTTCGGTGTTTTTCTGATGACCAGCGGGAACATGATCCTGGGAACTTGTTGCGCCAATGGCTGCAACAGCTGCGCACGCTAATGGAGGCGGTATGTCTGCTTCTGCGAGCAACGTGCTCACCTGATAGGTGCCTAAACCCTGGAGCTGATCACTTTCGGGCTGGGGCCCCAGCACAGCATTTCCCATCAAAGAAGCGATCCGTTCGTTCGTAGTTTGCAGCTGGAATTCGGAGGACCCTTGAAACCCCTCTGCTGCACATGGTTGGGGTCCACCCTGGGAGCCTTGGGTAAAGTCCGCATCCGCGAGATCCGCTGCAGTAATGAAGTAGGGTTCGCACTCTACGAGCCTCTGCTCGCTCTCGCATCTCTCTACCCAACAGAAAGATAGGATGATGAGTCCATGCCGCAGCGCATAGCGTACTTTGCGACCACTTGCTCGATGCACGACCAAATGAGTAGAGCAAGTGCTAATATTCCGGACATACTGACCACCATACTTTGTCACCAGAGCGTTCAACCGATTGATCTCTGCGTCCAGCAACTGGGCAGAGCTAAATTTCAGGCCAGCGAGAGGTTCCAGCTCGTGCTTCATCTCAGGGCAACGTCGCCGTTGCGCCCAGCATTCCTCGAGCCAAGCTGGGCGAAGGATCCAGATGCCATGGCGACGACCTACGAGTACTTTTTTCGTGTCAGCCCGTGTGGCGAGAATGTGGGTCACATTTCGCCGCAAATCGCCAGAGAACTCGAAACCAACAAGACTACAAAGGCGTTCTATGCGCGATCGCTGCTCTGCTGATAATCCACTGCAGGTCACGACGATCGCAGCTCGCGCGGGCGTCAAACATGATATCATTTCGCGTGCTGCTTCCTCGTTTGTTTTGCAGACGCTCATTAGCTGAGGGTTTAGCGCATGTTTGGGAGCAGTATCCATCGATACAATTTCAGAACAAAGCGCTTCATGAGTAGAACCGTGAGCAGTGTCGAACTTTTGGTTTCCACCGCCATCGAGGGAGTGTTTCGGGTGTAAGGCCGGGGTTTCTTCGACGCGACTGACCGAACAAGTTGCCGAACTTTGCGCTGGAGTACCCGTACTAGGCGAGGATGGGGCGGTGCACGGTTGCAAAGAGCCGACCTCGCCCCGAGCTGCCCTGCACGCTTCAGCCATAACGTGCGCCGTTCCGTTGCGCGCCTATGCACTTTGCGCTTCGATACCAAGTCCAGGGGAATCGCAAGCCTTCTCAGCAGCTCGACGCCACGTTTGATCCCTTTTTGGCAGGTTTCCTTCGCACAGGTTCCAGAAGATGCCTCACTGACGCTGGAGTACGCCCCAGTACTGGGTCCGATCCCGGTGCGGTGGTGCACACACGAGCGGCGCCTTCAGTAAGGAGCCGCTAGCGACTGAAAACAGCCGCCAACAACGATCGCGGTAACCTGTGTAAACCCTGCTGTAGTTTTCCACTCTGGACACCGTTTCCGCAATACACGTCTTGTCCCTACCTAACAAGTTTAGGCTCTCAGAATGGGGGCACGCTCGTGGCCCAGGGAGATGTCATGTTCGTCACGGCTGTGGCGTGAATGCTGCGCGGGAGGCGCGATGGCATTGCCCTGCCGCCCTGCAGAGGCGCTTACGCTACTGTTGGCGGGCTCCGGCAACCACATCGACGACACTTGCTAACTGTTGGCTAGTTCGAGAGTCATGCCTGCATTCACGATAAAGTGCAACGTTGAACTTTCAAAGGAGAAAGCTACAGCGCTGTGTAAGGAGGCGAGCAAGGTCATGGCTGACATTTTGGGGAAACCCGAGTCGTTCGTGACTGTGACTTACGAGGTGCCGCTAGCCATGACCTGGGACGGTAACGAGGAACCGGCTGCCGTTTGCATGCTACTTTCTCTTGGAACCTCTAGCCCGGAACATAACGTCAAGGTATCCGCCAAAGTTGCAGAACTTTTGCGTAAACACTGCGGGGTGCAGCCGAGTCGCTACTATGTGGAGTTCGTGGACCCTCCGCGGAGCGACCTAGGTTGGAATGGACGCACTTTTGCGTAACAAACACAGCAAAACACTTTTAGACGAAATATCTGGGAGGTAAAGATGGGATCTATGCTGAATTGTTCGCAACGACTTGTGCGTACGCCCAGTCTATCCATTTCGTAAGCAGCTCGATGTCCGTCGCATCCACCGTGGCCCCACACCAGATGCGAATACCTGGCGGTGCGTCCCGATAACTATCAATATCATAGGCTACTTGCTCGTCCTCCAGTAACTGAGTAAGCTGCTTGACCGCGTCGCGTTGAATTTTGGTGAAACGGAGACAAACACTGGTGCAACTGCGCGTTCGCTCGTCAAGGGCGAGAAACTCGATCCAGTCGCGGGAACGCACCCACTGTTCGAGAACGGCTAAGTTGCGCCGGCTGCGTTCCACAAGAGCAGACAAGCCACCGATAGAATCCGCCCAGCGTAGGGCGTCCAAATAGTCTTCTACGCACAACATGGAGACGGTATTGATCACGTTTCCTTCAAATATAGATACATCGAGTTTGCCCTTCTTCTTCAAGCGAAAGATCTTCGGTAGCGGCCAGGGCGGTGTATACTGCTCGAGGCGTTCGACTGCTCGTGGAGAAAGTATGAGCATTCCGTGGGCTGCCTCACCGCCGAGAACCTTCTGCCAAGAGTATGTCAGCACGTCAATTTTGTGCCATGGAATGGACATTGCGAAAACAGCAGAGGTTGCATCACAAATGGTGAGACCTCGACGCTGGTCCGGTATCCAGTCAGCATCGGGGACTGCGACACCGGAAGTAGTTCCATTCCAGGTGAAAACGACGTCGTGTTCAGCAGCATTCACAGCACTGAGGTCTGGTAACTCGCCATATGCTGTTGCTTTGAATTCGCGCACGTTTGGCAGTTTTAGATGCTTGACCGCATCCTCGTACCAACCCGCACCGAAGGATTCCCAATGACAAATATCTACAGGCAGCGGGCCAAGAAGATTCCACATAGCCATTTCGACGGCGCCGGTATCGCTTGCGGGAACAATACCCACCAGGTAGTCCGACGGGAGCTCCAGAATCCTCTTCGTTTCCTCGATCGCCTCTTTGAGTTTCTTCTTCCCTATTTTTGAGCGGTGGGAGCGCCCAATTGGTGCATCCGATAACGCTTTCGCTAGATCGTAACCAGGACGCTTCTTACAGGGCCCCGACGAAAAACACGGCGACAGTGGGCGATCCTGCGGACGGGCTTCCGAGTGCTCTGTATTCGTTGAGTCCATAGCTGTCACCATAACCCAGCTGCATAAACGCTGCTTGTACTTCGTTTTCGCTGATCTAAATTGTTCTGTTCTGTTCTCACGTAGCTTGATAAGTGGACCAGGTGTGATGAAGAGCGACCCCTTGCACATCAACACTGGCCTTCAACGCCCGGCGTGAAAGTGCTCTATACACAAAGCAACCCCGTTGCCGCTTGCGATCCGGCTAAGAGCTCGTCAAAGTCTTCCTCGGGCACTAAAGTCGGTATCCTGCGTGCAGATCGCCCAGTTGCACTCACTCCAAAAGTTTTCACGCAATCGTACGGAGCTCGAGTCCTTCCAGTAAAGATACCAAGCAAGCAACCGTCTAGAAGACTAGGGCGCAATCCGTTTGTGTAAGCGCGGCGGCTGCGGCGACGACGATTGCAGCAACTGCAGCGCTTGCAAAGCCGCCGCAGCGGTACACCCATGTCAGAATGAAATGGAAGGGGCCGACTGGCTCAAGCAAACAAATTCGAGTTATGGTCTCTTCCCGATGTTATGAACATCAGCCTTCGCGGGCTTTTTCTGTGACTGCTTCATATTCCTCTCCCTTATCCGTGGCTTTACATACACTGCTCTCGTCCTTCCTTCCCGCTCCGTTGTCAGCTGGAGAAGGATGTTGATGGCAGCGATCAAGTCGCGATTTTGCTGGTTCAAGCTGATGTCAACGCATTTCATGCAAATCCGAAAGTCGCAATCAAACCTTCCTTTGCCATTTCTAGCTTCCTTGATCGGAGCCTCTTTGCGCCATGAGCAGCAAGGACGCTTCATCGTGGTCGCGTGTTCCAACGAATCCACCACTTCGCCTCCCCATTGCCGGCCCCGCCACGCATGAACGCTTGCCCCTTCGCTCGATGCAGGCCCTTGACAGGCACAGAGGGCTCCTCACAATGCCCACCTCCGGTTTGGCGACCGCTGCAGCACTCGACGATCACGGGCGTTTCCTGCATAATCAGCCCGGCAAGTGCTGTGTCCACTGCACGCACACGTGCGAGCTCTTCCATACCATACAGGGTTTATGGAATGAGATGCGGCCCTAGATGAAACGAGCTCCGGAGGGAAGGCTCAGGGCTGAAGAACACGTCGAGAAATTTCAATCTTTGTACGCCCCTTTCGTGCGAAACGGCAACGCATACTCTGACCAACGCAATCACTGTGATGACTAAAGTGAGCGTCCAAGACCCTTTTCCATGCGAACGGAATAGAAAGGGACCTGCGGGGGTATGGTACCTTTCGTGAGTTGCACTGTGCTTGCGTCGAATGCCGATTCGCGAAGAGCCTCAGAGAGCAGGGAATTTGTCTTCCATACAGAATCGATTAGTTGGCACGACAATTTCAGGGAACGTTTGGCATGAGCAGTTGAAGAAGCCGTCCAGAGACGACGTCGAGTATTTTCACTCGTCAATCCAGCGGCGCGAATTGCTGCGCCTAAGACTTGTCCTGCAACGGATAAGATCGACAACTTGAAATATGCGTGATTCTAGCACGCTACACGAACGTAGGGAGGAAGCGCAGAGGTCGTCATTTATGAATCGAACAACGATATCGCTTAGTTTACGAGCTATTCATTGGGACGTCGCGAATCATCTTCGAGTCGGCGACTGCGCGACTGACAGCGGCATAACGTTGAAGGCACCGCTCCGAAAAGACGACTAGGAGTCCTGAACGTATGCATGAATTCGTAAACCCTCATTGCTGTGCTTCGAATATCGAGGTTGTACATGTAAAAACAGTTCGGGAAAATTCGCTAGGCAGCAACGGAGCAAGCTGCTCAGTGCTTCATTTTAGTTTGTACGGGTGCGGCCAAGTCCTTCCCAGTAGCTCCTTCCGCAAAAGGCCGCACTGTTGCGTTCAAGTGAGAATCTCTGTCATATTGCGACATCTAATGAAACAGTATGCGCTTTTCCTGTCATGCTTAGTATCTCCATTCGAAAGCAGTCGCACTGCAGCCATCAAAGAGGCTCTACTTGCCCTCCAGCAAAGCTTAGGATAGCAGCACGTGTAGCCTCTGGCAATGGCAACTGAACAGAGGATTTTGTTTCCCAATCCTCCGATTCCAGTTCAGCCTCGTCCAGACACCAAAGTTCGATGCGTATGCAAGGTAGAGGTTGCCTACTCCGGCGAGTAGTGCTCTCGATAGAGCCTGAGGCTGCCTCTGTTTCCGTTGACCAAGCTATCTCGGTCTGCTGTGCGAGCCTCGGCACCTCCCTTTTTAGCGTCTCAGCGACCGCAACCGTCCTCTGTATGTTGGCCCCGTTGCCTAGCAGTAAAACAGACTTGGGCTTCTGCCGGGAAGCGCTAACTTGCCCTAGTTCTCCCGCCGTCGAAATTTCTTTTCCTTCCTGACCAGCCTCGACAGCTGGCTGTTCCTGGTTAGATAACGTCAGAAAAGCTCTCGCTTTTGCAACGAAGTAACGGGACTTTTTCTGAGAGGTGATCGTAAGAACGAGCTTGTCCTTCGGAGACGTCAGTTCGCAGTTCATAGCCTTGGCAACACAAGTTCCTCACGCTTCAAGCAGCACGTAATGTATGCTTGCTCCTTGAGGCTCGCTACGTACATAGTCTCAAAGCTACGCGTCCACACCCGCAGGAAGAGGCATGAAACTTGTAATAGCTTGGTTTAATCAGAACAATGGCGAGCACGCCGAAAATACCTGAAGTGGGCGCTCCCAAAAAATGTCTCGCGATAGTGGAGCTTAAATATATATCTACCCACGCTCTGTCGCCTACCGGCCATTTTTGACCTGCCGCCTGCTATCGGTTTCAGTTTATCCAGGCACACCTCGAGCCTGAGAGGCTGCCTCACAAAGGTGGATCGTCTCAGCTCCTCGGGCCTCATCTTCAGGATCAAACATCGTCTAATATTGCTAGCAACTTCTGAGTCTCGGTTCACGAACTCCTTGCGTGCAGTGCCCTCTGGTTGGCCTCATCAATGCAAGGATTCCCCGAAAACATGCCATCTGTGGAATGAAGGTATCTTCATCGCCCTGCGGGCGAACAGCTTTTCTCGCCTACCTCACCTCTTGCTTTTCATTATCTTCTTCATTGCTTGCTCTTGTTTTCTTGATGATCGCCGAGAAGAGATTTTTTCGTTTTTTTTCACAGCAGCCAGCGAGGACTGTCCTCTAGGATCCCCGACTTCCATGTGCGCACCTTTCCATTGGGGTTTTACTCTTGAAAATGAATGCCCTTCAAGAGAATCTGCTTTAAACCGCAAAAAAGCAGTTGATGACACCCACCAGGTGGCGGAACGCAATTCAGGTTAAAGATCATAGTCTGCATCGCGTCGAGCGCGCGGATCTCGCAGGACTGACCGCTGCTGCTCGAAAACTGCATTGATTTAGTTGCAATCCTCTTACGTGGTGTTCTACGTGGAATATTACTGCGCCTCTAAAGAGTCTGTGCGGGGTACTTTACTCGAAAAAGAGTTCAAGTTGGGTAGGAAATATCGGATACGTTATCCTAGGCGCCTGAAACGTCCGTGCCGTAGGGCGCAATATGCAGGCGCAGCCTGCGAGCTTTGTCTTCAGCGGCCAGAGCAGGCGACAGTCGCTTCGCAGCACCCACCGCAACTTAGTTCGTCGCATTATATGTACCTTTTCTACACGTGACAACTCTTGGACTGACGGCCTCGTGGCTCGGCGAGGAAGTCCTGCGGATCGCGGCGTCATCTTCCGCTCAATTCTCTCTGAAGGCATGAATCCTCTTGGCATTCGGACAGAGCGTTTTCTGGTCGTTGAAGAGAAGGATTTTCAAAGTCAAAAGAATCAGATAGTTGGTTTCGGCCAGCTGCGTCCTCTCTCTGCAACGGACTTAGAGTTAGCCTCTGTTTACGTTGCACCTGCGTATCGCAGGCGAGGCATCGCATCCAGGATCGTGGCCCACCTCCTCGAAGAGCAAAGGCGATCCTTGCACTCGGTCTCGGGCCCGAAGAAGCGCAGAATCTTCTGCCTTACAGTGGGAAACGAGAGCCTCTACAGCAGAGCCGGATTTACTCGCTTTCCCCTCGATCAAAATTTCATATGGAACAGCGACATTCCGTGTGGGCTCCGGTTCGAAATGCTAGCGGGTCGTGTGGTCGCAGCTCTTGTGAAACCACAAGACGTGCTTGTGCTGCTCTATACAATCCTTGAAGCATGAAATACAGCCCAAGGAGTGCACCGCTTGCGGCTACCAAGATAAGTGTTCACACGATAAATGACAAGACTACTCGTATCGTGCTTGGTCTCCGTGCACCGACCAGTATCCTTTGAATAGTGCGACCCATGAGGCGAAACACGGATTCTGAAAAATTTTCTTGGAGCTCTTGGAGTGTCCGTGTCAAGAGACTCCTCTCTGTGACGCGTGCGGAAATCATTTGATAACTACGGGGACCTAGAATGCAGTTCGGTCGAGCACTAGGAACAGTGGGGTTCCTTGAAGTTGGCGGGAAGAGCAAAACAGCACTCCTTAGTAAAGGCTCTCGTCGTGGAGTAACTTTCATTTCTCCCAGGGTTTCACGTTGAAGTGGGTAAACGATGCCGCTGGAGGCGGTAAAAGTGGGGTTGGCGCTTTTCGGCACAGTTGCTGGTGCTTTGGGAGCGTGTTCCGTGCCCTTCCTATTCACTCGCTGGCCCTACGTCGCTACCACGAACAAAGCACTTTGTGATCTACGTGAAATACTGAAACCCCTGGCGAAACCGACCGCATCTTTTCTTGATATCGGTTCTGGAGACGGCTCTGTGGTTGAACTTGCAGCAATGACTGGCTTTGGCTCGAGCTTGGGTATCGAATCGAATCCTGTACTCGCGTTTTACAGCAAGTGGCGACTGCGAAAACTAAGAAATGCTACTTGCCTCTGGGGGCGGTACCAAAATATGAACTTTTCCGGAATCGATACAGTTTACGTGTACGGAGGAGAACAGATAATGACTGCTCTGGGTGAAAAACTTACGGCAGAACTGAAACCAGGCGCAACCATAGTCTGCAATTCTTTTCCGCTCCCAAAACCTGAAAACCACATTGGAAAAAGGTGCTTATTCTTCATCAGGCGAGCCGGTAGCTTATATATCTACCGTGTGCAAAACTAGGCTTCATAGCCATTGTCGATGGAGGTGCCCCGGACTCGAGTCGCTTCAGTTGTATACAGATGTTTCCACAACAACTCTGGCGCCGGCTCGGGGGCATCCAGCGCCCTTTTGATTGCCTCGTCCACATCCTGTCGAATTGCCCTCTCAGTCTGCTTCAGCTCATCAGCAGTCACCCAGCCAACGTCTACGAGTCGGCTCTTCACTTTCTCGATCGGATCACGCGTTTTTCTCATTTCATTGATCTCATCGCGTGTTCTATAGGTTATGCCAGGGTCACTCATCGAGTGCCCGTGATAGCGATATGTCTGCATCTCCAGCAAAATGGGTCCATTTCCTTGTAGACACCAGTCTTTCGCAAACCGGGTGGCCTCTCGAACCGCCAGAACATCCATGCCGTCGACACGTATTCCGGGAATGTAAGCTCCCCGCGTATAGTACAAAGGATTAGCTGCTGCTCGATTTGCGGATGTTCCCATGCCGTACTGATTGTTTTCAATCACGTAGACAACGGGTAACTTCCAAAGTGCGGCCATATTAAATGATTCGTAGACTTGGCCCTGGTTTGCCGCCCCATCGCCCATCATGGTTATAGAGACAGCGTTTTCCTTTTTGTATTTCGCGGCAAATGCAAGGCCTGTTCCCAGTGGCACCTGAGCTCCCACAATACCGTTGCCACCAAAGTAGTTGTTTTCCGGAAAATACAGATGCATTGAGCCGCCCTTACCTTGCGAGCATCCGATCGCGCGACCCAGAAGTTCCGCGATGATGCCCTCCACAGTGTCGCCACGCATGAGCTGCTGGCAATGGTTGCGATAGGCAGTAATGAGATAGTCGTCAAACGTAATCACTTGTGACATACCAGCCGCCACTGCCTCCTGCCCGTCGTATAGGTGGCAGAAACCTCTGATTTTTTGCGCTTTGTACAGCTGATCGGCACCGATCTCCATCCTTCTCATTGTAAACATCAACCGGTGATACCCCAGAAGTTCTTCTCGGGAGGCTTGAACCAACGTTTCAGGTCCACGATCCAACAAATACAGTGCGAACGGTGAAAGTTCAAAGTTTTTCGTCGAAGGCGCAGAGGGCTTCTCCGCTCGGGCCTCAACCCGCTCCCTCTGGACTGCAGCTGAAGCAGAGTCCGTGCTCCCAGCTGCACATGTGAACCGCAACCGTCCTCTTGAGCAGACACCCCACAACCTTCTAGACGAGGCGCGAAGCGCCATCCAAATAAGATGCATGTTCTGAGTACTGAACACCGCCAACAAGTTCCAAAAGCGTCGAACGACCAAAGCCGACGTAGTGCACTTTGCGGTGCAGTTTCCAGGTATTGAAGAAGAGCTATGCAGGCGAAAGGTATGCAATGCTTTGAGTAGGAGCGACCGCACCGCTCGACAGCGGCTTCGCGGGCGGCGCGCACTCTATAACATTGTTCTCGAGACCAGCGTCTGCAGCGTGGTGTGCCAGGCTTTAAGCAAGGTTGGCTACGAGTTTGAAAAGATGCAGAGCAACCCTGTTAGTGCTCAACAACCGAACGCTACAGCTGGCGAGAGCATCCCTACTTTCAAGATCGTCCTTGTTGGAGATGGCGGCACTGGTAAAACAACTTTTGTGAAGCGGCACTTGACGGGCGAGTTTGAGCGGCGGTATATAGCAACGCTTGGTGTTGAGGTTCATCCTTTGAAGTTCTACACAAACAGAGGCCCGATCTTGTTCAACGTTTGGGACACTGCGGGTCAAGAAAAGTTTGGAGGTCTGAGGGATGGGTACTACATCCAAGGCCAAGGTGCCATAATCATGTTCGACGTGACGTCGAGAATCACGTACAAGAACGTGGCGAACTGGCATCGTGATTTGGTACGCGTATGCGACAATATACCAATCGTGCTGGTAGGAAACAAAGTAGATGTCAAGGATCGGAAAGTGAAAGCGAAGCAGATCAACTTTCATCGGAAAAAGAATCTTATGTACGTGGATATATCGGCAAAGAGCAATTACAACGTTGAAAAACCGTTCCTATGGCTTGCTCGAAAACTAACAGGAGACCCGAATCTTGTCTTTGTTGAGGCGCCAGCCCTTGCTCCGGCCGAGATCCAGATAGATGAGGAATACAAACGACAAATGGAGGAGGAGCTCCAACAAGCGCAAGCGGTGCCGCTTCCTGATGAGGATGACGAGGAAATGTGACAAGCTGAGCGAGTTGTAGGCGCTGACCTCTACGCTCCTCCGTAAACAAGATCTTCGCGTTAAAAAACGTTCTGATCAGGGTGCGGGCGAGCATCTCTGTTGGCCAGACACATTTACAGATCCCACCGGAAGGAAAGCTTATCGACGTATGGAATTGGTCCCTATATTACATCCATGAGGTTTTTATGAGGATTGGGGCATTTAGGGCACGCAAGACGCTGTTCTTGTGCGGTGGGGAACCACTGGAGTACCCTCCATAGAAATCATCACTCGTGGAGCGTGTCCAGACGTCGCCTAGTGTCTGCATGTTCTGAGCAATTTCAGAATAAAGTGGAATTAGTCCGCTTCTAAAAACGTTCCCGCGAATGTTTCTACCTCTTCACATTGTGATCGACGCCAGCCAGCGCGGGATTTTTCTGTGACTGGTTCTTCTCCCCGCTCTTATCTCCAGCCTTCAATACGTCGTGCTCTCCTATCCGTCCAGCTCTGTTGCCAGCAGTCGAGGGATGTTGATGGCAACGTTACAGCCACGATTTCGCCGCTTCCTCTTGTTTTCTACGTATTTCATGTACAGACGAAGGTTGCAATCAAGCCTTTGCTTCGCATTTTCACCCTTTTTCTGTTCAACTTTAATGCGCCCACATAGCGGTGGTAGGTGACTGCGCTCAGGTCCTCACGAATGTCCACAACGCCTAATCCGCCAAGCGCCGCCCCGTGGTACATGCGCGCTTGCTTTGTCGCCCGGTGAATGCGCTTGACGAGCGCCGGCGGCTCCCGTAGATGCCCTCCGGTCCTGCGCCCTGTGCCGTGCGCTACGCTCACGCGCTTTCCCTGAGTAGTCCCGCACGCGAGCACTCTGGCAGCTGCACGCGCAAGCGCTCGCTGTTCCATTTCAGTCGAGGATTGGTGGTGCGCGATGCTTTCCATGTTGAAATAAGTACCTGAAAAAAGCCCAAGATTGGGAACACATCCAGATATTTCGATCAGTCTGTTCCGTCCTCGTGCACAACTGAGACGCACTGTCCACTGGAGGCGATCGCTGCGATGATTCAAGTCTTAGAACAAGATTCTTTTCCACGCAGACAGAAGATTCGGGGCCCCCCCGGAGAACACTCGAGAGGTGTCATGCTGCCGTTGGGTGCCATTTCATCCATTGCCACAAAGAGAGGAGTTTTCATCCTTCGGGCAGAGTCGATTATTTGGGATGACAAGTCCAGTGAACTCGCGGCCTGGGCTTGTGAACAAGCCGTCGAGGAACGACGTCGAGTTGTTTTCATCGTCACTGGAACGGCGCTCAGTGCTGAACCCACGAGTTGCCTTGCAACAGAGAGATCGAAATTCGGAGAGTGCGTGATTTGAGCATGTTACATGTAATTAGAGAATAAGATCGGAGGCTTGTACGTATAAAATGGATACTGACAGCGTTTTTTTCTATCCCCTGCTCGAGTACGTCGAGAATCGTCTCAGTATCGGTGACGTAAAGTATTCCACTGGAAAGGCCTCGTAGATGTCGCGCCCAAACAGATTACAGAGACTCCTAATGCTACGTACGAATTCGTAAGCCTCTAGAGCAGCATTTTGAATCTGGAGGCTCTGGATCAAAAATGACATTCCTAAAATATATTGAAAAATAGGAAGAAAGCAAGCTTTTCGGGGCTGCATCTCAATTTGTCAAGGCTTTAGCGAGCCGGCCAATCGTCAAAACACTACAAAGAGCATCACTCAAATCTTTAGTTAGTGGAGAAAATCGTATGAACAGCAATTTGTAATATTTCCTATATTCCGGAAAGTCCCTTTCATTCAATACAAACTCATTTCCAGTTAATTCCATCGAGCAGAATCGAAGAGAGGGCTATATGGGTATTCCCCGCGGAAATTATGTGCATAAGAGCCGCTGTTACTGATGTACGACAGAAAATGTGGTCATTGACGTGTGATATATGCACCAGTGAATTCTGAAACACCTGTACCAATACATCTATTTTGTTTGCATTTTTTCTATTATTCTAAGCAAAAGCTTCCATCTTTTGGATTGGGCAGAGGCAGCAAAAACCTCTATGCTGTGAATGGTGGCATGGGAAGAAGAGCTCTAAAAGTGCAAGTCATTCATTCCGCCGTCAACAGCTGGATAAGGCACAGTTCTGATGGACCTAATCGTACACGTCGTGCATCAAAAGAAACAGTACTTACAAATTCCATAGAGGCGACTCTCTTTTCTTCCTTCAAATCCAGTTCATAATTTCCCAAAAAACACCACCAAAGAAGCCGCAGGATGAAAAGTTCTTCTACCGCGGATGCAAACGGCGATGAAGAGGCACAGATGTGCAAAGAAGAAAGCACGATCCTGTGATACTCGCGCAACCTATAGCAAATTGTCGAATTTGAACTAATACGTGAACTCTTATAATTATAATCCTTGACCTGATTTGTGTTCCGCGCATAGGTGAGCGTAATGGAGTGTTTTCTCGTGGTCTATAGGAGATACATTTGAAGTACGTTCATTTTCAAAAATAGAAAGTCCAAGTGAAAGCTGCTTATGTGGAAATATTGGGTCCTGGAGAGCCGTCATCGCCGATTAAGTGAGAAAAGAAGTTCTCGCCGACTATAGAGCGAAAAAGAGCAAGTGACGAAGATGAAGGCGAATAGATGGAAAGAGAGCCAAAAAAAGATATTTGCCCGACGGAACGACGACGAGAGTTTCGTGGCACAGAAGGTACCCATTCGAGGAATTTTCGGATGGGTGCGCTCAACCCACGTAAATGCATGCATGGATTTGTTGAACCGACACGTCAACGCCGCCGTCAATATCGGAAGAAATGTGGTACTAAAGAAGAGACCCAAGGAGCTGGCGCGAACCAACTTTGTGCGGCGACCTCTTATAATCGAAGTTCACAAACAGAGGCTTAAGCCGATAGCAGGCGTCGGGTTGAAATATGCTGGGAAGCATCTGCGGGTAGTTGTTAATTTACCCACGGTCGCGACACTTTTTCGCTCCGTCGAGCAGTACCAACGATAGAGAAGGCCTAACTCTCCAGACACACTTCATTTTTCAGCAATTGCTCCAGCCTGTACTCTCCGGTGGTAGGGCCTATCGCGCAGCCTTGCGGGTGCAAGGCATTCCTTTGGCACATCGCTGATACGATTTATGTGCGACGACGCTCCTCACAGGAATACAGAACAGGTTTAAGACGCTTTACGGGCCTCGGCTCGATATCGAGGAATGTTGGAATGCGATTCGAGTCATGCTCGTGGTGGACTGAGTGAGAAGCTCATAGCGCTATTTGCGATAATATTTTTGGAATTCCACAAGTGAGAGACAACGTGGGACTCCTGAGCATGTTGCCGTGAAGCATCGGCAGGCAAGAAAGTTCGACTCCATACAGTTTAGGCTGAAGTGCACGCCTCCTGGAACATTCATTCATTACATGAAATGTGCATAGATGAACCAGCGAACCAGCGCCTTGAGCTTTCAGTGAGTAAAGTCAAAAACAATGTGGAATTCGCCTGGGTGCTAAGCGGGAGCGTATTTTCTTTTCCCATGATAAACAACTAGAGAACCTTGGTGACAACCTTAAACATGTGCAATTGACGACAGCCTCCAACAGGCCAGGGTACTCAAGAGAAATACAAGTATCTGTAAAAAAACAAGATCCGATGCACCGGAGCATGAACTGATGAGAAACCTATGCTTAGCCTACTCAAGAAAGTGATGCGGCCCATGCTCGCGGAGGCCTGCGCCCAGCATACTCGATTTCCGACAGCATGATACTAACAAACTGACTGCAGAACAACAATCCTCACGGTGAGCGTGATTCCATCATAAAGGTCACTGCCTTTCTCCCAGTCGCTCATAATTCAAAATGCCGTCCGAAGCAGCATCCACGTAGCGATCAAACGCACGGAAAGATTTGAAGCAAGCGCTGCATGCACTGAACGCATTCCATCAAATTAGTGGGATCGAGTGCTTCGCTCCCAGTTATTGCACAAGCAGTAACACGTATTTCACCACGGGGGCATGACCCTGTAACTACCCACAGCTGGGTCACTTTGGCGAGACGCGCACAACTCGCTTTCCATTGCGCATGCCAGCAGCAGCGATTTGCGATGCTCGCTGCCTCTGGCTCTGGCTCTGCCTCCGCCTCGCGCCATCGCAGCGCGGTGTCCAGCCCAGACCTGGCAGTGTCCGACGTGAAGCACACACACGTCCAGGTGAACAGACGATAACAGCCAGCAGCTGCGATCTCTGCGGAGCGTGCGTATCGGTCTGAACGAGGATCGCAAAGCGAGTGCACCAACGTTCTCCAGCGCAAGCCGTGTGCCGACACTGTGGCTGTTCATTCTGTGGCCGTCTACCAGCGAACAATGTGGTGCGGGCGAGTACGCCACAGGTAGGCCTCCAGCATCCATGCGTGCCGCACTCGGATATCGCCGGAAGCGCTCATGAACCCGCACAGGCCACGTTACTGCGCGCGATCGCTACTTCTCGCCCCATCGAGCAGAGTCCCCGTGGCCTGCACTGCGCCAGTGGCAGAGATCGCCACGTTGCCCACTGCACTGCGTAAACCTCGATTCATATGTGCGTAATCACCCTAGCATCCGTACACGCACAGCAGCGCATCGAACACCGGTCCATCCGCAGGCGCGCCTCGCACGGACCCACTGCGGATGCGTGGCAACCCGTCCGCAGCGCTCGTGCCCCATTCATGCGATACTACAGGCACTGCGCGCTCGATTTTGGGGCACGCTCGTCGCGGGCTTCCCTTGCGTCTGCGCAGCGGCATCCGGCTTGGGGTCCCCGAGCACGCCAGCACGCGCATCCACGAGACCTGCCCGCCTGCCGTCGGCTGCAGGTTCCACATCAGCCACCGCATCCCCTGCGGAAGGCGGAGGTGTCGCAACTGGCCGCGCTCTGCCACTACGATCGCCAAAGCACTGGCATACCCAGTGAAACCGCTTCCGCGCCACAGACTCGAGATTCCCGCTGCTGCGCAGCTTGGCAGCATCCAGATGCGCGACGCGTTCGCGGAAGCGTCGACGACGTTCGAGCATCTCACGGGTTGCACGCGCCTGCCGCTCGCGCAGTCGCCACTGCGCGGGAAACGCAGCACGCAGTAACCCGTCAATAGAGGACGCTCGCCGCTCGCGTTGCTCCGTCCGTGCGCACGCATCCGCAGGAGACAGCGCATCGCGCTCGGCGCTCGACACGCATTCCTCGGGCGATGCCGATGCGTGCCTCGCGGCCTGCACCGCTGACGTGTCCGCTGTTTCGCAGCAGTGTCGGCGATACAGACCCGGCTGACACAACGGGCACGAGAGCGTAGCGCCTTGTAGCTCTGCGGAAAAGCGTGCCTCTTGGATGCAGACCTCGCAGAAACGATGTCTGCAGGGGAGCTCGACGGTCTCAAAAAGCATATCCAGGCATATTGGGCACAAAAAGTGCATAGGAACGGATCGCGCAGCTCGGAGAAAAGCTTCGGCCGTCACCGCCGGTCCAGAGGCAGCCACGTTCGCCAGATAGAAGCGTGTCGCAACCTCGTATGGCGACGATGGATCTGTAGTCGGGTTGTAGGCCGCCAGCTGCGACTCGAGTTGGCGGGCTAAGAGGCGGCACTCCTCTGCGAAAGGTCGCACACGCCCGCCGGGCGGCAAAGCTGGTAGATGCGCTGAGGGAGCATGCAAAGAGTACTCACCTGGCGGAGGCACATCGTCCAAAACGTGCCGCAACAGCGTGAGCGCGCCTAACGTGCGCTGATCGCCATCGACGCCCCGACCTGGGGCACATGCCGCCGCAGTATGCAGCTGCCCGGTAGGGGCACCACCCAGCGCCGCATCATCCCCGGTCGCAGCTGGTGTTAGGCTTTCTAAGATGCGGTGCAGCGCCAGAACTGCGCAATCCTTACGGTGGCGTAGATCGGCGAGAAAGCCCAACCGTCTTTGGTCGCACACAAAAGGTTGCTGCACCAGGAATCTGCGAAGGCGCGTAACCAGCACCAGCGGCGGTGCCTCTTCAGAGGGATCCAGCGCTAGGGCCGAGCTCAGCGACCCGCACATGGCCAACCGTACAGCACGCTCGAGTTTTGCATCCTGAATAGCGTTCGGGGCGGCGTTGCCAACGCCGCGGGTACCGCCTCGCCGCTTATCAACGCCATCGGCGTCGCTCCTACCGCCGCTGCCGGCCGGCGTCGCTGACGTCGTCGTCGTGGAGCTCTGCTCGCTCTCACTCTGGCCTGCGCCTTCGAGCGCGTCTTCGCGCACATCCGCAACATCCCAACCATGCCAGCCGCGAGCCGCCGCTTCGTCCGATGCGATCAGAGCCAACGCCTTGGTGAACTTTTTCAAAATCTTTCCAATGGCAACCTGGGCAATCTGCAAGCACACTAGAACCTGCTCCGCCTCCGCGCCCAGCTCCAGCGCGCCACGCACGCTGCTAGATGCTCCCTGTTGGCGCAGCACATCCAGGCGGCACTGCAAGTCAGCTGTGCGCTCTTCGAAAACTCTTCGAAACGCCCCAATTTCTCGGATAATGGAGTCGAAAAAGACCCAAACCGCATCAAACACCTGCTCGAGGTCACTGGGGATCCGACTCAGCTGCAGATTATTGCCCAGCAGCTTCAAATAGCGGGAGCGTCTGCCCAGCGCCTCTGGGGGCACTGATGTCCGATGATGAGCCCTTGGTGCGTGCTCGTCCATGGTTGCGCGTATGCACCGGACAGCGGCCTTTCCCGCCTTGTACATGGCGTACAGAGCGCGGTATCGATCACCGAGCTCAGAGCGCAGGTCCGGGAGCTGCGACGCTGGTGCTCGTGGTCCCATCACAGCAGCATCCGGCAGCGGGTCAGCTTCCGGGGTGGTGTCTTCCGCTGGCACCGGTGAAAGCGAGCGCTGCGAGCTGCCGCGGCCACCACCGGCCCCCGACGAGGCTGAAGTCTCGTAGCCAGCTGAGGAGTCACGGCCGGCATTCTCGGCTACGTCGCACACGACCTCAGGCTCGACTTGTCGGTGCCAGTCGGACGCGCGGCTCTTCGGCGCCGTTCCAGGTGCAGGGCGCTCCCGAGCGTCGGGCGCAGTGCCGTCCGGGCCCACCTGATCCGCTGCCCCGAAAACCTCGTAAAACGCCCGAAGACGGTGACCGTATTTCATGGCTGTGGGCAGCACTAGCGCGACGCAAACAGTGCAGGCAACAGCTGCTGCAGCGAGCTAGAGCACTCGCGACTGCGCATCGAGGTAGCCCCAACCTAGAAAACCGCACAGAACGTCGCGCCACACACACTGAGCCAGAGAAAACGCAGCCTCAGAGCTGTACCGCCCTGTGTCCGCACACCAGCTGCTAGGTCCGCTGCAGCGCGTTGCCCCGCGCCTTACCGTAGCCGTCCGATAAACGCGCTCGCCGCCAGACGCGCACAAGAAGCCCAAGTCCTCAAGGTGCCGACGTGCGCTTCGCGCTGCTGCTCTGTCTGATTGTTCGCACCGGATACCGGTGTCAACACTAGCGCTTCGCAATATACCTCCGTGTGAAGACGAACAGCTCCCGACAACTCGCCTCGACTAGCAGTCCAACGTCCACACACATCCAATACACTTCACCGCACACAGGTACAGTAATTGGTACGCGTACGTGTCGCGTCTCCCGCCGTGCTCCCCTCGAGGGCAGCGCTTGCATGCGCGCGCTACCGCACGATGGACGCGATGCGTTCCTGATCTGCTAGCGTTGCGTCTTGCAGAACGGCTGGCTCACAGCTGGTGGCGAGTCTCGCCACGCAGTGCGATGGGATCCAGGAGATGCGCATCCGGTGCGCTCGCGTTCTCGAGCGCTGCCGCCTCGGAACGCCGAACCGGGACACACACATCGACTGCGCACGCATTGGAATATTGGTGTAGGGAACTCTCGTGCGTGTATGCGCATGCAAGAGGCGGTGCCCCGCCGTGGCTATTCATTTACCCTGTCGATGGAAATGCTTTTTTCCGAATGCAGATTTTTTGTCGGTAATGCACGATAGTGACGCGTGCTGCTTCCCGATTGGATTCGTCGTGACTGCATACCGCGGTGATAAGAAAGTGATGGTGTAGGTATGGAACGTACGCGGAGCGCTCTGATGCAACAAAACCTAATTTCATCCACAGGATAGCCGTGATAGATGTCCGGCCTGTAATGGACTGTACCAATGTTTTGTTGCGGGCACAGAAGGAGCACTGTGTAGAGTCTCTATGCGAAAGGGTTTCAGTTTTCTCTGGCAGGTTCCAAAGAATTCGGGAGTTTTTGATAAGGTAAACGATCGCGATTTGAGATCATCGCAGTCAGTTGGCAGACACCGCACAATGTCAAGCGTATTTCAGAACCGATGCGAAAATCTTCGGAAGATCACTGTACGTCCAGGAGTCCAGCGCCCTCAAACTAATGTTTTCTGCGGCCCGATCTGCGCTGACAGAGTCTCTTCTCTCAAACGTGCGTGAATGCAAATGCTTCATGCGCAATGCTGTTTCGGTCAGTATTCTACGCCAAGTTTCCGTGATTCCAATGCTATTACACGATCTTGTTCCCCGAAATTGGCAACAGAATTATCGCATTTACAGTAACTGAACATAATCCTGCTCAATATACCCAACTAACTCCCTTGAAAGCATGCAAACGCACTCTCACTTGATGACTAAAAACTCTTGTTCGGCAATATTGAATTTGATCGCGGCATCCTGCGATTCGCTTTGGGTATGAAGCAGGCGTGATAAAAGCTCATCACCAAGCACTGCGCCACATGTGAAGCAACCGGCCTTCTCCCGTAGAGCTGGTCTCGCCACAATTAGGCAGCGCGCCGTCTCAACAGCAAGTACAGCTGTGGCCTCGTACATCTCTATCGTGTTGCAGATCGCATGAACACGAACTCTGGCCTGACGATTGCTTTCTACCAAGCTCACCAACGCCTCAGCAAAGAAATGCACTTCCGCTCTAGTGTGCTTCCGAACTTCTTCGTCAGGCCCATAGCCGTCTGGTTTCCAGTACTTCAGAATCCTCCGACCGGCACGGCCTGCTTTAGAAAGGGCAAAAACAGTCATCGCCTGGAAGGAAAGTCTAAGCAATGCAGTTCTCGAGTCCAGAAGGACATAGTGACAGTATCGAGCTATTTTGGCAGACTGCGGATTCTGTCGTCCGAGCTGGCGTGCAGTAGCACGCACAACAAGAGGATCTGAGCTCTGCAACGGCAGGGCGTAACCCTCAAGCTCGCCTCTCTTCATGTAATGCAGCCTGGGTTTGATGGGAACAGGCCTATTCTCTTGAAGATGGGTTTCATTAGCAACGCTCGACTGCGCAAAACGTTGCGATTTTCTCCGACGGTAGCTTGCCATATCCTTCAACGATTCCAAAATAGTGTAGAATGTCCCAGCACTGACCCCATGGAGTGATCCTTGCGAAAGCGTACTCTGGCCAATGAAATGAATCAAGCATTCGATGCTTACAAGGGATTCAGCAGTGGGCGTCGCCACCTCGTGGGCATGCTTTTCCAGCAAATTGCTTACGTGTTTGAGAGAAAAAAGCACACCGAGGTCAGCGGGCACAGAATCAAAACCGCATGCTGGAATGACAAGCACCCCTGCCTCGACGGCGGATGAAAATACGTCGTTGCCCTCACTGTATGGAATACCAAGCTGGTCGATGAAGTTTGGCTCCCCCGTGATATCCACATAGTCCGCTCCCCCTTGTATACAGGAACGAACGACGTTAAGGCCAGACAGCGAGAAAGGACCTGCACAATTTAAGAGCACTTTTGTTCTTCTGGCCAGAGCACTAGCCCCGAAGTGTCGCTCGAGTCCACACTGAAAATCTTGCACTTGCTGTCCAAGCTCTGGCGGAGAGCTTCCAGTTTTCTCAGGTTGCGTCCCGCAAGCGCTACTTTATCTTCACTTAAATGTTTGAGGGCATACTTCGCAACAAGCGTACCGGTAAAACCGGAAGCCCCGTAAACAATGATGTCAAACTCTCTCTCGACTTGCGACATGCCTCAAAAGTGCACCACGATTCCAGAACGCTGCAATAAATGCACTTAGAGGCGGGTCGAGGGGCGTGCGCAGCAAAAGGTACAAGCTCGGCAGATTTGTTGGCGTAGCGCACTAGACTACCCACTCCTAAGCAATAAAGCTGTTTGTTCTTTATGCGGCCGTAAAAATTCCGCAGCTTGTCGCAGAAGCCCTAAATCACTCACACGGGCCTCGGAAAACAAAAGTGCTTCCAGGAACTTTGGCTCCAACATGGAACCCGTTTGCCTCAGCTCTGGGCAACTGATTTCAGCCAGTGGTGCTTTCCTCGCAGCGCCGGGAACCAACGACGATTTCAAAGCTGAATCCTCTACAGGTACGCTCGCAGAGGACTTGCCTTTCGTTTGTGCAATAATTGGGGCGCAGGGGAGCGGCAAGTCGACGCTTTTGAACGATCTGTTTCACACAGACTTCCCAGTCCTGGACGCCTCGAGGACCGGGCCCCGGCGCACTACTGAAGGGATCTTTTATGCTTTGTTGCACCTCCAGGAACGCGGCAATTCGCTTCTGATTTTTGATGTGGAAGGATTAGACAGCAAAGAACGCGGATCTACTGGTCGACACTTCGAATACAACGTGGCATTCTTTGTTGCCTACACTGCAGATATTGTGATTCTGAACGTGTTCAGTCATGATATTGGGAGGCAAAATGCCGCCACTTTTCATGCGCTAGTCACTGTTTTGAGGGAAAAATTCAAACTGGTCGAATCCAGTCATAAAAAAGACCGCACGCTTCTACTTGTCGCGATTCGAGACTTCGATGAGGTCGACGCACCCATAGATGATCTGAAACAAGCGCTCGAAGATGATTTTCACGCTCTTTGGCCCAGTGTTGTACAAGGCAGTGACATTAAGATGGAAGAACTTTATGATATTCAGTTCTACGGTCTCCCGAGCAAATTGTTTGAAATCGCTAGATTTGAGGAGAAAGTAGATCACATGCGAAAGAGCATAATGGATCGATGGCTTCGCACGTCGGGTGGCCTATCCTCGTCATCATCTTTCCTCATGCTTTTCAAAGAGCTGTGGACGGAGATCTCTAATCGGACTTCTAGTCCTGAGCCATTGTGCATATCCGCAACGGCTTCACTGGTTGAGCTCCTGATTGACCTGCATTGCACGAGAATCATTCAGTACGTAATGGGAGGAGCGCGCGAGAAAGTACATCGGGCGCTCTCATCTATTCTCGAAAATTTTAGCGATGAAATATCTGTCGCTTCTCTCGCGCTTGAAATTCATGATGAGAGCATTCTCAAGTACCGCTGGATGGCTAGACACTATGTCCATTCTCCCACCTTTAGCCGGAAAGAAACGGAGCTGCATGGATTGCTGTGGTCACAGCCAGATGGGGATCTTGCAAATCTCGTTCGGCAGTACTGGTTTGTCGTCACTGAAAATCGATGCAGGGACTTTGAAGCAGATTTCGCCTCCATTCTTGGAGGCACAGCCGACTTTGAGCAGCAAACGCAGCAGCTACGCGGAAAATGGGCCTCTTCGTTGGCAGATTTCTTGCGTGAGGAGTCGCAAAAGCTTAATTCCCTGATGCCAGAGGTGCAGACGCTCCAGCATACTTGCATGGAGCGCTTCGAGAATCATGTCGGAAGCTGCATAGACGAGAGACGACGCCAGGGAGCTGTGATGTTGCCTACCCTGGATGGAAATTGGAGGCAATATGGAAAACCTGCTTCCAAAAAGGGAATCTTGCAAAAAATGCGACCCGTCCTGCTGCGCATTCTGGTCATTTACTTGAATTACCTGCAGGCGAAGCAACGCATGAAGAGCATCCAATCCCGCAAACGCCGGTGCGACTTGAATATGCCTTTGGGCCCAACGTTCTAGTTTGAGTGGTTGCTCACACAGACGGGATCCACACGGGGTATTTCGAAAGAGGTTGCTGTCACCCGCGTTCACTAAACAGGATGCAGTGCACAGGACCTGAAAGTTTTGCATCGACCAAGATGAACAAGCATCTTATCTGTTGATATCGCTGCATGCTGGAGGTCTCGCGAGCTTGCAGCATCGAACCAAATGGCACTGACAAAATGAGCCGAATGTCGATATGCTCGACTGCTGAATACCTAAGGCCGTAAGCAAACTTTGGAGCTCGATGGTATCGATTGCATTATTTCTTTGCTTTTCCGTCAATAGAGCTCCAGTTTATTTGCGTGCGGGATACAAACATAGAGTGGGTCCGGAGCAGAATTTCTAGAAGACCCGTATATGGTCCGTAGCGCAATTACCTGGAAGCGCTTCCTGTGAAAGTGATGAGTCCTTTTTGCTGATGATGGTTACGTGATTCCGAGCAACATATCCATATGAGATTTCTGATCACAGGAAGGTTCCTGTATGACGCAAAAGCGGACTCACGAGAAATACCGTGTCGCCGCGGACGTAAACCAGCTGAAGCTTGCGTCTCTCCTGTCTCACGATCTGCTCGTAAGTCTCCTCATCAAGTTCAGCTTTTTGTAGCGTTTCCTCGGCATCGCTTATAATAAGGTTCAGGTGCTGATCGTACGCGTGTAGAGTCCCAACGAGTTCTCGATCACCTTTCAGTTTAACGAACACCCTTTCGTCAAGGGCTATCCGAAGCAGCTCCACGGGCTCCTCTAATTGCCCTTTTCCGACAGTGAACGACATGGCACGCTTCCAGCGCAACAGAGAACCGCCCGCGTATTGACTGCTACGAAGTTCTTTGGCCGTGGAACGCCCGCGGTACTTAAACACAATTTGGCCCCACCGCTGCGTGGAATCGAGTGCTTGTCCAAAGCGAGGAGCAAGCGATCGAAATTATTATGCAACGTACACTAAAGATCTTAGGCGAGATCCCTGTAACATAGGTTCTTTATTGGATAGCGAAGGAGGACTGCATTCCTCCTTCTGGTAAGTCATACGACAGTACTCGGATAGCTGAGGAACCCTGAAAGAGAAAAATACGTGCGCTCAGCGCCAAAAACCGGATTCTCATAAACAGTTTTGGTTTTACAGTAGAAAACGACCCGTTGATCACAGTGCACAAAGCAAAAGTGACGACGGTAGCCACCAGGGGCGTCTCTTTTTCTCGACAGCTTGTTCATATAGTTCTGCAAGCACTAGGATATGGTCGCAAAAAGGGTCCAATTTCATGCACGGCCATCTTCCACTGAAATCGCAAGTACAGATTTCCTGGAACGAAGCGATTGGTTTGAAGCACGGAGAAGTCGCTTTGTTTTTTCAGTCGATTAGACGTCCTTCCGATGAAATGGTCGAAGCCAAGGTAGGTTCTCGCGGAGCAGAGAACACGTTCTATGTACAATAGATCTCGAGGAGAACGAAGACGTCATCATCGGTTCTAGCTGCAGTGGAGTCATTTGGCGGCCTCAGTTTCGCTCGCAGAGAATGCTCGTCCACGAGTGCCGACTTTATCGAATCGTTGAAGACTTTTTCCCTGATGTCTGACAATGCCCTTCTGTTTGAAAATGCGATATTTCACCATTCCCTTTGTGTTCGACGTTTTCCAGACTCTATCGGGGAGTAGAACTGCTTCTCATACCTCCGAAAGCTCAGTGTTTCAACCGCATCGAAAGAGTGTTTGCTATCGTGATATGTAATGATCGCTCCTCTGAGAGAATCCCTGAAGTACTTTGCACGGTGACACCAGGACATGCGTCGTTGTTGTTCCGCAAGTGCTTCTCCCTCTGAAAAGATCCTCATCTATGGGCAAAAAGAAGTGAGTTCATTTTCAAAAATAGAAAAATGAAGGAAAGTTATGGATATGTAAGTCGAAGATACTGGAGGCCCGGCGTTGCCGGGATCCAACAAACGAAAAGAGTGCCGAGCCCAGAGGAACAGGAAAAGACGAAGAAGCAAAAGGGGCGCTAGATGTCGAGAGCGACACGATAGGGGACACTACGACGAGATTGTACTGAAAGCCTATCTTGTACGCCATATCAAGGATTCGCACTATCAAAAATTAAAAAAGCCATCAGAAACCGTAGCCCGTCCAACTCCAGATTCGTCGACGAAGAGACATCACCCAGGAGCACGAATGGAGATTCTGTGATCCGTGCTGTTCTGGGGCTTATCAACCCAACAGAAAATGTATCAGAGATATAAAATGGTGCTATCCCCTCATCCTGCTCTATTTCGTGTTCCTGAACCGAGAACTACAACGCAAGAAGGAGATGGAGCCGTGTGGGAAAAAATCAAGAGTCGTTGGAACGGAAGGCTTTCCTAATGGATAAGCGCTTCAACGTCGTTCCGTTATGCAACATCAAGTGGCACGTTGTGGCAACCATCGCAAGCGTCCTTTACGGCATCATGGAGATCTGTCCGGAGTTCGATGTAAGCAGGGATGAATTTACGGGTGAAAACAGGGAAACTCTTTGGAAGCGCACCTTCGATTTCAAACGTCTCAACACGAGCAAGTGAAAGGTATGCTCGGGGACGATCGAAAGCGATGGGGTATCTAAATGTGGACACTATTGGCACTTTAAATTGGATCGTTCTATTTTGTCTTCGGCTTCGCCCCCGCCGAAACGTGAAGACACAAGGAGATGGATCCTGCAACGCAGGAGGTGCAGGAGAACGACTTTGTCATCGGCGTGGAGCCCTGAAATACGAATGTCATGACCATCGCTGCTCCCATGCGTGAGGAAGATGGCACTGACGGCAACTTACGACAAAAAGACATCCGTCTTTTAAAGTTCTCAAGAACGAGATATTATTGAGAATCGGGAATTATGAATGCATGGAAAAAAAGTGAGGCATGGAGTGCAGGAGTGAAGGAGCATCGGGAAGCGATCAGCCGGGTGACGAGCCGCGGAGCGCACTTTCAAACTTCTCGTGAATTCATGAAAATTCGCGCTGCTCATGTCGCGGAGCTGTGGAGAGAGTATACAAAGTCCCGGTGGGCTCGTCAGCATATGAATCTGTATTGCTGGAAACAGCGTGCATTCGCAAAATTCTTCAATGCGTTGTGCGCTCTCACAGTTGATAAGAGTCAAAGGCTCGAAATAGCATAAACGCAGGGCCCTGTGTGCCCAGAAAAAGGAGCACACAAGCTTTGTCGAAATGAACATTCATGGATGGCACCCAGTGTCTTGTTCCGGTACGGATAGATGAATTCCGAACGTCATACGTGCACCATGAGCTGGGGTGTACAATTCAGAAGGTCGAGATGGAGCGAAGGCAGAGGAGCCCTGATGAGATAGAAAAGTACGGAGAGCTGAAAGATCATCGAACGGCGCAGAGGGCGCGAGTTCGAGGAATCCCTGCGTGAATGAGTTCCACCGGAGGCAATAAGCCAATGGAGTTCGTGAAGCGAGACTTAAACGCCGCGATCAATATCAGAAGATGTGCCCTGCTGAAGACGAGACCTGCAGAGCTGACGCGATCCAAGTTTATGGGGCAGCCCCTTATGCCCGATACGTGCAGGAAGCAGCTGAAGCTGATGGCAGGGAGCCGATCAGAAAAGGCCGGGAGGCGCCTGTGAGGGGGTGTGAATTTACCCCACATGGTCCTGGGACATTTTTTCTTTTACTGAGGATACTATATTTGTTTCAAATTAAAATGGTCCGTTAAGCTGCGCGCACTGTTTCTGCACTTCGATTTTTCCGAACACTTTTCGATATACAGCCTCATCATCCAATGTACTGCGACCGGGGGCTCCGCTTCATCTGTTCTTTAGGGCTCTCTGTCGTCATCTCGAAGTGTCGACTCCGGCTCCGTGCCGCTGGAGCTCGTTCAGCCACACCAACTGGGATGGTTCGCGGCGCCCCACGGGCAAGAGTTCGTGAAAGTACTGATATCACAACTTAATTTTTACTTAAGAGCTTCCACTCTATTTCTTTCCCCGACTTGCGCCATGCTCAAATCACGCACTCTCCGAATTTCGATCTCTCTGTTGCAAGGCAACTCGTGGGTTCAGCACTGAGCGCCGTTCCAGTGACGATGAAAACAACTCGACGTCGTTCCTCGACGGCTTGTTCACAAGCCCAGGCCGCGAGTTCACTGGACTTGTCATCCCAAATAATCGACTCTGTCCGAAGGATGAAAACTCCTCTCTTTGTGGCAATGGATGAAATGGCACCCAACGGCAGCATGACACCTCTCGAGTGTTCTCCGGGGGGCCCCCGAATCTTCTGTCTGCGTGGAAAAGAATCTTGTTCTAAGACTTGAATCATCGCAGCGATCGCCTCCAGTGGACAGTGCGTCTCAGTTGTGCACGAGGACGGAACAGACTGATCGAAATATCTGGATGTGTTCCCAATCTTGGGCTTTTTTCAGGTACTTATTTCAACATGGAAAGCATCGCGCACCACCAATCCTCGACTGAAATGGAACAGCGAGCGCTTGCGCGTGCAGCTGCCAGAGTGCTCGCGTGCGGGACTACTCAGGGAAAGCGCGTGAGCGTAGCGCACGGCACAGGGCGCAGGACCGGAGGGCATCTACGGGAGCCGCCGGCGCTCGTCAAGCGCATTCACCGGGCGACAAAGCAAGCGCGCATGTACCACGGGGCGGCGCTTGGCGGATTAGGCGTTGTGGACATTCGTGAGGACCTGAGCGCAGTCACCTACCACCGCTATGTGGGCGCATTAAAGTTGAACAGAAAAAGGGTGAAAATGCGAAGCAAAGGCTTGATTGCAACCTTCGTCTGTACATGAAATACGTAGAAAACAAGAGGAAGCGGCGAAATCGTGGCTGTAACGTTGCCATCAACATCCCTCGACTGCTGGCAACAGAGCTGGACGGATAGGAGAGCACGACGTATTGAAGGCTGGAGATAAGAGCGGGGAGAAGAACCAGTCACAGAAAAAGCCCGCGCTGGCTGGCGTTGGTGGCATCGGGAAGAGATCCGAAGCTGGGTTGATTCGCCCTCGTCAGCCGAGTGCAATCTTTCAATTTTTTGTCTCGCATGGTAAGGGGCTGTGTGGAGCGGCGAAGAAATGAGAGACGCTTCGTGACGCGCCCCGTTGCCTACAGTGCTAGGCGAATTATGCAGCCGCATACGCGCGATTTGTGAGCAAACATGCCCGTACATTCAAAATCATTCTGCGTATAGTTTATCTTAGACTGAGCCCGTACCCCTCTGGGCATACTGAGCTGAGATGCGCTCTGTCTATCATAGTACAGATCATGGAAAAAGCCGTGTCATGTGCTGCATGCAAAAAGGTACTTTCTGCAGGAATCTTTGTTTTCTGATGCAGCGCGGTTTGAGCTTCGTTTTCAAATGGAACATTTAGTTGTAAAATATTAAGGACAACAGAGGGCCTGGCTTCATACGCGTTACCGAAGCCATTAAGGCCTAAATCCTGATGCGAAATTGCTTCTGGCCGTTTCTTGGAAAACGAACGGACTTCGAATGCTATTTTTCTGCATGTTCTTCCATTATGAGACAACAACCTTGGGACTTATCGTGCCCCTTATGTCTGCTACATGGTTTGCTATTCCAGGAGAGCCCCAACAGGAAAAATGTGCGTGAAATTCCACCGCGAATCTTTTGTGAGGCCTTGAATCATAGGGGCGCCTAAAATACAGAGTCTACGCTGCTTAAAATCCGAATGAAAATATCCTGCGCCCCTGGGAACGAGAGTGCTTTCCCGAAAAGAGGGGCCCTCTGGAGCGATTTCTTTGTTCTCTTCGATTGACAATTCTTGGAATGTGTGGATATTTTGAACGTATACGCAAAATCACGGGGAGTTACGCCCAACAAACTTGCACGCGTGAATAGTGGATGAGGTTCATTAAGGCGTAAATTTTTGGTCTTCGAGGTTCCCCTGAGCGCCTATTCCCAATCATGAAGTAAAGAATTTACATATCTCTCCTCACGCATCTAGCACTGTAAGTACACTCGCAACTTGTTTCCGAATGTATGATCAGCCACTCTGAAGCTAGTCATGAAGAGTTCATTCGCAATGTCTGGCGCATTTTCAAGCCTTTCAAGGTCTGATACCCTCTAAATGATATGCCATGAGGAAGACGCGTCAAGTAGACTAGCACTTCCTGCGCAGTGATAGCCCACCTATTTGATTCACAAAAGAACCTTTGAGCGAAGTGAAAAATACATCGAGCTTCCGAGAAGCAGGTTCCGTACTCCGAAACGCAAACTTCAACAATGCCACGGTAATTGCCATATGGATGCCGACTATGTTGCGTGCAAGGCTCAGGAACTTGATACAATCAAACATTTTCCACCAGGAAGAGCCTACACTCCAACCTTGTATCCAAAGCCTCACGCAGTTTGAAGAATTTCTTGTAACGATGCAACAATCGTGCTTCAGCTATTTTCTTCGTGTGAGGCCCGCAAGTATAGAAGTCAGCCCTCGCTCCCTTACATTCTCTCGGTAAAACCATTATTGAAGCTAGTTGCTGTACGAAACAGGTTCCCAAGCAGAAGCTACACCTATAGGTGGAACTTTTAGAGTTAAGCGCTCGGTGGTGAAACCGCAACTCCCAGCCTAGACGTTGAAGGACTCACCACAGCCGCAGGTTCCCTTCGCATTCGGGTTCCGGAAAACAAACTCACTGGCCAGGTCGTTTTCAACGTAATCCATTTCTGTGCCAACTACGTGAAGCATAGCTCTTGGGTCTACGAGTACTCGAACCCTCCCGTCCGCAGAAACGACTTCCTCTTCGAAACGTCTCCTCTCCTTCGCGTAGTCGAGCTGGTAAGACAGCCCATTGCAGCCGCGCTGCTTCAGGGACAGTCGAACACCGTAAGACTCGGGATGTTTTTCGAGAAGGGACCGCAAACGCTTCGCTGCGGCTTCCGTTATAGTCATAGCGGCTCTGCTGCGACACATGGTCAGAAACAGTTGTGTGGAAATCAAAACTTTGATTGCAATCTTTCGCTTCGCTTCCGGATATGACACGTCGTCGCCTCGTCACGTTCAGCAAGGCTTGTACCATTGTACCCACATATGAGTGCTTCAACCGGTGCACTTACTGTAATTTTCGAAAAGATGCTTCGGGTTGGATATCACTCTCCAAGGCGGCTGAGATTGCGCGAACTAACCGGGACGCTGGAGCAACGGAAGCTCTCGTTCTTTCCGGAGAAGTCCACCCAAAAAGTTCCCTCAGGAGGCACTGGATAGCACACACTGTCGAAATCTGCAAAGTTGCCATCCAGAATGGCTTGCTGCCGCACGTAAACGTAGGACCACTCAGCTGGGGTGAAATGAAAGAGCTCACAAAGTTCAGCGTGAGTATGGGTCTGATGTTGGAACAAGTCACAGATAAGTTAATGGCAAGCGTGCACCGAAGAGCACCTTCGAAAGACCCCTCACTTCGCATCGAACAGTTGCATCTTGCGGGTCAGCTGAAGATACCTTTCACAACAGGAATTCTTGTCGGTCTCGGAGAAGAAGAATGTGATTGGAAAACCTCCCTGAATTGTATAGCAGCGGTGCACAACAAATACGGGCATATCCAAGAATGCATCATACAGCCCTTTCGTCCTGGTGATCGTGGTTACATTTCGGGCCCGAAATTGAATGCATTCCATAGCGAGGCCCTTCCGTATGTTGTGTCACTCGCTCGCAAGATACTACCGACAGAAATCGCTATACAGATTCCACCGAATTTAGTACTGTCTGATACAGACCGCCGAAAGGGACTAGAGCTCGTGTTCCGGTGCCTCGAAGCAGGGGCGTCCGATCTCGGAGGTATTTCCCCTGTCGATGAAGTTAATCCGACCTATGCGTTTCCTAGTATTACATGGCTGAGAGAAGTTCTTTTACTAGAGGGGTTCGAGCTTATGCACCGTTTGCCTATCTATGAGCAATATATTCCATGGATTCAGAAAGCAGAGAAATTCGAACATCTTCAAAGACTCTTTCCCGTATACAAGCAAGGCAACTCAGCCAAATCAACCCCGAAATCGTGATTTTTTGACAAGCTCTGATAGGAGACCTTCACAAATGAGCCCACGTATCTATAACGGCTCGCAAAATATGTGCTGCAAAGGGCGACGTGAACATTGCTAACTAGGCGAAGATTGTTTTTCGTAGAGGGTTGGCTGAAATTAGTCAAGTTGCAAAATTTTCGAAGATTTTTACCTTTTCAGAGATGGTTTCCGTCACTTCACCAGTGTAAGCCAACAAATGAACGATCGCACTCGGCTGACGAGGGCGAATCAACCCAGCTTCGGATCTCTTCCCGATGCCACCAACGCCAGCCAGCGCGGGCTTTTTCTGTGACTGGTTCTTCTCCCCGCTCTTATCTCCAGCCTTCAATACGTCGTGCTCTCCTATCCGTCCAGCTCTGTTGCCAGCAGTCGAGGGATGTTGATGGCAACGTTACAGCCACGATTTCGCCGCTTCCTCTTGTTTTCTACGTATTTCATGTACAGACGAAGGTTGCAATCAAGCCTTTGCTTCGCATTTTCACCCTTTTTCTGTTCAACTTTAATGCGCCCACATAGCGGTGGTAGGTGACTGCGCTCAGGTCCTCACGAATGTCCACAACGCCTAATCCGCCAAGCGCCGCCCCGTGGTACATGCGCGCTTGCTTTGTCGCCCGGTGAATGCGCTTGACGAGCGCCGGCGGCTCCCGTAGATGCCCTCCGGTCCTGCGCCCTGTGCCGTGCGCTACGCTCACGCGCTTTCCCTGAGTAGTCCCGCACGCGAGCACTCTGGCAGCTGCACGCGCAAGCGCTCGCTGTTCCATTTCAGTCGAGGATTGGTGGTGCGCGATGCTTTCCATGTTGAAATAAGTACCTGAAAAAAGCCCAAGATTGGGAACACATCCAGATATTTCGATCAGTCTGTTCCGTCCTCGTGCACAACTGAGACGCACTGTCCACTGGAGGCGATCGCTGCGATGATTCAAGTCTTAGAACAAGATTCTTTTCCACGCAGACAGAAGATTCGGGGGCCCCCCGGAGAACACTCGAGAGGTGTCATGCTGCCGTTGGGTGCCATTTCATCCATTGCCACAAAGAGAGGAGTTTTCATCCTTCGGACAGAGTCGATTATTTGGGATGACAAGTCCAGTGAACTCGCGGCCTGGGCTTGTGAACAAGCCGTCGAGGAACGACGTCGAGTTGTTTTCATCGTCACTGGAACGGCGCTCAGTGCTGAACCCACGAGTTGCCTTGCAACAGAGAGATCGAAATTCGGAGAGTGCGTGATTTGAGCATGGCGCAAGTCGGGGAAAGAAATAGAGTGGAAGCTCTTAAGTAAAAATTAAGTTGTGATATCAGTACTTTCACGAACTCTTGCCCGTGGGGCGCCGCGAACCATCCCAGTTGGTGTGGCTGAACGAGCTCCAGCGGCACGGAGCCGGAGTCGACACTTCGAGATGACGACAGAGAGCCCTAAAGAACAGATGAAGCGGAGCCCCCGGTCGCAGTACATTGGATGATGAGGCTGTATATCGAAAAGTGTTCGGAAAAATCGAAGTGCAGAAACAGTGCGCGCAGCTCAATGGACCATTTTAATCTCTCACCGAGCTTGAACCGTCGAGAAATTCTAGCTGGAAGCGCGAAATTTGCGCGCGCGTTTGCATAGATTTTCGATCGCGATCTGAATTGTTCTCTTTATTTGGGAGCAATGTTTCATAACGTGCTTAGGCTCCTTACAAGTGTCGTGGCAGAAAACCGAACGGTCCAGTTCTGTTTGACGGGATTCTCGAACAACAATATCGCCGGAAGTTCGAGGGATTTGCATTCAGAACAGAATATGTATTTCTTACGATTTCTTTGCTGGCAGCTTCGGGACCAGTGAGGTGGTTGGTTAATTCCAGTGAATCACTAATGTACAGCGAACCTTTATCGTTATATACTTGCACAGGAAAGCGTTTTCCTGTATTTACACTCGATTCACTAACCTCAATGGTTTGCTGTGCCATTCCATGCCAGAACCATGCTCCAGGCCAGAATACCATAAGTCTCATCTGGGTCAATTACTCTCTCTCACGGCAATACTTTAGCGTTTCAGGAGAATGGATTGACTGAGTATTGAATGATTCCCTGGGAAGTTAACTCGACTCAAAGATGCTGAACGCTTCCAATGCACAAAACATTTCCGGACTTTGATCGAGGCGCTCACTTCTCGTTGCGGAGAATATTTGAGCGAATTTTTGCTGGTAGGAGCACACCCGAGCAAGTCTCTCACCTAGCTTTGCACTCCCATTTGACGTCTGCTCAGCTTGCTGGGGATCATCTGGTGAATCAGGCTCGTTTCACTTGTTTCCCCAGCAGCAATTTCAGTTTGCATTCTGCGCTCGTAATAAGTTTACGCCGCCTTGAATTCAATGGTGGTACTCGTAGAGAATCATCTCTGCAATCAGTTCTCGCGCTCGTAGAAGGAACAGAAGAGCATCTTTGTACGCTATAACTCCAAGATCGTCACTGTCTACCTTCGAAACACAAGGCATATCTGCCATTTCTTTTTTTGACTCCACTGAAGAAAAATGGCGAATGAACGCTTCCTGCATCCGTACAATCGACTGCATTGCGTTCCCCAGCGCAGGTCAACTAACCTCTAACGAAGATCGTCTTCAAGAGCCAGTTGGACTTTCAGGTCCTCTCTGGATCTAACCTCCACAGCATGCCACTCAGATGGATACGGTGCTCCAACCGTCGCTATCGGTTGTAACCCCGTCATTCCAAACGTTCGTGTGCCTCCTGACGCCCATCATGCTTCACTCTAGTATAAAGCCCTCGAAAATTTGCACACTATCATCTGGATTCTGTTCAACTCTTTCATTCCGCTCTCTTGATTTTGAGATAAGGCAACCGCGCGATGTATTTCTCTTCATTTATCTTGGACGGTTGAAAATCAGCATCGTTAGTTGAGTCAAGTTTAAGTTTCACAAAGTGCATGCAGCCTGGTCTTCCGTCGGTCTCCATTCTCCCTGCGTACTCCTTACGATTTCCTGCCCTGTAAGGCGAAACGTCGAATCAGCTCTACCCATGATCTTCGGAAAGCTGTTCGAGTGACCCGTGCTCGCTGCCAGAGACCGGCCGTAGCCCACTGAGTGGAACGTATAGTACAGAGGAGTCTGCTGTGATTAGTGGGCGTTGAAGTGACGAACGAGGGCCGCTTCGAGCAGACGCTTACGGAGTCGAGTGCACCCGCATTGGTGGACGGAGTCTGCTTCGCTCTCGAGGGCTCTCTTGAGGCAAATATAATGGGGCGAGAGATGCAAGCAAGGCAGGTACCCCGTTAACGCCATGGTATGGATAAGACTTGTGCCGATCCTCTCGAGGGCTCTTTTGAGGCGAATATAATGGGGCGCGGAATGCAAGCAAGGCAGGTATCCCGTTGACACCATCGTATGGATAAGACTTGTGCCGATCCTCTCGAGGGCTCTCTCGACGCGAATATAGTGGTGCGCGAATTGCAAGCAAGGCAGGTATCCCGTTGACGCCATCGTATGGATAGGACGTGTGGCGATCCGAGTCCGAGATCCACTCGATAGGCGCGGGCGATCTGACGCGAGTCTCGCTCTCGGTGCGATATCGCTTCCGGCGTCGTTGGCACCTCGATCCCATCTGTCACCATCAGCTTGTCATTTGCCTCCTTCGGCACTCCAAGAAACCGTTCTATCAGTCACCACTTTTTTGGGCCAGTAAGGTGGCTAAAACGGTTCTAACTTCCAAACGGTGAACCGATTGAAGCACTCGAGATTGTCTCGCGTATCGTTTCATTTTTCAGGTTGATTCGATATTTTTCTCTTTCGTCATAGATATTCCGATTGCTGATGTGATTTCATGACGTACAAATGTTTTCTCGCAAGCGTGCGTGCAGATCTTGTATACTGCGATCAGGCCGTGTTTCACGTTCTGTCGCGAACGCTGGTAGAAGAACGAAGGATTTGTACAAAAATCCGTGTGGAATGAGGGCAGCTCGCAATGCGCATCCGGAACTTGCACGAGCATTTGCATGACGAGCTGTGCCATGGCAAGAGAAGCTATACTAGCCTTCCTCGGGTAAAAGGCTACACAATATCTGATGGGGTCGTGCATGTCACATGTAGGAAAATTCTTCCTGTTAAAATATTTTAGTCGGTTGGCTTCGCAGAGATTCCAGACCAAACGCTCCGACCAATTGTCTTTCCTGTGCATTCTTGTCTTACACTTGGTAGAATCTTTCTCTCCATTTTCTAGCAGTATTTCGCCTTCTCTTGCGCTCAGCTTGCTGGCTTCATTGTCGTCGGTAAACTCAACATCCGTTTTTCCGCCTGATTCATACGTACCGGATGGACGGTGAGATCAAGGCTCGCTTATTGTGAGTAAATAAGATTGCATCTTTTTTCCCACATATAACTTTACATCATCTGTTCCCTAGCGACTTTGCCCATGGAATGGGATGTGCGTTTTGGTTCCCTCGCGCGCTCGCAAAGAGAAGCAATAGTTTGTTTCAGGACAATAGAAAGAAGAGAATGATTTGTCTACGAGCGTTTTCACGAGCACGATAGACTCGTTCTCGCAGATGGCGTCTCACTATGTGAGACGAACATGCCCTTTGTGTGATAGAAATTCGCGTTTCAGTGCGAGATCGATAATATACAGTTAATCGTGCGACAATCTCACAATGTGGCGTAATTTTTTTGCTCATCCGTTTCTTTTCAATATCGTTCATATTAACGGTACATAAACTTCACATCACTTCTTTTCTTTGGTAGCTTTTCGTAGAGAACGTAGGGAATGGAATGGATCGATGGGGGAAGACGCGTGTAGGTACAGTTTCGCAAATTCAGGCATGAGTGCATGACGTTCAGAACAAGGGCTAAACGAAGGGAAGCTCATCAACCTTTGAACCATAGAGCGACTGACAGACGTAATGCCATTTTTCGCAGGCTCGTAGTGACAGCATACCCTCTCCCGAAACCTCTCTCCAGTTTGCAGGATGCATTTCATTTGTTGGTTACGAGCGAGAAAATCAAAAATAAACAAAAAGAATGCGCTAGTCAATGTGCAACAGAACTCACTGTTCTGCGCACAACCACTCTGAGCGTAACGAACACGATTCAATCGTGTAAAGCGTGTTTTCCGGGTGCTCCCACCATCGCACGATCTCATACCAAGTTACTTGAGGAGCGTACTTAATAGATCGTTTCCCCATACCCAGACACTGTCGTATGTCACAACGGCATACCAGTGCGCTTAGGAGTCAACTGACGACAAGTCAGGGAGTATACGCGAAGGGAGCCACACCGAGTGGCTCAAAACCGGCTCCCGCGCCAATGCGCGTAGCTCTTGTACAATGGCTGCATAACCGCTTTTCATAGAAAACCAAAATGAAACCTAAGGCGTGTTGCAGCGACCAGCAAATCATCAATACTTTTTGGGCCGATTGGCGAGGGCGACTCCATCGACCGTTACACGAATCTCCGAGGCGGCGGATCCGCGACGCCTGCGGCTGCGATTTTATCTTCTAAATAATTTCGCATCCGCACAGTTCTAGCTCACAGTTGCCGATAGTAGTTTCCGGCTCCTTAGTTTCGTTTAGATGGACCATGACTTTTGGTGTAGTGATCTGGAGTTTGAATCATATCCGGAGTTGATGAGTGGGAACGGGCGCGAGAGCTCCGTCGACGCAACTGCTGCCGACGGTGACGGTGCTGGCTGCAGAAACCCGCTCAGAGAGACACTTGACTCGCACGCAAAGCCACTCGGTAGCGATCAATTTTTCGAGCAGGTTCTGCCTAGAGAGGGCGACTTCCTTCACGAAGGCCCTTTTCTTAGTGAGGACTCGTTGCAGCGTTTGCTGCTTTCTGTTTCGTCTCCCAGGACCCATGGCGAGTCACAGCTCTCGGAAGAGAAGTCCACTCCGGACAAGAGGAGAAGCGGACAGTCAGGTAAAAGCAATAAGGCAGCCCAGGGAGACATACTTGAAGACCCGGAAAGCTTTGTCGGTACTCAAACGGACGCCCATGGCGACAATACTGTCAGCCTTCGGGACGTTCTTGCGCTAGCGTTGCCGCGAGTAGACCCGTACTCGCGCCAGCGTCTCCTTGAGCTCCACGGTTTACTTCGCAAAGGTTCTCTCGATGTGTATGGATTTATCAGCGAGCTGCGTAGAGTTATAGGCTCTAGGATGCTTCGTGAGCTGGCAACCGAGCTGGAAACGACTCAGCACGATTTTCTCGAGTGTGAGAGGACTCTTGGGGCGCACAAAACCCAAGAATCATTCATAGAACCGAGTCAACAAAACGCTATGGAGTCTGTTGAAGAGATTTCTCTCTTGGAACCAGCAACCATGGCGGGAACCGAGGTGTCATCAAGCGAAAGTACGCCACTCTCGACGTCCCAGAGCGCGTCCACCAGCAAACCGAAGAAGCGCGCTTGGACCCGACTCGAACATTATATATTTTTGAAGGCAATGCAGATCTACGGTAGAGGGAAGTGGAAGTATATCGCCGACGTCCTGCCCGGTCGAACTCCAAACCAGGTTGCGAGTCACGCCAAGAAGTTTTTCCTGCGACAGAGAAAGAGCTTGAAAGACAAGCGAATGCGCAGCATACATGATCTCGTTCTCTCAAGTCCTGAAATGCGCGAAGTGGAACGGGCCCTCGAAACTGGAGCGATTGAAACGCCGGGGTTCAATCTGGCGGCACTGGGTATCGTTCGGAAGGTACAGTCCGTGTTTCCCCGGCCTGCGCCTTCACATCATGATGGAAGCCTCAGTGGGTGGGAGACTGCCCTTCCTGGGATCAGCAGGAGAGCGGAGTACACGTCTGCCCCCATGTATCCTTCCGCGGACTATGCGGGGACAAACGCTCACATGGGAGACCCGATGACGCGCAGCTGCGACCTGCGGCTGCGACGTTTAGAGTACACGGCCCATTTGCTCCGTCAAACGATCTCCACGATGCGTGCTCAAGCTTGCGGCACCTTAGTCGATCCAAGAGGGTCTTGAATGCTCTATCTCCGAGAAGCATCCAAGGCATCTCACGGGTGAAAGGATCAGTGTTAGATTCCGCATTCGTACTTATAAGTGTCCAGACCTGATCCTTTACACGCTTCGACGCAGGATTTAGATGTGTCCATGCATATGAACAGTTAGCATGTTGATAAATCGCTATTCTTTAACTTTCTGGGCACGAATGCAGAATCGTTTGATCCATACTTGCCCAGCTCCCACTATCTGAACACATGCTGGTACTCGTGTGAACGGATATCTGACGCTTTCTAGCCTTTTCGGAAGGATCTTGGCTTCGCAGGCGCTTCGGTGCGCCCCAAGAACTTGTGCTAGATTTCATCATACGGGAGAGCTTTCTGAGTACCATTATACATCTGAAAACGAAAACGTCTTTACTTTCTTTAATTGGAGAAGCGCAGTCATATGCATCTCGGTCGGGCCGGGCATGTCATCAGGTGCGATGCGCATTCCACATGCGGGGCGATTCAGGACCCGAGTATGATGCAACCGCAGTTCAACCATGTACTGCAGCCTATAATTCACTCTCTATTTCTGTATCATTTGGATAATCTACTAGGGAGTGCCACGTTCCATGTCCACTCGTCGAGTGGTTTTCCAGTAGGGAAGACATTCCGATGGCTTCCAAATGCAGAGCACGACAGTCCAGTATATAAAGAAGATCCGGTGCAATGAGAAGATAAGACCCAGAAGCGCTAGCCGCAGACTTGCGCAAGCTTGGCACATGAGTCCTAGGCCCCAGACGAGAAGGAACGCTAGATGAAACCAAACCGCACGGTTTCCATTGAACCAGAATGAGAGAATAAATTGCGGAAGCAAAAATATTGGTGCTAGGAGCACACAAAATTCTACGAGTTCGTCAGGGTCGTTCCACCAGAGGCAGGGCAATGACTCCAGATAGTCCGTATAGCGACGGTAGCCGCCGTAGACCCAGCGAGCCCGCTGCTGAAAAAGTGCCTTCCAGCTAGGAGCTAGTTCCTCCATAACGTAGGTATCATCGATGTAGTGGATCTTCAGACCCGCAATTTTGAGGCGACAAGTCATATCAACGTCATCACCCGTGGTTTGATCATTGAAGAAAAAGCCTCTGAGAGCCGACCTGCCATCAGCAACATGCAAGATGACAGCTTCGTCGAAAAACATGCCATTTCCTCGTAATGAAGCACAACCAGCCCGACGAATCTGTCTCTGAGAGGAGACGAACCAGTCAGCCATATAGTCCGCAACCTGGCAATCCTCAAGCAGGGATCTGCTACCCCATCGAATGGGCTTTTTGAGGACCTGAAGAACAAGCGCGTCTTCGCTCAAAAATACTGCCGCTAGAGCCGCGAGAAGGCGGGGATCGCACTGTGCATCCGCGTCCAAAAAGCCAATAATATGCCTCTTTTTCGGTGAAATAATCACATCTTGCTCTCGTTCATAGAAAATGTACTTGAGTGCTGCATTCAAAGCACCAGACTTGCCTCCGCCGATATCGTGCTGCGGACGTGCAATCGCTTGGCACACAGGCAGAGGTCGCAATGTGTCCCGTATCCAATGATGAATACGGTCAAAGGAACCATCCGTCGAATGGTCATCAAGTACCAAAATCCGATAGGAATCCACTGGGTACTTAAGGCCAAAGCAGAGTTTCTGCAGAGTCTTGCAAATCACGCCGCTTTCATTTTTGCAAGGAACTACCAGAGTGAAGAACGGGAGACTTCCAGTATCAATATCAGCTTCAGGGATTTTTTTAGTTGTAACCTTTTTACGCACTAGGAACGCCAAAAGATATGCGTCTAGTAAGATAGCCGCTATATGGTAAACTCGTGAGGCTGGTCTCCAGAGAAACGACACTACGCCCGCCCCGAGGACACACAAGGGCAAAAGCACCGATCTTGAGCGCCGGTTGCTCGTTTCCGGCAACATCGAGAGGCCCGCGCAAGGTACTCGGACAGAAGTACCGCACAGCACATATCCATTTGAGAACCTGACAGGACGTTATCAGAGCGGAACACTCCACACTAGAACGGACTGGAAACGGCACCGACGTCCACCCTTCGTCTCGCGCACGACGGAAGAACAAGAATCCGCGTTGCTCTATCCATGATCGAGCTCCAGCTTGAACTGTTTCCGGGACATATCGCGGGTTTGCTGCTGGTTGAACTTTCGAAACCTGTTGAAGACTTTGCAAGCATTTTCATACAAGGAACCTGGGAGTGTGCGCTTCTTGATGCGGGTGTCGTTTTCCACAAGTCACAATTGCTGACTGCGGTTAACGTTGCGTTCCAAAGATTCGAGGCTGGACGATTGAAGACTCACTCCCTCCACAATGAGGTGATGCTCGCTCTTTCAGCTAAGCTTAGTATAAGAGATGGACTTGCAGCTGTTCGTTTTTCATGGGAGAAAACTAGATGTTTAGTTGTTGCTGTGGACCCGCCTGCCTCGTTTCCTCAAGCGGCTGAGTCGACGTCGAACGCTCTGGCTGCAAAGGTCAGACATTTTCCGGAGGGTGCGAACGAGCTTTTCAACGAACTCCTTGTTCACGTTGATAAGCCTTCGATCCAGAATCTTTATGGAACAGATATCGATCCACACTGGATATGCACGAAGATTGCTACCGTTGAGTATGTACGGCAGCTTCGTTGATCGTGGCGGCATTACGCACACAGGAACGCTAGCGAACGGAATATTCAACGCGAGGGCAACCATTTGTGGGCGCTAGGAAAGCGACTTGTACCGTCCAGAGCGCTCTGTTGTTATCATGGAATTTGTTACGAATCCATTCATGGTATCACGGTTAACCGACGCTGGGATTGTCATTTTACTTGTCCAGAGCGTTCTGTTGTAATCATTGGGTTTCCTCTGCTGCATTCCCTATCTCATGAGCCGTCATCCAGCGCACAACGCACAGTCTATGGGAACGTCACAAGGACTTATAAGCATGTCTTAATTGCGCGTCTGATTTGTCCTGACAAACGCCCTCCTGTTAGTTAACTAGCGCTCATGCGGCGTTTCCTGTTTTCGCCAAAGCATCCATGCAGACGACAGCCTGAATCCTTTCGAAACAGTGTGTGATAGCCTCTTTGGACTTGCACGGAGGTCTTTTCCTCCGTGGTCGATGCAACAGAGCTTGGAAGGCCTGGGAACGTGAAGCCTCCCCTGAAAGCGTAAACGCTCTGCGAAATCGCAGTAAAACGCTTTAAGCTGGCGTCTGCCAGTTGGCGTGATTAAAAGGGCCCAACGCTTGCCATACAGCAGAAACAACCTAACGCATTTGCGGTGCCTGTAGGATAGATCCATCCAACGTGATGCCCAGTAAACGCAAAAATACGGCGATTTCTTCCCTCGAGTTTTCATCCGCAATACGTTGCTCCAAGTCTGAGAAACAGGAAGCGGTCCGTCGCCCTTGAACCGCATCAATCCCTTCAGGATGTAGCGATCCGTGCATGCTATTCAAATCGAGGCTCGGTCTCGAAAGGACCTGCTTATCCTCTCTGGTCGCCGTTGGACGTCCCGGAAAGGGTGAATTGCTCCGTTTGACTGTGTTCGTGCAATGATGCATTGAATCTGTGAATCTCGCGGACCGACTCGGAGCTGGGAGGTGCGCGTTTTTGATCGGAGCCTTTGGGATTTTCAGACGATCAAACCACCGATGCTTGAGCAACTCTTGACAAGACGGACGTTGCCTGTAATCTTGGGCTAAGCATAAGGCAAGAAAGTTACGAGCGTTACTACTGAGGCGAATTTCCTGCGGAATTTCAGGCGATCCTTTTTCAAGCAGCGTTACGATCAAGTCAAGGTGTCCTCTGCAGCCCAAATAGTCATCATAGTTTGGATGCTTCCCTTGCAGGCACTCAAGGAGGCTGATTCCAAGACTATAAATATCCGCTCGGTAATCGTAAGGACTCGCGCGAAGCATCTCGGGTGCCATATAAAGGCAAGTCCCGACGAATTTCCCTTCCCGAACTGGTCCGTGCACTCCGAGATCGGAATTATCTTTCTGAGGATTCTTCTGCACAGATATTGATGAAGATAGACCAAAATCTGCGAGTTTCACTTGCCCAAGACGATTCAACAGAAGGTTGGACGGCTTCACATCCCGATGCACGCGATGGCAGACGTTGTGGACGAACTGGAGTGCTCGGAGCGTCTGCCACGCAATCGCTCGTACAACTGATTCAGACAGCCGCTTCACGGACGATCGGCGGTATAAGCCGTCGATGCTTCCGACGTCCATAAGCTCCATAAGAATCATGACCCTGTTTCCGTCCTCGACGATTTCATGGTAATGAACGATGTTTTCGCAGTCGTGCGCTCGGGCCATTCTCAAGACGGATACTTCGCTTCGTATCTGAGCACGATGCGAGCTTGAATCAATGATCTTTATCGCTATCGGCTCCGATTTGTCCTTGTACATGGCAAGCTGAACAGATGCGAAGGAACCGCTTCCGATTGTACGGAGAAATTGTAGATGGTTCGCTTTCAGGCCAGAGCCAGTTCCAAAGCTATTAGATGTCGGACAATCAGATACTTGCATAACACGCGAGACACCCGATTCCATACGAGAGGATTTCATGGAAACGTCTTCCTGTTTGAGAGATTTCCAATCGGCCGCGGCCTGTCGAGTTTCATAGCTGGTTTCGCCTGCCTCTCCGGCAGATATACTACAAGCCATCACTTGTCGTTCTGCAGTCGAGTACGCGGTAGGAGCTTCATCTGCCTCTGCACAGCACTCAAAACTCGCACCGTACTCATCGTTTGGTTGGAGTGGGTCTCCAAAGTTGAGATCCGTTTCATTCAGGGTGAGCTTGCCGAGCCCGCGGCGAACGCTCAGGCTCTTGCTACGTGTTTCTAATAGATTCGATACTGCCACGACAGAATTCGAGGTTGCACTTCCGTAGTTGTCTTGAGGACGTTTTCGATTGTTCACAGCCGACGCTTGCAAACGCGTCTCGTCTGCAGCTGGTGGTGGACTTCGAGCGACCTTCCCTTTGAGGAGCCCGCTCAACCAGAGCGGGACGCGGTGGCGCCCTCGCTTCGGGGCAACTCGCCCGAGACGCGAATCAACTTGCGCATACCCTGGTGCGAACCGAGAGTGCAGTGTGCTGCCTTCTCCAGAGTGCTCCTCTGCGAACCGAAGACATCGCAACATGCAGCAAAGCTAGTCCTTCTTTCCTAGTCGCATAGAAAACTCTGCGGCATTGATCCTAATTTGCTAGTGCGCGTTGTACCCTCCAATACCGTGGCGGCTGCAGGCAGATGTGACTTCACACCCATATTAGACTAAACTGCAACAGGCTTTCAAACAAAGCTGCGCAAACTAAAGTTTGATTTTGTTCCCGCTCTAATAAACACTAGCCTTTGTGGCTTGTTCTGCGATTGGGTTTGCTCCCTCTAACTTATTTCGGGCTTTGAATGCACTGGTCTATCCTTTTCCTCAAAATCCATCGTCTGCAGTTCGGGGATATTGATGGCAGCGTTGAGGTCCCGATTTCGCTGCTTCCCGCAATTGTCGACTCAGTCGATGCACCGGGCGGTAGATAAGTTCAGAGCTTCGCTCTCCATTTTCACCTTCTTTATGTACAGCGTGGAGCGCATATCGCAGAGTGACATATGGCTGCAGTCAGGTATTCAAGCATTTCCGACATACCTCATTCTTCTGCGCAAGGTACCCTACGGCGCGTGCAGGCATGGTTCATCGCTCCATCATGCCATTGACGGGCATAGAAGATGCCCTCGGTGCTCTCTTCCGTTTCCGCGTATGGTGCCGTGCGCTACGAGCATGGGGGATCCTCCCTGTGAGAACTCTGTTCTCTGGATACGCAAGCGCGCACTGTTCCATAAGATAGAGGATTCATGGAACACAATATCGTACATGATGGAACGCGTACTCGAAGGAATATCCGGGCTGGATATCACTCTGCGAAATTTCGATACGACTAAGCTACCCTCGTGCAAAATGTCACGTACTGCCCACTGCAAGCGGTCGCCGCGTGGACTGACGTCCAAGTCCGAGACCTTTTTCCATGTAAACAAAAGAGACGAGAAAAGCAACGAGCAGATATTGAGTGCCATTTCTTCGATACCGAAGAAGAGAGGAGGACGTATTTTCGAATCGAATGGTTTCTTTGATGTGGCAAGTTTAGTGGACTTTTGGAATGAGCTTGCGAAAAAAGTCGTCTAGGGACAGCGTCGAGTGTTTTACGTCTTCATTCTAATGGTGCGAGTTGCTGCGCCCCGGGTCGGCTCGAAGCACAGAGGTCCAAAACGTGAGGAATATGTGAATTGAGCATGATAAGTGTGAGAAAAGGAGAGAGGCGGAGGTTTGTACCCATGAACTAGATGATGATGACGGCTATTCTACGAACCTGAATTCGACGGTATCGCGAAGGATCTTAATTACGGTGACATCCCGGTTTCCAGCAGCAAGGAGCGGATAGAGCTACTCCGAAACGACGACCGGGAATCCAAATACTCCGAATCAATCCATAAGCCCCTACTGCGGGACCTGGAGTTCCGAAGCCGCACATCCATAAATGGTCGAAAACATCGCAAGTCAGGAACAGAGCGGGCAGTTCAACTTTTCATTTTAATCTGACAGGGGCTAGGCCAGTCTCTGGATGAATCACAAATAGCAAGGAGACATCCTAGCAAGAGGAGAGCATCATTTGCAGAAAGTTCTGCGAAGATATTAAGGCGCGCATGCAGAAGTCCCCAGATATCCGGAACGTACACGAGCACCAGTTCGTCCACGAAGCGTTCATGACGAATCCTGGTCAGTTTGGAATATGCAAAGAAATATTCTAGCACACGCCAATCACTCAATGCGTTTTGCACCCAATTCAGCCTCTGGAACTCACGCCCTCGTTGGACACCCCACAGACATTCTGTCTCCATGCGACATCCGCAGATGCGTCAGCAACGACTCAGCGAGCGTCCGCAGTAGGCTCAATGCCACCTGCATCGCTGGATCTTTCAAGTTGCCGTTGTTTAGGACCAATGAGCCGGCCTCCAAGGCTGCGTGAATCGCGAGCACAGGGGAACAGTCCCTATGAGTTTCCGCGCAAACCGCAGTCGGTGTACGAGCGTACTTGAAGATGATTACCATTCATGAGAAGACCCTCATGCAACGCTCCTCTGTGGCGACAGTAGACATGACAGCTCCTCGCATGACTGCATCAGAACCGGGTATATTCTTTGGCAGCGCCTTACCCTAGTATGTACCCAGGTCTTCAAATCCGTGCATTCGGACCAAGTGTTTTCTTGGGCAGCGCCTTACCCTCGTACGCATCCAGGTAAGAGCTATCCGATAATTTTCGCTCCACATCGTAGCTCATTCTTCTGAGAACTTGAGGCGTCATTTGCAAAGGCTCAAACTGGAAAATTTCCGGGGGCGGTCTCGTGGAGGGTGGTCGCCTGCGCCGATTCTCGAGCCCTGTACCAGAACGCGTCGGCAACTCGCCCTCCGCTGAAGCAGACTTGTCGGGCGGTATAGCTGCGGACTGCTCCACGGCAGCTACCCAGTTCCAGTCAAGACTTTTCAATTCTTGCAGAGAAAACTCTAGTCGGCCCTGCTTCCCAACAATTTGGACGTTCGGAAGTGGCTCCGCCTCTGGCCTTTGGTCCCGCCTCAGGACCCGCAGCACAACGTCAGGCCTTCGATGAGCAGCTATTGTCCTTGCCTTTATTTTTTCTCTCAGAGGCTCTGGGAGCGTCTTCCCCCGATTCCAAGGCACACGCTCTCTGCTGTTTTTAGGTGGCGGCGGCTTCTTCTCTGCCTTCCGCTTCTGCGACGTGCGCTTCACCGGAGCCTTCGCAGAGTCCTTTGCACGCGAAGCGTCTTGGATTTTACCGCTCCCCGGTGCGCGCTTCTTGCGGGTACGGCGCTCTTGTTTTGGTTCGCAGTCTGATGAACAGCTTACAAGCGGCTTGCGGAAAAAAAGGTGCCCGCGGAACGTCCTCGTAAGTATCGCCCACATGCGCAATGAAAAGATTTCATATACTAGCTGCGGGTAAATTCGTCTGAGGTTGTGCACGCGCATTCGGCGCCGTACGCCGATATATACTTCTGACTGCGCTTCAAAGGCGTGCGACATGACTGAGGAACTGCCTCGACAAACAGAACCTCTTACTGAAGAAGAGACGGATCAGGAAAGTGCGTCCGAATTAAAACAAGAAGATATCGCCGAGGCAGCGAGAGAAAGTGGCATTGATCCGAAAGAGCTTGCACAGCAAGCGGCGCTCCTTCAGGCGCATGAGCACGCCGTCGGCGCGGCTGGCGCAGGGGCTGGCCTCCCCGCTCGCCAGTCTCGAGCTGAGAAGAAGACGAGAAAAGCCCTCTCAAAACTTGGACTGAAAAAGGTACCGGGTGTAACGCGGATTGCAGTGAAAAAAGAAGGGACTTTACTTTTTGTTGTTTCGCAACCCGATGTGTACAAGAGCTCGGCGTCTGACACGTACGTTTTCTTCGGAGAAGCCAAAATTGGTGAGAGTATTGGTGATGCCGGTGCACAGGCCGAGGCAAGGCGCTTCCTAGACTACAGCGCTGACTCTGATCAGTTTGGCCTCGAGGGCAAACTGCGCGACTATCTTGGCGGCGAGAGAGCGGGAGCCGACGGGGCTCCCGGCACACGCTCAGGTCCCAGCGGCGACGTGTCAGAACAGGAAGAGGAAGTTGATGAGACAGGGCTCGACCCTAAGGACATTGAGCTCGTTGTCCAGCAGGCGGATGTTTCCCGAGCACGTGCAGCACGAGCGTTACGCAATAACAATGGTGATATTGTGAATGCTATACTTGAGTTGACGGTATAAAGAAAGAATTTGATGACGCCTTACGGGGTATGCTTTGAGATCGGGGCTGTTCTGCTGGACCACACGATCCTGGAGCCGATGCGTTTCATGCTCACCGAGAAATCTGAGAGCGCATCACGGGAAGGAACCGAAGGCGCTCACGTCACTCAATGCGTGACGTTCTGACTTTGCATCACCGGATCCAGACACTTTCTTCAAGCCTTTTTTAACCCAATCCGTCGTGATTGCGAGCTCCGTAGAGTTCACGCAACAGATAATATGCAAAGTTGCTCGAGAAGCTCCCAATATCCGTGACAAAAATTGAGACTTGCGAACTCGGCACGATCGCATAGCGCGGATTACTTACTCCGACTCTGGATTGGAACGGGCTAATGCTTTCATATGGCAACAGAGTGCTGGGCACAAAAGATTTTTCGATAGCGGAAATATCATGAGGGAACCGCTCAGAAATCCTGTGCAACTCCGTCAGAACTAGGACAGGAACAGCGTGCGCACGCGCTGCATCCGCAGCAAGGCGACACGTTGGGCGCGTGATCACGGAACCCTCCGCAAGGACTACTTCGGCGCGGATGATCAGCTTGTGCACCCGAGCCATAATTGCATATACTGCAGCGTCCGTAATCAACGTCGTATCAATACCGCGCCCAGCAAGCTCGCTTGCTAGCCTGTGACCACTGCACTCTGGCGCAGCTTCAGATACGAAGACCTTGAAACGGCGTTTTTTCCCAGCTTCTAATAGGAAATGCATAATTAAAGGCGAATACCCGCAGGTCAAAACCACCTCTTCCGAATGTATATGCTCGCTGCTTTGCTGTGCTATCTGACTGTCAGCGCTCTCGAGCTCGTTCAGAAGTTCGACAACCGTTTCTTCTTGTCGAAATTCTTCCACGGTACAGCTTTCTAGAAGCCGTCGACTGGAGTCGTTCCTCTCCTGGAAGATATTTGAGCTGTCGCTGGGACCCCTGCTGCCGAGTACCGAGACAGCCACGAAGGTCTCGAGTTCAGCGCCTGCAGTGGAGCTCGCGAATCCTTGAACACGTCGTTGTCTGAGAAGTAGTAGCCGCTTCAAAACATTTTCCAGTACGTACTGGCAAAGAATGTTCGAGAATAGTTTCTGATCATTCAAGAGTTTTGTGAGATCACGCAAAAAAGCCTCTAGGCTCCTCGTTGCACAGTACTGGAGCAGTACACGGAGCGCGCTTGCTAGTTGGTTACCGAACGGAACGGTATTCGTCTTTGACTTCTTTCCAGATTCGTTCTTCGGTTGCGTTTCTTCAGCAACAGCACGACGAGCGCTTGCACGGCAGTTGGAAGTGGGATACGTTACGGGCTTCAAAAAAACCGACGTGAAAAACTCCGCTCCGTAAAGACTCTCATACGCTTCATCTAAACTCTTTAGCAGCTTCAACGCAATTTCCTCGAAGCGTTGATCTTCGGAATCAGCCTCTGCTGAACTTGAAGCCATCGCTCAGTGAAACCCAGTATCTCAACTATGCCAGCCGCGTCTTGTTCTCTGCTGGAATGGGACGGATCCGAGCTTGCGCGGCATCAATAGCAACGTGACAGTATGTCCCTGGACCACGGAGGATGGAATCGCACCGTCATGCGCCTCATCATTCTTTATAGCCTTTAAGCTCAGTTGTGTTCGACCCTTGGATGAGTATAATGAAATGGTATTTCGCTGGTTATAGAAGATGCGTTCGAAGAGTGCTAATTTTCAAAACTAAAAAATCGAGGGGAAAGGTAAGGACACGGAAGTCGGGGATCCTGGAGTCCCAGTATCGCCAGGTGCCGGAAAAGAAACAAAAAATCTTCTTCTCGTCGACAATGGATCCAAGAAGAGCAAGTGACAATGAAGAAGAGGAGGGTAGATAGGCGAGAAAAGGTGCTTGCGCGGTGGGGCCACGGCGAGATTGTAGTGGCGCCGATGGGTCGTCTTCTAAGAATCAATGCAAAGGTGACTTCAATCAGCTGTAGAGCATTCAAGGAGTTTGTGAACCGCGACTTCAACACCACCATCAATGTCAGATGGAGCGTGATGCGGAAGTCTCGGTTCATGGACTCCATGATTGGTTGCCTCTGGTTGAAATCATCAATTCAAGGATTACTAGAACTCGTCTCATCGGCGCCCCTACAATCTCGCCGTGGCCCCACCGCGCAAGCACCTTTTCTCGCCTATCTACCCTCCTCTTCTTCATTGTCACTTGCTCTTCTTGGATCCATTGTCGACGAGAAGAAGATTTTTTGTTTCTTTTCCGGCACCTGGCGATACTGGGACTCCAGGATCCCCGACTTCCGTGTCCTTACCTTTCCCCTCGATTTTTTAGTTTTGAAAATTAGCACTCTTCGAACGCATCTTCTATAACCAGCGAAATACCATTTCATTATACTCATCCAAGGGTGGAACACCACTGAGGTGAGAGACTATAATCTAACTCTCAGTTACCGTGATTGCTCTCATGCCACAAATGGATAGACCTGGAGAAGCCCGTACTACAGTTGGACGGCGCACGAATCTACCAACTCAGCACCCGCGCTGTTCCGATTTGTGCTGACGAATTGGGCGGGAAAGATGAAACAGTTTGAGAAAGGACGTTCTAGCTCAAATGCCGCAGTGGAGCGCAGAAAACGCTGCGGTTGTTAATAGGGATTCTCTAAATAAGGATGAAGAGTGCAATACGTCTAACGCAAACTGCTCAGAGCGAGTGAAGAGAACAAAGAAAGCCATTGTGAAACCTCGTCTACCAGTCCGGTGTGCGCTGCTTCAAAGCCCTCCGCGAAAGCGATACAAAAATGTTTCAACGCTTTCTTCGATTCAAGTGGCTGGCGCTCTAGGAGCTCCGAGAGTTCCACAAGAAACTCCACTAAAAACGCAACATAGATGTTACAGACTGAAGCTCGACGCTAAGGATAAAGGCACTCGCCGGCAGAGTCACGGCGATGGCGACGGCTTTAGCCCCGAAAGCTCAGATATCAGGCGCAATGTCCTGCACAAACCACTCCAACTTTCGAGTGGTCTTGAATGTGACGGCATCAATAGGCAGCGGAGTTCCCCGCCGGACCCTGTGTCCAACACAACCGAGCTCTTGGAACGGCCAAGTGATGGAGACGTGGTTTGTACTGTTCCTCGTGAGGTTCTGATTCTTTGCAATGAAAAGGACGAATTTTTCCAAGCAATATTCAGATGACTTTGTTTTTCCCGTCGCCGCTATCTGGAAAGAGTCACTCAGGGCAACCTCTTGCTGGCGGCGGCCCGATTTTTGCGTCACATGATGGGCAACTAGCGAGCCGGTCAAGAGTTGAATCACAGCAACGATTGCCTGTTATTTAATGAGTGGTACATATAGCCTCAACTGCTTGGTATAACCTTTCCATTGTTTCGGAGAATCAGGTTCGTTCAACGCAGGCTCGGTTCCGGATAATTTCACAGATCAGAATCGAGCAGATAGCATCATGAATTTTCTTCCACAAAATGACTGGCATTAGGATCATTATAACCGACGCAAAACATAAACTCCGTTAATCCTATCTCAAAATCGTAGCAGTGAGTTCCGGAAACCTTGGCTTGAGTACCATTGTTCTGAATGTGCTTTTTCTCATGGATATGAAACAAACTAAGACGTCCTGTAAATTAGAGAAATGTAGCGGCAAGCCTCTATTCTCTGACTTGTCGCTCACGAGAAAAAATACCTTTCATGTGTCATTCAGTCATTACTACGTTCAGCAGCTGGATGAATCGCCTTTCTTGCAGCGCTTGTCCTGAACTTCGTGCATCCAAAACAGAATGTCTGAATGTTTCTCTATGCGACCGTTTCTCCATGTATCTATTCCACCACAAGCGTTCTCGAGGTGATATCTTCACAAACGTTGCAGGATGTCAGCCTTCGGTAGCACTGATACAAGCGATGATGAAGAGGCATGCGTGGGCAAAAATAGAAGAGCCCTGCTATTGGAAACACTCGCAAGTTGTACAAAACATTATTGATTTCGAACTGAAACGCAAACGGCTTTTGCAGAAAAGTCTGGTGCTCGCCTCACTGGATTAGACATCATCCGGGAAAAACGGTAAACCTATATAAGGAAAATGATAGAGGGGCGAACAACTGTTCGAAAAGAAGGCAAAAGCGAGCATTAAGAGAAAATCAGCCCCAGCAGAAATGCAATCGTGTTATTGCCCTCTAATCAGCAATCGAACTGGATCGTTGGATACCTCACCCAGCGTGGTAACACTCTTCATGATCTGCTCTTCGCACCCTCTTCTGTCATTCTCCGAGACAACTTCGCCGTACATCTTTGAAAAGCGAGAGGAGAGAACGATACTCAGATTGGCACTGAGCTACTCTTCGTGCCAGGATATACCCCTGGTTCAATGCAGGAGAGGCGTATATTTAAGTGCCAGACGCGGTCTTAACGGACATGGATCCATGGAAGAATCATTAGCATCCATGTCTTTGTTCGTTGAGAAATCGTTCTCTGCCATCGCAAGCCTTAAACTGATATGTTCCTTTTCCTACCGTGTGCGGGAGGGAGCGGAGTGGCGCTTCGGATTGTAACACGTGCTCGCTACGAAGGAAGTGACCAAAATGTACTCGAGAAATAAAAAGTACATATCCAGGAAAAGTGACCTTCGCACTGATCATCCCCGAAATGCGTCCGATCCGCGAGGAATAGACCTGGTATGGAGTATAGCAATAGCATGGAAATCGCCATACCCAGCAAGGGGAAAATACGAGGAAAGAGAAGGGGATGCATCAACCAGACAAAGTAGAGAATTGTACCCCGAAACAAGCACAAATAACGACAGGACAAAAACTATAGAAGTGGAAAGATCAGTCCAAAATCGCTGCAAAGGCATAAACACTAATATACATGAACAGGAAGAGAATTCCAGAAACTGAAATTCGGAGCACCAGTAAGGATCATATAACTTCGTTTTCGAGGAGGGCTCTCATAGCTTTTCTCTTACCGTGGCACAGCTCGTCATGCAAATGCTCGTGCAAGTTCCGGATGCGCATTGCGAGCTGCCCTCATTCCACACGGATTTTTGGACAAATCCTTCGTTCTTCTACCAGCGTTCGCGACAGAACGTGAAACACGGCCTGATCGCAGTATACAAGATCTGCACGCACGCTTGCGAGAAAACATTTGTACGTCATGAAATCACATCAGCAATCGGAATATCCATGACGAAAGAGAAAAATATCGAATCAACCTGAAAAATGAAACGATACGCGAGACAATCTCGAGTGCTTCAATCGGTTCACCGTTTGGAAGTTAGAACCGTTTTAACCTACCTTACTGGCCTAAAAAAGTGGTGACTGATAGAACGGTTTCTTGGAGTGCCGAAGGAGGCAAATGACAAGCTGATGGTGACAGATGGGATCGAGGTGCCAACGACGCCGGAAGCGATATCGCACCGAGAGCGAGACTCGCGTCAGATCGCCCGCGCCTATCGAGTGGATCTCGGACTCGGATCGCCACACGTCCTATCCATACGATGGCGTCAACGGGATACCTGCCTTGCTTGCGATTCGCGCACCACTATATTCGCGTCGAGAGAGCCCTCGAGAGGATCGGCACAAGTCTTATCCATACGATGGTGTCAACGGGATACCTGCCTTGCTTGCATTCCGCGCCCCATTATATTCGCCTCAAAAGAGCCCTCGAGAGGATCGGCACAAGTCTTATCCATACCATGGCGTTAACGGGGTACCTGCCTTGCTTGCATCTCTCGCCCCATTATATTTGCCTCAAGGGAGCCCTCGAGAGCGAAGCAGACTCCGTCCACCAATGCGGGTGCACTCGACTCCGTAAGCGTCTGTTCGAAGCGGCCCTCATTCGTCACTTCAACGCCCACTTATCACTGCAGACTCCTCTGTACTATACGTTCCACTCAGTGGGCTACGGCCGGTCTCTGGCAGCGAGCACGGGTCACTCGAACAGCTTTCCGAAGATCATGGGTAGAGCTGATTCGACGTTTCGCCTTACAGGGCAGGAAATCGTAAGGAGTACGCAGGGAGAATGGAGACCGACGGAAGACCAGGCTGCATGCACTTTGTGAAACTTAAACTTGACTCAACTAACGATGCTGATTTTCAACCGTCCAAGATAAATGAAGAGAAACACATCGCGCGGTTGCCTTATCTCAAAATCAAGAGAGCGGAATGAAAGAGTTGAACAGAATCCAGATGATAGTGTGCAAATTTTCGAGGGCTTTATACTAGAGTGAAGCATGATGGGCGTCAGGAGGCACACGAACGTTTGGAATGACGGCGTCAGGGCCCAAATCAATGCCTTTAGCACCGCATCGAAGAGACTAATGCTTTGCACGGTTATTCAGAGAGTCCATCAGCGTCCAACAGGCGCATGCGGACGATCCTTGGAAGGTGCACATGAGACAGCGCTAGCGTGATCATCAGTACCGATTATAGGGAAGCATGAAACACGCATTAACCAACTTTTTAAATGAATTCGAAAAGCAAGTATCTGGTAAGTCGCGTCGTTTGGTGGAAACCTACGAAGTTGTACAAGCTATAGAACGCAAAAACTGTACTTGCTCTCCTTCGACGAGGGCGTACAACGAGTGCAAGATTCGATTCTGAAAGATTCACTCCGATGCATTCAGAAAGACATACAGTCTTCACGAGCACGGGTGCGCGTTGAATCTGGTAGACACGAAAAAGAGAAACTGAGACGGATGCGCTTGCCGATGTACAGCAAGCTGAACGATCCTCAGATCGATAGAAAATCGAGCGTGAGAGGTTTTCTACGGTTTGAATCCACTCGCAACCATGCGCACAAGCAGTTTCCGAACGGAGACTCGAATGCTTCGATCAACATCCGGCGACCTTGTGCTTCCGGAGCGTCCAGTGGCCTTTTGCAGAAGGGTCCTGCATTGGTATCCCCTAGTACTCATTGTGGGCATTGGGATGAGACGCGGAAGACTTGCGGTTAAACAAAATTCGATGGCCTGGACACATGGGATTCGATTCTCCCACTGAGCGAGGCAAATGTATGGCGCAGTTCAGCAGTATGGAATGGCAGGTGCGTAGAATATACAGAACGCAAGAGATATCCTTGCGCAATCGGTGAACGATAACTATGCTGGATTATTCGATATTGCTGATTATACTGAACGCCTCGCTTGATGTGGCAGGAACTTTACAATTTTGGAAACGCACTCGGGCTTTCGTATGCTGCGCTTTGCTTGGATCCAAAAATTGTAAGCACTGATAAATGAGACTGCTCTCTCGAGGTGCGTCGATCAAATGCGCATCTACGAGCATGCTCCAGGTATCTCCTCTCGCCCCGGAACGGCACAGCTCTGATTTTTAGCAGCGCGATTTACGTGGAGATCAGGTTTTGTTTCCGGGCTCGTAGTGCTCTGCGAAATGTCCTCTTACGTAAGGTTTTAAATGCTATTCAGAGGGAGCAGCTTCCATGAGAAGCGATGCGCGTAGACTCTCATGGACATGTTCGTAGCCTTTTTTAATGACGCAGAATCCCATTGGACGAGATCCATTGGGAAGAGAGAGTCCACTAGCTCATTTCGTGGACCAAAACGAGCTTTCTTTTTGATAAATGCAGACAGAGCTGCATAGCGTACGTTGTGCGAGGCGCTGCCCTGTTTTTGAGCCACTGGGTGAGGCATCGGTGCTTCATTTACGCTTTTATCGCAAAGACATCAACAAACGATATTTCACACAACTTTTGATTCAGTCCACATCAGGAGAAGACGACCAGTTTGCTCATTCGCGCATTTCGATGACTGGCCAACTTCAGCGGCTGGCGTCCACACGCGACCACCGACCGTTTCACTGGCAGGTTTTCTACAATGAGACCATCCCTTGGAGAGGACAACACCCGTCGGACTTCAGCGTAAGGGCGTTTGCTCTGTAAGCCATTCGCACCTTGCCCCATGCTCACTGCAAGGAGCAACGTCCCAACCTAATATGCAGTGTATCAATTTTCATTTGACCAGCACTTTGCGTACCCGTGCATTAAACCTTCCAAACGTCCTTTTGAAATTGTAGTTTTGATACAGAGAGCAAGACTCGCGAACACGCGAAAGCTGTATATAAAAAATTGTACCGAGTAACGCTATCCGTGGTGCATCAAATTTCCAATTTTTCCAGAAACATTTCCCTGCAAAACGCATATTGTCGGTGAGAGGGTGATAAATCTCACCAGAGTCCCTCGGACACGAGAATACTGCTGTTATCCCCTTGGAAAGGGTTTCAAACTACCCTAGCAAGGTCAGCTTTCCATCTGGTCCACATCAGTTCTGCTATCGGGCGTGGCAGCACGGTCAGTCTAATAACTGCAGAGATTCCCGAACTACATTCTTCTGTCATCTGCTTCCCTTGTATCGGATTTATATATGGACTGGAATCAAGTGCCCCAATGATCACTCGATCGAACTCGCCCATGCCGACCGCATCAAGGCGCTGTGTTTGCGCGCCCTGGGGGCCTGCATTTGGTAGAAGCGCGGCACCTTGAAAACTCAGCTTCGCGCGTTTTTGCTCAAGGCTTTCGACTGATGGCTGATAACTTTCGCGTACGCTCACCCGCTGAGTTTTTCGCGGAAAACAAAAACATTGCAGGTTTCGATAACGATGGGCGCTCTCTTTATACCACCGTGCGCGAGCTCGTAGAAAACGGCCTCGATGCTGCAGAGGCCGCTGAAGTGCTGCCCTCGATTCGCATACGACTCGAGGAACTTAGGGGTAAGGACTTTCAAGCGCGCCTGGGACTTGGGGGCATCGTCAGAAGAGACTTCAGTATGTACAAAGACTTTCATGAGCAGCGGAAACTAGCTCAGGGCAAAGCCGCTGCACTGCGGCGCAAGAAAAGGCGGGCTCCGAACGTTGGACCCGAGGGCACGAGCGAACCCGCCGATGAGCCTCAGTTAGAGGCTCCCAGCGACGGTGCCACGCTCGAAACCTGCACGGATGAAGCGGCTACCGCAGATGCAGGAGCCGGTGTAGATGAACCGCAAAGTGGGGATGCCCAGTTTTTCATTGTTTCTGTACAGGACAATGGAACTGGGATCGAGCACGAGCGCATTCCTCAGATGTTCGGTATTGTTCTCGCCGGCACCAAGTACAGCGTTCAGCAGTCTCGCGGTAAATTCGGACTCGGATCGAAGATGGCGCTTCTATGGAGTAAGATGTCTACTGGTCTTCCGATACGTATCTGTTCTTCTACAGATTCGCGTCAGCCATTATCGCTCTGTATGCTGGATATCGACATCGCTAGAAACAAACCTCGAGTGCTTGTTCACAAGAAAATCGAAAATGCGATTGGGTTTCGCGGCACGGAAGTCTCAGTAACCATTAGAGGTAACTGGAAGACGTACCGCACATATATCCTGCAATATTTGCGTCACATGGCAATTATTACCCCATATGCTGAGTTTTTCTTTAGTTATCGTGGACCAATAGCATCCAAGAATTTTGATCTCTATTTCGCGAGGAGGTCCGATTGTGTTCCGCCACAACCAACCCAAGTGAAGCATCATCCGAGCTCGGTGAACCAACTCGTCCTCCAGCAACTGATGAATAGTGTGCCAGCCAGCACCAAACTAATCGATTTCTTGGCAAACGAGCTCTCATCTATTTCGCGTGACTACGCAAAAAGATTGGTGTGCGAGTTAGGCTGCTCTTTTTCCGAGGAAACCTCCGTTGCCGAGGTGAAAGGTAACATGTTACGCCATCTACTCGAACTCTTGAGGCAAGCACATTTTCTGCCGCCTAGTGGAGATTGTTTGAGCCCCGCCGGTGAATACAATCTGCGTCTAGGTATCATCAAAGAATTAAGCCCCGAAATAGTCGCAACGCATACAGAGCCTGTCGGCGTGCTTGACGGCCATCCGTTCATTGTTGAGGTTGGTGTGAGTTTCGGTGGTGCCAAGGTGAAGCCAGGCATCAACGTTTTCAGGTTCGCAAACCGCATTCCTCTACTCTTCGAGGGTGGTAATGATGTTGTCACGCGAACCGCGACCAAATTAATCCCCTGGACGAATTACAAAATCAATCCCATCACGGATCGCGTAGGAGTATTCTGCTCAATCGTATCTACGCGTTGCCCGTTCAAGGGTACCGGAAAAGAGTATATCGGAGCTGACGCAGAGCCCATCCAGAAATCCGTTCGCCATGCTATCATGCAGTGTTGCCAGCAGCTGCGAATCAAGCTCGTTCGAAAGAGCATCCAACAGGAGCGACAGGAACGAAAGAAAAGGCTCTCCAAATACGTTCCCCACGTTGCTCGTGCAATCCACAAGGTTTTGCTCGCGATGGCCAACCATATGGAGGTGCTCGACGGAACTTCTCGCGAGAAAGACCATGGGCAGAGTCTACTCGCGAAAGTTCAAGCAGGGTTGATTTCAGAGTCAGTTATAGGGGAGCACCTCATGCGACATGTTGCAGAAACTGAAGTCGAAGAGCACCAAGACTCCAAGAAGGGCGTTGCGCAGATCGATCTAAGCCATGTATATCCCGGAATACTACCACCGGCAGTGCAGTCTCTGCTCCGTCCTAGTTTCAAATCCGCGCACGACGACGCAAACATTGATGACATATTCCGTCTTCATTTCCTTGATACTCAGAAAGCCTCTACGGCTGCACGCCTTGGTGAGTGTGATGGGGTCCCGATCTGAGCGATGAAACGCTCCACACAGTCGATGAATCGATCCGCCATCTCTTCATGGGGCAGATGCCCGCAATGATCGAAGATACAGAGTTCGCATCCCAGGTACTGGGCAAGAAGTTGGGAGTTTCTCAGTGGCACTATACGGTCGTCTCTGCCATGAATGATTAACACGGGAATGGAGAGCTTTCTCAGATTTTGAAGAAGATCCGTGTAATCCTCTGCTGTCCCTCCATGTGCTATTCGATGGACTTGCTGCGCGAATTCCTTGATGCTGAAGACTCCCTGATATCGGTTGAGCACGAAAGCGAGAAGCGCGCGATCCCATCCACGTACCCTGTCCGGTAATCGATATCCCTCGATAACATCAGGTCGAATGAGTGTTCGATCCTCTACTGCAAGCCTTAATCCGTATCGCCAGAGACGCTCTTGACTGACGACCAACCGGACAAGTCCCCGAAGCACAGGAGATATTCCGCGCGATATTTGCGCCGTCAAAAAGCGAAAAGACACCTGCACCGTCGCCAGCGCGTACCGCAGGGGTAACAGAACTGTTTGCAAGCAACGCCGAATACCGCGTGCACGCTGCTTGGTCTCGCGAAAATAGATCGCAGGCGATACAAGAATTAGAGCACGTGGTGCACACGGCAGCTGCGCCACAGACTGTAAAGCTACTAAACCGCCCAGTGAGTGACCTACCAGGCAAATGTCGTTTGCTTGCCTTGCGGGCATACGAGCGAACTGCCCGACGACTTCAGCCATGGAACGAAGAGAGTAGTGGTGATTGCTCCAGGAACGGCTCGTAAGACCAAATGCCGGTAGGTCCAGAGCCTCCACGTTGCTCCCAGTCTTCCGTGCAAGCTCGTCCATGACATTACGAAAAGTGAAAAGAGAGGCTCCGAATCCATGCAGTAGAATGATGCGGCGCCGAGTTACAGAGGCGTTCGGACTGGAAGGCTCCGGGTTTCGCTCCTTCCAGCGCACATTGAGGTTGCAAAACCGAGAGAAATTCGAGTCCGGATCCGCCAAACTTTCAGGTTTGTTAAGCCTTTTCGTATACTCAATATTGAAGAATATCCACGAAGACAAGAGGCTGGCACCGATTCCAGCGGAGCCAGCTCCGAGGTTGGTAGCAGCCGCAGTATCCGTGCGCCTGCTTGCAAGCGCGTTTCCGTAAAGGCGGACGGCAAACCAAGTCGCGAGCCCTGTAAGACCGCTTATAAACTTCTCGGTAACAGTCAATCTAGGCCAACGGTCAGCATCAAATGGGTCCACGTACGACATCGGCGTGTTGCTCCGACAACGCTGCTTTCTCTTCAAGTCATACAACCTCAGTGGATGCACTACTAAAACCGATTCGTCGCTAAGCTCATGTACGCAAGGCACTGCGCGGCGGCGTCGCAGCTGGTTATGCACCAGCGATTTCGATGCCCCTCAATAGAATACGAACTTGATTTCCAGTTGACGCCTGGGAAGGCGGCTACAGACTGCACGATATATAGAGAAGCGGAAACTTTTGCAGGTAAACGTCGTCCTAGAAAGGCGCGAAGAGCTCTGGGAAGGAGTTTCGTGTGATCCTGAAAAGAAAATCGAACTCCCTTTTAGGCAACTGTGCCGGAGCTTTTGAGCAGAGCGCTCCTGGAGCGGTGTGCGGTCGACAGCCATGCAACAACCGGTGCGGGCAGTAGCTTTTGTCCAAGGTGGTGCGCTCTTGCAGAGGCGTTGGATAAGTGACTCAACTTGTCGTCGGCTCCTGGGAGACGCTTCGCAAAGGAAGCGTTTCGCAAAAGAACTCTACAGCGTCCCGGGCGTCTCGCTGAAGAGTCGTGCTCTGCGACTCTGCTCTACGACAGACGCTAGTGGGAAGAGTGTCCAGACGCCCTTCAGAACCGGCTCGAGGCCTGTATTTGCGGAGAATGCGGAGGACGCAATGCCGAAAAACTTCGACCCAGCGGCGCACGAAGAACGCATATACTCCTGGTGGGAGGCTGCAGGTTTCTTTTCTCCAAGAGATGAGGGCGTTGGCGATATTGAGAAGCCTTTTGTGATCGTTATGCCGCCTCCGAATGTCACGGGCGGCCTTCACATGGGCCACGCAATCGGTACAACAATCGAAGACATCTTGATACGTTTCCATCGTATGCGTGGGCGCCCTACCTTGTGGCTACCCGGAACGGATCATGCTGGGATTGCGACTCAGTTGCTCGTCGAGCGAGCGCTTACTGCCTCCGGCAAGAGCCGCAGTGAGATAGGCAGAGAAGCGTTCGTTGAAATGGTATGGAAGTGGAAACAAGAGAAGGGTGGGTATATCACCAAGCAGCTCCGAAGGCTCGGCGCCAGTGCTGACTGGAACCGGGAGAAATTCACACTTAGCCCAGAGATGAGCGCGGCCGTGGCGGAGGCGTTTGTGCGCCTTTACGATGCTGGTCTCATCTACCGGGGTACGTATATGGTGAACTGGAGCCCAGCACTGCAAACAGCTGTTTCAGACCTGGAGGTCGAGTTTAGCGAAGAGAAGGGAAAACTTTACCTATTCAAGTACATGTTAGCTGAACCGGGGTCCGAAGAGGATGCCTTCCTACCAGTCGCAACGACCCGACCGGAAACGATTCTTGGCGACACTGCACTTTGCGTTCATCCCTCGGATGGACGCTTCCAGAAATACATCGGCATGCATGCCATTGTTCCGTTTGTTCACCGCCGCATTCCAATCGTTGCTGATGCTCGGGTGGATCCATCGTTCGGCACGGGTGTGCTGAAGATCACCCCAGGTCATGATCGCATGGATTATGAGATAGGCAAAACTCACAATCTCCCCGTCATTACTGTCATCGGTAAGGATGGCAGAATCGTGCCGTACAGTGAGACAGATGCGCGGTTCGTAGGGCTGGATCGCTTCCTCTGTCGGGAGCGGATCTGGGCGGATTTGCAAAGCACCGGCCAAGCGATTGAGGTTCGGGAGCACACAACGAGGGTTCCCCGCTCCCAGCGTGGCGGTGAGATCATCGAGCCACTCGTATCGACTCAATGGTTTGTGCGTACGCGGCCTCTTGCGGAAAAGGCTCTGGCTGCTGTTCGAGAGGGACAAATTCGGATCTTGCCGGAAAGGTTCGAGAAGATTTACTATCATTGGTTGGAAAATATTGAAGACTGGTGTATATCTCGTCAGCTTTGGTGGGGGCATCGCATACCCGTCTATTACATCAATGGTGATCAGGAAAACTACGTCGTTGCCAGAAATGTAGAGGAGGCTCGCGAGAGGGTCCGCGCCATGACGGTCGGCGACTTCACCCTCGAGCAGGATCCCGACGTGCTTGATACATGGTAAGTTTCGTGAGCAGCTCGATGCTTCTGCATGTGATGATATAAGCTTGAAACCACAGACCTGTAATGAAATGCTGAACGTGATTAGGTAGCAAGCTGTGATGTCTGAGTTTGGAGCAGGTTCGAATGGAACAGCGGAAACTAACCTCTTTCTTTGTCCGCCTGTAGGTTTTCTTCTGGACTTTGGCCATTTTCGACGATGGGTTGGCCCGATGAGAACCAACCTGACTATCGCAAGTTCTTTCCGGGTTCTGTCCTAGAGACCGGATACGATATTCTGTTCTTCTGGGTTGCCAGGATGATTATGCTGAGCCTGGAGCTTACGGGCAAGATACCATTTGAGGTGGTTTACCTCCATGGCCTGGTTCGCGATGCGAATGGAAGAAAGATGAGCAAAACGCTGGGGAACGTCACTGATCCCCTTGAGGTCATCAGTAAGTATGGAACCGACGCGCTGCGTTTCACACTCGTGACAGGGAGCAGCGCCGGGCGAGATATTCCTCTCGCAGAGGAGCGTGTAGCAGCAAGCCGTAACTTTGCAAACAAGGTATGGAACATTGCCCGCTTCGTCGTGAACGCAGTGGGTAGCGACGCATCCGAGACAGCGCTTTGGGCGGAGCCCTCGAGCAATGAGTGGACAGGGCTCAGCTTAAACCTCGCGGATCATTTCATTCTCGCACAGTTAACACAGCTTGTACATGATGTTACTCAGCACCTGGAATCATTTGAAATTGGCGACGCTGGCCAAAAAGTTTACGATTTTTTGTGGGACGATTTTGCGGACTGGTACTTGGAGGTTGCGAAAGCAGTTTTACGGACAGCGAACGGCGACTCCAAGGCGGCGGCGCCATCCAAACGGATCCTGGCACTCACTCTGGACACGAGTCTCCGTCTCCTGCATCCATTTATGCCATTTATAACAGAGGCTGCGTATCAGAGACTGCCCTCTGCGGTGAGCAATGGACACGGAACTGCGCTTATGTGCCAAAATTGGCCGATGCTACGATTTCCAGAGAATCAGGCTGCTGTTACGGGTTTTCGACGCTTCCAAGAGCTTGTCCGCAAAGTGCGCAACGCCCGAGCCAGCTACGGTGTCGAGCCGTCGCGGCGCATAGCGGCCTGGGTTGTGGTGCGATCGAATAATGAACTCGAGGACTTTATCACGTCGTATCCGTCAGTTTTCGCGTCTCTAGCCAAGATAGATGAGCAGCAGATGCACGTTGTGAATGTCCCGCCAGAAACGGATTTCATTCGAAAGTGTGTGCACGTTATTGTCGACGAAAACATAGAAGCGTTCCTGCCGGCCAAAGGTTTATTTGACGTACAAGTTGAGCGAGAGCGTTTGAATAAGCAGGTTCAAAAAATCGGCGCCGATCTTGCCGGGCTCGAGAAGCGACTCGGCGCAAGGGGCTTCCTCCAAAACGCACCGCCAAATATTGTCGAGGAAACAAAGGCAAAACACCAGGAGCTCAAGGAGACTATCACCGCTATACAGCAGCGCCTTCAGCTGCTAGAGGATCTAGCTTGATGCGTACGGTAAAAAGAAGTGCACGAAGTGCGCTGCTTCTCCCTAAGGCTGGAAGCTGTAGGGAGGCGCGGGACCTGGCCCGCTCCGTCTCAGGTTTGGGTTCCCGCCACGTCCCCCAGTTAACTGCACTAAAAACGAGCGGTAATACTCGGATGTTATATCGTACAGCATCGACTTCTTCTGCAGCTGCTGCGAACGCGAACTAGATACCTACCGGGCAGTTGAATGCGATATTGAAGAGACGTGCGCTCAGTCGGAGCGTCTCAGGCCGGCGCGGCCGTCGCTTCCTTGCGGAATATCGCAACGGCGCGCTTGTAGCGTTTTGTTCCTGAGCTGTGTTCTATCCAAAGGCGAACGTTATAAAAAGCGATTTCGCGGTTTATGGCATATGCATTCAAAGTGCGTTCATTTTCAAAAATAAATAGCCCAAAGAAAAGGGATGGGTATGGGATTCCACGATCCTGGAATCCTTGTGAATATCAGCTGCCAAACAACAATAAAAGTCCACTTCTCATCGACCATTGAGCGAAAAAGAGCAAGCGACGAAGAAGAAAAAGGGAAATATGGGCGAGTAAGTGTGTGTGCCCGACGGGACGACGACGAGACCGTTGTGGCACAGAGGACACGATTTCGAGGAATCCCTGTATTAATGAGATCGATCGGCCGTGGCGCATTCACGGAGTTCGTGAACCGAGACCTCAACGCCGCCAGCAATATTAGAAGATGTACGGTGCTGAAGACGAGACTGGAGAAGCTGCGACGATCCGACTTTGTGGGACAGCCTCTCAGGCTCAAAACGTCCGAGGAAATTTGAAGCCAAGATCATCCGGTCGGTGGAAACAGGTTAGGAGGCGTCTGTGAGTGAGTACGCATTTACCCGCCATGCACCTAGAACCCTTTTGGTTTTACTGATCACATGCCGCGGACGCTTGGTCGGAGGCCGAACTGGTCTATGATTAGAATCCAGCGCTGAACTGCTCGTTCTGTCTTTCCAATATTTTCCGAACTCTTACGAGGTGTCCAGTGCCAACATACCAAGCGCACCAATAAGCGCCTACGAATTCAAAAGTCCTGGGAGGACTCCCAGTCGTGTGTGTTCGGAGTGGCCCCTGCGACGCTTCGCCGCTGACATCCATTACTTCACCGGAATCAAGGTTATTCGCAACGCGCTCAGACAACGATTCCTAAAATAGCCCGTAGCATTGTCCAATGCATACATACAGGCATCCAGTCTTCTCCGTTCCGTTTGTGTCGCACGTTCAATTCAGGCATTCGCCAGGTGTTCGGTCTCTCTTTTATTGATGCAACTCGTGGGCGCTGCCATTTGCGCTGACTGGATTGACGAAGAGAACAAGTCGACGTCGCCCGATGACCATTCCTTTCCGTGCTCGTCCCGAAACGCTGCTGAGCTCGTCACTTGCAATCATCGAATCGGTTCAAAGGCGAACCTTCTATGTTTGTTGCAATCGACGAGACGGAGCTCAACAGCAGCGCGATACCTCGCACGGGATATGCTCCCAGGGGCGCACATCTCTTCTGCTAGCACGCCAGCGAGTCCTGGACTTTGTCGAACGTCGTCGCAGCGATCTGTCCGAGCGCAGAGCGCATCAGCGCTTTGTACGAAGTGCGGCTGGGGGATCGGAGTTTCGCAACTCCTGCACCAGCCTGGATTTCGTATACGGAACGTGTTTCATAATCGAAATATCGCGTTCCACGGATCCTCGATCGAACGGGACAGTATGCGCGTGCGTATGCAGCTGACGGAGTATTCGCTCAGAAGAGTCGCGCAGATGAAGCCCGTGAGCGTAGGGCAAACCTCCGTGGAAAACGCAAATGATCATCGCAGTAAAAGACGCAATTTCACCGCATTGTGAGATCCGAAAATCGCACACATGCTTCCGTCACTACCATGAGACGCCGCCAGACTACATCTGAGATTGATAAGTCTACAGAGCAGGTGCCAAGAAAGTGCCGAACCAACGAGAAAATCAAAAACATATGCGGGTCAATCTCGAGTGCTGCATGAAGCGCATCTCGTGAGCGTTGGATCCGTTGTGTTCTGAGCGCACTTTTCAAGAAAAGTGGGTACTGATAGAAGGGATTCTAGGCTTACGAGAACACATTAGAGTACTAAGGCTCGTGCGGAAGGTGCTTGGCTGGTTTCCATGGCACTGCGCTGGAGTCGCCAGAGGTTTTCATTCCATGCAGCCACGAAGCATATATACGTCAACTTCTGGAATGTGTTGGAACACGCAATGGCCAATAATCCGCCTCGTTTTATGGTAGGGTTTGACGCTGGACGTACTGCAGGGTGCAGCTGCTGCACACTTGCTCTTGTAACGAGAGTGCAAATCCATAGCAGTATTTGGTTCTGTATGATTTTCGTCGTTTCGCTGAGGACGGCATGGACACATCCCGAGCATGTCCGCGCGCTGAAGCAGCTAAAGAAGATGGGAATGACTAGGAGACAGGTGCAGAAGATGGTATATGGTAAGCTACCTTAACGTCAGACGGTACGGCAGTCGACGGAAAGAAACGTGCAACCGTGTGAACGTATCTGAAAGTGTACGCGCAAGCACTTTCTGCACCGCGACTGGAACACTTTGATCAAATTCCGGAAATGTATCGTACTTTAAGAATATTAATCATTTTTGTGGCGAGCAAACCTTCGAGGCCATTATCTCATACTCATTATGGGCATGTTGATGAAACGCTAAAGGCTTGCGACGAAACAAAGTCATTACCCAGTAGAGATGGTGTTGGATTCTAGCCAAGGTCAAGCACGCGTATGGTGCGATATGGTATGACCCAGCGAAACAACAAGTTCGGGTCACCGTATTTATATCTGTATAGTGGGAGCAGTATTCCTGGGCAGCTGGCGAACGAAAATCGTGTTTCTTCATTCCATATTTCTGGGTACACGGCAAGTTTAGACTGTAGCGGTGTTGGCATGAATGGCAAACGACATCACGCGCTGAGAACTAGACGCCAGAAGATCGTTTTGAGAGGCTCTTGTCGCGCTTCATTCCATCGTTGTCGCGCGGGGCACCACCAGATGTCTGATCAACCTTGTTGGCTCGAGACGCCAGCTCGGTAGCATCCTCATATTGCACATGCCCGATGCTGCTCTCTGCACTCTCGGATTCATTGAGTGTATGCCGTTCATGAGCAATTACTGCATTCGTCGGATTTTCCGTTTGAGTTTTCGTGCTTCTGTTCTTCGCATGGGGAGGGCGCGTAATGAAAAAAACGCCTGTGATTTTCGGTAGGACGACACCTTTGACGCGAAGGTGATCGGCGCCGAATGCGACATCCGACCAGGCCATAAACTCGGCCCCCTCGCCAAATTCCGCAAGCTCGGGTGGTACACGAACAAGCGCAGGCGGCAGCGGTACACCTGCAGAGATCATTTGTTTGCGGTCTAAGAGATGTGGATTCGGAACTTCCATGAAACGGTACAAGGGCGTTCCAGTTGCGTCCATTGATCCTTGAGAAAGTTCGAATCTACGACCTTCCGCGTTCTCAAAGTACGCAACCTCGGTAACGAGGCGTGAGGACAAGCGCAAATCCTGTCGGGAGCCCCGGTCGCAAATCAAATGTAACCCATAAGAAAGACACGGTTCCATACTCAGGCTGAAGCGGAATGTGTGGTCATGGAGGAAAGCAATCCTGCGGCGTTTCGCAACATCCATTCCGTTGATGAGAGATGCTTGCATGGGGGATTGCAGGTCCCCCGCTGCATGCATGAATGCAGCTGCCGTCGCAGCGCTCATAATTGGAGAGCTCAGCGACAAGCCATCACAGGAGAGTTTCAAAAATCTGTAGACCTTCCGCTCAAGACTAGTTTGTTGACTTAACTCTTCGCGTTTCCAAATTCTTAGCCGATATCCGATGCATTCCATGGGATGTAGTGGAGCCTGTGATTCAGTTCGCGTGGGTACCAGCAGCTCCGCTCGAGAGATCTCGAACTCTGCGAATGGCTCTGTTTTATCGTCACCCCAGTAAATCCATTTTCGTGAGTAGACCTCATTGTGAATATACGACGGGTACAGAACCTTTCGGCCAGGAGTCAATCGACGAATTTTCAAGCGAGCAACTAGTTCTCTAGACGCGGACGGCTGCTTTCGGCCCGATTCCACGGTTGCTGTGGGGTCGGGGCCGCTCGCCCAGAGCATCGACGTAGCGCCTTCAACTCGCTCGTTCCCAGCAGAGATACCAAGTCCCTCTACCATATTCATGCCCGGGGCCATGGACTCTATGTCGTGTTCATGGGCTCGCCCGAAGAGAACTCTTTCAGTGTACGGGTATGCGCCTGGAGGCACTACGTAATACAGAAGCGGCTCCATGTATCCCTTCTGCACAAGTGCTGCTACAATATCGGAATCTATCGTGTATGGCCCTCGACCCCATAGCTGCTTTCTGGGAAAAGCGGGATTAAAGACTGTGTAAAACTCTAGAGGGATAATGATCTCTATGAAGCGGGTTTGCCCAGGCACGAGGTCCAGCCAGGCCCTCTCCGGTATAGTCGCTCCTGATCTGTATATGAAAGTTCTACAGGGGAGGTCCCTGGCACTGAAGCATCGTAGTTCCGCAAACACATTCTTGCTTTCCTCCTCGGTGGCGTATGCCCACGCCTCTTCCGGCACGGCAGGCGGACTTGCTTGAGGAACATTCTGCTGACAGTTCACCTGCTGGGCGTTTGTCGCAGCTGCTGCTGGCGCTGGAACCGCAACAGCCTGAGTTCCGAGAGAGGCGTGCGCTGGAAACTCCTCATCAGCTGAAGTTTGCGCGACTTGAACCGAAGACTGTGCGGTACGCAGCTCGGAGCCCGGTTCGACTGCTTGCTCTCGTGGCGTCCCAGAAGACGGCCTTCCATCGAAAAGAGTCAGATTCTGAACGTCGGTTGCTCGGCTCAACCCAGATTCAGGGTTAGTTTCATCGTCTGCCTCATTTGGAGCTGGCAGATCCATAGATCGAACCAACCTTCTCGGAGCCTATTTCTCGCAAACGCCAGATGCATACATTGTTTTCAATGGTGTGACACGGTGCGCCGTGTGGGTCTGCGGGGCTCCGGCGATCCCCGCCAGATTAGAATCCAGCGCTGAACTGCTCGTTCTGTCTTTCCAATATTTTCCGAACTCTTACGAGATGTCCAGTGCCAACATACCAAGCGCACCAATAAGCGCCTACGAATTCAAAAGTCCTGGGAGGACTCCCAGTCGTGTGTGTTCGGAGTGGCCCCTGCGACGCTTCGCCGCTGACATCCATTACTTCACCGGAATCAAGGTTATTCGCAACGCGCTCAGACAACGATTCCTAAAATAGCCCGTAGCATTGTCCAATGCATACATACAGGCATCCAGTCTTCTCCGTTCCGTTTGTGTCGCACGTTCAATTCAGGCATTCGCCAGGTGTTCGGTCTCTCTTTTATTGATGCAACTCGTGGGCGCTGCCATTTGCGCTGACTGGATTGACGAAGAGAACAAGTCGACGTCGCCCGATGACGATTCCTTTCCGTGCTCGTCCCGAAACGCTGCTGAGCTCGTCACTTGCAATCATCGAATCGGTTCAAAGGCGAACCTTCTATGTTTGTTGCAATCGACGAGACGGAGCTCAACAGCAGCGCGATACCTCGCACGGGATATGCTCCCAGGGGCGCACATCTCTTCTGCTAGCACGCCAGCGAGTCCTGGACTTTGTCGAACGTCGTCGCAGCGATCTGTCCGAGCGCAGAGCGCATCAGCGCTTTGTACGAAGTGCGGCTGGGGGATCGGAGTTTCGCAACTCCTGCACCAGCCTGGATTTCGTATACGGAACGTGTTTCATAATCGAAATATCGCGTTCCACGGATCCTCGATCGAACGGGACAGTATGCGCGTGCGTATGCAGCTGACGGAGTATTCGCTCAGAAGAGTCGCGCAGATGAAGCCCGTGAGCACAGGGTACGGCAGAAAGCGCAATAACTGAAGATGGCATTGAAGGGATCCTTTTATATCTGTGAATGGCATCTACAGAGCGACAAAGAAATCGTGCCCGGGCCACAGGGCAGCGCTTCGAACAAAAGATCTGGTGGACACAGGACATCAGGTGACCACAAGGAAGCGTCACAGCTGTAGAGAGCTTACCGAGGCTCCATGCACACAAGACGAACATGACGCAAGAAGCGCAGACCGCAACTTTTGCTCGCGCATCATATTTGTCGACAACAGCCAAAAGAGGCAAAGTCCAGACTTTACCGCTGCCGCGTGTATCCTTCGCCCGCTCTCAACGGAACCCAGGATTCAGTAGTGGTCGTCGTATTCAGCGTTGGAGATGAGCCGGAAAAAGAAATCATTCGCGGCAAATGCCCGCAAAAGCTGGTGTAGATAACAGTGGCAAGAAAAGCAAACATTAATGTGTTGGACAAAGTTCGGTAAGCGGACACTTACCATTGTATGCTGCCTACTAGGGTAGATCGAGTTTCCAGATGCAGCTGCGGCGGATTGCGTGGCAAGCAGCAAAAGCGTTCACAAGGCACTGGACCGGTGCGTTCCGCAGGATTCTCGCTCGCGTATGTAGAGAGGCTCTCGAGCGTTTGCAACGAGCAGAGCGCACAGGCGGCAGCAAGCTGGGCTGCATCCTCTTTTTTACATTTAGCGCAGGCATTTGAGCGATTTTTTCACTTGAGAAAAAACATTTTTTGCAAATTTTGCCGCGTGTGAACACGGGCCAGTTGCCTTGTGCTTCGCTTCACGCCGAGGATATGAAGTGAGCGTGAGCTTTCCGGCCGGATGTCAGTCTTACGACAACAAGAAAAAATGAATTCTTTGATTTTTGAAAACCGATTCTGCAAATGGTTTTCGTCTACTGTTGAGAAGGACTGGAAGCGAACATTCTTAGAAGACTGAATCGCCTAGGTATACTTTTGGTGCGAATGCTTCGCATTGCTGCCAGTGCTTACAAATATTCAGCATTTACTGGGTATGCTCGAGAGCGCAGCGACTCTGAATGAGTAACATGTCTATCGATGATGGTTGAGATTTGCTCCCTATTTGTCCGCAGCCTCTTCATTGATATCGCGATGCAATTTTACATACTGGATCTCGACTAGGTTTTATTTGAGAGCGATTCCCTGAAGCCGTAGAGCAGGGCGCCGAAATGAGGTACAGAGCTGCATTCCAAGCCTGTTCATCCAGCACAAAGTGCAATGTGGCGTTCGCATGCTCTGAAGTGCGGATGTCCCTCCGCTGATGCGCCTTCACTGACCATAGAAAAGCCCCAATCCAGCAGAGTAATACAATAAGATGCCCAAGTGCAGCGTGTTCAGGAGAACAATGACCGATTCGGCTCGATGACAAGTGACGAAAATACAGCGTCAGGGCGATGGAGACGTGGCGTCGACGTTGCGCGTCTCGAATCCACGAAGACAAACCAATACTGCAGGGCTCAAAATGACTTGCCCGAGCACAGTCTTATTTCTCAACCCATATCAAGCTATTCCCAAGCGACTTTGTATTTATGAAATCGACCATCACCTGGAGTCCGGACCCTCAACTCCAGCAAGTGCGTCCTTTGATGTTCCGAAAGGCGACGGCTGCTAGTCTCTACTCTTGGGAAGGCAACTAGGATAGCTCTAACATAAACTTCATGCAATTATAAATACTAGTACCTAATGGACAGCCACCAAAATATGTTCGTCCATAAATTCGTGCTTGCGCGCACATTTTTAACAGTAGGAGATAATACGGTGTGCACCGTCAAAGGACTCCGCTCTACCTCTCTCAAGTCCCGTTTTGTGCCGATAGTCTCCCACGATTTTCGTGTTCGGAAAATGTTCGCAGCCTCGGCGCTGCCTCTATGGAGTTCCAGGTCTTGCAATGTTGCTGTTGCATCCGCGAGGGCGAACGTGGTGCGGCAACACAGTCATATCGAAGGCGCAGGCCGACCTCGGCGGCATCGCTTTAAGATGTGCTTTGCAGCAACCAGAGAGCACGATGACGACAGAAATTTTCGAGTGGGTGAGGATTTTTTGGCTAAAGCTCGCGCTTCTGCTGAGGATTTACGTGCACGTCTCTGCACAGTCGCGGACGGAAAGTTGCGAGTTATCTCTCTGATCACTTATACGGACACGCAGTTAAGGCCTCTGGCACCTGAGAAAAGAACAAGCTCTACTCGAGTTAACGGCTGTACTTCGGTAACGTTTGTCGAGCCACACTTTGGAACGACTTGCGGGGGCGAAACCTGCGTCAGGTACCTCGAGGGTTATTCTGACTCGCGCCTCGCAAGCGGAGCAATTGTTTTGTTGTCCTTGGCACTCTGTGGAAAAACGCTTCCAGAGATTGAGCGCTTTCGGGCGGATACGCTTCTCGAGTCTTTTTGTTTGCGCGAGATCGTGATGTCGCCCCGAATGGGAGGCGTAAAAGCCATTCTGCGGCACGTTCAAGAACGAATGCAAGTCGTATGCAGCGGGCGCCATCTCGCGCCGCAAGAACCTGCAACGCTCACCCAGAAGTCTTACAGCGCAAACCTTGATGTTGTAGGACCTGTTCTAGGGGACGAATCGCCTGCAGAGGTTGCGGTCCTGCTCTCTGGTGGGGTCGACTCCGCTGTCGCGATGGCTTCTTTGTTGGAGCGAGGATTCCGAGTGCAGCCCTTTTATCTCAAGATATGGCTGGAGGACGAACTAGCCAATTTGGGCCGTTGCCCCTGGGAGGACGATATCCGGGACGCCGAGAAGGTCTGCGCAGCACTGGCCCGAAAGTACAACCAAAGGGTGCAACTCGAGACACTATCTCTCCAAGAGGAATACTGGAGTCGTGTCGTCCAGTATACAATAGACGAGGCGCGCCGAGGGCGAACGCCGAACCCTGACATCATGTGCAACAGCCGAATCAAATTTGGGGCCTTCCTGGATTCTTTGGGTCAGAGATACGCTCTAGTAGCTAGTGGGCACTATGCCCGGGTAGTAACTATGCGGCATACTGAGAGGGGAGGCGAGACGCATGCTGTGGCGCAGCTCTTCTGCTCCCCTGACATCGTCAAAGATCAGACGTACTTTCTCTCGCAGCTGTCCCAGCAGCAATTGTTGAAAGCTACATTTCCCATAGGTGACTTGACAAAGAGCGCGGTCCGTCGACTCGCTCGGGAACGCTATAATCTGCCTAATTGTGACCGACCAGACTCTCAGGGTATTTGTTTTCTAGGAAAATTGAAATTCGAACAATTTCTCGAGCATTACCTTGGCACCTGGGCGGGGCCCATCATGGAGGCAGAGTCGGGTCGATTTTTGGGCACGCATCGAGGATTTTGGTTCTACACCATAGGACAGCGGAAAGGGCTGGCACTGCCTGGCGGCCCTTGGTACGTCGTCGGAAAAGATCTAGAGAACAACATCGTGTTGGTCAGTCGAGAACGTTCACAATGCAACGTGACTTGTCGCTCGTTTATTGTGGAAAATGTGAACTGGATCGGATGGGAACATAGCAACACTAACGAAGAACCCATGCGATGTCGCGTGAAGATCCGTCACGGTCCAAGAAGCGTGTCAGCAGAGGTCCACTGCCTAGAACCGAAAAATCAGTCTTGGATCATTGCTCTCGATGAACCGGAGTCTGGTATTGCCCCGGGGCAGTTTGCAGTGTTTTATAGAGAAAACCAGTGCCTTGGGGGCGGCGTCATCGCTTCGGTACCCGCGCTACAAGTGTCCCGAACAATCCAGAGACGCAGCATGACCGAGGAGTGCACCATCTAGGGATACTATGTGACCGCCTAGGGAGCCACAGCTGCGCGCGGGACGTTCTGCCGCAGCCTGGCGGTAAGCATATTACCCAGAGCCGTGGATTCTGGAGCACTTATAGCGACCCGCCTCTTCGCTTGTTTTGCTTGCTGGCATCCAGCAAGAAGAATGTCTCCTGCAGGCTAGAGAAAGGTTGTCGAAACACGTCATACAGGCACTGCTTGCTTACGAGAATCTGTGTAATTTTACGCGTCCGTCCTCGTACCGTCAGTGGTTAGGTGAAGCAGCCTTCACGTAGTCCTTACTCTGAATATCGCGCACCCCAATCAGAAGTTATAAACCTCTATCCAAACGACTGTCGTATTGTAAGTCTAATTCAATCCAGACAACCTATAGTAAAATCTGTCAAAGAAGCTGAATGATTTGAAGTTGCCTTATCGTTCATACGAAGGGTGATTAAGAGCCACGGATGGACGAAGAAACAGAGCACGTTTCTGTGGGAGGCAGTCGCACTTTGAGCCCCACAAAACCGAGTTTGTCTCTTGTGATGAGACTCCTTTCGGACGAAATGTTTTACGTATAAATGGGAACCCGAGGTGGGGCAATCCGCTGTCCGTCAAAAAGAGACGAGCCAGCACACCGACATCGTGAGCCCTAGCGGGATTCAGTCTTATCGAAGACTACAAATAGCCATGCGGCCGGGAACATTCCGAACATTACCCGTCGTCGAAGCGTTCCTCGTGGCTTCGCCTTCCCACACTCTTCTGTCCGGCTCTCGGAAATTCATCACTTTCCATAACTCAAAAGCTCTCAATGAATTCGAGGCTTACAATGGTACTCCGCTGTTTTTCCCGCCAGCATATGCTTCTTGGCCAAATACTGTCGAAGATGTTTTTCCATTTGTCAAAAAATTCAGATTCACGATGATCGATCAACAGATGAGTTTTTCGTATCTGTGGCGTCGGCCATCGACAAGTTGTTCCCTACTACCGTCAACTGCTCCGCTCTGCTAGTTTGCTTCTCTGTTCGTGCGTAAGAACAAGTATAAAAGCGGACTTCGATTAGTGGTCATGCTCTCGATGGAGAAGGTGGAGAAAGGACTCTTAGGATGTAGTAGATATATGCACAGAAAATGCGAGCTCAAGTCACGCTACCGGCCCAGTCTTTATCGACCCCGATATGAAAACGGTCCTGGAATATAGCACGGCGGCCCGTACAGCGGTTTCATTTGCTCAGTCGAAAGGAAATGCAGAAGCATGAACAGCTTGGGCAAGCGTTACCAGTTGTTCAATGCCTCTCCTCGTTGGAAACGATACTCTGCTCGCTTGAGAGACGCATGGTGTCGAATTGTTCCCTCGCGAGCTTTCCTAGGCGTGGATTCTGTTGGTCTTAGTAGCACTGATTCCCGGCTTCTCGCAATCGCGAGGACTATCCCAACGGTAGTGACGCTGTTACCGCTACGTGCGAAGCACGGTACGTTTCATGGGTGCAATTTGTTAGAGAACCTGTCAGTGCCTACTTAACCTATCAATTCCACTGATGATTGCACATGAATCGATTCTCGATTCTCTAGACATCGCCGACGTCGCGAGTAGCAAGCCCTGACAAACCCCTGACTGCCTCCTATCCGCGATCGTGCAAGCGCCAAGTGTGTGTTTTTGCAGTTGAAAAGCATCGAATCGATGGTCTGGCCACAAAAAGCAACTTTCTCTCGTATCATTCCCATTAAATATTTTGAACCTCACGGACTATAGCGACCGCCCTTTGCAAAGCAGGACACCTTTTCGAGGCAAGATTTACGATACATTGATCAGCATCCGGATTCGAACATGTCGCACACGATGTCTCGGTGCTGAAGAAAGTGCATGTGGGCTTTCAAAAATTTGGATCCAGCGGTGACACATCCAAACGCACAGATGCACGGAAAGCGGGTTCAGAGCTAACGTTTCTTTCGATACACAGTGAAACTCGTGCAGCTCCAGCATATCAAGCATCCAAGACAAAGAGTTGCTTCGAATGGTGCAGATGACCTCAGACACATCCGGAGCGATTCGTGCATCAAGGTTCTATTCAGAATCAGACGGCAGCGTATTCTGAACGTATGGATGTTCTCCTTAAGCGGAAGACAATTGGCGCAGAGAGGACCAGAATGAATCCGATCGTACCAATGATCAGTACGCGAGCGAATTGACGAGAAAATGCACCCCCAGAGGCGCTCTGCTCTCGCACCGCTTTGTGTCCAGACTGAAACGCATTGTCCTCTTTGGCGACGTTTCCGAGCGCTCTCCGGAGGATATCTGGTGCACGTTCTGTCCGAATGCACGCTTCGGAGACGTTGTTCGGAACCGTATTGAGCACCCAGGAGAAAAACGATGACGCCGTACATGAAAAGTTTCCATCGCAAAACGGCCCAAACAATGGTCTAGGTTTCTGATCATAGTGTCCTGCATAAACGCTGACTCGAAAGTCATTCTCTTCGGGTCCCGTCCTGCGCAGTTCAAAGATCACGTGCGAGGCATAGGGTGCGATGCCGTCTTCGATTGCAGTCACTCCAAGCGCAGCGCGAATATCGAAAATCGTCGTGTCATGGCCAGAATAATAGACCAGCTTACGATAGCAGTTACCGATCTCGTCACCATCGTGACCTTTTCGATTGCACTCGTCTTTTGCCCTCGCAAGCACCTGCACGTTCCCATTGTCCGCTTCAATAGCAGTGGCGAGACGTGTTGAGATGGATCGCAGCAGGCGCCCGCCAACAAGCGGTCCGAGTCCAGAGGCATCCCATTTGGCTCCATTCAGCCGCGCAGTCAACACCTCTAGGTCTGCATCAAATCGTGAAACCGTTGCAGGGGCGGGAATAGAATGTGACTTCTGGCATATTCGGATATCACGCAGTGTCGCCGCGAGCGCAAGCTTCTTCTTCTTCTTCATGCTCTGAAAGGCCTCGACGCTTACGTTCGCCAGTGATGGTAGCGCTGCATACAGATCCGAGCGCCTTTGTAGCTCCCCGTAAACGAAGTCCGATTTCAGCATCTTCTTGGATACGATGTCCCAGAGTTGGCAGCGGCCCTTCCCGCTGCCGTCTAACAGCCTGTCGTCCCCGTATAAACGTGTATGGATTGGAACATACTGGAAGCCTCCAGGAATATGGTACTGCTTTTTGCTGTAGCGATGGCGCCTTTGGTGTGAAGGATTCGATGCTGCAGGATAGAGGCCGTGCATGACGGCTGCTGCGGACACCAGGGTGCGGTCTACGTCAGTAGCCCGTACATGCGTCTCCTCATGGTTGTAGCGAGCGCGCAAGAGTCGATCATTCGGATGGCCTTGCACGTAGCGTTCGTGTAGGAATCTTCCGAACCGATAACACTGGTACATGCCTAAGGCGGTGAGCTCTCCATAGTCGACATCCCACTTGGTCTTGTCGAACGGAAACGGCTTGTAAGGTCGCCGCCGCGTCCCCGTTGCATAGGCTGGTGCGTAGTTCTGCGGAGCTCGATCACAATGCCGCGCAACAATAACGACCGCCTTTACTTTTCCTTCACTGTGGAGTGACTCGTACGGTGACGCGTTTCTCGGAACGACGTACGACGAAACATCGCCTAAAGGGACCCCTCCAAGCCAAGCCTCTTTTGACTCTACGGTAAGCCGGTGCTCGAGGCCCTGCTGAAACGCTCTAACAACGTCCGCGGAGCCGAGGATGTGTATTGCAACCAGCAAAACTAGTACTGCAAAGAAAACAATCGAAAATAGCTCCCGTCCCCACATCAGAACCGAGTCGCGCAAAGAGTCTGTCCGGCAGCCGACCAGCGATCCAGTCGATAAACCACCTGGAAAGACAGCTACCAAAGCACACGGCTACCTGGGTAGTCACCTGTCCAGTCGATCGACCAACTAGACAGATAGCTGCCGAAGCTGGCGGCTATCCAGACAAACAGCAACAACGTCAGTCGGCTAACGATGCAGACGGCTTTCGAGGCGGACGGAAATCCGAGCGAAACAGAAGTGCAGCACTGAACTATGGGCACTGTTCGAGCCTTTCGAATTTTCCCCCTACTCTTGTTGACATGGTGAGTCGCGCGGTTCGAAGTATACCAATAGCGGTTTATGGATTTGTCTCAATTTTTAAGATTCTCGGTCATCTTTTCGGAATGGCTGCTTCTACGCCTTGATGGTGGATTTCGTACCGGCTCCGGAGTCAACGTGGTTCTCATCGCTATCGAACGAAGGATTCGAAAAATAACCGACACCGTCGTCCTATTCATACGAACAAGCGTCCAATCTTCTCTTTTCTTTACGTGTGGCATGCTCACATAGCACATTCTTAAAAATTTCGATCTTCCGTTCCAAGCCGACTTGTGGACGCAGCAATGCGTGCCGCTGCATTGATAAGTGAGAAATTTGAAGTCGCCGCTTGAGGACTCGCTCATAAGCTCATGCGGAAAGTTCACTGGACCTGGGGCGTCACATAATAGATCCACTCGAAACCCAGATCCTCTACTCTCCGTAGCCTACGACGAAACGGGATTCCACACCAGCATGACGCATCTGATAGAGCATGCTCCCAGAGGCTTCAGTCCTTCTGTCTGCATGGAAAATGGTCTTGAACTCGGATTTGAGTCACTGCAGGGATCGCTCTTAGTGGATATTGGGTTACACCTTGCCAGAAAGGAGCGAAAATGGATCAGAATCTCTCGACTTTCTCTCCAAATTGAATTTTTTGTTCGATACTTTTTACATCATGAACAGCAGCGCGTGCCACAACCTATCTAACGAATGGAACAGCGTACGCTTGCATTTGCAGAGGACAGAGTACTCGCGAAAGGGATAGCGCTGAAGAAGTCTGTGATCGTTGGGCACGGCACCAGGCTCCGAAACGGAGGAGGGCATCGAGGGGAGCCCCTGCACCCTCCAAGGACATGTACTGAGCGATGAAGCAGGCGCTCATGCACCACAAGGCAGTGCTCGGAGCGGGGGGGGGGGGGGTGCAGTAGACTCCTGGGGATCCGCGGCCACAGTCGAGTGTCATCCCCGCGAGGAACGCCCCGAGGCATTATAAAACGCAGACGGGAATGGCAGACGAAGCAGAAATTGCTGCTTTTGTCTGAGCGCGGAATGCATCGAAAGTGGCCTGATGCAGCAAAACCATGGCTTTAGCGCTAATGTCGATATCTCTGGACTGCTGTCTTCGGAGCCCGGGAGACAGCAAAAACCGGCGTATTGAAAACGGGAGATAATATAGAGGAAAAGGAAGCAGTCGGAGAAAAATCCCGCAAATAAAAGTGTTGATGACATAGAGAGAAGATCCAATATTTTGATTGCAAGTTCGAGTTGGGAGACCTGCTTTATGGTATCCACACATGGATGGAACTGGATGTGTCCACGGCCGCGAACGACGGCCGCGATACAACGCAGCTCTCGAATAACGCCTCTGATGACTATCTGTGAACCTGCTTGCGAGTAGGCACTGGAGAGGTAGCGCGTGCTCTAGTTTGAAAACACTTACCACTAAACTTGCAGCATATCTGTGTGTCTGGCTGCAGGCAGGTACTCGAAACGCTGGGCGAGTTTTAGATCGAGCACGCACCCTCCTGGGTCCGTCACCTGTTCTTGACACACTTACGTGAAGCCAGAGAATACCCAAGATCGAGAACTGTAGAACGACAGAACGCTTTATTTTTAGGGACATGGAGCAGTTTTCTTGCGGCGGGAGACTAACTTCGGCGCAAGTGAAGCAGATCGCACCGGAGGCCGTTAACTTTCCCGATCGCGAGAGGCTTGTGCTCTCGTTTTGGAACGATTCGAGAGCGTTTGAGCGCTCAAACGAGTTAGCTGTCGGGAAACCGCTCTTCACGTTTTACGACGGCCCGCCATTTGCCACGGGCCTGCCACACTACGGGCATCTTCTTGCCGGGACTATTAAAGATACAGTGACGCGCTATGCTTACCAAACCGGATACCAGGTTCCCCGGCGATTCGGTTGGGATTGTCACGGCCTTCCAGTCGAGTACGAAATCGATCAGAAACTTGGCATTCGCTCACGGGAAGATGTTTTGAAACTCAGTATCGCAGCTTATAACGAAGAATGCCGAAAAATCGTTCTACGATACTCGGGAGAATGGGAGAGGATCGTTTCCAGAATGGGACGGTGGATTGACTTTAAAAACGGATACCGCACCATGGACACATCGTTCATGGAATCGGTATGGTGGGTGTTCAGCCAGCTTCACAAAAAGGGACTAGTGTATCGCGGCTTCAAAGTCATGCCGTTTTCAACAGCATGCAGCACGCCTTTGAGTAATTTTGAGACGAACTTGAACTATCGGGAAGTTCAGGATCCCGCGATCACGATTTCTTTTCCTGTGTTGAATGATCCTGATCACGCCTCGTTTCTGGCATGGACCACCACACCTTGGACTGTGCCTAGCAATGTCGCCCTCTGTGTTCATCCGGAATTGATATATGTGCGCGTTCGAGATCATTCCCGTGAGGACCGGGTATGGATCCTCGCAGAGGCCCGCCTAGGTAGCATCTTCAAAATGAATGATGCACGGAAACACTCAAGTGCATGCGAATTTACGATCATCGCGAGGCATCACGGATATGAGCTTGTTGGTTTACATTACGAGCCTGTGTTTGATTATTACAAGGACTCGCGCTTCCGCGAGCTTCTCCGAGACCCGTTCCGAGTCTTGGGCGATGATTTCGTGACCGCAGATAGCGGGACTGGTGTCGTGCACCTCTCGCCAGCTTTTGGTGAAGACGATTATCGAGTCTGCATGAGAGAAGGAGTGATCGGCTGTGCAGGAGGAAGGCCGGACCGACCTGTCTGGTTACCGTGCCCCGTGGACGAAGATGGCAAGTTCACAGAACCTGTGGATGATTTTCGTGGGATGTATATCAAAGAGGCAGACCGGGGTCTCATACGTAAGATGAAGACCCTCAGTCGACTCGTGAAGCACGAGACCTACACCCACTCTTACCCTTTCTGCTGGCGCAGTGATACGCCACTGATTTATCGCGCCGTTCCGTCGTGGTTCATAGCTGTTGAGAAATTCAGGGATCGCCTCTTGGATTGCAATGCGAGAACCTACTGGGTGCCGGAAGTGATTCGGGAACATCGTTTCGCGAACTGGCTTGAGAATACACGCGACTGGAACGTAAGCCGGAACCGTTACTGGGGCACGCCTCTTCCCGTGTGGACGGATCGTACCGGCGATGAAATCATTGTCGTTGGATCGATTGCTGAGCTCGAAGAGCTTGCGGGTCTGCCCACGGGCTCGATAAGTGATTTACACCGCCATAACATAGACTCGATCGAGATACGAAGCCGGCAGAATCCAGGAAATGTGTTACGACGAGTGGAAGAAGTCTTTGACTGTTGGTTTGAGTCCGGCGCGATGCCGTATGCAAGCGTTCATTACCCATTCGAACATGAAGAAGATTTCTTCCAGAAAGGCATGTTCCCCGCGCAGTTCATCGCTGAAGGTCTGGACCAAACACGAGGATGGTTCTATACGCTCATGGTGCTCGGAACTGCGCTATTCAACGAACCCCCGTTCAAGAATGTGATCGTGAATGGCCTCGTTCTTGCTGAAGATGGAAAGAAAATGAGCAAACGTCTGAAAAACTACCCAGATCCGATGGATATGATAGAGAATTTTGGAGCTGACGCCTTGCGCTTGTACTTGATCAACTCCCCTGTGGTTCGTGGGGAGCCTCTTCGTTTCAAGGAGACTGGAGTCAAGGACATCGTTCGAGACGTGATGTTGCCTTGGTATAACGCTTTTAGATTTTTCATCCAGAACTTTGCAGCATTCGCTGAAGCCAACGCGGAAGCGGACACGCTTCTTCGTCAGGCAAAAGGCACGACTGAGCGCAGCAACCCCATGGATCGCTGGATTTTATCCCTCTTGGCCTCCCTGATCAGTTTTCTTCACAAAGAAATGCGAGCCTATCGCCTGTACACTGTGGTACCCCGGTTACTCCTTTTCATCGAGTCGCTCACGAACTGGTATGTGCGTCTGAATCGACCGCGGCTGAAAGGCTCAGGCGCTCGCTCAGCTTTGGATCAGGCCGTAGCGCTTTGTACGCTCGGGGACTTGTTGAGCAGACTTGCGGTTCTTATGGCGCCTTTTGCTCCATTCATGGCTGAATGGACGTATCAGACGCTCCGCAGCCTTCCTCTGGTAAGCTTATATGAGCAGACCGCAGACTCGGTGCATTTCCTGCCTCTACCTTCAAGTGACGAGGAAGCGGTTGATCTCGTCTTTGAAGAAAAAGTGCGCCACATGCAGCTTGCAATCACACTGGGAAGAGCCATACGAGAGCGACGCAATGTCGCTCTCAAGCAGCCCTTGCACACGCTGACAGTGATTCATCACAACGAGCAGACCTTGCAAAATGTTGCGAGTCTTGAGGAGTACGTCCGGGGGGAATTGAATGTGAAACAAGTTGTGTACAGCACAGACGAAGACCGCTACATCTCCCGGAGGGCGATACCTGATGGCAAACTTCTGGGGCGGAGGCTTGGGTCAGCATTCAAGGAAGCAACTGCGGAGATTCGAAGCTGGACGCCTATGCAGGTCGCAAAAGTTGAGCGCGAACGCTCTGCAACTGTGTGCCAGGGCCGTTACCAGATTTCGGTTGATGAAATCTTCATTAATCGGGATGTCAACAGGGAGGCGCTCCGCGAAGGCGAGGACGTTGAATGCGACGTCTTGAATGGCATGATTGTCATCCTGAACCTCGGTATAGATCACGAACTTTTTCTGGATGGCATTGCACGGGAGATTGTGAACCGGGTGCAGAAGTTACGAAAGAAACTTGGCCTCGTCCCTAGTGATCGCGTCGATGTGTTTATCGAAGGTGGTTCTGTCGTAGAGCAAGCACTCAATAGCCGGGCCGATTTGGTCGGCAGTATGCTGGGATGCAAAAGACTGCTGTGCACTGAGGACCTGTCTTTGTTGCGCAAGCGGTTCATTCCCCAGATCCCCTTGATCGCGCAAGAGCATGTCGAACCCCTTCAGGGAGACCATGTGTGCATTTCGTTGGTTCGCGCTGGTCTATGGCTACTCCCGAGTGCATTCACGAAGCGACCAGCTACTTTCCTCCATGCCTTGCAGTCGTTTCTTCTTGGAATTCGCGAGCGCTTCGCCGCTGCGAATGAGAACCCCAATATACTGCGCGTCGTTCTGGACGGCGAGCGTTTGGAGCTTCACGAACACATCCATTTCAGTAGGTACGCTGCGGATATCGTTGCTGACTTGAAAGCCACCGCCCAGCACACAGCATCTATGGAAGCACGCTGAGCGTTTCGCCCCAACGACGACGACGACGCACAGGACGGGCGTGCACGGGCCCTGATCGCGGCGACTCTTCTCCTTAGACACGTTCGTGCGAAGCTCAGCGGGACTCCGATGGGGATTCGCTTCGTATAGCCTGCCTCGGCGGCGACGATAGCGCTCCTGTATGTATACGTGTGTGTGCGCGCGCAGGCACCTTTGCAGCAGGCATGAAACCTGCCCCAGCTCTAAACATCCAAGATAAGATAGTGATGCGCCCGCCATTGCAATAACGAAGCGTATTTTTCCATCCCTAAAATAAATTTGCTAAAATCCGATAGGTAAAGCTCAGCGGAAAGCAATCAACACCGCCGCCTGTCTGTAGGCCACGGGTACCCGCATCGCCAACCAGCTCGCAAGGCATACGATGTGCTCGCAAGTTCCCGGCACGCTCTGGTTATGAAAATGATGCGTGCAAGGAGCTGAAGCGCTTATTCAATCACGAATGATGCCTAGATTCGATTGAATTCTAAAACGCTTCAATGAGTGGCTTCCGGACTAGGTATTTGGCTTCAGCGTCTCAAACAGCGCACTATAGTTCCGCGTTGGGATCCTGGTTGTGGGTGCGTACGCACTCGAGAACACATTGAATGTAACATTGCACGCACGTGCATCGAGCAGGCTCGCGACACATACATCCGCAACATCCGCCCGGGATATTTTTTTCGTGAATGGCGTTCGAACGATCTCCGATACAACGACGCCCGATGGGAGGCCTCGGCCCTGTATCTGACTCTGATCGAACGTGATGCTGGTTACGCCGCCCGGTTCGTCAGTGAGCACACCAGTTCGTATAATGCAATAGGAGAGACCACCGGCTTTCAGCGCATCCTCGATGGATCGCTTGCGGCTGATTTCTTCCATATCCGCGTGGGTGCCCATACAAGAAACGAGCACGAACTCGGGTTCATCTTGAGTACGGAAAGCTTTCATATAGTCTAGGGTAAGCATGAAAGTGCCCTTGCGGGAGCCAGGGTTACTAAGTGAGCGGATGCTCAAGTTATTTCGAGCCTCATAAAGGAAGCCGATTTGCGTGATCTCTGAAAAGTCGTAGACACTAGCATCGCGAATTTCTGCTTGCAAGAGGGCACCATCACTCGTGCGCTGAGGGATAAAGTCAGGGAACGAGAAGCGCAGCGTAATCCACTTTCTGGATGGAGTAGTAGAGAACGTCGAAATGAACTGGATGCCTGCCCTATCGCCGGACTTGGTTCGGATGATCAGCGAGTAGCGTTGGCCGTCACCGAGACAACGCAGAATCAAACCGGAGAATCCCTGGAAGTTCAGCGGTTTGCGCGCGAAGCTCGTTGTGAAGACCTCTGCTTGACCTCTATAAATGTCGCGTATTTTTCCATGAAAAACAGCGTTACCAAAGTCGTTCAGTTGGAAGAAAGTTGACGAAAGTGGATCCCGCAGGCGCCCGCTCTCTTCCATTGCGGCCTGCGGCATTACTGGAGCGCTCTGGTCCTCATTATTATCCTGGAGAAGCTGGTCCACGTTACCCACTTCATTCTGATAAGCCTTGACAACAGCAGTTTGAAGATTTTCAGGACGCGCCCACAGTGCAAAATGTCTAGGCTTGTTAAACTTGAAAATCGTAATTTTGGCCGAGTCCTTGCGACCAAACTCCAAAAACCTCGCATCTTGGAATGCTCGAATTAGGTTTGTGATGGCCTCCGTCTCACGCTCCGACTCGTCAGAAACCACACATATTACTTTATCGACACCGTACAGCGCCTCCAGTACGGAGTCCTTATCGAGTAGGTCCGCTTTTGCATACTCGCACCCGGTACCGAGTTCATCGAGTGTTTCAGGGCGCAGGTCCCGAACGAGTGCACGCACCCGGAAACCCTGGAGAAGTAGCTTGCGGACGACAAGGCGCCCAGTGCGTCCAGTTGCACCAGCAACGAGCACGAGCGGGACCAGACCCTCCTCCTCTATGTTGTAAAGCTCTGGAGTTGGGTCTAACTTGCGCAGTCGCAGCTTAACCGGTGGCGCGCTCGTTGCGTCAGATAGCGGCGCTAGCCTGCGCAAACCCTCTACCACACTCTGAAACTGCCGAAAAAAACCGTCCAGGAGCATGTAGCCTTCCTGCTGGCGTTGCGGACCCGCAGAACGGAGGCGTCTCAGCCGCCAGCGTTGCCGAACCCTCAAGTCCGCTGTTCCGAGTTTTAGTTTCGGCTGAACTATTCTGCGGCAAAGCAGAAACCCGTCAGCACTAAAACGAGTCATAGCGTGCCCTCTAGGCCTAGAAGACGCCCCGGAGCTACTCGCAAACATCTGCACACGGTTGCAAGTTAGCTTCGGACGTGTTGCGGTATCTCTAACTGGGTACAGCTGAACCGGTGCGCTATGCGCACTCAGACGTAAAAATACCAAGAAAGCATAGCAGGGAACATACTCCAAACTCTGCTCCGCTTTAGACAACATGAACTCGCCGTAAAGAACTGCGTTCTTCTCACTTGACGTCGTATGGTGAGCAGGGAGCTCGGAACACCAGTGATCAGCATTCTTCGGGACTTTCAATCCAGTTCTGTTCCAACGGCGCTGCATGTGATTGAGTGCTTTTTCGCAGTGTGGAGCAGGAGATCGACATCAGGATGCAATGCACCGTATAGATTGTAGACGACTAGCCTGTAGGATATATTTGTTACTGAAGCATGCAAAGAGGACAGGATTCCTCTTTCAGATCAGATATACAAAAGCACTCTGATGGATGAGAAACACTGAAATGAAGAAACAAGAAGATGCTATCCGCGCCAAATACCGATATTGTGGAAGACTGCTCACGGTCAATGGTTAAGAACGAACTGTTGATCACCGTTCGCGGAAGGCAAAAGCGATGATCGTAGACGCCACAGGCGTCTCTGTCTCTCAGCACATTGTTCGCGTGGTTCTGAAAACACTGGGATACAGTTGAATTTCACGCATGGCTATTTTGCATCGAAATCGCAACCACGAGAACTTTCCTGGAAGGTCACGATCTGTATGAAGCACAGCAACGCCGGTTCATTGTTTCATTCGATGAGATTTGCTTCGGAAGAAACGATCGGAGCGTATATGGGTATTCACGGAAGGGGACCCGTTTTGCGTACGATCGAGCTCGTGGGCAACAAGGATATCATGTTTTGTTCTAGCTGCAGAGCATTCATTTGGAGGCCTCAGTTTCGCTCGTAGAGAACGCTCATCCAACAGCTCCAATCACATCGTCCAAACATTGAAGACTTTTCACGTGACATCTGGCAGTGTCTTTCCACTGGACACCGTGGCATTTCACCATTCCCCTCGTGTTCGAGCTTTTGCCGATTCTATCAGGGTAGATGTGCTTTTCATTCCTCCGTACTCTTCGTGGTTCAACCTCATCTAAAGAGTTTTTCGTAACGTGAAAAGGAATGATGGATCCCGTGGGTGAATCGCTGAAGCGTTCAGCATGGTGAAGCTAGGGCACACGTCTCTTTCTTCTCCAAGTCCTTCTAGCTCCGTGGGAGTTCCTCACCTAAAGGCAAAAACATGTACGTTCATTCTGAAGAAATGAGAAATCCAAGGGAACGTTATGGATATGGGATTCCACGATCCTGGAATCCTTGTGAATATCAGCTGCCAAACAACAATAAAAGTCCACTTCTCATCGACCATTGAGCGAAAAAGAGCAAGCGACGAAGAAGAAAAAAGGAAATATGGGCGAGTAAGTGTGTGTGCCCGACGGGACGACGACGAGACCGTTGTGGCACAGAGGGCACGATTTCGAGGAATTCCTGTATTGATGAGATCGATCGGCCGTGGCGCATTCACGGAGTTCGTGAACCGAGACCTCAACGCCGCCAGCAATATTAGAAGATGTACGGTGCTGAAGACGAGACTGGAGAAGCTGCGACGATCCGACTTTGTGGGACAGCCTCTCAGGCTCAAAACGTCCGAGGAAATTCGAAGCCAAGATCATCCGGTCGGTGGAAACAGGTTAGGAGGCGTCTGTGAGTGAGTACGCATTTACCCGCCATGCACCTAGAACCCTTTTGGTTTTACTGATCACATGCCGCGGACGCTTGGTCGGAGGCCGAACTGGTCTATGATTAGAATCCAGCGCTGAACTGCTCGTTCTGTCTTTCCAATATTTTCCGAACTCTTACGAGGTGTCCAGTGCCAACATACCAAGCGCACCAATAAGCGCCTACGAATTCAAAAGTCCTGGGAGGACTCCCAGTCGTGTGTGTTCGGAGTGGCCCCTGCGACGCTTCGCCGCTGACATCCATTACTTCACCGGAATCAAGGTTATTCGCAACGCGCTCAGACAACGATTCCTAAAATAGCCCGTAGCATTGTCCAATGCATACATACAGGCATCCAGTCTTCTCCGTTCCGTTTGTGTCGCACGTTCAATTCAGGCATTCGCCAGGTGTTCGGTCTCTCTTTTATTGATGCAACTCGTGGGCGCTGCCATTTGCGCTGACGGGATTGACGAAGAGAACAAGTCGACGTCGCCCGATGACGATTCCTTTCCGTGCTCGTCCCGAAACGCTGCTGAGCTCGTCACTTGCAATCATCGAATCGGTTCAAAGGCGAACCTTCTATGTTTGTTGCAATCGACGAGACGGAGCTCAACAGCAGCGCGATACCTCGCACGGGATATGCTCGCGGGGGCGCACATCTCTTCTGCTAGCACGCCAGCGAGTCCTGGACTTTGTCGAACGTCGTCGCAGCGATCTGTCCGAGCGCAGAGCGCATCAGCGCTTTGTACGAAGTGCGGCTGGGGAGATCGGAGTTTCGCAACTCCTGCACCAGCCTGGATTTCGTATACGGAACGTGTTTCATAATCGAAATATCGCGTTCCACGGATCCTCGATCGAACGGGACAGTATGCGCGTGCGTATGCAGCTGACGGAGTATTCGCTCAGAATAGTCGCGCAGATGAAGCCCTTGACCACAGGGTACGTTACCGGTCGCGGAAACCGGAGCGAGCATCCAGCGGAACCTTATGTACCCGTCCAGCTCATGTACTGAGCCATGAAGCGAGCGTTCACGTGCTACAGGCCGGCCTTCGAACGAGGAGCTGCAGTTGACACATAGGAAAACCTGACCTCGGTCAAGAGTTTCCGTTGGGAAGTGCGCACAGAGGCTATGTTCATGGATTACGACAGTAGCACGTAAAATATATATTGCAACTACCGACCATGCACTAGGTGTCTCGAAAACAACCAGAAACTGTGAAATGATGACCTTACCGCTTCCGTCAACTTCCCTCGACTGCTGAGAACGGAGCTGATGGAACAGAAGAGACCCCCATCTTAAAATATCGAGATAAGAATGAGGCAACGTAGCAGCCGCGGGTAAACACCTCAAAAGCTGTTGTTGATTACAGCTGGCTGGGACCCACACGTCAGTGTGCATCCCCGTGTAATAGGAATGGGTCTCCTCTATCTTACCCTGACGTTGGTGCAGAGTGAAGAATGATGTATGCCAAACTTGAAAAGAGCACCATACCCGGAAAACTAATCCACATGCGTCCTTCTCACTCCCGGTCGTAAGCGTGCCAGCGCCAGACGGCGAATCGTCTACATTCGGCGTTGCGATGAAGCGCTTCCGTTCCAGCTCTGCAAAGCGTTTTTCCCTTGGAGAATGCTTGCTGCACTTGGGCAGGCACAGCTGGAGGACCCACCAGTTCGAAGACTGGCCTTCGCTTGGCGAATAGGAAGCTGGAGCTCTCGTAAGGGCGTATTGGCTTGGGCTTCGCTTGCCTGCAGTTCGCGGAACCTTGGCTGCGACACGCGTTTGCAGGCTAGCCAGCAACGCAAGTGCCAGCGCAGTGCTGTACCATTTCAGTGGTCCTGCTCAAAAGATCCCGTTGAGCGCTCGAGAGGGGCGAAATCCCCAGAGAGTGATGACAGAGAAGTGTTCAGAAAGCCGCATTCTCCGAGCTCGGAAAGGGACGCTGTTGTTGCAAAAAGCGCGAAAGAGCAGAGGCCTGTCACTCAGACTACGGCAAACGTTGTGGAAGGAGGCCATAACGAAGAGCGCAACGACCGCGGCGCGCCCGCTGACTCGCTCGCAGCACTTCAAGAGGATTTGCCGCTCATTCGTCAGATATTCGGGGCAGATACGTTTTTCCCCACAGAGGATGTTGTTGGGAAACGCGGTGTCGTCTATCGGGGCAACTTGCGCAATAAGCCGGATGAAGTCTACCGGCGCCTTGCTAAGCGACTGGAATCACTTCTGGGAGATAGATATATATTATCTCTTCTGGAAGGAGATGAAAACGGAAGAGCATTCGTTCTAATCGAACCAAACGGTACCTTGGCAGGAGACAGTACGGCACGGCCCTTCTCGGTGAAGAAGGAGGATGTGCTCACGATCATGCTGGCGCTCTTGTTTTGCATCCTAACTGGAATGACCATTTTTCTAAGGGTAGGCACCATTCTTGGTCCCGAATATGGTGAAATTCGCCGGATAACGTTTCAGAATGGGGTGAAACCTGTTTTCTTCAGCTTTTTTTCAACCTTGATTGCCGCGCAACTCCTCCAGCGACTCCTCGCGTGGAAATATAGATGTTCCATTGGGACGCCAATTCTCCTTCCGAGCCCGCAGCTCGGGAGCTTTGGCTCCGTGTACCATCTAGACCAATCGCCTCCCGACCGCAAGGCTCTTTTCGACATCGCCATGGCAAGTGGTGGCCTCCCATTCATCGTTAGTATTCTGATCTTCACCGTTGGTGTGATCATGACTTCTTTTGCTGTGGGACTGCCACTCGCATCTGTCCACGGCTCGTTGATGAACGTGCGGAATTTTGTATACGTACCGGAGCAATGGATTTACCGTGATTCTTTTCTGTTGGGGCTCATTGCGCGCGCATTGCTAAGCGTGCAGCCAGTGACGCTGAATGCGGCAGTTGCTGCAGACCAGCAACTAGCACCGCTCGTTCTGGTGCATCCGTTAGTTCTCGTCGGTGCGACACTCATGCAGATATCGGCGCTGTCGTTGCTGCCTCTGCGGCAGCTGGATGGCTGGCGTATCCTAACAGCCATCTTCGGCAGACGAGCGGCGAGTCTGCTTTCGCGCTTCACCGTGCTCTATCTTCTAATCGGGGCAGCGAGGTATCCTTATCTGCTCTTATTTCTAACCGTGATTCCGTTCGGGCCGTGGAAACTCGATCGCCAGTGTCGGAATGAAATATCGGAAACAGATCGTATTCGTCAGATTGTAGGCTACATTGTAATCGTGATCATGATCTTTGCAATGTGCCCCTATTCGAAGTAGAGCCTATATCGGTTCGTCGGTGATACACAGAGTGCCAGTGCATACACAAATTAGCAAAAGATTTATGGAGTATTTGAAGGACAACTGGATTCAGTTTGATAGCGCTTTGCGACCGAAAGTGATTTTTCTAATGAACACGGGGATGATTCTGAAAAACGATGAAACTTGCAGTGCTTTGTGAGAATCTTTTTAGATTTCATGGATATGAGCACGGCCGTCGACAGGGTTTCGTATTCACCTGAGCAAAGCCCCGAATACGGTCACACATATGCAAAGGGAATCCATGTTGCTCCGGAGGCTGGCACTCTGCATGATGCTGGACGATCTACGTAGAGAATATCGTGTGATTGGTGTACATCCAGGCGAGACACTGGTCGAGCCTTGTGCATGAATTCCTCTCGGAAGGCACAGGGCGTGAACGGAACTCAATCGACGTGATTGGCTTAACAGTGGCCCCAGACGTAAACGAGCAGCAGTACACCGTCCAAAGGATAAACATGGATTGGCATCGTTGGACGTGTTCTCTACACCCGTTTCAGATTAAAATGGAACGGATCCGATCAATTAGCGCAGTAATAAACTCTAACGCTTCGGTTTCTTCTGATGGTCATCGACATCAGTCTTTACGGGGGGTTCCTGAGACTGGTTCCATTTTCTCTTGCTTATTCCCGAGTTTGAAAACGCTGGTCTCACTTGCTTCCCCAGCTCCGTCGTCAGCAGCGAAAGGACGTTGAATGCAGCCTCAAAGTCCCGAGTTCGCAGCCTTCGACTGCTGTCGAAGCATTTCATGTCAAGGCGGAAGTTGCGATCCCCAGGTCGCGTGCCATTTTCAGCTTCCTTGTAAACAGCCTCTATGCGCTCTTCGCATCGGTTACACGAGGGTACGGTTGATCCATATGTGCACTGCATATGCTTCATCGATGGCCGTCATTTGGCGCGTGAAACTTGCTTCGTGGCCTCATTAATGCCCTCGGCGGGAACAGAGGGCTTCCCTCCATGCCCTCCTCGGTACCCGCGCCCGATTTCGTAACTCACTACCATAGACTGTTTCAGGTCCATCTACTTAGCGAGTACTCTGTTTGCCGCACGTGCAGGTGCACGCGGCTCTGTTCGATAGAGAATCACTGAAACGTAAACTAATCAACTATGAGACAATTGCCAGAAGCAAAATCCTAGCTAGAGAACTAGCCAAGAAATTTCGATCTTTTTACGCTGTGTTTATGCAATGCTGTGATACATTCTCCTGTGGAAGTGATCTTTACGAGGAATCAAGTCCGAGCCAAAGATCCTTATCCATGGAAACAGAAAAGACGGGAGCCGCAGTGAGCATAGCCCGTGAGAGGTATACTGCTACAAACGATTGCCGTCTCTTCGATGACCACAAACAGATTGTGATTTGTTTCTAGTACAGGATCAATTATTTGACGTGACATATTTAGCGAACGTTCGGCATAAGCTAGTGAACAAGTCTTCAAGAGGAGAAGTAGTGTACGTTTTCTCGTCAATCCAGCAGCGCAACTTGCTGCACCAACGAATTGCCTTGAAATAGAAAGATCTAAGTGTGAATGGCAACGTGCTTTAAGCATGCTGTACATAAGGGGAATAGAATAGTGTATCGCTGCACATATGCAGTGGACAATTGTATCAAACGTTTTACGAATTCTAATTCGACGACGTCGGGAATCGTCTTGATTCCGGTCACCTGATGAATTCCAGCTGGAAAGTGTCGATAAAACCGCTCCGGAACTACGAGCTAGGATCCTAAAAATACGTATGAATCTCTATGTACTTATTGATGCACTTCAAATATCGAGGCAGTACATCTAAATAACGTTCGAAACAAACGGAAAAGAAGGAGCAGACAGAACTGTTCAATGCTCTATATTAGGCTCACACCGGGACAGAAGCGAATGCAATATGCAGTTTTGATATTTGCGCTGTCTGTGATCAGCGCAAGCGAGTAGGATACACAAGAAGCGGGAGACGTTTACGGCACAGTGCCATCATATACGGCAGGTCCTGAAATCGGGGAACAAAACAGGGTCCCTTTGCGCCTTTCGCATCACGCCTGAATAGTTGTCAAAAGCCCACTGGTTGTCCGTGGAAAGAGCTCTTGACGAGCAGGGTCTGCGTTATGCAGGGGCAAAGTGGGGTTATAAGGCTCTTCTTCTGTACGGCGTACTACATTAGGGGCATTCAGTGGTACCCGCACGCTTCAGGTCGGGGTTCAAAATGCTCTAGCAAAAGTCTCATAGACTCGTACGAAGCTGATGTTTCCCAACCGCGTCGAAGCCCGTTCCCAACGTGATGGACTCACGGCGCAGAGGAGCACAGATTCCGTATTGCTGTATTTTGGGTTTGTTCAAAACGTGTTCGGGCTTCAGTGCACTTGCCTTTTGTTTATTCACTGTAAATGACAGGAAGCGCTCTTGTCCAGTCTTCATACGCAGCAGGTGTCGACGGTAGTTGTGCTTCCATATGCGGCAGCGTTCCCTGTTGCTGTGTCCGACGCGCGTTCCCAGCTGACTACGATCATAGTTGGATTCCATCCAGCGTCAAACAACGAGCAGCATACTACCTTACATCGCTTCGAACTCGCGTCTGACACCCAACACCTGCACAGCCCGCTCTGCGACGGAACTCTACGCGCCCTCATCCGATAGCGTTGCCCAGCTCCAACGCTGACGTTCCGCAACGAGCCTCTGCAGGTGCCCGCGGCGTTCAAGCCGGCGCAAGTTCAGCACATTGCCATCAATTACTCGATCCAGGTCCCTGCAAGCCCCTGAACATGGCCTGGAGCTCATGTTCACCTAAATATCGCCCGTTGCCCTCGGAGAATCATAAGAGATACCAACTTGAGCAGTTGCGGAGCTGTGCGCCTCCAGAGCACCCATCATCGCTGCACGGTGTGCTGAGGCAACGGCGGCGGCCGCTGCGATTCCCGGATCCCAGCGCATGGCGGCGGAATGCACAGGGCGCGCCTGAAAAACGGTCACCTTCCAGAGTGGCAACGCCGTGCGCGAGATGCTGATGCATACGATATGCACTGGTACCGAGTTGCTGGAAGACTGAACCGTGAGGCGCTTTGACTTGCACGAGTCCGAACAGTGCTGCACTGATACGGTTTTAACTGGACACGGTTATGGGAAGTAGCCGCGCTGGAGACGACGAACGAGTGTTATGAATCGGAACAGTCGTTTAACAGCACAGAGCACAGTGTTTATAGGGCCCAAGGAGGGCAGCAGCAGCGTCGGGTTGTTTCTCGCTCGCCTCTGGCAACGACGACGACTGCACAGGCGGGTTCGTGGCGCGAGCCGCAGCCTCCAGGCGACCGCTACACAGCCGCAGTGGTCGCTGGTGCAGGTTGCGCGGCGAGTGCTCTTCCCTCCACTATGGGTAGAGCTTGCGCGAGCGCACGTGCTTGCAAAGTTTTCGAGGGCGTTCGAGCAAGTACCGCGCAAGCGACGTGACGGGACGGCGGCACCCGCCGCAGTGAGCACGGCAGTGGAAGCGGCAGCGGCACCCAGTCCTTCGCGGAACGCAGCTCGTGGAGGACAGGGCGTTAGCCGTACGCAGCTGCTCGGGCGAATTGTGTACGAGTGGGTAGACTACGACCAACGGCGACTCGTTTGCGCCCGTCAGACAGCAGACGGGGTACCGGTGGTGGACCCGCGCTGCTCCGCCATACCGAGAACGGAGCGCCTGCGGAACAAGTGGCGGCGCCTGCGGGAGCTTTCGGCAGCATCCAGCGAGCGCGAAGCGGCAGACGGCGCGGGACCGCAGACGGACAACGTTGCGCTGGTGGGCGCCCCAGCGGGCCCGCCACCAGTCGAAAGCCCGACGGAACAATACGCAGTCGTTAAGCTTGAATCAGGTCCCGGCACACTGCACGAGGATACCGAAGAAGATGCTACTCTAGAACGGTGCGCGGGCCCTGCGCTGGCGCGCTGCTGGAGCGCACCCGAGCTGGGCGACGCCGAAGATGATAGCACTCGCTATGAACCAGAGCGCTCGCCGCTGGACTATCTGGGGAACGTTCCGCTGCTATTCACCACGAACACCCCTCAGGGCCGTTTGCTTCAAAGGCGTTTGCGCGTCGCACGCCTGCAGATGCACCGCCTTGTACGGGAGGGTGTGCGCACGCTCATGCAGAGTGCGCCGCTGCGCCTAGCGCTGGGCGCTCGTCTACGCTGCTTAGACGGAGCGGCAGCGTACGAATCGCAACGAGAGGCCAGACAAGTCACGAGCGGCCCTGTTAGAGACGCCTCGCCAGCAGCGTGGAAGCGCTTCTCGGGCGACGGTGTGCTCCGCAGCGTCTCACAAGCGGCGCTCGCAACGCTAGGCACGCTGCGGTGTGAGTGGCCGTTCCACGTTCGTCGTCTGCGGGACCAGTAGGTGTGCATAGCGAAACTGATTTTTAACATATCTAACAAAATAACACGACGACGGAAAGATAAGTGGATATTCGTGTAGGAATCTCAGTTCGATGGACTAACTGCTTCACGATTTAAACGGGGAACTGGAGATGCCCGCAAGTTTTTGGTTTCGCAGAACGTTTTCACCAGGGATGCCCTATGGTGCGATTCATACGAACGTTTGGGAAAGCGTCCACCTTTCTACCTACCCCTGAATTCCACTGTCGATTCTTATCCTCGGAGAGTTGCGCAGATGCGGTGCGTCGGGACCGCGCACGCAGGACACGTGTCGAGAATCCGGGCGCCTGCGGGCGCTCAGACTCGAGCCGCTGGCTGTTTGCGTGCCATAAGCGCGACAGCCTGCACAGACGCGTAAATGCATAAGTACATGGGTGCACGGATGCATCCTTGCTCCGTCATGCATCAGCACCGTGCCTGCGGGCTGGTGCGCGGCCTGAGGCGTAACGACGCAGACCCTTTCTAGTGCTCGACAGGAGTGGAGCGCGATGCGCGCGAAGGCTTCCACCAAGATCGGCACCGCATCAGGATCCAGTCCATGTCCCAGCGACGACGAAACACAGCAGAAACAGCCTCAGCATGGGGATACCGCTCACAATATCCAGTTGTATAAGATCCAAGTCGCGAGCGCTCGGGCAAGGGGTGATGGACCGCGGCTCCTACACGAAGCGTGGCAGCCTTTTAGGGACCTCCTGCAGCGAACTCGTCCAGAAAGAAATATGGACCATGCTGTTGGCGCTTCCGAATCGGCGATACGAGCTAGTGCGGCATCTTCTGCCGCTGCAAGACATGCTGCAGACGATGAGTCCTGGGGCGGCACCAGAAAAGCGGTTTTACAACAAAGGCGCTGCGATAACCAGCGAATCCTGGCCAGGTGCGCGGCGGGCTATACCAGAGACAAGGCTGCAAGCTTTGCAGTAATTCAACATACGAGACAGATGGGTGAAGTATAGTACCGTATTCCAGTGGGCAGCATAAAATTCTCATTGCCAGAGTGGGCTTTATTTGTATGTGCTACAGGTTCTCAGCCGTTCACTTTTCCGTGCCGACGCTGTACGGGCCTTGACAGGTACTACCCGAACTCGTTCCCCTATTTATGCATTGAAGATGCTTTTTGTTCACTGTTCAAATGAACTATCGTGGTGTTCTGTGGTCTAAGTTCCGAAAAATAGACTCGTACTCGCAGTGAAAGTTTTCACTTGCACGGTAAGCAACACCAAAAGAACCGCAATTTGTAGAAATAATAAGAATGAATTTAGGATATTTAGGGACAATTTATGAAAGTGTTGCGCGCGTCGCGACACTGATGTCCAGCGTCGAAATTCCGCTCGTGAATCCATGGCTCTAGAATCACGGCGTGCTTCGAGTGCCCACGACTTCTCCTCGCCGGGGTCATATTTGAGTAAAATTCATATTACTGCTACGATCTTCGAGCACGGAGATTACTGCAGCTGTAATCTCGCTAATAATATCTCGACGACTGTTGCTCCCGGCGACTGCGTTAAGCTGCAACTGCGGCGATTTGCAATAAATATGCTTTTTCAATTGGTGTTTCTAGCGCCTTTTCTTCGTAGGCTGAAATCGATTCATGGCAGATCCTATCGTGGACATTGCTCCAGACCAAATATTCATTGGTGCAGAGGAGCCCTCAGCGCAAGTGCACGACGTTGAGTCGAAGGGTGCGGTCGCGGAGGAATCTGACAAGTCCTATATCCGGTACAATGCAATCGGCACTGCACTAGGCTTTCTCGTGAACGGTTACATGTACCAGGTAGGCACGTTACTTCTAACTCTATATGTGGACGCGTATTATACGGTGTATGCGAGTACGTTTCTACAGTCTGCGCTCTCTACTTCTGTACTGTACGGCGTTCTCTTTGGGCTCCTTAGCTTTGGATTCATCGCCGATATCATCGGACGCAAGGCCGGTCTCATCGCTTGCTCCTGCATCGTTATACTCGGCTCGATCCTGTCCACGGCAGCGAACGGAAAAACAACTGACGGTATGTTCTGGATGATTATCGTCGGACGCGCTGTCGTTGGCCTCGGAATGGGCGGCGAGTACACTTGTAACGTTCCGAATATCGTTGAGGATAGTGAGGAAGTCAGCACGAAAACGCGCGGACGAAGGGTTTCGCTGCTTGTGATGCTCATGGAGGTCATCGGGAACAACACACCGACGCTGATCCAGCTGATTCTCATTGCGGCAGCTTGCCGCCACGTCTACATCACTTCATCGTCGTCTACAGGGGTAAGCCTCCCGAATTGCCGGCCTCAGGTGGTGTGGAGAATCTCCTACGGGCTGGGCCTCATTCCGTGCATCATCGTGCTTTTCTTGCGGGTTCGCATGCGCGATTCTAAAATGTACCGCAAGGATGAGAATCTAAGACGCAAGTCCTATGATCTACTGGACCTGTTTGTTATTTTCCGACACTTTATCCCACGGATGATCGGCACAATCTTCATGTGGTTTCTCATCGACTGGATCAATTACAGCCAAGGCACGTTTGGTGGCGTGATCCTGTCGAGTGTGATCGGGGCATCTCTCTTCAAGACGGCTTGGATCAGTCTCGCCCAGGGCGTGGTGCTCACTCTCGGGCCAGTTGCGGCTGCTCTGGTCGTGGATCGTCTCGGACGGCGGAAAACGGAGGTCCTCGGATGGGCGTGGCTCGCCTCCACGCAGCTGATTACGGCTGGCGTGTACCTCATGCTTGCAAAGCATGCGGTAGGCTACGTTATTTGGACTACTTTCGTATTCATTTTCCAGTACTTTGTGTTCATCCCTGTCTATCTGGTCCCGGCTGAAGTGTACCCCACTCGCGTGCGTGCAACGCTCTACGGATGGTCATCGGCGCTCGGCAAGGTCGGGGGCATTGTCGGAACGACCGTGTTTCCTTACATGTGGAGCGCGCTCTCGCCCGATGGCAACGAGTCCGGCCATAGCGGCCTCCTTGGACTGCGTAAGATCCAGTGGATCTACGCAGGAATCGAATACTTCGGTTTGATCCTTGCTCTCCTATTTGTCCCGGAGTATAGTAACGTCAGTCTCAGAGGCGAGGAGAATCGATTCCTGGCCATGCGTGCGCGGTACGCTGCGCGCTTCGCGAAGAGCCTCGGTGCACAGCCCGCACCAGCCGCCTCCTTCGAGAGCATTCAGATTGGGCACTACTCCTGGTGGTCCCTGCTCTACCTTCGCCTCTTCCGCAGTCGTGAGGAGTACGCTGCAGCTCTGGAGCAGTACGCTCAGATGCTGCTTGCGCGCTCCTACATCACCAAGGTGGAGCAGCTCGAGCAGTACGCTGCTGCGCCCGTCTACTACAACGACCGGACGCTGTTCTCGAATCTCATCCGGCGCATCCGCCTCGGAGCAGAGGGTGCCAGGGAGTACAATCGCCTGTCGGAGCTGATGGGCGAGGAGTCCATGGAGAATCCAGCCTTTGGCGAGCAGCAGGCGAAGATCGTGCTGTCTGCGGATGGTGGTTCGAGCGATGAAAAAGTATCGAAGGAAGCAACGGATACCACCACAGACAACAGCATGACCTTTTGAGGTATGCATGATCATGGAAAGTCATGCATTAGCATCATGAACGAGATACGGCTATGTAGAGGCTCCGCATGGAGCGCAGAAACGTCATCGAAAGGAACCGGCGAGCGTTACGAAGCGATGTTTCCTGATTGCGTACGCGCTCATGGGGAGACCCATACCAGACGGACGGAAACCCCGCAGGGAAGGACACGCACACCAATAAACTGCAGTTCAGCTCTCACAACATGTGTCCCAATATCGATACAGCGCTCGCTGGAGTCCGCAGTCATTTCCTGCACCTGCTGCGTTGCCTATACCAGTAGCTGCTGAATGGCCACAAGACCGTGGCGCACAGGTCACAATATCGTCTTCTACCTGAGAAAGCAACTTGCTTGATTGCTTGCTTGCTGGTTGCCTGTGCACATAGACGCATGGATAGCCGCCTGCTTGCTTTTACGCACACATGCACACATGCATAGTTGGGAAGATGGATGGATAGGTGCGTTTGGTATCTTCTCTGCGCACCATCGCGGACATCGACGGCTACCAGGTCGCGATTTGCACCCTGAAGTACGAACGTGCGTTTCAGAGCTACTCCACGCTGCCGTATTCGAGAAATGCCTGCACCCTTGACGCTGACGATTGCTTCGCAACAGCTGGTAGCGTTCCAGAACGACAGCCGCACCTGGCGCTTGGTGGAAGCACGCTCAAGGATCCTGGACACGAAGCGGGTGCGCAAGCTATTGAGCGTCTTGGAACTATTATCGAGAACGAAAAAACATAGAGCACAGGGATCGCCTCCGCTCTGGACGCGCTGAAGAAGGTCAGCACCGATCCCCGGTTGCACGTCGTTCCGAATCGTATCCTGCGTGTCCTGCTATCGGGGTTCTACGTGGCGGGCGGTGGCTGGCTAGCACACAGCACCATACCCTGTGGCGACTTGTGAGCTCACCGATATCCGCTCAACTGCGCATGATGCACCAGAACGTAGTTTCGCTCATGGGAACACAGATCGCGTTAACGCTAATCAGGCTCGCGCCTCAGCCTTCTGCCCTAAGCAAAGCAACGAGCATGTTAGACGTGCTGCGGACCTGGCACGTGCAGGATTCTTGTCATAGCACTTCACCTCAACTGTGCTCTAGCGCCAAGTGCGTATCATTTAATGTTTTTTTTCGTGGTTTAGAGCAAATGCTCTCGAAGTGCGTTCATTTACAAATGTAAAAAGGCTAAGGTATAGAGATGGAAGTCGCGGATCCTAGAGGGCCTCATTGCCGGCTGTCCGAAAACAAGGAAAAAATCCTCTTTTCGCCGTTCATCGAGCAAGGGAAAGCGCGCGGCGGCGAAGAAAAAGAGGACAGGTAGACGAGAAAAGGTGCTCGCCTGACGGGACGAGGTCGAGACTGTAGTAGAACAGAGGACACAAGTTCGAGGAATCCTTGCAATGGTGAGTTCAACCAGAGGCAGGGTACGCATAGAGTTCGCGAACCGAGAGTTTAACGCTGCTATCAACATCGGGAGATGTGCAGTGCTGGACAAGAGACCCCCGGAGCTGATACGAGCCGACTTTGTGGGAGAACCTCTCAGGGTCGAATTGTACGGGATGACGTTGCAACCAGTAGTAGGCGGCCGGTCCAAAAGACGGGAAGGCGTCTGCACGTGAGTGGGTAGACATCCAGTCTACGCTTCTAGGCATAAAGTCCAGGGAAGCGGATGCGTACACGGGCACAGTGCGCTTTCTGCGTCTGCCCATTGGTTGGTGTCAAGCACAAACCCGCATTGCCAACCGACAACAACGCATTCCATGCATGATCACGAAGGAGAGAGGCGGCTCCCAGAATGTATCCTAACAGCCAAGTTTCTCCAGCGTGTCGTGCAGCGAAGGCAAGCCTGCATCCGCAGACTGTCCAAGCACAAACTGACGACGAGATCCGATTCTACTTCGGTTGAACCACGCCTCGAGCCGACGCCCTCTGTGGTATAGAAAAACTGTTCTAGCTCGGTGAACTATCTGCTCCAGCATTTAAGGTGCAAAGGCGGACACGGAAAGGCAGGTAGTAGGCACACACAATAGGACATGTGAAACGACCAGAATATCCGAGAAAAAAGTCTGGGGAATGGAGCTTGGAAGCAGGGCATTTAATGGATACCTCACCGCGCACTGAAAAAAAACACAAAAAAAGTAAGAAGAAATGCACATAATCGGAGAACGCTGCCCCAAGTAAACGTTTTGTCGATGAAAAAATCCAGTCTACGGCCGGCGGCGCGCCGCTCGCGACGAATGCATACCGACCATACAGCGTTTGTCGCTAAGAAGGCATTTGCTGTTGTCTGCGGCGGGTGCCCTGACGAGCAAACTTTTCTTCTTTTTGATGGAGTTCGACATAAAAACAGTCAGCGTGGAACCTTTTGAAGGACAGAAAACTGGCACGAGCGGCTTAAGGAAGAAAGTAAGGGTGTTCCAGCAACCCGGGTACCTCGAAGCTTTTGTGCAGTCTGTCTTCTGTGCGTTGCCGGAAATCCCAGGATCCGGGTTCGATCAGCCCTCTGCTGAAGAGCGAGTGCTGGTTCTGGGTGGCGACGGGAGGTATTTTAATAAGGAGGCAATCCGTAATATTCTTCGCCTGGCTGCAGCAAACAACGTAAACAGAGTACTAGTTGGACAGAATGGTTTGCTCTGCACGCCCGCAGTAAGTGCGATCATACGAAGGCGCAATCTAGCAGGCGGGATCATATTGACAGCGTCACATAACCCGGGTGGACCTGAGGCTGACTTTGGTATCAAGTACAATACGAAGGACGGTGGCCCGGCACCGGAGTCGTACACTGACGTGTTCTACAAATGGACGCGCCAGATCCGAGAGTACCGTATCGCAGTGGATCCAAGTACCGCTGACGGCGATCCCTTTTCCGAAATATCCCTTGAGCGCCCGCGGGTCTATGAGTTCCTTTCACGAGATACGAAGAGCCGCTTTGTGATCGAGGTTATCGACTCTATGGATGATTACGTGAGTCTGCTGAAAGAAATTTTTGACTTTCAGATGCTAAGGGAACTCTTTCGCCGCAGCGATTTCTCTATGCTCTTTGACGCGCTTCATGGCGTGACGGGTCCATACGGGAAACGTATCTTTGTGGAGGAGCTTGGTGCGGCGCCGGAGAGCCTCCGCAACTGTCAGCCTCTAGAGGATTTCGGCGGCGGGCACCCCGACCCCAATCTCGTTTACGCAGCAGATTTGGTGTCACGTTGCGATCCTAAGCAGAATCCCAATGCACCGCAGTTTGGTGCAGCATCCGATGGTGACGGCGACCGTAATATGGTGCTGGGACGGGGTTTCTTTGTCACACCGAGTGATTCTCTAGCTGTTATCGTGGCGTACGCGAAGGATGCAATTCCATATTTCCGAAAAGGTGGCCTTGTTGGCGCAGCGCGATCGATGCCGACTGCCAGTGCAGTGGACAAGGTTACTGCAAAGCTGAAAATCAACGTTTTTGAAACACCTACTGGATGGAAGTACTTTTCGAATCTCCTGTCTTCCGGTAAGGCTCAGATATGTGGCGAGGAGTCTTTTGGTACATCGAGCGATCACATCAGAGAAAAGGATGGGCTGTGGGCCATTCTATGCTGGCTATCGATTCTGGCATATCGCAATGTTGGTAAGACGCCCGTCGGCTCATTCATTGGCATTCAGCAAATCGTAGAGGAGCACTGGAAAGAGTATGGTAGGAACTTCTTCACGCGTTATGATTACGAGGAATGTGATGCCGTGGCTGCGGAAAGGATGATGGCGCATCTCCGACAATATCAAGAAAACGGCGATTATGCCGTGCTTGAGCGGGTTGTAGGGCATCCGGTCATCGTTGCCGATGATTTTACGTACACGGATCCAGTCGATCACAGTGTTGCCAAGAACCAGGGGCTACGGTTCGTCTTTGCAAACGGATCCCGGATAGTTTTTCGCATTAGTGGGACTGGCAGCACGGGCGCTACTATCCGAATGTACATCGAAAAATTTGTCCAGGATCAAGCCAAAATGTTTGCAGATACTGCTGAAGCTCTTAGCGATCTCATTCACGTTGCGCTACAGGTGAGTCAATTGGAAGCATTCACTGGCCGAACTGCTCCGAGCGTGATTACGTAAGTGTAGTGGATCCCAACACACCTTAGTAGAGATTGCGCATGACTGCCAAAAGGCGCTTTATTGCCTATCTATCGGAGAAAGGTTTCCCATAGAACGTTCAAGCAATATTTTGGTGCTTGTATCAAGTCGACTTTGAACAAGCATCTGCGCTCTGCACAACGGAGACTTGTGAAAAGGGATTGGTCGAAACTAGCCAGAATTCTGCAGATTTGCTGCAATCTTCAGCTGCCAAGTCAGTATAAAGAGTAAGTTGCATGAGAGTTCCCTGCTTTGTGAAAGTGATGATCTCGTACAGTGCAAATATATTTCGAGACTGCGATACGCGATTGTCGTTGGTCATCCAGAGACGCAAACTGCCATGAAACGTCAGACCTCGCCGCTGCACCTATGTCAATTTAAACTGGGACAATGAACCGCTCGCTCTGTTCCTGCCTTTCGAGTTTTTCAGAACATTTTTCTAGATGCACCATATCGACTTTCAAAGAGTAGCAATTAGGGCTCACGATTGCATATTTAGTTTTATGATGCTATGTTGTCTTTTCGGAGCGGCTCCTTCGATCTTTTTTTTGCACGTGGAATTTGTTGCGTTTCTGGACTCAAGATGATTCGCGACGCGTTCGAACAGCGGTTCGTAAAATACAGATATTATTATTCAGGGCATATATAAGGGTCTCCACTGCTCGTATTTTCTTCCATCTAGCATCCGATGGTCGCGGATTCTTCAAGCGTTCGACCTTTCTGTATCAACGCAACTCGTGGGCGCAGGAATTTGCAATTACTAGATTGACAAGGAAATAACACTCGACGCTATCCTTTGACGACTGCTTGGGAAGCTGACGCCGAATGTTCGATGAACTCGTCAAGTCAAATAATTTATTGCGTTCGAAAATCGAATCCTCCTCGCCTTGCGGTCATCGACGAAAGGGGAGTCCAAATCAACGTGATACTTCTAACGGGATGTGCTCAGAGAGGCTCATGCCTCTTCTGTTTGCGTGGAAAAGGGGTTCGCGGCTCGGCCGAATCATCGCAGGGATGCTTTCCCGATGAGACTGCGTCACTGCTTCCCAAAATGAGCGCATCGACGGATCGTCATCTGTCGACATGTTTCCTGATCAGGTTTTTTTCTTTCGTTTACTAGTTCCACCATGGGAAACATCACTTTTCGCAAACCCTCTATCGAATGGAACGGCATGCGCTTGCATGTGCAGCGGAAAGAGTACTCGCCGAGAGAAGTGCCCAGACGAAGCCTTTGGCCGTACGGTACGGGGCCGGGCACGGCAACAGAAGTGGGCATCGCGCGGAGCCTCCGGCACCTGTCAAGGGCATGTACTGAAAGATGAAGCAAGCATTCATATGCAACCGAGCGACCATTGGACGGTTGGATTCTGTGGACTTATGGGAACACCTGATCATACGCGATCGTAACCGTTGCGAATAGGGCACCGAATCTGCATTCAAAGAAGACAAAAATGGCAAGCGAAGCGTAGATCCCGACTACCTCGTGTACATGAAAAGCTCTGCCCACAGTCGGCAGCAGCCAAACCAGGAGTACAATTCTGCCACCAATATCCTTGCATTGCTCAGAACGGAGAGGAACTGCCTGGGAACTCCGGCGTATGTAGAGTGTGAGCTAAGAAAGCGATCAAAAGAAGCAGTCTTAGAGATGCCTGCGTAGCCTGGTGTTAATCTCAAAGAAAGAAGATCCAAAATGCAGTGCGTTCGATTGTATTAAAGGACCTTTCCCATTTTTCTGACATGTGTGCATCAGTAGCGAAAGAAGAGACTTCTAGAAACCAAGCCGCTTTTGATGGCGATAGCAGGTCTTTCATTTGCCGTCGCAGGCAGCTATACGATAAGTCGGATCGTTGTTCTTATCGGAAACGGCCTGAAACTTTTTCATGCTGGTGCAAGCGACTGAGTTTTGTCGTTATCGGTCAGAAGCAAGCACCAAAGGAAACTACAGCTGAGACCCGCTCCCCAAGCTACGTCTTGGTTTCGAGAGAGTTTGTCCGGCGTCATCTCGAGATCGAAACCGCTTAGCCAAGGTGTCCGGGGTGCTCCAAGTTGACCACTCGGCACTATAGGTGATTGACAGATGGACGAGCTGAACTCGCCCCTCGGGGAGCGAGCACAAGGAGCAAGCCTGGCCCACGTAGTTTGGAGTGATCCGCAATGGCTCGAACGTTACCCGCTGACTTTCGAAAACGTTCTGACTTACTTTTCGCGTTCGCCCTTTTATGACCCAACGTGCAATAACGAGCTGGTTCGGATGCAAATGCACCCGGAACTTCAAGGCGAAATGTTGTACTACACGCAGAGGGAAGAAGAGCTTCTGCTAGGTATGCAGGGGGTAGAGTACGTGCCGTTATGTTCATCGGACGCTCACGAGCTTTTCATCATTCGAAAGCAGGTTCGAAGATCCGCGGACGAGGTTCACGTGACGAACCTGTATTACATACTGTACGGGCAAGTCTACGAAGCTCCAGCGTTTTCCACAGTTCTTCTTGTTCGTCTCCGACAGAGCGCAGATTTTCTTGTTCGCTCGCTCGGTTTGCTTCGGCAGTGGCTGTCTAAGAAGGAATACGGAGAACCGGGCGCCACGGGTCATGGGCATGAAGATACCCTTCTTCTGCAACTTCTTCGGAAGGCTCAACAACGCAATCGCCAGCTATAGCTGTCTTGGTTCGAGGGACTGCTCAAGAGTCCCCTCCGGGCGCTCGTTTACGTTTCCACTGGGGGTTTTGGAATGCTTTAGCAGCAGCAGATTGTGCAGCGCTGTTCATATTTTGAAAGCCTTACTTTTTAATGCGTAGACTATTTTTGAGGTTATCTGGGCTGGGCTTCGAAAATTGGACCATATGGGGTCTTGTCACCGTGAGTCATCTGGCTTCGGGACTCGTGCATTTTGCTGTTGATTTTTTTCAGTAAATATCAAACAATCGAATGCACAAGCCTCCCCAGTTTGAACTTGATCTGCGACCGGCTGGGTACGACGGGGTTCGCAACAGGCGTTCAGCGAGATCACCTGTTTTAGAATAGCAAATGCACTGCTTGGTGGATTCGTGACTGGGCGGTCTGAACGGGACACTTTGTCTTTTGATGAGTGCTCCTTGGAATGGTCGTCGGCTTCGAGTGGAAATTGAAAGCTAGATTTTCTGGAGGATTCTAGTCAGTCCCGGGACGAGCCTAGCGCAAAAATGGCGCACAAAGTTTGGTGGCTCATCGACGTAGTTCAAGTCTCCCAGAAACGAGATCAAGCTGCTCTAGCGGCAATGTTATGAGCATGCCTATCCCGAAGGTGGACATGATAAGAATTTGCGTTTCTGAGCGCTTTCTGAGGATTACATCAACATCGCCACAGTAAATGTCCTCTAACCGCATTAAAGTTTCTCTCAGCAAGTTGTCAGCCAAGAGGGATATCTTTAATAGGCTGAATCTCTGCATTATATGCATAAGTCTTACTCTTAGCGTCGTGTATCCTTTGCGGGGAAAAGAGTGAAATATGGTTCGAACAGGTCATGTACGGATTCTCGCGTACGTTCCATACCTACACCATCACTTTCTTATCACCGCGGTGTGCAGTCACGACGAATCCAATCGGGAAGCAGCACGCGTCACTATTGTGCATTACCGACAAAATCTGCATTCGGAAAAAGCATTTCCATCGACAGGGTAAATGAATAGCCACGGCGGGGCACCGCCTCTTGCATGCGCATACACGCACGAGAGTTCTCTACACCAATATTCCAATGCGTGCGCAGTCGATGTGTGTATCCCGGTTCGGCGTTCCGAGGCGGCAGCGCTCGAGAACGCGAGCGCACCGGATGCGCATCTCCTGGATCCCATCGCACTGCGTGGCGAGACTCGCCACCAGCTGTGAGCCAGCCGTTCTGCAAGACGCAACGCTAGCAGATCAGGAACGCATCGCGTCCATCGTGCGGTAGCGCGCGCATGCAAGCGCTGCCCTCGAGGGGAGCACGGCGGGAGACGCGACACGTACGCGTACGAATTACTGTACCTGTGTGCGGTGAAGTGTATTGGATGTGTGTGGACGTTGGACTGCTAGTCGAGGCGAGTTGTCGGGAGCTGTTCGTCTTCACACGGAGGTATATTGCGAAGCGCTAGTGTTGACACCGGTATCCGGTGCGAACAATCAGACAGAGCAGCAGCGCGAAGCGCACGTCGGCACCTTGAGGACTTGGGCTTCGTGTGCGCGTCTGGCGGCGAGCGCGTTTATCGGACGGCTACGGTAAGGCGCGGGGCAACGCGCTGCAGCGGACCTAGCAGCTGGTGTGCGGACACAGGGCGGTACAGCTCTGAGGCTGCGTTTTCTCTGGCTCAGTGTGTGTGGCGCGACGTTCTGTGCGGTTTTCTAGGTTGGGGCTACCTCGATGCGCAGTCGCGAGTGCTCTAGCTCGCTGCAGCAACTGTTGCCTGCACTGTTTGCGTCGCGCTAGTGCTGCCCACAGCCATGAAATACGGTCACCGTCTTCGGGCGTTTTACGAGGTTTTCGGGGCAGCGGATCAGGTGGGCCCGGACGGCACTGCGCCCGACGCTCGGGAGCGCCCTGCACCTGGAACGGCGCCGAAGAGCCGCACGTCCGACTGGCACCGACAAGTCGAGCCTGAGGTCGTGTGCGACGTAGCCGAGAATGCCGGCCGTGACTCCTCAGCTGGCTACGAGACTTCAGCCTCGTCAGGGGCCGGTGGTGGCCGCGGCAGCTCGCAGCGCTCGCTTTCACCGGTGCCAGCGGAAGACACCACCTCGGAAGCTGACCCGCTGCCGGATGCTGCTGTGATGGGACCACGAGCACCGGCGTCGCAGCTCCCGGACCTGCGCTCTGAGCTCGGTGATCGATACCGCGCTTTGTACGCCATGTACAAGGCGGGAAAGGCCGCTGTCCGGTGCATACGCGCAACCATGGACGAGCACGCACCAAGGGCTCATCATCGGACATCAGTGCCCCCAGAGGCGCTGGGCAGACGCTCCCGCTATTTGAAGCTGCTGGGCAATAATCTGCAGCTGAGTCGGATCCCCAGTGACCTCGAGCAGGTGTTTGATGCGGTTTGGGTCTTTTTCGACTCCATTATCCGAGAAATTGGGGCGTTTCGAAGAGTTTTCGAAGAGCGCACAGCTGACTTGCAGTGCCGCCTGGATGTGCTGCGCCAACAGGGAGCATCTAGCAGCGTGCGTGGCGCGCTGGAGCTGGGCGCGGAGGCGGAGCAGGTTCTAGTGTGCTTGCAGATTGCCCAGGTTGCCATTGGAAAGATTTTGAAAAAGTTCACCAAGGCGTTGGCTCTGATCGCATCGGACGAAGCGGCGGCTCGCGGCTGGCATGGTTGGGATGTTGCGGATGTGCGCGAAGACGCGCTCGAAGGCGCAGGCCAGAGTGAGAGCGAGCAGAGCTCCACGACGACGACGTCAGCGACGCCGGCCGGCAGCGGCGGTAGGAGCGACGCCGATGGCGTTGATAAGCGGCGAGGCGGTACCCGCGGCGTTGGCAACGCCGCCCCGAACGCTATTCAGGATGCAAAACTCGAGCGTGCTGTACGGTTGGCCATGTGCGGGTCGCTGAGCTCGGCCCTAGCGCTGGATCCCTCTGAAGAGGCACCGCCGCTGGTGCTGGTTACGCGCCTTCGCAGATTCCTGGTGCAGCAACCTTTTGTGTGCGACCAAAGACGGTTGGGCTTTCTCGCCGATCTACGCCACCGTAAGGATTGCGCAGTTCTGGCGCTGCACCGCATCTTAGAAAGCCTAACACCAGCTGCGACCGGGGATGATGCGGCGCTGGGTGGTGCCCCTACCGGGCAGCTGCATACTGCGGCGGCATGTGCCCCAGGTCGGGGCGTCGATGGCGATCAGCGCACGTTAGGCGCGCTCACGCTGTTGCGGCACGTTTTGGACGATGTGCCTCCGCCAGGTGAGTACTCTTTGCATGCTCCCTCAGCGCATCTACCAGCTTTGCCGCCCGGCGGGCGTGTGCGACCTTTCGCAGAGGAGTGCCGCCTCTTAGCCCGCCAACTCGAGTCGCAGCTGGCGGCCTACAACCCGACTACAGATCCATCGTCGCCATACGAGGTTGCGACACGCTTCTATCTGGCGAACGTGGCTGCCTCTGGACCGGCGGTGACGGCCGAAGCTTTTCTCCGAGCTGCGCGATCCGTTCCTATGCACTTTTTGTGCCCAATATGCCTGGATATGCTTTTTGAGACCGTCGAGCTCCCCTGCAGACATCGTTTCTGCGAGGTCTGCATCCAAGAGGCACGCTTTTCCGCAGAGCTACAAGGCGCTACGCTCTCGTGCCCGTTGTGTCAGCCGGGTCTGTATCGCCGACACTGCTGCGAAACAGCGGACACGTCAGCGGTGCAGGCCGCGAGGCACGCATCGGCATCGCCCGAGGAATGCGTGTCGAGCGCCGAGCGCGATGCGCTGTCTCCTGCGGATGCGTGCGCACGGACGGAGCAACGCGAGCGGCGAGCGTCCTCTATTGACGGGTTACTGCGTGCTGCGTTTCCCGCGCAGTGGCGACTGCGCGAGCGGCAGGCGCGTGCAACCCGTGAGATGCTCGAACGTCGTCGACGCTTCCGCGAACGCGTCGCGCATCTGGATGCTGCCAAGCTGCGCAGCAGCGGGAATCTCGAGTCTGTGGCGCGGAAGCGGTTTCACTGGGTATGCCAGTGCTTTGGCGATCGTAGTGGCAGAGCGCGGCCAGTTGCGACACCTCCGCCTTCCGCAGGGGATGCGGTGGCTGATGTGGAACCTGCAGCCGACGGCAGGCGGGCAGGTCTCGTGGATGCGCGTGCTGGCGTGCTCGGGGACCCCAAGCCGGATGCCGCTGCGCAGACGCAAGGGAAGCCCGCGACGAGCGTGCCCCAAAATCGAGCGCGCAGTGCCTGTAGTATCGCATGAATGGGGCACGAGCGCTGCGGACGGGTTGCCACGCATCCGCAGTGGGTCCGTGCGAGGCGCGCCTGCGGATGGACCGGTGTTCGATGCGCTGCTATGCGTGTACGGATGCTTGGGTGATTACGCACATATGAATCGAGGTTTACGCAGTGCAGTGGGCAACGTGGCGATCTCTGCCACTGGCGCAGTGCAGGCCACGGGGACTCTGCTCGATGGGGCGAGAAGTAGCGATCGCGCGCAGTAACGTGGCCTGTGCGGGTTCATGAGCGCTTCCGGCGATATCCGAGTGCGGCACGCATGGATGCTGGAGGCCTACCTGTGGCGTCCTCGCCCGCACCACATTGTTCGCTGATAGACGGCCACAGAATGAACAGCCACAGTGGCGGCACACGGCTTGCGCTGGAGAACGTTGGTGCACTCGCTTTGCAATCCTCGTTCAGACCGATACGCACGCTCCGCAGAGATCGCAGCTGCTGGCTGTTATCGTCTGTTCACCTGGACGTGTGTGTGCTTCACGTCGGACACTGCCAGGTCTGGGCCGGACACCGCGCTGCGAAGGCGCGAAGCGGAGGCGGAGGCAGAGGCGGAGGCAGAGGCAGCGAGCATCGCAAATCGCTGCTGCTGGCATGCGCAATGGAAAGCGAGTTGTGCGCGTCTCGCCAAAGTGACCCAGCTGTGGGTAGTTACAGGGTCATGCCCCCGTGGTGAAATACGTGTTACTGCTTGTGCAATAACTGGGAGCGAAGCACTCGATCCCACTAATTTGATGGAATGCGTTCAGTGCATGCAGCGCTTGCTTCAAATCTTTCCGTGCGTTTGATCGCTACGTGGATGCTGCTTCGGACGACATCTCATGTCATGCAATTTCCTTCCGAGAAATCCCGATGCTTGACGCCATCGTGGCGCCCAGTGTATCACTTTATTTCATTAGATAGGCACGCCTCCGAACTAGAGCGGAACCTGCTCGTATCCTCAAACTATGCAAACGAACATAAAGACCTTGATTTCGAGACGATATTCGTCGTGCAAACGATTTCGAGGTGTAACGCACGAGGCAATGGTGTCCGGCTCGGATGCGGCTGGTGACCCACGAAGCGGCGCCCGACGCCGCAGCTGGCCGCATCCGTACGCGATGCTGGGTGTCTCATGGAGGTCCTTCCAATTTTTAGACAAGTATGTACGTCGTCTCGGGACGTGCCGCGATCTGCGCGCATGCCGCAGCGCGACGTCTTCTCAGAATATCTCAGGTTCTGCGTTCGCCGTCTGTCGCCCTTTCCAGAAAGCGCGATATCATGTTCGTAAGCGCTTGCTGCAACGGAACTCGTAACTTAATTGCGGTTCAGCGTCAACGCCGCGTAAAAACCAGCCGTTCAGGAGGATTCGCGTGTACAAGGCGCTTTGGACCGCGGCTGAAGAGGCTTCCACGCCTCGTGGCGGCTGTCGAGAAAGAGACCGAAAAGGTCCAGGGGTCGGTCAACGGGTCAGACGCTGACGCCGACGGTGGTCTTCAGGGCTACAAGAGCACTGATCCGCGAACAGGCGCGAGTCGCGAACTCAGTTTGGGCGAGAAAGAACGTCTGTACTTGGAGGCAGTGTATTCGTTTTACAACGGGGAACCGATTCTCAGCAACGAGGAGTTTAACGTTTTAAAGGAGGACCTGCAGTGGAATGGATCACAAGTCATCCTTATGAACCGAGACGAACAAAGGTTCCTGAACGCCGCTCAAGCGTTCTACAACGGCAAACCTATAATGAGCGATGAAGATTTCGACGCACTCAAGGATCGTTTACGGAAGCAGGGCTCCCAGATTGCCCTACAACAGGGCCCTCGTTGCAACATCGAAACTGGCGTGTGTTACAGTGACTGTCAAGTTGATAAGTTGCGGCAAGCGGTTATCTACGCACCGGCTGCTGGTATCGGCGCCCTGCTCTGGGCTGGGTTAAGTTTCGAGCTGACCCCGCTGCGACACGTCAACCCGGTCTGGAATCTGTTCATTGGGGCCCCCGTCATATACGCCTGCGCGCAGCTCCTGACGGGGATCGTGCTTCAAAATGATCCACAGATTGTGGTCGGAGAATGCCCATCTTGTGGATCGGAACAGCGAGTATTCTTCGGTGACATTCTCGGTGTTGAGGGTTATCGCGATGTAGCCGAAATCAAATGCGAGCGTTGCAAGGCGTCGCTGCGCCTCGACCGCAAACGCATGCGCCTAGAACAGATCCCGCGTATCCAGGGACCATCCATCAAACAGCGAGAGAACGTAGCACCAGCGTCGTAGTTGTGGGCGATCGAACTTCACGATTTGGCCCAGATGGAAAGCACTGGGATTCCTCGTGACACCGTTCCGAAAATCGATTTGAAAGGCTTGCGTCGTTCGTTGGTATGCAAAGCCCAATAGAGGCCAGCAACAGATGCGTCTGTGTCAATGTTAAACGGCTGTAAACCAGCCTTCGCCATATGCTTGCTCCTGCACATAACCAATTGCACCAATATTCGAAGAATGCGCACTTCACCGCTGTAGCGCCGAAATGCGACTGTACCAGTCATCCGATGTGCGAGTCGAGGCTTTGGGGTAGCTTCGCTCGTGCGTGCAAAGGCATGCGTCGAGACGATAGAGTGCGTATAACTAGTATGCCCCTACTCACAGGCGCTTCCCAGCCTTTTTGATTGGCTCCCTGCTATCGTCTTCAGTTTTTCCCTGTGCACTTCCAGCCTGAGAGGCTGTCCCACACATTTGGCTCGTGTCAACTCCGGGTGTGTCGTGTTCAGCACCGCACATATCCTTATAATGAAGACGGCGTTGGCGTCCCGGTTCTCGAACTCTATGAGTTTCTTGCCGATGCCTGTACGCACCCGTGCGAGGAGTCCTGGAGCTCGCGCCCTGTATACCATTTGCTGCTCAGTCAGCGCAATGTACTTTTCCATCTCCGAAGTGCTCCGCCGGATTTCCTCCATCGCGACCTTCTGAAGTGCGCAGCCCAGATCATAGTGTATACATACGATGTTCGGATCTCATCTATCCGTACCGTTACGAAATGATGTGCGCACTCCTCGTTCAATCGCGTAGATGGAGCGAGCATGCTCCCTTTTTTGGACGCCCGGCGTCTTGCTCCATCGACGAGAGCATACAAGGAGTGCGCATATCACGTCAACGCGGTACCGATAGACGACTTCCGAACATCGTACGTATATACTATGATCTGGGCTGCGCACTTCAGAAGGTCGCGATGGAGGAAATCCGGCGGAGCACTTCGGAGATAGAAAAGTACATTGCGCTGACTGAGCAGCAAATGAAGAGGAGGGCGAAAACTCGGGGACTGCTTGTATTGGTGAGTACAAGCGGCGGCAAGAAACGCATGGAGTTTGTGAACCGAGACTTTAATGCTGTTATCAATACCAGAAGATGTGCGGTACTGGAGAAGAGACCCCCAGCGTTGACACGAGCCAAATTTGTGGGAGAACCTCTCAAGGTCGAATTCTACGAGAAGAAGTTGAAAACAGTCGTAGGTGGCCGGTCCAAATAGAAGCGGAGGCGTCCGCACGTTGGTGTATAGACACGTCGAGTCTACGGCGGACGGACGCGCGCTCTTCGCGAAGGCCTCCGATCAGCACACGCAATATGCCCTGCGCGTAGGGCTTGCTTGAGGTGCAGACGTCGTTTCGATACGCTCTCGCTTTCGTGAACAGGCGTTCCTGGTGACGTTCATCTGATAACTAGGGTCTTGCACAATGCACAAACCGGCTTTCCTACACATAGGTTCACTCAGCTTGAACTCGGGCACCAGTGTGCGCTGGTTAAGGCCGTGTGCGAAAACTCACGCGAGCTGTTGCCGAGTGCTTGTGACGCAGAACCCAGCGTTCCGTGTGGCGCGCACCGGGACGAGCAGCTCTCACCACTGCAGGCTACGGACTACGAAATCGAGACTTTTCATGGCTTCTGGGCAGGTAGGTATCTTTACGCCGGTCGTCATTGTTGCGCGGGCAATTCTAGGGAAACAACGCTTCGAGAAAATTCGAGGTAGGGGCATTGCGCTCCACTCGCAGGCTATCACGAACTTTTGTAAGTTTGCAGGTGTCGACAATAAAGTTCGCCAAGGTCTCATTCGCATGGCGAAAGCGAATGGTAGCAAACTGGGTTTCCTGTCATGAAATGCTCTCTTCATAGCGGGATGAGCGACTCGGCTGCTGCGCGTGAAGCGCAGCTTGTGGATCCCTAGGCGGACTCACGTGCCCACAAAGCGAGGCCGCCGCCGCGACCACGACCAGCAAGAATTCTTGAATCTACGAAGAAAAAAGTGAAGAACGGCAGACGACGTCGATCTTTCAAGTCAAGCGCTTCTAAAGATGTTGGCCACTTCTTGATGCGTATTCGGGGCAATGTCGCGCCCATTAAATGCAAACGGAACTCGCAAAAGTCAAACATTAGGCGCCGCTGCTTCGGTTCGAACATCCATGGTCCAGCAAACTTGATGCCCGCGAGCCTGAACGGTAAGTGAGCCTCATTCGTAACGGCACGCGCTATGACGGACCCGTGGTTTTCAACGCTAAACTGTATCCTCGCTTCCAGTGGGAAATACAAGCCCGCCCTTAAGCTCGAAGGGAGTTCGCCTCGTCTCAGCCGCTCAGAGAGCGAGTTCTGTGCAGACTTTTGGATGCTATAGACCAGTCTCCAGCTTCCTTCGAGCTCCTTCTCTGTCCATAAGCCAGCAGGCTCTCCGCTCTGTCCCGACTTACCCGCTTTCACCCATCTCTCAAGAAAGAGAAGCGCTGTCCCGACTGAGGTGACGTCTGGAGCGGGCGCTCTGAAAACGGCGGGTGCTGCAGCCGACTCCGTGGTATTGTAGTGCAAGCTGCGAGAAAGCACAGAACCCGCTGCCGCGTGCAGTACCTGCACAGCCTCTTTGGGTGCTTCAAAGCCAGCCCTTCTGGGACTTGCACGAACAGCCTTCCACGGCGTTCTTGAACTCGAACTCGCCCGCAGTAGCGCAACGCTGAACATAGAGCCTAGCGAGATAGCGCTCGAACACGGGAACACAAGGCACAAACGCACACCTGCCGCCTCAATGACGCAGCTGTGCGTCGAGCGTTCCGGGTCATGCCGCTTGCATCTGCAGCGCCCTGTTCAGCAGAGTGCACTCAGCGGCAGGCCTGAGGGCGTTAGACTCGAATGCACTTCTGCGTCTTTCATCGTCAATGCACCGATGCACCTGCCATTTACACAGTTAGAAGAACCTGCACGAGACGCAAGCGAGCGATTACAGTGGGACGCCAGGGCGGCTGGTCTCCAGCCACGTGAACAAGTTGCACCCACATCGCGGCGAGAAGACGAAGCGAACTATGCCTGGGAGCGACGCTATGAACGTAGCTGGGAGGCCATAGGTGTCAGCGATGCTGGCGGGGGTATCTTCCGTCGAGATGCTCTTGATCAACAGCGCCAACGGCACCGTGACTTGGAACGTGTTTTGCAGGACAGCGCTGCTTCCGCTGCACGTCGCCGCGTTGGTCGTGCGCTAGGCCTCATTCGCTTTCTGGTGCTGGCGCTGGACCTCTCCGCTGCGGTGCGCTCGCGCTCGCGATCCAGCTTAAGTAGTAGTAGCCAAGACCTGAAACCTTCCCGCTGGTCGGCAATTCTGTCGGGCGCTCAGTATTTTGTTCAGGACTTTTTCAGCGAGAACGCCGTATCCCAGCTGGCGATTGTTATCCTCCAGGACGGCATTGCCGCGCAGGTAAGCGAGATGTCGGGTTCTGTGCGTCTGCATATTGATGCGCTGCGCAGTCTTCAGCGAGGCACAAACAAATTTCTCCACGACGGAGACGGCGGCCAGACCTCTCTCCAGAACTGTCTAGAGCTGGGGCTCCGGATTCATGCATCTGTCCCGAGATTCGGCACCAGAGAGATGCTGATTGTCTACGGAGGGTTATCCACATGTGATCCAGGTGATATACATAAGACTATCCAGAACTGTGTCGACGCAAGTATTCGGGTGAGCGTGATCGGCTTAGGTGCCGAAGTTTACATCTTGCGGGCTACAGCGGAGCGAACACAGGGCACCTATCGTGTACCCATGGATAATGATCACTTCCATCAGCTGCTGCGACAACAGGTGCCACCACCGCCACCACCGCCTCAGGCTTCACGTTCCACGAAACACCTGGAACCATCCGAGGCACCGTGGACGGCCATGCAGATGGTCATGGGCTTCCCCCCGAAACTCGCTAGAGATCGCGTAGTTGTCGCCATCGATACACGAAAGGCGTGCCGCCTCGGATTCGAATGCCCACGATGCCGGCAATGGCTGTCCGAAGTCCCCGGTAACTGCATCCTTTGCGGGCTCACGCTTACCAGCGTACTCCACCTGGCTCGCTCGTATCATCACATCTTTCCAGCACCGCGTTTCGAGGAGCGTGAAGAGCCTTCCTCTTCGCGTGCGAGCGCGCTCATGAGCGATGAGGAAGGTTTCAGCGTATCTCCATCTTCGGTGCCTGAGCGTATGCCGGATGCGGCCGCACCACCCGTGAAATGGCAATGCAGCGGCTGTTCCCGCACTTTATCGACAAAGGATGATCTGCAGCTGCAGTGCACTGGTATATGTCGACAGCTTTTTTGCATTGACTGCGATCAGCTCGTCCACGAGCGATTGCATACGTGCCCGGCCTGTCTGGCGATGAGCCTGAATATGCGGCAGCGCAGCATCCCGCGAACGATCACCTGAATGGCAAAAGGAGCGCGTGCGTCACCGCTTATCGGAATTCATGAAAATCTGTATTGCTCTGCTCCGTAAGGATCGTTTTTCGCTCGAGTTCGCGAAACCTGGCAATCGACTGATCGCGTGCCTCATTTTCCATCATGTTTCCGAGCTCAGGTGGTGCATCATTTGGATCAATCTGCTGCTCGCGATTGAGCTCCTCCAGCACCGACTGCGCGACGTGTAGATCCCCGTAACCAAAGCACTGACTGCATCGCTCTTTGCGCAGTCCCCCGCAGAGCGGACATCGGAGCAAGTTCCCGTACGTCAAGCGTATGGGCAAGTAGACCATGATGCGATTGCTCTTAAAGTTCTGCTGGTACTCGCTCTCGTGTATGATGCCGCGGCCGCCGCAGTATTCACAGGTCTCCCAGCCGGAGCCATTACATGTGGGACAACAAGTTTTCTCCTCGAGCTCCTCTAAAGTTTGTTTCGTTTTCGGTGTTGACGAGTCCAGCTTGCGACTGAACAAGTTCTGCATGGCAAGCCGGAGCTGCTCTTCTATTTCACCGCTCGGCACCAGCGGGCTATTCTCATACGCCACAAGACACCGTAGCACTCGCTCGGGCGCCTTCTTGACAACCGTATCGATTTCATTAATGCGACACTTTTGGCCGTTGAGCTCGCAGGCCGACCAATCCGGCTCGTCCGAAGGCGACGGGTCCGGCCCCGGCTCTACGATGCTACCGTGACGAAAAAACATGTCCAGCGTCGCCGGTGACAGCTGTTTCGACTGCGAGTTTCGACGTGCGACCAGGTCGGGGATAGTCTCAGCGTCTTCATACTTCGCCTTGCGGTTGGTCCTTTCGGTCGGTCTCGCATTCGAACGCTTCCGTGGCCGCGCGGCCTCGGGAGTTACACCTGACTGCGCAGGGTGCCGCGCACGGCGGACGTTTCTCACGTTCGCATCAGCGAGCTTCTTCTTCCCTGTCTGTGGTTTCGAAGCAGACGGCTCTGCGCAAGCTACCGCAAAGCAGCAAACACGAGTGCTTCCACGCCTGACATGGGGTTGGTATAACGCCAGTTCAGAAAACATTGCACCACGACCCCGACCACCACCACCACCTCCACCACCAACACCACCAAGAACAGAGACGAGTGATTATGAAAACCGGAATAGGTGGTATGGATTCGGGTACGAACGCGCTATGCGCGCTACGCCCGTGCGTAAGCTTGAATCCGAGTCCTGAGCGACTCGGTTTGCTCCGGTCTCCCCATGATTCATCGGTATTTCCATTCGATTGTTTTCGATCTCCAAGTGCGTTGAATCAAATGCTTTTTCGTGGGTTGTAGCGGACGCGTTCGGAGTGCGTTCATTAGAAGAAATGAAAAATCAAAGGGAAAGGTACGGGCATGGAGGTCGCGGATGCTAGAGGGCGTTGATCGCCTGGTACCGAAAAGAAGAGGAAAAAATCCTCTGCTCGTCGACTGTCGCGCGATGAAGACCAAGTGACGAAGGCGAAGAAGAAGAGACAGAGAGGGAATCGTTTAGAAAACAGGTTTGTCTGACGGGATGATGGCGAGACTGTATTGGCACAGAGGGCACGAGTTCCAGCAATCCGTGCATTGGTGAGTTCCACTGGCGTCCATGCATGCAGGGTTCTCGTGAACGAAGACTTGAACGTCCGCATCCGTATCAGACGATATCCGGTGCTGAAGAAAAGACCTGAGGAGACGATGCGATCCGAGTTCGTGGAGCAGCTTGTGACGCTTGTATTATGCAGGGAGAAATTGAAACCGATAACAGTCTGCAGGTCGAAAAAGGCCGAGAAGCGCCTGCGAGGGGGTATCTATTTACCAACCACATTCGCACAGCGTTTTCCGTTTTATTCACGATATTCATCGAACCTGCTTCACATGTACGGCCTCGAGATTCCAAGTGCACCAAATAGGGTTTACAGCTTCATACCGAGATCCTTGGTTCTCGGTCGTGTTTTTCGAGTGGCTTCTTCGAATCTCTGCATCTGGAATTCGTTGTGTTACTGGACTCAAGATGATTCGCGAAGCCCGCGAACAACCATTCGTAAAGCAACCGATATCAGTAAGCCATTGATCCATACAAACCTCCGGTCTGCTAATTTCCAAATGCAGAGCATTCTCGACTCATGCCTGCTTCGAGTTTTCGATGTTTATGGTTCAGGGCAACTCGTGAGCAAAGCGATTTGCGCCCTGGATTGACGACAAAAGCGGTCGACGTCATCCCGTGATGACTGGTTCACAAACTAGTATAGAGAGGTCACTGAAATTCTCCCGTCAAATAAACGATTCCGTTCGAAAGATGTATCCGCCTCTGTTTAGAGTATGGGCGCAACCGTTCTCAGATGCAGTTTGATATCTTTCACGATGTATACTTCCCGTCGCACTTGTCTCTTGCGCTAGCAAGGAAACAGGTCCTGGACTCAGAATCGTAGTCGTCAGAGTGATCGCTTCCAGTGCAGACTGCGTCATTGTTTTGCGAGAAGAGCGCCTGGGCGGATTGAAGTTCCTTGCGTTGCTCTCCAGCCCAGATGCCCTTTCGGTGCTTGTTTCATCGTAAACAACAACATGTTCCACGAAAACTCTGTCCTGTGGAACAGCGTGCGCTTGCTTACGCACCGGACAGGGTACTCGTCGAGTCGATGGATCGCAAGGAGTGCCTGGACTTCAGGTACGGCACCGGGCCGCCGAAGCCGAGAAGGGCATCGACCGGAGCGTTCTGTCCTTGTTAAGAGTATGTACTCCGCGACGAAGCAAGTGTGCATGGGCCAAAGGTTTGCCTTCAGAAGAGCAGCAGGTATGGTGTACATTTTGGAATACCGGATCATAGCCGTGTCTCTCCGCTGCGAAGGGCGCATTGAACCTGCATACGCAGAAGATGAAAACGACAGGTAAAGCGTGGATCTCAAATAGCGGCTGCGGATGAAATGCGCCGACAGCTGCCGAATGCAGCTTGATCGGGACCCTAATGCTGCCGTCTGTATACCTCGGCTGCTTACAACGGCGCTCTACGAAATAGAGAGACCGGGATACTTCAGGCCGGAGATTAGAGAGAGCACAAAAGGAAGCAGCCATAGGAAACGCCCGCAATAGCTGGTGTTGATGAGACTGCACTGGGACCTAACCTATACTGTGTACGTCCGAGTTGGCGAACCGATTCCATTTCCGTCTGACATGGGTGTCGCGCATGCTTCACGCCGGCGATGAACATCTCCGACGTGCAATATCAGTACGTTTCAACAGCAGCTCCGAGTCGAGTACACTTTACAATACAACGCTTCGAGATATTGAAGAATCTCGGTGGATAGACCAGATCTGTTCGCCCAGCAATGCGTCAATCGTGACGACGCGCAGCTGGGGAAACTGCTTCTCTCGAGGTACAGGTATGGTATCGGTCACGATGACTTCCTCGAAGAGACCCGGTTCGCTCAGACGCTCAATCGCAGGTCCACTGAAAACCGCATGCGTGGCCATCGCGAAAACACATGCTGCGCCTTTTTCGCGCAAGAGGCGCGCCGCCGCGCATATCGTGCCGGCGGTGTCGATCATGTCATCAACTAGGACTGCGATTTTCCCGTCTACCTCTCCGATCAGGTTCATCACTTCAGCGACATTGTGTCCGGATCGTCGCTTGTCGATAATCGCGAGCGGTGCATCACAAAGCGCCTTGGCAAAGGCCCGCGCGCGGGCAACACCGCCGACGTCAGGTGCGACAACAACAAGATCCGCGAGTTGTCGGGCTGCGCCATGATGATTCGTATCCGCCGAACTTTGCTCGATTCTCTCCATCAGGTACCTAACGAGTGCCGGTGACGCATACAGATGATCAACCGGAATGTCAAAGTAGCCGCAGGATTGCGGCGAATGGATGTCGACCAGAATCATCCGATCCGCCCCGGCACGCGTAATCAAATTCGCCATGAGCTTCGACGAGAGCGCCTCGCGTTTCTCTACCAGCCGATCCGCTCGAGCATATCCGTAATAGGGTACGACGACGGTAACCTGAGCGGCGTGCGCCCTCTTGACTGCGTCGATTGTGATGAGCAGTTCCATGATAGAATCTGAGATGCACGGCCCGCAGGTGCTGCAGATGAGAAACACATCACATCCTCGCACAGACTCGGGGAGTTTCACGTACAGTTCGCCGTCAGAAAAGCGCTTTCGAATGATGCGATCGGTGCCTTCCTTGCCTAGATACCGCGCAACTCGGTCGGGCAGTTCTCCGGTGCTACTGCCGCCGAATATCCGCAAGCGCGACGTACCAAAGTTCAGTCCAGAACGAATAACCGTATCGGATTGCCGCACAAACGGTTCATAGACGGACACGTAAACGCCCTCTCCCCGACGCTCCTGCTTTTTCTCCGGTGGTTCTGCGATCGCCTCAGGGATACGGACTCGGGAGCAGCTGCCCGGTGCCCAGCTCGCTTCACGTCTTCTACGTCGGAAACCCGTGATCGACGGCCGCCACCGCGAGCAGTTCTTCAGTGAAACACTTCTCTGCGGATGGCTCAGTGTCGGACGCAACGCAACGAACTGGGGGCAGGCGTGCATCGCGCGCAAAGAAGCACAAAACTACCGAGCTTTCCGCACGCGTTTCGCGTTCTACAAAGCGGCTTCGGAACGAGTGATCCAACACCGCAAAAGTTGCTGTGTTATGCGTTGACGAAACCGAAGCAGGGTCGCAAGGCAGGGCCCAAAAGGCGCGACTCTATGGACAACGCTTCTAGGGTCCTCGAAAGGCACTAGAGGCGGTACACGCGCTCAAGCTGTTTCAACGTGTCCGGTACAGCACCGTGTCGTGCGTCAAGCGAGCACAGCACCGGCTACTAGACGGCATCGCGAACGCGGGTGGCGCGCAAAGCTGTTTCGCGATGCGCGGCGGCGGGACGACGGCGATCGCTGGGCCATTCAGCCGCGCAGGGACACAGGCACCAGCGCATTTTTTCATGGACAAAACGTTAACTGGGGCCAGCGCTCTCCGATTATGCGCATTTTTCTTTTCTTACTTTTTTTTTGTGTTTATTTTTCAGTGCACGGTAAAGTATTCATCAACTCCTACCTCCAAGTTACATTACCCAGACTTTTTTCTCGGATACGCTGGTCGTTTCATACGTCCTATCGTGTGAGCCTAGTACCTGCCGAAAGCGACCGCTATGGCGCCTATAGCGCCGGTGCGGTCGCTGCACGGAGACAGAACGGCGTTGCCGTAGCACACACAGAGGGCGTCGGCTCGAGGAGCAGCGCCTGGACGCCGCGCACAAAGGTGCGCGGATCTCCACCAAATGAGCGCTCGGCATGCAACATGACGCAACTGCCTTGAACGAATGCCTCCACGGATCGATGAAAATCGTGTTATCTCTGCTTGACGTGTACCATGGGCGTTGCACTCTGAGCGTTGCGGGATCGATCAAGCGTGTAGCGTTACGGGGAATACGGGTCCAGGGTTCAGATACGCAAAAACGTCTGGATGAGCGCATCGATTTCATTTCCGATTACCGATGGCAATCTGGTTCAGTACATCGACCATGTACCATAAAAGCAGGGTGCAATCGGGGTAGCGCTTCGTTGTGTGCGTCACGGCAATTCAATAGCTTTGCCAAGTCTTAGAGAAATATCTTGGGGTTGACGCGTTCGAGTCGCTTCGCCGAAGAGATGCGAGGCACCACGGGTGCCGGCGTTAGAGCGCACCGCTTCGCCTGCTCCGAAACGGACCCGCATCGTCGCCTGGCCGTATTGAGGATGCCAATTCCCGGTACTGATGATACGGTCGAAGATGCTGGGGATTGCGTGACGGGCGCCTGCTACCTGTCGCATGTGCGGCCAAGTCTCTGTTGCACGCGGAGGCACCGCAGGAGCAGAGAGACTTCTCCAGTTCTGGAACTCGTCGCCCAGAGCGATGAACGCGCCTGCGAGGCTGCCGAATACCCAGTCCAATTTCGACTTGCGGAACGTACGCTGACTCCTCTTATTGTATGGATGCCGTTTCGTGAACAGCGGTTTATGCCAGCCGAGCGTTAGATTGGAATGGGATACTGCACTGCACGCGCTGGCCCTGCCTTTCGATTTTTTTCCCCGGCATTTTCCTAGATATACGGTCTAGACACTCAAAGTGCAACAATCAGGGCTTGGGAATTCATGCGCAGTTTCCGGATTCCCGGTCCGCGTTACTGCGTGCCACTTTCGACGCGTTGCCCCTGTAACTCGATACGTCACCGGGATCGAGATGCTTCTCGACGCCGCCAAACAAAGGTTTGTAAAATAGCCGATTTTATGAACCAATTTGTAGGCACAAGCCTCTACCGCTATCGCGTTCCTTGTGTATAGCATGCGCAAATCATGCATGCTTCATGTTTTCGATCTTTCTGTTTCAAGGCAACCCGTGGGCACAGCAATGCTCGCCACTGGACTGGCGCGGCATGGAGCCCGACGTCGCTCCTTGACGACGTGTTCACACGCTCACGCCCAAGCCTCATCGTGCTTCTCGTATCAAATGATCGAATCCTTTCGAAAGACAAATCCTTGTGTCCCTGTGGTCATCCGCGAGACAGGGAATTCGACAGCTGCATCGTACGTTACACGGGGATTCGCGCCCAGATGCACTCGCCTCTTCTGGTTGCATGGAATAAAGTCCCTGACTATAGTCGTCGCAGCGATCGCCTCTGGTGCAGACTGGATCACCGCTTCGCTGTAGAACAGCGTGGACGGATCGAAATCACTCGACTGGTTCTCCTATGGGCGTTATCATTCGCTCGATTGTTCCACCAAGGCCAATATCGCATTCCACGAATCCCTTCTCAAACGGGACAGCGTATGCTTGCTTTTGCACCATACAGCGCACTCGCAAAGGGAATCGCCCAGAAGAAGCCCGTCATCGTACGGTACGGCATTGGGCATGCAAACAAAGAATGGATTCGACGAGCGCCTTCTACGTCAGTCGCGGACATGCATCGAGCGCTGAAGTAAGCCTTCGCATGCCACCGAGCGGCGCTCGGTCCAGGAAGAGCTGCGGCAGACGCATATGCGAGCGTCTGATCAGAGTCCAGTCTCAGCGCTGCGGAAGACACACCGAAGCTGTGTACACAGAAGACGAACATGGCGAACGACGTGCGGACCGCAACTTGCCCCTACGCGTGGGACGCGTTACCAAGAGCGGGAAGCGGCGAAGTCGGAACTTGAACGTTGCCATCGACATCTCTCGACTGCTTACACGGGAGCTTCAAGGACAAGACAGACCGGCATATGTACATTCGGAGCTAAGAGAGCGGCAAAGGAAGCAGTCGCAGAAAGAGCGTTCAAAAGCGAATGTCCATGACAGAGAGAAAACCGCGATTTTAACCTGTACGTTCGTGTCTGGGGACCTATTCTCTTCCATTACGACTTGGTTGTAAGCGCAACATGCGAATGCTTGGAATCAGAGTTGACATTTCTCGTTCATAAGCATGGTCTGGCGTACGTGGAGGCCGATTGCCCGTATGCACAATACGCACATCGTGTGGCATTCATGAAGAATGTGCATGGCCCCTGTGAGCGAGCGGAAACTCCACATGTGCTACGAGCAGCGCGAGTCCACGGGAAGCAGCGTCGCGAAGCGCTCCATGAATAGCCTACCCTCGTACCCAGAAAAGGTGTTTTCTCCCCCCAGTACCTAATTCAAGGCATAACCAAACGTGCTCGGGCACGCTCGCTCTAGACAGCGTTGCGAACAACCGCACCGAGTTTTGGGGGAGAACGCTCCCTGGTACCGCTCCGCGCGCTTAAAAACGCCGATTATCAAACTCATCTGTGTCGGGCGTGGTGCCTTCCAGAGCTACAACTTCGATGCACTCTGGGATTCGGTCCCTAATAAACTTGTCCAGTCGTTGCAAAACGACAACTCTCTGGTGCCAAAACTGGCCCTTTAGGGCTAACACAACGGTTGCACCGTCGATGCCTACCAAGGAAACCTCCCCGGTTATACCGACCTGACGGTTTTCCTCACTCCCAAAGACAGTCGAGAACGTCTCCTTCGCCTCATGGAGAACAGCCTGGACGTTCTCTTCAGTGAGGACGCGTTGAAACTCGGCGCGAACAGCAAGGAGACCTGGTACCGGTCGTCGCATTTGCTTAGCATAACGACGACATTGGCACCGGCCAACTGTGTCTCGCCTTGGTCGTGAGAAATTTCTGGGCTCGAACACACTGATTAAAAACATGCGTGAGGTTTATGCGACCGTGCTTTCGAGCGGAAAACTCCAGTCAGCCAGCTAGCCAGCTAGCCAGCTAGCCAGCTAGCCAGCTAGCCAGCCAGCCAGGGTTGCTTGTGCGCGCACGTGCACCAAGCCGTGGGGAGCGGCGCCGAAACAAAAACCTGCAGCCCCAGCGCGCTGCCTCGAGAATAAACCCGCGTACCCTGAAGACAACGCTGAGAACCCTAACGATGCCAATTAGAAAACGTTCAACCAACAAAGTTCACGGCTGTGAGAAACAGCACCAGGTGACCCAGAAGCCAGCCTACGTACGCACTCTCGAACGATCGGTGCTCCCAGCGGTTCAATTTGGTTCGGTTACGGGCGTTGATCTGCATCCGTAAACCGACGGTTAACACAGCGCTCCCGATGAGACAAAAAGCAGCCGCTAGTAACGAGTTGAACGGATAGGTGCCTACGACCGCTGCAAAACTCGTGATAACACCCAGTACAACTGCTAGGAAAGCAACGTACGAATCAAGAAGTTGCAGCTCCGACGGAACCTTTGACCGATACCCTTCCTTGAGGGACCTCCAAACGCTGCGTATGGTCAGGTCCGTAGAAGCCATACCTGGATGATGACGTATAGCTGCGGAAGCGTTCGTAGGTGCAGCGTCATCTCCTGTACAGCGATCGTCGAGGGCGTGCGCGCTCCACCAGAGCGCGCTGTAAGCGGCGCTTCACTCGAGACGGTCGATTCGGGCGATGAGCGGCGCTTGCGCGTTCCACTGGTGCCCGCGACAGATCGCAGACGGCTTTCTTTTTCGAGCTTGTGTCGTATCCGGACTACACATTTGAGGTGCTGGCTATGATAAGATTGCTCTTGATGACGCAAGTAATCGCAGGCATCCTGTTTGTGCTCATGGGTACACTGCAGCTCGTAGGCTGGGTTCGGGCGAAGCATCCGCAGTATCTGAAGGAATTCAGAACGCTATATCCCCGGGCGAGGAAATGCATGTTTCCTTTCATTTGATGAAAGCACGGAAGGCTCAGGAAATTTGTTTGCACGCCAATGGGCACATCCTGACTTGGATGTGCGAGGCCGGTGCGCATGTGACTTTTCGTCACTTTTGGATGATGGTGGATTCGATGATCGTTGCAACCGGTGCATCGTGGTCGTGCCGATGCTGCCGCCGCACATGCCGTGGAGCGTGCTCAGAGTCGTGATGATGCTCGATATTCGAGCTAGAAAAGCGCACTCGGATTGTTTTCCCAGATTACCGTAGCGGCGACTTGTCATCATCCTGCATCTGAACGTTTTGGGCATCGTCATGATGCTCGATATTCAATCGACAAAAGTGCTCTCGGATTGTTTTCCCAGAATACCGCAGCGGCGACTTGTCATCATCCTGAATCTGAATGTTTCGGGTACGTCTTAAGTTTACGCACTAGGAAACCGTGGCTTCCCGTGCGGCTTTGTCAAGCACTGTTCGCGACCAGCATGCCATCACCAGAGCACCTGGCGCCGGCCGGAGCCTTCAGCTTCTTTTACCGATCGTTTGATAGCGTCAGTCAAGATGGATCGGTTCTGGACTTCAGCTCCATCACGAGTGTTTTAGACAAAACGCCATCAGTATCAGATGATGTATGGTGATGGAGGTGCGACCTGCGGAGCTGGTGCGATCCAACTTTGGGCGGCAGCCTGCGAGGCTAGAGATATGCAAGGAGAGGCTGAAACCGATCGCAGTCGGCAGGTCAAAACAGGCGGGGAGGCGTCTGCAATTGGGTATCCCTTTACCCTACATGCGCATAGGACATTTCTCGGTTTCATTGAGTATAAATCCGAACGAGCCCCTCTGTTCTAACTTTGGAGTATGCACTTAATAAAGTGCCTCCTCCAAACCTCATCAACACCAGCCTTCTAAGGCATTTCTTTGACCGCTTCTTTTACGCTTTCGTTTTTGCGGCTTTCAATACGCCAGTCTCTCCTTTTACTCTAGCTTCTTCTTCAACTGACACAGGATGCGGATCGCCGTACTCAAGTCATGATTTCGCTGCATGGGTTGTTGCCGATGTAGTCCAGGCACAGGCGCAAGTTGCGATCTACGCTTCGCTTGCCGTTTTCATCTACTGCATATATGGTATGCGTGCGCTCTTCGCGGCTGTGACGCTTGACTGTGATCAGGTGTTCCCGTGCGCCAACAACATCTCCACTTCCGATAACCGCTCTATCGCACGTGAACGCTCGCCTCATCGCTCGGTATATGCTCTTGACGGGTAGAGAGGTTCCCGTCGGTACCCGCCTCCGTTTCCGCGCTCTTTGTCGTACCCTGCGATCACGGGCTTCTTCGAGACGATTCTTGTGACAAGTACCTTGTACGCGGCACACGCACATACAGGCTGTTCTATTCGACAGAGAATTCGTGGAATACGAGATTGTCCATAACAAAACAAGAATCGGAAGGAATACCTAGGCTGAAGAACAAGCCGAGAAATCTCGTTCAGTCAACGTTCCCTGTATACAAAAAAGTAACGGACTCTTTCCTTGAAGCGATCGTTGCGATGACGCGGACCCATGTTCCAGGCTGTATTCCTTGCTGACAGAAGAGACGAGAGTATCTCAGAAAATGTCACGTGCGACGCATCGCGCTGCTGTCGAATGAGGTTTCGTCAATGGCCACGAAGGCAAAATAGTGTGTTTTTCGATTCGAATGTATGATTTGACTTGAGCGATTCAATCAAGTTTCGGGGTTAGCTCGTGAACCAATCGGCAAGAGTCGACGTCATGGCACATCGCTCATCGCCATTTCCGTGTCGCGAATTGCTGCGCCCATGAGTCGCAAGGCAAAAAGGTCTAAAACATGAAAAACGCGTGCTTTGTGCACACTACAGCTGAAGAAACGAGAAGCGTGGGGCTCGCACGCATGAATTTTCTCATGTTACCGATTTTTTTCCGAACCACAGTTCGATCATTCCGCGAATGACCTCGTTTCCAATGATGTTTCGAATTCCAGCGGCAAAGCGTCGAAGGAGCTACGCCCAAAACCACGATCGAGTATCCACAACCCACGTCCGACTTGGTACGTACATGTTGCTTGCAACAGAAATCTAAAGCCTGCACACCTAAAAATCTCGGATAATATCGCTAGCCCCGAACAGAGTAACCTGTTCAATGCTCTATGCTGATCTGATCCAATTTTTTCGTAAGCAGCAACGCGCCTCCCAAAATCGCCACCTTGTCACATGGCGCGGGATGCGCTGTACACAGAGGCGCACGACACCGCCTGTCCTCTGTCACGGGGCGCCGCACGAACAACAGCGCCTGCGCTTCGGCGCCGAAGGCGATGGACCGCCGCCCGCCCGACGCGAGATCGCAGGGCCGTCTACGTACGGGCCAAAATGGGGTAACCGGAAAATCGATCGCACCGTGTTTCCTCTACACCATGTTCCTCTCCGTGTATCCAACCTGGCTTTGTGTTATCTCGGAAGAATCAGCAGAAAAGACACTTGAAACTGAGGATCATTTTTTTAAGAAGGAATGGTAGTGGAGCACGCAACCCAGATCGAGGCCTGGGCCGCGTGTCACTCATCCTTTATGGTGGGCGTGACTGTTGGCCTCGTGCTTGCGAGCCTGTGCACGCCTTTCGTTGGGTTGACGAACACCCTGCGTATGGTTTTACAGGCGCAGATTGGAAGTTTGGCAATTGCGTCCGCTGGACAATTTTTTAGCCTGATTTCGGCTTATAACAACGGGGTGTTTCACCTGGACGCTGACGGTGGGTTGTGGGCGCTCGAGTCCGCGCTCGGCGCGGGGTGCTTCAGTGTTGGCAACCTTTTCGGGGCATCCTGCGGTGGTCTTCTGGGTACTTTTCTCTCGATACGGTTCGGGTTCATAATTGCGAGTGATATTGAAGAAGAGTGGACGCTGCTGTCTCGGTGTGCTATCGAGGGCATCCAGCGACTGGCGATCATCGGGAATCCGAGTGTACTGAAGCGCATTGTAGCCATACGGACTTCAGCGCTGGCGGTGAATGCGCAAACAAGAGTTCCAGGGGAGCACGAACAGGAGGTCTTTCTTATCCGTGGCCTCGTTTCGCGTGCGAACCGAGATGGCTCGTCGACGCTGTCAGTGCGGGGCGACCAACGGACGCTAGCGTGAACGAACGAGGCGCTCTGGTGCCGGCGCATACGCTCTGCACAGACCGGTTCCAATATTTTGAAGCACCCAGTTATGACCGTGTTCAGAAGATCCAATTGCATTTTACCTCTATGCACAGAACGAAGTTTGAATAGTGATAGCAACTGGAGGCTAATCCGCATCAAAGACTGACTCAGTGCGCATCGCACTGGAGGCACTGCCCAGGAGAACTGTGTGTGTGTGTGTAGTGCTTCGACAGTCACCAGGGAGCAACCGGAGAGCTCATTCCGGCGCGCTGCATTGTAGCGCAGCGCGGCAACAGGGTTTCGCAGTAGTTTCGCCGACGAGATACGTCCAACGGTTCCAGTCGCACCATTGCGCACAATGCGAAACTCGAGTCGCAGAGGCGAACAACTTGCTCTTCACGCCATGGCCTCCGTGACTATGTTACAGAAGGAGACCGTGTTTCGATCATTGCACCCGAAAACCGCTTAAAAGGCCATGTTTCTGCCACTGCACTGGACACACGCACATACACACACCACGCCCGGCCTGCCGTGATTCAGACTGCGGATGCAGCGATGGAAGACCAGGTGGGTACGCCGTCGTCGCCCGAAGCGTTTGCGTCCTCAAACGATACGTTGAAATCCAGTTATCGAGCACGCGCCCCTCGGAGGATCGCGAGATAATCTTATTTCCGAGTAACGCGCTTAGTAGGTCCATCAGGTGAAAGGTCGCTGCATCCATTGAGCTACAGTTGCACAGTTGCATACTGGATACAAATTTAGCAGGTACATCACCCGAAAGGTCTCAGCTTGAATCGAGCTACAGCACTGGAAACGCACACTGGACTCGACGTGGTGGAATGCGGTAGTGTTCGCGGAAGCATAGCGTGCTGCGCCCTGCGTATCTGGTAGATAGCGAACTCGATTCGTTGAGGCTACGTCCTGAAAAACGTACCCCCTCGAGAGCTCGTGCTCCGGCGCAGAGGTCAATGCAACAAAGCGATCTACCTCTCCAACGATTCCCGGTTAGTCGTTTTCGATGGCGGTTCATGCGCGCCAGTGCTCCGTCGGCGTCGCTAATTCAGCAACCACTGAGCGCTGCTACCACATGAACATGCTTCCATCTATTACGGAGCTCGATCGTATTCAGCTCCGTCAATGCTGAATATTTCGATGCCCTCCGATACGGCAATGCGTATATCCTCTAGGGCGTCGGCTACCTCACGGGCAGTGGAATCGCTTTCCGTTTCCAGATTGCGTCCACAGAAACGCGAGCTATCTCGCTCCGAGACAGAAGACGTCGACGAACTCAGTTTCACTTGATGATCGATCGGAAAGCTGCTATCATGGCCTCCTCTGGTGCGCCAGGCCTGGAGATACTCTCCAAAAGCATGCAGTGCGTGAGGAGCGACATAGGTATACGCTACAAGGTGTGTATCGGGGGCGCCTTCAGCCGGCATCCAGTGCGGTGAATGGGGCGACACACTCCAGCTGTCGTCTCGGTGCGCTGTCGATGCGCTGGGGCTACCCATTCTCGAGCCAGAGTCCACAACCGGCGTGATCGGCGGGCGCTCCAGTCGCTCGCGGATTCGTTTCCAGGAAATTCCGCGGAACCAGCGATGGTGCTGTAAGCAGAGCGCATGACGAAGCCTCTCCTCCGGAGAGCGGCAGATTAACTGACGCACCAGCGACTGCGCCTCGGTGGAAACGTACGAGGGAAATTTGATTTTCGCTTTCATAATTCGCTTGTACAGAGCCACGCGCGAGTGAACATTCTCTGGAGGCGCTTTACCGCCAGTCTTGTTATCGGCGGCTGCCTGGGCTGCAACTTTTGCTCGCCTTCCACGATCGCGTTTTCCAACCAGGCCTTGTGCTCGGACGGAAAAAGGCGGCTCCCCGGTAAGCATCTCGTATATTAAACATCCAAACGACCAGTAATCCGCTGCGAAAGAATGTCCCTCACGAGCGAGGAGCTCCGGAGCCATATAGTGCTCTGTACCGCACCAGGAATGGGTGAGAGAGCCGCTATCGACGAGATCAGATGCGTCTATCGACTCGAGCTGCGTCTGCATCGCACTGTCGTTTGGCGCTGATACGGCGTCTGCGTGGGCGGCCCCTGCGGTTCCACCGTTCCCTGGTGCACGGCGGAGGGATGCGTCGGCGCTCTGCGCCATGCCTGCACCTGTCTCAGTATCTAGGCGGCCCATGCCGGCTTTGCTGAGTCCAAAGTCGGTTAAGGCTACGTGGCCTTCATGGTCCAGGAGGACGTTCTCGGGCTTCAGATCCCGATGAACAATGCCGATTGAATGCAGGTGCTGTAAAGCAATGTACATTTCAGCTGCGTAGAAACGAGCAACTTCTTCACTGAAGAGCGCCTCCTTACGCAAATAATCCATAAGCGGGCCTCCTTGCAGATAATCCATGACCAGAAAAACTCTTGAAGACGTTTGAAATGCGCAATGCAGCCGTACAATAAATGGATGCACCGCACGCTGTTCGTTCCTCATATTGTTGTTCGTTCTTGGTGATCTACCGAGTCCCGGATTCAGCTCATAGCCGTGGTCCATTAAAAGCGCAAGGATGTCGCGCTCTACTCGAGCCTGAGCAGTGCCCCCGAAGCGGAGAAGCGCCTCTTTTTTCATCGATTTGATGGCGAACAAACCACCCGTGGGTCGATATCGCGCCAGATAGACCTTGCCAAAGGCACCCGTTCCCAAGACGCTTAGGATCTGGAACAGCTCAAGGCGATGATGGTACACTGCGGGGCCCGCGGTCCTATTCGATAGATTCGAAACAGCAGCAGCCGGCAGGTCACTCGATGCGGTCGTCGTCATCTGCAGCAGTGCACCTGCTGGGATGAAGGCTGGCTCCTCATCTTCGCCAGCCTCGTGACGCTGCAGTGTCGCAATGGTCATGTGTGACAACCTGGGAAGCGCCTTGGTGCGCGAAGCGGCAACAAATGGTACTCGAAGCCGTCAACAAGTCTCAGAGGATGCTCGGGCACCTCCTCAACAAATAGTGACGAGGTAACGATCAAAAGTCGGGTGTGGCGGGTATGCAATCGCTATGATGCTGCACAGCACGCGTCAAAGAACCAGCTGTCGAAAAACCGAAACCTACCCGACGACGATACGCGTTACTGCTCTCTTTATGAGCACTTGTCACCGGTGAGCGCTGGCACCAAAGTCCTCTGCACAGCGCGCTCCTCACAGCACCAGCTTGTCGCGTTCTATCCTCTAGCACAAGAGCTTCCCGTCCGAGCACTTGTCACCGGCGAGCGCTGGCACCAAAGTCCTCTGCCCAGCGCGCTCCTCACAGCACCAGCTTACCGCGTACCGTATACCGTAGGTGTCGTGCTTTGACGTCAGTACGCTCAGCAGCTCCCGATTTTATCAGGTCCGGTCTGATCCAGGAAAACGAAAAGACTCTCCACCGACACGTGAAAAGGACGCTATGTCCAAAGCACCGGGTAACGCTCGCGGACGTCGAACACAAGAACGCCACCGGCCTGAGAGGGCGAGTTTCGAACCCGCACCACCACCGTTTGGCTTCGCCCCCTGGAGCGCAGCGCTCAACGGTGACGTCGCACCGCAGTCGGTATGCAGGGGTCGCGTCTTTACGCAGGGGACTTCGTTTAGCGACACTTGGAAAGGTACACTGCTACACAGTGAAGAACCGTGCTTGCACTTGTGGCAGCGAGTCTCGTGACTGTGACCAGAAACTCTATCATCGAGCGATTTTGCATTAGCTGCGCACCGCTGCCTCTCAACCGCACCGTACTTCAACATGTGTCGCATGGTTGCGTACTTTGGGCCGGCAATTTTAGCAGCGGACGTTGTGACGAGGCCGTCGCGCTCGATCATTCGCCAATCGTACGATGCACGGGAGCGTCTTTGTTCCGCAGGCGAGTATGTGCCTGCCTCGCTAAACGGAGACGGCTATGGTATTGGTTGGTATAGCGACGACGGCGTACCTTGCGTCTACAAGTCCATCAGACCCGCTTGGAACGACGCAAACCTGCACCACCTTGCGGAAAAAGGTATCCGTTCGCACTTGCTGTTCGCGCACGTTCGCGCTGCCACGGCGGGAACTTCCGTTACCGAGGAATCCTGCCATCCCTTCGCCTATGGACGCTATTTATTCCAGCACAATGGAACTATTGCAGGCTGGCATGACGGTCGAGTGCGTCGTGCGCTTCTCAATCAGCTGAATGATGAACTGTACGGTTACGCTGTTCGAAACGGTGCAAGCGATAGCATCGTGGCCTTCGCGCTCTTCCTGAACCAGATGGATCGCGGCACATCTGAGCGCTATAGCGCTGCAGAGCTGCAGGAAATGCTGCTTCACACCATTGCACTGATTGTAGAGACCACGACGACGTGCCTGTTGGGGACAAACTCTCCGTGTTCGGATAGAACGCCCGCAAATCGGAAAAGCATGCCACGTGATGACGTGTTTCTTTTGAATTTCCTGGTAACGGACGGTGAGACGCTACTGGCAACCAAGTATGTACGTGGACTCCGGGACCTGGATGCTCCGGCAGCTAGTCTGTATTTCGGAGCAGCGTCGTCGTACGGGCCAGTCACGCATCACGTTGGAACCGGTGCCGAAGACTATGCCTTCTCGTATCGAGCAGCAACCTGGGCGGGGGTCGTTGTTGTAGCCAGTGAGCCGCTGACGTCGAACCCGTGCGACTGGGTCCCGCTCCCTCGCAACTCGATACTGGTGGCTACCGCAGATCGACATTTGCTTGTGGAAAAGATGCCCGATCTACTGATGGGCCGCGAATCACCGCGAGCGGGTTCGCGTTTGTCGCCCAAGTTGCTGCCCCAGTCTAGTGCGCTTGTGCAAGCGTTGCACGCTTTCGCAGGATCCACAGCGACGCGTTCCATTGCTGATCGCGGGGATCCGTTGCCGCCTATGAGGAGCGCAACTGCTGCGGCTCACGTCAGCTGGAGCCGACAACAGCAACACCAGGAGCAAGAGCGGCGCAAGAAACCTCTCTTACGGAGCAGTCAACAGGAACTAAGTAGCGCTGGAAGTGGCGCAATATCCACCGATTTGATTGAAATCGATGAATCAGATCGCTTGTTCACGATCCGTAGCAGCCGAGTGCTTTGCATGACGACAGTGCCTGTGCAGGAGGATGCACTGCCACAAATAGCGCAGGAGCTGGAAACGATGCCATTATCTGCAGCGACGGCAACGAGTAATCGGTCTGGATGCACCGGGTCGCAACGTCAAGCCCTGCTCGTATGCGGTACTGGTGATGGTCATATGTATGCACTGCACCAGATATCGGGTCTGCTGGCGTCGGATAGTTTCGTCTCTGCGGATGGACGTGATATTCTGGGGATCGCTCGCTGGCAATGCAACAACCTCGCTGCGTACTTTGAGCAGAAGGGCATGCAACCGTCGGCAACGTTCACGGTCTGTGCGGCAGCAGATAACACCGTTCGCATGCATCGTTGGACTGTGGACGGTATAGAGGAGATTGCGAACTTTTTCTGCGGTACTGCAACGGGACACCCACTCTGTCTGGTCACCGATCAAAGTGCCGTGTATCTTGGGTTTCAAGACTGTTCGGTTCGTCGCCTCGATATGCAGGGACTCCTCGGCACGGTGAAAGTGGAACCAGAGGCTCGTCCGGAGGGAGCGGCTCACGTGCCTGTACTATCCGAACAGGCGCTTTTTCGCCGTCTGGGTCAGCGCGGAGAGCATAGCGACTTGGCACGCGCAAGTCAGCACTGTGGACCTGTTTACTGTTTGGCGCTTCACTCGAAAACTCGCCGACTCTTTTCTGGTTCCGGTGATGGAACCATTGCGGTCTGGAATACTGAAAGTGAAGAGCACGAAGCAACCCTGCGTGGCCATTGCGGCGCGGTACTTGCACTGAAACTCGACGAAAATGTGGATATCCTCTTCTCTGGGGCCAGGGATCGACGGATTCGTGTTTGGGATGTCGCTCGGAGTGCGAATTATGTCTGCCGACGAATTCTTCTCAGTTGGGACTATCACTGCGATGATATCTGTGCCCTAGAACTGTCCGAGTCATTCCTGTTTTCTGCATCCACCGACGGCGTCGTGGTGCTGTGGAGTCGCCCGGACCTCGCGGCGTTGGCACTGTTGCGTCTGCCGTCCGGAACGCTGTTGACGTCGCTGTGCGTCACACCGGACGCCTCAGCGATGCGTCCTGCAGCTACTTCGGATGCTATGAGCACGTCCGGTATGCTGTTTGCGGCGACCAGCGACGGCAGTGTCTACGGTTGGCATCTAGGCGCTTCGGGGTCATTGTACGGACGCATTTACGGGACGGATGCCGCTGACCTGGAAGGTACATCGCGGGTGCCTACGAAAACGCTGCCCACAACAGCGGCATCATCTTGCGCTGGCTCTCTCGAAGCCGCAACACCGAATTCCATGCTGTTTTCGCTCAGCTCGCCACGTATTCGACTTGGAGATCCCGAATGGTCGAGTGTTGCGGCATTTGAGAGAGCCCTACGGACAGCGATTCGTTTTCGATCCATCGCTGTGGATACGAAGCAGTCCAACTTCCGTGAAGAGTCTTTTCATTGTGCGCGCTGGTTCTCGCGTCTTCTGGAGAACCTCGGAGCCGACCTGCGCATCGCACAACCAGTGGATGGAAAGAATCCCGTCATACTCGCTCGTTTTGTCGATATCATTGGATGCAAGGGGCACGCGTGTCGCCCCGGGCCTCCCGCTTTCCCGTCGTCGCTGGCTCGAGCGCGTGTCCAGCATCGCCATACCGTAGACGCAGCGCATGACGGTGAGCGTGAACATCAGGCACAGCAAGTGCGACGGCAGCATTTCCGTCAAACCGTTGTATTCTACGGGCACTACGATGTCGTTCCCGCCCACCGGGAAGACGGCTGGTCTCACGATCCCTTTGATCTGCAGGTTTCGAATGGCTACTTTTATGGCAGGGGATGCACAGACAACAAGGGCCCGATCCTTGCGATGATCTTCGCGATTGTTGATTTGCTCCAGGAGCAGCAACAGTGGCGGCATCAGCAGCGAAACATTCCAGCTGATCACGAGTTGGCGCCTCGCACAGCAGCAAACACGCTGACGAGTTCGACGAGGACTGTTCCGCCGCCTGCGGAGAGCGTGCATGCGGCAGTCTCGGCAGGTGCCTGCGACAACATCCATGGAGCATGTGACGATTTCGAACGCTCAACGAACGTGGTCCTCTTACTCGACGGTGAAGGCGAGGCCTCTAGTGCCGGCTTCCGTGAGACCATCGCTCTGTTTAGAGACTGGATCGTGGGCAAGGATCTCGATCAGCGGCAAGCGGGCCAGCAGCTCGTTCCGAATGGCGACCCGCGTCCCGCACCGAACGAGCCTGTTCCCCAGGTGGTTTGCGTCCTGCACGCGAACAGTCTCTGGGTTGATGATGTGCGTCCCTGTATCACGTACGGAATGCGGGGCCAGATCCTGCTCTCTGTGGAAATAACCGGTCCTTCGGGGAACTTGCATTCCGGCTTCGATGGTGGTGCTGTTCTGGAGCCAGCCGCTGACCTGTTGGCGATTCTGGCTACACTGAGCGATGCCGGAGGCACCGCGCGTGTACCCGGCTTCTACGATGATGTGCGAGAGCTCACGCCCAGCGAGCGCTCCTGGTTGTCCGCAGTCCATTTCGATCGGCAAGCTTACCTCCAGCACTTGGGTGTTTCCCGTCTCGCAGCGGATAACGACTTGGATTTGCTGCAGAAACGCTGGTGTCAGCCGTGTCTCTCGATCACAGAGCTGTCAACGAGCGCGAACGCAGTTGCAAATGGAGCTGCTTCGGCTGCGAGAAGCAGCACTGGTCGACTGGGTGCGATCTCTGCGCTCATACCGCAGCGCGCGCAGGCAACGGTGGCGATTCGGACGGTCCCGAATCAGAGCCCGGAAAAGCTCCGAGCTGCAGTGGAGCAGCATCTGCACTTCGAGTTTGCGAAAAGACGCTCTCCGAACCAGCTGCGGATCACATGCACCAAACAGGGTGACTGGTGGCTCGGCGATATTCACGGGGAACGGTACCCGTCGTCGTCGTCGTCGTCGTCGAGGCAAGTCGAACAGCGTACCGGCTGTGAACAGCGCGCGCGACAGCGAGTCTTCGCCGTCTCTGAACGTGCCATCGAGCGCGTCTGGGGCGTGCAGCCGCTCTATGTTCGAGAGGGCGGCAGCATGCCGCTAACAGCGTGGCTAGAGCAGACACTAGAGGCGCCTGCGATCCACTTGCCTCTGGGGCAGTCCAGTGATGCACCGCACCTGCCGAACGAGCGCATCCGGGTGTTGAACTTGTTCCACGGTCGCATGATTCTCGGTGATATTGTTCGTTCGCTGGCGGTGCAATGATTTGCAGCAGTTGTCGCAGCGAGCCGAAAATCGTTTGCGTTCCCTTGTCCGCGGAAGCCGCAACCACGAGTTGGCGTCACCAGCGTCGCTCTGAACGAGTCCTGCTTGCGCGTGCGTGCACTGGCCAGGGTAGAGCCCTTCGTGGACGTCACCTGCAATGGCACGAAGACGCTCTGGTCCGTGCGTCACAGAGTCGTGCATACCGCGGCTGGTGCACCGCGCCAACACAGGTGTCCTCGTTTGGGTTCTCTCATGGATAAAACGTTTTCTTAGACCAGCGTTTTCCGATTGTGTGCTTTTTCTTTTCCTACTTTTTTCGTGTTTTTTCAGTGTGCTTTGAAATATCCATCAAACCCGCTACCTCCGAGTTACATTACCTATACTTCTTCTCGGATATTTTCGTCGTTTCATGTGTTCTATCGCACACCTTATGCCTGCCCTAATCATCCGCAATAGCGTCTTTACCTTTGGTCCAGTTGCATCACGGAGACAGAACGGCGTTGCCGTACCACAGAGGGCGTCGGCTCGAGCTCGGTTGGGTGCAGGTATGCCGCCTGTTGCTGCACTCGGAGGCGTTTCCGCGCGGGATGCAGCACAGCGCGCCGTATGCCTGTTGCCAGCACGACGGTTATGTCTCATATAATATAACAAAAGACGTAAAAGTATATAATTGTTCTGGTGCATGCGACGATGCCGGCGCTGCACCCTCGCGTCCAGTGGCGGGAACGGAGTTCCTGGCGTGATGCCCCGCCTTGCGCCTATGGCGACGCGCTTACCTGGGAGACTATGCACGGGCCGCGGCGTCCAGCTTCTGCAACCGCGAAAGCATCTGCCTGTGACGAGCGAAGCGCGGATGTCGGAGCCCACGACGAGAGCGCTGCGCGTCGAGCTCGTACCCTAATCACCGAGCATCTTACAGGCCCCGTTCTGGGGGAAGGACTCTCGTTTACGCCAGGTTTGGAGGCTGTGTGTGAAAAGTTGGTGGAGTTCCTGGTAGCAGCGCTGGCTCCGGACTCCGAACAGCGGCGGCGAGCAGTCAAATCGCTTCTCATCGCTGGTCCTCAAGGCAGTGGCAAGTCGAGTGTCGTTGAGACTGCGCTTGCACGATATCGAAAACGAACGCCGCGTGCCCGCCCTGCTATTTTCTATCTTGACGGAGAGATTTTCGCAGACGGCGATCTCAGCGCGTATCGGAGCTTTGTGGCGCAGCTACGACGCGAGTTACGATTGTATGACGGGCGTTTTCCATCGCGTTTTGCGGGCTGGGAGTCTCCGTTACCGGAGACGAGCTCGATGCCCGACGAGGAAGTGCCCGCGAATGACGTTCCGCATCAAGCGAGCGCTTGTATCGAAGCGATTGTGGAACACGTTCAAACGTTGCTGCGATGGACGCTCGAGAGCGCTGAGCGAAGCATGTCTGATGCCGGTGTACATCGGATTGCGGGTATCGTGCTGGTACTGGATAACATCGACTACTTTGCGCGGCGGATGCAGCATGTCAGGCAGCACTTGCTGTATAGCTTGTTCAACATGCTGGGGTTCGATGATGCTTCGCCCTTCGTAATTATAGGACTCACTCGTCGGTATGACGCGATGGATCTATTTGAAAAGCGCGTCCGCTCCAGATTTTCACAGACGGTACTTCACGTACCCTTACCGGAAAGCAGTGATGCAGTACGGACGCATCTAGCGTCGAAGCTTGAGGCGTTTTCGAAACCCGAGGTGGTATCGATTTGCCCGAGACTGGCAGCGAGCGCACGTGCTCTGCAGCAAGTGCTCCTCGAGGACCAGCGCCTAGCGCGCAGCATTGCGGATCTCTTTCGTCACTGTCGAGTTATGCGATTATACCAGGGGGCCTTGAGCCACGCACTCGTTGCGCTGACGTACGCTGCGATGATGAATACGTGCGAGGCGACCGCTTGCCTCGAGCAACATCTGGTGTCGCATGTGGCCCACCGAGACATACGACAGAGATTGCTCGGCCTCACTTCTGCTGAACTGGCATTGCTGGTCGCGCACAGCAGAGCAGCTCAACTTAATGAGAACCGGTTTGCTTCATTTCAGCAGGCCTTTGCAGAATATCAGCGGTTCGTCGGCAAAAGCGCCATGCTCACCACGCATCATTCGCAGCGTGCGACTGGCCTTGTTGCATGCAAAACGTTGTCTCAGGTAGAGGTGGACGGTCAGCGTATCGGAGGTATCTTTCAGTCCGAGGCTGTAGCGCTGCGCATTTTCGAGCAGCTGCTCGACCTCGAACTTCTTGTTGTTCCTGACGGGGCGCGCTATGCATGTCCAAGCAAACTGCAAATGCCGCTCGTGCCTACGTTTCCCGAAGTCGTCCTAGTAGACGTCGTCCAGGAACATCCCCACGCGAGCACCAGTCTCAGAATCTGGTGCAAATCATGGCTCGAATAGCGCAGGCATCGACCTCAGAATCCTCATCGCAGCACCAGTGCAGCATCAACGCTCGCGAGCGACGACTTGCGCGCATGCTGCGGCGCGTGCACTCGTGCGATAATCGTGTGAGGTCAACACGAAGCACTTAACAGCGCGCCCCGTTGCTGCTTAGAGACTCGTTTCCGAACCCTTTTGTAGATGTACAGCGTCCGCATTCAGCGTGATGCAACAAAGGTGTATGGATTCATGTGCAGTTTTAGGGTTCTGGATCTCGTTTTCTGGGTGACGCCTTCGACGCCCTGCCGCTGGAATTCGTTACGCCACCGGAATCGAGAAATCTGGGACGCTCTTGAACAACGGTTCTTACATTAAGTGATATTTTTTTATCCAATGCATACATGGATGCAACCACTCGTCTTCTATGCTTACGCGTAGTGCGCTAACATTACGCATGTTCCAAGTTTACGGTCTCTTTGTTTCAAGGCAACTCGTGGACGCAGTAATACGAACCGCTGGATTGGCGATAACGCAAAGCCGACATCAACCCGTGACGAATGATTCACGAACTGGTGCCGAAAGTTTGCCGCGCTGCTCACGTCAAATAATCGGTTCCTTTCGAAAGTCAATTCGCCTCGCTTTGTAACCGCTGATGAGCTTGCATGCGATACCGGCATGATCGCTGTCGGGTGATGTGCTCCTAGCGTCTACCGTCTCTGTTGCTTGTATGAAAAGAAGGGTCATGGACACGGTCTTGGTACGCCGCAGCGATCGTTCCCAGTGCAGCGTTTGTCACCGCTTTTGCGCGAAGGAAGCGACAGCGGATCGACATTTCTCGGCTTGTTCTATGGCCTGGATTTTGCTTTCACCGATTGTTTCATTATGGACAACGTCGCGTGCCGCAAATCTTTGACCGAATGGAAAAGCGTTCGCTTGCGCGTGCACCGGAGAGCGTGCTTGCTGAAGCCACTGTTCAGAAAGAGCCTGTGATCATAGTGTACGGTGCCGGACTCGAAAACGGACGGGGACATCAACACTAGCCTTCTGTGCCCGTCAAAGGCATGTAGAGTCCGATGGTGCAAGCGTCCACGAGCCACAGACCGACGTTTAGAATTGGCGTTGTGGTGGACGTAGACGAGCGTTTGATCATTGTCAAGTGCCGCTGCTGCGAATCGCGTACTGAGGCAGTACGTGTATGAAATGAAAAAGGCAAACGGAGCGTAAATCGGATTTCCCGCCTGTGCATCGAATGCGCCAACAACTACCGGAAGTAGCGAAATCGAGCCTTGAACCCTGCCACCAACACCCTTCTACTAATGACCACAGAGGCCGGGGGAACAGACGCTACCAGTGCATTGAAAGCGCGAGATAAACAAGAGGAACAAGAATCAATCGCAGAGCAAGCCCGAAAAGACTCGTGTTGATGATCGTGTGAAGAGCCACAAACTTTAGTGCTTATATCCGAATCAGCTCGGAGTGCTTGTTCTATTCTGGTATCACATGGGTGCACGGCCGCCGTGGCGAACGCACGCAGCCGGCACTCGACACCCAGAGCGTCTCACGAGCGAACCAGGACTGCCCCCGCCGAACAAAAAAACGGAAGTATGACTGGTGCTGGCTGGTGGAACCTGCAGCCCAGGCGCCGCATAATGGACGCTCTCCCGAACACTGATAAGCGCCCCGAGATCGGGCATCCCCTGGCTCGTGGTGTCGGGCTGGCACCTCCATAAAAAAATGGCGCTCATGCACCCAACGCGGTACCGCTGATGCATATGACTCGATCCGCGGAATCGTCTTCATCGAACGCATCGCGACCGTATCCTTCAGAAATCGCTGCACGATCATCAACACAGAGCAGCAGACGCGAGCATCAGCAGCGTACGCAATGCACCGGACCTCAAGGTCGACGCCGTTCCGCCCGCTCGCGCTTCTTCGGAGAGCGTTCGCTTTTCTGTTCACGCTTCTGTCCGTTTGACGAGGTGCCAAGCGCTGACAGCCCTGCAACGAGCGCCGTTGCTCCAGTGACACGGCCGCCGCGATCAGGCATCTCGCCGATGCGCAGGTGCTTTATGGGGGCTGCCCTAACACCCGGTGCCGATCGTGGCAAGATGGACCGGTTCTGCTCAGTGTCTGTGCGTATCGCACGCACGTCATAGATATGGAAGTATGGTTGTACGGTCTCGCGAAATCGCTGTGTGATGAGTTGACACCAAAGGGTCAACGCACTCGATCGCTTCGCGGCGAGAAACACCTCTAGAGTGAGCTCGAATCGTTCTAAAAGCAATGCTCGACGTGCGGTATACTCTGTGAATAGGTCATCGAACAGCGTCTGCAGCCGTTCGGCGTCCAACGCCTCTACGGATGCCAGGTGCGCGTGGGATGCGAGCATTCGCTGGGCGGAGAGAATCGACGGGTGCTGATGACGAAGGAGCCGCAGCCGTCGCACCGCTTCTAGAAAGAGCATTTTTCGAAGGGATGCGCCCTCAAGCTCGTCCTCAGGCACAGCAAGCCCCATTTCCCGCAGTGCCGTTGCGTCGGGCACTGCGCTCGGCGCGGGCAGTCCCAGCGCATGGAACAGGCGCCTCTGTGACTGAACCACCTCCAAGTCTCCAGTGTTGTGCAGCTCTAGTCGCGACGCTTCGGTACTATCGGTCAAAGCATCGTCCAAGGATCGCATCCGGACTCGTTTTCGCTGCAGAAGGTATATAGTTTTAACGAGGGTAAGCAGGATGTCGGTTAGCGCTTTCGCAGACGTGTTTGTCAAGTCCCGATTGAGCAGTGCCCCCAGCAGGGTGCGTGTTCTGTGCAGCGTTACCGTCCACTCGGTTGCTGGCAGCAACCAAGGCCATTCCGAGGCATTCGCAAAAGCAGTTCCGCTGAAGATAACCGGAAAGAACGCCGAAGTCGAGAGCGCCCACAGCAGAGACTCCAAACCGTATCTCTCTTGTTGTGCTTCCATTCGCGTGGCGTGCTCCGCAAATTCTACCCGCTCCCTGTTGAACAAGTTGCTGGTTCGAAACTATATTCGCGATCGGCCTATGTTTGACAGTAAAGCTGTGCTCGATACGTCGGCACGTTATCGCAAGCACGCAGCAACCGCGAAAACGTGTCTCGCCCTGCGTCGAGCACTCGTCGGACCCGTGTCGCGTTCGAGCGCTGCAATGCGAGTCCGGTTGCTGCCGAGCGATTTTCTTCTCTAACTTCTTGAAAGGGGTAAAGCCCCAGCATTCCGGGTACAGCACAGAGGGGTTTCCGGACTCATATGTCGTTGTAGGATTCGCGGTTATTCATACAGAGTGGTGCCTTAGACGCGTTGACACTGGATTCCGGTACGTCACCGAGAGCAAGAGGTTTCACGACGCTCTTGGGCACGGGTTCGTAGGATAATCGGTACCATGGCACAGTTCATTCGCAGAAAGCACCGCTCTTCTCCTTTCCTACCGTCTATCACGCTCAAATCACGCATGGCCCAAGTTTTCGATCTTTATGTTTCGTGGCAACTCGTGGGCGCAACAATGCACGCCGCTGCATGGACGACGAAAAAACTCCACATCGTCCGTTGACGACGTTATCACAAGCGTATGTCGAGAGCTTACAGAACTTGTCGCGTCAAATAATGGATTCATTCGAAAGACGAATCCTCTACTTTCATGGTTATCTCCGATACGACATTCGCCGCACCGTGGTATCTCCAACGGGTTGAAGCTCGCGGAGGCTGGTGCCTCATCTGTTTGCATGGAATCGGATCTTGAATTCGGAATGGAGCCATCGCAACGATCGCTTCCAATGGAGACTGCCGCAGCGCTTTGCGAGAAGGAACCGAAGAAAGACTGAATTCTCTCGTATTGATCTCTAGCACGGGGGTTAATCCCTGGGCGTGCCTCATCACGAACAGCATTGTATTCCAAAACAACCGCTCTCGGTTGGGAAATCGTGGATTGCCTTGCACAGCGAGCAGCGTACTCGCCAAGCGTACTGCCCAGAACAGGCCTGTGATCGTCGGGAACGGCACCGAGAGCCGGATCCGGAAGAGGATCGTGCGGAGCCCTCAGTACCAGTTATGGGCACGTAATGAGCACCGAAAATGGTGCTCTTGTGCAGGGCGGCTGCGCTGAGCGCAAGCGGCGAGCTGCGCGTTCGAAAACACCTGACCACAGCGAAGTAGCAGCTCGTCTTACGGGTCACCGAGTCTGTTTCCAGGAGTGACGAGAATGGCAAGCGAACCGAAAACCGCGACTGCTGTCTGTGCATGAAATCGAGCGACAGCATTCTTGAGCTGCGAAACTGAGACTTTCACGCTGCTATGAACAGTGCTCGAATGCGGACAACGGGGCTGGATGGAAAGGAGAGACTGGCGTAGTGTAAGCGAGAGACAAGCGTGTAGAAAAGGAAGCAGCCGCAGATAACCCCTGCAAAAAAGCCGATGTTGAAGACAGCAGGAACATGGACCGAATCATTAGTGTCTGCGCCCGAGTTAGAGGACCAGTTCTATTTATTCTGACGAGGTGGTGTCCTCAGCGAGTGAACGAGGCCAACGCTTTTCAGGTATGGCAACTACGGATCTTTCGTGTTGCATCTTTGCCATCGAGTCAGGCGCCGGTCTCGAAAACGATGTAGCCGTCGTTTTTGCTTGGATACCAAGTGCTGGTACCGGGCCCTGTAGCTTTGCGATCGAGCGAGAAGCCAGTCTCGAACGCGTTGCTGCCGTCGCGAAAACGTGACTTGCTCGAAGGTTGTTCTCGGGCTGGCGTTTGCAAGGCCAGGTGCAAGCCGGCTTGTCTCCTTATGGCGGTTGAAAAGTCGCTGCACTTGTAATCCCGAAGTTGCTGGCGCATCTGACAAAGAAACGAAGCGCCCGGCGCTACTGACTCGAACCTACACAAGGTCATGCTCTGTTGGCTTGCCAGTTAGTGTCCGGAACAAGGACTCACAGCTCAGCTATCACGTGACGCTGTTGCCTAGCACCAGCTCCGATGCGATATTTCACTGCATACTCGAACGGAAGGCTCCGGCTTTGCTCGACAAGACTTGAACAAGTGAGCTTCGGCACCAGTGCGTGTATCTTCGGATCAGACGCCCCGCACATAATGCTGGACAGGGATTGCACACCTTCAGACGCCACTTCAGAGCGTGCACCTGCCGCCTGTTACGACGGATGCAGCGTGGACCCGAACACGCGTGCGCTCCGAACGTACACCTGATGCAAGTTATAGCGTGCTTCCGCCTCGGCGGTCGGTGCATCGCGGAACTACGACGGATGCAGCGTGGACCCGAACACGCGTGCGCTCCGAACGTACACCTGATGCAAGTTATAGCGTGCTTCCGCCTCGGCGGTCGGTGCATCGCGGAACTCGGTGTAGTGCTCTGTGGCAGCGAGTCCATCGGCGGGGTGTCGTTCAGCACTGCAGCCGCATCAGTATAGGCCGCGGAGAACGGTTCGGGTGCGATGAGCCTCGCGGGAGTCAACCAGGGGCTCGCTTGATCCAGCGACCCAACGGTTGCCGCACGTAGAACAGACAACAACAGCATGGCGCTGCGGGCTTCTTTGGAGGTCGCCATGCGACATGTCGCCAAGGCACCTGGTCGCCCGCGGGAGCGAATGCTGTAGCGCTCGAGAAGAAGTGATCGAGCGAATCGATCCGACCGACGATCCGACGGATTTGACTCGTAGAGAAAGACTGCAAACGAGCTCGAGAACCTCGCTATTGACCTCAGGAAAGTTACAAGACCCGATGTGCATACACCCTAGCCTCACAGGGCTGTGAGCGGCGCCGCGGGTACACGCGGTGCGCTCAGAGAAGCGCTTCAACAAAACTGCATCAACCGAGCAGTGCTCGAGTGCTTTGTTTACGTATTCGAGCGCAAGCTTTGGATGCTGTCCGTGAGCTGTGCTCCTTCGATACCAAACGTTCCAGATCCAGCAACTGTACCTGAATTTGTCCTCGAAAGGCGCATCTCGTCATCGTCAGGAAAATCGCATGCGTGAATCCTACACCCCCAGCGAAACATCGCGATAGCCACTGAGGTATACGTTGTTGATGTCGTCTTCCATGCTGTGATCCCAGCGTCCACTATCCTGTTTCGGATCGAATGCTGCAAGGTTTTCCCGTAACTGCTCCATACTGGTCGCCCCGATGATCGTGCTTGCAGTGAACCAACGCGATCGAACAAAAGAGAGCGCTAGCTGAGACGGAGTTTTCTTGTATTTGCGGGCGATCTCCGTGTAGCGTTCCACGGCAGCCATACAGGTCGGCGTCTGATACCGCTGCATATACCGTTTGAACAAGGTAAATCGCGCTCGTTCTCGCTGGCTCGGATCGCTGGACGGGAGATACTTTCCACTGAGTGCACCGCCCGCCAGAGGCGAGTACGCCAGCAACGGCACGTCGCAGTACGTACTTGCCTCGGCATGGGCGCCTTCAAATTGGCGATGAAGCAGCGAGTAGGAATTCTGAATGGAAACAACTCTTGGCAGGCCTAGAGTGGAAGCGATACGGGTGAACTCCATGATACCCACAGGTGTCTCGTTGCTGAGCCCAACATACCGTACCTTGCCCTGGCGAATAAGGGCGTCCATGGCACGTAACTGTTCCTCCAGGGAACGAGTGATGTTGTTACGGTCCGCTGCACTCAGCGGGCCTGGATATGCATGGCTCCCGAAAAGCGGCACCGGTCGAGCGGGCCAGTGAATTTGGTAAAGATCGATGTAGTCCGTTTGCAGCCGAGTGAGCGACCCGTTGCATGCCTCGATGATGGAGTCGTAGTCGAGTTTCGGTCCTCCGCGGATCCAGGAGATATCGCGCCCCGGGCCGCACACTTTCGTTGCCACGTAGATCCGCTCCCGCACGCCTGGATTCTTCTTAAACCAGTTCCCAATGTAGGTCTCGGTACGACCCTGCGTTTCGGGGTTCAACGGAACGGGATAGTTTTCAGCGCAATCGATGATGTTGATGCCTGCCTCGTGGATTGCGTAGTCGAGCTGCGCGTGTGCCTCTTCTTCGGTGTTCTGCTCTCCCCAGGTCATGGTGCCCAGCGTGCACGTTGTAACGATGAGATCGCTCTGGCCCAGGCGTCGGTATCCGCCGGGAAAGGGCGCCATACCATGCGTTGGCTTCAGTTCGGTTGGCGCAGCGGCGCCTGCGCCTGACTTTGTCTGCGTGGACATGCAAAGCAGCCCGACTTTGGGTCGTTGGAGAAACAATCCGGCGCACTGCTTATGTCGGTTTGACTGCGTAGTATTCTTTTGGTACCACTGCGGCCGCTTCCAGGCGCCAAAAATGCGACAGTTGTGTTGCACCAGGAGCACAAACATGCGCTCAGTAACTACAACGAGTTGCGTGGTAGTGCGACCTTAAACTCGACTGGAGTGCGCTGGCACCACGTGCTCTAGAAATGCACGTTTCAGCCACAGAGACGCGTAGTGACGCCTCAGTAGCGCGTACTAAAACTCCGCGGCAGCTTGAGCCTATGCGTAGCCAAGAGAGTCGGCGTGAGCAGCTTTCTCGATGAAACCGCTCCTGCAAGATCGTGCTCGATTTTGATTGCAGTGCAAAGCAACCCTTTGAAAAGTTAGGGAATAAGTCGGAGTCTGTGGTGTTGCACTCCCCAGAACTAAGCGTTATCTCTTGGTGGTCCAGCGGGTAGGCAGCGTGATTAACGCATCGGCGCACGCCTCTGTAGGCTGGACCAAAGGCTCCGCGCCGCGGACGTCGCCGTGCTGCACAGATCCCGCTGATCGATCTGCTTGATGACGCTCGATCGCTACGAGGCCGTGCGTGATGCGGTTTTTTCGGATATTGCCTTGTAGGATCGATATTTCCGACCTGGAAGTATTACTGCTTGCATAAGTACAGCTTAAATATGATTTCTGTATAGATCCTATCATTGTAAAAGACGGATGCATCTGACCTGAAAGCATGACTGCTTGCATAAATACAGCGTATACATGATTTCGTTATAAATCCTATCATTGTACAAGACAAATGCATCTGACCTGGAATCATGACTGCTTGCATAAATACAGCGTATACATGATTTCGTTGTAAATCCTGTTATTGTACAAGACCAATGCATCTGACCTGGAATCATGACTGCTTGCATAAATACAGCTTAAATATGATTTCTGTATAGATCCTATCATTGTAAAAGATTGATGCATCTGACCTGAAAGCATGACTGCTTGCATAAATACAGCGTATACATGATTTCGTTGTAAATCCTGTTATTGTACAAGACCAATGCATCTGACCTGGAATCATGACTGCTTGCATAAATACAGCTCAAATATGATTTCTGTATAGATCCTATCATTGTAAAAGATTGATGCATCTGACCTGAAAGCATGACTGCTTGCATAAATACTGCTCATATTGCTGCAAATCCGTACAGGCCGGAAGCGTACTGCCGCCGTCGCCTCGACTGCGGCGGCGGCGGAACATCGCAGCCATCCGCTGCTGCTCGTCCACGAACGAACGTGCTGCATTGATCAGGCATCCGTTGACTATCGGCGAGTCGAGCGTTGTATCGACGTCGTTGCATTGGGTCTCCTGAGAGGCAAGTCGGCGTGCCACAGCATCCTTGACGCTGTATTTCGAAAGGTTTGCGTATCGATTCTCAATCATCATGTCGAAAGGGAAAGTAATTCTAGCTTACTCGGGGGGCTTGGACACCTCCGTGATCCTCAAGTACCTTCAGAACGAAGGCTACGAGGTGATCTGTTTTTGCGCCAACGTTGGCCAAGACGAAGACTTTGAAGCAGCGAAGCAGAAGGCGCTCGCGCTCGGGGCGTCCAAAGTCTATGTCGAAGATCTACGGGAAGACTTCCTCGTAAACTACATCTTCACGGCGGTGAAGGCGAACGCGATCTACGAGTCTCGGTACCTGCTGGGCACTTCGCTGGCGCGGCCCTGCATCGCCAAGAGGCAAATCGAAGTCGCCCACCTCGAACAGGCAGCGTATGTAGCTCACGGTGCAACAGCGAAAGGAAATGATCAAGTGAGGTTCGGACTCTGCTACTACGCGCTTGACCCGAACATCCAAGAGATTGCGCCGTGGCGAGACCCGGCCTTCCTGGCTCGCTTCAAGGGTCGCCAGGACCTCCTGAAGTACGCACGCGAAAACGGCATTCCAGTGCCGAGCGGCCCGAAGCCTCCCTATTCTATGGATGATAACATGATGCATATCTCTTACGAATCGGGTGAACTCGAGGATCCCTCGGTGCCCGCTGATGAGAGCATCTATACGAAAACCGGTCCAATGGATAAGTGGCCTGATCGCCCCCAGGTCGTGCGAATCCACTTCAAGGATGGTGTTCCGATCAAGGTTGAGGACGCTGCAACGGGATCTGTCTATGACAGCCCAATGGCTTTATTCGAGTTCCTTACACAGGTCGGAAGGAAGCACGGGATCGGTCGGATCGATATCGTCGAGGACCGCTTTATAGGCCTCAAATCTCGTGGCGTCTACGAGACACCGGCTGTTACGATTCTGCGCTGCGCCCACATCGATATTGAGGGCATTGCCATGGACCGCGAGGTGATGCGGCTGCGGGATATGCTTTCGCCAGAATTTAGCAAACTCGCGTACAACGGGTTCTGGTTCTCCCCCGAGATGGATTTCCTCGTCTCTGCGATCAACAAGAGTCAGGAGCTCATCGACGGCTGGGTCGACGTACAATGCTTCAAAGGCTCCTGTTTGGCGATCGCCCGACAGTCGCCCACTAGCTTGTACGATGAACGGCTGGCATCGATGAACGAGGTGGATGCGTTCACCCCGTCAGATGCCGGTGGCTTTATTCGTATCAACGCGATTCGACTCAAGGCACATCGCCGGATTCTCGAGAAGGTCGGAACAGATCGTCTCGCAGACCTGAAGCCGACACCGACACCAACATACGCAGCGCTTGGTACGACGGATCCCTGAGCGCCAGCGAAAGAGACAAGGCACGAATTGCAGTAGAGACTGCTGCTAGCTCCATGGCGTGGCCTTGCTCGCGGAGTGAATTTAAAGTACCGTTTAAAATTGTTGAATTCTCAAACAGTTCTCGCTGTGTTGGCTGGGAAAGGACGCTGGTGACACCAGGGTGTCGCCCAGATGCTCATCCCCAAGAAAGCAACCTTTACAGTCGATGATCGTGTGCGAGCATCGCCTCGAATGCCGAGTTTTAACAGCGGGTCACGTCGAACGCTACCCGCAGCTGTGATGCGTATGACTTGCGCCCTCCTAGGCTGTGGTACTGCATTCTGTGAGGCCCGTTGTGGCGGTTAGAGTTAAGTCGTGTCCATGATTACCACCGGAAACATTGCTTCCGAGCAAACGCCAATTCGAGTCGATCAACCAGATGCAGGTCGGTCAGAGTGCTTCGAGTACCTGCTTTCGAGCGTCCTTCGAACAGGATTTGCATCAGCACCTGTGTTCCATATCAGAGGAAACGAATGGCCTTCCGAGGTCGTCACTCGTTGTTCTACCGTTGCTAGTCCGGCGGTAGGTAAACACGGGACCAGGAACTGCTCGCCCTGTTCCCGCTTTTCGATTTGCTTACGAACCTTTTTAAAATCGCAGTCTCAATATTCGAAGCACATCGGTAAGGGTTCTCGTGTTCGTATGAAGGCTAAGAATTGTCGGTCGTTTTCTCATAGTGACTTTTTAGACGCTTTGTCGCTGGAACTCGCAAATTCACCGGAATCGAGATGCTTCGCGACGCAAACCGACACGTTTCCTAAACTAACCGATAACATGATCCGATTCATGAGTACAAGCCGCAAAGCTTCTCTGTTCCCGAAATTTAGCACCTTCGAATCACGTAAAGTTTTGGATCACCCTGTTTCAAGGTCAAAGGTGGCGCGCAGCAAAACGCGCTGCTCTCTCGACGAGGAGACAAGCTGAACGTCGTCTTTTGACGACTTTTTCGGAAGCCCGTGCTGAAAGTCCGATGAACTTTCACGTAAAAAAATCGATTGCTTTTGAAACGCAATTCTTCTGCTCTTTTTTGCGATCAATGGTACAGTCTTCGACCACGGTACGATACCTCCGGCAGGGGGGGTACGCTCCCAGAGACTCGCGTCTCAACTGTTTGCGTGGAAAATGCTCCTGGATTCGGACTCTAGTCAATGCGACGACCGTGTCCAATGGAAATAGCGCCACTTGTTTGCATGAAGCGATCCTAGACAATTCGGAAACTCTCGGCTTCTTTTCCAGCGTGACTTTTCTTACCGATACTTGTAGCACCAGGGAAAACGACGGGTTCCACTGGTCCTTTTTCGAAAGGAGCGACGTTTGCGTACGTCCGCAGCGGACAGCGTACGCACAGAGGAAATCGCTTTGACCAAGCCCGTGATCGTTGGGTACTTCGCCGGCTACCGCAACCGGGTGAGGCATCCAAGGTAGCCTTGTGTGCCGGTCAAGGGCTTGTGCCAAACGATGAGGCACCATTCGCGCGTCACCGGTCGGTTTTCGGAGCAAGAGGCGTGCTGTACATGTGGAAGCACTCGACCACAGCCATATATGTCAGCGCTGTGACGGGCGCACCAGGACTGTTTACAAAGAAGATTCGTAGATCGCAACATCCGTCTGTCCATGGGATGCGTAAATACCAGTGGGAAGCCGCAAAACGGGAATTGAACGCTTCCATGAACATCATCGGACTGCTGAACATGAAACTTGAGAAAGAGGAGAGATGGACGTATTGCAAGCCGGAGACGACAGAGAGGAGCAGAAAGCAGTCCCAGAAGAGCCCGCAAAGTCCAGTGCTGATAATAGCGGGAACAGGTCCGAGCTTCAGTGCGCACGCGAGTGATCGCGGACCTGTTCTATTCTATTCTGACATGGATTTCGTCGTGCTTTTCCACCCGTCCAGCGAGCCTTGATGCGTTTATGACGTCGTGTCTTGAGGCGCAGACAGGGCATCTGACAGAGCGCGATCTACCACCAGGCATTCTAGACTCTTGACGCCCTATGCATCGCGTTGATCCCGAGGTCAATGCGCTCAAGCGAATGACATCGGCGGCTCCGCTGACTTGCTGTCCGGTGCCTCGCCGCGCTGTTCGCAGGACTGGAGCCAATTTACGAGAATTTCATTCACTTGCTCCGGGACTTCATCGTGTGGACAATGGCCAGCACGGAGCTGCACAACCTGCACTTCCGGATGAATCGCCGCAATCTGCTCTGCCCGCTTACGGGCGTCATTCAGCGGATCCAGGATGCCCTGGATCAACAGCACCGGCACTGAATCAAGGGCACGCAGGAGCTCCGGTATCGGACGCGACGGGGGCAGGCGGAAGCCCGACGCGATCACACTGGAAGCACCTGGATCCAGACTGTGGCGATATATGATCGACTCCATGTGCAGGGCAGCATCCGGTCGCACAGGGTACACTTTCAGCAGCGTGCTCCGGATACCAAACTGCAAGTATCGGAGTAGAACCTCACCAACAATGCGGGAGGCTAGTGGTTGGGCCAGCAACCGCCGTAACCTGGAATCGTTGGATGCACGGTCGGCGTTTTTAACCGGCTCGAGTGGCCCCGCCGGGTTGATCAGGACGATGCCTTTGCAGAGCGTCGTTGGACGAGGCGAGGCCGAAGCCTGTACCAATTCCATCCGGTGATCTGCGGCAAAACTGAGACTCACGTACGCTCCGATCGAGTTGCCGACAATGAACACAGGTCGACGCACAATCTGCAGCACAAAATCCCGGACCTGCCGCTCCCAGAGCTCCTGTGTGTAGCGCGTAATCGGTTTGGTGCTTCGTCCAAAACCAAGAAGGTCCAAACAGAACACCTGGTACCCTTGATCTGCGAGAAAAGATACATTTCGCTCCCAGTGCTCTATGGACGCTCCAAAACCATGAATAAACAGGACTGCGGGAGCATCCCGCGTGCTCGATCCGCTCTGTGAGAAACGCACCGGTAAGCCGTTCCATCGCCAATAGTGCCAGGGCCGCTGGCTCGCCTTGTCGTACTGCGACAGAAACAGGTGCCAGCTGAGACTACGGATAAGAGCGCGCGCCTCCCGGTGTCGCGGTGAGTCCGTCCAGAGCGCCAGCATCCGGCGCCGATACCGCCGCGCTGCATCAATTTCCGCCAGCACTTTTCGTGGAGAAACGCAGCCAAAATGCAGGGCATACGCAAAACTGCGAAGAAAATCGCTCTCCTGATGCGCGTCAGGGCCTCGTAGGTAACGCCGCAGGAAATCGATTGCAGCAGTTTCACCGCCAGCGTCCAGCGACGTCGCAACACACATTCGCTTATCCTCTTCGATGCGTTGCAGAAAAGGATAGTCAGCATATTCAAGCGGAAACCAGCTGGGACTGGTTTCCCACAGGTGATCGCTCGGGGCATCGAGCTCGTAACTTGCGACGAATCTCGTCTCCGGTGCGTTCTCCCTCGCGCAGTCCCAAAGCGCTAACAGATCATTTTCAGTGGGCCTGTGCATCATGGGGCGCCAATGCTCGCGCTGCAAAATGCTGAACGTATCTCGCCCGAGAAACGTAGATGTTGATGGCGATCGCGAGCCTCTTGTGTTTTCACGAGTGGTACGATGCGGGGCGCCTAGACTCCAGAAACGAAATCTAATACCCAAGCGTTCGCATTCTCGGAAGCATCGCTGACTCGATATGCACCAGTCGTCTTCGACGAGTACTTGTGCATTCGCAAAGCGACCGCAGAGCACGGCGAGCTCCCGAGGCGCCGGACCGTTCAGGAGCAGCAGATCGGCCTGGCCTTGCGTCGCTGAGCGGATCGTCTCACGCAGCGCTGCAACGGATTCGCGGAGATATTTTTGCTCCTCTGGCGTGTACGTCTCGAGTTCGCGTTTGTCCATGATGTAAACGAACGCAATTCGCAACGAGTTTTCCATGCCATGTCTGTCGTCTGAGCGGCGTGCCGGTGCAGTTTTCTGGGAGGCGATATGCGTTCGCAGGTACTGCAACCCGGGGTGATCATGAACCCGAAGGTCTCTGCGAAACCATACAATCCAATTGACAGTCATTTCAGCAGCAATTGGACGCTTCTCGTCTTCGAGTGCATGGTCCGGAGCGAGTTGCTGGGGACGACTCCCGTGCCCGCGAGCTGGCGAATCTCCGAGCCCGTGCACGCACGACAACAAGTCAAGAAGTTTGGACTTTGGCCCGATAATGTTGCACGCTCGGGAGCAGTGCCAAGTCTTCCACGGTTTGTGAGCAAAGTGCGTTGGCGCAACCTGGCTACAACGCTGTGTGCTCGCTGTGTGCGCTGGCGTCGCGTGCTGCCAAATTCTCGAACGCCCTAGGCTACAGCCTGCAAACATGCTTCCCGAAGCACACAGACCCAAGACTCGTACCCTCTTGTAAGCAAGCCGTTCTGTAAAGTTCCAGGTAGATGTTTCCTGGTTAGACCCTTCGAGTTACGTGGGCTTAAGCAGTAACATGCGCAACCCACAGGCTTGCGCTTCCGCAGAGGCGACAACGGATCACTCTGTGCCGTTCGGTGGCATTTCATCGCGAAAGGAAGCGCGAATGTACGGTGCCTGCCGGTGGCACTGCTGCGTCGCTCACGCTGCGATTGTATTTCGAAGAATGTTTTCGAATTTCGGGATCGTGGCGCAGATATATTCGATTTCGGCTTCTGTTGTAGGGTGCCAGCGTGGCTATCCCATAGAGTCCTTCAGGGTGCGACGAACGATGACGGCTACTGGGGAGAGCCAGTTTGTCGCGGTATCTGAACTCGCTCAAGGCGATAATCCTGTTGTACACGTTGAATCACTTTGTTTGCGATGCGAGAAACAGGGCGAAACGCGGCTTCTCCTTGTGCGCATACCGCACTTTCGGGAAGTACTTGTGTCCTCTTTCAACTGTCCAAACTGTGGCTGGCGAGACAGCGGCGTTCAAGAAACTGCGGAAATAGGTGAAACTGGGGTTTGCTACGAACTGGCGGTACGGACGCCAGCTGATCTTCAACGAACAGTAGTGTTGTCGGCGTACGCTTCGGTGCGCGTGCCCGAACTGGAGCTCGAGGCACCAGCTAGCGGCCGTGGGCGTTTTACCACTGTCGAGGGCCTGGTTACCCAGATGGTAGACGATCTTAGAAGTTATGTGAACGAGTGTGACAAGTTAAGCGAGGACGAAGCAGGGAAACTCCGCGTCGTCGTTTCCAGACTTGAAGCGTTCGCCGTCGACGGCGAGGGTTTCCACATCATCGTCGACGACCCCGCAGGCAACTCGTTTTTGGATATTCTGGACGCAGATGGCAAACCCTGTAGCTCTGGGACTATGAGGCGGTACCCACGGACGCATGAAATGAATGTTCGTTTGGGTCTCAGTGTGGATGAGGATGCTGAACTCAATGGACGGACCTCGCGCACCTTCGATCAAGCCAGCGCGGACGGCCAGCTCACGGCAGTGGACGATGCAGCAAGTACACGCGACGCCGCACCTGATTTCTCTCGAAGAGAAGTGCTTCGAATCTCCACAGAATGTCCCGCTTGCGGAAAAATGGGAGAAAATCGCATTCACGAAACCAACATTCCACATTTCCGCGATATTCTACTCATTGCATTTACCTGTGAGCACTGTGGGTTCAAATCTACAGAAGTGAAACCGAGCGGCCATTGTGCTGAAAAGGGTCAACGGATCACGCTGCATGTGCAGAGTCGCGAGGACTTTTCGCGAGATCTCATCAAGTCAGACACGGCGCGACTGGTGATACCGCAAGTGCATCTCGAATTAGAGCCGGGCACACTGGGCTCCAAATTCACCACCGTAGAGGGCATTGTGCGAGACGCACGGGAGGCTCTCGGGGACTTGCGTCGATTTGTACAGAGCGAGGACTTCAAGCCCGACGAGGTTCGACAGCAGCAGGAGCGCTTCCAAGATTTTCTTCGTCAGCTTGATATGCTGCTCGACGCACCGAATCCTCAGTTCGATCTCATTTTAGACGATCCGCTCGGTAATAGTTACATTCAGAATCCTTGTGCTCCGAATGTTGATCCCCAGCTAGAAATCGAGGAGTATGAACGCACACCGGAGATGAACGAGGCACTCGGGATTGTTGCTCCTGCCGAAGGAGCCGGCCGCTAATGCACCCAGAGGTTTTGGTTTTCGATGGAGCATCGCAGGACATGGATGATCGTCTGAATCGAACAGTGCCTTTTGCGCCATCGAGAAGAATCATGGAACGCAGCCCACACGACCTTGATATCATAGAGTTCCCGCGCCCGATCAGTTCTCTGAAATTGCCGCTGCCGCCGGGTTATGCGCGCGGCAGCAGTCAGCCGTTTTATTTGGTATACACGAAGGTGGGTCGATCCGGTGAGGCGCGAGCGCTTCCATCCAGCGTGTAGAGGCCTGGAGCTCGATACATGGATTGGATGTCATATATAGAACTGGGGCAAACCTAGCTGCACCGCTGTCGGAATGAAGCGGAAAAGGCCTGTACAACAAGTGCGCAAACTAGTGTTCTGCACTGTGTTCCAATTATCATTTAAACCAGTCTTTACGGTTTGTGTTCCTTGGCTGGTTCCTTTTACACGCTCTCATCTCGGGGTTTAAAAATGATGGCATGCCCTTTCACATCAGATTCGTTGTCAATATTCGGAGGATAATGAAGGCAGCACTCAAGTCCCGATTTCCCTGTTTCCGGCAATTGCAAACGCGTTTCGTGTAAAGGCAAATGTTGCGATCTACGACTCTTTCTCGTATACAGCCTTGGTGCATCCTTTACAGCAGCGACACTATGGCATGGTCAGGTGTTCCCGTATGTCCTTCAAACCTATTCCTCCGATCGCCGCCCGGTGGCGCGACAAACGCTTAGTTCGTCGCCCGGTACATGCGCTTAATGGACACAGCGGCTACCAAGATGCTCTCCTCTGTTTAAGCGCCCAGTGCCGCAGCCCACGATCACGGGCTCTTTCGGGGCCACGCACTCGGCGCGTACGCTGTCCGCTACACACGCAAGCACACGTTGCTCCATTCGATAGAGATTTTCTGGAACGCGCTGCTGTCCATCATAGAGCAATGCTCGGAAGCGGAAATCCACGCTGCATATCAAGTCGAGAAACGTCGTTCTGTCCAGGCTTGGCTCTGACAGAGCTCTGACGCAGTTGCCACCGAGAGCGATCGCTGCGGTGACGCAAGCCCCAGTACGAGACACGTTTCCACGCAAACGGAAGAGATGGAAGCCTCTGGCTGCATGCCCGGCAGGATGCATCAAGCTGATGTGGAATGCGGTCTCACCGTGGGCCACACTGAGAATAGGATTTGCGTTTCGAACGGCTCGAGTATTTGAAGCGACAGTCTCAGTGACCTTGGGGCATGAGCTTGTGAACCAGTGGTTCAGAGACGACGTCGGGTATTTCTCCTGCTCAATACGACGCTGGCGATTGCTGGGCGCTCGAGCTGCCTTGAAACCGGAGATCGAAACGTGAAAAAAGCGTGATTGTAGCATGCTACGCGGGAAGAGAGAAGAAAAGCAGCGGCTTGGACGTGCGCATTGGACAATGATGCCAGATGGCTTAAAAACGTTTATATGAACTCGCCGAGAATCGCCTTGATTCCAGTGACGGGACGCTTTCCAGCTGCAAAGAATCGAAACAGCGACTTTTAAAAGATAACCGATAATTAAAAAGTTCCAAACGGATGTGTAAACCCCTCATGTTGGAATTCGAATATCGAAAGTGCATATCTGACATCTCGTTCAGAAAAGCATCGAGAGACACCACCGCCTCTCGAAAGTCGAACGACGTCGCCGGCAGTGTACAGTAGTGGCAAGTGACCCGCCCTAGACGAAACGTCTCCGACTGACGTGCAGACGCCTGCCCGTCTTTTTGGACCGGCCATCTACTACTGCTTCCATCTTCTTCTCATATAATTCAACTTTGAGAGGTTGTCCAATAAAGTTTTCTCTTGTCAGCTCTGGAGGTCTCTTCTCCAGCACCGCACATCTCCTTATATTGATTGCGGCGATAAAATCTCGGTTCACAAACTCCATACGTTTCTTGCCATCATTCCTTGTACTCACCAGTGCAAGCAATCCTCGAACATTCTCCCTCCTTTCCATTTCCTCTTCCGTCAGCGGCCCGTACTTTTTTATGTTCCCAGGGCTCTATTGGCAATTTTCTATCTCCACTCTCTGAAGTACGCACCCCAGTTCATGGTGTGTATACGAGGTTCGAAACTCATCAACAGGTATCGTGGCGAAACGCCTTGCGCATTCCCTGTACGTTCTTGTCGTTGGAGTTGGCGTACAACCTTTTTTAGGCGCCAAGCACCCTGCCCCGTACGCTACTACGAGCCTTTGAGTCTTGTCCTCTTTGACGGCACTCAACTAATTGAAAAAGTTGGCAAACGCCCGCTGCCTCCCACCGTATAGATTCATTCGCAAACGAGCCCACCAGGGCTTGGTATACTCCTCCCACAGCGCATCCCAATGGGCAACACGAACTTGCATGAATTTCAGAAAAGCTTCAAAGTCCGCTCCGCGGCTCGTCACCTCGCTCAAAGCTTCCAGGTGATCCTTCATTCCTGCATTCCGTATCTCAATTTTCTTCCTCGCATTCGTTATACCCGATTCTCGATAATATATCGCTCTCGAGAGCCTCATCAGACGCATGTCTTTCTGACGTAAGTTGCCGTCAGCACCATCTTCCGCACGCTTCGGTGCTGCGATGGTTATGATATTCGTATTCCCGGGGCCCGCGCCAACGACAAGGTCGTTATCCTGCACTTTCTGTGTATCAGGGCCCGCCTTCTTGTTTTCTTCATGCTTCGCCGCGCCAACCATAAAGGCGTTATCCTGCACCTCCTGCATCACAGGATCCGCTTCCTTCCCATCTTCATCCTTCGTCACGTCAACGACAAGGTCGTTATCCGGCATCATCTGCGTCGCATGATCCTCCTCTTTGTTTTCTTCATGCTTCGCCGCGTCAACGACAAGGTCGTCATCCTGCACTTCCAGTGTGGCAGGTTCGGCGTCCTTCTCATCTTCATGCTTCGCCGAGGGCGGGACCAAACGATCTGCCTTCAATCGCCGATTGTGTGCACACAAGTCTACTCCATCGGTTTCGATCATCCCAGTGAATACATTTTGTTTGCTCTTTTTGAGACGTTTGAAATCGAAGATATTCTTCCAGTGCGTCTCCCGGTTTTCGCCAGTGAAGTCCTCCCTGCGAACATTGAACTCCGGACAGATCTCCCTCATGATGCCATGAGGGACGCCAGAGTCGATAGTCACAAAATGTGACTTGGTGTTGCATAATGGAACAACGTCGAAGCGCTTCCCCATTAGGAGAGCCTTCCGTCTCTCCCATTCTTCATTTTTTCCTCACTCAGCTTTATTTCCGCCTTGCGTTCGAGCTCTCGGTCCAGAAACGCGAACTAACATAGGATGAGGCGATAGTATCTTTCCTTACCTTTTTTCAACTTTGATATCTTGTCTGTTGGATTCACCAGCCCCATGACTGCACGGTCTTCTTGTATAAGCGCACGGATTACAGAAGCTTCATTCGTGCTCTCTTTTGACGCCTTCTTGTCGACAAATTCGACCTCATCTTCATGCTTGCGATCGTTCGTGATGCCATTGATAATCGCCCATTTTCCTTTGCAAGAGATGCCCGAGTAGAGTGCAAACACGGCGCGTATCATGAAACGTTCGAGGTTCATTGTCAAATAGTTCTTCAGATTCGTGAGGTACTTCATCGCCCCATAGTCGTAAATATCCCGGTCACACTTGTATCGAGTACCGTTGAAGCTGTAAAAGGGATGTTTTTCGTGCAAGGCATGCACTAGCACATTTTCCCCCTGCGCTTCCGCTGTACCAAGTATCAGGTGAGGAATAAAGGTCTTATCGAAAAACACGTCCGGAATCTCGACCGTTTCCATGTACGTCACGTCTTTGTAGATCTCCCTCGCCAAATGCATCAGTCCCGACGACGCCTTGACGATACTCTTAGAGTACGAGTCGACACGTTATTTTTATAGCATCTCGCAACTTTTCCCTGTAGGGATCCTTGATATGTTCAAGAAAACAGGTCTTCACCACCATCTCGTCGTAGAGTTGTCTTCCCCGCGCAGCCTTCGACTTAGGGCATCCCCCTTTCGGTTCTTCTCCTCTTCCATTTCTTCTGGACTCGGCACTGTTCTTTGTTTATTTTTATGGCAGCTGGAGACCCTGAGCCTCCAAGATCGTGGACTTGCTTTTTCATAACTTTCCTTTTTTTAGTTTTTTTTTGAAAAAGAACACTCTTTGAACGCTTCTGTTATATTCTGCGAATAAACACTCGAGTGTTTTTACTTGAGGTTTGAAACACGACTGAGATGAAACAATATATTTTGTTACGATTCCAATGCAAATACAAGTCTTACGTTAGAACAAAACGCTACTGATTACGATCGCGTTTCCCTTCAACGGCGACATGCGCGTCGCGTCAGTTGACTGCCTGATCTCCTTGGTGCGCTCACCGAGCGGGATGCAAACTAGTCACAAACTTTTTATCAAAGATCAACTATCTTAAAAGCCCCACACACCACGCCCGCCTAAGTGGTCCAATTTTTCCGGAGAAGCTCTGAAAGTGGGTTAACACGAATGTTTGGGCGACGAGGAAGGAAGCCCACTCCAGGGACCTTGACCGCAACGAACGGAGGGGCAGAGGCAGTAGCAGAGAATGATGACGAGAATTCGAAGTAGTTATCCGCTGCTCTCGAAACAAGGCTGCAGGTTCGGGCGCAAATCCTGGATCCATCCTTGAATTCGGGCTCAGTTTTATGGTCTATCTTGGTTTCTACCTCAACTTTGGAAACAATCTCGGCGGATACTTTGGAAGACGGCTGACAGCATGTTCGCCGTCGAAGCTGACATAAGCGACTTGCCCGCCTATGTGTTTGGGGAGCGGATACGAAACCGCTGAAAGGGTGGTTTGTAGACTGTTCCCAATGGTTTAGGGTGGCTTCACGCGTCCGGCAAGATAAAGGTCGCATTTGAATCGACCTTGACTAATGTACTTTTGATTCTATGCTAGCGCTGCGGCAGATACGCAATGAACGACTGGAATGCAGGAGGCAATGGTGGCTTGTGCGCTCACATACCCCGTGGAGGGTGCATCTAAATCGACCTTCTAGTCGGAAGGTCCAGCGAATCGGATACGCACACTGGCACATTGCGCTTTCTGCGCTTACCCACTGTGGTGGGTGTCAAGCACAAACCCGCATTGCCAACCGACAACAACGCATTCCATGCATGATCACGAAGGAGAGAGGCGGCTCCCAGAATGTATCCTAACAGCCAAGTTTCTCCAGCGTGTCGTGCAGCGAAGGCAAGCTTGCATCCGCAGACTGTCCAAGCACAAACTGACGACGAGATCCGATTCTACGTCGGGTGAAGCACACCTCGAGCCGACGCCCTCTGTGGTATAGAAAAGCTGTTCCAGCTCCATGAACTATCTGCTCCAGCATTTAAGGTGCAAAGGCGGACACGGAAAGGCAGGTAGTAGGCACACAAAATATGACGTGTGAAACGACCAGAATATCCGAGAATAAAGTCTGGGTAATGGAGCTTGGAGGCAGGGCGTTTGATGGATACTTTACAGTGCACTGAAAAAACACAAGAAAAGTAAGAAGAAAAATGTACATAATCGGAGAACGCTGGCCTAAGTAAACGTTTTGTCGATGAAAAAAATACGATACAACGCCAACTGGGCATACGGTTGTATCTCGGGGACGGAGACTTTCGGCGCAGATTCCCTTGCGAAAAAGCACCGCTCTCCGTACTTTTCCGGAAACTCTGGTTGGACAGATGATGAACGGGGCGTGGTGGCAAGAGGCTGTGCTGGACCATAACAGGGGAGCAGCCGCGCTTGAAGAGCTCTTCGATCGGGGCACCACAAGGACACCAGGGGTCGTGCTTGCGCATGAGCGTAGGCTTCGCGAGCTCAATAGCACCTTGCACACCTGTTTGCAAAAGTTGCACGCTTTTCGTAAGGCAGCAGAGCAGCTTCCCGCAGAAGAGAGGCGTCGCTTGCTGGTAACGCTTTGGCGACAAACCTCAATCATCCACTTTAACCGAGCACTTTTAAGGCTGTTCAACGGGGACGTGTTCGAAAGTCGCCTCGAAGCGCAGACGTCCTTTCGTTGTGCGAGAAGCGCTGCAGAGCTCCGTCTGGTCGGAATGCTAGAACCGACACCGACCATCGAGATAGAGCAGCCGCATACTCGTTTTGGTGACGACGCCGACATGATGTTTTCAACAACTTTGCCGGCGGACCTTGGTTGGTCCACTGCAGATGCCGCCCTTGCCCTGGAGCCAGCACTTTTGTTGGTATCTTTATGGATGTGTTCTGGAAACAGCGAGGATCTAGTATCTGCGGAGATGTACTGGGAATGCAATGTAGCGCCACTGGTGAGTCTGCTGCAGAAGGCAACACCCCTATCTGACGAGCAGCTCTCAGCCAAACTTGGGAAAGTCCAAATCCTCCAGACGTTGCTAGAGTGGCGCAGAGGTTGCCGCTCCGCAGAGCACTTCAAGAAACTCTCGGGATCTCCTCAGGCGGCATACTTGAAAATGATAGGCGCATTCTTGCTTGGTGATCGGCGTGTAGCCGCTTCCACAATTGAGACATACGGGTCTGGTTACCGCCACGAGGACGCGCTGCGGCTCGCAGAACGTGTCGACACTCGATCGCACTGCGCGAGGACAGGGTACACACCCAGGAACGGTGCACCGCGAGGTGATGCCCACGTGCTCTACCAGTCAAAGGCATTGATGCAGCGAGGTGACTGGAATGCTGCCATTCGTCTACTGAGAGCCCTCAACGAGAAAATGCTGTCAACTGTGGGTCACGTGAACGCGTCACTGGCTAGCGATCGACATGCGAGGCGAGAAATATCAGTGACGTCTCCAGATGACCCCGAGGTGCGATCACGGGGTCTCGACGAGGTGCGCGCGTCGAGCAAACCCCTCGATGAGAGCGCGAACGAGAGGCTGCCCACTAATCGACATGAATTCGTCCAAACGACATGCACGGAAGCTCGAGCACCCTCGAGCTTGATAATGACAAAGCTGGGATTTACCCAAGGAGATCGTGGCGTGGTCTGGGCATGGAAAACAGCGCCCTCCGAGGCACGTGCTCTGCTCTGTGCATCTGCATTAGCGACTGCCCTAGCGTGTGTTCGTCGATGGGATGATTGTTGGTCGGTTTATCACGAATTTCGACGCCGCTGTGGATGGAATTTATGGGCCGACACGAGTATCAGCTTCCTACGGGGACTGGTGGATGACTGGCGGCGTACACTGCAGACCGCTCACGCACAGATGCTGCTTAGCTACAGCGAAGCGCTGTTGCATCTGGGATTTCGAGAGCAAGCTTTGAAAGTTCTTCGCAAGTTCTGGTCACAATACGGGGAAATCGATTGGGATCCAGCGGTGCACATGCACTTGCGAACACGCCACGCCATTCTCCAGGCAGAGTGCGCTATTCACGGTGGTGAAGCGCCTGAGACGATACGCGCCTGCCTCACTGAAGCGCGAATGCATCTGGCTGCCGGTGCCGCATCGTTGCCAGCTGCGACGCAGGGTATGCATGAATACCTTGTAGGGATGATTACGAATGCGGAGGCCTTGATTGCACTCACCAGCGGCACCGCATGCAGTCAGTCGATCCTGGGTCTGCTGGAGACGGCCGCCAAAAAGTCTCGTTATCATACTGCCGTGGTTTACAACTTGACGCTCTTTATTTGGGCAAGAATGGGTCACATTACGCGAGCGCTACGCTTATGGCTCCATCACCGAGGTATCGATCCGGATCACCCCAATGCCGCAGACAACGACAAGCTCAGGGCGGACGCCGCTCCAGACGCGCAGCTGGAGCCCTTCGAAACACTGACACGAGCTTGCATCGCACTGCGACAGCAGCAAATCGCCGACGAGCAGGCGCTCCAGAATCTCGACTTCCTCGAACAGATCATCAACTGATCGCAGCGAAATATCGACGTCGCCCTGCCCGGACAATGTGCTGTGTTTCCGAAAGGCATCCGAAACCGCGTCGTCGAAGTCGGCACAGCGTGTCGAGCCCGACGAGAGCATTCCCACGAGACAAGACCTGCGTGATATCTCCGCATCTAGACTAGGCAATACGGCAGACGTTGTTGAACGACAACTGCTGTGCTGAACGCGCGGCTCGATCGATCGGCGATTCGACTCGGGCACGCGTACGTCATGCCCCCCGCCGTGTTGACCCGCTCGCATTTATATATGTACTTACATAGCGACAGCTCGCGGTTCGCTCGGCTCCTGGCGTCTGCCACGCAGACTTGTACACCGAGTCGTTCGGTGTGGCGGCAAAGGCACTCAGAGCGCCGCGCGCAAATGCTCTTTGCGGGCCGCTCCCGCGGAAAGTTTCTCGGCAATATGGCTGAATTGTTTCGTGTTCTGCTCAATATACTTTCGGGTAACTTGTACGAGTTCCTCTAGCTTTTCTATCCGGGACTCGTCCATACTCAGCGGCGCTACATCGGGGTTCAGACGGAAATACATATCGCGTCCATGCGTCAGATCCAGGATCGCGTGGTGCACAGCCTCGGTATCGGTCGCGCTGCTCAACAGGGTGCGCGCCAACTCAAAGATGCTATCACCACTGGAGCCGGCAGTGGCTACTCGCTGGTTTGGCTCGCTCACGAGACGCGGATCGCAACGCCCGGTTCCAACACTTACCAACACATCAATCGGTAGGTCTGGCCAGAGCAGCTTGGCCTCGTGGCACGCAATAGCCGTCGGGTTGTTCACCAGGATTGCTCCGTCACAGAACGTTTCGCTGCCGCAGCGGAAAGCGTCGAAGTAGGTCGGTGCTGCTGATGTCGCGCGCAAGGCCTCGTACACGCGATGGTGGGCTGCATATCGATACCTCGGCTTCGATTCGGGTGGCGGGGCGTAATTTGTATGAAGAAACGGGGCCGCGGGATTCTCACTTACAATCGTCGAGACACAGAATACGCACGGCGGATCGTCAGCGATATGCGCTACTGCCCGCGAATCAATGAGGTTCATTTCACCGGCGAACGCTCGAAAGAAGCGCTCGAGCGCCGCGCTGTCGTAGTAGCCACGACTGAAAAGGAGGCGACCCATGCCCAACCAGCGAACAGCTCGACTGGTGGGCGTGCTGAAAACCTTGCCACAAAACTCCCTGTAGAGAAGTTCGCACTCTGCGAGGGATTTGCGAGCGATGCAGAGGGCCACGGCCAAGATACCGCCGGCTGAGGTACCAGCAACGAGGTCGAATAGCTGGTGGATAGGTTGTCCGGTGCGTCGTTCCAGCTCTTTGAGGATTTCAATCGAGACAAGAGCTCGGGCGCCGCCGCCGTCCAGCGTGAGTATCCGGATACCGTGCGGGCGAGGTCGTCGGAACAAGTTCGGGAGCCTGCCGAAGATGCGCTCGCGCGCCGCTCGTCCATGATCACCGTAGCGACGCTCGAGGCCAAGTGCTGCTACCAGCCGTCGACAAGCAGCAGTTACACGATGTGCACCGAGCAACTTCAGTTTCGGTGTTGGCGCGTCCGTGCCCGATGCATTTCGATGCGCTGCCGTTGGCTTGACCAGGAACTCTTTTGACGGAGTTTCCTGAAGGATGCGATCCAAACGCTGAACAATACCACTCGTTGCGACGATGAGCAACGCAAACTCTCGATCACATGCGGCAATCGTGCCGAGACAGAGGGCGCTGCTCTCGACGCAGTTTGCGTCAGCGGCAGCGGCGAATATCCTGCAGAACTGTTGGAGCAGGGCACTGCGACCCACCTGATGCAACGTATCCGATTGGCACCAGTTGAGAATCGTGTGCGCGTGGCTCAAAGCCGGCGCCAGGAGCCTTTCATGGATACGAGACTGGGTACCTCCAAGTGGTCGGCGTTCGTGGGTAAGGTTTGGAGGAATGCCGTCCCCCGCGTGTCCAATAAGAGCAGAAAAGCAGCGATCAAGCAACGCGAAACCGCAAGAGCTGACGAAAGCAGCTAGTAAGCTCCTATCCCCGCCGACCACAAGCTGTGCCGTATCCGAGAGCACTGTTAAAAACTGGCGAACTGTTTCTATATGCCACTCTGGTGTGTCGCGAAGTCGCGAGAGCTCCCGCCGCACACGCCTGCAATCGTTGCCCGGCATTTTCTGCCCGCAGAACGAGGAACTCACACGGCCTACTACCAGCTGCCGTTTACATAGCGCAACTGGTAACCCAGCAAAGGCTCTTGAGTGCAGTGGTCGACCAAACTGCGCAGTGTGCAAAAGTCTCAACAACCCGTTCAGCCAGTAAAACGGGTATGCTAATGTGCCGAAGCCAAACTTTCCCAAGTGACGTTCGTGGATATATTCCCACTGGTAGCCGGTGGTCGACCACGCGCGCTAAACTTGGTACCCGAGGTCCTGTGGCGTTCCGAAGTACTCGCGTCGTCGTCGTCGTCAACGGAACCCAGTACACTTGTGCCTGCCTGCCTGCCTGCCTGCCTGCCTGCTTGCCTGCCTGCTTGCCTGCCTGCCTGCCTGCCTGCCTGTCGCAGTGCTTTCGATAGGATATTGCTGGCCGAAAAAGCGCCTCCGTTGCAGAAAATGTGCCATCCCGCGCAATCTCGCACCGGATCGCGCTCGATCGTTGAAGCATGCTGGTGATTCACGTCAATGATGTGCCACATTCAGGTGCATCTCATTGTATGCTTTTTCGCAACTTTTAGCAGATACGGTCAAAGTGCGTCCACTTGAAGCAATAAAAAATCCAAGGGAAAGGTATGGACATGCAATTCGAGGATCCTGGAGGCTCGGTGTCGCCGAGTACCGGAGAAGAAACGGAAAAAACGTCTTCTCGCTGATCATCGAGCGAAGAAGAGCAAGCGAAGAAGAAACGGGAGATAGGCGAGAAAAAATGCGTTTGCCCGACTGAACGATAATGAGACGCTAGTGGCACTGGGGACATGAGTCCGAGCAATACTTGCAATGGTGCGTTCCACCAGAGGCAACAAACGCATGGAATTCGTGAACCGAGACTTGAATGCCGCCATCCATATCAGACGAGGAGTGGTGCTGAAGACGAGACTCGCACAGCTGATGTAATCCAGCTCTGGGGCGCAGCTTCTCAGGCTCGAAGTGTGCCCGGATCAATCGAATCCGATCGCAGGCGACCAGTCAGAAAAGGCTGGGAGTCGTTTGTAAGTGGAAAAGTGTTTACCCTCCGTGATCGTGGGACGTTTTCCGTTCTACTGGCGATATGTGGCAGCTCTGACTGACATCTTCTTGACTCAAAAGGGTCTGTATGCGTTGATGGCGTTGGAGCAGGCGCGCTCGCCTGGTATTTGATATCCGGGGGATCGAGTGACGAATATCTCTGGGGGGAAGCATGCCTGTTGGCTGGTGAGCCCCTTGAAGCGATGCTGCGGAACGACAGACGATCTCCCGGATGCCGATATCCAACGCGCAACTGGGCATCCCTTGTGGCTGTGAACGATTAAGCGCCCAAAAAATTTGAATGAATCCAGGATGCAATCTTTGATGCATGGGGTAGTGATATGGACGCTATGTACATCGGAGCTAGACCAAGGACTAGGGATTGTGCAGGTCGCGAAGATGCCTTGTAGAGCTGCTGAGTCGTTCCGGTGCTGGTGGTCTACACAGAGATGCACGCCGTGCAGGACCTGAGCGCAAGCACCCGAAGCACATTTCTTCTACCTTATTAGTCGTATGGAACCTGCTTCCAATGGTGTTACGGAATCCATGGACAGGACCTGTTCCCGGATGTGGCATTCGCCGGCTATTGGGAGAAGCGCTGCAGCGCTGCGCTTTGGGCGCGTTGCTGCGTTCTGCATCGTGCAGCGGCATTTGGGCGGGCTTCGAGCATGCTCCGACTTCCGCTGCACGAAACTCACTTGTCAAGGGTTGCCATAATTTTTTTAGTACTTCCTTGCATCTGTTACGTCACGGTGAGTCTCGACGCAAACGTTGCCGGTGCGTCTTCCAGCCGTTGGAAGCGGCTTCGGGCTTGCCGATCGTCCGAAACGACTCCCGCCCGACAAGTCGTTTGAAGTTTTGCTCGCAAACCAATTCGCCAGAGCGATCCGTTGCTGGTTTCAGCTCGCAGAACGAGCCAGCGGATAGCGACTTGGTCGACAAGTGGCCTCGTTTTGAGCGTACCAGCGTTGGCTTTGACACACCCGTCCATGCACGTGCCATTCGCTTTCTCACGATGAAAATCTATGTACTCGTCGTTGACGCGGCCATAGACCATCATCTGGACTGCGCGTTGGTTCGGGCGTATCACTGTGGAGAAGCCTTCAAGATACACCCGATGGCGATTTTATTGCTTTTCCTACTTGGAAACTGCGAGACCAAGCGATACGACCTTTGTTCATTTAGGTTTCAACCTCGACGGCCACCATGTTGTACGCCTCCTCACGTTGCTTGTCGAAGAGCGCCGAGGTCAAGTAGCGTTCACCGAACGATGGAATGATGACGACGATATTCTTGCCTTTCATCTCGGGTCGCCGACCAAGCTCGAGCGCCGCAACCACAGCAGCCCCACTGGAGATACCACACAGAAGACCTTCTTCAACTGCGAGACGTCGTGCCATTTCAATTGAATCCATGCTCGTAACCTGTTTCACCTCGTTGTATATCTTGGTGTCCAAAATTCCTGGAACGAAACCAGCTCCAATGCCTTGTATTTTGTGCGGGCCCGGTCGGCCGCCACTGAGCACCGGTGACTCCGCCGGCTCTACCGCCATGATATAGACATGCGGGTTTTGCTCGCGCAGGTAACGGCCAGCACCAGTAACCGTGCCACCGGTCCCGACTCCAGCGACAAAAGCATCCACCTTGCCACCGGTTGCGGCCCATATCTCAGGCCCAGTTGTCTCGTAGTGCGCCTTCGGGTTATCCGGATTATTGAATTGTTGAAGCATGTACGCATTTGGAGTGGTGTGAAACAACTGCTCGGCTTTGGCAACAGCTCCTTTCATTCCTTTGGCGGCTGGCGTGAGTACCACTTCGGCGCCGAAAGCGCGCAGCACCATTCGCCGCTCTATGGACATAGAGTCTGGCATCGTCAGAATCAGACGGTAACCACGAGCTGCAGCGAGATATGCCAGGGCAATTCCCGTATTGCCTGATGTTGGTTCGATGAGCACCGTTTTTCCGGGCTGGATGTCGCCCCGCTTTTCAGCCTCGACGATCATGTACTTGCCGATCCGATCTTTTACGGACGAGCAGGGCTCCATGGACTCCAGCTTACATAGTATATGCGCTTGGACCCCCTCCTCTTCCGGAATTTTCTTGAGCTCCACAATCGGTGTATTCCCGACTAGATCGGACACGTCGCGAGCCAACGCGACCGAGGGTGGCGCAGTCAAGGCCAGCTGCACGCGCTGGCGAGCACGCGGTGAACGACGAGCGTATCCGAGAATCCTGGTCTGCTCGGGCTTCGCCCGCACAAACGTACTATTCTTTTTTCGATTCCGGAGAGTAGCTTGCGCAGCTTTGAGTGAACACGGCACCAGAACGTACATTGCGTTAGACACAAGCATATAACACCCGGAAATCCATGGACGATGCGCGAGCCGAGATTCTCAACGAGAGCGCAGCTCGAGGGGTCGCCGCCTGCGCTCGAGCGAAGCGCTCAAAAAGCTGTACGCAAATACGCAGTTCATGAGGCGTTCTTTAGTGGGCCTTGATGCGGACTGTCAAGGTATTCGGTTCCCTATTTGTTTCGTGTGCAGGGCCAATGTACATGATTTTTTCTAAAACGACTGTTGCTCGCTTTTCTGGTCAGAGCTTCCATATGCTGCTTACACTGGAGAAGCGAGCACTTTTGTAACCAGGTTCAACTGGAGCGACCCGCTCGCCGTGAACCTGGAAATATCTCCAGCTTTAGCCTAGTACTTTTCGGCGGTTGAATGGCATGGTTTCTGTATACTTTCGCTGAAGTTAAAGAGGCGGACTGCTTACCCATGCTTTGTCTGCAATAACAAGTTGGATCTTTTCAGGAGTTTCGCGCTGGAATCCATCTGCTTCTTTCCGTATTCGGCATGCCGCCACATAACCGGAGGCAACGTCATGTCGACCGTTTTAGAGTTTGTGTAAAAGAAGTCGCATGAGATCGCAACCATGGATGTGGTTCCATTGGAACCGGCAGAGAAGATACCGAGGTGTCTCAGCGACGCGCATACGATCCACACGTCGATATCGTCGGTGAAACAAACAATGCCCCACGACCATGGAGGGTCAATATATGAACATTCACAGGCGCTTCCCAGCCTTTTTCACGGTTGGCCTGCTATCGGTTTCAATTTCTCACTGCGCACTTGGAGCTTGTGAGGCTGTACCACGAAGTTAGATCGCGTCGACTCCTCGAGTCTCGTCTTCAGCACCCTACATCTCCTGATTTTGATGGAAATGTTGAAGTCTCGGTTTTCGAACTCCAAGCTTGTCTTGCCGCTGGTTCTACTTGCCAATGCATGGTGTCCTCGAATACGTGCCCTCGGTGCCATTTGCTGTTCTGTCAGCTCTCCGTGCTTTTCTATCGTCGAAGCGCTCCGCTGCCTTCTCTTCTATCCCAAACCTCTGAAGTGTAAACCACAGCTCATCCCGTATTTGTTTCTAAAATGAACCCACTTCCTAGTGCCCTTTGGTGTGGACCTTCCCTGAGGGGGACACGCTTGCGGCACAAAGGCGGAATAGACACCGTCCTGGTCGCGTGCCGAAAGCTTCTGTGAGTCGCCCAGTGGCGCGATCATTACGTTTCAGGATACAGAACGCTCCTTCGGTGACGTTGAACCACGGAGAGTATGGAGCAATGGAAAGCAACTCTACCTCCCAATAGCATCGGCAAAAGCTTGCACGCAATAAAAATGGTGAAATGGCGCGTTGTCGTCTGGAAAGACGTCTCCAGACGTGGGGAGAAGGGTCTTCAATGATTCGGCAAAGTGGGTGTTGTTGTATGAGCCTTCCCTACGAGCGAAACTGAGGCCGTCAAATATATCCACTGCAGCTGGAGCCGATGATGATGCCTTAGCTCTTTTCGAGTTCGATCGTACATACAACGGACCCCCTGCTCCGCGAGTACCCATATACGCCCCGACCGTATCGCTCGGACGAAGTCTCACTGACTGGCAAAACAAACTGACGTCACTTTGCTTCATATCGATCGTGACATTCCAGGAATTCTCCAGTCGTAATTTCGGTGGAAGATAGCCGTGATTGAACTAGGACGCTTTTGTGCCAGGCTCCTAGAGTTTACAGGTCCACACGGACAAGCGGTTGAATAACAGAGACGCCCATGATGGCTTCTATACTCGCTTCAGCTTTCCATAAGCTCATCAACGGTTCGTTTTCTATCATTGACCTCAATCGCGCTTTGAGAATATCGGTTTCTGGCGCGGAACGCATAGCCTTCTTCTTGTCGGTGTTCCTCGAGTATCTGATTACTATGGTATGACGGACCTGAAGCAGGAATGCAGTCCTCCTTCCATTGTCCAGTAAAGAGCAAATATCCAATAGGCAAGTGCTCTACGATCTATACGATATACTGCTTTGTGATTTCGATCTCCTGCTGGAGACTGCGAAAAAGCATGTGATGCCATGCAGCGGGGCGACGGAACAGAGTTGAGTTGGAAGACTATTCGATGGACGGGCGTTCAATCTCCAAAGGCTTTTTGCTGCATATCCCAGCAGCTAGCTCATAGACTTGGATCTGTATCGAAGTTTTGGAGGGTTTCACGGAGAACGCTTGAACGCTGCAGGCACAGAGCGGGCATAGAACTCCACGAGAGAGACTATCGAGACGAGGTGTGATAAATCGCGTAGCGCCGCTCTTCCACAACATCGGCAATATCATTTTGCAACACAGCGAACGGCAATTGAGGCAGTTTTTTGTGTCAGTCGTGTATCTTCCATGTAAAGCCTTTGCAGGATATCGGTTTGCCATGAGTCGCTAGCACGGGGCGTTGTCCACGACGGCCGAGCTTGACTTGAGGCGCGCCGGCTCTCGTTTGCTGGCCCTTGATTAATACTGAAGCGCGGTCAACTCGCAATCATCGTGCAAGCATAAAATCCACCCGTGAATTGATAGCGCTGTTCCTGAATTGAGATATTTTCCGAACGTTTCATAAAATGGACAGCGACGAATTCATGTTGCATCAATATGGGCTTACGGGTGAAAAAGATTTTTTAGGATTCTTTCTCGTCTCTTTGAGATATGGCGCCTTCGACGCTTTGCGGCTGGAATTCGTTCGGTCGTCGGAATCTGGATGATTTGCGACCTCATTGAGAGGATTCGTTAAGGAACCAAAATCATCATCCAATGCATACGTACAATCCTCTACTCTTCCTCTTTCGTACCGCGTAGCATGCTACAATCACGCTTTTTCCACGTTTCGATCTCCGGTTTCAAGGCAGCTCGAGCGCCCAGCAATCGCCAGCGTCGTATTGAGCAGGAGAAATACCCGACGTCGTCTCTGAACCACTGGTTCACAAGCTCATGCCCCAAGGTCACTGAGACTGTCGCTTCAAATACTCGAGCCGTTCGAAACGCAAATCCTATTCTCAGTGTGGCCCACGGTGAGACCGCATTCCACATCAGCTTGATGCATCCTGCCGGGCATGCAGCCAGAGGCTTCCATCTCTTCCGTTTGCGTGGAAACGTGTCTCGTACTGGGGCTTGCGTCACCGCAGCGATCGCTCTCGGTGGCAACTGCGTCAGAGCTCTGCCAGAGCCAAGCCTGGACAGAACGACGTTTCTCGACTTGATATGCAGCGTGGATTTCCGCTTCCGAGCATTGCTCTATGATGGACAGCAGCGCGTTCCAGAAACTCTCTATCGAATGGAGCAACGTGTGCTTGCGTGTGTAGCGGACAGCGTACGCGCCGAGTGCGTGGCCCCGAAAGAGCCCGTGATCGTGGGCTGCGGCACTGGGCGCTTAAACAGAGGAGAGCATCATGGTAGCCGCTGTGTCCATCAAGCGCATGTACCGGGCGACGAACTAAGCGTTTGTCGCGCCACCGGGCGGCGATCGGAGGAATAGGTTTGAAGGACATACGGGAACACCTGACCATGCCATAGTGTCGCTGCTGTAAAGGATGCACCAAGGCTGTATACGAGAAAGAGTCGTAGATCGCAACTTTTGCCTTTACACGAAACGCATTTGCAACAGCCGGAAACAGGGAAATCGGGACTTGAGTGCTGCCTTCATCCTCCTCCGAATACTGACAACGGCATTGGAGGAACTGAGAAGAGTGGCGAATTTACACCCGGAGATAAACGAGAGGAAAAGGAAGCAGCCGCAGAACAACCCGCAAAGTGTGATGTAATTGATAATGGGAAGAGGCCCAAACCTTAGATTGTGTATCAGTGTTTGTGGTCCGGTTACTTTTCTTTCTGACATGAGCGTACACGGCCGGTCCGATGCGAGTATTCGATGCCTTCCAACGATCGAGTACAGCGATGTTGCGTTTCGGGATTCCAGCTGGGTAGCGCCGACGGCATGGCACTTCCGCATCGATGCACCATCTCGTGAAGCATCAAAGAACAGATGCCTCCTTGTTCGGACAGATCTCATCACTTATTCGTTCGCTTTGACGAACACCCTCAAGGAATATGGCGGATGCCCGTCACATGCCAACAGCTCTTGGCAGACAACAAGTCGTAGATCACGGCGGAAGTGCAGAGCATCGGAATACCACGAGCAACGCCAGTTGCTATGGTACATTGCGGACTCGCACCTCCGCTACGACGTTGCCCTATGTGCGCCAATGCCGCTGATTCGCCTCGAGCACTGCTGATATGGAAGCCTGCTACATTGCTCAGCGAGTTACGCGACAAAATCATATCGAAACACAAAGCGGAGCCAGAGGCGACGATCACGCAGCCAGCACCGCCGGATCCAACAGAGTCTCTATCTGCGGAAAGAGCTTCCGCAACACTACGATGGTTTCCCCTGGATTCTGAACAGCGTACCCCTCAACTCTTGGATGCGAGAATATTTCCCAGTCGTTGCCCCCCTCAAAGCACTTGTCACCGATGAAAACAATCCGAGAATATTCCTTTTCAGGTAGGAACCGCAGCGCGTACTCTTTGGTCCATCCCTGTGGCATCACATCAAATGATATCTGGCCACCTATCGAGTATACGAAATTCAAGTGCTTGAAACGCTCCCGAAGATGCTCGATCATCTGCTCTCGTATGTGGTGTTCTTTGTCGTAGGCCTCGAACTCGTCTCGTTCCGCCTGAGAACAGTTCCGTCCAATCGGGCTTATATTAAGCATCCCGGTACGAAACTCGATAAACGTGCCTCTTTTCTGTGGAATCTTCAAGTCAGCTATATAGTGCAGGCAAAAGTTGATAAACTCTTGCAGCTTCGCCTCGCCCACGGCCTCAAGCAGCGACGTCGACGCTAACAGCTCTCCGTGTTGGAACGTTTTCAGCCCGTTTTCTGCAAAAACATAGTCCACTTCTTTAAGAATTTCAGCGCCCAACTGCTCTTCGATCAGCCCTATTCGAGAGCCGCCAATGAAACCTACCGCAACCACCTGCAACAGCGCTCGGAGCACTGCGAGCACTTTCGTCGTTACTCGGTTCCGCGGTTTCGTGAGCGTTCCATCCACGTCAAAGAGTACTATCGTTCGAGAATCTTTGACTGTGGACATTGGACTCTGATGACCTCGCGGTGCAACGGAGTTGTGTATAATGGTTTAAACAACTTGGTGCTAAAGACCAAGGTGAATGGCTGAGCGCAATAGCCGGTGTCCTTCTAGGACCGTGCCGGATGAAAATGGAATAGTGAACTGCTGGTTCTAATCATGCATTTCAATTTTTCCGAAATTTTTAGATGTACAGCCTGGGCATTCAAAGTTCAGCAATGAGTGCTTGAGGATTCATACGTCGATTTAGGTTTCTCGGTCGACTTCTTCAGGTGGCTGCTCTGATTCTTTGCCGCTGCGCTCTGTTGCGGCACTGCAGTCAAGATGATTCGATCCGCGCTTTAGAGGAAGGGTTCGTTAAATAACTGAAATCATCATCCAATGCATACGTACAATCCTCTACTCTTCCTCTTTCGTACCGCGTAGCATGCTACAATCACGCTTTTTTCACGTTTCGATCTCCGGTTTCAAGGCAGCTCGAGCGCCCAGCAATCGCCAGCGTCGTATTGAGCAGGAGAAATACCCGACGTCGTCTCTGAACCACTGGTTCACAAGCTCATGCCCCAAGGTCACTGAGACTGTCGCTTCAAATACTCGAGCCGTTCGAAACGCAAATCCTATTCTCAGTGTGGCCCACGGTGAGACCGCATTCCACATCAGCTTGATGCATCCTGCCGGGCATGCAGCCAGAGGCTTCCATCTCTTCCGTTTGCGTGGAAACGTGTCTCGTACTGGGGCTTGCGTCACCGCAGCGATCGCTCTCGGTGGCAACTGCGTCAGAGCTCTGCCGGAGCCAAGCCTGGACAGAACGACGTTTCTCGACTTGATATGCAGCGTGGATTTCCGCTTCCGAGCATTGCTCCATGATCGACAGCAGCGCGTTCCAGAGAATCTCTATCGAATGGAGCAACGTGTGCTTGCGTGTGTAGCGGACAGCGTACGCGCCGAGTGCGTGGCCCCGAAAGAGCCCGTGATCGTGGGCTGCGGCACTGGGCGCTTAAACAGAGGAGAGCATCATGGTAGCCGCTGTGTCCATCAAGCGCATGTACCGGGCGACGAACTAAGCGTTTGTCGCGCCACCGGGCGGCGATCGGAGGAATAGGTTTGAAGGACATACGGGAACACCTGACCATGCCATAGTGTCGCTGCTGTAAAGGATGCACCAAGGCTGTATACGACACAGAGTCGTAGATGGCAACTTTTTCCTTTCGATCCTTAGCGTTGGCAAGAACCTGAAGTAGCTGAGTCTGCACTTGAACGCTGCCATCATTATCCTTCGACTGCTGCCTTCGGAAAATGAGGGAACAGAGAAACCAGCGGATTCAAACTCGGAGGTAAGAAAGAGGAATAGGAAGCAGACGCATAAAAATTCATCAATAGCCGGTATTTATGATAGTGGGAAGAGAGCCAAACTTTAGCATCTACCCGGGAGTTAGGTAAGTCGATCCGTTCTATTCTATTCTGGCACGAGTGTCGATCTGGCTTAGCTGTGCGCAGAGCCGCTGGCAACGCCTGTGCGGACACGGCTGCTTTGCGCGACGGTCTACAGGGCAGGTGCTTGGCTTCGCGTTGCGTTCAACAATGGCACTCGTTGATCCCATTGTTTGGATTGACTGCGAAATGACAGGGCTAGACCCTGAGAAGGACGCCTTGCTAGAAGTTGCCTGCATAGTCACGTCGGGCGACCTGAACACGACTGTGATAGAGGGTCCGAGCTTCATCCTGCAAGCACCGGCTGCCGCTCTCGCCGGCATGAGCGACAAAGTTCGAGCGATGCATTCGAACTCAGGATTAATTGACGAAGTATATCAGGCGACACTGTCAGCAGAAAGCGCCGAGTTAAAGATTTTGGAGTTCTTAGAGGCAGTAGGTGTCGGACCGCAGGTCGCACCGCTCGCCGGAAACTCGGTTCACGTTGATCGCCGCTTCCTCGCACGCTACATGCCGAAACTGGACGCGTACCTCCACTATCGAATTATAGATGTTTCAACGGTAAAAGAGCTCTGCAGAAGGTGGTACCCGAACGTTTTTTCTCGAGCCCCAGCAAAGCAAGGCGCTCACCGTGCTCTGGACGATATTCGAGAGAGTATATCTGAACTGGTGTTCTATCGTGAGAACGTCTTCCGGTTCCCGAATGACACCGCATAACGAGCTTTGACTGAGCAGAGGCCATGTGCCTTGGTATGGGTACAGCGCATGCTCTCGAGACATGCCGGAGAGGTACGACCGTCGACAGATCGGGAATTCGTCGGGTGCACCAAAGGCCGCAGCATGCCCTGTAACGCTGCCTGTTTGGGTGCAATCCACTTCCTCAGCGTCCAGTGCTTTGAATGATGGACACGCTTCCTGGAATGTGCGAATAAGAGATTCCGGGACTGCAGGATCCTGGGGTATCGTCATGCTCTCAGAATAGAGCACTCAATGTTCGATTTGCGTATGCACCGAAAAAGGACCTGGCTCAGTTTGTCTGCTTGGCGAGCTGTGATGCGGAATCATTGTGCTGATTCAATGTCGCTACTCTAACTGGAAGCGGCCACTAGTGTTAAATCTGAATGATAGTCTCGTCATCAAAGTAGTGTTTTCCTGCACGGAACGCGATCTGATACCACCTTGAACTCTGCGACGTAGTGACCTCGGACTTGTCGGCGTGAACATTCTAGCCTCATCATGCACGCGCCGAACCTCAAGATTTGCTTTCTACTCGGGCACGAAAGCTCATCTGGTAGCGAAATGAGCGATCATCGGCACACTGACGGGCATCTCCATTGCGTCACCAGCTGGGACAGGCGGCGCCGCGCAATGAGCCAGTGCGATAGGGTTGCCGCACTTGGGCGACAATAGGCATCGTTGGACTGCATATGATGTTTATTTGGTGAATCTGGCGATACTATGGTGCACCATGATTTCGATGATCGCCAAATGGTGTCAGATGCTTTCGCTTGGTTCTCCCGCATATTCCCCGGGCGCTTTCACGGAATCTGGTCTTTATGATTCCGGAATATGCCATGTAACATTCCACTGAAGACTCTTATGGACCCCTAGCCTTCACATGCTTCTCGTTTTCCTCTTCCATGTGAATTTTCACTCGGCCGAGAGCTCCTGATAACCCGTCCAGCTTTCATTTGGTTTCAACTCTACACCCTTGTCATGAAATACTGCTGGTTCGATGCAAATGAATTTTTGCCAGTCAGGGTCGGATCCTTGTTGCCCGTAAGGATTCCATAAAGTGCAGTCTGTGAATCCGCGCTTGTCTATTTTCATCACTGTCAACGCTACCATATCGAAGAGCGCCATCTCATCGGGAGCGTTCTTGTAGACTCTATCGACAGCGGCCTCCACTGGAAGACCACTCAAAAGCACGGATTCCTCACGTTTCATGGTATTTGCATCCATCTTGTCCAAATATTCCAGATTGTCGTATCCGAAGACTCGAATTTTGGACACGTCCCGGACGCGCAGATAATTGTGCAGCGCCGCTGTAAAGGGCATCGGCCGATCGGTTTCCAAGTTCGTGATGCGCAGCTCACAGCGCAGGCCCCGCAAATTTAGCGTCACAGCATACTCGGCAGAGAACTTGAAAGGAAACAAGTCGCGGTAGTGCGAGGGCACCTCTTCCGAAGAGAGCATCAGAACACAACGCGATGCAGTACCATTTTCTACCATATCGATACTCCGCAGCTTCCAGTCAACATTCCGTGCAAATCCGTGATTCGGGAGCGCTCCATCACTACCAAACTGGGGGAAACAAATTGGAATCCCTCCGCGAATTGGTTTCGATCGATCAAAAACGGCCTCTTCTGAGAGAAAAAGCATCTCCTCAGTGCCTTGGCGCGCTTTCCACGACGTGACGCAGGCTCCGAACAGGTACACATCGGCCACTTGTTTTGTCTGCTCGTTCTTTAGACGAACACAGGGTAAACCGTTCCGCCCGTCAACTAGGCAACCGGCCTCATCGCTTGGAACGCCAGACTCGGAGAGGCCGCTGGCCTTGCCTCCTGTGAGCTCTGCCGCCAGTTTGGCTGCCAAATCAGTGAACCGAGTGCCTGATGCGTCTCCTTGGCCAGGATTATTTAACTTCGCGCGGAGGCCAAGAGACAGCGGCACATAAGCGCCCTTCTTACGGTCCCATAGCCCAGGCGTCCACTGAGACCCCGATCGACCTGTTGCTCTGGCTTGCCGGAGAGACCCGCAGCAGCGCTGTCTACTAGTGCGCACCCCAAGCGGACAGCTAGAACTTAAACCACAGACCACAAACATGCTATAGTGATTGGTTGCAGGTACAAAGAAAAGGAGCTCTTTGGCCTGACCGGTCCGCAAGACGAGCACGGCTGTCCTAGAACTGCTTTCACGAAGTGCACGCTCCCGCATGATGAATGTGTGACGCATTGCGCCGCCAACAGTGATACGGACGCCTCAACCCGACGCCCTCAGTGGCATGGCAAAACCGTTCTGTCTCCGTGCAGTACCTGCTTCAGCGGGATAAGCGCTACGGCGAGAGCTCAAAACAGCTACTCGGCACACGATAGAACATACGAAACGACCAGTATACCCGAGAGGAAGTATGGGTTATAGAACTTGAAGGTAGGCGCTTCATCATTAACGCTTTCCCGAAATCCAGTATCCGTTCCGAATTCTGGAATCCAAGGTCAATCTAAACATTTTGTCATCTGAAAAACTTCAGTTATGCGGAACGCTCCGCGTATTGGACGCCCTGCTCGCAAGCATCTCCAGTGGAGCTCTGGCCGCCTTGTCTGCCGCTAGCATCTTTTGTGCTACTGGGGGATCACTGCTCCGACACAATGATAAGGTGGCATGGAAAATGGCCTAGTTCATTCAGTAACCCGCTTACGAGCGAGCAAGATTTGCGCTGATTGGCTAGTGCACCCAGATGCACGCAACCGACGGCATGGAATTGGGTCAAGTCTGTTCAAGAATTCGTTCACGAACGAGTAACATTTTTGCTGTCGGGGTATCGTGCCTGAGTGCACGCATCCTGCACCATGAACGTGAGATCAGGTGAATGGAACAGCCCTGAACGTGTCGTATTCTTTAGTGTCATTTGCAGTGAAGGAAACGGCGCTGGAACAAAGCAAAAATGACGCCAAAGCGGGGCATCGCCGTCGGATCGGTTGCGCACACTAGACATCGCTGCGTCCGGGTTTGCTGGACTCGTAAGCGACCGATTACTTCAGTTTATGGCGAAGAATCAAGAGGCACCCGGGGTTGATATCGCTCCTAAAGATGAAGACCTGGAAATTCTGGAGATGCGTGCATGTCTTGAACTTCTCGGAATACACAGGGAGTCCGAGGGGGATCGGTACCAGGTGCTTCTGGATCCCGAAGGTGTAGTTCTTCAGCCGCAGTCCCCGGCGGGAATCAAAGGAGCAGAGGTCCTCTATGAGGCTTTATTAGAACGCTTACGAGCGTATGAACGGGGTAATTTTTACGTGACGGACTTGCTTAGCGGCGTGCGCTACATCTTCGCGTTGCTTCGCCGCTCCGGTTTCCTGAGCAGCGATCCTGTTCGGGTGGAAGTTCTGCTGCAGAACGTTCAGGCCTTTGCGGCTAGCGGCGGTCCAGATCGTGAAGCGCGCCAGAAACATGCGAGCGTTGCGCTCTCAGCCGCTGTGCTTCTATTCAATGCAATTGGCAACGCACCAGCGGCGCCACGCTGGAACCTGCTCCGCATCGAGACGCTGGCGGAGATCCTGCGGTGCGCAACTGCAGCGGACAAGGCGGACCGAGTCATCGCTTTCATGTTAAATCACGGCACCGACATGATCGAACGCTACTATTCCTCGCGCAGTTCGGAGTATCGTGCCGTTCTGGAGAACAATGATGCTGAAAATGGGATCCGCGAGGATGGCGACTTTACAACCGCGCGTTGTGGATACTACCGTGCTCTCTTCTACGCTTTGAAAGCCGCGGAGGAACATGTTCGATTCCGGACGGACATCATTGTCGACACCGATTTCGAGACCCTTCTGATTCAGACAGGATGCAGAGCCTTGGAAGTGGCGGAGACGAGCAAACTGGTCCAAGATTCTGATCGTGAAGTTGCTGTAGAAATTGTTTGTCGTGCACTGGCTGCGCCGAGTTTCACCAAGTTCGCTGAACTACTACGCCTGGAAACGATTCAGGCCGACACGCATATGCGGTATGCATGTGAGGCACTAACGCTTTTGGACGAATCCCTCTATGAGAGCCTCTTGGCTGGCCACGGAAACGAGTCCGAGGTCACGGAAGCCGTACACAAACACAGGCAAATGATCGAAACCAAGCTTCGGGTGCTGCGGGTATCGCGGGCTTGTGCCCGTGGTGAATACGCTGCGGAAAAGCCTGAGAGGTCCAGCGAAGAACCAGCATGCGATTCGAAGAGTCATCGCGGCGCGCGTATTCTGCCGTATGCAGCCTTAGCGAAACATGTGGGTATGACGGAGAGCGATATGAATCTTGATGAGGAGGTAGAGAAATGGATCATATTAGCAATACAATTTGGTGTTCTGAGAGCAAAGATTGATCAAGCGAAGAAAATGATTCGCATCGATTATGCCTTTGATCCAGATTCGAGCACGAGCCGAGAAAGTTGGCAACTTGTAGCTGGTCGCCTAGAGCGACTCCGCCTCCAGATAGCGCAAATCGCAGACACCACGGAGTCGATTTTGCTAGCACCGTAGACGGGGACTTTGTATGGCTGCGTCCTGGTGGGCATCGGTAGAAAGCTGACGAGAGTTACCTATGATTCTTAACGTAGAAGGCGAACATGGTGACGGAATCCGCTATGAAGGTAGCGGGCGTCTTGACTTTTGCAGCCGCAGTTGCGTGCATTCATTATTAGCGAATGAGGTTGGCATCCTATCGAGCGTGCAATATCGCTCTCATGCAGCATATTTGGTGAAACATTTCCAAACAAATGTTTTAGTTTGTTCGACAGTTCAGCTACCTGCAGCATCTCCCGGTCACAGGTATCACTCTTCTTCAGATGGACCTGCGGGTTCAAGCTCTGAAATAATTCCTATATGCATTGGATGGATGCGCGCTTTGGAAAAAAATGCAACAAGCGATTGCCTGTCCCATGACGATGCAGGAAAGACCACTCGTGGCTAATAGGGCACCGGTTCCGTCTCATACCAGGAACGAGCGAAGGCATAACGCTTCGGGAGAGGTTTCTCTGCGCTCGAGCCGCTTTTCCAAAGCGCACGCCTAACCGACAAATGAGGAAAACGTGCTTTTTTAGATCATTACGGCTTGCGATTTTCAGACGGGATTCTGTCAGGTCTCAAGCATGCAGTCTCCGAGCGTGCCAGCGTCTGCTGTATACAAGTTGCCCGATGAGAAGCCTATGAACCGAGGAAGACGAATCTCCCCGCCCTGCATTTTTTGACCATCACCATCTCTCGTGATTGATCGTAAAGTCCGTCGAAAAAGCTTGAAAGCATGATGTCGCAGTCGACCGAAGCGTGCTGTTCCGTCAGACGGTATGGTCCCTGTCACGCAAACTGCTTCTCCACGTGAGCTCTGTTGCACTTCGTTTACCGTTGAATGCTCCACGACCGTCAACATTCATATTCGGCAGTGCGCAAGCTAAACAGCTCGCCAAACAGAGGGGCTATGAGTCCGCCACTCTTTCCTCGCCATGTTCTATAAGTGGGGAACAGCGAGCGGACGTGTGCCAGCGTGCGTGATATCTCGAGGGGTTCAACACTTAGAAGTGTATGCAGCAATAAGATTCCACGCGTTCGAAGTACAGCTGTACCGGGCGCTGAGGAAAATGTGCCCAGACCCTAGCGCCTTCGTAAACGACCATCGCCAGAACTTTTTCAAAACATCGGATATCGGAACAAGTGGTTCGAGGGAAAGAGGTCGACAATGAAGTTTGCTTCATGTAGACCGGATCATGGCTCCACCATAGTTCCGTCAGATGAAACACGAACACGGATCCTTTCAATATGTTCCTGCTTTTCGACTGTGCCCCTGTTTTTTGGTAGATGAAAGGCCTCAACATTCGAAGTCCAATCATCGCGGCTCACGGATTCATTCGTTGTTTTAGGATTCTCGATCTTCTTCTCGAATAGCTTCCTCTGTCTCCATGTTGTTGGGTTTGTAAAGTTACGAGTAGCAATATGACTCGCACCGCCATCGACCAAAGGGTTCGTGAAGCTACTGACGTCATTATCCGATGTATGCGTACAATACTTTGTTCTTCCCTGTTCCTTACGTGTGGCATGCTCAAATCACGCATGCTTCAAGTTTTGGTCTTCCTGTTTCGAGGCAACTCGTGGGCGCAACAATTCGAGCAGAGAGATTGGTAATGAGCGAAATACGAAATCGGTTCTGAACGACTTGGTCACAATCCCACGCAAAAAGTTCACTGAACTCCCCAAGACAACCATTCGGTTCCATGCGAGAAGCAAACCCCCGGCTCTTTGCGGCAATAAACGGAACGGCATTGCGCAACACCATTGCCCATGCCCTGTGATAGACTACCAGAAGCACCCGCCCATTCTGTTCAGACAAAAATGGGTTTCGTACTTGGAATGCAGTTATGGTTCACATGGCTTCCAGTGGAGCGTTTGTCAAAGATTTCCACGACGGAAGTATAGGGCGCATCGCATTTCTCGACTTGATTTCCAGCCTTTCTTTTCCCCATGGTACTTGGATCATCATGGACGAGCTCGCTTCCCAGAAATCCTCCTTCGGGCCGCAAAGCTAACACTGGCGCGTCCAGCGGACAGCTTCCTCACCGAGAAGATCCCCCAGAGGAACACGGTGTGCGTAAGGCATGGTACCGGGCGCGGAAACCGAGGAGGGCATGGCAACGTGCCTTCTGCACCCGATAGAAGCACGTACCGAGTTACGAAGCACGCGTTTGTCGTGAAACAGGACAGCTCTCGGAGAAGGGTGTGTGTTGGACATATAGGAACAAACGACTACAGCTAAACTTCACTTGTAAAAACCTCGCACCTCGGCTGTACACAAACGAGACGATGAAAACGACAAGGGATGCATGAATCGCTTCTTTAGCCTGTGGATGCATTGCGCAAGCAATAGCTGGAAACAGCGAAATCAATACTTGAACGCTGCGATCAATATCCTCCGATGACCTACAAGAGAGCAGGACGAAAAGAGAGTCCAGCGTTTCCAAAGCCAGCGTTTATCTACAGCAAGCGGAAAGCGTCGAAGAGAACTTCCGCACAGTCTGGTGTTGGTGCCACGATGAAGAGACCCAAAGTTGGTGAGTACGCCAATTTCCCTTTCTGGACACTTTCAATTTTCTTCTGAAATGGGTGTATCAGCGTATTCTTAACTGCAATATCTAGTTTGATTCTAACGCACGATCGATGCATCCCATCAGAGAGACGCTCATGCAGCGAATCCAGGAAGCGGAGAAGACGCTCTACGAAGCGCGTCGTCGCCCAGAATACGTCGCTGCGGCGGCATCGACCGGGGCGAAGCGCGCCTCTACGCTCAAAAAGCGACGTTTGTCTCCTGGTACGAACTAGACCTTTTCATCAGGTGCAATGTTGGGTTTCGCCCGCCCAGGTGCAAGTGGACTTTTAAAGGAAGGTGGTCAACATTTCTACGGAATTCAGGAAGCTGTTCTCAAGAACATCGAGGCCTGTAAAGTCTTGGCGAGCATCGTCCGGACGAGTTACGGCCCAAACGGGAGAAACAAACTCATCAGCAACCGTTTGAATAAGATTTTCATCACATCAGATGCAGCTACAATTGTTCGGGAACTTGAGGTTGTCCATCCTGCCGCAAAAATGGTTGTGGCAGCGTCGCAGGCACAGGAGCGAGACGTCGGTGACGGCACCGGCCTTGTGCTCGTGCTTGCCGGTGAGTTGCTGAACCAGGCAGCCGATCTTCTGCACCAGGGTCTACATCCAAGTGAAATTGTGAAAGGATACAAAAGATCATGCGAAGAGGCTTTGAAGATCATGGAAGAAGGGACTCTCCAAGTGAGACGGGTTGACGACTTGAGAGACGCCGCTGCTGTCGCTGAGGCGCTGGAGGCGTGTCTTGCGAGCAAGCACTGGGGCGCGGAAGCTTTCCTGGCACGACTGGTAGCCGAAGCCTGCATCCAGGTCCTGCCTGGCTACTTCGATGGGAGCGCAGTCAACGATGTGCCTCTGGCGGAATTCGCCGATGATGAGGAAACTCGTGAGCGGCTTCGTCGATTCAATATCGATAACGTCCGTGTCGTGAAGGTACTCGGCGGCTCGCTCTCTGAATCAAGCCTCGTTCGCGGAACTGTGCTGGTGCGAGACACCGAGGGTACAGTGAAACACATCAAAGACGCCAAGGTTGCTCTGTTTACGAACGATGTCGATACGTTACAGATGGAAACAAAAGGCACCGTTGTCTTACACTCTGGAAAAGAGCTGGAGTCGTACACAAAGACGGAAGAGCAGATTCTGGGCGAACGCATCCGCAAACTCTCCGAGGCAGGGGTGAATGTAGTGGTTACCGGAGGCAAATTCGGCGAGATTGCCTTACACTATTTGGAAATGCACGGTATCATGGCGATTCGGTGCCCGTCGAAGTATGACCTGCGTCGGGTGGTCCGCGCTACCAATGCCGTGGCGGTTTTGTCGCTAGGAGATACGCCACCATCGCTGGAAGAAATCGGCTCCTGTGATGAGGTAAGCGTGGAAGAACGCGGCTCAACGAAGATGATCGTTTTCGGTCAGCGCAGTGATGCCACGAGAATCTCCACCATTGTTTTACGAGGCGCGACACAAAACCTATTGGATGATGTAGAGAGAGCCATCGACGATGCAGTGCACATGTTCAAGGTTCTGGCGTGCCGGGACCCGCGCCTCGTTGCGGGGGCGGGCGCCCTTGAGATGGAACTTGCGAGCCGCCTTCACGATTTTGCAGACCGCGCGAAAGGCCTCGACCAGTTACCCATGCAGCATTTCGCGGAAGCTCTCAAGATTATCCCGCGGACGCTCGCCGAGAACGCCGGGCAGAATACGACGGAAGTCATGACGCGGCTCTATGCGGCACATCGCCAGGGTCATAGCCATGCTGGTGTGGATATCCGCCTCGAGTCTGGGACGATGTCCACGGGATCTGAAGCTCGAGGCATCATCAATGCCAACGAGTACAAGATATGGGATTCGCTTGCAGTAAAAAACGCAGCGATCCGGAAAGCAGTGGACGTGGCATGTACGATTCTGATGGTGGATGCCTTGATCATGGCGAAGCAGGTCAGTGGTGCCGGCTCCGGTCACGGCTAGAGCCCGTGCGGCCCCAGACCGAATGTTGTTTTTGTACTGAGTTTTGAAATGCCACGGTAGCTTTTTCCGATCTCAGTGACGAACATAGAATGATCGTGTAAGCTACAGCGCGTGAAGGGAGCACCAGATTCTGAAATGCACCGCATGAATGCCGCGTCGGACACTAAGTACTTGACCTCGACATCAGTTGTCGAAGCTGTCGCTTTTCCGACCAACCGTTCTTTCCCAGAGGAGCATTTCTCGTAATATGATGCGAGCCAGGTAAGAGAAATATATATAGCATATATGCGTGTGATTTCGATTCGAAAAGCATGCCGTAAAAACCAACTCTCCTTTATGGGCATGATCACTGCATCAATGCACGAATTCCAAATCCGGATATCCTGGTGCCGGAGACATCCGTACCATCCAAAGCATTGGGATCTGAGCGTCTTTTCATTCGTGGTCACAAAGATGGGTCCTCACTCGACTAGGTATGCGCCCAGAGCGCTTTTGTTTATGCGCTTCCAACGATTCCGGTGGTTCCATTCATGTACGGCAAGCCGGACGTCTTGAACGACTAGCCTAGACGACGAAGAACCCCGTCTGTCAACGCCGATCCGGAGACTGCTGGGTAGCTCCGCAAGCTTTTGCAGAATTAGAACGCCGGAAAGCGCTGTTCGGTTGTTTCGGTCACCGAACCTGGATTGGCGGCTATCCAACCTATCAACTACAAATCACGTCCGAAGCTTTCTCTCTGCGACCTCGTCCAAAAGGTCCGCTAGGCGGGCTGCGACGGAAACCGTGACGGCCAACGAGTTGTGTTTCATGTGAGACCCAGTTCGTTCGATGTAGCTGGGTACCGTCAGCGTGCAGTCCTGTGCTTCACTAGAGAGCCTCGGTAAAAGCCCCGGCATCGAGACAATCTTGTGTTCTCTTCCGTTGCCGTGGCGCCGACGTTTCGTCGAGACGTGCCCCTCGCCTGAACTCCCGTCTGTGAGCAAGTTGTGTAGTGAAGATTGCTGGAGGGAGGACGCCTAAGCGCCGCTACCGGCAGCGACTGGTGACGTGTGACCCAAAAGACGCGCAAACAGACATTCTCCGTAAACCTGCGAGAAAGGTGTACCACACTTCTTACATTGCTGCTAGTAAGCATGTAGCTGCTTACATCGTAGGGGTGCTCGCGTCCCTGTCTGCCCGTTGCGAATCAACGACAACTGGACGATGCCGCTGGTATCGTACGTTGACTATGTTGCTGAACGAGCGTCGTTCGAATTTCAGATCAGAGGGAGCTGCAATGTCGTTATGAAGCGCATTCCCCAAATCCAGTGTCTTCATGGTACCGGTACGTCTGCCGATAGAGAGTGCAGCAGTGCTGAAAGAGCCTGATTGTATGTGCGTCCTTTCGGCGCTACGCGTTTGTCAAGGCGGACTCTGGTTCATCAGCAGAGAAGACTTGAAGATCCGAAGAGCGTCATCGTGCCCAGCATGCATTGTCTGCTCGCATTCCACATGGTCGCTGCTGAATATGTCCACCATCCCGATGCCGCTGAACGCACTGAGCAAATCTTTTGGGTCGAGCATCATTCCCGCAGACCAGTCTGGACTGTGGGTAATGGAGCATAGGGTCAGAAACAGACCAGCGGTTGCTTGCCTGGATGCCGGTATCCATCGCGCAACCCGGAACCGTGTCCCATGAAAATGGACCAAATATCCTCTCGCTCTGTTCCTGCCTTTCGAGTTTTCTGCTGAACATCTCTTGAGAAAGACATCCACGATATTCAAAGTGCAGCAATCGCGGCTTACGAATTTATATGCACTTTAAATATTCTCCGACGCCTTTTCTAAGTAACTGCTTCGACTCGTTGCTGCTGGAGTTCGTAATCTCACCGGAATCGCCACGATTCACATCGCCATCGGCCGAACGTTTCGTTCCATAACCCTTCTCATCGAAGAGTTCGTACGCACAAGTCTCCAATCCTCTCCTTTCCTCGCACACGGCATGCTTACGTTACACACTCTTCAGGTTTCCGATCAAGAATTTTCAAGGCAATTCATGGGCAGAACAAATCGCGCTGCTGGGTTGGTGAATAAGGATACTCGATGTTGTAATTTGACGACTCGCTCACAAGCTCATGTCGAAAGCGCACAGAGCTTGTCGGGTCAAGTAATCTATTCCATTCGAAAAACGAATCTTCTCCTCTCCTTAAGCATCCATACAGCTGCATTCTACACCAGCGTGGTCTCCCGCACGAGATATGCTCCCTGAGGCTCTCGTTTCTTTGTGTTGGATGGAAAGCGGGGCCTTCAGCTCGGAATTGCGTCGTTGAACTTATCGCTTCCAGTAAGGTGTATAACACCTTTTCGCACGGAGGAACCGTAGACGAATCGACGTTTCTCGATCTGATCTGCAGCCTGGATTTTGCCTCCGGCACTCGTCTCATCATGGACAACACCGTGTCCCAGAAACCGTCTATCGAAAGGAAGACTGCTTGTCCGAGGGTGCAGCGGACAGCGCACTCGCCGAGCAAAACGCCCAGAACAATGCAGTGATCGTTGGGTACTTTATGGGCCGCGCGAACGGGGAAGGGCATTTAGGCTCGCCTTCCGTACTCCTTAGGCGCATGGAACGAGCGATGAGGCATGTGTTCACGTGAAACAGGGCGGGCCTCGGAGCAGGTGGAGGTGTGGCGGACGCATGCGAATACCCGATGACAGCCAAATTCCACAGCTGCGATGTGCGCATCACGGCTGCACACAAACGAGTTCGTAGATCACAATTTCCGCCCTTGCACCAAAAGCATCGACTGTAACCGCAAGTAACGAAAAAGGGAGTTTATCGCTACCATCAAAATCCTTCGTCAGGTGAATAGGGAGCTGAAGCGAAAGGGGAGACAGACGTATTTGAAACCTTCCATAAAAGCTAGAAAATAGAGTAGTCACAGAAAAAGCCTGCAGATGCTGACTTGTGCGGAATCACGGGAAGCGTTCCAAACGTTTCAGTGTGTATGCCCGAGTTAGCTTTGCGCAGTCGTTCCACTGAATACGAATATGGGTACATGCGTTCCCAACTCAATGCAGCAATCCTGTACAAAGAAAAGATCCCATCGAGCCGATGCCCTCTGTGGAATGGCAAAGCTGTTCTGTTTTTGTGCTGCACCCGCTCCAGCTGTTTAGGCGCTGTTGCGGATGCTCTCGGCAGGCGCTAGGCACACGATAGAACGAATGAAACGACCAGTATTTCCGAGAAGAAGTATGGGTCATGTAACTTGGAAGCAGCATATGGATCGATGGATGCCTCGCCGCGCACCGAAACAAAAAACCAAAAAAAAGAAAGGAAAAGAAGAGTCGCTCATTCGGAGAACGCTGGAATATGGAAACGCCGTGTCAATTAAAAAAATAGAACAAAATTACCACACCGTGTCCAGGATCGCGAAGCGCAGGCCGACGTCCGTCGAACGCGGCGCCTACGTGCCACGCGTATTTCGCATGGAAACTGTTGTTGTAGCGTCGCACCCCGAAGCTCACGAGAGCGTGCTTTCTTAACTTGGCCCTAGCACGTGAGCTGAAGCATACTCCCCCAACGGCCAGACAAGTTTTATGAGCGACCTTTCTGACCTTGGAGTTACGAAACCATTTGACCCATTCGCTGATGCTGACACTGACTCCGGCGTCGTGACGAAAAACCTCGTGCACATTCGTCTGCAGATGCGCAGTGGTCGGAAGAGCCTGACGACCATCCAAGGCCTTTCAGGAAAAATTGATTTACACAAGCTGACAAAGGCTTTCAAGAAGGAGTTTTGCTGCAACGGTTCTATTGTAGAGGATAAAGAGCTTGGACGCGTGATCCAGCTCCAAGGCGACCAACGAGAAAACGTGCGCCGCTTCCTCATCGAGGAAGAGCTCGTTGACAAGGATAACATTAAAGTGCATGGAATGTGAGGAAAATGTTTCACGAAGGTCTCCAAAACGACCATCAAGTGAAATACACGTGGCGGTGGGGTTACTCCACACAGCTTCCGTACCAGCGTGAGCAGCGGTGTCTGGGCTCTTGGCTGCTTGCATCAGTGCGCTCGCAGAATACTGATCTTCGGGGAGCGCGAAGCTCCAGGGCAGAACGCGACCTGTGCGCTTCACGGTGGAAGCGGTTTGCCTCTATGGTTTGGAAGAAAATAGGTTCGATTGAACCCAATGGTCATGTCCTGCGGAGCGAGCAGGACCAATCGAGGACAGAGAATGTTGCGACGCAGGTAGTGCTGGATGCGTGGCAAAACATTCAGAGGCAACGGTGGCAATATACCGCCTGCGCTACTGATATGCGTGTAAAAGGTAAGATGAATGGACTGGACAAAAGAAATCGCAGCCTCGCCCAGACCTTAGGATAATTGCCGTATTCAATGCTGTGACACCCCCGATGCGTGCCATCGAATGCTTTTTTGTCAGTGTAGAGCAGGAGATGGAAATCAAGATGCAATACACCGTAGAGATCGTAGGCGATTTCCCTGCAGGATAGATATTCTTAACTGAACAGTGCAAGGAGGACTGCATTAATCCGTCAGGTCAGTCATACCGAAATACACAGATAATCGACGAACGCTGACAGAAACAAATATATGCGCTCCACGCTAATAACAGATATTCTCAAAGCGTGCTTGCGGTCCTTGGTAGTAAACGGACCATTGATCACCTCACGAAGAGCAATAGCGACGATAGCGGACACATCGGCGTCTCTGTTTCTCAGCAGTTGGATCGTCCGGTCCCGCAAACAATGGGGTACAGTCGCAAAATTCCTAGTTCAAGCACCGCTATCTTTCACTGAAATCGCAATGGCAGAATTCCTAGAAGCTTGCGATCGGTATGAAGCACAGATAAGTCGGTTTGTTTTTTTTTCAGTCGATGAGACTTCCCTCTGACAAAACGGTCTCAGCGCATATGGGTACTCGCGGAGCAGGAAGCCCCCTGTATGCACGATGGAAATCGAGAAGAACGAGGACATCTTCCTCTGTTCTAACTGCAGGGAATTCATCTGGCGGCCTCCGTTTCGCTCGTAGAGAGGGCTCATCCAACAGCATCGTTTTCGTAGCATCATTCAAGACTTTTCCCCTTACGTCTAATGACTTCCATCTATCGGACAACGGAAAATTTCACCGTTCTCTGTGCGTTGGAACTTTTGCCGACGCTAACGGGGTAGAGCTGCTTTTCATTCCTGTGTAGGCCCCGTGGTTCAACTCCATCGAAGGAGCGTTTTCTATCGTGAAACTTAACGATCGCGTCGCTGGACAAGTCCCTACGGCTTCCAGCACACTGGGGCACTTATTGACTTTCTAGCTCTGCGAATTTCCATACCTAAAGGCATAAAGAGCAGCTTTCATGCGAAGAATTACAAAATCCAAGGGAAGGGTATGGAGATGGAAATCGAGGATCCTGGAGGCCCGCCATCCTCGGCTGCCGGAAAAGAACGAATAGAATCCTCTTCTCGCGAAAAGCCGAACGAAGAAGAGCCAGTGACGAAGAAGAAGATGGGAAATGGGTAAGGACAGTGGTTCGCCCGATGGTACGATGACGAGACTGTTGTGACACAGGGAGCACGAGTACTAGTAATCCTTGCAATAATGTGTTCAACCAGCGGCGGGAAACGCATGGAGTTCTTGAACCGAGACTTCAACGCCGCCATTCATATCAGAAGATGTGCGGTGCTCAAGACAAGATCCGCGGAGCTGACACGACCCAACTTCCTGGGGCAGTCTCTCAGGCTCGAAGTGCACGGTGAAAAACTGCAACCGATAGCAGGGGAACGGTCAGAAACGGCTGGGAGGCGCCTGTGAGTTGGTATATATATGCAGCCTATGGCAGCGAAACGTTCTCGCGCCATGAACCGCAGGCAGGATCTGGTGACTTGCATTTCGAGTTTCTTCTGCGCATGACTGGGACGTGCAAGGACCATTTTACATATGAGGGTGTGCAGGTTCCATTTTCCTAGGCGCTGATTTGATAACATCATCCACGCGGAGGATCATTTCAGCTGCTTCTGTTGCGGATGAAAGCACGTGTGCTTTCAGTCGGAAAGACTCCACGACACCTAAAGCTCGGGCATCGGCGATAGAACCCGAGAGGATATCCAAACCAGCCGAAGTGTTGCCCTGAGCGTGCGCAGCTCGAAGCTCCGCCACGAGACTCGTCGCATCGAGACCCGCGTTTTCCGCGATAAGGCCTGGAAGACTGCGGAGAGCGCGAGCAAATGCCTCCGCCGCCAGCGCGGCTTTGCCGCCCATACGTGCCGCACACGCATCCACTGCATTCGCCATGAGTGCCTCCGAGCAACCGGCTCCCAAAACTAGTCGGGAGTCTACGACGAGTTGGCTCAGTACACAGAGGGCATCGTGCAACGAACGCTCAGCTTCATCGAGAATCTGCTGGTTCGCACCCCGGATGACGATCGAGCAAGCTTCTGGCGCCCGACATCCCTGAAAATGCAGTACAGCGTCGTCCCCGATCATGATCTCTTCGATAACGGCACATTCACCGAGCCGAATGGCCCCCGGACTATCGAAGGTACTGACGATTTCACCGCCGGTCACAAGCGCTAGGCGCTCAATGCCATCGAAATCTGCGTGTTCAATACTGTTGATACCATTATCCGTGAAAAATTGCTCCGGACGATTGTAAATGAGTTGACGATTGACAAAAACATTGCATCCGTAACCGAGAATACGACGACATTTCTCTATCATCTTTTCCTGCTCCGCTTGTTCTATTTCCGCAACACGTGCAATTGACTCTGTCCGAACACGAGCACCATAGATTTTGATCTTATCCGTATCCATCGGTGTGTTGGCAATCAAAATTTTTGCATTTTCGACACGTTTCTTCTGGCCTACGCCGAAGCGCTTCTCCAGAATGAAGCCTTCCGCCAGGAATGACTCATGAAGGGCACCGCCGGGTTTTTTAATGATTTTAATATGATCCAGGTTCGTGCTACCTTGCAAGCGGATCACAGCATCTACCGCGATCTTCGCAAAGAGCTCCCTGCACTGCGACAGAACTTTCGAGGACAGCGCCGTGCGCGCAACGTTCATAAGCGCCTCGTAGCCAGCCGGAGTGTCTTTCGCGGGTAGGGCCATGGCGGCTTCTTCGAGTGCTTTCAGCGCCTCTCGATGGGCAGCACGGTATCCGGCTATGATCAACTGAGGGTGCAAGCGCCTTTCGAGGAGCTGTTCCGCTTCACGCAACAGCTCACCCGCTAAACAGCAAACCGAGGTGGTGCCGTCCCCGATCTCATCGTCCTGCACCAGAGCAATATCAACGAGGATCTTCACCGCTGGGTTATCAACGTACACAGACTTTAGGATTGTTGCACCGTCATTCGTAACACTGACCTCCCCAGAAGGAGAGAGGAGAATCTTATCCATCCCACGGGGCCCTAGCGTCGTTTTCAGCAAGTCCGTAATAGCCAGAGCACCAGTGAGCAACGATAGGCGCGCGTTCTCTCCCTTCTCTTCGGTAGAACTCGACTTGAGGACTTTCTGGAGTCCAGTCGGTGGTAGCCTCAACTGCGTCATATGCGATAGTATGATGAAGCTGTTGCACGGTGCAAGTAAAAAAGCTTCTCTCCCAACTGCGTTTACCCAGGGACGTGGCGCGATCGAGCAGCGATGTCACGAGCGTGCGAATGTGTCACGTCATGAAAGCGCGTGCCGCTTCCAGCTCGTTCCGCATCAAGTGGTGTTATCCAGATATGACCTGTTTTGGAACTCGTGCCCCTGTCGGACAATGGTCCAAATATGTGGTCCGCTCGTAAGAGGTTGTGTGGAAGAAATTCGACGCTTCCAGCGTTGCGTGCCCCATAACGCACGGGAGTTCAAAGCGAGTCGCGCGCAGACCAGCTAACTGATAAGAGTCTGTCCAAGTCGTCGTGAGCGCCACCGCAAGTACCTAGGTCACGCTTAACGGCCATGATTGTTCAACAGATCTAGTTGCTGTGCATTTGTCAGGCGCAAGCATGCTCATCGTTTCAGGCGTGGCGCACATGCGTATTGCGCAATGAACTACTGCGGGAACGCTCATGGAGGCTCATGCGATAGCGCAGCAAACGACGGACTCTCAGGTTTACAATGAAGGCATCCTGTAAGGATTTACATTCGTGGTTTCGAAAACTGCTGCCACATCAGAGGCAGCTTAGCGGGCTTGTTCAGGGCACACACGATCAGTGCGCTCGCCATTCAGTTGCGCTTACAATGATCGTACAGCGCAGAACATTGGCCACGCTTTCCCGAGGTGCTGTATCCAGCTTGGAGAGCAGCGTCACCGAGCGGTGCTAGAAGCCGTCGGAGCCACCAGTCAACGAGCTGAAACTCGAAAGCCTTCCAGAATGAGACGAAACGCGTGCGTGTTCTCGAAGTCTGCGCTGCGTAAGCAGTTTCCTGAAAGAGCCATGGGCACGAACGCCACCCATGAAGCGCCCTACGCTCGACTGCAAGCCTTCCAGTATGAGACAAAAGTCGTGCCCCTTGCGAAGTTCGCATAGTGCGCACAGCCCGATGCGTGTCACACGGATCCCGAGGCTGCCTTCAGAGTGCCAGAGGCTCGATTTTCATCACCTGGCGCCGTGCGATGAGCGGGTACAGAGAACGCATCCAGAAACACGAGCAGAGGATGTATCGGACGACAGAGTTTCGTTGATGCGCGACATGACGGTCAGGTCATATCTACCGAACTTTTCTCCGCGCATGGCAAGCTGGTCAGATCCTGCAAATGCATCGCCTTCGCAGAAGAATGGTACCACACACGATGCGCCGCATCCCGTGTGCTCTACTCCAGGTAAACAAGAGGCATCGCGATGACGTGTCCAGCGCCGGAGCGAGCGTCCGAGAAAAGCTCAGCAACCCAAAGATCTAATTTCCTGGATAGATAAAGCCTCAACTGCCGTCAGGGGTATTTGTCTGATGCCGTCTGAGCATGAAAATATACGAAAAAGGAACGGAGGTCTCCTGCGCTGTTGCGGAAAAAGCTCTTATGAGCTCCAATGTCCAATAACGAATTCTCAATCTTTATGGCAATCAACAGCACGTGTTCAGACCCGACAATTACATTAGTTTTTAAGATGTTGGTTCAGGGTATCTAACCAGGCATCCCCAGACGCACAGCGGGTATCGGCATGAACAGAAGCAGCGATACCATGGGCGACGGCAACGAGGTGGACGCCCGCTGGCGGATCGACCGGCCGGCGATCCAGCACCGGTTTTTGAAACGCTGGACGGTGCAGCTGTTTGAGCAGGTGCACGTCGGTGCGTCGCCCGAAAGCCTCCTGTATCAGCAGCTTGAAAGAGAGGTTTTGGTTAAAGGATCTCGTCTCGAGTCCGGTAGACGATAGGTCCGACCCAGGAGACCGGCTCTACAAACCTGTGAACCGAAACGGACGTTCAAGTGCTGGGCAGCGGTTTGCAGGGCGTCGCGAGGGAAAGGTTTCCGTTTCGCTGCGCTCTTTGGAGAAAACACGACTGATTGAAGATCTAACTCTGGCATATTTGTACATCCAGCATAGTCGCAAACCACAGTGGGTAACGCGTAGACTCGAGACCACCCTTTTTTGGTTCTGGGTCAAGTTTCAGGTGCCCCGCCTTTAGACAGAGTTACGGGGATAGCGCCTTGAGCCCAGCACGCTTACAGTATTCCTATACTTTGTTGATGCAATCTGGGCGATGCCTCCAGTAATAGATGTTTGCGACTCGTTTGCCACAAGTGTACCATGGCTGAATATGCTGGACTCACTATCGCTTCCGCCGTTCCGCTCCCCGGAGGCGTGCACAGGTCTATTCCAGTATTCACTCGAATCGTTTTGCTGCGGCCAGTCTGCCTTTAGCGCGCAGAAGATAGGCGAAGTCGCTGTCATGATTGTGAGGATTGCTTGTGGCCCTGGTGTTCGAAAGACGCTGCATCAATCGCTGGCTTCTGCGAAGCATGGCGTGCGATGTACGTCTCAACAGAAACGCGCAAACCCGGCAGATGCTGGGAGAGAGACATTTATAGAGAGCTCGTCAGCGACGCCTTCGGGGAAAGACCTAAGACTTAGTCGATCGCGCAGCAAAGAGAACGCACCGGATCACGCATGGGCGCGAAGTGTTACGGGTGACGTACTGTTTACGGTAACAGATCCAACCGGTGTTCTGATGGATGGGACCATGCATGCCGGAGCGTACCATCGCATTCTCCAAGCGCGAGAACATCTCATCGGCAGTAGCATCGTGAATGAAAGCGGCAGCATCCAGACAACTGCTGCGTGCGCCTTGCTCGACGGCACCGAATGTGGAACCGTATTGTTGCTGCGGGACGCAACCTTGCTCCACTTTGCGAAGAGCGGACCCCATCTGAGCGTCCATCCCGTTAATATCGCCGGAATATTCCTAGCTGGAGACCGTCCCTCGCTGCGCGTCCAACGATTCTTGGATGTCTCTCGAGCGCTAAGTCGTAGCCAGCTTTTCGACTCTTATGCCTTCGCTGGGCATTTCGCAGCGGGCGTCCTTCGAAAAGAGTCGGATGCTCTGGTACACGCCGCGGACACCGACGAAGATCGCGAACTCTTGGACATCATCGAGCAAACGGCGGCCGCGGAAAGCCGCACACCGAGCGTCTCGAGAACGATCGCTGGTTCCAGTCATGAGGCAGAGAACAAACGCATAAGGGTTGATCTAATGTCCTCAGTGACGGGCGATTTCAGGCCGTGGGTGCTCGACGACGAATTCGGCTCCGTGGAGTCGTACGTTCCGGCATCGGCGCAACCCTTTCGTGAGATTACGAACATGCCGTGTAGTAGCGCTCCCTCTCTGACTCCATCGAAGAGGCCATCGGGCTATCTCTCGCTCTCAGGGAGCACAGCACCGAATGGTCTCGCGCCAGCCGAAACCCCCGTACATAGCTCCGAAGCTGATTCCTTTCTGCTAGAACTGGCTCGAGAAGCAGAAAAAAAGCCACTTGCGAGGAGCACGAACGCTGCGGATCCCGCACCTCAACCAAGTAACGTTTCTGGAGACACGGTGCTGGCCGCTCGGAAGTCTGTCCAAGAAACACCTAGTCCTGCTAGCAGTAAGGACGACCTCGACGTCGTTTTATGGCAACTGGTGCCGGAGACCTGAGTTTTCTGGCTTGTGGAATCCATTCAACAAAGACGTTTGGACTCAGAAACGTCCAATGGTGGAACTCCGTTGTCATCTACCGATTGCCGACGAAAACCCTTCCCAGTGTATAAATACGGTGCTCCCTCGTTTCTGGATTGCTGAAACCGACCTCACCAATGACTTCATCCAGGAAATCATCCAATATCCTGGCTCATGGCCACAGATGTTTCTCGACGAACGTCGATAGCGTTGCAGCACAACGCCAGTACCGCGTACGAAACGATTTGCCTGAAAGTTCGGTCGGCAGAAAGTCGCAGGACGCTCCGCAAGCACCAGATATTACCGAATGCCGATCGAGTCGCTCAAGTCCTAGTACACCGTGTGCTTGTGTACATTGCGGGGTGTGGCGTATCACAGCAAAGCAGGCGCTCAGCTTGGATTGCCTCGCCATCTGGTGTTCGGTCTGCTTGCCATACGCCATGCTGCGCATCCGGCACGGAGTTGCGCTGCTCTTGTTCTCTACCAGTTTCAGCAAGCACCCGTGCTCGTGATGTGTGGATGTCGTCCTGAGCGCATCGATGGGAGTGTTCCAGGGTCCATTCTCGCACACGTTGGACGCCCTCGTTGAAGGGGCAGGAATGCAGGTGCTGTTCGCTACCGGACGTGTATCGCGCTGGACTCGCGCCAAACGACCCGACTTGTCAGCCGTTTCCATTGCCGCCCTGTAAACGAGGAACCTCCGGTGAGACGCGTAAATGCACTTCGTAAAGTCGCTCGAGTGCTTCGCGCTTGCTCACAAACACCAGCTGCAGCTCGCCAAGGAGCCCGCGCACCACACTACACATGTGTCTCCGTGCATCTCGTGGATCTACGTGTAACGTACGCGCACGATACCCAGTAGACGCGGGACGAGCAAGAACGGTCGGCTTCGGCGGCGGACGCTGCGTCGCTCTGGAGGGATCAGCTCAGGGTCGCTCTCGCAGGTGTCTTGCCTGCGAGCGGCGGAGTCCCTCTTTAGTGAGTACCCGTGTATCGGCGTATCAGTTCTCTCCCGAGTGAGGTCTTGTCGAGTGCGAGAAACATCCGTTCGTGGTGTAGCACAGGCTGGCCATTCCGGCACGGAATCCTCAGCATATGGATCAATGCGGGACGGTCTCGAGTAGAGGCATGCGTTTCTCGTTGTCCAACCGCGTCTCTTCATCAGCGTTTGCATCAGCCATGCGAAAGCTGTGCTTTCTTTGGTCTCTTCTATGGTATTTCTCGGAAACGTGTGTTATGAAATGAATCGACGAGGAGGTAGTCGTTCAGCTAGAAATTCAAAAATTCTGTTTTCGGTGCTCGACATTCAACATAAGGCGTAGGCGGTGTGATGCCCATGGACCGTCTGCGTGCAGGACACTTGACTTGCAGAGGTAAACCCATTTTCGGAAGCGAAAGCGGCAGAATCAAGTCTTTCCGCGAACATTCTCTAGTCGGCAGCACATATTTCTTTTATTGCATACTTGCGAGAAAAACTAGCGAATAGGCGGGTTGGTACAAGTGCTCCAGAATTCACTGCTCCATGTGTAACCAATTCTTTTCTGATGACAAAACGTTTACATCGACCATGGATCCGAGGATTCGGAAAGTATAATGGCTTTCGGGAAAGCGTCCATCATGAAGCATCTAGCTTCAAGTTCTATCACCCATACATGCTCTCTGATATACTGGTCGTTTCGTATGTTCTATAGTGCGCCGACTAGCTGTTTTGAGCACCCGCCGTAGCGCTTATATACCGCTGAAGCAGGTGCTGCACGGAGACAGAACGGCTTTGGCATACCGCTGAGGGCGTCGGCTCGAGGCGTGGTTCATCGGACACGGAGTCGGAGTACTTAATCATTCTAGGAGCCTGGAAGCTGCGCGGAGAGACGCACTGCCTGCGGCGGCACGGTGCGATATACTGGGCGTCCACTGCGACCAGGGCGACGCCCAGACGCAGCATACACGCTCCTAGTCCCAGATTGAATTGCATTGCGGACGAGTAGCTCAGGTTTCTTTAAAGAACCCGCCACTGAAGGAAGCATGAAGCACTAGCTAGCCCCGAAGACTCGTCCGGCTCGCGGGACCTTCCGCCTAGAAGGTAAACTTTCCAAGATACTGAAACTTTTCCCCATTTCAACGCTTACAATTAAGATCAAACGAAACTGTTATCGAGTTGCTAGTCAGTGCATAGTTTCTGTTTTTTTTTCGCATCGACGTCGATGCTCGGTGGATCAGGGCCTAGTTCCATTCAGCGGCAGCGACGGCGTGCCAGAATCCTGATGGAAGTGCTTTAAGAGGCTGCTTGTTTGAAGGTTAGCCTATTTGCGCTCGGGTCGCTGCTCTTTCTATATTGTCCGGGAAGAGTTCTTCGACAAGCATTGACCTTAGACGGCGAGAAGCAGCGCTTAGAGTCACAGCAAAGCTGCTTTCTGCGAAAACTGCGCGCAGGACAAGCGGTGACGCTTCCTTCGAGAGCGGCGCTCTTGGTTTTGGTGCGACAGGAACGGCTCGCAGTTCGGTAGACTTGGGTTTGGGTGGAGCTCGGAGATTTAAGGTGGTGCGCGAGATTGATAAGCGTAAACGAGTGGCGCGTTCCGCAACGTGCGATTCTTCGTGGCACCGAGGAGAACGCACGCATCCTCTAGCTTGAGCGTCACGCATTTTGTTTTGCTTACGTTGAGGCCTTCATAGATTGGTGGCGTCTTTGACAAGATCCGGGAATTTTTCGTTGCCCAGGGGCGAGATTTTTGAGACCAGGGGGTATCCCAGCCAAGTTACCGGAACTGCACCGCACTCGTGGCCGGTGTTCAACGAACGGCGATTTTGAGAGTCTTCTGAGCACGTATCCAGCGGATATAGTAGCGTTCACGAGACACGTACGTGCTTACCCGTGAACCCCTGTCGCCTCTCGAAGGGCATCATGGAGCATTCCGGCAGCCGGGCCCCGTTGGATCCTGAAGGCGCGGGTGCTCGAACACAGGACTCTTTTCGCGTCTTCTACAGCCAAGATGATGTGAATGGAGGCAAGCTGTACATAGGCGAAAAGCTCAAGTCCAAAGTTGTGCGTAAGCTTCACTCCCTGTCCATTGAGGAAGGAAACGCGCGAATAGCGGAGTCTTCAGACAGTGCATTGGAGGAAGGCACGTCCGATGCCTCTCGCGAGGGCTCTTTTGCGCCCTCTCCACGTGCGTCTTCTGCAAGAGCAGCTGAGACTGTAGAGTGCCCTAAGGTACTATCAGGAGAGAGCGCTCGGGATGTCGCCGCCCACAAGGACGAGCCAATGGTGTCGATAGCGGGGCCTCGTGACCACGCCTCTGCGGAAGCGAAATCGATCGATAACAGGACTTGGGGCGCAGCGCGGAGCTCAAAAGATCTCTCGTTAGATGATCCGATCAGACCCGTTGTATCTGCACATCCAGTGGAAGCGCATTCGGATCGACATACGTTTGCGTTCGAGAACTTGAGCAGTCGCCCGCACATCAGAGAGTCTCGTCCAAAGTTCATCTCGAAGTACGTACTTGGGGCTCGCCTTGGCGAGGGCGCCTACGCCAAAGTCAAGGAGGCCATGGATACGACCACGCTTAGAATCGTTGCTTGCAAAATTGTTGACAAACGCTTCCTACGCAAAGTGCGCGGTGGCCTCGAAAACGTCCGACGTGAGATCGCCATTATGCGGTCGCTGGATCATCCAAACATTGTGCGCTTGCTAGATGTTATTGATGGTGAGGATTCGATGAAACTCTACATATTCATGGAGCTCAGCAACGGATGCACTGTTCAGGAGCTCATGGAGCGTGCACCTCAAAAGCGGCTACCACCTGGACAAGCCCAGTCTTTTTTCGCGCAACTGATCGAAGGACTTGCATATATTCATTCTCGGAATATCGTGCACCGAGACATCAAACCCTCGAATCTTATGCTTGCCACGGATGGTGTTCTGAAAATCGCGGACTTTGGTGTAGCCGAATTTCTCGACAAATTCGATGCCGAGGGGCGTATCACGAGGACCGTTGGCTCGCCTGCATTCCAGGCACCAGAGATTGCGCGGGGTAATGGCATGTTTCTGGGGCGAAAAGTCGACGCCTGGGCTGCCGGCGTCACGCTCTACATGATGCTTACTGGCGAGGCGCCTTTCAAAGGATCCAATCAGTTTGAACTCTTCCGCAATATAGGCCGGGGCGAGTTTCATATGCCATCTGATTTGATCGACGAGGAATGTCAGGATCTCTTGCGGAGACTCATGGAAGTGAATCCCGAAGTCCGGAGCACCGTCGACGACCTTCGTGATCACAACTGGTTGCGAAAACGCTACGACGATGAGCATGCATGGATTCCGATTCCGCGACGTCATCCCAAAATCCTCGACATGGTCTCTCGCCTGTACGAAGACGATCCCGAGATGTCGACTCAGAGCACGAGTCCCATCGAGTCAGACGCCGAGAAGAGCAGCGTGCAACGAGCGCAAAGACCCACATCCATCGTCACCACCCAACTTGGTGATCGTCGGAGCATTACGAATGAGGGAGCAGCAGAACCTACTCTGGAACAGGGCGAATCCGGATCTCCTGGAGAGAGCTCATGGCGCAAACGATGTACTTTAATGTAGGATGGGCGCGGTGTTCAGGACGGGAAACGAATACTGCGCCAAAAGCGCCATGCTGCAAACCGACGGGGGTCGGTGTACTCAGTAACGTCCAATGGTGGAACTCCGTTGTCATCTACCGATTGCCGACGAAAACCCTTCCCAGTGTATAAATACGGTGCTCCCTCGTTTCTGGATTGCTGAAACCGACCTCACCAATGACTTCATCCAGGAAATCATCCAATATCCTGGCTCATGGCCACAGATGTTTCTCGACGAACGTCGATAGCGTTGCAGCACAACGCCAGTACCGCGTACGAAACGATTTGCCTGAAAGTTCGGTCGGCAGAAAGTCGCAGGACGCTCCGCAAGCACCAGATATTACCGAATGCCGATCGAGTCGCTCAAGTCTTAGTACACCGTGTGCTTGTGTACATTGCGGGGTGTGGCGTATCACAGCAAAGCAGGCGCTCAGCTTGGATTGCCTCGCCATCTGGTGTTCGGTCTGCTTGCCATACGCCATGCTGCGCATCCGGCACGGAGTTGCGCTGCTCTTGTTCTCTACCAGTTTCAGCAAGCACCCGTGCTCGTGATGTGTGGATGTCGTCCTGAGCGCATCGATGGGAGTGTTCCAGGGTCCATTCTCGCACACGTTGGACGCCCTCGTTGAAGGGGCAGGAATGCAGGTGCTGTTCGCTACCGGACGTGTATCGCGCTGGACTCGCGCCAAACGACCCGACTTGTCAGCCGTTTCCATTGCCGCCCTGTAAACGAGGAACCTCCGGTGAGACGCGTAAATGCACTTCGTAAAGTCGCTCGAGTGCTTCGCGCTTGCTCACAAACACCAGCTGCAGCTCGCCAAGGAGCCCGCGCACCACACTACACATGTGTCTCCGTGCATCTCGTGGATCTACGTGTAACATACGCGCACGATACCCAGTAGACGCGGGACGAGCAAGAACGGTCGGCTTCGGCGGCGGGCGCTGCGTCGCTCTGGAGGGATCAGCTCAGGGTCGCTCTCGCAGGTGTCTTGCCTGCGAGCGGCGGAGTCCCTCTTTAGTGAGTACCCGTGTATCGGCGTATCAGTTCTCTCCCGAGTGAGGTCTTGTCGAGTGCGAGAAACATCCGTTCGTGGTGTAGCACAGGCTGGCCATTCCGGCACGGAATCCTCAGCATATGGATCAATGCGGGACGGTCTCGAGTAGAGGCATGCGTTTCTCGTTGTCCAACCGCGTCTCTTCATCAGCGTTTGCATCAGCCATGCGAAAGCTGTGCTTTCTTTGGTCTCTTCTATGGTATTTCTCGGAAACGTGTGTTATGAAATGAATCGACGAGGAGGTAGTCGTTCAGCTAGAAATTCAAAAATTCTGTTTTCGGTGCTCGACATTCAACATAAGGCGTAGGCGGTGTGATGCCCATGGACCGTCTGCGTGCAGGACACTTGACTTGCAGAGGTAAACCCATTTTCGAAAGCGAAAGCGGCAGAATCAAGTCTTTCCGCGAACATTCTCTAGTCGGCAGCACATATTTCTTTTATTGCATACTTGCGAGAAAAACTAGCGAATAGGCGGGTTGGTACAAGTGCTCCAGAATTCACTGCTCCATGTGTAACCATTGCACTCAGTGCACTAGCTCAGCGACGGTGCCAGTGCAGCGAGTCGGCTCGGGACGCGACGCTGAACGGTAGACACTTGAGCAGCAGCGGCTGGTGGTGGTAAGCGCCTGTTCAAACCTTTTACGTGGTCCCTGCTCAATGAGAAGTGCTAGGCAGGCTCAATTGTCATCTTGAAGGACGCAGCAGCGGTGAAAGACACCGCATTTGATTTTGAGGATTGATGCTTTGTCACGGCGGCACATGGAACGTGCCCACAATCCTGGTGCTTTCAACGACCGCTGACGTGTGATGCAGCGAAGTTGCAAGGTCTGTGGAAAGCAGCCAGGGCGACGTGCCCAGCGCTGTAGCGTGTACCGGGCGTGATGACGGCTTCTGCTGGGTCATTGCTTCTAATAGACCTCCATTCCTCGGGTAAGCGCGACATCGTAACCTCCAGCACCTGGAAACGTCCGCGGAATCTGTTTTACTCCATGGTGCAGCTTCAGGGAAACTACCCTGGAACTCCGACAAGTCGTTTGTTTTCGGCAACTGGAAGAGTAGCCACTACTCCACTCTTAACCCGTGGCGTTGCCCGAACCTCGTGCCAGACTCGTCTCTGGGGTTCCCGGTTCGTTCCCACGAGCAGCCGCGTGCCGACTCCACTGAGGGCGCCAGCTAAGACACCTACAGGGCCACGACAGGTATCGTACGGAGACAGAACGACTCTACCGTCTACTTTTGGGCGTCTTCGCGGGGTGCGCAAGCGGAGGTACCCTTTGCAACGATGCAGCGGGCTGTATCCTTACACTCGCGAGAGTCCGAGTCACAGGCCCGCCGAACGTTCCCGGTGGCTTAAACTCGCTCTTCTGACTCGGCTGCGTTCAAGTGAGACAAATCCTATCAAGGCGCATACAGCAGGAATGCATGGCTTTAGGATGAAGCGCGTGGCTACTTTTTGGAAATCGCTAGCTAAACTTCAGGCTCTGACTTGGTGCTCAGAACACGGGTCTCCTCATCCTGTGCAGCGGTTGCTGGTCGATCTGCGGTGGAAAGCGCCGCGGAGCTGCTGCCCCGCTCCAACTTTCTGGATGCAAAATTCTTGAAGGGGTTCGCTGGCGAGTTCTCATCAAATGGTTCCACGTCATCCTGGAGATCTTTGTCTTTCAGAGGCGGATATTGGGAAAAGTCAAGCGGGTCTCGCAGCTTCGGTATGATCGGTGGCGTCTCATTGCGAATAAGATTGAAATCGATTTTCCGAAACCACGGATGGCGCTTAATGTCGCTGGCCCCGTTCTCATGTCCGAGTCTTTTGGATGCATCTCGCTTCAGCAGACGTTTGATGAGATTTTTGCACTCCGGTGAAAGGTGTAGAGATTCATCGAAGCGAATGTTTCCGTGTACAATATTATTGAAAGTTTCATCCTGGTAGGAGCCTTTGAATGGTGTCGTTCCCGTCAACATCTCGTAGAGAAGAATACCAAACGTCCACCAGTCGACATCGCTCGTATGCCCAACGCCCTGAATAACTTCCGGCGCAATGTACTCCTCGGTGCCCACGAAGGAATTTGTTGCGTACGGGAGGACAGGCTCAGAATCGACGATCTCAAGATCCTTGAGGTTGCTCCGAGACCCGCGGTTTCCCGAGATCGCGCCTTTCATGCGATCCAAGAACGAAATCTGATGTTTGATGACACGAGGTGAAACAGGATGCGCCTGCTTGCTCAGATCAAAGTCCGTGAGGGCGATATGTCCATCAGCGCGCATGAGGATGTTTTCCGGTTTCAGATCTCGGTATATGAAGCCCATGTGATGTAAGTATTCCAGCGCGAGCAGGACCTCAGCCGCGTAGAAGCGCACGGCATCCTCAGGCAAGCGTTTGTTCGGTTGTCGTTGTAGCACTCGAAAGAATTCTCCCCCTGCGCAGTATTCCATGATGAAATACAGTCGATCCTTTGTTTGGAAAGATGCATACATCGTAACGATGAATGGATGGTGGGCTGTCGCGAGAATCTCGCGTTCAGTCAAAACGCGCTTCACTTTGTTACGCGCGATCATCTCCTCTTTCGTCAGAACCTTCATCGCGTAGAGCTTGGTGGTGCCTTTCAACAGGACAAGATATACTCGGCCAACATCACCCTTCCCAAGTAACTTCAATTTCTGAAACAAGTGCGGGCCTATCGGTCCGCTAACCGGAAATTCTGGGGTCGGCTGCGCCGCTGACGCAGCCAGCACGTTCTGGTTCTTCCCCGTTGAGACAACAGCCCCATTCTCTTCAACACTATGCGATGGAGGTGCAGCTGGTGACGGCGAACGTTTTGTTTGAGCGTCAACCTCGGTCAGCGACAAATTCCGCGCCTCAGTCGTCAAACTCGAAACGTTTTCACCTAGGCCCCCGGGCATTTGTTCTGATAGCTTGAGTGTTCTCGAACGAACGCGTCGCACAACGACCAGAGCGTAGACTGGAACGGAGCTGCTCACGCAGACACACCCTTCTCCGGGTTTGCGCTGTGCGTAAGTCTCCTATCGACAAGGTAAGCGCGTTTGAAAAACCCGCTGTACGCCCTTCTGAAGTCAACTTTTCGAATGAAGACCCAAGGGGCTTGTAAAAAAACTGGCAGTACGGCTCGTGGTGCGATTGCTGTGCTGCCCCAAAGCTCTGGCAAGCAGCTCTGCCGCGAGTGCTCGCTGCCTACAGTCTGCCTTTTAAGTGACACCACACTCGACGACTGCTGATGCCAGTCTGCTTCCTCTGAAGACCTTCAAAGGCTTACCACAAGTGTTATCGTCTAAACGCTCCCAGTGTGTGGACGCTGAGGTGCCTCAGAGTATGCGGCGAAAACTCGCCCACAACACGTCAAACATTCGAAGCGCATACCGCGGGATACTCGATGGTGCGTTCATGAGGCCGATTCGCTGCGCAGCGCGCGGCTGCCGCGGGCCTCAGACGCCAACGATCTCAAATTGCGACGGTGATGGCGTGCGCGTCTGCCCGAGGTGCGCGCAACAGTCGCTGGCAATGATGCGGAGTTCTTCGGGATTGGGCTGGTGCGGAGGCCGCAGCTGGAGGCGGCCAGCGTAAGGATCAGATCCTCTGCACAACGGACTATGAAACGTATTGGGGCCGCGCCCCAGGTCAGATACCTCTGTGATAGACATCGAGGTAACGCGCTCCACTGCATGAGTATTGGAACAGAGATTCCACGCATGAACCAGGGTAGCATCTGTACGTAGGGGGCATAGCTGAATCGAACAAGCTCATGATCTTCGATGGAGCACTACTCCAGAACGGATAGAGCCTGCAACAGCCAGCAGTGAAACAGAGACCTTCTACCTGGTTCCTGGAGGCTTCCGCTGCTCGAAACAATCCTGACTTGATATAGGGTCCTGGAATGTGAAAATTTCCTGCTTCAGCGATAGCAGGGATATGAGGCGGTTGCATGCGCCGCCCCTGACGTTGAGAATCTTGTAACACGGGGCGCGTCGCTTCCTGCGAATCATGGCAGTGGCTCCACGGATGAGGCTATCTCGGCCAGCTTGGCTGCGATCTCGTGCTGATTTCGCTGCAATTGTCTCGCGTTCCCGGCTCGAATGCTTCCTCAGGCAATGGCGGGGGTCTCTCACCGCCCCAAGGGCCGTCCATGGAATCCCACTCGTGCGATCTGGTTGAAAACGTTCCATATATAAATACAATGGAGCTTTCGAATTTCTGGTACACACTGTTTGTCGGAAATAAGCTCGTGATGCGGGCTTCCTCTCGTTCGCATTGTCGTCCACGTGACCGAGTAAACATCTAAAGCGATCAACTCGAACTGAGTCTCATGGAGCGATCCACGGTGCGCTGCATTATGCGTCCTGCGACCAACGCAGACCGCAGTATCCGCGAGGCAGCAATTGCAGATCCTAGTGACCGTGGAGCGCCTCGGCCAGACGCAAACACTGCGTCTCTGACATTAGCGTCGTGCCGGGTGTTCTGTCAAGCAAAATTGTCCAGTGAGTTTACTACCATAGCATTCGGGGTAACAGTCTAGACTTCGTGTTGAAGGACGTTCAATTGCCACGGCCGACTGTGAGTACTCCAACGAACAGGCTATTCGTCGCGAGGATGAGGTGCCCAGCGATTGCTGTACGATCTGTTCGTTCTATTCGCTTGGCTCGAGCCAATAGACCTATTGCGGGCAAAAAGGGCTCAAACCCATCGAAGCCAGGATCCTTTATGGAAACTCTAAACGCTACCTATTAGAACGGTATCTCTGTATTCAGCAGGGAAGCTGAAAATGAACAGGCTCAAGCGGCTGCACGAGAGCTGCCGCTGATCAGCGCTCATACACCACCTGCTTGGCGACCGAGGCCACTTGTTACAGCCTGTCCAGTATCCCTGTAAGGAACAGAGGCCCAGTCCGGTAGACCTGCGAATTCGTACGGATATCCGCCGGTTGCGACGCATCCCAACGGACATCTGGTCGAAGATCCCACAGACAGGGATCCCCTGGCTCGTATAAACGATCCTAAACCCAAAACATTCATGTTCAAACCCGAATTCGATGCTTTCGCAAAAAAACGCTTTTCTCAGAAAAGAACATTATCGACAAGTACCTGCCAGATTGATTTGATGGACAGAGCAGTTGCACTCACCATAGACACCTGATTGCTTGATTGATATCGGCATCTTGGAGAGCGTTTATCATGTTTCATCCTACCTCCGGGTTTTACCAGCTACCACAGGTACCTCCCTTGCGAGACAGCGGCCATTTCGTACGATCCACTCAGCGCGAAGCCTGCTACGGGCGTCCACAGTGGCGCCCACAGCGCCGGCGCGGATGCAGGACGGAGTCAGAACGCCTTTACCACACCACTGGAGAAATCAGCTCGAAATGTGATTCACTCGTCACAGGGTCGGGACGCGTGGATATTCTGGGATATAGTAGACCGCTCAGACAGACCTACTGCTGGCACTGGCGCGAAACGAATCTCCAGGAGACCGTATCGACCAGGGCGGGGCCGAGACGCAGGCCGCCCTCTCCGGCTACAGAAGAGACTCTATTGCGGAGAGGTTGCTCCGGATTTGCCACAGCTTTCGGTACTGGAGGCGCACGGTGCTCCATTCTGCATACTCCTCCAACTGGCAGGATCTTTGTCCTAGACAGTAACCCTCCGAATGTACATAAATCATTCCTCGGTTCATCTCTTGCCTGGGACGCGGGGAACATCGATGAACTACTTGCCAGCTAGCACACAGTTTCTTTTGCCATTTTCTTTCTAGCTGCTGTCCAGTGGTTAGGTTCTCTCCCTAAAACGAGCCCATAGCGGACGACGCGGCACCGAGTACAGCTGCATCGGACGCGTCTCGCTACACTCCTGTCAGGCAAAATTTGCACGATTCCTCTCACGTATCTGGGATATGCACACTAAAGCTTGGACCTCGCTCGTGTCGTCAAAACCAGCCTACGCAAACTTTTCTGCGACTGCCTCCTTTTCCTCTCTTATCTATACATTTAAATAGGCTGCGCTCTCCGTTCCAGGCAGCTTCGTTGCCTGCAGTCGAAGGATATCAGTGGCAGGGATGAAGTCTCGATCAAGTTTTAACGGACTGTTGCGAATGCATTTCAACCACGGACGGATGTTGCGATCCATGCCTCTCTTGTCATTTCCATCTTACTTGCGGACAACTTCGGTGCGCCCTTCGCTGATCCGACACTGGGCTGAGGTCAAGTGTGCCCACATGTCTATCGCAACGCCCCCTCCGAGGTGGCACTGTGGTGCAAAAGCCCTTGCCTCATGGCACGGTGCATGCCCTTGATGGCTACAGAACGCACTCCTCGATGCCCGTCTACGTCTCCGTCTGTTGTGCCGTGCCCGATGACCACGGGCTTGTTCTGAGCGATCCCATATGCGAGTAGGCTGTCCGCTGCGTGGGCAAATACACTCTGTTCCATTCGATTGAGGACTTAGGAAAAGCGGTTTTGTTCATGGCGGAACAATTTCAGGAAGCAGTATCAAGACTGTAAAACGAGTCGAAAAAATTTCCTTCCGCGGACGATCCCTGCGTGCAAAGCGGTAACACACGCACCACGGGAAGGGATCTATGTAAAAACTCAGGCCCTAGTCAAAGAAATGTAACATGCTAATAGAAGAGAAGAAAGGATCGACGAGTGTATCCCGAATGAGATATCGTGCTGGTAGCGATCGCTATTTCGTTGATATCCAAACAAGAAAGCCAGACAAGTCTTTCGAAAGGAATCGATTATTTGAACGGAGAATTTCGGTGAAGTTCCGGCACCGACTTGTGAACAATTCGCCAAGAGACGACGTCAATTTTTTTCCCCATAAATCCGTTTCCAAGAATAGGCACGCTCGTGAGTTACCCAGAAACAGAAAGATCGACAATTTGACGCATGCGTTCTTGGAGTATGCAACACTTCAGGAAAGGATACGAGTCGTGGCTTGTACGTACGAATTGCATAGAGATACCGTTCGGTTTCCGAGCTCTTGCTCGAGAGTGTCGCGAATCATCTCGATTTCGATATCGTTATGAACTCTAGCGGTAAAGAGTCGAGGGGGGCAACGCTGAGAAGACCTCCACCGAGCACATCCTCGATGGACGTATGCGTCCATGCACCCTTTATTGCTGTACATATACGGAAAAATATGAAAAAATCACACAGCAGCAAGATCGAACACTTCAGCGCTCCACATTCATCGGAGACGCTCCGATGGCGCCACGTGTCTGATACGCAACACGCGGCGCCCTAGGCTCCGCACGAGTCGGGCGCCCACAACCGTTCGTCCAGCGTTCGATTTGAGCGCTTTGTCGCCGCTGCATTCTGCTATTAGGACGCTACTTGTTCGACTTTTCGTTTTTGAGACTGCAACGAGCCGGGTTGTTCCATGTTTGCGACGTTCGGGTGCAAAGTGTTGAAATCCGGCTGCTTTCTTCACCTTCGCCTCATAGTGAGGCCAAGGAGGACCCGGCCTACAACCCGCTTTCGGACTGCAGTGCCAGCCGCTTGCGACGCCCGTTCGGTCCGAACCGTAAGTGTTGCTGGGAAATCAGACGAAGCACAGCGCTCGAATAAAATCGTACTTGATTATGTTCACGTTCCACCGAAGATCGATCGGGTAAACGAAGCCAACTTGCCGCCGATCATATTTTTGCATGGATTGCTCGCTAGCTGGAGAACGTACCGTTCTGTCTTGCAACGGCCTGATCTCGCACCTGATCGCAGCATCTATGCACTTGACCTCCGAAATCATGGATCGAGTCCGCACAGCGAGGAAATGAGCTACGATTCAATGATCGGCGATTTGTTAGCTTTTATGACGACCCAGAACATTTCGCGCGCCTGTCTGATGGGACACAGTATGGGCGGCAAGCTGGCGATGGCCGCTGCGCTTGCGCATCCTCATGTCGTGTCAGAGCTCATTGTTATGGATGCAGCACCTGTTGTCTATAAGGACCACTCTTGGCAAATGGCGGAAGTCTCCGAGGACTCGCCCCAGGCTGTCGTTCAGGCTATTGCGAAACTAAATCCGATCCCAGCCCATATGCGAACGCGACGGGATCTGGAGGAGGCACTTCGCAACCTGGGAATTCGCAGCCACGACGTACGACAGTTTGCGCTGACCAACCTGGTTCGAAGAGGCAACGTGGACCAAGAAATGGCTTGGCGAGTGAATATTTCCGCAATTGCGCGGAACATGGCAGAGATCATGGGTCTTCCCAAGTGGATGCAGGAGGCGAGCAGGCAACCCACAGACACTGCGGGCCATTCCTTCACCCAAAAGGATGCAGAAACTAAGCATGCAGTTGTATACCGCGGCCCAACGTTATTTATTCGCGGTTCGCGTAGCGCTTATGTCCAAGATGCACACTGGCCTGTCATTCGCCGTCTCTTTCCCAACGCATCGCTCGTAACAATCGATGGCGCGGGCCACTGGTTACAGAGCGAGAAACCAGACGAATTCACCCGAATTGTGAACGCGTTTCTGAATCGCAGCACGACCTCTGTACGTGCTTCGGAGTCTCCTGCACATGAGCCAGTCTACTGATGTTCCGGCGTCTGCGTAGCCAGCGACGCTTGAAAGGCGCTTCGCGGTAATTTCATTATCTATGGATGTGCCAGCGCCCATCTCATATAAATAGCACCAATATTTCGCACTGGATACCGAAAATACCTTTCTCGATACCTTAGCTGAGCGGCATGCGAATCATTGGCACTGACGTTCTCCACGCAGCGATACCGCTTCGTCGAGCTCGGTGCCACCGGATGCACCAAAGCACCAGTATCGCAACTCTGCTCCCGACTCGCGCCCGGTTCCATTGCAGCCCAGGTGCTGATAGTCGCTTTACACATGCTCATGCTTATTCGTGAAGTTTCACGTCGTTTTGCAATACTCCAGCATCGTGATCCCGGGCGGGTCGATCGGCAGACACGGTTGCGTCTGCATCCGGCACTTTGCCGATGCGTTCCCGCAACCCGTCTAGTGTCGCCTGGACAGCCAAAGCACAGTACAGATCAATAGCTCGTGCGGATTCATCGTTCCCCGGTACTATATAGGTGGCCCAGTCCGGGTCGCAATCCGTGTCGATCACAGCGATAGACGGAATATCCACGATTCGTGCTTCCCGCAGCGCAGTTCGGTGCCGATGCGCGTCGACACAGAATATGAGATCGGGCAAATGGCCCCCAAGCCTCAGTATCTGTCGACTCGCTACGGGATTCGTCAGTGTGCCGCCGACCCAGCGACCCGACAGTGTGAAGGCCCCGGCCTGACGAGCGCGCGTTCGTACGATGCTTTCCAGGAAAGGATCCTTGGGGCCCAACCAAAGCTGACGAAGTCCTGCACGACCCGCGGCTCGGAAAACTTCCAGGGCACGCTTTAAACAAACTGCGCTCTGCTGAAGATCAACGATGTGCATTCCATTTCGCTCGCCATAGATATAGGGGCGCATCTTCGGGTTCCACGCTGAAGTCTTATGACCAATATGGACGCCAGCACTGAGAAGCTGACGCAGAGTTGCCTGCGAAGCAGACATGTCTGACTTTAGAAAAGCACCTCTTCACCAGAAGAAAAGCGTTTGAGAGGTACTTTGGTACCAGCGAGCGCTGCAGCCAACGCGATGCGGCTACTTTGTGGAATCAGCTGCAATGCTATAGCGCAAAGCCAGCAGTTATCCCAGAGAAAAGGCCAACTGAAGCACCCTGTTCTCCAATATTACTCTTGCAGCATAGTACAACTTTTTTCTTGAAACGAGTTGGAGCAGGAACAGCGAGTTTGTTCACAGTTGCCAAGCACGCCGCCTTTTGAAGAAGGATCGGCGGCACGACACCAACGCCGCGCGTTGCGGCCGAAGCGCTCGAAGGACAACATGTGCATTTTCGGGGGATTTCTCCTGGAGCGTGTCGTTGTCTGGTGGTGGAACCCTCGTTACACCTTCCGATGCAAAGCGGTAGGACTTCATTGTCGCAGCAGCAATGCTGCTAACTCGTGCAACACCAGAGATAGCACTGGCGCCTACAGAAAAGGCATCAAGTCTGAGGCTTCCCCCTGAACTCAGCGCTGGCTCTTTCGCGTCGCGTCTATGCTGGCTCGGTGCGAAGTGCTTCGTAGCGGCGTCTGGCTCCGAGACGTACGCCCTGCAAGTATCGAGTAAATTGCAGGGCGTTTCGCAAGTCGCCGACCGTGACTATGAGGCTTTCTCGGAGAGCGCTCAGCGAACCGAGGTTGTGCTCCTTCCAAATAGACAGACGAGCGCTGTGTGGAGCGTGCTGGCGCAGCCCCGTTTCCGAACGGAGGCCCAGTGCTTGGCTAGCTCACTCGTTGATGGTGATTTGGACGGTGACCGCCAGTGCTTAGTCGCCTGTGTGGATTCTCTTGGGGCGCTGGCCGTGAGCCGGTTGCACCTGACGGAGTGCTCTAGTGGGACGCAGATTCAGAACCGTTCCAGTTTCACTGGGGCGACTGTGGAGCATCCTCGGGTACACCCCGGTCCTTCCTGTTGTGCGCTGGCACGGCCAGGACGCTCCAAGTCTGTTCGGAGCCCGTACATCGCGGTTGCTGGATACCTGGGCTGTACGGTCTCGGTCTACGAAGGAGAGCTACTTGTACGGCATATGCGCACACTAGAGCACCCAAGCAGCCTCACTTTTGGGAGCGGGTCGGGGGCATTTGGTGCCCAGTTCCATTCCACGCCTTGTGAACATGAAGAACTGCTTTACTTCACGGAGGGCCCGGCCATTTCGCTATGTGATCTACGAGCACCGGGGATGTCATTCCGAAGGAAAATCATTGGCGGGCATGCGTCCATGTCGAGCGGTGCGACCGTATCCTGGTACAGTTGCGACCTAGTTGGCTACGAAATGGCACTCGTTGGACCGCAACGCTGCGTTCTGGTTGTAGATGTTCGGCGATGGGGTGTCCTTGGCCGCTGGTGGTCATGCCTCAAATACGATGCGACGACTGTTATGTGGGCAAGTGCAACATCGCCCTCGCTTGATCGCAGACGTACTCAAGGCATGCTCCTCTATGTCAGTGGGCGTGATAATGAAATGGCCTGTGGAACGCTTTCCGCAACGGCACCTGAAACGCAGCCGCAGCAAGCAACGCATGAACAAGGGCGACGGCCAAACGCGTTGTCAAGCAGCAGGGAGCCTGTCTCTGCACCATGTGGATGGCAACAAAAAGGTGAGCGTTTGTTCGGTTTTCGAGCAGAAAACGGTTGGATCGGTGCCGCCCGATATGGCGAATGCGGCTGGGCTGGCCTCACCGAACGCGGAATACTCTACACGTTACGGACGTGGTCGGGCAAGGAACTCTGATACAGTGCCGATGTCGCAGGCGATTAGCGGTCCATTTCCAGGCGCTCGCTTCGACGTCCCGGTGATCGGGCACTGCCGCCTATCTTCCTCATGATTGAAACTGGTTAACTGAAGCAAAGTCATGCGCGGGACGTATCGACCTGTCGTTGAGTAGCGCTCTATTGACGGCGGCGACGCAATCGATGACGCTCAGGATTGCACTGGAAAAGCAGCGACGTGCATTTTCACATGCATGCACTTGTATGCTCGTCTCGACGCTCTCGCCTGCGGTTCAAACTAGAAACGTTTTCGAGACAGAGTTCGATTTAGAATACGTTGTCGTCCAAGTGCAAGCATACCAGCGCACTGGGCCGGCAATGTGTCCAAGAACATCAAGAAGAGCTGGTAGTCAGGGCGCCTTCTCATGGGCGAGCGCGTCACCGTCGACGCTGGGGGATAATCTCCACGGGTACTCTGTGGAGGCAGAACGCTGCTCTGTTCTGGCGCCTCGCTTCGAACTTGAACTCGCTTTCTGGTTCCACAAAGACTTTGTGAGCCTCGTCCTGACAAAGTCTGTACCGAAACTATACTAGAATGTATCGTTTGCTCGGCTACTCAGATTCTCGACATGTTCGGTCGTTGCTCCGGAAGCAAACGTCTTCGAACAAGCTCGACGACAGCGCTCAGGTGCTGTTGCTCCGCGCACGCTCCATGTGTGCGCCCTGGATGACGTGTTGCGACACGGTCAGGGTCATAGTCGGGGCATTTGTTTGAACATATGTCGGCTTTTCGAGTCGCATGCCGGGCTGGACGCGGCGGCGGGGCCCTGCATGCTACCTGGAATGCACACACGTAGGTAAACGATGATATTGAGGCGTCTACTGCGTACCGCGAAGAGAATGGTAACGAGGATATCGGGAATAGGGTTGTCTTAAGTTCAGAGTGCACGGCTGCGCCGGCTTCTTGGTAAAATGGAACACCTCTGTCCTGTACAAAACGTGTATCGGTTGCTCCAACTCTAACGCAGGCAGGCGGGCCCTCGCAGCGCCTTATCCTTTAGCTTGATTGCCGCTCCAGGCTCGCAGTGTGTAGTGCAGGGATCCGACTAGCCCCAGGAGTAGCAGGAGCATCACGAGCGAGTGCGGCGTGTTGAGCCCCAGAGCAACGTCGGTGGCCAGCACGACTGTAAGTAGCAGCAACGCGGCGAGCAGTGCGACCCGCTGGACACGCGTAACGAGCGGTGCTTGTGGTGGAGCTACGTGTTGGTGCTGCTGCTGCTGCTGCTGCTGCTGCTGCTCGTCTCCTGAACCCGGAACGCGCTCTGGCTGATCCTCACTGGACTTATCCAGCTGGGCAGGAGAAATGGGGCCTGCAATCACCTCACTAGACAAGCGCAAGCGCATGATTATCAGCGTCTCGTCGTGAATAGCTGTGGCTAGTGCATAGAGCTCTGCGCCCGTCCAGGTGTGTGCGCAAGCGCTCCTGAGCAACGCTCGTGCCAATAGACTGCTTCGCTCACTTGTGGTTGTCTAGAGCGTATGTATGCTCAGTGAAACTAAAAAAGTCCCACGACCGTGTAGTGTATATATGCATCCCATTGCAGATGCCTCCCGGACTTTTTCGACCGGCCGCCCACTACTGGTTGTAACGTCATCCCGTACAATTCGACCCTGAGCGGTTCTCCCACAAAGTCGGCTCGTATCAGCTCCGGGGGTCTCTTGTCCAGCACTGCACATCTCCCGATGTTGATAGCAGCGTTAAAGTCTCGGTTCGCGAACGCTATGCGTACCCTGCCTCTGGTTGAACTCACCATTGCAAGGATTCCTCGAACTTGTGTCCTCTGTTCTACTACAGTCTCGACCTCGTCCCGTCAGGCGAGCACCTTTTCTCGTCTACCTGTCCTCTTTTTCTTCGCCGCCGCGCGCTTTCCCTTGCTCGATGAAGGGCGAGAAGAGGATTTTTTCCTTGTTTTCGGACAGCCGGCAATGAGGCCCTCTAGGATCCGCGACTTCCATCTCTATACCTTAGCCTTTTTACATTTGTAAATGAACGCACTTCGAGAGCATTTGCTCTAAACCACGAAAAAAGCATTAAATGATACGCACTTGGCGCCAGAGCACAGTTGAGGTGAAGTGCTATGACAAGAATCCTGCACGTGCCAGGTCCGCAGCACGTCTAACATGCTCGTTGCTTTGCTCAGGGCAGAAGGTTGAGGCGCGAGCCTGATTAGCGTTGACGCGATCTGTGTTCCCATGAGCGAAGCTACATTCTGGTGCATCAGGCGCAGTTGAGCGGATATCGGTGAGCTCACAAGTCGCCACAGGGTATGGTGCTGTGTGCTAGCCAGTCACCGCCCGCCACGTAGAACCCCGATAGCAGGACACGCAGGATACGATTCGGAACGACGAGCAACCGGGGATCGGTGCTGACCTTCTTCAGCGCGTCCAGAGCGGAGGCGAACCCTGTGCTCTATGTTTTTTCGTTCTCGATAATAGTTCCAAGACGCTCAATAGCTTGCGCACCCGCTTCGTGTCCAGGATCCGTGAGCGTGCTTCCACCAAGCGCCAGGTGCGGCTGTCGTTCTGGAACGCTACCAGCTGTTGCGAAGCAATCGTCAGCGTCAAGGGTGCAGGCATTTCTCGAATACGGCAGCGTGGAGTAGCTCTGAAACGCACGTTCGTACTTCAGGGTGCAAATCGCGACCTGGTAGCCGTCGATGTCCGCGATGGTGCGCAGAGAAGATACCAAACGCACCTATCCATCCATCTTCCCAACTATGCATGTGTGCATGTGTGCGTAAAAGCAAGCAGGCGGCTATCCATGCGTCTATGTGCACAGGCAACCAGCAAGCAAGCAATCAAGCAAGTTGCTTTCTCAGGTAGAAGACGATATTGTGACCTGTGCGCCACGGTCTTGTGGCCATTCAGCAGCTACTGGTATAGGCAACGCAGCAGGTGCAGGAAATGACTGCGGACTCCAGCGAGCGCTGTATCGATATTGGGACACATGTTGTGAGAGCTGAACTGCAGTTTATTGGTGTGCGTGTCCTTCCCTGCGGGGTTTCCGTCCGTCTGGTATGGGTCTCCCCATGAGCGCGTACGCAATCAGGAAACATCGCTTCGTAACGCTCGCCGGTTCCTTTCGATGACGTTTCTGCGCTCCATGCGGAGCCTCTACATAGCCGTATCTCGTTCATGATGCTAATGCATGACTTTCCATGATCATGCATACCTCAAAAGGTCATGCTGTTGTCTGTGGTGGTATCCGTTCCTTCCTTCGATACTTTTTCATCGCTCGAACCACCATCCGCAGACAGCACGATCTTCGCCTGCTGCTCGCCAAAGGCTGGATTCTCCATGGACTCCTCGCCCATCAGCTCCGACAGGCGATTGTACTCCCTGGCACCCTCTGCTCCGAGGCGGATGCGCCGGATGAGATTCGAGAACAGCGTCCGGTCGTTGTAGTAGACGGGCGCAGCAGCGTACTGCTCGAGCTGCTCCACCTTGGTGATGTAGGAGCGCGCAAGCAGCATCTGAGCGTACTGCTCCAGAGCTGCAGCGTACTCCTCACGACTGCGGAAGAGGCGAAGGTAGAGCAGGGACCACCAGGAGTAGTGCCCAATCTGAATGCTCTCGAAGGAGGCGGCTGGTGCGGGCTGTGCACCGAGGCTCTTCGCGAAGCGCGCAGCGTACCGCGCACGCATGGCCAGGAATCGATTCTCCTCGCCTCTGAGACTGACGTTACTATACTCCGGGACAAATAGGAGAGCAAGGATCAAACCGAAGTATTCGATTCCTGCGTAGATCCACTGGATCTTACGCAGTCCAAGGAGGCCGCTATGGCCGGACTCGTTGCCATCGGGCGAGAGCGCGCTCCACATGTAAGGAAACACGGTCGTTCCGACAATGCCCCCGACCTTGCCGAGCGCCGATGACCATCCGTAGAGCGTTGCACGCACGCGAGTGGGGTACACTTCAGCCGGGACCAGATAGACAGGGATGAACACAAAGTACTGGAAAATGAAAACGAAAGTAGTCCAAATAACGTAGCCTACCGCATGCTTTGCAAGCATGAGGTACACGCCAGCCGTAATCAGCTGCGTGGAGGCGAGCCACGCCCATCCGAGGACCTCCGTTTTCCGCCGTCCGAGACGATCCACGACCAGAGCAGCCGCAACTGGCCCGAGAGTGAGCACCACGCCCTGGGCGAGACCGATCCAAGCCGTCTTGAAGAGAGATGCCCCGATCACACTCGACAGGATCACGCCACCAAACGTGCCTTGGCTGTAATTGATCCAGTCGATGAGAAACCACATGAAGATTGTGCCGATCATCCGTGGGATAAAGTGTCGGAAAATAACAAACAGGTCCAGTAGATCATAGGACTTGCGTCTTAGATTCTCATCCTTGCGGTACATTTTAGAATCGCGCATGCGAACCCGCAAGAAAAGCACGATGATACACGGAATGAGGCCCAGCCCGTAGGAGATTCTCCACACCACCTGAGGCCGGCAATTCGGGAGGCTTACCCCTGTAGACGACGATGAAGTGATGTAGACGTGGCGGCAAGCTGCCGCAATGAGAATCAACTGGATCAACGTCGGTGTGTTGTTCCCGATGACCTCCATGAACATCACAAGCAACGAAACCCTTCGTCCGCGCGTTTTCGTGCTGACTTCCTCACTATCCTCAACGATATTCGGAACGTTACAAGTGTACTCGCCGCCCATTCCGAGGCCAACGACAGCGCGTCCGACGATAATCATCCAGAACATACCGTCAGTTGTTTTTCCGTTCGCTGCCGTGGACAGGATCGAGCCGAGTATAACGATGCAGGAGCAAGCGATGAGACCGGCCTTGCGTCCGATGAAATCAGCGATGAATCCAAAGCCGATGAGTCCGAAAAGAACGCCATATAAAACAGAAGTTGAAAGAGCTGACTGCAGAAATGAACTAGAATACACGGTGTAATACACATCTATGTAGAGTGTAAGGAGCAGCGTACCCACTTGGTACATATAGCCATTTACGAGGAAGCCCAGTGCAGTACCGATTGCATTGTAGCGAATATAGGATGTATCAGGGGTTTCTGTTACCGCGTAGATTGCTTCCTCATCTTGGCCAGACTTTATCGGCTCCTCGGCATGGAGGAAAATTTGGTCAGGCGCAATATCAACGATGTTTTCCGCCATCGTTCTGACCTTTCTTCAACAGCGCACAGTAACGCTTCCAATTATGAGTTGTAGTAAAGAACGCAAAATCATTTCGAATGAATTGTGCCGTCTATCGCCTGGACGAATCACAGTACTCGAGCAGCCGAGATACAACGGTCGAGATGGAGCACCTTGATCGTCATCGGAGATTGATCCAGGAATCACGTTCGGTCGTTCGCCTTTAACTTCAACCAGCGGGTTTCGAATTCCGTTGGACACGCTCATTCCCGTGATTCTGGAGCCATGGATTCACGAGCGGAATTTCGACGCTGGAGATCAGTGTCGCGACGCGCGCAACACTTTCATAAATTGTCCCTAAATATCCTAAATTCATTCTTATTATTTCTACAAATTGCGGTTCTTTTGGTGTTGCTTACCGTGCAAGTGAAAACTTTCACTGCGAGTAGGAGTCTATATTTCGGAGCTTAGACCACAGAGCACCACGATAGTTCATTTGAACAGTGAACAAAAAGCAGCTTCAATGCATATAATGGGGAACGAGTTCGGGCAGTACCTGTCAAGGCCCGTACAGCGTCGGCACGGAAAAGTGAACGACTGAGAACCTGTAGCACATACAAATAAAGCCCACTCTGGCAATGAGAATTTTAAGCTGCCCACTGCAATACGGTACTATACTTCACCCATCTGTCTCGTATTTTGAATTACTGCAAAGCTTGCAGCCTTGTCTCTGGTATAGCCCGCCGCGCACCTGGCCAGGATTCGCTGGTTATCGCAGCGCCTTTGTTGTAAAACCGCTTTTCTGGTGCCGCCCCAGGACTCATCGTCTGCAGCATGTCTTGCAGCGGCAGAAGATGCCGCACTAGCTCGTATCGCCGATTCGGAAGCGCCAACAGCATGGTCCATATTTCTTTCTGGACGAGTTCGCTGCAGGAGGTCCCTAAAAGGCTGCCACGCTTCGTGTAGGATTCTTTCTGGACGAGTTCGCTGCAGGAGGTCCCTAAAAGGCTGCCACGCTTCGTGTAGGAGCCGCGGTCCATCACCCCTTGCCCGAGCGCTCGCGACTTGGATCTTATACAACTGGATATTGTGAGCGGTATCCCCATGCTGAGGCTGTTTCTGCTGTGTTTCGTCGTCGCTGGGACATGGACTGGATCCTGATGCGGTGCCGATCTTGGTGGAAGCCTTCGCGCGCATCGCGCTCCACTCCTGTCGAGCACTAGAAACGGTCTGCATCGTTACGCCTCAGGCCGCGCACCAGCCCGCAGGCACGGTGCTGATGCATGACGGAGCAAGGATGCATCCGTGCACCCATGTACTTATGCATTTACGCGTCTGTGCAGGCTGTCGCGCTTATGGCACGCAAACAGCCAGCGGCTCGAGTCTGAGCGCCCGCAGGCGCCCGGATTCTCGACACGTGTCCTGCGTGCGCGGTCCCGACGCACCGCATATGCGCAACTCTCCGAGGATAAGAATCGACAGTGGAATTCAGGGGTAGGTAGAAAGGTGGACGCTTTCCCAAAACGTTCGTACGAATCGCACCATAGGGCATCCCTGGTGAAAACGTTCTGCGAAACCAAAAACTTGCGGGCATCTCCAGTTCCCCGTTTAAATCGTGAAGCAGTTAGTCCATCGAAATGAGATTCCTACACGAATATCCACTTATCTTTCCGTCGTCGTGTTATTTTGTTAGATATGTTAAAAATCAGTTTCGCTATGCACACCTACTGGTCCCGCAGACGACGAACGTGGAACGGCCACTCACACCGCAGCGTGCCTAGCGTTGCGAGCGCCGCTTGTGAGACGCTGCGGAGCACACCGTCGCCCGAGAGGCGCTTCCACGCTGCTGGCGAGGCGTCTCTAACAGGGCCGCTCGTGACTTGTCTGGCCTCTCGTTGCGATTCGTACGCTGCCGCTCCGTCTAAGCAGCGTAGACGAGCGCCCAGCGCTAGGCGCAGCGGCGCACTCTGCATGAGCGTGCGCACACCCTCCCGTACAAGGCGGTGCATCTGCAGGCGTGCGACGCGCAAACGCCTTTGAAGCAAACGGCCCTGAGGGGTGTTCGTGGTGAATAGCAGCGGAACGTTCCCCAGATAGTCCAGCGGCGAGCGCTCTGGTTCATAGCGAGTGCTATCATCTTCGGCGTCGCCCAGCTCGGGTGCGCTCCAGCAGCGCGCCAGCGCCGGGCCCGCGCACCGTTCTAGAGTAGCATCTTCTTCGGTATCCTCGTGCAGTGTGCCGGGACCTGATTCAAGCTTAACGACTGCGTATTGTTCCGTCGGGCTTTCGACTGGTGGCGGGCCCGCTGGAGCGCCCACCAGCGCAACGTTGTCCGTCTGCGGTCCCGCGCCGTCTGCCGCTTCGCGCTCGCTGGATGCTGCCGAAAGCTCCCGCAGGCGCCGCCACTTGTTCCGCAGGCGCTCCGTTCTCGGTATGGCGGAGCAGCGCGGGTCCACCACCGGTACCCCGTCTGCTGTCTGACGGGCGCAAACGAGTCGCCGTTGGTCGTAGTCTACCCACTCGTACACAATTCGCCCGAGCAGCTGCGTACGGCTAACGCCCTGTCCTCCACGAGCTGCGTTCCGCGAAGGACTGGGTGCCGCTGCCGCTTCCATTGCCGTGCTCACTGCGGCGGGTGCCGCCGTCCCGTCACGTCGCTTGCGCGGTACTTGCTCGAACGCCCTCGAAAACTTTGCAAGCACGTGCGCTCGCGCAAGCTCTACCCATAGTGGAGGGAAGAGCACTCGCCGCGCAACCTGCACCAGCGACCACTGCGGCTGTGTAGCGGTCGCCTGGAGGCTGCGGCTCGCGCCACGAACCCGCCTGTGCAGTCGTCGTCGTTGCCAGAGGCGAGCGAGAAACAACCCGACGCTGCTGCTGCCCTCCTTGGGCCCTATAAACACTGTGCTCTGTGCTGTTAAACAACTGTTCCGATTCATAACACTCGTTCGTCGTCTCCAGCGCGGCTACTTCCCATAACCGTGTCCAGTTAAAACCGTATCAGTGCAGCACTGTTCGGACTCGTGCAAGTCAAAGCGCCTCACGGTTCAGTCTTCCAGCAACTCGGTACCAGTGCATACCGTATGCATCAGCATCTCGCGCACGGCGTTGCCACTCTAGAAGGTGACCGTTTTTCAGGCGCGCCCTGTGCATTCCGCCGCCATGCGCTGGGATCCGGGAATCGCAGCGGCCGCCGCCGTTGCCTCAGCACACCGTGCAGCGATGATGGGTGCTCTGGAGGCGCACAACTCCGCAGCTGCTCAAGTTGGTATCTCTTATGATTCTCCGAGGGCAACGGGCGATATTTAGGTGAACATGAGCTCGAGGCCGTGTTCAGGGGCTTGCAGGGACCTGGATCGAGTAATTGATGGCAATGTGCTGAACTTGCACCGGCTTGAACGCCGCGTGCACCTGCAGAGGCTCGTTGCGGAACGTCAGCGTTGGAGCTGGGCAACGCTATCGGATGAGGGCGCGTAGAGTTCCGTCGCAGAGCGGGCTGTGCAGGTGTTGGGTGTCAGACGCGAGTTCGAAGCGATGTAAGGTAGTATGCTGCTCGTTGTTTGACGCTGGACGGAATCCAACTATCATCGTAGTCAGCTGGGAACGCGCGTCGGACACACCAACAGGGAACGCTGCCGCATATGGAAGCACAACTACCGTCGACACCTGCTGCGTATGAAGACTGGACAAGAGCGCTCCTAGCGTTCGTACGACATTACTTCAAAGTATATTCCTATCGGAGAGCACGCTTGTCGCACAGCGTTCTGTACACGGCACAGCGCTTCAGAACCTTTCGTACCGTGAGTAAACTGTTTTCGACAATCCTATTTACGACCTAGTGGCTTGGATCGCGATACGAGCGCACTGCATGCTGTTACCTCAACAGCTTCGCTAGTCGATATAGACGTCCATTCCGGTCCTCATGGACGATTCGTGCTCGGCTCAATTTATTCAGGGGGCGGTATACTGAAAGGCACGGTCTGCATAACATTTTGCTCATTCCGAACGATGTTAGCTACGACCATATTCGCCAACATGGCCAGCTCTGGCGGAACTGCGGCGGATAATGCCAAGCCGCTCAGAAGCCGATGGACACCAAGGCTCTGCAGGGTTGCCCGGCCAGTTGGCGTAGCGCTCAAATTACACAATGCAGCTAATGCATACTGTTGTGATTCAATATCGACGCTCTGGGTCGCATATTGAGCAAAGTAGGTACCAGCACCCAGCTTGAGCAAGTGTGGATGCAAGTCGACGTTGTTGGTCAGTTCAGCGAGAGCCAGCAGCGCCGCTCGAGCCGTCTCTGGATCCGTTCTTCGCTGCGCAACAGCGGAAGCAAGCACAGGCAGACCGTTGGCCTGAGCGATTCGAATACTGTTCTCGATCTGTTCTGCGAAAAGAGACAGGGCACGCACGCCATATCGACGCACGCTGGGGTCCGGGTCGGTTGCCAGACGGACGGCTGCTTCGACACCGCCAGCTTGCGCTGCCATCACCCGGGACAGCCCCCCGGTAGAGACATTAAAGAGTGCTCGTGCCAACTCTCGACGCAACGAGTCGTTGTTTCCAATCACCTCTGCTTGTACCTGATTACCAGACGCCTGCGCCCAGAGTGTTGGCAGCTTCATCAAGATGCGCAAAGCACCGCGAGATCCCAGCAGATCCAACTTGGCGTTGTCTATGCGCGAGAGATTGGCTATTGTGTGTACAAGTATCTGTGCTTCATTCGTTGACAGGCTTAAGCGTCCCTGCAAAATGCCATACAACGCTTGACAAAGCCCCTGGTTTGCTAACAAGTACAACGTATCGCTGTCCTCACTGAGTTGCCCAATGAGGCGCAGGAGCGAGCGGCATGTCGGCGAAGGCACACGAGAGGTCACGCCCTCTGCATCTGGGACGCAATCCGCTAAGCGCCGCACAAGGAACGATGCATCGCGCGCTATTAGCTGAACTCGTATTCGGGCGGATTGCATCATGACGGCAAAAGCGTCCAATGCTGCTGCTCCAACCGTGGCATGCGGCGGCCGGAAGCGATCAATCCCCTCGAAGGTTTCAGCTATGCGAAGCAATTCCCGATCAGCGCCATGGAGGAGGAATGCACGGCTCAGGTGTTCGCCCGGAGCTCCCGGGACTGAACACAGCGCCGCAATTGTTTTGCATGCGGCACGCTGGGGAAGCTCCATCTGGGCTGCGTCTCGCTCTGGACCTGTGTCGTTGCGACCGCTGAGATTCTCACGGAGCACGTCGAGCAGTGTCTCTGGGATGTGACATTTCTCGAAACGATTCGCTGCTCGCATATCAATAGCGGACGTCGTGCCAGGGCTCTTCGCGAATGCTGCATCCTGCAGTATGCGGAGCGCCATGGTGCGCAGTCCCGGCTCGTCCGATCGTGCGATGACTCGACCAAGTCGCTCCAGTGCCTCCTCGCTGGTCAGGGCGGCCAGCATGGGAGCTTGGTTCGCAAGCGAACGAAGACCAGAAAGCGCGTACTGTGCAACGCTGGAATCATCTGACTCTAGCGCAGACAAAAGTTCCCGAAGAAAGTTCCGCTTCGGGGTGGCAAAAGCTGCGAGCCTTGAGACGTTCGCTATGCACAGTATGAGCGCTCTTTCGGTCTCTCGAATTTGCGCTTGTGTTGAAATCAGCATGGTTGTGTTCTTTTGTGCCTCATGAACGCTGGCCAAAGCACAAGCGAGCGTCTTCATGAGGCGTGTTTCATCGGCTGAGGTCGCTGTGCTCCAAATGCTTTCACTTAGTGCGAGATTGGCAAGAATCCGTGCAACCTGCTGAATCAGCGGTGCGTTCAGTTGAGACCAATCTACTGGCTTCCGCTGGCGCCCGAAAAGGAACAAAAAGCCGCTAGTCATTCCGCCACACTGCGCAGCGACACCTGCATCCCGGTTGAGGCAATGCAGGAGACTCCGCAACAGCGGTGTATCTCTGAGCTGCGAGTGGGTTTGTTTGTTCCGCACTATTTCCCCCAGAATCTCCAGCAACGTCGTGCGCAAGTCAACGTCTATGTCCGGACGTTCCAACGTCTGGGCAAGGACTCCCCCGACTCCACAAGAGGCGAGTTCCACGGCAGTGCCCTGCTGCACAGCATACTGGAGGATTTCGTTCGCAGCCTCTTTAGCCGCCGCAAGTTCGGAACTTTTCACCACATCCATGAGCTCCCTGATACGTTTCGTGCAAGTTTCATCTGTTCGTGGGGAGCTCGTACCTGTGGACGCTGCACCACCGGGCCCGGTGTTCACGCCCGCGATCGTGATCGACTCTGAACTCGCGACGCCGAGGTTCGCGCTCAGACCTGTCGGAAAGCCATAGAGTGCCACAAACGTGCAAGTTCCTACACTCAGCGCAAACTGCAACAAGCGCTTCGCGGTACCGTGCAAGCCACCAACAGCTGGACTCTGCGTGAGCGGGCGTGACTGCCACGGGAAAGCAGCACCTTGCCTAGGCCCTAGTCGCGCCGTCGTTTCCGTCCTAAACCCTAGCGCTTGCTGCGAACTCTTTCCCAGCAACTTCTGCAGCGGACGCGCGATAGGCAACCGCTGCACAGACTGAAGCCTCCATAAAGTGAGCATGATCGCGGGACCATGCAAGCGCAGCCCCAGTTCGCAGCAGAAGCTGCAGCGATGAATAGCGTATGGGAATTGGCTCCGCTTCCGCGCGGAGCAGGGCGTGTGCATCCCTCGATCCGCCCCGGGCGAGCGTGCTGCATGTCTTTTACGTACAGAACTGTTCTACCTAGAGCGCATCCCCGGATGATTATCCAGATACCTGTCAAATAAACAAAAAATGTCCTGGGACCATATAGGATAAATTAATACTCATATGTAGACACCTCTCCGCCCTTTTCGACTCGCAGACTGTTACGCATTCAGTTTTGTCCAGACAACCTTCGAGCCTGAGAGGATACCCCGCGAAGTTGGATCGCGTCAGCTCCGCGGGTCCCGTCCTCAGCACCAATGATCGCCTGATGTTTATGGCAGCATTAAAGTACCGGTTCATGAACTTCGTGTGGGCTCTGGCGCTGGTTGCGCTCATCAATGCAAGAATTGCGGGAACTCTCGTACTCTCTGTACCATTTGATACTCGGTCAGCTCTCTGTGCGTTTCGATCGCAAAAGCGCTTCGCGGGCACTTCTCCAGGTCGACCTTCTGAAGTGGAGACCCCAGCTCACCCTTTTGTTTATTTTAAAACGAGCGAACTTGTTTGTTCGTTTTGGTGAGGACGTTCCCGGAAGCGGGAAAGACTTGCGGATGCAAGACCGGATGTATTCTGGTATCACTGTGCGCTGAACGCTTAAGCGATTCTACCAATGGAGCGCTCAATAGGCTTAATTAAAGAAAAGCGTCCTTCGATGCGGTTGAACCACGGAACATACGGAGGAATGCAAAGCAGTTCTACTCCGATAGAATCGGCAACAGCTCCAACGCAAGGGGAATAGAGAAATGCAACGTTGTCCAATAGAAAAGCGTCGCCAGACGTCAGGGGAAAGTCTTCAATGGCTCGACGTAATGGGCGCTGTTGTATGAGTCTTCTCTACGAGCGAAACTGAGGCCGTAAAATGAATTCACCCCAGCTAGAACAGAAGATGGTGTCGTCATTCTCCGCGAGTTCAACCGTACATTCAGCAGGCGCCCAGATCTGCGAGTACCCATATACGCTCCGACCGTTTCATCCAAGGCAAGTCTCATCGAATGAAAGAACAGACCGACTTCACTCTGCCTCAGATCGATAGCGACGTTCCTGGAAACTGTCGTTGCGATTTCGATGGAGGACGGTCGTTCATGGCATTGGACATTTTCGCGACTGTATCCCAGTGTTTTTAGGACCATACGAACTAGCTATTGAGAAACAGATACGCCGTTGGCGGCTACCACTGTCGCTTTTGCTTTCCGTAAGGTGATCAACTGGTCGTTTGCTGCCATTTAACGCAGTCAGTCTTTAAGAATATCGGACATTGTCGCAGAGCGCATATTCAGGGTTCTTTCAGTGTTCCTTAGGTATCTGAGTTCTTTTACGTGGATGACCTGATGGAGGAATGCAGTCCTCCTTACACACGTCAGTAAAGAATATATATATCCTGCAGGAAATTTTTCTACGATCTATAGAGTACATTGCATATTGACACTGATCTCCTGGTCGTCACCGCGAAAAAACATTCAATGACAAGCAGCAGTGCTGGAACACAGTGAGTTGAGGACGATCAACGGAATGCTTGCTCGTATAATCTTTCATCTCAAGTGTTTTGCCCCTCTGCTGCGCGTCATCAAATGCTTTTTCGTGCTTTCTAGCAGACGCGTATGAACTGCGTTTGTTCTCAAAAACAAAACATATAAGGAAAAAATTATGGACATAGAATTCGGGGATCCTGGAGGATCGCCATCCCCGAGTTCCAGAGAGAAACTGAAAAATTTCCCTCTCGCCAACCATCGAGCGAAGAAGAGCTAGTGATCGAGAAGAAAAAGAAAATGAAATGCGGAGATAGGCGAAAAATCGTGTTTAGCTCACGGGACGGTGACGGGATTGTAGTGGCGCGGAGGGCACAAGTTCGCAGAAGCCTTGTAATGTTGAGTTCGACTAAAGCGAATAATCGTGTAGAGTTCATGAACCGAGGACTTAACGCTTCCATCAATATCAGACGATGTGTAGCGCTGAAGGAATTAGCCTACGTACTTCGTGGGGGAGCCTCTCAGGCTCGAAGTGAACAAGAGAAACTGAAATCGATAGCGGGGAGTTCGTCAAAAAAGGCCGGAAGCGCCTGCTAGTTGATGTGTATATGCACTCTGTGGTCGCGAAACCGATTTCGTATCATCGTCCATACACGTAACTCGAATGTACTACAAAGTTTAGGTCTTTCCCGTTTTAGCCAGGGCAAGCATTTGCGGATATTTTTTCCGCGACTACTTCCTTTCCCTCTCTCTGATCTCCGACTTTAAAATGCGTAGGTCTCTCTTTCCCCTCAGCTCTGCTGTTGCGAATCGAAGGAGGTTGATGGCATCGTTCAAGTTCGGACGACACAACACTATGCTGTATCCAATGCATTTAATTTACAGGTAAAATTTGCACTCAACGCACCGCTTCCCGGTTCCATCTTCTCGATTGGATGCAGCATCGGTGCGCCCATTGCGGTGGTGATACTAGGCTTTGGTCTGGTCTTCCCGTATGTCCATCCGAATGCTTCCACTTCCTCATGCTGTGCTGTAGCTCGTAGAAAATTGCTCGACCGCTCGGGACATGTCCTTGAGCGGTAGAGAGGCTCGCCTCAATGCCCTCCTCCGTTCTCGTATCCGGTGCTGTACTCTGTGATCACGCCCTTATGCTAAGCGATCCCCGCGTCGAGCGCCCTCTCCGCTGCACATGCAAGGACACGCGGTTTCATTCGAAAAAGAACTTGTGGAACATGGAATTCCCCATGACGTCAAAAGTAGTCGAACGACAATTCCTACTGGAGACCGACACAAAAAATAAGATATTTCGACGCTGTATTTGTGAAAAGCGGCAGCGCTCTCTCCAATGGAAGCCATCCCTGCGATAACGAAAGCCCGAGTTCAAGACCGTTTCCTAAGCGAACGTAATAAACTGGAGCATCTCGGAGCAAATAGCGTGAGAGGTAATGCTGCCGTTGAGTTGCATTTATTTTTCGGCCACAAAGGGTGAAGGATTGGCTCATCGAACGGCATCGATTATTAGACGTGAGAATTTTTGTGAAATCTACGCACGAGCATGTGAGCAAGTCATCAGGAGGCAACGTCGAGTTTCTTTCCTCGCCCAACGAGAGGCGCGAATGGCGCACCCTCGAATCGCCTTCAACCAGCATGATTGAAAACCTGAACCATAAGTGATTTGAGTATGTGACTCGTATGGAAAGAAGAAGGGAGGAGGCTTTTACGAGTGTACTGGACAATTATATCTCTTGTTTACGAAGCATGTTCGATGGCATCGCGTCTCCTATTGAAATCGATGACGTAACGAAGTCCAGTGGCACAGCGTCAAATGCGCCACTCCAAAGAGCGCGACCTAGAATCCTGAAATTCGTTATGAATCCATGCGCCTTTACTTCAGAACTTTGGATCTCGAGGCTGTACTTGTAAGAAAGTTCAAGAAAATATTCAAGGCAGGAACAGAACGAAGAGTTCAATGTTGCAGGTTCATCTGACATAGGGTAGATGCCGTGGGGCCCACTCAGTCTCACTGAATAACTTGCAGGCTCGGTTTCGCCACAGCAGATCCTGCACGAAACATTCATATTGGTGAGCTTGCACAAATGGCATTTGGATGCATTCGGAAAACACGGACCGCTAGCATTGATCCAATGCACACAGTTCCCGTTCCTGGACGCTGGACGGCCGTTCATGTCGGCGGTCGACCAGCTCCACAGCGTGCAGCTTGCGCATCTGCCTGCGCATCAAGGATGAATGGCGAATCCGAAACAGTGTCGATGCGTTTCCGGATGCCGTTGACGTGCCCCATGAAGCATGCCGGGCAATCGCATTCGAAGTATAGCCATCGCGAACGCGCTTCTATGGGGTCATCAGGCATCGGGCCGCATTTGTGATCCAACACTTGGTCGTCGTCGATCATTCTTGGACCTCTCTGCCCCAAATCCGGTATCCCTATGTGCCTTGTACCCTTCTTCGTTGCATCTAGAGAAGATCACCAGCAAAGACACCTCTGGAGTGCTTGCGCTCAACAGCGGCATTGATGCCGCCAACGGGGCTTCCCGCGTTTAATGATTCCGCGACACCTGCGCTGCGGCAGGACCAAGGTCAGTAGCAGTTTTGGGTTTCGTGCGCCGCCCACAGAGGGTACTTCCACGCACGCGCTCTGTGGGTGACTTTTCCAGCCAGTGCAGCTGCTCAGGCTTTCGCGCCAAGCGCGTATCTGCCTGTAGTGGAGCGTACTCTCGGGGGTGAAACCTGGTCCGGCGCAGGCGCTTTTGCGTCCTGGAAAGAACGCCCACGTGCGTAGCAGCACGCCCTCTGCCGGGCTGCTTCCAAAGCTCCAATGGACCGGAACGTTCAGGCTAGTTTCCAGTTGGATGATCTTTGGCTCACACTCCAGCCTGGAGGTGCCTCGGAATCAGTCTTTCGACGTGTTGAGTTCGTTTTTCAGGCCGTTCTAGAGGGGCGGGAGAGTTTTCGCGGTGTTGGACTCCGCCTCCCTGAGCTTATAGACTGCATATTCGGATTCCAGGACAGATCGCGGGGGTCTTGGAGTGAAACTGTGTCTGGTTGGCTCCCAGATTGTGAACGTCGCGCAGCACGTCCCGGGGACGCAGACGCGCTTGTTTCGCTATTAGAGCCTCGCGGACCGCTCTTCCAGACACTGCTTTGTCACGACGAACGATACACCTATGATTTTCCGCTACAAAACTTGCCTCAGCCGCTTTTAGACGAAATCGCTGCGGTGCTCAGTGGCGAAGACGCGAATGTACGCGCTGCTGTGGCAGCGTCGCCACACCCAGATCGGAAACCCGAGAACCTCCCTACTGGAGAATACTCCCCGTTAGCCTACTATTTGTCAGCACACGTGACCGACCCCACTCACGATACCGTTCGAATTGGCGCTGCCCGATACTACCTGCTCTGCTTCCTGGCCTATCCGGTGTATGCTCGCCATCCAACGGTCAATGAGCGCTTCACCTCGGCCTGGGACACCTCCGCTCGTCAGCACATATACGAGCGCGTGCTGTTGGCCTTCCTCCAGGAATTCGCGTCACTGCAGCAGCTGCTTCATCAGCATGTATCATTTGAGCGTTCTGCCGCAACTACACTGTCTGTCGCTGACCTTTTCGTCCACGCATGGGTTGCGTTCTGGTTTCACTGGAATGGAGAGCTTTGGCCCTGGAATGGATGGCACGACGCAGTAGCCAATGACTGGGGCCAAATGCAGCTCGCTCGCTATCGCGAGCGACACAGCGTTCCATCGCTGCTGACCATGAAATGTCAACGCTTGGCGATGATGCACGTCATGGGGGTTTTCGAGACCCACGCTGATCAGGTCGAGCGATGGAGTGGATGCCAGCACATCATCAATCAAGATCGCGTGCCCGTGAGACATTCCGAACCATTTGCTGGAGAGTCTTCGGCATCGCGCGATACGGGCGTCCCGCGGAAAATCCCCTCCGCGGGAACACCATCGCTGCAAGTCTACTTGAATATTCCTCTCGGTTTGCAGCATGTTGATGCGAGTTGGCGAGCGTGGCATCCAAACCAACTCGGCTCATCGGGGGCGGCGCAACGGACGAATCCACTCCTCCGTTTCCTTCTGATCGTGTTTTGCCGCTACTTTTGTCGCACAATACCTCGTATGCAGCAAATGTGCATTGATCTGGATGCGTCGACGAATGTGGCCTTTCTAAAGACCATTTCTGCGTGGCTTTTCCCCTGGGATCAGGCCACGGAGCTTTCAGCGCTTTTGGAAAAGGCACGGGATCAACGGGGACGTCGCGTTGCCCTGCTCCATGGTCTCGCACTATTGCATACGCCTTTTGTGGAAGAACCGCGGAAATCGTCCCAATACAAAACGTCTTGCTGGCGACGTGTACTTGCCCTGCATTTTCCGCTCTACGTGCGGTTGCTTGTGGACATGCTCAACATTCTCGTCCGCTCGCGCTGTCTGCTGCAGAGCCCTGGTGCCCTTGAATTCTACCTGGATTTGCATCGCAGTGCGCAGTGTCGTGATTGGCTGGCTGATCTTCAGAAGATTGCGCATTCAACGCGAGCAGTCGAGTCTCGACAACAACCATGCATCGAAGCATGGTCGGAATTCCAACACTCCAGGTGTTCACCGAATCTGTCGGAACTGGCAGGTCTCGATTGTGATGCGTTTCGACAAACGCTGCGTGAGCTTCGGCTGCAGCTAGAGCGACGCTTGCATTCCAGCTGGAACACCTCGGCGGTGTTCTTGAGTCGGTTAGCACGAGACCGAGCGGCGCATCTCGTTGAGCCGTGGATTCAACTCGTTGAACCTGCGGAATTCCCTGGATCACCGAAGGCACGCGATCCATTGAGCAACGCATCCGTTCAGGCACTCGATGATACCGATTCTCTGGGTGTGATTCATCGGCGACTTCCAGCGTTATCGCCAGACCGTAGCGTAACGTCGCCAGGAGGTGCTCCACAACACTCAGCAGCGGCGGCGGGCGCGAGGGAGCCGACCACGCCCCCTTCCATGTCAACTTCGGCGTCAAGTCGGACAGACTCGGAAATGTTACCTCTTGGAGCTCAGATTGCGCTGGGTCGGAAAAAATGCTCTAACCTGGATATCGTGCCTCGTGGAGATGCATGGAGATGGCCAAAACAGAGCAATGAGTTCGGTCCAGCGCTTGTTCTGGCCCGGCGTCTCGCTCTAAAACTGGAGCAACTTACTGGAGTGTCGTGGAATCTGCGCTTTTTGGCATCGTATGTGGTGATCGGCTATCTTGCCGTGGGTTTGACACTCTCGCTACTCTGGTTGATGGTCGTTTCCGGAATTTTCTAGTTGCGGCAATGTTTCTTGAGCGTGGCGGGCTTTTGGCAATTTCCGGAATCAGGGATTCGCTTGTAAAAATAGAATGCCACATCTATTCGGGATATGTGTACATGTTCAGAGCATGCGCCTCACCCGTATTGAGATTGTCCATCGAGAACCTGGTGGGCGGTTTTGGAATCAGAAACCGCCCAGGTGTTTCCATAGCCCAGGATGACTGGATCGTCTCGCAGCGCTCCGGGATGAAAAGGATCGATGACCGTGAACAACTGCGTACCTTACTGGACTGTACCTGGCGCATGGCGCTCCTGGGAAGGCCCCTGCTTGCCCAAAGGCGACTGCTGATCAACCAGAGCATGCGGAAGCGCCGAATTCTTTTAAGGCGACGCTTCAACGATCCAACGATACGGTTTTGCGCCCCCTACATCCATCGCAACATGAATTGGAACAGTTCCTACAACACGGGCGTATGAACTAAAGTTCAGGTCTCTTCCAAGTGTGATTGACAGCAGCCTTTTTGAGCTCTCTCTACGACGGCTTCCTCATCCCTTCGCCGTCTCCTTTCCGACCTCAAATACGCGGCTCTCTTCTCTCCCTGCACCTCTGCCCTTAGTAATCAAAGGATGTTGACGGCAGCGCTCAAGTCCCGATTTCGCCGCTTCCGGCTGTTGCCTGCGCATTGCAGGAATAGGTACAATTTGGAATCTACGCATGACTTGCTATTTTCATCGTTCTTGTATGTATTGTCGGTGCTCCTTTGGTAGCAGCGCTATTTTTGGTCGTAGACAGGTCATCCAGCATATCCATCACACTTACTACTGCGAAAGTCGCCTTGTGGATCGTGAACACAATCCTCATCGCTCGGTTCATGCCCTTGACCGGTACAGAGAGCTCACTTTGATGGCCTCATTCGTTTTTACATCCAGTGTGGTACTCTATGGTGACGGGCGTGTTGTGAGCCATTCCTTCGGCAAGTACTCAGTTGGCTGCACGTGCAAAGCACATGTTATTCCATCCGATTGAGGATTCGTGGAATGCAATGCTGTCCACAATGAAACAAGTGCGGAAAGGAAAATATACCCTTGAGAAGAAGTCGAGAAATCTCGATCCATCTCTGCAGCCTTCATACAAAGAGGTGATGCACGCTCCACTGGAAGCGATCACCGCGGGGATTGCATTGCGAATCAAAACCACTACTTTCGTACCAAGGAAAGAGACGAGAGCATCTGTGATCATATCTCGTGAGAGATACAATTCTGCTATCGAATGGCTTTTCGTGAATTACCGCAACGAGAGGAGTGCTTGTCTTTAGACCTGCGTTGAGTTTGTTGACCGGAGAAGATCCATGATCTCTAGGCATGGGCTTGTGAAGAACTCATCAAGAGACGACACTGAGGTTCGCTCCTCGTCAACCAATGGCGCGAATCGCTGCGCCCAGATGTGACAGTGAAACGGAAAGATCGAAAAATGGACGAGTTCGGGATTGGAGCACCCCACACACGTACGGAAAGGACGTGCGTTGGGTCTTGCACGCACGAATTGGATAATCATATCGGTTATTTTACGTACCCTGGTTTGATTGCGTCGCGAATCATCCCGTTGCCAGTGGAGTAACGAATTCCAGCGGCACAGCGACGCAGGAACCACTAAGAAACGCCGGCCGAGAATCCTAAAATTACGTATGGATCCGAATTCTCGAATTGCTACGTTTCGAAGATCTTGGCTGTATACTTAAAATCTCTGGAACAATCGAAAAGCATGAACAGAGCGAAGAGTCGAGTGTTTCATATCAATCTGACCGGGATATAGTTTTTAGCGCTAGTTTTAGGCCATTGTGGTTTCTTCAGCTTGCCGTGCATCGGCAGACATCACCTCTGCTCATTATCTCATTGATTGCTTACGCTTTAGCTCATAAGAATTACAAGCCCAAGCACATACCTACCCCGTCGAGTCGATGTTTGATGAAAGTGTTTCGCATACACGAGAGATGCTGCGAGATAAATGCGCAGGCGGGCGCTCTTTCGAAAGCCCTCGGGAAACGAGTGTTCCCTCACAGCCCACAAGTATCTCCTTGAATCCTCGTCTGACAGCATTATGCTTCCGAAATCGTCGACGCCTTCCAATATCTCCGGGTATTTGAGTCGATTTTCAGCACAGAGGTGTACCGCGAAATTGCTTCTCGCAACGTGACGTCTCGTATGCAATTCGTGGAAAAGCAGGGACGGTCTTCACCCCTGGCCTTGACGATCATCTACTCACGCTGTCAATCCAGCTCTGTTTCAAACTCGAGTTATGTCCCAAAATATGCAAACCCTACTCTGTTCGGTCGTCGCCTCCGTGCCCACATAGTTAGCGACGCTTCCGCATCGCTTGGGCATGCGGCTCCGCGGGAACGCGATCGATTTGATTGGATCGCGCGCTGGCCCCATGGCCTGGGGTGCTCCCTGGGAATAAAACGATGCTGTATGCAGACTCGGAACCTCGATCGCAGACGGATAAAGTGACAAATGCCCGCGTAGGATCAACACGTTAGTACGTTCTTTAACATCCCGTAGCGCGTTTCGTTGCTCGGTTTTTTATTCTTGACTCGCGTGAGCATGGCGACGACCGAGGACGAAGCGCGAACGCTTTTGGAACGTTTTCGCACGCACCTTGAAACGTTAAAGAGGGCTTCGCTTCGGGATGCCGTAGAACAGGCACCGGAAAACTGTCAAGATAGTTCTCGGAAGGACGTTTCGCGTGATGGCGTCGAGTCGATACCAGCGGTTGCACAGTGGCCTGACGGTGTAAAGTGCGCGCACGAGCTGCACATGCTTGCCGTATTGCACCAGCAGCTTGCGGAACACTTCTACTCGAGCCTGAGTCGTCTTAGGGATACTCTAGGCAGAGTTGAGCTGCTCCAGCTTGAGCGATCCGCACTTGAGTACCAAATAGAGCGCTTCAGGGAGCGGCGGCTGTATGTGGAGAGCCAACGCGCGGCCGCGAAAACCATCCAGATCTTAGGCGGCAGCGGGGCGAAGCCGGAAAACGCAGCTGTTCTGAAAGAGGAGTTGCAAGCGGAGCTAGCGTCTCGTGAAAAACTGGCGGCCGAGCTCGCGGAGCTTGGTCTACAGATCGAAGAAGCGAGGAGGCGCCAGATAACTGACGAGCAGCGGATCCAGGCCTGTGTCCCTGCCCATGCGGAACTCGAACGTCTCGTGCAAGCTCTTTGCAGAAGCCTAACTGCTGAGCATTCCGATGAGGTGGCTGAAATTTCCACTGGAATGGAGCTTGGTTGTGCGAACGAGAAGTCTCAAGGCTAGATTCCGGAACCTGCCGGGGATAGACGGCTTACCCTACTGGACATGCGCTGTCAGTGTGGGTCGGGATTTGCGGCTGCGATGACCTGCAACTGCTGGAGGGTGCATTTCGACCATGCACGGTCCAAACACAATCGTATTCAGCGGGGCTCTGGATAGCAAACAGTGCCTCGCAAGCAACAGACGTTGTTGGTTCGGGGACGACTCTAAAGGACCGCTGGCATCTAGACATTGCTGGAATGGACAGGCCCAGCAGTTTTGCTCCGCGTGGCACCAAGCTAATCCTAGCAGCACGTAAGCTTGTGCTCGAGTCATTTTGGGAGCTTTGACGTGGCAGGACTTGGGAACTCGGCGACGCAGCGTGTTTCGGACTGGGCTCCTGGGCGTCGCCACCGGGAAGCACACAGGCACTGCAATCAGAACTTGTGCCGCTTAGCACTGAAGCGATTATTTGTGCGATCAGGGTAGACGCGGTCGCGGGCCCCATACTGCATACGCCAAAGATACAAGGCCAATCATCGATGTTGAACTCGATGATGAAGCATGCATCTATGCGTATCGAGACACGATGTGCATGCGCCTTTAGCAGCTGCAGACAGCACGCGCTCGCGATGCGTGCGACGAACATGCGTGCACGCCTCGGAGACACGTGTCCTTCATCTGGAGGTGCCGACGCCGTGCAGCATCACCAGAGCACGTGCCTATGTTGCGCACCGTTGTCGATGCAAGTGTCGATTGGCGAACAGTACTAGTTGGCCGCGGCTTTGGGAGCAAGCCATTAGGGCGAATGGCACACCCTGAGCGCTCGCGGCCAAAGCTTTTGGCGGGCTTTAGAACGGAACAAAATGACTGGGACAGAAGCGAAAACCCCGGTGACGGTTTGCATGTCATAGTATACGTGCAGGTGCGTTGAAACTTAAAAGCTTGCGATAACTCCTTTAACTTGGAGTAACCGCCGAATTCTCTTGCATATAGCGTTCGATTTCCATATCGAGTTCCGCTGTTGATTTGGTGGTTTTCGCTTCTTTCTGTTGACGTTTTCGACCTTTGCGCTCGGAGCGCGGAGTCCCATCCTTGCCGCGCCGTGGTTTCTTTTCTTTCTGAACTTTTCGTGGCTTTTCGATGACATGGCTTTGGACACCAGCCTTCGACTTGGTCGGACGACGCTTTTTCTTTGCCTTTCTCTTGGAGTCAGCGCTCTGAGAAAAGCGCTCGTTCAAGCTTGGCGTTACTTTTGCGGGCTGCCTCGGGGATACCGCCCCACTCTTGTTACCCTCCAAAGCGAATTCTGTTCCACGTAAAGGCATGACACTCGACCTGAATCCAGCTTCTGCGTTTCCTCCACAGTCGCTCGACTGCTGCCTGTTGAACGCGTCCACAGAGACCTGTCGTTGCAAGTCGCGCGCAGCACTCGTAGGCAGTGCAAGCATCTTGCGCGTATCGACGACGACGTGCTTGCGAGCGCTTCCTCGTGTCCAGGTGCGGTCGTTGTGTTGAACGTTGCCGTCATGCAGAACGATGACGTTATCTGGTCGCTCATTGGTAATAAGAGGTTTTGTCGCTACAAGGTGAAAACGAGGAGACAACAAGAGAACTTCTGCCTGAACGAGTATAACGTCACCGGCATGTGCAGCCGGCAGTCCTGCCCTTTGGCGAACTCGCGGTACGCCACTATTCGGGAAGCCGCCGACGGCAGACTCTATCTTTTCATCAAGACGATCGAGCGGGCGCACATGCCTCGTAAGCTTTGGCAGAAGATTCGTCTATCTGGATCGTATACGAAAGCACTTTCCCAGATAGACGAGCACCTAGCGATGTGGCCCAAGTTTCTTGTTCATCGTGCGAAACAGCGACTCACGAAGCTCACACAGTATCTCATCCGAAAACAGCGTCTAGAATCCGTAGAGAAAACACAACTGTTGCCCGTGAAAAAGAAGGTTGAGCGGAGAGAGCGGAAACAAGAGCAGCGCGCTCTTGACGCCGCCAAGCTGAGCCTCACGATAGAGAACGAGCTGTTGGCGCGGCTCAAACAGGGCAAGTACGGAGAGATCTTTAACTTTGCACAAAAGGAATTTGAGCACGTCATGGAACAAGAGGCGGAGCCGCTGGAGCTTGAGCGAGATCTCGACCGTAGCTACTTTGAGCCGCTGTACGAGTCCAGCGATGAGGAGGCGGTGTTCGGTGCAGGCGACGACAGCGACGTGCCGGGCACCTACGCAAACGCAGCCCCGCCAGACGATGAAGAAGCTTCATGGTCTGATGGTTCCGCAATGGATGACGTTCCCTCTGATTCAGCTGACGAAGACTGGAGCCCAGCTCCCGATCTGGAAGACCTGCCTCATCCAGCAGATCGAAACGCCTCGACCTTCTACTTCGATGAGGCCTCTGACTCCACAGAAGCTGATGAGCGATTACCGACAAGACCAACGCCGGTTCAGCGTGCTCGTGTCGCTCAGGAAGCGAGCCGACGAAGAAAGACGAAAGCATCATCGTCTAGGCACCGGAAGCAATTCGAGACCGAATTCGAATTTGAGCGAGAACTCGAGCCTCTCTGAAGAACGCACGCTAAAACATGCAGTGCTATCAAAAGTATACAGCGCTCGTCTATTCCAAAGCTATGGAAAAGCAAGCGTTGGTTTTGAATCGCGTGCTGCACAGATCCACCGCAGTCAGAAGGTTCCCGCTAAAAGGAAGCAAAATAACGCGATCGACAAGGCGATGGACTCAAATCTATCCACGACAACATATGCTTTGGGGGATACTTTGGGAAACTGCCCGACTTGCACCACAGCAACAATGCGTCTGCAAGGTTCTGCGTCACTCGAACTGCAGACGTCCATTGGTGCTTTGAACGAAGGCGCCGCATCGACGCTAACGCGCCCTCATACAATCCGCAAGAACACGTGCCGAACGTCTTGGAAAGCACGTGAGACACCAGAACGCGACCATGGTGGCGCTGCACAGGTCGCTATCCGGCGCTAGACGTGAAACCACACCGCATGCAGCGCGTGGACGAGGCGGGGCCGCACAACGCTCGTCCCTAAAACCGGCTACAGACTTTCCACGTATGACTTGCAGCACATCAAGACTCAAGGAATCAAGTTTTTCACATTTTAGAGGGCGCTGAAAACACAGCGGATGTCCCTATGAACTTGCACGAGCTGGCGTGCAGGCACGCAACGAACGTCGTGCATGCACCAAAGCACCCTCTACTCCAAAAGCGCTCACCGTCTACACGCTCTCATAACTGACCCGACACGCTTCTCCTTCCCGGTGTGGTCAACAGCATCACTCGAGGATGAATGGAAAGAAAGCGTTCGATCCCAGGAAAAAGGCGCCGTTTTGCCACGAAGCTGCCGCAGCGACCCAGCATGCCATCATTTGACCGATTTTTCCCTCAACGACGGCGTTGTGGCGCTATTCGCGCGCGAAAACTTTCTGACCCATAGGCTTTGTCATGCGTGCCTCGGTCTGAATGAGTACTTTGGAAAAGTTTCTCGCTGAGCTTGATAAAATTTCAGGAACTGCACAGAATTCAATCGTTCCAGATTTTCTCGCTGGTCCAGGACAAGTCGCGCTTGAGAGCGCGCCGGCGCCGCCAGACTCGTCGTCGTTTGGAGCTGCGCCAGCGCCTGCACCCGAGGCGCCTCTTGGCAGGAACGCGACCTCCGTACGAACAGGTGCTCGAGAACTGGAGCGGTCACTGCTTCAGTCCGCAGAAAAAACGGAAACTGGTGTGTCTCTCTCGTCGTCCAGCGCTTGCGGTGAGCCGAGTTCGCGCGACGAGGTAGCGCAGGCGTTGCGCGCCCTTGTGGAACGCCTTCGCCTGAGCGGTACGCTTTCAGAACCGCCGGACAACGGCATCCTGAAGACCCGCACAGCCTCAATAGCACCTACGCAACGAGAGCAGGTATCCCCTGGAGACAGCGCAGGTGCTGCATCAAGCGCACCGGCGTATATCGCTAGCAACGAGGCTGGGACTTGTCCAAACGATGCGACAACGACGGAGCAGGACGCGCTGGCTCTTCAGCTTGCAGCTGTACAGCACCAGGCAACGCTTCTGCACAGGGAGTGCGCTTGGGTTCAGCGTTTATGTGACGACCTGAGTCGGGAGCTATCGGAAGAGCGGCAGCGCCGACTTGTTGCCGAAGAGCGAGCACGTCAGCTTGCCGAACAGCTTGAGGAGCTCTACGACGAAAGCGTTCGACAAGCCCGTTCACTACGGCTGCAATTCGAGGACGCCCTTGAACAAGAGCGGGAAACCATCCGCACACTCGAGGCTGAACTCGCGGATCACCGGCGACTCGCGGAGAACGTTGGCGACACCGGGGAGCGCCTCGACCATACGCGGACACAGCCCAGTTCCCGGACCAGCACAGGTGTTGATGCAAGCTCCGTGGCGGCACCAGAGAAGACAACGGTGATCGTCGCAGAAAAACTCTGCCAAACAGAGCCTGTATGGAAGATGGATGCTGCATGTATGACGGATGAAGCGCAGGCCGAGCTCGCCGGTAAAGCGATGGCCGTCGACCGACCGCCGTTGAAAGAAGCTTACTATCGGACACAATTGTCGGAACGCTCGGAAGCTGAAAATCCCGCGCAAGAAGACGGTCAATCGCTTCGTCAAGCCAACCTCTACGTCGAGTTGTACGAGGCGCTGAAGCAACGCGATTTGTGGATGCGCGAGGCGCAGGCACTGGCTCGCAGCTTGCGGTTCCTCCGTCAGGCGTTCCACTATTGACAAAGAGACACGCTACCAGCGTTTGGTGGTCATGGTGATGGTGGTAGTTATGGCGGCAGTGTCATATCGATGCTGTCGCTCCAACGACTGCTGCTGTTCCAGGAGCACCGTGATACGGTGCTTCTCGACGAGATATGGTACGAACACCGCATCACCGACGGATGTGCGCTGACGAGGTACTGCTTTTCCATGGGATCTAGCTCAAACGCCGTTTTCTCAACGGATGATGCTCGTCTCTGGTGGAATCGTCAACGCTGGAGCGATGACGCTACTTGTGTTGCTCCATCGGTGATGCCCGGGAAGTTTTCGACGCTGACCTATCGATTCATTTGTGCACTGAGTGCTCGTTATTCGGCCAGGTGATGACTGTATTAGCTGTATCTGATGGGGCAATGACCAACTCCTCTGTGAAGACACCGAGAGAATCCCACCCATTGAAGCTGATGGCCGTTGCGGCATTCGGGTTGCCTCTGAGGCCGTGGACGAGTGCGTCATATCAGCGATTTGTCGCAGAACTTTCCGTTTGCAGAGACGGAGTGATTTATTGGATGGAGGCGGGCTTTAAAAGGCATGAAGCGACGCGATGGAACTCGTTTCCACGATGATATACGCGATCCTGGCATCGTCGCTCGGTCTCTTTCGATGTAGCATGCGTTCACGACGGTTCCGAGTTGCCGCCAGCTACAATGCAGTACGCAGCGGGTTTGGATGACGCTGCTTTCTGTGCTGGGCGCTCAGTCCGGCGCAAATCGTTTGCTGTGCAAAATCAGTAATTTTATCGATTAGGGCGCTTTGGATGCGCGGGTTCTCGTTGTCGCATCAGCCATTCCAGCCGCCGATCATCCGGGTAGCCTCTAATCCCCGTATTCGATCCTGTAGAGACCCTGAATCGACAGCGATGCACCCACGGGGACACTAGTCCCCATCGAGACCGAGTCTTTCGTGCTGTAGGAGCGCCTGTGTACGAGTCATTGCCACGCGTTTCTGCATGCCGAACGATAATGCCCCTCATGGGCTCCGAACAAGAGCATCACGACGAATGGGTAGAGCGGTCATGATCAAGAAAAATTCTGAGCGCGAGGCCTGCTCAGCAAGATAGCGAAGATACGCTGTACATCTGCGCAGCGTCGTTTCCTATCTCGCAGGCAGATGCCGCCATACCGAAGCACTTTGCCTGGGCGAGAATAGGCATTTAACCTGTCGTAATGAGCGTTTGCTCTGGTGCCTTCCGACGACGTCATACCTACTGATTGCTCTGTAGCATTCAAAAATGAGAACTCCGTTTGCGGCCACTGTATTTGCTGAGGGGGCGCACGGGCTTCCCCTGACGTAACCGTCGAAGACGTTGCTTCTCAATCAAACGACGGACCGACTGCACCCTCCTATGAACTGACTTACGGGAAACATTTTGCTGCCTGTTCTTGGGAACTGCAGCGATTGCAGTGTTTCCCGCCGGCGCCCTTGTCTCACAGAGCGATGCTTCATCTTCGGACACGTCATCCGTCATTGGTTCCACGAAGCGCCGCGCGACTGCAGGTGATAACGCCTGCTGGCGCATCGTTGTCGCGCGTTCCGCAGGGCCTGCTTGCAGCACCAAGTAAAACTTCTTTGCACGAGTGCTGTTCGGGTAGTCTACAACGAGCCCGCCATCAAAACCCGCCCGTTTCGCTTGCGCGAAAATGAAAGCCACCTGGCGTTCGTGGCTCGGGTAGAACTGGAACACTGCCCGCGCACCGCGTCGAAGACATGCATATAATGTCATGAAGAAGGTAAACAAACGCTTTCGCGGATCCTGGTCGCTTGCGTCAGCATGACAGAGCCACTGGAGCACTGAGATACTCACTGCTCCATCAAAACAGCCGATTTGGAACGGTAAACCGGCTCCGAGGTCCAGTTGAATGAGGTCACCGTCAACGTCGCGCTCGACGGCGACTGACAGCATGGCAGCGGCGATGTCAAGACCCACCCATAGGTGCCCAGCACGGCTCAGGACGTCTCCACTTAGCCCAGTACCGCATCCCAAATCGAGTATGAGTGCAGGGCCCTGCTCTAGTGTCGACGGATCGAGATCTAGTAGTTCTAGTGCACGCTCTGCCAAGCGGGTCTGTACCTCGACAGTGTGCGTGTGGTAGATGTACTTGCGTGCTTCCTTCGGGTCGTAGAAGACTTGCGGCGGTGCCTTGTTCTCGGGGCGCTGCGCCATCGACACGCCGTGCTCCGGTTACCAGCACCAGGTCACAGTGACCGGACGAACAATCCCGTCCACTTTATCGGTGCGCCTTGAGATGCAAGAACGAGAGGTGTGAGCGGCGCGTCAAGTAGAACACCCATACACTGGTATATGGGAAACCACGCGAAAACGCTTGCTGCCCCTCTTGAGCGACAACGAGCTGAAACTTAGAGTGTCCGGGTCGGCACTTGGGACACAGGTTCCAAAAGCTGGTACAGAGTGCTTTCAGAAGAATGCAGGCGGTGCCCGTGCTTTCGCCTCTGCACAAAGGTCCCTATGGCTACGGGCTCAAGTGTGAGCTGCTAGTCCACGATTGACGGTTGCGTTTCGCACGGGCGTCGATGGGAAACGTTGCTGGAATTATTGGGACACATATGTCCATTCGCAAGATCGAACAATATTGTATATCAATACTTATTTCTGTCTTGCCTGTCCATAAATGGACATGTGCTTTGCACTCCATCGCGCCCTGACCCAGCTCGCTCATCGCTTCGGCCTGCGCTCTAGTCACCAGCTATCACTACTTTCAGAATGGTTCACAGGGACCCCGCTGAAGAGCTATGGTGTGAGCTGTGGCAGCCTGGCGTAGACATCACGAGGAAAATGAACGCTATTTTCGGTTTAAAGGAGATCGGTACGGAGCGTGCCGTGACGCTGCTCTGCGCAGCGTTACTGGACGCCCGGGAGCGGTCAGTTCTCGTGCGTCACGAAATTGCGTACGTACTCGGCCAGATCCAAAGTGCAGCTTCTATAAAAACGCTCACTGATAGGTTAATCGATACTGATGAGAACTCAATTGTCCGCCACGAGTGTGGGGAAGCGCTCGGTGCCGTTCGGGCTTTCGCGGTGCGACCTATCCTGCAGAAACTGTGTGGCGACGCGGTACCCGAAGTTCGCGAGACGTGCGTCCTGGCGCTTGAGCGGTTACGCTGGCTTGAAGAAAAGTCCACGAACGAGGAGCGCGTGCGAGAAACCTCGGCGAAAGCGTTCAAGCTCTTCGAAACGGTCGATCCAGCGCCGGCTTTTGTTGCACCCGACGACCTAGAGGCATCCTGGTCCAACGCTGAGCTCGGTGAACTGCTCTTGAATGAAAACGAACCATTATTTCGAAGGTATCGGGCGCTGTTTACGCTACGTGATCGCAATACGGACGATACGGCCGGGGTGATTGCGGCAGCGCTTCGACGGGACACATCGAGTGCCCTGTTCCGGCACGAGGTGGCGTATGTGCTGGGCCAGATGAGTCGTGCCTGCACGTTACCAGCGTTGGAGTCTGCTCTGGCTGACACACACGAACACGCCATGGTGCGACACGAAGCAGCGGAGGCCATTGGTGCGATAGGTAACTCAAGTGCATGCGATATATTGCGGAGATTTCTGCGAGATGCGAATGTCATCGTTCGAGAGAGCTGTCAGGTGGCTCTAGATATAGCTGGAATCTCTGACGACTGCCAGTTCATGGACTAGATCATCAGAATTTTTCATATCCGTATCGTGTGCTTGGGCGAGTTGCAATACTCAAGTGTGGCAGCCAACACGAACAGGAAATCGCTCTCCGGTACCGAATGGTCTCATGAGCTGCATCGTATTGTCTGTTGATGAGTTGATTGCATTGTCGTGCAGGGAACCTCAGGAGCGGCTATGGTGATCGGGAATCCCGTTTCAGGCTGGCACCGCTGGACCGAACAAGAATGCACCGTAATCCCTGGATACACAGAGGCGCACTGAACCCATCCATGTGAAGCAGGCATGGTGTGAGGCTCCTTCGCAATAAATGGACGCCGCTTGCACCTTGTATGAGGTGCGAATTGTTTGTAGACAATTCGTCGGGAACGTGCTGATATTCAAGATATCGATGCTGGTGGGTAATTCCGGCAGCAGTGCGCAACTGCGCGCCGAGTCCTTCGAGTGTACTTGCATCCAGTATGGCTTCGCCGCATGCCGGCCTCTAAGCCGTGCGAGCAGGGCTTACTCCTTTGCTTTTATCTGTGACAGCCAACACGAGAAGCATACTCGAGTTAGCGCCAACCGATCGTACGGGTTCTGAATGTAACCGAGGCACCCAGCAGGCGTGTCGGAACTCTTGTGGATGCATATGCTGGACCGGCGTTCCAGAGCGAACGATTCGAGAAATGGGGCACTGTTTCGGACTTGTGGGCGCGAGGTCAAGGGCGGCGTAGGTGCGTTCGCAAACGCCGAAGTTGCACGATGCCCCGTTATCGAGGTTTTGTCGATACGATTGGGGAGTAAACTCCTGGGTCGATTTTAGCATTCGGTGGCGTCTAGAACGTTCGTTTGGCCCGGATATCGATATGCACGAACTCTCCTGAACGAATGGCCGGGTCATGTTTAGACACACTCAGTAATATCGAATAATGCAACACCATTCTCGATTGGCAGTCGCCCAGGGATACCATTCCGACTACATAAATACGATGTTGCAGACTTGTTGTATTCCTGACCATACCATACTACTGAATTGCTCCAGGCGAGAATCAGATGCCGCCTCTCTAATGTCCTTGAATTCGTTTATCAAAGGTCGTCAGCGATTCAGGGCAATGCCCACGGCCTGTACGCAACGATCCGCTCCGGGGTCCGTTCGATGCAGAGCTCATGCGCGTTTCGCTAGCAGAGGCCATCTCCGAACGTTGTTCGACAGACGCTCATATCTCGATCCATAAAGGGCCGTCACACGCTTCGACAGGTAAACGCACACAACTGCATGCCGCTCGCTCTCGTTGCTCGCTGCATCGGACGTTATCTCAGCGTACCGTGCAACATCTCGAGCGTCCGGCTCTGTTTCACGCTCTTCTCCTCTACCGGCATCAGCGCGCAACCGTGCTCTTGATTTCTGCATATTGTCCTGCATCCATCGATAAGCATCGGAAAGAATCGATTCCTTCGCTCGTTGCACGCTCTCGTAGATGCAGCAGGAATGCAGCCCGAGCGCGTTCCAGCGCCTCGAGCGGCAGTGCGCTGCCACCGAACAGCACGACGCATCATGCACTATCGGGTTGATGTTCATGTTCATGTTCATGTTCATGTTCATGTTCATGTTCAAGTCCATGTCCTTGATCAAGTCCTTGAGCGTGTCCACGTCCATGTCCATTTCATGGAAACCGTTGGCCAGTCTGCGCTTCTTGCCTCCGTGCAGCCGGAGCATCGGCGAGTCCGGTGCGGCTCCATCTAGTGCCTCCATAGATTGTCTGCATGAGCCATTTGGACGCTCATGTGCTCCGTGAATGCGGCGTTCAGAGAATACCTCAGACCGCTGGATTCGGCGCTCAGAGCGTCAACATGGGTCACGACGCTGTCCTTGCACTCGCTGGTAGACCGCTGGGCGCCCGCCATGTCGGGCTCCCGTTCATGCCCTTCCCTGCACAAGCTGCGCAGTTGCATTTGCTCGCCCTGAGGATCTCCGGATACATCCCCTCGATGTAGAGATACTGCATCTGAGATGACGGTTTCCAGCTGCGGATCCGGGTCCGCCGCAATGTTCGTCTCGTCGTCTACCCTGACAGGTTGAAAAAGCTGCTCGTCGGCTGACGCTGGCCTCGGTTTCATGGAGTCTGTGTTTGTGTGTGTGTGTGTGCGTATGTGTGCAGACGGACAGTCCGTCGGTGCATCGTCCCTGTGCATTTCGTCTTGTTTCCTTCGTGTGACAGAGAAACCTTGAACGAGCCTCTGCTCTGCTCTGCTCTGCTCTGCTTGAGGCTGCTCGAGCGATACGTCGCTGCTCGAAGAGATACCAGACCCTCTTCGCTATCCGCTTCACTGGGATGCCCGGTCATGGTCTGGTTGCTATGCTCTACGTCTGTTTTCCTCCTTGAGAAGCACACGGACTGGATGGGCACTGTTACTAAGACTCGCCTTCTCTGTGTATGTATCGGCGCTCTCTCGGACACGTTTTCGTTACCTTCTTGAACGCGAGCGTGTCCACGCACTGAAACGTGCCCCTGCGCTCCCTCCTGTGCAAGAGACGCGGCCCAACACGGTAGTTCAGGGCTGGTGGAGGTATCGCAAGCGTCGTCGAAAAACTCGAGTGTTACGGACGTGACTGACGCACCACTAGATCCGTGAGCGTCAGAGCGGCTTTTGCCAACAGAAAAGACGCTTTCGACTGGAATGGACCAACGGAGAGTAGACTGGCAGGAAGCGCAGCTCTACGCAGTCTCAGCTGCATACTCGGTGACTGCTTCTTGTTGTGACGGGAACCGACGTTTTCTAGCAGCAGGACAGAAGAGCTTGGGAACGAGGTTCCGTGAGCACTTCTTAGAAGATTGAGGTTTTTGAAGGATCCGGGCTGTTCAGCGATCTCGGGGCGACCAGACGTGTTACCCGCCGCTAGCTAGGACTGTTGTTGCCGTCGCGCTCGCTTGTCTTGGCTGAACGAACTGCGAATCGCCCCTCTTTAACTACCCGTGCGCAAGTCTACGCGTTCTCACGAACAAAGTCGCATCGAGTGAGACATGCAGCAGTCTGTCCCACGGTAAGCGATCCCTGAACAATACAAAAGCAAAGCTGAGCTGAGCTGAGCTGTCCGACACAGGATACGTTCCGGTGGCATCGCGCTTTCTCCCGCGTCCATTGGTGGCCCTTCACCGCTCTTCGTATCATGGGTACGGAAGTTTCAGAAACTGTGGCTTTGCCAGTAGAGCTTCATAGCGAACGCTTGGAGACGAATGGAATGACGAGACGACGGTCGTGGAGATCGAGGTCCATAGGTTGCACGTCGGGTGCACCATGTCCAGACCGAGGACTAGGCAGCGAATGGCCCGTGCATCTGCCCACCGAAGAATGCCTGAATACTACACCTAAGATCCTCTGTCGCATGCTACCAGAGACATCATAAAGTCGTCCCGCAACGCTCTTCCAACATGCTGGATACAGTCCATTAGTTGAGTGCCTGCGAGAAAAACAGAGGACGACGATGAAAACGGCGTGCTGGTACAGGAGCTCCAGAATGCACTGCTCTGTTTATAGGCTCTCGATAGATGCCAAGTACTGGTGTGGGGAGAGCACGCTTGTACCGCCAATTACCACGTCAATCTGCAGATGTGTAGCGAGTCCTCGTATCTGCTCCACTTCAAGAGCGGTGACTCCACCAAGTACCACGAACAGGAAGCGATCGTTTCGGTAACGTTCAGCGGCTCGCTGGAGACGATCCACCAACGCTGCATGCACTCCAGCGTCCTCGGGCAATGTTTCAGTCGCATCTTGCTGCTGCTGCTGCAGTGCCTCTGTGCCGTCTAAGGCTTCACAAACAGTCGCTTGTGATCGCACGTTCCTTTGTGCACTAGATGGGGGACTTGACGGCGACAGCGCCTCTGCCAGCATGCCTGCTTCTTCAGCGATACGCAACCTGCTGCGACGTGCACTGCGTTTGACGTCGACATCTGGCGTCGCCCGGTCGACTTGCTGAACGACTCGTGGAGTCGTTTGCGTGTCGGCTGCCGTTCGCTGTTCGTCGCTTTGATTACATGTTGTCCCTGGACTGTGCATCATATGCGCGTCCTCAGAATGAATACCTTTGCGGGTGTTCTGGCTGGGCATGGCGTCCAGTTGCATACCGACAGCAGCATCGTGCGTCATATCATGTCCCTGGGTTGCAGGCGTCGTCGTCGTCGTCATCGTCGTCGTCGCAGCGAGCGGAGCTGTCACGTGAGGCTCGGGCGCTGGCGACGGCGCTCGCGGCTCCACGAGCAACGTAGACAAGAAGAGTTCCGCAGCCGGTGACCCCAGCGGCTCCTTGTGTTCATGGTCGGACGCAACAGCGCTGTCGTCGTGCCCTTCAGCGACTTCATGTCGTTGTTGAAGATCGAATGCGCCCATATACTGGAGCAAAATTTGGCTCGCCATCGTCTCCGGTAACAGTAGCGATCCAAGTGACTCGTGTACCAGCACTCGAGCTCGCCGTCTCCGTCGCACGCGGGCGGAGCGCGTTGCCCACTTGGCGGCACGAAGGCGTTGAAGAAACGCATTCGCCGTTCGTATCAGCGAGTCTTGCGTCTGCAGGTCCAGTCCCGGAATTTTCTGGACCAGTTCCCTGACAAGATGTGGGTCCCGGCATCCAAGGAACACCAGCAGTAAGCGCAGCTTGTCGGAGAGCGCATACGTGTCCGCTTCGAGAACCTTTTCCACGGTACGGCGCATCGTAGCGGAACTGATTCGTGACCCTTGATCCTGCTTGATACCCATGACGATGCACCTTTCCAACGCCGATAAATAGAGTAGATTTCGTTGTTGCTGTTCTTGGAGACAACGCTCCAGGCTCTTTGCATGCCAGCGCAAAGCGGAAAGCAACTCCAACTGCGCCGGGTCCGCTGCTTGGAGGCTCTCAAGCGCTCGCTTCAGCGAGGCAAGATCCAGGTCGATACATTCCGCATGAGTCACGCGGTTATCTGAGTCAGGCTCGCTGGATGCGAGGAGCGGCTGCGCGAGCGCCTGCAGTTTCGCCACAGCGTCCGATAGCGTGTACTGTCGCAGCGCTCGCCAGACCGCATCGTGCTCGGAAGGCCACTGCGGTCGGGCGTTTCCCGCTGCATCATTCAGTTCCAGAAGCATGCCGCGGTAGGTGTTCACGTGTAGCAGAGGCGTAACGGGGTCCACGGCACGATCCATGAGCAGGAGGTGCAGGGCACCGCGCCCTGCCACCAAACCTGGACAGAACAGCGGCAAGAGATGCACCGCTGCATACGTCTGAGCCGCCCTGGCAATGCAGGTCGCTTGTTCACTAGCCGCAGGAGAGGTATGAATCTGAATCCAGGGGGCTTCATTCGCAAAGGTGCCTGCACCCATGCCGTGCAGTAGGGTGCCGATCTGGTGACCGAGTTCCTCCATGAGCTGGAACCGCATGGCGCAGGTCTCGGGAGCATCTGCACCGTACAAGAGACCAAATACGTCTTCCCGATTCTCGATACTTACCACTTGTTCCTCGATCGGGAAAAAGTCCACATGAATGGGTAGTAAGACGGTGCTTCCGTCAACGTCCGCCCAGGAAATGGCGTGGCGGCGGGGCAGCGGTGCGCTCGGCGAACGCGTCAACAAGAGCCGCACCGGCACTGGAGCGCTTCGCTTAGCCTCATAGCGCGCCACACTGGTCATCCAGTCGCCCGTTGGAGCCAGAATATAGATTGTTGGGAGCTCTAGTTCCCGATTTCCGCAACGAGGAAGCTGCTCCAGGAGACATATCCGTGCTGAAGGGAAGCATTCGGCCAAGTTTGGTCCCAGGGCATATTTCAGGAGCACTGCAGTGCGGGCGTCGAGAACAAGAAGCCAATCTCTTTGCCCAAAGTGCTCCACTTGATCGTGGACAAGGGCGACCAGGAGACGCTGCACTCGCTGGACGATGCTGAAAGGTTTTTGAGAATCGTCTATCGACCCGAAGCTCGGCAAACTGAGCATCAAAGGCGACAGGCTGTCCATGGACAGGATCCCCCCCGGAATACCCCAGCGCGGCTCATTCGCTGCCTCAGACCCGAGACTCGTCGGGCTGAGCGTGCCCTTCTCCGCTGCATCAGCTGCTTGAAATCCGTAGGCAGCCCCGAAATGCGCTTTTTTCTCGAAGCCAGCTCGTCGCTGCCGTCGTCTGCGCAGAAGGCACCATACCAACAATACACCGAATACCAGAGCGAGTACGATCAGCACCGCCACAATGGCAGCTACGGCACCTGTACTGATGCCTTGAGCGGGACCCGCGGTCACAGCGTTGGCCTCGTTTGGATCCTGGACATCAACCGCGAGCACGTTGTCCGCGCCACAAGATACGGGTCCGAGCGCCGTCAAGTTACTCAAATGGCCCCTGCATACAAAGCGATTCAACGCTGTTTGCCAAGCATCTAAAGCACTTGCGCTGATGACGCCCGCATAAGTGGCGATCACTGATCCAGCACGCAGATCGACCAGCACCAGCGGCGGGTCCGACAGAAGCGCTTCGCGTATATCCGGATTTCGCAATAGCGCTTCCGTGATATTTTGACTCACGCCAGTGGTAAATTTGCTCAGCATTAATCCCGTAAAATTCAACGGGAAGACTACCCGACGCGATGATTCTCCCCGGAAGGCAGGGAGTGGCGCGATAGTTGCCTGAGCGCTCCGCACGCCGCTGGCGATCGGGAACGGTAGCGGTGTCGGCACCGAGTCGCTCCCAGCGCTTTTAGCCGTCACCAGCACATTCGCGTATCGAATACCGGGGCAACGGGCATTGTAGAGGGCCCAGGTACCGCTGGAGAACGTGTTGTCACTCGTCTCAACAGAGAGCTCTCCGTTAATGAACACTTGAAGGCGGGCGTGATCGCAGCGCACGTGCAGCTCGACAAAGTCTCCGAGCGGGTACGGCTGCGCGTGCGCCGCTGTCGCAATCGTGTTCCAGCTCCCGTTCGCGACAACCTGCAGCTGCTGAATAGCGCCGCTGGCACGAACTCCCGGCTCTTCCGTGTTACTCCACACGAAGCGGTAATAGTTATTCGAGTCCTGAATGCGAAACATGACTCCGGCCAGTCCGTTAACTGCGGCATTGATCGCAACATAGATATCGTAGTTGGTGAGGGTCTCAGAGCCGGCCCCGATGTACTGGAGAAACGTGCCTGCATAGGGGTCGGCGGCGCTATTTGGCGAGAAAATGTTCTTGGTCTGCTCGAGCACCGCACCGCTCTCGTAACGCATCCCGTTCGCATCCACGTCGGTTTCAATCCAGAAGGAGGGCGCCCCAATCGAGCCCTGGTCCACTGGCTTCCACACGCTCGTGTCTATTGGACATATTGGCGCTGTGCAGGAAGAGAAGTCCGTTCCGAAAATGACACCAGACTCGCTCACTCGAAACTTGCTCCAGTCGGGTGAAGCGCCCCTGACTGATTCGGAAACGCCCAAAAGCGCCAGCACCAGAACAAGCGCGCAGAGCCAGCGGTACCGCCGGGGCCACGGACGCCAGCGCGCACCCGAGAGCAGCGCGGCAACCGATGCGAACATCCACCACGTCCTGTGACGACTCAGTATAAAACCTGTGCCCAACCCTGCGCGTAAAACTCAATGAAAACAAAGCGCGTGATACCTGGAAGCGCAAGGCGGATCGCAGAACAGAAATCTCTGTTCATTGTAGGAGAAATAGGCATTCGATCGATCCGAGTATGGACGCGTGGCCTGGGGAGCAAACAGCGCCGGCTGGTGGCGCCTCGAGGGCCGGTGGCGGCACGTGCCGCTTCCGCGCACAGGGCGGCGCTTTTGTTGTGGCCCGGACCTAGCGGGGAAGCCGACGGAGATGGTTCATATTTGTCTATTAATGAATAAGAATATGAAGCGGCAGCAGGGCAATCGAGGTCTCCGCGCTCTTGCGCGTACCCCGCTGGACAGGAAAATGCGTACGCGCGCGCGGCTCGCATCCGATGATCGACACCTGTGATCGATACACATGCGATACTGAACTGCTCGTGCTATCCCTGCGTTGTGACTTGTCGCAAATTGCAGCGTTAAACGGACAACCTAGAGATCAAAAGTGCATGCATAGGAGATTACGGGTGCATATATAGGTATACGATTTTTGATCGATTTTGTTCGGAGTGGGTTCTTCGAAGCTTTTGCGCCTGGGATTCGTTACGTTCCCAGAAACAAGATGACTGGGGGCGGCGCCCACAAATAATGATTGGGAAAATAACCAATGTCGCGATGCAGCGTATGCGTCCAAGTCTCCGCTATTCTTCTATCGTTACATGTATCATGTTCAAATCACGTATTCTTCGTGGTTTCGATCGCACTGTTCTGAAGCGAGTCGTGCACGCAGTAATGCACGTCGCCGGATTGGCCACGAAACCAGAGCTCAACGTCGACTCTCGAAGGCGTTTTTCACATCGAATCATTTGTCTCGTTCGAAACACAAATCCGCCTCTGTTTCGAGGCATCGACCAATCGGCATTCGCCTGGAGCATAATACCTGTCACGGGATATGCTCGCAAGGGCCCCTGTCTCTTCTCTTTGCATTCAAAAAAGGGTACTGGACACGAGCTCCAGTTATCGCAACGATCACTTCCCGTGGACCATAAGCGGATGGAAAACTCTCGATCTCTCCTCTAACCTGGATTCCGCTTCCGAAACGTGTTCCATCATGACCAAGATCGCGTTTCATAAATCCCGTCTCGAATGGAACACTGCGCGCTTGCGCTCGCGGAGGATACCCTATTTACTGCGTGAATCGCACAGAAAAAACATGTGATCATGCGATACGACGATGTGTGCGAAAATGCAGGACGGTACCGAAAGAAGCCTTCCGTAGTGTCCAGGTACATGCGGCAATCGATGAAGCAAGCGTTCAAGCTGCACTAGCCGCCGATAAAAGAGAGGGCACTTGTTGCGATGGACATCTGGGACGCCTGACCGCTGCCAAGTGTCACTGCTGCGAGGGACGAACCGAGGTCGCGTTCGAAGAACGTGCGTAGATCACAACTTTTGCCGGTGCATGAATCGCGTGAACAACACCCAGAAGCAGCGAAATCGGCGACTTGGACGCTACGATCAATACCCCTTGACCGGCATTAACAGAGCTGAACAGACAGGAGAGATCGACGTAATCTGAGCCTGAGACCATACGGAGGTAAGGCAGGCAGTCGGAGACGAATCCCTCAAAGACTTTTGTTCATGACTGTGGGAAGCATCCCAAACTTGAGAATGTACGCTCGAGTTAGACCAGTGGACCTGCACCTTTCGATTCTGATATCGCGAGATGCTCGGTCGAGCAAAGAAGCAGACGTCGACCGGGGGCTGGCGGGTACATCTATTCAGCCAATCCCAGACGCCTTCCAGCCTTTATTAGGCCGGCCGACTGCTAACGGTTTCAGTTTATCCGGGCACACTTCGAACCTCAGAGGCAAACCCCACGAAGCTGGATTACGTCAGGCCGTCGTGTCTCGTCTTCAGCACCACACAGCGTCTGATATTGATAGCAGCGTTGAAGCCCCGGGTCACGAACTCCATGCGTTTGTTGCCTCTGGTCGAACTCACAAGTGCAAGAATTGCTAGAACTCGTGCCCCATCAGAGCCACTACAGTCTCGACATTGTCCTGTCGGGCAAGCACCGTGTCCCGCACATCTCCGCTCTTCCTCGTCTTTTGCTTCTACATCACTTGCTCTTCTTCGCTCGATCGTCGGCGAGAAGAGGATTTTTCTGTTTCCTTTCCAGTACCCGGCGATCTCGGGCCCGCCAGGACCCCTGACTTGCACGTCCATATCCGCCCCTTGGGTTTCTTACTTGTCCAAACGAGCACATGTCGAAAACGTCCAGCATAAACCGCAAAAAAAAGCACTTGACGCAACGCACCTGGAGATGGAACGCAATTCAGATGAAAGTCCAGAACGCACGCTGCGGCACCGGATCGCCGCAAGATCGCAGGCGCGCAGCGTGCACAGACGGCGCCTTTGCCGCTGAGGGTAGCGTCCGTCACGAGAAGCGGCCTGTGCGCGTCTGTCACGAGAAGCGGCCTGTGCGCGTCTGTCACGAGAAGCGGCCTGTGCGCGTCTGTCACGAGAAGCGGCCTGTGCGCGTCTGTCACGAGAAGCGGCCTGTGCGCGTCTGTCACGAGAAGCGGCCTGTGCGCGTCTGTCACGAGAAGCGGCCTGTGCGCGTCTGTCACGAGAAGCGGCCTGTGCGCGTCTGTCACAGCTGGGAACGGCTGCACAGCAGTGCTTCGCGCTCACTTGGCTGTTCCAGGAAAGCACATCTGGGGCTATGTCGACGTCAAGGTTGTGTACAAGTTTCCGAGCGATTAACGGCCGGGGCTTAGGGACTCTCGTTCCACGGCGAGGGCTGCACCAGACAACAGCGAGAAACCGAGCGACGCACGGCGAACACGACGAACACCACGATGTGTACGGGTACCTGCACGCTCCGCACATGTACGACTTGAGTCACGCAAGCAAGTGGAAGTACGGCATTGCGACGTTTACATTTGTTACAACAGGGCTGGGATTGCCTTTCTTCATGGTATGGTACTCGCAGAAAAAAGCCGGCATATGGTAAGACGGTTTCGATCAAGGTATTGTTGCTGGGGCTGTTGGCTGCTTCTTGAGGTTGGCGTCTCGTGTCCAACTTGTAAACACTACTTGTTTCTGAGTAACCCACGTTTTAGAGATACCGTTGGGGGAAGGAGAAAATAGGTTCCATAAGAGAAGCAGCGCTCGGCAAACCAGACGCAGACGTGAGTACGTCGCGCACAAGCAGCGGCGGTTCAAGGCCCAGCGCCTGGGCACGTTCCCAGCGCTCGAGGCGACTGATACCTACACAAGGGCCGTATCGCACATCGAGGTCAAACATACGTAAAATATCTTCAGCATTTTCGTATCCCTCTGGACTTGCTGTCAAAGTGGAGGCACCGCCCCCGACTGTCGCTCCCTGCAATGTCGCTGTCGTCAGCGTTCTTGACGGCCTCGGAGCCTTCGTTGGCGTCTCCGGTGATAACGTTCCTGACCTTGGTGCCGCCTCCTCAAACGTGCCAGGCTGGTGCGCTTTGTGTAACACGCGCACAGGTGTCGTCGAACCTGGTACGCTTCGTGCGGAAGCGGTCTGCGCGGCGCCAGACTTGGAAGCGCCACTTAAGGTCGATTTTCGACTCGTTGCTTCCATACGCAGCGTCTGTCTATCATGCTTTTGGTTTCGTGCGCTAGCCCTTGGAGAGCTGGCAGCTGCCGCGCCACCGGTCGCCTTCGAGACGCCCTCCGAAGTGACGTGCTGCTTGGCAGCGCGGGACCTGCCTCCTTGCCTCGTTCGCGTCGACACTGGCATCTTCCGATAAAAACCTTAAAATAAATTCACCTGAGAACTTGTTTCCAGTACCAGACTATACCAAATCGAAGGTTTCATGAAACGCATTCCTCTGAGAAGCTCGCGATCGAACGACAGAGGAAGCGCTGCGGGCGATGTTGTGCTGCACGTCCGGCTGCGGCCGGTAACGCGCTGGCCGCCCGAACGACGACTTGTCGCGGTTCACGACGCTGTTCAACGCAGATTCGCGCTCTACACGGTACCAGCAACACGTAGTACAAGCAACACGACACACTGTCTTGGGAAGCACGCTTCCAAAAGCCTTGTGAACCGCTTAATTCAATGGCGCTTCGCGTTCAGTTCGAGAACAATAACGATATCGGGTGTTTCGCCCGACTCACGAACGCTTACTGCCTGGTAGCCGTCGGCGGAAGTGAAGCGTTCTACTCGGCGTTCGAAGCGGAGCTTGCGGATCATATTCCTGTCATTCACGCTTCTGTCGCTGGTTGCCGCATCATCGGCCGGCTGTGCGTGGGTAATAAGCACGGCCTACTGCTTCCGAGCACCACGAACGATCAGGAGCTTCTACACATCCGGAACTCGTTACCCGAGAGTATCGTAGTGCAGCGCGTCGAAGAGCGTTTATCTGCTCTGGGCAACTGCATCGCTTGTAACGACTACGCTGCGCTGGTGCATACGGACTTGGATCGTGAAACGGAGGAAATCATAGCGGATACTCTGCAGGTGGAGACGTTTCGTCAGACGCTTGCTGGCGAGGCGCTCGTTGGCAGTTACTGTTACTTCACGAATCAAGGCGGCGTTGTTCACCCTATGTGTAGAGTGGAGGACCTAGATGAGCTCAGCGGCCTCTTGCAGGTCCCGCTGGTCGCAGGCACCGTCAACCGAGGCAGTGAAGTGATTGGAGCGGGGATCGTCGCCAACGACTGGCTCGGCTACTGCGGCTTTGCGACGACCGCAACAGAGCTATCTGTTGTGGAGAGCATTCTCAAGCTACGGACTTGGGCTGATAACAATGCATACGATTCGAGCGGTGCATTCAAGTCGGCGCTTATTGATGCCTTGGCTTGAGTTGCTCCTGCAGCGCACGCAGAGCATATTGGGATACTCGTGAAAGCCGGGGACACCTACGCCTCGAGTTGTCTGCAGAGCACTGATGGAACCGTCTGGGCTGGGAATTGGGCAAGTGCCCATCCAGATGCAATTTGAGGTGCACGAATGCATAGCTAGAAGGATGGCGTCCAAGCGGGTAGCTGCGCTCTCGTGCACCTCGTGTCTTTGCTTGAGGCGTAACACAAGCGCAGCGCCATCCTGGTATTCCGCGTCTGGGCTACATAGACAATGGTACTGGTGCGGCTCCGGTGTCATCGTTCGTGTGAAGCCTTTATGAGCAAGACAACGTAGACGCTGCAAGTTGCGTACGATGACTCGATGACAAATAGGCTCTACGCAGAGCACAGCACTCATCACGCTTGAGATGGTAGCGCTTCGGTGGCACTCCCGTGTGGTTGGCTAGAATACCAACAGCCTCTCAACAAAGATAGTCTGGGACAAGACGATGTCGGCAGCAGGACCTGTCAGAGGCGATCAGTACTCCCTATATCGTTTCTGGAACAAAGCTGTCGTGAGAGACGCATGATTTCACTGCATTGCACCACTGCTGAGTAATCGAGATTTGTATGCATCCGTGCTTCCGGGATTGAACGTAACGCATTTCAAGTCGGTTGGTTGCGTAAGCAAGCAGGCGCTGCTGGCTACGGTGTGCTCGAAAGCGCGCGCACGTCCACGAGTGAACGTCATGGAAGCGTGCGAATGCGCTCCTCGATCATCTCTTCAACGCTTGCATGTCGCTCGTCTGCGCTTGTGCGGTGCTTTCCGTTCCGTCTTTCGATACCTTTCAAACTTGGCACCTGGGACTTGTTCAGTTTATGCCCATGACAGCCAAAGTGGATGCAGAGCAACATCGCTTGCGCTTCATGCTCGCCGGACGCAAACGCATTCGTTCCCACAGAAAACGTCACGCGCAAAACCCCGCTTGTTGGGCGGGCATGCGCAGCAAATCCGGGACCGCTGACAAAGGTGTTGCCATTCCTGCTCATCATGGCGTTGTGCTGAGGTCTCGGCTCGTTTGGAGCCGTGTAGCTCATGTGGCTCCATAGCGCGCAAGTATGCACCGCAGCTTCGCCAGTTGAAATTCGGCAGCCACGTGTGTATTCTGCGAGAAACTCAGTAATATCGAATAATGCAACACCATTCTCGATTGGCAGTCGCCCAGGGATACCATTCCGACTACATAAATACGATGTTGCAGACTTGTTGTATTCCTGACCATACCATACTACTGAATTGCTCCAGGCGAGAATCAGATGCCGCCTCTCTAATGTCCTTGAATTCGTTTATCAAAGGTCGTCAGCGATTCAGGGCAATGCCCACGGCCTGTACGCAACGATCCGCTCCGGGGTCCGTTCGATGCAGAGCTCATGCGCGTTTCGCTAGCAGAGGCCATCTCCGAACGTTGTTCGACAGACGCTCATATCTCGATCCATAAAGGGCCGTCACACGCTTCGACAGGTAAACGCACACAACTGCATGCCGCTCGCTCTCGTTGCTCGCTGCATCGGACGTTATCTCAGCGTACCGTGCAACATCTCGAGCGTCCGGCTCTGTTTCACGCTCTTCTCCTCTACCGGCATCAGCGCGCAACCGTGCTCTTGATTTCTGCATATTGTCCTGCATCCATCGATAAGCATCGGAAAGAATCGATTCCTTCGCTCGTTGCACGCTCTCGTAGACGCAGCAGGAATGCAGCCCGAGCGCGTTCCAGCACCTCGAGCGGCAGTGCGCTGCCACCGAACAGCACGACGCATCATGCACTATCGGGTTCATGTTCATGTTCATGTTCAAGTCCATGTCCTTGATCAAGTCCTTGAGCGTGTCCACGTCCATGTCCATTTCATGGAAACCGTTGGCCAGTCTGCGCTTCTTGCCTCCGTGCAGCCGGAGCATCGGCGAGTCCGGTGCGGCTCCATCTAGTGCCTCCATAGATTGTCTGCATGAGCCATTTGGACGCTCATGTGCTCCGTGAATGCGGCGTTCAGAGAATACCTCAGACCGCTGGATTCAGCGCTCAGAGCGTCAACATGGGTCACGACGCTGTCCTTGCACTCGCTGGTAGACCGCTGGGCGCCCGCCATGTCGGGCTCCCGTTCATGCCCTTCCCTGCACAAGCTGCGCAGTTGCATTTGCTCGCCCTGAGGATCTCCGGATACATCCCCTCGATGTAGAGATACTGCATCTGAGATGACGGTTTCCAGCTGCGGATCCGGGTCCGCCGCAATGTCCGTCTCATCGTCTACCCTGACAGGTTCAAAAAGCTGCTCGTCGGCTGACGCTGGCCTCGGTTTCATGGAGTCTGTATTTGTGTGTGTGTGCGTGTGCGTATGTGTGCAGACGGACAGTCCGTCGGTGCATCGTCCCTGTGCATTTCGTCTTGTTTCCTTCGTGTGACAGAGAAACCTTGAACGAGCCTCTGCTCTGCTCTGCTCTGCTCTGCTTGAGGCTGCTCGAGCGATACGTCGCTGCTCGAAGAGATACCAGACCCTCTTCGCTATCCGCTTCACTTGGATGCCCGGTCATGGTCTGGTTGCTATGCTCTACGTCTGTTTTCCTCCTTGAGAAGCACACGGACTGGATGGGCACTGTTACTAAGACTCGCCTTCTCTGTGTATGTATCGACGCTCTCTCGGACACGTTTTCGTTACCTTCTTGAACGCGAGCGTGTCCACGCACTGAAACGTGCCCCTGCGCTCCCTCCTGTGCAAGAGACGCGGCCCAACACGGTAGTTCAGGGCTGGTGGAGGTATCGCAAGCGTCGTCGAAAAACTCGAGTGTTACGGACGTGACTGACGCACCGCTAGATCCGTGAGCGTCAGAGCGGCTTTTGACAACAGAAAAGACGCTTTCGACTGGAATGGACCAAGGGAGAGTAGACTGGCAGGAAGCGCAGCTCTACGCAGTCTCAGCTGCATACTCGGTGACTGCTTCTTGTTGTGACGGGAACCGACGTTTTCTAGCAGCAGGACAGAAGAGCTTGGGAACGAGGTTCCATGAGCACTTCTCAGAAGATTGAGGTTTTTGAAGGATCCGGGCTGTTCAGCGATCTCGGGGCGACCAGACGTGTTACCCGCCGCTAGCTAGGACTGTTGTTGCCGTCGCGCTCGCTTGTCTTGGCTGAACGAACTGCGAATCGCCCCTCTTTAACTACCCGTGCGCAAGTCTACGCGTTCTCACGAACAAAGTCGCATCGAGTGAGACATGCAGCAGTCTGTCCCACGGTAAGCGATCCCTGCACAATACAAATGCAAAGCTGAGCTGAGCTGAGCTGAGCTGAGCTGAGCTGAGCTAAGCTGAGCTGAGCTGTCCGACACAGGATACGTTCCGGTGGCATCGCGCTTTCTCCCGTGTCCATTGGTGGCCCTTCACCGCTCTTCGTATCATGGGTACGGAAGTTTCAGAAACTGTGGCTTCGACAGTAAAGCTTCATAGCGAACGCTTGGAGACGAATGGAACGACGAGACGACGGTCGTGGAGATCGAGGTCCATAGGTTGCACGTCGGGTGCACCATGTCCAGACCGAGGACTAGGCAGCGAATGGCCCGTGCATCTGCCCACCGAAGAATGCCTGAATACTACACCTAAGATCCTCTGTCGCATGCTACCAGAGACATCACAAAGTCGTCCCGCAACGCTCTTCCAACATGCTGGATACAGTCCATTAGTTGAGTGCCTGCGAGAAAAACAGAGGACGACGATGAAAACGGCGTGCTGGTACAGGAGCTCCAGAATGCACTGCTCTGTTTATAGGCTCTCGATAGATGCCAAGTACTGGTGTGGGGCGAGCACGCTTGTACCGCCAATTACCACGTCAATCTGCAGATGTGTAGCGAGTCCTCGTATCAGCTCCACTTCAAGAGCGGTGACTCCACCCCAGTAGCCCGGCCTTGCCCGTTCCACATGATCGACGATTCTCAGTCGATATATCCCTCCGATAAAGAGCGTGCCCTTGGCGACGCAAGAGTGCACTCGCCCGCACGCCGCACCAATCACAGAAATCGCTGCACGAAAAGCGCCGAGTACAAACTATATCGAATGCCAAGGAGTTCTTGTGCCGTAGTGGGCTCTCTTCGTTTGCGTGTTAGAGTTCTTGCAGCTTACCAAACACAGAAAGTAAGGAGGCGGACTGCCAGATTCACTCCAGGGTGCTTTTAGTGGCCGCTACTGCCGCTAAGCGCAGGTCGGGAGCGCAGCGCGCGGGCGAGGAACTCGTTTTGGAACGGGCGCGCCTAGTTGGTCGTCGCTTCAGCAAGTGCGCTGCATGAACACGTCGCCAAGGTTACGAGGTCAGCGTCGATCGGACTATGCTGCGTATGCAGGTCGTCGACGACAGCCTGCATCGTCGTTGTCGTGCGCGGTTGGCGCTGAACTGAAAGCCGCTGCTCATGCAGAGCCTGTCTCTCCAGGTAACGAGATACCGCGCACCACTGGCGAGGGTGAACGTACCGGTACGGCCGTGCAAGGTCCGACAACTTCTCGGATTGATGCACTTCTAACGAAGCAGGCGCTTTCGGACGAGTTACTGATGTCAAAGCTTAGCGACCGTCTGCGGGAACTGGCACGGAGAGCTGCAGCCTCTCGTGACGAGCACCTTCGTCAGGCGCAGCTCTTGCAAACGCGAGCTGAACGTGAACAGAAACGAAAGCTAGTGCGCAGCCACGGTGATGTGAGGCCCCTGAAACGAGACGCAGCTGGTTCGAGCGTGCTGCACACAACAGCACCACGGGGAACCGGCGAGCAGGCAAGCCCGCCTCGCTCCACGTTCCGGGACGCTGGCTCCATGGACTGGAAGTCGAGCGCGGAGGAGCCAGCCCGACTGACTCTAGACGAGCAGGTTTTGCAACATTTAACAAAAGGTCATGAATCGGGAGGAACCTCCACGTCTGCGGCTTTAGAGAAGCGCTGTCAGGCGTCCATCGAGGCCCTCGATACCACTGTTCTGGGTTTTTCTGATGCTGATGCTGCGTCGCAGCGCCTAGCGGAGGACCGCATACTGCGTGAAGCCACCGAAATCCAACAGCGCAACCTGGAGCTTGCGAAAGCGCGCCTGCCGAAGCAACCGGAACCGCCGCGCTCGAAGACACACCACGACTATCTCTGTGAGGCGATGATCTGGCTAGCCACTGATTATCGAGAGCGCTTCAAGTGGCACGCTGCTTTTCGAGCACGACTCGCTCGCGCTATCCACAGATTTCATGAAGAACGGAAGCAGCGGGACGCACGTGACTCCCAGGCACGAGAGGTCGCGCGTATACGACGAGCTCGCCTGTTGAGTCGGCACGTTCAAAAGTTCTGGGAGTCACTCTTCCATATGATGATATGGGAACAGCAGGCACAGGACGAGCGCCTTGCAAAGCGCAAACGACAACGGGCTTTGGATTCCCTTGTTCACCAGACTGAAGACTACGTCAAGGTCCTGGCAGAAGAACTAGCGACTTGTGACTCGGAACAGATGGTTGTGGATGGAGAGCCATATTCTACCGCGGAACTTGCGACAGGAAGGGAATCGGATCGGGCATCGCAAACGCAGCTCCCGGAGATAACCGCAGATACCGCAGCGAATGGAACGATACGCGAGTCGGATACGCAGTCTCTGATGCCGCGCGCTACCAACGAAGTGCACTTGTCGACGAGCCGAGCACGAAGGCCACTTCCTGGTTGCTTGATGAGCAGCGCGGACGCATCAGTTGATGATGTTGGTACTGGCGGTTACGGAACGCAGCGACAAATTGGATCGATGCCAGGGACTGCGGATTCGGTCTACTCCAGTGCGCAGCGACTGGGAGACGCCTCGCCCGAAGATCGTGGTGATGGTGATGGCGGTACAGCACTGCTACCAACGAAACCGGAAGTAGCTGCGAACATGTCCGAAAGGTTGCCAAATACATCGCTGGGAGCAGCCGCTGCACCCGATGTTGAAGAGCATTCGGGAAACGCAACCCAGACCAGCTGTGCTGCACTGTCCACGAAAGAGGCACTTGAGCGGCCGGCATCGTTCCGCTCCGTGGACGACGCTTTGCGTATTCTCTTTCGAGGCCGCTTGCGCCCCTATCAACACGCCGGCCTACAATGGCTCATTGCCTTGAACGAGAAGGGTCTCAATGGTATGCTGGCAGACGACATGGGCCTGGGCAAGACCATCCAGACAATAGCGCTGTTGGCTTGGCTGGCAACTGCAAAACAGGACTGGGGTCCGCATCTGATCGTGGTACCCACCTCTGTGGTCATGAATTGGAACATTGAATTCAAAAAGTTCGCCCCAGGCCTCAAGGTGCTTTGTTATTTCGGGACGCCCACCGAACGAGCTGCCAAGCGCCGCGGCTGGACCAAACCCAATGCTTTCCACGTTTGTGTCACGTCTTACCACATGGTGGTGCAGGACGCCACCGTCTTTCGTCGACAGCAATGGAGCTATCTCGTGCTCGATGAAGCGCAACACATCAAGAACTTTCAGAGCCAAAAATGGCAGACATTGCTCACCTTCCATTCGCGGCATCGTTTACTGCTGACCGGAACGCCGCTGCAGAACTCGCTGATAGAATTGTGGTCGCTGTTACATTTCCTCATGCCAAATGTTTTCCAAAGCCATAGCGAATTCCGGGAGTGGTTTCAGGAACCTATCGAGACGCTCATTCAAGCCGATGCAAGCGTCCAGGAGAGCATGGTTGAACGTCTGCACCGCGTTATTCGTCCCTTTGTGCTTCGACGCCTGAAGCGCGACGTGGAGCGTGAGCTGCCCCCGAAAACCGAGGAAATTGTCTGGTGTTCACTAAGCAAACGGCAACGAGAGCTCTACGATGACTTTATGAGTCGAGCAGCTACGCGGGAGAAGCTACTCAGCGGAAATTACCTGTCTGTGATGAATGTGCTCATCCAGCTGCGCAAGGTTTGTAACCATCCGGACTTGTTTGCAGGGCGACCCATCGACGAGCCCTACGCAAGTCAACGACCGCTGACGATCTTCATTCCGCACATCATACGAGCAGAAGCAGCGTCTGAGACGGCGCAGCGCCGGGCACCCCGCCTCGTCGATGAATCCATGTCTCGCGAGGACGCTGCTCGGATACGAGCCCTTACCGCCGCCGCGCGAATGCTCGCAGAGACTTCAGCGTGTCCGACGACATGCTCCGATTCGCAGGCCATATCGCGGGCATCGTTTGCGAGTCTCCTAGCTCGGATCGACAGAGCCGAGCAAACGGAACGCAACCAGTTGCGTCTGGTATCATGTAGTCGACGCATCGCGGAGCCAGTTATAGGGGCGAGTATTCGGCAACTCGTGCGGGTGCCTTTGCGCTCAGCACCTGCGCTGCATCCAGTGGCCACGCTGGAGCGCCTTGTTGACCGAGCGTTAGCGCAGGCGTTGCCGTTTACGCTGGTGGTGCATCGCGCGATCGCACCGGTGCCGCAGCTCGTAAGCAAGGCAGCTTTTCGTTACCAGAGACGAACAGCTTGTGGGACCACATCACCGCCTCTAGCGTATTTGTTCGGTTTGTGGCGACCGTTGGCGATTCGTCAGCAACTGCGCTTCCCGGATGCGCGGCTGCTGCAGTGGGACTGCGGGAAACTCCAGCGCCTTGCTGTCCTGTTGAGAGAACTGGAACAAAAAGGGCATCGAGTGCTCATATTTACTCAAATGGTACGAATGCTCGATATTCTTGAACAATTTCTCTGCCTGCATCGCTTTGCCTACATTCGCATGGACGGGAGCACGCCCACGGGTTTGCGTCTACGCCTCTGTGAGCGTTTCAACAACGATCGGCGCTATCTGGTGTTTCTCTCCACTACGCGTAGCGGAGGTGTCGGCTTGAACCTCACCGGTGCCGATACGGTGCTCTTCTACGACTCGGACTGGAACCCCACGGTTGATGCGCAGGCCCAAGACCGCTGTCATCGCATCGGACAGGATCGGCCGGTGCGAATCTACCGGCTCGTGACGGAAGGCACCGTGGAGGCTCCGATACTTCGTCGAGCGCTGCAGAAGCAACGCCTGGAACAACTGGTACTCGCGGATGGTCTCTTCACGACCGAGGTATTGCAGCGGGTCCATCCACTGGAACTGATCGAGGGAGGTCCGGCGCCGCCTCCTGTGCACCCGAATCCATACGGAGGACTGGAGGCGTGCGGCCTCACCGAGCAGGAGTACATACAGCTAGAGCGCACGATACTCGAGGCTGAGGACGACGAGGAGCGACGGATGCGCCAGGCCATGGAGTTGGCAGCGTCTGCTGACGCCAGTCTGGATGCAGTGGACTTTGCCGAAACGCCCGCCATGGCCGCTACTCGTACGGACAAGCCCGCTGGGGACACTTCGACCTGGTGGCCTGTTTGGCACACTGCGTGGCGAATCGCGCAGCATCTCGGAGGACCTGTGGCAGCAGCAGCAGCAGTAGCATGGGATACAAGGCAGGCACCGGAACGTGTTGCCAACACGAACGACTCCAACCTCGACGAAGGTGCTGCAAACACATCTTTGAATGATGAAGCCGATCAGAACAGTGCAGCGCTACCTTTGGTGTATCCACCTGTTCCGGATCCGAACAGTTCGGGAACAAAAAACGGATCCGGGGGTCTCGACTGGCGGCGTACGACTCGCGCGTACCATAGCGAGAAGCGTAGCGGCGACACGGCGGCGGCGCTGGTGATGGTGTACGGGCCGCCCGTCGAGACCCCCGTTGATTTGATCCTCGACCCCGAGGCTGGCACCGAAGACGCGGCGTTTTTTATTCACTGCTATTGGCGAATGGCGCATTCTGGAGCCCCAACTGCGCTCCAGCGCGGACGAGTAAGTGACGTGCAGCAAATCGCTTCGCATCTGCGCAACGACGACGCATTTGTCGATTCATTGACTGCTGGCTTGGGGGCAGCAGCAGCAACAACAACAACAACAACAACTACGACTACTACACGAGTACCTGTTGCAGAAGCGCGTAACGCTGTCGATCGCATTCGGGCCCCCGAGGCGACTGCGACTGCCAAATCCGGAGCTCGTGCCGACTCGAGTACCATGCGGACATTGCCGCTAGGCCCAACACGCCAGGTCTATGTGAACCTACAGGCCTGGTTACGTCATCGAGTGCAGTGGTCGTTCCAGGAAGATGCCGCGCTGCTCCAGGCGTGGCAGCGCTACGGCTCCAATCCTCGACTGTTGGGGGATATCCTCCATGCGCAAGCAAGCGTCCGTCTTGGTCTATTGCACCGTCGTACGGTCAGAGAGATTGAGGAGCGGCTGCAGCTCTTGCTTGCGAAGAAGATTACAGAACCGAGTGCCTTAGCGCAGTGGCATGAGGCCGTCTCGCAGACGCGAGCGACCTCGATGCGAAAACACCATCGTCGCTCGATTCAGCTGGCCCAGCGTCGCGTGCTGGGCATGCGAGCTCGCTTGGACACCAAGCGAGTGCTCCGAACGTCACGCGGGGACGCTGGAAACAACGCTTTTCTGGACCCGGACAGGGCACGCGAGGCATCCCCGCGAACGGTGACAGCAGACCGCGCAGCAGCGAAACGCGACGCTCTTCCAAAGCGTACGCAAACAAACGAGGGAGCCCGAACCCCCGCTGATGCTGTTCCTGGAGCGGTGGCACCAGCTCCTGCCCAAGTCATGGATCCGCGAGTGTTGGTTCCACCGCCGGGCACCAGCGGCTGCGGCACTGCAGAGGCAACGGCCGCTGGGAGCCTTGTCCATCGCCCGGGGGTGAAACTCGAAGAGGAACTTCGTCGGAGGCGTCCTTTTCGTCGCTACATTGCCAGACTGGGTCCGCTGCTTGGTTTCGAGTTGCGAACCTCGAATCGGGGCCTCGACAACGACTAAGGTTCTAAATCGCGATGTGTGCAGGTTCTAAGGTGCGTTTCGTTCACGAACGAGCTCCAGGGAAGCGCAGCTCGGGCATGTAATGGTATTGATGTTAGGTGCGGTGGCGTGGGGTTGCATAGCGACCCGCGCTGCTGACGTCATTGCCGGCTGCTGGACGGGATGTTGTGGCGCATGCCCCTGAAGCCTTCGCAATGCCTTTCGGTCGTGAAGACGCTGGTCTAGTTTCTCGGGTTCATCTGGGGAGGACAGAGCGCCTGAATCCCTGGAAACCGGACGTTGAGCATGTGCTCATCGTGGGTGTTGCGGCTATCGGCTGCATGGAGACAGGAAGTGCGGTCGCGGTCGTGTAATGTATCGCTGCGAGAACACGTTAGAACACGTGCTGTTTTACCGCGAACAAGCTGCAGTCTCCGTGTTCCGCCGATTATGGATGTTGGTATGGAACCTTGGTATCTAGAGTGCGCCCCCGAGTCCCTGTAAGCGGAGGTTTCCGCGGAGGATCGCTAGACCCACGTCAGAATAGAATGGAACAAGTACATGAACACTGGCGTTCTTGCCAATGTTCTGCATACTCTTCCCACGTTTATCAACAGAAGCATTTGTGGCATTTATCTGCGACTGCTTCCTCGTACTTTCTTTGATCGCCGGCAGCAAATACGCCGTGTTCTGCTTTCTCTCACGCTTCATTGTCAGCAATTGGAGGGTGTTCATAGCGGCACTGAAGTCCCGGTAACGCTTTTGCGGGCTGATTTCGACAACATCCATGTAGGCGAGGTTGTAGCGATCTCCGTATCGCTTGCCATTTTCATCTTCCTGCTAGATAACATCGACGCGCAATGCGTAGCGGTGACACGGGCATGTAAGGCCGGTATTCCCGAGTATCCACCACATATTCACCTCCGAAGGCCGGGCAATGACGCTTCAAGACTTGCCTCATTGTTCGGTGCGTGCGCCGAACGAGTGCAGAAGGCTTCCGCCGATGCCCTCTCGAGTTCGCATGGCGAGTGCAGTACCGCAGGATCACGGGCTTGTCATGGTCGATGCCCTGGACAAATTCACCGTCTGCTGCGAGCGCTCCCGTACTCTGTTCCATTCGATCAAGAATCAGTGGAACGCGATGCTGTCCATGGTAGACCAGGTACAGGGAGAAAACTCCAGACTAACGAACAAGCCGCGATCATTCGTTCTCTTAACACTCCTCTCCTGCAAATCGATGGTACTCCTCCCAGTGCGTTACGATCGCTGCGATGACTCAGGTCCGAGCACGAGACTCTTTTCCATGGAAACCGAAGCAAGGGGAGCCTCTCGGAACACATCCCGTCACAGGTATCATGCTGCTGTGCAAAAGTCGTTTCATCGATCACCGTAAAACGATTCGGACTTGTGATTCGATTGCATTCGATGATTTGACGTGAAAAGTTGCGTGCACTTTCAGCGTGCGCACGTATGAACTTGTCGTCAAAACACGAAATCGAGTTTTCGTTTCCGCGTCAGTCCAGCTGCGCGAATTGCCTCGCCAACGAGCTCAAACATAAAAATAGTCGAAATCTTGAAGAATGCATGATTGGAGGAGGCTGCATTTTGGGAAACGTAACGAGAGGACCCTTGTTCGTATGATCAGAATTATGATGTCGTCTATTTTACGAACGCTCGATCTGCTTGTATCCAGGTGATGTCCATCGATACGCCTTGCTTGTCCGATCGCTATAACCGACGAGCATCCTCGAAAATTGCCTTGAACATATAGGCTCGGCTCAGAAGCGTGCTGAGATCCTGTTCTGTCCACGATCGGGTCGGCAGATTCTGAAGAAAGAGTACGAGATCGGGGAATGTCAGGCGCACAAGATCCAACGAAAAACGCTCCAAAAGTGCAGCGCATACATACACGTGGAACGCGGCAAATGTGCCGCGTTCACTCAGATACGCATCCCAGAGTCGAAGGGTAATCGGAAGCGGAAACTCGCGAACCAAGAGACAATTCATCCAACGGAATGCAAACTGCATAAAGGTTACCTGCTCTTTGGCTAAGTGCGCACACAGTGAAGCATCAATGCGTTGCATGATGCGTTCGAGTAGCGCCACTCGACGCTGAATACCAGGTTGCCCGAATACATACTGATCTTGCAGTGCTTCGAGAAGTGTGCTCAAGCACCAGTAGGTATCCGCTTCAACCTCGCGCAGCAGCGGCTCCGCATCTTCCGGAAGCGTGGTGCGATCGAGTTGGCTAAACTCTGGAGCCTGGTCCGCGTAAAAGACGTACAACAGTGGTACCAGGATGTCATTGAGGCCTTGTACATAACCGGCGGCGGGATGTCGCACGGACCACAAGTGTAGGATCCGCGTCATTGCCTGTTGTACGGCTCCGGTGTGGAAGAGCGGAAATTCGGGTGCGGTACGCGGCACGTCGAGGTCGATCTGACGCTTACGAGCCCAGTCTTCTGAGGACAGGCGATTACCGAGTCTGGGATCAGTGACTAGCCCGAGTTCAGCAACTGCTTGCCAGTACTGGTCGCGTTTGCGGCTGACGCTCCGGAGAAGACGCGAAGGTTGCGGCGGGCAGTAGTCCAGCAGCACCTTCCACGCAAGGGCCCGTTGCGCACCAGGCACGCCGCTCCAGGCAAGTTGTTCGAGGAGCCCGCGATCGACAGCGCTGATCCTGCTCAGTTCTGCAGCATCTCCTCGTCTCCAGGCCTGGCGAATCGCGTCCAGTTGTGTCCAGAGTGTGGTGGAGGCCTTCGAACCCACGCCCTCAGCGTCTTCGGTTTCCAGCGCGACTGCTGGCGCTGTTGCTGGCTTTGTCACAAGTGCTGCGCTGCCCCTTTTCAAACCAGCGTCTGTGGAAGCTTCTCGTTTGTTTTCGGCGAGCAACGGACCCTGGCACAAGGCCTGAACCGCCGTGCCGACTCGCGAACAGTGCGTTGTCGGCGCAGCGTCCGCTGAGGTTGCAGTCGTGTTATGAGGTGCGCTATCAGCGGTGATACCGCCTTGTTGCGCTTCCCATTCGCTGAACTGTGGTACGAGCTCACCTAAGCAGTCACCTGGTGCCCCAGAGAGCGAGCGAATAGACCACCAAACCGTGTTCAGCGCTCTCGAGTCCATGCAGTTCGCGGCTGCTCCAGCGTATGTGTCCAAGTTGTCGCTCAGTACCACGCAGATAACTATGGTATTCGTAACTGTGGCAGCTGCGTCATCGGACGCCTGTCACGCTCTCGTTCAGGTCAGTGGGCAAACAACACCCATATCGAGACCGCAGCTCTATGCCACGTCCTGGACTAGGGAGAACGCTTCCAGGCTTTGCCTCGGAGCGACGATCGCTGCTGGCGTATGTGTCATTGGCATTGACTTTCTCTAGGCTTCTGTCGTTGCCGTTGTCGTCGAACAGAGACGATCGTGACCCGCTTATAAGGTGCTCCTGCAACTTTGCGGAAGCTTTCGGCATGCAAGGGAGAAAATGTGTGATTAAGTCTGTGGATATGCCAGAAGATCGGCAGCAGTTTGCCGTAGAGACTGCGACAAAGGCCATCGAGAACTATCAGGTGGAGAAGGACGTGGCGGCAGCTATAAAGAAAGAGTTTGACGCCAAGTACGGACCTACCTGGCACTGTATCGTCGGACGAAACTTTGGCTCGTACGTCACGCATGAAACCGGGTGTTTCATATACTTTTACCTGGACCAAATCGCGGTGCTTCTTTTCAAGTCCGGGTAGTGACGGGAGGGCGCGAGACGTTTGCCCGGGTCGAGCACTTGAAAGGATAACCCGCTGGTAAACGCTTTTATCAGTGCAAGCCAAACTGTTGCTACATCGTAGGTTCACTCGTAGTTTTTGCAGGGGAAGCGCCAGAAAAATGCCGATGGGGCAGCTGTAAGGCGCACAAGCACGCTTTTTTTTTGGCGGGAGCGGAGCACTTGACACGATGCAGCTACTGCTGCCGCAGTCTGCCGCAGTCAGCAACATATCGAAAAAAAGCATGGCGTTGTGCTCTGCCAACCAGGCGTAAGCAGTGTCGGAGAAGGCGCGAAGCGAACAGCGCCTCATCATCCTGGGCTGTACACTGAAAGTCGAATAAACACGAGGCTGCTGCGAAGCAGCCTGTATCCCATTTAGGCCAGTATCGTGCGCTTCCCGCATGTTGCGTTTTCGATGCCCAGCTGCGCTCATCGCTGTCGACTTTCTCGGGAGAAAGGCATACGGTTCGTGTTTCAAAGTGGAGTTTCGATACCGAACGCGGCTCTACGGTCGTCGCCTGAACCTAGCTCTAATGTTCCACGTCCTTGTGACGTACACATCGGATAGTCTCGTGGCGATACGCTGTCGCTTGATACACGTCCGTTGACGAAACGGATTCCAGGAATGCGACGTTTTCAACGCTCCGTGTATTCGTTTCGCATACGCTGTCCGTTACTTCACACCATCCATCTTTTGACAAAGCATGTCGCCAATGCGCGTCAACGGAAGGCGGTCGCTTCTACCAGCTTGCTGGGCCATGGTTCAAAGCTTTTGCCTCAAATTGTGTTGGGGTGTTTTCGGCTATCGAGGTTCGATTTAGCGAACCAGAAGCTACGGAATGTGCGCACACTGACGCCATCAATGACCAGCGGACAGGCATCTGCTCCTTTGCTGACGCTACGAGGGTCTGCGATCACCAGTTTCGTACTCCGCTGAGCAGAGGGAGCTTGAGCGAGCGACACGCGTGCAGAGAACCCAAGCCACGGCCCTGCTCATACCTACCTGGACAGCCGCGATATCGAAGCGTCAGCGTTTACGTAGCGCCCCTGACCTGGAGGGCCCAGATCCATCCTCACGGGGGGTCTGCTGCGTCCCTCAATGAACCCCAGTGATGCACCTTGTTTCCAGTGTCATACAAATGATGAGCGCATCCAGCAGGTCCTGGCTCGATTCGCCAGCAGAAGTTTGCCTCCTTCATGGCCGGATACAGCGGTGGGCAGCGGTGCCCACTACGCCGCCAACCGTCCCGCCATGGACTCGATGGTATCGAGAACGTTTCCAGCTCCGAAATCTGGAGTGCTTGTGCAAGCGCTCCCGACACCACCCCTGGTCGGAACGTACAACCGCGGAGTGGATCGAACTCATCCAAAGGAACGTACACGTCACCGAGACCACGTAGGCGACTCCAGAGACGCCACTCTTCGGTCAGAGATTCTGATAAAGGCGTTTGCGGTTCTTGCAAGCATTCCATCAATCGCTCATATGCGTCTCGAACAAAAGCGAGTGCTCCACTCGGTAAGCCTCGTTTATTCTCTAGGTACCTTCGCTTCGCTCGCCAGTGTGCAGGAACTGGTACAGTACCCTGTTCGCTCTTGATGCTCACCAGTGCGAAGGGCTCGGGAGCGCTGCAGTCCCAGGGCTCCACCACAAACGGGTACGGAACGTGTAGCTTGAGATCGATGACCCGCGGGCGGCAGGCTCGACGCAGTCGCCGACTGGCTCTCCCAGGGAGTGGTGGTGCGCTCGATCCAGCCTGGTGCTGCGTTGAAGGTTGCTCACGGAACCTTTCTTCTTGCTTATCATAGTGCGGCAGATCTTTCGCCAGGTCTGAATCTTCCACCATTGCAAGTTCCGCAGACAGGGACGAAGCTGCTGCTGTCGGTGCTCGGGTTAACTTACGAGACGGCTTTGGCGTTTCTCCGAGAGGCTGGTATCACCTTCGCTTGCATTCAAGGGTGCATTGGAACTCACAAAATCCTTTTCTCGATACTTCCCCAAGTTGACAGCAGTGCTGACTGCCCAGAGCAACACGAGCAACAATAACGAAACAAGAACATGGCTTTTCGCTTGCTGCACCCGATAATCGCTCCGGGCATCCGCGGTCATTACACGTCCTTCGACAACGCGTGCGTAGCGTTTACGAACCTTGCCTTCCGCTTTCTATTCGGTGCTGCAGAACGATCTGAGGACTTTTCACAGACTTTTTTGGACTAGACTTTTACTGATACTTCCAGTATCTCTGGAATCTTGCAGAACAAAGTGTGCAGGATAGGCCTGATCGAGCGCGAAACGCTCATACTCAGCGGGGGTGCTCGACCTCGGCACTTGTCGTGCCGTGTTTCAGGAACACGCACGGGCGACGACTGCATCCGTTGTCTCGATAGGAGCGCTCTGCTCGGTTACTGTGAGAGAAACGGCGGCCCAGGGCGCGTTGCAACTGCATTCGTTTGAGAGCACGCACTCGCACGCGCATCCCTGGCGTGGGAGCGCGTCACCCTACCCAGCCATGGTTTCGGTGCGACGTGCGACGCCCGCTGACCTCTTGGCCATGCAATACTGTAACTTGCAATGTCTCCCAGAGAACTACCAAATCAAGTACTACATGTACCACCTGCTGTCGTGGCCGCATTTACTCTACGTCGCAGAGGACCTAGACGGGAGCATTGTTGGGTATGTTCTTGCCAAAATGGAGGAAAGCCCCGGATCCACGGACGCGGGCTCCAGTTCAAACACAGCAGCGACCTCTGGGGCTGTTAAACCGGTGCGTCATGGTCACATCACTTCGCTGGCGGTGCAACGGTCTCATCGAAAACTCGGTATCGCGAAACGATTGATGTGTATCGCACATCAGGCAATGCGTGAGGAGTACAATGCTGCCTATGTATCGTTACATGTTCGGTTGAGCAACGTAGCTGCGCAGCACTTGTACCGAGACTCGTTAGGCTATCAAATCCATACCACTGAGGTTCGTTACTATGCGGATGGTGAGGATGCGTACGATATGCGGTTGTGGTTCTGTTCTGACTCGATCCCGAAAGCATGAGTATTGAGCGCAATCAGTGCATGTTCAGGCAAGATTTGCAGCAAAGCAGCACCACTGGGGAACGAGCCGCTGTCCAACGCTTTGTGAATGCTTGATCAAACGCTTAAATGGCTCAACGAAATGTCGGTGCATGAAGCTGTAGGTGCAGTGTGCAGACCAGCGAGACTCGAAGGGGATTGTGGTGGCCTCAGTGCAGTTCGCACTCGCATGCGGGGACCCAGCGAGCCTCTATGGCCTTGGAGCAACTGGTACCAACTCTTTACCATCGAGAATCGTGTCGTTTTTGTTTTGGTGTTGATTTGGGAACCGGGTACCCGACATATTATCCATGTCTTATGCCTGGAGTAAACAAATTCAGAGCCCGCGTCTACGTAACCAGCCTAGTGCTACCCGAAAATTCTGACAAGCGTCTTTATCGTGTATCAAGAGTTTCCGCACGAGGTTTCCAATGCGCTTTCGGACGGAGAACCGAAGCGATAGGCGTTCTGGTAGCTGTCGCGGGGGCATCATCGACATATGCTGAAAGAATAGAAACTCTGCTCTGACTAGCAACTCGATAACAGTTTCGTTTGACCTTGATTGTAAGCGCAGAAATGGGGAAAAGTTTCAGTATCTCGGAAAGTTTACCTTTTAGGCGGAAGGTCCCGCGAGCCGGACGAGTCTTCGGGGCTAGCTAGTGCTTCATGCTTCCTCCAGTGGCGGGTTCTTTAAAGAAACCTGAGCTACTCGTCCGTAACGCAATTCAATCTGGGACTAGGAGCGTGTATGCTGCGTCTGGGCGTCGCCCTGGTCGCAGTGGACGCCCAGTATATCGCACCGTGCCGCCGCAGGCAGTGCGTCTCTCTGCGCAGCTTCCAGGCTCCTAGAATGATTAAGTACTCCGACTCCGTGTCCGATGAACCACGCCTCGAGCCGACGCCCTCAGTGGTATGCCAAAGCCGTTCTGTCTCCGTGCAGCACCTGCTTCGGCGGTATATAAGCGCTACGGCGGGTGCTCAAAACAGCTAGTCGGCGCACTATAGAACATACGAAACGACCAGTATATCAGAGAGCATGTATGGGTGATAGAACTTGAAGGTAGATGCTTCATGATGGACGCTTTCCCGAAAGCCATTATCCTTTCCGAATCCTCGGATCCATGGTCAGTCTAAACATTCTCTCATCTGAAAAGAATTCGACATACGCTGTGTAAATGTTCAAAGCGAGCACCATATGAACTGGAACGCTACCAATGGCTAGAACGTGTGTCGAAGGAGACCTATTCATCCCGAGGAAGGTCTCGTGGGGTCTTCTCGGGCGCTCCGGCGCACGCGCCAAGCAAATTTCGAACCTCCGCTTGTGCTTATACAAGCATGGGAGACAAGCACTTCATGAACACCACCATGACGAAGCTTTACCGCTACTAAACGAAAGTAGACTGGTTAAACTTGACGAAAGCGTTCAGGTTCCTTTGTGCAATTCATCAGACTGCTTACTTTTGGGTCCCGTCCCAGGTTTACGGCTGCGGAGCGAGCACTTACAAACGGGACTCATCCAGCGCGTATGGCCCCCGAAAGTGCACAAGTAACCAGTTTCGACGCGTTCCTCCATAGTGTGAGTGCTTGGGAGCACCTTCTCGAGTCTGATGCTCAGGAAACAGCGCAGAAGCAACTGAACGTCCTTCGACGCTCAGTGCCGCGCCAGCGGACCCCGAACGAACCAACACCCAGAGACGCAGCACACGCCCTCGAGACACTCTGGCTGAAGAAACACGCTGCCCTGTGGTATCGCTGGACGCCGACCCTATGTCAGGGAGTGCGAAACGGACGCGCTGCTTCCTGCTCGCTGCTGTGCTTCCTTTTCGACGGGGCGCAGCGTTTCCTGTACCCGCTCTGTGGGATGGTACTCAAGGCGCCACGACGTGCGACACGCATGGAAGGAGCACCAAACGCAACCAGCACCATGAAGAGCGCTCGACAGCAGACGTTTGTGCCCATGTCGGAACGGTATCGGTTGCATCTTCAACTGGTCTACGATACACTGGTCGAAACGATGCAGGCGCAGCTGACCCAAGCTGCAACTGCATTGACCGGTATAGTCAGCAGGGGAGGTGTGGATTCCAGCACCTCGACCTGTCAGCTCATGCGCTGCCTCGGGGTCGTGGTGCAGAATACGCCATCACGCTGTCTCCCGAGCGCACAGCTCAAGACCGCCGGGAACCTGCTCTGGGACCAGTACGCGCTTTCACTTGGGCCAGAGCTTGAAACGCTTCGAGCAGCGGCCATCTCCTGTCTGAAAAGTATTCATGATCGTCTACAAACCATACCGCCGCTGGAGCAGCTTTTAGCGAATCCGCTGCGCTGGAATGATGCGCACGTGGTTTCGTTCGTGGAAGCCATGCTAACACTACGCATGCGTCATCTGAGCAGGGTCCAAGAATCCGCACCCGACAGCACTGCCGTCGACGAACTGGTACTTGCGATGGTCGAGCATCATTTTCGAAGTGCATCGACGAGTCCAGCGCTGCGACTACAAAGCGCCCGTCTCTTGCGCTTGCTGTTGCGCTCGCGGCCATCGATCGCAAGTTCGCGTAACGCACTCCTGTTCCGCATGTTGAAGGATCCCTTCCACGCGGTACGTGTGGTTGCCATCGCCTGTTTGAGTCAGCCTGGAATTGGAGCCGCAGGCACGCCGCTCTTTCGAGAGCTCGAGGCGTTAACCGCTGACCCCATTGCATCGATGCGCGCCGCTGCGTGTACCGCATTAGGGCGGCTCGCGGCGGATCCAGGCGCGTTCATCCCTCAAACAGAACCTACGATCATTCTCGATAACGACTGGAATGCATTGAAAGGGCGTGCGATGGATCTTCTACTGAAGCGACTCGAAGAAGATCCAAATGTCCATGTTCGAGCAGCTGCCGCCTACTCGTTGAGCCAGTTCTGCACGCATGCAGAACGCTTGGCGGCGCGACTCCCCGAGAGGATCATCGAATTGGCGATTGATGAACTTCGACGTGCACCATATTCGAGTCAAGCAAGCGCGTACTGTCGCCTTCTGGGTGCGTCCGTCCCGTCCGAAGCACAGCGAACACAGATCGTTGTGGTGATCGGGGATATTGTGCAGGGTGCACGTCGAAAGGCGCTGCGCCAACAGGCGATCCTGGCGCTGGCGAAGCATGTACGACCTGCCGACGGGGCGGCACGCTGGTCGCTTGCACAGAAGCCGGACAACGAACTGGACCTGGATCAGTGTGGACGAAACGCTGCGCCAGCGGAAACGCCACATCAGGATGCGGTTGCTTCGAATCGGACGGGAGCGTAGCCGCTAAGCACCGCCCGCTCGTTGGGATGCCACGTTCGGAGTGCGTGTATGGCGTTGCTGCTTGCTTTGCTTCGTCGTGGACGGCAAGCGCTCAGAGGCACGTCATCAAGGATGCGGAGCGAGCTGTTCCGACATGTGCATGTCGCTGGTACGACTCGGCGGGTCGCGTCGACGTGTCGTTGGTTGCATCGAGCGGGGGTAGGTTCGGCATGCGCATGCGTCTCGCATACGAGTCGGCGTAGGGGATCCATGTGCAGCTGCTCAGCCTCGAACAACTCTATGGAGCATCGGGATTGAGCGCCGAACACCGTTAGCGGCATGCAAAACGCGCATTCAGTCCAGCGGCGTTGGGCGGGCATATCTGGGAGGGAACGTACGCTCGTTAACTCGCTGGCGGACGCGACCCTACTGTGGCTATGGCGGCTCTTCGTGCGCGCCAACACGGACCCAGTACAGCACGCATCGCGTCGGTCGCCAGAAAGACGATATCAGCGGTTACTGCCCTACCAGAAACGCTTCGAGCTGCAAGGTTAGCGCACCCAGTCGCCGTCTCCGTGCCCTGCCTGCCTCGCAGAGGCACTGACGTCGTTCACGCAGAGACGCGCACGAGGGTACCGCAAAGCGCCTCCGAGCCCGTTCAGCGAACTTTTTAGAATGGACATACCAAACCTGGTGAATAGACGTAGATCAACCACACCTGTGTCCCCTGCAGGAATACAGAACTGGAGCTCTCCTCGGAGCGTTCATGATGCGCACGACTCGACGAGTGCGATTCCGTATTGGACGGCGGGACGGCTGGCGAGGTGTGCACCAGCAGCGCTCATGTCTGTTATATTCGTAATTGTCCTTATTGTACAAAGAGCTCCCTATTCACCATCAGCTGATGCGCGCGCATCTACAGGAGACGCCGCCGCCGCCGGCCGCGCCGTCCCGACGCGATCGTGGCGTGCGAGCCGTCCGAGTGCGCGATGCCGCCCAGCATCGTGCGTGGGTGCATCCCGCTCCAAACGTTGGGCGCTCAACGGTAAGGGACGACCCTGGTCAGTTTAAACCGCGTTGCAGACGATATGCTGGTTCGATTCTCGCAACTGGTGACGTGGTCTCAAACCCCTATGGTCACAGCATTGCAGCAGCGAAAGGATAACGGGGGCTCCAACTGCGGCGTGGACCAAGTTCTGCGAGCAGCACCGTCGACGCTGCCGACGGTGTGGGGTGCGCTCGGGGGTCGACCTGCGACACTCGTGGCGTGCTCGGCCGACGAAAACCCCACTTTCGGAACGTACCTGAAGTTTGCTCTGGCAGGTGCAATATGCTGCAGTGTTACCCATTCGGCTGTGGTTCCGGTCGACGTGGTCAAGACGCGGCTGCAGCTGTCGGACAAGTACCACGGTATGACACACGCCGCACGCACGATCGTCAAGGAGGAGGGCGCACTGGCACTGCTAACCGGACTGAGCCCGACTGCCGTTGGCTACTTCTTGCAAGGATGGTTCAAGTTTGGGCTTTACGAGTACTTCAAGCGGCTATATTCGAGTCTGGCTGGTCCCGAGGCAGCGGAGAAAGGCCGCTTCGGTATCTGGCTAGCAGCGGGCGGTACGGCGGAGTTTTTCGCAGACCTGGCGCTTTGCCCGCTGGAGGCCACGCGTATCCGTCTGGTGAGCCAACCGACTTTTGCGAGCTCTTTACCGGAGGCGTTCGGAAAGCTCATCTCCAATGAAGGGCTGCGTGGTCTCTACGCCGGACTCTTCCCGATCCTCCTGAAACAGATTCCCTACACAATGGCCAAATTTGCTGTTTTTGAAGCAGCATCCGAGTTCATCTACCGCACGCTAGAGCGCATGGGGAAACCAAAAGCCGACATGCGGGATAGCACCAAGCTCTTGATTTCACTCAATTCCGGTATCTTTGCAGGTATCTGTGCAGCTGTGGTCTCGCAACCCGCGGACACGGTGTTGTCGGTCATCAACAAGTCCCGCGTAACGGGTAGCATCGCTGAAGCAACGTTCCGGATTATTCGTGAGCTAGGTCCGCGTGGACTTTTCCGTGGACTGGGTGCTCGCGCAATCATGGTTGGTAGTCTGACTGCCGGGCAATTCTTTATTTACGACGGGTTGAAACAGCTGCTCGGCGTGGCGCCTGTTCACAAGAAAGAAGTTGCTCCACTGGTGGGCTCGGCAGCGCAACCCGCATCGGTGGCAGCACGTGCTCAACAGTCGCAGTGAACGCGAATGAAGCTGGATGAGCTCGCGTGACTCGACGACGACCTGACGCAGGTCGTCATGGATCCCGAAACCCATATGGTACACTGGAAATCTAGCTGGTCACAGGGGACACGCCAGGCCACTGGGATGCCACTCCACGAGACGGGAGACTCGTTGCGCAGCGCCTATGTACCGTAGTCTTTTCTGTAAACGCTGCGGCGTCCAGGGACAACAGACTTGTCATACGTATCGCAGCAAGGTGCGCAGGAGCACGCGGCCCGAACCGGAGCAGCGCGCACCGCAGCAGCACCGGAGGGACTGGGGTCGCACCCAGAGCTATCGCTATCGCTTGTGGAGACGAGTTGCCCAGCGTTTGGATGGATCTGGAAAACTTCCTCGAACAAGTAAAAGACCCAGACTTGCGACAGATAGTGCACGCTATCGCTGAAGCTTCGGTTTCGATTGATCAGGTTCTGCGGAACGGAGTACAAGACGTCTCATCGTCCGCAGTAGCGGCTGCTCCTGGACAGCAGCACAACGCTTTCGGCGACGCGCAGCTCTCCGAAGACCTCACAGCTGATCATCTTGCGCGAAGTCGTCTTCTGCAGGTTCCGTGCGTATCGTACGTGAGCTCGGAAGAGAACCCCACTGAGCAGCGCGGGCCGGGGCACAAGTACGCCGTAGCGTTTGATCCCCTGGATGGCTCGTCGGTACTGGAGAGCAACTTCAGCGTCGGGTCAATTTTCGGTGTCTGGCGGACAGCAGAACGATTGGTTGGGTGCCAGGGACGCGATATGGTTGCCGCTGCGGTGACCCTGTACGGCCCACGTCTGGTGCTGGTGGTGGCAGTCGACCCCGGCCTCATGTCGAGTGACTGGCCAGGCGGTGTTGCATCCTTTCGCTGGACAACTTCGAACGACGCTCGCTGGCGACTGCTCAAGCAGTGGAGCCCCGACCTGTTGCGACACTCGAGCGCGTCGCTCTTCGCGCCGGGCAACTTGCGAGCAACGCAGGAACTGCCACCCTATGATCGTATGGTGCGCTCCTGGATCGAGTCACGCTATACGCTGCGGTACTCGGGAGCCATGGCACCGGATGTCTTCCAAATCATCGCAAAGGGACAGGGCATCTTCTGTAATCCGAGTGTTCCGGGCAAGGCGAAGTTACGGCTCGTATACGAGGCATTGCCGTTGGCGTTTCTTGTCGAAGCCGTGGGAGGTCGCAGCTCGGACGGTAGTCGCACCTCGACGAGTCTGCTGGATAAGCGTATCACTTTGCTTATAGAGCGGACGCCCGTCGTCCTGGGTTCACCGTCTGAAGTTCAACGCTATATCGAAGCGATGAACGAGACCTGATGCGCTCGATGCTCTAGGATCGTTTCCGTGAACCGGGCATCCCCAACATCCGCAATATCGATCGGTACAGAAGCGAACGTCGAATCCTGATGCGTTTCCGGGTGTGCGTCTGTCGCCGTTATTCACATGGCGTACACGTGCGACACTACCAGCTGTGCATCATCGGCGTAGATGGTGCTCTCCTGACTGCATGGGATTGCTGCATCCAACCAGGGATCGCTCGAGTACGCAGGTGCAGTGGATATCCCGGGAAGCGATGAACAAGAGATGACTCGTGACCGAGAGCCAGTGAGGCCTACCTCGTACGCACCGCGAAAGCGCACCTGCTGATGACAAATAGCGATCATTTAGAAATGATGGGGTCGCGCTCATAAACAGCTGTGTCTAATGCTCGCGGTAAAAAAATGTCAGTACAGGAGCTGGAACTCGTGCGAGACTTGATGTCGACGATGTGCCAGGATGCACCTGGGCGTGCGATTTCGTGAAATTGGCGTGCACTGCACCTCTGGAGCGTTCATGCGCTTCATTTGAAATCAGGCTGGATTGCAACGCCCATGTGAATGTCAGGGATCGACGCGGTGAACACGGTATCGCAAGCTACGCATGCCGTTGCTGGTTCCACGATGTGGCGGTGTGTCAGGCGAACGACCACAAGCGCACTCGACGGGCAAAGTTCGCGTCTATCGGTGATACGGCGTACTTGGATCGACTGAGGTTCAGAGCGAAAGTGCTGACGGTCGTCGACGGAACACAAGCAGCAGCGTGGATGCGACGTATCAACTGCTCAGGCAGCACAGCGCATATCACCACAGGACGTTACGCGCAAGCAGCGTACACCTAGGGCAGCTTTGCAGCAAGTCGACGTGCCGAACCGCGTTCTATGTGCATGCAGGCGCGTCAAGGCATGGAACGCGCACTCGCTGCGGAAACGCCCTCTGAATGAGATGAGGCAGCCCGCATACTTGGGCATGTCAAGGGAGGCCATCGGTGGCCTCATTCGTGGCCTCGCCTACGCTATATTCTGCAAAACGTACTGTGGATGTGGATGTCGATCCGCTTCCGCAAGTCCCGCTGGACGCCCGACATTCCCAGATGGCGGAATGTCCTGCTCGGTTGTCGGGCTCGTGCACTTCAGATGATCACCGGTCGGAAAGTTGTGCATTGTGGTTCTTGATGCACTGTACATCGGACGCTACACGCTCGTTGGCACCGAGAACCTGGCCCCATCGCGTGCCGTCGGCGCCTCTCGCTGACCAGTATACGTATCTATTCCGCGAGGCGCTTGCCGCACCGACACCGTCTAGCCGGCTTCGAGAAGCGCTTCGGGAATTCAAATGGCTGAACGCGAACGGTCCACAGACTCTTGATCCGGAGCTTGTCGCTGCTCCATCCACTGAATATACGCTGTCTGTTGCTTGCTGTGCTCCACAATGTCCGGGAAGCGGAGCCCAACCTGCAGCTCATCTTGAGGGCACCGAGCCCGCTCAACAAGAACAACAACTGTATCAGGCACGTCCAGCATCGCTTGCCAGCCATCCGTTGCGTTCACGGAGAAGAGGCCGCCCCAGACACTTCGTTGCTGATGCATGACCACGAATTCCAGCTGCAAACGAATATCCTCCGGCTCGCGTTCCAGCCCTGGTCGATGCTCGAGTTTCACAAGCAGACCTCGAGACTCGGATCGCGCCAGTGGCCCCGCATGCGCAGCGACTCCATCGCTGGGGGTCGGGCGTTGCGCCCGAGGCGGCGTCTTCCTGTCAGGTATCCGCGGCGAACGCGTTGCGTCCCAGGAGCAGGCATCCATCCATTGAACTTGCCACCGCAAACCGCATACCTTCAACGTGCCGGGAACACGGGCCCATGCAAATGGTGGTAGCACCGCACATTTCAGCGGTATAGGTGCTTGGTCCTCGGGAAGCGCCACCAACATCGTAGTACCAGCGGATTCGCTCCACGCACTGCATACCGCGTCGGATGCATCTATGACGGAGAGCGCGCTCAGCGCTTCCCAGCGCTCTTTCCATTCCTGGTGTGCACGTAAGAGCGACTCAGCGCTGCTGGGGAGGGCGTGTGCGCGCTCCGCATAATGCCCTGCAATGTCCTGACGATACGCCAGCAGGCGACGTTCCATGTCGCGGAGTAACCGCCGCAGATGCATACGCATGTCCACGAGACGCGTACGTGCTGCCTGCTGGGACTGGATCCGCTGCTGGACCTGGGTATCGATCTGCTCGAGCACGGAATCCATGAAACGTTGAATACGCTGGGAAAGCGCTTCACGCTGCCGCAGAAAGAATCGAGATGTCTGCTCGTACTCGAGCAGTTGGCATTCGAAACGCTGAAGGCGCTCGCGAAGCGGTTGCAAACCCTGCTCTAGCTCAGATGCCAAACTTTGGAGTCGCTCGTGGGCGCGTTCCAGCGGATGGTAGCGATGCTCGCACTCGGGCAGCGGAGCACAGCACTCCGCACATATGAAGCGATTGCAGCGTTGGCAGTAATACCGCACAGCTTCATGAGCGTGGACCGAGCAGCACCATAATGTTGCCTTCAGCGCTGACAGGGATCGCGGTGCACCTGGATTCTTTTCCGCTGGCTGCTCTGGCAGCGCCAGTTTCGGGCCTCGGCGGATGTTCTGCAGCAGCTCGCGGAGACAACGCACCAGCACCAGTTCGTGACGAGCAACGGGCTGTCGACAGTGTGGACACGGTTGTGTGCTCGCGATACGACGGTGTCCCTGCGACGACGCCGTGCTGGGCTCTCGCCACCACTTCGTCGCACACCGTTCGCAAAACAAGACCCCGCACGAAGGACAGAGAAGCGGCTCGCGAGGGAGCTCAGCGCAAATAAGGCAGTTCAAATGGTGTTCAAGTTGTGTCGTCCAGGGGTTTGCGTTCGTCGAGGTCACAGGCGGCTGCCCCGTCGCGTTCAGGTCGGTGGGGTGTACCTCCTCGAGGGCCAGGCACTGCTCGCTCGGCTGTGAAAGAACGGTACCAGACGACCTGTCCCCTCTTTCTTCCACTCTACATAAACGTGCTAGCTGTGCAACAAGTTGCATCCAATCAAGCGACTCGGGTGTGCGGTCTGGGGCGAGCTCCTCGCTGTCGGCGCTCAGCGGTGGGCTGCCCGCTCTCGGCGACACCAGCCCACTCAGTGCTGTGTCGCTGAGCCGGTCGTCACCGACAGAGCATTCCAACGACGACAGGTCCGTATCACTGTCCATCAGGTAGAGTGGGAGCCTGACGGGCTGTTTGCCGCACCAAGCGACGTTCTAAACTCGAACGACGTCGGGCGTGTACAGTAGTGGCGAACCGTACGCCCTGGACAAGAAGTCTTCAACCGAGGTGCAGACGCCTCCCCGTCTTTTTGGACCGGCTACCTACTACTGATTCCAATTTTTCTCATATAATTCAACTTTTAGAGGTTGTCTACTAAAGTTCTCTCTTGTCCATTCTGGAGGTCTTTTCTCCAGCACCGCACATTTCCCTATATTGACAGCGGCGTTAACGTCACGGTTCACAAACTCCATCCGTTTCTTGCCATCACTGGTTGTACTTCCTAATGCAAGTAGTCCACGAACTTTCGACATCCTTTCCATATGCTCTTCCGTCAGCGGTCCATACCTTTTTATATCCTCAGGGCTCCTCTGGCACTTTTCTATCCCGACCCCTTGAAGTGTGCACGCCACTTCATGGTGTGTATACGATGTGCGAACCTCACCTACAAGTATTGTAACGAAACGCCTTGCGCACTCCGTGTACGTTCTCGTCGTTGGAGCTGGTGTAGTTCCTTTTTGGGTCATCCAGTGTCCTGCTCCGTATGTTGCTACGAGCCTCTGACCTTCATTCCCCTTCAAGGCGCTCAACTCATTGAAAAAATTCGCGAACGCCCCCTGCTTCCCACAATACAAATTCATTCGCAAACGAGCCCACCGGGGCTTGGCATACTCCTCCCACAGCGCATCCCAATGAGCGACGCGAACTTCCATAAACTCCCGAAAAGCTTTAAAATCCGCTCCTCGGCTTGTCACCTCGCTCAAAGCTTCCAGGTGCTCGTTCATTCCTGAATTCCACGTCTCTATTTTCTTCCTTGCATTCATGATTCCCGATTCTCGATAGTATCTCGCTCTCGAGAACCTCAAAAGACGCATGTCTTTCTGACGTAAGTTACCATCAGTGCCATCTTTCGCACGCTTCGGTGCTGCGATGGTTATGATATTTGTGCTTCCTGGGTCCGCACCAACGGCAAATTCGTTATCCTGCACTTTCTGCGTCTCAGGACCCGCCTCTTTTTTTTCTTCATGCTTTACCGCGTCAACGACGAAGTCGTTATCCTCCACCTCTTGCGTCGCAGGATCTGCCTCCTTCTCATCTTCATCCTTCGTCACGTCAACGACGAGGTCGTTATCCTGTACTTTCTGCATCGCAGGTTCCGCATCCTTCCCATCTTCATCCTTCGTCACGTCAACGACGAGGTCGTTATCCTGTACTTTCTGCATCGCAGGTTCCGCCTCCTTCTCATCTTCATGGTTCGCCGAGGGCGGAACTGGACGATCTGTCTTCAACTGCCGATAGTGTACACACAACGCTACTCCATCGGTTTCGATCATCCTAGTGAACAACTTTTGTTTGCTCACTTTGAGACGTTTGAAATCGAAGATATTCTTCCAGTACGCCTCCTGGTTTTCACCGGAGAACTCCTTCCTGCTAACATTGAACTCCAGACTGATCTCCTTAAAGATGCCGTAAAGGACGCCGGAGGCGATACTCAAAAAATGTGACTTGATGTTGTACATTGGAACCACGTTGAAGCGCTTACCCATCAGGAACGCCTTCCGTCTCTCCCACTCTTTATTTGTCTCCTCACGCAGCTTCATCTCTGCCTTGCGTTCGAGCTCTCGGTCCAGAAACACGAAATAGCGCAGGACGAGGCAATAGTATCTTTCCTTATGTTTTTTCAACTCTGATATCTTGTCTGTTGGATTCGCCAACCCCAAGACTGCACGATGCTCTCGTATAACCGCACGGATGACAGAAGCTTCATTCGTGCTCCTGCGTGACGCCTTCTCATAGACGAATTCGATCTCCTGCTCATGCTGGCGATCGTTCGTGATGCCATTGATAATCGTCTATATCCTCTTGGGAGAGATGCCCGGGTAGAGTGCAAACACGGCGCGTATCATGAGACGTTCGAGGTTCATTGTCAAATCGTTCATCAGGTTTCTGAGGTACTTTTCGCCCCGTAGTTGTAAATATTCCCGTCATCCTTGTATCGAGTACCGTTGGGGCGGGATTCTGCGTAATTTTAGTGCAGGGCATGCACTCGCTCATTTCTCCTCGACGTTTCCCTCGTACCAAGCATCAGGTGACGAATATAGGTCTTGTCGAAGAACTCGTCCGGAACCTCGACCGTTTCCATGTGCGTCACGTCGCGATACATCTCCCTTACCAATTGCATCAGTCCTGACGACGCCTTTACAATACTCTTGGAGTACGAATCGACACGGTTTCTGATCGCATCTCGCAACTTTTCCTTGTACGGATCCTTGATATGTGCAAGAAGGTTCCCCAGGCTTGTGGTTCATGCTCCCCCATTGTCTAGTGTTATCGTGAGATCTAAGCTACTCGTCCGCAGTGCAGTTCATTCTGGGACCGTGAACGGGATCATTGGGCGTAACGCTGGTCCCAGTTGACTCCCAGTATATCGCTTCACTGCCGCAGGCAATGAGTCTATCTTTACAGTTTGCAGGCTCCCAGAATAATGATGTACTCCGACCCCGTATCGAGTGGGTCACCCCTCGAGCCGGCGCCATCTGTGGTACGGCAACGCCGTTCTGTCTGCGTGCGGCGACCGCATCGGCGCTTTAGGCGCCATTGCGCACTACCAGGGCAAGCAATCGGCACACGATTGAACGTACGAAACGACGATTATATCCGAGAAGGAGTACGGATAATGTTACTTGGAAGTAGGGTATGGATCGATGGATGCTTCACCGCGCACTGAAACAAAGAACAACGAAAAGAAAAGGCGTACAATCGGAGAAGGTTGGCCTCTGAAAGTGTGTTGTCAACTAAAAAAACTTCCATGCGCCAAGCAAGGCGATGCGGTAAGTTCGTTCGGACACAGCTACGCATTGATCAAGGTGGCAAGAGAGAATGGTGCTGTAGCCGGTTCGTGTGCGGAAGTTGCGTTCGGTCTGGTCCCTGCGGATTTGAGGACAGTGTCCCTTCATTACCGCTCGTAGGGACGGTGTGGAAACTTCACTTGATGTGGCTTGATTTATCGAATTTCTTAGAGAACATCCGGTAGGGAGTGGATTGATTACAAGTCAGTCTTGTAGAGAGCGTTGGCTACGTTCTGTTTTGGGTATGTGTATGTGATGTACAGGATAGGGAATACTGGGCATGTGCTTCATTCACTTGCTGACCGTAAAATGACTAATTCGTAAACTTCATACCTGTTTTGCATGCGAGCACTAAGATCTTCACATCATTCCGCAACGTGTCTGCGATCGACCGAAAGCATGCTTTCAAGTACCTGCATGAGAAACAAAATAAAACGGATTGCGCCGGCACACGAGGTCCAGAGTTCACTGGTACGCGTATCGAGAGAACACAACGCAGGCGCTGTACCAAGGAGATTAAAATGGAACATTGACCTGCGTTCTCTGTCCTTACGTTTTGGTGATTCGCAAGTTTCTTATCCGATCTACAGCCTCGATATTCCAAGTGCAGCAATAGGGGATTCCACATTCACATCTCGTTCTAGGATTTTCGGCGGTGGTTTCGAAGTGGCTGCATCGACGCAGCCCCGCTCGAATGCATTCGATCACCGGCATCACGGGGATTTGTGGCGTCCTCTCAAATAGATTCCTACAGAACCGATACGATTGTCTATTTCATGGGTGCGAGCCTCGGTTCTTTCCCTGACTTTACGTACAGGACGCACAAACCATGCATTCTTCAAGATTTCGATCTCACTCTTTCAAGGCAACACCTAAGCAGAACGACATGCTTCCCGAGGGTGATGAGAAAAAGAATATGGCTTCGTCCTTTGAGTACTTGTTCACAAGCTCCTGCCAAAAGTTCATGGAACTTCTTGCGTCAAATAATCGATTCCATTCGAACGACAAAGCCCATTTTCATCGTTGCAAAAGAGGAACCAGTATTCAACAGCAGCATGCTAATTTACGAGAGGTATACGCCAAGAGGCCCTTGTCTTCAAGCTTTGCACTAGAGAAAAGTCCTGGACTCGCTGCGCACGCATTATAGCAATCGCTACCACTAGAGGCCGAGTCACCAATTCTGGAAAAGGGAACGTAAGCGGATTGCAATGCCTCGACTTGATCTCCGACCTGGATTTTCCGGACGACACTCGTTTCATCATTGACAAAATCGCGTTCCATGAAGCCTTAATCGACAGGAACAGCTCACGCTTGCTTGCGCAACGGACAGGGTAATTGTCAATGGCCTCACCGAGGAAGAGCCCATGGATGTAGGGTACGACACCTTTGTCTCGCGGACCTATGACGGCACTGAGGGTACCGTCTGCACCCGTCATGCGCACGCATCGAGCGATGAAGCCAGCGTTCGCGCGCTCCAAGACGGCTCCCTGAGGCGGACGGCTGCTGGTCTTATGCGAACCCCTGAGAACAATCAAGTGCCACCGCTGCGAAGGGCGCACAGAAGCTGTATTCAAAGACGCTTGAAGTGTCAAGCGAAGCCTAGATCGCAATGACCATGAGTGCATGAAACGCGTCGACAACGCCGGGAATCGGCGTGATCAGAAGTTCAACGCTGCCGTGTACTTCCTTGGGCCTGTGACAACGCCACTGGAGGATACAGAGACATCGGCATATTCAGAGCCGGAGCTTAGAGCGCGAGGAAACGGAAGCAGTCACAGAAACAGCGTGCCGCGCTTCGTGTCGGTGAGAAACGGAAGAAACCAAAACTGTAGAGAGCACATCCGAACTCGCAAACCAGACCTTTTCTATTCATGTCTGACACGAGTGTAACTGCCTGTTTGTGCTGACCCTGCACGTGTCGCGCTCGAGTCGCTCACGAAAAAGGGAATTTGTATCGGCGGCGCGACTCGAACGCGCGATCTTGTGCGTGTGAAGCACACGTCATAACCAACTAGACCACGCCGACATCAATGCAACTTTCCGTGAAATTCATATATAAATACCGTTTGCGTGTGCTGCTGGCGGCCGAGTCGATGGCCGGCGCGTTCCAGCTGTCTCGCCGAATTCGTTCGCGATGATGGCAGCGGTTTCGCGTTCCAGCTTGAACCTTGAACGCAGAGGTGCTTGCACCCTCACAAAGTCCCATGTCGACAGAGTCTCGCGGAAAATCAGTAACGACATCAGTGTCTTCTCTGTATTCAAAGGCGAAGCAGAGAGTTTTGAACAAGTTTGGACGGCGAACGCACTTGACTCGTAACCCGAAAGTAGACTCGCTCAACGAAATCCAGAGTGGTATCCGAGCAGACGAATCGAAGCTAGCGTCTCGCATTACGTCGTATCGGCGATCACTGCGTGACGCTATCCTTTCAGGTCTGGAGTTACAAACGCTGTACCTGACCATCTACAAGCGGAACGTCGGTGCGCTCAAGTTTAACGTCGAGCGGAACGAGTACTCGCGAGAGCCGTCTGCGGCGCAAGTAATCTTCATCCAAAAGTTGGAGAAAGAGCTTTCTGAAGTGGAGACGGTGCTCAAACGGGAAATAGACGCGTTCACTGCCCGGTTTAAGGACTACGCCGACCACCCGCTCACCAACAAGACGCTGGAGGAAGCCGATGAGCTACGGCGGGTGGAGACGCTCAAGGCGGACTACAAGAAGGCGCGAACCCTGTACAGTGACCGTGCCATTGAGGTCGAGGCGGGTAGCAGCAATCAAGCAGCTTTAACGGAGGCATACCAGGAGTATATGCGCCAGAGTGACTTGTTATGTCAGGAAATGATCCAGTACCAGGATCGGGTGGCGCGGGAGGTTGGGAACAAAGTTCGCGGTTTCTTCGAAGCACAGCATCGAATTTATAGCACCCTCAATGAACAGTATGACAAACTACTGCCAATGGCTCGCCAGCTTGAGTCGCTGCCTTTCCAGAATGGCTTGCCTGGGGTGACTGTGGCGGCGGCTGCACCGATCGATGTGGTGAAACAGCACGAATCGGCTACGCCGAGCAGTGACACCATGAGTCTCTTTGATTAATGGTGACCTAGTGCAATGCATGGGAGTAAAGTGCAAAAGTCCTCCGCCTTGGAAAGCACGATTTCGGCATGTCTTGCTTTTATACAATGCGCTGTCCGAGAACATCCTGGACGGAACAGGTCGAGCGGGCATGCAGATGCTACTGCAGCGGATGCTGCCGTTTGCGGCAGCGCGAGATGTACGCTTTGGGGTCGACGACCGCTAGTGCCGGGAGCGCTGAACGCTGGTCGCGCAGCGCCCTGGGGCGTGCCTTGATGGAGGCCTCTCCACAGGGAACAGTGGTCACAAGCAATGCTTTTGGGTTCAGCATGCGCTCAGCACATGCGAAGCATTCCCGACGAGGCCGAGAGCCTATGGAAACGTTGACGTGCACGCATCAGAGCACACATGCACACACGTATAAATATCTTGCATCGCTGTTGTGCGTGCAGGAAATGTAGTTCCTCTTTTGCGGGGTTCTTACCATGGCACTCACTGGGATCATATGCGCCACAACATGAACGCCCGTGCGTCAATTTCTTTCTTCCGCTGTTTATCCTAAACAAATGATGCGGAAACCAGGTTCCCCAAAGACCTGCATCCGTAACCCTGGCATGCGATCGGATTTCTGCTAATCTGTCAGCGAGGAGCAAGACGCACGTTGCGACGGGCGCTCGCTTCCATCATTCCGCTGAATACACCAGCGGATTTGCTCAGTTACCCCAGCGTTTGCCCGCACATTGGCCCTGATCTGCCGCTCGCAGACCCAACAGTAGCTAAACTGTAAGCGCTGTCGCGCGTAACACGAGGCAGGAGCCCATGCAGCATGCCTCTTTGAGGGTATTCGTTTCGTCGCGCGGGTATCTGCGGATCCGAGAATCGCTTCGAATACTGGGCCCTCGCCAATATTTCCTCGCACTGGACGATCAGAAAGCACGCGTATTTGGTGGAGATGGCAGCGGTTTCGGACGCTCAACGCACGCGCTGGCACTGAACGAAGAAAACTAGTGGTTGCAGCGCAAGCCGACTTCACTGCCCATGGAGCACTGCGTAGAAACAGGTGGCGTTCTCTGGAATGTCGTACAAGTCGTATCAGCCACGGTGATAGCGAGGTTTCGGCGTCGGGGCATCGGCACTGCCCACAACACTATCGACAACCTGCGCTATTTTCTTTAGCGGAAACGGAATACGGCTCACGCTTCTCCAGCTGGCCGAGTCGCGCACCCAGCATCACTGGGTCTCTGCAGTCGTTTCGTTGAAATAGGCGTCTGCACTCGCTTGCGACGGGTGTTCTTCGGCGAAGCGCATGAGCATCGCTGTAACTTGCCGGCAACCGACCAGCACTGCTTCGTCGTAGGCACTGCGTCCACTCTTATTTAAAACAAACGGACTCGCGCCTGTTTGCCGAAGCGCACCTAAAAGAACCTCAACGCACTGCACTTGCTGGTTCATACTCGCCCAGTGTAGGGGCGTATTCCCCGCCTCGTTTTGCGCAGCTGGGTCAGCCCCGGCCTCGAGCAACAACCGAACGACCTCGGTGTGGCCGTTCGCACTCGCCATATGAAGTGCCGTGTTTCCAGTATGCTCATCGGCGGTATTCACGAACGCGATGCGGTCGCTCGGGTCTGGCCACACGCTCTCGCTGAGCAGATCCCGCACACCTGCCTCGTCGTTCGCACGGGCATAGTCACGAAGCTCTGCAGCGAGATCTTCCCTACGAAGTAGCGCTGCGCTTGCAGCGCTCCGTTCAGACAAGACTTTTTCCCGCTCACACATGACCACGACCACAGACCATACGAACAAGTAGACATGCGTCGCCGGTATAGCGCGAAGCCATCGTAGCAGCGGCACCAACGACGTTTTGCGGTGCATCGATGAGCGTCGTCGATCCGAAACGGACGCGCCGCCAGAAGCGCGCCCTCGGCACAGATCAGCTGCAAAATCGTTGGCGCGGAGGATGCTCGTAAGTGTCTCATTCTTTTTTCCTAGGCGGGACTGTACTCGGGACGGGGCAGGGTAACTGGGTTTCTATGCTTTTCGTGAGTCTCATTCAAACTAACTGCAACTTATGGAAATGGAAAAGGGAACTCCAGCGCATACAGAGTGGGCGCTGTGACTCCAAGCCGCCTCGGATTCGAGTCCAGCGCGGGGCGGTGCACGCGAGCATCCCTGTTTCGAGGAGAGAGGTTTTGTACGCGCTTGTGTCAGCGCTTCTGGTGCCGCATACGGGCGGGATTCAAAGTCGCCCGTTCAGTGCGGAGCTCGTGCTCGCAGCTGAAACCATGCAGGATGGTGTATCAAGCGCCACTGGTACGACGGCGTTTGCCGGGCCTCGAGCGGACGCTGTGTACAGCGCTCCCGGCGCCAGGGGCGTGCAGTTCCGCTACCCCAGTCGTTGGCGAATCCGAATGAAACCAATAAAAACACACGCCTTTGAGGTTCTTGTGGTGAGTGACACCGACGCCAACACGTCCATAGGTGTCGTCAGTGACGCGGTACGTATCAGCCGCGTGGAGGACTTCGGCTCGGCTACGGATATCGGCGAGCGCGTTATTGATTTGGAGAGAAAGAAAGATGGGGTACTTTCTGCTGGACTCGTACGCACCGCCCAATCCGTAAGCGAAAACGACGAGCAACCCCTAACCTACTATCTGTGTGAGTATCGGGTGAACTCTACTCGAGGCGGGGAGCGGCACTATGCTGCGAAGGTGACGATCGCGAACGGCCAGCTCTATGTCATGACAGTACAATGCAAAGAAAGTCAATGGGTCATGTATGAACCTCTCTTCAAAGAGGTCTTGGACTCGTTCCAAGTGCGGGCTTCACAAACCTAATGATGCACACCAACTGGCGTACAGGGCCCGCCACGCGCACGCGCAACCCTGCAGGGAGCATGCTTCGCGCCTATCCTGCACACCGGAAGCTCGCATTACCAGCGATGAATGTTTCAGCACGCAGGCACCTGATGCGTCGCGGCCGTTCAACATCCCGATAACGTTCGATCAGGAGCGGTGCTGGCATTCCGGCGATATACCCATGCGCATCGGGCTGCGCTCATCGTGCGACACGGCAGCGGGGTCGCGCTGCATCTCGTCAGCAGCAAGCATAGATCTAGGGTTGTGCCCAGTGCCTGCAGTATACATCAACCGAGCTACTGGAGGTACAACTTGGTCAGCGGCAGGCACGGATCTAAGCATATGCCGAATGCCTGCAGGATAGGCCAACGGTTCCACTACAGGTACATCTGGAGGCGCTTGGAACATAGAGCAGATCGTTTGGAAGCAAATCCGCATCTTTTCCACACAAATTCGCAACGCAGGAGCAGCGACGTATACAGCATCTTACGCATCCGGATGCCATGGTGACGGCCACGCATGACGCTAGGATGTGTGATAGAGTCGCACGCACCAGATGCATGCGATGCGTGATGCGTGCGTCGTCGATGGCGCGCAATGCCAACGCATCGTCTGCTCGGCGTGCGGGCGCGCGTTCACCATCATCGATGGCGAGGGATCGGCCTCTTTAGCGGATGCCTGGTGCAGTGCCGCTTTGCAAACCAGAGCTTGGATAATGTTTATGGTATTGGTATTGACTTGAAACACGGGTGAGGGCATCGCCGTTGCATTTGTTGCCTTGGTTTAGGGGTTGCAGCCGGTTCCAGTCCCCCGTGGACACTGCTGCACGTCTCGAGATGTGCAGCAGACAGCACGCTAGCTCGCACGTCCCAGACGCGTCGAGCGGTTGCGTTGATGGAGACAATGTATGTCATCGAGATGATTCGCGCTGTGCACGCGGCGCTTTGGTGTTTCCATGGGATCCGATTTGGCGCAAAAACGCAATGTACTAGCATGGTGCAGGAAAGGTATTCACTATTTCAGCATACATAGGACTCGTTACGCTTTATATGAAACGCTCTTGATGACATGGGATCGCATCAAAAACGCCACCAGTTAACCACGGGGACAAAACAGCCGGCCAGTGGTATTGTCCGGCAAAAGCTCTAACAAAAGCATATATTTGCAGCCCGTACAGAATTATGGCCGAAGCGCTTTTTCCATGATTAGCTTCCCGACATGCACCGCAATCAAGCCCAGATCCGAATGTGCGGCCCAATGAGAACACGTCACTGGCGTTCGTTTCAGTCGCTATGGTGGCATTGGCACGCCTCTAGCGACGAGTGGCTCTCCAGATTTGCCCATAGCATACGTAACGCCAAAAACAGATGCATAAATTTTACAGTCGGTCTCGTCCAGGCACTCACCCACAAGCCCGATATGCCAATCCAAGGGGAACAGCCATGATCATCAGGTTCACCCATACAGAATGTTGGCAAAGTCGGCATCTAGATAGCTGAAGCCGCTCGAACTCTGGGCTATTGGTCCGCTGGTTCAGGAGACTGGACCCAATGCGAAAGCGGCTCGGCGATCACTGCGACGAGTGATGCGCGTAAATGCCTCACTTCGGTCAGCTGAAAACCACATCGACGTAAGAGCGCATCAAACTCTATCCTGTCGCGTTCCTTGGATCGAAATGCGGTAAACATGATTTGATCGAGTGCAACGCGAAAGCGCTCAAGGAGTGAGCCGCGCGGATACTGGTCAATGCTTGCCTCCAGGATGACGAGCTTCACATTGCGAACGTCGCCGATTGCTGCTCGAACACTCCGGCCAATGCGGATACAGTCGGGATCGCGCCAGTCGTGCCAGATATTGCGCATCACATAGATGTCGCCTTCCTCCGCTGCTGGCACGGTGGTGGCGTCGAAAAGGTCGCCGGCCGCGAACTGGACGCGGCCACTTGCGACCATTGCCGAGCGCTCCGGACTCGTGTTCCAGTACGCCTTGGCATGCTCGATAACCGGCGGCAGATCGAAAATCACTGCCTTCAGCGCGAAAGCGCTCAGCAGATGATAAACGAGTGAACCATCCGCTGCGCCGAGGTCTATAACCCGGAGGTAGCGTCCCCAGTCGATATCTTTCATGATCGTCGATCCCAGGAGCGCATCTGAGCTACGCATGGCCCTGTTGAAGACATCCCATCGATCCGGATGGCTCGACAGGTATTCCCAAAACGTACACTGATGGACGCGTTCAAACGCGCTCGGTTGTTTTGTCGCTGACGCATCGGCACGCGCTCGCAAACCGTCCGTTTCTACGTCGTTTGACGGCGTATCACGTATCGTCTCAAAGAGAAGCGCACTCGCGGGAAAAATATCGACGTACAAGTGCATTATTTGAGCGCGCACGCTGTGTGGATGATCCTCGCGCAATAAAGCCGATAATAGTGTGTTCCGCCATAAGCGCTGCTCGTTCGATACGCTCTTTGAGTCACAGTCCCGCGGGACGTAGGACTCAAAGTAGCCCCAGTTTTCGCAAGCCCGTAGAACGCGACCGACCGCATTGACATCGGCACAGTTGCACTCTTTCGCAACTTCCGCTGCAGTAACGCCGCCGCCGCGTCTACCGATGATACCGGCAAAGTCAAACAGCGCCGCAGTCCCCAAACACGCGCCTATCAGAAAGAAAGAACCGTCTAGAAGGGCCCGCAGGTTGGGAGGCACTGGTCCAACGCCGTATACAGCACCCAGCTTGAAGAGCGGCCAAGGCGGCAGCGTGTTTCCGTGCCTCGCAACAAGTCGCTGTTCGAAAGCAAGCCCTTGGGGTGTGTCGGCCGCATCAGCATACGATCCACTCGCTCCGAACAGCAGAGATCTCATTTGCTCCCAGATGGACGACATGGCCACGTATTGGTACAACACGAAAAGTTGCCTTCTCTCGAACGCTGTACACAGGTTCTCGAAGCGGCCGCCTCCGGCCCGAGCACTCCGTCTCGATGGTGCATTGCGACGGTCGAGGCGCTCGCTGCGCCTCAGTGTTGCACAGGCTGCGTTGCTGGATGCGTTGCAGTGGCGGTAAACACGAGCGTCAGCACCTGGAATCGAATCTGCTGGCAGTGACGTCTGTGCTGTCCCACGGTAGATTAAGGAGGCGCTTGCGTCGCGGAACGGTACAGATTCCTGGTATGATTCATCGGGAACACGTGGTGCATCATGTAATGGGAGTGGTATGCACACGCTCCCGATCGGCGTTGACATCCGCAGAAGACATCCCTGGCAACGCTGGATGCTTCAGGGAAAATCGTTGCATCGCTTCCACAAGCTCTGGACATGTTGCAGGACGTATGGTTGCGGCCTCATGACGTGAGGGTGCTGCATGTCTCGATCCGGCTTTATCGGTCATCGGATGGAAAGAACCGTCATGTCGACGCGTTTCTCATGTAGATCCTGGCGCGTCATGCGAAAATCAGCCAGCGCAGTCGATCTGTGACTCCCGCGTGTGCCTGCAACCGAGCCAAACATGGAAGTGAGCAGTCGTGGGGATCTCGCTTGCAGCCCGCGAGTCTGAGGAGCACAAGCATCGCGGCAACTGGGGGCGTTTCTCTGCTTCCAACACCGTTCTATGGCGTAAGATGGCGTCTATATTCAGCAAGATCGAATCATGGAACACTATAATCGTCTTCCGTCTGCGAAGGGATATCGCTGCCGGGGCATCTGTAGGGTGCTCCCAACTTGCTCGATTGCCGAATTCGAACGACATCCGTGTCAGGAACCGGGCGAAAATCCATTGTCGTTTCTAATCAGGCAAGTGGGTTTTCACTACAGGTCTGTAACGCTTCAGCAGCATGCCCACATGAAGCGTTCAACGATTACGTCGAAAGTTCACTCTCCAGAAAAGCAGCAGGACGCTCCAGAAGCACGAGTGTTCACCGGGTGCTGATCGAGGCGCTCAAGTCTCGGTGCAGAGCGTGCGCACGCGCTGACGTATGCTCCACTGAAAGCGATCCCTGTAAAAAGCGTCTTGTCTCGGTCCGCGGCCATTTTCCATCCGGAGAGAAGAGACAGGAGCCTCCCGCAACATATCCCGTGAGATGTACCGAGCAGCTGTCGAATGCCGTTTCGCGACTGGCCAGAAAGCGAGAAGGATATGTCACGCAAAGGGAATCGATTAGTTTCCATGAGAAGCTCAGTGGACGTTCGTCATGAGCTTGTGAAAATGTATTCAGTGGACGACGTCGAGCATTTTCTTTCGTCTATTCAGCGTCGCGAATTGCTGCGCCTCACGAGTTACCTTGAACCAGAACGATCGAAAACTTGAAAAATGCGCAAACTGTGTGCGCTACACGTAACAAATGGAGCAAGTTGGAGGCTGGTGCGTATGAACTGCATGATAAGATCGGTTATTTTACAAACCCTCGTTTGAGGGCGTTGCAAATCATCTTGATTCCCCTGACGTCACGAATTCCACCAGCGAAACGTCGATTGATGCAATCCGAATAGACGACAGAGAATCCCAAAGCTGCGTGTGAGTTCTCAACACCTTACGAGTGCACATCGAACGTCTAGACTCGAAGTCTAAATAAAGCATACAAAAATGTCGACAGGCACAAACAGAGCGAGCAGCCCAGTGATTGATTTTAATCTGACACGGGTATAGCGCTGCTGCATCTCCGATGACGAGTCGCCTTGTCGCCGCTCCCGAGACTCCGCGTCCATGATCGTCAAAAGGCGATGTGAAAGCCCTGCAGCTTTGTGGATTGATTCGGAGCGATCCACGCAAGTTGCGTACACGACATGAATCTAGGTGCATATGTAGCATCAGCGTTCTCATCGCTAGCTCCACTGCATTTCATATGTGCACCGATTCGGTGGTCGATGCGAAGCGACTGGCTGTACCTCGAGATGGACTCAGAATGCGGTATTAAGAGCGCGACGTTCGTTCCGCCCGCGAGCGCCTCGCGGTTTTCTGCAGCGAGTCCAATAAGCGGCTTTGGCTTCGGGTTAGCAGGCACTCGAAAATTGCGTGAATCCAAGACGGGAACGTGGTTCAGCGCGAATGCAATGCGAGAATTATCGATATGGAGGCGTGATGATGCTACGATGATGCGCGAACTTTTCTGGAATGCAACATCGCACTGCGACCACACAGGTGCCAATGAATGCAACGCGCGAATTATCGATAGGGAGGCATCATAATGCGGCCACGATGCGCGAACTTTTCTTGAATGCAACATAGCAATGCGTCCGCACGAATTCCACGCCGCACAACTTCCGCCCTTGACGTCGCTGTGCACCAAAATCGGCAAAATCAATAGCACAGAGAGATCGTCAGTGGTCGTGCCCGCCATGCGAGCAATGCAGTGATGAAACTTCTCAAGAAGAGACGGGATACACTCGCTTCCAATCTCGTCGGAGAAGTGGAAAACGCTTCTCACTGCAAACCGCAGCGCGATAACAGCATGCTGCCGGAGCCGTCCGCTCCGGAACGAAACCCGCCCGCACAGAGCGTGGCTGAGCCCTCCGCGCTAACCGCCTCCCTTGTTCTCCTTGCTGTCGACGACGACGACGTCGTCACCGCCGAACGCGACTGTTCGCCTGGCTTACTCTCTCCCTGCGATGATTCAATGGTCGGAGGATCCTGCGGTGTGAGCTGTCCGCGATTCCGGGCTGTTTTCGCATCTCGGACCGGTGCTCGCCACGTTTTTGGGTCGCGCTCTTCCAGATACTGGTCATCTGCTTCCTGATCCTCTTCGTCAATTGGTCCGAAGCCATCGTCAGATGCGGATCGCTCTATTTCATCGAGCAGAATCCGGAATACTTCCGCAACATTCGTCCCGGTTCGCGCACTACATTCACAGAACGCTGCACCAATTGTCTCTGCAATGTGGGCCCCTTCCTCGAAGGATACTTCCCGATCAAGCGCTTGATCAATCTGGTTCCCAACGAGGATCATTGGGATCTGATCGCTTCCGAGTATTGCTACCAGACGCTGGAATATGTAGCGGACCATTTCAAATGAGCTGGCATCCCGCACAGAGTACAGCAGTACGTAGCCGTCGATGCCGATTGTCGCTTGCGCCCCCAACGAGGAGTACTCATCCTGACCTGCTGTATCAACAATTTCCAGAGCGTAAACCGTACCGTCTCGTCCTCGCAAGGTAGTCTGGTACGTGTCTTCAATCGTCGGCAGGTACGATTCAGGGAAAGTGCCCTCGCAAAAACGAATCGTCAGTGCTGACTTGCCAACACCGCGCGCTCCCAACACTGCGATGCGTCGAACGCGCTGCGCACCAGCTGCTGCCGCCGCATACATCCCAACGCCACCATAATACGAAGTTGAAAGCAGAGAGCCTGCACTATCAGGCACTGCATTGCCTCGCGGGACCCGCGTCGAAACCGGTTGCTGGTCGCCCTCAGCCATTAGAAGTGAGAACTGTCGTGTTTCGGGTCGCGGAGGGTCTGTGTTTATCACCTTTGTGTGCCAGGTCGCAAGCGTTTTTCTAGTCCGAACTTCTGTTACTTGAATTAAACAGATCTTTCAACACCAATGAGACCAGTTCCAGTTGTTACACCTGGAACAGTAACCAGAGCAACAACAACAACAACAACAACAACAATAGCAGCGGGGAACGCACCCGCAACGAGCGGGTCCGGTGCACTTGCGCTTACCGCTTCACGCGACTCTCGCGCAAACACACTACACCAAACGAACAGCTCTGGTAATACGGCCACTTGGTTAACCGAATGACACCACGAAACCGACTGCTTTGATTCTGGCAGCCCTGATGAGCAATACGTGGAAAGCGAAAACACCACGATAGCCAACGCGTGTGGCTCGCCACAACGGATGCCGCAGCGCTGCGCCTACGGACGCCGTACCGCCCAGCGCGTGTACCGAGTCCAAAAGCACGCGGTGCTCGCCGGGAGTCTGCAAGCCGAGAGCCGTGCCCAATGCGGCACTTCAGTAGCATGCCTTGTCCTCAGTATCCGGGTCGGTTACGTGGCATCAAAGCCTGAGTGCAGCGGTTAATGTCTCCCGCAAGAACGACGACGCGAAAGAGTCAAGTAGCCGCCGCTGATAAAGCGTACGGATCCAGCGAGGGCACTGGCGCTGGCACTGGTGTTCGCTCCGGTACGGGACTCCGGTCGACCCAGTTTGCACTGTTGGGTCTCTCGTTCCAGGCTGCAAACCCAGAAGGTAAACTGGCAGCTGGTCCGCTGCTCTTGGAACGCTCCGCGAGCGAGACTAGTGATGCGCTGCTGCCGTGGCCACCGCTTGATCGACTCCGGCTGCTATTCGATCGCGGTGCAGCAGACTGGCTCCGGCAGGAGGTGCTGGGTTTCTTCTTGGATGCAAGTAGCCAGTGCGCTGACCCACTTGCTCCGCCGGGCACAGTGCTGAGCTTTACAGGCGTTCATTCCGCGGCAGGGGCGGAAGACGGGGCGCCCCTGGCGTCGACAGCACCCACAGCTTCGACAGCGCCAAACACGAGCGGATCGGTAACTGTCAATCGTCTCGGGGGTAAGGCTTGCGGGAGTTGGCTACCGCTGGAACTGATGGAAAGCGCCTATGAGCAGGGTGCCTGGCTCGCACAGCACCGCGTCGTGCTAGAACAGCTGGGCGTAAGCCCCGACACGTTCCGCAGCTTCGAGGGCCATGCCGCCACGAAACGCCGCCCACAACCGAAAATCATCGGTTCGAACAACGTCGAACCTGTCCAGGAGGCGTTTTCGAGGCAATCGAATGCCGTCCGGGAGGATCCGGGTTGGTTGAGGTCCCCCGAAACCGCTCATCGTATCGAACGTGGGTCGGCACTGCGCCGGCACTCGCGAGCACCCGGTGTCGATGATGAGCGCACGCTTTCCTCCGACGAAAGTCGTTCACCGAGCACTGACCGTGACACTCTAGACTCCTCTGAACTGGACTCAGATTGGACAATGGATACATTCGATGATGACGAATCGTACGAAGCCGACGAAGCGTTCGCAACTGCGGCTGAACGCGAAGCCGTTTTCTGAGCAGGCGCGCTGCCCCCGAGGCGCATCAGCGAAACGGGATATGAGCAGAGCAGCGGGCAACTAGGGAGATCGTCTGTGGTGAATGGAGACTGACTCGCTCTCCCGTTGATGGTTACCGATGCGGAAAGCTGCGTCTGGCATCGGAATCAGCTCATCGGTAAATACGAGCGGATGCACGGGATTTCGATGCCCACTGCATATCGTCAGTATTCTCTTTGGGTTGCGTCAAGAACGAGTTGACCCGGGGACCTCCACTGGAGACCGTGAACGCTCGGCGGTGCGGTTGATAAACGATTACCGGTGCTTGCCTTATCTCATCGTCTTGGAAAAAGCAACAGCAATAGCAGCAGTAGCAGACGCTCTGTGGTTTCCGTTTCTGTGTCGGTATGCGAAAGGCCGGATATTCCGATGTTTACCCCAGAAACGATCCAGATTTGCTGAGTTTATGTGCTCGACTCAGCAAACACGCAATCAGTTGGCTACGCAACCGAAATCACGGTCCCTGTTCGCCTATACGAGAGTGTCAGGAGGTTGCAATCAGAGGCGGTGTCGTCCACGGGCTAAGCGTCTCCAGTCAGAATCGTCATAGGGTCCCTCGCGACTTCGCTCGGCCAGATCGCCGTGATGGCCCTCTGTCTCGCTGTCACCGGGGCAGAGGATGCCGCCAGCACCCCGCAACTTGCCACGATACCGCACAAAGTCAGTATCCGCACCGGTTGAAACCGATCGCTCGAACGCATCCGGGATTTTGTACTTTTGCAGCTGGTTCGCTAAGCGGCGCGGAACGCGTATGCTCAAGTAGATGCCATGCGGCGTATAGTCTTGGTGATCGCACAAACCATGTGAGAGCGCCTCGGAAGCAAGCGCCGCCTCAGTATAGGGAATGAGGCACTCAACAGGAATGTACATGTCGCGGAGCGTGTCACTGATGCACTCCATGAGGTCGTCGAGACCCTCTCCCGTGAGCGCCGACAATGGAACCACCGGCGGATCCTGACGTGAAAGGATCGCTGCCTGGTGTCGTACCGAAGTCGCATGCTCAATCAAATCCATCTTGTTCCAGATGACTATGCGGGGCTTGGATCGCAGGACCCCAAGCTCGCTGAGCGTATCCTCGACAACCGCGGCTTGTGCTCGCCAGCTTGGACTCGAACGGTCAATCACATGTAAAATAATATCAGCATCGACAACGACCTCAAGGGTAGCGCGGAATGCTGCAATCAGCTCCGTTGGCAGTTTCTGAATAAATCCCACCGAGTCCGTGATTAAAACCTCTGGTGCCACATTCAGGCCTGGGATTTCCGCCCGTCGCGTGGTCGGATCCAGCGTACAGAACAGCATCGGATCCGCAAACACTCGAGCATGGGTCAGTGCGTTCAGAAGCGTGCTCTTCCCACTGGAAGTATAACCGGTGAGTACCAGCGAGGGCAGATGTTGTGCTGCTCGCTGCCGTCGCCGTTGTTGACGTTGCTGGCGAATACCTTCGAGTTCGCGTCGGAGTCGCGCAATACGCTGCGCGATGATTCGCCGGTCGACCTCAATCTGGGTCTCGCCGGGTCCACGAAAGGCCACACCGAGCCCACCGCTTTGTCTTTCCAAATGCTGCCACATGCGCGTGAGCCTGGGCAAGCGATACTGGAGAAGGGCAAGCTCAATCTGGAGAGCACCCTCACGGCTCATCGCGTGTTGAGCGAAGATGTCGAGGATCACAGCAGTTCGATCGAGCACCTGAATCCCAGAGCGCTCGCCTCCGAAAGCTTCCTCCAGTGCTCGCTGTTGAGACGGCGACAGCTGCTCATCGAAAACGCAGGCAGTGGCCCCTACGCTTTGCATCATGGCGCGTACTTGCAGCACTTTTCCGCTGCCGATTAATGTGCGACTCTGAAACTCTGTAAGTTTCTGAACAGTTCGTCCCATAACCTCCATACCAGCAGTACTGCAGAGTTCTGCAAGCTCGTCTAGAGACTGCTCGAGGGTGATGCGCGTGCTCGCCGCTCCGCCGAGTCGCGCGCTTTTCAGCTCAGCGCCAACGAGGAAGCAGCGAGTGGGCGGCACGTAGCGGAGGCGTGCTCGCCAGGCAGGTTCCATACGTCTCTCCGCGTACTGTTCTTCATTTTGCTGACAGCACCAGATAGCAGGCGCCAGACTTGCCGCCCGTTGCCTGGGCCCAGGTAATCGAGGCGCCCAGGCGTAGCAGTGACCTCGGGGCTCCAACGAACACCGGTACGAGGTGCCTGTGACGCCACCACGCCACAACCAGGTGCCAATAAACATTGGCCTCTGACGACGAGCTCTGGACAGCAAGCCTTCCGAGAAAGAATGAAGTGCTTTTTGCCCCCGCAAGGTGAGCGAGGTGCTCCCCACAACACACACACACACACACACAGATACGCTCGTCTACACAATGTGAGGGTGCGCGCGCTCAACCAGCGACGTGCCGCGTGGCGCAGTGCGTTAACGGGTACGTGTCTGGTGTGGTGGAGCGTCCAAGCCGTCGCAGCGGTATTACGAGGACCCTGCGCACTTGACGGGCAATGCACGTGAGTCGGGAAATGGTCTTACGAATCCTTTGAAACGTACGCTGGAGAAAACAGTTTGCAGAAGAAAGCTTCTGAGTTGTCACGTTCTGTGTACGTGTCGCGGCTATGAACTGGGAGGAGGTTAGCGTTCCCGCTCGGCAGTGCGTGCAGCCCGCGCACGCATAAGAACGGCAAAAAAGTACCATGTCGAAAGTTTGCCGCGGAAAGAATCAAATCGTGCCGTGCCGCACGAATCGCTACGTGAATCGATCGGCACTTGTAAATATTCGGGCTTCTCCAAACTGGGTAATGCATGTTACATCCCAGTGGAAACAGTGATATTCTCCCGAGTATTTGCTTCCACACGATTTCCTTTTTGGCACACAAGCTAGCAATACCTTTTATGAGGCTAGGACGCGGATGACTCTGGGGAGCGTGTCGCAGCGATATCCTTCAGTTGCGTCTTGGCAGCTAGACGACGCTGGGCATCACGCTCGTGTTCCCAGGCGAAACCCCTGCGACCAATCCAAACGCCTCGCTCAAGGCGTTGCGCTTGATGTTCACGCGCTAGCTGTGCAACATGAAGCACCTTTCCACCGCGACCCGGTTCGAACAGCGTGCCACCATCAAAGCGCGTTGCCTGTGCACTGCTGCTCACCGCAGACCGTCCTGCATTGCACGACTGCTGTGGCGTGCCGGGGGATTCAACGCCCCCGACACGCATCATGGCAAGTGCATTCTCCGTATCCGAAATGGAATTCGACAGGTTGTGCGCACCTTCTCCGGGTGCCGATGCATCGATACGCGCTGATGCCGATAGCCTGCCTCGCCGCTCCGTCGCGGACGCATGCGTTGAGGCATCTGCCGCAGCCGCTGGTGTCGACGTCCGACGCAGGCACGGAAACGCGTCGGGCCCCGGCGGTATTTGGGCACGGGCACGAGCATTGCTCGACAACTGATGAGCATTCGTGTTCCTGACGACACTGGAAAGCGTTCGTGTCGCAGGAAGATTCCCTGCAGGCGGCGCTTCATTTGATTGGACCCGAGGGTGCGCGGCCAGCGCTCTACAGGCAGCGAAGAGCGCTTCTCGCAGTCGCGGATCGGGCTGTAGTGCGCACATTTCGAATAAGATAGCCGCAGCTACCGACCTGGATGCGCCGCTTTCCATTAAAAGGCGTTCGAGTGCCTGAACGCATGCTCCCGCTTGGAGTTCCCCACGCACCAGGCGCTCACAGTGCGCGCAGAACGCTAGCCAGCTCTCCTGACCCCCGGGAGACTCCGCTCGCAGGAGCGCCTTGACGCGCTCAAGCAGCCGTGCACCGCGTCGCATGGCTTCCTCTTCTGTTTTCGGAATCGGATGCATTGCATGATCAGCAGCGGTCCTGAATTCAGCATCTCCAGCACGCTGGCTTTGGACGTCTCGACTGGAATGAGCGACCTCTGTGTCGAGCGCTTGACGCTGCCGATGATTGGTGCCAATACCCGGATTACTTGTTGCAAACCTGGGGTCACTGTTGCTGGCATTCGTCTCGTATGGTCGATATCGGGCGTCCGCTGCATGTGCCATAGAGTCACACGGCAGGGTATCGTGATCGGTGCGAGGTCGCTGGTCGACAGTCTGCCGTTGCCTGTTGCGGCTTTCCGATGTCTCAGGGGTTCTGCGCAGGGCGACCTGCTCCGTCGTCGATTCTGTCGCACTGGCGTATACCACAGCAGAACCCGAAAAGCCTCGTCGACGTGCTGCTGTGATGGTTGGTTCATCCCTTCGGTGGATGATTCCGTCATACTGTCGAGCGCTACTCGTCTCGCTGACGTTCCAGGAACTCTGTCCTGAACGCTGCTGCTGCTGCTGCTGCTGCTGAAGCTCCTGAAATCGGAACGTTCGGCCCAAGGCTGTTGCGCTCGAAGCGGTACTCTGATGCGCCCCCGGACAGGCACGCCGCTGATGCGCTTGCAGATCCAGAAGCGTTGCGAACGCCAGACCACGACAGCTTGGGGCATCGCAAACATAATGTGCAGAACGATAGTGCTCCTCGAGTGCTTCAAAATTGCGATAGTACACATACTGAATCCCATCTCTTTCACATAACGCACAGGTTTCATGCGACTGGGTCAGATGCTCGTAGAGCGCATCATCATCGTAGTAGAATCTCTTGCAAAACCGGCATTCAGCGTGTTCGGATCGCAGGTGATCCCGCAAGGTTCCATCCCGCGAACCGCCAGACATTCGCTCTTCTGGTGATGATCGAGCAGCTCGGGAATGTACTGCTTTCGTTCGTACAGGATACAACCGCAGCTCTGCCCAGTACTTACGACCAGAGCCGGCACAGACCTCACAAAGAGCATAACTGGGATGCGTCTTCTGCACATGGCGTCGCAGTCCCGACGGACTCGCACTCTGGAAGCCGCAAGCAGGACAAGTGGGAATCTGCAGGGCGCGCATTTGCTCCCATGCTGTTCGATTTGAGTACTTCATGGCGGCTGTTGCGTCCCACATGTCCTGCGCGATATCGGGGTTGCTGTCTGTGGTTGCATCCTGTTTCAGCTCCGGGGACGATTGCATTTCACCCGCAGGTATGACAAGCATTTCCTCTAGGTCCTGATTGCAGACCACACAACGACGAAGACGATAGAGGCATCGTATGCGATGTGCACAGAGTAAGCAGATTCGATGTGCACACGAGCCAATCGCCCAGAAGGTTGCTCGCTCCCGACACACGAGGCACACCGACTCGGACCCGGTTTCAGCACGCGAGTCGCTCAGTTCTGTGCTGGAGCAGGCGGGAGCTACCGTTTGACCAAAGCCTAGCGGTCTTTCTCTGAGCGAGCTCACTGCTGGCTCTTGAGCGTCGTCTGAGGGACCCCTGGGCGCGGAACTCGGCTCCGTCCTGTTGTTGCTCGTTTCCAAACGGCCTCCTTTGTTAGCTGGAGCAGGACGCTGTTGTTGTCGTCGTTGCTGCTGCTCGTTCGGCGCAGTTGCGGACCGATGGCTTCGTGGAGTTGGTCCAGGAGACCGATGCGACTCGGCAGCACTCGCAAAGCCTGTAGCTTCACCTCGGGACGCCTTGTCGCCAATCGACTTGTGCTCACACGCTGCTGCTGATGTGTGCTCTTTTTCGTGAGAATCTGCTCTAGTTGAACCGATCCTACTCCAGGTTCCTTCCAAACGGGGCTCACTTGTTGATGGTGTGTCTGTTGTTGAGTTCGAATCGTGTGTAGCCTTTGACTGTGTAGCAAAAGACTGCAGGCGTTCCCACATAGCACAAGCCTTCAACAGAAAACTGAACCCTTGTAAGTTGTAAGAGTTGTAACAGAGCTGACAGCAGCGCCGTGGAGCTCAGACAAGAACACCTAGAGTGCTCGCAAGAAGCACAAACTTGAGTGTTTCGGGCGCCTCAAGATAGTCGGACAAAAAGCTCAACCAGCACGAAAAATCGGCATCTACTGTACCAGGTCGAATCGGGAGGCGCAGGGTCGTTGTTCACGAACTGATGCTCTGTCCTCTATAGATATATATGTCGCAAAATGATAGACCATGGACTTGTGCGCCGCATGTGTTGCCGCGGGCCCCCCGTAGAGCCCCGCTGCGCTTAGCAGGCACCCGTGTTCGTGACTGAGTATCTACGCGAAGATTGGTCCAGCAACCTTGAAGCAGAGGCGCTGTGCATCGACTTCCGAGTAAGACATCCCAAAAATAACAGCAGAGTCACGAGTGAGCGGGATACTACGCATAATCATAAACTTACATGATTTACTTGTCGACAGGATTCTTGTATGCGCGTCTGCGTCGTGTACCCGGAAAAGCAGCGCGTTCCACTGACACAGAGATCGTCGAGTATAGTACATGAGATTACATTTTCTCAGTGCGGCATGGATGCATCGAACGTATTGCCCAGCTGTCAAAGAGCGGGACGGGACGTGGAGGCTCTATTTGAGTACTTCGACATGCACAGAACCCCGTGCCCGACATTTCTTGAGTCGTTCTCTTTAGTGCAGGACTGACACATTGCTTCCGACGCCGCCGGATATGGAATCGCTTAAAGCCATCACATGACGAACCACAAATCGTACGATCAAGTCTAATTGGTCAGCAATTGGCGAGGCAGCAACGACAGCGGCAGCGGCGAGCTCATCGCTCGCAGCCCCGTGCTTTCCCCTGATAAAGCGTTGACCCGTCCGAAAAGACTTTTGGATGTGCGAGCGCCTCCCAATGAACTGTGGTGCAAATACTTTGCCTTTGATGGACGCTATCAGCTTTCATTACCTATAGATTCGCGGTTTTGCATGGCGGACGAGCATGGTACTGTGATCCCGCTATAGCGCAGAGGTGCCGCACAAAGCAGGGCGCTTCAGCGGGACGTCGCGGGTATGTGCACGAGCCCTCTGGTGCATTCTTCTTCTGGAACGCGTCGATCCCAGGAGGCGCGCAAATGCGCATCGCTGCAGATCGTTTGAACATACAGCATCCCTTTGACCGGTTTATCCATTATTTCACCATATTTTCCATGCTTCTGTCAAGAGGCCGTAACCCGACGTGTGCGCATGCGCAACTTTGTATTGCGGGCTTGTTTCGTGAGACGCTGCCACAGACAAGCGTTTTCAGCAGTTGCATACGCGTCTCAGTATCGCTCTTTCTCTCGTTTAGGGTTATCTTGGCGGCTTGGACGTTTTGGATTTTGTTGTCCCTAATTTGATACGCGTCTAGGGACTGGTCTCGGCTCTTTGAAGTGGTGCACGTAGCCAAACCTAGCTGCTGCGCACAATGAACGGCCACGCACAGGGAAACACGCTCGGGACGCAACCGTTGGGCCCTCCGCAGTTCATCGGTTCACGAATCTCTTTGCTTTCGAAAATGAACGTCCGCTACGAGGGTGTTTTATACAGTATCAACGCGCAGGACAGCACGGTGCAACTGCAGAACGTGCGCTGTTACGGCACGGAGGATCGCGTGCGGCCGGACGGAGGCCCGCCGGTCCCGCCCTCCCTTGATATCTACAGCTTTATCGTTTTTCGGGGTGCGGACATTCAGGACTTGAAGGTGGTCGTGCCGGCGCCAGTCGCACCGCCGCAACTGCCGCCGCAGCAGGGAGCGTCGCTGCAGTCTGTCGCGCCCCCTGCGCCGCCCCATGGATACCCCCCGGGGACGGCGCCATCGTCCATGATGGGTCCACCGTATTTCCCTCCATACGGAGGCAACATGATGCCGACCACAAACGCTTCAGGAGGACACGCGGCCTGGTCCGCGGGCAGCTCGCTGCCGATGCCTCAGGCCCCGCCGCAGACGTTCGCGCCTCCTCGATCGGATACGACCTCGTACGGGCAGCCGTACCCGCAGCAGCCGAGCTATCGCTATGATGTGCCTCCTGTTCAACAAGCACTCCAGGGCTATCCGGGGGCGCCCCTGCCTACATTTATGGGATCTGCGGTTGATTGGGAGGATCGCCCGTCGCCGAGTGCTGGCGCACCAGTCCCAGGCAGAAATGTGATTGAGAATCCACCATCTGGCCGAGGCAGTGATACTGAAATCAATAAGGAAAGCACCGCTGTGACCGCTACTCGGCAGTCACAGGCCGAGCCTTCCGCAACACGTGTTCCAGTCGGGAATGAGGACATGCACATGGATCCCAAAAGACATCCCGAGCAGCAAAATGAGCCAAGAAGCACGAAGCAGGAGGAGTGGAAGAGCAAGGAAACCACCGGCGAGGGCCCGGAAAGGAAGACGTATGGGCGCCCTGTGAACCCAACCAGAAGTGATCGCAGAGAGCCTGAAGCGACGACAAAGCCTCCCGCACCGAACGGGCGCTTCCGCAGGCAGATGCAGCGAAGCACTGGTGCTGCTGATCGCCACGCTGGCGACACGAATCATAGACATGGACAGCATCTGCATGACACTACTCGGAGAGGAAGCGGGCCGAGCAATACGAGAACACATTGGACCCGTCGCCAATCGTCGACGCCCGCGGCTATCGAAGAGTTCGATTTCGAATCCATGCGTGAGAAACTGCAAAAATCTCTGCTGATTGAAGAAGAGGTTCTGAAAAAAATACGCGAACAACCGAAAAAATACGATAAGAACAAATCGTTTTTCGACTCTCTAGGCGACGAGACTGCATCTGAGGTGCTTGCACCCCCAGCGGGTAGCGAATCCGTCACCAGTGACGGTGCTCAACTCAGCGAAAGACCCAAAGCAACGCAGCGCTCTTCCGATGCAAAGAATGTTGAAACCTTCGGCGAGGCGGCGATTCGTCTCCGTCGCCAACGGAGTCGAAACAGCGGACATGCTCGCCAGTACAGAAGACCTCCCGACGGACGCCCAACGAATCGGCAACGAGTGCCCGCGTCGAGAGGCGATGCAGCCCCGAAGCGCGCTGCACCACCGGAGGCGTCCACGCGCGATGCAGAGCCTGCAGTCTCCGTGTAGAGGAGCGGGCTCCAGCACGCACTGTCTCTGGGATGGTGCACGAAGCGCGTCGCCAGGCTCGATGCATCACCGCAACAAAGCATCGTAAACTGTGCTTCCGGGTGGTACCTTGGGAATATAGGGTGCTTGGCGAGCATCCGCGAATATCGCTTCTACTAGTTGCTGGATATCGTTCGCCGTCTGGAGTCAGTTGCACTAGGGCAGCGAACGATCGCGCTGCGATTGCCCTGGTTGCAGACTGCTTCTGATCCGTGAACGCTCAAGCGACAGCAGCAGCAGCAGCAGCAGCAGCAGCCGTCGTCGTCGTCGTCGTCGTTTTGGAGCTGGGCATCGAAATCCTTCAATACGATCGTCAAGCGTGCACGCTTTGTCACTTGTGACGTTCATGCTGGCAACTCATGACGTGCAGCAGACAATATGCCGTGATCGCTGGACAGCGTCGATATGCTGGACTGGCTCGCGACTGGCGCAGGACGCCGAGAACGCCCTTGTCGCACGGCGGCATGCGTACCCTGCACCCTTCTCAGATGCAGGTGCAATACTGAACTGCTTGCTCTGTGTGTGCTTTTCGATTTTCTCGAACTTTTTTTTCGATGTATGACTTGGCAGACCAAATACAGCAATGAAGGCAAACGGGTTCATTCATAATTTTCGGACACCTGGTTGTTTACTGCTGGTCGTGCGTTAGACGTTTTGCCGCTGGAATTCGTTACGTCACTGGAATCAGGATGATTGGCAATGCTTACGAAAAGTGTCCGTAAAATAATCGATATCAATATCCAGTGCAGACTTAAAAGCCCCACCTCTTTTCCCTACATAGAGCTTGCTCAGAATATGTATTTTTCAGACTTTCGATCTTTATCACAAAAAGCAACTCGTGAGGGTAGGGATTTCCACCGCTGGACTGACGACCACGAAAAACTCGACTCTGTTCCTGGTCGACTTGTTCACAAACCCATACCGAAACTTCACAGCACCTCTCAGGTCAACTGATAATCTCCGCCGTTCTGAACCCAAATCATGCTCTGCTGGTGGCCATCGGTGAAACGCCATTCGACAACCGAGTGAACCCTCGAACGGGATCTTGTCCAAGAGGCTCCCGTCTCTTCTTTTCGCATCGAAAGGGGTCATTGGCTCGGACTTGGGTCACCGCTTTGCACGGAGAATGCATAGCGGGATCAGCAGTTGCCGAATGGATCTCGAGCCTGAATTTCCGTCCCGATTACGCAGTTCATCGTGGACAACATCGCGTACCATATGTATCCTCTATGGAGTCGAACGGCGTGCGCAGCAGACAGAGTACTCGGCGAGGGGATGCCCCAGAAGAAGGCCTGTGATCCTAGGGTACGGCACTGGGCGCGGAAACCGAGCAGACCATCGAGTCGCGCCTGCTGTAGCCGCGAGCGGCATGTGCTGGGCGCTGAACCGAACGTTCACGCGCAACAGAGCATCGCTCGGAGCGTAAGCTATGGTGGACATGTGGGAACACTTGCCCCAGTCTAGAGTCATCACTATAAAGCGAGCACAGATGCTGTACGCAAAGAAGATGGAAATCGCAAGCGAAGCACAGAGCGCAACGACCGTTTGTGAATGAAATGCGTCGACAAGAGTTGGAATCGGCACACTCGGGGCTCGAACATCACCATGAATATCCTTCGAGTGCTGTCGCAAGAGCTGGATGGATACCTGCGACTGACAGATTCAACGCCGGAGATAAGAGAGACGAAAGACCATTCGAAGAAAAGCTCCCATTTGCTTTTGTTGATTGAAATGGGAAGCGATTCGAAGTTGAATGTGGACGCCCTAGTTAGCCAAGTGCACCCATTCTATTTGATGCTGACGTGGGTGTAGCGCCTCGACTATCCGCTGCAAGCGGTCTGCTCTGCACCGCGCGATCAGCAGTGCGTGAAATAGTCCATGACACGACTTCAGCAGGAAACATGGATTCGTAAGCTGCTCAGGGTACAGGTTCCCGCTCTTGCCCGGCAATGTCGAGCCAACCCGTGCGGTATTGAGATCAATCCAGACCTGCAGCATCTCCGCCGAATACCTAGGTTCATCGGGTGTGTGGTTCCGGTACACATACCGTCTCCAGCTTCAGTGCCGTGCTACACGAGCGCGTTGGAGATTGGGTGCAAGGAAAGCGATCCTCCTTGGAAACGAACCAAAAAATATACGGAACGCATCGGCCTCCGCGAACGACCCAGCTTGCGACCCGCTGCAAAGCTTCTAGCGCCCTTTACAGGAACAGAAACACTTTTCCCGAGCTGTTTTCTGAAAGGAAACCCTCTTCCCGGTATGCCTCACTGCGAAGCGGGCCACCGGGCAGAAACTTCCCTCCCCGGACACTCCGTCGGAATGAGCGGATGCCCACTGCAGCTTATCGCTAGGCACTCATCGTGTAGGATCGATGCGTCGGAGCGGAATCCCGGGATGCGCCACTGATTTCGGCAGCTACGATGAATCCCGCCGCTCCGTTCCATACCCCAAAGAAAATGCGCATGCTGCAGACCGCTCTCTCCGACGGGGCCAGAAATTCCATTCTTCGGATAACTGTCTGAGAACCGAGCCTCGCGCCCACGCTTGCGGTGAAGGTATATGATGCGCCGTCGCCGCCGCTGCAGTCGCTATCACGCAAAGACAGAGCGGCTCCGAGGCGCAGGTACGGTCATCCGCATGCGCAGTACACTGTTCGGGCGTGGCGTACGTAGTGCTGTGCATTTCAGAGTCGAGCGCTGGGCCCGCCATAGTGCTCGCTCGCCAACGAGCTCTATTCGCCAAGCATCTTTTGCATGGCTTGAAGAAAACGAGGTTCGAGCATCGCAGCTGGATCAGTGACTGCACCAGCTGCGAAAACATATCGAATGCTTTCGATCGAAACATTCAGTGAGAGCATGCTCAGCACAAGCACGGCATTCCGCGCTCGACAGAGCGCCTCGGCGTCGCCCGTCGTCAGCAGCGACGTCGACGTGGGCTCCGCTTCATCTGCTACCGCACCAGCGCGGTCTGTTTCCTCAGGATTCCAATAAATCCAGATGTAACCATTGACACCAAGTACAACCCAAAGATGCGGATAACCGAGGCTGGCAAATGCTCGACCAGTGCGGCGAATCAGTCCAGGCGGAACGGACACGAAGACGCCGAACTGGCTGAGGCGACCGAACTTATCCTCGAGGCGCGTATGCAGCATAATGGAGCCGTCTGCTTTGATTTCCTGAACCTCAGCAGCGATGAGATCGGTTTCGGCGTAAAAAGCCCGCATATTAAGTTCGTCCTCCCTGGTGCGGCGGCGTTGCACCGCTCCCGGTAAACGGATCGCGAAGAGCGTGAGCACCGCATCTTGTCGTGCTTGGATATCTACTTTCCACCGACGCGAGGCCGGCAGCACCTGAGCGATTCGACCAACGACAACGTCACCAACGTTGGGAACATAACGCCCTCGCCAGGACCGAATGGTGACCAGTTTGTTGATGCGTTCGACCGTGCCTGCCAAGGTTGCCCGCAATACTTTTGATTCGTCACTAGGTGTCCAGAATATTCCATGACCTCTGAGCGTATTTTGTTCCGGGGCGTAAATAGCATCCCCCGGAAGAGCCAGTGATGCTGCAGGTGCAACCTTTGGTAGGGGGATACGTTGTTCCAACGGGGTATGGAAGCGGCCGTTTGCGGTGGCTTTTTGCTCTTCCATGCCCCCTGGATCACAGCTTGTAACAAAGCTGCAGCTCGCCACCGGCAAGAATGAAGTGAGCAAGCGCTTTCTTGCACTTGTGCAGCCCGAACGAAATCAGTAGCTCCTGACGGAGCGCAGGTCTCCGAGTGGACCTCCAGCGTGCGCTTTCCCAGGAACCGCAGCGGCACGTCAGTGTCAAAGCGACTCTACCGATTTAGAAGGCCCTTGGTAGGAGCGACGAATAGCCACGACCAGCTCCAGCAGGTCGTTCGAACTACAACGCGAAGTCGGCTGAAGCACCACGTCCCAAGAGAATGTTGCAGCAGAGATTTCCAAGTATCAACACGGGTAACACAAAGCACTGACGACGACGAGCTCTGAACGCGATTCGCAGGTCCGTCACCCTGTGTTCCGCAAGTGCTAACAGACTTGTGACAGTTGTGGGAGGTGGCCTCAAAGCCGCGAGCACCCGGCTCCTGAAACGCTTTCTTATCGCCTTGTTTCGTTGCAGCGATACGCTGACGCTCGCTGCGCTCCAGCTATGACCATCGTTGAGCGCAGCGCTGAGCAGCGGCAGCGTATCCCGCGGGCAAGGTCCCCGATGTTTATGATATACGATTTCTCAGTCTACTCAAGATTCCCCAGGTGTGTAAGCTCTACTCGTATTCGGTGCAGAGACTGCAGTCTCATAAGAAACGCAATCACATTACACGGAACCTTGTGTGACGCTCTCCCAGGCACACCCCCTTGAACCGACGATACACCGGAGGTCGACCCTGCCGATGCATTTGATGCAACGTCGAATGCGGAGTCGCGGTCGCCCGTGAGAGACACCACCATGACTTTGTCATGCCTTTGTGAGCGGCGGTCGAGGCAGGCAACCAACGTTCTTCGCCACAGCGCGCACATATACGCTCCCAAACTCCAGCTGTTTTCCTTGAGCATCGAGCAGTTTATCCCCAGTTTTTTTGTTCGATATCGTTCAGCAAGCACTCCTGGGTCACGCTCTTTTTCCAGTTAACACCGCATACACGTTACTGACCTACGGTTCAGAACGGTGGTGGTGATGATGATGATGATGATGATGATGGGCCTCGCGGCATTCCATAACCTGCTTTCGCCCAAGGGCGCAGGCTGCACAGACCCAGCACGACTTCGTTGACGAAGCGCAACACGTCTCAGGATGCGACATGCCTGGGCCGGGGCGCGCAGTGCTCGTCACCAAAGCGTCTACAGCACGCGACTGGAACGTGCCCGCCAACGCCTCTGTTCAGGAAGCGGAGCGCGTTTTGAACGCTGACTCGGTCGTCTCCGACGTTGACGTAACGAGATAAAATCAGATCCATCATTCGATGACACCTATCACGGAACGCTGTTTCGAAGCGACATAGGTACATTGCACTGCCACTCTTATCTTATAACGTTTCCGGCTTCTCCCAAGGGCATCATATAAGCAGCAGTCCAGTTAGCAAGCTGTGCAGCATATTACCACGACGGCAAAATCGGCTTGTCGCGTCTCTGCTTTCGAGCAAGCATGCACGTCGGGTGCTTGCCAGCGCACCAAAAAAATGCACATGACGGGCAGATACATGTTAGGGGGCTTCAATCATGTCGACAGAAAACTTTTCAAATCGACTGCGAACTTTTGGTTCACGTATTTCAATTTGCGGTGAGGAAATGATGTCATCTGCGTCTTCCAGTACGTCACCCACTTCAAAGCCCAGTCGCCGCAGTGAATCATACACAGTTGAGAACACTCGACTCAAGGCGATATAGGCGTTGGAGGTCGTCTGCGCCAACGCTGCAGCCAAGCCACCAACGCGAGCAGTTGTTTCGACGAGATTCGGCGGCGACCGAAGCAGCAGTTCCTCGTCTTGCGGGCTTACCGCTAGCGCAACCTGTGTCAGCCAATGAAAATCCAGGGGAAGCTTCTCACGATATACATCTCGAGTTCGCAACTGTCGCCGAATATAGACAATCGCTTGCACGACGCTATGGTTGACCGTCCGAGGATCCTGCAAGCGACGAATCTCCCATGCAGCTGCAGCAGCGTACAGCACGAGCCAGATCGCCTCGAGATCTGCGGCGGAGACCTCCCCAATAATCGAATCAACAGCGTATTCTAACGTCTCCACAGAGCTTCCGAGAACCGTATCCAGAAGCATCTGCACGGTGCGCTCAGCATGGTTGAGTGCGCGCATGAGCGGTGCGTCAATAATGCGGACGCTCTGTTGTGCGCGAAAAGCGAGCAAGGTCAAGCGGTCCCGCTCCTCGGAGTTTCCACGATGCTCTGCAAGCAGACGCGATGCACTGAGACCGTAGAAGAAGCGATTATCAAAGTAGTGACGGTTTGCAGCAACAGCGGTAAGGGCCTGCTCACTGAGGCCTTGGAGCGCAACCCGCTGGACCGCGGCATATGGGGGCTCTCCTGTCGATGCCGCGCGCGCGTTTTCCAAACGCGACAAGTCTTCATCCCGTAGAAGCAACTTCTCTGCAAATACCAGCAGCTCTCTGAACTGGTAGCTCATGGGCGCTCTATTTCTGCGCAGCTTATCAGCGGAAAGTTGCAGCGCCTGTGCCACGCGCAGCAGCTCTTGATTCGAACGCAGACTTATTCCGGATAAGAGCTTCTGGAGCGCCTCTTCAGCCTGCGGCTGCTCCAAAAGCAACTCGTGTCGTTCATCGGTCTGGAGAGCCCCTGAACCGTTCATATCAGAACGCAAGTTCGCCAGGTGCCTACCGTTGCGGCCTTCGAACTCGCCGTCCTCGGCGTCGTTCAACGCTGGCCCGTAGTTAGGCTCGGTCTCTAGTCGGTGACTGTTTTCATCGTTCCAGTTCTCAGCATCTTGCGGTTCGAGCTCGCTGTGCGTGCGCGACGCCGCTTGCTCAGCACGCTCCTGTCGCGGTGCGCCTGCTGGCTGTTGCCGAGCGCCCGTCGTAGCGCCATCACCTCCGCCCGGTTTGCGCTTCGCTCTCGTTCTTCCCTTTTTCGCGAGAGCAACGAGCTCTCCCGCTCTTGTCGCAGTAGTCAGTCCTGTTCGCGCACGCTCCGACACGTTCCAGAACGGGTGACGCAGCCGCGGTTGTGGTAGCGTGCGCCAGCGACCGGAGTGCCGCTCTTGCTGAACCCAGCGGTGCGCTCTTAGCCCAAGTGAAGCCGTTCCGGCTTCCAAGGGGAGCAAGTTTCCTGGAAAGAAACAGAGCATACCTCCGGTATGACGCACGGTGCTCGCAGCCAACTCGTGGTGTCACTCACCTGCTGCGTGGTGCGTTCGCTCCAAACAACTGGGGCATCGATGAAGAGGATCCGCCAGAAGCGCAGACGGCTGTGCGCACCCGGCGACAACGACGCGTTTTGAGGCATTGAGGCACCTGGCTGCGTCTGCGTCATACGTCTGGCTCGAAGCGTCGGTTCGATGCCGTTCAGTAAGGGGAAGCGCAGCACTATCGTTGGAATGTGGTTATTCTGGTTCCGAGCTACGATCCTGTGCCCCACAGAAAGAGGATCAATGGCCTCGTGCTCGGAGCTGCGGCATGGCGTATCCCGAATGCGTCAGGTTACAACGCATAGCATTGAGGTTCGTCGCGGAAAACATCGAGCAACTTTGCATCCAGTGCATAACAAGCCTCACCCGATACACTGGAATGTAGACTCGCGCAGAAGAAGCGGTAGCTCTGCGCTTCCGCTTTTATGAGTGAAGTTTCGAGCGGTGCTCGCGAATCAATGATCCACGGCTGCATGGGGGTGCGTATGTCGTGCGATGTTACGTTGGGAGTGTGACAGAAAGTCCAGACTTCTTTACCTGGTCCAGAAGGATAAGCCCGAATGCCAATATTCTGTGTTTCCCCACGCTACCGCGTTTTGTTCGGAGACAGCATCACAAAGCGAACGCCGATGCAGCAGCGGAGCCGCAGCGAGCGTCACGTTGAGCGCCCGAGCGTGCCGTTCTGCATGCGCTGCAACACGAGGCTCGCCTTCCCCAACTACAGCCGCCAAGAAACAGTTGATAGAACAGAGGAATCATCGGACGCGGAAAGCGCGCGGAACACCTAGTCCTAAATTCGTCTCACGTGGATTTGACCCCCATTTGTCCAGCTGCAACCAGCTTGAGACGCTGTAACACCCTTAGGCGCCATTTCCGGACGAACAGATGAGTGCACGCCGCGTCCTACATAACTTCTTACTCTCTACATGCAGAGAGAAACTCGCGTCGAGCGGCCTGCTGAGCGTCACCAGCTACCTGTTGCTCGCCGAGGTTACCCACGAAAACAGCTAGACACGAGTCCATATACGCATAGCGATCCTGAATCGTTGGCAACGGCAGTAAAAGTGGTGTCTTTGACCCCGATACGCGCCAGCTTCCGTGCGACTGCACAAACGAATTCCGATCGTTTGACGGCCCGTTTCTTGATAAAAACTGAGGCAGCGGGCGACCGGTTGTAGCGTTCAATACTCGTATGACATCGCTCATATCACACTGGTCTGTTTGATGACATCACTCGTCCTAAGCAAAATAGACGAGCTGATTGAATATTGTCTCATGACGCTGCTTTCAGGGAGGTTTCTAGATGGCATCGATACCCCCTGAGGCACATCGCCGAACGCAGTCCCGTCATCAACCGTTGAGGTTCCACTGGGAACGCAGACGAATGCCGGACAGCTTGATCATGACAACGGGCCTGTTAAGCATCAACTCGAGAAGATGCTCTCGCTGGCGAGCTGGAATTTTCCGAGCGAATAATCATCTAGCAATGGTTGTCGTGGAAGATGAACATCTTTGCCTTTTTTGCTGGCTCGCTGTGAAGTGCGACCAAGCGTGTCGTCTAAATACACTGCGCACCTTCGAATCGTTCACCCCAAAAAAGCCCGCGGGCGCCAGACGAATAAGGAGCCGCATGGAAGGCGTAAGCGGTATCGACGCCGACACGATACCTTCAGCCGCTGTTCAGCACCTCAGCAAGGTGCCGCCCTGCCTCCTCTCGATATTGCTCCATAACTAAACTAGATTCCTGCAGGTCTTTATATAGAGCAGAAATCTGTACCATGTGATTTGTTCCAATAATCGCGCAGTCACGTTGCGGGCAATGGAGCGTAGCGGTCAACGTTCACATCGTCCGGTCCATTGGGAAAGCAGTTCGTGAACACGACGAACATGACACAATTCCGCAACCGTTCGAAACACCAAGATATTTGTTTCCATGGAGGGTGAAGTACGCCTCGCTTAGGAGCGCTGCTCCGTTTCTCTCTTGCCAGATTCGGAATTTTCCGAATACGCAAGGTTTCCGAATGCTTGTTGGTATCCGGCCAAGCGAAGCGCCCACCGCAGCTCGCAGACTCTCCAGCCTACATCGCTCATTAGAGCAAGGTAGCAGATTCTATTTACTCGCTCACGACATCTTTCCCAGGACTCGACTCTTTATTGTTCGCTGGCTGCTCTAGGACGCGATCGTCCACGATGCGCACGCCCATACTCCGCGCCGTGCCAATAATACTTTTGCATAGCGCCTGAAGACTCACGGTGCGCAGGTTATCGTCCTTTTGCTTTATTCGAGCCAACTCGTAAACAGCGGTAAGTGGTACAGGTTGACCAACGAAAGAGCGCCCCGGTTGTGAGCTGCCCTTTTCGACGCCCGCCAGGCGTCGGAGAAAGAAAGAGACTGGTGGCTGTCGAGTTTCAAAGCTGAAACTTCGATCCGTATAAGCCGCAATCAAAGTAGGTATTGGTACGCCGTCTTCCAGGTTTGCTGTTGCCTGGTTGAACTCTTTGCAGAACTGCGCGATGTTGACACCAGCCTGTCCGAGTCGCGGGCCGACCGGCGGACCCGGAGCAGCCTTCCCGGCGGGCAAAAGCATTCGCATACGTTGTCGTAGCACTTTCGGGGCACTTGATAGTGCTGTTTTCGACTTGCTTCTTGCGCTGCTCATTGACTAAACGTATCAGGAACTCGTCGTGGTTATTGCAACCGATACAAATAGGGCGCTATTCCGGTGAAATCGCTGCATGCACGTCAACGATGTCGTGTCCGATTACTGCCATATATTCCCTAAATCACCCGCTTTCGCCTCAACGCAGCAGACCTCGTCCCAATGACGCACACTATCCACCGACGATACACGTCGTACTTCTACAGACTGCAGCCATGTCGCGCTACGACCGCGCTATAACGGTTTTTTCTCCGGATGGTCACCTTTTCCAAGTAGAGTATGCACTTGAGGCCGTAAAAAAAGGTACTGCCGCGGTCGCAGTACGCAGCCCTGAGTCCGTGGTTTTCGCCGTTGAACGCAAAGCAACTGCGAAGCTACAGGACCCGCGAACGGTTCGCAAGATCGTGAAACTCGATCAACATCTTCTGATGACGTTTGCCGGCCTTACTGCTGATGCGCGTATACTCATCAACAGAGCTAGAATAGAGTGCCAATCGTATCGCCTGACTGTAGAGGACGCGCCCTCCGTGGAGTATATTGCAAAGTACGTGGCGCAGATTCAGCAGCGGTACACCCAGTCCGGAGGTGTTCGACCTTTCGGCATCTCAACGCTTATAGCTGGTTTTGACGAAGATGGACAACCACGCTTATTTCAAACTGAACCTGCTGGTACTTACCTTGAGTGGAAGGCGGCAGCGATCGGCCGTAACGCTAAAGTCGTGTTGGAGAAGCTGGAGAAGCTCTATCGCGAACCAACTGATACCGCGGCAAGTAGTGCTGCCACACCGCCGGAGCTGAACCCGGCGTCTGGTGACCCAATGGACGCGATTGTTGTGGATTCCGAGGCCGCAGCTCTGCGACTTGCGCTCTTATCTCTATTGGAAGTAGTCGAAAGCAGCAGCAAGAACATTGAGGTTGCCGTCGTTCGTAGGCGCGGCGACATCCACGTATTCTCTGATGAGCTCATCGCACAACACGTAACACAGATCGAAGAGGAAATCAAAGCTGCCGAGGAGTCAAAAAGTCAACGACCTGCGGAAGCGGATGCAGACGGAATGCTGTGAACTGGGTGCAAACATCTACATGGTGTGCTCTCCCGCAAAGCAGCTACCGCCACGAGCGCGAAAGGCGCCCGCATCGCCATCCATATCTGGTTTTGCCGCAAAATTCGGCATCGTCCATGGGGTTGTTCTTCTGCGGCGGATTCTGCACAAAAAAGGAGAAGGGGGTCTGTCATCCATTCGACGGGTATACTGTTGGAACCAGGCCCCTGCATCACTGAAGAGGCGCCGTTCCCACAACAGGCCACGAATGGTATACTCGTTACAAACGCAGCGGCAGTGCAGGTACCGAAGGAAATCTTTGCCAGACATCGACGGGTTCCCCTGCTGCGTTTGATGCTGGAAAAGGCCGCAATAGGCATTCACGCGTGCATCCTTCACGCCGTCACCGACAAGTCCTGAGTGGACCCTCTGGGGACAGTGCTGGTCAGGTATCTGTTGTTACCAGAGTAAAAGCGACTCTGCAGGTCTACGCAGCTGTCGGGCATATGCGGTCGCACTAGCATGCTGGATGTGTCCCGAATGGTGGCTAGCGCTCTGAACTCGCCCAAGAGCGTGCATCGGTGTTCGCTGAAAATTTGCATGCGGGTACTGTGGAGAAAAGTTCTTTCGCCACGGTCCAGTGTGGAATCTCGGCTGCATTGCGAATCAGACGCCGCACAAAACCTCCACCTACGCACTGGTCCTCGTCGTAGATTACAACCGCTTGACCTGGAGCAGTGACGGGCGCGCTTGCACTGCGACCTGGAACCAGAACGAGCAGCCGCTGTGGCGGCATCGCAGCGACGCGCACCCGCGGTTGTGCTCGATCATTGCTAGTTGCCAAAGAATCTGCTTCGAGGCGTCGAATAAGGCAGGAAAGCGGAGTCTGACGATACCACGCTTGAAACGAGAAACTTCGATGTAGCCAGCCAGCTGATTCTTTCAGATGCTGGTGTTCCATCCACGCGTTCCATAAATCGAAGGCTTCCACTTCGTAGCCCCAACAGGATAGAGCTGGATGAGAGCGTCCGGCGCAGACCGAGATGATGCCCCGCGCTGGGTCTTTGTCGCAAACATAAAAGGCCTGCGGGAGACCACCGATACCCGCACGCTGACCGATCGTTCGATAAGAGGATACACGGCCCAGTGTTCGGCCTGTATCGATATCGACGGCCGGCCAGAAGTCACCAGGCGGAGCAAATTCGTCCAAAATAGATGCTATAGATTTGTGGCGACCAATGAAGCAAATACCTCGACTTGAGGCTCGCGTTGCATTCGGCAGCCGTAGGTGACGAGCAAGCGCCCGTACCTCGTGTTTCTGCCAGTCCCCGAGAGGAAAGTGCAATTTCCGAAGAGCACTCGGATCAATACTTGCGAGAAAGTACGTCTGATCCTTGGCACGATCCAAGGCACGGTATAATTGACCTCCAGTGCAGCGGGCATAGTGTCCAGTGGCGAGTATGTCCGCCCGTTTGGCGACAACATCGAGTAGCGCTCCGAACTTTATATACCGATTGCAGGCCAAATCGGGATTAGGAGTCAGCCCTCGACGATACGCCTCTAACAGATGCGGTACGAAGACTGAATGCCAGTACTCCGCGCGTAAATCGATCTCCTGAAATTCATCCAGTCGCAGGAAATCCGCGACTCGTCGAGCGGCGAGCCGATCATCTCGATAGGTGCAGTCCTCGGCGTCGTCTCCGGTTCCCCATGAACGCATAAACACGCCTTTCACGCGATAGCCCGCTTGCTGCAAGAGCCAAGCACTTACAGCAGAGTCAACGCCGCCAGACAGCGCGACGATCATGGACTTGCCACGTGCGTCCGTAGACGTACCCACGCGATTCTTCAGAAGATTTCCATGAAATCGTTGCATTTGCACCAGAACGACCAAAAATGCAATGATGTGCTTTCCATCGAAGCTCTTGATCCGGAAAGTGCCTCCTCAGCGGCGGAGAGAGACACGCTGTGAAAGACAAGCGCGCTAACAACTCAAACGTGGCCCCTGGGCGAGCAGGCGCTGTCTGCCTCACACGCAGCAGCTGAGCTCTGAACACGGATTCGGGTGCTGGCAAGCGCTGTCCTGCCGTGGTAGTCAGCTTGTCGGCGAGCGACACTGGACAAGTAGCAAGCCACGAATATCTCTGTACGAGCAATCGTCGCACCGTCTAAGAGGATTTTGGATGCCAGGACCGTCCTCAGCAAGCACGCCTAGAGCGTTTCCTAGCACTGCGTGATACTTGCCCGATCGCGAGCGTGTTTACCGACGCCCTCCGTGCTGTAGAGAAACGGCTGTCTGTACGCTCCAATTTTCAACACTGCACCATACAATATATCCAGCTGTCTTCACGCTCCCTTCTGTGTCGGTTTCTCGGAAGGCAGCGAGCGCCCGCGCAGCTCCAGACCTGTTAATGGTTCAGATGAAACTGTTCCAGCAGCGAACCTGCTCACCTTTCGAAATCCACGCTGATCGTACTTTTTCGCTATTCACACTGTTGCTGACAGACCAACGACGACTTTATCCGCGGTTGTTAAAACCAGAGCGCAACCGTTCTGTTGCCATACAAGGGCAGTCTTACGACGTCTATGAGCGCCCCGCTTTACCGTACACATGCTACGATCGCGATTTCAGAAACGTCGCTGATCAGAAGAAAGCAACGGGCCAGCGCGCATGATGGAACGCTTAAACTTCCCATAACTAAACTAAACGGACATCCTACTGCCAGAGACGGCGCGCTCTAGCGGCGCGGCTGCGTGGACGACACGCACCCTCCGTACAAAGGCAATCGCGCTGACCTCAGCTGGATTCCGCTAGAACCAGCGAGCTCCAATACGAGTCGCCGGGATTTATTGCGTCTGATCCATATAACGTACACCTTCAATGGCCTTCGTTTCCTCTTGGAAGGGTCTGCGCTTTGATGCGTCTGCGCCGACGACTTGGCGCCCTGCAGTGGCGACTGCGCACGCTCGAAAGCATGCATCGCTGCTGTCCCCGCGTGCATGGAGCGTCTCGCGTTCGAGACGCTCTTTCGTCGTGTGTGCGGTCTCTGATCAGGCGTCTGGCGTGGGGCAGGTCGTTCCTCTCGTAGATTTGCGGGGGAAGCGAGCGCTCATCACAGGGATAGCGAACCAGCGCTCGATCGCGTACGGCATTGCGCAGCAGCTGCGGCGAGCGGGTGCCGAACTCGGTGTGACGTACCTGCCGGTTAATGAGCGGGCCGAAAGCAAAGTATCGAAACTAGTAGAGCCATTGGGGGCGAGTTTTCTGCATCCTTGCGACGTGCAGTCACGTTCCGACCTGGAAGGCCTCTTTGAAACAGTCAAGCAAAAGTGGGGCGGCCTCGATCTTCTCGTGCATTGTTTAGCGTTTGCGAACCGTGAAGATCTCGAAGGCAACTTTAGTGAGACATCTAGAAACGGGTTCAGTGTGGCACTCAGCGTAAGCACCTATTCATTGATCGAGATGTGTGGATTGGCGAAACCGCTCTTTCGCCCTGGAGGATCGGTCGTGACCCTCAGTTATCTCGGCGCTGAGCGCGTTGTGCCGAACTACAACATCATGGGAGTCGCCAAGGCAGGTCTCGAATGTTCTGTCCGGTACCTCGCTGCAGAGTTAGGCCCAGCCTGCGGCGTACGAGTGAATGGGATCTCGGCGGGACCCATTAGAACCCTTGCGTCGTCAGCCATAGGCGGAATCACGACCATGATTCGCAATGTGGAGCAGAACGCACCGCTGCGCCGCACGGTCACCCAAGAAGAGGTAGGGAAAACAGCCGCATTCCTGCTCAGTGATGCGGCCTCGGGAATAACTGGCCAGATTCTATACGTCGATTCTGGGTATGTGATCATGGGATCACCGACTTTTGAGTCACCTGCGTAGGCTCCAGCTCGCGTGAAATGCTTCGCCATGAATGCTCCGCATATACCCATGGAAGCAGCGGCGTCTCGTGCACGAAAAGGAGCCAATGGATTTCCGCACAAGAGCAGACTCTAGCGAGCGGGTGCGTTGGGGTGCCTCGATACGCAACATGCTGTGCATTGAACGCACACCGCTAGGTGCCATAGACAGGGGTTCGGCTGGTACCCATAAATCATGCGGCTCCAAAAGCCCCAATCCTTCAGTGCTCTTTGACTTGATGCGGTGAGTGCTGTTCAAGCTGCCTGCCGACCCGAAGGAGGTCTTCAGCATCGATAAGCATTGCGATGGGAACGAGCTCCTCATGCACATGGAAACCAGAGTCGAGTGAGAGGCAAACCGCATCCGATGCATTTTCGTAAAGCATTTGATCAGCAACTGAGGGAAATGACCACTCCATCGCCGCTTCTCTATTGGAGCGACGTTGCTTGATTCGCAGCTGCCTCGGAGCATGAGTGGTCATCCGAGAGGCGCCTTGCCGCGACTGTGCCGCGGAGGAAACGTCGGAAGCGCGTCTCTCTGCGAAACCGATATGCACGAATCGAGAGGCCGCTCGTTTGAAAAGCGGGTCCCCAGCCTGTGAACCCGCCATCGCGCAGGCGTTTGCCTGGTCGTCGTGCACCACCCGCCACAACTGTGGCAAGAGCGCGATCGGAAAGTTTAAGCAGAGTGTCCCCCATACCAACCAAGCCGTTTCTGTTTGAGGAAACCTGGTTCTCGGCAAAATGTCCGCATAGGTTGCATAGGGGATGCAGGCGATAACGGCCAGTGGAAAACCCTCTATCATTACGACAGTGCTCACCTCCGGGTGCTGGATGAGCACTTGCGCCAACGCCTGAGCACTCCGACCGTACCACCGAAGCATTCTAGACACCTCTTCTTGGTACGTGCCGGTGAGGGACTCGAAACTGACCGCGACGGTCAAGTGATCAACGAGTTCGTCTTCGGCGTCGTCGATGCTCGCCTTTGACTGACGACGACGTACGTTTCGAGTTTTGGTAAGAGCGTCCTCTCGGTGCCATCGATAGCGACGAGCACGCTGCTCCAGAGTCGAGGCGCTGTGGTATACACGCCTCCGGCGACGGAGCCGACGCTGTAAGCTCCTCGAACGCATGAGCTCGACGCTGAACTCCTGGGGAACTGTGTACGGGGCAAGAACGCGAACCTGCTCCCTGCGCCACACGCCAGCAGTTCGCAGCAACAGGTGGCATGGTGTCTAGGTCATGGGGACTGGACTCTACCGCGGCTCGATCTAGACATTCCGCAACAGACTTGGAACTATGAACGTGATGGGGTATAAGTTGAGCGATATGATCCATACAGAGAGCGGAGGAGTACGCGAAGCGCAGCCATTGCGTAACGGACGACTTGAATCGATCGATATGAGCGGGTAACTAATCAGAAATGCGATCGGAATACTGAGCGAGTGATGATTCGGGTGCGAGTATTCCCCCAATAGACTCCAACATGTTCATGTGATTGGGTAACTCGTCGGGGGTATGGTGCGAATAGAGAGCCAAAGAGTGCGAAAGTGTTTCTGGTGATGATTCCCCAATAGAAGCAGGAGCGTGGTAAACTTTGTGTCCTCGTAGCCAGACTCTTATGCCGAATGCTTGACATTTTTCGAGAAAGCTTCAGAGCAGCTACTGCTCATGCTCGCAACGCGATAATTTTCCTGCTCTGGAGCGAAGAGGAAACACTCGAGAGCTAATGCGATCACAAGGGAACTTGAGCATGCACCGCATACACTCGGATTGGATGGTGTTATAGACACAGCGTGCCGGCATTGTACGCAGAGCAGCAAAATCCCGAATACCTGCACCAGCACGCACTTTTCGTTTCCGTTCGTTTCTCCGCGCAGGTATTCAAGAAAACGACTGTCTCCTGTAGAGTGGAGAACGTTTGCCAAAGTGCTTCATGCTTTCAGTGGTAGCGTGCAAGCATACTGGGCTCACTTCCACGAATTCGTCATGCTGCAGTAACCAGGTAGATGAATCGCGCTTCTCGTTGTCCTTGTTCTGAACGTGGCGTACTGAAAACAGATCCCGTTGAATTCTATCTACAGAAATGTCTCCTCGTGAGCAAAGCCCATTCCATTTTTTTCTGAGAAATTCTATAAAACAGGCCGGAGCATATGACGCTTCCATGTCGTTGATGCGAACGGTGATGACGAGAAGCGGACAGACAGAGAAAAACAAACCTCTATGCGGGACCATCGCGTATTGAACAAGACGCATTCGATTACGCCATGAAAGAGGAACGCATGCTGTACCAGAGACAGGTTTTCGTGTTCCTCACTGAGACCTGTTTCGTGAGAAATCTTAGACCCGTGTATGGGTGAACAAAGAGCAGCAATCCGTTGTTCTTGAACGAGATACAAGCGAGCATGGTGGCAAAAAAAACTGCCCTGGTGGCGATTCAGTCGATTGGTCACGTACCAGTCGCCAGTCGGACAGAATCGTTGAACACTTCCTCCTTTGTCAAATCATGCCGTGTCGTCCACTTCGAATATTCTCCTGTCCCGCTCTTAGACAGCGTCAGTTTCCTTCACTCAGAAACTATCACAGATCATGCAGTTGAGACTGCGGTTGAGCTCCTCTTCGATTTGGATTATTCTCCCTGGCTAGATCCATTCAAAGGCGTCTTTTCCGTTTGCAAACGCCATTTCTGCGCACGCCGATCACTAGAGGAGTCCTTTGCATCCGCAAAACCGAAAGATTCAGTAAGGCATGAAGAATCGCGTAACTTGTGAATCGAGAACATCGCTCCTAGTCACACTTGCCTTCACGCTCCTTGTCAAGCGACCCATCGGACGCGTTCCGTACGCAGGGCTGCTAATTATCCACGTTCTTCGGAATTTTTTCAATGAAATCTTCGCAGAGCAGCATATATGATGCTCGGGGCTGTGGACGCAAATCGGTTTGGTCGAAGGTTCATAGATTCACATACACGAACACGCTTCCAAGCATCCCTTGAAGCGCTGCCGCGCCGCCTCGGCGACGGAAACAAATGTAACCGTTCAGGTGCCAGAAAGCATCGAACCGAGCTCAATAGTCATACGCTGTTCAATGTCGTGCAATTCAGTCTGCACACCCTATAGGCGTTGCACACTTAGCTTACTAGATCAGATAAGTTGAGAATAGTGTGCGGAATTCCTGGGCTGTAACCGGAGGCAAATAATCAGCTATGGGCCGGAGAGTTCCCAGTGGTTGCCAGTTCGGATGCGACGTCACGATAAAGACGCGAGTTGTTTCAGATCGTCCAAGCTCACTAGCTGCCCTTGGCCTCGGACGGACGGGTGTCGTATCCAAACGATACGTGAAACTTGATGGCTCCTTGCGCTGCATCTTGCAGTACAAGGTTCTTATGAAAAGAGTCCTCCCGATCAGAGCAGACTTCCTCCCAGAATCCGAGCGCCCTCACCCCCTCAAGCATCTGTTCTGTGTGTGGTCCCGGTATCTCAGCTCAAGGCCGATGATATCAGCGCAGAGAGTTGCGAACTCTATGAACTGATCATTGAGTTGCACCTGATCACTGCGATTGAAAATGTAGCACTGGGACAACTTTAGAAAAGATCATTGGTGGAGCTCGTTCCCGACTTCTCGTGTACAGGATGGCAATGAAAAGAAGTTTGCATGAACGATTGAGACCAACAGAATATCCATATGTATGCCTCTCGTGAGAACTACGCCTCAGTCGAACAACGAGACTCATTTTCAATCCTTCACCATCGATGAAGGGCAAGACACTCCGGTGGCCGTGGATCCCACGTTGCGTGGCGTTATAGCCATCGCCATGCCTTTCAATCAAGGGTGACGCAGCACAAATTTGAACGGAGTGCAGCTGAAGCTGAAAAACTTCCACAGAGCTCGTTGTCGTCCGGGGTCGGACATGTTGGACAGCAGGAGCCGACGAGCAAATGGAATCGCGGCGTCAGGATCCATCTCGATGCTCTGAGCATCGTGTCCTGCAGAGGAGCATGCTTAGTGCGCTTCATTCTGAGAGTCTATGCGCGTCGAAGTTGCTCACATGATCGAAACCTGGCAGGAATGCATGGTATTGCGCTGGAGTCGCCCAAAGCTTTGGGTTTACGAACACAGGAAATGAGTATTCTCAAAATTCTTCTATGATTTCGAAAGGGAAATTACAGAAAGTTCACTTCGGTTGGTGGCAGCCGCTGACGCGCTACATGCTGTAGCGCGTCAGGATCGCTCGCCTGCTCCTTCAACAAGTGCGTACCATGAGTCATGCATCGATTCTATATGATTCCTTTCGATGCGTCCGGGACGACGTACAAGCATCACGAGCACGCAGGTATTGGTAGGAAAGAAAGCGGTGGTTCAGCCCCGGATGCACAAGATGGCGTGCGGCAAGCTTACCGAACGTCAGATGACGAGACGTTCCTATGTATGAGGCTTGATTCGATGCGATACGAATAGCAACCATGCACACAAGAACGTTCTACATCGAGGCTTGAACACCTCAATCAACATCTGGGAACGAGTTGTACTTCCGGAGCGTACTGCGGCTTCGTGTCGAGCGATCATGAAACGTACTCGTTTCGTGCTCAGTATGAGCATTGTGCTGAATTGCTGCAGACTTTCGATGAAAATCTCGCCGGTCAAGAGAGATGGCGCAGGATTCTCGTCCAGAGCAAGGCACTGGTACGAAAAGGTCAGCAATCCAGAAACGCTGGTGCGCCATCCACAGCGATACCGGGAACGATATTCCTCGGTTAATGATGTACGATAATAGTATTCTCTTATTCGATGTTGCTGGGGTTTGTTGATGATCACGCTTTCGTGCAAACAGCGCATCCTTCGAGGACTCCATGCAGATCCCGGACTCCGCTCGTGTGAAAATCGGCGCTGCAACGTCCCATGTAGTGAGAAACTGCCCAGATAGAGCGTCCGATTTCGCTCAACTTGGTGTACACGAGTAGTTTCAACGGCAGGCATGGTGCACCAGGCAGCCTCGTCCAGCCTCTAGCCATACTATTGCGAAACCATTTATACAGGACAGAACAGCGCTCGCCCGGAGCCTAGTCTTGCGGCTGTAGACCGCTGAGCAGGACGATCGTGTGCAACGACTTGAACGAGCGCGCCGGGTAGAGCTGTAGCATTCCAAGTGCGTTTGACGTTAAAATCCCATTAGTTCCTGGATATTCATCGGTTCAGTGCAATCCGGTGGTGCATATACGATCGTTGCGGGGCGATACTACACAGGACGCGTCTTGCGAGGACAAGCCATCTGGTCTCGTATGGTGCTATTTTGAACCTGCTTAATGGTCTCGATGAAATTCGTGGCGCTCGCGGGTACGATATCCCACAGCAGTCATTCGCTGCATCAGGCTAAAGGTTTACAGTTTCGTGCGAAGCTACGTGCGCCTTGGATGAAGAGCGCACTCCGCGTCAATCACCACGGGTTTCACCCTCTAGAATACGATACATCCTATGCATTCGTTTAATATCGACAGTTCAGAACGAAGCTCGATCCCCGTGTTGCACACTCGATAGAGTAAGAAGCGCACAGTTGCGTCAATAGCGATATGCGTGATGCTACCCCTAACGACGCGAGGTGCACAGCGCATGGACATTGTCGTCCACTGATAGCGCTCTGGTTGTTTCAGCGCCGGGCGCTTCTGCCATAATGCGCGCCCTCGGGCATTGAGCAACGAAACGCTCTGGCACGAGTCACTGCCTCTTGGAAGCAGGCTTTGATGATTTGATTTTGAGTTTCTCTGAAACCGCGTCAGCACCGATCGCATCAGCGTTTGAAAGGCCCATGAGTTTCTCAGTCTCTTCGTCAACTTTGCGCAACTGCGCGTTATCCTCCTGTAGTTTTTGTATCAGCGCCATTAACTGTGCCTTTTCTCGCTCCTGGCGCTCCAGCTGTGCCTTAAAATGTCGGATGAGTTCAGACATTTCGCGTTTCAACGTAAGGACCTCGATTTGGGCCTGGGCATTCTGCTCGCTTAGAACGCGATTGCGCGCTTCCAGATCGTTCACCATGGCTCGGCGACGTTCACGGGAAGCGGCTGCAGCCTGGCGGTTTCGTTCCGCGCGTAGGCCATCGGGTACTCGGTCATTTGACGTAGCTTGCAACTGCTCGGCCGGCTCGCTTTCAAATCTCTTCCTGCTATCCAGGGCGTCAGCAGCGGTAACAGCTTCCGGGGCGCCACACGTTCGTGCCGAGTCTGACGCTGACCATGGACTTGGCTCTATTCGCTTCAGAGGGCTGGGCGATAAAAAGCTGGAGGCTGCCTCGTTCGCCACTGGTGCCTCCGTTTTAGTCTCTGACATCAATGGTCTTGTGGGGAGACGACCCATCGCGGGTCCAGCTGGATCATGTTCGGATCCGACATCCGAAACCACTCTCGCATCAATCGCATTGTCCAGTGGAGTGTGAGGGCGTGGTCGTTTTGTGGCGCTGGCGGGTCGCTCGGCAACTTGGTTGCCTCCGAAGGAGCCCTCCTGACGGAGTAACCTCACCAGTGGATCTTCGTCATCAACGAGTCCAGCAGAACTATTCTGCATCAGGAGTGTTGGCGATCCCAGTAGTTCCGTGGTCGTTGGCAAGCTGCGCAAATCTGTAAAAGGGAACTGAAAACTGAAATCGGACCCATTCAAGTTAAACGAAGTTGGCGGTGATAGGTTTTGCATGAAGTTCGGGAACGGATACCGTTGGCGCTGCGCTGCCGCCGCAGCCGCCACTGTGGCAACCGATGCAAGCTGCGCAAGCGCCGAGCTTGAACTTCCAAAGCTATCCGCGCTGCCGGGCGGGACGTCTTCCCCGCTCCCTCGCTCAGGGAGCGAGCTCCCTTTCCTCGGAGTCTGTGTTGAGTTGCCCGGAAACGCCTGTGTTGCCAAGGACGCTCCGTCGTCATCTTCAAAAACCGGGCCCCGCTGCCCACGAACGTTCATCAGCAGCGGCCGAGCTTAGCCCGAAGCGCAGGCCCCGAGGTTGCGCTGTGTGCTCAATGCTTATGCCGCCTCCCAGGTGCGTCTGTTGTGCAAGCGTGTTACGGGACGCCCAGAACCCTGGAAGCGCGCACGTCGAAGCGGCCAGCCCTTTTGGTCAAGTCCCGCTTTTCAAGTACACACTCTTCCGTGCGACGTGTTCGCCTATGCGGTACTGGCCAATACGAGATACGCCCTGGTCGAAGGCAACCGCTGCTGTCTGGCAAGCTACGCAGCCGTGATGGCGCTTTCGGTACGGCACGGCACGGCATGGCACGGATACCATCGTGTCGACGGTGCGTGTCTCGGTGGCTGCTGTCTCATCTGCATGTCACGTGACATTTCGTGCTGCGCAGGAGATTGCCGGCATTGCCTTCGGTGCCGGTACCTCGATCGTTGCCTGCATTCGTCCGGCATCTTTTCGGGCCGAACTTACGTGAATCTACCCAGGGAACTCTGAGATACACGTTAAAGCTGGCGCTCCTTGCTACTGTCACCAAATGGAGCATTTGTGAGCTTTGTTTCCGCGACTGCTTCGTTTTCATCTGCCTTTTCTCTGGATTTAAATGCGATGGGCTCTTCTGTCTCTCCAGCTCCGTTGTCAGCAGTTGAAGGATGTTAATGACAGCGTTCGAGTCCCGACATAAGTGCCTCCAGCTGTTGTTGGTGCATATCATGCACAGGCGGCAGTTGTTATCCATGCCGAGCATTTCATTTTCAACTTGTTTTGCATAGCATCGGTGTGCATTTTACAGCGGTGACACCCGGTTGTGGTCGGGAGTTCACCTGGGTCCATCACAGCTCCTCCTCCGAGCATCGCCTTTTGGAACATAAAGGCTCAAGGCATCGCGCGGTATATGCGCCTGAACTATGCAGAAGGCCGCCATGGATGACTTTCTTCGTTTCTGGACGTGGTACCGTCCCTTACGATCAGTGGCTCCCTCTGGGCGATACGTTCGTCGCGTACGCCGCCGGATGCTCGCTCATGGGGCCGCTGTTCGAAACGACGGAAGATTTGTGGAACGCGATGTCGTTCATGATGATGAGAAAGGCACCGGAAGGATTATCCATGCCGGAGACAACGAAAAAGTCAGATCCGTTGATGCGCCCTTCGCGCTACGCGGTAGCAAGCGTTCCACGCGAAGCGACCGATGGAATGACGAAGATGCGAGTCCCAGGCCCTTTTCCGTACAAACAGAAGAGACGATTGCCCCTGGAGGCATGTCTGGGGCGGTGTATCTTGCGGGCACGGAATACGGGGCTCCGACGGCCACAAAGAGAAGCGGAGCACCCTGTCAAACGGAGCCCCGTGTTTGACGTCACAAGTTCAGTGAACTTTTAGCATGGGCGTGTCAACAGGTCATCAAAGGACAAAGTCGATTGATTCTTGCTCGCCAATTCAGGGGCGCGATATGCTACGGCCTCGAGTTGCGTCCAAGCAGAACTATCGAATAGTTGAAGAATGCGTGATTTGCGCGTGCTTGACGTAAAGAAACGAAAGGTTTCGTTGCTTGTCCATATCCACTGAAGACTGGTATCGGTTGCTTCACGGACGCTAGTTCGTTGGCGTCACGAACCATCTCGATTCCACTTGCAGTAACGTATTCCAGCGGGAACGCGTCGAGGGGGCCTCTCCTATACGAGAATCGAGGATCCTAAAACTAAGTATGTATCCTAAAACCGCAACTGTTGCACTTCTAATGTCGATGTCGTACATCTGCAAGCAAGTTCCGGAACATCGAATGCCAGGAACAAAGCGAGCAATTCAACATTCCATATCTATCTGACACGGGATAGCATCTAAGGCACGACGCTACCACGCGTGCAACACGTTCCAGTACGCACAGCGCTATCCAGTACCATGCCAGATGGCGACCGACGGTCTGCATTTCGTGTGCGTTCAGGTGCAGCGTGCCGACGCCGATCGCACGGTCCGACCAAGATGCACAGGAACGTTCGGGTGCAATACGTCATCGGAAACATCGCATCGGTACACAAACGAGATCACCATGTGCTTCCCTAGGGTCGAAACTTTTCCCAAACGCCCCGTTTTCTTCCGTGTTCAATCAGGTCGCAAAGTGTCACGCAAGCAAGCTAGGCGGCGTCCTCGCGCCGCAGACACATGCAAAGGTGCTCAAGCGCGTCACTCTGAGCCTCTTCGAGAAGCTCTGCACGCCTGCGTCTACACCCTCAACTGATGCTGTGAATCATTTGCCACTGTCGCGATTCCAAACGCACAAGCCACGCGTTTTCACAGGTTGAAATCATTGAATCTAACCGAATGCCAAGGTGTGCAGGTACTGCCTCTAGTGTCCGCGCAAGTCGCAGCTCCGCTACGGTCGCTTCTCGGTATGCTCAGCGTCAAACCCCTGTTGCCTGCTCGGAAAAATCCGTGTTTCGGGACCATGAGATCGTTCTCGCGAACGCTAAGATCGCTGATCACCCGAAAGTTTCAACATTCGGGACGGGATGCAAGCGTTAGACCCGAAGAACTACAGCATGGAAAAAGTTATCCATCAGTGCCTGGCACATGATCCACCGTGCCGGCTGATCGGTCGCGCCGATCCGCTCAACGGCAGGACGTTCGTGCCGCCCGGTGGCGTTTCCAGAATCCGGTGTATAAAGCGCCGTTGCCCAGACAAACTCGACCTGGCACTCAGGTGACCGGACAATTGTCGATTTTAGGGCAACTATAATTTTGCTTGACTTATGGGAGGTGTCAGTGCGCACGAGCCGCCCGCAGCGTTTGTTATCGGTGCTTCTAGGAACAGGGTTCCGCAAGCGGACGGGACGCGTGCTTGCGTTTGGAAATCGAATTCAAGCTTCAGAGCGAGTAGGGTGCCTCGATTCAGGACTAGAATAACGTTATGGTGCGAATCAGATCGAGAAATCTTGAAGTACACTGGGAGCGAGGCGCCCCCAACCGCCAATGGCCACAACGCGCACACCGACTTGGGAGTTCAGCGTACCGGACAGGGTTTGATGTCGCACTTTCACGGGTCCAAGAACCCAGCACACTCCAACGGGCATCAACCCGTAGAACAAGGCATGAAGCACAGCGCTTCTGGGTTAAGCACGGGTCGAAGGGACGCTGGAACCGATGCGCAGCCCCGGCCGCCGGATGGTGCACCACCGCAGCAACGCGGCGCGCTGGAACCGGAACCGAACTCTCGTACAGGCGACTCGTCTGCGGTATCTGAGCGAGAGTCGATTTCGGTAACTCCCGACGACTATTTGTCTGATTTACCAAGGAGCGTGGTCCTGGAGTCCTTGAGAGACGAATCGCTCAAGACGCTACTGTCTCCGTTGCCGAGGCCGGCACGCCTGCGGATAATTTTGATGGGGAAGCCCGCCTCTGGCAAAGGCACCCAGGCACCGCTTATCGCGCGTCGGTTTGGTATGGTCCACATATCATTGGGAACACTGTTGCGAAACGAGATACGCTCGAATACTGAACTCGGCCGCCTGACCAGCGAATATGTGCATCGTGGCGAGCTTGTTCCTGATGATCTTGCACTGGCTATCCTGAAAAAGCGACTCTCTCAAGAGGATTGCCGGAATAAGGGATTCATCTTGGATGGATTCCCCCGTACAGAGCGTCAGGCAGTTTTGCTTAATCGCGCCGGCATCGAGATCGACTACGTCATCGTACTCGAAAGACCTGACGAGGATTTGCTCGATTGGGCACGTGAGCGTCTCCTTGACCCGATTACGGGCATCATGTATCACCCGCGGCTGGCGCCTCCGCCGCCGCACGTTGTTCACCGGCTCGAGCGCCGCTGCGACGATAAGCTGGAAATCGTGCACATGCGCTTGAGGCAGTATGCACAAGAGGCCCCAAAAATCATGGCCCAATATAGCGATCGACTTTCTATTGTGCGAACGGATAACACACGTCCGTACTTGGACACTTTTCGCGAGATCTCAGAGATTCTGGAACGCTTGATCCTCCCTCGAGACGATGAAGAGAAATGTGAAGTTCGTTTGGAAAGGACCGGCCTTTGGCGGCCGCGAGGCATACACCGCGTGGCACTTCCACGTGGCGCATTGTTCAAGGCCTTAGATTCGTTTGCACACCGCATAAGAGAGAGGGATTACGTACCGCTCTATGCGAGCACAGCTCAAGATGCACCGCGGATCGGCCTTGTTGGACGCAACTGGGCCGCAGAGCTCCTATCCGCTGACACCGACCATGAAGTGTTTGACATTCAGCTGGAGACATGTTCAGTATTCGATGCCAGTGAGACCACAGACAGCGGATTTGTCCGTTTCCATGACGACGCTACGACGGAGAGACTGCAGCAAGTTATGCAGCGGATGCGAGACCGCGGCCTCATCGAAGGTTGGCGAAACGAAAGGGTGCCGCTGCGGCTCGGTAATGGCCGGTACCTGGAAATTGAACGCGCCTGTATGCCGTACCTGGGCATCGAGACGAGTGGTGTCCACATTAACGGCTACTTTTACAAAGCCGGACAAGACGGAAGACCGGAACTATTCGTGTGGCTGGCGCGTCGGTCTTGGAAAAAACCGACATATCCGGGGCGCCTAGATCAGCTGACTGCTGGTGGTGTACCGGCCGCAGCGACCTCTGTGCTGCAGCAGGTCATGCTGGAGTTGTACGAGGAGGCGGCATATGTCGGTCCAGCGCCTGTCCCTGTCGGCTGTGTCCGCTACCGCTATGAGACGCGCAAAGGAATCTCAGCAAAAGTCCTGTATCTCTACGATTTAGAGCTTGAAGAGAACTGGAAACCCTACAACCATGATGGCGAAGTGGACGCGTTCTACGCTGTGAGCGCTGAGGAGGCGCTCGCGAGTCTAGTTGAGGCCCAGCATGAATGGAAGCCAAACTCGGCGCTGGTTCTCGTTGACTTTTTGGTTCGCCACGGTGTCTTGCATGCGGACAACGAACCGGACTATGCGGATATCATAACTCGCTTGCACTGTTGCGGTATCTGAGGAGATCCGTATTCTATGCGTGCTGCCGCTGAAACCAGAGGAGAACGATGTACGCTGTGCTTGCCCCTGCGCTGGTTGGCTTCGGCATATGAACCGAGGTCGCCTACAACTGTTTGGACTGACGTTTTCCCCCCGAAGTTTCCGCGTACTTGGTTCGTTTTGGCGGCAGCACGAGCATCATGTTGAAGCAGTAGATCCTTCGTTGCTTCGCTTCTTACTGAGCGGTTTGGATCCACAAGTTTCCGAGTAAATGCTCAAGCGAGCGAGTTATTTTAACGTGGTTACAAAAAGGTATACACCGCCAAAGGGGCTCGAACCCTTGACCCGTGGATTAAGAGTCCACTGCTCTACCGACTGAGCTATGGCGGTAGTAGGAGATCTGGCGAGAATTTGATATATAAATAGGTTGGGGGTTTTGCGCGCAATTTGCGTGGCAAACGCACTGCTGCCAGCCATGATGTTGTCTCTTTTGTCTAGTATTCCATAGATGCGCGCCGTTGACGTCCGTGCGTTTGCGTTTTCCGGCTTTTGAACTCGATTATGTTCCAGCCCCGCTGCATGTAAAAGAGTGCTTTTTCGCAGTTCGTAGTGGGGGATCTGAATCGCTATGCAATTTTTTGTGTAGATCGTAGACGAATTGCCAGTAAGATATATTCCTCACTGAAACGTTCAAAGAGTACTGCATTCCTCCTTCAGTTCAATCATATCATAGTACACAGATAATTGAGGAATCTTGAAAGATGACAGATGCACTCCGCGCCAAAAACCGATATTCCCACAGCGTCCATGCGGTCAACGGTAGACAACGACGCGTCGATCGCCTTACGAAAAGCGAAACCGACGATCATCGTCACCACGTGCGCATCAGATACGCACCAGCTTGCTCGTGTGGTCTTGAAAATACCAGGATGCAGTTCCAAAATATGTCCGATGACGCGACCTGCCATCTTCCACCGAAATTGCAACGATAGCGTTCCGGGGACTCCGCAATCGGTATAAAGCACAGGGACGTCGGTTTGGTTTCTCAGTCGATGGGAACTTCTTCGGACGAAACGATTGAAGCGTTTGGGGGGTTTCGCGGAGCAGGCAGCCTATTCAATGTAGGATCGAATTGGAAGAGAACGAGAACATCAGCATCTGTTCGAGCTGCAGTAGATACATTTGGCGGCTTCTGCTACGCTCGTAGAGAGGGCCCATGCAAGAGCACAAACCACTCTGTCGAACCATAGAAGACTTTTCGCCTGACGTCTAGCAGCGTCCTTCGATTCGATCGCGCGTCATTTCACCGTTTTCCTTGCGTTCGAGCTTTTTCGGATTCCTTTGGGGTTGAGCTGCATTTCATTCCTTCGTACGCTCCGTGTTTTAACCCATTCGAATGGGTTTTTCTATTGTGAAACGTAATGATTGCTCCACTGGGAGAATCGCGAAGCGTTCGGCATACGGTGACACACCAGAGACACATTTCATCTTTTTTGTGCAAGTACTTCTTCCTCCAAGAATATCCTCATCTAAGGACACACAGACCTGTGTTCATTTTAGAAAACTTAAAGGATGAGCTGGGGCCTGCACTTCAGAATGTCGTGATGGAGAGGCGGTAGCGGGGCGCATCGTCGATAGAATACCACGGTGAGCTGGGAGAGCACCAATTGACACACAGGATACGAGTTCGAGGACTTGTCGCATTGGTGAGTACCGCCAGCGGCAAGAAACGCTTCGAGTTCGTGCACCAAGACTCTAACGCCGCCATCCATATCAGAAGGTATACAGTGCTGAAGACGATACCAACAGAGCGGACGGAATGCAACCTTGAGGGGCAGCCTCCCAGGCTCGAAAAGTGCAATCAGAAGCTGAAACTGATAGCAGGGGGCCGGTCGAAGAAGGCTGAAAAGTGTCTCCACGTCGGTATTGCTTTACTGTATGGTCGCGGAATGTTCTCGCTCCTCTGAACGAGTGAAGTCCACCGACTCGAGCAACCATAGTTCAGCTGCAGTGTCTTTCCATCCGAATCAACAATAGCCATTACATGCTTTTTCTGCGACTGTTGCCTTTTCCTCTCGCTTGTCTCCGTTATCTAATACGTGCGTTCCTGTCCCTCCAGCGTTGTTTTCAGTAGTCGAAAAGTGTTCGTGACAGTGTTCAAGTTCCGATTTCGCCGCTTCGGGCCGTTTTCCATGCATTTCATCCACAGGGAGTAGTTGCAGACTACGCTTCGCTTGCCATTCGCATCTTGTTTGTTTACAGATTCGACGCGCCCTTCGCAGCGGTGACACATAGTAACGATCATGAATGGGCACATGTGCCCATCAGCTCCCCTTACGTGTGCCGTCCTGTGGCGCATGAAGGCTTGTTTTCGCGTCCGGCTCATGCCTGTGACGTGTAAAGAGGGGTCCCAGGAATACCCTCCGCCGTTTTTGCGCCCGCTCTAGTACCGAAGGACGACGGGCTTCACCTGCGCGATATCCTCGGAGTGCATAATCCCCGCCACACGAGCGAGCACACGCTACTCCACTCGATAGAGGATTTGTGGAACGCGATGTCGTTCATGATGATGAAAAAGGCACCGGAAGGATAATCCATGCCGGAGACAACGAAAAAGTCAGATCCGTTGATGCGCCCTTCGCGCTACGCGGTAGCAAGCGTTCCACGCGAAGCGACCGATGGAATGACGAAGATGCGAGTCCCAGGCCCTTTTCCGCACAAACAGAAGAGACGATTGCCCCTGGGGGCATGTCTGGGACGGCGTATCTTGCGGGCACGGAATACGGGGCTCCGACGGCCACAAAGAGAAGCGGAGCACCCTGTCAAACGGAGCCCCGTGTTTGACGTCACAAGTTCAGTGAACTTTTAGCATGGGCGTGTCAACAGGTCATCAAAGGACAAAGTCGATTGATTCTTGCTCGCCAATTCAGGGGCGCGATATGCTACGGCCTCGAGTTGCGTCCAAGCAGAACTATCGAATAGTTGAAGAATGCGTGATTTGCGCGTACTCGACGTAAAGAAACGAAAGGTTTCGTTGCTTGTCCATATCCACTGAAGACTGGTATCGGTTGCTTCACGGACGCTTGTTCGTTGGCGTCACGAACCATCTCGATTCCACTTGCAGTAACGTATTCCAGCGGGAACGCGTCGAGGGGGCCTCTCCTATACGAGAATCGAGGATCCTAAAACTAAGTATGTATCCTAAAACCGCAACTGTTGCACTTCTAATGTCGATGTCGTACATCTGCAAGCAAGTTCCGGAACATCGAATGACAGGAACAAAGCGAGCAATTCAGCATTCCATATCTATCTGACACCAGCATTGCGGACATATGCGCGGCGGCAGGCCGCCCCAGCGTCTCGTGGCCAATCTCTCATGCTTTGGGGTAACTGCAAGGTTACCGCCATTTCGAAAAAACCTATGATCAAGGCGGACGCTGTTACCATCAAGCTACCGAGCGCCCCGGATTGCTCTCGATGGGTCCTCTGTTGAGAATCTGGACTTGGCGGCACCAGCACGATACTATCCAGCTTCTTTGGTGGCGTTCAGAAATGACGCTTCAGAGACCCAGCGCCCTTTCGATAACGGTAGCCTGCCAAAGCCCGCACGCCTCGGTTCGCGAAACCATACTGCGTCCGTTCAGGCATCGCCGGCGCTCATTCTATCAGTCTAGCTCGTGCGACAACGGCGAGATAACCTCTAATGAGGGCCGTTTCTCCACCGCCCGTAAAGCATCAGCGTGTCGTTGTATTCGTAGACGGCACGGCGGGCGATCGTGGTGCGCTCTCTGAGTGACGCTCCGCGATAGCAGCAGGGGCGACGCTGGTCAAGCTTAGGTCGCAATTTGACTTGCGTTTCGATGATCGCCTTGGTCGTTGTTCAGTGCCGAGTGAGTGCTATTTGTATGTGCGAAGTAGCGAATGTGCGCTATCCCGCAGATGCTCATGACCTAGATTGATAGAGGAATATGGCATGTGCGCGCAAGCGCAGCGCTACGGCATCTCGCTGGCGGCGGCAAAGACGACTCACTCGCTCATCGCATGCCCAGCATACACCCTACTAGATACGCTCCGGTTCCGTACACATTTTGACCACAAATCTGCGCGGTGTCACGGCTCCGTTCACGGCCTTTGTATGCCACGTCGACTAACTGAAAGCACAGCGGATCCTAGGTCGGAACAATAGATCCTTCATCTGCGAGCCATTGCCGTATCGATCACGTCATCAGATCGCTCAGGTTCGTGGTGATGCATGCCCCGTAGAGGCCGCGCTTTTGCCTACCGTGCGAAGCAGTCGAGTGTTGCTGTCGACATCGGCGGGCATCTCGACGTCACTGGGCTCACTTTCAGATCCGCTAAGACGCGACCCTGACCACGGGACCGATGTCGTTCCCTTGCTCTGAGACTGACTCTCCGATACGGCTTCCCGTGTCCACCAGAAAGACGCGAGTCTTCTTCTCAACCACGGATACACGCCGAAACACCACTCAGGATCATGCAGACGTTTCCAGTGCTCGGTCTGCAATTTTGAGAGATGCGCTGCAACCCAGCCCAACTGTTTCGTGCCGTGCCTAATAATTTTTCGGGACGCCCAGTTTATGAGCGATGCTGGAATAAACTTGATACGCGGATCGAATACACCCACCAGACGGACCCGAGTGCGACCCCGGGATACCGGATGCAGCTCGAAACACGCTCGCGCTTCGACGGTGACGGAGCGTTGGTCTGCCACACGCTCGCGCATCCGTTCCGCTGCACGCCATGCCGCACCGTCAGCGGGGCGCACAGAGCGAATCACAATGTAAACGGACTGGCTGGGTTCATCGAGCGCATCAATGCCTCGCCCTACCAGGTAGATGGTGCGGTCCGCGAAGGGCCACGGCGCATAGAAGCGTGCGTAAACCGCACGTTGCACCCGTCCACTCGGAACCAGAAGTTTTATATCCCTCACATACCAAAAAAGCTGCCCGAAGAGATCCGGTTCAGCCAGTACACAACAGAGGTTCTCGAGCGGTGCACTCAACTCCGCTGTGACGTGGTACTTGTGTAGGACACTGCCGGGAATCCTACGATATCGTACTATCATTCGTTTTGTTTGCACTGCTATTGAATAGGCGGGATCGCTTTCGTCATTTAAATCTTGGAGAAAAAGCGATAAGTCATCGGTTTCCCGGAAAATCTCCTCAATGAGGGGTCCGAAGCTCGCAGCACGCGCCGCAGTGATACCCTGCTGCACTAGAACTCGACGCGCAGCAAAGAGCTGCTCCTCCTCGTACAGCGCTCTGGCATCGGCTATCGCTGGGTTATCCCAGGCATCAAAATATATGCTATCTTCCGGGCCCTCCTCGAGTCTTTGCATGGACGAAGCACGTTAGCAGAGCCATACGGGCGGTATTCGCCATACGCAAACCCAGACGCTCTGAGGCCCACGCGCCTGCTGCGCTTCGTCGGCAATCGCGTCGATGATTTTTTTTCCGATGACAAAACATGTACATTAATTCATGGATTCCGGATTGTGAGAGGGATATTGGCTTTCGGGAAAGCGTCCATCATGCTGCTGCACCCTACCACCGAGTTCCGTCAACTGTTCTCAGATGTACTGGTCGTTTTCTATGTTCCTCTGTTCGCAGAGTATCTGCTTTGAGCACCTGCCTTGGCGCCGACACCGGTGGAGCAGATGTATCACGGAGAGAGAACGGCTTTGCGATGCCACGGAGGGCGTCGGCTCGAGACATGATTCATTCAACACGGGGTCGGAGTACATAATTATTCCGGGAGCCTGCCAGCTGCGCAGACAGAAGTACTGCCTGCGGCAGTGCGAAGCGATTGACTTGGAGTCCACTGCGACCAGGGCGACGCCCAAACGCAGCATATCGGCTCCTGGTCACTGAATAAACTGCGTTTCGAACGAGCTTCTCAGATCCCTTCACGGCACTAGGCACTGGGAAGAGCATGGAGCACTGGTCTGACAGACTCGTCCGGCTCGCTGGACCTCTCGCCTAGATGATAAACTTTCGACAATGCGGAAAGCTTTCCCGCATTTCAACGCTTACCCTAGACAGGGAACGGGATAGTTATCTCGTTGCTAGTTAGAGGCTCGTTTTTGTTCCTATAAATGAATACAGGATAAACTAGTACCGACTCACGGGCACCGCGCAACCTTTTTTGGCCAACCCTATGCTTTAGATTTCAGTTTATGCGCACATGCTTCGAGACTGAGAGGGTGCCCCGCGAAGTGCGATCGCTTTAGCTCCTCGGATCTCGTCTTCAGCACCGCACATCGACTTATATTGGTAGCAACGTTGAAGTCTCGATTCAGGAACTCCATGCATTAACTGATGCGGGTTGAACTCATCCATACAGGGTTTGCTAGAATTTGTGCCTTCTATGCAATTTGGTGCTCTGTCAGCTCGCCGTACTCTTATTTAGCCGAGGCGCTCCGCTGTCTTCTCCCTATCTCGACATTATGAAGTGAACACCTCAGCCCGTACCGTAGAATATTAAAATGAACGCACTCCTTCATGCCCTTAGGTAGCGACAGTCCCCGAGCGAGAAGGACTTGCGGAAAGAGAAAGCAGGGGAATGGTGATTTACCATGTTGTCCAATCAAGGCCGTCGCCAGACCTGCAATGAAAACGTCTTCAATGATTCAACGGAATGGTTGGCGCTGTAGTTTGAGCCTTCTCTACGAGCCAAACTGAGGCTGCCAGATGAATCCACTGTAGCTAGAATAGATGAAGATGTCGTCATTCTCTACGTGCTCGATCGTACATACAACGGGCACTCTGCTCCCCGAATACCCATATACACTCCGATCCTTTCATCCGAAGCAAGTCTCATCGACTGAGAGAAAACAAACCGACTTCTCCGTCTTCACATCGACTGCAACGTTCCAGGAACGCTGTCGTTGCGATTCCGGTGCTAGTTGGCCGTGTGTGCATTAGGACGCTTTGTTTGTGTCTGTACATTAGTGTTTTCGGGACCAAACGAACGACCCGTTGTGAAACATTGACACCCATGTCGGCTACGATCGTCGCATTTGCTTTTTATTACGTGCTCTATAAATCGTGTTCAACCGCCGACCGCAAGCACGCCTAGGGGGTGGCAGTTTCTGATGCAGAGCGCATCTGTTTTCTTTCTATGATCCTGAAGCACCTGCGTTCTATTGTATGACCGACTTGAATGAGGAATGCAGTCCTCCTTGCACTGTTCAGTATAGAATATATATCCTATAGGCAATTCGTCTACAGTCTATGCTGGGAATGGTGCTATGATTTCAATCCCCTGCTGTAAACTGCAGCCGGAGCAGTGCAAAACTGAGTAGAAAGCATACAGGAAATCAGCGCGCTTGGCGCGAACACGAGCGTGCACATCCGTGGCATGCACCCGCGGATCAGCAGCCAAGGGCACGCAGGCGTCTGATGAGGTTTCCCCCATTTCCCGACGGGATACACCAGAGCGTCTTCCGCGCAAACAGGCCCCTACGTGTGCTTTCTTGTGCGTGTGCTTTCTTGTGCGTGTACGTGCGTGTGCTTTCTTGTGTGTGCTGCTCAGCCAGCGACCTTTCACACACGCAGTCTCGTTTACTGCATGGTGGAACCGTGTGCCCCAACGCCTCTGGTACCTGAACCCGGGCTATCTGTGCCTACAAGTTCAGAGCAAGGTCCAGGAACTCCTGGAACGGAGCCGCCGCCGCTTGCAGCCGAGGATTCGAGTGACCTGTTGGAGCTTGAGCAGCTCGAGGCTACAGACCTGAACAGGTGGCAGGAGTTTGTCACCGATCCCAAGAGGAAAGCGTGTGTTCTGGCGGCGCGCTCGCTACGCACACTCAACAAGTCAAAGCTGCTGAGATACTACCTCAACGCAATCGTTCAGCGCTTCACGTGCGCGAACTCGAAACCGAGCATTGTCGACGTACACTGGCTTATTCATTTGACCAATACCTTGGTGGAGAGATGTGCGAGTCAGCTTTACTCTGAGGAGCCTGAGAACCAGGATCAGCATATGCTCAACGCAATGCGGCTGGCGATACGGACGGTCTCAGGGGCAGGCGCTGCGGTCATCCAGGCATGGATCCCAGCAATGCGCTCAGGAACGATGGCATGTTTGTTGGCTTTGGGCGCTGCCCCTGACCGCCTCGCTGGGGCTCTGCTGGATCGCGTTGTCCGCGAACCGTACCAGGAATCCGAATACGCTCTCGCTATTGGGGCTCTGGCGAGAAACGCCCCGCGGGCGTTGCTCTTGCACGAAGCTCTGGTGCAGCGTAACCCCGCGGCAATAGATGCGATTGTGTGCATGCGGGAGCGACTGGCTAGTGCTGGAAACAGTACCGCTACGATACAAGCGAATGCTACAGCAGAGACAGGATCTGACGAGCAGCTTTCGCATTGTACATGGCTGGATGCGTTGACAAGGCTGGCGCGAAATGAGTTTGCCCTGTACGCTCTGGGTCTGGACACACGCATGACAGCAGAAGACGAAGAGCGCTTACGTCTCGACACTGTTGAGCGCATCCGTGCAGCCTTTGATTCCCCTGATGTGTCGCTCCGAGCGAGTGCTGCTCTCGCGGCCGTGGAGGCGCTGCGCTCTGGCCAAGCACGTCATCCTTCGGAACTCTCGATTCCAACGTCTCTGAAACCGTTGCTGATCGAGATCATCCGACGGACGAAACGCAAGCGGGACGATGAGGTCTCCTGACGAACTCAATCTAAGGCGCAGCAACTGCCGCAGTTGTCGACAGGCGCTAGGCAAGAACCTGGAACCTGTCATGCATCCGATATCATGAGGGATTTTCCGCGACACTTCTTATGTCCTGCTATCCGATCCAGAGGTGTGCTGCTGTCCGACCGAAAAGGAGCCTATCGCTCTTCGTTTGGGTGGTCAGTTTGGACGGATGCAGCGAGCAACGATGGTCCGTGATCGCGGCAGAGCTCGAGTTGTGCTCTGAGTCGTCGCTTCGGCGTGCTACCACCAGTTTCGCGGCCATTTCTGCCGAACAGAATACCTGTCGGCTCCGTTCGTGCTGCATGGCAACTTCGAATGTTATGCTTCGCTTGGATCATGCTCGGATACCTGCGTTCTGCTTTTTTGGTCACATGGGATTGAATCGACCCTACCGAACCCATTCGAGGGCGGATCGATGCCAGCGAAGCGCAGATCGATCGCCGGCGTGTGCTCGGCAGAGAGCAGCACCGCTCTCGCGAAAAGTCTCACGCTATGTCGCTACGTTCGCATGCGGAATGCCGACGCCCTCATTTCGTGCACATATGGATGAAATATTGGCCTGGGGGATCATGGAGAGCGGTACTGGCTCTGGGGGCCGCTTTTGCAAGCGTGCGCAGAAACCGCTGCGCCACCCATGGGTGTACAACAGTCGATAACCGAGACCATTCGACCTCGGGTGGAGTTTTCTGCTGATTCGGGCTAAGAGTCGAGAGCCGTTCTCGTGGACGAGCTGGTCGCCAAGAGCTATGTGTTCCGTCTGCGTTTGCGCATATTGTAGACGGCAGCGAGCTTGCTCCATGATGCTCGATTTCAAAGCCAGCTGTGCCGAACGGCTGACGCTTTAAAACCAGAGTGTACGATGGCTTCGCGCGCGTCATTGAAACTTAACGAAGTAGATGCTGATCTACGGCGGCGAACGCTGTCGCGCACAGCGGCGTTTTTATGGATCATGGAACAAAACAAGCATACTGCAGTCGCTGTCCAGCCAGGAATCGGTTTTCATCGCTCGCAAATTCCCGCACAAATCGACAGCGGTTGCATATCGACTGGTTCAATGTTAGCTGGCGGATTCGGCATCAGGCGAGCATCGTGCTGTCTCAAGAGGATACCATCCAATACCGAGCAGTAAACAGCGCTTTATGGCAACAAGTACATACGCTTAGTGGCAGATGTCGACAGCCTGTTTGACACCTCCCTGTCTGGATTACTTTCGCCCTCACGCACGCACCGTCAAGTACCGAGCAGCAAACAGCGCTTTGCGGCGACGAGAAAGTACCTCTAGAAACGGGCTCTAGCATGCGCGTCGTTGCCGCTCCGGCAAGTTACTCCTGCGACGCGGAAGCAGGTGCTGACGCATCCGCATCATCCGTGATGACGATATCATCCAACATGATATACTGTGGAGCAGGACGCACAATGTCCGCACCAGCATCCCAGAGCAACTGTGCACTTACGGAGGTCGCGACAGCAACACAGCGCATTCTGGCGCGTTTTGCGGCCAAAACACCAGCTGGTGCATCTTCAATGACGACACAGGATTCAGGTGGAACCCCAAGCCCCTCAGCCGCAGCAAGAAATATATCCGGTGCGGGCTTTTTGTTCGCAATTTCATCCGAACGAGTCACAAAGTCGAACATATCACGCTCGAATCCGATCGCCGACAAGTTTGCGTGGACTTTGATAGCGTCCGCTGACGACGCTAGTGCGGTTTTCAAACCCATCGTCTTGATCTGCTGAATGAACTCACGTACCCCTTCAAAGGGCTCCAACGCTGAAACGTATTCATTGACGTAGATGTTGAAGAAACCCTCCTTTGCCTTATTGACGTCAAAGTCTTTGACGCTGTAGCGGCGGGCAACGCCACTGAGGAAAGCTGCCTCGCCGGTACCCGCGAAATCCGCGAAATCCTTCTCTGTAGGCCATACCCCGTGGTATCTTCGAAAATATTCTACACCAGCGGCACGACTGAGCCTCTCCGAGTCGCACAAGACACCGTCCATATCGAAGATGACGGCCCGCAAGTCCCGGTTCGTGGCAGCGGTCAGGTAGCTCTCGAGGATCGCGCCAGCGACCGCCGAAAAATTCCCTTCAGTCCTTTTAGCCATACTTACAAGGCGTTTATAGATCTCGGGTGTGATGTCCACGCGAGAAAGCCGGGCACCGCTGTTGGCACGGAGAAGACCAAGCCGCGGCCAAGCGCGCGCTTCTGGCGCCGTTGTTACACACCGGTGTCGAAACAACTCGCGTCGATATACCGCAGGTGCAAAACCACTGACAAAACTTAGCGTTCCCTCCATATCACCTTAATCAGAAGGTGAATTAAGCTGAATTGAACTGCTCGCTGCGAATAGAGACCTGCTCCACACCCGGAAATCGACTAACTGGCGTTCGAAGCGTCCAGTGCATCCTGCAGATCGCGCAGCAGATCGCCGACTGCTTCAATGCCGACACTCCAGCGCACGAGTCGCTCGTCGATCCCGAGTCGTTCGCGCTCTGCCGCAGGTACGCTCTGGTGCGTCATTAACGCAGGTACCTCGATCAGAGACTCGACACCTCCAAGCGATTCCGCCAGCGTACTCAAACGCATCCTAGACAGGCACTCCGCCGCGTTATCCATGGAAAAGGCAATCATGCCGCCAAAGGCACCCGGGCGTGCTGCGTTTCGTTTCGCAACCTCGTGCTGCGGATGGCTCGCCAAACCGGGATAGATCACCCGGTGGATGCGTTTCGGCTCCATTCGGGAACGCTGCTCGAGCCATTCGGCAATCTTCATCGCATTGTCGCAGTGACGTTCCATGCGCACGGCAAGCGTCTTCAAGCCGCGATGCACCAGGTAGCAATCGAAGGCGCTCGGCACGGCCCCGAGCGCATTCTGGAGGTAGCGCAGGCGATCAGCGAGCGCACGATCGCGCAGCGCAACCGCCCCCATGATGACATCGGAGTGGCCGTTCAAGTACTTGCTCATGGAATGCATAACGATATGAGCGCCCAATTTGAGGGGCTGTTGGCAATACGGTGTCATAAAGGTGTTGTCTACAACCAGCAGCACACGAGGGGGCGTTTGTTTTGCAACCATCGCGATATCTGTGACTCGTAGAGTCGGATTCGTTGGGCTCTCCAGCCATACCATGCGCGTATTGGGATGCTCTGCGAGTGCTTTTGGATAAGCGTCGCCTTCAAAGTCGATAAAGGAGAACGTTACACCAAAGCGGGCCGCCACGTTGCGGAAGTAACGCTGAGTGCCTCCATAAACGTCGTCAATACAGATGACGTGGTCACCACTGCTCAGCAGGTGTAAAAGCGTCGTCGTCGCTCCGAGTCCGCTGCTGAATACGAACGCGAATTCTGCCTCTTCCAGGGCCGCGATGCAGCGCTCTAGGTTCTCCCGTGTCGGGTTGTTTGAACGTGCGTAGTCGTAGTGCGAGCGCGGAGTGCCCGGTGCAAGTTGCGCGAAAGTCGTCGATAGAGATATAGGAGGAATGACAGCCCCGGTGGCTTCGTCAGGCTCTTGTCCTACGTGTATAGCTTTCGTTCCAAGATCCATTGCAAAAGCGTATACGAAAATACGAAACGCCGCTTCGATACGACGTGGCGCTAGCGTGACTTGCGTCTGGTCAGCGGGAGGCGTTGCGCGGTGGGCAGCTCGCTGGTGCCCCTCGTCCACTGCATCACTGACGATGGTCTGCTCCTTGTACAAACTCTAGGTGATGTGTCTCTTCTCGAACGGATGAGGGCTTCTTAGCTGCTTGACATCTGAAAATGGCCGGCGGAAGACCATGTTTGTTGTTTGGTGTCGCTTGTCCAGCTCTTTGCATCCCGTCGACACCTCCGGTGGTGGTCACGAACTGGAGAAGTCTCCGCTACGTCGCGCCGTACCTCTTTACGTACCGTGTCAACGTGAAAGAGCGCTGGCTCGGAACGACTCTGACCGATGTCTTCACGAAAGAGTTCTATGGAACGAGAGAGTTCTGGGCGAACCAAATGAAGCACGGGAGGCTCCTGGTCAACGGAGCGTCAATTGCGGCAGACTACGTGCTGCAGCCGGCTGACACAATCCTGAATACGGTACACTTTCACGAGGCGCCGGTTTCAGCCACTGATGTACCACGAGTCATCGACGAGCAACCGGACTGGGTTGCGGTTTACAAACCTGCTGGCATACCCACACACGTCAGTGGTCAATTCCGGTACCATTCCTTGACAGCATGGCTGAGCCGTCTCCTGAGCGAGCACCACCAACGCACAGCGCCGGCCCTGTACACCCTCTACCGCCTCGATCGAGTGACATCCGGAGTCGTGGTATTTGCCAAGAACGTCGAGCTCGCGCGACGATGGCATCAGCATGCCTCGGGAGGCAACCGGTCTGTGCCACGCCATCGTAAGGTCTATCTGGCGCGCCTTCAGGGCCGCTTTCGCGAAGCACTTACCTGCAGAGTGCCGCTGCGCCTCGATCGAGGCGAACAAGGATATGCTCGTTCGTTCCCCGATTTCCAATCAGGGAAGGCTTCCATCACACTGTTCAAGCCTCTGGGCTATGATACGCGAACGGACACGAGCCTCGTGGAGTGTGTACCTGTCACCGGACGTACACATCAGATCCGGGCGCACGCTGCGTTCCTCGGTCATCCGGTGGCGAACGATGCGCTCTATGGAGGCACGCTCGCTGCAGATGAATACACCACGGTCGTTGCCGATGCTATCGCCGGCATGTTGGGCACTGGGGAGTCGAGATCATCGGCAGAGCCGACGCTGATGCAGCTCTTTCCCGATTTGCAGGTCGCAGATCCACTCTGTCATCACTGTCCGTACGCTGCGCCTGTTCGGTGGCGCGAGGACCCGCTCTATCGGCAGCTGGGCATCTGGTTGCACGCGCTCTCCTACCGCTATGATGATGATGATAACGCGCCGACAGCTCGCTTTAGTTGGCATGCCCAGACCGAGTGGCCATCTTGGGCTCAGAACTGCGCTTTAGAAACCGATCTCGCCTGAATCGACTATGTTCGTTGTGCGCACCTCGGGCAAGCATAGGTACGGCTCCTTACTGAGCGTATTCTGGGCATCAAGCGCGAGTGTCCCGCAACCGACCGCATCCAAAATATGGAAACGGGCGGAAAAACACGTGCGCGAAAGGCGCAGCAACTCGGCTCGATGAAGCGGCAAGCGTCCGTAGCGACCCATGCGCTTGACTTGTTGCACGAGGGCCTTTTGACCTTGGGTGAGGGCTCGAATCACCGAAGGTGGGCACGGAAGGGTGCGTAACCAACAGGAACCATCCGCTGCACGAATGTGGGTGTCGCGTTCGACCTGCTCACGAGTGGTTCCCCAGAGCGCTGCTTTGCGAGCTGGGTCCTCCAGCTCGGAGAGGCGCCTCGCGACTTGTTCCTCAATGAGGCGTTGATAGTCGGCCCGCCAGAGGATCGCGGGTCCACCCGGCACCGGTACCCAGCAAAGAATAAACTCAGCCTGAACGTCACCGACGTCCGTGGGCTGCTGCGCAGCCTCCAAAAAGTCTGTCACACTGGAGTCATCGTGAACCAGCGCGAGTAGCTGCGAGCGCAGCACGAAACCTAACAGGCGGCTATCGTTACGCAGCGCCCAGAACGCAGCCTCGGCGTCGCTCACTTCACGCACAAGCGTCCACAGGGTGTGGTCGACCTCATCGTCTGGAGTCTGAGAGTTGACGGACTCCGCAGTACCGGACGCGTCTTGCGATCGAAGCACTTTCGAGTGTCGTTTCAGTGACGTTGTTTCGACGACGTGCGTCCCGCGCGACGTACAGGCGGGTGCCGGCGCCCTGGAAAGCGAGTTTTCGTCGCTGGGATCCCTGTCCGCGCTGTTGACGAGCCTTCGACTCAATTGTCCACGTCGCTGCATGTCTCTGTCTCCATAGCGGACGTGCTCGAACAGTACCGGAAGATGTCGTGACCGCAACGGAAATCTTTAAAGATTGTCACCCTCTTCGGCGGGTACGAGACGAACCTCCCGCACTGCGGCGCGTTCGAGCCTGAGAACCTTGCCCCCTTGACTGATGCGGACAGAAGTTTCATCTCGATCGACCAGGTTTCCCTGTACCATCATTCCGTATTTGGGGTGTTCTTCGGTAAACGTTACGATGACGGGAAACGAGCGAAACGCCTGGAATGCTCGGTCATGTTGCAAGACGTCGCCGACGCCAGGACTCGATACTTCCAAGCTTTGGATATCCATACCGTGCTCCCAGGAGTTGTCCGCGACAAGCGCTTTTGTCAAGGTTTCGCAATCACCTATCGTGGCGTCCGTGCATAGAAACACTCGATATAACCGTCGATCAGGACTGAAGGACGCCGACTCGACGCGGATGGACTCGCCGAACAACCCTGCTGCAACCTGACGAATGTCGCTGAGCGCAAGCTCCTCAGCACGACACTGTTCGCTTGCTTGAAGTGCAGGAACTGTCTCTGATGGTATCGTAGCAGTACTGTCGGGAGCGATTTCGGTCTGAGTTGCGGGAGTGGAAGGAGGTTCATGGCGCGCTGCTGCAGGCTTATGCTCGGTTACGGGTTCGCGTTTCGTTGGCCTTTGCGTTCTATTGTGAGCGCGTTTCGGTCCCATGACCACCACGGTGCCTCCATAAAGGCGGATCCAGCGCCATGTCGACCGTGCTACTGCAGGTGCTCGGCCCTCTCGGCAGCGATACGGTAACCGGCAAGCAACCGACTGGTGCCCTCTCGCGGCGTCTGCCGCCCACAAACGGGGCTGCACACACCAAGCAACCAGCGGCCCTGCGCTTCTACGCGAAAGCATGCGATTATTGCACGAGGAAAGCGGTTCTCACACCACAATTGCGCACCTCCAGCAGCTTTCCTGAGCCGGATTTACGCTCGAGGTACCCCAGAAGCGTTCCAGGACGCCCGCGGGCGGATGAACTCAGTGCGTCTTCAGGCTTTGCCTCTGCGGCTTCCTAGTCCACACCCAACGGAAATCAGGCACTCGAGATCTATTCCGTTTTCGAAACGCTCCCAAGTACCCCGTGAGAGACGGAAATACGTACACCTTACAACGCTGTCACTGGACGGCACGTCCGGGTAGAGGATTAGCGCTGCTGGTGTGCGGCTCGCATTCGTGACGACGCTTCGCTGCGTCAACAGCCGTCAGCAGAGGACTTGTGCACGTGCGTTGGCACTCAGTTCCGATTCTGTTGGCGGTCGGATGGGACCTTCAACTACGGCATGCAACGGAGTCGGGTGCTGAGTTTGTACCGCACAATTTTAAGGACTGCGAAGAGGCGATTTCAGGACCAACCGGAGACTGTTGATAGCGTTTGCGCGGAAGCGAGACAGCTTTTTCGGAGGAACGCCTCGTTGCGAGACCCCCAAGACATCGAACGAAAACTCTTCGAAGCCGAGTCGCGACTGGAACTTGCGCTGCACTATGGCATACCGTTTCCACGGGCTTACCATCTGAGTCCGGGGGCGACGCCACGCTCACCGCGGCGTGTCGCATACCCCCTCTACATGGACTCGTACGTTGAAACACTCCAACCGACGTCGCAGCGTCGCAACACACCACCTATTGACAGACCACCTATATACCACGGTGAGGACCAGGCAAGTCTCCATACGGGGAGGAAGGCTTGACGCAGCGTTGCGCGTGTTGACGTCGACACGAGCAGCGCTGCAGTCGGTATGCGCGTTACAGAACACTTTCGAAGACAAAGCGTCTTATCAAAGGTGCCTGCTGTGATCCTCGACGAACGCCGCGACACGCTGCTGTAGAGCAGACACGCAGTGCCAGCAGCGTTGCAAGTGGTGTGGGTTGTATGCAAGCGCACGCTTCTCGAAAATGAGGACGCTTTCAAGGGCGCTTTTTCGCGGGGATGACGACGCGAACGAGCACCGCCTTCGGAGCAACGGACGTGTTGTTGGGTACGCTTGAACGGATTGAATCATTTGGGTAGAATATGTAATTTCGAGTGGATACGGTTGGAGGCAAATGCGTCCACTGACATCTGGACGGAGACGCACGCGATGTCTACTCGGTGCTGTAAACTGTACAGGAACGCTTGGTACAACGACGCTCTGCATGGATCCACGTTATTCCAGAGAAATCCGCGCCTTGTCCTGCGTTGCACGGGGAGCCTCCGCTTGTGTGCATCCGGCGCACTCGCCTCATCGGCGAGCGCGCGCGTAGAGTCAATGGATAGTGACTCTGAGCTCGGGCGCTAGAACATGGTTGCTTCGATTGTGACGTGGGGTTTCGTAGCTTTTCCTGCTTCTCGAACGCGTTGCACAGGAACCAGAGCATTCCAGAGGAATATACGGCAACTCGCAGGTTTTCCCGTTGCGCGGGCGAAGCGCAACTGACAAGCATCCACACGTGCATCAACACGGCTTTGCGGTTGGTACAGAGTGAAATCGGTTGTAGAAGATGTGCTGTTTACGCTGCCGTAATGGACACTGCTCAAACGTCCGAGCAAACCTGGCCAGACGCATCCACTATGCACCAAAAATTCCTAGCCGGTGGAAACGCCTGTGTGATTCCTGCGGCCTGCAGTGGTCCAGAATGACTCGTTGGTACGCGATGCAGGTACCAACGTCTGTACCGTTCACGTTCGACAGCGCTCCGAGAAGGCTCAGAGGGCACCATCGTCGAAGGCAGGCCATTCAAGCCGCTCCCTGCGCCGGAGTGCCGCGTGATCTTCCGCTACCGCCTGTTCCATGCGCCGGATTTCCTCCTCTGTGACGCGGCGGAGTTTTCTCAGAAACTCTAACTCTCTCTGCTCGGAATCGACCGCTCCAAAAAGCACCACATTTTCACCGCGGAACACTTGCAGTCCTCGTGGAATATCTGCGAACGCCTCATCATTGACGACCACCCGCTCAGTGGCATCTTCAAGAGTCAAGTTTCCGTACTGATCAAACGACCGCAAATATCCGAGAAAAAAACGACCGTCGCGGAGGTATACAAGCACCCTCTTATCGAGGTCGTCGACCAGCGCGTCGCTCATGGTGCCACCACCAGCGCGTGCCCTATGGACGCTGGGTCACTGAACGCGTACCGTATACTACCGAAGCACTGTTCCTATAGGTAAGCGTCCAGTCACCCCTGATGAACACACAGCTCTCCTCAAGCTTGGAACGAACAGCGGGTTCTGCCCTGTCCTCGCGGCGCTTTCGTTCTAGTAGCAGCCCTTGAAGCCTCCAAGGGCACACCTCTGTATTCCGATGCTGCTCTACTGCACCTTCTCCCCTGGACGCCCTATCGCGCAGCACAGGCGGCAAGTGCAAGTCTAGAAGTCTATAAGTGTTTGCGTGAATGAGCGTGTGAGTGGGTGTCTGAGGATCCACTGCACAGGTAAAGGCGCGCTGCTAGGCGCATGGCTGCGTCGGATTGTCAGATGGGCGACGGATTATACCCGGCGAGCTGGAGTACAGGCCCGAAACTTCCATACACAAACACGCAGCTTATGCGAGGCGGATATAACTCGGTTCAGCCGAGTTTTGTCGCAAGTGAGACACTTGGATTGCGTCCTGTGCTGCGAGGGGCGTTTCGAACCGCGCCTCGTAAACCACGGAGTGCAGCGTCACCGGTCTATCAACTCGCTGCGGCTGCCGGTGGTGGCCAGCGTCGTCAGGAGCGCCCGTCACCAAGCTCGTACGGCAAAGGTGCAGGAGCCTCTTCCAAGAAAGGTAAGGACGAGAAGAAAACAGTGCAACAGTTCACCAGGGGCCAGGGATTTGCGAAAACCGCAAGTACCAAGTCGACTCGGACGTTGCTGCGCCCTGGGGTGCAGTCGCCGCCACGAACAGTGCCGTCGCACATTCCGCGACCCAAGTACGCTGCCGGAGATATTCCGGCTCGCTCACAGCGCCTGTTACCCCGAATGCCGTGGGATATTGAAGTCAAAACCCCCGAGCAGATTGAACGTATGCGAAAGGCGGGCCGCATCGCGCGTGAGGTGCTCGATGCCGCGTGCAAAGCCGTGCACGTAGGAATGACCACCGACGAGATTGATGCCATTGTTCACGAGGAGACCATTCGGCGCAATGCATACCCATCGCCTCTTCATTACAATGGCTTTCCCAAGTCGTGTTGTACGTCGATTAATGAGGTCATCTGTCACGGTATCCCGGATTCGACTCGGCTGCGCGACGGAGACATCATCAATATCGATGTCACTTGCTATGTGGAGGGTGTTCACGGCGACTGCTCCGAGATGGTGCTCGTGGGAAACGTGGACAAACGCGGCCGCGAACTTGTTAGAGTTACTTTTGAATGCCTGGAAAAGGCGATAAGCATCTGTAGCCCGGGTGCTGAGTACAGTATGATCGGCGCTGTCATTGAAGATCACGCGACGCAGCATGGATTCGGGGTTGCGCGGGACTTTTTCGGCCACGGTATTGGCGAGGAGTTCCACGACAATCCGAACATTTTGCATTTTCGCAATCGGGAGCCGTACGGTCGGATGAAAGTCGGACACACGTTCACGATTGAGCCGATGTTGCATGAGACGATGAACACGCGATATCGCGTCTGGTCTGATGGATGGACGGCAGTCACGGAAGATGGTGGTCGCTCGGCTCAGTACGAGCACACCCTGTTGATTGTGGAAGACGGGGTGGAAATCTTGACGAGGAAAACCTCTGACTCGTTTCCGTACTTTTGGGAAACGGAGGCCGCGGCCGACGCGCCCCGCGAGAGCGACAGCTGACCTAAGACGATTGGTACGGAAGCTGGACGAATCGAGTCTCTCCTATGCATAAAGTACCCGAAAGGCGCTGGATTTGGTGACAGGAGAGCGCGGTACGAGGCCAGCGCATGCATCTATGTAGTGGCAGTCTGTATCGAGCTGACTCGTTTCTGCGGTACGCGGGGGTCCAGCAGCACGCCAAACACGGTGAACCCGCCGATTGCGGCTGCTGGGACGCTTGAAGCCCTTTGCGCTACGTCCGGAACATGCTCGCGAGGTGTGCATGCTATTTTAAAACAGGTAGGGTGTGTGAGAAGCAGGTGGCCTTGAAAAGATCTACTTGCGAGCAGGTGCTTTGGGGCACACGGAACGCAGCGACGCGCTCGAATACGAGCTGAGTTCTGGAGCATGCAACAGCTGCCGTTTCCGAAAGTGTCGATGGACGCAGCCCAGAAGCTCTGAATTCGTATGCACGAAACGGGAAGCGATACTGTTTCCAGAATAGGCTGTGATCGCAGAAAGCGCAACGTGAGTATTTTCTATGTATCCCGCTGGCAGGCTGTCGAGTTTCTCGTGTACCATTGCCAGTTTTCCCAGTGTTAGCCTTGTATGTCCTACCATGGCTGCGCAAGCAGCTTTGTCGAAAGGTTGTGTCAAAACTAAACGTTCATTTCATCGACTGCAGCATTCGAATGGCTGCTGTTGAACAGCTTCCAGTGCGATGAGGGTCCGGGACTCGCGCGATGCGCCCACACACCGGGAAACCCACTGCAAAGCACTCTGGTAAGCGCGAACGTCGCATGGCGCTTTGCGTAACCGAAAGGCGTGCGCATTGCATCCATATCATATCTATGGACGACACTCTAGAAGCGCAGTTTCCGACAAGTGCCAGTCTCGGTGCCGGTGAGGCGCAAGGCATCTGCAGCGTGGTTGAACCGACCATGCCCAAACTTGTCCAATACTAACAACACAGAGAAGACGATCACGAGCGGTTTCAATGTGTCGCTTGCGCGGCTTGTCGTCGAAAAGCTGCAGACGGGACAAGTTGCAGCGGCTTGTACTCGCTTCTGGGGCTTTCTGGAAACGTGTTCGCAAGCGGAACTTGGGGCTGGGCTGTGCTCACTCACAGTACCGAGCTGTAGCCGTCAAGTTTTCCTTCCTAGTTACGTCGGCTTCAGCTTCGAAAATTCTGCGTTGGTAAGGTGCAGCGGCTGCCGGTCGCTTTTGGCAGCGCCCTTCAACCTGCGTAACATGCCAGGAGCAGTCGGTACGCACGGGTCGCGTTTTACGGCCGGCAGAGTGAAACGCCTCCTCCAGACGAACGATGAAGTCGGACACATGGCAGCGAGCGTGCCAGTTCTTGTAGGCCACGCCACTGAGCACTTTTTGCGGGACCTGAGCTTGCAGGCTCTCGCCTATGCGAAGGAATCAGGAGCAACTACGATAACATCAAGTTTGCTACGATACACGGTGGAGAAAGAGCCTCGATTCCAGTTTCTCCGCCCACTGTTTGCGAAAGTACCTCCACTGACTGAAAAGGAGCTGCAGGAAATGAGCCGGAATCGCGACAGCCGCTCACGTGTAAAGCACAGCGAAAGGAGGCCTCGAGCGAAACGGAAGACAACGGCCGGCACTGGCACTGGGAAAAGAGGCGGCGCTGCGCCTCGTCGAACAAAGCCCGCGGGCGCGACGACAGCAGACGCAAGCCATGAAACCGGAGAAGACACACCCGAAACTGGTTCAGCTTTGGCGACCGAAGCACCTGCGCCAGAAGTTGCTCTCCAGGTGGCCGCAGAAGAAGAGTCCCGGATGCCACTGGCCAGCTCGTCGTCGGGGGCTGGTGCGACGACTGCGGATGCCTCTGCAAAGGCCGGAGCCTGGCACATACTGGAAGAAGATTATGATGTAGAGGAATGATCAGAGGGTATAGCCGGTTTCGTTTTGCACTTGTGGGGAAGGCATGAGCGTACGTTTGCAGTGTTTTCAGCACGGATGGTGCTCGACGTGCCACAACGAGCGCGCCTGCGCGTTGCGTTGGGCTGCTTGTGCATCCCTTGTCTCGATTGGTGATGAGCGCTTAGATATAGCTACGCCTTTCAGAACCGTTTTGAACGGGTGCCATTCAAGTCAAGCGAAACAGGAGGACCCTTGATGTCTTCGAGGTGTCGGCAGCTGAGACGCGACATTTCGGCGAAAGCGCCTTCCATGTTCTTGACCCTCCTGCCTCGCGGGGCGGCACATTTCGTCTGCATAACTGCTGCTCATACTGGAGGCAGTCGTGTCGCTAGCAGCGCCCAATATGCCCACATGCTTTCTGAAGGTGTGACATGTCCCAAAAACATCACTGCACGCTTGAATGAGCTGCTTTACAGCTCTCTAGTGTTCGTAAACGTTTCCTCCCAAACAGAGACGCCTAGTCGATGTCGAGAGTCCACCTGTATCCGTGTTCGATGAACATGAAAACTGAAATGCAAGCTCTGTTCCTGTTTTGCAATTATTATCGAACGTTCTCGTTCATAGACAGCATCGAGACGACAAGTGCTGCAATACGGAATAACGGATTCACGCGTCGTTCCAGGATTTTCGGTCGTCTGTTTGACTTGACTCCTTCGCCGCTTCGCCGCTGGATATCGTAACGTCACCGGATTTAAAACGATTCGCGACGCCTTCGAATGCGGTTTTATAAAATAACCAATACGATTGTCAAATTCGTACGTGGAATCAACCAGTCCGCTCCTTTCGTTACGCGCAGCACGCGTGACTTCAGCGTGCCTCAAGTCTTCGTTTTTCCTATTTCAAGGCAATTCGTGGGCCCAGCAATGTGTATCTCTGGAATGGGGAGACAAGAAACGTGATTTCAAATCTTGACGACTTGTTCGCAAGCTCGCACCAAATCTTCGTTGAGCTTGTCATGTCAAAGAATAAATATATTCCGATCGAGAGACAAACTACTGCTCTCTATACATCCATCGATGGGACGGCATTCGACAGCATCAAATACACCTCTCCGGGGATGCGCTTCCTGCGTCTCTCGTCTCTTCGGTTTGGATGGGAAAGGCTTTTGGACTCGGAATTCAGTCAGTCCAGCGATCGTTTCACACGGAGTCGTTGTCACCGTTTTGCACGAGGAGAGCGTAGACAAATGCAAGTTTCTCATCTTATTTTCCAGGCAAATTTTCTCTTTCTGTATTTCTCTCATCATGGACAACATTATTTTCCACGAATCATTTTTTGAATGCAATAGCGTACGCTTCCGTGTGCAGCGGACAGAGGACTCGCCCAGTATATCGTCCATGAGATGTCTGGAATCATACGGTACAGGATCGGGCCCGAAAACGGAGAAAGACATCGAGAAGAGCCCTCTCTGCCCAGCATGGATGTGCCCCGAGCGATGAAGCATGCGTTCACGCGCCACAGGGCTTGGCTTAGAAGTGTATATTTGACGGACGTATGCGCACACTTGAACAGAGCCGAAAGTCACCGCTGCGAGGCGCGTACCGATACTGGGTACAAAGACTATGATGATAGCGAGCCAAGCGTAGATGGCAACTCCCGTCTGTGCTTGGTAGGTGTCGCAAACAGCCAGACGCTGCCAAATCGGGAATTCAATGCTGCCATCGCTACACGTCTACTGCTGCCATCGTAGCTCGGCGGAAGGGAGAGACCCCGCGTATTTAAAGCGTGGAATAAGACAGTGGAAATGAAAGCAATCGTGGAAGAAGTCGGCAAAGGCTGGTGTTGCTGATACAGGAAAAGACCCAGAGTTCAGAGCATACGGTGGAGCTAGGGGACCTGTCCCATTTTCATCTGACATGGTGTGTCTATCGGTGCGCGTGCACATTCCGCTCTAACGAAGCCGTGCATTCGTCTGGTAAAATAGGTCGGGCGTAATCCGTCAGACTTACGTCCCGTCTATAAGAGAGCAACGTTTCACTCTCGCGACTGTAATGAAGTGTTAAGAGTGGCTTTCGGCTGTCTCCGGGGCTTCTGGAGGTTTTATTTCCGGACTCGTTGCAGCGTTTTTTCCCCTGGCCGCTTTCATGACTTTGGAGCCGAACGCCAATAAACGTCAGCGAGCACAAGAGCAGGTTCGGAGAGCCAGGCTTCGCGATTTTCTTGAGTCTCTAGAACGCGACAACTGGGAGGACACCAGTAGTGACGATGGCTATGACAGTGAGCTGCAGGAGGGAGAACTTGTCGCAGAGACGTCGCTATCGTTTCCAACCGCTGCGTTACCTGTCAATGCTTTAACAGGAACAACGCACAGAGTTCCGGACTCACAGCAGGTACGTCAGCGACGTAAACGGAGAGATTCGCGCGCTGAAATCGATTCGGAGAGAGCGAGTAACTCCGGAGGCGCTGTGGCTGATCAACGGACTATGGAGTCAACGCCGACCAGCGACCTCGATTCACAGTTAGGAAACGGGCCGAGACGCCCGCCTTGGAAGCTATCTCATTTGGTGCGTCTCAACTATCGGTATGCATGGTTAGCACAACGCGGATCGCTGGAAGGGTGGCTCTACTTCACCAGTGCACCGGCGACGGCAAGCGCTAGGCCAGCACGACACCTGTGTGATGTGTGCGGCTTCGGGGCGTGTTACACATGCCCTCGATGCGGCGGCTTTACGTGCAGTCTAGCATGCACGAGGACGCACAGAGAGACCCGGTGTTTACGTACATGGCAAACATGACACGTGCATCTGATGTCGCAGCTCCGAAGCGGACCGCATGACCGCTGCGGAACGAAGTCTCGAAGCAGCGTTCTTCGTGGATCATGTTCGGCGGGCAAGCGGATTGCCCAACATGAATCCTGTCCACAATCAATATAAATAACAGGTTCGGAAAGATGACATGCTCCAGGTATCATCCCAAGTAACCGGCTTTGTAGCCCGTTAGTGCAGTGTGCTCGCGGATGATTGTGCGCTGGCGTATGGAATGCTGGAACACCATGATCGTCCACTCTTCCGCCGAGAAAGGCGTTATCGCTGTAAATATACGGAGCTCTGGCTTTGCTGGATTGCTGAAATATACCACACCAGTGCTTTAACCCAGGGAAGCATGAAATTCCATAACTGACATTGTCTGGATGTTTCATCGAAAGTCTGCAGCGTTTCAGCAAAATGCCCGCACAGAGTGCTCGACAACTTGCTCGACAGAAAGCCGCCAGACGCTCCGAAATTAGTCCTCATTTGCTGGATGTTGATCCAGGCTTTCGGGTCTCGGCGACGAACGCTTTTAAGCGCGCATTGCTCCACGTGGAATCGCACAAGAGCAAGCCGCTCACTGTCCATGGCCTCGCCTGATGACGTTCGTTCAGCATACAATACTTAATCTCATGCGACTGCATCTGTTGCACGCTCTTGCTCTCTCCCTGTTTCAGCGTGCAGTGATGCGCGCAATGCATGAATGTCATCCCGAATGCATCGATAGGAATCGTGTAACATCTATTCCTGCACTCGTCGAGCACGCTCTTCCGCGTAGCCGGACTGCAGAGCATGCGCGTTACGGCTTGTGTACAGCAATAGACTACCATCAAAGGACGCTACTTGCGGGCCCTTTCCTTCTCCAACCCATTGAACATGTTTGCGAACACCAGCATCCTGCCTCTGTCCAACCGAAACCGGCGGCAGCGCCAGGGCAGTCTCAGGTACCGCCGATGACCGTCTGCGTAAGCCATTTGGACGCTCATGTAGTATCTGCTTGAATCTTATGACTGGGCGCTTTCTGCTCAATGCAGTACTCAAAGCGTCAAAACGGGTCAAATTGCCGCCATTCCGCTTGATAGTATGCCTCGCTGCGTACGTCACGCCAGGCTCTCGATCATACGGATCCCTGGGAAATTTGAGCAGCAGAACCTGCTTTCCGTCCGTGTCTCTGGCTCCATCCCTTTGATAACGAGGTACAGCGACGGCCATGACGTTCGTAGACCAGGGATCCGAAGCCATCACGAAGTCTGTCTCATCATCTGTGGTGAACGGATGACAGTGGGTCTTTTTGCACGAACTGGGCGAAGGATTTCACAAAGTGCATGTAGATCGATATTCCGCCGATCTCCACCGTCCATGCAAACCGCTTTCGATTCCTTCGAAGTACATGAGAAACCTTGAACGAGCGCCGCCAATGCGCTTCGCGAGGTGTTTCAAACGCTTCATTCTTGCGTGCAGAGACCAGCCGTTTTTCGATGAGAAGGCTACCTAGTACACTCGAGAAATGTCTGCGGTAAATCATGGACAAAGACAGAACACAGCTGGACCACATCAAATACTAGCTTGACGAGGCGACGGCACTCGCATCCGCGGACGACATCTGCTATGTCCTGGAGGGTTCTGTTGTGGATAGCGCCGTAGCGCATGCTCCAAAACAGACAGGGATCAGTTTTCAAGCATCCTTTGGATTCCAATTCCGCCATTCCGAGACCTGTACCAATACAATCAGCCCTGACGAGCAGAGGCGACGGTTGCGCTTGATGCTCAAGCTCGTCAACCCCACGAGCTCAGCATTCGCATGCATTGACTCCTCAGGAATCCCCACGATCAGCACCCACTTTTCTGAGCCAGAACGATGAGGGTATCGGTGGGAAAACGTCCACTGGGTTCATCTCACCAAGCGCTCGAGACTGACCGGCATGCACTTTCTGAGTTTGGTTCAATACCTTTTTGGCATATGTGCTGTGGATCCCCCGATCGCCCAGATGGCACTGCGACGCATCAGGGTATTCTTGCACACGTCTGTGCAAATGCCGGATGCCACGATGCGGCCGTACTGCATCTTCTGTACCGAATATCAGTTCTTTTGTCGCATCGGGTTATGATCGAAAAGCTCTAGAGGAAAGTAGACAGCTGGCAGCCGTGCGTACGGAACTCCTTAGGCAGCTGGTTGACGAGGTGTATCAACTGGAAGGAAGCTTGGCGAAAATCCATCGTATTAGAAGCTACTCGATCTTGAACGGCGTCCTGCAACTTACAGTTTCATGGATGCGAATGACTCGCCTACTGGGCCAAGAACGTAGAAATGGCTTTTGAAAACAGAGACGACGCTTTCAGCTGGACTGGACCCGGCAGAATCGGCTGGCACAATGAGCAGATCAGCGAGAATCTCAGTTGCTTATTTCCTGACCGCTATTGATTGATGCAAAGCGATGTTGTCTAAGTACGGGATAGAGCAATATGAGAAGAAGAAGCCACGAAGAGAGCGGTGACACGACGCATAAGGGGTTTTGAGCGATCCTCTCTGATTGTAGGACTGGAGGCGACCATGCGATAGCGTCGTCGCTGGGGCTAATGTTCTCGGCCTTGTCACTACTCTCGTCTGTACGGATGGTGGTTCGCCCCTTTTCCAGTACCCATATACAGGTCTAATGCTTCACTCGAATAAATTCACGTCGAGTGCGATGTGCACCAGCCCCCTTCTGATGTAAGCGTTCGCTCTTCCGTAGGGAATCGATATGGTGTTTTTCGACGCGCTACGGGTTCACATATAAACGTGCTTTTCTTGTCCATCCGTGTCTTTTCGTCGCTGTTCAAATCAGCGATGCGAGAACTTCACATCCCGAACTGGAATTTATTCGTATTTCGTAGAGAACGCATGGGATGAAATGGATTCACGAGGAGATGGTAGTGTGAATGGAGTACGACAAACTTTGCTTTGGGCGCAAGACGTTCAAAAAAAGGACCTTAAAAGGGCGAATCATCCATCTTCGGACCGAACAATGACTGGCTTTTGGAGGCTAGTACGTTTTTTCGCAAGCTAGCGGCAACAACAGCAAACAGGTATTCCGCCACGGTTCTCGCATATCCAGGATGCATTCCAGTAGTCGAAACCGTGCGAGAAAAACAAACAAAAACAAAAAGGGCAACTGACACCAGCATCCGAATTGTCTCTGCTCTGGATGTAACGAAACAATCGGTGATAGCGAACTGTTCTGGGTATCTGGATTCAGAGACGTGCATTCCGCCCTGAAAAGCAGAGCGACGCTCGTCGGAGAACTTTGCACTGAGGAGTTGTCCTTCGAAGGCACGTTGGAGTGACGCGCTCACCAGTCAAGGCATTTAAGGGTCAGATCGGAAACTCCAACACTATTCAAGCGTCTGGGCGCCCGATGGCCAAGCAGAGGCTTCCACCACTAGCCATTCGTGCAAGAAGGCCCTCGTTTTCGAGTTCAGTCCAGAGCATCCCGAGCCGGGCGACGACGCCGTAGGAAAATCTCGCGCTGAGCAAGCAATGTAGCGTTGCTGCGCATTCGTGACAGTAAAGGTGTCCCCACACCCAAATGCAGACTCGAACACACACACACATACACGCGCGCACGCACGCGCATATACATGTATAGGCACGCACGCGCATGTTTCCCGAAGAAGCGAAGGAGTCACACTCCTTTCGCGAGCGCTGGTGCCTTTCGCCTGAAACTTGAAACCGCATACCCGGGGCACCACCGCAGCTTTCTAGGGGCTGCCAGAGGAAGTGTCCATCCGGACGGCCTGTGTGTCAGTGGTCTCTGAATCCGACAATTCACCTCTGTTCGAGCGCTCCGAGCCGCCGTCTTCATCGTTATCATCGCCAAAAATCTGTTGAAAGAGACGCGCGTAGCGTTCTCCCTCCGCTCCAAGTACTTCCTTCAACTGCGCCGTGCTCTCCAAGAAGTCCTGCACGTTGAAACCCAGTTGTGTGCAGAGCGTACGCAAGGCGCGCTTATCCTCGCGCGTGATGTTTCCCTCTTTCACCATTTTCTCAATATCGTAGAGGATGCGCATCATACCAACCTCCGAACGTATACGTTCCGCGATCTCTGGGGTAAGCAAACCCTCCAGCAATTTCATCAGATCCTGGAGATAGGTCTCGTCTACAGAGGCATTGGGATTCGAAAAGGTTGCTGATACCGCCATTTGAAACACAAATCGAGCCGCTTCGTCCTTGATGCTAGTCGCAGAGGCTTCGTCAATGCGTAGGATACGTTCTAAAATAGCGAGCGAGCTCATGGTTTTCTCCAGGCGGCTCAGATCGACTGGACCTGCCTCTCGTTCATCGGTGGGCTGTTCTTGCATCAAGGCCCGTATGACATACCGCCGATAGAGATCCTGGACGTCTTGGCGATTGCGTTGACGTCCAGCGTAACGGAGTCGCTGCGCAAACGGCATCGACTTCGATGTCCAAGTAGGAGATGCCGCTTCCGCTTCTGCCGGGGGCAATGCTGTCGCAAGCATGTCGCAGCGATAAACGACTTGCAAAAGCTTCTGCATGCCAAAATCCGATGCAGCGAATGTCTGCGACTGTCTGCGCATCTCTTCAATGGCATTCGATATAATCCGTGTGATGGAGCCATTCGAGACCGCCAACAATCTGTCCTGTGTCCACTGTTCGTCCTGGAGCGCCTTCCGGAGCGATTCAGTCAAGTCCACCTCGGATGACTCCGACTCTGTGGCATCCTCGGAGAGAAAGCGATGGATGCGATACTCGAGCGAGTCTGATGGAAACGTGCTGCCGTCGAGCATAACCACATCAGGTTTTGTGGATAGGTCAACACGTAGACGCCCTGCGAGATCGGCCCTGTCGTGAATGCGCTTCGCAACGGCACTAGGGTCTGCAGTCGATGGTCTATTCTGTTCTACGGTATCTGAACTCAGTTCAAAACTAGAATCCGTGTCTTCGAGTTCGACATCATCGGGGTCTGGTCCGCCACCGAGGTCCTGAAGCGTCGTTTTGAGAAATTCCTCGAATTCTGCGGCACGTCGCCGCTGCCGGTGCCGCAAGTACCATGCCACGCCGCCACCGGTTCCACCAATCAGTAACGCGCCCGGAACAACTACACGTGTAGTACGATGTACTAATGCTTGTCGCTGCTTCCGACGGGCCAAAGACTCTTGGTATGCTCGTTCTGAAGGTAAAACCAAACGCCTTCGCCCGGTTTGCTCTCGACTTTTCTCTCTCGTGCCACTTCGAGCAAGCGTCTGCCTGTCTCCGGAACGAGCGTGCACGGTTTGTGCGAGCGCTTGCACGCTCGGTGCACTGCTGATGGACCAGCACGCAGTGAGGACGACAAGCAGCGCGACGCGTTTCCACTGCGCCTGACGGGCTTCCAGTGCTGCTGGTTCCTTCTGGTCTGGAACAATCCACTCATTGTTGCCGTTCTTAGGGTACTCGTTACAGTCAGCAGCAGAAGAGGTCCCGCTGTGACGCTCGTAACCGCCTGACCCCGTAACAGCCACGAGAGCGACCGCCTGCGCTGGTGGGTGTGCCGCTCGCCGCATCCACCGTGACCTCCAGCAACATTTTCGTGAAAAATGTGTGAAGCATGCGTTGCGTCTGAAAGAAGAAGAAGCCGACACGAAGTAAAGCAACATACTTTACGTTTGTGGCGGAAGTTTCCCTGATCACGGCCCTTTTCGGGATGCAGGACGTCGCAGGTGTCGCGCAAGTTCGAACGTCGATTCGCGCACGAGTTGAACCGCCACGGGCGCCGGGTTACGGGCAGCCGACCTCCGCCTGCGTCAAGCCGGCGCCCGCAAGTCCATGGCGCAATCGTTCTCTTCTAGATTGCCGCACGGGGGGGGTCGTTGAACAGATTAGGCCTGAGCACTGAGGGCATACGCTAGACTAGATTGGGAGATGCCGAAAATCTGCGCAGGGAGTGGTGATCGGGCCCAGGATATCCAGCAGCGCCAGTGCGTTCGAGGGAGTGCATCGCTAGCGGAGCTATGCAGCGGCTTCGATGCTATTCGCTTTCGATCGTATGCACCCCGCAAGACGCGGAGAATTCGTCAGAGACACGTTCAGCGTGCGCGCCGCTGGTGAGCCGCTTCAGAGGCGGGTCCACGAGCGCACTACCTGTGTCTACTGGCTTGGGCTGTACCACAGGTCAGATAAAAGCGCAACATTGAACTGCTCAATCTGCTCCTGGCTGTCGAATTTTCCCGAAATTTTCTAAAAGCACACCCTCCACATTCCAAGTGCAGCAAGGTCTTACGGGTTCATGTATAGTTCCAGCATGCTCTGTCGTCATTTCAAAGGAACTCCTTCGCTGCTTGCCGCTGGAGTCCGTTTCCTCGCCGAAATCAAGATGATTTGGAACGTCCCTGAACAAGGGTATGTAACATCAGCGATATCATCACAAGTTCACACGTTGAAGCTTCGACTCCTCTTTCCGTACTTCCAGCATGCCCATATCACGCATTCTTCATGCGTTTGCTCTTTCTGTTTTAAGGTAACTTGCGTGCGCAGCAATGCGCGAGGCTTGCTTGATGCGGCGAAAAGCTCGACGGCATTCGTTGACGACTTGTTCACGAGCTCTTGCCTAGGGTTCGCTGAACTTTTCAACTCAAATAATCGGTTTCGTTCCAGAGTCAAATCCTCCCTGCTTTCTGTCCAGAGATGAAAGCGGATTCGACAGCAGCGGCATGGTACCTCTCACGTGATATGCTCCTGGTAGCTCCCGTCTCTTCAGTTTGCATGGAATGAGATCTTTGACTCCGACTTGAGTCATAGCAGTGATCGCTTTCTGTGAAGCATCCGTCATCGCGTTGTACGAAGAAAATCTAGAAGAATCGAAATTTCTCGACTTGTTCTGCAGTTGGGATTTCCCTCCGGATGCTCGGTTCATCGCGGGCAACATTGCGTTCCACGAATCCCTGATTGAATGGAACAGCGTGCGCTCGCGCGTGCACCAGATAGAGTACTCGTCGAGGGAATCCTCCAGAAGAAACCCGTGATCATGTAGAGCGGCATCGTGTGCGGAAACGGAGGAGAGCATCGAAAAGAGCCTTCTGTTCTCATGAAGGTCATGTACTGAGCTTTGCAGCGAGCATTCATGCGCCACAGGCGAGTGTTCAGAGCTGGAGGTGGTGTCGCGGGCATATGAGAACACCTGACCACAGCCATGTGCCACCGTTGTGAGGCGCGTACCGAGGCTGTACACAAACAATATGAAACTGGAGAGCGACGCTTCGATCGCAGCTCCCATCTCTGAATGAAATGCGCCAACAAGTACCTGACGCTGCGAAATCGGGACATGAATGCCGCTATCAACATCGCTCGAATGCCGGCAACGGAACTATAGGTCCTGGGGAGACCGGCGTATTTCAAACTGGAGATAAGACACGGAAAAGTAACCAGTCTCAGAAGAAGCTCCCACGGTCTAATGTTGATTACAATTGTAAGAGTCCTAAACTTTACAGTGCAAGCGCGAGATAGCTGAGTGAACCCCTTTATTTTAGTCTGACATGCGTCTAGAGCCCGCACCAGAAATCGCTGTCCATACTCAGCGATTCAGTTCGGCAGCGGGTAAGCATCGCGAGTGTATCGAGGCGGTAAGTATTCTGTTTATCGAAAGGGCATGTACTTTGAACACTTGCTGTCTCGAATACAGTACGTCAGCATCATAGACAGCTTTCTCGTCTGCACCGTGCCGGCAACGTTTCCGAGCATCCCATTCAGATAGCACGGATCACCATATGAGCGGATGTCTTAGCACGACGTATAGCATCGGTTCATACACTATTATCGATTAGTACGAGAAACCATGCCACAGCGTCGCCGATTTTCCCGCCAGCGATGCTGCACGCACGGCGGAATGCGCACTGGTCGCATCCGATCTGGCTTCGAGAGTTTTTCAGCAGGTGCGATCAGCAGCAGCAACAGCAGCAGCCGATACTGTGCCCAGAGGCCTTTGACAGCTATTACAGACCCTTCTCTTGCGCTCGGGAAGGATCGAGAACTTAATTCCGGAGATCAAGAGAAACGCTGGCGTCCATGGTCGCCCATTCGCCCGGAGCGGTGACAGCTAGCTGTCCCTCGAGATCGAGTAAGAGGCAGCATTCCTCAGCGAGGTGCTTGCTCGACCAGCATATCCGGGCATTGGACTTCAGTTCCCAGCGGATTCAAAGTCTTGTGCACTGCATGTCATTCTCCCGCACAGAGCCGAATTGGCGCGGCGTCAAGGCACCGGATTATGTCCTACGCATGCCCTGAAGCATGTATACGTGGACACGGCGCTGAAAAGAGCACCAAAGTACTCAGTTGCCGCCCGACACGCTCGAGGGCATCCATCTCCAGGGCGCTTGCACCGAGCCGTCCAAGCGATGCAACCCAGTTGCAGAGCTGAACCAGGCCCAAAGCCATCCTCGTCCAAATGGCAGGAACGTTAATAGATACCATGCCAGCGCGCTGAGCTGAATCAGCACGAAGCACAGCGCGAGCAGCGCCAGATGTCGCAAGCTCGTAACCAGTGCTAGTACGAGTGCTATCCCATACATAGCTGCAGCGGTCGCTCTTTCTGTAACGCTCAGTGCGCGTAGCTGAACCTGAAGAGGAACCACAAGCCACGTCGAGGTGATGAGCAGAACTTGTCCGAGACTGAATGCAAACGCAAACTTCTGAGGTCGCAGAATCAGCATCGGTAGCATCCCAACCGAAAGAAACGAAACCACCACGCCGGTTCCAAATAGCATAGCGAAAAGTAGCAATCTCTGGCTCCGCGAACACTGACAAAGTTCCCTGAAGCCCCAGGCATCGTACTCCGTGGGTGCTGGCCCACTACTGTCAACAGTCGCTTCAACATCATAAGCGTGGCTGCCGTTTCCCTGGAACAGATCTCGAACCGAGGCCCAACTGAAGTTTGGAACCGTGAGCGAGCTTTGAAGAGCGTACCACGGCGGCTCGCTAATTTCTGAGCTCGGCTCGCTGAAGGAGATAGAGCCCATCATACCCCGGGTGCACTGCCCCTGCTGGAGCAAGTGTCGGAAGAGGTCGCGCTTCGAAAAAAGAACGGCTGTTCTGGTGCGAATCGCTGGCAGCATGTCCAACATGTACCAAAATGGACCGCTTCCATTCTAGTTGTAGCGCTGGTGCACCCTTGTTGCACCACAGATACTGTTTGTGAAGCATTGAGAAATATTCCAGTGGAAATATTTGACGCATTTGCGTAACTTGGCACTAGAATCACTTTGTAAATGTTTGTATTTTGGCAAACTGTCTTTCGGAGTATTGCGATTGATCACCTGATGTCGCTGCCGCCAGCATATCGGAAGCGCTCGGCCCGGGCTGGTAAAGCGCTGTCTTGAGCCGTCCATTGCTTCCAGGCGGTACTAGGAAGTGCTCTGTCTTGATGAACGGTCATCGAGCAGACGTCTACTTAGAGAGCCTGGTCGGTTTACCCCGCAGGCTCTGCTCATGGAATCGAGTTAAAGGTCTCTTCGACGCCTGATGCCGTCTCGCTCTTTGGAGGGCAAAGAGCGACAACGCAGTGGACGCGGTGTACGTTGTTTTTCCCTAGCCGAGACCCCCACTCGCTATCTCCAGGCTTGTAGCAGTGGCTTGAATCCACCGGGTCTACCACAGTTTTCACATACACGGCGCCCCGCGGTACGACATTACTGCCGCATACCCTCCTGAGTGAGGCGTGTGTAGAAGTATAGCGCGAGTGGATCCAGAGATCGCTGTTTCCACATATCTGGACCCCGGGAATCACGATAAAACGCTTTCGCACCGGAGTAGTGGTGCGCTTGCGTCCGTGAAGAGACGCACCAGGGTGCCGAACCCACACCACATGCCGCGGGATAGACGATTCTCACTAATCTTTACAAATGGAACACTCAGGATTTCTCATAACTTGAAAACGGATGAGCGTGCACCAAGCATCTTCACTAATCCGAATCAAGGACTGCAGGCCTGCATTGCTGCACTCAGTCACGTGTTAAAGGGATTCCTTCTGGACGGCTTCCTGGGCACTGGGCACGCGACATTCTTCGGAAATACGCTTTTGAATCTCTACATCGTTGGAAATGTCTTGGACGAGAAGCATATCGTGCGTATCATCGGGGGCAAGGCGAGGCAAGAGACGCTCCTGCAAAAGAGGCGCGTTCGAGGCGAATTCACCAGCGGACACATAGCTGTGGTGCCGGCTGCTTGCCCATAGAAATCCCTCGGGCTGATCAGATGGCGGACGATGCCAGCATGCGCTGCCGCTGAGCGCCCGCCCCCCGCTACATACGATGGATCTGTAACGCTACGCGTCGTCATGCTGCATGACATGTTTATCCTGCTGTTGCGAACCTAAATTCCGTGAATGCTACTCGTGCAGTAGTACTTTTCAAAACCATTGGCTGTTTCAGGCTATCTAACCACCACCTTGTGACCAGGATATTCGTGTCACGCTCTTTTCACAACCAGATTCAATCCAATTTTGCTGTGGTGCGCTATGGGCATGTGTCCGGTTCCTTTCACCAGCGATCCATATCGTGGCACAGTGTCCCAGATGTTGTGCTGCTCGCTTGGATTGCACTGTGTTGAACCTTACACCGAAGCTCACCAGTGTGCAATACCGAGCGAGCAGCTCGTTCGGCAATATGCGCGCAGCGCACACTGTTCCTTTCCGTTCTTTCCGAACCCTGACTCCGTTGTGCATACTTCTTCTTCATTCAGTGCCAGGAATACTGAACTCCTCCAGAGCGCCTTATTCCAGCGTGTTTCGTAGACACGTACTTGCTGCCGACAACTCCGAGCTACACACTGAGCTGTAATCCAGAAGATTGTCGATCACGCACTTGGCGGCGCTTACCACTTCGCCTCCACACCGCTTGACTGCGTCAACAACACTCAAAGTAACGTTCACAGGTATTCCGGCGGCAAGCTCTAGACAGTCAGGCAACACAGTCGTCAGATCTGTGTTGCACTGCGATAGGGTTGGCATGGCAGCCTCAGTGTGCCACGCCAGGAGACTCAAACCGAGTATCGTTAAAAAAAGCAGAACATACGGATGAGCGGAACGCATGAGTTTCGTATGGCGGTACCAAGTGACTGCTACCTTAAAAGCAAAATATAGTTGTCTCGGAGATATAGACGTGTCTCGATCCCGAGCACAGAGCACAGCGGCTCCATCACGATCGCGTTTTGTGGACCTCGTTGATGCAAAATCGACACAACGAGCTGCACAGCGTATCGAGTGCTGGCTGAAACACGTCCGTGTCGCGACGGTCTTGGCGGCCGCGATGTACTGTCCGTCAAGGGCAGACAGGTCGCAAATTGTTCGACGCTACGTGATTGATGTACGGAATCGGGTGCTGCGGCGTTCGTGATATCCATCGATACGCAGGTATGTGACGACCGCTATCCCTTAAATCTGGAAATAACCCATAAACCCAAAACCATTATTTTCGTCGGGAATAAGTGTGCGATCCATGCGATAAGTGTTGCTCTCCGGTGGTGTCTCTTTGTCAGGTGATGCGCACGGAAGCGAGGCCCTTGCACCGCGAAGTCGTCGTACGTTTGGCGAGAAGTCGAAGGTAAGCACCAAGGTTTCGGTGGTAATGTTTCGAGGATATTCGATGTTCTCGAAGATTTTTTTCGAAGTTTGCGTATGTGCCGTCTACGCTCCGGGATGCGTGCTTCATTCTGTAGGAGAAATCATGTTTGCACGTGAAGGCTGGGCTGCTCCAGATCACCTCGTATTTCCATGGACCGCTCGAGGCTACAGATGCAGTTGCGAGCGATACGTTCTTTTCCCTAGTCCTAGTGGGGTAAAATCAATCGCGGTACCGACGCAGAAAAGAGTCGGTCTCTCATGCACGCGCGACGTGTGATGGATAACTGCGACAGAGCGCTGCATATGCTGAGCTGCTCGTTAACTGACGCTTGCTGTTGGGAACAGTTTCATGGTGGCATGAGTTCCGTTCCTCAAGGAAGAGTTTGATGTGCTGTATCATGGTCAAGACCCGAGAAATTCGTACGTGTTGATCCAGAGCTTTATGCCAGCTCCATGGAATTCACGTCTCCGAGTATGCGATGATTGAGCTCCCGAGCCGATGGGAAACGAGGCTGAACGACTCGAGCATGCGGGTTGATCCGGCTTAAAAGCGCACACTTAAAATTGGGCGCACGGCAAAGGACAATACCATACACGCCGTCAGCAGCGCTATTCAAGCAAGAGAAATCCAACTGCTCTGTGACACAGCCGTCTGGCCCCGGAGCTATTTACGCCGGCAAGCGGATACCACACAGATGCGCTGGCGGCACTGTCCGATGCATCCATGAGGATATGAGTACTCCAAACGAAAGCATGGACGTTGGAACGGGAGCCTTGCAACCAGAACAAGAAACGAGAGCCCGGTTTGGTCGCTGCAGTTGTTTGCAGTTGAAGAAAGGTCTGCAGTGAGGCGGCGGACTTTAGAAGCACAGGGATCTGTAAAATACTTGACCAGTCAATGTACGTTGTAGCGTCCGGCAAACGCGATACGCGAAGCCCGCCAGGAAAAAGGATAACACTGCAGATACACCGTACTGCGATATCGTATCCATCACAGCGAATCCGAGAGTCCAATCAGGCAGGGTCCCGTTTCCGCGGGAAACGCCGCGCAAGATATCAAGAACGCCGTGCAGACGACGTGATCAGGGCAGATACGTACACCGAAGCGTGGCTGCCAGCCATGCGCTCTTGGAGGCATCAGCAGTGTGCTCAAGTAGTCGTGACGCATGTCTTGGCTTCGAAATAAGTTCTGGGATTATCAAGTTGCGTGGATATGTATCCATTGAAATCTTGAAGTGAAATGCGGCATTCCGTTAGGGTACACAACGCCAAAATAAGCGTTCAAAGCGCACGCGGGTGTCCTGAGAGGCACGGTAGATGGCCCCGCCGTCGTGTCCTCGCACCACTGCAGCAGACGAGGCCGCTTTATTGGGAACACGGTGCCTAGCGTGATCCAGGCTGTTTTATGCAAGAGAACATACCTGGTCAACCTGCCTCTGATTCGCTTCAGGAAACCGTCAGACTTGGCAGCATCAGGCTAGTGCGCGCGCCACGTGACTGCTGGTGTGGTAACCAGCAGCGCTAGTCTCTGCTCCGTTTCCAATTTTATACAGTGCGAACTTCTGCCTTCCTGGATGCGGATCAGCAGCTGTTTCCTTCCACATGAAACTTAAGCGGCCAGATCAGAAAAGCATTTCATCGGTTATCAGCACCTTTATACGGAGTTTAGGGGTTCCCGTCTATGCTACCGTCGAAAAAATCATCATTTGCTGCACCGCCACGTTTTTTCAAAGTGCCCCCAAAACAAAGCTCCGACTAGCGCAGCTCCGTTTCACTCGCGTGCATCGCTGGACACGTCCGCTACGTGAGGCACCACGCAAACCTTGCTGCACCTCAGCATAGCGGAACAAAAGCTTTGACTTCAAACTCGACTGGTGCGCGCAGAAACAGTACGGACATTATGCCTTCGTCGACGATGTGCGCAGGCCAGCAACTAGACCAATACGCGTGCGCCCCAAACGGATCCAGCTGCGAAATGTATAATACTATATATTCACGAATATAAATGTACTTTTCTTGACACATCCGCGGCGAGCACGGCGCGTGGCGTCGCGCACCGACTCCTCATCGTTTGTCCTAACGCTGGTAGACGAGTCTACAGTTCCGGGTATACGCGCTTTGCGAGCGTATTCCACGAGTGAGTCGCGTAGCGCCAAAGATGGGTCGCGTTCGTACCAAGACGGTTAAAAAGTCAGCGCGCGTTATCATCGAGAAGTATTACTCGAGGCTATCCGCGAATGATTTTCACACAAACAAGCGCGTGTGCGACGAGGTCGCCATCCTGCCCTCGAAAAGGATGCGGAACAAGGTAGCTGGCTTCATCACCCATTTGATGAAAAGAATCCAACGGGGTCCAGTGCGAGGAATCTCACTCAAGCTTCAAGAAGAGGAGCGAGAGCGGCGCATGGACTTTGTGCCCGACGTGAGCGCCGTGAACACGGAAACCATTGAGGTCGACCCGGACACGAAAGCAATGCTTCGGTCCATTGGGCTTGGCTCTATGTCTGGTGTTGTCGTGATCCAGCCAGGCGAGCGGCGCCCGTACCATACTAGGAAGTGATGTGCCCATAGATAGTACTGGCGCGCCAACCAAACCAACCAGCACTTCATCGGGACAGCGAGCGGTACCAGGCGAGTGCGTCAGTATGTGACGCACCAGGCACTAGATGCACCCCGCTTGGTTGCACGCGGACGTTATTCGCCACGGTAAGTAGAGTTTGGGTTGGTATGCGTGCATGGCACAGTGTTTTGCATATTTGGTCCAGCGTGCACTTTCGTTGTGTGCCCATGGCGATCTCTCAGCTAGCGACCGAGTTCGTCATAAATACTCTTGATGCGCATCAACCGCTTTCCATTCCCCTGCACCAATCATCCGAACTCGCCTTGCAGTCAGCGATCAACACCAAGCTCTTCAGGATTGGTGCGCGCTGCTCCAGAAACATTCGCGTACAGGCATGCTGAAATATTATGAGTCCGTCGTTTCACCCCAATTTCTCATGCATGACTTTATCAGAATTTGATGCTCATTATAAACGAGGCCGGGAATATCGTAACTTTTTGTCTCTCCTCGAGACTTTTGATATGTGAGGCTGGAGAGCCTTTTTCGCTCTGGGACATGTTTTTCATTTTCTGTCACGCGACGAAAAAGTGTAGGTCGTTGACTCCTCTCATTCTGGCCTACAGCAGCGCCAGAATAACGCAGCACCCGTCTTCGTTGTCGTCACAATTCTATGTGGTGCCTCGACATGGCCAGCCTGCCCTGCCCCCGCATCTGACACGCTTGCAGTGCAGCACTTTGTGGACCCGAGCAAGATACGACCTCCGTTCTTTTACTTTCGTGGCTTCCCCTGCATCTGACACACTTGCAGTGCAGCACTTTGTGGACCCGAGCAAGATACGACCTCCTTTCTTTTACTTTCGTCGCTTCATTGGCGATGACCCCGTCGTCATTCCATTCAAGTTCTTGAGGCGAATTCCGCAACACGAGCACGTCCACGACATCCGGGATTCAGTGATGCCCACCACATCCACATCTAGAATTTCCCTCAACTTCTGTTTGATCGCTCTCCATGCACCGAGCGTACGACGGGATATCGGACGCTTAACTCCCTCACCCTAGTTTCCGAACTCACTCCATGACCGTCTTTTTGCCACTTGGCACAAGAAGGAGGTGCAGACCCCCTGGATTGCTTTCGGTTCGAAGAAAACGTAAATAAAGGTCCTATCCAGGAACGGAAGCGCGTTTGTGGCCTCGTCTGACGTCCAATCTTTGAAAATCTCGTACATACGTGCTCTCAGTGTCTATAAAAACGGAAAGAAACAAGCATGTGAACTGGGTCAATATTCGCAAGATAGAATCTTAAGCATGTGGAAGTTCGCAAGCGCGTTCGCTACGCCTTGCAGCAAGTTGGCCTGGAAGACTCAACAAGCGAGACGACGGATTGCATTCTTTCTCGATTACGATCTCGTATGAAGGAGTTCTGCTACAATTTGAGAATGTGAACTTTTCCTTGGGTTACTTGTGCCCGTTTGTCGTCGTTTGTCTCCCCGGTGGAGTCGGGCGGCACATTTCTTCTGTATACCAGAGGATGTGTTGCACGTGTCCCGACGGAATCGTTTTTTCCAGATGAAACGCACCTCCAAACGCTAATCTGGTCGAGAGACCCCAAGATTCCAGATAAGTTTTTCGTTGTTGTAGAGGACGTTTTCCAGTTTTCAATGCGTGGTATTTGATGCGTCTTGCGTCGACGCGTTTGCGTACATCACGCCGATGGAGTGCATGTCTATAGACCGACGTGCAGACGTCTCCCCGTCTTTTTGGACCAGCCACCTACTACTGGTTTCAACTCCTTCCCGTACAGTTCGACCCTGAGGGGTTGCCCCATAAAGCTGGATCGCGTCAGTCCCAGGGGTCTTCTTTGCAGCACCGCATATCAACTGACATTGATGGCGGCTTTGAAGTCTCGGTTCACAAATTCCATGCGTTTCTTGCTGGCGCCGCTGCTTGTACTCACCAGTGTAAATCATCCTCGAAGTCGTGGCGTCAGTGCTACACCAGTATCGTCGTCGCCGTCCCGTCGGGCAAACACCATTACTGGACTATCCCCCTACTTCGTCTTCGCCACTTGCTCTTTTCCGCTCGATGGTCGGCGAAAAGGGGAATTTTTCGTTTCCTTTCCGGGAGCCGGCGATGATGGCCCTTCAGGATCCCCGACTTTCATATCCATACCTTTTCCTTGGGGTTTATCTCTTCAAATGAACGCACTTCGAACGCGTCTGCTATAAACCGCGAATAAGCATTTGGTGACGCACATCTGGATGTGAATCACAATCGAGATGAAATCCATAGCATTGAACTCCTGTGCCATCGGAGCACCGCGAATGTCTGGCACGCGAGGCGCCCAGGGGACTGAGGTCCGTCCGCCCTACACCAGGGTTGCTGACCCGAACGCTGCGTACCGGAACCGCGAAGGAGCTTGCCAACTCCTTAGTCAATAGTTTGGTTGGGTTGTATTGGCGTACGCCATATTCGCCTGACTGCGTTGCAAGGTAGCGTAACTGCTTTTGAAACGGAGCTAGCCCTGGTCCATGGTTCGAACGTTGCGGGCGTGATGCGCGGCCCCATGCCCCGGAGGTTTGCCATTGAGGGCTTCAAGTTCTCGCTCAATTTGATCGTACCGTTTTGCGCTGTTGTGTTCTTTGGTTCCAGCGATCACTCCTGGCTCGAGCAAGCTGTCGAGCGGTGGCGCTACGTCCAGTATCCCGTCAACGAAGAGTCAACGCTGACCTCCGCTGAAATCACAAGAAGGGTGTTTAAACAGCCGAAAACCGGGGCAGCTGAGGACCATCGAAAGTGAGCGAGTCTCGCGAAAGGGCGCCGCCCTTGCGCCTTCCGGAAGACACCCGTCTGGTCACTCCCGATGAGGTTCTGCAATGTTGCTGACGATCTCAACAGCAGGATGCGTGGATGGAAGCGTGGGCTTGCATGCTCGTCGATACCTGAAATCGAAGAATACCCAGGCCTGCGCAGATAACAGCATCGGTTCAGAAGCCAAAGTCGCAGTCTCCAAAAGCAGATAAGAAATGACCTCGGAACGGCCGGCTGTCAGACACAGGCACCAGCCACCGCATATCGAAGAAGCTCGCTGGCCTCTATTAGACATCGTCATCTTACCCGAACGCTCACATCATTCCTTGTGAAAAAGCCATGGACAACGTAACGCCGAGATCGAGGCCTCTGTGCTGCATAATGCTTGCAACGAGCACGTTGGTAATGTCTGGTGTCAGCGATTTCTCCCAAGCGCCACAAGAGATAAACGATTGTATCTCAAGAGCTCACATATAGGGAACGGCTTGCCTCGTTCAGCGCTCGCTTCGAAATATTTTTAGCCCTGTCTGCGAGGCGACAACGCGTATCGTAATGCAGATTTTTCTCTTCGACAGAACCTTGGCACAACCTAGCTATCCCCGATCGCAGCGCCTGTTCGCAGCGCACAGGGAAGCATCAATCGTTCCACCTGCTTCCAAATTCCACAAGCCGTGCTTTCCCCCGAAGGAACCAGTAATTTTTACGCCATATCGTGCGCCGAGTGCATGCTGTGAACACCAGCCGTAGCGCCTAAACCGCTGGAGCAGGTGCATCACGGAGACGGAACTGCTCAGGCGCACCACTGAATGCGGTGCAACCAGGGCCACCAGCAGACGCTGCCTAAGCATCATTAGTCCCGGAATAAACCGCTTTGAAGACGAGTAGAGCAGGTCTCGCAACAGCACCTGCCACTGGGGGGATGGGTATGAAGCACGAGCCTGGGAGACTCGTCCGGCTCGCTGGACATTCCCTCGAGAATGTAAAGTTTCAGCAATACGGAAACCTTTCCCCTTTTTGACGTTTATCGTAAATGGGGAACGAAATTGTTATATCGTTGCAATTAAGTCGTGAGTCTCTGTTCTTTTTCCTATAGTGCGATCGATAGGCGCACCTGGGATATCTGGCAGTCTCGAGACACGACGCTCACGTCACCGTTGAAGGGGAACGCGATCCTGATCGTTATTATGTTGCTCTAATGTACGAGTAGTAGTTACTTTATAATCGTACCAAATTATAGTTTTTCAGGTCTATTGTGTTTCAGCCCTCAGGTTAGTATACTCAAGTGTTTTTTCGCGGTTTATGACAGAAGCGTTCAAAAAGCGTTCTTGTTCAAGAAACTAGAAAAGCAAAGTTATGGAAGAGGAAATGGAGGAGCATGAGGGCACAGCGTCGCCGGCTGCCAGAAAAAAACGGAAAGCATGGCGGAGCAAAGAGGAACAGGAAAAGACGAAGACGCGGAGGCCGGAGGCCCTACGTCGAAGGCAGCGATAAAGACGACAGTACGACGAGACGGCGGTAAAAGCCTGTCTTCTTACGCATATCAAGGATCCGTACAGGAGAAACCTGCGAGATGCCATCAGAAACCGAGTCGATTCGTACTCCAGGAGTGTTCGTAACGCCTCTTCAGGACTAATGCATTTGGTGAAGGAGATGTATCGCGACGTGGTGGATTCGAAACCTTCGAGATTACGGAGGAATTTTTCAACATGACCTTTATTCGCCACCTGATGGTTGGCAGAGGGGAAGCGTCGAAGAAAATGAGCGAGTGGAAGCCCTCCACAAAAAATTACGCCAAATGCCGCGTCGACGCTACTCTATACAAGGTTGATGCGGATATTTACACCTACGGTGCGATGAAGAACCATTTGACCATGAACCTCAAACGCTTCATGATACGCGCCGTGTTTGCGCTCTACCCGGGCCTGTCTCGTAGAGGAATATGGACCATCGCCAATTGCATCACAAACGATAGTAAGAATGAACGGGGATCGAATTCGTCGACAAGATGACATCACACGGGAGAAAGAATAAAGATTCCTTCATCCGCGCGGCTATTCAAGAGCACCGTTCGGTCTTGGGGCTTGTCAACCCAGCAGAAAAGGTATCAGATATGAAAAAAAGATGGAGAAAGATGTTATCTCCTCATGCTGCGCTATTTCGTGTTTTTGACCGACGCCTCGAACGCAAAACAGAGATGGAGGTAGGTGCGGGACACAAAAGCAGAGTTGGAGCAACGGAAGGCTACCCTTCAGGCGAAGCGCTTCAACGTCTTTCGGTTATGCAACATCAAGTCGCACTTTGTGAATATCGACTGCAGAGTCGTTCATGGCATCATGAAGGATATCTGAACGGTGCTCGGTGTAAGCAGGGAGGAGTTCACCGGGGAAAACCGGGAGACGTACTGGAAGCATATCTTCGGCTTCAAACGTGTCAAAACGAGCAAGCAAAAGTATGCATAGGCATCAGCGAAAGCGATGGAGTAGCCACATGTGTACACTATCAGCGCCTTAGGGTGAATCGTCCTGTTCCGTCTTCAGTATCGCCAGTGGCGAAGCATGAGGGAAACAAGAAGGCGGGTCCTACGACGCAGGAGGTGCGGGAGCATGACTTTGTGGTAGGCGCGAACCCCGGAAACACGAATATCATGACCATCACAGTACCCAAGCTTGCGGAAGATGGTATTGAAGGCAACCTATGTCAAAAAGACACGCGTTTGTAAGGTTCTAAAGATAGAGACATTACTGAGAATCGGGAATAATGAATGCAAGAAAGAAAATTGAGACATGGAATGCACGAGTGAGAGAGCACCTGGAAGCTATGAGCGAGGTGACGAGCCGAGGAACGGACTTTGGAGCTTTTCGGGAGTTTATGGATGTTCGTGTTGCCCATTGGGATGCACTGTGGGAGGAGTATACCAAGCCCCGGTGGGCTCGTCTGCGAAAGAATTTCTATTGTGGGAAGCAGCGGGCGTTCGCGAATTTTTTCAATCAGTTGAGTGCCCCGAAGGGGGACGAGAGTCAGAGGCTCGTAGTAGCGTACAGAGCAGGGCGCTGGAAGATTCAAAAAGGGTGTACGCCAGCTCCAACGACGAGGGTGTACAAGGAGTGCGCACGTCGTTTCGTTACAATACCGATAGATGAGTTTCGAACATCGTATACACACCATGAGCTGGGTTGTACACTTCAGAGAGTGGAGATGCAAAAGTGCCAGAGGAGCCCTGAGGATATAGCAAAGTACGGAGCGCTGACGGAAGAGCAAATGGAAAGGAAGGCGAAAGTTCGAGGGCTACTCGCATCAGTGAATACAACGAACGGGAAGAAACGGATGGAATTCGTGAACCGAGACTTTCATACCCCTATCAATATCAGGAGATGTGCAGTGCTGGAGAAAAGACCTCCAGAGTTGACGAGAGCCAACTTTGTTCGACAACCTCTCGAAGTCGATTTATATGAGAAGAAGTTGGAAGCAGTAGTAGGTGGCCGGTCGAGAAAAACGGGGAGGCGTCTGCACGTCAATTGGCGACTTTTTGTCTAGGGCGGGTTTCTCGCCACTACTGTACACCGCGGGTATCAACGTTTTTCTTCTGAAAGGCGTTTGTTTTCAGGAGTGGATGTCTTCCAGCAACACTGGGGTTCGTGTGCCCGCAGCCGCAAGTGACGTAGAAAGCACGGACACCGGCTATGAGCAGGATGAGGAGCAACTACCGAACCAGCAAGATAGTGAAGCAACGGATCCGGAAGTTCAGTTTGATGGCGGTACCGATTGGCTGAACTCTTCAGAGGCGGAACCAGTGGAGCTGTCGCGAGCGTATTCTGCTCCAGAGCCGCTGGATGAAGGGCCCAAACCGAACTTACTGGATATTTCATCTGCGTGGGGTCAAGACTTTGTAGAGCGAGCTGATTCCGAGCTCGAGAGCTACGCCGAGGAGCACCCAGGCCCTGAAGAACACGGAGCGTCGCAGCAAGAGAGACAACGTTCCAGGTCGTATCTGAGAGCGCTACGAGCGAAGATGGACCGTACCTGGCGTGCAGACTGGACACATCGCCTGGGACGCACACTTGACGGCACGGTGGACAGAGCCCGGCCCTACTGGCGCCACCTACGAAGCTCGAGCGGCCTTCGACGTCGGGTGCTTTCTCGTTCGCCGTCGATGCTCCTTCAGAACCTGAACCACAGCCGCAAAATCATCGCTCGCAAGTCCGTGGAAGCAGCTTCTGAAGCTGCCGAGTTTATATCGTCACCAACGCTACTATTCCGACCTGCCAAGATGGCGTTCGCTATTGCGTTCCCTCTGCTCATACCGCTGTTAATCACCCCGTGGCGGATTCTGTTGATCCTCTTCGTTTTTTACGCCGTCTGGTATCTTGTGGTCGCCGCGATTTTCGCAACAGAGGTGATGATGCGCCCGCCCTGGTACCGAGTTGGACTAGGTGGGCAACTGCCGATGGTGGAGATCCCTCCGTACTGGCGCGGCGTTTGCCACAATCCGAAGCAGGATCTCCAGTTGGACTACGTTTCGGTTTCGTTTGAGTCTTTGCATCCGCCTCGGCGGACACTGCGCGGCTGGTATATCCCCGCGGAAAGCACTGGAATGACTTTCGAGTCTGGGTCCGAACAGTCAGCCCCTGAAACGGGTGCAGCAAAACCCAGCGAGGCGAGCAGCGCAGACGCACCGAATCCACATGCAACAACACCGTCTGGTGAGCACGCGACGACGAGTCGCAGCCGAGGCACAACTTCGACGGGTCGGACCTGTGTAGTCTGTGTGCACGGGGCAGGTCGAGATCGCCGAAACTTCCTGCGCCACGCTGGCGCACTCCACCGCCACGGTTATGATGTGTTGCTGTTCGACCTCAGCGAGCATGGTCTCAGTGACGGGTCTGGTCGAGGAACCACTTTTGGTGCTCGAGAAAAATATGATGTGCTGGCGGCTATAGCGTATGCCTACAATGCCCTGCAAGCGGAGCGAATCGTTCTTCTGGGGACTTCAGCGGGAGCCTCTTCCTGCCTGCTCGCAGCAGCTGAATGGATCCGTTTGCATCGATTCCTGAAACTGCAAATCGTCGGGCAGCGGCACGAATCATCGCAAGCGCTTAGTGAACAGCATTCTCTTGATTTCCCGGTACAGTGCATCATTGCAGAGAACCCGCTGGCCCGACCTGACGAACTCTTTATCTTCCATCTGGAGCGCCTCTCGCTCAACTACCTGCCAAAAGATTCGTATCATCTTGCGCGGAAGACACTCTTCTGGTTTGCAAGCAGAGTGCTGCTGTTTCGTCTCGCATGGGTAGACCGCGAACCGAGCGCCGTACCAGGGTCTCATTTGCGCCGGCTCTGGGTAGTGATCAGCACCCTCAGTCGAGTGCTCGGAGGACGGACGCGCTGCGGCGCAGTCGACGTCATGACCGACATTCATTGTCCGTTGTTCGTTTTGCACGGCACCGGTGATGAAATCGTGCCCGTCGACCATGGCATGCGCATCTTCGCAGCGGCTAACGAGCCCCGTCAGCTGTGGCTCGCTCCGGACGCGGCACACTGTGCCCTGTTCGATCAGTATCCAACTGAGTGGGAAAATCGGGTTGTGGATTTTATCGAAAAGAGCCTGAGCGAAGAGTCGAATGCGAAATCAAGATCCTGATTCGGCCCTATGCAGTGCAATTGCTTGACAAATGCGAACGCTTCAGCTGAGCGAAGGACGCTTGCACCCGGCAGATACGCAAGGGCCGCACCACAGACCCCGGCAAGCGCCTCGTGCCGCAGGCCCGTGCTGCGACACCGACGAGGTACTGGGAATCTTTCGAAAAGGCTCGTGCGTGACGAGCTATGCGACGCTGTACCGTTCTGAACAGAGGGCAGCACGAATCCAGGGATATTGGCGGGAATGCCGCGTTTTGTGCACGTGCAAGCCGTCATGCTTGCGTGCACTCGCACAGAGACAACACCATTGATCATCGACGTTGTCGTCGGTGGTCGCTTCCGGTCACATCAATAGAATCCACTCGAATTTCAATACGCTTGAATGCTTCGTGGTCCGGAATCGCTCCGACATTGTCGCCGAGAACCTCGTACACCAGGAATCAGAGCCGAAGCTTGTCAGTCGACTCACGAAGCAACGAATTAGTTTCCCGCTTGGCGATGATCGTGGACAATATTCCAGAGTGCAGCGCGTTGCTGGGGCAGCTCTTAACAAACAAAGCACATCCAGCAAAGCTACTTGAGCGGATGCAGCACAATTCTCGGGTCCGATGCAGCGCCCGGAGCATGCACCACCGTCCACGGGCAGGCACCTGTTAACACTATCGCCCAGAGCCTGCATGCACTTCACAGGCGCTTTGCCGGTTTCCACGAGTCGAAGCTCATGCAATGCCAGGCATCAGGAGTACGTGGTGGCGACAACAGCTGCCTTGCGTCCCATTCGCCAGGGTCGTATCAGGGGCTGTGGCCGACGCTTCGTTCCAGCGCCTGGGCTCGTGTGCCATCTGCTGCCACAGCTGAGCTGTCGTGCGTGTGCTCAGAGTCACTGGGCACGATGCTTAGATGTAGACAACGATACATTTGGTTCCGCACATCCACACAGTCGCACTGCGTTTCCCAAAGCGGATGACGCACATCCATGCCACTGGTCGCAGTCTGCGCACGAACAGAACAATCAGTAGTTATGGTGCCGGTGCCAGCGTCCGCAACCTGATGTCTATCACACGTACGGCTTGTTGTAGGCAGTGCAGGCATGTTGCCACATGAGGATTCGTACCCGTTTCTTGGATGGGCAGAAAGCGAGCGTGAACGGGGCATCCCCGAATGCACGTCTGGGATCAACGACCGGGAAATCGTCCAGCATTCCGCGCACTATCTACCTCGAACTTCCACTACCCGTACTTGCCCTCGAAGATACTGGTCATTTCGTATGTTTCATCGTTCGTCGAGTCTACCTTGAGCGTCCGTCATAGCGTCAATGCGAACGCAGCTCGGAAACCGACCGGTTTTGCTTGCATCCGCGGGAGAGCGCACTATCGTCGCCAACGGTGTGCGAAGTTGCCTCGCGACTATTTCACTACCGCGGACAAGCACTTCATTCGACACGAAAGTGTAGACATTCTGTGGATCATGGCGACTGCTGCGGGTCGCTTCATGCGGTCGCATGTGCTACTAGCTCCGTTTGGCGCACCGGAGCTCCAGGGCATCGGGTGTGAGAATCTGTGCAAGTTCGCATAAAGAGTTGGAACGTATTGCCACAGCGTGCTGTAGAATTTGCGACTACAGCGGTTCCGGCTTCGTGAGGCATTCCAGAAGCTGCTCGTGCCGCACGAACGCGATGTCAGCGTTATCGCTTCTAGCGCAGAGCACCTGCGACTACCACGCACGGAACCGAACTCCAGGTTCAGTAGAAACAACAGTTACAGTCAAAGGGACACGGACCGTTCAGACCTTCCGGTTGATCCGTGGCCAGCTCCTCCAGGCTAAAGACTCGATAGCCTTCCTCGGTTCGCGCTGATCGCGTTCGTGAAACTGGCGATGCTGCGTCCACACGCGAGTGTCTCCTGGGCAGCTGCTTCGTATCCTGCTTCGTCAGCGTTCTTTGGACTCCGATACGACCATCTTTCTTGGGAGTGTTGCCGAAGCGACGGAGGCTCCGTTCCGGCTTTCGATTGCCTTGGCTGCTTCGCGAACGTTGAGCAGCCGCGTTTCGCGTCAACTTTTTTGATGACTCGCGAGCGCGTTCGAACAATTCATCGAGCTGTTGTTGATCCTCTTGTGGTGGCCTGGAAACTGCAGGAGCTAGCCCCTGCTTCATCACAGCAAGCTTGGTGCGGGATCCGAACGTAGAAGCGCCCCAAACGAAAACAACGATACAGCAGTGACGGCGACTACAACCGTTGTACGGCAAGGCGCCAGGCTTAGCGTAGCGCGTTGCAAGCCGACGACAGCATTGTACGACGTTACGACAAGCTGATCATCAATGCCCACAAGGAACACGTTGCTCTGGACTCTATTGTATTGGAATTAGGCTCGTGCTGGATATCGCGTATGAAAAGCGCGGGTTCAGGGGAGCTTCGATGCGCAGCAGTTTCCGTCTTTGCTGTACAGATCCCCTGGAGAAAAAACTTGTTCAACGCTGGTACATGCGACCTCCTTTTGCTAACGCGGCGTTCTGCTTTACCCATTCTTACAGTTCAGCATGTTCCTGTACCAGAGTTCCAGCTTGCAATCGACCGCGCAACGTGGGTCGGCTGCTTCATCCCAATAACGATGCAGAACACGCGGTACTTGCGAATGCTGCAACGCGCTAACCCTCACGTTCCTGTCATAGATGCGTATGCGCTGCTGGTGGCACCGCAGTACGGCGTCTCGTCCAGGTCATGAAGTGAATGTGCAGAAGAAATGGCGCTCATACTTTCTCGTACACGAGCAGGAACTTGTCACCCTGAACACGCGATACACGACGGCCCTCGTCGGTCCAGTCCCGCACCGCAGCGGCATAGGGATCGTTCTTGAAGAACTGAATGGAGGCTTCGTCCGAGTCCTCTATCGGCTTCGATTCCGGAACCCGGTTTGGGTTATATCGGCTTTTGCCGTGACGCTCGATTAAGCGGCATTTACGCACGAAAAGTGCACTCTCTTCGAAGCGATCATGCATCCATTCATAGAGCGCTTCTACGTCAGTAGAGGTATAGATGCGGCCGCCTCTTCGAAGCAAGTACGCATAGAGCGGCAACAAGGTCCTGGAGATGATTCGTTGGCGGTGCTTTTTCCGTTTAAAGTGTGGATCAGGATACGCAAAAATAAGCGCGTCCAAACTTGCACGTTCGATGTAGTTCCAAAGATATCGCTGTGCGTTTGTATGCAGAAACGCAACGCGTCGATACGCTCCACAAGTGGAACGAAGCTCGAGCAGCTTCTGGTGTGCCTGTTGCCATACCGCAGTGCGAATCTCGAGGCCGAGCACGCAACAGTCCGGGGCAACACGCGTCGCTAGGTATAGTAACAGTCCTCCGTATCCGCTTCCGATGTCAACAACACGAACCTTGGGACTCGCTACTCCCGGAAAGACGCCAGTCCAGGTTACAAGTTTCGGACTCAGCGGAACTGCAAAGCCGCCAATAGCTAGCGGGTTTCGATGCGCTCGCGCCACGTACCCTGAACGCTTGCTCGTCACGAAACGAATCTCAGCTTCGTCTCCAGAGCTTTGAACCACGTCTACCTGGCTGTGCTCGAGACCTGTTTCGGACATGGCGCAAGTGCACAGCGCACTGCGTCGCCGCTGGTGACAAACGCACCAGCTGGGTGTATGTCCAGGAGACGTTGCCAGCGTCTCAACTGGTGGTTTCGAGTGTGGTATGCGATCAGCGAAAACGAACAAACGTTACACTCGGATGCGCAACGCGTTCCGAGAAGCCGAAAGAGACCTCAGTCGCTCCGGATACGATTCTGGATAAAGAAAATCTCAGAGCACGATTGCTCAGGAGAATACGGAAATGTCGGAATAAGAAATGGAACCGGTTCTCCAACATAGCATGACACACGCTTATTATTGGGTCGCTTTCCGTTGTTTTCAACGCAACGCTTTACAGGATGATTGCATGTACGCTTCGTTTTGCGACCTCTTATACCCTGTTTCAAATACACTGGAGTCTCCTTTGTCTCCAGCGCCGATGTCAGCAGGCGAGGCATGTTGAAGGCTGCGTTATCGCCCCCATTTGCGAGCACTGAGCTCTTGGCAACGGGGTTCATACACAGACGGTAGTTACGATCGACGCCTCGATTAGCATTTTCATCTCGTTTGTACACAGCCGCAATACGCTATTCGCAACGGTGACACTCAACTGCGGTCAGGTGTTCCGCGATGCGTCCACCATGCATACTCCTACGAGAGTCGCCCTAGTGCGCGTGAATGCTTGCCTCAACGCTCGGTGCATGCCCTTGACTGTACGAGGAGGCTGCTCTCGATGGCTTTTTTCCATTGGCGGGCTGTGTGCCGTACCCTACAATCAGGGGCTACTTTCAGGCGATACCCTCGACGAGTACTGTGTCCGCTGCACGCGCAAACGCATGCTGCTCTATTCGATAGGGGATTGGTGGTGGAACGCGATGGTGTCCATGATGAGACAAATACCAGATGGAAAATTCTAGGTTGGTGATCAAGTCGTGAAACTTTGATCCGTGTAGGCTCTTTTCATGCAAAGCGATGACGCAAATTGCTCTGGAGGCGGTCGTTGCAATGAATCAATTCCGAGTCCGAGTCTTTTTTCCATGGAAATGAAAGAGACGAGAGCCCCCGGGGAGCATGCCCCATTAAGAATATATAATGGTGGTGGAGAATCCTTTTTTATGGATGCACACACAGAGAGAAAGATTCGTCGTTCCTACGAAACAGATAACTTGACTTGACGAGTTCAACGATCTTGAGGCACGAGCTTGTGAACAAGCCCTCAAGGGACGACATCTAGTTTTTGTCCTCGTTAATCTAGTGGCGCAAGTGCTGCGTCAAGGGCCTGTTTTGAAATAGACGCATTGAAAAATTGAAGGACGCGTGACCTGAGCATCCTACACGTACGTTTATATGAAAAGCGGAGTCTTGTACTTGCGGGTAATGTGACGATATCGCTTATTTTGCGAGTCCTGGTGCAAGGGCGTCGCTTATGATCTTGACTCCCGTCCTATGACGAATTCCATCGGCACGGTGTCGAAAAAGTCGCACCGAAAATACAACCAAGAATCTCAAAACTCCCTATGAATCGATAAACCCTATTCTCTATCGTCTGAATGCCCAAGCTATACATCTAAGAAAAAGGTTTGGAAAACATCGAAAACCGGAATTAGAGCAAGCAGTTCCGTGCTCTGTTTTCATCTAAAAGGAATGTAGACGCTAAAGGTAAACATCATAACGCGTGTACCCAATTTTTGACGCAACACATTCCTGTTGTTGCATCCGAGCCCACTTGTCGTTTACTGTCGCCAAATGGAACAGATGCTGAACGCTTCAAACGCTCGCGAGAAACCATACCCCCGGTCGTGGGCTATCACAGATGCGGCTACGACCCGATTTCAACATATGCCCAAAAACGTACTGCTTCCAAAAGACTGTCCAACTGGATGAGGTTTCGAAAGGTTTTGTGGCATCTCGAAGAACTCGAAGAGTCGCGCACGTGCCAACTACTTTTTGTTCTCCACTGTAGTCGCTAGTGCGACTCCACCAGATATTCTTGTTGCATGCATGCATGCATGCGAGATTAGTCCAAAGTTCAAGCGCGCGTTGCGCTTTTCACGATGCCAATACGATAGCACAGAGATCGCATCCAAAGACAGATTCATATCAAAGGGTTGGAGAATTCTTCATATACCGTTTCATAAACGTTCGTCACACATGCAAACTAACAAAGCGCAAAAACTCGACATGATACGATTTTTTACAAAGTACAACACTTGGATCCAGTCGCACTTCTCGCTACCAAGCACAAATTGCGATCGGATATATCTTTTCAAGAACTGCATTTTATGGGCGCATCATGTCCAGATCGTCTACGGGTTCGAGTCGCCTCGAAATGCCACCAGCGCTGACCACTATGCGGTACAGCTCATGAGGCTCAGGTCGCGGGGTGCGCTACATATGCAGCCATTCCCTGAATGGATGGTTCGAGGTACGAATCCGGATGTTCCCGTTCGTACAAAGGTAGCCCTGGCAGCGTTCAGGGTGTGTCTCCTAGGAGCCTGCTGCCACATTGGGCGACTTAATCACTGCCTAACTCGCATGGGTAGTTGCACCGACGATCTTGTCGAAAAGCATCAGCGTCATTCCATGCAACCTAATCATCCATGGTTGGTGAAAACGGAAGCGGCTCGATCATCACCTCATCGTGCGCGGTTGCACCAGACAGGGTGTTCATATTTTCGAGGAACGCTCGGCGCATATCATTGACCTTTTCGTGCTCATCCGCAATCACATGTTCGTACTGAAGCATCGAGGGACTCGTCACCGAGCTTTCACTCCAACAATCCGGAGCGATGCCCGCAGAGCGCAAAAAGGTCTGGCGCTCGCGGTCCGCGCGGGCACGCTCTAAACGAACCACACTGATCGTATCCGCTAACAACTGCGAGGGACTCTGCTCTCCGTGGATCGCCGCCTGGAGTACAAGGTCACGTACTGCCACGTATTCGGCTTCAAGAACGAGGAGCCGCCATTCTAACGCGTCGTACACGAGTAGCTGAGCAGCTCGCATGCTCCATCGCACACCACCCAGAAGATCACGTATTTCAAGCTCCGTTCGTCGCGGAAATTCCTCCAGGGAGAACACAGCAGTGTACGCTGCGACTGCTAGGACCTGCTCCCACTGCTGAGCCCTTGGCTCATTGCAGGCCCGCATTGGTTTGCCCGTCGACACATCTATCGGCCGAAATAGAGGTCGTTCAAAGTCGCTGGGTGCAAGCCCAAAAGTCATCGACGGTTCGTGAGCCTTAGAGGCGATCTCGCTGCGCCTCTCGCGGAGCACTTCCTGTTCAGTCGATCCGGCGTTCTCCGCGGCACCGCGGAGCGGGTGTTTCGCATTTAAAGCGATGTAGCGAACGAGATAGATGAGCATGAGGAGCAGCTCGTCAGCATTCAAGGCCAAATAGTCGGAAACGAGTTCCAGCCATTTGCTTACCGTGGCAAGAGGATGATCGGTAAACGGAGTCACCAGCGTCGAGATCAGATACTGAAGAAAGGCTCGTGTTTCCCGGTTCGATTGAACCAACGCGATTCCTCGTTCGATCGGGTTCACATACATTGTGTCGGTTCTTGACTTGAGAAGTTCTAATATACCCGGCGGGCAGAATTCTTCAAGTGCTGATGACCAACGATCCTGTTCCGACACGACTCTCCCGAGCGACGCAGAGGCACCAGTCAGCAAGTTAAGCAGCTCCGCAATGGGCAGGTCGTTTCGGGCCCGTGGCGGCATGCCACGAGGCACACTTCGCTCTGGAGTGAACCAGCGCGGCCTTCCATATCGTGCAAACTCGCTTACAAGTGCAACAACTTCCGGATTGTGGAGAAGCTCCTGTTCCGAAGAGCGTACCGCTAAACCAGCGGCAGGCTCGCTGCCCGCAGCTTCGCGACGCTTCGCCTTGCGTTCGGCTTGCTTTGGCAACGCCGTCTCTGAGTACTCCACTGGAGCGCGCGATACGACTCGTTCTGAACGACGTCGACTGGTACGAGGCTGTTCCCCAAAGCCCGAAAGACTCGCTTCGTTTTGCACTAGAGGGAGCGCTTGCCCTTCAGCTGTTACCGGCAAGTCTGGTACAACATGGTCCACGTTATGACCTGCGCTTTGTCCAGACCCCAGAATGTCGGCTCCACGCTCCAAGTTCATAGCGAAGGGATGCACTTACTGCTCCATGAAATGCGCTGCTGGAGGATTCTCAGAATAGCATCCGCTAATGCCGTGGGCGAATACGGATGTAGACGAGCAGGCAGCTGCTGGGCGCACCGCTGGTGTTCGGTGTCGAACTCGGTGCGGGTGGCGTTTCATGCTGGACCGCTGGAAGCGACGAGCGTAGCCTCGGTACCCAGTGAATAGCAGCTTCAACCAAGTTTCTATTGTCGTATAAGAAAATAATGGAACAGTGAACTGCTCGTTCTGGTCCTGTATTTCCATTTGTTTCCGATCTTGTTCTTGATAAACAGTTCAACAACCGTACAAGTGCAGTCAGGGCTTTCAGAATCATAGGTCGTTTGAGGCTGGTCGGTTGTCTGTTCAGAGAGGCGCTTTCAACGCACTGACGCTGGGATTCCCTATACCACCGGTATCAGGATGACTCGCGCCACTGCTGAACAGGGGTTCGTAAGAAACCGGACACCATGATCGAAATCGAACGTGCAAGCCGCCAATCTTTTAATCTTCTTACGTGTGGCGTGCTTGGCTCACGCATGCTTCTAACTATCGATGTCTCCGTTTCGAAGCAACTCGTGAGCGCAACGAGCCACGTCAGTGACTGGACGACGAAAAAACTCGGCATCATTCTCTGACGACTCGATTGCAAGCTCACGCCGAAAGTTCACGGAAAGTTTCACGTCGAAGGATCGACTTCGCTCGGAGCAGAAATCCTCCTCGCTTTGTGGCCATCGATGAAACGGCATTCGACGGCACTAGCATCTCGATGCCTCTCAGGGGGTATGCTCCCAAAAGTTTTTTACCAAAAGGAATGTATCGTAAAGACAAAAGTCAGAGTGTTCGCGAAAGAGCCTTATGCTGTGTCTGCTAGATAGCAGAAATTGGCCTCACATGTGTTGGTCAGTCGTTGTCGGGTCAGCAGCAGCATGATCCCCGCTAATTTCAGTCCTTATTCTGAACATTGATCACTCAAAACAGCATGTATCAAACGTGTTCCACGCGACCGTCTCCTTGTCAATCACTTCCATTGCATACGTTCGCCAGGAAATGCAGTCAGACAAGCCACCAGGTGTGAGAATTTCATATCCTAATTCTCTACGGTGATCAAGGGACACGGGTTGGCAGCGAATGCAGCACTGATACCGCAGAACATCCCGTGTTGAAAAACCCACCAACTTTTTTTCGAACTACGACGCGAACTATTATTATGAAAGGACCATGTGTTCCTCTCACTCGATTACATGTCATTTGGACGAGCTGCTAGACCTCGATACGGCCAGTTAAATCAAGGCAAACCCATGTTTGTCAAGAAGAGACAAGCGAGCATTCGGACAACACCAGCCCTGGCAGTGTTCGAATCATGCGGTCGCCTGCAAATCGCCAAACGAACAGGGTCGTTCAGCACCTCTTCCTTCTTCGGAACATGCTTCGTGGCTTCTGCTTCCGCAATCTTCTGCCCTGGTCGTAGACAAGGTCGCTTTGCATCACCATAAAGCGGCAAAGGAGTATCCTGATAGGATAGGCTTTGAGCTGCTCTTCGTGCGACGCCATGCTCTCTGGTTCAGTCCCATTCAAGGCATGCGTATTGATGGCATACGCCTCTTCTGGTCTCGCGGATCACTAAACGGGGCCTATGCATCCGTGACACCGAAATATGCAATATAAAATATAGGACTGCGAAGTTGCTTACTCATGCAAGTCTCGTCGAACTCCGTTCGCTTTGATGCACCTCGTCAAGCAACGATGAACAGCCGTTCCAGAGGCCCGACTGCCAGCGGCCCCATTCCTCAGAATACTTTCCATCAGACGCCCGTGCGACTACACATCTGATGCTCGGGACAGGAGATGCAAGCGGTCTGGTCATTGGATCAGCACTTTGAACACGCACTTCCCAGAAAACCCTGACGCCTCGCTGCGACACCACGGCGATCGATAGACCCACAGCGCAGGTGCTCTGGAATCTCATGCCAACCTCGAGCCGAAAATCAAATGTTAATGAAAGACGAGCGCTTCGCATGGAGCGCCATGTGGGCGTCAGATCCTCGTCTTACTTGCCCAAACAAGTGGAGACAACTCGGAGCGGCGCCTCTGGTGTGGATCGAGGCAAATGACCAGTTGGTGTGAAAGAAATAAAAGTGGCAGCGACCTTGGGCGAGAGATGTCGCAACGAGAGTGCGCGTCGCTTCAGATCGTCTACGCCCGTGTGCTGCTCTCTGCTTCGCAATGATGGATGCCGTATTCCGAGAATAGATGAAATCTGGTGCCTGCTTTGCTTGCATTTTCCGCTACGGTATTTTCGTGGACCGAACCCGCCAGAAAGAAAGCAGATCCAAGCTCTCTATGCCTACGTCCTCGCTTTCTGAGGCAGTTGTTCAAAATGATCCCCTCTTTGCCAGACCGGGGCCCATTCGATTCCCGTCGACACTTGTTCCCTGTAATGTACACCCTGCTCCTTGGGGTGCTTCCGGTCTACACAACCAAGTATGACGCGATCGAATCAATCCACATAGAGCATCGGCGCAGCTGGTTCAAAGTCTCTGGTTTACAGGGAGGAAATCGGAACCAGTCTACAACGACGACAGAAACCGATGTCATTTCCATCTGCATGCATTTTGTTGTGAAACCTAGGCCTAACTCGACCAACGATACCCATTTTTTAACCGCTCAAGCCCGATACAGGGAAAAGCTTCGATAGATACGCGTGGATCCTGAGTTTCGGAACATCACACCCGCTACCGAGCGCTTCATAATCCAGGAAGTAGCCTAGGACACGGACGGAAAGCAGATCAAGTTGTTCGACTTTTCCAAAACTCGATATTTCCCGAGTTGCCGCTCGACTGTAACGCGCGGAGGCGTACCAACAGGTGAACTGGCGGCGTCAGAGCCCAGCTCAACGCCCTGAGCACCGTTTCGAGCGGACACGGATGTTGTACGATTCATTCATACTGTACGTGGGCGTCCAAATGGCTCATGTCGATGACTTATGGCAGAAGGATATGCACTTGCGCTGGTGTCGGGAACGATCCCGGCTGTACGGAGGCAGCTAGCGTGTATCCACCGACTTTTCAATGCGTTGGAAACGCGTATGACCGATATGGCGCGTCGTTCGGTGGTGGCATCTTGCGCTGGACCTGTCGCAGAGCACAACGTCTGCAATCGTGCTCCTTCGACCAACGTGTGCAACAAGCGTGCGGGCCGATTCTGCACGACTTTTATCGATGCGTCTAGAATGACATGACACACATCACGAACTTTTGTGCGCGAAGACGCTTTTAGAAATGAAGAGCGTGAAATAGCGCCGGATGCATGAGACGATGTATAGGGCAGGCTGGCCGAACCTCAGATGGCGAGGCACTCGTATATGAGAGGCTCGGTATGGTGGGGCTTCACAGGCAACAACGCTTGCCAGTAGGTTCTCAACGGAAACTCTAATGCTTCGGTGAACATCTGGAAATATCTCGTGCTTTCGAAGAGATTCGGGCGGGTTCGTATCTAGCGAACGTTCCAGGTAAGCATATAATGCGAGCGCGGGCACGATGCTGAGACGCTGAAGACGTGCGATGACAAAATTTATCCAGCCAGGAGACAGGGACAGAGAACACTGGATTCTTGCCTGGTGCGACGCACTCTAGCGGCACGTCTCAGCAATCCAGAACGGCTCTAACGCCGCGTATATACAACGGGAAATGTTGTCCTTGGCAATTGGTGTGAATGATTACGGCGTTTCGTTATTCAGCATTACCAAATATATCCTATCTGATTCCAAATACATGTCATCATCGGAGCGATCGTGAAAGTGGATGCGTTTCCGCATTTTACCGTATGGCTAGAACTGCGTAGGGTACGTCGGTGCTTCGCCAGGCAGCGCAGACTCGAACGCACCAGCAGACGCTTCCCAGCTCGAAACAGCGGCTTCATGCGGGACTGCTGCGGCGCTCCACTCCGTTGGGCCAACAGCGTATGCACCCATCGTCATCATCTCGCCAAAGTTTCCCCCAGAGAACATATCAGCTGGACCGGGAACCGTAGATGCTGCTGCTGCCGCCGCCGCAATCGCTGCTGCCTCCGCCTCTCGTGCTGCCGCGGCCGCTTCTTCCTCCTTCTTCACTTCTTCAATATCTCGGTAGAAGAAGAGGTCCACCATAACATCCCAGTCGCCAGTTGCGGGAATTTCACCGCGCAGGCGCAACACCTGCCGACAAAGCAGGTACCACATCAGTGCGATGCTCGCCCTGGACTTGTTATTGCACGGAATCGCGACGTCGATCAGCTGTAAAGGCGAGTCTGTATCACAAAACGCAATCGTGGGGATATTCGCATAGGCCGCTTCCCGCACAGGCTGTGCGTCTACGCGTGGATCAGTGACGATCAACAAACGCGGTTCAGTGAAACGCCGCTCCATCTGGTTCGTAAGCTGACCCGGCGTCCAGCGGCCTGCGCAAGCTGTCGCACCTGTATACTGCGCGAACTTGAGCACCGCTCGCTGCCCATACGGCCTCGCCGACACGGCCACCACGTCTGCCGGCGTGTCCACTGCTGCAACTATTCGTGCTGCAAGTTGCAGTTTCTCCCAGGTTTTCGAGAGGTCAAAAATATGCACACCGTCCGCTCTCCGCTTAAATACATATGGAGACACGAGACAGTCACAGTTTTTCGTACCAAGGTGCGTGTTGCACGCGAGCATTTTCGCAATGTCGTCTTGACGCGAGGCTAGCGTCGCCATTTTGCGTGTTCCTCGCAGCGGCCGCCCCGACGTTCCAGTCACCGCAGAAACCGAAGATGTCCTAGAGAAGAGACGTGTGGTGCTGCGCTGATCAGCGCTAGAGTAAGCACCTTTTTACCGATTTATCCTCTGTTGGCAAGTGAGCACGCTTTAGAGGATGCTGTCCAGTGCACGTACGCACCCGCGTCTACACCCAGCGACTTGGGAAACGCTGCCCCGATGAGCCTGGCTCATGTGGCTGGTCAAGAGCGGCCGCGCTCAGGGACGCCCGCCGCGACGCAGAAAAACTGTATAAAAAGGACATAACATGTCACGTGACCCACGAGTTTTGCCTTCTGAGGCACGGCAGGCGTGTCCGTTTCGCTTTGAGCTGTATGCGTCAGAGGTACCGGGTGGCAGTGCGAAACGCTCGATTCTTGCACCTACTTGTCCTGTTTGGGGTGTTTGTTGTGTCGTTAGCGATTTTATATGCGTCTTCTTTGACGCAGTTAGACGCTGGGAAGCAGGATACACGTTCTGCTGTAGCAGAAGCAGCGCGTGCCCAGCAGCGACTTGTTCGACTGTACCGCAAAGCACTTTCGTTGGACGATCCCACGCACTGTACGTTCATCATAGGTGTGGGCCTGCAGCCGAGAGGACAAGACTTGCGCGGTCTTTTCCAGCATTTTGGTGCCGGCCGCTGGTTTCGGAAACCTCGCGTGTACTATTATGGCGGGCTCAGCGCGGATGCGCTTCGACTTGCCCACGGAGCGCGTCGTCGTGCTTCCCGGAGCGATATCCTATTTTCTCGTCCGGAGCGTGATGGCGCTATCGACGGCGTGATAGGCTGTGCTGTATCGCACCTGCTTGCTGTACGCAGCGCTCTGCAGCGCGGCTGCAAAACAGCGTTGTTTTTGGAAGATGACACATCTCTGGGCCTTGTGCGCTACTGGGACAAGCCCGTGGCGGCCGCTATTCACGATTATGCCTCTGATGAGTATCCGGTGCTACAAATGGAGCTCAAACTCCGTTCCTTTCTGGAACGGGGCGATTCGGGAGCGCTCGGTCTCGAGCACCTTCCCGTTCGATGCGGTTGGCGCCACACTGTGCCGCACCGCTTCAAAGTAACGTATGGAACGGGTGCCTACGGCATGTTGCGTACTGGCATGGAGCGGACGCTACAGCGTTTCACTGCCAATGAGGCGTTCGCAGGACGTGCTCGTGCCTCCCATCTGGGACCGGTTGATGTGTCCAAGGTCATTGCGGCAGGCGGTCACGCCGACGTTTACGTGATTTTGAACGCGACAACGACGAAAGTGCTCTGGCCTCCGTACTTTCACGAAGCGTTCGACTCAAAAAGTATCGTTCGACCCCGAGAGGGACGCGGAAACTCCCACCAGCCCCAGCACATCGCCTCTGCTAGATACGCAATCAAGGCGAATATGCGCTGGGCGGAGGCTTGTCGAGAGTACGTCCTCGAAAATGAATAGTGTATTTTTGTACAACAATCAAGCTGGTGACTCGAAAAACAAAACTAGACAAGACGGTGAACGGTGCCGCCCGATGATGTCGACGACCGAACGCGGGCACTGCACCCGTCCCGAAGCTCGCGACGCCAGCTCTTGCGCATAGGAAGAAGCGTGCGAAACATTCATGTATCTGGGTGACGAGATCACGTTGGAAGAGCAGCTCATGATTCGCAAAACATCGCCTGCTCGAGTTCGAACAGGATACTGCGCGCGGTTTCCGATGCACAGCGCTTTTGGGACCGGAGCCGAACGTACAACTGCATCATCAGATAGCTCTGGGAACCGTGGTGAACGGATCGCTTTCTACGTTTAGAGGCGCTGCCAATAGCACAGCATAAAACCAAAATCGGCTGAGGACACTCGACCTGCGCATGCCACGCATCTAGCAGGGTTGTTCACTGGCTCGCATCGAGCGCACTAAAGGCTTCTCGTGCGATACGTGCTTCGAGCAAGCCTCGAGCACGCTTTTCGACTCTCGTTCCGGTGAGATTTCCACCAGCGTGGGTGCTTGCATAGAAGCATCCCTCTACATGATATCCACAGCGGACACGCACATCTAGAAAACAGAGACATTGGCTCAGTGTTTTCTAGGAGAGCTCTTCCATAATTGCATCCATTTTTTCGATGACTGCAGCTGTGAACTGTTTCGTGGTCGCCTTGCCGCCCATGTCAGGAGTGCGTATATCCGTCTCCTGGTACACTGACATCACCGCGTCCTGAATAAAATCGGCGAAATCAAACATTTTCAGGTAACGCAACATCATGACGCCAGCGAGGATCGTTGCGGTCGGGTTCGCGATTCCCCGCCCCGAGATGCCCTTGCCAGCGTGTCGCACGCCCTGCTCGAACATGGCACCACTAGGGCCGATATTTGCGCCGGGAAACAGCCCCGTGCCGCCACCTAGACTTGTCGCTACGCTACCAACGATGTTTCCGTAAAGGTTCGGCAACAGTACAACGTCGAATTGCTCGGGGTTGCTCACCATTCGCATACAGGTCGCATCAACAATCATGCTTTCAAACTCGATAAAAGGATACTTGGAAGCAACATGTCGTGCGCATTCCAAAAAGAGACCATCCGCCGACTTGAGAATATTTGCCTTGTGAACACAAGTCACTTTCTTACGGTTATTTCGCATCGCATAACGAAACGCGTACTCCGCAATGCGCAACGAGTGCTCCTCGGTCACAATCTTGAGCGACTCCACCACACCGTCGACGGCCGAGTGCTCGAGACCGCTGTACTCCCCTTCCGTATTCTCTCGAACTAGAACAATGTCGATATCGTCGTATTTGGCCTTGACGCCCGGCATCGGGAACACGTGAACCACGTTCGCGAAGAGATCGAATCCCCGCCTCAGGAGGATATTGATCGATGTGCCCTTGAAACCATAAGGTGTGTGAAAGGGTCCTTTCATCACTAGTCGATTTCGATTTACTGCATCAATCACGGATGCTGGCAAGCCCTTCTCTGGCTCGGGAATATGATAGGTCTCGAACTCGACGGGTACATGTGCGGCCTCGAAAACCGCTACCAAAGCCTCCATGCACTCGGGCCCGATACCCTCGCCCGGCAGCATCGTTATCAGTTTCGTGTCGCCGACAGCAGTTGCCGCTGGATACACGTTATAGACATCGCCGTCGATCGACGTTGGCGAGATAATCGGCGAGCCCTGCCGAAGCGCCGGTGACACAAAGCGACGTACGTCGGTGATATCGTGGCCCTGCGCTGAGCCACTCACAAATCTACGCAAAAACTGCCCTCGACACAAAGTGTCCAGCGTGCACTTTCGAAAACACGTCGCAGCTTGACGAAGAAGTGTGTGCACCATTGCCCTTGGGTACAGGAAAAAGACCCGATCGCAACTGACCCGTGGTACGCTTTGTCGCGCTCGCCGGGGTTCGACGCTCGCACCAGCTTCGACTCAGCACGGACGCAGAACTCGTAGAGTCTCTCCCGAGACTGTTTTGACGGTGCTCTGAATTAGCGGATCAGGGTTCGTTGGCTTCGATTAGGGGAAAATCTGCCACTTGATCCCGTTCTAGAAAAGCGAACGCGAACGCGCTACCACCGTTGTGCACCAATAGGCACGGGGTGGCGTTCGAGCATGCCGTCCCGGGCGTTGCAACGTTCGCCGATAATGTGTCAAACTTTGTTGGCGCTTTTTCTTACCAGGAAAGTCAACGAAAAATGGATACCCAGGGTGGTTTTTAAAAGTAGGGCCAAATCAGTGAGCTATTTGCGATAGCTGACCCTTGTGCTGGAAGTCTGGAAGAACACTTGCAGTTAGAGGCCGGGTCGTCTTCGAACAACTGTGAGAAATATGCATCGTTAAGCGACACGCTACAGAGAACGCTGGGAACCGCGTCAGTGTGCACCTGTACCTCTTTACTGTACAAGGCCTCAGCAACGTTGATGCAAGCCCTGATGAAGAGCTTGCTCGCTTTCGTCTACGCGTTTCACGGTCGTTCGAATGTTCGGAAATGGTCTGTGCGTTCACCCCGGACGCGGATTCCGTTGTAACCGTGATATGTTCTGGAAAGAAGGGACGCGACGAACTGGTGGCGGGCGCGTCTTCTTTTCTCTTTGCTATGATAAACGGAAACTGGAGCAACGAAAACCCAGGCGATCCGTTTCCAGCTTGTACTCGTTCTCTTCAGTACATTAGTGTTCGCCTGCACTGCATCTAGGTTTACAAAAAACGAAACAGTGAACTGCTCGTTCCGGTCCTGTATTTCCATTTGTTTCCGATCTTGTTCTTGATAAACAGCCTCAACAACCGTACAAGTGCAGTCAGGGCTTTCAGATTCATAGGTCGTTTGAGGTTGGTCGGTTGTCTGTTCAGAGAGGCGCTTTCAACGCACTGACGCTGGGATTCCCTATACCACCGGTATCAGGATGACTCGCGCCACTGCTGAACAGGGGTTCGTAAGAAACCGGACACCATGATCGAAATCGAACGTGCAAGCCGCCAATCTTTTAATCTTCTTACGTGTGGCGTGCTTGGCTCACGCATGCTTCTAACTATCGATGTCTCCGTTTCGAAGCAACTCGTGAGCGCAACGAGCCACGCCAGTGACTGGACGACGAAAAAACTCGGCATCATTCTCTGACGACTCGGTTGCAAGCTCACGCCGAAAGTTCACGGAAAGTTTCACGTCGAAGAATCGACTTCGCCCGGAGCAGAAATCCTCCTCGCTTTGTGGCCATCGATGAAACGGCATTCGACGGCACTAGCATCTCGATGCCTCTCAGGGGGTATGCTCCAAGAGGCTCCCCGTCTCTTCTATTTGCATGGAAATGGATTTTGGACTCGGACATGAGTCACCTACGTAATCCATTCCAATGCAGAGTGCGTCTCCGCTCTACATACACGTAGCGTAGACGGACCGAAATCTCTCGACGTTCTCTCGGGCCTGGATTTTGCCTCCAGTACCTGTATCATCATGGAGAACGTCGTGTTCCCACGATTCTCTACCGAATCTATAAAGCATGTGCGTGCTCTTCGATCTGATATACTGCTCGCCTGAAAGGATGTCCCAGATGAAGCGCGTGATCTTCACGTTCGGCACCGGGAGCTGCTACGGAGGTAGAACATTCAGGCAAGCCTTCTGGAGCCGTCGAGGACACGTGCCGAGCATTGAAGCAAACGCTCACGCAGCACACGTCAGCGCTAAGAGGAACTGGTTTGGCAGGCACGTATCGAACACCTGACCACAGCCAAATGTCACCACTGCAAAGAAGGGCACATCGAGCCTGCGTCCAAAGAAAATGAACAAGTAGATGCCGTGCATCGATCCCGACTAACTTCTATCCATGAAATGCGATGACCACATCGTAAACAGGAAACTCGGGCTATGAGCACTGCAATCCCAATCCCTGGACTGTTGACATCGTATCTGAAGCGAAAGGAGCGACCTGCCGACTGAACGCCGAACTTCAGAGAAACGGGAAAAGATCGCAATCGCGGGACGATTCCGCAACAACAGGCGCTCGTGACAAATAGAAGAGACCCAAACTTTCATGCAAATATCCTTGTTAGACGACACGTTCCATTTTACGCTGACACAGGTGTAGCATCATACATCGGAACCCTACACGGACACGGTCAGAGTGCATACGCATCCAGGCGTGTGTCGCCACCGTGCCTAATGGTATCGTGATTTTACAGGGCATTGAGAAACCCGTCGACATCATTTGCCGCTGCCGCTTCCTCAAGGCGTGCTACGTTCGCCTTGGGACGCGTACGTGCCAATTCTTTGAGCTTATTCTCATCATGCTCAGTGCCGCTCTCAATGAAAGTTCCAACAACATGACCGTCCTGATCAATCCAAACTGCAACAAGCTTTGGGTTCATTTCACCAACAACAATCGTCTTTGCTTGCGCCGGCGTATCTCCCCAAAACTTCCATGACAGGTGAAAAACTCTGCTGTAAAAGAAAGGCAGATAGTCATACGGCTCCGTGGTGGCTCCCATCATTACATCCACTGCATGCATGGCGGACTGTCTGGCGTGACCCACGTGCTCCACCCGTGCCATGCGGTTCCCGTACATTTTCAGGGGAAAGGTGATCACATCGCCAGCGCCGAACACATCAGCATGCGAGGTGCGTAGATGTCCGTCGACTTTGATCCCGCGAGCCTCCATCGCCAATGCCCCCTCAAGGAGCGTTGTCCGAGGCTTGGCACCGACACCTACCACGACGAGGTCCGCCTCGAGCACAGGGCCATTCTTCAGGCGCACGTACTTCACTTGACCGCTTCCGTTCTCGTCAGCGAAAGAATCCACGACGGTGCCCTTGATGAAGTTCACTCCTTTCTGCGCATAGATGCGTTCATAATGTGCTGCAATCTCCGGAGTAAACAGGCGTGCCATCACGTGCGGCTCCGGGAATACCATCGTCACACGAACGCCGTTGATGACCAGCGCTGCAGTGCACTCAAGCCCAATGTAGCCTCCGCCCACAACAACTGCATGCTTGCCAGCGCACGCTTTCATGGCCTCGTAGAGTTTGTCGGCCTCAGCAATTTCTCGCAGGTAGTGGATGCCGCCGAGGTGTGCACCCTGCATGCCTAGCTCGTCGAGATGGAGCGCGTCCGATCCAGTTGCGATGAGGAGCTTTCCATAGCCGTATTTGCTGCCGTCCTTCGCCGTCAGACACTTCGAATTCAGATCACAGTCTACGATCTCGGTGGAGAGCAACAGATCGATGCCGTTCTTGGCGTACCAGTCCGGCGTCTGTGGTGCGCCACCGCCGGCAACGCAGGTGTGAAAGGCCGGTAAGCGCGTCGGCGGGTTCGCCGTCAGGTACGCCTTGGACAGCGCAGGACGCTCGTATGGTGCAACAGATTCGCGCGATATGACCGCTAGTTTGTGGCCGCTCAGTCCGTGCTTCTCAACAAACTGGCGCGCAGCATAACCAGCGGCGTTTCCCCCGCCGAGGATGACGTACTCATAAGACTTTACCGACGTGGCGCTCATGACCAGGCAGCGCTTACAGACAGAGCTTAAACGCGTAGACCCCTTGACTTTAGGAGCTGAAACACCTTTACCAAATAGCCTTTGGTGGTTTCCGAGCTTTTCCAGGAAACACACAAAGGAACTGAGGTGGCTTCGAGTCACCAGCCGGTGTACCTCGAGCATGAAGCGGCAATGGACGCTTCAGGTAATGGTGCCGAACGCTCGGGATCTTGCGAATAGCGCTCGGGAGACTATTCGCGGTGTTGCCGCTGCGGCATTGCAACACCAGTATCCATGTCATCCATGGGGGCACGTTGTTGCACTGAATCAGAGTTCATTGGAATGCGTAACAATAATAGTAGTCGTCGATCGTCAGAAGAGACAGTCCTGCCATGCTCTGTTCTCGCGAAGCATTGATAGATTCGACCAGTACCCAACTGGATACGCAATGGTTGTCGATCGTCAGAAAACATAGTCCAGCCATGCTCTTCTCTCGCGAAGCATTGGTAGATTCGACCAGTACTCAACTGGATACGCAATAGTTGTCGATCGTCAGAAAACATAGTCCAGCCATGCTCTTCTCTCGCGAAGCATTGATAGATTCGACCAGTACCCAACTGGATACGCAATGGTTGTCGATCGTCACCGGGGCGACTTTTGTTCGTTCCTCTTCGAGCATCAACTTCTGCTCGACGCACTGCTTCCAATATCCAGACACCACAAACGCCCAAGGATCCAATGCTTGCTTTCTTCTTGGTCATACACTGCATCACCAAGAACGCGATAAACTTGGAACAGAAAGTGACATAGCAATCATCAGCAGCTGCTGTAGCTCCATAGAACGCTCGAACGCTGGTGAGGGCGCTCGAGCCGTGCGCTCAGCGCCAGCGGCAGTCGAGGCACCCGCAACATCGTCAACCGGCAACGGCAATCACCGCGTGCTCCCCTGAGACAGTTTTCACGGTTATACTGTATATATTGTCGTTTTGTTTCGACTTGGCCGTACTGCCTTTTCGACTGTTCTTCTGCACAGACGCGGTCGTTTGGGGCAAGATCCGTTCGTGCTCGGCTCTATGGTTGTAAGGTGTCAGCGGTACTGCGGTCGAGGCCACGCTCAAGCGTCATGTTTCGTGAGTGTCCTTGCCCGCCTTGAGCAGACACAGTTGCGACACTTTTGCCGGGCTGGTACCTTTTCTACACGTCGAGTTTGTCCCGCAGTGCATCAGAAACCGTTAATCGTTTGCTCTGGTGACGAGCGCAGGGACCCGCCGCACAGTTTGCCCAAGACTGACGGTGAGAGGAACAAGAGAACCAGTCGTTTCACCGAGGAGGAGCTACGGCGACTGTCGCAACTGGTCCAGGCAGAGCTCTTTCGCGATGAACAGAAGCCTTTGGATGTTCTAGCGGATGCAGACTTGGCGGGGAATGCGTCTTCTGGGGCTCACGCGACGCCGGTTCGGGTGAACGTTGACCTGGGGCTCTACAGGGCTCGCCGCGCGGCACAACGTGGCCGCTTTGACCTTGCTCGTGCTTTGTATTTGCGTTGTTTGGAGTGGGACGTAAGCGAAGGCCGCGCTTGGCTCGGACTCGCCCGCCTTGCAGAACGTGCCAATAACTTCGCTCTTGCACGTAGGCTCTTCCAATACGGGGTGCGGTTCGCAGCGACAACGGTGACGGCGACAACTCCGGGAACTGGTACCAGCCAGGACGCAACTGTATCGGAAAGGGCGACGTCGTCGACTGAGGAGGAATCGCGCCCTGCTTCTAGGGAGACTGCGAACGCGCGCAGGCCAAGGCGTGCACGCGTAGCACCGACGTTGAACGGATCACCATCCGTCAATATTCATCTCCTACAGGCCTGGGCGGTTATGGAGGAGTCCGCGGGCAACGTGGATCGGGCGAGAAAGCTCCTTCGTTCGGCGCTTCGGGCGGCACCACATCACGTCGCATCGCTGGTGGCTTTCGCCATGCTCGAACATCGCCAAGGAAACGATGAAGCCGCGTTGCTCTATGTCTCAGAAGCGAACAAAGTCGATCCTGAGAACTACTATGCTTTGCATGTACGGGGCCTCATTGAATGGCGGGCTTTCCGTCGGTACGAAGTTGCCCGTCGTGCTTTTGAAAAGAGCCTCGCACTTAATCCCTCCAATTCCGTGACGTACCATGCCTATGCTTGTATGGAGGCCTGGGCCCTGGGCAACGTCCAGCGCGCACGCGAGCTCTTTGATACTGCTTTGAAGAAGGGGAATCCACGGAATCGTTTCATCCTGCAGAGCTGGGCGCTTTTAGAGGCCGAGAAAGCTGATGATCTGCAGGCAGCTCGAGCGCTGTTCGCAAAGGGCACGCAGGCGCACCCACGAGATGCAGCGATCTGGCAATCCTGGGCACTCGTCGAAGCCCGGAGAGCTAAAGACGTGGAGAAAGCTCGAAAACTGTTCGCTGCTGCGCTGCACGCAGACCCACAGCATTTGGCAGCGTGGCAGGCGTGGGCCATGCTAGAAGCCGACGCATCCCGCGGTGGCAGCGGCATCGAGGAGGCCCGGAAGCTCTTCCAGAGAGCAGTGTGGGCAGCACCGGATTCGCCCGATATCGGTCGTGTCTGGCATGCCTGGGCAACAGCGGAGTTCACCTACGCTCGAGATCTGGAAAGGGCCCGGCGCTGTTGCCAACTGGGCCTCGAAGCCGAGGAACGAATCCGCGATCCGGCCAATACCAGTGACGTTGACGGAAGAGCAGTATGGAGCCCGTTTGGTGTTTCGCCAGGACAATCCGGCTCGGGGACCAGCGTCCAGAATTTTATGGTCGAGACTGAGGGTATCCAGGATTTACCGCTGATTGCAGCTGGTTCCTCGTATTTGCGAAGACAGCGATTGCGGGGACGTGGCGGTTCTTTGCGGAAGCGCTCGCAAACACGCTGCCGCCACGGTGCATTGCCGATGCTATACACACTCCTGGGTCAGATTGAGGCGCTGTGCGAGAACATTGCAGCCGCGCGTAGATGCTTTGAAAAAGCTGTGGAAATGGATCCTGGCAATTCCGATATCTGGGAAGCGTACGAGAACATGGAGAGGGATCACGGCGGCGGTGCCGTTGCAGCGCAAGCTGTAAGTCAACGCGCCCTCATCGCCACGAGTGCTCTGGAGAGGAGTCGAGCGCGGATCGCAGCCGCCAGGGCCACAGACCTGAGCCAAGATGACAACACGAACAGGATGAATGAGCGCTCCACAGACCCCGCTCTTTCCGTGAACGAGCTGCCGATCCAGCTCACTGAACCGCAACCGGGAGACTTTGCCTCAACTGGCACCTGGATTGAGTATCGGGAGCTGTTACGACTGAGTCACTCGGAGGTGACACGACGGCTCCGCCAAGGCCCGTAGAGCGACCAGATGCGACTGTATTAGGTGGCTGTTTACAGAGCGGGCCTCTGCGAGGTTTCGGTCAGGCAGGGTGATCCGTCGTGCACGGAGGCGTTGTGACAAACCTCAGTGCTTTCGAAGCATGGACTGCGCCACATGATGGTCGCGCTTTTCGAACAGCGCTTGGCGAGCTTGACGAAGCTCGTGCCCCCAGCGTCGCTTTGCTGCGTTTGACAATCAGGGCAATGCCTGGTACAATGGGGCATCGTTTGCATGTGGTTCGCATGAAAGTCGACGTTGCGACGGGGACGGCGAGACCCTCGCTGCGACGCCGGTGTCAGATAAACGTGGAACTCTGAACTGCTGGCCGTGTTCCTGCTTTGACATTTTTTGCGACTGTTTTCCATACGTTCAGTCTCAAGTTGCAAAGGGCAGCAATAAGGGCTTGAGGATCCAATCGTTGTCCCAGGATTCGCAGTTGTCCTGTCGGTGTGGCGCCTTCAAATATCTCCCGTTGGAATTCGTTACTCTACGGTTATCAAGATAATTTGCGACGCCCCCGAAGAAGCGTTTCACAACACAACCAACATCACGCTCCAATGCTTACGTACAAGCCGCCGCTCTGCTCTTATCCTTATGAGAAACGTGATCAATTCATGCATGCTTCTTGCTCCCGATCTCATCATTTCAGGGTAACACTCGGGCGCAGCAATTCGCCCTGCCGGATTGACAAGCGAAACCAGACGACCTTAAATGAGGACCTTTTCACCAGCTCATTCCGAGAGCTGGCTGAACGTGTCATGTCAACGAATCGATTTACTCCGAAAGACAAATCTGCCTGTCCATGTGTGTATCGACGAAATGGCATTCGACAAACTCATGTTACGTTGTAGGGAATATACTCGAAGAGACTCTCGTCTCCTCTGCTTGCATGAAAAAAAGACTTGGACTCGGACATGAGTCCTCGCAGCGAGCGCCTCACTTCTAGAGTGCGTCACAGCTTTGTACGCAGTAATCGTAGACGAATCGAATTTTCACTGGTTGTTCTCCAGCCTGCGTTTCCCTTGCGGTACTTGTGCCATCATGGACAATGATGCCATCCACATTTCGACCATCGAATGGAGCAGCGTGCACCTATGTGTGTGTGTGTGTTCGTGCATCGTACAGCGCGCTCGCCGAAACGCTCGCCCAGAAGAAACCCCTGATCGCAGGGTACAGGAAACCGCTTGGAAACGGAGGAGAGCATTGAGTGGTTCCTTCTGTATCGGCCAAGGGCATCTGTCGAGCGACGAAGCGAGCGTTCACGCTACCCAAAGCGGTTCTCCGAAAACGGAGTGTCATGGACGTTTGAGAATACCTCACCACAGCCAAGTGGCACCACTGTGAACTGCGCACTGAGCCTGTATACAAGGAGGATAGGAGTAGCGAGCGGAGCGCAGGTGCAGCTTCCGCCCTGGCGTGAAATACGAACAAGACGGCCAAAAGTGCCACGGCTGGACTTTATCGCCGCGATGAACTCCCGTCGACGGCTGACAATGAACCCGGAGAGAATTGTACGGCCGACGGTTGCAACGCAGGATACAACAGGTCACAAAAGGAAGCATGCACATAAAAATACCGCCATGGCTGCTGTGCGCAGCAACGAAAAAAGACCCAAACTTTCCACGCGAGCTCGCTGCCCGGTCCCATTTTGTTCCTCGTACGGGTGTTGCGCGGCGCGTTCCGCATGCAAGGCCGCCGTTCCTTCGAAGCAGATCGAGCGAAATCTGGTAGGCGGACAGCACATGTCGCGGGCCTCTGACGTGTCCCCGCTCTGATCCTGATGAGCGTTTCGCTCGATCGCCTCAGATGTTCCAATCGAATGTCGTGGCAGCCTACAGCGCGGCGATCGTGGCGCGCACGGCGAAACGTTTCGTCCACAAATAGAACCGTAGTTTCACCTGAATTATGTTCCACCACCAGACGCGTGTCCTCAAACGCTTTTCGCGGTTTATAACAGATACGTCTGAAGTGCGTTCATTTGATACAATATAAAATCTGAAGGATCGTTATGGACATGGAAGACGGGGATTCTGGATGGTGGTTGTCATCGCCGAGTTCGACCAGGAAATCAAAAAAATCCTCTTCTCGCCGACTATCGAGTGACCAGGGGTATGTGATGAAGAAATTGGAGAGAAAGGCGAGAAAAGGTGCCTGCCCGACGTGACGATGACGGGACTTCCGTGATTCAGAGGGCGCGAGTTCGACGACTGCGTCTAAAGGTGCGTTCTGGCAGTGACAGGGAACGCACAGAGTTCGTGCACCCAGACTTTAACGCAGCGATGAATACCAGGTGATATGAGGTATTGCACACGCGACCCGACGAGCAGAGACGATCCACCAGCTTTGTCGGGCAGCCTTTCGGAGTCGAAGTGTGCAAGGAGAAGCTGAACCCGATACAGCACGGGGGCCCGTCGAGACAACCAGGAAGGCGTCTGCAGTTGCGAGTCATATCGACCCTCTGTGGTCGTGAAACGTTTTTCGTTTTATCGGACAGTGAGAACCGGACACGTGTCCGCGTGCGATCGCAAGCGACTGGCGTCGCATCGTTTTGCGATACGCTTGCCAGAATCTTTTCGAATTCTTGTTCTAAACGCGTGCATTATTGTGCGTTACAGGGATACAATGGGAAAGTCAATAATCGCTTTCTGTTTCATGTTCATCGCACTCCTGGGCGGTGCAGTTGCGTTGCCTGTTCTCCGTCAAACGATGCTGGACGGTGGACCGAACCCTTTCGTGCCGTCCGGTGGCAGTAGCAGTACGGGAGGGAGCTCGAGCAGCGGCTCTGTCTATGGCGCTCCGACGGATAGCTCTGCAACGCGTGCACCCGTGACGTCGACTGAAACCACTATCCCCCGGGATACGGCGCCAACGCTGGTAGGTGGTCCCTTCGCCAGCGTCCTCCCGAGCCCGAGTATGATGCCCAGCCCCAGCATGATGGTGAGCCCAGGCGTGGGCACCGGGATGATGACAATCGGGTGAATGGGTATGCGCTTATGAGCAGGGTGGCGACTCGCTTGAATATTCGAAACAATGGATGGTCTGGGCGCCCGCATCACGGTTCCGTGTTCCTGTCGATTTCACGTGCTTTGGCCGGGAAAAGGTACGGTACTGGTGTTAGCGGGCGGGCGCAGGACGACCCACTCGTAGATGTTTATGGTTGATCGAGAGGCGTTCCGATCTTTGGACAGTGTAATTATCTCTAGCACGCCCGTGGGGACTGCATTACGGAAAGAAACCATGGAACGAAGAGGTACCTTCCATGCCGAATCTGTTGTAAAATTCTTTCCAGGTTTTCTAACATCATCAAGAAGCAGCATTCGCCCCAGGCCCTCAACCTCGCATTCTTCAATCCTAAAACCACGCTGAAAACCCTGTCCTTTACGTTCAACTGCCCAGAGGTTGCGTTGATGCCGGCTGCGGTGTATAGTAGAGAACGGCGCGCTCGTTCCGCGGTTGCAACGGGCGCACGTTTGGTTGGCCCTGCTGCGCTGCCAGGATGCGATCCACAATTCGCTGCGGCAACGAGTCACGATGGGTCAACACAATCCACTTGATGTTCTCCGAGCAAGGCGGCATCGTCAGGCTGCCTCGGTAATAGAAGAAGCAGGGCCGTGCCTCAGGGTCCAGCTCCTCGGCGGCCAGCGCCATGCCTGACTCGATTTCTCCGGCTGGCGATCGTGATGCCAGTGATGCTGCAGTGTTTTCTCGCAAGAGCGTATCCGCAAAATTGAATTCCACGAAGCGTGTGGTTCTCAGTCTACCGGGCCGAGATGGTGCCGTTTGGCTGGTCGCTGTGCTCGATGGTGGTAGCGACGAGTTCGATGCATCGGCGACCAGAGACTCAGCGTGGACACTGGCACGCGTAGCGCCGGCGGCTGCTGAGGTGTAGGTCAGCGAGGTCTCGCCATTCGTTGCGCCTGCATCCTTCTGTGCCGGAGGCTGACCAGCTGGTGCTTCATCCAGCAGCGAGAGCAGCTCATCGAGCCAGCGTGGAACCGCTGTATCAGGCGCGCCTACTGCCGCTGCGCCCGCACCGCTTCCGCTGCTCGCTGGGTTCGCCTCGGGAACCGCACGCCAGATGCGACCAATCACGGCAACATCGTTCTCATCCGCCACGTTCCGAAACACGGCATGCATTTCGAGGTCACCACGGAAACGTTCGATGACATGCTCGCTCTGAGGTGCATGGAAGTGAATGTTCACCAGGCGATACTGTTGCACTTGCGCGTCGCTGAGTTTGACTGGAGTCGGCGCCTCAGTTGCCACAACCGATGTGCCATCGCCATCAGTCACCTTTGGGAGCTCTGGAGGGATCTCTCGTAATATCAAGGTCGCTGCTGGAAGCGGCGCTTCAAAGCCGGTGACCGGCGGTACATCACCGACAATAGGCGGTGGTGGCGGAATATACTGCTCGAACATCGCCAACGGCGGTTGAACGCCCGGTGGAGACGGCTCGAGACGTTTCCACTGCGCAACATTACTCCGTATCTCGAACGGAGCGGCCGCAGCCGAGTATTCAAAACGCAATGCTTCTCGCTCCGAAAGTGCTATTGGCGACTGGAAACGTCCACAAGAGCACAGACGATATGCGTCAGCGAGACTGCCCCATTGGGACGGCCCTCGCTCTGACCCGTAGTCCCAGCAGAGGTTCTGGTTGCCTGACGCAACCTTCGGGCTTTGCGTATCAGGAGCCTGCGCTTGCGTGGATGTCTGCCTTTGTCCGGATCCCGCGAGGTTGCTCGTAACGTTCAGGGCACCAGCGGCTGGAGCAGGGCCGCCCTGTGCGTGCACGAGAACTGGTTGGCCTAGAAGAAGCGCCGCGGAAAGAAGCGCCATGACCGCTCCTCGATCCCACGAAAGCGCTATTCGCAATAGCCTCTTGGAGCCGTTTCCAAAATTGGCCATTTTCAATGCCGAGAAAGAGCAGAGCTTGGAGTGTCGCCGCAGGTGCAGGTCACGCGTCAGCGCGCAACGCTGAAGTTTCGTGGAGAGAAACCGCTTTGAGTTTCGTCGGAAACAAGCTCTACACAACAAGAACCCCATAGATCAATATATCTTGACAGAGTCTCCGATCCTTGAGTTGAATTAAGTTGAATTAAGCGTACGTTCGCGAAGTATCGTGTCTTAAAGCGCTGAACAACGGTTCAGGTAAACGCTTCGAATATCAGCGGACGCGAAGCACGTTAAGCGCTGCGCCCGGTGGCGGCTCTCGGGCACGCCCCTGGTGTCGATGCGGCTGCTCTTATGGGGTATCGTTTACCAGCGGTATGAGCATTTCAAACGCACAGCTCTGCTGAATTTGTGTGCAAGCAGCGCAAGTGTAAGTACAGTAGGTTGTGAATGGTCAGGTCGAGTGCGAAGCTTAGAGTCGGGAGCACATACCTGTGCTGTTTTGATCGAAGAGGGTTCCGCGCAGGTGCGCACTCCCGCGACGCTGGAGCTCCACGACGTGGACGACCCGCAACCCGCGGTGTGTCTGTTCGTTGCAGTAACCAGCATAAACGCCTCTTGGGGTGTATGCGTTCCAGAAAAGAGGAAGGCTGGCTTTCCAGGAAGCCAGTACGAGCTACCTCAGCCACGTTGAGAGACTTCAAAGTTAGTATGGGAACTGCTTCAACCAGGTAAGTGTCCCCGGCTGACGTCCAGCTGACATGATCGGTTACAAGTACACGTTTTCCCGCATTCTACAGCAGCAAAAGTCTCTGGTGTACCTAGGAAACGCTGCTGTGGACACACGTGGGCGACCCGGTCGTCGAGGTCACTCCGATCTTGTATGCATATCGTGAACGCATCCAAGCGTTTTTATGGATGCATGCGCATACGAACGCTTGCACAGATGAACGCGCGTACATAGAGACCCATGTTTATTATGAGATACACAGTCGAGCGCACTCATCGATGAACGTACGCGCATATACATACATGGTGCCAGTGACCTGCACATATGCGTAGAGGCACGGCTGCCGCCTAGGTGAACGCGCGTACGCCGTTGCGCTTCCTGTCCTGCCAGAAGCTCACGAACAGCTGCTGTCGCATCGTACCTTGCAGCAGCGCATGCGCCCTGCTTTGCCTCGTGCCGCATGCTCGCGGAGTATGCAGCGTTCTACCCAGTCGTACCTTTGACGGATTTCGTTGCGTGGCAGCAATGGAGCATGTCGCAGGCATCGACCGTACCGTACGGTTCGTTGCTGGCCTCGTGGCACAGAGCGCATTCACTACATCGAGGAGGCGTCGCATGCTTCGCGCTCCGTAGTTCACCTGTAAATGTATACAGCAGTTTTTGAATGAGATTCGATTGAGGTCACTCCATCATACTGGTACTATTCAGGAAAATTCGATTTCTCTAATGAACATATACGCTGTTGCCTCTGTCGATACAGGGCCTCGATTCCATCGAGGTGACTCCACTACACTGGTGCAATTCAAGAACTTGTTCGATTTCCCTAACGAACATGTACGCACTTGCCTCCATCAATACAGGGCATCGATCACATTGTTCCCTTGGTCGAGTCCCTTTGCGGTCACTGGAACAGCTCCGCCGCCTGTACCACGTCGGCAAGTACCAGCTGTGCAATTTCGATACTAGACATTGCTTCGCCACGAAAACAGGTCCGATGCCATTGACCACTCTGCTTCCATTTAACCACTATCCTGAAATCCGACACTGCACCTTCGCCGAGCCAGGACAGTTTGCGGTCGACTTGGGCTAGCCCCACCTGCATCGATGCGTTTGTCGGGCCACGAATGACGACGCTCTGGCTCTCAGATGATTGCGCTTCACGACCAGATGTTTGAGGCGCTTCCTGAAAGACGTTGACAAAACGAATCAGATGGTTATCGGGGCACTCGAGGCCATGCGCGTTCGTTTCTTTGGGATCGTGCGTACCCGTGAACCGGACTAGAAACTGAAGAACGGTTTCGTTGGTCCGTGCCTGTTCGAACAGGCTCTCGTACAAACTGTCCAAGGATGAAATACCATCGGGGCTATCCATAAAGTTCCGGGATGTCATAAAACGGTGAAATGACGAGACATTGGTGGCGTCTGTGGGATACGTCTCCGCGTGCCCAGGCGGGGGAAGAAAAGTTGCCGGTTCCTGTTCGAATAGAGAACGACATCCCACGAAGGGCGAGTCTCGCAGTCGGTGTTCTACGCAATCGAGGTCGCATCCCGTCATGCTCTGACGTGATTCATCGTAGAGAGGTTGTATACACACACGTGCATCACGGACCAGGTTCAGATCAGTGAAACCGAGAGCACGCGCGCAGACCATCGCTCGAGTGGCACAGAGAATGCCGGAGAGCTCCTCGCGGCAGTCCCAGGTCTCGAGATGCCCAGCGGAGCGCGATTCCCGCACAGCAGCGGAAAACGAAAGGCCGCGTTCCATTCGCTCAAGAACGTGCCCGATCCCCGGGCTCATGACGGCTTCGAAGCACACCAGGTTTGGCTTCATCTTCGACAAATACTTGAGAAACGCCAGCAATGGAATATCTGCACCAATGGCTGCATTACTGTGAACCGCGGGATGACGCAGAAGGAATCCGGAGGCTTGCACTGCAAACTGCCTGTTCAAGTTAGTGACTTGCGGATCTTGATCCGGATACAAGCGATTGATGCGCTCGAGCAGGCCCATTCCAGTCTCGTCAGCGGTTTGCTCTTCGTGTGGCGCCGCAAAGCAAACAGCGTTCGCTGAAACAATGCGCACTTTTGGATAGAATTGTCTGACCAAGGCAAGCAGCGCTCCCGCATGCGCTGCTTGACTCGTGTCCACGACAACTACGCCATCGAGACACGGCACCTGCGCAGCGCCGACTGCCGGTCGCACGTACGCAGGGCCAGATGATGAGAGCCTGCCAGTCGCAGCCGTTGACGCCAGCATCGATCGCAGCGCTGCCCACAAGCTTGTCGTATGCTCGTCTCCGGTATCGCGCGCTGATGTATATGTGAATTCCGCGCCTTCGTGCCAAAGCTTGTTGATGTCATGGACAGTGGCAATAGGTTGCCAGTGAGTCGGACCGAAGGATATCCCCACAAGCTCTAGGACTATCCTTTCATCTTCGTAGAAGACGGCCGGCACCGCAGCTGTTTCGCAAACGTCGACCGCAGCAACTGAGCGGCCGCTTTGAGTGTCCCATGCTGCTTGTGCAGCCAATGTCTTCAGCATGAGACCGACAAACGCAGGTCCAACAGTGCCTCCGGCAAGCAGGACAACGCCAACCTTTTTCTTCGCTCGTGCAGGCTCGAGCCACTGGTCTGCTTCGACTACTCTGGACAGATCGCAATCCTTCGGCGCCGCGCATATCGAGAGCGTCAAGTGGGCCAAGCGCTCGGCAAGGCTTTGCAGCAGGGCCCCGCGCTCAAAAAGCTGCTTTGCCGATGAAGCAATCGAGCTAGAGCGCAAACCCTGCCCTACTTTGAAAGTTCGTTCCTTGGGTGGCTGTTCCAAGTCGCACGGCGTCGGTTGAACGCAGTCCTCGGCGAGCGCGCTAGGCGTTTGCGTCCGCTGCTCTTGGCTGATCCGTTGCGTCTCCAGTCCAGAACTGTCAGGAAGCGTTTCGAACCGTTCTCCCCGAGAACGAAAACGTGGCTCCTGAAGGTTTGGACCGGTCTGGACGCTCGTGAGAAGGCCCCGCAGTGTGTGGGATAGGAGGTCCGGGCCGCCTTCCAGCTGTTGCAGAAGTTTTTCGATCCCTTGACGAACTTCAGCGAGCCAGGACTCCAGATCAGGAGCAGACCCAGAGACCGAGGATGCATGGGCGTCCATGGTTATCTGTTTTTCTGTAAAGACAAGAGCGTTTACAAGAACCCTGATTTTACCACATACGAGATTTCACGTGCATCTCAAAGCGAGCGCTCTGAAACTAGCGTCGCACCGCTGCGACCCGCATGGCTGCTCCAAGCCAGAGTAGATCTGACCGCAATCCGAATAACGAATGGCTGTGACACGAAAACGTGTCCACGACGCATCATTCGCGCCGATCTCCGACGTCTTTCTTTTGGGTCACGAAGGAGTAGAAATACATGCTTGGCGATCGAAGATGGTGATAGGGAACTTTTCTAACCATAATAGTATCCAATTGTATATTAAGGTCTCTAATAAACAAGATTTCCGTGATCCAAGATGGTGATACGGAACTTTTCTACCCATACCAGTATCAAACTGAATTCATGGTACATGTTTGTATCTAAAGGACATGGTGTTCTGGCTTGCTCGTAGCTCGATCCATGCCCGCACAGGTACGCGCACAGTCGTTTGCCACAGACTCCGTCTGGTTCGCACTTGCGCTTCACGTATGGGTTGGCTCATGCGTGCACAAACTGACGCATGTCTCAGTTAAACGCAGTTTTTAGAGCGAGAGCTTTGTTTAGAGTTGCTGCGTGGCCGGGGTTCAGTCAGCAGACGCGACCTGTGTCCGGGGCGTGTTTGCACACGTGCCAGACGTTTGACCTGCTTGCAACAGAGCACCTGTGGCGCCGAAGCTGCCTCGATGTTGAAAACGCTTTCAAGGCGCACATCATACAGCGACGTTGGAAGAGGAGCAGCTCAAAACGAGCACCGGCAGTGACGTCAGCGGAGTCGACTGGCGACACGACCGACTGGGCACGCTGGCTCCACGAAGCAGAGGCGCAGGTGCGTTCTACACACACCGCGCTGCAGCGTGACCTGGACTCCATACGCACTGGACGAGCAGACCCCGGGCTACTCGACTCGGTCATCGTTGTGCTGTCAGACGGTTCGCGCGTGCCGCTACGGAAGCTGGCACATGTCTCGCTCAGAGATCCACGTACGCTGCAGGTGCTCGTCCATGATGCCTCGTGGGCGGGAAACTGCGAGAAAGCAATCCGGAGCGCTGGTCTCGGCTTAAACCCGGTCGCTGGCACCGGCAATGCAAGTCATGCGCTCTTCGTGCCGGTACCGCCACCATCAGTCGATGCGCGCCGCCAAATGATCCGTCTCGCATCACAGCGAGCAGAAGAAGCTCGAAAGGCTATTCGTCTAGTTCGACGAGACCTACTTGAACAGATTAAATCACACGTTATCCGCGAGGATGATCGCTTTGCGCTCAGAGAGAAGGTAGAAGTCGAGGTCCAGCGCTGGGTCAGAGCCGTCGATCAAGTCCTCCATGCCAAGGTTCGTGAACTCGAGCACCACTGATGCATCCGCTTTGCCGAGCGATCGTGTAACAAATGGACGCCGTCGCACTCCCTCTCCACCAGCAAGAAAGCATGCTATCCTCGGGCACCAATGCCTGAGATCCAGGTTATCTGCGAAGATAATCATGTGGGTCTTGTTTAGGTCAAGCATTGACCACCGGCGCGTGAGATTTAGACCATGCTAACGGACAATCTTGAGAGAATTGCGTAGGTTCAATGATGCACAGCGTTTTGTGCGATTAAGCGGAAGCAGGGTTTCCTCACTTTCAGCAAGATACGCGCAGCACCTGGAGACGCTGTCTGGTGGGCAACCTCTATCCGTCGTGGCGATCGCTCCATTTGTGTTCGTCTGCGTGGATTCTGCGCGATGATCCGAACAACATCGGGGACTCCAACGCCAGCGCAAGTGGGTGCCTCTGTATGGAAACTTGCTCGGGTGCGGGTCCAAGAACTCGACAACGACTTTCATCTGAAGCGTGCTTTAAAGTCTGCCAGCGCTTGGCGAACGCAGTACTGACGGGCGCCTTCATTTCAGGAAGAAGAAACACACTCGCCCCTGCGAATAGGTCGTCGCCTTTGATACCACGCAATCCGAATAAAGCGGATTGTTTCCTTCAGAATTTGGGCAGAGCCTAGGAGGAGGGCAACCTCGCAGAATGCAGCCTGTTGCAGGAAACACTGGAAGATTCCTACATTGGTGCAGGCATTTCGATGCCACGTAGGTCCTAGATGGAGCACGTTTCGGGCGGGATGCCCGCAATACAAGCGCGCGAACCTTCGGCACAGTCCTGAGGAGCTCCGGAAATACCCGGAGAGGCAGCGAGTGACTTGAGCTCCGAAAAATCGTGTTCAACTCGACGAGCGCAACACCGACTTCGAATCCGTCGCGGAATGAAACTGGAATCCTGGCGAACGCGCTGCAATGCCCCTTGTTCAGAGCAGATCGTCTGTAACGTACTCGATCGGACGAATGATCATTCACGAAGTAGATTCTGGTCTGGGGTTCCTAAACCCGAACGTTGGTCACTTTCCTACATAACGGTTTTTAGCATCTGCGCATCCTGGAGATCCCTGGTTCGATGCAACGATCCCTTACCCCCAGACATAATCGCATCTCCTTCGAGAAGCCGAACCTAACGGAAGCAGAGACCCGACTTGCGCCTCTCGTGGATACGTCTCGACGCTCCGTCGTATGGGCTGACCACACCCAACATCCCCGCTACCGATTCGAGCGAGAGAGAATGTTTTACGGGCATGCCATTGTCCGGCGCATAGCACCTAGCGCTCATGGATGGTATACGATCGACCTCTAGATCCAAGCATCGATTCCGCGACTGAAAAGCCGGTGCTCCCTGGAGCGCCTCAGCTCATCGCCTGCGTCACCGGAGCATCATAGTTGCTGATCGCTCGCTTCCGATCGATGCGCTTGAGCAGACCAGCCAGGGTACGCCCGGGCGCGAGTTCAAGGAAATTTGTCCGATCACCGTGGTCCATAATGGCGGTCTGGATGCAGGCCTGCCAACGAACTGGCGCAGTTAGCTGCTCCACCAGGCGCTGTTTAATGGCATCTTTCTGATTTTCGTGAGGACGTCCCGTCACGTTGCACATCACCGGGTACTGAAGCGGCAGATTCACGTCGATCGTTTGCAGCGCATCCGCCAAACGATCCGCTGCTGGCTGCATGAGCTGGGAATGGAACGCTCCAGCAACGCTGAGTTCCGTCGCCTTGAGGTGCAATGTGGCCGTCGCATATTCCATGGCCCTCCGGCAGGCGTCTTTCGATCCACTGAGTACGATCTGGCCTGGGGCATTAAAGTTTGCAGGGACAAGAACCTCGTTACGCTTCCGGCACGCTTCACAGAGGTCCATAGCTTGTTCCTCCGAGATGCCCAGAATAGCGACCATGGTTCCCTCTGAGTCCTCTGCTGCTTTCTGCATAGCATCACCGCGGATCGTGACGAGTTCCAGGCCGGCTTCGAACTCGAACGCTCCTGCGAGCGTCAGCGCAGTGTACTCGCCGAGGCTCAGGCCCGCCGTCGCTGCCACGTAACTCGGTTCGCGACGCGTGCCAGGTGCGAGCTCGAACTGCTGTAGCCCGTACCAGCAGGCCAGTGATGTCACAAAAATCGCTGGTTGCGCGACATCCGTTCGATCGAGGACGTGCTTCGGGCCGTTGAACATTATATCCATCAAACTTTGACCATTCGGTAGACGAGAGCGTCCCAGGTAGCGATCTGCGCGTTGAATTATCTCCCGTGCTGCGCTGGATGCCTCGTACCAGGCGCGTCCTTGGCCTACCGTCTGCGCACCCTGACCCGGACAAAGCACTACGACAGGTTCGCCTTCGCGCATGTGTAGCGTGCTGGCGTGGCTCCAACGCGTGCCGTGTCGCTCGCTGAGGCGGCGCACAGGCGCCACCACGAACCAAGGCGCCGCGGCCGCTGCTTTTCGCCACACGGTGCGCAGTCGTTTGTGTTGAGCGCACTGCAGTACAGGCCGCACGCCAGTGCCAACGCCGGCGCCCTTACTGACGGACACGAAACCCACTGGGGTTTCCATACACCAAACCGTTGCAGTGAAGTACACGAGTGCCAGCGCAGCGTCAGCGCACGATGCCTAGCTTCGACGTACGCGTCGCCAGCACCGCTGCCAATACGACTCCGCGTCAGAGGGCCGTGTACGGGCGTGATGCGCACAGACGCCCATTCCTTTGTCCATTTTATTCCTATATGTACTAGTACAGAGATTTTGCAGCCGCCGCGCGCAACGCTCCGGATGACATGCCGTATCAGCGGCGGTTTCGCTCGCCGATCTGGAAAGCACCCGCAACGATTCCGCTGTTGCAGGACCAGGCGACGCAGCGCCCAGCCCTGGCACTCACGGACGCGTCTGCTACCAGTGCGTGCTGGGTACGCGCAGCGTTCCGTGCGGTTTGGCAGGTGTGCGTTCACCTTGGTGTCTGCAGGATACCTGGTCCTGAAGTTCGAGTCGATCTTGAGCTCATCAATTCTTAAAGCTTAATTCCTCCTTCTGAGCTCTATGGTTACCGCGGCAGGGTCGAGCGTCCAGAGAAGCAGCGTGCATTCGATGACCCGGCTCTATGTATCAGATTAAACGGGCACCCTGAAGTGCTCACTATCTTCCTGATTTTCGATTCCTTTTTCGAATTTTTTCCCAGTGCACAGCCTTGCAGTTCGAAATGGAGCAAGAAGGACTTTTGTATTCATGTGTTGTTTTGGGATTTTTGGTCGATGTTTTTTCGAAGGGGCACCTCTGTCGTTTCGCCCATGAACCTTGATACGTCACCGAAATCAAGATGAATCGCGATGCCTTTTAACAAGCGTTTGTGAAATCACCGGTGTCACCATCCAGTTCATACGTGCACCGATTACGCTACTCCTCTGCTTATGTTGCGCATACGTAATCACGAATGCTTCACGTTCCCAATGCTTCCGTGTCAGGGTAGCTCATGGACGCAGCAAGGCGCGCACCTGGACGGACGACGACCAATACATGGCGTCGTCCAGTGACGACATCATCACAAGCCCATGCCGAAAGTCCTCAGAACTTGTCATGTCAAGCAGTCGATGCCGTTCGAAGGACGAATCCGTCTCTCGCCGTGGCAGTCCATAAAACGTCATTCGACAGCCGCGGCATAATAGCTCTGTCTGGATACGCACCCAGCTGCTCCGGTCGCTTCTATTTCCTCGGTAAATGCCTTCGACTCGAGTCATTGCAGCGATCGCATCCAGCGCAGAGCGCGTCACCGCTTTGCACACAGGGAGCGTAGACGGATCGACGTTGCTCGACTTGATCGCGAGCGTGGACTTTTTTTCTCGTACTTGTGTCACCATGGAGGACATTGCGTTGCGTAAATCGTCTATCGGCTAGAACAGCATGCGCGTGTATTTTCAGCGGTCAAAATACTCGTCGAAGGAATCGCATAGATGAAGCCACGGATCGTAGGATACGGTACCGAGCACGGAAACCAATGAAGCATCGCGTGGAGCCTGCTGTACCCGTCCAGGGTGTGCATAGAGCAGTGAAGCAAACGTTCACGCGGCGCATTGCCGCGCTCAGACGAGGATGAGGAGGAGCTCCTGTGAACGTTTGAGGGCACCTCATCACAGCCAAGTGTCATCGTTGCGAACGGCACACGGAGCTTTTCGACAATGAAGATGCAAAACGGCGAGCGACGCATAGATTACATTCCGCGCCTGTGCATTCCATGTGTCGACAAGCGCCGCAATCAGCGAAACGGGGACTAGAACGCTACGATCAACATCTCCCGACTGTTGAGAACAGAACTGGAAGCAAAGCAGAGACCTGCATACTTAAAAGCGGAGATGAGATCAAAAGGAAGCAGTCGCAGAAAAACCTCGCAGAGGCTGGTATGAACTACAGTCGGCATAGATCCAAACTTCATTGCGTACGCCCGTGTTGGAAGACCTGTTCCATGTTATTCTCCCAGGGGTGCGGCAGCGAGTACGTCATGCAGTCCCCATGACAAAGGCTGACGACCATGAAGAGCGCGCCACAAAGTCTCCCTCGACGGTAATCCAGTGTCGCATATGCCAGTGGTTCACGCATCGGACGCCCGCGGCAGTGTCGCTTACACTCCGGATGCTTCAGCTACACTCGCTGCATGCGCGTCATGCGCAGCATCCACAGTTCCGTCATCGTCTCCGGTGTTCGATGTCTCCGCTGCGGGCGCTGCCTGAACACCATTCTCCATGCCTTCGTTTGATAATGTCTCATTCGCTTGTAAGACCGATGATAAGTGCCCTGTTTGCGTGGAAGGCAGCGTTGCCGACTCTGGCTCGGTACCATTGACGGCTCCCGCGCTATCGCTCGACGGGAGCGGCGCAGAGGCGAGCTTCGCACGGTTGCCCGCCGGTTGCACCCGCTCGAACCCGGGAACTTCCTTCTCCCAAAACGGCACCGTCCGCGGCACGAACTGCGGTTTCGAGTTTCTATAGCGGTAAACGGAAAAGGCTGCTAAACAAGCCAAAACACCCCCAGCTAGACCCAGGCCTTGAATAACTTGTCGGTTACTCGTATCCGAGTGGTCATCGAGGTAGTTGCAAAAGTCCGACTCGCCGGGGCCCACCTCGTGTCCTTCGGGTAGGGGGCTAGTTGGCGGTTCGTCTGCCGTCTGAATGTTGGACTCTGCTCGGATCTGGCGCGCATAACGTACCAGTTCTTCAAAAGTCGCTTCCCTATGGTGAGACGCGCCTTCGCTGGCAGCCGCACTGAACGTCCTGCGCCAGAGGCGACTGCAGGGTCGCGACAACGTCCACAACGTACTGGCCCGGAGAGCAGACTGCCTCAAGACGGTTCCCATACCGCGAGTGACAGTGCTTCGCTAGTATCACCGCTTTATCGCTAGACTCCACCAGAAAGACTCTCCTGCGTTGCTCTTCCTGTCGTGCGTTCGAGCTGGAACGCTGCTCGTTGCAAAACAATACTCCGTTCTCGCCAGCGCTGCCAATGGAGGCGAGGCGAGGTAGCGACAGGCTGCCGCTGCAAGTCCTGCGTAGCGAACGTGCAGCAGAGAGGGTTGAGTGCCTTTCACGTATGTCAGGTTGCGTATTGCAGGATGCTTTTGGATCCTAGCTTGGGATGGTGCATAGCGTCTGGCTGCTCTGTGAGGGACGTCGCCGTGTGGGCCTGTACTCGCTGAACGATTGTTACGGGCACACAAGCGCTGGGAACTGTGTGGCGCCCCAGTCATCACAGTATCCGCCTTACTACCGATCACTCAGACCTCCGTAACATTGAATTACTCCATCAAGGTGTGTCGTTTCAAATTCTGTACTTGTTGATCGCAATTTCTTGTTTCACGCTCTCGCGGTGCGGTGTCAGAGAGGAAGCTTGACACCCGCCTTCGAAACTTAGCTCCAAGGCCATCGGCGCTGTTTGGACGCCATATTCTGATCCTGAACGCAGTAACCAACTTTTTTATCGTAGAGTTCGAGCGTTTCTGAGGTTAATGTCGCCGTTCGCGGCTCGACATGCTCCATGCACAACTGAGCTGGCAACCTCGTTCAGTGTCGTTTCGCGTACCCGATACATGAGTGGAACGCACCACCGAATGAAACAGAAAAACTGTTGGCTAGCATTCCATGTTCCGACACGCCGTTGATAGCCCGATGAAGAGGCGCCGAAGGAAGCCCTTTACATGAACATATCGTTATCGCGTATCCCAAAGGCACCGTTTCCATGCATCCTGCCGAGTTCACGTCCGTCGAAGCACCAGTGCCTCGCAATCACCAGAACAGTCTCCACAAAACAAAGGATTCTACCTGACCGGTGACCATTGAACGTTCGTAGACGTCAACGGAAGTGAAGTGCTTCCTCTGCGGAATTCCGGTCCGCTGCCTCGGCCCTTGCCTTCCGACAGCGTGACGGACATCGCCTTCATGCGACCTCTATTGCGCAACGATCTTCAGCTTTTTACTTTGAAGCCTCATCTCCGTTCTGGCCAGTTGGCGTGTCGTCGTCCGGCGTCTCGGTAGCATTGAGGTCTGTTTCCGCAGCGGACGCACCTTCAGACGATGCTGGCGCTGCCGGACCTGGACCTGGACCCATCGATACAGCACATACGGCAGCACGAATGAGGGTGCTCTCCACTGCTCCTTCTTGCGTGGCTTGACCCGCGTGCACGTCCCGCATGATGTAACCTTTCTGGAATACATGGGTGATATAACCCTCGGGGTGCTCTGTTGACTCCACCCTCTGGATCGCTTCATGGATTTTGGGATCAAACTGCATCCCAACTGGATCCAGGGTCTCCACACCAATCTTTGCGAATGCGTCGAGCACTTGCTTGCAGAGCACCTGATAATTTTGATGGACCTTCTGTGCCTCCTCACTCTGAGGTTTCAACGTCTGCGCCGCTCTGTCGAAGTTGTCGATCGCCGGTAGCAACTGTTGCACAGCGCGCATTCGACCGCGCAGTTCTTCCTGCTGTTTCTCACGTGCAACACGGCGCCGAAAGTTATCAAAGTCTGCAGAGAGACGCAGCACCGAATCACGTTCCGAGTCGGCAGCTTTCCGCGCGGCCTCAAGCTCTTCTCGCAGCGACTGCAACTCTTTCTCCAAAATTTCAATTTTTCGTTTCAGAAAAGGCGGCGAGTTCAGCAAATCCTCACCTTCCATTGCTTCTTCTTCTCCTTCTTGTTCTCCAGTTGTCTCTTCATGAGTAAGGTGCGTCTCGTTCTCGGCTTGGCTGCTGGCGGCTGCGTCCGCACCTTTCGCACCATCGTGGTTGCTCGGAGGCTCCGAAGGTTGCGCTTCACTCGCTGGTTGTTGCTCACGTTTCTTTGGGCCAGCATCGCCGCCTAAAGCCATGACGTACCCGTTGTTCGAGCGTGCTCTCGCGAACGCCAACCTCGTGCACTTACCGTACGTTCTAGAACGATCGAAAGAGACAGGTGACTGACCCTGGACGCGAAAGCACCGCCTCGTAAGCGTCCCTGCGCCACGCACCGTGATCGGCACGAAAGCCACGAGCCTGAACCCGGATGTATCCATAATACCGACCGGTACAAAAGCAAACCCCTGAGCCAACAAAGTGCCTATCCAGACTCAACGTTTGCTTCGCGGAGTTTAGGACTTCACCGAACACCAAACACCAAACATCGCACGCGGCAGAGTGTGGCGGACGACGGCTGCCGACGGACGTCGAGCACCGCGGAAAGCAGCGCCTCCAGGTCCGCATCCAGTACGGCTCGTTGGTACGGCTGGTTCATCGAGACGCTGCGATACCTACCAGGTGCTTGCGTTTAGCAGGTGATTGCTAGGACGCGGGTTTTTCTATCCATCCGAAAGCGAACTTGTAACAAGTTCACTCTCTAGGAGCGAGTTCTGGGAAATGGCGAAGCGACCGGCGAGTCATCGGCGGAACCCCGCCAGCGTGGCGCTCCAACCGTACCTGGAGCTGCTCACGAAACAGCTCCTAGAGCTGCGGGATCGTCGACCTCATTGCGTCACGGACAACGAAGCCCTGGAAATAGACGCTGAAATCGATACGCTTTGTGCGAACTTGTTTCAGGAACTCAGTGGAAAACAGCTTCTGGTGTTACGCGACGTAGTGAACGCACGCCTCATGGAACAACTGCTCGGACTGCTGCTCGCGCCGCAGAGTGGTACCATGGAAGCGCTAACAAGCAGGGCTGCAGAAGCTGTGTCTGCTCTGATGGCTGGCCCCTGCAGAGCGGCACTTATGCGTGCGAGCTCGGAGACTACGTGGATGAAACTCCTTCTGTGTGACCCGATCGGGAGTCATGTGCTGCAGAAGCTGCTATGGCGCCTCACAGAGCCGGACCTTCACCAGGCCATTACTGGAGCTCTGGTGCACCCGAAGGAGCACACCTCAGATGACGGGCAACTTCAGCGGCTGGTGCATGCAGCGCGAGCCGTTGCAGATGCCCTGGAGTCGCTAAGCAACTGGTGGTTTGCCCCCGTCGTCGATGACGAGCCTGAGCATACGCCCCTGGATCGAGCGGGTTGTTGGTTCACGACCATGGTGCACCCGAGTGGTACCCATGTTTTGCGAGCGTTCCTCCTGGTTATCAGCGCCCTTCCGGCGCGACGTTTTGGCCCTGCACAGAACTGGCAAACGCATGCCCTGGAGCAGTTTCTGAGCGGAGACCAGCCGGTGCCGACAGCACCCGTGTGCCCAGCTCTCCTCGTGAACAAAATTATCCCATCTCTTACAGGTTTATCAGTGCAAGCGCTTCGACGTCTCATGCGCTATGCACCGGCGTCTGCGACACTGCAGACGCTCCTTCTGGCAACCGTGCAGGTTCATCGTCATCACTGTGACGCCTCCGATGATGGCGATGAAACGAATGGTACCGAGACGAGTGGATCGCGTGTGCGGCGCCACTACGGGTACCAGCTGATCGCTTTGTTCCTCGGGGCAGCCCGGGAGGATTTGCTAACTGGCCCCGCAGCGAGTCGTCTTTTGGAGCTAACCCTCCGGTGTGCGTGCGCATGGTCGAACTCGACCGAGCGAGGTTCCTCACCAGATATCAGAAACCTTTTGGAGGCATTTTATGCAAAGCACATGTCCGGAGCGGAACGCCTGCGACGCCTGTATCTGCATCCCCGAGCGAACTACTGCGTCCAGGGTCTGCTCTACAGCGCCAATTTGGGACTCGTGCAGCGCATGCTGGTGGATGATGCGCTCCTCGAGCATCTCGAGGCAAGCAAGCGCGCAACCCATCCCGAACCGCGGCATGATCGAAGTGGGGTCCTTTGTGCCGTCCTCAGAGCCGTGCTTCGCGCCAGCGTCGCGAGCGATGCTGCTTTGACGCATCTCGTCCAGTGTACGATTGCCGCTGCGGAGCAGTGGGTTGGCGTTGGCGCTGTGGATACGCAAAAGGCGACGCAGCACAACGTACGATGCATTATGCAGACGTTGTTCCCAAATGACGATGAATACGAGCCCACGGGTACCCAGAAGCGTACTCGCGCTGTTGCTACGTCCCCAGCAGCCGTCGAGGCATCAGAGCGCGCAGCGGCACGCGGGTCTGTGAATGGATCCCTCCTGCTACAGCTGCTTGTGCATCATTCGAGCGCTGTGCTGCACGCGTTCACGCAACTGGATTTGCCAGAGCTGCTAACCATTGCAAAGGACATGGTTGCCTGCCACGCGTTGCTTGCTTACTTGGACGCCGTGGATGCCCGACAAGCGGAACGAATCCAAACGCGCGCGCAGCTCTACCGGTGTATACCGCGTGTTCTCGAGTTGGCGAACTCCGCTTCAGGGTCTCGATTTTTGGAAAAGGCTGCTCGTTTTATGCAACAGGACCTCGTATGGCAGCGAAAGGTGACGGAGCAGCTAGCACCGGCGCTGACAATGCTCGCAGGAACGCACCATGGAGCGCGCTGTATCCGTTTATTTCAAGTACGGCTTTGGCTCGATTACCCGCAGCTCTGGCTCTCAACTCGGCGAAAACAAGCGTCTGTCAAACGCGTCCTGTCGGAGATCTTGGAATCGGATACCAATGATGGTTCGTTATCGCGACCTTCGCGGGATCATCGAGCTTCGACGCGTGCGTCCGCCAAAGGCCACCCATTGAACGCAGCGTCCGCGTTCCTGCACTCTGGCTCGAGTGACGGTTGCTCGCTTGACCAGAACGCCGAACTCGAGCGTCCGCAAAAGAAGCCATCATTGTTGGCGAGCGACTCGTCCGGAGATCCTAGTTGTGACGCTGAGTTTTATGCCAGTTTGGCTCGACTCGATCCGCTGCACTTTACGCGAAAGGATTCGTCGTGTACCACAGAGAAACGCTCGGTGCCTGCAGTGCAACCGCTTCCAAGCACGAGCGTTCGATCCACGGACTTGGCACCGGTCCTCGAGGCCATTCACCGAGCCAGTACAGCAAAGATGGGGCGCACGCCCTAGCATCCGGGGCAGCGCGAGACACCGAATAGGTGGCGGGAGCATCCGAACGAGCCCCGTGGTATCTCAACCTGGGGCAAGCGCTGGCGAGCCCATTCAGCTGGGTCCTTGATCGACGACAGCATCGCCTGCGGTGACGTGTTATACGCATCCAGAACTGCAGCGTGGATCTGGGCGAGACCCATTACGTACTGACATCCCGGAGCGAATGCACGATGTAGCCACGCAGTGCTCGGGGATGCTTCTCTTCCACTGTTGGGGTTCGTTCGACAGAGGCGTGCGCTCCCAGCTTGCCCTGGACGAAAAGGCGGCGCGGTTCCACGTAGACTCTTTGAGGAAACCTGTTGCTTTGTTCTGGCGACGTAGGCAAAGCTCCATGCTCTGTAGCGATATTCTAGCGGACATGTGGTATTTCGAGAACGCGCATGTCGCTGAATAGCATCCAGGTCGTCATCATTGCATGCAGCTCATAAAGATATTCCATCGCATCGAGTTTTGCCCGTGGACTGGCCGACGAGGTGCCCGCAGCGTCGGTACCAGCCCCCAGCGTACTCCATCGGGCGTTGTGTGGCACTGGATGCACGTTTCCGTTGGGTATACCCATTTCGTAATCGAATGGAATGGACCTACGAAGTTAACTCAGGTGTACATGCGCAAAATTTGGATTGCTTCGCACTGTGATCAACAACAGCCTTTGCGGGCGTTTCCTGCCACTGCTTCCTTCTCCTCTCGTATTCTGACTCGAAATACGCCGGTCGCTCTGTTTCTTCCAGCACTGTTGGATGCAGTCAACGGATGTTTATGATATCTTTAGGGCGCCCCGATGTTGCTGCGTCTGCCAGCTGTTGGGCACGAATCCCATGCACAGGCACGAGCAGCGGTCTACGCTTCCCTTGTCATTTTCTTGTTCTTGAAATGAAGCTTCGGTGCGCGGTTTGCCGCGATGACACTTGACTGCGGTCAGGTATTGCCGTACTTACTCCAGAACGCCTCCTTCAAAGGCCTACCCTCCGGCGCTCGAACGCTCCCGTTGATGGGCTCCTCCTATGCCGGCACCCGGTGCCGTGCCCTGCGTCCGGGGGCTTGTTCTTGGTAACCGCCTTGGCGAACGTTCTTTTCGCTCCATTCGATGACGCAACCTTCTTGCATGCTTTTCATTTTCTAAAAAAGCTTTCGAAAACTATGCCGATGAGCGTTATGAGGGTCGAGGTGCCCTGCCCACACATAGGCGGAGTGTGCACGTTTTCCACCAGCTTACGATAAAGTAGCCACGGCTTCCGAGACGCTCTGGGGTTTCACTCGCACATCGGACCATGCCCCGATCCGGTTTCTTCCGCTGAGACGAGTATGATACGCGTGCAAGTGGAGCTTTTGACTATAGACGCCATTCGGAGTGTTCGAAACTCGTGCCTCCAGAGCATTGTCGTTTACCAATGGCGGAGATGGATCGGACGCCACTGCGGATTTCGCAGAAGCGCAGGTGCCAACGTTCGCTCTCCCCGCGTCCGGGCGTGCGCCAAGCGCACCAGGGCGCAACTCCGAGAAACCACACTTCTCTACTGCTTGACATACCGCCAAGTGTCTCCTCTTGTGCGCTATGTGACTGTCGTGAGGCATCCAGCATTTTCGCACTCGATGATGATCGACAATCCCTGGTCATCAATCATAATGGACGACAATGCATCTGCTCGCTATAGAGCAAATATCCCTTCCCTCCCTTTTTGATTGTCCTTCACACCTTCCTTCGCCTTCCGTCGTTATTCGTTCCTCCAACTGCTTCTGAGCGCCTTCGAGGCTCTGGGCGAAACGTGCCTAGTTCGGATTCTGGGATTCGGGGAAGTTCGGCTGCGTCTGGGTATCGCCCTGTTCGCGATGGACTCCTAGTTGATCGCTTCGCGCTCTCGCAGGCAGTACGTCTGTCTGTACGACTTGCAGGCTCCGAAAATGAGTGTGTACTCCGACCCCGTATCAGATGAAGCATTCGTCGAGCCGACGCCCTCAGTATTACGGGAAAGCCCTTCCATTTCCGTGATGCAGCGGCACCGGCGGCATAGGCGCTACAGCGGACGGTCAAAGCAGGCACTCTGCTCTCGATAGAATTTACGAAACAACCAGGACATCAAGCAACAGGTGATGGAACTTTCAGGTAAGCTGCAGCATAATCATGAACGCTTTTTCGATTATGAATACCCATCTATCCCACAAACTGGGATATCCATAGTCCATCGAGCTCTTTCATCATTGGTAAAAAAGATCACCGCTGCCGTCGCTCAGCCGACGCCTCCGGGCACCGCGGCACGAAACGGGACGTCTCAATCAACGTTTTCGTTGTGCTGAGACAACGTATCCGTCGGATAAACGTGTTTGACACGAGTGCGTTTCAGCTGTCGTTCGCATAAACCATTCGAAACAAGGCACGAGAATACTCAACTCTGATTACCCGTGATGGACCCTTTTGGTTCCGATCGATTCTTCCGTCCGGAGACGTTCAAGAACTTCCGGGAGCTGACACCGGCAGTCCGCCAACACTTGGCCCTCGTGTACCGCACTCTGTTCTACGCGGTTGTTTGGGCTGCTCTGGGTTGCTTCGTTCAACTGAACTACGGTGCGTCGTTACCACTGCCGACTGGGCTTCTCACGACACTGGCTACGTTTGGGACGTTGTTTTTATGTAACTCGGGCGGCCTCTCGCTGGAGACCAGACAACGGCTGTTGATGCTGTTTGCTGCGCTTCAGGGGTATGGTGCGGCACCAGTTGTTCAAGTCGCCCTTGATGTGGACGAGTGGCTGCTGCTCCAAGCGCTGCTCGCAACTGCGGCAGTTTTCGGGGCTTTCTCGCTGGCTGCACTGCACGCGAAACGTCGCTCGTACCTCTACCTGGCGAGCTGGTTGGGTAGCGCGCTCTCTGTTTTGACGTTTTTGGGGCTTTGGGGCCTGATAACCGGCGGCCTCGGTGACTGGAGTCTGGCTGTTCTCATTTACGGCGGTTTGATGGTATTCGCTGGTTATGTGATACTGGATACGCAAGTGATCGTCGAGCGCGCCTCCAACGGCGACCGGGACCATGTGCGACACAGTTTGGAGCTCTGGATGGATCTCTTTGCCATATTCGTTCGAGTTGTGATCGCGATGCTTCGCAGCCAAGAGACGCGAGAGCGTCGTCGGCGAGAACAGCACAAGTAGACTCGCGAGAGCGTGTTAGTGGAACGGCGCAATGGTTCAGGCGCCAGTGCATCCGTGGACCGCGCTCGGGATACGGTAGTTGTCGCGGCATCAAGGGCTCTGTGAGCGGGGACGCGCCACCCATGCATACACATCAAAAACTTTTCGTCGTCCTATATTAGAAAGCACTGTGCATCTCTTCGCTGATGAAATATCGCAGTGCAGCAGCACCAACGGGCCACAGGGCGCGCGTAAAGCGAGCAACAAGGTTCCGCAGAAAGTCGTTCAGCAACTTCAAGGAGAACAGGGTTTGCCCGCGGCAAAACGTTCCCCGCCACGCATGTCGTGTGTTTGTGATCCAGACCAGCACTACGTATCAGGTCTCTTCGATCATTCGGTAAAACTTGCGATGCCTGTGCACTAAATCGAGAACCAAAAACACAGACAAATTTTCGAGAAGCTATCGCCCATGAGCAATCGGTGCTGGTAACGTCGAGCGCTACACACGGGGCAATCCTGGATGCTGAGACGATCATGCATGGTTCTGGTACAGGGCCCATGAACTTCTTCGTTCCTGGACAGGGGTTCAATACACTTGTGAACACATGACACCATCGAAGCGTGTTCAGCTGATTCCATCGCAACAGCGCTTCGCATAGCAGAGCTCGATTCATGCCGGTGAAAGCACCGTGGGTACGAACGCCTCGTACCAGCGGACTCGAAAGGGTGCGCTCCGACGCAATACAAGCATACGAGGCTGAGCGGATACCCCCTTGCCCCCGCCCCGGCTACGACAACGCCACAAGGCCACCAGCAAGACGTACTGGTGTCGCTCTGGTCAACACCATGACTCACGCCTTCGTCGCCTATGACGCTCCAGAGCCTAATCAATGCTGCATCTATGGCGATGCCGCTTTCGGGGTTTCTGCGGTACTCGGTGCGGGTTCCTCGGCCTGACCGTCAACTTCGCTCATCATGTAATCATCTGCATGTGCGAGCAGATACTGCGTGCTGCGACGCGTATCCATGAAAAGCAAGTACGCCCGCTTGACGTCATCGATTTCAACTTGGGAACCCCGCCGCTGGCCACAAAGCACTGCTGTCGTCGTCATGAGATACATGGCGTATCGTAAACTCGTCTCCACTGCTATCTTGGCAAGTAGCGCCAGAGCCGGCCGCGAAAGCACAATATCCTCCTCCTCGCTCCGGATGCGCAGAATCTCATGACACTCTGGCTCATCATACGGATACATGGGAATGATGAGCATTCTATCCAGGAGATCAACGGGCACCCCGTGTGGTGCACAGAATTCCGTTCCACGAATGCGCGTGACTCCGCGGTTGCTCGCACATACCAGGAGCGGCGCAAACTGCGACTCTAGTACGCCACTCAAAAAGGCGAAGCACTCGATATCCAGCATATGCACCTCGTCGATAAACAGTACACCGGGAACGATTTCCGCCTTGCCTTCCTCGCACCACTGCGCTACACGTGCATCGATCTGCTCACGGACTTCGGGTTTAATTTCACCCGTATCGCCAGTGAACAGCGCCAGGAACCCTTGCTGACGAGAATTAATGACATCGATATCGTGAAGCGAGACAATGTGTTCAACTTGTCGACGTTTCTGGACCTCTCCTTCAGGGCAGGCGACGAAACGCGTGTCTTCCCCGGCGGTGTCAAACTCCCGACTGCGAGCAAACGAGCGTCCCAGTTTGGTGACACGGCCGCTACCCTTATCGATAGAGATGACGTCCCCTGGTCGTACCCGTCGTCGTAGGAGTTCCTCAGTCATGCGACGTCCGAGCTCATAGACGGTCTCCATGTCGGTTGTTTTGAGCACGATACGGCCGACTTGGTTCTGTTGTGCGTCACGGTCAACTTCGAGCTCCACAACCTCTCCTTCGATGACGTCCGTCTCTTCTCGTATGCGGACGCCAATACTTCGTCGACACGCTTGAATGAGACACTCGGTCTTCGAGATTTCTAACGAGTACACCTCTGAGCCCGTCAGTTTGGTAAACGGCGTTTCGGGCCCCAACTGCTGCGCCATGGCAGTCGCTAGCGCTGTTTTGCCAGTCCCTGGTTGACCGGCGAGCAACACCCCGCGCCCGGCGAGTTTACCTTCCTGAACCATTCTGCAGACGACAGCTGCTGCTCTGCGAGCTCGATATTGGCCTACAAGCCCGTAACGCTCATACTTTTCATTATCGGGTGCCGTTTGACGGGTTTCAAGCGGCTCGAGCGTCTCGGGATCTACGCCGAGCCCTCGGATGTGCGAGTGCGCGCCGATCCGCTCGATCTTCACCAGCTCTTGGACCGACTCGGTTATCATTGCTTCCTCTTGCGGCCACTCGCCTTGATTCAGCGGTACGTCAGAAGTTCAGTTAGCAAGAGCCAGGGACACCGCAGGTTTCGCCAAAATACGTTGGGACGTTTCTGGGGCGCGGCAGTTGTCGCTGGGGAACTGCTTCGAAAGCGAATCGCAGCATTGAGGCGCAGCACGCTGCCACTCCTCGTGCCTTCGCTGCTGGAACAGAGCGATTTCTCGGGAGCGGCTTATAAAGTGCCCCGTAGGATGCAGAAGACTGCTGCATCTCGGAACACGCTTTACTATCGAATGATAAGGAACACTTGTCGTTCATTAACTGTGGAGGGAAATCGTTTCTGGTCCACGCACCTGTCTATATACGGCGCTGCAGCGTGCCTGCATTGCTGAGTTGTACCGTGCAAGTGCCTTGCTGCAGGCGCGAAGAGAACGCCGCCTCCTCTGACCAGTGATTTTCGTCATAGAAAGCCTTTGGGGTTTCACGGCAATGTCCGCACGAAGCACGAGACGATTCGATCGAGTCTTCGCCGGGCACCACGTCGCTGGACGCTCCGAAAGCATGAGACCTGTTCGAACGCTGACCAAAGCGTTCAAGTCTCGACGCAGAGCGTGCTTGCGCGCATGGTTGCAGGAGGAATCACGCCAGAGCAGGGTGCTCACCTTCGATATCCTCGCGGTCTGACAACCGTGTAGCGTATCAAACACAATATCTGGTGCGTCCGTCTCTAGCTCATGCTCTGCCTCTCTGCCCGTTTCATCATCCTCCTGTGTTCTTCATTCGCGGATGTTGTCCTGCACGCAACGATGGGCATCGTACAGAATCGATGCCTTTGCTCGTTCGACGCTGCCCTCTAATGAGCAGTAGTGCAGGATTTTTGCGATACACCAATTCTAGCGCCAGAGGCTACCAAGATACGATACGACTCGTCGGACATTTTCCGCTACAACGCATTGAGCGATTTGGAGGACGCACGCTTTTGGCGTCCGCACAACAGACACCGTTGCGTATCCTAGCGGTGTCGTATAGACTCTGGTTAAAGCTCCTCTGCATGAGCCATTTGGACGCTAAGGTACTCCCCGAATAAAGCGTACAGACCATGCTGCTTGGCCCCGTGCGGAGCCCAGTATGTCGAGCCTAGCCCTGTCGCCGTCGTTTCTCTAGTTGGAATGCGTGCCGGCGTCGAGCAGGCCTGTCTTGTCACTATGGAGATCGCTGGAAAATATGAGACGATTCATGTTGGTTCCATTCTGGTTATCGGTTCCGTCCTGTTGATGCTGAGGTACGGCGACGACGATGATGCCCTGGCACCCGGGATCCGTGCCCTCGACGGATTCTCTCCCTCTCTCGCTCTCTAACCTGCACGGCCGAAAATGGCTCTCGTTGCCCGACTCTGGCCAAGATTTCATAAAATGCTTGCAGGTGAATATACCGTTGCTCTCCATCGTAGTAGTGAACGTTGCTCCATTAAGTTGGTGTAGATGAGAGACCCTGAACGAGCTCTGCCAATGCTCTTCGCGAAGTTGCTCGAATTTTGCATAGCAGGTTACAGAGAGAAGCACCGTCTTCTCCTTCTCCTACACCTGGACATGTTGCATGTATGCTGTCATTCATCTCCATATCTCTTTCGCCCTGGCACGCAGATGTCGCTAGAGGCTGGTTGGGCTGACGCTTGCCATTCGTAGGAATGCCGCGAATTTTCCAAAAGCGCCGTTTCGTCACCTTCTTCGTCATCGTCAGAGACTGGTTGGACTGACGCTTGCCACTCGTAGGAATACCGCGAATTTTCTAAAAGCGCCGTTTCGTCCCCTTCTTCTTCGCGGGCACGTCCACCGACCGAAACGCGCTGTTCGGCTCTACCCCAAGCGTGAGCGGCGACGCAACGGACCATTTCTGGGCTGGTAACCGAAGCGAAATATTTATCGAGCAGCTTCGAGGTCATGGATGCGAATGACTCGTTCGTTACGCTGTGAGCGAAAAAGAAAGCGTGTCGGACCATAAAGAAGACGCCTTCAACTGGACTCTGGTGTTGCCAGATGTATCCGCGGCACCTCCACTACCCAGACCCGCACTGTGGCATGTGAACACGTGCTTCACCGCCCGGTACTCGCACTGGACGGGTACAACAGGCTCGCCTCGATATCGTCCAAAGCATCCGCACCCTGCGCCACACGCTGCGTTCACATGTATCTTCTGAGCGATCCGTTCGGCGCATACGCAAGCGCTCGCCGCTCCATTCGATACAATATTCGTAGAGTACGATATCACCCTTTCTGGAAAGATTATCGGAAGCAAACCCCAGCCTGGAGATCCATTCGGGAAATTGCGATCCGTCTACGCTCGCCTCATGCAACGCGACAACATACGCTCCACTGGAAGCGTCCGCTGCGATAACTCAGGTCCGTTTCCAAGACCTCTTCCATGCAAACAAAAGAGCCGTTTAGCCTCCAGGAGCGTGTCTCGTGAGCATTATCATGCTACTGCTGTCGAATGCCGATTCATAGATTGCCTCAGAGAGAGAAGGATTCGTCTGTCTAACGTAATCGATTATTTTGCGTAAGAGCTTCAGTGAGCGTTCGGCATGAGCTTGTGAACAACTCGACAAGGGACGACGTCAAACTGTGTATCGTCGTCAATCCAGCTGTGCGAATGAATGCGCCCAAGAGTTGCTTTGAAACAGAAACACCGAAAACGTGAAGCATGCGTGATTTGATCATGCACCATGCGAGGAACTTGGAAGAAACGTGGCTCACACGTACGAAATGTCTCAGGATATCGCTTATTATCGTACATATCCTTGTTCCATGGCGTCGCAAATCATCCTGATTCCGGTGGCGTAAAGCATTCCAGCGGCAATGCGTCGCAGGAGCCACCCTCCGAGCACACCCGAAATCCACGCATGAGTCCGTACGCACGCACTGCTGAACTCGGACTCTTCAGGATATATATTGGACAAGTTCGGAAAAACCTCCCGAAACCTACTACCAGACCGACTCGACCGGCGTTCTGCTTCCGTCTCGTATACGTTTAGAGAGGCCAGCCAGCGCACCCCCGTACCCGTGCCGCGCCCCAGCTGCTGTGTCGTGCGTGTTCGTGCATGACGCGATGCGGCACGCACACCGCGCAGCGAGGCGTACCGCGGCAGTTGCCGCTGCCTGCGAGCGCTGTGATTGATCGATCGATCGACGGATCGTTGATCGATCGCGACGCGAGCATCTGTTCAGCAGCAGCGCCTGTTGCTGCTCACTTCTGAACGGCGTCTGCACTCCGATTTCGCGCAGCAGCGCGCACGTTGGCCCAAAGCTGCGCAACGTTGCTCCTATTCTGAAGCGATTCTCACACAGAGGCTCCTGGCGTTTCCAGGTGTGTTCCTGTGGGAGCATTTGTGCGTGCGTGTGTGCGTGCGTGTGTTTGTGTCTAGACGTTGGACAGGTGCCTGAAGCCAGCGCACCGTTTGGACGAAGCGCTTCGAGGGACTGCGCGCGTGCGCGCTAGCGTTCACCTCGTTGGATAGCGCTTACAGAGGCGAGCGAGCTTGGCGTTCGAGCGCAGCGCTTCTTTCGTTTTTGCGGGGCGTGTGCGTTCCCTGCATACGACAGAACAAAGCGAGGGTTCGCTGGCAGCGCAGTGTGTGTGCGTGTGAGTCGGAACATCTGGTGTACTTCCAGCCGCAGGTATAGACGCTTTCGTCGGCAGTTGGGACTCTCGTGCATAAACATGAGCGAACAACAGCAACAGCAGCAACCACAGCAGCCTCCGTTGCCGTGTGCGACGGGTTGTGGGTTTTACGGTCGCCCCGAGACTCAGAATATGTGCAGTAAGTGCTACAGGGACCACAGCCAAAGTTCAGAGTTGAGCAGCAACCGCGCGAGCGGTACGTCCTCGGGATCCGCAGTCCCGACACCTGCCACGCGCGAGGCACCAGATTCACCGCGAGATGTACAAGACAACATGTCGGTTTCCGGGGTTGCAGCGCTCACCAGTACACTCGAGTCCCAACCGAAACTCGAAACGGAAACCGGCCCCGCAGCCGTGTCCGCAGAGGGATGCAAGGCAGAGGTACAGGTAGAGTCACCAAAGCGAGAGCAGAAGGACCACGGCAACTGCTTCAAGTGCAATCGCCGAGTTGGACTGCTGGGTTTCAAATGCCGATGTGGTTTTACGTTTTGCTCGCTACACCGCTACGCTGAACAACACGACTGCGACTACGACTATCGTGCGCGGGCGCGTGAACAGCTCGCGAGTGCCAATCCGGTAGTTGCGGCGAGCAAACTGGAAAAAATCTGAAGACGCTTGCGTTCCCGGAGGAAACTTTTTGAGGTGTTTGATGGTAAACCGTTGTCCTGTTTCTCGACCTAGAGTTGGACGTTTCGTTGACGGTTGCATTCCGTGCTGGTCGGTCATGATCATAACGGTATACGCGTTTATCAGCTCCGCTCGAAAGCTCTCTGATCCGTTTCCATCGCAAGACAGCATATGCTCGTGTCCTGATGCACTGACACGAAATTCTCGATGTAAGGAATCCAGTGTATCTGGAACCGTGCAGGTTTCAGTGTAGGCGCATCGTGCTCATAAGCGAATGCTGCGAGTTGTGTCGGGGTCATGTCGTGAAGCCTCATGACTTCAGCGAAGACGCTTCACCATATCCGGAAACCTCCTTGCTCTAGCGCGCACGATGTGCGGTTCTAGCGTCGCACAAGGAATTGAACTCCACGCGGCGGCAATGGAGAAAACTCGAAAGACCGGAACGCGCTCCAGCAACCGAGTTGCCGCTCTATACGCCCTGTACGCATCGCTTACCGCACAGCATCCAGGTGTACTTGTAACGCCTGGCTCGCGTCTCTTCGCGTCAATGAAGGCCTTTATGAAATACCGGGAAGGGTGCATTGTCCGTTCGAATGCTAGGTCTCTGATAGAAGCCAGTAGAGTGCATCCAGATCGCGAGCGGCAGCAGCGCATTCGAAACCCCAGTCGTCTTCCAGTTCGTACGGACATGATGTTGCACCCGAAGCGGTCGTTGCAGCGTGCGTTATCAAGTTGTAATCGTTCAATTGCTTGACAACTGAAGAGTGGCAGTTTCCAGACACTTTACAAAGCTTGTATGACTGAAAATATCCAACGCTGAGGCCGATGAAAACCGCGACACGACAGGCCGTCGTTCCCGAGCGGATCGTGGTTTTTGCTCGCCTTGCTGGACTCCGCTGCAGCTGCGAAAGAAAATACTTCAAGCGTTTTCGGATTTGGGGTATTCGTGAATTTTGCAAGGGCTTGTAGTGCAAGGCGGTGGCGGCGGCGGCGGCGGTACGGTACGAAAGGAGGGACTGTGGAGGCTTCGCAGTGTGTGTTCCGGATGTTACGGCCCGAGCTGAACTTGCCACAGCGGTGTCGATCGAAAATGGAACAAAGAACTGTTCGCTCTGTTCAGGAGCTGAGATTTTGCTGAACATTTTTTAAACGCTTAACATCAATTTTGGCTTTCAAGTGCCTAGGTCTTACTGATGCATACGAGATTTTAGGATTCTTGGTTGTTTTCTCCGGGTGTCTGTTTCAACGCTTTGTCGCTGGAACGCTTTACGTCACCGAAATCAAGATGAATCGCGATGCCTTTTAATAAGCGTTTGTGAAATTACCGGTGTCACCATCCAGTTCATACGTGCACCGATTACGCTTCTCCTTTGCTTATGTTGCGCATACGTAATCACGAATGCTTCACGTTCCCAATGCTTCCGTGTCAGGGTAGCTCATGGACGCAGCAAGGCGCGCACCTGGACGGACGACGACCAATACATGGCGTCGTCCAGTGACGACATCATCACAAGCCCATGCCGAAAGTCCTCAGAACTTGTCATGTCAAGCAGTCGATGCCGTTCGAAGGACGAATCCGTCTCTCGCTGTGGCAGTCCATAAAACGTCATTCGACAGCCGCGGCATAATAGCTCTGTCTGGATGCGCACCCAGCTGCTCCGGTCGCTTCTATTTCCTCGGTAAATGCCTTCGACTCGAGTCATTGCAGCGATCGCATCCAGCGCAGAGCGCGTCACCGCTTTGCACACAGGGAGCGTAGACGGATCGACGTTGCTCGACTTGATCGCGAGCGTGGACTTTTTTTCTCGTACTTGTGTCACCATGGAGGACATTGCGTTGCGTAAATCGTCTGTCGACTAGAACAGCATGCGCGTGTGTTTTCAGCGGACAAAATACTCCTCGAGGGGCTGATCCAGAACAAGTCCGCCATCTTACGGGACGCCATCGAGCGCGGAAACGGCACAGGGGATCCAGCGAAACCCAAAATACCGTTTCGGAGCATGCATCGAGCGATGTCGCAAGCCCTCACGCGCCAGCGGGTAGCCTTTGGATACCTGGATATGATGGACACATGGGAGCACCAGACCATCGTCAAGTGTAGCCGTTGGCAAGGTCACCGAGGCGCCACATTTCGAACAATTTGGAAATCGCCATCGCAGCATAGATCCCAGTTACCACCTGTGCATGGAATGCGTCGACAAGAGCCACAAGCTGCGAAATCTGGCCGTTGATAATGCCATCAACATCCATCTTCTGTTAACAAGGGAGCTTGAGCGACCAGAGAGACCGGCGCATTGAACGCCGCAGATAAGCGAGTAGAAGTAGCCAGTCACTGCAAATGGCCGCACAGGCTGGTGTTGATAACAGCTGGAAGCGTCCCGAGCTTTAGCGCGGTTACCCCACTCCGAGGAACCGTTTGATTTTGTTCTGGAACGAGGGTAACCAGCGCGTCACACGGAAGGCACACTCGTTTTCGACATACCGTCATCGAAAACATGGTTCGTTTCGCCTGGTTCAGCGAAATCGCATCTACCTTTGTGACGTCGATGGGGCAGAGCAGGCATGGTGCGCGAGGCTCGGCGGCCAGCGCTTCCAGCGCCGCTCCTCAGACATCGTGGTCATTAGAATGGCAAAGTATTGAGATTGGATTGTTTCTGCGTAGACCGCTTCTCAGTAGAGTAGTTCCACGCTCCTTGGATCTACGGAAAGCGCATCGCCTTGGGGCCGTTTCCGCTCTGGAACGCCACCGAGTCGCATGTTCCGAATGGTGTCGCTGGACTGCGCATCCTGTATTATGCAAAGCGACACCCTCTGTGATATGCTAACGCATCAACATCACAATGTGCTATCTGCCTGGCTCTATCGCGCGCATCCATACGGCTGCCACGCATCTATCACTAGAAGAGAAAGAATCCGCTCCGAAAATCAGCCGTGGTGGACATACCTCATCGCAGGCAGACGCAACGTAGTCACAGGCTATCCGCCACAGTCGGTGAACCAGGAGCATCCATCGCTGTTGTTGCGTTCGAAAACGCAACTTCCATTTTGCGTTCAGTTTCCAGAAGCTCGGTCTTGTTATTCACCAGATCGTGAAGCACCAGCACCGATCGCAACAGCGTTGCCACGTAAATCAACAGGGTCTGTTCGTTACTGCAAACCGCAAACGCCTGCGTCAGCTCAGAGCTGGCAGCGTTTCGAGGCAATCCTTTCAAGACCAACTGCAGAGCATGCAGAATTTCCTGGTGCAACGGGAGATTTCCAGAGGCGACCTCCTCCAGGTATCGCCGGATGTTTTCGAGGCGTGCACGCAAACTTTGCAATGCATCCAGCTTTGCGCGCACCTCTCCGGTCAACGTTGACACCGACCAGTTTCGCACGTCGCGCAGCAGGTGCTCGGTACCCACCTCCTCTGCCTCCAACGCGCCGATGCTGTTCGGCACGTGCTCGAATATTCGGCGCGGCTGACCGGGTGCGCTCCCCTCCAGCGCAACACTGTCCTCCTCGAGAGACACGTATGCCTCGGTCGGCAGACCGGTTTCCTTGGGATCCACCTGGCATATTACATAGAGTGCGTGACCGCTGCTGCAGAAACCTTGAACGATCTCGTGCACACCCATGTCTGCAGGGCGGATTTGTGGCCCTGTTGAATACCAGCCGATGATTCGCTCTCTCGCGGTGACTTTCCGAAACATGGCTGCCATATTCTCCACATAATCGTGGTCGAAAAAGAAGACTGTAGGATTGCGTTCATCTTCCTCGAAAGGCACAGCGAAAGAGTTCAGCACTTCCGCGTGGCCCCGCCTGTCGATTGTGCCCAGAAGAATGCCCACCGCCCGTTTCCGTGTGTTCTTGCACGCTCTGTTATAGTGATCGACGATACCCAAAAGTACCACCGGGTGAATCACAGCGTTCGTTATCGGCAGCTGCTTTCTGGACTGCATCTGCAAGACTGCACGCCAATGCCCTATGGTTGCAACAGACTTTCAGCACACTACTAGGGCCTTTCAATCGTTTAGGGAACCAGGTCGTTTAACGGCCCACGCGAGCCTCGACTGCGCGGTAGGGTTCGGTGGCGGCAGCGCAGTTGCCGCATACGACTGAAACGCATGCAGGGACATGCGTGCTCGAGGACGCTTTGTCGCATATATTCCTTTTTGTACAGTATTATACAGAGCATGGCTGCAAGCAGCGCGCTCTCCGATCCCACCGACGAATGTGGACAAAAAACATCAAATCTGTAAGCGTGCTTGGTGCAGCGTTTTTCGTGCTGCCCGCTTGGGGGCATCGTCCGCTGCATTGCGAACGCTCTCACGCACGTGACAACAGTGCTGGTGACGGATGTCGAACTGCGTACCGTATGCACGCTGGATGCTTCGTCACGTACCATGAGAGACCGGAAGAGGCTCTGACAATACATCGCGAGATCATGCTTTCCGATAAAGCCGAAAGCACGGCGCGTTTTTGCTGCTGCCCTGGGCGGATCGAAGGAGACGCGGCGGCGTCTCTTCTTACCATGCCCAGAGGGATGCGATCGGCACCGCTCCGGAACCATCAGCATGATGTTATTTGTTCGGTCCACGATTTTTCGGATTCGTGTGAGCAAAGCGATGCTCATGTCAGTACCATATAGGATGACATTGGGGAAGCCTCATTGCCCCCGCCGCCAGCGATCGTGATGCAAAAGGTCGACACGAGCATCTCTTTTTCTGGGCATATCTGATAACGAGCCACCAACCTCTGCACCTCTTATTCTCTATTCGCCACAAATATATATGCTTTTATCCTCTGAATGCGAGCGATGCAACACACTGGAATCCGACATTGCAAGTGAATGTCAAAAGAATACGCAAGGGTCTCCAGCGCCGGGCAACGGTGTCGCTGCGGCGGTGCCCCAGGCGATCGCCGCCGCCGTCGCCTCGGACGCGACGACTTGGTAGGAACCGGTAGAGGCAAAAGTAGAGGGTATACGCCTCTAGCGGTGTTTCTGTTGCCAGAGATCGCCTTGTACATAGCTCGGAAGCGTGCCTTGTGGACGCATTCTGTTTGAGTGGTGCTACCAGATCGCGCTCTTGGCTCTAACTTGAGTGCCTGTACTGTGACGAGCACGTCTACGTCAGCGTAACTCGTTTTGCGTACCAACCATGGGCAGGCAAGTAGTGGATTCGCGGAGCTTTGCGAGCCATGGCCGACAAAGGGCGATGCGCGCTTTCGCATCACCCAAGCGCGATCGGAAAAATGGGCGCTCATCAAAGCGAGTTCGCGTTGAGGCTGGAAGCCTGTCTGAGCAGCCTGGTGCTTCATTCGACGAAACGGACTGGATGAACACGCGCTCTGCGGCGATCGAACGCGACACGCCTCGGTTCCAGTCCGGCAACGATTCGGATAGCGAACTCGACGGTTTGGGCAATCGTTCCGCGGGCCATAATTCGAGGCGAATACTGAGCGGCAGTGTGTCGCCATACGACGTCTCTGCTAGCCCTGACGCGTCCTCTGCAAGCGAGCTTGAAGCGTCTCACGGAAGAGCGGCACGCGAGCGGCGCACTGCCGCCAACGACCGAGTCGACTCGAGTTATGGTGCCGACTTGATGGCTGATTTCAGTGCAAGCTCGCAGTCCTCTGATTCAGAGAATACTGAGCTGCTGGAAATGGAAGAGACTCGCGATAGCGATGCTTCCAGCGCTCTGGACAACGATGTCGAGGCCGATTACGAGAGCGCTTCGGACCCGGGCCCAGAAGATGATACCGACGAAGACGAAGATGTACATGACGCTCTCTGGGACGAGAGGCCCGACGGACGGCGCCGGTCGTTGTACTACGACGCCGACACTGCTGTGCGTGAGGATCAACTGGATATCGATGAGCTGGACGAGGAGGAGGCGGAAGCGATGCGCCTCCAGCGACAACAACTTAGTCGCTTGCAGGCCCAGGACTTTACCGGCGGTATTGCAGTCTCTGAGCTCGCACGAGCCGTGGACGACACCGCACCGGGAGGCACGCCTCGGCCGTATGCCGCAGATGCAGCATCGCTAGAGGCAACTGCTTCGGATCATGACCAGGTTGCAGTTCGAGAGGTGCTTCGATCGCTGTCGACGGCGCTCCAGGAGATCATTGAGGACCTGGAGCAGCTCTTGGAAACTGCAAAACGAGAACAATTAACAACGCACATGGAACGAGATCCGTTGCTGGGCCTCCTGGAGCTCAAGAGACAGCTGCTCCTCAACTATGGAACGAATCTGGCTTTTTATCTTGCACTGAAAGCTGAATGCTCGTCGATCCGCGACCATCCTGTCATGGACCGTCTCATGGAGATAGGAGTCACACTGGACAAAATCCGTCCGCTGGAAGAACATGTTCGTGTACGCTTGGAGGCCCTGAAGCGAGCCGGTCAACAGCAATCGACATCAGCGTTGCGACCGGAGTTTGCACAAGGCAGCGAGTCTGATGACTCACTGCCAGCTTCAAACGGCACGAGCACAACCGATCAAACAGACGAAGGAGCGACTGGTCGATACAGGCCGCTCCTCACCACCGCAGAGACCTACGAAGACGAGCGCACGCGACGTCGACGCGAACAAGCCGTAGCGCGTGCTGACGCCGACCAGCGCCCGTACCGCTTTGAAGTTCGCCAGCTTGCACGCGAACTCAGCGACAAGCCCGAACAGGTAAGCCTGAACGCTGACCCCGAAGCAATGACTCGTGATGATATGCGGCTCGTGCGGCAGGCGGAGGCGCGCCAAGCATACGAGGAGGAACACCTTGTTCGTTTACCAGAGAGCAAAAAGGACCGACGAGCTCGCCGCCTTGCAGAAGCTACTCGCGGCCTGACCGCCATAGATTCGAAGACACGGACAAGTGGTATGACGGACCTGCTTTCCGTTGCGAATCGAATCGTCGAGGTGAGTCAGCGCGATCAGAGCCAAGTGCACGCGATGCCTCCAAAAGCGCTGCACGCTGAACGCACGTCACGGGCCGTCGACAGGCACCGCTCGGATGTGTCGTCCAGGCCCAGCACCGACTCGCAAGCAGCAGCAGCAGCAGCAGCAGCATCAAACCAGGTATCAGAAGCGTTCCTGCAACGTGCACAACATTCGACGTTTGACCAAAGCGCTACAGACAAGCGAGCAGCATTGAGTGCGTTCGAAGGTTCATCCGCGCCATCCGACTGGTCGTCGTTGCTCTACAAAGCAGCAGCGGATACGATGCAGCGCAAGCGTCAGAAGCGTACCCAGGGTAGCGCCGAAGCACTGGTCGCTTCACCGGATGACGACTTGCTGGCAGAGAATAGGCCACGACGAATAACGGATGAGATTCGAAGGAATCGCGGGTTAACAGCGCGCCGGCCTCGAAACGCTGCACATCGTAACCCGCGTGTGAAGCGACGGGTACGCTATGCAGAGGCCTTGGTTCGTCGCAAGGGTCAAGTGCGCGTCTATGATGATCGCACGCGCTCGGTTGCAGCTGCAGGCGCTTACAAGGGCGAAACAAGTGGTATCAACAAGCGCACGCGACAGAGTGTGGTTTTGCGGACGTAAAGCCTATTCACAATGAAGACCTGTTCTCGATGCTTTGAGGCGTTTTGCTTGACAAGACGGGACCGGGACCTGCTGTTTCAAGGTAGCGCGCCAATCGAACTAGTTCGTCGGGGGCGCTAGCGTGGCCTCCATCGCAGCCATAGTGGACGCGGTCGCTGGACTCTCCACCGGAGACGCGTCTTGTACATCATGTGTGGATCGACTCGCATCCATCGCTCTGGTTGCGGATCCATTGAGTCGCGGGTGCCGCTGTTGGTCGCTACCGGCTGCGGCATGTTGTCCGTTCTGCATTCCAGCGGTTTCGAGCGAGCTCGGTATCGGGGATGCGGCGGTAGCTGCGACTGGTGCTGCCCCCGCAGGTCGCAACCATCGCTGCTTCCATTCGAGCATCTCCCGATACCATTCCTGGGCACGCGCGTAGTACTCGGGCCCTGCAGCTTGCGCTCGTCTCATGTAAGCGTCAATATCAAAGTGGAAGCTGTAACTTGGTGGTGTATTGGGCCGCGAACCGAATCCTTTCCAACCCGTTACCTGCTGTTGTGGTTGTTGCTGTTGTAGTTGCTGCTGCTGCTGCTGCTGCTGCACGTGATCGAGCCACTCAAGCCATTGACTTGCGGCCTGCCCGCTCGAATGAATGTAGTTTGCAGGCGTGTTCGACGTCAGCGTATACGAAGATCCTAGTGCATGTGGCGACATGCCGTGAGCAGCATACAATTTCGCAGAGAAAGGCCCAGGCAGCGGACTCCATCCCCAGAGGGCGACATGCTCAGGGCTCGTGGGTCCACGGCTCGGCATATTCGATGGATACCCGCACGCTGCAGGTACCGCAGCGTCTGTCCGAGGCATGCCCTGAACCGCAGGCAGTGCGCCCGGGGACGGCGGTACTGATCGGTTTCCCAGTCCACGGACCGGTGAAGGAGGAACAGAGCTTGGTCGCGGGAAGAGCGGCCGCGGATTCAGAACAGACCGCGAAGCGGTGCTCGTCATTCCCCGTGGAGCACCTGGAGCCGCCGCCAGCCCAGGCCAAGCTGCACGATCCTCCTTGTTTTCTGTGAGCGCTGCATTTGCCGTGCGTGGTCGCTTCGGGCTGCTGATTTCTCGCAGTTCATGTCCATCGGGTACGCGCATTTCTTGAAACGACGGCATCACGGTGTTCACGTAAGCAGCAGGGTCTTCGGCGTTGGCCACCGCCAGCCAGGCGCCATCCGCCACAGAATCTGTCCCAGGAAGCGCACACGATGCGTAGCGTAGCGCTTCATTGGTAGAATGGAGTGAAGGCAATCGCTGCGTCGATCGTGCTATTGCAGCATCGGTCAGGCCCGCAGCTTGCAACTTGTCGGCAGAGGCCGGGCGCACTACTTGGTTCGAATACGGGTTCGGTAGCAACTCGCGTGGGGTGCGGAGCTCTTCCAGTCGCACGTTGTCCTCGCCGCACCAGACGAACGCTGGCTTCCGGTACTCCGTGTGCGTCTTCCGAATCAGCCCGAGCGAGGAAAGTATGTTTGCAATGTCATAGAGTCGTCGCACCTTGGTTTTCATGCCCCCATTTAGGGGATTTTCCTCCGCTTCGCGATTGCCGACACTCCCGGATAACAAGATCGACGCTGCGTATTCCAGACTGATGGTGTCGCCACCTGCTAGCAGGAACAGTTGCACAAAACGCTGCGAGAGTGCGCCAAGTGATTTCTCCTTCCGCGACATGCGATGATTCTTCGTCGACGCGACGGATGGTTTGGATAATGCATTGGATGCAAGCAGGCTCTCTGGGCAGGTTGCGTAGCGTTCGACTTCGCTGGCTTTTGCTGTGGTCGACAAGGGCCCGCTGACCGGATCGTTGGCCAACTCGTCATCATCCCCATTGAGCTGACTCGAGTCTCCAAGGCCGGCAACACCTCCAGCGGATTCTGCCTCTTGTCTGAGGCGCTGGATGCTCTCTTTCAAACGACTTTGGCCTAGCCAAATATACTTGTTTTTGGCCTTTCGTGTCACCATTCCGACGCTTTCGAGCACATTCACAATGTCATATATTCGTCTGCGCTCAACACCGAGGCGCGTCGCCGCTTCGTCCAGGCAAATTTCACATGAACTGTTTCCCCGTGCTTGTTCTAGAACGCCGTAAAGAGAAAGAAAATTCTCACAAAGCAAGCCGAGGGACTTGTCCTTGCGAGAGTATGCATCACCCGACACCAGCGGCTGCGAGCTTGATCGCGAGGTGCCCGGCTCACCGTAGCCCCTCATCGGTGACGCCCGATACGGGAACATCGCTCAGGCTACCAGCACACGGGTAGTGAGCGAGCCCTTGCTCTATCGGAAACCAAGCCAACAATAACCCGAAAGAATCAAGTTTCCTTGCACACAGCGCTTCTTACGCAAAGTTTCCAGGCCAGCTCTCGGTTGATCCCGTCACCGACGCTGTACAACAGAAACCCTGTGAAACGACCGATGGGTGAGGCACGCACCTGCACTGCACGGCTGCGAACGCGAACACTCGTTACGCAACAGAGTGGCGCGCCCCCTTCCAGGCTTGTGTGTCCGCGTTTACACAACCGGGACGGAAGCCGACCACCAGCGGTATCCACGCAAGTCGCACCCCGTACGATACAGACACAAGTCGCAGACTGCTCAAGAGGCGACCCAGTAGCGTGCACTCGTTTCCGCACCAGCCCAAGCGTGCACAAGCTACGCTGCGTGGTACGCTCACCTACGCCACACACAAATAAACACACCTGTACACCAGAAACGATAGCCAACTGAGGTCAGCCTTCTTCGGAAGGAAGCAAGCAAGGACTATGCACCCTACCCGAACAGGAGCTGCGCCAACAGCGCAACGAAAAAGGCAGCTGCGCCCAGCAACGACGGCAGTCGAAAGTGCTCAACTCCGAATAGAGCTAGCCGGGCTATGGCAGTGCGTCTCTAGCGCGCGAATGATTTGGCGCGGAATTGCAACGCCTTGGCGCCGCCGCCGCCGCCGGCGCCTCCGAAGTCCTGCGGGTGCAGCCAAACAGCAACGCGCTCGAATCGCGACGGCGGCGGTGCGGAGATCCGCCAAGCATTCCAGGGGTTCCTATGGATTGTACAGATGGAGCGACAAGTGGCAATCCATGGGAACAGGGGCGTGGAGACGCGGCTAGCGCTGTTGATCGAGCGTTTGCTATAGTCCGCTTCATACATTATTGTACGTAAATATACAATGCATTGCATCCGAGGCTTGGAGACGCGGCTAGCGCGGTTGATCGAGCGTTTGCTATAGTCCGATTCATACATTATTGTACGTAAATATACACTGCATTGCATCCGAGGCTTGGAGACGCGGCTAGCGCTGTTGATCGAGCGTTTGCTATAGTCCGATTCATACATTATTGTACGTAAATATACACTGCATTGCATCCGAGGTTCGCAGGCCGCGAAACGACTCGCCTGACGAAGTTTGCGATTCGTGCGGCCGCATCGATCGACACTGGTCCGTGTCTCTGCAGGAACCTGGATTTGGGCCAGCGGTATTTTTCATTCAATGACCCTGTATTGGAGTGCATTTCAAACGTTGGCAGGCTTACTTGCGACGCAAGTTGTCTGTAGAGCTATCTTTTCACAGTGCAGCGTTGCTTCAAAATGCTCTTGAAGGGTTTTCGGGCGACGCGCCTTGACGGTCATTTGCTTTTCTGCAAGTCAATGAATGAGTTGTCGAATGCACGTACCTGGCATCTGAAGCGCGTATGCCGCGGTCGACTTGGGTGCGCTGTCCCATGCACTCCTGCCCATGATCTTCGGCAATAGCCATACGGACGTCGGTGTAGGCTATGAATGAAGCGTACGGAGCATCTCGTTCCGGTCACGACGGTGCTCAGAGCGTCGAGACGCGTGCACGCACCACCATGCCACTATTTGGTATGCCACTTGGCTTTTATCATGTCCAGTGCTCGACGAAGCTGAACGCTGAAAAAATCAAGTCGCATCGCGTATGCTGTACCGAGCATCATTTGTCGCACGGAGGTTTGATCGAGGAATTCCAGAGGAATTCGGACAGTTGCCATCTCAGAGTCGGGAAGCCCGAAAACCTGACGTCTGACAAGATGCGTCCACCGGAGAGAAGCGGTGCGCAACATTGATGGATAACAAGCTATATGATCGCTGATGGCGTCGCACAACTTTCGGTGTCGCGGATGCGAGCGACTCGTCTATGGATCCTTGAGCGGAAAACTAGCGCGTGCCATTAGCGACAATACCTTCGACATGATGAATCAAAGGAGACGGGCTGATACGAAGCGTCACTGACCGCGTATCCCAGCATCACACTCTTCGACCGCATTTTCATGATGGAAAGCAACGATTCGCTAGAACAGGACGGATGCATGTGCCAACAGGAAGCCTCGGGGCTCGCGTCTACGAAACATGAAGCGCTGGACGAGTCTGTATGGCTGGCGATTTCCAGACCACCAGTGGATAGAATCGCCGCTAGGGCTAATGTCGTCGGAATGCCGGCTTTTCTCTTTTTTACGAACAGCACTTTACCCCGGTTTGCGTACCCCCAGACAGGTCCAGCATTGCTCCTGCGTAAGTCTCGTCCAGTGGGACAAATACCCGTCCATCTTGTAAGACGCGTTCGTGTTTCATTTAGCAATCGCTCGTGTGCTTCGTCGAGCCGCGACCGGCTCCCATAGAAGCGTGCGTTGCTCTCTCTGTTTCGTTCCATGTGTCATGATCACCGTTTGTATGAACGATACGGAACGTGCGCGCTCTGCGCCTCCTTTTTTTTGTCGTGTATCTCAAACAGCATACGGAATAGAGCAGGCTACCGAGTATCCATTCGTGTCCATTGCGTTTCACGGGTTCCGTTTTGGGGTGCATGATGTTCCGCATGCGCTGCGTAAAAAACTGGTTCATGCATCACCTGATGGTACGATATCCGATTTATGCAAGCAAGATCATGATGCTCGCACGCCAGCACTGACTTAGAAACGCTTTCCGTTCCCTCTCGCCAATGTACGCGATGCTTTCCTTTTCTCGAATTCCTGCAAGAACAACAAACATGCACAAAAAGGTCGCACTAACGCCGATGCTCCAGAATGCACCGCTCCCAATACAACGACACAGCAGAGACAGAACCAAGGCATGTATGTTTTCTCGACTACACTCGTTCCCACGAAAGCGTAGCTCGACGAAAAAAGATCTTCGGTTCGATGACCCCGCACGCACGCTAGGTACTTGCGAGCGTTACGAATACAGGTGTTGGCAACGTGTTTTGCGTTGGCATCGACCGCGTCCGGCGGTTCGGATACATTCTAGGATACCTATGTCTTGAGGGCGGTATGCGATACGTGGCGACGCTTACCGAAACGCAGCGCGATTCCTCGCGTCGACTCGGTGAACCGAGTGTCGAATCATGCCGTCGGGTATTGTCAGCACGTCCGTGGGTGCTGTCGCGCGCTCCGAGCTTCATACCCATCCCCTGCCGAGGAGCTCTCTTTCGCGGGACACTTCCGGACCTGAAACTGTCTACCAGTTGCCGAGTGATCATCCACAGCTCCACACATGGGAACGGCGTCAAGTGAATCGTCGGGAAACGTTTCCCCGGGGAGCAATGCTCTGCTTCGAGACAGGTCCAAATGCACCCAACGCAGATGCAAACGTATCCGCTTGGAGACTCCTTGTGACGGACCTGGGTCGCTTCCGAGCGCCCCGGTACGCTGCTGAAGACGCGAATGCTGCACTGGCCACATGAAACGTTTGAATCGCTCTGTGGATAGATATGCTTTAAGCGAAGCGTGCTTCATGCCATTCAAGCCTTGTGGAATGTAGCAATAAACTCGGTGAGAATTTTTCGCAAGGCTTCATCGGACTCCTTCGATAATTGGCCTTCCTGACGGATCTTTGCCAACAGATCACCATGATTTGAGCGCATGTTCTGCAGCATTGCTGCTTCATACTCGCGAATACGAGAGACGGGTACCTTGTCGAGAAGGCCACGTACACCTCCGTAGATCACGCACACTTGTTCTTCGAACGGCATCGGTTTGTACTGGCCTTGTTTCAACAGCTCATTCAGACGGTCTCCGCGATTCAGCAACTGCTGCGTGGCGGCATCCAGGTCAGAGCCGAACTGCGCAAAGGCAGCGACCTCCCGATGCTGCGCTAATTCCAGTTTCATCGACCCCGCAACCTGCTTCATCGCTTTTGGTTGCGCCGCAGATCCCACTCGACTAACCGAAATACCAACGTTGATCGCGGGACGTTGACCCTTGTAGAACAACTCCGACTCCAAGAATATCTGCCCGTCCGTAATCGAGATCACATTCGTCGGAATGTACGCGGACACGTCACCAGCTTGCGTCTCTATGATGGGAAGCGCGGTCAGGGATCCGGCGCCTGCTGTATCGCTCATTTTCGCAGCGCGTTCCAGCAGACGCGAATGCAGGTAGAAGACATCACCGGGATAGGCTTCGCGACCCGGCGGACGCCGCAGCAACAGTGACATCTGTCTGTACGCGACTGCCTGCTTACTCAAGTCGTCATAGATAATGAGCGCATGCATACCGTTATCCCGGAAGTATTCGCCCATTGCACAGCCGGAAAACGGGGCCAGAAACTGGAGAGGTGCCGCATCCGATGCCGTCGCCGCCACGATGCACGTGTATTTGAGTGCGTCAGCCTGCTCGAGTCGATTCACCAACTGCGCGATCGTACTGCGCTTTTGCCCGACTCCAACATAAATGCAGTAGATTTTTTCAGGCCTGTTCTCGTCATGGGCCTTCTTCTGATTCAAAATCGCATCGATGGCAACCGCAGTTTTGCCGGTCTGTCGATCACCGATAATGAGCTCTCGTTGGCCGCGCCCTATCGGCACAAGACTATCCACAGCTTTGAGACCTGTCAGCATAGGCTCATGCACAGAACGACGCGGGATAATACCCGGAGCCTTGACATCAACCCGTCGCCGCTGAACAGCGCGGATCGGGCCCTTACCGTCGATCGGCTGCCCCAGAGCGTCCACAACGCGACCAATGACGCCTTCCCCGACCGGAACGTCTACAATAGCTTCCGTCCGTTTTACGAGAGAGCCTTCGGTAATATCGCGGTCGGAGCCGAAAACGACAACACCTACATTATCCTGCTCAAGGTTGAGCGCCATGCCTTTGGTGCCGTCCGCGAACTCCACCATTTCACCGGCTTTGACATTGTTCAATCCGTAAACTCGGGCAATACCGTCACCAATGGTTAGCACTCTCCCGACTTCGTTCACATCGAACGGCTCCTCAACGCCGCTGATTTTCTCTTCGAGAATCGCAGAGAGCTCTGCTGCTGAGAGCGCGGATCTGCGCACAGCACCCGTAGCCCGCCAGCTGGAGAGCGACCTCTGCCGCTGGTCGCGATTCGCTGTGACCCACAAGGCACCGTGTACAGCTGCACGACCGCGTACAAGCAGGTCACTGGAACGCACCAAAGCACGAGCAAACGGTCTCAGGGCACGGTTCATGGAGAGGCTTTTCGGCCAAAAGCACGTCGTTGTTGAAGAGGCGCGTTCGTTACGGTTCTATTGGCGAAGGAGCGCCATCGTCTCATACGGCGGCAGCGTGGTAAGGGAATTCCCTTACGATCAGACGTCAACGGTGATACCAAGTTTGTCTATTATTGATCAGATTCTGTTGACATGGATGTACGGGGCAATCGCCTCTGTCCAGGAAGCGCATCGGTAACTGCAGCAGGGCGCTCACTGGACACCAAAAAACGCATCGATAAACGTTTATGCTGCGTTCGTCGGAAGTCGTCATCGGGCGTGCCGACTTGGTGCTACTGTCTGTGGCGATGCGCATGCCTCGATGTAGACGCGCCAGCTGGTGAAGGTCGTGCGGGACGTTGCACTCGGAAGCTGGTACATGCTTGGACACTTTTTCTGGAAATCGAGAAGCTCCAGCGCTGACTCGACAAGCGCCTATTGGTGTGTGTGTGTGTGTGTGTGTGACGACGTGCTCGCGGCACTGGCTGGGGAAACGATACACGCATGGAATCCCCAACTTTTATTCCGTGGATTTTTCATAGACAAAACTTTTCCATTGGGCAGCGTTCTCCGATTGTACGCTCCTCCTTTCCTTCTTTTCGTTTGTTTCGTTTTTTTTCAGTGCGCGGTGAATGCTTCCATTCCGTGGATGCAAGGCGATCTGCACGCCGACAGGCCGGCATCCCGACCGGTGGATCGACGGCGAGACGTTTTTTGTATGGTCCCCGTCCAACCTGGAAGCGAATGAATACAGAGAAATGCTTCCAATGCTCGTCGTTTTCATCGTATTTGCAACACGCTACCGAACCGTGTGCAATCCTATGGATATCGCGTATGTTGTTCATTGCTCCTACACCCTTGATCGAGAATTGGAAAAAAATTCTGCATCTGCATCCAGACCAAAACCGCTTCCGTTTACAAAACCTATAGCTTCAGCGTCTTTCGGCGGGAAATATGAAAGCGAGCTCATGGATACTGTGGGGAAATCAATGTCCGTCCCGGTACTATCTGTGCTTGACGCTCACGACGACTCTGGGACCCAGCAACCTGCTCTGGGTACACCAGACGGCACAGATTGCCGGCAGACGTTGAATTTCATTCTCTAGAAAACCCGTATCCTCCATAACAAGTCGAGTCCTTGCTATTGTCTGCGACGAATGCGTACGCTGCATCCACCGCAGCGAATCCGCGACACGATGCCAAGTACGTCGAATGCTGCGTTTCCTGGTGTACTGCCGCGCGACAGGTTTTGAACGGTTGCACTCGAGAGGGCGTACGCACTCGTGTTGGCGTTCCTCGCACTGTTTTGTTTTCGATCTAGTAATCAGTTCTTGACCATGTTTCTGGCTCCGACAATACACTTCACGCACAGAAAACACCGCATTGGAACCCTCGGGAACCGAGTAGTAGCTCGCTACCATCGACCGTGCACCAACGTTCCAAAACCGCGAGCCCGTGTTCCGTCTCTTCAACGCCGGCTCTCAGTTCAAGCGTCGGCTCTCAGAGTGGGCCACGGCTTTGATCTGCATCGCCTGGAACCTGGACTACCTCTGATTCTCGGTGGTGTGCGTCTCGAGCACGATCGTGGTTGCGCAGCGCACTCGGACGGCGACGCCGTCTACCACGCTGTTACGGACGCGATTTTGGGTGCCTTGGCACTGCCGGACATTGGCCAGCTTTTCCCGGACACCGACCCCCAATGGAAAGGGGCAACTTCGGATGTTTTTCTCCGGGCAGCCGGGGCTATGATGCTTCAACAGGGGTACCGCATCGCGAACCTCGACGTTACTGTCATTCTGGAACGGCCCAAGCTCGCCCCGCACAAAGAACAAATACGCCAGAATATAGCGGGACTTTTGGGGCTTAGTCTCGAACAAGTGAATTTGAAAGCAAAAACACACGAAAAAGTAGATAGCATCGGGGAGAATCGCAGCGTCGGCTGTCACGCCATGATCCTACTCGAGCGTCAACCGCTCGGGAACAGTGACGAGCCTTCCACGTCCGCATCCGAAAGCTTCGCATCATCAGCAAGCGGTGCTCCCAACGCTGCATCTCCTAATAGTCTGGAATCGGGTGTGTTTGCCGCACTCGCAGCGACGCTCTCTCGAGTCCATGAAGTGATCGAGTCACGACGGTCAGCAGACCCGGAGAAATCATGGACAGCGAAGCTCTTCGCGAAAGGACGCCATAAAATCGCCCAGAAAGTCGGCGAGGAAGCGCTTGAAGTGGCACTAGATGCTGTGCAAAATCGACCTGATCGCGTCGTGGAAGAAAGCGCCGACCTGTTGTACCACCTTTTGGTACTGTGGGCGGATCTGGGAGTCCATCCCAACCAGATCGCAGCGGAGCTTGAAAAGCGACAAGGCAAAAGCGGTTTACGCGAAAAGCAGCATCGCAATGAATACAAGGACACAAAGGAGCAGCATGATTTGGTGCAGCACTAACGCGAGCAGCTCGTGACCCGCGGAGACCGTTCCCCAGCAATGCATCCTGTTTTCGAGCTTTTGTTGCGCCGCTGGCCACCACGAAAGGTCCAAATACGCGTCTAGGCGCGAGCAACTTGTCGAGTAGACGCATCAACGCACCAGTGTCGACCAGGTGCACGATCCGCTGAAACAATGGATCCCGCGCCTCCATTCGATGAAGCCGAAGCGTTCGTTTTCGATGCCCGACGTCGACACTGGAGCATCTCACCACATTGCGCATGTCATGAACGAAAATAGACACCGAGTGGAAACGATACCGAAGCGTCGTATGCGTACAGGGCATCTGCCCAGCCACGGGGCACTGGTACAAAACCTTGGAACAAGTGCGGCTGCCGACACCGTTGCCATGCGTTCGGTGTTGCAGATTCCCCGTAACCCGCTTGTTTGGCATCCGTCCGTCCTATAATCGATGCAGTGGTGTTGCAGCGCGAGTCTGGCGATGCCTTTGAGCGCTTTTGGACGCGCCAGGGTGCTTCCGGGCACTCCGCTTGTTCCCGGGGGCCGGACTGGTCTAGTCGGAGCTGGGGCAACCACCAGCGCTCCATCACGACAACTCGGGAGCAGGGCGAACGAGACCTGCAAAGCGCGACATACCACACTGTTTGGAGCCGGTCTGCAACGGCGTTCGCCACAACTGCGCTCGTCAACGGAATCGTGAGGAGCCGCCAGCCTCTGCTGGTACGTCTCGGAAGCATTTTCAAACGCAGAACAAGATCGTCGGCGGATGCCGGTACCCAACGCTGGATGAACCAGTAGACTCGCCGCCAGAAGCATCGCCAGCACCTGCTTTCCTTTGTGAGCGTCGCCTGCGCAGCGGTATCTGCTCGAACTGGATGCTGACGCTGCTTCAGGTTCAGCACACAGGGGCAACGGATTTGCGGCATGACCTGTTCCGGTGCCAGGGCAAGCACATGCAGCTTGTCGTAGCCGGGAGGCATCAGCCACAACATGATCACGTCGCTCCACTGGAGCTCATCCAGGACCTGCCACGAGCAACTTGAGCGATTCACGGAAAACGGACCGTTTGTCGGTAGCCGCAAGTGCCAGAGACGCCGATTCGTGCACAACACAGCCTCGTTCGGCACTGGACGACAACAAAAGCGATACTGCTCCGACAAAAGTTCCGAGGAGCTCGCCTGATCGAGCATCTGCCACAGTTCGTATCCCAGCACTGCATCTTCGATGTCGTAGCTGTGATCCAGCTTTGTGCTGGGCATCCGCGGAGGTCTCAACGGAGCGCTCCATTCGGCAACGCTCCACGTCCATGCGGTCTCCCCAGCAGCCGATTCAATCAGATGCCACGCTGCTTGGTCTAACAGATCCCGAGCTATTGCCAGCACCGTAGCCGTTGCCTGCATCATGAACAGAAGCGGTGTCGCGAGGAGGATGCCCATTCGTTGGCCGGCCGCGGCATGCCACCACCACCGCCACCGCCACCGCCGCCGAAGACGCTCCACCTTGGAGCTGCTGGCACGCTCGGCTGGTGACCCAGGCACCACTGCATCCGTTTTCGAGTACCGCTGCTGGTGCTGGTGCCCATGAGACGCACCTCCGGTACCTGAAACTTGAACGCGACGCTCAAGGAACCGTGCTGCCCCGCTGTTCGCGTCCGGGATGCTCCGGTTGTGTGCAGCGCCTGGCATGCGCGCTGCAATATCAAGGGCGAGCGTCGCCAGCCCTATATGTTGCCTGAGGGTTCCCGCTGCCAGCGCTATCATTCGATGGAATGCATCCAGGGAGGCTGCACCTAACCCCGCGCCATACCCCAGCGACAACGCTGCCGCTGCTCCTAAGATACGGTGCCGATGGCGCTGACGCAACAACGCTCCGAGTTGTCTCGCTATCTGACGAACAAGTCGACTTAAATGGCGCGCATATCGTGCCGGATTCCCTAACCATTCCGCAGAACTGATGACTTTCCAAACCTCCCGGTTCAGTTGTTGTTGATAATGGCGCACCAGGTGCTGCACCAGGTCGTCGCTTGTCTCAAAGGTACCGTCGAGGACGAGTTCGCGTAGCCACAGCGATGCATCCTGAACATTCATGAGCGGTGTAAGCATGAGTGCTGTCAAACGGGGCCACTCGCTTCCGCGGTATTGCAGGAGCGTTCCCAGGCTCACCAGGTCGGTTCGTACCGATAGAGTGCATGCCAGCGGAGCGCATACAACGTCGTGAAAAGCGAGTCGCAGGGAGCGTTCAGAACGCTGCTGCACCTGGGACACACTGGGAACACCTCGTAGCAGCGCCTGCTCCAGGGCGCGTCTCAAAAGCTGACAAGCGTCAGCGCCAGCCCGGTACTGGGCAGCGGAGCTACCGAGCGCTTCATTCGCACCAGCGTCATATTGACAGCAACTGCAGTCGCTCTCCCTGCGCGCTGTGCACTGCGTCAACGATTCCCGTAATGAACGCGACAACGGCATTGACGATAGCGATGATCGTGACGACGACGTATCCCCAGAGCGACATGTCCAGCAATACCTCGATGCCGGTGCATTGCCGTCACGCAATATCCGAGCCGCTGCTCCAGCTCGCCTCGAACTGGAGCTCCTTGCCCGCGCTTGCGTCAGTCGCTGAGCACTTGTTGCTGCAACGAGGCCCATGCTTGGTGTCCAGAAGATCTCCAGCTCTTGATCCTGCTGCTCAGCACCAACAGACGCCATTCGCAATGCATCAGCAGACGTTTCAACGGGGGTCATGGCATCGACTTGTCGCCGCCAAGCCACGAACCAGTCAACCATTTGAACAACCAGCGATGCATCGATGTCGAGATCGAGTCGTCCACACCGCACCTGTCCCGAGTGGATCCGTAGAAACGTATGCGCACCAGTGCTACTAGACTCGAAACGGGTTCGCAGTACACAAGCAGCTTGCTTCGGGGCTCGCCAAGCGCCATCGTCGCTCGTCCACCGCCTCGAGGCAACCGATGCTGATAACGATGACGCTCCAGGCGCTGACGCTGACCCCTGACAAGCATACGAAACGGGCCTGCGACGGAGCGAGAACCACGAGACAACCGCCAGCCGATCTAGCTGCCGGCTCGTGTTGTGATCTGGACGTATCGACGACTTCTTCTTCTTCTTCTTCTTCGAGTGCCGTTCGTGATCCGAAGCGAGGCTCAGTGCTCGGCTTGTGCGCGAGGCAGCGTCATTCGCTGCGACACTGTGCAGCCTCAGCGGTACACACCAGGCACCTGGTAATGTAGGATGCTGCAGAGCCGAACTGTGATCGAGTTGCAGTGCCTCGCAGACAAAAGCGACCTCACCATGGTAGCTCTCATCCAAACTGGCCTTTTGACGCAGCATATCGCTTCCATCTTGGGTGCGTTTGACGTGATGCCAACGCGCATCCACGCCTCGTATGCCGAGGTAGACGACTTGTTCGAAAAGTGGCGGCTCTCTTGTCGTTGTCGTCATCCGCAGCAGGGAAATGCCCATCTCGGGTACGCAGAGCTCACATGTGAACGCAGAGGCGTGGCGATCGATACCAGCACCAGCGTAGTGCATTGTCGTACTGGCTGGAAGCGCGTCCAGCGGTGTTTCAGACGGCGAGGTTTCTGTCGAAACATCATGTCGCTCGTCTACAGAGCGCTGCAGCGACGTTGACGCACCACGGCTTTGACTCGAGCGTCGAGGCACTGCAGGCTGTTCCTGTTGTTGCTCGTTTTCGGCGATGATGAGCGCAAGCGTTGCCTGGCATCGCTGCAGGCGAATCTGGAACGTGCGGCTTCGAGACGCTGCACCCGGAGCGCCCGCGGAGTTCGCTACACACCAGCGAACACTTTGATTACAGACCAAGTGCACCGCTGTCTGCGAGGCAACGTGCACGCGACGACGGCGATGACGACGACGACGACAACCGAGCCCCACTAGTTGCCAGAGACGAGTCCGGCATTGTTGCAGACGCGGAATCACGCGCAGTTGGACCGCTTGTCCCGTTCGTTTTCCGTCATGATATCCCCGGTGCCTGCTACGCCCGTTGGTGCGGTCGCCGCTGACACCGCTGTCGGTTGCAACCTGTGTTTCTCCATGTACAGCTGCAACTGAAGCATGCGAATGCAGCTCGGGCTCTAAGCGAAAAGCGCCCACGTATCCAATCCCGTCGATCCAGAGCTCGAGAATCGGCTCTGCAAGCGGCTCATCCCAGGTGTAGGCGCATTCCGAGAGCGGGTCCAGTGCTTGCAGCGCATCGTCATCGATAACGTCCTGGGTCTGCTTCATGCAGCAGCCGCTTCGACAGTGCGCCGGTTCAAGGCGTTGAGCGAAACGAATGCGTTCAATCGTCTGATTCCGGATCCGATACGGTACCAGCAACGGATGCGGCGGCAGAATCGTTACCAGATGCACGGGTGTCACTGGACTGGTACCTGCTGCAGTGTGCACCCGCGGAAACTGACAAGCGCCCGTTGAGGCCTGGCGAAGACGCAGACACCAGTCGCTACCAGCGGTGACGGGAACACGTCCACTCCAGTACCAGCCGGGAGCAGCAATGCGGATGCGAAGGCATGGCTTGTTCGTACCAGCTGGCCAGTGCAACGTTGCCATGGCACCAGGCTCGAGGCGAAAGACGCTCCCGTCAGCGAGCAGTCTGTCGATATCGTTGGCGGCTGTTGGCCGGACGTCGACAAGGTCCAGGTCGCTGCCGGGGCTGTGCGTTCCTGCCCGGGGATTTGCGGCCCCGAATGATAAGCATTCATCGCCGGTATCCTGGTCGACAGGCCATACCAGGAGCGTGTAGGCCGGCCACAAGTTCACCAGGCGGTATCGCGGGTACACCACGAGCAGCCGCGAACGCTCGAGCGGATACCCCAGCGGTTGGACGCAGACGACCGCATCCAACTGACGAGGACGCGGTACATACGCACCGTCGAACGTTGTCGGTGTCGATGAAGACGACGACGGCCAAGTTTCTGCCACCGCTGCGGCAGGTGACCAAGCGCTAAAGCGTGGAGCGATAGAACGCGACACTTGAGACAAGCGCGAATGCGGTGTTGTCGCTGCTGCTGCTGCTGGTGCTGCGGCTAATGATGATGATACAAGCCACGGCCAACGAGCGTCTGTTTCAAGTGGTGTCGATACGCTCGCGTGTCTTGATCGCACTAGTCGCAACGGACTAGTTTTCACTTCAGGAGTACCAGTAGCAGCAACATGAACAACAGCATCCGCTACCGTCACCGCAGCTTGTGTGGGTGCTCGATCGGCACCGTGTGCAGATGCAAGGCGTTGCCAGGCGCTAGGCTGCTGCAGCACCGCCGCCGGAGACGCGAGCATCGCACGAGTCCATCTGTGCGGCTTACGCTCACCTGCAACTGCATAGAGAGAAATCACCAGGGCCTCATGCGCAAGTCTGGTGCCTGCACACCACGCACTCCATTCGGTATGTGCAGTGCGCCACGAGAGTGCGAGCTCTGGAAGCGACCATGCAGTCCAGGGACACGGGGCGAGTGTGAGCGGCAGCACTTGTCCGCAAACGGGGCCGCCGTTGTGTCCACCACCACGTGCTTGATACGGTAACCGCCCATAACGAGCGTTCTCGAATGCATCAAAAGCACCAGTCGTATGAGCAGATATTGGACGCGGCGGTGCGCACTCGCGACATGTCAAGGGCATGGAGCTGCTGCTACTGCTGCTGCTGCTGCTGCTGCAGGGATAGGCAACGCTTTGGATGGGCGTTTGCGGTGCAGCTGTTGCCGTAGCCTGCTCTGCTTGCACAGTCTCGAGGTCAGACTGGACACCAGGGCGTCCCGTGTCGATCCAGTTTGCCAAATGTCGTCGCAGTTGCGAGCACCAGGAGCGCCTCTCTGCAGGGATTGCCTGCATCAAGGTCGTCGGCGACGCTGTCCACAGTGAGCACCACAGTTCCGGAACGCACAGGGTTATCTGCCGCAAAGCACGTGGGTGCTCCCATCCAAAGTCGACTGCAAAACACGTCCCCAGTGGTGACATTGTTTCCGCGGGCTTCCAAGGCCACGGTGCCAGCCACCTGGGCGCATCGTAGACTACCCGTCGACGATAATCATCGCACTCGTGTTCGATCGCATCCGCATGAATGGTTGCTGCTTCTGCTGCTGCTGCTTCTGCTGCTTCTGCTGCTGCTGCTGCTGCGTTCGGCTCGTTTGCTGTTCGATGAGGTGATCGATCCCGAATCGCTAATGACCTGCACACCTGGGAGGAAAGCGCAAGTGCACCACGATCGGATGCTACCACTGCCTCAGTCTGAGAGGTTACAAGTTCATCCAGCCAAGGATGAATCGGGAACAAGTCAGTCGACGCTGTGGTAGGCAGCTGAATCCAGACACGTCCAGGCAACAAGAATGCCGATGAATCGGATGCTGCTGTTGACGTTGACTTTGACTGGTGTCCTCGATATCGAGGCAGATGCCGCTGGTGGCTGGTGGCGGCTTTTGGGCGTCGCTGCTGACGCCAGCCTGCCACCTCCTGGACGGTAGCTCGACGAGCGCCTGGCACACCAGCACGGGTGCAGTCTTTCGCGTTGGCATTGGCGGCAGCGGCGGTACTGTCGACTTGGAGCTCCTCCAGCAGCGCCATAGGAGGCGGCTCGAACGCCTCCGGCAACGCCAGCGATACCCAGTGTGCTGGTTGCCAGCAGCAGCTCGTGGGGATGCTCGTATCCTCAGCGCTGTCCGAGGCATTCCGGGCAGGGTGCTGGTGCTGGTGCTGGTGCTGGTGCTGGTCGTGAAGATTCGTTTCGCTTTCGGGAGCGCCACCTAGTGTCGCTCTTGTTGCCAAACGCTTCCTCGAGGGATCCGTTGGTGCACTTGGTGCTCCAGTCGTTGACGCTACTGCTTTTGCTGCGGATAGCGCACACTCGAGATCAAACAGTGCATCCATCCGACAGCTGCGATACACTTGACCAGGCCAGAGCAGTGTCGCTCGATCCACGAAAACAGGTTCGATCGATGCATTCCGTATTTGCCAGGGTGCATGGAGCGTCACCAACACAAGAGGCACGCTCACCGCCTCGTTACTCGTTGGTACACGACGAATGACCTGGGCAGTGAGCAGCGCACCCCAGATGGGGTCCGGCTCCGGATTCAGGTGCCTCGCAGAGCGCGTTCGCGGACGACGACTCGGTATCGGAGACGGTGCCAATGGACCCAACCAGAGCACTCGGGATTCGTCGTCGCGAACATTCTGGGCAAGGTCCACGAACCAGGACCACAAGTACGAGGCAGGATGCACACTCGCAACTGCAGATGCATTGCTGACGCCGTGTTCACCGGTTCGGCACACATTCGGAGCAGTCACTTGGGGGCAGGCATCGTGTTCACTGCATTGCACTTGTCGTGGTTGTTGCGCTTCACACCCGAGCATGGACGGTGCAGGTAACCTGGTGCTGCTTGCATCCACGTCTGGTACCATCGCGTCATCGTCCAGTTCCGTGCAGAGCTGCCAGACACAGGGTGTTGGTGCAAACAACGAGGCTGCTCGGATATTGGTACGCGAAGCGAAACTCGATGCTCCATTCTGGACGGCTGTTGGATTCGCAGTCGCTTCGAAACGAGCTATACAGCACGGAGTGTTACGCACGTTCGAAGTGGTGTCATGCGTCCACAGTGACAAGCAGAGTGGCGTCTGATTCTCCCAGTACAGGGGCGACTCGAAGCGGCAGAGCCACTGGGGATCTGGTGTTGCTGCTGTTTGACCAGTGGCTGTTACCTTTTCAGAAACAACGCTTTTGCGTCGATACAGAACAACCACCAGCACCAAACAGGGCCACTGCAAGGCTTGTATCGCCACGAGCTCGAGCGCAGCGTCAGGCGCGACCCAGCTGAGGGCCTCGCTTCGCGATACACCTCCAGAGCGATTATCCAATGGTGCATCCAATGATGATGATGATGATGATGATGTCAGAAACCGTCGCCACTCGGAGAGACGCAGCACCTGCGGATTCTGGTCCAAAGCGTGAACCGCAATGTCTTGATAGAACGATGCTCGGGGAACGTATCGCATCTCGTCGACAGCGAGCGTACCGTACGCGCTCAGGTGCAGCGGCAAGCCACTAGCATTGACAAGAGCGAGCGTACCACACTGAGGGCGAACTGGTACCACCAGTGCGGCGCGCTCTGGCCTGCCTGCCTGTATTTGCAGCGTTCGCTCCACAGCAGCAGCGATTCGAGGCGTAATGTTCAAGCACAAGGCGTCGGTGCTGCTCAGGCGCAGCAGTGTCTGGCGGGCGGGCAGCGTAGACGCCTCGTGTGACCCACAACAGGCATCAGCAGCAATGCCGTTGCTGTTGTCGTTGTCGTTGTCGTTGTCGTTGTTCACAGCAGCTGTCTGTCGTTCTAGTTGCTGCAATTGCAGTTGCAATCGTGCCGGCTCCAGAACGAGCTCATCAGTGAGGAACGCTCGGCAGGAGCCCTGCACCTGGAGCCAAAGCGCTGTCCATGGAATGACATGTTGCAGGACGCGAACTGAGAGGTTATCGATTTGCAGCGACCACTGCAAGCTGCTTGTCGCGTATGCACCAGCGCTAGCACCAGCACCAGCACCAGCATCGACAGGAATAGAAACAGCTGCTCCGGCAACGTGCATGGTAAGGGTAACAAGGCGGCCGTCGACTTGATACCATCGAGGCTCACTGAGCGCGCAGGGTGCTTCATCTGACGTCGATAACGACGACAAAGAAGACGATGATGATCCAGAGGAGAACGAGTTGCGGTGCTGGCCGACTGAGGATGATGCACGACGACGCCACCAATCGTTGTTCCAGTGTATATCCAGTGTCGACCAAGAGAGGCGCTTCTCAACATGCGGATACGCACAGTTTCGAACTAGGCACTGTTGCAGATGAAGCGCACAGCCACGCAGCCACAACGCGGAAGCCGCGAGTCCCCCAGCTGGAGTCGACAGAGGCCTCGAATCCGCAGCGCGAACATCAAACGCTGAGAAGCGATCATCATCATCATCATCATCATCATCATCTGTGCCGTTTTTGTCTGCTTGACTCGATAAAGCGCTGATCGAGTCGTGCTGCCCTGTGCTTGCATCTCGATACCTCGTCTGGCAATGGTAGTGCCGGTGATTCATCGGGGGTATTTGCGGCCTGCTTCGCCAGCGTCCCTGCTCATCGATGTAGCTCGCTAGACTGGAAGCCGTTGCTACCAGTGAGGCCACCACGAGATCACGCGGATACGCCTGTTCGTAGCCGGGGACGCGGTACCACTTGGGACGATCCCAGAATACAGCCTTACCGCTGAAGCAGAGCCCGACAACCAGCGTTCGATCAGCGGTACGACGCTCGACATCAATGCTTGCTTCTGATCCAGAGGATGTGCTCGTACTACTACTGTTGTCGCTACTGTTGTCTTGCGTCTGGTCGTCAAGGTTGAGCGGGATGAGAAGCAGCGAGGGTGCAGCACCTGCCTCGAGGTGCAGTTGCCAGCTGATGGCCCCCGCTTCATGAGTGATCGCAACATCGCCCTCGCGTGATGACTCCGGGGCGGCAACCGCGTCACTAGAAACCGACTGCTGATGCTGTTGCTGGTGTACCTCGTTCGTCTCGTCGATGGACGATTTGGAATCGCTCGTGTCGTTCGGATCTTGAACCGTGGGGATGGGCGCTCTTATCTCTGCAGCTGACGCTGTCGAATCATCGGTGCCATCTGCTGCACGAAACTCCTGCCAGATGCGCTTCAACAGGGCGAGTTCGAGAAAAACGCGCGCATCTTGGAGTCGAATCTGCACTCGAGCCTGAGTTGATGCCTCAGTTGCAGCGCTCGTGTCGTTCCAGTACCGGACTCGAAGGCAGGGCAACATCACCAATTCACCCTGAGCACCGAGGTAGTGACTGCGCTCTGTGCGGAGGCGCACCGCTTGTGCTTGGAACCGAAGCGCTTCAGAGCGTCCACAATACCGATACTGGAGCGTTAACTTGGAGGCAGCGAGATCAGCGAGAGCCAGTTCATCGATGCTCGCTGGATGATCCTGTTGGTCCAGATACTGACCTGGATTACGCAACGATGACGATGACGGTGCTTGTTCGCCTGGTGTTCTGCTTGCGGATGCGTCGGTTTTGCTAGTGTGGTGTTGCGGCCACAAGGTGAAGAAGAAACGCTCCAGGTGCAACTGGGTGCTGCCCTGGGGTACGCCCGCGACTGTGCTGTTTGCGGCTTGTGCATTACGGGCGACGGATGCTCCGCCACCGTCTTCGGTGAACGTCATCGTCATTGCAGGCTCGCTAGCACTCGCACTATGTTGCGTCAGGGTATCCCTAGTGCTACGATATTTCGTAGCGTTCGTGCTAGCGCTCGTGCTTGTCATCACTGGAGGTTTGGAGCTCGGCACCTGACACGTCTCGTATTGCTCCAGCTGATACTGATACACGGCGTCTTCAAGTCGACGGATCCAGTCTAGGACGTCATTCAGGAGCGCAAGGTCGTGGACTGTTCCAAGCGCGTGCACCGTCGGAACCCGAATGAAGGTTGCGGCTTTGTCGCGCTGCCAACAGAGGACCCAGTCGACTTGATTGGTCAGCGCCTTCTCCTTGTCGTTGCTCCCAGTGAGACGCCACAACTGCGACTCTTGGATGCGTAGTCGACAGACGCAATCCATGAGATTGGGAGTTTCGATTTCGCCTACCTCGAGGACAAGCGTTGCTGGTAATGTTGCAGCCTGCATGTGCAACTGAACGTCCTGGATGTGAAGCTCGACGAAGACGACGTACGCATCCTTCTTCGCTGGCGCATGTGGAGGCAGCTTATCTTCAAGCAACGCTGTTGATGCTGGCTGCTTTGTCGCGGTGCGCGCCTCTTGGTCGACGGGGCACTGCTGTCTTGCTGTCGCTGTTTGCCCTGAGCAGGGCGCTGTGTGTCCGTCAGCGCTCCCGATGGTATCAACGAGGTCGTGTGTAGAGCGCTGCATGAGCACATCGTACACGTCGAGGTGCAACAGCCACTCGAGCTGCAACCACATGGACCAGAGCTGACGACATTTGGCCTCGTCCGCGTGGATACGCACCTTGACGATCTGGAGAGCGCATTTCGACGCAGTCGGAGCACCAGCATGCGTCGTCTGTTGCCAGTGACAGGTCAGGGCAGCGGGTCGTAGGTCGTAGGAGCGTCCAGCGTCCTCAGTGGATGATGCATTCGCCGTCCGATGATCAAGAAGCACATCACCGAAACGGAGGAGCGGTTGCGCGGTCTGATTGGTGACTTGACCTCCCTGCACAAAGCACGCGAGGTGTTGGCGGACTGCCTGGAGCTGCTCCCGATCCAGCGATGATGATGATGATGACAGGAACAACGCGTCTACGTCGTCGCATACGAGGTCGATGGCGAAAAGCGATAAGCGCCACGTTTTTTCATCTGCTGGGGTGATCACGGGTGCGTTCGCTGCCTGAGCGGCAGCCTCAGCTCGGCGGATGTGATCCTCGACGAGTGTTTGGAGCCGGAGCCAGCTGCTCGCCGGTATCGTGGTGCACAAGGGCGCACACCAGGTGATCCAAAGCTGGAGCATTTGCACGATTTGCGCACAGATACCAGACGGGTGCCATTCCAGAGCGAGACACCCGACGCGAACGATGCCCATAGAAGAAACGGCATCTGTTTGCACACCGGAAGCGAGCACAGATGAAGCTTCTCGTCTGATGAGCGGTAACTGTGCTGTGAGGTCACTGAGCTGCACGAGCAGACAGCGCTGCGCTAGCTCGAGCGCCAAGGTTTCGGCTTCGAACACCAGACAAGCTCCGGGCGAGGCCAATGCCAGCCGCTTTCGTACCTGCAACCGCATGCGAGAAGCTTTGAGAATGCACGCTCCGGCTGCTGCGGTACCGTCGAATCCTGCCCAGTCGATGACCAAGTGCAGACGCTGACACTGCACATCCGAACTGCCGTCCAACGATGTATCCACAGGTGGCTGCTCGGTACTCGCTGCGGACACCCAGGGGGTGCGCATGATGCGCAACAGGCTCTCTTGAGCTTGGTATACGTATCGGAGTATTGCAACCGGCACTAGACGCACCGACACCTGGGACAGGATGACCATAGGTATGCGGGCGTGCGGATCGCGAGCACCATCAACAGCGACTAGTTGTGAACGCGAGTGCCCTGCCCAGTACCAAGCAGTCAGCAAAAATGGCTCTTCGGAAGCGAACAGTGTCATTTCCGTGGGGGCGCTCGCGTCCAGCTGCTCGATCGGCAGCGTAGTGCAGCAAGCAGACCAGTGACCGGTGCCAGTATGCACTTGTAGACCTGCCAGACAGGGCGCTGCTTGCTCCTCTCGATGATGTGACTTCAATGGAGCGGCTGCTTGCGGTCGCTCCTGCTCTCGATAAACCCGACAGGCAACCGCGATGGCATCCTGGCCGGTTGCAGTTGCGTTGGCGATGCTAGCGCTGTCGAGTGCAAGCGCGTCAACGGGATCGACCCAGGGCACCCGGATTCCGTGCAACTCGAGTGAGAGCCTCCCAGACGTCTCATGGATCAGCTCAACGTGCAGTCTATCTACCTCGACAACCGCGACTATGCGAGTTCGTTTCGGGAACGCCGCGTGCTCGCCTCGCGTTGCAGCGGCTGCGGCTGCAGGTTGCGTATCCGACACAGAGAAGCGTTGAACTGAGGCGCTTAGCTGGGGTTCCATCACCACGTTTCCCGCGTTGCTGTTGCTAACGTTTCTGTCGTTCGTGTTGCCTTGATGGCGATGCAGAAGCAGCGCATCACTTAGCTGCAGGTCTATAGCGGCAATCGCAGCGCTCAGCTGCTGGCAAACGAAAGCGTCAGCCGTATTTTCCGCTAGTATTGCGCGTGTTCTCGCTGTCTCGGGAGCCGAGAGCACCCAGGACCCCGCTGTAGTCAACGTCGACGGCTCGGGAGCGTCCTCCTGGGTACCGGAGAGCATGCCCGAAAGCCAGTGCAAACGCAATGCTACCAGCTGTGTGCTGGTCGGGCGAAGCGTCAACCGGAGGGATGCCAGCGGAGTGCTCGTTTTGCTACTCGAGGCGGTTGCCACTTGCAGATCGTTCACTGCTGGCCTTGTGCTGGGATGCAGCTCGAGCGTCAACGATGCAAGTGTCAGGCATGCTGTGGTCAGTTTGTTTCTCCAAAATTGCAGCTCAACATTCCACGTTTCCGTACGCAAACCAATAGAAAGCGGTGGCCAATCGTTCAGCAGCGAGACGTACTCGGTAAGCCACTTCGTGTCGATCTGGAGTGCTTCCAGCTGTCCAGCACAGGCGACTTGGAGCGCTCTGTGTTCGAATGCTCGCCAGAAAGGCACCCAAGGCACGGAGAGATTCGCTTTCGCTTCCGTTGTTTCAGGGCTGATGCAGTAGTTACCATGCAATGCTGCTTCTCCTGCTTCTGCTTCCGCTGATGGCGTTGCGGTGCCTTGGCGTTGGGGTTGTGCAGCGAGCAGCGCCGCTAGCGGCCGCAGACCACCAGGGATACGGATCTGCAACGGTGATATCTGGAACCATATTCGGATGATGTTGCCAGCATAGGCGTTCATTAAGAGCATAACTCGGAGGTAGAGAGGTTTCACTACGATCTGATCTTTCCAGCGCAATGCCAAGGCGTCCAGATGGAGGCACTTGCATATCGTACCATCGAGGCGGAGCCAGTGAAGAAACTGTTCGGGTGATGGCGCCTTATCTTCCAGTTTCATGGCGTCGAGAAACCGAATGGCCTCGCTCTCGTTCGCGGGACTAAAGAGCATCAAGCGTTCCCATGTGATCCAAAAGGCACCAGCATCCAATGTTGGATCTGTTTTCGCTCTCTGTTCACCGGACGTGTCAAGCAACCCCGGCAAGTGGATAGATACGGTGCAATGCGTTACGTCGATTCGAAAGCTGCAAGCGTAGACACCTAGCCGCTCCAGCAAGTACCAGGCAATGGAGGCAGCTGCCCGCTGAGAGGAACGTCCCGTGGCACGCTGCTGAGCCGCTCTCAACGCAGACGAAGCCGTTTCAGCGTCTGGGTGCCTTGGCGTGCTTTCCCCAGTTTGCTCGGAGTTTGGAGCGTATCCAGCATTCGATGCAGTGCAGTGCGTTGTGCCCGTTTCACTGCTTGAGGCAGTCTCGACAGATGTGCGTTCGTACCGGAGCTCCAGGAATACCTCATCCAGCACCAACGCAAAGCTCTTTCGCCAAGAATGAAGCCACGGAAGCGACAGCGTGATCTGACCTATCTGGCCACCGCTTAGTTCCAGACGTCCCGTAGTGACACCCGTGTTCGCCGGGTACAGGGTTTGCGGCAGCAGCGTCGCTCGGTGCAAGTTGAGGAAGCCGCGTCTCAGACTCCACGCAACTTGCTCCGGTGCCAACTGTTCAAGGTACTGGTTCAGCCATTTTTGCAAGGTGCGCACGATGAAGCCTTCTCGCATAGCCAAGCAGCGTTACTGGGCCAACTGATGCCTCAACTGCACACCAAGCAGCCCAGTGGTGTGGCACCAGGGTTGAGCGCAGGGGCTCGAATCTCGTGCTCTGTTCAGTGTTCCGTTTTTTGAATCGCAGAGCGCCGCAGCAGGTACGGCAGTGGAACGTTCTGCCCTGTTGCTGGGTGCATACCAGGAGCAAGCGTTTGGTAGTGACAGCACTTCCTGTTGCTGTCGTTCGTGGTGGTCAGTGGAGGTGTCTCAGTACCCGGATGAAGAAGCGTGGATACCTGGAGGTCATGGTTGTTTCGGGCCGGTTTCGGTGTGTTATCGAGGCTTGTTGACGTTAGGTGCTGGTGACGATGTGGCGCGTCGGCAACGATCCACACGAACACGCGTCAGAACAGAACGGGAAGCGTCCGCTTCTGTAACTCGAGCGTAAACGCTAGAGTTTGGGACAATGCCCAATATCACTCGTACAGCGTTTGGGGGTTCTATCTGTAAAGGATTCCTTTTTATCCACCTAATCGATGACTTGAAACACGCAGGTCTGTCTCGTCTGTCCATTTTCATTGTCAGCAGTTGAAGCATATCGATGACGGTGTTCATGATCCGATTGTGCTGCTCCTGGATATTGTCGACGCATTTGATGCACAGGCAAATGTTGCGGTCGACGCTTCGCTTGTTCGTTGCATCTTTTTCGTGGACAGCTCCAATGCATCATTCATTCGCATGGGTGACTCTTGACCGTGGTCGAGTGCTCCCAGATATCTGCCATACCTCTGCCTCCGAGTGCTGCTGTATAATGCATGCACGCTAGCTTTATCACTCATTTCATGTCCTGGATAGGTAAACAAGTCTTCACGCTATCGCATCCTCCGTTTTCGCGCGCGGTTCAGTACCTAATGTCGACATGCTTCTTCCGAGCGATAACGATTGGGGATTACGCTGTCCATTGCACACCTAAGTGCAAGGGATTCCATCCGATATTGGATTTGCACCGTGCAATGTAGTCCATGATGAAACAAGTACTGAAAGCAAAATCCAGACTGAACAACAACAACAACAACAACAACAACAAGTCGAGGATTTTCGCTCCATCTACGTGCCATTCGTACAACGCGGTGATGTAGGCTGCATTGGAGGCAATCACTGCGATACTTCAAGTTCGAGTCCGAAACCCCTTTCGATGCAGGTAGAAGTGTCGGGCGCCGCTGCGAACAAATCCCCCGGAAGGTATCAAGCCGCTGACGAGTGACGTTTCATCGATGGCTACAAAAACAGGATGATTTCGTTTTCGAAACGAGGTTGATTATTCGGCGTCATAGATGATACGAGCTTTGGACTTGAGCTTCAGGAGAAATCGTCAAGGCCTGATGTCGAGTAGTTTTTGCATCATATATCCATCGGTACGAATTCATGTACACACGACTTGTTTTGAAGCATAAAGATCGAAATCTCGAAGATTGCGAGATTCAAGCACCCGACATGTAAGTAATGAGGAAGCGTGGGGACCCCCACGAATGCATGGGATAATGATATCGGTTATGTTCAGGAACACGTGTTCGTGGGCATCGCGCTGGATCTCGATCCCTGGAACGAAACAAATTCCAGCTGCGGAGAATCGGCGGAACCTCGTTGGAAAAGACACTCGAATATCCGGAATACAACGTATACATTCCCAAGCCCATGTTGCCGCGCTTTACCTGTCGTGAATGTTCTTCTGAAGTTCGTTCGGAATCACGTGGAACGACAGGAAGAGAGTGAGTGGCAGAAAACGCTGGTTACGCTGACTAGGGTACAGCAGGCGTCTTGGTAAGCGCGTTTGAGCACGTTGTGTCGAGTGCATACCGGTTCTTTTAAAGTTTGCGAAATATCGACTGTGTTTTTCTGAAGTTCTGGCGTCACTCGACACTGGCGGTGCGATGTGTAGGACGAGCAACGCGCTCTCACGCAGAAATCGACATGCTTTACATGTTTCCGGTAGGGGGCTTATGACCAAGCAGAGACGTATTACCGAACTGTGTTTTCGTTGCAGAAATCGATACAACGATAGATCTGGCAAGCTGGGCTGTTCGCGAAACGTGCTATCGGTTACATGTAAACGGTAGCCACGAGCAACTTTCTGCAAGTGCCGGAGATTCTCGTAAGCTTGCAACGGCTACCGCACCCTAGATCGTACACGAAAACTGCGTGACGTGGAGTGCGTTCACGTTCACGGAAGTTATTGTTCGCGATGGAGGGGTGCTTTGGAGGCACGTTTCCGAACGTGGCTCGTATCTGTGAAGGTGTCTGCTATGCGTTTACAAAATGACGCTGCAATGGGCATTGGCTCACGCGGTTTGCGATAGAATGGGGCGGGGACTCGTCACCGTGCCCCGCCTTTGGCGTGCAGCACGTCTTGCCTCACAGAACGGACGCCCCCGGGGGCGCGGCGGGTCGCAACCCGCTAGACCGTACACTGCTCTGGGATATCATGAAGCCGTGCTTTCTGCCGAACGTTTCTACACACGCTGCGCTGCGCTGCGCCGCACCGCGCCACCGAAAACGTCTTCCTCAGACTCGAAGTCGACAAGGCCACAACGAAGCCGTTTAGCTCTGAGCCTTGCTCGAAGAAAGCCTGACCCGTTCCGTACAATACTAAAGTCGCTTGCCCATGCACACTCCGGGGAACGCAAGGCAAGTCTGGACGCACCTCCTCGAGCCGCGATCTCTGCCCACAGTGGTCCATGCGGCAGACTCGCGAAAACTGCGCGAGGCATCTCGGGAAGAATCGCTCAAACTTGTTGTTGCTTGGAGTGCTCAGGATGCGCGCAGCTGCATTTCGGATCCCCACTCCTGAGCGGAAACGGCACATGTGTCTTCGAGCATGTTGAAGGCGACTTGCTCGCATCTCAGCGCAAAAGTGTGGAGTCCGGTGTTCCACCAATGTATGCAGGCACTAATTGAGGCAGGCGAGTGCTCGGAAACGCTACGTCGATTGCAAACACTGCAAGCAGAGCGTGATCGGAGCACCTCGATATGCATCACGAGCACAAGGCCTTGCGGCGATGAGCGGCATTTCTCGCGGCAGCATCAACTTGACCGCCACGGTGCAGGGATGCCCTTCATGGACGCACGGCTGTGTACAAGCAGCGTGTTGGCTCTGAATGAGAGCCACTAGAACGCAGGTGCACCCCGAATCACTGAGTGCGCAACGGCAAGCACAGTTCGTCTCCAGCAAGTACGCTGATGCAATGTGCGAGAGCGCGCAGCCTGGTCTTCACAGCGCTGTGAGAACTGTAGATGTGGCTTTCCAGGTTTCGCTGCTGGTCGAAAGACGCGCTCATGTGGGCTCGTTCACAGGGGTCAAGGCTCGTTCACGAGGCGATGAGTCGGACTTGGACGATTCGGCACCGGGTTTTCCGTCCCGTAGCCTTGAAATCGTGCTTTCCATGACGCTTTTGATCGCAGCTGTTGATTTGTAAAGCCAGGTCGCTTGTGTACTAGCGATCAAGAGCATAGTCATGCATATGGACGTCGTTGCCGCGGCTCCATCGCACCGCAAGCGCAAGCACTATGGTGCAATACGCGGCACGTACTGCTGCCTGCTATCCAGTAGATAATCAAAGCACGGGGTAGAGTGAGATCAGCGTTATGGACTGTGGAGCGGAGCAACCGGATCCGCGTAGGGTAGATCAGCGAACGTACACACTTGGAAGTAGTCGTGTGCGATCGAGCTATTCAGCATCAAACTGACCCTGCACGCCTAAAGGATGTGTGCAGTGCCTTGTTGCAGCAACAGACAGTATTCAGCACCAAAGATTCTCAGGGGGTTCCAATCAGAGTTCACTACCGCACGCTCAGATCCGAAGGCACGTAGCACCCGAAAACCCCTTGAGACGTAGACTGGAGGTAGAGTGCCTTGTTCCTAAAACAGACAGCATTCAGCACCCTCCAAGTTCTAAGGGTTTCATTCTGATATTCAGTACCTCGTTACCACATCAGTCCGCTTTCCGTACCAGTCGATTCAGGAATGAAAGACCACAAGTTTCGTATCTCAATCCCGCTTCAGAATGCACCCTGCACTGCTTGCAGGCAAGAAGCAGCGACACCGCCGCGCATCTTCGCTTCAGACGTGGCAGCAGCGTTGGCGTTCTCGTGAACGGCGCATAGGATAGACGTTTCGTCTGCTTCATTTCGGACCTAGACCATGTTTCTGTGGTTTAGTGCTCCCTTATTTACAAGAAGCAATACGGGCACGCGGTGGATACCTGTAGGCAAACACCCGCTCGCCTGGGAACAGGCACGAGTGTGGCGTTGTCTTCACGAGCCGGCTGTGTTGGCGCTCCGCGGCCAGGACGCTGCCGCAATGTCGAAGAAACGAGTCAGCAGCGCTTCGATGGAGCCGTTCAACGTTGAATCGCTCGTCCGGGACGAACTTCAGCGTATGGAACCCTACGCGCCGATCCTACCGTACGAAGTACTCGCGCGACAGCTCGGACGCGATCCGAGTGAAATCATCAAACTGGACGCGAACGAGAATCCTTATGGCGTTTGTCCCGCCGTGCGAAACGCAGTGGCGGCTGCACCTTTCCCGCATATTTACCCGGATCCCGAGTCACGAGAGCTGCGCGAGGCGCTGGCGGCGTTCACGGGCGTACCTGCCTCGCGACTCCTTGTGGGCCACGGTGCCGACGAGCTCATTGACCTTATTTTTCGACTCGTGATCCGAGCGAATCATCAGGATACTGTAGTGAACGCTCCACCTACGTTCGGTATGTACCAGTTCGATGCGGACTTGAACGCAGCCAAAGTGGTTTCGGTATGGCGAAAAGCTGACGATGGCTTTCGCTTCCCAACCGAGCAGGTGGAGGCGTACTTTGCAGAAATCGCTGCTGCACGAGAGCGAGGCGTAGACCAGTCCTACCCCAGGATTGTCTTCGTGACTTGCCCCAACAACCCCGATGGCTCCCGAATATCGGATAGCGATCTGCGACGACTTTTACGCCTACCAACCCTGGTGGTGCTCGACGAAGCCTATATTGAGTTTGCGGATAGCGAGGAGGAGCGTTACCCAGATGCATCGGGCGGCAGCGAGACGCGTGCAACGGTTACAGAGCCACCCACACGGATTCGCTGGGTTCTTGAATACCAGAATCTCATCGTTTTACGAACGTTTTCCAAATGGGCCGCCCTAGCCGGCCTGCGGGTAGGTTATGGTGCTTTCCCGGAAGCGCTTCTGCCGCATCTCTGGAAAATCAAACAGCCCTACAACGTCAATGTGGCTGGGCAGGTTGCCGCCCTGGAAGCGCTATGTCAACGAGATCTCCTGTTCCAGCAAGTTTCATGGATGAAAGCGGAACGCCAACGCCTTTACCAAATCCTTCAGGCACCGCAGTTCGCGTGGTTGCATCCATACCCATCACAGAGCAACTTTGTGCTCTGTCGAGTGCGTTCTGATGATGCGCTCTGTAATGGATCCCGAAGAAAGGTTGCCTCTGCCCGGGCCCTGCGTGATTTTCTGCGAGATCGCGGTATTCTCATTCGTTACTATGATTCGAAAGGTCTGACAGACTGTATACGAATTTCCATGGGGACACCCGCCCAGATGGATCGCCTCTACGAGGTGTTGGAAGCGTACGCTCGTGTTCTCGGATATGGAAATGAAAGATAATCGGAAAAGCGACCTGGTTGCTTTTGCTTCGTGCTCACCGAGAATGCCAGTAAGGCGTTCGCGGAGCCTTTGCCAGCGAGTCATTCCGCGAATTCCAGCAGTAAACCTGTTGCTTGAGGCAAGAGCTTGTGAGCCGTACCCATGTTGCATGCATATGTGAAGGGTGTGGTGCTTGCTTGTAGGTATCTGGTACTTCCAACCGAAATGGACTCGAGGTTGAAGCATCGTCGACATGTACACGCAACGCTGCATGGAGCACTTGTTCAGTGTCCAGCAGAGACTCGGACAAGAACATTGTCGGGACTCGAGGGCGTCGCACGAGCAAAGCTCAACATGGCCCTGTACTCGATATCGGGGCATTTCCGGTTCTCTGAAGCATGCCCGGGTCTACTGGGCGTCGTCTTGAACAAAATGAAAATATGTTGCAGGCCCAGCTGATCAGAATGATTCCCAGTGAGCACGGTTGCCTTCACCCGCAGTGGCGATCTTCCCAGAATGGGAGCAGGAACCGTTTCTCGTTTGGCGCCCAGCTCAGCGTCTGCGTCGATCCGACAACCACATCATTGTCGAGTAAATCAGAGAAATCTGTAGCGATGTTCGCATTCCAAGTTTAGCGAGTTTGCAAGGCACAGCGCTCCGAAACGGGCACGAACACAATCGAGAGGTTGTTCGAATATGCCAGGTAACTTTTCTGATACACTGTATTTCCGCGAACGGATGAGCTTCCTCGTATTTCCTCATACTTGATTCATAACTTGACGCGAGCGCGTATTGCAAATAAACGTCTATTCGCTCAAGTCGGAAGGTCGGGGCATTGCGAAAGCATTAGAAAACTGTCAGCACTGGAATCAAAGTGTGCCTCAACGCTGCTTCATGCGTAATCGACATCACCAAGAGTTTCTCGCTCATTTTCAGCACGCGACAGCGTTAGGCAATGTTGCGCATACGCCACCAAACCACGAGTTTTCTACTTTGCTCCAGCGTATGCGAATGGCTTCTGAAGCAGCATTCATTGCCGGTCGCAAAGCGTGGTCTTCACTTTCATGGTCTGAATGCCCGCTGATGTAGACACAGGTACGGTTTCGACCACGCTCCAGCGCATTGAGTACCGTCGGAAACAGGCAACATGCGGGCCCTCGAGTCGAAACACGCGCTTGCTGAACGCAGATGCACGAGTCGAAGCGCAGTTACTTCTGCGATACTGCTTTCATCGCTGCAGAGTTCGTGATCGTAACAGACGCGGCTGTAACTCGTCATGTTCATAAAAAGTTCGTGTTATGCTAAAGAGTTCTTCATCAAGAGATCGATCTCAAATGAAATTACTCAGGTGTGGAGACGTGTTTCGGACAGAGTAGCGAATCCTGCGGAATGTTCACGGGGTTGGATCCCAACGCCATGCTCGACTGCGTATATGGGTCACGAAACGTGTGTTCCATGGAGCGTCGAATACAACAGCACTACCAACGATATGGACTCGATTGCTCTTTTGAAACAATGGACTTTACAGAATCCACGTCTGCTCCTTTGCAGATCATTTCGATATAACCACAACCGCGATTCATCCAACAAGTATTATTATGCGCGATATGGACTCGAATGCTCTCTTGAAACACTGAACACGATGGACCGCAGCGTATGCTAAGCGCTTGACCACGTGATCCACAGCGCAACACTTATTCGTTGACCCAGCGTTCTTGCGTCCGTTGTTGTGCTGCGGGACGCTTCTGCTCAGAAAACAACGAAACACATCATAGTTGTTTTTTGTTTTAAAAGAGTCGGGTTATAGTGAAGCAAATGGCCACAGGCACGACAGGCGCAAGAGTGCTCTCCATGGCCTCCATTCTGCGTCACAGAGCGTCGTTACCAACGCGAGCGATCGCTCGGGTGCTGCTCGAAGCCGACGGAGGTCCGATCGAGCACAACGCGCTGTGGAAGCTCGCCCGACGAGTGAAGCGTCTGGAAACGAAGGGTAACCCGGTTCACGCTACCCAAGACTCAGCGGCAACTGTCGAGGCGTCACCGGCACTCGCGGACAACGTGCGCACGACGACTCCTGCAACGCCGGTGCTCCGCAGTAAGACGCACTTTAAGAAAGTACTTTATCAGATGAAGCGCATGCAGACTGTGGAAGTGCGTGCCGAACCTTTGACGGAAGCAAGGGAGTCAACAACTCGTCGTCAATTTCTTGTTCGGCTGACTGACAAGGGCCTTCGAAAGTACACGCAAGAACTCGATACCTTATACAAGAACCAAATCCTAGAGTAAGCTACGTCGCTGGAATACCACTCGAGCCTGGTGATACAGCGGTTTTGTAGATTCGGTGCGCCCTATGAACCCTGGGCGGCAGATCAGTTGACAGCCTCGTATCTATGCTGCATTTCGAGCGCAAGAAAAACAATGCCCTGGGGTATCGCGGGCAAGCACCAATTCAGCAACCGAGCGAAGGGTTTCCTAACAAGCTCCACAATCGATGAAACGAAAGCGTTTGAGAAACAACCGGTCAGATGGGATGCAGTGGCAGTGGCAGCAGGGCGAATGCCTGGCATTATGATCGCAAGTCTCGCATCGAAGCCTCTCGATGTAAGCCAGCCAATCAACTATCATGATCATCTCCAACCTATTTACCAACGGTTGCTGTGGATGCTGCACCCGTATGGCGTTGATGGAAAAGCAGGCGAAGGAGTGCTCTGGTTAGCAGATGTGGGTCGTGACCTGGAGGTTTGCTGGTGGAAAGCATCGCACCCGAGGCCGCAGACTCCTCGCTCGGCGCCCGTAAGCGATCCACTTGAAAGGATACACCTGAGTGCGCTTCTATGATTAGTGATTCAGTCGCTGCTGCTGCTGCTGCTGATGATGATGATGATGACGAAGACGACGACGGCAACAACGAGACGAGTACAGGGTGCGTCTGTGATGATTTTGTTGCAACGGAAACCTCTCGATGCTGGGGCTCAACGAGCGACGCCTCTACGGCATGCGACTGAACCTGGGAGACGTCGATGAGCACCTGCAGGGGTATCCTTGACGCGGGTTGTTCAAACTCGGATTCCTCAGCATCCAGGATGGCTCGCAGCGCATCCACATGAGCCCAAACATCCATCCCGTCCGTCTCTCCTGGTTCTGTCCACAAATTACAGACATAGATTGGACGTTTGGGTGATCTGGGATCTACGCTACTCCACTTTCGAATAGCGTCTCGAATTGGCGTGATCGCCGCAACGGCTGCAATGCTGGTAAATAACGAGCCAGGTCCCAGAATGATCGCATCCGCAGTACGAATGGCCTCGAGGGCCTCTGGGCAGGCGCTTGGCTCGCCTCGGGTGTCGTCATTCGTCGATGCAGTGGTACCATTGGCGGCTGCAGTGCGCTCCACGTGCACTTGGAACAAACGCCCTGGAGAGCGCGCAAAGTTGCTTTCTCCGCGAATGGTTTCGCAAACAGGCTTGGATCCGCTGTGTCTAGGATTAGAGCCCGGCGAAGACGCTTTGGATCCCACCAGCTCAAGCAGATCATCGGATGCAGGCCATATGCGACAGCGCTCGACGGGAATCCCCAGCAGGTGGCAGAAAGCCTGCACAGCACGCGAGCAACGCCGTCCGCAACTTTCGTAGAGCGCAGCCAACACCAAGTTCCCGAGTGCATGGCCAGTCAAGGCCTGCTCGCCGTTTGTTTCGACCCTGATGGAACCGGTGCCCAGGCGATGGCCCAGCAAACGCCACCAGGCGATATCCTCCGCAGTCGACGATGCGTTTGCATCAGCCGCAGAATCGTAACGCTCGCTACCACTTACCTCAGCGTTACATCGTGCGCTGAGCGCTAGTGCCGAGCAGACTCCTTCCAATGCATTGCGAATATCACCCATAGCAGGCATACCGAGCTCAGCGCGAATGCGACCAGTGCTACCGCCGTCATCCGAGGTGCAGATCACCGCTGTAATATCCAACGGCATATGGACTTGCGACCAGTACACGAGACCATGGAGAAGGCGATGCATTCCTGTACCGCCGCCCAGGAGGACCAGACGTGGTGGTTTTCGTGTCGCTCCTGCATGATCCATTTGACATAGCAGAGCGCTGCCTATGCTGCGACGATATCGAGCTTTCCGCGGAGAACGCAGTGACGTATGCGTCCGCGTAGATAGCCTCCCCCTTGCGCCTAGTCGCGGCTCGCAGGCAACAGAAGCTCCACTGATGGTCCCATGCTTGAGCATCAGCATGGCTGGAGCGTTTCTTCTCCAAACTGTCCATTCCGATACGAAGCAGGGGTTGCAGTGCCGGCGCCTGTGCGGCACTCGCGGAGACTCCAGACGTGGCGAGCGACTCGCGTCACTACCGAACACCGAAACAAGAGCTGTCTGGAAGACGTACGCGCGACCCGTCGCCTCACTGCTTGGTTTCAGGTTCATTTTATGCACAGCAAACTCGTGGAAGCAAACATACCGGTGAGGTTGCGCTGCGTCAACCTGCAACGATCCGGGCGGTGCAAGTGCACCGCGTGCTCTGCTGACCCCGTTGGCACCTTTCTCTCGCCCTGTTCGCACTGATGCGAGCATCTTCGGGTATATGCCTGATCAGGCACACGATATCAGGTACAGCACGGAGATTGCTTCACATGCACACACACACACACAAACTGGAGCCTGCGCACCCGAGGCAAAGCCGACGAACCCACCAGCTAACGCTCCTCGGATAACAACACGTGCTGAAGCGGGCTCGCTCGCTGAGTCTTGCCAACCAATGCGCACGCGATTCTGTTGGAACACCACTCCGCACGGACCAGTCTGGTACGGAATAGTGGACGCTCCCGCGGGTGCCGCTGACAAGCGCCCAGGCGAGGTTCACTGGTTCGCGTAAAAGCGATTCTGCGTCCCGCAAAACAAACCGAAAAGAAAGGACAGAACACCACACTGCTTCAGAAAGAGCCTTCAGTGACGAACCATGCTGGAAGCACGCTCTTCATAATAACTGATGAATCATAAAAAGCGCCTTAAAGCTAACGATACACGGAGACAAACAGGTATGGGGGTCGGACGCTCAGCCGGCGCCCTCGACGGGGGGCCACCACCACCACCACCACCCCCAAAGCCTCCGGTGGTGTGCTCAAAACGCACTCTCTTTCGTGCCAGAGCGCATAACCGGTAGCACCTAAGCGCGTACCCTCCAAGAGATGGTCAAGTTTTCATGAATATTTTGGCTGGGGTACTCTGGGTTCTGGGTTCTGGCTTCAAAGCTCTTCTTTTGTGCAGCGTCTTGGCACTGAGCCTCGCTTTCTGCAGCGCTGCGCTCTATGTTAGCCATCGGATAGCGTTCCCCCCGTGGCACGATCCTCGCCCTGGATCGTCAAGTTTAACCCAAAAGCGGATGCCAGAGGCCTGGGCTGGTTTCACACTTGATCCCTATACCTCGCTGGGTCTCCAGTTTGAGTCGGTCGCGTTCCGGAGTCGCTCTGGCAGATGGCTCCGAGGCTGGTGGGTACCCGCTCCCGTTGAGCCGCCAGCACCCATAGGCGTCGTCTGCGTCCACGGTGGTGGCAGGGACCGACGTGCATTCATGCGGCAGAGCGTACTCTTTCATCGGAGAGGGTGGTCAGTCTTACTTTTTGATTGCACGGGACACGGTACTTCTGATGCACGTCACCGATTTCCTTTGGGTGCTTGGCCAGGAGCGGCTATCACCTACGGAACGCTGGAGTGGAGTGACGTCATTGATGCGCTACGCTACACGTATGAGCGTATACGAGAGCAGGCTCAAAGAAGCGCTGCTGCTTCCTCTGTGCGTATTCGCGTGGCACTCGTGGGCACCAGTCAAGGTGCCGTGAGTGCTGCATACGCCGCTGCCTACCTGACGAGGCGCTTCGAGCAGGGTGACGGCGCAGCTTGTCCACCTGTGGATGTGCTGGTTCTCGAGAATCCGTTCACGAGTCCATTAGCACTGTTTGCCCATCTGGCCAGTCACGTGGCGATGCCAGTGGCTCGCTACGGATCTCGTTGGTGCTTCCTTCGCCATGTGGTCCGTTTTTGGGTCATGACCTGCACCACATTAGCGCTCTTCCGAACGGGAAATGTAGCCTTGACGTGTCGTATGCTGGCAAAAGCATGCGAGCGAGAAGGTCAACCTTACAGGTGTGCGTGGTGGCAAGGCATCGCTACCCTCGGGCAGCTGTTATCGGTATCGTTGTCGTTGTCGTCGTCGTCGTCGTCGTCGTCTCGAGAGACGCCTCCAGCTGGCGGTTTCGATTCTGTGGCGGAGGCAGTTCAGGCGTTGAAGTGCCCAGTTTTCTTTATGCATGGAATGAAAGATTGGATCGTACCGTACAAGCATTCAGTACAGCTCTATAAGGCAGCTAATGAGCCGAAAGAGCTCTGGCTGAGTGCTGAAGCGGGTCACACGATGATGTATCACTGTGAGCCGGATACCTTTGAAACGCGAGTTTGTGGTTTTATGGAGAGGTACTTGAGGGGATCGATGTGAGCGATGCTATCTCTCCAACACCGGTAGGATCACGAGCATCGTACTCTATTTTGTTTTTGACGAGACCACGTCAGCGCTCTTGTGCTGCCAACAGGAGACATATCGCTGCGGATCCTTTGCGAACTCGCTGTCTACAGTAAGGCTGAGGTGTTCAATGCACTGGAGCGTAGCGAAAAGGAGGCGCTATCATTGGATTGTCGCTGGAGCTTGTCGGAAAGAATAATGTGCTTTTCCTGGATCCAGACGAGATTTAGTTGCGCACTTTGCAAGCGACCATTTCGAGTTTGCACTTTTGCCGATGTTCTGAGTCTTCTACGTCCAGCAGCAAAGTTCGAGCAGAGCGCGGGTCGGGTCGGAACGCTAACAGCCCGCACCCTGCCGCACTCGACGAACGAAACTGCGCAGCTGAGGTGCTTTTATGAAAGCACGTCTCCCATAAATAGTTGATGTTGTCGGACGATTGGTAGTCAGCGTTTCTACTCCGATAAAGTGTTGACGTGACACGCGGGGCGCCATAGTACGCGGGGCGCTCGCAAAGACCTCTGTCTTGGCTGGTGCTCGCATGCGATGTTGAGCATCGTGTATGCTTGTTATCCGGAAATTGCCCTTATTACTTGGATCGCCTCGCTTGCACAAAACATAGCGTCAGTCTCCGCACCAACCGATTTCAGGAGACGTGTCTGCACAGCAGCAGGCTCTGGCCGCAGCACGTCGGACACCGTCCCTTGCAAACTGGAAGGCACGCCTTCCGGACTTCGAATGCTAGCCCAGCAACGTCCATTCTGTGTCACTGGAGTTTGGAATAAGCTATATCGCTCCGTTTGGCATCCTTGAACGTGAGAGTAGCCTTGGGACGCTCGGCTTCGTGAGCAATGTCCGCCTCGAGCCTTTGGCACGTGACAAGAAGAAAGCCACTGCAATCAGAGTGCCAACGAAGACAGGTTTACTCTGGAATAGGGCATACCGCTTCCTGTAGTCTCTGAATACAGCCGGTTGCACTTCCTGGTATCGAGTATAAGACTAGTCTGTGCTGAAAACGAGGAATACAAAGCAGCGGGGTACTCGGTTGCAAGGAAACGTTTCTCGCCCAAACGATTCTGCACGTTACATGAGGCTTCGGGTCGAGCACAACGCTGCGCTTCAACGCAACGCGTTGACTCTTTTTCCAGACTTTTGTTGCCGTTCTTGTTGCTGTTGCTGTGCGGCACTTGGGTGTAGGAAAAGTGGACAGTACCCTTCATAGGTACACGCAAGTTCATTTTTCAAACTTCTGACGAGAAGACTCGTAACAAGTTTGGAGTGCGCTGGACTTGTGTGCTGCTGCGGACGGAACGCTACGAGTCGCGCGTAACGCGTTGCCTGCACCGTCGTGTGCTGGAAGTGTTGAACGTGTTGGACGTGTTTGCACCCACAATGACGGATAGACAACTGTACTGGGGGCCAGGGCAAAGTCCCGCGGATGTATCCGTGCAAGTCGTAGCGGTTCGGGAGAACGGCGGAGCCATTAGCGACGATTCCGATGTCGAGTTTGTGGGAGAGTGGCAAACAGAGCCCACGACCGCTGCTGCCTGCTCGCTCATAGAACCCGACACTATGGTGCTAAGCGAGCGACCGAGCACCAGTGGTCCCGATGCGAGGCTGGCGTCAACACAGCTGCAACCTGGCCGACGAAGACGGCGCTCAACAGCGCAGGCTACTGCCATTCGAACGGTGCCTCCAGAACATGGGCCTGGCATGGCACCGGGTGGCAACCGACGACAACGCACCGTATACCAGCGAATCTATCGACGTCTGCGTGAGCTTGCAGGGAATCGTCGCGAAGTGAGCAGCAGCCGACGGAACGATTCTGTGATTGCGCTACCGAGTAGCGCGACATTCCTGGAATCGCTAGAGCCGTTTTTCTCCGGCGAGGGATGGACCTTAGAGACACTCACATCTATACCGCTATCCACTGATGCACTGGATGCGACAGTGGAGCCCACCTGGAGTCCAGCATCAGCGGCTCTCGATGAGCACAACCGCAGCAGCAGCACCAACAACAACAACAACAACAATAACGCAATAGCGCCCTGGAACGCAACCTCGACGCGACGAGTAGTTCGATCGGGTCGAAGCTCTCGGCGAACGTCACGTCAACAGCACTGGGCAGTCGCCATGTTGAACTCATTCCTACAACCGAGCTTCGATTCATTGCCTTCACCACGACCGAACCCGTGCCCCCGAGCGCTGGTAGAATTGCTCCCTCTCCAGACGGCTACTGAGCGTGAAGAGTCGGATGCTTGCCCGATTTGCCTCAGTAATTATGAGCGAGGCGAGCGTTTACGACGTCTACCCTGCCTGCATTTGTTTCACAGAACTTGTATTGACCGTTGGTTTTCCAAACAGAATTCGTGCCCGGTCGACAAAATGAGCGTCGCGGATGGGTTTACGGATGAATGCGCTCAGAGCAAGCTGCAGGCCCTTGGCGTATCCAACGACGAGGCAACTGCCTGCAGCTCGGGTGTGTTTCATCCGGGCGTTGAGGCTCCATCTGACACAGTCGAGGCATTGATGTCACCGCCGAGACGTCGTCAACGAGTTCGACAACGTCGCCTGTCGTGAGCGGATTCGCGACCAGTGCCTTTCGAGCTCTGTGACGCGACCTCAGTATCTAGTTAGTCGATGTGGTTGCCGGGGCGGAATGAAGCGCCCGAGGAGGACCAATCATTCCGCGTTCAGAGCGGGGGCGAAGGAGAAGGATAGGCTGCATACACAGGAGGGATGTTCGAAAGCGGAATTGCAGATCCTTTAGATTGCTCCCGTCTTTTCGTTGACATGAAGGCTCGGGCGGTATGCAGTTGTCAGGGCGTGCACGCTCTTCGCAGCAGCACAGAGGATCTTGGAAACATACGACACCGATGTCACGATGAATTGTGACAGGTCCCCGAACTCGGACGTGCACGCTAGGGTTTTGGTTTCTTCGCACTGTCATCGACACAAGTTATTGCAGAGTTTCTCGAATACTGCTGTATGTTTCTCCCTCTGGTCTTCAGCGACCGATACGCTGGTTTCAGCTGTTCCTCCCGCTCTGTTGTCATTAGTCTGCGGAGGTTGGTGGTAGCGTTAAAGCGGCACTTTCGGAGCTTCCGGCTGCAGTCGACGCATCTCATCTGTAGGTAGTCGTTGCGATCTACGCTTCAATTACCGTTGTCATCTTGTTTCCGGATACGCTCGGTGCGCCCTTGGCAGCGGTCGCACTAGACCGTGTCCAGGTATTCCAATCCGTTCATGACAGCACCGCTGCCGCCGAGACCCGCCGTTTGCCTCATGAACGCTCGCTTTGTCGCACGGGATACATACGTTTTATGAGTACAGATTGCCACCGTCGATAAGCGCCTGCATTTCTGCGCCCGATAGCGTACCCTACGCTCACGGACTTGTACAGGAAGATCCCATCAGAGCGAACTCTGTCCGCTTCGCGTGCAAGCGGATGTTTTTCCATTTGATGTAGGAGCCGTGGAATGCGATGTTGTCCAGGATGGTCCAGGCACCGGAAGCACAATCCAGATCGGAGGCCAAGTCGAAAACTGCGCATCTGTACACGCTCTCTATGCCTCAAGTGGTGTTGCAGTCTCCATGGGAGGCGATCGCCGCGATGACTACAATCTGGGTCCAAGCCTGCTTTCCATCCAAGCCGAAGAGACACGAGCCTTCTGGAGACAGATCTCGTGCAAGGTATGATGCCAGTGTCGACACTCTGATGTGCTCAATGGGCCGAGGATGTCCCACGACCATGGAGGCTACATAACTATCCGCCCGCAGGTGCCTTCCAGCCATTTCGGACCGGACCGCTGTTATCGGTTTCAGTTTATTCAGGCACATTTCAAGTCTGAAAGGCTGTACATCCAAGTTGGATCGCGTCAGCTCCTCGGGTCTCGTCTTCAGGAACGCACCTTGTCTGGTATGGATGGTGGCGTTGAAGACTCGCTGCGCGAACGCCATGCATTTCCTGCCTCTGGTTGAACTCGTGAATGCAAGGAGTCGTAGAACTGGTCCGCTGTGTTCCATTTGGTGCTGTGCCAGCTCCCCGTGATTCTCTATTGCCTGAGCGCCCAGCTGGCTTCTCACCATCTGGACCTTCTCAAGTGAAGGCCCAAGCTCACCCCATAGATTTTCTGAAATGAAAGCACTTGTTTATGCCCTTAGGTGGAGATCGCCCAGGAAGGAGGCGGACTTGCGGAAGAAAGACAACATGTGTCCCGGTGGGTCATCGTGTGCTGGACGCTTCAGCGATTCGCTCAATGGAGCGATCATAATGCTTTACGATAGAAAACGTCCCTTCGATAGGTTCTCATCAAGGTGAGAATGGTGGAACGAAAAGCAGCTCTACCCACATAGAAGCGGAAAAGCTCGAGGGCAAGGAGAATGGAGAAATGCCACATCATCGAATAGAAGGACGTCATCAGACGTCAGCGGAAAAGTCGTCGATGATTCGACAATGTGGGTGCTGTTGTATGAGGCTTCTCTATAAGCCAAACTCGGGCTGCCAAATAAATCCACTGCAGCTAGAACAGATGATGATGTCATCATTATCTTTGATTTCGATCAAACATGCAACGGGTTCCCTGCTCCACGAATACCCATATACGCTCCGACTGTTTCATCCGAGGCAAGTCTCATCGACTGGAAAACAAACCGACGCTCCTGTGGTTCATACCAATGGTGACGCTCCAGGTAGGCTCTAGTTGCGGTTTCGGTGGAAGATGGCCGTGGCTGAACTAGGACTCTTTTTTGCGACTGTATTCCGGTCTTTCGAGGAGCATACGAACAAGCTGGTGAGAAACAGAGACGCCCTTGGCGGCTGCTATCGTCGCCTCTGCTTTCGGTAAAGTCATCAAAAGGCCGTTTTTCTACCGTTGACCGCAAGTGCTTCCTGGAAATATCCTTTTTTAATGCGAAGCGCATACGCCGCATTCTTTCTGCGTTCCTCAGCCATCTGCGTACGTTGGTATGCCTGCACTTAAGGAGGAATGCAGTTCTCCATGCACCGTTCAGTTAAGCGCATATCCTACATGAAATTTGTCTACGATCTAAAGCGTCCACGGCGTGGCGGTATCGATCGCCACCCAGACATCGCGGATCGGGTGGAACCCCGTTGATTTCAAAGATTAAAAAGACAGCGTAGTTTGTCTTTCAAGCCACATCACTTCCTTCAATCCGAAACTTAAGTGAGCTCGGAAAATGAACCTGTGAACAAGCCTTCGTCGGACAATATCGAGTTTGTTTCGTCGTCATTCAAGCGGCGAGCTTCGGTGCGCTTACCACTTGCCTTGAAACAAAACAGACGACGGAAGATCCTGAAACCACGTAAGCATCCGTGAGCTCTTATGACTTTATTTCAAAATTAAAAACTGTACATCTCATAAACTGTTCAAAATTGAACTGATGAACGGGAGCAGAGCGATCAGTTCCGTCTTCGATACTCATCGAACACAAGTGCAGAAGCCAAGGCAGGCGCCAGAGTCGCCAATACTGAACGCCTTGCGTCAACTGTCGCCGCCGACACCGAAGCTAAGCGTTGGGTGCTCACGAATGCTCACCAGTGCTAGCAAAGTTCGGGCTTCTTTTTTGTCTCTATTTTAGTCCCAGCCGACGACTTGTGCGTTGCGTACTGGCTAGACACGCTGGAAGAAAGACATGGTCCAGGAGTACCCCGCTTGGGCGAGTTTCGGAACTGGTTGGCAGGGAGCCGGAGCGCTGGCCCCCACGGCAGCTGCCTTCATCTCGCAAGGACGACTTGTTTTGGTACCTCAAGGTCGCTCTCTAAACGTGTACCGCCACGGCTTAACTAGTTGGCCGGGATCGTCACCTTCAGAGACGACCGGCACGGCACTGATCCTGCAGCGACGTCTTCAGGCGCACGAGGGGCGCGTCACCGGCGTCGACGTGCTCGCTCCAGTCAACGTCTTTCAAGCCGTGTCCGCCTCGTTGGATGGAACTTTGCGGGTATGGGACCTGGAAGAGGGTACGCTGCTGCGCACCATTGATTTGGGCGTGCCTTTATGGAGGTGTCTTGTGGACTCCCAGCAAGGGCGCACTTGCTATGTGCTCGCGAGTGCCTCGGACGGCACTGCAGCTGCGCTTGCGATGAACTGGTCTGAGCGAGCTACCGTGTCACGAGCTCCTATTCAAACACAAGCCATAGGCCCGGAAGTTGACAGGCCGGTTCATATGGCAACTGCTGCCTCGTCGGATGCCGGTCCGGCGTCATCTGCCCAGCCTAGTGGTAGCAATGAGCGGAAACACCTCTCACGAGCAGCAGCTCGGGCCTGCTTTGTCGCTCGCGTTGACCTGCGTACGGGACGCTGGAAAACGTTGTTCCAACTGCCTTTTGGCGAGGCTTGTATGGATCTGAGCGCCGATGGACAACTGTTGGTGGCATCTAGCGGCAATCAGCTCTATGTTTGGCGCAGCGGGGCACCAGGCGATGTGCGTCGCTGGGAGCACACCGGTGCTCCTGTGACTACACTGAGCATAGATGCCAAGCGGGAGCGTGTTGCAGTTGGCGATAGCAGTGGCGTCATCAGCGTGTACCAGTTGCAGTCTCTTTTCCAGTCCGTAGACTCCGAGCAAAAGCAGCATTCCCAGGGTGCACCGTTGCGACAGCGTTGGCACTGGCACGCTCGTCCCGTGCGAGCGCTCTGCTTCGGTCCAGGTAGTAGTAGTACGACGCTCTTCTCCGGGGGTCACGAAGGCGTTCTGGTGGAGTGGCACCTGCATCAAATCGGCAACCTGCAACCGACCAAGCGCTTCTATCCGCGACTGGGTGGCCCGATTCAAGGCATCGCTGTGGAGCCGCAGACCCAAACCGCAGCGCTAACGCTCTATCCAGGAAGTCTGATCGTCGTACATCTGCCATCCTATTCGAGCCGGACTCTTTTAAGAACGGTGATCGCTCCGTTTCCCGGCAGTGACAGACAGGAGGCGGTGGCAAGCGAACTCCGCTCCGACGCCAAGACTCGGCCTGGGTCAGCGACACGTCAGGTTGGTGCCTCTCTAGATCCCATATTGAATGTCCACTGTAGGATGCAGACCGTTTCCTTGATGCCGGCAGTTTGTCTGGCATCGAAGCCTGGCACAGTGGAACCTATGCTTGTGTACTCCAGTCCCGACGGAGCGCTTTGTGTGTACGACATCATTCGCGATAGCGTGACTGACGTATTGCGAGTAACGACAGCGCCTCCTGTCGCTATCGCTAGGAATCCGCGAGCGTACCCATTTGCCTTCCATCTGGACGAAAGCGGCTGTTTTCTCGTGACAAGCGAAGAGAAGACGCCTCTCGGGGAGCGATGGCTCAATATGGCATCCCTCGAAGCGCGGACAAGTCGGCAAGTATGCCTCCGATTCTGGTGCATTCCCCCAGCAGCCGCAAAAGCATCGGTAACCGACACAAACGAAGCCGAGCTGCAACTGCGACCGTGCGAAAGCGTGACGCTCCTGCATCGCGACCCGCTGGTGCTTCTAGCGGTGCGGCACTCGCAGGCATTTTCTTTGGACTGTTCGGGAACCTGGGCGGTTTGGCAATGGACCCTTGGCAACGTCGCAGGAACGCCTGTGCAGGATACCTCGCAGGCGATCTGGTCTGTTCACGCATTCAGTACTACCAAACTGCGCTGTCCGGTGCGTTTGGTTGCGGCGCTGCTCACGAGAGACGCCTCCTTGTTGGTTACGCTCCGTGCAGATGGTGTCCTGCAGATCTTTGCGGTGCAGGAAACGCTCCAGCTTGTGCACCAGGAAGCTGTCTCGGAACTCGTGCATCATTTCTTGAGCTCGGGCGACGTCATCGGGGCCTCGCAAGCACCCCTGATGCAGCTCGATGCGTTGGAAGTCGTCGCATCCGGTCAACTGCTGATCAGTGTTCGAGGTGAACGAATGCCGCCCCAGCTGGTGGTATACGATATGGCTCGTGCACAAGTGCGATGGCGCCTTGTCCTAGCCGCCGACGCTGTCGCCGCGCTGACACCAACAGCAGCACTGGCAACGCTCACGAACGAAGCCTCTATACCGATGGATGTGTTTGCCGTGGCGCTTGCGTCGATACCAGCGGTACTCCTGTTTCGAGCGCTCGGGGAACCGACCCCGATGGCAATATGGCGGTTGCCCAGCGGCACGAGACCCCGCATCCTGTTGACCCATCCGCTGGTGCCGTTGGCGGTGCTTGACGACGATGCGCATTTGCATCTTCCCGAAGGCCCGTTGGATCCGTTCGCCGAGGAGGATATGGCGGTGCTTCGGATGGCCTTGCTGACGCGTTCCCAGGAAGAGGCGTGGCGGGAATCGCAAGCGCCCAGCTGGTTTGAGCACCTGCCTACCGAGGACCCGCTGGAGCCTCCAAGAGTGCAAGTCTCGCCGCAAGTTCCCGTGGAATCGTTGTTAAGCGACACTGTGCCCGCGTTTATGTCGTTGGAAACGTGCCTGGATGCACTGCTTGGGCATCCAGGGACGCAGATGCCGGCGTCACAGACAGCTGCTACGGTAGAGGAACCTGCGCAACTTTCTGTATCGTCTAGCGGAGCGCAGCGTTCGCTCCATAGTCCGCAAGAACCTCCAGAGTCTACGTTACATATTCCACTGGGACCTGAAGCGGTGGCGAACATCCTGGGAGGGCATGGAGCGCGCTTTCGACAACTTCGGCTGCAGCGACTCAGCGGTTAGACTGCGAGCATCGAAGTTTGGAACATCTCTACCAATACGTGTTTTTTGGTCTGGATTGTCTCTGGTATTCAGGTTCAGCAGTAGGAATGTTTCCGATAGATTGGGGCATGGTGGTGGAATGACTTTATGATATCGCTGCGGGCCTGCGGGGGAAACGCCCTTGCCTCAACTTCTGGTTCATACTGCGGTGTTCCGGTGGTTGAACCACCGATTCAGAAGTACTTGCCTTGAACGCCAACACCCGAAATTGAAGATGTCAAACGCAATCTATATTGCCACGTCTTTGTCAATCGATTCTACTCCATAGATCCCCTCAGAATGACCATCAAAGAGGCAACAGTTTGTGAAGTTTCCATGATACTCGCACGAACATTGATGAAGAGACATGGATCGACACGGAATGAAGCAGGCTTCCATGGCAGACAGTCCACGTTGAATCGTACCTTGCCGATTTCGTACTGACATGCGAATACTTAATCCATTTGGGACGTGTGCTCGTCTCGCTTCGTGAGGCTTCATTCGGCGTGCGCGGTAAACGCTTATATGGGTAGTCAAAGACACGCGAACCGCTGGTTGTAAAGAAGAGCGAAGCGAGCATTCCAACAACATTGCGATTAGCGGCGATGCTGTCGTGTGTTCGCCTGCGACTCGCCGAGCGAACTGGATTGTTCTCCAGTGCATCATTCATCAAAAGCGTTCCTCCTGGTTTTTCGTAATCATATGCCTGTATCCTGCTACGACATAACGTCGCTTTAGATCGCTCAAGAACGGTTATGGAGTTCTTTGCTGAGATCGGCGGTGAGCTGCTCTTCGCACCAGCCTATGCTCGCTGGTGAATCCACTCGATGGCGTCTTCGACGTGGGTACCTGCCAATCTACATATCCACGGATCAATAAAAAGCATTCCTTCGCATCGATGAAATCGTTTTCCGAAAAGCTGTTCGGTACATGCACCAGCCCTGAGCTGTTGTGTTGCCGCTCTGCACATGCGCGAGATGCAGATCGTGACGTAAAAGATTGAAGGAATAGTGGATGTATACAAGGGAAAGGCGAGTTTCAATGGCTCTGTGCGTCCATAACGTCTTAATGCTGGAGGCGAAACCCGACACAGAGCGTAGGGACTACAGCTCTATTACCTTGGTGCATAACGGAAAAGGCGGTGAAAGATTCGGTCCCTGCAAGCAAGCAAGTTTAGAGCATTCGGGGAACTCCGAGCAGAGCACTGGCGGGGCTCGTTCACGATTTCTGGCGTCCTTGAAGGGTACCGAAGAAAGTCTCTGGGGACAACGGAGACGGACGGAGTACCCATGTGCGTGCGTTCTGTGATACCAAGGCTTTAGTCGACAAACAAGACTCTTTTTCACCCGCTCAACACGCGTGACCAGAGGCAGTTTGTGGTGGACATCCAAATCGAGTTGAACGACACCATGACCGTCGCCGCAACTCCTATTCTAGAGAACGACACGAAAGGCAGGAGCAGGAAGCAGATGCTGCTGCTGCTGCTGCTGCTGCTCAGCATTTCCAGCGCTCTACATGATCGAGAGCAGGGCTTCATCGACGGCAGGAAGCGCCCTAACAAATGAAAGGTCGGCGTCGCGACTTGGAGTTCGACTTCGACGCCCTGAGCACCTTTTCGAGCAAAGCGACACGCGCGGCACGCTTCATGAAGGGAGCGTACGTCATCGTCCAAATGGCTTGTGCAGACGGCCTGTGGCAGTTCCTCGGATCGCACAAGCATCGTCTACCGCTTCGGTTGTGCGGAGGCAGGAAGCGTCCATTCGACTGCTCGATCCAAGAGCTGGGAACGCAAATGACCGATGAGTAACGTCGCTTGGTGGTAGCCAATGGCGCTGGACGTGCTGTGGCGCAGAAAGGCTGCACGCCTGCTTCTTGAACGACAGCATATGATAAACCATGAATCGATTCTGAAACCACACCCATGGATATGTTCAGGACGACGTGAACGCATCACGAGCTCGGGCGCAAACAAAAACTGTTAGAGAAGAAGAGCGTGAGGCGGAGTCAGATGCACGGGATTGTGTACGGTAAGCTGACTTCACGACCGATGGCGAGCTAATCGAAAATGAGAAGCATACTCTGGTGTGATTCTACTGCCAACAATGGGCGCAGGCAGTTTGTAGACCGCGACTCGATCGCCTCGATGACCATTCGGGTATGTCCCATGCTTCCGGAGCGTTCAGCGGTATTGGCTCGAGCGAACGAACGGACGAACGAACATCCCGATGAGTCGTTGAGTGCTCCATATGGATCATTTCCTGAAACGCTGCAGACTTTTGATGAAAATAACCAGCGTCCGGTCGACAGAGGATTCGATTCGCGCCTGCAGCTAGCCATGGTACCGCGCGTTTCACCAGTACTCCAGAGCTAAAGCGCGATCTCCATGTTTCCACTGGGAGCTGTTTTTCATGGGAGTTGTTGAACGAAAGCGATGGTGCATTACTCGATATCACAGATTATAGACGTCCATGTCTATCAGGTTTATGCATGGGCCACATGCAGCAAGCAAGTCATCGAGGTTTCTGTTGTGCAAAGAGGTGATGGCTCCCAAGCAAACCGATTTGCGTATGTGTTGGTTTCTTCCGCGTGTGTGTGTGTGTGTGCCAGTCCATGGCTATGGCTGCTATTTATCCAGATGTCATGGTGTATACCCCGTGGTACACAAGGATGAGCGCGACAATGTAAAATCTCTTACGTGCGAGACAAATGTCGTCCAAATGCGACCCAGAGAGTTCTCCATGACACCGTTATAGAATTGGATGGCTGGTGAACGGTTAAGGCCTTGCGGTCCGCCTGTGTACCTTTCAGATATTGTCTTTGCTGTCCGATACTGAAGCAGAATAGTTTCGGACGTAACCTCTAGACTTGAACGATAGCACTTCACGCGAACCTGTAGATAGTGTTTGATTCGTCGGCAAGTTCCTTGGTCCAGAGGAGTGGTCGAAACCAAGCGAACATCGCCGGTCGCTAATGAAAGTACCGGTGATGATTTCCAGTTTCAACCTGTATCAAGCAGTGCCACCAGAATCTAGGCGATGCATCAGACAACCGTTTCGAGCCTGACACGTGAGAGATAATGCTTTTGAACCTATCTTGTTCAGTGAAAATCGCACAACTTGGCTTGGGTGTGTTCTACTTTGAAACTTTCAAGCGCTTCCCTATTCCATGCCTCAGATATCCCTTGTGCCTTTGGTGCACTATGTATATGGCCCCAAGCGCATCTCTTGCATTCTTTTTACTTGGAAACCCAGTAAGCGTTTCACGCTTCCCAGGGGTCATCGGCGACCCGGCTTTTGACGTTCCGTAAGACCTCTCCAGCATCACCTCCATAGAATCTTCCTTGGAAACCTTCAGGGAATTTCCATACACTTGATTTGGCGATCCTTTTCGTCTTCCTTGGGGTATTTGACCTCCAGCGCATTGCCAGGATGAACTTTCCCGTGAAAACCTTGACGTAACTCCCTCGCTTTGATTGATCCTGTTCGCCGATAAAGCGGTATTCGACCTCTAGCGCATCGGTTGGATGAACTTTACATAAACATCTCCAAGAAATTCCCTTTTACCCGCGTGCCAAATATTTCCTTTTGAGCTCCCGGTACGTTTCCAGGAGCTCCGGATCCATACAGGCATGTGTATTGTCCAGTGGTTCATCGTCGAGGATGCGTTTCACAGCGACTTCCATTTTCTTCATGTTCCTCGTATAGGGAATACCTGGAACAACGATGACCGTATGAGGAACATGCCGCGGAGATAACGACTGCCGCAGACGATTCACGATACGGGATCGAAGCTCCGAGTCTTCCAGTGGGCCCAGAGGAGCTTCGTGCGCCAGTTTCACAAAGAGAATGATACGCACATCGTCGTGCCAACGTTGACCAGCTACCAGCGAGTCGCTAACCTCCGGCATGCGTTCGAGGACTGTGTAGAAATCAGCGGACCCAAGACGCACACCACCGGGTTTCAGAGTGGCATCGCTCCGTCCCCGAATGATCAACGAACGTTCATGACCTGGTTCGCGAACCACGACGCGTGCATAGTCACCGTGGTGCCACACAGTCTCCCCAAAAGTTCTGAAGTAGGCCGAGCGATACATGGATGCATCAGTGGTGTCGTTCCAAAAAAAGAGCGGCATCGAAGGACAGGCGTTCGTGCACACCAACTCACCGTCCTGATTCTCGACCGGATGGCCGTGTGCGTCAAAGACCTGTACCCCAAGACCCAGCGCGCATGACTGTAACTCACCAGCGTACACTGCCCGACGCTGGAGTCCCAGTGCAAAGCACCCGTTGATATCCGTACCACCGGACATGCTCCAGTAACGGACGTGGCGACCAACGCGCGCCCAGACGTATCGAAAGTTTGCAACCGTCGACGGTGAACCGGTCACCAGCACTGCCTGCAATCGCCCTAGAGACCATCGAGCTGGATGAACACCTAGCTGTTCTTGGATCTGCAGAAACTTGGCACCACATCCAAAATGGGTGACTTGCTCCTCTGCGACAATGCGCCAGAGGGCATCCTGCGGTGCATAGCCTGTCGACAATGACGGATCGGTGTCGCGAGGTGTACTTTGTGTGTTCTCAGGGGCACCCGCTTCAACGCTTGCCGGGTGCTCCAGGGATGACCAAACCGCAGCGCCGTCGTAGAGAATCAGTCGACAGCCACGCGCTAGAGCTGCAACACTCCAGTTCCACATCATCCAACCACAGGTCGTGTAGAAAAAAAGCGTATGCTCTGGACCCATTGCGTAGTGCAGCAACTGCTCCTTCTCCTGGGTGAGCAGGATACCAGCACCCTGCGCCATGCACTTGGGTCTACCAGTGGTGCCCGAACTGAACATGGTCACCACTGGATCTCGATCGAAACGAATACGTCGAAACGGGATCGCTGGCAATGCCTCATCGACAGCGGGCTCAGGTGATGCGGACGGAAAGCACTGCCAGTTGGGAGCGTCCAGGTGCTCGACTAGCGCGTCTCGCGGGCATCCGTACGGCACGATCCATACCGGAATGCCGGTGACAGCGTTCTCCTCATTGTTTTCGTTTCGTTTTTCTGTTCCCAGACGAGATGCAATTTTCTGTGCCTTTTTTAAACAGTCGTGGCGCTTACCTTTGAAGACAACAGCGTCCGCTGTAATCAGCAGCCGTGGTTGAAGTTGTCCGAATCGATCGACAGCGGCATCTTCACCAAAGTCAGGAGAGCAGGATGCCCAGATACCTCCCAGACTCGTCACTGCGAGCATCGCTATGATCGTCTCGGGGATATTGGGGAGAAACCCCACCACGTGTTCGCCGCAACTGAGATGCAGTTGTTGTTCGAGCGCTTCAGCGACACGCGCAACCCATGCATACAACTGGCGGTAAGAGAGCTCGCGGCGGGGAATGCCAGAGCCCGGCTCGCTGCGGAACACAATACTTGCCTGGGGATTACGCAGAATGTTCTCAGCGTAGTTCACTCGAATGTTCGGTAACCACCGGAGGCCGGTTATCGGCATGGTTCCCACAGTTGTGCGAGTGTGGGAATGTACAGGACTGCTGCTTTCGTTGTCGTTCTGGTTGGCGCCAGTGCCTATGCGCGTGCCTCTGCAAGCGGTCTCCAGCTGAAGTGTAGCTTCTCGGTTCGTGATAGGGACGTTGGCGTCCGTCACCGGGGCACCAGTATCATCATAGAGACGAATACCCGCAAAATCGATGAATGTTCGGTAAAAGTCAGCGTCATGTTCAACTGAGAGCCGGTGCAGCCGCTCAAAGTCAAAGCTTTCGTGGTGCTGCACGGCCTCTTTGCCATAGAGTCGGCGCTCGAAAGCAGCTGCAAACCGCACCACAGGGTCGTCTGGTTGCCAAGGCGTGCTGTCTAATACCTGGTGGCCTTCGCACCAGACGTCCACAGCGTCCGCGTCATCGTCCATGAGACGCGGCCTTCTCGTGACTAGGTCTGTTCCACGTGAGCGGACTAGACGGGTACCACGGTGAACGCCAGGGATCGCTCACCGATCCCGATGCAAAGACACACAGTCAGGTACAGACACGCACCCTAGTTTATTCCAAAGCCCAAGTGGCGCTTCGAGGAGCAACGCTATTTTCCCCAGCGCTTTGGTGGGTAATCTGCAGATGTTGTCCTTCACAAAAATTGGTATCTGATTTGAGCAGCGCCGAGCGCGCTCACGCGTTTTCGATTTCGATCGATGCTATCGCTTCTGGTACCGGGAAAATCTGCGCAACTCGATGAATGCTGAAGGCTGTTTCACTTGGAAGGGCAAGCTTCGGTTGGCAGGCTCTGTGAACGTTGTCGCGTCGTCGCTATAGCCGCGTCAGATTACGATAGGCCATGGGGCTGCTCGTCCTGTTCGTGCCTTGAGATTTTCTGGACTTTATTTTGTAGATATACTGCCACGTCATTCACAGTGCAACAAGAAGCGCACACGGATGCATACACTGTTAAAAGATGCTCTATCGTCTTCTCTGAGTTGGTTAGTCGAATGTTCCGGGCTGGAATTCATGGCGTCAGCGCAATCAACACGATTTACGACGCCCTCGAATCAGCGTTCGAAACATACCCGATATCATCATCCAGTTCATACGTACAGGACTCCACTATTCTGCTTTCCCAATGTCTAGTATGCTCAGATCATGCACGCTTCAAGTTTTTGATGTTCCTGTCTCAAGGAATTAGGTGCGCGGGGCACTGCTCGCTGCTTGATGAACGAGGAAACAAATTCGACGTCGTTCCTTGACGACTTGTTTACAAGCTCATGCCAAACGTTCGCTCAACTTATCGCGTCAAATAATTGGTTTCGTTCTAAAGATAAAGCCTATTCTTTTTGTGGCCATCGACGAAACGGCATTCGACCCCAGCAATGGTATCTCGGGAGGAATATGCCTCAAGACGATCCTGTCTCTTCTGTTTGCTTGATAACAAGTCTTGGACTCGGACTTGAGTCGTCGCAACAATCGCACAAAGCGGAGCGTGCGTCACCATTTTGCATAACGGGAGCGTAGACGGATCAAATCTCTGGAACTCCTTCTCAGATTGGATTCTCCGTCCACTGCCTGATCCGTCAAGAACAATACTGTGTTGCACAAATCCTCTGTCGAATAGAGCAGCTCGTCGTTGCGCGTGCTGCGGACAGAGAACTACCCTGAGGCATTACCACAAAGACGCCTGCGATCGCCGGTTGCAGCTTCGGGATCGAAAAACAGTGGTCGGCATGCGGGGTGCCTTCCGTATCCTCCCCGGGGATGTACTGGTCGGTGAGGCAAGCTTTCATGTGCCGCAGGCCGCCTTGGAGAAGGGAATATGGTGGGCGTATGGAAAAGCCTGGATCTACTCAAGCGGTATCGCTGTGCAAGTCGTACCGAGGCCGAATACAAAAAACATTCGCAGATGGCTGCTTTTGCATATGCATGAAATGCGCCGACAGCAACCACAACCTGCGAAATCGGGACGCTATGGCTGCCTTGAACATCAAACGATGTGTGCGGTAATGACGACGAGACACGCGAGGCTGGCGCGAGCGACCCTCATGGGGCATCCTCTCAGGCTAGAGGTGAACAAGGAGAAGCTGAAGCAGATGGCAAGCGGCCGATCGAAAAAGGCCAGGAGTGGTCTGTGAGTGAGTATTCCCTTGCCCTGCATGGCCGTGGGACATTTTCGTTCCATGGAGCATGCTGGTCTGCAACCATTTTTTAGCTGGCAAATCGATTAAACAGGCCAGGGATCGCCGACTGTGCCCTTGGTATCAGCGCGTGGTGAAGCAAGCATCATTCCACGCCCTACTTGCAAATTCCATAACCCATACCTCTTCTCGGATATACTGGTCACTTTATTCGTTCTATCGTGCGCCGAGTACCTGCCCTGATCATCCGCGATAGCGCCTATTCCGCCTGTGCAGTCGCTGCACGGAGAGAGAACGGCGTCGCCGTACCACTGAGGACGTCGGGTCGAGGAACGCTACCCCTGATGGGGAGTTAGAGTACATAATCTTTCTGGGAGCCTGGAAGCTCTGCATACAGACCTATAGTCTGTATGCAGCGCGAAGCGATACGCAAGGAGATGATTGCGACCAGGGTGGTGCCCAAACGCAGCATACCCGCTCCTTGTACCAGAATAAACTGCGTTTCGAACGAGTTGCTCAGATCTCAATTAAGTAGCTACCGCTGGGGGAGCATGAAGCACTGCTGTGGCAGACACGTCCGGCTCGCGGGACATTTCGCCTAAAGAATAAACTTTCGGCAATCTGGACGCCGTTTTCCCCTTTTAATGTTTACCATAGAGGGGAGAGAAATTGTCATATCGTTGCTAGTTAGTCGTGAGTCTCTGTTCTTTGTTCTACATAGTGCGCTCGAGACGCGCACCGGAGAGATCAGGCAGGCATGAGTTATGACGCGCTTGTCGCTGTTGAATGGAAACGCGATCCAAATCTTTATGATCTACCTGTAAAGTACACGTTGTATTTGCATTGAAGTCGTAGCAAACTGTAGTTTCAGTTGAATCGTGTTTCAGCGCTCAAGTAAGAATATTCAAGTGCTTTTTCGCGGTTTATAGCAGAAGCGTTCAAATTGTGTTCTTTCTCGAAAGAAACTAAAAAAAGAAAGTTATGGAAAAGCAAGTGGAAGATCCTCGAGGGCCGGTACCGCCGGCTGCCAGAAGAAAAACAAAAAACAATATGGAGTCCAGAGGAACAGGAGAGGACGAAGAAGCAAAGGCAGAAGGCTCTACTTCAAAGGCTGCAAGAAAGACGACTGTACGACGAGATGGTGGTGAAAGCCTTTCTTCTTGGACATATCAGGTATCCGTACATACAAAAATTGCGAGAGGCCATCAGAAACCGTGTCGATTCATGCTCCAAGAGTGTTCGCAAGGCTTCTTTAGGACTGATGCGTATGGCCGGGGATATATTCCGCGACGTGACGCACATGGAAACGGTCGAGATTCCGGACGAGTTTTTCGATAAGACGTGTATAGGTCAGCTGATACTTGGTACAGAGGAATCGCGGAAGGAAAATGGGCTAGTCCATGGCCTCCACGAAAAAAACATCCCTTTTACAGCTTCAACGGCGCTCGGTACAAGGGTGACCGGGATATTTACAGCTATGGGGCGATGAAGTACCTCACGAACCTGAAGAACCATTTGACAACGAACCTCGAACGTTTCATGATACGCGCCGTGTTTGCACTCTACCCGGGCATCTCGCGCAATGGGAAAGGGGCGATGATCAACGGCATCACGAAAGATCGCAGGCATGAAGATGAGGTCGAATTCGTCGACAAGAAGGCATCAAACGCGTGCACGAATTAAGCTTCTGTAATCCGTGCGGCTGTACAAGAGCACCGTGCGGTACTGGGGTTGGCGTATCCAACAGACAAGATATCAGAGTTGAAAGAAGATAAGGAAAGATACTATCGCCTCATCCTGCGATATTTCGTGTTTCTGGACTGTGAACTCGAACGCAAGGCGGAAATGAAGCTGAGTGAGGAAAAAATGAAGAGTGGGAGAGACGGAAGGCTGTCCTGTTGGGGAAGCGCTTCAAGGTCGGTGCGTTATGCAACATCAAGTCACATTTTGTGAGTATCGATTCCGGCGTCCTCTACGGCATCATGAGGGAGATCTGTTCGGAGTTCGATGTTAGCAGGGAGGAATTCTCCCGGGAAAACCGGGAGACGTACTGGAAGAACATCTTCGATTTCAAACGTCTCAAAATGAGCGAGCAAAAGTTATTCACTGGGGTGATTGAAACCGATGGAGTAGCCATGTGTGTACGCTATCGGCGGTTGAAGAAAGATCGGCCAGTTCCGCCCTCGGCTGCGCCCGTCACGAAGGATGAAGAAAAGGAGGAGGCTGGTCCTGTGGCGCAGGAGGTGCAGGATGACGATCTTGTCGTTGGCGCGGCGAAGCATGAAGATGAGAAGGAGGCGGATCCTGTGATGCAGGAGGTGCAGGATAACGCCTTTATGGTTGGCGCGGCGAAGCATGAAGAAACGAAGAAGGCGGGTCCTGCGGTGCAGAAAGTGCAGGAGAACGACTTTGTCGTTGGCGCGGACCCCGGAAACACAAAAAGCATAACTATCGCAGCACCGAAGCGTGCAGAAGATGGTACTGATGGTAACTTGCGTCAGAAGGACATGCGCCTTTTGAGGTGCTCGAGAGCAAGATACTATCGAGAATCAGGTGTAATGAATGCAAGGAAGAAAATTGAGGCTTGGAACGAAGGAATGAAGGATCACCTGGAAGCTTTAAGCGAGGTGACTAGACGAGGAGCGGACTTTGAGGCTTTTCGGAAATTCATGGAAGTTCGTGTTGCCCATTGGGATGCGCTGTGGGAGGAGTATACCAAGCCCCGCTGGGCTCGTTTGCGAATGAATCTATACTGTGGGAAGCAGCAGGCGTTCGCGAATTTTTTTAATGAGTTGAGCGCCCTGAAGGAGGATGAAAGTCAGAGGCTCGTCGTAGCGTACGGAGCAGGGCGCTGGAAGATCCGAAAAGGGTGTACACCAGCTCCAACAACGAGAACGTACAAGGAGTGTGCACGGCGTTTTGTTACAGTATCGATAGTTGAGTTTCGAGCATCGTATACACACCATGAGCTGGGCTGTATACTTCAGAGAGTGGAGATGGAAAAGTGCCAACGGAGCCCTGAGGATATAGCAAAGTACGGACCACTGACGGAGGAGCAAATGGAAAGGAGGGCAAAAATTCGTGGACTACTTGCATTAGTAAGTGCAACTCCCAACGGCACGAAACGTATGGAATTTGTGAACCGTGACTTTAACGCCGCTATCAATATACGGAGATGTGCGGTACTGGAGAAGAGACCTCCATCATAGACAAGAGAGCACTTTATTGAACAATCTGTCCAAGTCGAACTATATGAGAGAAAGTTGGAAGCAGTAGGAGGTGGCCGATCCAAGAAGGCGCGGAGGCATCTGCACAACTGTCGGAGATGATTTGTCCAAGGCGCGGTTGCCGCCACGACTGTCCACGCCCGACATCGTTCGAGTTTGAACAGCGTTTTGGAGGCGCGTAATCGATTCATTCGGTTCGCGTTGGAGCTTTTCGCGGCGTTTTCGTTTCGTGACTGCCGGACACGGGTTTTTGTGAGAAACAGCGACATGGCGTCACCAAAGAAGACTGCGACGAAAGCTGCTTCAGCACCGAAAAAGGCTGCGGCGAAAACGAAGGGCGAACGGAAACCAAACGCTTACCAAGAGTTTATGAAGGCAGAGAGTGCCAAGATTCGGGAGTACAACAAAGCAAAAGGAATCGAAATGAGGCCACCTGATATTTTCAAGGAGTGTGCGAAGAGATGGAACGAGAAAAAGTCCAAGACAAAGGCGTAAAGGCTCTGGACTTGCGCGGTGGTGACGGTACTGGTGCTGGCGGCAGCGGGTCGTGCAGCTTGTAGTTCATAGTCGGTGACCTGGACGTTGACGGAGCGGTGGTTATGGTGGCAGTGCTCGTGGTTGAGCTCGGCCCGTTACCCGCCAACGCGCTGAGGGGTCAAAAAGCAATCGGGGCTGTCGGCGTGTCACCGTTACAAAGCTCTGCTGTTGCAGGATGCGTTTTCCCTCGCCAGTTTGGACAAGAAGCTGCCCTCATTTCGGGGCGCTGGAACCAGTGCGAGGCAGCGCCGAGGCCAGGAGCATATGTCGGGGACGTTCACAGAGCTGGTTTCGATTGAGGTTGTGACGGTTGTGGTGGTTATGGTGCTGGTGCTGGTGCTGGTCGTGGTGGAACTGTCAGGTTCGTGGAGGAATTTACTGGAAAATAAAAAATGGCAACATAAGATCCCGTATGTGTCTTTCAAGTCTTTCGATTCGGCTCTAACAGTGCTGTGTCTCCTCGGTGCAGTTTTCGCTGATGACGTAGATCCCTGAAACGCGCTGCAGAGGCCGTGGCGTTGCAGGCCTGCGACCCACTAGGTAGCATCTGTGTGTCGTCCATCGTGATGCTTCCCTCGCTGCCAGAGACCATACCTTCCAGAGTGGACGCGATGAAGAGAGCGACGTGTGAGCGTGCGCAACTCTTGGGCTGTCAGCATTTTTGGTGTGTGAAAGTGTCAACCAGGCTCCCGGGTGAGGAAAATCTCTAAAATTGGTATTTCTTCCAGCAGAGGACACCCCAATCTGAGCTCCCTCACTGAACAGGAGATTGACAGTGGCACGTGTGATACGGCTTTGCGGCCCTGGGTATCGGAGCACAAAATAGCTGCAACTCCTCGGCGTGCTTTTCCAGTGTGGGATTGATGCATCGAAACTGGGTCCATCGGATGCGCGACGGCAACTCGTAACCAGGAGGCGATCTCAGTACCTCTTTAGACGAGTCAACATTCCGATGATCCCAGACCGGACTTGCCGTCGAGAGTAGGCGCTTGATCGTTCCCGTGGCTCGCCAGGTGCCAAGCATACCGCGAGCGCTTCGCAGCGCTTGGCGCTCGCGGACCCGGTCGTCAACCGGATATGCCATGCGCCGGGGCATTTTTCCGCCGCGTGTCTGTTAACCACGGATAAGAGAGCGATATTTCGCCAATCGGAATGCATTGATTCATGGGCAAAGTAGATCGTTGCGTTTCTATGGATGATAGTGGTCGAGATCGGTCAGAGCTCCGCACGGACCGCGATCGATCGCTCCGATCAGCAAAGCGTGTTTGGAAGCCGGATCGTTGCCTCGGATCAAGCAATGCCCGATTCGATGATGTTTATTTCCGTCTTTAGACCAGAAAAGTGATGCTTGGAGAACCGCGGGGCTCCTGCGAAACATCGCGCGCTCGTTGTATAGGTAACCGCATAGGCACAGTGCTCTCAACCAAAGCTACGTGAAAATCATTCCGAAGCTCATGATGCCGCGCCCGGGGTTGCCGAGCTGCTGCGAAGTATGCCCTCTGCGGCAGACAATGGACAGTACAGCGTGACGACTCACCTGTAGTACGCCCAGCCGTATGGCGTCGTCTAAACTGGACTCTAGGATAACCAAAATTGGCCGCGTATAAGGAGAGCCTTACATCCGTGTCGTCATGCTCAGCTAGATGAAAACATTCTAGCCGTCAGGCCTGCGATGCAGCTCTGGATCAGCATCCGATACCGCTTGAAGGGATGATGGCGTCAAAGATTCCAGTTTCCGCAGTCGTCTTTGATGACCATTCGAAATCCTCTCTAGGATAGAATCGATCTGGTCAACTTCTTGGTCGCTTTCAGAACAAGCGTCCGCATCGCAAGCACGCATGATATGTCGACGACGACTCGATGCTGCGGATGCCAGGTCCCGGGCAGAGGCTCTTGATGACTCGCTGCTACTGCTTACGCTGGTGCTGACGCTGCAGACCTCACGGGCATGCCGCAGTCTCTGGCGTGTCCCCGCTGCACTTGAAGCGGAGATAGGACACGTCATGTGTGCTTCGTCTCGCGTGCTCGGCGTTGAAGCACAACTTGCGACAGACCTCGTCTCGAGAGCGTCTTCTTCGGCGAGTGCGGGTACTTCATGCTGCAGCTCGACACTTGTCGGGTCTCCAAAGCGCCCGTCCGGACAAGCGGTACCCACGTCCACGGCTTCAACGTATTGCAGTACCGTACGCACTGGCAGCGATTCGATCTCAGCGATAAACTCTGCAAGCGACAGGCCAGGTGCGAAGCTCCTTTGCCAGTCTCGGAGCAACCACAACAGCTCAAATAAGAAATATTCCACCTGCTCGTCGTTTTCAACGTTCAGTGCGCTGTCTTGGTGCAGCTGGTGCGTTGTGGCGAACCGAGCGGCCCGATGAAACAGAGCCGGAAGTCCGTCAGGGCCAGCAAGCAGCTCTGTCAGTTTCGCACGCGAGACAGCCAATGCGTTGCTTGGTCTCCCTGCCACACTGTTTGTTTTACGTTCTGAAAGTGTCTTCGCGGCACTCTGCACCATATTGCAAGGTAGCAGCGCCGAGCAACGTTTGCGCTTGAGCGGCAGCTCCCAGAAGTGACACTCAGGTTTACAGAAACAGAGGGCGCTTTGCACGCACACGCACGGATAAATACGCACGCAGACACGCACGAAATAAACTCAGACACGCAAACAGAAACTTGGCGCCACGAAACGAATGCATCAGCGCCACGATCGCTTCGGCGCAATCGGCGATGGGCGCGCTGGTGCACTCGCTGGCATCTGTGCAGCGCGATCCGTCGCTTACCGGGTTCGTTAAAGGTAACGCGCAGCTGGTGGATGTAGTTCAGTTCATGGGTCTGAATGCTGACGAAAATTGTGCATTTCCAGGTCACTGGATTTGTGTCGTGAGACCGCTGCATGTAGAAGCGGGTTGTTCATTCACGGCATCAAAAGCTCGTTGTGTGGTGAGTCGTTTTGCGCATTCAGCCTCGAAGTGTACGCTCGAATCGGCAACGGTCTGAGAAACATTTTGAGCTATGGGTGGACTCCAAAATCAGGCCAAGCAAAGTGTTTCTCTTCAAACGGGCATGCTGAGGCGCCATCACGAGCCTTCATAGGAGAGCCTCAAGTCGGGTACCGCGAGTAGAAGCCATGGAGATTTAGCGCGTTATTTTGGCTCTAGTCAGTGACGTGGATTGAATGAAACAGCGCTTTCGTTCAACAATTCCCATGAAAAACAGCTCCCAGTGGAAACATATAGATCGCGCTTTAGCTCTGGAGTACTGGTGAAACGCGCGGTACCATGGCTAGCTGCAGGCGCGAATCGAATCCTCTGTCGACCGGACGCTGGTTATTTTCATCAAAAGTCTGCAGCGTTTCAGGAAATGATCCATATGGAGCACTCAACGACTCATCGGGATGTTCGTTCGTCCGTTCGTTCGCTCGAGCCAATACCGCTGAACGCTCCGGAAGCATGGGACATACCCGAATGGTCATCGAGGCGATCGAGTCGCGGTCTACAAACTGCCTGCGCCCATTGTTGGCAGTAGAATCACACCAGAGTATGCTTCTCATTTTCGATTACCTCGCCATCGGTCGTGAAGTCAGCTTACCGTACACAATCCCGTGCATCTGACTCCGCCTCACGCTCTTCTTCTCTAACAGTTTTTGTTTGCGCCCGAGCTCGTGATGCGTTCACGTCGTCCTGAACATATCCATGGGTGTGGTTTCAGAATCGATTCATGGTTTATCATATGCTGTCGTTCAAGAAGCAGGCGTGCAGCCTTTTTGCGCCACAGCACGTCCAGCGCCATTGGCTACCATCAAGCGACGTTACGCATCGGTCATTTGCGTTCCCAGCTCTTGGATCGAGCAGTCGAATGGACGCTTCCTGCCTCCGCACAACCGAAGCGGTAGACGATGCTTGTGCGATCCGAGGAACTGCCACAGGTCGTCTGCACAAGCCATTTGGACGATGACGTACGCTCCCTTCATGAAGCGTGCCGCGCGTGTCGCTTTGCTCGAAAAGGTGCTCAGGGCGTCGAAGTCGAACTCCAAGTCGCGACGCCGACCTTTCATTTGTTAGGGCGCTTCCTGCCGTCGATGAAGCCCTGCTCTCGATCATGTAGAGCGCTGGAAATGCTGAGCAGCAGCAGCAGCAGCAGCATCTGCTTCCTGTTCCTGCCTTTCGTGTCGTTCTCTAGAATAGGAGTTGCGGCGACGGTCATGGTGTCGTTCAACTCGATTTGGATGTCCACCACAAACTCCCTCTGGTCACGCATGTTGAGCGGGTGAAAAAGAGTCTTGTTTGTCGACTAAAGCCTTGGTATCACAGAACGCACGCACATGGGTACTCCGTCCGTCTCCGTTGTCCCCAGAGACTTTCTTCGGTACCCTTCAAGAACTCCAGAAATCGTGAACGAGCCCCGCCAGTGCTCTGCTCGGAGTTCCCCGAATGCTCTAAACTTGCGCGGAGCAACTAGCGGGAGCTAAATGAGCAGGCCATACAGTACAGCACACAAGCGTCTACGTTAGTGTGATGAGCCTTTATCTAAAATGTGCGAGCAGCATCGAACACATGCTCGGGGAGGCTAAGGTGCTCGGTTTCGTAAACGGAGTCAGCCTTTCTCTGGAGGGCGCTTCACTGGAATACGAAGTAGCGCAAGATGGAAGCAAGGCGGGCATCACGTTCCAATCATCCCTCGGATACAGTGTCCATTTGGCCGAGCCCGAGTTGAACGAGCTGAGCTTGCAGCATCTGAAACGACTCTCGCTCTCGTTGCGACATCTCTTCCGAACTCGCGAAAATCTCGAGCTCGTCGGTCACCAGCAACGCATTTGTCTCCATCGGCAGCCCAGTGATGTTTTCCATTAGGATCCACTTTATTGGGCTAGAATGGTGAGGCTAAAACGCGCACATGGTGCTCTTTTTGGAGTGTTTGAGATTGGCCTTCATATGATGTTTGAGGTCGGATCGACTTTTTCCTGGTACCTGGAGAGCGTTTCTTCCAGTCTCTGATCCCACTATCAGGCTGCACTGCATCTTCTGTGCCGAGCATCAGAGGTGCTGTTGCACGACGGTTTGGTCGACGCGTTCCAGAAGAATGTGAGCAGCTGTCAGCCCTGCATCGGAAACGAGTTTGAACCTACGCTTGACGAGGTGCAGCCAGGCGACTGAGGCTAGACGAGACATGCTCGAATCAGTAGCCACGAACATCTCTGTGGCATTCTACATCTTTCAGCCTCACGGATGCGAACGAATCGTCTATTGATCCGTAAGCGTAAAAATGACGGTAGATTGTAAAGAAGACGCTTTGGAGCAGACTGAACCGGGAAGAAGAAGTTCACACGAGGAGCAACACAGCGTAAATCTCAGCTGGGTACGTCTTGATAATACTCGAGCGATGGAAAGTGGCATTCTCCAGGAGCAGAGCAAAACAGTTTGGCACGGGAAAGCCAAGAATTGTGCTTCGACGAAGGATATACTTTGAACAATCCTGCTTTTTTTGCGATTTGTGATCGACCGCACGATTGCGTTGCTACAGCGGCTGATGTTGTCGTCGTTCTCGCTTGTCTCTTATGTACGCATACCGATTTTTCTTCTTTGAATACCCATATATAGACCCACCATTTATCCCAAATAGGGGGTCTTGTCAAGTGAGATGAACGCCAGCCACTCCTGCGATAAATGTACTCTTTTTCGTACGAAATCGACAATGCGTTGTTGAACACACAGGATTCTGGAATGGATGCGCAGTTTTTTGTCCATGCCCGTCCATAGCTCTTCATACCTGTTCGTGTCGACGCTATAAAAAGCTCATTTGCTGCTGCCTCATCTTGAGTATTTCGTAAAGAAACCTATGGAATAAGATCGATTGACATGTACAGTCGAGTCCATAGAATTTGAAATGTTCTATTTCTGGGTGCGCTGTGTTCAGGTAAAGCACGACCCCGAGCGTGACTCATCCACCTGCAGGCCGTAGAATGACGAACTCGTAGAAGCACAACTGTTTTCCTGCAGCTGTCAGCGACAGCATCCAGTCTTTCAACGATGTTTCCCCACTTTCCAGGAAATACTTCTTTTGTTGAATACGTGCAAGAAAATCGAGTAAAAACGAAACATGGCATGCTTTAACAGGTATTTCAGAATCTACCGCTCCGCGTACCATGCTCTTCATCGACGACACCCGAGACTTACTCGCGAAACGAACCCACCACCGAAAGGCCTATGCAGAAACGCCACACATGGATCAAACCGCACGCTCCGGGGAACGTCGGGCAGTTGCATTGGCGGAACGCACACGAGCGTCGATAGAAGGACTCGAGTGTCTTCTCGCTGGTTACTGGGAGCGTGCTGTCGTTCGTCGGACTCGGGCCGTTCCTATTAATTCTTCTTCAGGAACAGTCCATTCATAAGTGATCCGAGCAACTCAATCGCTGCGTCGACCTCTTGAGTGTCGTTGAAACTTGCGCACTGTGCGATGGCGAACAAGCCTCAATGGGAGCTGCTCGCCGAGGCGTTTGTCAACCACTACTACTCCGTGTTCGATACGGATCGTACTCAACTAGCAGCGCTTTACCGCGAAGTTTCGATGTTGACGTTTGAAGGCAACGCGTGCATGGGCGCGAGCGCGATCACCGAGAAGCTGGTGTCGCTCCCGTTTCAAAAAGTGCGCCACCAGGTTGTCACGTGCGATGCGCAACCAGTTTTGCCGGAAAGTTTAAACGGGGTGCTGGTGTTCGTCAACGGCGACCTGACAGTGGATGACAGTAACCAGCCGATCAAGTTCGCCCAGGTATTTCATTTGTTACCGGATCAGGGCAACCCTGGAATGTTCTGGGTATACAACGACTTGTTTCGATTAAACTATGGATAGGTTCTGAGTGAGATTTCCCCATGGCTTACCATGATGCGCATTCCTGCGTGGAACGAACGGCTCTCAGCTGTGCGCATACGCCCGGGAGGAGTTGCCAAGTCCGGGTATTGCGATACGCACAAGGCACACCAGACGGTATCTGGAGAGCGCTGGCGCACCTGCTGAAACTTTCCACCCGGACTCACCTATACAGACGACGCTGGGTGTGAATGTATGCATGCCATATAACCAGGGTGGATGGGAGCTGCCCTGTGCAACCTGCAACGCTTTCGGACGCCTCAGGCTCTGTGTGCCGCCACCTAGATGTCACGCCCTCGCGTTGCTCGTCCGAATCGAGAAGGGCTTGCGTCGAACAATGCAAACGCGTCTGGGGTGACTCGGGTCCCTGCACATGCGCATGTTTTCGCACAGCATCCAGTATTCGTTGCACCGACGAGTCTCGTCAATGGGACCTGCGGGGTGCCACGCACGCATCTATACGAAGGTCAACGCCTATTTGGAGATACAGGCCGTAGACTGCTCTTTGACGCCTCTTTAACCGAACTTCTTAGTGTGCGTTCCTTGGCCAGGCGTTGCCGGCAGCAAAGCACAGCTGGTGTTGGTGTTATTTTCGGAAGGAACACTCTAGGACGACCTTTCTTATTGCTATGCATGCCCATGCGCCCTTGGGCAAAACAATTCAATACATCGTTCCGTTCAACTGCAACGGCGCGAGCGTGGGGCATCATCAGCGTTCGTGTATACCACGGCACTGGGCTTGGGCCTGCTCAGATACATAGCTATACGGTGAGACTCGAGCGAAACGGAAAGCGTCAGCGGCGTGGCGTCCCCGGTGTCTATTTCGGAACCGCGTCACAAGCAGTCATCATCTGTTTCTATGAGCAAATTCATGCACGAGGAAACGCACGGGAGACCACATGCATGAGCGAGCGCATTGGCAAGCACACTCATGAGCGAGTTCCACGGCAAGTAAACTAGGTTGTCACCATCCGACTGCTACATATTTCGAACATGTATCCAAGGAAGCCGAGATGGAACGTGCAGCTGTTATACTCTTCGGAGTAACAAATAGACACGATTATCCAAGCGCAAGTCCGCGAGGTCAATGACATTTCGACTACCCTGAAGACGCATCAGCAGACCGCCAAAGCTTATACAAACCGCAGATTGATGCGCACCTTCCGATTCCTGGTGGAAAACCTTGCCGCACATCACGTAATCATATCGGTTGATAACTGTCGGTGCACCAGACTGATCATAGGTGCCGTCGCAGGGTGCACCGTCCAGCCTTACACTTGACATGAGAACCAGCAGAAAACGGTCGCCCGCTCGAACCGGAAACAACTGGCTATGCACATCGAGCGTAAGTCGCATACGCTGCTGCAGTGACTCTGCTACCAGACGACTGACCCGGTCGAACTTTTTCTCACGCACTTTCCCCAAAGCCGGATTCCGCGGATCCTTGTACACCATATCCACCTCTTGGCAGATAAAGGTGTCTTCGAGTATGGTCGTCATTTTGGCGTAGTGTCCTGTGCAGAGCTCTTCTATAACAGCGCCGCTTCTCGAACACAGTCCCAGTTGCAGAATAGGCAGCTAAATATGAGCACAAGGTACCTCGGAGAACTCCGGGTTTGAAGGGAGCGCTTGAAACACCTGGCCCGTCCTCGATTCCTGTCAAGCTTTCAAAAGCCCCAGATAGAGGTTCAAGTCCGATCCTGATTGGCGCTCGTTGCAAGCAGTGTTAAGCACCACCTGATCGTCGTCCGTTGTGGTGGTAACGCTACGTGCGACTCGGCGAGTTTCTATTCCCGGTGCGCGGCTTCTTCACAGGTCTCTGGACCTAAACGTAGTCTCCTGGGTCACAAGGAAAGATCTCAGAACAGATGGCGTTCTAAGTTGGTGACGATATGTGGTTTAGTTCCAAGGTGACCCAGATCCTCCTTCCGCAAAAGACAATCCCAATGAAGCCTCAGCAGCGAGCCAACCAGACGTTGTCCTTGCAACAGCCAGTCGTCGCTAGGCAGCGGTCATGCGCTGCAGCGCCGAGTCGTGGAACGCTCGACGTTCTATTGACTCGACGGATGACGAACGCTGTCTTGTCGTTGTGTTCTCTGGTGACTGATCGTTGACGCTAACCAGAGGTTTTCTGGTTGCAGGACTGTTACGGGCTTCCATAAAAGCAAATATCCAACTATTCCAGACGCTCTTCCTTCATGTCGCCTAGCGTTCTCGTACTCACTGGACGTCGACGAAAGGCATCGATCTTGCGCCTCAGAGAATAGGATGTGTACTGCAGGGCCGAAGGGAACCCACCGCATCGTCTGGAGACAAGATCAAGGCTCGAACTTGGAAACGCAATACGTTTGAGTACGTGCCGGAGCCTGTGTAGACACGGTGATCTTGAGCTCTCGGAAGAAAATTAGAGTTCTTGCGGACGTGGAACGCGCTTCTTCGCGGCGCCTGCTCTCTTCCTCACATCGAACGCAAGTCGAGCCAATGTTTTTGGTGCAGTAACCGATCCTGACGAGTTGAAAGTCGACGAGCGCCTCAAAACAGAGTTGTGTACAAGCACACTGGGCATTCTCTACAACGTCACTATCGGAGTACGGACAACAAACCCATGATGAAAAAGCGCTCGCTCATAAGCGCCTAGGCGAAAGTCACTGGAATTTCACCATCCGCTCTCTCACCGAATGAGTGGAAGCACCTCTGGAGCCTGGGTCTTTTCACCGCACGCCGCCATGTCCGCACAGAGCCATGCAATGCTGCACGAGTCCTGCGATCCATCCTAGGTTCATGATCCCGATACGTAAAGGAACCTAATGCTTGTGGCGCTGCGGTTCTAGAGGTCAGCTCGATTAGCCGCCAGCCCCATACGCGGTTCAGATGACCGCAAAGCCCCCAGGACTGAGCAGTACCGCTCACGTCCACGAGCACCCGTGCTGCCCGTCAGTGGACCCGTCGACCATAGACAGGCCATTCGCTGAGCATGCCGCGCACTGTTCACGCAAGAGACGTGTACCCCAGGGGGATTGCAAAAGTTTACATGCTCGTCAGTTGCTCCAAATAGGGTATCTGCGGAAGCGCATCGAGCGCCCATTGCACATTGAGCATCAGTCGCAACGCCAGTCCTTGAAAGCGAGCTCCACCGTCGAGCGTCTCGTGCTCTGTAAATCACCACTGCCTCCGACAGAGCGCATCACGCGAATATCGACCGAGCAGCTCCGAGTCCCGGACCAAAGACCCGTTTCCATGTGAGGCCCTGCGTGAATCATGATATCAGGCGCTACTGTGGTCGCCGTCCCTGCTTCGTGCCAGCAGTTGGTGCAGGTGGCACCACGCCCATCCAGTCAACGCCACAGGTCCCGGAGAATCTGGAATATCCAACGGCACTAGCATCCACCTGGCGCCGTGCGAAGACACATTGTTTTCACTGTTTCTGGGTCGCAATATTCGCATCCCTCTGGACTGGTTTACGAGCATACTCGGTAGCCGTCCTCGAGCTGCTGAATTTCGTCCGGAAGCAGTTCCCGAATCCGGCGCGTTACTGGATCGAAACGATACGGAATGTTACCCAGTTCGCCATCGAAGCGATTCTTCCGCACATCCAGGTACTTGTAATGACGTCCGTTCTGAATGATGATCACATTATCGGCTTCCTGGGTTGCTTTCGCGCTTCCAAAAACGCTGGCTGTTTTGAGAAGTTGATCTTCGTCTTCTTTGCGCGGATGGATCACGACTGAGACGTGTACGTTATGTTCCGTCGCAAAAGCGCGAAACTTTTCAATGGCGCGATCCATGATCTCAAAGCGCTCGTATCCACGCCCCTGTCCACTCGTCATGAATTGCAAATTATCTAGTACCACATGAGCGACATCGTAAACATATGCTGCGTATTCCATAGCGTGAATGACCTGATCCACATCGCTGGACCCGAAGAATCGCAGAAAATAAAGAGGAAGTTGTTCAAACTGGTCAGCGACTTGATCGAACCGTTCCCCCATGGCATCCAGACCGATGCCGGCGAACTGACTGAGCATCACTTTCGCCATCCGAACATTGTTCAGTTCGAACGAACCCCAGAGTGTATTCGCACCTTGCATGCAATAATCAAGCGAGAGTTGCGATAGCACTGTGGTTTTCCCAACGCCGGTCGGTCCAGAAAAGATGGTGAGCTCGCCGCGACGGTGACCCTTCAGCAGACGATTAAGTCCGGGCAAGGTCTGACTCTGGAGGCCACGAACCTGCACAGGATTCGCCAACTCTCGCTGGACATCGGCCCGCAGGTCAGCAAACGTTACGATTCGCTCGTGCGGCACTGGACGTGCTCGCTCGATCATGGCGAAGAGGTCGCGCTGCTGCAAAAGCGCCTCGTTTGCGTCCTTCGGGCCGCTTCCATTGCCGCTTCCAACAAGAAAGCAGCGTTGCAACCCGAGCTTGTGTGCGAACTGCCTCGCTCCATCGTGTCCAGGGATATCGTCATCGAGCCAGAGATAAATCCGCTTGAAACGCTCCAACCAGGTGAGAAGCGCAGGAGGCAGGGATCGAGCGCCGTTCGGAAGCGACACCGCACTGAGGCCCGTTGACTGGTGCACCGCCATCGCGTCAAACTCGCCCTCAGTCACCACGAGACACTCTGCATCCGCAGGGACAAGATGCATACCGAAAAGACCCCAGTAGCCACCACGCGGCTCCAGTCGCATTGCCGACTTGCGCAGCACAGAACGGATCTTCAGCCGCAACACGCGTGATGGCGGTGGAACACTGGAGTCCTGGCAGGCGCTCTCTTCGCTGCCGAGATTGGACCCTGCAGGGTTCGGGTCACGTCGGTGGTCTAGCTCCACCAGCGTTGATGGAGCACGCGTGGTAAGCCATTCCGGCTCTATCCACGGGAAGGTGATGCAGTCGTGCTCGGACCAGATGTCTGCGGTGCTGCCGCTATCACGAAAACGAAAGCGGCCGGCTCCGACGCGGAACTTGCGTGCAGTTGCGAGTTGCAAGCCACGGGATTTCAGGAACTGTTTGACTGCGTCACTGCTCTCTAGGCGTGCTTCGCACTGAGCTGCAAGAGCCGCATCAACCACAGGCAACTGCTCCGTTGCCACTGAGTCTATTTGTGACGTATTAGCGCTCACTGACGCCGCTCCTGAATCCGCGGGGCGAGCACTTGTTGGATGCGCGCCTGGAGCAAGGTGCGCGTTTTCAGGAAACTGACCTCTCCAGCTAAGTGGTTCCAGGATATCACCAAAACTTCGTTTCAAGTCCCAGTGGTTGCCTTTCGCGCCACAGCGATGGCAGAAAAACACGCCACTAGACGTATGGACGTAAAGTTTGAACATGTTGTCCGCCTTGCCGCGCACGGGCGGGCAAAAGGGACAGATGCGGACCACTGCGTGCTGGTCCATCATACGGACCTCGAGGCCTTTGTCTTCGAGATAGCGTACCATATGACCCGGGGGCAGTTCGAAGAATTGGGAAACAAACGGTGTTCCCGTGGGCGTCTCTCGTATCGGGGGGCGCGTTCGACGCTGAGGCCAGCGAGCCACTGCGGGCCACAGCGCCGCAGCTCTCAGATCGCGGAGACTCCAAGCGTTGCTGACACCTCGTCGCAGGGCGTCATGGTCGCTGTTTGTGTAGTTCAAGGGCTCACCATAAATTTCCGGCGGAAACAGGTCTGCTGGTGGTGCGCCAGCGTCCGCTGGCGTTGGATCGTTCGACGCCTCTCGTCGGGCAGCATTATCTGTTGTCGGTCCGGGAGAGCCTTGGTTCGCTTTGTCCGAGCGCAGTGTACGCTTCAAACGCACCGGTGTGCTGCCCGCTCTCTTCAGTGAAAAACTATGGGCTAGAAACGAACGAACAGGTCCCAGGGACGGAAACAGCTGTCGCGACAGCGAAACCCACTTCCACTGCACAAGTCGCGCTCCATCTTTCCAGTATGTCATTAGCTCCTTGGCATGGCGAAGGTCGTGTCTGCCGCACTCACAGCCACCGAAGTACAGTTAATCAAGTTAACGTTGCGTACTTGGTCGTGTCGATTCGTACAGGCCGCTAGGAGTCGTTCGCGTTACCGCCTCGTGCAGAAAGTCGACCTGGGCGGGCACCCAAGTTGCGTACTGCGATGCTGCATCTGAAGCTGTATATAATTGTAGGTTTCTGGACAGAAAGACTTTGCTGCTGGATTGTGTGGAAGATGTATCATTTAATGGATATTTGGCAGACAATTGTCCATGATATACACATCTGGAATTAGGTTCTTTTCTGTACAAAATGGTTCAACGAGTGCCTGGCTCAGCGCGCAGTCGCTGCATCGATTGATTCCAGTTTTATTCGGCAACGCTACTGTTGAAGCCGCCGCTGTCCCTGCAGAGCAACGGAGTCGCGTGGGTTTGTGTATGGGATATGCGCTGGAGCGTGCGCTGTGAAACGCAACCATAGACGATCCTCTCGTAAAGCTTGCATACCAGGTCTGTAAGCGGCACGCACGGCGTACAGGTCACTGAGCCCACGCAGCAGCGCGGGCGACGGCCACCGTGGTCTACCTGCGTACTCCCGCAGACCAGCCGCTTCGTATAGAACGCTCGTGCCTGGTGATAGCCGTGCTCATCACAACGCATATTCAACGCGTTTGAACAGTCCGTTCGTTCCGAGTTCATACAGCAACCTTGCTCGGGGAAGATGCACGTTGCACTGAACGCCTTCGAGGGGCTCACGTGGGAGTCGCGCGCTCGAGTGCTTCTCGCAGCCGCTCAGGTGTCGTTACCAGCGGACACCGGTGCCTTTCTGCAGCAGATCCGTGCAGCTTTGGAGGCGCTGGATCCTCGGCGACTAGAATCTCCGGACGAGATCGCGGGTCTTTTGAAGAGTCAGAAATTGTTTTCTGGTGATCTGGAGCCGGTTCACCTCGACCAAATGCGTCTCCATTCTGTCGCATATCTGGCACCGTCGCGGGTTGAGCTGGTCGGCAGCTACGCGCTGGGTACGGTGGTTGCGCTGCCTGAGCCGCCGCTGGTTGACGTTGCCTTCGAAGTTCCGCGGAAATTCTTGCTCGAAAAGGATTACCTCGATGGACGGTACCACGTCAGGCGGCTTGTGTATCTCGCAGAGGTTGTTCGACAACTTCGCGACCGTGTTCCCGATCTTGAAGCGACTTGGGTACCATCGAATTCTTTCACGAGATCCGAGAATCCGCTCCTGCATGCCGCGTTACAGAAACCAGTAGTCGTGCTCTCATCTCCGAAGGTATCTGGTAGGATTCGCTTGTTGCCTGCCCTAACTCCTGATAAGTTTCCGAAGCTGATGCAGCGCCCTGAGCTATACTGCTTTCGAGCATTTCAAGATTTGCCGCAGGAGAATGAGCGCATTGCTCTGAACACGCATTATGTCAACAGCATCCGCAGCGACTGGAGCATCTGGGCGGATTTTGACTTGCTTGTGGCGACAACCAAGCGCTACGCAATTGTGTCGGATTGTGTGCGTCTCCTCAAACTCTGGTCAGCGAACCGACAACTGACGCTGATAGAACCCGTGGAGGCGGCTCGCAGGCTCGTATCGGGCCACGAACTCGCTCTGCAGACTGCTCAGCTGGTGGAACAGGGCGAATTCCCTGCTCACGCCGCCTCCCTGAGTCGACTGGTGTTGGCAGTGTTCCGAGCGATACGAGCTCGCCTGCCTGTCGAACCCAGTATCGTGCGGGTTGAAGTGGAAGCAGCGCTGCGCTCGTTTGCGAGTCGATTGCGTGAGCTGGACCAAGTTGGCGGCATTTACTACACGCTTGCTGGCTGCTGCATGGAGCCGCTCGCGTACTTCGATAGCATCTTGCAGGTAACGCAGCGACGATCGGCGAAACGAAACCCACGCGATGCTACTCTCGACACCCTTCGAGGAGAATGGTTACAGCGAGTGTTTCGAACGCTGCGCCGAGCGCTCGGTGATCGTGTGGCGTATCTGGGGGTGCTCCCACGAAGACAGCACGCGAATACCAACTTCGTACAGGTCGGCATCAAATGGCAGCCACAAAATATGTTGCGAACGATTGATCGTGACCCCGATGAGCAGTTTTGGGGCAGCGGGCGTCTCGAATGGCGTCGCTTCCGATCCGGGGAGATTTTGCATTGCCTCGTGTGGGCCGAGTCCAGTATTGAACGCTTCCAGATACCCCAGCGAATTGTGGATGCAGCGCTGAAGAAGGAGCCAGATGCACAGGCCAAAGGGAACACGCTCTGGTTGCTCGAGGAGCGACACACGCCCGGGCTTTGGACCCGCGAACACCTGGACCTCCGCCGTTGGCGCTACGTGAAGGATCCCCGCTCGCTCGCATTGTATCAGGCCCGTTGTGTACTTTTGGGAAAGATGTATCAAGCGCTTTGCCAGCTTCTCATGGACGCAGACGGTGCGATTGGTATCAGCAAGGTCTTGCCGCTGCGGGTACAGGCCGTGCACGTTGCGGTGAACGACGGTGAATGGCTCCGCCATACCGCAGTGGAATGGCCGGAGCTCCAGGAGAACCTCCAGGGACGATGGGCGAGTCGATACCGTCTCACCGCACACGTCGAGCTGGAGAGCACCCATTTATGGCCCGATGCAACCGAGTCAGCGGATGCCGCTCAGGCAGTTCGAGTTGCTTTCACGATTGCGCTGTATCGCGCACTGAAACGAGGTCTGCGGAAGCACGCAGAACGCTTACCGGTGCCAGTGCGTTTCATACAGGCCACCAGACATGGCGACCTGCTGCTGCTGCTGGGCTGCTTCCCCATCCGTCTTCGAGTCTGTTCGGCCGCTGAGGCTGTTTCGATGTCCGCTGCGTTTCGCCTTCACGCTCAGCTATCATCGATCTCGAGTCGATTCCCGGCTTTTGGGCCAACAGCACGGCTCGCGAAGCGCTTTCTCGCTGCGCATGGTCTTGTGGATCTGGCGGGTATCGACGGCTTGTCTCCTGCCGCAGTGGAATTGCTCTTATCGCGTCTTTTTACCGATCCGCTCCCCTGGGGAGACTGTCCGGCGACTGCCTGGGGCGGCCTCGTTCGCTTCCTGCACCTGATCGCCAAAACTGAGACGGCGTTAACAGAGCCGCTGGTGATCCCCATTTTGAACCTGTCCGAGGATGAGCCACCCTGGTATCCAGAAACCGGTGGACTCGAGTCGTCTGTCGCTTCCAAGCATTGTTGGCTCCGTTTGTGTACTGCAAGCGATCCTTGTGGCACGTTGCTCACGAAGCAAGTCGCTGCGGAAGTTGTTCGTCGTATGAGATTGGTGTGCAGGGCGGCCTTGCAACATCTGGGTGACGCCCTGCACCAGGACGGCGGCCTAGAGCCAGACCATCTCGGGGTCATCTTCCGTCCGCCTCCGCTAGCTTCATTCTGTGATCTGGTGCTGGAGCTCGAACACGCTCTGGTGCCCGAACAAGTCATCGTAGACTCCGGCCTGGGTGTAGCGGACCGTGAGGTGCACGCTCCTGACGAGTTGCGGCAGCGTTTCGGTATCGCGGACGCAACCACAGAGCAATGGCTTGTTGGTTTCGATCCGATCGGTATGTATCTCCGTTGGTTGCGAGAGATGTTCGGAGACCTCTGGGTGTTTCTGTACGACGCCTATGGAGGCCGCTGGATTGGGGGTATCTGGCGCAGCGCAGCGTCGCAACCAGCCCTGTCCCTAGATGTTAGCCGCACAAGCTATCGTCGCGTGGTCAAGTCTGGCGCGCGCATACCAGCCGACTCGCGACTAGAATGGAACTTGCCTGAAATACTACATGACATGCATGCTGTTGGCGCCGGACTTGTGCGGGAAATTCGTCTTTGTGGACAACTCACTGGTGCGTGCAGCGGATACTGAGCAACCTCGGGTAGGCGACGCCCTCAAGAGAGGTGGTCTACGCTCCCAAGCCTGGCCGCACAGCCGCGCATAATGCCCGAAGCATCCCATGCGGTCGAAAAGTGAGGCATCGTGGTAGATGATGCACCGACTGGCGACACCCCTGGACTTGTTTCGAGCCGCATTCCTCACCATTAAAGCACGGAAACTGCTGAACGCATTTCCGTATATCGCTGCGCTTGTGGTAATAGAGCGGTGCTGTTTCTCAGAGAAGCCTTTGGGCGGCGCGTCGTTGCGTACGCTTTCCGGGATACAGTGGATCCAGCTATCATTTGGGTCAACCGAGCTCTGGTCGCGTCGGAAGTACCCGCGCTGGACGATTTGCTTGAAGCCCGACCAAGAGCCTCGCCTCGAATATTGATCGTTTTTTAGCAACGCGCTCGCCCGTTCGCACACACTCTAGAGAACAGACGAACTTGGGTGGCAGTTTCAGGAGTGCAACGCTGCCAGTATATGGAACAGTGCCGCCGGGTCCAATGCCTCACAAAGTCGCGGACGCCTTGCGGTAATAAGGCGGCCACAGATCATAACCGAATCGCTCGTAATCCTCGGCGTACAATTTTCTAACCCTTTGCGCCAGACGTTCGTTCACGTGCTTGTGCAAGAGGCTTGCTGCGCTCTGGGAGTGCAGGGTATTCCGGCCGCTCGCTTGTGCTCGCTTCCGCATGGATTCGTGCCACTCGAGACCGGCCTGACCAAACATATCCACGTAAAACTTTCGAAGTGACTCGGGTTCATCTACTTTTCCGATACAGTCGAAGAATGTCCGAGGCAGCATGCGAAAAAGGCAGAAGCCCGACTGTGGGCGCCAATGTTCGTCGAACGGTGTCAGATCTGGGGTCATGGTCTTTGCAGCCTCTTCCAGGTAGTCCACAAAACGTTCAAACGAGTGAGGGTATCGATTTTTCAATGGATATCGTTCCAGTTCGCGTCCAGCTTTGACTTTATCAAGGTAAGCCGACAGCAAGCGTGTAAGCGGATGGCGCACCAGGGCACCAAACTTCCACGATGGATCCGAGAGCACTCGAAGAAGCTCCTCGTCCTGCAAATGAAGGAGCTGCGTCAAGTTTGCGCGGCCTTGCGGATGAATCAAGTGGATTTCATCGGCATCCAGGGGGTCCAGAACCACCCCCAGCGTTTCCCGCAAAGCAAATGCACGTGCGGCAGTACAACCGGCTTTCGGTATCGAGCAGAGCAGGCGCTGTTGTTTCGCGAATACGATAACGCCAACAAACGATTGCTCCTGTTCCCGACGCCAAAGATCAGAAATATTCTGAAAATACTCTGCAAGCGGTTTTTCATTGAAGAGACTTGCAAGCACTGGGGCTTGCCAGGAAAAGTTTACTGTGTGAGAACGATACTCACTCGGAGAAGATGTTTCGAGTCCGGGCGACGGAACCATGAGGGTTTGCAGCACGCGGTGCGAGGCCAGGATCAGAAGCAACACCCAGAAAACGGTGAACCAGAAAAACCACCGAAACCATAAATGCATATCTATTTCCTCTACACCGACACGTTGCTTTCCAGGGAAACGAGTGGGAAGATCGTGTTCCCTCACTCGCCTAATACAAAGCGCCAATGGCTGCAGAAGCGCTGGTGCGGAGTACGCCGCACGCACGCACCAAACGCCGTTCGAACTTGAACGACGTCGGGCGTGTACAGTAGTGGCGGGAAAACCGTCTTAGATTAGAAGTCTCCAACTGACGTGCAGATGCCTCCGCGCCTTTTTGGATCGGCCACCTCCTACTGCTTCCAACTTTCTCTCATATAGTTCGACTTGGACAGATTGTTCAATAAAGTGCTCTCTTGTCTATGATGGAGGTCTCTTCTCCAGTACCGCACATCTCCGTATATTGATAGCGGCGTTAAAGTCACGGTTCACAAATTCCATACGTTTCGTGCCGTTGGGAGTTGCACTTACTAATGCAAGTAGTCCACGAATTTTTGCCCTCCTTTCCATTTGCTCCTCCGTCAGTGGTCCGTACTTTGCTATATCCTCAGGGCTCCGCTGGCACTTTTCCATCTCCACCTTCTGAAGTATACACCCCAGCTCATGGTGTGTATACGATGCTCGAAACTCAACTATCGATACTGCAACAAAACGCCGTGCACACTCTTTGTACGTTCTCGTTGTTGGAGCTGGTGTACACCCTTTTCGGATCTTCCAGCGCCCTGCTCCGTACGCTACGACGAGCCTCTGACTTTCATCCTCCTTCAGGGCGCTCAACTCATTACAAAAATTCGCGAACACCCGCTGCTTCCCACAGTATAGATTCATTCGCAAACGAGCCCAGCGGGGCTTGGTATACTCCTCTCCCAGCGCATCCCAGTGGGCAACACGAACTTCCATGAATTTCCGAAAAGCCTCAAAGTCCGCTCCTCGCCTAGTCACCTCGCTCAAAGCTTCCAGGTGATCCTTCATTCCTTCATTCCAAGCCTCAATTTTCTTCCTTGCATTCATTGTACCGGATTCTCGATAGTATCTTGCTCTCGAGCACCTCAAAAGGCGCATGTCCTTCTGACGCAAGTTACCATCAGTACCATCTTCTGCACGCTTCGGTGCTGCGATGGTTATGATATGTGTGTTTCCGGGGTCCGCGCCAACGACAAAGTCGTTCCCCTGCACTTTCTGCACCGCAGGACCCGCCTTCTTCGTTTCCTCATGCTTCGCCGCGCCAACCATAAAGGCGTTATCCTGCACCTCCTGCATCACAGGATCCGCCTCCTTCTCATCTTCATGCTTCGCCGCGCCAACGACAAGATCGTCATCCTGCACCTCCTGCGCCACAGGACCAGCCTCCTCCTTTTCTTCATCCTTCGTGACGGGCGCAGCCGAGGGCGGAACTGGCCGATCTTTCTTCAACCACCGATAGTGTACATACAATGCTACTCCATCGGTTTCAATCACCCCAGTGAACAACTTTTGCTTGCTCGTTTTGAGACGTTTGAAATTGAAGGTGTTCTTCCAGTAGGTTTCCCGGTTTTCACCGGTGAAGTCCTCCCTGCTAACATCGAACTCCGGACTGTTCTCCCTCATGATGCCGTAGAGGACGCCGGAATCGATACTCACAAAGTGTGACTTGATGTTGCATAACGGAACGACGTTGAAGCGCTTCCCCATTCGGACAGCCTTCCGTCTCTCCTACTCTTCATTTGTCTCTTCACTCAGCTTCATTTCCGCCTTGCGTTCGAGTTCACAGTCCAGAAACACGAAATATCGCAGGATGAAGCGATAGTATCTTTCCTTATCTTTTTTCAACTCTGATATCTTGTCTGTTGGATACGCCAACCCCAGTACCGCACGGTGCTCTTGTACAGCCGCACGGATTACAGAAGCTTAATTCGTGCACGCGTTTGATGCCTTCTTGTCGACAAATTCGACCTCATCTTCATGCCTGCGATCGTTCGTGATGCCGTTGATCATCGCCCCTTTCCCATTGCGCGAGATGCCCGGGTAGAGTGCAAACACGGCGCGTATCATGAAACGTTCGAGGTTCGTTGTCAAATGGTTCTTCAGGTTCGTGAGGTACTTCATCGCCCCATAGCTGTAAATATCCCGGTCACCCTTGTACCGAGTACCGTTGAAGCTGTAAAAGGGATGTTTTTTCGTGGAGGCCATGGACTAGCCCATTTTCCTTCCGCGATTCCTCTGTACCAAGTATCAGCTGACCTATACACGTCTTATCGAAAAACTCGTCCGGAATCTCGACCGTTTCCATGTGCATCACATCACGATACATCTCCCTCACCAAATGCATCAGTCCTGACGACGCCTTGACAATACTCTTGGTGTACGAGTCGACACGTTTTACGATAGCGTCTCGCAACAATTCCCTGTGGGGATCCTTGATATGTCCAAGAAGGAAGGTTTTCACCACCTTCTCGTTGTACAGTCGTCTTTCTTGCCGCCTTCGACGTAGGGCCTCTCCCTTTCGGTTCTTCTTCTATTCCTTTTCTCCTGGACTCGGCACTGTTTTTTGTTTTTTCTGGCAGCCTGCGACCCTGGGCCTCCAGGATCGTGGACATGCTTTTCCATAGCTTTCCTTTTTGTTTTTTTTTTGAAGAAGAACGCTCTTTGAACCCTTCTGTTATATACTGCAAAAAAACACTAGACTAGAGTTGTTTGAAGTTTGAAACAAAAACGAACTGAAAGGCTGTACTTTGCAATGACCTCAACGAAAATACAACTTTTAGAACAGAGCTACACGAATGAGATCGAGATCGCGTCTCTCTTCAACGACGGCACGCACATCGTGTCAGTTAACTGCGCGATCTCCCAAGCGCGCTCGCTATGCGCAATGCGTGCACCGCGCGAGACGCTACTCGGATCGATGAAGGACACGTGTTCGACGCCGCATTGGCACATGCGCGTTAGCATCGCACTGGAGCTGAAATAAAGTATCATAGACCGGAAACTCACGTGGAACGATCTCTTGCTATAAGCTATGTCGCTCGTGCACATCGCAGTACGGACCTGACATACATGGAGATGTAGGGGCCTGGCACGATACCCCTCGACGCTTCTATCAAAAGCGTAGTCGCGGTAGCATCTTACGCTTGTGCGGGTAAGGTATGCATCACACCAGCTTGGAAGGGTTTCGTTCGGTTTATTGATCGTAAATAAAGTAGGCACAGTCGTATAACCAAGTATGAATATACGTTTATTCTCTATCCTTGTTATGCATGCAGCGCAGACGCTGGAATAAGGAACTGACCTGAATTTTGCTTCTATCCTGCGTTATGTTCCGGAACTGATGGCACTTCAAGTCATTTCCATGCTACCGTCATTGTCCAAGTTATGGTGCCCGCTACTCTCCCGGATCCGGTGATCTCCGCAGAGGTAAAGCACACACATGTACCGTCCATACCTGCCATGACGTTTGAGCCTTGCGTCTCGCCTGGCACCATGGAGGCACCAGCACCACAGCGCCCCGTACGCGCTAGATCGCAACGAGTCTCTCGCGAAGCGCATTTTGCTGACACACCGGGGTTTCGATGGATCACGGATCCAAGTGCAGATCCCTCATGTGGCATGGAGGCATGGTCCATGCATGCAGAGGAGTTATCCGTATGTCGTTGCGATTTGTGCGCTTCCACACAGGTGGCCCCAAGTATCGAACAGAAGCGTATGCAGAACGCTGCAGCACTGTCGTTGACAAGTATCGCTACAATATGGGGCCTTTAAAACCGTCAGGTACGCTGGCTTGTTTGCGTTTCTGTCGGACGAAGGTTGGTGACTTGGTTGTTAAAGAGGCAGCATGGCGTGAGCAGAGGCCGCGGTACTCGCGCAGGCACCATGACCTTCGGTTGGAGCCATAGGTGTGGGTCAGCGTCCCGAAAAGCGATCTGAAGAACAACGTCTGTGTTATGGGTCGAAAGCGGCTGCTTTTGTACACCACTGGGCGCAGCAAATAACGACACTTTAAGAACGATGCTCGCATCTCTGCAACGGACCCGGTTTGAGGCGACTGCCCCTGCAGGCACACGATTCGCCACGCGGTTGCGCTTCTGATCGATGTTGTGCTCGATGAGCGTGGTCACGCATTGCGACCGGTAAATAAGAGTATCTTTCCTTACGTTCAAGACTGGCATGCAACCGCGTTTGTGCTCACTAAATGTCTTATTCCAGAACCTAGTTGCACCTGTCGGAACAAGCATTTCGTTCAGTTGCTGGGGTGCGGCTGGTGCATCATTGTGGTTTGCAACGCGCTCTAGAAAGACGCGCTTCCGGTGCGCACTGCCGAGTGCCCGGCGGGTAGCGAACGAACGCAGCGTCTCTTATGAGTGACGAGAATCCGTGCGTAGCGCTGCTCGTTCCTCTCCGGACTGGAACGCTGGTGTCAAAGGCGGTGACTCGCAGACGGGAATCTAGTGCTCGTCGCAGGAACCGTTGTGGCACTAGACCGCACAGCTCCCATGACGCTGCTATACGCAAACACGCTGAAGGAGTCAGACGACGTTCCCTATGTCAAATTTTGCACCAGGACGCGTCCAGATGTTGCCACTACCGCATGTAGATTTCGAGCTCGTTAAAAAAAGAACCTTCTGGCCCTGCCAGCTTGGCGGATAGATCCCATTGCCAGATGCGTTCACCCGAATCCAAGCGAATGGACGCGGCCATCGAAAAATGCATCACGTGATCGCACATCTCGACAGGTGAGCCACCTACCTATGCAGGCATTAGAAAATGCATCAAATAACGGTACTGATCGACAGGTGAGCAACCCACCCGCGCCTGCATCAGTATACGCATCACGTCATCACACACGGTACCGGAGGTGAACCTTCGGCGCGGTTAAGATTCCGCTCAGGTATTCCAGGCGAGACAGACGGGTACTCTAGCGAGATCGCTGTCAAAATCCTCAAGAACCGGACAGGGGGCATTATCATCCGAGCGCGGGTATCAGCGACTCACGAGAGCGCGCCATCTGCATCCACCTCATCCGGCCACAAGTCATAGCCGAAATTGATATAGTCTTCCGCGTATAGTCGCTGGATGCGCTTTGCTAGGTCCTCACTAACGTACGCCCGCAGCTTGGCATTCGCGGATCGCGCATGTGCGGCCTGCTGACGATGCGCTGCGGCTCGTGCGTCTTGATCCTGGACCCAGCGGCGTCCGTCCTCGTCGAACATATCGATAAAAAGTTGTCTCAACGCGCTGCGATTCTCAACTTTCACGACGTAATCATACAATTGACGGGGTATAAAACGAAAAAGACAAAACCCCGACTGAGGTCGCCAGTGCTCATCGACCCAGTCCCAGTTTTTCCGATACCGACGTGCAACGTCTTCCAAGATGCTTACAAAATGCTCAAACGATGTTACAGGTTGCCGCTGCAGTGGACGACGCCAAAGTTCCCTCTGGCCAACAATTTTATCCAAGTACGCTGATAGGAGGCGTGATAGAGGGTGTCGCACCACAGCAGCGTACCTCCAGTCCGGGTGCGTCAGAGCATAATGAACCTGGTCGTCTGAGAGTGACCCCAGCTGCAGCAGGAAGCGTTTGCTGACGGGATGAATATACGAGAAATTCTGCGCATCCGTCGGATTGAGCTCAACGTTCAGCTGCTTGCGCAGGGCGAACGCCCGCAGGTTCGTGCACGCAGCCTTCGGAATACTACAGAGCAAGCGTTTCTCTTTCGGAAAAACAATGACCCCAACGTAGCTGAGTTTCTGCTCCACTCGCCACTCTGGCTTCAGTTTGAGGCTGATGTTGTGCTTTCCGTTCACAAGACGTTCCGCTGCCGACGGAGTTGCGGGCCCTATCGATCCCTGTCCGATAGTTGTGTCCGTTCTCTTTGGGAGCTGCTCAGATGAGAGTGGGCCCCACAGCGCGGAGCGTGAAGCAATGTTGAACGCCGTTGACGCCACAGCCAGGCACCACAAAATGAAAAGCACTGTCAGCACCTGTCGCCAGCTCAGCCTCGAAGACATAAACAAACGTATACCCATTCGGCGACTGCGTACTAGCGAAACCCAGCTCATACTATAGTCGCTGGTCCCAGCTAGCGAGGTTTCCCTTCCAACCGTTCAACGCCGACGGAGCGTTTCAAAGGAGAAATAGACAATTTTGGTGGCGCTGCTGACAACTGCGCGCTGGCTCCGTGCCCTCAGTCGGTGGCCTGCGCAGCAGCGGGTGCTGTTCGATCGCGCTGCGATGGTGGCGGCGAGGCGGCGTCTGCCGCAGGCTGCAACGTTTGCCGTGGATGCATCCGGCTAACGTGCCAGAGCGGGTGACTGACGAGGTTTTTGTTGCTCACCAAGGAATATCGGTAAAAGTGACAGGGATCCGCTTTGTGTGTGACAGATGACAGTGATTCGTGGAGAAGCTGGGTTGCTTCCTCAAGTGCTTCGATAGGCCGGATCAGCCGCACCGCTTTTCGGATCGGGGTACAGAACTGCACTCCGTAAATTGGTCGTGTGGGTGTCAAGTCAGTCTGGGGTACGTTTCGTTGTAAGATCAATGGGCTTAAGCAGGTTGTCTTTGGGTGTGGACATACGATTGGAAACAAGGGAAAGCGTTTCAATCTACACGCAGACGCTTCTGTGTGCTTCTCAGTAGTCAGAGCCGTGTTTCGCTGAGGTGTAGCAGCTAGATCGATCGAGCGTTGCTTCGGATACCGAGCGTGCGTCCAGATGCTTGCCGGAGTCCTGGATACGACGCCGCTGCTGCCGATGCCGCGGTTGCTCCCTACACTCGTATCAGATAGAAAAAATGGAACACGGAGCTAGACGCTCTTTTCCCGCATTTCGATTTCGTTTCGGGACTTTTTTTAGGCTTACCCTCCCGGAATTCGAATTGCCGCACTAAAGATTGTAGAGTCGTAGATGGTTTCGGGATTCTCGGTCGTGGCGATTGAGAGGATCGCTGAACGCTGTACTGCTGGTATTTGTGACGTCACCGGAATCAAGATGATTCGCTATGCACTCGAAGACGGATTCGTAAAATAACCGACATCATTATCCAGTGCTTACGGACGAGCCCCCGCTCTTCTATTCTTCTTACGTATCGCATGGTAAAACCTCTTATTCTTCAAGTTGTCGATATTTCGTTTTCAAGGCAACCCATGGGTGCAGCAACTCGTGCCACGGGATTGAGGCGGACATGCACTCCAACTCGTCCCTTGAAGACGTCTTCTCCACATGACCATGCCGGCATTTCACTGAACTTTTCTCGCTAAATGATCGATTTCGTTCAAACCAGAAATGCATCTCCGGTTCAGGCCACCGACGAAGCGGCATGCAACAGCAGCATGGTACCTCTGAGATAATACGCTGCCGAGACACCGCCATCACTTTTGTAAACATGGAAGAGACTTCTAGAATCGAAATTTAGCCATCGCATCGATCGCTTCCAGTTCAGATTGCTTCTGCTTCTTGCATAAGAGCGGCGTCGACAGATAGAAATTTCTCGACATGATCTCCAGCTTGGATTGCCCTTTTGGTAATTGTTTCACCATGGAAAACGCTGCGTTTCAAGAATGGTCTATCGAACAGAGCAGTGTGCGCTTGTGCATGTAGTGAACAGCGTACTCGCCGCGAGATCGCCCAGAAGAAGCACATGATCCGAAGGGCATCATACCGTGCTCAAAAGTGAGATGCGCATCGAGGCGGGCCTTCTGTATGCGTCAAGGGCAGGTATCGAGCGATGATGCAAGCGTTCACGCCCCACATGTTGGTTCTCGGAGTTCGGCATACAGCGGATACATAGGAGCATGTGACCATATTCAAGTATCGCTGCCGCGAAACGCGCACCGAAGCTGTATACAAAGAAAATTCGTAGACCGCAACTTCCACCTGGGCATGATATGTGTCGGCAACCGCCGCAAGCAGCGAAACGGCCGGGACAGGAAAGATCAGCTTACGTAAAGCCGGAGATAACAGAGAGGCAAAGAAAATAGTCACAAAACCTGTCCAGAAAGGCTGGCGTTGATGGCAATGAGAACAGCGTCCCAAAACTGTATTGTGTACGCCCGTAATCGTGGACTCGTTCCATGGTAGTCTTCTGGGGATGTAGCGACGACAGCAGCGTCAAAGAAATGTCGCACCGCTTCACGCGCAATGTCCGACGATCATGAGAGGTAAATGAATATCCACTCGCAGACGCCTCCCAGTCTTTCTCGACCGGCCTGCTTCTGTCGGTTTCAGCATCTCCCTATACATTTCGACGCTGAAAGGCTGTCCAGCAAAGTTGGCTCGCGTCTGCTCCGCGGGTCTCTTCTTCAGCACCGCGCATCTTCGGATACTGATAGCAGCGATAAGGTCTCGGCTCACAGACTCCATGCGTTTCTTGCCGCCGCCTGTACACGGCAATGCGAATAGGCCTCGAACTTTCGCCCTCCTTCCCATTTGCTCTTCCGTCAACGCTCCGTACTTTCTTACATCCTCGGGGATCCGCTGACGCTTTTCCATCTCGACCCTCTGAAGTGTACACATCAGCTCGTGGTACACGTAGGACGTTCGGAACTCATCTGTAGGTATCGTGACGAAACGCCGTGCGCTCTCCTTGTACGCTCGTGTCGACGGAGCTGGCGTAGTCCCTTTTTTCGACGCCCAGCGCTCTGCCCCGTATGCAACACGAGCCTTTGACTCTCGTCCTCTTTGAGGGCGTTCAGCTCGTTGGAAAAGTTGGCGAATGCACGCTGCTTCCCACAAAAGAAGCTGATACGCAGACGAGCCCAACGGGGCTTTGTGTACTCTTTCCACAGCGCCTCGTACTGAGAAACGCGAACTTTCACGAATTCCCGAAAAGCTCGAACGTCCGCCCGACGGCTCGTCACCTGGCTGATCGCTGCTAGGTGTTCTTTGACTCCTGAGTTCCACTTCTCACTCTGTATCCTTGGATTCCTTACCCAGACTCTCGGTAGCACCCAGCGCTTGAGAACCTCAAAAGACACATGCCTTTCTGACGTAAGTTACCTTCAATGCCGTTTCCCCCGCGTTCGAGTGCTGCGATGGTCACGGTATCCGTGTTCTCGGGGTCCGCGCCAACGACAAAATCGTTGCTCTGCACCTGCTGTGCCGCAGGGCCCGCCTCCTTTTCTCCACGCTTCGTCAAAATCGACAACAAAAACGGAATAGGACGATCCGCCTTCAACTGCCGATCGTGCACATACATGGCTACTCCATCGGTTTCGATGACGCCTGTGAATACCTTTTGCTTGCTCGCATGGAAACGTTTGAAATCGAAGATATTCATCCAGTATGTCTCCCGATTTTCGGCGTTGAACTCTATGTTCCTTACATCGGACTCTGGACAGACCTCCTTCATGATGCCGTCAACGGCTGTGGAGTCGATAGTCACGAAATGTGATCTGATGTTGCACATTGGAACCACGTTGAAGCGCGTCCCCAGAAGCGCCGCCTTCCCTCTCTCTTACTCTTCATTTCTCCCTCACCCAGCTCCTTTTCGGCCTTGCGTTCGAGTTCTCAGTCCAAAAACACGAAATAGCGCAGGATGAGGTGATAGTATCTTTCCTTATCTTTTTTCGTATGTGCAACCTTTTTGCTGGGTTGACAAGCCCCAAGACTGCACGGTGCTCTTGTAGAGCAGCACGGATTCCAGAAGCTTCGTTGTTTCTCCTGCGTGATGTCTTCTTGTCGACGAATTCGATCTCATCTTCACGCTGGCGATGGTTCGTGACGTCATTGATGAAGGCCCGTATCCATCTACTAGACAGGTCCGGGTAGAGTGCAAACACGGCGCGTATCATGGAGCGTTCGATGCTCATGGTCAAGTGGTTCTTCAGGTTCGTGAAGGACTTTTTCGCATCGTAGGTGTAAATATCCGCCTCAGCCTCGTACCGTCTACAGCTGAAGCGATATTCGGCGTAATTCTAGTGGAGAACGTGCACTCGCTCGTCTCTCCTCGTCGTTCTCCCTGTTCCAAGCATCAGGTTGCTGATATATATCATATGGAAAAATTCCTCCGGAATCTCGACTATTTCCATGTGCGTCAGGTCGTCGTGCATCTCGTTCACCAAATGGATTCGTTCTGACGAGGCCTTTATATTACTCATGGAGCACGAGTCGACACGGTTTCTGATGGCCTCTCGCAACTTTTCCTTTTACGGATCCATGACATGTTTAAGAAGGTAGGCTTTCGCCACCGTCCAGTCGTACTGTTGTCTTTCCCGCAGCCTTTTCTGCGTGGGGCCTCCTGCCTTTGCTTCCTTGTCCTCTACTGTTCCTCTAGACTCGGCACTGCTTTTTGTCTTTTCCGGCAGCTGGCAACAGCGGTCCTTAAGGATCCTCTATTTGCATCCCCATAACTTTTTTTATTTTTGAAAACGAACGCACTTTGAACGGATCTGATATGAACCGCGAAAAATCACTTGAATAAACTGAACTGAGGCTTGAAACACGATTGGATTGAAAGCGCACACTTTGCTATGACTTCAATGCAAATACAACTTGTACTTTAGAGCAACAAGCTAATGATCAGAATTGCATTTCTCTTCAACTGCGAGATACGAATCGTGTCTCATTCCTGCCAGATTTAGAGGTGCGCGGATCGACCGGGCTTTAGAAAAAAGAACAGATACGAACCACTAGCTAGGAAACACAAGTTCTTTGGCAATCTACGGTAAACGTTTCAAGGGGAAAAGGTGTCCACATTGTCGGAAGTTTACCTTCTACGCGGAAAGTGCCGCAAGCCGGACGAGTCTGCACGTCTTGCGCTTCATGCTCCCTCCAGTGTTGGGTGGTGTTGTAAGATATGAGCTGCTCTTGTGCAATCCGGTTTATTCTGGAATTCGGAGCAGGTATGCTGCGTCTGCGTGTTGCCCTGCTCGCAGGATTATCCGAGTGTATCGCTTCGCGCTGTCGCAGACACTGGGTCTGTATGCCGAGTTTCCAGACTCCTAGAATGATTATGTACTCAGACCCCGTGATGGGTAAACGAAGTCTCGAGACGATGCCCTAAGTGGTATGGCAAAGCCATTTTGTAACCGTGATGTTCGGCATCAGCGGTATAGGCGCTGATGTAGGTGTTCGTAGCAGATACTCTGCGAACGATAGAACGTACAAACCGGCCAATACATCCGAGAGGAGGTAATGGAACCTGGAGTCATGGTGCAGCAGTATGATGGACGCTTTCCCGAAAGCCATTATCCAATGATCCTGCAATCTAGAATCCTTGGTCAATGGAATGGTTCTGTCATCACCGTTAAGGATGCGCAGCCGGGGATCCTGGTCGTCGATGTTGCCTTGTTGTCCCGCAAACTTCATTGCCGAAGATCTGGTACTAAAGTATATAATTATGTCCATAAAGGATCCAGGTATCCCACATCGCCAAGGCGCTCTGGGCCGCGATCTCCCCGGCGCCGCCTTGGGCGCAGCAGAGCGCAGCGTCTGACGGACCGGGAGCATTAGCACTGGACGCGAAAGTTTAGGATTAGGATTGACGCCCGCAAGAGTACCTAGATCGTTTTTGTGCGTTGCATCCAAAGGCTAGCTATTCAAAGACTTGCGAGTATGGGCTTTGTCTCGGGACGTGCGCACAACGGCCGTGCGCTTTCCGGAAGCACGAAGCCAAATGACACAACGTGCTCTTGCTGTAGGGTCAGTGCCCTCTGGCGAGCAGGTCCAGGCCACAGACTTGCGAGGCGCAGTGCTATCGAGCGCGCGCTGCCACGGCCAGGAGTAGCTAGGCCTAGAGCCCGTTCAAAGGGAGCAGCACTTGAGGTGCAACTGCGCACTCCAGGTAGAGCGCCGTCACCCAGCGAGACCTTGGAACCTGACTCGAGTGTCTCGGAAAGGAACCGAGACGCCGGCGCGCTCCCAGCGCTAGACGAAACACAGCGTCAGGCTGCTTACCGGAAGCTGCGCGATCCTTGGTTCTATCCAAAAGGTACGCTGATGCGCACTTTCGGCTGGGCTTCTGTTCCGTCCATATGGGAAACACTTGCCGAAGCGTACAGCGAGATCACGGCTCTCATCGACGAGCATAATCCATACCGCCAGAAGATAAGCTGGACGTATGCGGAGGTTCACGAGGAAATCCGAGAGTTGGCTGCAGGTCTTCGCCACCACGGCCTAACGAACCTGCAACCGGGAGACATCGTTGCACTTTTCAGTGAGAATAGCGCACGCTGGCTCATAACCGATCAGGCGCTCATGTGGAATGGTGCGGCGTCGGCAGTGCGCGGGACTGCTGCACCGCTCGATGAACTCGCCTATATTCTCGAGCACAGTGATGCTTGCGGGCTTGTCGTTGATACGCCCACCGTATTGGAAAAACTCATTCGAAACGAACAGGCCACTCGCTGCCTGGCGAAACAGGTGCGATTTATCATGGTATTATGGAATAGAAAAGGTGCAATCGCGGAACCTATTCGTTCAGCGGTCGGGTCGGTTCCAATCTATACCTACGAGGAGGTCACGGAGACCGGGCGAGCGAAAGTGCGAGATGCCCTGAACCGTACGTCGAGATCGCCCGCAGACGCTGAAATGGAGCGGGCGCTTTGGCGTCCCATCGCAGAACGTGAGATGTTAGCGACGCTGGTGTATACCTCGGGAACGACGGGCCAACCAAAGGGCGCTATGTTGACCCATCGCAACCTGCTCCACCAAATCATGGCCAATTCTTTCTCCAGGGCATGGCGACCGCTGCTACCGTCGCAGGACGCATCCGCTGGAGACGTCATGGTGAATATTCTACCCTGCTGGCACATTTTCGAAAGAATCGGAGAACTTTACGCCCTGAGCCGCGGCGTCTCCATGGTATACAGCAAATTGTTGCACTTCAAAGAGGATCTCGCACGTCACCGACCCCATCTCCTTGTTGGGGTACCACGTCTTTACGAGAGCATTTATCAGGGAATCAAGTCGCAGCTGATGAAGCAGGGTCGATTCCGACGTGCACTGATCTTTGGCCTCTTGGGCATCAGCACTCGGTTTGTGCAGTGGCGGCGGATTCGAGACGGGGCCCTTTTTGATCGCCACGTCTCGACGCTGGAGCGCATATATGCAGGACTTTGGACGTTGCTGCTGTGGCCGTTGCATATGCTCGCAAACCTCATCGCATGGCGTCAACTGCGGCGTATGGCGCTCGGCGGGCGCGTGCGTACCCTAGTGAGTGGAGGTGGCTCCCTTGCCATGTTTCTGGATGACTTTTTCGAGGCTATCGGCGTGTTGCTAATCGTGGGTTACGGGCTCACAGAGACGAGTCCGGTTCTAGCCAATCGACTTCGAGAGCACAACATTCGCGGGACGACGGGGCTAGTGGTGCCCGGCACACAAGTCAAAATCGTGGATCCTGAAACGCGTCAGACCCTGCCACCGGGTCAGACTGGTATCATCTGTGCCCGGGGAGAGCAGATTTTCCAAGGCTACTACAAGGACCCTGCGGCTACTGCGCGCGTCATTGACAGTGAAGGATACTTTGATACTGGCGACCTAGGGTTCTTTTCGCAGTACACCGGTGATCTGGTGATTGCCGGCCGACTGAAAGACGTTATCGTGTTGAACAATGGCGAGAATATCGAGCCGACGCCCATTGAAGACGCGATGCTTGGTTCCGACTATATTGATCAGGTGATGCTCGTGGGCCAGGACCAACGGGCGCTCGGTGCTTTGATCGTGCCTAACCTGGAAGCACTGGCGGTGGACGGCCTTGTCTCCGCGGAGACACGTGAGCGAATTCAGTCACTGCAGCGACAACGTGCTAGCTGCGAACGTGCGGAGGCCGCGGCGCTAGACGCTGCGCTCGCTCGCGAGGCTGCAGCCATGGAGCAGGATCCACGTCTCAGGGAAGCGCTGCAACGAGAAATCACGAGTCGGGTGGAGGCTCGGAAAAACTACCTTGCGATTGAGCGGGTGTCACGTTTCCGGATTCTATTGACTCCATTTACTGTTGACGACGGGACCCTGACGCAAACGCTCAAAGTACGACGCAATGTGGTAGCAGAGCGCTATGCTGAGCTCATTCGTGCCATGTACGAGTCTTGAGGCGTGCGCGCTGGCGCTTCAACGGAAATGTGCAGTTCTACCGCAACCGTGAGCTGCATGATCCGGTTGCGCTCTTCAGTCAGTCTGCGTGCACGAGCGCTGCTGTGCTGTTTTGGCGCACAACAGCAACCTCTTCATCGCACCTGGAGAATACTTCGTCGATGAATAGCATCTCCATGCGTGAGCGTTCTATATCAGCGCTGTAGCATTCACCGCTTTTACTGAGAAATTCGCCGGCACCCGGGCACACAGCAACGCACCGGACCTGTCATATCATGCTCTGCCCCGAGGCGTCGCTCGTCACACACACACACATCCAGGGTGTTCCTTGTCCAGGCCTCACTTGAATAGGAGAATCAGCAGCGTATTCGCCTCTTATGCCAAGGAATTGCGCATGCATGCATCGGCCAGCTCCTCGTACATGCCTTTTCGGAGCGGATCGACCATTGGGAGCTCTTCCCCGAGGATACGCGCCGCTTCCTTGTGCTGTCCGAGGTTCATGAGGTGCCGAGCTTTGGCCTCTAACGCCCACCTCGCTGTAGGTTCAAGTTCTAGCAAAGCGTCCAGGAGATCGAGTTCCTTCTCCAGATAATGACGATGATCGTGAGCTTGATTTTGCGTGTGGGATGCCTGGTCGAGTTGTCGGTGCTGCTGCAGCTGCTCCATGCACCAGTGATAGTAAAACCAAACAGACTGATCGTTCGGTTCCGTATACATGACCTGATGAAGGGCATCGAGCTCTTCCAGCCAGTCAAAGTCTTGCGGTGCTTCCTTAACCGCTATGCTGCGATAATGATAAGCCGTGTAATTACAGCTGTTTTGATCCAGGACTGTGCGCGTGATGTGCAGCAGGCGCTTCCCCGCTGCTGCGCCCGCTACAGGTGCACCGCCTTCCCCGCACGACGACGATGACGACGACAAATCGAGGCCGATGCCCTTTGTCAGCGTCAGCACTTCGACCAAGTGGCGCCACCCGAGAAAGTTGCGATCATCCAGAGCGAGCAACTGTTTGCAAAGCGCCTCTTCTCTGGCGAGGTAGACCTGAGCCAGGTCCAGCGGTACTATCCACGGTGGTCGCCACTGACAGTTTCCAAGTCCAGGTACCGCAGTGGATGTACTGTCGGGTGACAGTGGCAGTACTGCGCGTAAAAGCCACAGCCGGTGCGCCCACGTCGCGTATGACTTGGGGTTCTGCCGCAGTGCTGCCTCGGTGACGCGAAACTCGGCCTCAACTTGCTCCCGGAGCGCCGGCGGAGGCGATAAACCAGCATTTTCCGACGCTGTAGCAAGTTCCAGACGGTATCTCTCTACCAAGCAAGCTTTCCGCCGGTTCCACAGCGAGTACTCCTCCGGGTTACGTAAAAGCACGGGTTCCGAGCGCTTGAGAAAGCACTCTCGCGATAGAGCGTAACGCTGTTGCAAAACTTGCCGAGCCTCAGCACTCCATTGTTCATAACGTTGTGCCTGCTCAATCGTTTGGTTCCAGGTTCGACGGACTCCGTGCATTGACCCGCACCGTGTAGCCTGGCAAGCGCTGTTTATAAGCCTCGAGCCGCTGCTGCACACCAGCACTGGCGCTCGGCGACTCTGTACGAAGAGGTCGGTCAACTGTGCAGACGCCCACGAAAAAGATCAATTAAACGCTCATGAAACGTAAACGCGTTTGTGCTATAGACCTAGAATCCTCGACCAGAGTTGCTGGCCAAAGCACCTGCCCGTTCCTGGGACTTCAAGTCCACTCCGTAGAGCAGGTAGCGCTCAGTTTCGCAGATAGCGGACAGGTACGAACTGGCAGCGGACGGCTGCGCGCACCGAACACGCTCGCGTGGCTGGCACCCGCTGAGCAGGTTGTGCTTTCACGACTACGGGAGACTCGGGATAGGGCCCTTTTCTGATAGTGGTGTGGCTGCTTCTTGGGTAGCTGTGCACTCTTACACAGAAAGAAGATAATTTTTCGCACCACCTGGCGGCTTTACGGCAACAGCACCAAGCTAACCGGTAGACCGGCCGCCGAGGGAACCCCAGTCAGCGCTGCGCTCTCGCGGCAGAACACAGCTTGGAGAGACCAGTTGCGGTTAGCGCAGCGACCAGGTCGGGAATGGGCTCAGGCACCAACGAGGCGGGGTCAGGGCTTGATTCCATTCCGCCAGCGCCGGTTTTTTATCCTACGGAGGAAGAGTGGTCTGATCCGTTCAACTATGTGCGTCGGATCCAGCGACAGGCGTCTCGCTACGGGATATGCAAGGTCGTTCCACCGGGGAGCTGGAACCCACCAAAGACGGGCTCCCCTGTGGTTCGCTTCCGAACGAAGCAGCAAAATATTCACCAACTGTTTCGTCGCCGAGGTCTCTATGAGCGTTTTATGACTTTTCTGCGGCAGTTCCATCGCGCACAAGGCGACTGGGCGACATGTCGAGCCCAAGTGCCCCGAATAAAGGGCCGGATTGTCGACCTCATGTTGCTGTATCGCGCTGTCATTGGACACGGAGGCTATGAACAGGTGAATCGTTCCGGGTTATGGCGACGTATTGCCACTGTTGAACTCCGTATGATTTGGACAACGTCGATCAGCGCCAACACCAAGGCCCTCTATCACCGGTGGCTGTTGCCTCTGGAGCACCACGAGCGAAAACGTCGGGGTATGCGTGCTATGCAACGGGACCCGCTGGAGCTCGAATTCACGAAGTTCGCTTGCGACACCGAGTGTGCCCAGTGCCTTGTCGAGCACATACGCGAAAACGATACATTATCTACCGGAAATGGACAGAAAAGTATGGGAAATTCGTATGCTCCAGCTGGGGCAACCACCGTGTGCACAGAAGCTGGATTTCCGTGCAACGCGGAACCATGCTCTACGGAATCGAAGTTGTGGCGCTGCATGCAGTGTGGGGATTCGTGGCATCCGAACTGCTACGCTCAGGCGATGTCTGATTATGGTACGTCCGCGACAGCGCCAAGTCGGATGGAAATCAACCCGACAATGTTCGTTTGTCCTCAGTGTGACGATGACCATCGATTTGGATACACCGAAGGGACGGTTTTTTCTTACAAAGAATACGTTCGCTTCGCACGAGACTTCAAAGCAGCTTGGTTCCGTATCGGTAGCTCGGCGTCGATGAATGATTGCAAAACTCAGGGACCGACGGCCGAAGAGATCGAAGGTGAGTACTGGCGCCTTGTGGACACCGCTGAAGAGCGATGCGAAGTGCTCTACGGGAGTGAGTTGGACGTGAATATCGTCGGTAGTGGGTTTCCGCGGCTCGGTTCAGTGACAACCGAGAAAATGAATGCGGACCAGCTTGCGCTCTGGGAGCAGTACGCGATGCACCCGTGGAATCTGAACATGCTACCGCTACTCGGGAGCTCTCTTCTGCGGGTGCTCTCGGCACGTTACTCGGGTATTACAGACCCATGGCTTTATGCGGGTATGGTGTTCGCAACTTTCTGCTATCACGCAGAGGACTCGGACATGTATTCGATCAATTACATGCACAGTGGAGAGGGAAAGGTCTGGTACGGATGTCCCGGTGGTGACGGCTGTCGCCAGTTCGAGAACGCCATGCGTGACACAGTTCCCGAACTCTTCGCCGCTATGCCAGATCTGCTCTACAACATGATCACCATGGTGAATCCGGCGGTGCTTCGCGAAAAAGGGGCCCCAATGTGCCGAACTGTTCAAAGACCTGGCGAATTCGTCCTGACCTTTCCCCAAGCGTATCATGGGGGCTTCTCCTTGGGCGTGAACATCGCCGAGGCGGTGAACTTCGCGCTTACCGACTGGCTCCCGTACGGACGCCAAGCCATGGTACGTTATCGCGAAATGCGGCGTGAAGCACCGTTTGCGCAGGAGGAAATCATCTTCTCGGCACTGGAACGTCGCGACGTCTGGAGCACAATGGCCCCAGCGGAGCTTGAACGACTCTGTCAAGAGCTGCGCTATCTTATTCAGGAGGAGCTCGCGCTCCGCGAGGCCGCGGGTTGCTTTGGCGGCGTACCGGAGCGTCTCGCGGATCCGCGCGCCCCGACATACGTGTCGCACCAGGGTGGAAGCGATCGGGACACGTGTCCTTCTTGCCGCCAACCCTTCTTCCTAAGTGCTGTCCGTTGTGCATGCATGCCGGAACGTCGCACATGCGTGCGACACGCATTTGCCACTTGTGCGTGTCCTGCCGCTGCCAAAACTCTGCTGTATTTATATTCAGACGCTGAACTGAAGCGTTTGCTGTCTGATCCTTCTCAAGCTGTGTTGCTGGCAGAGCATCGCAAAACCAACGGGGAAACAGGAGCGAACCGAAAGCGCGTCCATAGTGCGTCACGAGCCGACCTCGACACACGTGAGCGGATCGCGAAACAGGCCGCTGGAGGCAGTCCACCCAAAGCCGTGTCTCTCGCCAACGGAGTGGATGGTGCGCCCTCTGTCGCGTGCAAGCGAATGCTTGGAAAGTATTCGGGGGAAAACGGGGTGGAATCTTCGATTCGACCAGAGATCAATCAGGCCTGCAGTGGAAACGACGGAAACCGGGCACTGGAGGCTACGCCCAGTGGCGTGCAATCCGAGTGGTGCACCTCGAACGCAACCAAATGCAGTCGCACGAAGATGCATACGGAACTTTTGGCCAAAACGAGCCAGGTGGAGCAACCATGTCTGGTGAAGTTCATACCGGCTGCTGACGGCCAGGCACCGTCAATTCTACTTTTTCGCGTTCCGTCCGAATGAGCTCCGGAGAAGCGCACGAGCCTAGCGGTCATCCAGCCTATGACGACACCAGTGCTCTGGTGCTAGAGGGAAACCCAGCGAATGCGGCAAGTGATTCGCTTGCTGTATTCGAACTATGCTTACAGTGCTTGATGAAAGTTAAAGAATGGTCAATGACGGGCAAGAGGATGATGCGATACGTGCGCATTCGCAACCTCCGTCTCTCCACGGGAGAGATCGCGCCCACGTGCCTTGTTATTCACGGGAAATGTTGAGGCGCTCTCGGCTCGCGTGCCGATGTTTCCCTGGTTCTGAACAAAACTGAGCCTGATCCTCTGGGCACTCTAACGCGACTCGGCCGGTCGCGCTCGATAGGAAGCCATTTTGAACATACAGCACGTGCCGCGTCTCTAAACTGGGACTCGAAGCGCTCTCCACGCTTCGGACAACTGCGCTCGCTCTCTGGACTAGTGGAAGATGAGGTGCAAGTTAGGGACCTGCGGAAACTGCTTTTAAGGCCAGTGTGTACTGAAATCTCGCTTTTTATCAATGTTTGCAGTTTGCTGGTACTCACTTCCGCGGCCGCCGCTGACAAACGGTCCACCCGAGCGCGTACCGGTTTCCGCCTGGCAGAACGCGCGCCTGACGCGCACTCGATCAGGCAGAAGAGTCTGGTTCTCGGTCTCTACCGGCTGCAACGATACTCGTTACACGAACCTGTGCGAATGGATGGGTTCAGAAGCGCTCGCTGCTAAGATATATGCAAAGCAGCGAAAGCTCGTGGAAGCTAGATTGAAGTCCGCGGCTTTCTGCTCTTTTGGACGACAAAATCGGAGCAGTTTTCGCCTCTGGCTACTGCTCCCGACACGCCCGCGCATCAGTTGCGGTAGCGAACGCGTTCGCGAACTTTGTTTGGTCTCGTCATTCTCCTTTCGACTTTGTTGTTGCTTTATGGCTAGCGTGAGAAGTTCTCATGGTTGCTGTGAACGCTCTCGGAAGGTGCCTTTGACTTGGGGCACTCCGTGGGCCGGCCGCTTACTGCTCTCGCTTGCTGTGCTTCGCACTGCATCACGCGCACGGCGGTGCGTACGTGGACCGGAGCTTTCGGTCGTGAGACTCCTTTTATCGACGACAAGCAAGCAGCGTGGGCGAGTTCGCCAGTCAGGTGCCAGGTGGCGATCTACGTCGTGCGGTGGGAGCCAGTCGGGTTTCTGCTCTCTCGCCGACGTGAAGACTCGACCGAGCCCACCAGCGGTCCGCTGCCTCGCACAAGGTCCTGAAGCGGCGTCGGCTTCAGCTCAGTGGTCCGTTCCAGCAAACTCGAGGACTGGTCCATGGACGCAAACAACTGGAATCGAGCATGCCAACAAGAACGCTTCACCTGCACACGAAGCGGGAGTCATGGCATCGGATGCGCAGGATCAGTGGCTTCCGACGCTCTTTCTGGTGGATGCACTGAGCATCGTGTATCGTTCCTATTACGCATTCCAGAAGAATCCGCTATACAGCAGTAGTGGCATCAATACCTCTGCGATTTACGGTTTCATTCAGACGATTTTGCTGCTGCTGCAAAAGTACAATCCGGAAGCGCTGGCCGTCGTCTTCGACAGCCATACGACAGAGCCAGGGCCGGGGAGTTTTCGGCAGTTACTGTTTCCCAAATACAAGGCCAATCGGGAACGCATGCCGGATGGTGTTCGGGATGCGTTGCCTTACGTGAAACGAGCTATCCACCAACTGGGGTTGCAAAGCTTTGAGCTCGAAAGCTTCGAGGCGGACGACGTGATTGGAACGCTGGCCGCACTGGCCAATCACAACGGCTATCGAGTCGTTATTGTTTCGAATGATAAGGATTTCAAACAGCTCATCAAAGCGGGATGGGTGCGCCTTCTACGTCCGACACGCAGTAGTGGGTCTGGTGGTTTTGACGAAGTCACCGAAGCAGACCTTGCCGCCGAGTGCGGGACATCGATTCGACCACAGCAGTATCCTGATGTGCTGGCGCTCGCCGGAGATGCAGTTGACAATATCCCCGGTGTGCCTGGAATTGGGATAAAAACTGCGGCACGCCTTATTCGACAATTTTCGAGTATCGAGGACCTTATCTGTAACCTGGACGCTATCGAACCGCCGCGCATCCAAGAAAAAATCATCTCCAAAGCGGATGAGTTGCTCAGGAACAAGGTGCTCGCCAAAATCCACCAGAATGTGCCGCTCGAAAAGCTTCAGTCAGAGCGGAGCCCTTCAGCGGACGCAGGAAATGAGCTGGTGACTGATGCCCCTGCTTATGACGCAATGTGGATCGCGAGTTGTCGACGAGGTCCGTGGCAGCTCAATGCGCTGCTCACGCTGCTCCGTGAGCTCGACATGGAGGCGCTTTCCCGACGAATTCAGTATCTGGCGAGATCCCTGGGGCAGAGCGACCACGAAAAACGAACGAGCGCCTCTGCTCGTGATTCGCTAGAGACTGGCTTTATGGCAGCACCGCGCGAGCGTCTGGACAGTCCGCTTGCGAACGATGAGGTCATTAACCAGCCGCTTGCATCCGAACAAGAGATACCGCCTGATTCACAGCACAACAACCTTCATGATCACGTGGACGATAGGCTGCAGCCTGCAGCAGGGCCCGCTAGGGATGTACCGTTCACGTCAGTCACCGACGATTCTGCTACTGCTGTGCCTGGTAGCGCACAAGAGTCAACGCGGAGCACGAGCGCCCAGTCTGCTGAACTGAGGCCGAATTCGGCGTCGGTGCCAGCAAACTGGTCAGCGGATGAGCTATCCATGTACCTGGGGGCGCCCCTGCGGTACCAGATCATGGAAGCAGACGCCCTCTTACATTTCTTGGACGGGAGCGGGACCCACGAGCCCATCGGTCTGTTCATGGCGCATGTGATGCCTGAAACGCGGCGTCGCCCGCGTCATCGTACGAAGGAAGCGGCAGCAGCGCCTGCAGATGCCGTCAACACTGTTCGCCTGTCACCGAACAGCGCTGACGCGACAACAACAACAACAACTACTACTACTACTAATACGCATACGACAGCAGCAACAGCAGCAGTAGCAGAGCACCCGCTAATTCTCATGGGCATCGCCACCGACCAGGGCAATGCAGCTGGGGCAGTGCTGCCAGCGACCGCGCCCTGGCTAGATACCTGGTTGCGGCAACTGCGGGAGCGTCTCGATCAGGCCCATCAGCGTCATGTCGGTTTCGATCTGAAGCACGTTCTTCGGTTCCTACTAGCCCGCGACGATGTCCGCGCCGACGGCGTCTGGATCGATCCAGCGGTCGCGCATGCTCTGTTGTATCCGGAGGAGGCGTTCGAACGCCCGGAGCTGCTCGCGAAACGATACCTTGGTGACTTGGGCGTTGCGCTCTGGAATCGCTACGTCGAAGCACCGCTGACTAGTGCATCGACGTCTGAGACAAGAACAGAGGCGTTAGCTCTGGCAGCCGCATTCCAGGCTGACTTGGCGCGCCACATTTTCCACCGCCAGGTCACGCGCTTGGATGCCGTGGGCATGCGAGCGCTTGCTTTCCAGGTTGAATTCCCATTGACTCTAGTTTTGGCGGACATGGAGCGCACTGGTGTCTATGTAGCGCAGCAGGAGTTGCGCGAACTAGAGGAAAAAATGGAGCGCGAATTGCGGGATATTGAGACGCAGATCTATGCACTTGCAGGAACAACCTTCAACATTCGTTCTGCGGATCAGCTTGCGCGAGTGCTCTTCGAACAACTCGGTGTTGACGCGCCGCTGAGAACGCCCGGAGGCAAAGCAAGCACGGCGGATCGGGTGCTCGCTGCCTTGGTGCGACGCTACGGCCAAGAAGGAGAGCGGGGTACTGCGGCGCTTGTTGGTGCGTCACCCCGAGAACATGGTGCTGAGGCATCTGCAATCGATGCTTCGAAGGCGTCCCGGGCGGCAAGCATTGCGGCGCTGACCCAGGAATATCGCCAGATTGCAAAGTTGCTGTCGACGTACGTTCGCGGTCTGGTCGGCCACATTGACCCGAAGACGCAACGCATTCATGCTACGTTTCATCAGACCGGTGCGATTACGGGACGTCTTTCGAGTTCCGCACCCAATCTGCAGTCGATTCCGATCCGCAGCACCCGAGGTCGCGCACTGCGGAGCCTTTTTCGGGCGACACCGATCGACACGGTGCATCGTGCAGGCGGTACTGAGCCAGCCGGCAATGTACTCATCTCCGCGGATTACGAGCAAATCGAGTTGCGCATTATTGGAGCATTGAGTGGGGATGCGGTGCTTCTACAGGCTTTTCGTGATCAAGTCGATGTGCACGCGACGACCGCGCGACATCTGTTCGGTCTGCCGTTTGACGCAAAAGTGAGTGCAGCGCAGCGCACCGCCGCCAAGGCGATCAATTACGGGATTCCCTACGGCGTCACTGCTTACGGGCTGGCCCAGAATCTACGAATATCTGTGGCAGAGGCACGAAAGCTCATCAGGGAATACCACGATGCTTTTCCGGGTGTGGCACGGTTGAAGCGGGAGCTCCTGGACAAGGCACGGGCCACGGGATATGCATCGACGCTGCTTGGGCGTCGACGCTATCTGCCAGCGTTGCATTCCCGCAACTACGCCGAGCGTACTGCAGCCGAGCGCGCTGCCGTGAATATGCCCATTCAAGGAAGCCAGGCGGATATGATCAAAGTCGCGATGGTGCGAATCTGGCAAGCGCTGCGTTCGCAGCACCTACGAACCCGAATCGTGATCCAGATCCACGATGAACTCGTTTTCGAGGCACCTGAGTCGGAACTCGCCTCCGTGATGCCTCTTATTCAAGTGCAGATGGAGCGTGCGCTCATCCTGCCGAACGATGTTCCCGTGAAGGTGCGCATTGGATACGGGGTGTCATGGGCAGCTGCGCACGCCCCCTAGTACGCTAGGCCGCACGAGCTTCACAGCAAAGTCGCCAACAGGTGCATGATTAGGGTGCACGGAGCTGGTTCACGGGCGCTGCTAGTATCTGAGGGGTTTCCGGCTTTTTCAAGATGTTTTTGGATGTGCACGCTTGCACGCCAGCGGTCAGTGTGAAATGAATATGGAACATGGAGCGAATCGCTCGGGAGCTGCTTTTCGATTTCGTGTAAGAGTTTTTCTACATAGATAATCACAAGATTCGAAGTGCAACAGCAATGGATTACGGATGGATGTGCAGGTTTCGGATGCTTCCTCGGGTTGTGCTCAGTGACTCCTTCGACGCTGCGCCGCTGGCATTCGATACGTCACTGGAATCAAGATGTTTCGCGTTGCCCTCGAATGACGGTTCATAAACTGATCGGTACGAGCACCCAATTCATACGTAGAGGCAACCGGTCTTCTCCTTTGCTTGCATGTACCATGCCGCAATGAATCACGCGTCAAGGATTTGATGTTTCTGTTTCCGTTTCAAGACAAGACACGGGCGGAGCAATGCGCGCCTCTTTACTGACGACAGCGTTCGTCGATTTCATCACTTGGCAACTGTTTGAGCGGCTCAGGTCGAAAGACCACCCAGCTTGTCGCGTGAAGGAATCCGTTCCGATCGAAATACAACTCGTATGCTATGTGTGGACGCCGCGGAAACGGCATTCCTCAGCCGCGTGGTGGCTTTCACAGCAGATGCTCCCAGAGGCACCGGTCTCTTTTGGATAGAATGCAAACGGATGTTGGATTCGGACTTGAATTTTCGCAACGATCCATGGTAGTGGTGCCGAGGTCACTGCTTTGCACGAAGCGAGTGCAGACGTTACCAAGTCGCTCGACTTGTTCTCTAGCCTGGGTATTCCTTGCGGTACCTGTTTCAACAAGAACAACATCGCGTTCCACAAATCCTCTATCGAACGCAATAACTCACGTGTGCATGTTCAGCAGACAGCCTAGTCACCGAGAGCATCGCCCAAAAGATGCTCGTGATCGTACGGTACGACGCGGCTCTCGGAAACGGAGCGCTACATCGAGGACTGCTCTGGTGCCGTCAAGAGCGTGCTCCGAGAGAGGAAGCGCGCGTTCAGTTGGTACAGGGCAGCATACGGAGCCGGGGTCGTTTTGGACGCATAGCAACATCTGACTGCGGTCGAGTGTCACCGCTGAGCAGCGCGCATTGCTGCTGTATAGGCTAAAGATCAAAACGGGAAGCGAAATGTAAATGACAACCACCGACTGTTCATGAAATGCGTTTAGACGAACCGGAAGCGATTGAGTCGGGGCTTGAACGCTGCTATCAACGTGCTTCTACGGATGACAAGGGAGCTAGAGGGAAAAGAGAGACGACAAGGAGGCAGTCACAGAAAAAGGTCGCCGAGTCTGCCATTCACGACACTGGGGAGACACTTGAACGTTAGCGTGCATGCCCGAATGACAGGACACGATCCATTCTATTCTGAGATGCGTGTTTGATCATACCTAGATGCGTCTGTTCACGACAGCATATGAACAGGGATTTCCGAGCCTACGATCACTGGCATGAAACCTGATTCGAGCGACGTCTACCGAATGCAGTGCACGGGTACCCGGTGGTCGCTTTACGAGTGCAGACTCGGAGCTCCTGCTTCGACGCTTGTTGTTGTCGCTGCTGCGGTGTCAGCGTGATCTGCCGCCTGTTCTTCCATGAATCGTGTCTGTGTTGTTCGGTCGGTCTGATTCTTTGTCAACTCTCGCAAGAGCATCGTAGCATAGCTCGACGCTGGCAACTGGAAACAAAGAACACATGATAGGAACCTGGACTCAACAGGTGCGTCATTGACATTCATGATAGACTGAGCATCACGAGCAGGCAGCCCGCTAAGATCAGTGTCTAGCAATGGCTCCCTGGGCGATTCGTGTCGAACAAAGCGGTATGTTAGGCGTTCAGGGCGAACCAGCACGCGGCGATATGTACCACGCATGGTATACTGCTTACACAAGGCGGGCGCGTCGGTGCCCATCAGGGAAACTCCGTAGGTCTCCACGAAGCGCCGATATGCTCGCGCTGCCGCCGGGCACGATATTGCCTCGGTCTGCAGACCAGGCACTGGAACCACCAAATCGAAAATGGTGTAGCGTTGGCTATCAATGTCCGCTTGGGTGACCGGATGGACACTGACTGGAGCGAACCCCGAGGTCGTCGCGTCAACAGTCGCTTTCGACGCAGTGCCTGCATTGTCCGCATGCGTCAAGCTTGGTGCCGCAGATTCTGGATCAGTTACGGTATCTGTGGCTGGTGCGGAAGGCGCATCATCATCAACATCACCATCATGATCATGATCATCATCGACAATGGTATCAGCATCGGCGATGGTATGGGCGCTGGGTGCACCTGCAGGGACAGGCTCCAGGACCAGGTCACCAGGATGCAGCTCTTTTGCGCCAAACGCCCGAATGCGTTCGCTAGCCATTTCATTCCAGACGTAGCTCTGAACGGCGTGCAGGTACAAGGTGCGTAAATTTCTCGGCAAACTGTGGAAGATGGCAGGCAAGTCACGTGCTCCGTACTGGCATTCGGCTTGCAACAAGCGTTTCTCCAGATGCAATCCGCGCTGTACAGCACGCGGTAGCGCTGCAAGTTGAGTCAGCGCTCGTGCCGCGTCTCGCTCTCGTAAATACGCTTCCAAAATGGGCCGCACGTAACCCACGCGAAGCGACTGCTGCTCATCGCGTGTCTCCACGAGACTTGCTGTGAGGATCAGATCGAGTGCTTCGCGCCATTTGCCTCGCAACAACGCCAAACCTATATGATGTGTTGGCACACGTCCGGAGCCAAAGCGTTGTAAACCATAGTAATTGATAAAGCCGTGCTCCCGGAGCGATACGATCGCCGAGTCGACCTCTTCCAGCGCGTTCGGGGCAAGCGATCGCAACACCAGTCGGAAATAATTCCCCTGGAGTTGACCTAAGCGCAGGGGTTCCTTTGTGCAGCGGAAACCGCCGACTCGAATTTGCGGGGCTCCCGAGTCCGCGTCGACTTGGCCAAAGGCTCTTTCAACTGCTTTCTCGAGGCGCGCTGGCGTGCATTGCCATATGCGCATCTCTTGGGTGGTAACGCCACGCCGATCCTTGGTGCCGGCGTAGGTGAATGCATTTGGCTTCAGGCCCAGCGAACGTGCTAGACGCATGACGACTTCGTTCGTGTCCAGGTTCTGTTTGCAGAGGAGGAAGCGCAAGTAGCTGCCGCCGTGACGAGCGCAACGCTCCCGTCGATCGCAAGCGCGGCGTCGTTTGGCAGCGCGCAATCGTGCAGCCGACTCCTGAATAGAATCCGGGTCCGAACCAAGAAGTGCACGACCATCTTCGTCTGTTGGATAGACCTGGATTTGATTCGAACTGTTCGTGACAGAAGCAAATCGCGGTGCAAGCACGCGCAGCGCAGTATGACGGGCACGGCGCCGGTCCTTGTCCGGGCAAACCGTGAGGGTCAAGATCGTCGCCCCGGCAGTCGCTGGTGCTGATGCTGGATTCCAGTGGTTTTGCACAAACTCTAATATGCGGTCAGTTTCTTCCGCATCAAATACTGCGCCAAAACACTCACGAAGAGCGTCTAGCGGCAACTCGGCGGTGACGGTGCGCCCCCGAGCGTCACTGTCTGGGAACGCTGAAGCCTGGGGCGCGTGCTCCAGCTCCTGGCGAAGAGACAGCACCTGACCGCTAGAATCCACTTCATGTACGACAAAGTCACTAAAAAGCGTTTTAATGGTGGCGTGGAAGCCAGTATGGTGTGTCACGTACTCTGTGATGCCGAGGGCGTGTTCGCTATGCGCGCCCATCAGAAAAGCTGTGCACGAGCCCTGTCTCTCATAGGAGCACTGCTGCTGTGGAGAATCAACCAGTTGATTTCTTTACACGCACAGCAAACGGGTGCCTGTGGTGTACGCAAGTCGCTGTCGCCGTACGTGAGCGGAAATGAAAAGCTGTGCGTCCTGCAAACGAACCAGTTGCCAAGCACAGCGGGAGAAGCTCCACGGCGGACGTTTGAGGATCATCGCCAGAGCGGCAGGCCTGCGTCATCGCACGCGTCGGAGGCGCTGCACTGAACAATCAGCAATTTTTTATGAAGGAATATGGAAATCATGGTATATTTGGGATTGTCCGCTTCGATCGCTGGCCTGTGGTGCCGCACGAATGTCGCTGCGACGACAACTGCTGCTTGCGGATGCGAAACAGTGAGCACATGGCACCAGTGCAGCGGGATCGAGGGCCATTCCCTCGTTCATACGTTCTGTAGTCGCGTTAGTCCGTCGATGGAGTTGCAAGTGAACAGTTTAGAGACGTTGGAGCCTCAGGAGCACAGCATACCCCGTACACGGGTTGAGGGAGCCGGCGCGCTGCCTATTTTATCACGCATCACGAGCAAACTTTGGGAAGCTTTCGGTTGAGAAACTGTTTCCTGAAGCCACGATCAAAGCGCTGGCGATGCGTCTCGAATGACACACGAAATTCCCGCTTTAACCAAGAAAGAAAACGGGAGCACTTTTTGAAAGCGTCGTGGCTCGCAGCAGAATCGACGCAGGGGGAAGAGCCCTCGCTGAACAGGTGCAATCCATGGACGAGGGTTACGAGACATTAGGGGCGTCGTTTGCTTCCCCTGCTGCTTTACTTTGCGATAGCGCGGAATCTCGAGCCGTGCCTGCTCTCGTGAGCGTGGAGGCGCGACGATGCAGTGCTTCCGAGCCAAAATCGGAGTAATAGAGCGTGACCTCATTATGGACCCGTTTTCACAAGGGATTACGAAGAACCTTTTCCAATACGGTGACATTCGGCGCGGCCACAGCACGACGTGCTTTAACGTGCGACAAGGCATCCTCCAGCGTCATGCCGCGGCGCCACACGAGGTAGGCGACAACTACAGCGGGCGCTCGACCCATTCCTGCGGTACAGTGCACGTAGACGACGCGCTTCGCCTTGAGCGCCGCATCAAGAGCGCGTACGGCATCCGGAAGCAACTGCATGAGCGCCTCCGCATTAAAATCCGGAATCGGACAACGGATGACTTGCATCTCTAGTGCTGTATATGTCTCCATCAGCGTCGACCAGGGAATACTGCGGTGTGCAAAGTCCTCATCGGTCTGTAAATTCAAAACAGCCGTAATCCCCGCCTCATGCATCATTTCGACATGCTCTGGAGTTTGTGGGTAGGGCCCTATGTAAATGTCCGGACATATTTCATCAAATTCTAACGAAGCGACAAAATTTGCATCGAAACATTCGAGGCGCCCGTTCACCGCTCGTTCTAGTGTTGCATAGCGATTCGGTTCTCGTTCCCAGATCGTTTGCTGGCGGTTATCGTCGACTAGCACATAGCGATAGGCGAATTTGCCCACCGTGGATGGCACTGAAACCGTCAAGGACCAACGTCGGCCCTTGCCTCCTGTTTCCAAACGCTCCTCAGTAGTTGAGAGGGCCATGGGTACTGGACCCGGTTCTACCCACCGACCGATTTCCGGAAGATCGCCAGTGACACAGAGATGCTGCTTCTCTTTGGTAGGATAGTATATTGAGAACAGCACACGCGTACGCTCCCATTCCACTTCAATCAGGCAGCCGTCCTTCGAGTTTCTCTGGATCACGGCTCTTCGGTTGGGTCCGGTTTCCCAGAGCGCACGCTGCGGATCTCCGCCTATAAGACGCACGAATTTGAACTCGAAGCTTGTTTCGGGTACAAGGTCTACCTCGCCTTCCCAGCAGTCACGGAACGGTGTATCCACTTGGCATTGATGACGGAGCCGGAGCGCTTTCGCGGGCTCCCAGTTGCCCAATTTGTCGTGACTACCAGCGGCGACGACAGCATCGCCAAACTCCGTGTGGCAGTAGACGCGGAATAAAGTCGGAATCGTCGGGGTTACGCTTCGATCATTCTTTGAGATCGTGTCCGCAATGTCTGAAGGAGGCCCAGGTACAGAGATATCCTCGGAAGCACCCCGTGCGGCTGGTGTTGACTGCGCACCAGACGAATCAGCAGCTGGCTTTGACGGAGGCTCAGGTACAGAGACACCCTCGGATGCAAACCGTGCGGCTGGTGTTGACTGCGCACCAGACGAATCGGCAGCTGGCTTTGATGGAGGCCCAGCTACAGAGACTCCCTCGGAAGCACGCCGTGCGGCTGGTGTTGACTGCGCACCAGACGAATCAGCAGCTGGCTTTGACGGAGGCTCAGCTACAGAGACTCCCTCGGAAGCACGCCGTGCGGCTGGTGTTGACTGCGCACCAGACGAATCAGCAGCTGGCGCTCTTGCCATCGACGGCACCCGATGCCGGCTTTCCGAGCCTGCCTGGTCGTTTGTGTTCCGGCGATCCGATGTTCGTATACGCGCCATATCAGATCAAAAGTGCAAAAAATCAAAAGCGTTGCGCACAAACCTATATCGGATAGCGATGGTACCGCATGCGCTTGGAAAGATCCGGTGCGCTTGGAGGCATGTAGTGGGCGGCGTGCGGCTGCAATGAGCGCATCATCATGCAGCGTCGCAGATGCGACGCAGCCTGAACGCCGTGGAGGCCATGCGTTGCGCGCGCTGTCTCATGGTAGAGGATGGATAAATCGGACCAGTATCCCGCGGGTGCACAAATGCTACCAATCCATTGGGAACAGATTTCCGTTCCTCGACACCCGCTTCCTCGTGCTGGAATAGCTAGAGCAGCCATTGCCAGCGGAACAGAGGCTGGATCGAAGTTTCCATGACGTTCAGTATGCTGGCTCTATCACAGGCGTCTATTATTGTGTTGCTGGGATGCGCTCGCGCTGTTGCCCTGCGAGACAGGGCGGCTCCGCGATACCCATATGGGCATCGGCTCCGGGTCTGAGCGCGTTCTGCATGTTTATGGTGCTTTGCCCGTGCAGGTGGTGGTAAAGTGTCCAAGCACTCGGCAATATGGAGCGGGCGGAACTCGCAGTCGATATACCGTGGAGTGCAGTATTTCCAGAGCTTTATCGATGCTTAAAGTCAAGGCTCTGCCTCCACAAAACCACGATACCCATAAAGGATGAACGAGACGCATCGTGACCTCCGGTTCATGTCACTTTGTAGAATCTAGGCCCGACTCAGCAACCCAACGAGTGTCATTCGCAAACAGAAACGTTTCGCGAGATACCCCAGCGTGTGTCCGCTCAGGGGGGTACGCGACGCATCGCGCCTACGGCAGGCAACGCGCGAGCTGCTCCGTAATGCGAGCGAGCACTGGATCCCTTCTCGCCAAGCGTTCTCCAGTCTATTGGTGCTCAGTGGATGCACCATATAGATCAAAAATCGAACAAGCAGATGACCCACTGGAGCGCGTCGACGACGTATTCGTTCTCAACATGCGTCGATCTGCCTGTTGTCATGAGTTGGATGCATCTCTGGGGTACAATGCACAGCGAAGGATTGTGTCCTTTTGTCAAGACTACAAAATCTGCGACTGCTGCGGCAGCGGCGGTGGCGCATGCGCCGAATAAAAAACCCCTTGTACAGTGCGGCAACTGGCCCGGTACGCTTTCATGTTCGTCGGAGGGCATGACGAGCACACGCCGTCCTCTGGGCACTGCAAACAAGACATTCTTGATTGCGAGGTACTGCAATGCTCTGTATCGATATCGCTGATAGAGATCGTCTGCGTTGCATTTTGGGAAACGACCGGAATCAAGCGTGACGTTCTGATCTAGCTGTCATTCGCGATGGCCTGGTTAGGTCGTAGCTGAAGCAGCACTGGCTTCTGCGCTCACGGTTTCGCTTCAAGTCCAACTGGGTACGGTCCCAGGCATTCGCGAGGGAGCGATTTTCGCTATTCTGTGGATTCCACTAGAACTGGGACCCGCTCTCGTGGCGGGCGTCACTGTAGATGACATCGATGACGCAGATCGAGAGCATGACGCTCTTCGACACCGCTCTCAAAAGCAACGCTCCGTTTCCCCGAACCGATCTCGAAGCTACGACCTAGATTCCGATGCGTTTCGGAAGAGCGACGCCGTACCGTTCTGTGTAGCGCATGCGCTCGTCTCTGCAGTGAACTGTACCAGATCAGACGGTTGTCAAGTGTTCACGCTCTTGCGACGTAAGGATCGCAACAGAACCACTCATGAATCATGACCTGTCCAAGTAGGTTTACCGCTGTTGTACGGCATAGCCGCAGCGATTCATCAGAAGCGACGAATTCGACGACAAGAACCAATGCACGTGTGGATCGTACCGCTCGGTTTTCGACGGCCCCTCGAGCTCCAATATGCAACGACCCGAACTGCCACAGCGATTGCACCGCAATGTCCCCGCCAGACACCGTCGCCAAACGCGCTTTTCTGCTTTCTGAATGCGCTGCGCTGAACCGAGAAGCAATCCAAACCCCGGTCTCTGGGACAGGAGCCTTGCCCGTTCGCCGCACTGGAACGATGCAGTACCGCGCATGCACCAGATATCTCCCTATGAAAGTTAGCGAGTCCGTTCCGAAATGCGCAGGCCCGCGTACGCTTCCATTCGACGGCTAAAACCCGCAGTTCATCAAGTTCGGGAACGCAAGCATGCAGACACCATTTACGTGGATAGAGAGGTGAGCGAGTCGAACCAACGGGCGACGCCGAACGCTGCTGCGGCAGCGCAGCCACCGACAGCTGCTGTTTCTATCGCCGACTTCCAACGACTCTGCCCCGTAAACCCAGCCTTCACCCAGCCAAAAAGGAGCAGCGCTAAAAACGTGAAAAGAATACTCCACATGAGAGCTTCCCGCGCATCGCTAATGAGCAGGTACGGAATCAGCGGAACAAGGCCCCCGAGCACATATGAGCCGCCTACTGTCAGTGCGCTGCGCCATGGGCGGTTGCGGTCGGGCTCGGAGAGCCCAAGCTCGAACTTCATCATAAAGTCTACCCAATCACGCGGATGCTCCCGGAAGTGAGCGAGGACGGACTCGATAGCGCTTTCCGGAACACCAAAGGGGCGGAAAATTTCATAGATTTCTGCCTCTTCGGCCAAAGGTGTATGCTGAACCTCGCGCTCTTCACGTTCCCGTTCCGATTCAAAGGTTTGCACCTCGGAACGGCCGGCGAGCCAACCACCAAGACCCATGGAAATACCGCCCGCCACCAGTTCCGATAAAACTGCCAGAACGATGTAGCTTGACTTGGTGAACGCACCAGAGAGACCCGCTGCTAGCGCGAACGGTACCGTAAGCCCGTCTGCCGCCCCCAAAATCGCATCTTGCACAGCGCCTGACGAGTCACTGTGCTTCTCTTGATGACGTGCATGGTGAGCTTCGAGAATCAGTTGGCGAGCACGTGAACTATGCAGAACAGGGTGCTGATGACGCACGGAGCCTGTAGCAGCCAGCTGCGCTAACTCCGGAGCCCGCAAACCAGTCGTCTCACCAACAGCGCTATATGGGGCCGTGTCTGGGTTCCAGCAAGTACCATTTTCCACGTCACGCTGTGACTGCATGCCTGAACAACGTGCACGCCGCTGAAGAGACAAGTAGCGGCCCTGTAACTAGTACGTTTGCAACGCTGGCTGCCGACGAGAGCGTCGCAACATCGTTCTGCTGTGAATCTTGGGAAGGGTGTGACGGGATGCGCCTTGCGCTTTGCTCGCCTTTCTTGTTGGTACTGAGCAAAAGGGTATTATCTTCTGGATTCAAGGAAGGTCGAGGAAAGATGTGATAAATTCATTACGAACTTGCGAAAAACAGCCTTACTTGTACTTGCTGAACATTCTCCGATCAGCAAGTAGATGAGCGAGCCTTCTCGCTGCCCTCATCCTGAAAGTCATAAAGTAAAACAGAACTTACCAAACCCCTGCCTACGCAAATGCCTTCCCCTCTATGCATTCCACTCCGTATATGTGTTGATAACTAGAACTAAAAAGCTAAAGGATTTCAAGTTTCCGTACCGATGATACGAACGGTCATGAAGAGAACCGGGTGAATTACGAGATATGCACGCTTCTACGAAAGAATGCCACACATTGATCAATACACCATCGAATACGTACAGAAATGCGCAAGTGTATTACAGGAGAGATCGATATCCGTGTCAATCGATACGGTTTTATCATGGGAAAATACTAGTCTTGTATACAAGTGTTCAAAGAGGGGCAAATCGCCGTTCGTGAAGAGGATGCTCACGAATATGACGACAACATCATCCCTAGCTGCAGGCCGATTGCGTGGTGGACTAAAAAACGCTAATCGTTGAAAACCTCAACCTTCGTCGAAGCAGGCTTTGTGGCTTGTACTTTCCGTATGTTTTTGTCCTGCTCGAAAGAAACCTCGCTTTCCATCACTCAGGAGTAATTAAGGAGCACGCATCTGAGAATTGAGTTGAGCTGCACACGCTGCCAGCCTAAACGCACTGCTTCAATCCATTCGAGAGCGTTTTTACCATGACCGAAGGCCACTTCTACGCGCACGTGTCAAGAGACGGATCGCTCGCATCTATGACCCTGTTCTTCGACAAATTGCTCTTTGAGAAGCCGTTCCCTATCTCCATCAGCCACGAACGGCTGCGTTGATCCTTTGCTCACACAGGGAAGCGAGCATTAAGGCGTGTTCCTGTCCGTTTGAGGGCTCGCGATCGAGAAAGCGATGGAAAGTTACTTAGAGAATCGCAAATACACTCAGAGAGAAGGCGAGTGTCGGTGCGAGCGTGCCCCGATGCATTAAAATTCAGCGGGAAAAAACATGGAGTATAACGACCACATCTATGGCTCCTCGTAAAGTAGAGGAGACGGCGAAGAACGGGTAGGGCTTTGTGAGCAGGTACGAAGCATTTGAACAACTTCGCGAAAAGCTCTTTGTCGTCTGCACCAGCACCTCGATGCGCACCAGTTTTTCTACGTTGCAGAGGGAGCACCCCCGCACTGGCGGTACAGGTACGTTCGATGGAGAATATGAGCGGCGCCGAAGCAGAGGAGCTGATCGATGCAATTTGGTTCATGAAGTGAACTATGCTTGCTTTGGCCCGAATATTCTATGGCACATATGAACTACAAGAGGAAAAGGTATGGATGGTAAAGAAAGACGCCAGGAGGAAGAGAGCTGCGGGACAGGAAGTTCTTCATACGGCGAGGATTCGTGTCGTCTTCGTTCGTGACCGACGGTGTGGACGTATCCATCGTCATGAACTGCTGCCGAAGGCCATGCTTAAGGACAACCTCAGAGCTGAAACGCATTTCTGCTCAGAAGAGCAAGTACGCGGAAGAACCACTAGCAGTGGAGAAGCGTAATCTCACGAATTTGCTTCCGAAGCCCGTGTAACTCGGGCCGGAACCAGGAGAGCGAGACTCTACACCTGCACTTCCGTGAGATCCGAGGACGAGTGCGAGCGTTGTGTATCAACAGACGACGCTCTGGAGCCACAATTCGCAGAGCCTCCGAATCCCACATACAGCGGTTACTTCAGCTCACACACCTGCGGTTTCCATCACAGCGGAAGAAACGGGTAAGATAACTGTTCAATGCGCGAGCCAGTGAAGCAGAATGGAGTCGTACAAGTGCTGACCGTATTGCTGTGAATCGATGGAAGATGGGGATACGATGTCTACGAATGGTTACGGTACTTTGAAGTCCGTCACCCTTATTCGCAGTTCTTTTGTGAAGAGTGCCCAGAACACGGAGAGCGCGTTATCGAGCGGCATCATGTGCGCTCTCACGTGCAGCGGACGGAGTATTCGCCAAAGGTATCGCCCAGAGCACGCTCATTACCTTAGCGTAAAGCCCCGAGCGCCTAAGCTGAGAAGAGCATGGAGGAGTACCTTCTTTACTCATCACGCATGTGTGCCGAGAGATGAAGCAAGTGTTCACACACCATGGGGCGGCGCCCAGACTAGGCGTCACTGCGGATGGATGGAAACAAGTGGCCATCGTAAAGGGTCATTGCGGCGGAGGGCGCACCGAGGCTGTATGAAAAGAAGATGCAACTGGCAAGCGAAGCGTAGACTGCAACTTCCGTCCTTGAACGTAGTGCGTCAACAATAGCTCAAGGTATCGAACTCGAGACTTGAACCCTGCCATCATCATTAACATCCTTCGTCTGCCGATGCCGGCGCTGGGGATGCAGCAGCAACCAACATATTCTATCCCGGAGATCACAGGCAGGAAACGGAAGCATTCGCAGAAAGCGCCGGCAAAGGCCTGTGTTGGTGATGATATGGATAGAAAGAACGAATGTTCACTGAGCGCGTCCGAGTCTGCTAGGAAGAGCGTTACATTTCACGCTAACATTGATCTAACGAGCCGTGCCGACGGTGCACAAGGCACACAAGCTGCACGATCAAGCGGTGTACGAGTGCAGCAATGACATTGCCCTGTCTTGCACAGACATCTTGTCACACGCATTCCTTGCATGAAACCTCTGTGAAGCGGCATTTTATTTTAGATCTTTTACGCAGTCAAAGCGTTCTGACGGTGACGCTGCCTCAAAAGCGACCACTTGGCAATTCTGCACATCGTCGACCTCGCGCCAGAGCCAGGCGGTGCTCTAGTCCATTCTAAGCACGCTCTTGTGCGCTAAACATCCTCAGTGACACAAATATGCATCGCTTTCGACAGGTCCGTCGCTGTAGAGGCAAAGCGGTCATACCGCATTCACCTCAACTGGCATCGGAGGGCGCTGACCCAAATCGAGCCATGATGCCAGCGACTCGGAACTCCAACAATGCGGCACATCATCTAGAGTTTGTAAGTTCGTACGCGTGCACAGGTCTGCTGTGCATGATCCGCTTCACTGAGCACATAAGGCTCCACAGGACCGCGCAAGCATAGCGCCGGCCGGGCCAGCTCCTCCTGCGAGACCAACAAGCTCTGCGCTTCAGTATGGCACACCATCATCGACAGCGAGTCGAGTGCTCTCGAGCTGGAGAGCTTCCCTTCCTCTTAACCAAGCTGCCATTCTTGTGCAGGCTATCTTCAGCGGCTTGTTGTCTTCAGCTCACGCGAATCGAGGTCGGATGTGCTGGTTCTTCCGCCTTCGCAGTTGTCGTCAGTCCGGCGCTTCGCGACGATCGCTCGCTACCAGCGATCATCTCAGAGCGCCTCACCATGGTGTACGCGAGGGAACCACCCAGCACGATGAATATGCTGAGCAAGCCGAGAACCGTAATCGGATTTCGGTAGACGAGCAAGGCCAAGAAAGTCTGAGCGGCTGCTTTTGCCGTACACGAGACATTGTGGGTGAGAGGGCTCGTCCATTTGATCTGCGCCGCCGCAGCAAAGCTGATGGCGATGCCCAGCATCCCACCTACACTCATAAGCGTCCAAAATAGAGGCGTTCTGGTCGTAGGGTTTTGAAAAATTTCCGATACCTCCCCGGTGAGCAGGATAAGCGGAACAAACAGCACAGTCGCATTCAGATTATTATACAGTGTCAGTTTCCATGGGTTATTATCGACATGCGCCAAGTTCTTTTTCACAAAAATTGAATTCAACGCAACGAAAAACGACGACGCTAGCCCGAACAGAACACCCATGAGTGACCAGCGCACTTCCTGGTCGTTGCCGAGCACATACCCGAAAATCACCACGGCGAGGCAGACCATAGCTTCCAGGGACGTACGCTGGCCCAGAATCAGAAAGTCAAGCAGCACGTTGAAAACTACCGTCAGTGACCTTGCAACCTGATAAAACGATACCTCGACGTACTTGAGGCATACATTGTTGGTAGCTGTCATTGCGACAAATACTGCAGAGAGTGGAAGCATCTTCCATAAAACAGCACGTTGCACCTCGAAGCGAGGAACGCCACCAATACCCAGTACTCCCAGAACATAGCACCCAACAACAGTGCAGAGACATTGGTACCAGGTCACGAAGAGTGGTGCGTCAACCCTGGTACCTGGTTGACTCAGCACGGCCTTATTCAGGAAGACCATGGCGATGGAGATGATCCAGTACGACGCGACTGCTACCGCGATTCGAGTCGACTTGGTCGCCAAGTTCAACTTGTCATCTCCGTTGAAGATCGTTGCTTTGTCCATGGAGTTAGAAAGCAACGAAAAACTAGCGTTCTAAGAACCCCGCTACGTTTTGTGAAACGAAGTACTGTGTGTAGCGCTGTGAACGCGCTCGCCAGCGTCCACGATGGGTGGACACGCGCGCTAGCAGCGGCCGCCGCGGCGATCGTGCTGCTGGTACAGTTGGCACTGGTAATGAAGCCTGACCTTGAAGGCGGGACTCGAGCGCATCTCAACGTCAATGCCAGCTTGGGTAGCGCATCGTAGGGGCATCGAGAGTAGTGTGCTGTCGAAACTGGGGCATTTGCTCTGTACCAACAGAAAGGTACTGGGAATCAGCGGTTTTCTCGATCGATTTAGCGGATGAAGATGCGTTTCATCGGGAAGGAAAAATGATTCTGCTGGAATAGATGGAATACTTTGTCTGGTGTCCAGAGGAAATGTGTCGCTCGATTCCTCCGCTGAAAGAATGGACGACGAGTGCGTACCAGTGACCGAAGGAAAAGTTCCGGATATCAAGTTGAAGCTGAAGTCTTTCCTCCGAGAGCGCTATCGCAAACGGATAAAGGCCTTCGTCTCGCGTATAAACTCATCCTGGGCTAGCGACTGGAAAAGGAAATCAACGCCCTTGCGAACCTCCGCATGCTAGGGATTCTCTCTGGAGACCCTTGACTCGGGTCACACGATCGTTTGTTTCCCTTGCTGCTATCACCGAAAAGACTTAGGTACAAGAAGGTCAAAGATTGGACGAGCGAAGAGGCCACAAACGCGCTCCCGTTCCCGGATAGGAACTTTTCTTTGCGCTCGCTGAATCGCCTCTACCGAGCGGAGCACCCGAGACCACGCCAGAGCCATTGGCTCGAGTCTCGTGTCGAGCCCAGGTGAACGCGATTGCCTCCGAGGCGGGCGAACGTAAGCACAAACCGGAATGCCGAAACATTGAGTGCCACCGAATGGGTATTTCTTTGGAATGACGCAGATGCCCGCAGAGCTTTCCATTTTGAGGGCGACCATACAAACGCATCACATCAAGATGAATCTCGGGTGTCGTGCCGCCTGTTACATCCAGCTCATGCATGGAAACGCAACCAAGGGCGTCTCGAGAGAGACAGATAGAAACAGAGAGAAACACTTTCTCTGTGCCGCCGTCACTCGACCGTTCGAGGGTGTCGACGTTCTCGGCCCGCCAAGTGATATAGAACGGAAAGCGAAGATGAAACTGGCGGTCGAGATCGCCGAAGACTTGAAGAGACACATTGACTAGGGTTTGTCTCTGACTGAAGCATTGGTGCACGACGCGCTTGGCGCTTCCTCGACCGCACAAACCTCTGGAAGAGGGTATAAACGCTTCGAATACTTGGCGAGAGCAGGATACAGAATGCAGAAGAGGCGAGCGCCACCCCAGGACGTTCTGTCTGCTGCCGACGAAGCGTGGCTTCACAACTTGTTACGTTCGTGTCAGTTACTTGGCCGTCATGGGCACTCTGCGACGCCACGGCGTTCTGAGAATGAAAGAAGTCGAAAGGAAATCGAGGCGGGAAATAAAGAGGAAGGTTTACCAGCAAAGCCTCCATATCGAAGCTGCCGAAGCAATGAACAGCCCAATAGGTTTCCGTTTTCTCTCGGATGGATACGATGTCAGTGTGCAACCGAGAGCATAGTCGAATATTTCGAGTCGAATGGGAAACGACGAAAGCCTCCTGTCTCTGAAACGCAACCAAAAGCTCGTAGGCGTGGAGCCGGGTTTTCCGGACGCAGTCACCACTGCGGACTCGGGCGCCGGTTCAGAAACGCGTCATTTACACCAGCAGAAGAAAGGACTTCGAGGCGAGGATCGCGTACAGCGCGAGGAAAACGCTAAAAACAAGAATCAACAGACAGACATACGGACGGACGGACGACGTGACTGCTTGTCTCCGCATTTGCGAGATAACAGACTCGGAAGCTTCCGAAACTCGTCTGCGGCCGTATTTGAGCATTCTTCCGGAATGACTGCGAGACAGAGCTCGTTCTGGATACCAGCGCCTGAGGTGCCATTCGTTCCACGTTCGACCAGAGGGCAATCCATGGATGTTCAGTCTCTTCTGGTACCGAGTGGCGAAGAGTCGGTCATCGAGCTCGGAGAGCGGGATGAGGGCGCCAAGCGTCCGATATCCCGTCATACGTCCAGTGCATGGGCAGCGATAACAAACAAGTCAACGGGAACGCCTGATGTGCGTATGGCGGACCTCTATGAATGCCGGACGTCGCTGCCGTGTTGGCGGTGCGCAAGTCGCCTCTCGAACACGAACGGAGCGACGACGTGGGTCATCACGAAGAATGAGTCGAGAGAAAGGAAAAGAAAGGAACTCGTACATGTCTCGGATTCACAGAGCACTGCACTGCAAGTGTGTCAGATGCGGGAGCAGCGCGGACTCTCCCAGCAGAGGTACCACATGGAACTGTGGCGACGACAACGCGTGCCACAACATCCTGGGGCTGCTGCAGGTCGGAATGCGAAGCAGTCGACAACCTGCACCGTTTCGCCGCGCGATAAAAAATGAACATCCTGTGACTGAGGCAAAAAGCCGTGGCATCCTCGCAGACCAAAGCGTCTTGATGCGAAGTATGGGTTACGTTACCTTGGATCTCGTATATAACGAGCATTATATTCTGATAAAGTCACGCGCGAGAAACTGACATGAAACGCCAATCCGACGATTTTTGCGTATGCATGTATGGCGCTTCCTGCCGCATTACGCGGCTGTTTGAAGACGGCAAACAGCACAACGCACAACGGACTCCGAAGACTGGTGTTTGATCAAGACCACTTATTCGTAGTTATGCGAGAAACGGTCTTTGACTCGAGAAAATGCGCAAAGACGGTGTAGGAGACGCGAGGCAAGAGCACGCTCTGAAACGGCAGCGGTTGCTTGGTACACGGGCAAGTGAGCGCGAGATCGTCGAAAGTGATGTGCAGTTGGGCAACTCTTGTCTGGGCTTTTACCTCAACCAGATGGACGTCGTCGACGACGGGCGGAACGGTGCACATGCACCATACGTCGTGAGCCTCGCCGAGTTGTTCCAGGATGGGCGTCTGCTCCGGGGCTGCTCTTCAGGGACGTGCCCGGTGAGCCGCAGCGGGCCCTCGAGTGACGGTGCTGCTCCGCGGCGAGTCTCGCGGGAGCCGTTTCCGGGCATCACAGACGCACTGCTCGCAAACTTCGTCGCGGACTATGACGCGAGCTTCTTCTTCGACCAGTGCCCGTCCCTGTACCAAACGACGGGACAGCTCGTATTGATCACCGGGGATGCACCGTCGCGGATAGCAGCGCTTCGAGGCTGGGTTCGGGATCACCTGCATGCCCTGGCTGAACGCACGCGAGTCCTAGGCGTATCGGGGCTGTTCAGCGGACGCGCTCCAAGTGCATGCGAACAGGGTCCAGACTCGTTAAGTGCCCGCGTCGATGGCGCTGGTGGTGGTGGCGGCGGCGTCCATCACAGCAAGTTTATGATTCTACGCTTGCGAGACGATCGGGTTCGCCTCGTGATTCATACAAGTAACGACATCGCATACGACTGGTTTTTCAAATGTCAAGGAATATTTGCCGTGGATTTGCCGCTGCGCGGAGCTGGCAGCGCATCCCCGAACACCGGCTTTTGTGCGGATCTCCAGCAGTATTTGGGTGCGTATATCCGGGCCGGCGAACGGGCCCTGCACGGCGGCGTGACGAGCGCTCGACGTTTCGGGACGATGGTTGCCCCGGGAGATGCGGCGTCTCTCGTAGACGCTGTGTCGCATTTTCGTCGGCTCATGACGTGTTGCGATTACAGCGCTGTGGACGGAGTTCGTCTGGTATCATCGGTGCCCGGTTGGCATCGAATCTCGGGGCAGAGCAGAACGAGTCAAACGAGCCGGACCGCATCTCATGCTGTGTGTGCGTTCGGACATCTACGCTTAGCAAATCTGGTTGCTTCGAGCTTGCGCCATTGTACAGAGGCGGCCCGGCACCCGAATTCGCTCGCTTTCGTGTTGCAAGGCAGCTCGCTTTCGTCCGTGGATGCTCGTTGTCCAAGAGCCGCCTCGGAGACGCTTGCTCGTTACTGGCTTACATCGGAGCTCTTCCGATCGCTCTGTGGTGGTGATGGTGGTGGTGGTGGTGTTGGCGAGGAATCGGTGTTCGCGAAGCTTGCTGAGGGATCAGCTCAAGTGTATTTGGTATGGCCGACCAGAACTCAGGTCCTGACAAGCATCGTCGGCATCGACAGCGGCATGGGTTTGATTGCCCGCGCGCAAGCGTTTCTGGATCCAGAAATCCGTCAGCTACTGACTCGCTGGAATGCTGACTGGTGTGCGCGAACCAGTGTCATGCCGCACATGAAGACGATCAGTTGCTGGGACACTCGGACTGACCAATGTCTCTACTGCTACCTGGGCTCAGCGAATGTAACACCCGCTGCCTGGGGAATTACCCAGAAGCAGGGAAGTCTCCTGCGCTGCATGAACTGGGAGCTTGGTGTGCTGTTCACTAGCGGATATCTGGCGACTCCCAAACTGTACAGAGAACTGCGACACTATGCAGACAGGTCGAATGAGCGAGAGCTCAACGAGCCGCGTTCTATTATCCTGCTCCCCCTGCCGTACACCCCAGGTGCTTGCGCCGGCGCTCGGTACCAGGAGCGTCTGGACCAACCCTGGTCCAGTGATGCCATGATCTGATTCGAAATCGCTTGGTGGTGCTGTTCACGTCGCCAGCTGCGGCTCTGAATGCACCAACGCATATCATGATCTCCAGTGAGACATGTCGCCGCTCGACAAATAGACTCCAGGCGATCAGGCTTCGCAGTGGTCGATTTACGGCACTGCGCTTCTGTAGAGTGATAAGCGGCAAGTACTTCGTTTTCCAAGCACGTTCTACGTTTGCACGCTCAGACGAATGGCCGGAACATCGGTATCATCGGACTGATCATGCATTGCATGCGCGAATGCACCTTGGACGAAACGTTCTACCTCCATGAAGCGACGTGCCGTGCCAGGATCCAGCGTGGCGAGTCGAAATGACAATGTCGGTGCATCAGCAACGATGACGCAACGCAGCAGCGGACGCGTTTCCGGTCCCGCTACCGGCGATAGTAATCTTCCGCTAACGTGCACTCCAGCGCATACCGAAAGATTCCCAGGCTCATATCGCACACACGTGCTCGCTACTCGGATCGCTTCATCATACCTGATGGATGCCTGATGGCTTGGGATTCCATTGCGGTTGGCCATGACTCCGTCCGGAGGTGCGTTCGCATCTGCATGGCAGCGAGTTTTCCATGTCTGGTCGTTGCTGATACGAAAGCGTAATCGCTCTCGATCCAGTCATGACATTTGGAACGAATCCGCTGCTTATGTGCTGAGGAAATCGCGAAGACTAGTGAATGCGCGTGTGATGAGCAATAAACGATACACTGAACGCAGCGATCGGGAACGATGGCGAGGGAGTGACGGCAGCGGAGAATCGATGCAGCCGCGCTAACACAGTAAACAACATGACGAGCATCTCTGAAAGCGTACTACGCTCGCTTTACCAAAATTTACACTCTACCGATACCACGCACCACATCAAAGAGCTGCGTTCCACTCAACAGAACCTCGTCTCTGCCAATAGAGCCGTCGTGTTCCGCTGCGTACTCGTATGAGACGAGTCACAACAGGAACTTGCGCGGTATCCGAATAGGTCATTGGTTTTTTTTCATCGCTAGATGCAATCGTTCCGCCCGAACTGCATCCGGATGCGGATATGTATGCCACCATCCCGCTGCTGTGCGATGCAGGCGATGCGATGCACGCGTCCCTACTCGGAGATCGCTGCCATCCAGCGTCACTGAGGTGTCCGGTTCGTGCGTGCGTGCGTGCGTGCGTGCGTGCCAGGGTACAGGGTCGGGCGCACGCATCAGGCCGGTGAGGTTGGACATAGCGCCCATTCCTGGTACGCCTGCAGCGCTGATGCGCGAGTTTCGTTGACGAATGCCCGCGCGTCCATCGTGCTGTGCGTGTCTTCCGGTGCACCTGAGGCACCACTCAGAGACGCAAGTACCGGGTGCGTCTGAGGTATCTCTTCGTCATGTGCTGGTTGCAGTGGTCGATTTCCAGAGGCTTGCTCCTTGCGAGTCCATTCGGCCATGATTCCGACCGAGGTGCTGTTTGCTGATGTCCAAGGTCGACGGATTCGTCGCAGTTCCAGTCCGGGGACGCTTTGCAGGTGATTGAAGGAGCGGGTTTGTGCCGATTGTATCCTATTCGCTGTGAAAGCGCCAGCTTGCCAGCGATGAAGCGCGGAAGCCCGGCTTGGCTATCATTCTCGTTTTGTGCAGTTCCAGAAAGAACAACGGTCATGTGAATCCAGTCCAGCACTGGATGCACCGACTTTCATGTGGACAATCGCGTGGGCGCTTCAGGATCGGCATTCGGATCTGATGATTTCTCGTCGGGCCGCGTGGATGCCAGACATTCCACATGCGCTCGTGCTCGCCATCCCGTGGCCGTCAGGAAGAGCGCGTCGCCAGTCGCGTCAGCACAGAGCGTGTCTAAACCCGAAAAACATCCAGACGCTCCGCTGATACGCACGATGGAGACCTGCTCGTATAGGGAGGCTGCGACGCCATCGCTAGTGGGGCTTTGCATCGCTCTGGCGTGCCGCTGAGGCCATCACGTCTGAATGTTCCGTCGAGAGGCGCTGCTGCGAAGCGACTTGTTGCAGACGCTTCTCAATGAGTTGATTAAACTCCTCTTTGAAGGCGGAAAAGTTCTGCATTGACGTGCGCGCCACCCTGCGACAAAAATCAACGTCCGATGGTGCAATCACCACTGAGAGGCGCATTCGAGATACATCAATACCGAGGCGGCGCAGATAGAGTAAACGAGGTGCAATACGATCACGCAGCGAGTACGAGAAAACGGCCGGAAACTCGAGCACCTTCTTCGTATCCATGTTCATGACAGAGCGGAGGAATTTCAGTTTTGGTTGAATGTCTGTGTGGATATCATAAACAAGCAGGGGTGGCAACCCACGAACCATCGTGGCGACATCTGCGATTCCCCAGTCGCGCAACAGTGCGACGACTGGCATTGCATTCCGGTCAATGTCCAGGGCCAGCAGTGCCGGGAACGCGCGGTACGCTTTGTTCAGATCGTCGGTAGTAAGGCCGAGATCGCGCAGGAACTCTGTGACGCGCTCAACTTGTGTGAGCGATAAAGTCAGGCAGCGGGGATATGAGCGAACCATGGCCGCGATGCTCTTCGACGAAAGTTGGATACTTGCGTTCAGAAATTCTTCGATCGCTTGCATCTGTCCAGTGTCCGTTCGCAATATCTCGGGATGCGCGTAAACGATCTGGCGAATATACGGCGCAAAATTCAGTTCAAGGCAGGAACAGAGATGCTGCACAGCGGCTGCCGCAGTTTCCATTGGAAAATCAGTCAACAGCCAGGGTGCACGCGGAAACAAGCGTCGGAGAATATCGCTTGAAGGCTCAAAGCCGCAGCCCTGCGGCGGATTCTGGACCAGAAATGTAAGCATGGTCTCGAGCTGCTGGCAGTCGCAAAGACGACGCTGCGCCTGCTCCAAGAGCAGAAGCCGCACTAATTGGGCAGTGTCAAGACCAAAGCGTCGGAGCTGCCGGAGCTGTTCGCTCTGATTCTCTGGAATAGAGCACCATACTTCGAGGGGAATCATCGGATCCATCAAGAGGTTCCAGCATTCGGCAGCAGTGATGGAGCTCGCGGAAGATATTTGCTGTACAGCAGCTCCAAGTTGTTTCGCTGTCTCCACCTCGAGGCTCTTCATGTCTCTTTCGAGCAAAGCTTGCAAGTTCGTCGGTGTACATCCAAAAGCCGCCAAGTATTCTAGCGCGGAAGGCCAAGTTGCCGGAACCGGTTGCAACGCGATTTGTTCCACGATATCGCGTGCGAGGCCGTAGGCGCATAGGGCTCGAACAAAAGCTTCCGCGGTGCCGTGAGCAAGCTCTGGAGCGTTCGTGTTCCATGAATCTTCCCCTGATACCTGCGTAAAGATGCGCGACACCTCTGGACTCTCAACTGGAGTTTCCGTGGCCTGATTTTGTGCTTTCTCGTGAGTCTGTGGTTCCTTTGAAGGTGTTCCTCGCGACCGAGTCTTTAGAGCCACCGCAAAGCGTCCAATGCGCTTGGTCAAATTCTGGAAGAGGTCACGAGCGCGAGATGCTTGATTTTGGTCACTCTGGGGGCCACCATTGTTCCCGAAATGGCAGCATGTGTCGATGTACACGGATGCGCGGTGTGGTCGTTTGCGACTAACGGGAACAAGCGGCGCATAGCAGCTACGAGCGCCTCGGGAACAGTCCCATCGCTGTAGAGGCACCCACAGCACAGTTGACGCAGCTGAGGCTCCTGAAAACATAACTAAGCACCAACAACACCACCTTCGAATTGCGCGTGTACAGGTCAGCGTGGGTTAATCGTCTGGCACCCCTCCCCCATAGCGCCCCAGCAGCGAGAAGAAGCTCACCGAGCAGTTTCCCTTCGGCAGGAGCCCCGCCAAGCGCTGCACAGATCCGCTCGCCTCTGGCACCTCTGACGCCGCAGTCGGTGCCGTCGCCTGCGCACAGATCAGGCGTGACGCGTCGTCCGATCGGTGCAACGTTGACACCCGGGACGGGTGAACACGACGCCGGTGCACGCGACCTGCTGGAATCTGCAATGACGCTGGGATCGATGCCGTCCCCCGGAAACCAAAAGCATCTGTATATCCTGGAGCGTCTAGGCATGCTCATCAATAAAGCATTAATAGTTGTCTTTTCCATGGCGCCGCGGTTCTTAGCTGGCGACATTCCTCGAACTGCGGCGCGTCGCCACCTGCACATCCCCGTTTTCGGGGAGTTTCTTGTCACATGGATACCTGCTAATCGAAGAGATTGCGAACGATTTTGCTTCCAGGGCTAGCGAGAGAGAGTCGAATCTCACCAGAGACCACTCGCTTCGTTGGGGTCTCGAGTAGCCAGGCCACCGTTCTCACTGGAAAGCATTTACCGCCAAGAAGAAATGGCAGTCTGGTTCATGGCATATTTCCTAGAATGGGGTCGTTTTGTGTACGGTCTACGTTCCCGTTAATCGTCTTGTGCATCAGGCTTTGTTTCTCTCTCTTCTTGTTTATCTGTAAAAGAGCAGACACCACCCAGTAACTGGCAACTAGTAAAATAATGTATTTCCCCTATACAGTAAGAAATGAAAGACAGGAAAGTTTTGCGCACGTTCGAAAGTTCAGGTTCAGGACGGAAGATCCCGCGAGCCGTATGATTCTATCGAGCTCGTGCCTCACGTGATCCACACTGGCGGGTGTTGTGGCGAGACCTGCGCACCTCGTCCGCAAAGCAGTCCTTTTCTGGAACGAGGAGTGCGCTGCCTGCGCCAAAGCGTCGTCCCGGTCGCTGAGGTCTCCCGACATGTCGTTTCCGGCCGCTGCCGGTTCCAGATCTATGAGAACGTCCGGCTGGATCCCGAATTGACATTGAAATCCCAGCCCGTATCGAGTGCACCATACCTCGACCAGACGCCCCAGCGGTATGGGAAAGCCAATCCGTCTCCGTGCTGTATCGGCAACGGCGCGACTAGCGCTGAACCGGACGCTCCCAGCAGGCTCGGTGTCGGCGAAACGTACTAAATAACCAGCATCTTGTAGAGACTGTACGGGTGGTGGCAGCTGAAAGAATTCGGAGCTAGGGTACGAAATGATAGACGGTTTCCCACTTGCTGACGTCCATCTCGAAATCGCAGGGACCCCTGGTCCATTTTTTTCACTGACAAACCGTTTACATAGGCCAGCGTTCTCCGATTAGGCGCATTTTTCTTTTCTTACTTTTTTCTGTGTTTTTTTTCAGTGCGCGGTGAGGTATCCATCAATCACCTACCTCCGAGTTACATTACACCCCTGGTCCATGCGAACCTCCTGCCGATCAGAAATCATGCGGACACGTCACCTGGCGGCGCTTCAGTTGAACACGTGTGCGTGTGCGCGCGAGGCTGCGTTTGACCGCGAGCGGCGGCGCGCGGCCGTAAATCCCGCACGATGCGAACGTTTTTCCCCAGACGTGTTCGTGACTACAAGGCACGTTTCAAGATGCCAGGTTCGCAGCCCCTGCGCGTGGCTTGCATAGGTGCTGGATACGTAGGAGGACCAACCATGGCAGTCATTGCGGCAAAGACTCCTCCAGAGGCTGTACAAGTGCGGGTGCTTGACCTCTCAGCGGAGCGCATTGCCGCCTGGAACTCGGAGCGGCTTCCTATTTATGAACCTGGTCTCTCGGAGTTAGTCTTCGCTGCTCGCGGGCGAAACTTACACTTCTCCACAGCTATTGATGACGGCATCAAGTGGGCCGACATAATATTTGTGGCCGTAAACACACCAACGAAGGAGTGTGGTATCGGGGCGGGCGCAGCCGCTGACCTCACTTACGTCGAGCTGGCGGCTCGTCAGATTGCTGCTGCGGCCGATACACCCAAAATCGTCGTCGAAAAAAGCACTGTACCGATACGCACAGCGGAGGCTCTGAGCGCGATCCTCGAAGCGTGTGGCAGGACCTCGTTCGAGATCCTATCGAATCCGGAGTTCTTGGCAGAAGGCACTGCGGTACGCGATCTCTGTGAGCCTGATCGCGTGCTCATCGGCGGGGACCTGAAAACCGAGCGAGGGCGCCAAGCGCTCGAAGCCCTCGTCGAGCTCTACGCCTATTGGGTTCCTCGCGAGCGCATTCTCACGACGAATGTGTGGTCGAGCGAGTTGAGCAAACTCGTCGCGAACGCATTTCTGGCCCAGCGCGTGTCATCGATCAACTCCATTTCGGCGCTGTGTGAACTAAGCGGAGCACAAATCGACGAAGTCGCGCGCGCCGTAGGCCTCGACAGACGCATCGGACCTCGCTTTCTTCAGTGCAGCGTGGGCTTTGGCGGATCATGTTTCCAAAAAGACATCCTTAATCTTGTTTACCTGTGTGAGTCGTTTGGTCTGAATGTTGTCGCAGATTACTGGCGTTCGGTGATCGCCATTAACGATTGGCAAAAACAGCGATTCACGGCGCGAATTTTGCATAGCCTCTACAACACGGCCACAAACAAGAAAATCGCGATTCTCGGCTTTGCGTTCAAGAAGGACACGGCGGACACCCGAGAGAGCGCCGCCATTGATGTCTGCGGCAGTCTACTGCAGGAATGCGCGAAGCTGAGTATCTACGATCCCCAGGTGCCAGCCGAGCAGATCTGGTCTGATCTCACGCGAAGATGCCGTCGAACGCGCGACGAGCTCGCTGCCTATGTGACGCTCGCCGCTACTGCCGACGAGGCCGCCGCCGGCAGCCACGCAATTGTGATCCTCACCGAATGGGATGAGTTTCGAACCCTTGATTATTCGAAAATGTACAAGAGCATGTGCCGACCGGCATTTCTGTTCGACGGCAGGAGCGTCTGCGACCTCAAAGCGCTCTCCGAGATCGGATTTTTATGTTATGCGATTGGAAGCCCGGATGACTCGCGAATTCAACTTCGTTAGCGCGTACGCAGCGACTTGACTGGATCTATGGCGCTGATGCGCTCCCTGTCATGAACCCAGTAAAACCACATTTGTTAGAACGGTGCGATACTGACGCGCATGAGCTCCACGTCGTAAGTTAGCGTTTCATTTGGCGGAACGAGGCAGCCTTGGCCCTCAATGCAGACGCCCCGCTCTCCGAAGCCTAGTTCACTGGGCACGATTATTCGACGTTTGCCACCAGTTTTCATGGTTTCGATTCCCTTCTCCACGCCCGGCACCATCTGCTTCTTACCAAAAATGAATGCCAGCGGCTTTCGCCCTTTTGCAGTTGTGTTATCGAAAATCGTGCCATCCGATAGGTACCCAATGTAGTTGATGACCACGAGGTCGCCGTCCTTCGGGCTAGCTCCAGTGCCTTCCTTGTAGTCGCGATAGAGCACACCGGATGGATCGCGCACGAACTTTGAGAGGTCCAATTTTTGAGGAGTCGTAGTGCCTGCCGCTCGTGCGCCTTCCAAGCCCGGAAGCCGGAGCCACGCACTCACGCCAGCCATAAATAAAAGGCGTTCTAGCAACTGACGTCGGGTCAGCGATAGAGCCAGCGGCAGGGCTGCTCGCAAAGTCGTTCTTCCGTTGCTACCAGCCGACAGGAAGCAACGGCTACGATGCTTTCGCGGCAACTCCTTTCCAGAACGAGTCCTCTGCAGGTTCCTAGCGTTGAGGGCGACTCCGTGCCCAGGCACAGGTTGCACACCGACGAAAACCATAGCACTCCGTGTTCCTGCTCGAAACGGCTGCAGCAGTTGCAGGACAGTGCGTCTTCAAGGATGCTGCTGGTGCGCACATGCGTCAGCGGCCGATCGCCTACACCCACCAGATGGGACGGTTTGTTTGTTATCGAATATGTGCCGCTATCTTTCGCTCCTGAATTAGGTTTTGCGTTGAAGGATCGATGCTTTGGACTTGAGCATGATGGAAGGGCTCGTGGATTGATCCGTAGTTTTAGAATTTTCGGTTGTCGTTTTTGCTTGCTCATCTAGACTCTCTTCTGCGGGACGTCGTTCTGACCCCGGCATCGAGATGATTCGCGACGCACGCGAACAAGGATTCGTAAACTAAATAACAGGATCACCCGGTTCGGAAGTGCAAGCGTCCATCCTTTTACTGTTTCTTAAGTGAAACGTATTCATAGCACGCATTCTTCATGTTTTCGATCGTTCTGTTTCAAGGTGACTCATGGGCGCTGCAATGCACGCCAGTGAATTGACGTCGAAAACAGCATCTCACAAGTTCATGCCAAAACTTGACAACATATATGATGTGGAATCATCTATTCCGTTCGAAAAACAAATCAGCCTCTCCTTGTGGCTAACGATGAAACCGCATACGACAGCAGTAGAATTCCGCAGACGGGATTCGCTCCTGAAGGCTGACGTCTCTTTGATTCATACGGAAAAGGAGCCCGGACTCTGACGAACTTCAGTGATCGCAGCGATCGACTCCACTGGTGCATGCGTCACCGCTTGGCGTGAGGCGAGCGCAGACGGATCGAACATTCTCGGTGTACTCCCCAGTCTCGATTTTCTTTCGGTCCTTGTTTCATCATAGACAAGATACCATTCCACAAATCCTCGATCGAATGGAGCAGCGTGTGCTTGCGTTTTCAGCAGGCAGATTACTCACTCGGAAACCGCCCTAGAGAAGCCCGTGACCATCGAGCGATGCACCTGGCGCGGAATCCGGCGCTGGCATCGAGGGGGACCTTCTGTTCTCGTCAAGGGCATGAACCAGGCGCCAAACCGAGCGGTCACACGTCACAGGATAGCCCCTGGAGCACGTGAACCGGATACATCTGGGAAGACCTGGCCGCAGTCAACCGTCACAACAGCGAATCACGGATCGGGGCTGTATACCAGGAGCATGTGGATTGCATACGAAGCGTAGATCACAACGACGGCATGTGCACGAACCGCACTGAATACAGCTGGGGGCAGCGAAATCGGGACGTGACTGCTGACACGAACAATCCTCGACTGCTGAAAACGGAGCTCGATGGATACGATTGAGCGGCTTATTTATAGTCGTAGATAAGAGAGCGAGGAAGAGAAAGCATTCCCCGATGTTTTTTCTCAAAGACTGGTGTCCATAACTGTGTGAAAAGACCGGAACCTTGCTGTATACGTCCGAGTTGCGTAGAAGACCCTGTTCCATTTTATTCTGAAATGAGTGTCTCGTCATGATGCGACTCACACATAGAATCGCAATGATGGAAAACGTCCGCCATAGCGACTGCAAAAATCGCTCGACATGCTCCTAGCGGTGCAACGAGGAGCCATCCGACCAGATGACGTTTGAGCGAACTCGACGCCGGAGATACGCCACCCAACATGCACCAGAGTCGACGCCTGCGACCTGCTCAGGACCGCGTTCAGGACATTGGCTCGCGTAGGATACGGTGTGAAGATGCTGGCGTCCGTGGTGTCGGTCAGAGGCTCCGACTCTCCGCCTTGTACTCAGCGAATAGGTTCCTTAAGATTGGTCTCCTGCGCCGCGACGATAGTTCGGAATCGGGGGCGTCTCAGTTGGAATCCAACGCGGCCGCTTTGGAACACTCAGGTCGGGCTCCTTAGCCAGAACTTGCTGATCGGGCGGTAGCTCTGCAACCGCCGCGTCTCGAGAGCGCGCCAGTCGCAGCAGGCGTTGCTGTAGCATAACCTCACGACGCAAGCACTGTTTATTGTACGCCCGGGCGAGTTCCGCGCCACGAGCGAGCACTTCCTCGCTCAGCTCGAGCGTTACTTTTTCGGGTGCTAACGCTGCTGTAAGTACGTCCGGCGGCTCTGCGCGTTTCTCCGTGCGGCCACTCGGTACTCGCTTCGGCGTATCGAGCGCTGGTCGACTCCCAAAGAACCAACGCTTGCAACCAGGACACAATCGTATCCTGCTCATGAGACCGATCAATTCTCTACTATGCACAGGAGACTGAAGCCGCCGCCACCGCCGGGCTACCGGTAACCACTTTTTTGGCGAAAAACCGGTGTCTGGGGCGCTCGTGTGGAACCCAGCGAGTACCGCCTCTCAGCACAAAAATGGCGAAGCGCATCATGGTATCGTATCGACGCCGTCCATAGACGCTCGACACCTGCAGTACGAGCCAGTTACTAGAGCTCCCTCGCTTTATTGGAACACCGCTCTGCTGCCGGGAGCAGGTAGGAGCTCTCGAGAGAGCGCTGTACCCGGCACGCTGATAGCCGATAGTCTTTGCGAGTTACGTTGATCGAGCACTTGCGCTGCACGGCAACGCCGTTCTGCAACGTGGAGAAGGTAGAGGCTCCCTGGGGCAGCGCTGAGTTTCGGCACGCCATTCTCAGTAGTCTTCGCACTTTTGGAGACTGGCGGTTCGGTTTATTTTCCAAGGTTATAAAAAGTCGCAGGGCAGCAGCTTTCCTGTGTCCAAGTTCAAGGGTTTCATGGCTGAGGGCAGTCTCTGCAAACATTCGGTTCATCGAAACTCACGAGCGACGCCATGAACGGCAGAAAAAGTATTCTTGTCTACGAAAAATCCAGCGCTCCGCTCTTGCGCGTGCTCGGAGCGGTCGGTGTCTTTCAGGTCGCTGCCTGGGCTGCTTTCGGTGCGGTATCGTGGCGGAATAGCGGCGCGTCGACGAAAGCAACCGCTGCTACTAGTCAAGACACGGAGGAGGACGCGCCTGGGACGAGAAGCGTCACGGAAAACACGCACAGTCCCTCGAGTCGTTATCAGACATGGTGGCCTGCAGGTGGCCTGCTCGTTTCGGTTCTTTTCCTGCAGCTGATGAGTTTTTACGCCAAACGGAACGTGAAAAGCATCAGGTTTGTCGGAGACTTTGCGGAAAGAGCTCGTATCGTCACTCACTCTCTCTTCCGTTCGGGCCGGGAAGATCAACCAAGTCGGTTGGTGCTGGAGGTTCCGACCTTTCAACTACATGCCAGCGCTACTGGGCGCACTGCTACTAAAGAAGACCTCGTGACATTCGGCATTCGCGGATACAACTCGTTTTTCCAGATTGACCGAAAGCGGGGGCAAATCTACGATGCAACTTTGTTGAATGCGCTGCTTGAGAAAGGCGGTCAAGGCGTGATGCAAGCTGCTGCACAGCGGATGAAAACTTCGACGCCAAAACGGACGCCGTCAGCTCGCGAGCGCGCAGTCAACAGTTAGGCATGTCCCGGGGGCTCGTCGTTTGACGCATGGCCTGGATGCGCCTCGAAACCAAGATATTCATAGCATCGAAGGCTCCAGGCACGCCCTCAAATGTCCGACACGCTGTGAAATGTTGCGCTCGTCCTGTTGGGATGATCTCGTGACACCAAGTGCCACGGGGACCAGCGTTCTTTCATGGCATCGCTGCTGCGTATGGGACGGACCAAAATATCGAGCGTACCGCTCAAGGGTCTGCGCGTCTAGCTCCGCGACTCTTGACAGGAAGCGAGACCTGTACCGGCATGCGGTTGTGCAGCGCTTCCAGCGGACGGTTCTGCAACGTTCAAGGGTAGTTTCGAAGACCAGGGCTATACTTGAAACAGTTGGTGCTTCGTGTAAGCACTGGGATGGTTCGTAGTTTCCAGCGCCGCATGCACCCGCTGTCTCCGGGCGGAGCATGATACCGGTCCGATTTCTGCACATCGTCTGGAACACCTTTGCTGCACTTTTGGAGACGCTTAATTCATGTTCATTCGAGGAAGAACAATTGGGCATCCTGCCTAAACACCGTTTAGTACGCAAAACTAGCATTCATAGCGAACTCACACGGACGCTTGACTCTGGAGTTTCGTGTTTCCCGATTTTCACTAGGCGACTGCACACAGGCATACGCAAAAATCGTCGGATTGGCGTTTCATGTCAGTTTCTCGCGCGTGACTTTATCAGAATATAATGCTCGTTATATACGAGATCCAAGGTAACGTAACCCATACTTCGCATCAAGACGCTTTGGTCTGCGAGGATGCCACGGCTTTTTGCCTCAGTCACAGGATGTTCATTTTTTATCGCGCGGCGAAACGGTGCAGGTTGTCGACTGCCTCGCATTCCGACCTGCAGCAGCCCCAGGATGTTGTGGCACGCGTTGTCGTCGCCACAGTTCCATGTGGTACCTCTGCTGGGAGAGTCCGCGCTGCTCCCGCATCTGACACACTTGCAGTGCAGTGCTCTGTGAATCCGAGACATGTACGAGTTCCTTTCTTTTCCTTTCTCTCGACTCATTCTTCGTGATGACCCACGTCGTCGCTCCGTTCGTGTTCGAGAGGCGACTTGCGCACCGCCAACACGGCAGCGACGTCCGGCATTCATAGAGGTCCGCCATACGCACATCAGGCGTTCCCGTTGACTTGTTTGTTATCGCTGCCCATGCACTGGACGTATGACGGGATATCGGACGCTTGGCGCCCTCATCCCGCTCTCCGAGCTCGATGACCGACTCTTCGCCACTCGGTACCAGAAGAGACTGAACATCCATGGATTGCCCTCTGGTCGAACGTGGAACGAATGGCACCTCAGGCGCTGGTATCCAGAACGAGCTCTGTCTCGCAGTCATTCCGGAAGAATGCTCAAATACGGCCGCAGACGAGTTTCGGAAGCTTCCGAGTCTGTTATCTCGCAAATGCGGAGACAAGCAGTCACGTCGTCCGTCCGTCCGTATGTCTGTCTGTTGATTCTTGTTTTTAGCGTTTTCCTCGCGCTGTACGCGATCCTCGCCTCGAGGTCCTTTCTTCTGCTGGTGTAAATGACGCGTTTCTGAACCGGCGCCCGAGTCCGCAGTGGTGACTGCGTCCGGAAAAACCCGGCTCCACGCCTACGAGCTTTTGGTTGCGTTTCAGAGACAGGAGGCTTTCGTCGTTTCCCATTCGACTCGAAATATTCGACTATGCTCTCGGTTGCACACTGACATCGTATCCATCCGAGAGAAAACGGAAACCTATTGGGCTGTTCATTGCTTCGGCAGCTTCGATATGGAGGCTTTGCTGGTAAACCTTCCTCTTTATTTCCCGCCTCGATTTCCTTTCGACTTCTTTCATTCTCAGAACGCCGTGGCGTCGCAGAGTGCCCATGACGGCCAAGTAACTGACACGAACGTAACAAGTTGTGAAGCCACGCTTCGTCGGCAGCAGACAGAACGTCCTGGGGTGGCGCTCGCCTCTTCTGCATTCTGTATCCTGCTCTCGCCAAGTATTCGAAGCGTTTATACCCTCTTCCAGAGGTTTGCGCCGTCGAGGAAGCGCCAAGCGCGTCGTACACCTATGCTTCAGTCAGAGACAAACCCTAGTCAATGGGTCTCTTCAAGTCTTCGGCGATCTCGACCGCCAGTTTCATCTTCGCTTTCCGTTCTATATCACTTGGCGGGCCGAGAACGTCGACACCCTCGAACGGTCGAGTGACGGCGGCCCAGAGAAAGTGTTTCTCTCTGTTTCTATCTGTCTCTCTCGAGACGCCCTTGGTTGCGTTTCCATGCATGAGCTGGATGTAACAGGCGGCACGACACCCGAGATTCATCTTGATGTGATGCGTTTGTATGGTCGCCCCTCAAAATGGAAAGCTCTGCGGGCATCTGTGTCATTCCAAAGAAATACCCATTCGGTGACACTCAATGTTTCGGCATTCCGGTTTGTGCTTACGTTCGCCCGCCTCGGAGGCATTCGCGTTCACCAGCGCTCGACACGAGACTCGAGCCAATGGCTCTGGCGTGGTCTCGGGTGCTCCGCTCGGTAGAGGCGATTCAGCGAGCGCAAAGAAAAGTTCCTATCCGGGAACGGAAGCGCGTTTGTGGCCTCTTCGCTCGTCCAATCTTTGACCTTCTTGTACCTAAGTCTTTTCTGTGATAGCAGCAAGGGAAACAAACGATCGTGTGACCCGAGTCAAGGGTCTCCAGAGAGAATCCTTAGCACGCGGAGGTTCGCAAGGGCGTTGATTTCCTTTTCCAGTCGCTAGCCCAGGATGAGTTTATACGCGAGACGAAGGCCTTTATCCGTTTGCGATAGCGCTCTCGGAGGAAAGACTTCAGCTTCAACTTGATATCCGGAACTTTTCCTTCGGTCACTGGTACGCACTCGTCGTCCATTCTTTCAGCGGAGGAATCGAGCGACACATTTCCTCTGGACACCAGACAAAGTATTCCATCTATTCCAGCAGAATCATTTTTCCTTCCCGATGAAACGCATCTTCATCTGCTAAATCGATCGAGAAAACCGCTGATTCCCAGTAACTTTCTATTGGTACAGAGCAAATGCCCCAGTTTCGACAGCACACTACTCTGGATGCCCCTACGAGCGGCGCGTCGCCTCGATTCGAACACCACCTGTCCCCCGTTCTTTTGTCGTGCAAACCTTGAATAGTTTTCTTCTACGTTTCTAGGATTCAACCTAGTTAAGTTTTTGTTTCAGGTGCACTTGGAAGCAATGACCTGTGTCGTTTCGTGACCCACAGTGCGGACCTATGCAATGCTTGACCTGGGTTCAACCGTTCTCGCGGTTTGCGGTGTAGCGCTAGCCGTCGGCGTCCTTTGCATGATGGGCGCCAACGACGTTGCGAACGTACTGGGAACTGCCTATGGTGCTGGTGCATTGCATGTACCAGTGTACTCAGGGCCAGCGAGTCTTTGGGCACGAATCAAAGGGGCAGCTCCTCTGATCCTTTTCGCGGGAGTTTTCGAGTTCGCGGGAGCGCTCTTCGCCGGCGCGAGCGTGACCGAACACGTCAGCTCCCAACTTGTCTCTGGTGGATCGGCTCGTCAGCGAGCTATCGGTGCCCTGGGGTGTCTGCTGGCGAGTTTTAGCCTTGTGACGGGGAGCACTGTGGCCGCACTGCCTGTATCTGCGTCCCACGCAACCGCTTCCGCGGTTGTTGCCAGCGGGGCGTATCAGGTCTGGCGGCAGCGCTTTGCCAGGGTTTTGTCGAGTTCAGCTGCCTCAGGCCAACCGGAAGCGCCCATGTTGGTGCACTGGCCAGCGGTCTGGTCGATGTTAACCGCCTGGACCATGTCACCGTTTGTAGGCTTTCTTTCCGGCTACGTGCTGTATTTTATTTGCGGAGCTCGCTGTATCTCCGAGGAGGTTCTGGGACTACCCTTGCTCGCTGGCGCAATCATCGGTACTTTATCCATTTTCGTGTTCACGGCAGGCCCGCCCGATCTTCGTTTCCTCTTGAGGGACTGGATGGCCCCCATTGCGGCCGCAACGAGTAGTTTGGCGTTTGCAGTTGCTGCAACGGTGTTTCTGGTCAAACGGAGAGCATTACTCGCTCCGTACGTGGACACAGTGGTGCCTCCAGGCCAGTCCCGAGTACCTCATTCGGGACAGGACGCTTTCTCGAGTGAGTGGCAAGCGGAATCCAGTTCGGAAGAGCCTGCTCATAGTCGAGCGATAGGCTTGCGGATCTTGATGGTTTTTACGGCAGCAGCGCTGGCGTTTGCGCATGGAGGAAACGGTAAGTATACATCTAGCGATATTGCTTCGAATCACTGAACAGCTTACTAACCACGAGGATGCAGTGACGCAATCGCGGTGCTGCGCCTTCACGTCCAGATGTCAGTAACGGCATTGCACCGCTGGTTCACATCATCAACTATGCGCGACATGATTCAGGAGATAGAGAAACAGTTGCATCGGGAGCAATCTCGCTTTCGTTATTGGCCCTTGGCGGCGCTTCAATTCTGTGCGGTCTAACGCTATTTGGTTATCGAGTCATGCAGACAGTAGGGTATGCTATTGCGGAACTGGATTTTGCAACGGGCCTTGCAGCTCAGACGGCGGCGACTCTCTGCGTATTGGTTGCGACAACGGCTGGTATTCCGGTCAGTACGACACAGATTCTAGTTGCAGCCGTCGCTGGTGCTGCGTATTCGCAGGGCAAACCGATTCAGTATAGAACGCTAGTTCGAATAGTGCTCGCTTGGCTGCTCACGATACCGCTTTCTGCGTCTATATCGGTGATCGTTCCGTGGTTGTTTCAGTAGCAGGGCATTTAAACGATAACTTTTTACCGTGGTAGACGGTCGCCTCGTGAGGAATTTTTCGTTTCCCATTGATCCAGACGGAAACGACATGGGTCAAGTACCCAGAGGGCGCTGCGTATGCACACCTGGAAACGCTGCCCTCTGGATGCTCTGGAAGCTACCGAGCTCCGACGCTGCCTTTTCGCGAGTCAGAGTAGTCTAACTCGCTTTCCCTCTCCAGGAGCAGTGCGTACTTTAGGGTCAGGCGGGATGATCACACAGACCCGACCTGCAACGGTTCCTTCGAAACAGAATCTGAATGATATACCCTTGTTACAGGGCCTCGTGTTTCGCGGAAGCCAATTTGCTCAAGTTACACCAGTTTAGCGCTTCGGCGCCTGATGCCCAAATCCACAGACCCCGCGAGTACTTCATGGGCATTTATTCGCCATCGGGTGTAGTCTTTCAGCTTGATATTCACATATGAGTTATCGAGAAAGCAGTTTCGACTGATAGCAAGTCTTGGCAAACGCTGCCAAGCCAAGAAGAGACGAGACGAGAAGAGCATCCCCAGGCACCAAATGCTGTCTGGGCAAGCGTCTCGAAGGTGCGACTGTGAACCGCACAGAGGCACCTCGGCGAACGTCCAGTGGCGGCGACAAATGCATTCGCATTAGCTCTGTGAAGGCGGGGCGACATGTAAGCCCGGTCCGCTACCTATGGCTCCCATACGCCGCTGTGATGTGTGTGCAAGGAGCGACCTAATTCGACCGGCTCGTTGCCTGCTCTCATCAAGCATAGACTCGTTCGCGATAAGAACCGGGCTCCTAACGAGCTGCACCTAGCTTAGCGTCACCGTGGTCTAGCGCAATGACAGGCGTGCAGACTTTGCCGGGAGCTCACTCGAAGCTGCAGCGTAAAGCACTTCGTTTCGAGTCGGAAAGTCGTTGGTTGTGTGCTCGAAATAGGCCGAGAGCGCCAACAGATCCGACCCTGATTTTCAAGATAGAGCAGGTACTGCCTGGTATTCGTCTATTGCCAAGAATCACTGTCCAGCAAAGGGAGACATAATGCTTCATATACCATTATCTGGGCCCCAAAGAGTGAACCATACCGCCAGTATCGTGAAGTCGCCAAGTCCTGCACCAATTTTCTACCAGTATTCGTTTTCCCGGGGGCAATGGATAAGGCAAGCGCACGGACGACGCTCATATACTTGCAAGTCTTTTCTACGACATATTCATAGCGATGCAACTCCGAGACCTCTGAACTGCAGACAGGATCCCCAGTCGAGCGCACTGACCCAAAATGTATCTAATCGCTATTGAGCGACGGCTGAATTCCTTGGATGCAGCCTCGCGTTTCAGCGCCTCCTTTATATCACACTCACGAGTGCGTTGCTTCTTTTTCATCCGGTTCTAAGACTGACGATTCGAGAGCGATATTCGTATTTCTTTGCACTACTGTCGAAAGATCCAGCGGTAGTCTGCGTGTTGCCAACAGATCTCACCAGAACCGATTCAAGTAGACCGTGCAGCGTAGGCAACAAACTGCTGGGCGCGGACGCATCACAGTACGAAAGCGTTTGTTTCTGGGATTTCACTTGACGTATAACGTTGCGTACCAAAAACGACGCAGAATAGTTGTGTCTTTTCCAGGATCCGGAGCGGTGGAAACAGAACGAGCTGTCTCGTCGGCTTCTGATTCAAGGTGTTGGCGAACCTGATTGTTCGGAAGGTTTAGTTTACTAGGATGAGCCACCCAGACCCAGGTTTTGTCTCCATGAGTTTCGACTCGGACACGCAGAGAAAGATCGTATCACATCAGCGCACATGGTCACCATACGTGGATAACGGGGGTACCGTTCTTGCGCTTGCGGGTCGTGACTATGCTATTGTTGCAGCTGACACTCGCTTGTCTGTTGGCTTCTCCATTCCAAGCCGAAACTTTACAAAAATTGTGCAGCTTACGGATCAGGCGGTGCTCGCAAGTGCAGGCATGGGCGCGGATCGACAATACCTTCACAAAATCCTGCGGTCTCGACTCGAAATCTACAGATACCAGCACCAGAAGGAGATGTCTCTGGGCGCAATTGCACAGCTCCTCAGCAATACGCTATACAGCCGTCGATTTTTTCCGATTTACGCCTTTAATGTATTGGGAGGTATTGACGCGAACACTGGCGAGGGATTCGTCTTCGGATACGATGCAATTGGCTCATTTGAGAAAGTCAAAGTGGTATGCAGCGGCTCAGGGCAGACATTGGTGCAACCTGTACTGGACCAGCAGCTCGCTGGTCGCCAGAAATACGATGTGCCGGATGATCAGCGCATGGCGTCTCTTAGTCTCGCTGAGGCGATCGAGTTGACACGAGACGTGTTCAACTCGGCTGCTGAACGCGACATTCTAACAGGCGATGCACTCGAACTCTACGCTGTGACTGCCAGCGGTGTTCGGTGCGAACGCTTCGAGCTTCGACGCGATTGACACGGTACCACTGACGCTGGGTGCTCGCAAACCAGAATACGTGTGTGTAGCTTGCGGTAGCAGAAGCGTAGCTGGTGCATTTGGTGCGTCTCAGGCTTGAGCGCTTCACGAAGATGACATGGAGCGGGCCCTGGATGTGGCTCTCGTGGTGGTGGCTGTGGGTCTTCATGAGCCGCCGAATCGGCTGCAACGGCTAAGTAGTGCACGCTGCTACTCTGAAAATGAGTATAAAGTTTCTAATTTTAAATTTTTCACCGAACCATGTCGTCTCCACTGAGTTATTTTCGATGTTGGTGTCACCGTGATTTAGGCCCAGGCGCATCCATGTTTTTTTGGAGCGGGTCTCTTGAATGCGTCGCACGTTGAGGACGGAGACCGGACGGTGCGAAAGCATAGCGGAACCTGTGGAACCCCGTCGGGCATGCATCACTGCAAAGAGAGGTCATGCCGCTCGCAAAGTGCCACTGGGAATCAGCTAACGCGGATTCTTAGCACGGTATGTCCCAGTGCTTGGGTCCGCGTATCGTGGTCGAATCATGCTCGAAGCTGGGTATCCTTCCGTAAATGATAGCGCGCTCCGCTGAAGCGGTTGTTTTGCTCCTTGAGCAGTATAAGGTCTGTCACTCTACCTTGATTCCCGTTTATCCTCGAGACTCGCCAGTAACCAGGAAATAGCTTCTCGCTGCTTCACAGACGCTTCTGACTTTCGAGAGCACTAGACCAGTCCGTCCATCGCAAGTAGAGCGTGAATCGATCAAGCAGTTCGCGGTATGCCGACCCGTCTCATGTACATGATGCGACGCTGAGCGCGCTGCAACCTGGCTCGCCGTACGGAGATACGATGGTATCAGCATTCCCTTTGAAGTACTTATTCTGGACGATTGGTTCCCTTGACTTGCACCCGCTTTCGGACATGTGCTGCTACCGCTTTTCTAGTTTTGCGTGACTGAAAACCGTGTTCAGCTCCGGATATCGGCGATGTTGGCTGGGTGCGTCGCCACCCGACTGGCTGAATCTATCCAAGTTTCAGCGGATGTTGTACCTCTTGGCGCACGCACGAATGGCGTATTCGAGTAAACACGTTGCTCGAATACAAAGTCTCCGGGGAGACTTTGGTGTGAGCGCGGCCACCAACAGAGCAATCCGAGTCGCGAGATGCGAAGCCCTATGGATGCTCCCGTGCATGCCCGCCTATGTTGCGTGCCAGGCCCACGGGACAGGGAGCATCGCGGCGGTATGCCAGCAGGGACCCACACGCGACTTGTCGCTGGGACGCGGGTGCGGATTCGTGCAGGTGCACCGTGGCTAGTGGCGCTGAGGAGCGCGGAAATCTTCTTGAGTAACGGACGATAACGATGATCGCAGCAACGATTTTGGAATGAAATGGAACGGATTGCTCGACATGGATGCATAAATCGAAGTTCAGGCGTCTTCCGAAGGTCATCAATGCCAGCGTTTGCAGGTGTTAGATCCGACTGAATCCTCTTCATTTCACGTATATCAAGCTTCATATACAGCGGTTTCTTCTTTCCATCGAGCTCCGTTTTCAGCAGTCGAGGATTGTTCGTGTCAGCAGTCACGTCCCGATTTCGCTGCCCCCAGCTGTATTCAGTGCGGTTCGTGCACATGCCGTCGTTGTGATCTACGCTTCGTATGCCATCCACATGCTCCTGGTATACAGCCCCGATCCGTGATTCGCTGTTGTGACGGTTGACTGCGGCCAGGTCTTCCCAGATGTATCCGGTTCACGTGCTCCAGGGGCTATCCTGTGACGTGTGACCGCTCGGTTTGGCGCCTGGTTCATGCCCTTGACGAGAACAGAAGGTCCTCCTCGATGCCAGCGCCGGATTCCGCGCCAGGTGCATCGCTCGATGATCACGGGCTTCTCTAGGGCGGTTTCCGAGTGAGTAATCTGCCTGCTGATTACGCAAGCACATGCTGCTCCATTCGATCGAGGATTTGTGGAATGGTATCCTGTCTATGATGAAACAAGGACCGAAAGAAAATCGAGACTGGGGAGTACACCGAGAATGTTCGATCCGTCTGCGCTCGCCTCACGCCAAGCGGTGACGCATGCACCAGTGGAGTCGATCGCTGCGATCACTGAAGTTCGTCAGAGTCCGGGCTCCTTTTCCGTACGAATCAAAGAGACGTCAGCCTTCAGGAGCGAATCCCGTCTGCGGAATTCTACTGCTGTCGTATGCGGTTTCATCGTTAGCCACAAGGAGAGGCTGATTTGTTTTTCGAACGGAATAGATGATTCCACATCATATATGTTGTCAAGTTTTGGCATGAACTTGTGAGATGCTGTTTTCGACGTCAATTCACTGGCGTGCATTGCAGCGCCCATGAGTCACCTTGAAACAGAACGATCGAAAACATGAAGAATGCGTGCTATGAATACGTTTCACGTAAGAAACAGTAAAAGGATGGACGCTTGCACTTCCGAACCGGGTGATCCTGTTATTTAGTTTACGAATCCTTGTTCGCGTGCGTCGCGAATCATCTCGATGCCGGGGTCAGAACGACGTCCCGCAGAAGAGAGTCTAGATGAGCACGCAAAAACGACAACCGAAGATTCTAAAACTACGGATGAATCCGTACGCACAACGTGCTAAACTTTGAATATGAATACTGTCCATCTGAGCACGTTAGGAAAAACACCAAAAAGCATGTACAAAGCGAACAGTTCTGTGTTCCGTTCTAATCTGACGCAGAAGTAGACGCTCCATCGGAGACTATCGGAACGCGCAAGACCACGAAATGCAGCAATTTCGAGCGAGTCTCGAGACCTGCCTTTACTGCATATATGGGGATCATCGAGAGTGTTTTCGAAGAAATTGACCCAAAGACGCTGCACTAGCGCGATACGTGCATGCCGTGGCAAACCGCTGCCGCCACTGCCAGCGCTGTTGTCGTCGGCGCAGCAAACCTACAGATCTGGGCCATGTCGATGCATTCTTACCGAGAATAGCTGCATATTCAATTCACGCCACAAGACGTGCCCGCAAGAATGTGCTTTTCGACATCGTGCGATCAATGCCTAGTGCCTCTGCGATCCAATAATCCGGGGCACTCCCGAAGCATGCGGCGTCGTTGCCACGGGAGCGGGCGGCACTTTTCAGACGTGTGCTGTTCAGGTTAGACAAACGATTCATCTATGACTTGTCTGACGTGAAGCTCTCAATGCTTTGACAAGCCTTGCTAAGCACCTGCTGACCTACGCGTCTGAAGCGGTGCCGTTCCGAGCACCTTTTGAAAAGCATCGGGTACGCGCATGCGAGGAGGCGTTCGACCGATCCCTGGGTTCCCCAACTGCCCACATGCCGCCATTTTATCATCACCACGACTACGGCGGAGGGTCACCAGAACCCCTCGTTCGTGGAGATACTGGCGAAAAGCTTCCATTTGCGGGAGCGGACTTGGTCGAAACTCTGAACCGGCATGTGAGTTGAACGGAATCAGGTTCACTTTGCAGGGAATATGCGCGATCAGTCTGAGTAAGCGCTTCGCGTCGTCGAGGGAGTCATTCACTCCTCCGAGGAGCACGTATTCAAAGAAAACTTTGTCACCGCGGCGAGCATCGCGGGCGTACTCCTCACGCAATGTCTCCAGAAGCACTTCCAATGGATATTTTCGATTGATCGGCATGATCCAGTTGCGCACCTCATTCGTTGTGGCATTGAGGCTCACCGCCAGATTCGCTGATGTTTCGCGCAGGTAGCGTCGTATCTCCGGGACCAGACCCGAAGTGCTCACCGTAACTTTGCGATGAGAGAGACCCATGGCCTTGGGGTCCAACAGGATCTCCAACGCTCTCAGCACGTTATCCAAATTCTGAAATGGCTCACCCATGCCCATAAAGACAATGTTCGATATTTGCGTGCTCGCCTGCCGCGGTGACTCGTAGCGAGCCTTGGTCAATGTGACCTGATCGACGATTTCCGCTGCAGTCAGATTTCTCTGCAGACCCATTTTTCCGGTGAAACAAAACTGACAATTCATCGCGCATCCCAGCTGCGAGGAAATGCACAACGTGTTCCGACCGGAGGCAGGGATGAGCACAGACTCCACTGCCCCGGGGCTGTCACCGTCGACTTGATAGACGAGTTTGCGTGTTCCGTCCTGTGCTTCGCGGACCTCGCGTAGCGAAAGAGCGTGCAGACGGGCACTGCTCGCCAGTGCCTCTCGGAAGAGTTTTCCAAGGTCGGTCATATCATCCACCTGCGAGGCAACTGGCGGGCGGTAAAGCCACTTGTACAACTGACGGGCACGGTATGGCTTCTCGCCCATGCCACTAACAAAGTTTTCCAGTTCTTTAAGCGTCATGCCGCTCAGCGTCCAGCAAGTCGCCTGTGACAGAGAGGCGGAGGCCACAGGCTGGAGTTGCTCGTCGCCGGCGTCATTAGGTGGTGAAGCCGGCTCCACCACATAGCGCTCGGTTGGATTCGCATCGGAGCAGCGCACTAAAATCCTCGTCGAGCGCCCTAGAACAGAGCACGGTTTCTGCGCGCGGCTCCGAAGCATGGCCACAGCTCTGCTGCGACGCAGGAACGCGTGTCCGAATCCTCCGTTCACAGCGTGCGTTGGGAACATACCCGCGAAGCCTGGACACGACTCCCTGAGCCCAACAGGCGACATGTCGATTTCGGACACCGACCTTGCGGTCTCCGAAACTTGTCGTCGTCCGCCGGTCTAAAACGCTGGAACAAACCAGCGTCGACATGCCGGATATGTCGTCCGGGTGGACGCGTGGAGCGGCGCGGGCTACGGCCTCGCCATGAACGCTTCGGGAATGAGTGTTGCTCGCTGACGCCTTGGGAACGCTGTATTCCTGTACCGCTTGAGCGATATTTCCGAGCTCGAGTGCTACTCGCTTTTCTGGAGGCATGGATGCGCCTCAGGAGAGTCACTTTATTCTGAGGTTGCCTGAGCGTCTGGCAAAGCGCTTGCGAGACGCGTTGGAGGCGAGCGCATGGGATACTGTCGAGGACGCTACTACCAGCGTCGGCGGGCGACGTACAGTAGCTGCCACCGCTGTTGATTCGGTCGACCAGGGGTTTTCCAGTGCTGGCAACAGTCTAGCTGCAGATAATACTGGTCAGGCGAGCACGCGGCAGTTGCTGGCGTCGACGAAGACCGAACAGTTTTGGTTGGTTTTCTTTCCGGAAAATCGCAATGGCCGTCTAGCTGCGCTTCGTATCGGGAACGAAACGCAGTACGAAGAGCACTTTGGCTTCATGTTCGATCTTCCGTGCATAGTGGAGTCATGGAAGACTTTAGACGGCCGCACAGTGTACAAGTGCGCGGACGTGCACCAAATCCTTCAGATCTACGAAGACCCGAAGGATCTGCCGACCGGCACAGAAGAGACCCTTGGGGACGGATTAACGCCCGCTAGTCGTGGCTTCCTTGAACGCCATCGGCCAGAAGAACCCAAGTATTCGGCGATAGAGGTGGCGCAGCATGAGGAAATCATCAAGTATGCGCTGGACTTTCGAAAACCGTGGAATGGGCCGATGCCAGTCTCAGTGGATGTTGACGAAGAGGTCGTAGAGGAGGAGATCTGGGTGCCGCTTCCCAAAGAGGAGATGCCAAAGCCGCCAGAAGCATCAGTCATAACCCAAGCAAGTGCTTCTGTGGCGAATATGGAGAAGCTGCCGAATGAAACACCTCGTGAGGCAGCGCCGGTATCTCTCCCAACGGAAACGGATCAGCTTGCGTCTGAGCTTGAAGAGGCGCTCCTGCAGGACTCTGAACCCGCGACCACGGAAGAAAGGCCCTCTGCGACGGCCGTTAGTGCCGCACGCCAGGCGGAACAGGCTCGAAAGGATCTTCTCCGCCGCAATTTAGAGCAGCGGATTGCGGAACTGGAGCGGGAGATCAGTCGTATCGCGAACCCTCTTTTGCGCTCAAGAGTCCAGCGTCGCTTGGAACAGACGAAAGCGGAGCTAGATCAGCTGAATGCGGCTGATTAAGTTGGTTTATCGCGTCATGTCGATAAGCAAGCCAGGTTGCTGCGCGTCATGCGTCTAACCGGTGACACCACCGTTAGCCTGGCACGCCGCGTGGATATCGAAGCGGATCTGTTCTGATGTGAGACGCTGGATTATGGGCGTCTCCCGGTGGATGCAATCCACCACATGTACGGAATGCAGCGCCTACTTTTGGCGCAAGTTACGCAATGTATGAACGAACATCGATGCACGAGCGCACGAACGAACGAATATTCCGGAATACACAGGCACGAACGCATTTTCATTCTGGATGAAGCAGGTATTCGGTTGCGCATGCGCCCAAGTCACGCGTGATGTACCTGCGATGAATAGCCAGCTCGATCAATGTACGAACGACATGCATCCGGATGCACATGCTTTTCATGAAACTACGTCATAGGCATCGTTAACAAGAGACAGCGCTCGCTCAAGAGCAGTATATTCACTTTTGAAGCGTACGCTCTCGAATCCACAGGGCGCCGGTGACGACCGCTTGGGCCACCTACCGAGACACCATATCGAGCGCTACTTTCATGTTCAGTCCGGTCCGACGGTCAGACCACGAACAAGGCGTACTGCGCGTCTTTGCCTCATACCGATTCCACCGTTTCCAAAGAACGGAGCTGGCGATTCTTCGAATGCTTCTGCACGAGATGATGCACCAGTAATTTTGAACGCCCCAAACACGGCACGGCGATGCACGGTGCAGTTATCTGTTAAGAGGCGCAGTCGCGCATCTGAACCAAGGCCAAACTCCACGCTCGACAAATATCGAGTGCAGACTTGAACCACTCCGGCGAAGATCAGGACTCTTCGAGGCCAACGATGGCGCATCGAAGAGACCGGCTCCCAGGAGACCCCATGTTGATGCGCTTTACGCATCCGTCTTGTACAGGCATCGGAAGCGAATCTCTAATGCTTCCAGTGGGATTGTACTTAAATGTGCGGCATTGTGCTCCAGCATCTCTGTGGACTTGCCAGACGCCACAGCTGCGTCGACTTGATCATCTCGAAGAAGGTTGATCGTGGGCAAGGGTGCTCGTCGTTCGTAATCCAACTGGTCTACCGGGATACAACCGTTCGCTGGGGCACCATGCTTCGCATACATATGCATTGGATGGAAAAAAACCAGCACGAAGGAATCACTTAGGCCGCGTGCCTCCCAGCGTCGTTCCAGAAGGAGCGTGCTCGCATAGAAACGCTCAAAGTCTCGGGGATGAAAGTTCGGCAACACGAGCAGTGTGGTTGCCAACGCTTCCTCTGGTGCATGCTGCAGCACTTGCGCCTCTCGCTCCAGTGCTCGTTCAACTTGTTGGATGGATGTAGCACCATCAACGGCAATTCTCACCTGGTTGGCGAGAAAAGGCGCCCGCGCGTACGGGCACAGCTGGAGCGCCAGCACAAAGTCGCGAACCCACCTGCGCGTTAACGCTTCGCAGTGCGGGACATCCACCGGTAAACTTGACTGAGATTCGATCATAACTTTTGCAGCCCTTTTCGTTGTCGCCAGATTCCATCGACTGCGCGAGTAGCACACGCGTCTCCCCGTCCTACAACCATTGACCAGCGGCTGTGCGACGTTTATGGCACTGAGAAAACCCAGCCGCTCTCGGGTGTACTCTCCTGACGAGTGCATGCTCTCCTCAACTATGCGTTTCTTCAGGTGAAACTCGTGCGGCTGTTGAAGAGCCTCACCTCGGGGAACGAAACCGTAACCATGGTAAGGCGAACGACCTTCAGATGCACGTGCTCGCTCGCGTTCGGCGAGCTACAGCTGCTGACAGCTGCCCTGGTCACGAAACCCCGGTCTGGCCCGGAGACAAGTCCACTGCCCAAATCTGCCGTTTTTAAAGCGGATGTTCACCAGCAGAGTCACTCGTGACGGTTGATGTTTGACGCGATTGAGATGGGAAGCCAAACTCCTGCGTCTCAGCCGGCTGCAAGTCCTGGACTGGCTGCCGTAGCGCAGGGTGCAGAAGCCACCATCTACCGCACGAGGCTCTTCGGTGACCAGGACGTGGCCATTAAACAACGTTTGCCCAAGCGTTATCGCATACCGGAGCTAGATGAACACCTGAACCGCTCGAGAATCATCGCTGAGGCACGAGCGCTCGCGCGAGCCTGGTCTCTACCGCACGTTCACGTACCTGCAGTGTACTTAGTGGATCCACACCGGCTGCGACTGGTTCTAGAGTGGATAGAGGGTTTGAGTCTGCGCGACTGGTTGCGCACGCGTGAATCAGTTGAAGGAACAACGCATATAGCAGCAGTGTTGGAACAAGTCGGACGCATGGTAGCGGCGATACACGCGGTGGGCCTCATCCACGGTGACCTCACGACTTCCAACTTCATTGTGCGCGAGTCCGCCGACCGAAACGAAAGCACTGTATTTGTGATTGACTTTGGGTTAGCGCAGCAGTACCCTATACAGAGCGACACCACAGTGGAAGCGAAAGCTGTTGACCTGTATGTGCTCGAGCGCGCGCTCGCTTCTGTTCATGTTCAGCAAGCAGCAGCGTACTTTGCGCAGGTTTTGCGAGCGTATGAATCGGGTTCCTCAATTGAAAATGCGAAGCTCGTGCTACGAAGGCTTGATGTTGTTAGAGCTCGGGGACGCAAGCGAGCAATGATCGGTTAGGGTCACGGGTAGCTCCAGTGCACTACTGACACCTGGAGCGTGCCGCAGCGCCGGAAACTCGCACAGCAGAGAGGTACACTTTGGCACCGAGGTGATCGTTTCCAGTCTATACGTTGCATGCTTGTTGCTCTTGGTCGAGGGTTTGACATACTTGTGCTTGTGCAGGCTAAAATGTACTTCGCGCCCTGAACTGCGTATGACTCGAACGCCGGATTTCCTGCGAATAGGACGCATCCTCGAAGATGCAGCGCCACCTGCAAATTGTTTTGGTTTAGAGGGAACATCTACCAACGTACGTACAGGAAGCGATGTTCGAATGTGAATATGTCCAGCGTTGAGGGAGGGCGCATGCTTTCCTGCATATCGCGTGCTGGAAGGTGCGTTTCAGTTTTTGCCCCGTATCGATAACTTATATGGAATGCACCGTAGTACGTCGATATAAATCTACAACAGCAGTGCATATTGTTTTGTAGAATCCAAATCCACCATTTAGTAGGTCTGTCGGGTACGCAGAACCCGCACGTCCGTGTCGACACACCGCAAGAATACCAGCACACGTATTTTTTCAGAATCCGAATCCATCCAAAAGGTCTGTTGCATATGCAGAACACACCGCTTCACGTCAACAGACCTCTACTGTAGCGTAAACGTACCGTCATAGAGTCCCTGTAACTAGAAAAAACGCTTTCTCACAGCGTAGATGAAGCAGCAAGCACTTGACTGCGAGAGCGGAGCTCGCGTGAACACGATTCTCACTGCTGTTTTCGCAGCCGCCAGATACGAGAAAATGTTTTTTGGTGCTCCAGCGTATGCGAGCAACTGCAAGGCACACCGGTTAAGGGCGATTCTCATTCGCGACCGCTCTTGCTTGGGGACGACACGTTCGCAGCGCGTTCCACACCTGACAAGGTGGCAGCGTGTCGGTAGGAATCACGCCTAACTGAGCGAGTCCGTTACGCAGGCATGGACGCGAGTCAGCGGGTGCCTCTGGACTTTCGCCGAGCTGTGCGCCGGTCTGACGAGATTGCGCGTGAACCACTTTTTCCTCGCTGTCCCATTGGCTGGGAAAACTTTGTTCCCAGTGGCTGGGTCGTCCCCCTCGGCCAGTCTCTGGTCTCCGTGAGCGTCCCAGCGGCAAACAAAGCCGAGTCACAGCCGCGCTTCTCTAATACCGGGCGCTTGCCCGACTCCGCAGCCGAAGGGACCCCTGTAAGAGGCCCTGTGCCGCCCGGATCTACCGACGCTGAAAATACGCTGTCCGTATGCACGGTTCTTGCGTCGCGTCTGCTGGTTGATTCACTGCCGATCGTTGTCCTCGATACGGCCGAGCGTGGAGGACGATTCGGCAGGCCGGGCTTTCGCAAACCAAAACCAGCAGAGATCTATCTTGTCGAGTGGATGCGACCCTGCACACTAGATGACTTCACCTGCAATGGCCTCGTGAATATCGGCTCTGGGATGCCCGGTATGACCTGGGGTTCTGGTGGCGGCACTGGGTCGCCACGGGCTCAAGGCACGGCGTCGCCATCGACAGAGCGAGCAACGAGCCAACGAATGAAATTGACTTGGGTTACGATTTCAGTTCTGGAATGTTTTGGGAATGAGGCCCTGGAATATTTCCGGAAACGGCAACAAGCCGCGGAGACGGTAGCGGCGTTGCGGAAACCGGACGTCGGCATCATGCCGTCGAAGCGATACACTCGATACCGCTCGCTCGACTAGGCTTTTCGTACGATACAGAGGCCGGTTGCGAGCGTTTCGGATTGGTGCGTCCGCCTTGGAGGCTCCCGCGGTCCAAGTTTTTCTGGTGTAGCATCAATGGATGAGTGGATGGATGGGTGGTCGGATGGATCTAGAGTCTTTCCGGCCACACGGTTGCAGCAGAAAGCAAGCAGGGCGGCAATCGTGTCGTCATCGTGGTGGTCGCTGCTTTTGGTGAAGACCTGTAATAAGGGCGCTTTGGAGAACGCAGGGCATCGCTAAGACAGCGAGCCGATGGTGTTTACGTCCGGTCGCCATGCTCTATTTCGATACAAGCGCTCATCTCCGATCACAAAGTTCAGGTGAGTGAAGCACATGCAACGTGTGAAGGTTGCCATCGTTGGATCCATGGTAAAAAAGTCGTTCAAGTTCAGGTTAATGAAGCCCTTGCAACGCGGAACGTTTGCTGTCGTTGGATCCGTAACCTTGTTCGCATTGGAATAGCGACATTGTCCTTGTGCGTATATTAGATTGTGGAGAAATCTCGGAAAAGTCACGCTCAAGTCACTCTATGTGCAGCGTGAGAATACAGGAGCTCCAGTTTTCGGGAATATCGCGGGCATTCACATATTCCGATCAAAGCAGCATCCAGACAGTTAGATCAATATTATTTGTAGACCTAAATATCGAGCCATAAATCGTCGCGGAATACTCTCGCGGCGCCTGAACAGCACGGGTATGATCGAGTTGTACGATATGCTCTTTTGGGATCAAGCGTTGCTAGCGCGGTTCAACGTGATTTTTTGCGCTGCGCTTTCTCGCTATCTGCTGAGCATCCAGCTCATGATCGCTGCTGGATGCAGTCGCGCTTAGGCACACGTCCACAGACGAAGCGTTTCGCCTTTTCCGACGACGCCTGAACCACACATTTCTCCGCTGAACGTCTTCGCAGAGCAGAGCAAACCATGCGGGTAGGGTACCCTTATCTACTGCACGGCTCTCTTCGCTCGTCAGCTTCGCATCAGCGGGTTGCGCGGCGTTGGTCGCCGGCTCGTGCGACAAAACTTTATCGTTTGCGGGCGCGTATCGCAGCGCCTCCGACGAGACTGCCTGCTCGGGAGCGCTGCAAACCGGAGCGTCTTCGCTTTGCAAAGGACCTTGTGCTGTGCGCGGCGAAGTAACAGACGGCGTCGACGTGCTCTGTGGTGAATTGCTCCACAAAGACGCAGTAAAGTCCATCTTCTCCGAAAACGCTCCAGGTTTTATGCCAGTCTGACAAGTCAGACAAAGAGCTGTCTCATATGCGACTGGCACCTGCTCGCAGCGCTCGCACAACGGCAGCGCTGTCACGGACGAACCCAGCGGCTGCGACGCACTTCGCTGCGCAAATGAATCCCAGCAACCATCGCAAATACAAGACTCTTGACAGTATTTGCGAGCAACTGCTTTATTGCAAGTTTCACAGAGTACCTCACAAGTTGCGAGCCGCATTAAAGCATTCCAGGCGTCTCTTGAGCGTGTTCGTCTCACAAACGAAAGTTCGCCAGCGCCCACGCACGAAAAAGCCCTCGTGGCAGCGGTGCACTGCAGTGGCGATCGCCGCGCTCTGGACTAGACATCACCAACTTACGCGCAGACGCCTCGCAGTTTTCTTGGACCGTCCACCCACTACTACTTACAACTTTTTCTCATATAGTTCGACTTGTAGAGGTTGTCCAACTAAGTTCTTTCGTGTCCAATCTGGAGGTCTTTTCTCCACCACCGCACATCTCCGTATTGATTGCGGCATGAAAGCCTCGATTCACGAATTCCATCCGTTTCTTGCCATCGTTGGTTGTACTGACCAATGCAAGCGATCCTCGAACTTTCGCCCTCCTTTCCATTAGCTCTTCCGTCAGAGGTCCGTACTTTTTTATATCCTCAGGGTTCCGCTGACACTTTTCCATCTCGACCCTCTGAAGTGTACAACCCAGCGCGTGGTGTGTATATGATGCTCGAAACTCATCTATCGGTATTGTAACGAAACGCCGTGCACACTCCTTGTATACCCTCGTCGTTGGAGCTGGAGTAGTCCTTTTTGGGTCTTCCATCGCCCTGCTCAATACGCTACTACGAGCATCTGACTTTCATCCTCCTATAGGGCGCTCAACTGATTGAAGAAATTCGCGAACGCCCGCTGCTTCCCACAGTACAAATTCAATCGCAAACGAGCCCACCGGGGCTTTGTATACTCCTCCCACAGCGCATCCCAATGCGCAATGCGAACTTCCATGAATTTCCGAAAAAGCTTCAAAGTCCGCTTCTCGGCTCGTCACCTCGCTCAAAGCTGCCAGGTGCTCTTTCACTCCTGCGTTCCAAGTCTCAATTTTCTTTCTCGCATTCATCATGCCGGATTCTCGATAGTATCTCGCTCTCGGGAATCTCAACAGACGCATTTCTCTCTGACGTAAGTTGCCGTTGATACAATCTTCCGCACGCTTTGGTGCTTCAATGGTTATGATATTTGTGTTTCCGGGTTCCGCGCGGAAGGTGCCAGATAACGACTTTGTCGTTGGCGCGGACCCCGGAAACACAAATATCATAACCATCGGTGCTCCCAAGCGCGTGGAAGATGGTGCTGACGGCAACTTACGTCAGAAAGCCATGCGTCTTCTGAGATTATCGAGAGCGAGATACTATCGAGCATCCGCTATAATGAATGCGAGAAAGAAAATTGAGACTTGGAACGCAGGAGTGAAAGAGCACCTGGCAGCTTTGAGCGAGGTGACGAGCCGAGAAGCGGACTTTGAAGCTTTTTCGGAAATTCATGGAAGTTCGCATTGCGCATTGGGATGCGCTGTGGGAGGAGTATACAAAGCCCCGGTGGGCTCGTCTGCGAATGAATCTATACGGTGGGAGGCAGCGGGCGTTTGCTAATTTTTTCAATCAGTTGAGTGCCTTGAAGGAGGATGAAAGTCAGAGGCGCGTAGTAGCGTATTGAGCAGGGCGCTGGAAGACACAGAAAGGGCGTTCACCAGCTCCAACGACAAGAACGTACAAAGAGTGTGCACGGCGTTTCGTTACGATACGGGTAGAGGAGTTTCGAGCATCGTATACACACCAAGAGCTGGGATGTACACTTCAGAGAGTGGAGATGGAAAAGTGCCAGAGCAGCCCTGAGGAAATAGCAAAGTACGGATCGCTGACGGAGGAGCAAATGGAAAGGAGGGCAAAAGTTCCAGGACTTCTTGCATTAGTGAGTACAACGAGTGACGGCAAGAAGCGGATGGAGTTCGTGAACCGAGACGTTAACCCAGCTATCAATATCAGGAAGTGTGCGGTGCTGGAGAAAATACCTCCAGCGTCGACAAGAGAGAACTTTGTTGGACAGCCTCTCAAAGTCGAACTATATGAGAAAAAGTTGGAAGCAGTAGTGAGTGGCCTGTCCAAAAGACCAGGAGGCGTCTGCACCTCAATTGAAGACTTCTTGTCTAGAGCGGGTTTCTCGCCACTACTGTACCACTGGCGACGTTCGACTTTCGAACGGCGTTCGATGGAAAGGGTGTTATTGGCCCTAGCTTTTTGAGTTTTGATAACGGTGATGAGTCGCTCTGTGTGGTTCGAGAAGCTGCGTGCTGGCATCGGTACGGTCGCGACGCCGCTGCCGCTGCCAAACACCGCGATTCGACGCAGCCAGAGTTGGAGCCGTCGGTTTGTGGCGCGTACGATTGTCGCATTTATAACAGTAGCTGGTTTGGCAACCATAGCTTGGCACTCAAGTTCTTGGCGAGAGGCTGTGTTTCCCACGAAAGTGTTCTCGCAGGCAAGCACAGAGGCAGCCGCAGCGGCACCCGATACAGCACGAGCGGCACCAGGGTTGCCGCGGACAATGCTCACCAAAGCACCGGGAAAGATCCCTTTCCAGGACGAGAAACCGCCAACCAGGGCAGAGCTCGGTCGAGCGGGATGGACGCTTCTTCACTCGATAGCGGCAAACTATCCAGAGGTGGCCACACCAGAGATGCAAACCCATGCTCGTCAATTCATTGCATCTTTTGCCGCGCTTTACCCGTGTCCGACCTGTCGAGAGCATTTCCAGGGATACGTGCGAACCCATCCACCTGCATTAGAATCCCGAGAGCAATTCGTGAAATGGTGCTGTCGTGCACATAACGCGGTGAACCTGCGTCTGGGGAAACCCACCATTCCCTGTACAGATTTGCAACTACTCGACAAACGCTGGCGCGACTGCCACTGCGACGAGCAGGAGCCCCAGAACATGATCCGCGCTGCACGGCGCCTGATCGAAAGCCGCCGCCCAAACGCCGGTTAGCGCAAGTGGGTGAACATTTTGTTCGCTTCAGCCATTTTGTGCAAGTCTTGGCGCCGCTTCCAAGCAACACCCTGCTGCCGATGGATATCCACGAGCTCGGCTGCCAGCCGTGCCGCTGCTCCGCGCTCTCGTCGCTCGGAGCGAACGGCATCCCGGATGGCCCGCAGCGCCAATGCCGTCGCTCGATGTGGCATAAGTGGACTTGGAACCTGTAGATTGCGACCGCTGAGCCGGTAGCGCGTCAGCTCAACGACTGGCTTTGCCTGCTCGATCGCCTCTTTCGCGTAACTTGCCGGATCTGGCACCTGATACTCCCGTTTCAAAATCCAAAAAGCCTCATCGACGATGCGTTGCGCAGTGCTTTTCTTCCCGTCCCGCATGAGTATGTTCACCAGCTTGGACAACACAGAATCGGCTGTGTAAAGAGACATAGCGGAAGCGTCAGTGCACCGACCGGGCAGGATCGTGCTCGAGGTATGCTCTAGACGGCGCCCGAAAGCGCCCGCAGCCCCTCGAGTCGTACCTAGCTCGTTGACGGTCTAGGGCAACCGTACGTTGTTTGCGAGCCCGATTGTGTTGTTTTCGAGGCGATAAACGTTTTCGTGTCTGTCCGGGGTTGCAAAGGTACTCGGAACGGTGGCGGGTACGCTATAGTGGTCGCTCCTTCCTCGACGGCGATAGCCTCGAACCTCGAAAACAGCCAGCTGACCAAAGAGCTGGGCAGCTTGAGAATCAGCAATGACCCGTCCAAGTAAACACACAACCTCGTCTTCTCCTAGTGTCTCGTCGCGGGCACAAAGCCCAGACTCGAACGCTTCCCAGTAACAACGACACGAGCCCGTCCAGAACGAGTGCAGCCATGGCGTCGCGCGAGCATGTCGCTCGGGCATTCGCCTCGCAACGCCGGTGTGCCCATTATCGAGTCGTGCGCTCTGCGTTCAGTACTACGCGGCGGCGGCGGCGGCAATGTACTGCGGATTCGAAACTCGCTGTTCGATGGCGACAGGTGTCTACCTGTTGATGCGTCTGTTCGAGTCGGTGCTCCCGAAAAGTGTCGGGAGCATGATGGAGGTCGCTCCTCTGCTTACCGACAGGCATCTGGCATCCAGGCAGATTCTGGTACGACGCATCGACTTTCAGGCATAGAGACGCCGCAGTACCGCACTCGACACAGTCCTATCGAAGCACACAGAAAGCGCTCGAAGCGTCGATGCTCCAGCGACGAACTCGAAATGTCGGATGTTTACCATCTCGGGTGGTGGACTCGCATCCGGCGATTCGCGGGTTGCCCGCGGAGAGAGCCGGGGCACCAACTAAGCTTGTGCTATTTTATCCATGAAAATACATTTATTTACCTAGCCGCTCATCGACGCGTCATGGCGTTCGCGCACAGCTCGCTAAGCGCAGCACGTGTGCATCGCTCACCAACGTGCAACCTGGGCGTGTGTGCGCGTGTTTCACGCAAAGGTGTGCGGTGGACGCGAACCCTTCGATGTGTACAAGGGACACGGCAGCGTTCAGCCAAATGGTAACCTGTTTCGTGGCAGTTTCGGCTCCGGGGCGAGTACGCTCGACCAGCACGCCGCAGAAGTTGGTGTTAGCGCAGCGTCCGACTGCTCCGCGTCTGGGGGCGTTCGCTCTGCGCGCGAAGCGCCGGGGCCACTCCCGGTTGAGTCGACCAGTTTCGGCTGGAAGCGACCTACCGCGACGACCTTCACGTGTCGCCGAACAGATTCGACGAGATCTGGCGGAGATCTTTCTGCACGAGCTGGTCACGTTCAAGAAAGTCGGAAAGGAACTGGTTCCGCCGACGTTCAGAACCAAGGATATTTCAGTCCTAGAAGTGAGCGTCACATCAGACTTACGGACTGCCCAGGTCGAGATAAGCGTCCTCAGTGCAGAGCCAAGTCCCCGTTCCTGCGTCGAGTGGCTGATGCGAAATCGTTGGGAAATTCGACACGCACTGGCCCAACGGATGCGGCACCAGAAGTTCGTTCCTGAACTACGCTTCCGCGAGTCTCGCGTGCCACAAGTCATGCGCACGCTGCAGCTTATCGATCGGCTCGCTGCGGAACGCCGGGGTCGTGAATCAACAGCATCTGAAGACCCAGAAATAATGCAGGCCGCCGCAAGCCCAGCTAGTGACTTTGAAACCGACGATACGATTCGACCAGAGGAACTGTTTTTAAGCTTACCACCCGCTAAACCTGATGCTGAAGAAACCGACATATTGGGCGATGATGTTGCCAGCATCGGTAGTGACTTTGAAACGGACGATAGAATTCGACCAGAGGACCTGTTCGTACGCAACCTGCCCGCAGAAACTGATGGTGAAGAAACCGACTGATCGGCTGATATCCTCATCACCTGCGTCGCGACGTTGCAGTCGACATAGACCGGAACGCAGCCCCTGGTCTAGTCGAAGTGTGCGCGCCTTCGAGTGAGCCGCGCACCGCTGCCTGCAGCTCAGACGCGTTTTGGATGCTTCTCTCGTCGAGCGATATTCAGCACCAGAGGATGCGACGGGTAGCATCATGTGCCTATATCCAAACGGTATTAAACGAGACACGCTTCCATAACGCTTTCGTCGAATAAATAGGCAAAACTGCAGCGCTTGTGCGCTCCTAGCTGTTGAAGACGGGCGCGCTGGTGACCGAGCCCCCGAGCACGCCTTGCTGCAGCGCCTCGACAAGTCCACCAGATGATATTCGTCATCGAGAGGCGATGAACGACAATCCATGGCGAAATGATCTGCGGGAAATCGCAACGCGCTTGACAATATGCTAAGGGTTTCCAAAGTGCAAGCGTCCTGTGGGCGTTTAGGCGCTCGATCGATGGGCAATCAAGCAATCAAGCAACAAAAATGGCCACAAGTTCGACCTGGCGCCCACGATCCAGCACCTACCCACGAGCTCGGCGTTGCGCACAGCGTATGAAAGCGCACACCATGATGTGCGCTTTCATTTGCATACACATGTTCGCAGCGAGGCATGCAGCGCAACGACATGAGACCCAGAGGCCAACCCAAAGACATCTTCGAGAGAAGTACAGCGCAGGCGATTTTCAAGGATGTGATACGCTCCTGAATGCATGCAATCGCGTCTGGATGACGTCTGAAAAGCTGCATCGAATGCATCTTGGATGCCATTGCACCAGAAGCGGCCTGCGATCAAGACGTGCTTCAACGGCTGCTTGCCGGCCTTCGAGGCCAAAGTCGCTGCAAATGAGCTGCAGTTGTTGCCACTGTGGGAACAATTTGCTCCGGTTGAATCCAATCAATGAAGGCCCGCAACTCCGAATACGATGAATGTTCACTGTAGGGAAGTTTGTACAGGATACATGAGTGATTGCTTGGCAACACGAGTCGCTCCAGTAGGGAACACTTGTCTGCGGGACTGCCATCGAGACGCTGGCAACCTCGTGGTGGCCTCGATGCCTGACACCACCCGGTAGCCATGACGCCGATCACCTGTCGAAATCCGAGCGACTGGGCTCGCCTCATGAACCGCAGTAAACGCATCGGTTGAACGTCCGCCATCCGCACAAGATGAACACACGAAGCCTCCACCCGCTCTGTAAGGACGTCACTAAAGCGCCAACTATCCGTTGGCAATGATCGCACACAGTCGAGCAGGACTCGACGCTTGCGTTTCCAGGAGGGATCGATGTAGACATTGGTACCCAGGGCTTTTGCTAACGACGCCCAAACGCGCTCTTTCCCGATGAAATAGGTACCACAGAGAAACAGACTGGGTGCCCGCGCTGCGTCGCGTTGTGCTGTTTCGACGAGTGCCCGCAAGACCGCCTCCTGGGGCGGGAAATCATACCGCGGATCGCTGTACGTTGTATCGATATGCAGGTATGCGACTCGTTGCACGTGATCGCCTTCAGTAGCCGCAAATCTGCGTAGAACGGGATCTCTATTCATACAGATCGGGTTGTACCGCATATCACCACAGTGAATTATAGTTTGGCCGGTTTCGAATACCTGAAAGATCAATATAACTGCACCGGGACAGTGGTTCGCGTCACAAGCCAAGACGCGAGCAACAGGTTTCGCCCCAGGCGAACCGGGACGATCGACAATGGTAATCCCATCGGGATCACCAACTGGTAAGCGCACCAGCACTGCGTCATCGAACTGGTACTCCACTTGGAGAATGCTCACTGTAATCGGACTCGCGTACAGCCGTCGATCACATCCAGGGCGAAAGTGCGTTCGACGCAGGCCTCCATAGTGATCAGCGTGATAGTGCGTGAGAAAGAAATGATAGTAGCCGTCATTGGCCCGAATCGGGACCCGAAACGAGTCAACCACACATCCGGGTAGGCCGGCGACATGCTTGCTTGGGTGATGGCGGCTTCGAGTTCCATGCATGTTTGAAAGCTGCCGTGGGTCTGGAGTCTTTCCCGAGCCCGTCTCTATATTCACACTCCGTCTCAATGTCTTGCCAGACTCAAGGTGAGCTTCATCTGCATGGCTGCCGTCAGCGAGCCGCAGTGCCAGTGATTCCAAAGGTCGTCCTCCCGTTTCTCCGGATGTGTCCGAGATCGGAACGACGGTCGAGGCCACCATACGGCGACTGACGAGCGTTCGGGCAACAGGTTCCGCGACTCGTCGTTGAATGCCCCACTCGAAGAGCGTCTGTTGACGAGCGCTGGACGCTTCGTGGCGCACGTTTCCGGCGCTCGAGTTTTTACGCTTCTGTCCAACGCTAGGCTTTGCCTGTCTTGGAACGCGCTCTGTTCGCTGTTCAGGAGCAGGTGCCGCTGCACTGGTCCGTGAGAGCCTCTCCATAGCGTGGCTTCCAGTTTCGAGCAAGGCGGAGCCTCTCACAGGATCGTTCGTCAAACTATGACCCACGGTATCAGCGTTCTTCTGGTTATCTAATTGTCGCGGTTTGGGACGCGCGGATAGCGCTTTTGCAACTTGCTTCTCGCTGATGTCGATCGAGCCGGCAACCGGCTTCGAGGTCACCGCTCGCTCTTCGAGAGTCCTGGATATCACCGTCTCCGGTCTGAGACTGGTTGCCAAACCCCCGCTGGTATACTGTTGTGCACTGCGCTCGACTGCTAATGTAAGGCAGCGGCGCGCTCCAAGTGCCGTTACACCAAGCGCTTGCAGTGCTTCATCGAGGCAGTTTTCCCGCCAAAGTTCGATGAGCGCTGCAAGTCGTACGCCATCGCCCTGCGAGAAGAGCGGTAAATATACCGATGCCTCGAGACCGGCATCCGCTAACCACTGCGCAGAGAGCTCTTCATCCATCAAGTCTTCGTCATCCACAGTGTCTTCGTAGCAGCTGAAGCGAAGCCAACGCGCGGCAACGTTCCGCTAAGAACGCGAAGCGCACCAGCGAGCGAACAGCCGCTTCGGGCTGCGCTTGGCTGCCTGAATCCCGCCTGCGTTCCTGTACTCGTGATTGTCCGAGAGATATCCGTTTCAGCATGAAACAGAACGGCTCCGCTTAGCGAACACGGCTATGTACGCCACATCGTGGGCCCTTTCTCATTGTAAGCAGCATCAGCCTTTGCGGGCTTGTTCTGTGACCGCTTGCTTTTCTTCTCGAATGAATCCGGCTATCTATATGCAGTGTTCGCCTTTCCCTCTATCCCGGTTATCAGCAGTCGAGGGATGTTGATGGCAGCGTGTAACTTCCGATGCCAAAGTTCCTGTCTGTCGTCGATACATTTCATGCACAGACGGGAGTTGCGATTGACGGTTCGCTTGCCAGGTGCACCCTGTTTGGGTCGGACGTTGGTGGACCTGTTGCAGCGGTGACACTCGAGTGTGGTCAGATGTTCCAGTACGAGTCCGCTGCATCTCGTCCTGCTCGGGGCGCTTCTCTGTCGCGCGTGAGGGCTCGCATCATCGCTCCGTATAAACCGTTCAGGGGTACAGGGAGTTTGCCTCGCTCCCGCATTTCATTACCGCACCCAGTGGCGTACCCTATGATCACCAGGTTTCTTTCGGCATTTCCTGTCGGCGAGTACTGCATCTGCTGGGCACGGACGTGCACGCTGTACCATGCGAAAGGGGATTTGCGGAACGCGTGCCAGCCCATGATGAAACCAATACCGGAAGGAAAATCCGTGATGGTGAACAAGTCGGAAAGGTCGGTGCTTCTACGCTTCCCTCGCACACAGCGGTAGCATACGCTCTGCTGGAAGCGATCGCTGCAGTGGTTGCAGTCCGACTCCAACACCCTCTTCCATGCAATCAGAAGAGACAGGGGCATCTGCGAGTATATCCAGTGATCGGCGTCATACTGTCATCGAAAGCACTTTCGTCGACAGTCACGAATAGAATGGGGTATGTCTTTTCTACGGAATGGACCATTCGGCATGACGCGTTCCTTGAATTTGCGGTTTGAGCTTGAGAAGACATCGTCCAGGAACAAGGGCGAATATTTCTCCTCATTGATGCATCCGCGCGCCTTGCTGCGACCTCGATTTGCCTTGAAACGAAAAGATCGACAACTTGAAGAATGCGTGATTTGGACACGCTACACCTAACCAGAAGGAGAATATTGGAGGCTTCTTCGTATGCATCCGCGAATGATAAGGGTTATTTAGTGTGCACGTGTTCGAGAGCTTCGCGTATTATCTTGATTCCGGTGCGAAAACAAATTCCAGCGGCAAAACGTCGAAGGGCCCGCTTCGAGTAGGCGACTGAGAATCCTCGAACGACGTGTGGAAACCCAATGCCTTATTGCTGCACATGGAATGCCCACGTCGCACATCGGAAAAAAAGTTCAGAAAAAAGCACAAGGCAGGAATGGCACAAGCAGCTTAGTGTTCCATTTTTTATCCCATACGTGTGCAGACAGATCCACAACTGGTGTTTCGGTGGCTGCTTCGGTACTTTGAACGAACGAAGCGGTGAAACCGACCTGCTGCAGACCACCTAGATGCATACGGAGAACGCTCCGGAGGCACGAAAGCATCGCATATGTATATGTATATAGTGCATCAACGAGTCAGGCGTGGTCATTGCGTAAACTTGGTTGCATGGATTCCTCGTTGCTGGATGCGCTTCCCGGACGGGTCCGCACAGCGCGTTGCATCTGTACTTGCATAGGGTCGCGTTGCGTCCTGGCGACCGTGTGGTGCTTGTAGTTGCAGCTTGCTACCGGTTCCGCAATAGGTCTGCAACACCTGGAAAGCCCATATCGCTAACCTGAGGGTCTGGAAGGTGTAACCGTTGTCCACCAAGCTCCGTTGCTCCGTCTGCCAGCATCAGCTTCACGGAACCGGTGAGAATTCGAAGAAAATGAGACTTGATTTCCGACGCTTTCATGCTCTCCCTTATAAGGAACTCTTGTAGCGAGGAGCGCTTTCGAACCACTGGTCCGAGAATCGCACGAGTTGCGAAAGTGTTCATCATTAAGAGAAACAAACTGCAGCGTCGTCGCGAAAACGAGCTGCATATCGGAAGAAATGCCATGATAGGATTGACCAAGGATTGTTGCTAGCTGGACGCCGGGAAGACGGTACGGGCGAGTGGAAATTCTTCTCCTCGAACAAAACGATGCGCACCTTCGAGTTCGTTCATTTTGAGACTTGTGCCCTGCATCCCAGGACTGTTCCTGCGAACACATTAGGTCAGTGATGGATGTTTAATAGCGCCAGTGGATATTCTGACCGCGCATGGAAACAAGTATGTATAGAATGCTGCGAGTAATCACCTGTGCGTCAAGGAAAATAATGATGGTGCCGTGATTTCTCGTGTTCGAATCATCATCATCAGCAGCAGCAGTAGCAGCAGCACTACTTATAGATGCACGCTCATGAACGATTACCTGAGCATCATGGAAAACAGCATTGGTCCACGTTGCCCTGCATTGGAAGCATCATCAGTCGATGCGCTGCGAATAGACGCACGATCACCAGCAGCGTAATCAAAGCAGGCTGCTCCATCACCGAAAAGAAAGTGCGCTCGCTTCAGCGGTCGCGAGGCGAATCGCAGCTGCGTGACGATATCCGCGTTGCCCGACTTGCTAACCATTATGGATTTGAACATTTGCACCTCACACTGCAGAAACGCTCGGCGCTCCATTTGAACCTTTTTTGGCAACGAGATAATCGCCATGGAGTGCGAGCTTCTGTCGACCTAGTTCATGGTGAAGCGCCTGCAATCTGTGCGAGATTCGCATGACAGTCACGCTCAGAAGGGAGTGCATCACGCTCAGAGGCAGCTGTTGCTACCTTTGACGTCAACGCATCAATCTGCCGAAACTGCCACGGCCAGCGAATATTATATAGAAAAGGCCGCAGGTCAAAGCGATTGTCTTCGGGGCTGTAATTCTCACAGTGTACACTTGGCGTAAGCACCGTCATCTTATGGCGATTCACTGAATACATTCGAAAGAAGAACTTCACCTTCTCCGCAACTTGCGACGGCGATAAATGCGCCTTCCACAAACGACTTAGCCTTTCGTACATGGAGACGGGTCCACAGCGCCCAATTTTCCGCAAACGCCCGTATACGGTGAGTTCCGCATAGGTCATGCCCATATCGGCCTCATCCGTCTGGACATATTCGCCAGTGATGGGTTCGAGTTCGGCGGTTGGCGGCGCCTCCACGACCTGCTGGAGGGTCTCGAAACCCAGCTCGTGCACCGCCCAGAGGAGGAAACGACGTAGGTCGTGCTTGGAGATGCCTCCAATAGGATTGATATCCGCAGAACTGGCATCGTACTTGGTGAGATATCCACGCAGGGCCTCGTCGACGTTGGCGGATCCGAGCACCAGCAGCGTTCGCTGGCCATGGCCGCGAGCCCACGGCAGCAGCTGAGCAAAGAGATAGCTTAGCACCATTCGTATCCGCGCCTGAATATTCTGGAGTGCAGCATTTTCTACCGCGCTCCCGCCTTGGACTCGAAAACGCGGTCTCTCACCCGCAACCAGCGTAAAGACGCTGAGCACTGCAGCAACGACCGCATCGATCGGCAAATCCAGATGATATGCTCCAATTTCTTTCGCCAGTTGAGCTGCGCGTTCCCGTGTGGCTCGGCTCGAGTTCTCGCTCCGCATGTAAGCTGTATGGAGAATTCGAGACGCAAACTCATGAGCGTCCCGAGGAATGTACGCATCTGCTGCGTTCTCCGTCAATTCAGCATCCGTACCTAATCCGAGAATGCGACGCGCCTCCCTGATGACGTGATCATTCCGCTGTTGGGCCTCGACTGCTACCAGGCGACACATGGACGCCACAATCGTTGCCGTCGCTGAGCTATCTGCACCGCCACTCAACGGGAGAAAGAAACCGCTCGCGCCACTTCTCCGCAAATAGTCCCAAAGCCAACACGCCGGTCCATACGCGATCTCCTCCTCGGCAGAGAGCAACCGTACCGGCACTGGTTGACTCGGCATGTACTGCAGCTGCTCACCGTCAGAGAGAACAAGCCGGAACGACCTCTCCGATGGGTCAACAGAAGCCGGAACAGCTCGTTGCGAAGCGTCGCCAATGAATGCTGGACTGAATGCGCATCCCGTTGGCATCCCATCGATCCGTCCAGCGATATCCTCATGCCGCAACGATACGCTACGGCCTGCAGCATCGATGCGCGGCACGGGCGCCGTCGACGCTGCCTGAACGCCACGGCTGGCGATCGCGATGCGGTACGCAGTGATCTCGTCGAGATCGATGGTTGCGGTAATCACTTCAACTTCATCAGCGATTGAGAACTGTGACGCTTGGGCAACAATCTCACCGTTGATACATATAAGTGCACATCCATCGTAGTAGAGCCGTCCACCATCGCAACCCTGCTGGTTGGCGTAGAGGTAGGCACCGCCGCCTTTAGCCGTTGCACTTCGCAACAGATCGATACGTTGGTTTAGTTTCCGCAGGTTGTGATGCGACCCACTCCCATTACCGATGATATCACAGCCATTGAGGCTGTAGCGTATATGAGGAGCGTCCGGGGTGAAGAGCTCTTCACAGGTCTCGCTGGCGACAACCACGCCGCCGATATCGAGCAACGCTTCGCCGAAGAGCGTTTCCGCTTGCGCACCAGCTGCGACTTGACGAACACAGTCTGGGAGCGGGTACTTTTCAAGTGCTCGTCTACCATTGGCCGGCCATGCTGTAAACCAGCGAGACTCTCGATAGTTCCCGTCGTCTGCTAGAGCGAGCTTGGGTCGAATCAGAAGGATCCTGCGGTTCAGGAGCAGCACACGACAGTTGTAGGCTACGTGTCGGTGGAGAACAGGTGCACCCAGGTCGACCAGGATGTCATCTGTGTAGCCTCTCGCGATGATCTCCGCAATAACCTCCCAGCTATGGACGAAAGTGTCCGGCTCCAGAAAGTGATCCTCGCACCCGTAGCCACTGACTTCTAGTTCTGGACCGAGACGGTAGCGTGCTCCAGCCTCTCTGGCCCGAGCAATCGAGCAGCATATTCGCTCCAGGTTACCAGCAAAATCCAGTGACCACTGGTTCAGGTTACAAGTCGCCACCCGAACAAGTCGCATCTTCCGTGCAGCGCTCGCTCTGGAGCACCGGACGTCCAGTAGCGAGGGTCGTCGCCTTGAACTGCACGCCGTTCCGTTCCTCTGCCGGACGGGCGAGCGTCACCGAGCACACCAGAGCAGACCTAGAATGCTGGACTACACGAATAGAACAAGAGATTCCTGGCGATATCGTCGGTTTGCAGCACAACAGCAGTATTGGCAACTGCGCAGCAAGTCAGTATGGTGTACGCGCACGAAAACGAGCGAGCGTCCCCGGGAACGTAAACTTGTCGTCCATCACCAGGGTAGAGACGAGCTGTGTTTACTTGGTATATGTTTATGTGACGCCGTCAATCATGTCCATAAAATGCTTATCTGGGGCGTAGCTTCGGGTCTGTATGTCTAGAGGCATGCGGTCACGGGAGCGAAAACGTTTCGCGACCATGTAGGGTGCATGAATAGCTATCCGCAGACGCTTTTCAGCGTTTTTTGACCGGCCCGCAGCTATCCGCTTCAGCTTCTACTTGTGTTCTTTGAACCTGAGAGGCTACCCCACGAAGTGAGATTGCGTCAGCTCCACGGGTCTCGTCTTCAGCATCGCGTATCCTATGATATTGATGGCGGTGTTGAAGCCTCTGTTCACGAACTCAATGCGTTTATTGCCTCTCGTCACAGCTTGTATTGTGTCGAATATTCAATTCGAAAGACGAATGAGCCTCTCTTTGTGGTCATCAACGAAACTGCATTCCGTAGCAGCATGATACCGCTGACGGGATTTGCCACAGTACGCTCCCGTCTTTTCTGTTTCCAGCGATAAGAGCCTGGAACTTGAGTCATCGCAGCGATCGCTTTTGCCGGGGCATGCGTCACCGCTTGGAACAAGGCGAGCGTAGACGGATCGATATTTTTCGATCTCTTCTCCAATCTGGATTTCCTTTCCGCACTTGTTTCATCACGCACAACATCGCGTTCCATAACACCCCTATCGAATGGAACAGCGTGGGCTTGCCCAGCGCGAACAGGCAAGCGTTCACGCGCCACAGAGCAACCGTCTGAGGAGCTATGGTGAACACGTACCAAGACCTGACCTCACTCAAGTAGCAATGATGCGAATGGTGCACCGATGCTGTATAGCAAGAAGATGAAAATGACGAGCAGAGCGTAGATCGCAACCTCTCGCCCGTGGTTGAAATGCATTGACAACAGTTGGACGCGTCGAAATCGGGTCTTGAACGCGGCCATCAACATCAAGCGGCTGCTGAACATGGAGTTGGATAGAAACGAGCGACTGGCGTATTTAAAGCTGGGTGTAAGAGAGAGGAAAAGGAAACGATTGCAGTAAGAACCCGCAGAGGCTGCTGTTGATGACCATGGAAAGAGATCCAAAGTCTAAAGTGTCCGCCCGTGTTGGAAAGCCCGTTCCATTTTATTCTGACGTGCGTATAGCGTTATATCCTGCGCGAATGCAGGTCTCGTGCGACGCTCCACAACAAGTTATGGAAACCCGTCGGCATATGGTAGGCAGAGCCAAGTTCCATGCCGTGCCTCAACATCATTCGAAAACTTGATCCCAGTGTCTTCGCGTCTGCACGCTGGTGGCGAGTCGCTTGTTGCTGACGACCTCTTCAGATCGTGTATGCCATCAAATGCTGCTGCTGCTGCTGCTGCTTGCCTGAGCGCAGCTCAATAACCTTGCGGACAGGTCGCTACGAGTTCCCCAGTAAGACTGTACGCTCGTGCTTGCGTAATGCGAACATTGGCCATGCGACCTCGCCAGCGCTGGATTCCTCCAGGAGCCTCGAAGAATACTTTCTTATTCGTTCGCGTGCGTCCACAGACGCCCAATTCCGGGGATTTGGGGTTCACCTCCTCAACCAGTACCTCTTCAATCCGGCCTAAATAACGCTGACTACGAGCATCGACAATACGCATGTTCAGCTCATTGATCCGGTGCAGACGTTCCATTTTCACCGCTTCCGGCACCTGATTTTCCCAGGAGGCAGCGGGAGTAAAAGGCCGCGGTGAGTACGCTGCCGTGTTGACATTATCTAACTGTAATGCTTCCATGAGTTCAAGCGTGCGTTGAAATTGCTCCTCAGTTTCTCCGGGAAAGCCAACAATCGCATCGGCGGTGATCGCTGCATCGGGGAGGTATTCGCGGATCATTTCGATGATCCGCCGATACCGTTTCGCAGTGTAGCCCCGTCCCATAGCCTTGAGGACCTCATCATCACCAGCCTGGAACGGAATATGGAAGTAGGGCATGATATTTGGGAGCTCTGCAGTCGCTTGGATGACGCGCGGTGACCAGTACCGCGGATGTGCAGTAATTGCACGAATGCGATCGATGCCTGTTGCAGAGACATGACGTAAGAGCTGCGCGAAGGTGACTCGTGGGCGCATGTCCCGGCCGTAGGCATCTATATTTTGACCGAGAAGCGTCACTTCGCGATAGCCTTCATTTTTCAGCTGGACGACTTCGTTGACGATGGATTCGACGCTGCGTGATTGCTCCAGACCCCGTGTGTACGGCACGACGCAGTACGTGCAGCGTTCATTGCAACCATAGGAGATATTTACCCAGGCACAAACCTGGGACTGCCGTCTCGGCTTGGAAATATCCTCCATGATGTGAATCGGTTCCGTTGCGACCACTTGATTACCATTTTCAACGTCTTCGAGGAGATCAGCCAGACGGTTGGCATACTGGGGCCCCATCACCAAGTCCAGAGCGGGAATGCGGCGCAGCATCTTCACGCCTTCCTGCTGTGCAACGCAACCTGCGACGATCAATTTGAGACCTGGATTACTCTTCTCCTTCATTCGAACAAACGGTCCAAGAAAGCTGTAGACTTTTTGTTCCGCGTGATCGCGGATGGAGCAAGTATTCAGGAGTATGAGATCTGCTTCGTACGGATCTGGTGTGTGCCGGTAACCGCATCTTTCGAGCTCGCCAGCCATTCGCTCCGAGTCCGCCAAGTTCATCTGGCAACCAAAAGTCTGCACGTTGTAGAGGCGACGCCTCGTCCTACTGTTGGGGTTCTCTCGAGCGTACAGCTGCGGCACCAGTTCCCCGCTTCGAATATACCGGGACTTGGTCGCCGTCGGCACGAGTTTGTATTCTGCGTCTTCCACTCGTACAATGTGGAAGCCGCGTTGCGTCTGCAATTTGAACACCACCCGCGGAGCACTATTGAAGCAGTAGAACTCAAGTTCGGCATCCAGCGAGCCACGAGCGTGCCAGCCGAGGTCACCTCCGTTGGCTCGCGAGCTCTCGTCCAATGAAAGCGTCCGAGCGAGTGCGTCCATGCTTGCTGCATCGGCGCTGAGTTGCTGCAGCACCAGGTCGGCCATCTGCTCCGTTGCAAGTAGAATGTGACGGACCCGAACACGATCTACAACCTCTTCCCCTACCGGAAATGCGACATTTGGATTCGGATTAATCAATGTGGAGCTTGCAAGTGTCTCGGGTGTCGCGTCCAACGCGGTGGTCGCAGGGCCAGTACCGCTGGCGTGCGGTGCCGCTGACATCCCCCAAGTACGAAACGCGCAACCTTGAGAGCGTCGCTCACAGCGTGCCCTGCGTGCGAGCACTTTTCGCGTTTCGACTGTTGCGCCGCACCAGCCGCTAGACTGGTTCAAGTGGAGCCCGCATGTGGCGCCGAACCGCGGGTTCACCGGAGAGGTAACCACCGACCACGCAATACAACGCGTCTTGTGCGGTAAGCGCATCGTTTCTGAGGGAAACCGGTGCGCTCTCCGTTGTGTCCTCTGTGCTGGGTTGTCCGTTGCGCTTCTGACGAGCATCCTTGCGACTGCAGCGCTCTTATCGGTTCGTCCGGCAAGTGCAAAACACTTGTTTCCCTGCGCTGACGCTGAATAGGTGCAGCCAGGTATCGCTCCGAGAATGATAACGATCATCTTGGGATAATCATGGCTAAAATGGTCGACACTATGGATGGCGCGCTGGGCAGCCACTGCGAAGCGTCAGCGCATCCCAGGTTCTCGGGATGCGAATGCGAATCCGACGAGTTGCTGGGGCAGGGCTCGTCTGCCGGAGGCAAGCACTGCACGCTCGAAGGCGAAACTTGGAGACAACCTCGGGAGAGATGATTCTGCGGGAAAAATATGGATCGTGGCTGGTGGTCTCTCCAGGCATCGTGCGGTATGATGGGCACTCTCCCGTCCACGAATCAAATCGAGTGACTAGAGACTCCGGCTCGAGGTAAACGACCCCTCCAGAAAGAATCCGCAGAAAAGATGAGATTTGAGCATCTGAAACAGGGAGGAAGAGCTTTTGCGAGATATCCGGTCAGCGCAGTCGCTTTAGAATCGCAGAAAACCCCGAGTGGTGCCTACAATAGTCGCCGCACAACTCGATCTGTATCGAGGACGTTTGTTTATCCCGGGTTCGCCGTCTCAATTCCCTGAGCAAGCGAACAGGCCACCAGATTCTCCGATGCCCAGCCGTGAAACACAGAGGCCAATTTGTGTGTCTGTCGTCTTGGAATTCGGCAGGAGCTTTCGGTCATCTGGACAGAGGTAAGGAATCGAGCGCTGTGGTCAACCGACGGCGAAGCGTCTTGTTTGTGGGAGCACCTCTGACGCTGACCAAGACAGAAACCCGCAATGATCCGAGAATTTCCGCGACCTGGATTCGAATGCATCTTGTGACCTTCCAATGTTTCAAAGTGTCTCTCAGCACCACTTCGTCATAACCTCTCTCGAAAGAGAAGATGTTCGATCCGGAATCCGGTGATATGCGCGGGATTCCATAGCGCTGACGTTGAACAGGGACGGTTCGCGATCGACCCAACAGGAGAGGTCGCTGCTGAACACGATCCTACGGGGCAGGTCGCCAGTGTCTATTTGCGAGGCTAGGACCCGCGTAACGGTGGTGGTCCGAACGGTATCGACACAATAGATCTTCGCTCCTGCAGCTTGTTTCTCGACTTTTCAAGACCAGTTGAATGCGTTTACCCGCCCTGAGACCAAATATGATGCAACAGATGTAGTCGCCGGCGCTTGGATGCGAATCGGAGACACCTCTTTCAGTGACGGTACCTGGGGTTTCCGCACCACAGAACTTCGTTCACACATAGCTTGTTTGGAGACGTTTCAAGACTGATTAAATGCGTTTACCCGCATTCAAATGCAACCGGTGACGTGTGCACTCACGTTGCCGAGACACGTTTGTTCATGAGATAGGTAAAAGTGCCGACAATTCACCGACGGATTTCACGAACAGGAGAGCTCTCCACGTACATCTCAAGGCATGCGCAACATTCTCTCCCCAACGCAAAAAAACCCGTTGCGACTATGGACAAATCCGGCCGATCTGAGTGCTCATCTGGCTCCGCCCTGGAACTATATCACCTATGGAGATGCAGACTCACACGGCATCTTTGCCCGAGGTGTGCCTAGGAGCGCTTCGAGTCCGTTGTAGCTGCTGTCGGATCGGCGGACTTGAGGCTCTTGAGCTTCATTTCTTCCTTTTGTTTCTCCTCCTTCTCCGCATCTGCTAGGCTCGTCTCAAGGCCTTCTTTGAACTCCGAGGAGGCCCGCTTCAGGTTGCCTGCGAGCGTTCCCAAGTTCCGCCCAAGCTCGCCAATTCGTGAAGGCCCCCAAATCAGCAGCCCAACACCCGCAATAACAGCTATCTCCGGCCATCCGAGCCCAAACAAGCCCATTTGCAAAGCGCTAGCTGCACTAGGTCTCGTGCAGTGGCCGGCTCGTTCGGGGAGCGCGCGCGTCTCCTGAAGCTGCCGTCGCTGCGCCGCCCTGCCACGACGTGACTCGCGAACTAGACTTGCCGCATTTTTCAAGCAAAAAGAAGAGCAAGAAACACTTTCGTGCAAGTGTTGGTTTGTCTTTGATAGCGACAGCACGAACATTGCCAGTGTGTATGTCCGAGGCACCTCGAACACCAGAGAGCAATCCGAAGTACGCTGCGCAATGCGTTTCCAGAGAATCGATGGACGGGTCCAGCGCAGGCGAGGCACGTCCGCCAGCACGAAGCACGTGTTCGGAATATACAGTTAAGTCAGTAAATGTCCATGCATGCATGCTGTGCAGGCTTGGCATGCCCCGTTCCGTCAACTGCTTCAGCGTTCTGCATAGCCTTCGAACGTGCACTGTAAACAGCCTTGCTTCCATGCGCGTGCACCATGGGCCTTGATGTCGGTTTCAGCTCCGCGCTGGTGGACGCAGACGCTTCCACCTATCTGATAACCGCGCTTGCTCGCGCACGGGCTGCCCAGACCAACACGGCGGAAATTCGCCCTATGAGCCACAGCAATGTCGCAGCTGGACGAATTTGAAGTTGGTTTGTGTATCGAAAACGGCGACGAAATGATCACAATTTTCCTTTCCCATCCGTGAATCGGGATAGCGCAAACGAGTAACCAGGCAGGCCAGCTCTGCCTCCAGTGCTGGAGGTGTGATGTGCACGCCTTGTCGATGAGTGCGGCAACATCTTCTCTGGCGGGCGACGAAGCCTACCAGTTTATAGCTTGACTCGCACCTGATTCGTGGCGCCCGTGAGCCTCATCGATGGGATTCCTGTCAAACGACAACCATCTTTTCACGGACATTCTCAATTTGCTAATTCACATGGAAAGGATGAGCGATCCAGGGTAACATACACCGTTCGTATACCGAGCGTTGTTCTGTGCACAAGTGTCGCGCCTGTCGATACGCAGCTTAATGGAGACCGTTCAACGACTTGCAGCCGTGGATGTGTTTCCATGCGTATGCGTGCGCGCTGAATATCCTCTTCTGGATTCGAGCGGACGGACGCGATATCGAGTGGCGCGTGTACCTATTTATCCGAGGCGTCTTGGATGCTCGCGCTCCAAAGCAATGTGCGCAGCGCCCTTCCAAACAAGACTTGCTTCAGCATAGCGTCTGTCGCAGTCTGAAGTCCGACTCGCGTTTCCGCCGACCCCGTGCGTCGCCTCGCAAGTCCACACCAGCATCACCAAGAACAACAAAAACAACAACAACAGCAGCAGCAAGTCCCGCAGCTAGCGAAGCACGCTGCCCAGCTCGGCATATAAAATGCTAGAGCGGCGTCTGTCTGGCGGCGATGCTGACATTTGCTGGGCTTTTCGTCTCGTCGCCTTGAAGGCGTATTGAAACCCTGACCGCATCCATGCTTAGCGCCGTGACTCTGGTGCGCAGCCACAGGTATCCCTTCGCCACGCCTGTGAAGCATCTATTTTCTAACGCCGACAGTGAAACCGGTCTGGCGATCGTAGGACGTGGAAGCATCCACGGGAGCAGAGTTCTCTCTTGGCTGATGCCAGACAACACGGGTGCCCCGGGAGAATCCACCTGGGATGCATAGATTCTCGCCTTTGGAGGTGCACACGAAATCGCTGGAGCGCGCGTGCGTAGAATCGGGGATCCGCAGGCTCGCTGGAAGCCGTCCTGCGCTCGCGGGAAACGCATCACTCGCCATTTCGTGCTAACAGGCTCACTCGCTTTTCTGCTGGTGCTGGTGCTGGTGCTGGTGCCGGTGCCTGCGTTAGACGCCTGCAGCAGCTCCTTGAGCGTCGTAACAAGCGCCCGCGGCACACTCGTTACCCCGGAGGACGCTCTGTTGAACGACCCTGGGCTTCATAGACGAACGCTACGCTGAAGCTGCTACGCCAAACTATTTGCGTAGGAGGAAAAGTGGACGCCGCCGCTGCCTATAGGCAGCTTTCGCACACCCGGAAGCGTCAGGTTAGAGGCCAAACTCCTGCGCCATAGGAAGATCGAGCCAAGTCAGGCTGGTACCCTCTGGTTGCATACAACATCCACTGCATAGCAGCGAAGCATACCATCCATTTTCCAACACGTGGACGATTTATCTGTGCGAGCTGCGGGCGCCAATGCCAGCGCACCATCTGAGCGCCAAATGGCGCCAAGTGAAGACGAAACGGACTCGGAAGACCCCCGCCACTGTGGCGCCGAAGAGCGTCGCCTTGCCAGAGACCGTTCGACAACGGCTCGAGCAGGCGCGGCGCGAAGCGATCGACTTTGCCGCGCTCGAGTACCTGTACGCCAGCGTACCACCTCTACGCTCTGTTATCGACGCACATCCGCCTCCGCACTTTCTTGCATGCGATGTGTTCACGGTGCTCGTCCAGGCTATTGTCTGGCAGCAGGTGAGTGCACGGGCGGCTGCTAAACTTTGGCCGAGACTCGTCGAGGTTCTCGAAACGCAGGTACCTGGATCAATCCGCCGTTCGATGCCGCATCTCTACGTGAATCCTGGTCCGTTGGCGAGCATTCCGGATCCTGCGCTTTTGCGCGCTGCCGGCATTCCGCAAAGTCGCTGTGCAGCGATCGTCGAGGCGGCTCGTGCTTTTCACGCGAAACCGGACCTCTACCATAACTGGAACGACTCCATCGAAGATGACGAAGTCGTTCGGAGACTGTGTTGCCTCCGAGGTGTTGGTGAATGGACGGCTCACATGGTGCTCATGTTCGCGATGCGTCGGATGAATGTGCTGCCCGTAGGGGATCTTGGCGTGCGACGCGGCTTTGCAGTGGTTTTCGATCTCAAGCCAGATGCCAGACGGGAACAAGGCGCTGCAGGTCGCCGTTCGGTGTTGCCGTCACCGGATGCGGTAAAGAAATTTGCCTCGAGTGCGGCATGCGGCAATGGGCGTTTTCTCACAGTTGTTTCCTATTACATGTGGCGGGCTGCGGGTGCTGATGTTCTCGTTCCCGACGGAACGCTCGTACCAGACCTCGCTAGCACTGTCTGAGAACGCGACGCCCATGGGTTACCGCTTGCACCCACGGAACGCGGATCCATGTTCTGATGATGATGATGATGATGATGATGATGACGAAGCCAAAACGGTGGGTTCGTGCTTTCCGCGGACATCCTGGCCTAACTGCCGACCTTGAGGCAACGAATCTCGGGTGTTGCACGCTGCGTGCATTGCATTCGGACTCAGGATGGGTGTTTTCACGTCACGTAGCGTCCTGAATCTTATCGGATAAAAACCTGACGAGGCAGTCGGCTAGATGACTGAGATAACAATAGCATCCCGCAGATTTTTGTGTATCAGGCCTGGTACAGAGGATTCCCCTGAAAGCTCGATCCTCTGACGAAAATTGCCTTCAGTTGCGAGGTCGCAAGGCGATCGCAGTGCGTTCGCCTGCCGTCCCAATGACCAGCAGATTCCATAGTGTCGCAGTGAGGCAGCGGAGAGCGTAGCACAGCTGCGAGACGCTCGCTATGCTGTTTGTGGTCTGCAGTTTTGGAGTTTGTCTGCGATGTGGACAACCCATTTCCGAAGCGGAACGCCCAACCTTATTCGTTGATGAAAAACGGATGATTCCGTCCTGCCACCTCATCGGGCGAGATCATGTCCGACCTGCTCAGGCATTGTCGCCGGCGACGGGTTTGCGATACATTCGGATGGTGCGATGGTGAACAAGCACCGAGAGACACGGCTTTCTTTGAGAAGCAAAATGCGCTAGGTGCCGTCAGAAAGCGACGCCAGACTAGACGTTACCAGTTGTGTTTCAAAAAGTCGACTGCCCTGGTCCGCCAAGCCAACAAGTTCTGCATCCAATGAGACCAGTTTCCTGACTCTGGGCTCGCACCAGCACTGGAGAAACCATCATTTGTCGCCACATACCGAGAGTTGTGCCGAGCTGTGGTCTGCGTCCGAGCTTCCGCACGCCCTGGCTTGTCAGCGTCCGTCTTCTTCGGAAAAGTCCGCTCTGGTGTGCCCTGCGATGCGTTTCGAGGCGCACTGGGAGCCCCCTGCCGGCGATGACGATCAACTGTGGCATGCGGCCCTGCTGGGGGGCGCACCAACGACTCAGAGTTCTGCGATGTTTCGCGAAAAGTTTCGTTTGCGACTTTTTGCCTCCTTGACGTGGACATCTCCGCAACGTCAGATGCCTTTGCAAACCAGCTGCGGATGGAAAAAGGCGCAGCAGCAGGGGCAGGCGTCGTCTGTAGCGTACGACCTGCCGTGATAATTACGGACACGCGCACTGTACCCGTGAGCGACTCGTCGAACGCTGACCCGAAGATGATATTTGCATGGGGCCCAGTGCGATCCCGAATCAGTGAGGCAATCTCGTTGACCTCGTCCAAGAGGAGATCTCGACCGCCTGAAATGCTGATGAGCGCTCCACGAGCCTGTCCGAGAGAAATTCCGTCCAGCAGGGGATTGTTCAAGGCTAGCTCAATCGCTCGGCGACCCCGGTCGATTCGCGCCTGTGGCGACGATGCCGTATCCACGGAACGCTGGGGCAGAGAAGCGTTCCCATTTGCCATTGGTGCGGAGCAGCCACTCGCCTCGCCCATGCCAAACACAGCTCTGCCAGCGTTGCGGGTGATCGCATCTAGATCTGCAAAGTCCAAGTTAATAAACCCGTTGGTATACATGAGGTCGGTTACCGAGCGAATCGTCTTACAGAGCACGTCATCGGCAAGCTGAAAGGCGCTTTGCAACGTTGTTCGATTTGTTGCGAGTCGGAAAAGATTTTGATTGGGAATCGTGACTATTGTGTCCACCTGCGGCTCCAGTTCGTCGAGGCCCTGCTCTGCGAGGCGCATACGATGACGTCCTTCGAAAGCGAACGGCGTACTCACGACGGCGATTGTCAGGACACCGGCTGCTCGGGCGGCCTGGGCAATGACCGGCGCCGCGCCTGTACCGGTACCTCCACCCAGTCCCGCTGTCAAAAACAGAATATGAGCGTTCCGTATTTCTTCCATAAGCAGGGGAAGGCAGGCGCGCGCTGCCTCGCGGCCTACGGAGGGGTTTGCGCCCGCCCCGAGCCCAGCCGTCAAGCGTTCCCCCAGGCAGAAGGTTCGGTCAGCAAGGGAGAACGAAAGCGCCTGGGCGTCGGTATTCGCCGCCAGCAGTCGCAGGCCCTGAAATGGGTCCAGATGAAGCTCTGAATTGCGATCCGCGCTGCGTTGTTGGTTCTGTTGGCGTAGAGATCGTACCAGGTTGTTAATGGTATTGCCGCCGGCGCCACCGACCCCCAGAGCAACCATACGGGGTCTCGAAAAAACTCGTAAAGATTGTCCTTCTACAGTGCAGCGTTGCTCGGTTGTTCGTAAATCATTCGCCAACTGGGTCACGGCCGGTTCAGGAGCACGACGCAGGGCCTCAGTGCACTTTGCGGGAGTGTGCACGGCTCTTATGCAAGAGCTTTCCGCCTGCGACTGCGCTTGCGATAGCATATCGCCATGCCAGCGAAAGCGCTTCCAGCAAATCAAGACACGAGCTGACCGATCGTCCCAAAGTCCCGCCGGGCACCCGTGTACCCGGGTTCTCCAGTGCTGGAACATGTCACCGCAAGAACGCGAAGTTACCAGGAACGGAATCCACACGAAGGCTCAGTTTCCCGCGCATTTTTCGACGCCGCCGCGCACGGTGCTGTCTCGCCGCGGCTGTGCGCGCGGATCCGCTGATTCCGGTGGTACGTTCAGCGGTGTGCCTCCGCATGCCCCGCGTGTGTCTCTGGAACACGGCGTTGACACTGACAGGTGATTGCCCAATGCGCACTTGATCTCAGTCATCGGGGGAGCGTTTATCGCTCTACTCGCCTTTGAATTCCATTCAGCATACTAATATTTGGACATACTGGATATTTCCCATGGAAAACTGCGCACCGTGTCGAGCGTGAGCACCTGCTATAGCGCCTATAGCGTCGGTGCGGTCGCAGCAGGGAGACACAAGGGATTTGCTGTATTACCGGGGAGAGTCGGCTTGTGGTGTAATTCACCCGATGCGGGTTCTGATCTTGGTATCGATTTGTGTCCGGAACGTCCGACCACATGCCCAACGCCATGCGCAATGTTGCATGCGCGCGCGATTCTCCTTTCGCCGAGTGCCCCGCATCGGCTGTCGAGGTCGAAGAGGCAGCGCGTTCATTTCGGGACTATTATGGCGCCTACGCTGCCGGGGTATCGAGGCGGATGAGCGTCAGGTCCACCATGGACATGGACAAGCAAGGTGCGTCTTGATGCCACAGGAATGATGCGACTGAGCTCGAGCGCGTTGGTGATGGACGACCCATGCCGAGCGGATTCTTCCGCTGCTCGAGATGCCTGCGCCCGGCAGCCTGTGCGGTCGGAATCGATGGCGAAGCGAACAAGGCAGGCTGATTCCGCCGCAACTCGACGCGATTGGATGACTCGAATCGAGCACTGCGGGAGCCTGCATTCGAGCCCCGATGACAACGCTCCCCAGCGTATCACAAGAAGACCTCCCATTTGCTTATAAGATGGTGTACCCATTCGCCTTGATGCACACAGGATGCTGCCGTCCACTTTGCCGAACATGCTGCAAGCATCGATCGGCCGCAAAGCTCGTTGAGGCGCGCCGATGCTTGCGCTTCGTATCCGCTGGGTGCGGGGGCACGCGGGCCCCACTCGCCAGAAACGCGCGCATACGGCACAAGATCGACATCGAATTTGGGATATCATGGTTCTTTACGGACCATATTGGACTATCGGAAAGCCTCAGCTATCTGGCTCTCATTGTCCAGAAACGCGTGCATGCAGCACAAGATCGACATCGAATTTGGGATATCATGGTTCTTTACGGACCATATTGGACTATCGGAAAGCCTCAGCTATCTGGCTCTCATTCGCATTGATCATCAGCGCTGCACGAGCGCTGCAACGGATTCCCGAACGCGCTGCTGTACCGCACACCAGGCAAGTTGTGGGCCGCACCAGGCTGGTTCTCTTTGACAGAGAGACGCTTACGGCGGTGGCGGTGGCGGTGGTGGCGGTGTTGGTCGTCGGACATGTCGACTGTCGCGGTTCGGGCTCGTTGGCTATCCGGGATTTGGCGATGGCGCGGCTTCCGCCAGTTCGTGCGTAGCGAGCAGTGGTGGCGCCGGGAGCCACGTCCGGCGGCCTACCGCACCCTGGTACCGCAGGCGCAACCTGCTTTTCGAGTCTGGGTTTCTGGGAGCTTATCGACCTCGGCTGGGAACTCGACCTTCGGGAGCGCTCCCGGGGACGAGACGACCAACAGTACAGGTACGGCTGCTGCGCTGACTGACGATAATCCACTCCGTCTCGTGAACGGCTCCACCGGGGCTGTCGCACACGTTCTCGGGACCGCGCACATATCAGCGCTCTCCGTTTCGCAGACTCGGGAGTTGATTCGAAGGGTTCAACCGGATACCGTGGTGGTGGAGCTGGACGACGAACGCGTTCAGACCGTGCGAGAGCGTCTGGACAAGAAAGACCCGTCTCAGGACTCGTCGCTCTTCAGCGAGTTGCTGCGCGTCTTTACTGACCCAAGAGGCGGTTCTCTCGGTTCGCGCATGTTCGAAGTGTATTTCAAACTCATGTATCGTGCGTTGAGAATGGCAGGGTTTCTCCCGGGTGCCGAGTTTGTTGCGGCGATTGAGGAAGCCGAACGCATCGGTGCGCGAGTCGTCCTCGGCGATCGAAACATTCACGAGACCATGGAAAGGCTGCGTGCCGCTGTGTTTCATAACTTCTCCGATGTGTTACATGCTCTAGTTTCTCCACCTCCGCCGGAGCTTGAGAGTCTACTTGACAACTTGAAGGACCAGGCTCGAGGCGGCAACGCGCGAAAGATCAGCACTGATTTTGTTGATGCACTTCTGGACCGCAAGTCTGTGCGCCTGCTCACGCGTTTTCTGTCGCGCTCCTTGCCGGCCGTCTCCAAGGTCATGCTTGATGAACGCGACGTGATACTTGCGTCGAAAATAGCCACAGCACCAGGGCAAAAAATCGTCGCGATTGTGGGAGCAGCGCACCTTGATGGCATTGAGCGCTGGTGGCTGCAAAATATCGAACCAGATCCGATTATCGTATCGTCGTCACCATTGCCGTCACAATCGTAGCCTTCGTTGCAGTTGCCTTTTCCCTTTGAGCGATGGACGGCGGCGCTCGACCAGGGCGGAACGTGTGCCTCGAACGAAACCCGTACCCCACGTGACAGGCTGCTCGCTAGACCGTGTTTCATGCTGCCGCACTCCCGCGATGCCTGAGAGTGTGGTGTGCGCAGACCCGTTGAGGTCTCGCTGGTACGCACTGCGACACCATTGTATTCGCAGTTGGAGCCGGTTCTGAATGACCCCGGGAAGCTGCGCGTAAGCACAGCGAGACACGCTCATGGATGTCGCTTGTGAGCGAAGAGCTCGATACTTGCCCGCCGTCTTGCTCGTGTCCCGCCCAATAGCTCCGTAATCCCTTCGAAGAGCAGCAGTCGAGGTGTCCCCGTTCAACTCAAGCCGCATTAGCGAGCATCGCAAGCAAGCAAGCAACCGGTCACGATCGCACTTTCCCGTGTCATCGCAATGCGTTTAATTTTCGTGTCTGATAGCTGCTGAAGAGCTATGCGATTCTTGTTTTTCGTCGATGAACCCTTCGGGTCAACTCATGAGCGCCACGCAGCCGCGAACGATGGACAACATGTGGCTCTTTGAGGCAGCGGATGTTGAAAATTTCATCGCCAATCTCGTGATCTGCAGCATTCCGGTGCATCCTTCGTAAATCCTAAAGCGACATCTGGAGGAACAGCAGCCTCCGATAGCTTGACGGCATCGAAACGCCACGAGCCGAAGTATGTCAACGCACCTAGTACGCTCGGCGTCTCGTGTGGCACTGTGCTCTCTGCAACTCGACAGGTTCCTGGCTCAGGGGCATCGGCGCAGGTATCTGCTGATCATAGTATTATCTCGTCTGCGGCTCTTGTATCGCTTAAATCTCCTCAAAATATCCAGATGCAAATGATCGTGTTTGGGTCCAAAACCGCTGCGCGCACAGCGTGCCTGCCATGGATCATGAGAGGCCAAGGCGCCTACAACTTTGGACTAGGACCAGGAGGAGCTCTGGATGCGAGCGCTTTCCTGAATAGGGCTTCTCATTTCCGGAGTCAAACTCGTACAACTAGCCGTTATTCAGTTGAAGCCCGGTCTTGCTAAAGTGTGCAAGTCCCTGCCTTTCACAGAAGCATGACGAACAACGCACTCGTGAACATCATTTCTGTCCACGCTTTTGGGGCGGTTCCAGCGTATCCTACGCGGATCCGTCCAGGAAAACGGACTCTTGTGCAGCTGCCCTACCTAGATATCATTGGAGTGAACGGGATGATTCCAGTGATGCACGCGGATACCAGTATGTAAGACGTTTGCTCTATGTGTCGAGAGGTGGGCATCTGCATTCTGTTATGAAATGCACTTGACAGAAACGTGGCACGAAGCATGCCATGTCGACGGGCGCTGATGAACTCTCTGTGTGCTTCTGAGTGTGTCTAGCTGCGCGCCGGCCTCGATCCCAGTAGGATATCGCTCAACAACGCCAACGATTCATCGTCATCCGCTGGGTTATCTGGGTGCGGCCAACGGAACCTCTATCAAACTTGCGCTGAAGCTCGAGTCCGACTTTGCGTTTGTACCTGATGATAGCTAAATCTGCTTTTGTAGCACAGACAGGCCGCTATGCTCGGCCAGTACTGCGAGGCAATTTAAAGCAGTCAGACTGGGGGCGAAAACTGCGGGTTCAGCGGCACGCGTCCACAGTAACGCTTCGTACGGGTGAGCCGGAACCACCCTCCGACGCTCAAGACCTCGACCGGAAGTGGCAGGAGTTCAAGAAAAAGCTAGAAGCTCAGAGACGAACTCCAGACCCGGAGCCTCGAAAGGCACCGAGGTCTACACCACTCTCCGTGCAGGAGATTGATCGAAAGACTGAGCGTTTAACGAACGTATGGACGAGCCAGGCCGGGTACCTTTTTGGTGCGGGCTTCATTCTCGCAGTGGCAGCTTTCTACTTGTACGTCATGAAGGAACAGGGCATTTTTTGAACAGTTGGCGTCAAGGAACGGGCAGTGAATCAGTGACGAGGAGCGCTTGTGACATCGTGTCTCGTGCCGGGCCGCTCGTGAGTGTCAGCGCGTAGCTCGAGCCACGTTCGTTCGATGAGGTAGGTATCAGCGTAGAAAATGGAGCGCGGATGGTATGTTCGCACACTTTAAGTCCTGCACATATAAGTGTTGAGCTGGTGCCCCTGTCGATAACGGTGCACGTTCCGCGGATGAAAGACGGGGACGGATGACACATGTGGCCTTTATCGGACTTGCCCATGATGTGAGAGTGCTTTGCAGCGGCAATCGATCGATGGGTATTCGGCCGCAAGTACGATGCAGCTGGGCACGGAATACCGATACTGGACACGTCGATAAGTAAGAGCATCCTGTCGGTTCCGTGCCTTGCATCAGTGCGGCTCTGTGCACAGAAGTGGAGACGATCTCGTGCGGGAATCATCATGCTTGCGCCTATGAGGAAAGATTGCAACTTGTGCATAACATCGGACAGTGCTCTTCCATTTTCAGTATGATGTACGGTTTACAAGACATTGGGATTCGAGTTGCAGAAAGCGAATTCGCCTGGACGTCCGCGGATAATACAGAGAAGCGAGGCCCGCCCTGTGCATGGCATACACTCCATGTTTACGTAAAGCCAGAAGCCCGTCGTCGTCGAATACGAATTGTGTATTGAGGGATCTTGTTGGCATGGACGCCGCATGAGCTCCTACAACGCCGCCTTTGCGTATTGGACGGGCACAACCATTTCCCCACAGCATCGACATGTTGTCCACGTCGCCCTGACTGTAGCCTGCCGGCGCTCCCAGATACCATGTTGCACCAGTAGTCGTTACGTAAACTCCGGCACGACTCTACCCAATAAAATCTTTATCAGAGCATATCGAAAATCCTGCTATAATGTTGTACCGGTTATCCTTGCGTGAACGCTCGCACCAAATCGTTCCATCCGAGAAACTCGTTCCAACCTTCCGCCCACCTTGCCTGCACGGCAGCAAATCGCTAAACCGACTGCTGATGTTTCAGAGACACACGAACGGCCCTCGGTCGATGCGGTAACGCGGCGGGACTGCGCTAGCACGTATCGCTTCGGTGAGCAGACACGCAAACGATGAAATGTCACACGGACTGCATGCCAAGGGATTTCGGATCGCAACCGAGGCAGGCAGTTTGGCAGCACTTGGTACCGATAGAATGCATCAGGGCGCATGCGTTGACGAGAACGGTCCACCGAAACACGATTCCCGCCTTTCGTGGTCAACAGAACCCTACGTCGTTGCTTCGCCAGGCGACATGAGCCTGCTATGCGTCGCTACCCGAACACTGAAGCGCCAGCAGACACAGCAAATGAGCTACGGGTGCTGGACACGAAACCCTGTCTCGGTAGTAGGAGGCCGCACCAGCGCCAACGATTGGCACGCCGATGAACACGGCGACTCCTGGTGCCGGATGCGCTGTCGCACGCGCGAAAGCATGCACATCCATCAAGACGCTACCACAGCTATTGTGGACTGCGAGAACCCGCTGACCCTGTGACTGACTTCGGGCAGCCGTCACCACGGTGCTATTCGCTATCCGGAGCTATTGCGCCCACTTCCAGATAATCCTGAAAACGCAACACGCGCCACCTGGTGCTGGAATCATTGCACTCAATCACCGTTTTTACAGGCGTTCGAGGAAACGCACGCAAAGCTCTGCACCACAAAGATCACAGCATGCTTTTTCCGGGTACAGGCGGGTGTCGGATCGTTGACGGCATCGAGGAATCACCATTTACGTGTGAGCAACAATTTTTTTACGATCCAGGATCGCTACGTCTAATTAGGGATCCCCCGGACGCACCCCAAGTTTCGAAAACCAGAGCAGCAAACCCCCGTACCGCTCCAGTCCTGTAGCGTTGCAGGAGCCGCAGAGAAGCTGAAGGACACGCCACTCGAAAAGCACCCTCATGGTCATCCACCGTGTGCCGTATAGGTAATGTAACTTGGGAGTAGGGGTTTGATGGATACCTCACCGCACACTGAAAAAAAGTAAGAAAAGAAAATGCGCATAATCAGAGAACGCTGGCCAAAGTAAACGTTTTGTCCATGGCAAAAAATCCACCGTGTGTCGTTCCGGATCATTGCGGCGCGCCGCACTGACGACCGACGTGTTTGAAGGGAATCGTCAGACACTACTGCTGCTACTACTACTGCTGCTGCTGCTGGTGGTGACGTTTTCTAGTCCTGAACAGAGGGCGAGTGAAGCGCAGCCTCTTGTCTTCGGACCGGGGAGCTCTTTACGAGGTAACCTGAAGGGTCTGGTGTAGCTCATCTCAGAGACAAGTAGTGCGTAGCGTGCAACGCTCAGATTCGGAACGGCAGCGGTGTGCTACTGTCGACGCACGGCAACTGCGACACGAACGCTTGTTTCGGTTTTCGCAGCTGGTCCTTGCATGCCGAAGACCTCGGACGTTTTCCCTATGAACCAGGGTCATACGAAGCAGCGGCGTGTTTCCCGTGATGACCGTGTTCAAGTGGGCGACTCGATCCAGTCGCAGGTTGAACTTGCCCGCGTTGCGATCACACGCTTCATGAAAGAGCGTCGAGTAGAGGACGTAGCACCGTTATGCTCCCGAGTTCTGGTGCTTGACGTGCGACTAGCATTGTCCGACGCATTTGGCGCACTATTAGAACAACAGAGCTCAGTTGCTGTTCTCTGGGATACCGTGAAGCAAAGCCTCGTTGGACTCTTGACTCCAGCCGACCTGGCTGAGATGCTGCTCTTTCTGCGCGAAAGCCTACAACGCGAAGGAACCCCGACCCCGAACGACGGTAACGAGCAGGGTCACCAAGACTCTGGTGCTGTAGATGACGCCGACTACAATCGGCGCGCTGTGCGGCTCCTCACGAGTCGCACGCTGGGCACTTGGCTAGAACTGTGCTCGGAGCAGTCGAATCAGTCCAAGCTGCTCTCAAGAGACATTACGGATACTGGGCAAGGACCAGTGCCAGGAGCAGGAGCCGCTGAGGCCCCACCGGTGACCTTGGCGACCGCAGTTGCTTTCGCTGGGTCCGCACTCGAGAAACACGCTCCGCTACTGGCCAACTCGCGCCCGCCGCGTCCCAGTGCCCTGCAGCTAATATCCTGTCGAGCGAATGGCTCGCTCTACGAGGCGGCTGTCCTGCTTCGGGATCACGCGATTCACCACGTTCCGCTTGTCATTGGAGCAGACAGCACCGTGCTTTGTATTCTGACGCATGGACGACTTTTGGCGTACATGAATGAGCAGTTTGGCCTGTATCGACTCGAGAAACAATGGCAGCAACAGCAGCAACAGCAGCAACAGCAACGTGAGCGACCAGCTCGCCCTCGCACAGACGCGCGCGTTAGCGCACAGGAGCTGCAGACTGCAGCGTTGGACGCGATGCGTACATCGTGCACCCCTGAAGTCGAGGAGCTTGCTGTTGTCGTAGATCTTTTTTCCGTTCCTATAGAAACGCTCGGAATCGGAACCTTTCGCAATATATCGCAGGTACACCTGAAAGAGCCGCTGTGGCGAGCCATCGCCAAATTAGTGGACTCCAACGTGCATGCAATTCCTGTCGTTGATGACACCGGCGCTCTCCAACAAGTCTACACCCGAGCAGATGCGCTATGGATCATTGCACCTGAGACAGTGACTGTACCCGAAGGCCGCCCAGCTTCTCCCTGGGGGCGACCTTCGGAAACCAAGTCACCAGGAGGAAACATGGAAAACATCGGTGCGCGTATTGCCAGCGGAGGAGGTCGATATCACATGCTCCGGGACCACGTTCTCGTGGAGGATCACTTTCGCATGCTGCGGCGGGAGGGTCGTAACCGACGCTTGCCTGTCACGTGCAGCCCCAGAGACACGCTGCGGACCGTTTTTGAACGCATGGGTCACGACTTTCGTATACACCAGGTTTTTGTTGTCGATGATCGCCAACACGTTTTGGGAGTCATATCGCTATCGGATATTCTGGAGTTTTTCATGGATAGCTCCGCGAGTGTGCCGTCGTCTCCGGATCTTCGCCACCACGACTCGCCGTTTTCCCATACGGGCATGGATCTGCCCGTCCGCCCGATCCTGTAAGCGTCTAGTGCAACGTTACTTCATCCCAGCGCATGAAGTTTTTGCATAGATGAAGTGAGCGACGGATTCGAGCCTGTCATGCATTGTGTTGGCGCTCGATGATGACCGACCTGCATTCCGCGACATTGACGCAGCGTCCGAGGTAGGCGACGCCGTTTCCCGCACGACCTGGATGCGCTGGCATCTTTATGAACGAGGCTGCACAGCGACATTCGGTGCGCACGCCCAAGACCTATCCAAGCGATTGACACAGCGTTCACTGGGGGCGGTTACTATGCGGTTCCTCTGGGTATGGATTCAAAACCAGCATATGCGTATGCGTCGTTCCTTTGGATCCATGTGCCTGAAGAGCAGCATGCTTCCCCATGGATGCACCGTGTCCGGAGTGCGCACCAGGGCTCGAATGATGGCGAGTGCTGACGCGCCAGCTGTGTTGCGGACACTTACCTGGATGGCGACAGCTGCCTCGGAAGCTCCCATGCGGCAACGTGGACGCAGGTCGCAAAGCGGTACGCGTTTGATGCAGGGACACGGTCCTTCAGGCATATGCAGGCCGCGAGTCCGTATTTTGCGCGATGAAATTCCCGGTTGCGCTGGAGGAGCCTGCTGGACCTTGCCGGACTAGGTCAGCGGCACGATACGAGAGATGTTTGCTGAAAGGCTTGCGCTCTGAATCTGTCCCAGAGTGCAGGTGTTTTCGTTGAGGACGGAGCCGTGTCGCATTAGACTCGAAACGCTTGCAATTCCTGCGTCAAGTCAACGTTTTGGGACGAGTTGCGATGCGACCTCACCCATGCATCGAACAGCGCTATCCACGTATGCCGCTGAGGGTGCTTCGTGCTTCGCACTGCGTCCACGAGCGCATTCTCGAGACCACAACCGGCACCATTGGGTAGCCGTGCGAGAGGCCTCAAGGCAAGGTCACTGCGCGTTGCCGTCACGGGCGACAAGGCCAGCCCGCACACCCACACGGCGATCTTTGGGTCGGTACGAAAGGCCGTGCTCGCGCATCATACGCGCTCGCATACCGTAAAGTGCAAACACTGTACCAGCTGGTATCTCCGGAGCTGTCCCGTCCGTCGCACATGCGCCTGTCGCAGCATTCGCTCGCCCGAATCGAAAGTTGAAACATGGGAAGCAGTCGCTTTCCTATACTCGCTGCCTTCGTTCAGGCATGCCCACGAGGAACCGATGCGATTCGTGCAGGATTGCTGGAGTACCGCCCCAGCCGTGCACTGACGCATCATTCCAGATCACGAGGACTCGAGGCTGCGGCCTGTACGCAGACGCTCCGAGTCGCCGCTGGAAGCGTCGCTTCGCTGGGCGTTGCAGGTGCGTCCACATGCACCCTGGCATGCCGTTTCTCTCTCTGCAACTCGATGGATGCACCGAACAGTACACGCCAAACACCAATTTTTGCCAGTCATTCGCATTCGTGTATGCGTCCGTCTGCGAAATGCTCGAAAACGATGCATCCGTGCATGCATGGAATTCAGCGGTGCCTCTGCTGCACCCCTGAACAAGCAGCGTACTGGACCCCGCTGTCTGCAGTGAACGCATCATCGAGCGTTGTCTACCTACGGTAGATGATGGATCGATCGAATGAGACGAAATCCAAGTTTTTCATTCGACAGCGAGGTGTAATACACGCATGAAGCGGCAGAAGCAGCTCCACGTTATCGAGCTCTTTCCAGCACATCCTCCAAACGGATCCAGAGCCCAACCGCTGTGCACTTCGTCCAGACACTTGACGAACTCTCTCTCTTGGTGCTCCAGATAGCCGAAACACAACCGCCAATCCAACGAAAAAGAACACATACACACACACACAAACAGAAAGAAAGAGAGAAATCCCTTTACGCTCCTGAGTGCGCGCTGACTGGCTGTCGCGCTTCAACGGCGCCCGGCGTCAATGCGTCCAGAGTTACGTACGGCGTTGCGTTGTGTGTACGCTCGAAACAGCAACTGATGGCATCATCTGGTGTTCATATGCATCAAGTTTGGCGTAAACTGAAGACCCACGCGAGTGATGTCATTTCAAACCTGCACCTCGCTCAGCTTTTACAAGACGAGCAGCGATGCACCGCATTTCGAGCGACCCTGAATGATCTGGTGTACGACTACGCGCGTCAGCGGGCAACCCCTGAGACGCTGTCGCTGCTTATCGAGTTCGCTGACGCGTCAGAACTCGGAGCGAAAATCGATAGAATGTTTCAGGGTGAGAAGATCAACTTGACAGAAGATCGTGCTGTTCTGCACGTCGCTCTGCGGGCGCCACGCGATCCGACAATCTGGCCTGCTTCCGTGCGTCTACCTGAGCAGGCGGTTTCAGAGGTCCACGATGTACTCGCGCAGATCGAGCGTTTCAGTGAACGCATTCGAAAGGGCCGCGAATGGGTTGGAGCAACCGGCAAGCCGTTGACAGACGTTGTCAGTATCGGTATCGGTGGGAGTTATCTGGGTCCAGAGTTTGTCTACGAAGCGCTGAGGACTGACCATAAAGCAGCGGAGGCGGCACGCGGCCGACGACTACGATTTCTGGCGAACGTGGACCCGACGGACGTGCACCGAGCACTTGACGGCCTTAACCCGGAAACCACGCTCGTCGTTGTGGTGAGCAAAACCTTCACGACCGCGGAGACGATGTTGAATGCGCGCACCCTGAAACGCTGGCTCATGGATGCATTAGGTGAGTCCGCGGTGGCGAAGCACATGGTTGCCGTCAGCACCAACACCGAGGCGGTGAAGGCGTTTGGTATCGATCCCCAGGAAGGCATGTTTCGATTCTGGGATTGGGTCGGGGGTCGCTTTTCGGTCTGCAGCGCGGTCGGCCTGGTACCGCTTTCGCTCCAGTACGGTTTCGGCATCATGCGGGAGTTTCTTGCGGGAGCGCATGAAATCGATTGGCACTTTGCAACGGAACGGGACTGGCGCAAGAACATTCCGGTTCTCATGGGGCTATTCGGGGTCTGGAATGCGTCTTTCCTTGGATACAGCACACGTGCGCTGCTCCCATACGCGCAGGCGCTGTTGCGTTTCGCGCCTCACATCCAGCAGGTCGACATGGAAAGCAACGGCAAGGGCGTCGACATCCACGGAGAAGCGCTCATCGATCCAACGGCGACCGGCGTAGTGGATTTCGGTGAACCCGGCACAAACGGCCAACATTCTTTCTATCAACTGATGCACCAGGGGCGAGTCATACCTGCCGATTTTGTTGGCTTTCGACGATCGCAAACACCCATTGTTCTGGAGGGTGAGCCGGTCTCAAATCATGACGAATTGATGAGTAATTTCTTCGCCCAGCCGGACGCTCTCGCCATAGGCAAGACGCGCGAGGAGCTCGTCGCCGAGGGCGTACCCGAAGCGCTCCTGAATCACAAGATTTTCCCAGGGAATCGTCCATCGAGCAGCATGCTCTTTGACTGTCTTGATGCGCGAACTGTGGGTCGACTTTTGGCTCTATATGAGCACCGCGCAGCCGTCGAGGGTTTCCTTTGGAATCTGAATAGCTTCGATCAGTGGGGTGTGGAACTCGGCAAAGTGCTTGCAAAACGCATCCGCAATGAACTGGCGCGGAGACGTCAGGCCGAAGGAAAGCCAGCTGCCGGACAGGCTGCAACCGATCATCATTGGAACGCCAGCACCCGCTTCCTTTTAGACGCTTATTTCACGCCAAGTACCGGGCAGTGAGCGGCTGTGTGCTCGACGACAGCGCTGAAGGATCGGTTTCGGTTTGAGCTGCCTGCACTCGGCTCCAGCGTTACCACGGCACACGAGCACGTTGATGGTGACGAGACTGCGTGTGCGCGTTTACCGAACTGCGACATGCTCTGTGGCGTGTCGCACCAGCCGAGAAAGATCCCCGCTAACCAAAAGGTTGTCGCAGATCGCACACACGCTCCGGGACTTGTGCCGTGCGAGCCACATTGAGGCACGACTCTCATCTTCGAGCTGGCATCCAGAGGTGGCAGGCTGCCGGTGGCCGCCCTGATGCCGCCGGCATGGCACTCGAGCTGACACCCCTGACCCAGTTCGGTCCAAGGCGGGCATGTCGAGCCTCGCAGTCATCACTGCCCTGATCCACTGCCCCTATCGTCCGGTACGAGCTTGTCGACGATGCTACAAACGAGTGCATGTCAACGCTGTGTGCTCTTGTTTGCTCACGACTGCGCGTTTTCGGAGGCCGCGATTGCAATCCGCGAATCGAAATCCATATACTGAATCATTCGCGGCTTCGGCAGCGTGACAATGCGTCGGCAGGGGAAACAGCGCGTCGAGCGGTCTGCTTCCTGTTCCGTTTCCGAATCCGCCGAAGCGCCCTCGAGTCGGGCTAGGCGCTCGCTGAGAGCCCGTTCTGCCGTTGTATCCTCTGCCAGGTGCGCATGTATCCAGCGCAACGTCGCCAGCTGGGTATGGCCCTCCGCCCGAACACGACGACAATCTGCGGCAAAGTCCTCCCCAAACCATTCAAATAGCCGAGATAATTGAATTGACGATTTGGCCTGTAACGGAATAAAAACCTGGCGGGGATTCAGAAGAAACGACGTCGTCGCTGCATCCAAGTCGCATTCCCAACGCGACAAATGAACGCAGCGAGGTAACGGACTCGAACGAGCGCCCCAGTGCAAAACGAAATGCACTCGCGGTTCACAGACGGAAACCAGGAGCGGAGCAAAACGTTCCTGGTCCTTGCCTAGCGATTGCCGGCACCCGAAGCGAATCACCTGGTCCCGCAAATCCTCCAGCGTCATGAGCTCCCCACACAGGACGAAATGCGTACGACGCAGGAGCTCCATGGCGTCCGGGAAACGAGACGATTTCGCGGTGCCGCGTAGTTTCAGCTCCTGAATGACCGCCTGGATCACCATTCCGTTGAAGATGTTACAGTAAAAGGCCAGCTTCTGGCCGTCATCGGCGAGCGAGTCATCAGGACGACGGCACCACGCAAGCAGGGAGGCCAATGTGAGCCACTCGGGAAAACATGGGTCCGCGAACACCGCCTCGTAGCGTAGACCGTAATCCGCGTAGTCTTCGACGGGAAGCGCGACCTGCAGCAGCGCGTCCAGCACACGCTCAGTCTCGAGGGCCAGGGTGCGTGCGGGATACCGCGCGCTCCGGCGCAGACTCTCCGGAAGTCGCAACAGCGTATTCAACGAACACTCGCTTTCATTCTGCATAAAGTGGACGACGCCGTAGTCGGGCGCATCTGCAAGGCCTGCCACGCCCGAGGCTGTCGGATGCCCGTTCACACCGGTTTCCGGTGGCGAGCGCAGAGGCGAGGCCACCAGAACCCCGTACGCCACCAGTCGCTGCAGAACGCGCTCCAGAGCAGCGTTCTTATCTTCAAGCGTGTCAGTTGCCGAAACACTCGCGTCTTTGACAGGTGACGAGAAAGAAGTTTCTAGCGCGTCTCGGGTCGCACTGTGCTCATCAAGCCAAGTGGTCTCTTCGTGCAACCAGGTCTCGACGTGTGCGCGCGTGATCCAGGTTGGCCCTTTACGAGACGAAACTGTCACATGACGTGCAAAACTTGGCAACGACTGACGCACCCCACCGATATTCCCGAATAAAAGTCCGAACACGGCAGCGTGTAGACGAACGAGGCTCTCGGAGAGAATCGAGGCGCTGTTGCTGGTGCTCGGTGGACGCGGCGTTGACACCGGCGGCGTGCGCATCACAAGTCTACAAGCCTGGTGTACTGTAGCGATTGCTTGACACTACCAACGCCTCTAAACCGACTGAAAATGTTTCGTAACTACAGAATCGTTTGAAGGCCGCACGTATCTAAACTAGAAGGGAAAATGAATGTTGACATGCGTGTCGCATTTTCCGTTTCGCGCCGCGACACGCATCTGGGGCACCGACGGATGGACACGTGTCCCCGGCCAGGCGCTGGATCGCTGGCACCAGGCCTCCGCGGTATATGGCATCGTGGGCTGCCACGCTCTCGTTCGCCGTTTGTTTAGGGAAATAATTTCCGGTATCCATGTAGGTTGGCTGCGTCTGCATAGATGGATTGGTGCACTGCTTCGTTCCGGGTTCTTGCTTCAATGTGTATTCCCTGTCCTGTGTCTTCTGGGCCCTGATTATTTTTACATCGAAAGTGTTCAGCGATAGATCACAGCTTACGTTCAGCGTACCGTACGATTCCATGGATATTTCGCTGGACACCGAGGCGCTGGTCGCTTCGGACGAACCACACATTACCTGTTATTCATTGAAGTGCTCAAGTCGAGGTAGGGAAAGTGCCTGCGTGCATCGTTGCTTTTGGAATCGCGCGATAGCAAGCTTCTCACCATCGATTGTCTCGCTAGCGGACGCTCGGTTATACAACCGCACACGAATCTCGTGCTGCTCCACCTCTGTTTTAGGCTCGTATCGTTTACCTACTTCAGCGCGCGCCTGTGCTCGTGATGTGTGGATGTCGTCCTGGACGCATCGATGGGAATTGTGCAGCTTGGACTCCTGCACTCGTTGAGCGCTTTCATAGCGGCAGCAGGATTGCGGCCCTTGGAAGCCAAACCACGACTAGCGCCGTAGGCGACAACCAGACCACGTGACATATCGGTTGTTTCGCTTTCCAACTTTACGAGCAAGTTCAGGAATGCACGCTTCGTACTTCAGTGCAGTTGAAATCGTTACCGACCTCAGCATTGCTTCGTGTACTCCTGTGAAAGATCGTCTGCTTGAGGCATTTGGAAGGTGATCTGCGCTCTGTATGAAGCGCACAAAAACATTCTCCTGTGCGCGATACGGCGTTGAGCGCATCCAGATGCGTCCGAACGCCGTCGTTCCTCTTGTTGGCCTCGCTCTTGGCCTCCAGTATACCCAAGTTTGGATCATATCAGTTTAGGAAAAAGTTGATTAGCTTCATCAGCTTTCCTTTTCAGCTCATTGGTTCCGTCGATTTGATTTAATGCTACGGTGACGGTGACGTCGCATCGAATCTGGGAAGCAGCGAACGTACGCTATCGACAAGATAGCGATGCAACGAGGAGCGAGCTCCCCCGGCTTATCACGAGTCCAGCGCCTCTTATTCTCTGCCAGTACCTGCGCATGCCCCGAAGCGTGACGGGAAAGTGTTCGCAGCAAACGCTGGTCAATACAGGTCACTCGTCTAAGTGCCACAAGTGTCAGCATTGAGCGATCATCGTCATTGGCACGCGTACGGCGTCAACCAAGTGCACTACGCAAACGGACCGGTTACGCAGTGACCGCCAGCAGCTGAGCAGTCCCTGAGCCACGCCCATACGTTCTTCGACCTGTCTGCGACGTTTGGCAACCAGCGGGTGACGCATCCCGTTGTAGCCTGGTTAGGGTTCGCGACCGAGCCATTCCTGCTCATAGGTTTGCAGGGCGGCTCGCTCTACTTCTTCTTGGAATAGGCGACCGGTGCCTTCACAGTGATTGCACGGGACGTATCCACTGCGTCCACAAAGGCGACAAGGCACGGTGCCGTCCGGGCTTTTCCTATTCGGCAAGGTTCCGAGCGCTAAACACTGACCGCAGACGAGTTTTCCACGTCCTGAGCAGTATGGACACTGCATGCGCTCTCGCGCCCGCGTCTGTGCCAGCTCCAGGGTGAGCAGTGTGCCCAACACGCCGATGCTTCCACCAGCAAAAGCTGAGGCCAGCTCCTGGATGCCGATCGCCAGCAGGGCCCTACACAGCAACGCTCCCGACGTCCTGCGTCGAGTAGAACGCACTTTTCGGCACAATACGAAGCGTTTCGCATGCTCTGTACGGCAGAACGTCCCAGATGCTGCAGCAGAACCGCGGCGGTGTCGGTACCCCAGCAGTGCAGCAGTCGTTGAAGCTGGCCTCAGTGTCGGGAGTGCCTGACACTGGTATAGGAGAAGCTGCGCACTTTTCGAGCCAGGCGAGCAGGCCATTCACGCACAAGTCTAGGCAGCTTCAGACACCTTGGCAACGTCTGAGGCAGGTCTGCAAGCGTACACGACCGGCGACGACAACTCGGCACCAGCAGTGAGCGCAGTTCTTGCGTTGAACGTTCCGCCGCCATTGCCGGTTTTTTTTGACCAGCACTAGCGCTGGACACAAGTTCGTCGACGACCTGGCGCACTGACACCATCAGTTACATCGAAGCGATCGATCCCTTTTTCATTATGTTGTAGAAATCTATTGAAAATTGTCGACTTCATGAGTTCTGGCAATACCTTGGCACCGCGTCTGTCGAGGAGCACCCCGCCTGTCTGCGAGCCAGGCGACGGGAAAGCGCAGCGCAACTGCGGTGTGCGTTTCTTGCGGCAACTCTGGTATTGTTGCTGCCCACCGAACGAGTTTGCTATCGGTCGTGATATTCTGGCGCTAGAGCGCACCTTTTTGGCAACGGTTCGAACGAGCGTAACAGCGTCTTCTCTAGGCGTTGCCGTAGCCGTGCTCTTATCGTCAAGGATGGCGCGGATCATTGGAACACTCATGGTCGCCCTGAGTCAGTTTATGGTAGTGATTGCGTTATGGAGGTTTACTGTTCAGAGTGCGTCGTTGGGGCAGCGCTCCTTCTCGCCAGACACCGTTCTGCCCTGGTTCATCGTTGTCTTACTGGGCACTGCACTTGTTCTGTCGATCGTGGTCGTATTCAGATGAGCGCAGTGGGCCAGCATCCTTTGTCTTTCTTATCCTATTTGGACATGATGGATTGCAGAGATTGCATCGGTGCATTGCGAGCTGCTTTACATTGGATGTTGAGAAAGTGAAACGGGACGAGGTAGGTCGCGGCATTGCAGGTGTCCAAGCTGCTGCATGTGTATATGTGTTGCCATCTAGCCGCAGGAAGCTCGTCTTCATGCATCCGTCCACGATTGACTTGTAAACAAGACATTCTAGGATCAGTCAGGAGCGCCTGCGAGACGACAAGGCGAATTAAGGTCAACAGGAGCGAACTTCGCACTGCATCACCGAAAGTTGCGGCCTGTAGACGCGAGTATCGGGAAATCACGTTGCCGCTGAGGAGGAGCTGCTGCTCAAGCGCGGACTCGTCCACCGTTTCCGGGAACACGTCCTCAAGGAAAGCTTTTCCCAACCACAATGAAGCTTGTCGTTTCAAATGGCAGCAGGTTCCTGGTTTGGTGAAGCACACACACCAACGGCGACACTGAGCGACAAGATCGACTAGCACCTGGCCTGCGTTCGTGCTTGTGCAAAGCAGCTAGCGTTCCCCTGATTTCCCTGGAAGCTCTGCGCATTCCAGTTCGTTTCTAACCTTTCGCGAAGCGGGTTGAGACCTTGAGTTGGGCGCCTATCACACGCGAATTCGGAGTCCGTTGCGTAAAACTCGATATGTCCCGCGACACTGAGCCTCATTCACAGCACGTCCCGTCGTTGATACTCGTAGCGACGACACTTGGACTTTTATGTTTAGGCTGCGTACAATCACGCCTGGAGCCACCTAAAGGCACTGGGCGGATACGCACTGAAAATCGTCTCAAAGTACGCGCTCCCCTGTACCATGTAGACGCCTCCTGCTGTACGGAGCTTCACACACAAGCGCACCTTCATCGCAGTCGTGACCGTCCTGCTTCCGGAGTTCTACTTGACATCGCCAGTGATTCTCAGTCGACAACCCAGGTTTTTTTCGCATTCAGAGTCGTACGAGGTTCGAAAGCACCCTGAAGATCCATCCCCCGTCGATGGTATGCCTCTCGCACTTGTGTCGCAGTGTCGCTCTCCCAGGTAGTACTCGTTCTCGCCCGCGCGTCCTCGAACCCGATTCCATAACTGCTGTTGCTCTGGCGAGCGGCTTTCGCAGTGCCGCTGCTTTCACTCTTTGCGGAGGTGCAGTTCGTATGACTCTGATAACCGACAGCCTACGTTCCTTTACTGATGAACGAAAGCAGCACGCACGGGGGTCCAGGCAAAACGCAACAGAGCTCACGACGTGCGCAGGAACCCCGGCAGACTCGTTCGAGACCCAGTGTGGTAGTCTCGGGAGCCGGTTCGAGGGCGTCACGCCCGCTGCTGCGCGGCACAGAGGAAGCGGAAAAGGTAGACCATGCGCCTTTGGAATCTAGTAGAAATTCTTTGGCTTCGAAACAACCGAATAATCAGACCGCAACGCTGAGTCAAGCCACCAAGTCGAACTCGATGACCCGAGGAAGCGGGTCCACCCCGGGGCAACGACCTGCCCCGGTACACCAAAGCGCAGCACCGTCCACAGTGGCCGCAGCGGCGAGCAGTACCCGGGAGTTGTATGCGCTGCGAGCGGAAGTGGCGAAACTTCGGCTGCGCTGCGAGGAACTGGAAAACGAGCTAGCGCTGCTTCGCAAGCAAGTGAGCACAGTTGCTCTGCCGCCTGTGGCATCATCCGCGTCGACAAACACCAGTAATGCCAAGGAGTTGGCGCAGGCCTCGCAAGCACCCGCTCCAGAAGCCAGTCAGGTGGCGGCGACTGGAGCCGCTGGAACACCCGCATCTCAAACGACCGCTAGACTTGCGTCTACGTCGCGCTTGCACAACGACATCACTTGGCATAGCGAAAGCCAAGTGCTCGACTGGGCCGATGAAATGGAAACCATGGAGCTCGAGCGTCGCGGGCGAAACAGCAGCACCGAAAAGTCGGTTGTGAACGTTCCTCGCCCGACGCCCGGCACCTGGACGAGGAAGCCAGCATCGGCATCGGGTGCCGGGCCTGAAAGGCCGCCCCAGCCGCCTTTACCATCCACGCGAGATACAGGACAGCAACAACGACAACTGAGTGAAGCGCAATCATTGGAACACCCACAGAGAATCCGGCAACGTGAGCCTCGTCCGCATGGTACAGAGCAAAACCGCGAAGCGCGTCAACAGCAGCGGCGGCAGCGTCGAGAGCGTCCTTTCCAAGAGCGAACGCTTACCGCAGATGCCAAGACGCAACCACACGCGAGCAGTGCAGCGAGCAAGTCTGCGGAAGCGCCACCACCAGTCCAGAGACCGCACCGAGAGACCGTAGAGAGACCGCCAGCGTCTGCCTGGCTGTTCGCCGTTCACGCTCGAGCACAGCCGGACAAGTTGCGTTTCCTGGTATCGAGTCGCGCAGCGGGACCGGAGTCGGCACCTGATCGATTTATTTCGCTTTCGTTTAGTGTATCGCGTTGGATCAATGACCAAGCCTTTCACAAGACACTGATGCGCATGCTTCTGCAATTGTGGCGGCGTCTTGCGCCACCAGCACTCGATTCTGGAACAACGCAACAGCAACAGCAACAAATACCGCCACCCTTAGCGGAGCTGCTTCGCCAACCTGAAACGGAAGAGCAGCGCCCGCTGGATCGCCAACAGGTCTGGGCACTATGTGAGCCGGTGCTGCTCGAGGCGTGCCGCCACCCGACCCTGCTGGTACTTCTCGATTGCCACGGGCTCAACGACAAGACGAAGCAGGCTGTGCGCTTTAATGTGGCGTACTTTGTGGAGGCAGCTGCAGCTGCTCGAGAGCGCTTTGAAGCGACGTTCGCAATACCACCGCGCCTGGTGCTGGTGCTCGAAAGCTACCCCGTTCAACGGCGACCGGTTCTCGGGGGCCATCCAGTGTATCCCGTGCAATGCTAACAGGACGCAAAGCCCAGCGCTGTGTGTCTCTGTCTGTTTTCGGGGCCGGGTTTCACGTAGAGACGCGGGGCGCCCTGCTCCCGAACAGTTTCGATACGAGCTGCGTACCTGTGTGCATCACGTATACGTAGGTACACACGACCGCTATTCTGGTGATTGCGTTCATTTCATTTTCCTCTTTTCGCCGTTCGCTTAAACCTCTGTCTATGCGAGCAAGCGGCCATCATCATAGAAAGCGCTCCCGATATATACCAGAGCGAGGCGTACTCACACACACACACACACACACACACTCGGACGCTACTCGGTGTCATGACAGGAAGCACCGGGACTGGACGAACTGGACCTATCCCCGGCAGCTGTTGCGATCACGACGATCGCGTACAGCTCCAGCATCAGCGCGACAAGGCCGAAAACGACAACGTCCGACGAGGACGTATCCTGCCAGCTACGTCTAGACCAGGACGTGACCTGCATTGCCGCTGGAAACGTGGGACCTATTGGATTCGCATTGACAGGAGCACGCTCAAATCAGCGCATTAGAAGCGGAAAAGGAACGGCAAAGGAGGCAAAGAGCCTCGAGCAACTTTTCAGCACAGCACAGCACAGCACAGCACAGCGTTTGCGCTTTGTGGACCTGCTCTCCGTACGCTTCAGGCATCTTCGCTAGGAGCACGTATACTGAAGCGTCGGCTATCGTACGACGATGAAAATACCCAGCGCGCTAGTCCAGGAGCGTTCCCACGGTGCATGCCTGGAGCCATGGAGGTGATAGACGTCCTGCAGCGATTCGCTCTTCCATTAGCACTTCCATCGATTTCCACAGTGTGTGCACGTCACAAACGTCGTCATCGGTTCATCTGCGGAGCGTGTTTGCATTTGGAAATAGGTGCAGGAACGTTGACCGCATTTGCCACAGCGGAACTGATCCGTACTTGCTGCTTGTGGAATACCCCTTTGTTTGTGGAAGAGCATTCGTTCAGCAATTTCCGCTTCCCGCTCCCGCGCCTGCTCTGTTTTCAACGCTTCAGCGCTCATATCCACGAGCTCCGCTGGCGACAGCTCTTGTCGCAGTAGACGCCACCGCAGGTCCGCGTTTCGCCGTAGGTTTGCTTTCAGTTCCCGATACTTGGCACTATAGTCCGGGCGGGCAAAGTCGAAAGAGAACTTTGCATTCAGCGCCCGTTCTAGTTCGATACAAAGGGAACGACACAGATTGATTGTAGCTGCGTTCACGTGCTCTGTAGGTGTTGCCTCTTCAGTTGCTGCTGCGATGAAAACGTCAGTCAGCGCTCGCACGATATCTCCGCGTTTTCCGGGCGGCAGTGGTAACGCTGACACCATTGGCTCCGTCTGCATACGGTCTGAATGCTGCTGTTGCTGCTGATCACCGTCTACCTCGGTTGCGTTGGCAGTGTTCCACGCACTCTCCAATGTCGACACAGGTCCAGCGTCGAAGGAGCCGGTCTCTGTAGCGACCTGCTGCACTGCCGCGAACGCGCCTTCACGGCCAGCCGCATCCGCTACCCCGGCAACAGACCCGTGCACGTCCATCCTGGCGTCAGCAGTTGTATGCAGGCTAGGCCCGAGGTCGTCGGGTTGTACACGACCAGCACCATTCAACCCCGATCGCGCGTTTGTCGCATCGTTTGGAGCGGCGAGCAGTTCGGAACCCGAGCTACTCGGATCGCGCGTTTGAAGCCGCTCGGACTCGCCAGTCGGCAACAGGGACGGCTCCTGCGACTCGCGCTGTGCCTCCGTAACGATGGCTTTCCATTTGCTGATAATCTCCTCGGCAAGCCGCCCGATCACTGCACTCTTCCCGTGAAGGCTCCTGCCGAGCGTCTTGATGGGCTTCCCAGCTCGACTCGTTCGAAGAACCTCCAGCGTTACCTGATATCGCAGTAATTCCGCAAGCTGAAGGGCGATTCTTCGCTCCTCGAGCTCAAAGGCCTCGGCGGCTCGCGCAGCGGCCAGACGGAGATCCTCTAACTGCGCAGCACACTCGCGATATTTGCTGCACCGGTCGCTCCAGGCCTGATGCAGCTCAGAGAGCATCGCCGAACGCTCTTCCAGGCCGTGCACAACGCGTGTGAGGTCCTCAGCACCAATACTTCGTCGACTCGTGAGGCCTGTTGCACTTGCCCGAATCGCGTCAAGCGTTAACGGGGTGGGTTCCGGCGGTGCGGGCGGATACTTCTCAAGCTTGCGCTCGAGGAGAGCCAAACGCGCTTTCATCTGTGCGTTCTGCTGGCGCAGTGCAGCCAGCTGACGACTGTGTTCGGTTCGGCTCGCTCCAGTGCCGTGACTGGAGCTTCCGGCTCCACGACTACGTTCCGCCATGCGCACTTGCTGAGCATTCCCGGTACCTAGGGAGCCTGGTGAGGCTCCCGCCGGCCCACTGGCAGTCCCAGAAGAGATGCCGTCGGACAGAGGCGTCCACTCGGTGCCGGTGGACGACTTGCGTTTGTGTGCCCGTCGCTTGTTCGGGTCGTGAGAGCGATCCAGCGCTCTGCGCTCAGCGGTACTCTCGGATGAGGCTTCGTCGATTCGTGCGGGGTACGCGTCACGACACTTGGCACTGCCGTCGTCGCCCTCCGAGAGGTCATGCTCTGGCTCGGATACGGCATACTCGCTGGAACTCGCAGCAGTCTCGGTTCCATCGGAGTCCTCCGCTGGTATCTTGCGTCTCTGCTTTAGGCGCCTCCGCGTAGCCGTGGCCTCGCTTGGGTCCGAGTCCAGAAACCCAGCACGCTTGTCACTGGTCGCGTGGTCCGCTGCTGCCGCAGACGCTGTCGAAGCGGGAGCCACACGAGCACCACGCAGCGTCGACGCTGCTTCCGTCAGTGCAGCATCCGTAGCAGCGGCATCCGTTGTAGCAGCTGTCACGGTTTGCATGGCTGCTGTGCTCAACGCGCCCTCTTCAATTGCCTCGGCTATAGCCTTCCGCACTGCATCGTAGAAGCGGTGCGTTGGTTTCACGCACTTGTCCATGTTCTCCGCGAACGCGACCAGGTTCTCCCGTGTCACCCAGGCATGCTGACTATCGTTAAAAAAGTTGACATTAAAGCGATTCCCTTTCCGGTGGTTCCCTTTAGCGTCAGGCGCGATGACACCCGGCCACCAGGGGTACGACGGGAGCTTCGCCCACACGAACGCGCCGAGGTACGGCTCCCAGTCGGACATAGCTCAGTTTCCAACGAGACCGTTCGTGAACCCTGTTGTTATTGATTGAGGAGCACAAGCACCGGATCAAAAGGCACAACGGGAAAACGTGCACTTGAAGCAACGCCAGACCCCGGCGCGTACTCGAAGCACCACAGCGGCAGTACAAGTCGAACGCGTTCGTGCAGGTCGTCGACACAGCGCGCTGCCGTGCCTGGGCGACGTTGCCCTAGCGGCCGTGCGGTATGCCCAGCGTCGCAGGTAACAGCAAGCAAGCACTTGTTCTTCGCTCTGGGACTGTTAAGACTGCCCTGCTGATCGGAGAGACGGTGTTCAGGGCGCTGCTGGGCTTCGTTCGTGGCCGCAGTGTGACTTGCGTACCGCACCCGACCAGTGCGCTAGCGCAGGAGGCTGCATCGTTGTTGACTCGCGTGCAGGGCGCACGCTCGACGACCCAGGAGCTACGAAGCGGGACGCTGCTGTCTAAGCGAAAACGGTCAACGTTTCCGAACGTTCTGCTATGCATATAGATCAGACGGGATCAGCGTACTGTGCGGCAGTTGCAGCTCTGCGGCGGGAGCGCTTCCGAAACCTCGGGGCAGCGGTGAGCCTCGTTCATGCTGCAGGGGCGCTTCTGGTGGAGGCCTGCGTCCTGCTGCCCCGCCGGACAGCAGGAACAGCAGCAGCGACGTTCATAAGACTGTTATTTGTGGCGTGTAGCGTGCCCTTTTTTCTCGTCGGCTCGCTGATCGGCAGTGACTGGTATGCAACGGCACGGCGGCCGGCTCGACGCCGTGTTGCGTTGTCGCTGTTGGTGGCAGCGGGTGCACTTCACCAGGTCGCCATCCTGGGCTCACTGCAGCCGCTGCTTCCATGCTCGGCACGAAGCAAGCGCTTGATACCTCTCTCGGATGGATTGATACTCGGTGCCTTGTGTGGATGGTGGTTTTGGCTCGTGTTTGATCGAGCGGAGCGTTTCGCTTTCGAGCTACCGCTGCTGGCAACGAAGCGAATGACTCGACTCCTGAGCGCACTGCGTTCTCTAAGACACCCGCGCAGTCCTATTCTGGGGCGTAGCTATATGCCGAGGATCGTTGCCGGGTTCGGCCTGTTCGTGATAGCGCTTAGAGTGCACCGCAGGGCGTCATTGTGGGCAAATCTGTTCTTCCTATCGACGCTGATGCTCTCTGCATGCCTCATGGTACTACTGTGGAGCGCACTGCTCCAGCTCGTGCAGGTATGGATGACGAGTCCAGTCACGCTAGGAGGAAATTCATCGCTTGGGTCGCATCACAGAGGGAAACGAGCTTCAGTGACTGTCGCGAGGTTTGAGCATGCGCTCCGTAATCGAGTCGCTGCGACGCTGTCTCTGTCACCGCAACGCCAGTCGACACCGAAGCGGACCGCTATCGCCTCGGGCGCTGGTGAAGAGCTCCTCTGTTTGGTGCTGGAACACAGCGTACATTTTGGTCACGTCGACATGTTTCTGTACGCACTCTATGATTTGGAACGTGTCGCTCTCTTCGTTCCAGAGCGGAGACGACGATTGTTTGCGGATCCTCATGGCCGAGTTCTGCTCGCATTGCTTGACATTTGTTTGGCCATTCTTGAACCGGGGGCGCTCGTGGAACGGTACACCGCTCCCAAGGACCAAAAGCAGCAGCGCCTCAGCCGAACGCGGCACGTGTATCGACTTTCAAACGCTGGCTTGTTGCACGCCTATCGCATGACGGCTACCTCGCTGGGCGCCTTGATCTTGCACAGCAGTCATGAAGATCCATTCGGACTCGTCCAGCGTCGCACTGGGCTGACACAACAGCGCTTGGAACAGCTTGCTGCAGCGCTTACCGCGATTCGATCGCGTTGTGGTACGCTGCGACCTCGACCTGGTCTAGAGCAAGCAGCGTTCAACGCTTTATGCGATACCCTGCAGCGATGTCGAGCTTGGGCAGCTGTCGAGGCAGCACCGACCTGCACAGGGACATTGACGCATTCCTCAACGATGCCACGGGTTTGGCGCGAGTGGCCAACGTCTATCGAGGAGGCTGCTCGGCACCTGGAGCAGGTGCGAGCTTTTCTGACGCATCACACGCTCAAGTAACAAGTGCAACGTTCGGGCGTTTATCGCTGTGAGTCCGCTGCATTCTGCTGGATGTTCAGACGCTTTTATGGTAAAAAAGTGCAAATACAGCTGATCAGGTGGGTCCAGTACGCGCCCCAAAGCAGCCTGGTGCCAAGCGCTGCGTCGCCGACGAAAGCGACGCCTGGAAGTAAGTGCAGCGTTGCTCCGGCGGACGCGTCAGTCGCCTGCTCTGGTTCAGTTCCGCGTCTGGTAGACAGTGCCGTACTGGCGCTGTGGACGAGGCGTGCGGCCTCAAGCGCTTCGAGGTCAGCGTTGGTATCGCGACAGGAGAGTGCGGGCGAAATGCACTTGTGTTCGTGAAGCACAGACTTGATGCCTACACGCCCGTGTCAGCATCGAATGGAGCGGATGCTTTTTAACTCGGGCGTGCTCGTTCATGTTTGGATGTCTTCCAATGGTACTCTGTGTAAGTTTGGGGGGCTTTTCGTAGGCTGCTTCCGCTCCCTCTTTTTCATCAACGATATTCGAGATGCCGTTCGCTCATGGGCCTCTGGCTCTGATGCCTGCAGTGGCGGTCACCTGGTGGTAGCGTGAACGATCCGATATCGATGGTTTCCGGCCATTGCAGACACGCTGGATGCATAGGCAAAAGTTACGATCTGCACATTTCCTCGCAAGTTCCGTCGCCTTTACATACAGCCTCGGTGCGCACTTGACAATGGTGACACTCGAATATAAGCTGAGGACTTCCCGTGTGCCTACCAGAACGCATTCTTCACTGAGTTTCATCCCGCGGCAGATGACGATCTACTTCATCGCTGGATCCATGCGTTTCATGGGAAACGAGTTTTCCGTCGATGCGCTCCTCGGTTTCAGTGCCCGATGCGGTAGCGTATGATTACGCGCTTTTTTTCGGAGGCAATTCGTTCCATGAGTACGCTGTCAGAGGCGCGCGCTGAGGTCCACTGTTCCATTCGATAAAGCAGTCGCGTAACGCGACGTTGTCCATACCGAAACAAGCACCGATAGTTGAATCCAGTCTGGAGAAGACCAAAAAATCTGGAGCAGTCTACGCGCCCTTGCTCGAAAGCAGTGGCACACGCTGCACTCGAAGCGATCGCTCCAATGACTCAGGTCCGAGTCCAAGATCCTTGTTCATGAAAACCGAAGCAACCGGGAGCCTTTGGATGCATATCTCGTGAAAGGGACGATGATGTTCTCGAATGCCGTTCCTTGGATGGCCATCAAGAGATATAGAAAATCGCCTTTTGAACGAGATGGATGATTCAACATCATATGCTCTTTGAATGTTCGGCATGATACCGTGAGCTGGTTGTCAAAGTACGCCGCAGATTGTTTTCCGTCGCTATTCCAGCGACCTCCGTTGCAGCGCCCGCAACTTGTCTTGAAGCCGAAAGATAGAAAGACTTTCATGTTCGGTTTGAGCTTGCAGCTTATGAGGAAAGAGGAAGCACGGATGCTTGTATTTATGAATCGAATGATGATATCGATTATTTTACGAACGCTTGTTCCGCGGCACTGCGGATCACATCTCGATTCTGGTAACGTAACGAGCTCCAGCAGCAACGTGTTGAACGAGTATTCCCGAAAAGAAAACGATCGAGCATCGTGAAACTCCACATGCATCCGCACGCCCGTTTCGCTACGCGTCGGATATTCAGGCTGAACATGAAAAATAGTTGGGGCAAACATCTCAAGGCGGGCACAGCGCGAGCAGTCCAGTACTCCATTTTACATGGACCCCGTGAGCAGACGCTCTCCTCAGTGCGGATATCTATCGAGTTATCGGGGATTACTGGCCACCATCAACGTCCTGTCGATTACAAGAAAAAGCACAACTACGAGCGCTGTTTTTCCTCTGGCACATTCTATTGGTCTATCCGTTTTGAGATAAATTCTATTCGACCCGAATACCGGGATAGCTCGCGTCGCTGCTGTTCGTGAACACAGCTTCCGCAGGTCCCTCTACCCATGTATCGCTCGGGTTACCAGAGCGTACTGCACGCTCCGTAGTGACAACGAAACATATAGACAGGCTTCTGTTTGTAGTTCATCTGGTCTCCTAATCAACAGTCCAAACTCCACGGGAACGAAGCGCTTTATCAAGGATACTCGAGAGAGCTGCTGACCACCACCACCACCACCACCACCACCACTGCCGGGACACGACTGGTGTCCCGCTGGCCTGCTCCGCTGCCGCCCGCGGTGGTGTCATCGTCGTCCCTGTTGCTGCCGCCAGGGTACTGTCCCGGCCGGTAGGGAGCTCTTTGGCGAGAGCCGGTCTCCTGGAAGCGGGATGGTGTTGGTCGTCGCCGGGCGCCCCAGTCTACGCAGGACGTCGGCTACGGCTGCATCGAGGTCGGTACGTGTGCTGCGAACTGTCTCTGGCACGAGGCGCTCGCGTCGCATCTCCGCTGCCAATACGGCAACATACTTGTCCAGTCCAGTATCGATAATATCGGATAGCGAAAACGTTGGTTTCGATGGTTTCGTCGACGGTTTCCGGGGGCGTTCGCCCGACCACCAGTTCATGGACGAGCGACTATACGTTCGACGGTTCACGCTCTGAGCGGGTTTCGGCCGGCTGGCACCCACGAGACTTGTCCACTCGGGAAGATGCGGTACTGCACTCTGGGTACGACGGCCTCGCCAGCGGCGGTTCACTGGGTCCGCCGGCGTCGTCTGCTCCGTACTGGGTACAGTCGACGTAAATGTCTGATCCGACTGCTCCCCCAGCGTCATTCCCAACAGCTGTGCCGCTACACGTGCCTGTCGGTAGTGACGCTGGATCGGTCCAGTCGGCAGTGATCGTACCGGAGCCGGTGATCGTGCTTGATCGATGACACCGGGTTCCGTTGGTGCCGCCTCAGCATCGTACACTTCGGAGGTGCTTGGCAGAGCGTCAGGTGACGTCGCTGTCGTTGTGCGTTCATCCTGGGATGAAAGCGTCGTGTCCGGTGCGGTGGACATGCTCGTGATCGAGTTCGTATCGTCATCATCCGCACCAGGAGCAGCACCTGCAGCGTCAGCTCCCGGATCATCTTCTGAAAGCCGATGCTCGTTCGAATCTCGATCCTCGATGAAATCATGGTCATCATGAGGCAACGAGTCCAATGGATGGTCACGCTTCCCAGTGCCGTGCGTCGAGGAGGACGGCTTCGACCCGGACGACAGAACCGAGGCGTCCAACGCTCGCTTCTCACCAAACCATCCGTCATTGGAACCAGTTCGTATCCGAATGCCTGGCAGGGAAGTGTGTCCATGTTGATGCTGGTACCAATCAGGTGGCAAGCCCTTGTCCCAGGACGTCGACGGGTGCGGAACGAGCGCTGCCGTCGCCGCATCCGCCGTATTCGTCTCGACGCTGCGTGGCATGGTAGCCATCGAAGGTGCTCGAAAGGCTACATCACGCTTCGCGGGAGCACCACGCTTATCAGCTGTACTTTCCCGATACATAAACGCTTCAGCGTCGTCATGAAGAGCAGACTCGGCTGGGGTCGCAAGCGCCAGCGACGTCCGGTAGCCGATGTCGCGGTCTCTCTCGCCGGTGCCGACCGTACCAGCCACCAGACCATCTCCGAGATATCCATACCTTGGTCCATCTCTAGCGTCTTGGTCGTGTTCTATCATACTTTCGTGATCATCGCCATCCGAGTTGAAATCTGAGAGATCGCTCTCATCCGTAAACGCCTCGGGGGCGCTTCCCGTCACTACACGTTCCTGTGCATGGCTCTGCTGATCAGCAGCGCGCTCCTGCTTGTGGCAATTATCTTCATTGCGGATTAGAGCGAGTGCTCGCGCTCTATTCGCAGAGGCGCCTGTCGCAGGACTGTTGTCAAACGACTCGTCTGTGCTCGTTGAGGGCGCCCGCAGCGGCCGTCCCAGGCCGCTCTGGAGAATGCTTTGCGCAACCGGTTGTCGCTTGAACGTTCTGGAACCTTCATTCTGGCGAATCGTCAACGTAAAGCGCAGCAGCGCAGTAGTATAGCTCTTCTCCAGTGGCAAGTGAGTCGTGTGCGTACCCTCGATGCCCGCATACTGAGCGAGGTCGACCTGCAACTCCCCGATGCACACTGTTTGGGTGCTTCTCCCAAAAGGTATCGTCCTTTTCACCTTCAAGCTCAGGAAAAAGGGAGCGAGTACAGAATCTTCGCTACCACGAGCCATCAGTGTCGCTTGAAAGCGCAGGGACTCGTTCCAGACGACGCGGTGGTTCTCCACGGGTCGGTCCGAGGTAAAGCCTCGCCACTGCACGTGCTGACGGAAGAGGCCCGCTCTAAACGCCTTTAGTTTCACATGGAAGACACCAATGCTATCAGGCACGGCCAGGAGCTCACAAATATCGAGGCGGACCAAGAAAACTCGCTTTTGGCGGTCCATGCGACTCGGAAAGCGAAGCTGTTGCAGCGGCAGAGGCAGTGAGCGCCCACTGGGAGCCGTCCAAACACCCACTGGGAGCTGGCGGATGCTAGGAGCCCACGGACTCTCGACTCCTCTCAGAGCGAGTACGCTTTGCAGCAGTTCACAAAGTTGTATGTGTCTGCTACGGCGCTCACAGCCCTCGTTCGTAGCAGCAGCAGCAGCAGCAGCAGCAGCAGCAGCAGTAAAAAACGTGAGCTTCGGGTCGACTGCTCCGCGCCGAGCCAGGTGCCAGCTGGTGTAGGGCACTGCACGAGGGTACCGTTTCGTAGCGCCGAAGCGTGCCCCAACGCGTTGTCGTTCGTGTCATGGACACTGCTACTGACGAATCAAGCACGGATCGGGCGTCCGTGCGCAAGAGATAACGATTTCTCATGTGGTATAGCGACTGGCACCGTTTGCTGGCCAGGTGCACCCTGTCGGGGCAACGAGGTGCTTCTGGACCTGGTGTTCGCGGGTTGCAAGCCCGGTTCACTCGGCGTCACAACGAAGCGAGTTTGTGACTGCACTGCAACACGCAAGTGGTGGGAGTGGAACAGCTTAAAATCAAGCGACGATGTGCATTCCTTTAGTATTCTTCCTCTTCCTCGTTGGTGTCTGCTGCGACTTCGATGTAGTCTTTCTCGAGCGCGGCGAGGTCCTCACGCGCTTCGCTAAACTCGCCCTCCTCCATTCCTTCACCAACGTACCAGTGCACAAAGGCCCGCTTGGCATACATGAGGTCGAACTTGTGGTCGATGCGCGCGAATACCTCAGCGATGGCTGTTGAGTTGCTCACCATGCAAACCGCACGCTGCACCTTGGCGAGGTCACCATTCGGAACGACCGTGGGCGGCTGCGAATTGATACCAACTTTGAAACCGGAGGGGCACCAGTCCACAAACTGGATGCTACGCTTGCTCTTGATCGCTTTGACAGCGGAATTAACATCCTTAGGCTGGACATCGCCGCGATACATCAGACAACAAGCCATGTACTTGCCGTGCCGCGGGTCGCACTTGGCCATCATGTTGGCGGGATCGAAGGCAGCTGAGGTGATTTCGGCGACGCTGCCCTGCTCGTGGTGAGCTTTTTCGGCGGATATAACTGGCGCATAACTCGACAGCATGAAGTGAATCCGAGGATACGGTACTAAGTTGGTTTGATACTCGGTCAAGTCCACGTTGAGCGCGCCGTCGAAACGAAGCGATGCCGTCAGCGAAGAGATAACTTGGGCGATGAGGCGATTCAGATTCCGATACGTTGGCCTCTCGATGTCCAGGGATCGCCGACAGATATCATAGATAGCCTCGTTATCGAGAAGCACGGCCACATCCGTATGTTCCAGCAGCGCGTGGGTGGACAGCACAGAGTTGTAGGGCTCCACTACAGCAGTGCTGACTTGTGGCGACGGATACACTGTAAATCCGAGCTTGCTCTTCTTTCCATAGTCCACCGATAAACGCTCCAAAAGGAGCGAGCCTAGACCGGATCCAGTGCCTCCGCCAACTGAGTTGAAGATCAGAAATCCTTGCAGCGCAGAGCAGTTATCCGCCAGTTTTCGTATGCGATCGAGAGCCGTGTCTACTATCTCCTTCCCTACAGTGTAGTGGCCCCGAGCGTAGTTATTGGCAGCATCCTCACGCCCGCTCATCAGCTGTTCTGGGTGGTACAGCTGGCGGTAAGGGCCGGTGCGCACCTCGTCTACAACAGAGGGCTCCAAATCCAGGAACAAGCAACGAGGAACATGTTTTCCAGATGAGGTCTCAGAGAAGAAGGTCCCGAAGGAAGCGTTATTGGCAGCTGCGATCGCCGAGTCGCGGCTAGCCATCGTGCCGTCGGGAAGGATACCATGCTCTAAACAGAAGAGCTCCCAGCAGGCGTTCGCCACCTGCACACCAGCTTGTCCTATATGGAGTGATATAACCTCGCGCATGATAGATTGTATTCGTTGTGAAGCTTTTCAGACACTAAACACTCACCAGAGGCGACTATTCACCGAACCTCCGTCGAATGGTTAGGCAGCACGAAAACTCCAAACCGGAACGCTGAAAAATGGCGCGGGATATTCGAATAGCAGACACCTGACGCGTTTCGCCGTTCAAAAATCGAACGCCGCGGCCCGCGGTGTGCAGGAGTGGCGATCGGCGCGCCCTAGACATAACGCCTCCAACTGATGTGCAGACGCCTCCCAGCCTTTTGGACCGGCCAGCCACTACTGCTTCCAATCTTGTCTCATATAGTTCCACCTTGGGAGATTGTCCAACAAAGTTCCCTCTCATATACTCTGGAGGGACTTCTTTCCATTACCGCAGATTTCCGTATCTTGATAGCGGTGTTAAAGTCTCGGTTCACAAACTCCATCCGTTTCTTGCCATCACTGGTTGTACATACTAATGCAAGTAGCCCTCGAACTTTCGCCCTCCTTTCCATTGGCTCTTCCTTCAGCGGTCCGTACTTTGTGAAATCCTCAGGGCTCCGCTTACACTTTTCCATCTCTACGCTCTGAAGTGCGCACCTCAGTTCATGGTGTGTATACGACGCACGGAACTCGTCTATTGGTATCATAACGAAACGCCGTGCACACTCCTTGTACGTTCTTGTCGACGGAGCTGGCGTAGTTCCTTTTTCGGCGCCCAGCGCCCTGTCCCATAGGCTACAACGAGCGTCTGATTTTCATCCATCTTCAGGGCGCTCAACTGATGGAAAAAGTTCGCGAATGCACGCTGCTTCCCACAGCATAGATTCATTCGCAAACGAGCCCACCGAGGCTTGGTATACTCCTCCTACAGTGCACCCCAATGCGCAATGCGAACTTCCATGAATTTCCGAAAAGCTTCAAAGTCCGCTCCTCGGCTAGTCACCTCGCTCAAAGCTTCCAGGATCTCTTTCATTCCTGAATTCCAAGTCTCGATTTTCTTCCTTGCATTCATTATACCCGATTCTGGGTAATATCTCGCTCTCCACAACCTCAACAGACGCATGTCTTTCTGACGTAAATTACCGTCGGTCCCATCTTCCGCACGCTTCGGTGCTGCGATGGTTATGATATTCGTGTTTCCGGGGTCCGCGCCAACGACAAAGTCGTTCTCATGCACTTTCTGCGCCGCAGGACCCGCCTTCTTGGTTTATTCATGCTTCTCCGCGTCAACGACAAGGTCGTTCTCATGCACTTTCTGCTCCGCTGGACCCGCCTTCTTGGTTTATTCATGCCCCGCCGCGCCAACGACAAGGTCGTCATCCTGCACCCCCTGCGTCGCAGAATCCTCCTCTTTGTTTTCTTCATGCTCCGCCGCATCAACGACAAGGCCGTTATCCTCCACCTCCTGCATCGCAGGACCCGCCTCCTTCTCATCTTCATGGTTCGCCGAGGGCGGAACTGGACGATCTTTCTTCAACCGCCGATAGTGTACACACTTGGCTACTCCATCGGTCTCGATCATCCCAGTGAACAACTTTTGCTTGCTCATTCTCAGACGTTTGAAATTGAAGATATTCTTCCAGTGCGTCTCCCGGTTTTCGCCGGTGAAGTTCTCCCTGCTAACAGTGAACTTCGGGCTGATCTCCTTCATGATGCCGTAGAGGACTGTGGAGTCGATAGTCACGATATGTGACTTGATGTTGCACAACGAAATGACGTTGAAGCGCTTCTCCATTAGGAAGGCCTTCCGTCTCTCCCACTCTTCATTGTTTTCCTCACTCAGCTTCATCTCCGCATTGCATTCGAGCTCTCGATCCTAAAACACGAAATAGCGCAGGACGAGGCGATAGTATCTTCCCTTATCTTTTTTCAACTCTGATATCTTGTCTGTTGGATTCGCCAACCCCAAGATCGCGCGGTGCTCTTGCATAGCCGCACGGATTACAGAAGATTCATTCGTGCTCCTGCGTGACTTCTTCTTGTCGACGAATTCGATCTCATGTTAATGCTTGCGATCCTTCGAGATGCCATTGATAATCGCCCATATTCCTTTGCGAGAGATGCCCGGGCAGAGTGCAAATACGGTGCGTATCATGAAACGTTCGAGGTTCATTGTGAAATGGTTCTTCAGGTTCGTGAGGTACTTCATCACTCCGTATATGTAAATATCCCAGTAACCCTTGCATCGAGTACTGTTGAAGCTGTAAAAGGGATGATTTTCGTGGAGGCCATGGACTAGCACATTTTCCCGCCGCGCTTCCTCTGTACCAAGCATCAGCTGACGAATAAAGGTCTTATCGAAAAACTCGTCCGGAATCTCGACCGTTTCCATGTGCATCACATCGCGATACATCTCCCTCGCCAAATGCATCAGTCCTGACGACGCCTTGACAATACTCTTGGATTACGAGTCGACACGTTTTTCGATAGCGTCTCGCAACTTTTCCTTACACGGATCCTTGATATGTCCAAGAAGAAAGGTTTTTACCACCTTTTCGTCGTACAGTTGTCGTCCTTGCCGCTTACGACGTAGGGCCTCCCCCTTTGGGTTCTCCTTCTCTTCCTTTTCTTCTGGACTCAGCACTGTTTTTTGTTTTTTTTTCTAGCAGCCGGCGACCCTGGGCCTCCAGGATCGTGGACTTGCTTTTTTCATAACTTTGTTTTTTTGTTTTTTTTTGAAAAACAACGCTCTTTGAACCCTTCTGTTATATATTTCGAAAAAACACTTGACTAGACTTGTTTGAAGTTCTAAACAAAAATCAACTGAAAGACTATACTTGGCTACGACCTGAACGGAAATCTGACGTTTACAGCTGAACAACACGCTGCTGGTCAGGATCGCGTTTAACTTCAACGGCGGCATCCGCGTCGCGTCTCCTGCCTGGCTGAATCTCCCAGGTGCGCAAATCGACAGCACTATTTAGAACAAAGAAAAGAGATTCACGACCAAAAAGCAAGGATATAACGGATTCTTTCGTCCTCTACGATAAACGATAAAACAGGGAAAAGTTTTCCGTACTGTCGCAAGTCCTCCTTCCAGGCGGAAAGTTCCGCGAGCCTGACGAGTCTCCCAGACTCGTGCTTCGTGCTCCCCCCAATGGCAGGTCTTGAAGCGAGACCTCGGCAACTCGTCTGGAATGCAGTTTATTCCAAGATCGCGAGTGGCTGGAGTGCGTCTGGTCGTCGCCCTGATCGTCGTTTTCTTCCAGCAAATTGCATGGCTCCGTTGCAGGCAGCAAGTCTGTCTGCGCAGTTGCCAAACTCCCAGGAGAATGATGAATCCCAGGCCCCGTGTCGGCTGAACCACACCTCGAGCCGATGCCCCCAGTGATATGACAAAGTTATTCTGTTCCCGTGCTGAATCCGGACCAGCAGTATAGGCTCTGTTGCTGCAGGCGCTCGGGGCAGGCGCTCGGCACACCATAGAACCTACGAAACGACCATCGCATCCGAGAGAAAGCATGGATAATGGAGCTTAAAGGTAGGGTGGAACATGATAGACACTCTTTCGATCACCAATATCCATCCCGCAATCTAGGAGCCGTGGTCCATGAAAACATTCTGGAAAACACAGCGATCTGTGGATTTGAGATTTGCGCATACACTGCCGCGGATACCTTGACGCGTCGCCACGGCGATCGATCGGAACATAGAAAGCACAGGTGCCGAAAAGTATCACAAATTGGAAAGGGAACCATTTTCAATCGTTCAAGATTGACCAAGAGAACGACTTGTTGTCGAGTGTTGTCCTTCTTTTTAGTGGCTACACAGCTGTCGCGGAACCGATAAATCAAGAGGATGCAGCCAAAACCCTCAACGAACGCAGATGCGGTAGCCCAACTGTCTGAGAGCTCCGAATCATCGATAGCCGGGCATGATGGACGGCGTGAGGCGTACGATCGAGTAGGATGGCGAGGTCAGGACCCGTCTCGATGCTTTGGGTTCCTTTCCGATGAATGAGGACATTTTCTGCGCCTTATTTCGAGCGAATATTAGCGTCCAACTAGCGAAATCGGACAATCTCCGGCTGGAGTGCATGACATCGTGCACGGGACGCCAACGGTATCCGCAGTGCAGAGACAACAAGCGTGGATTCAAGTGTCTGCTCAATATGTAGGAAATAGAAATGACGAACATGTCGTGTCGTTTGGTCGAGGCCCGTGGCTCTGGAGGTGCTGCAACGCGCTGAACCTGCACTTTTGCTCCGTCGACCAGCGCGCACAAAGTGTGCAGGAACTGAATCTTTCCATCTCCCATCGATGCAATCCAGACGATTTGAGCGCATCACGAGCACAAGGGCACGTTGAGCGTGCTAGACGACAACAGCAACATCGTGAAGCAATGACGAATGCACCAGATGATGGAAAGTTAGTTGACCATCCGTTTATGGCGAGGCAGTCGAGGGCAAGAGACTTGCGATGATATGACTCTCCGCGCAACAGTACGCGCCATGACTCGATGCGTCGTGACTGGAAGGCTCCCATCACGAGCGAGGGATGTCTCGTGCTTCCCGGGCGGACGTCCGTCGGCTCGGTATCCAGCGAGCTTTCGCAGGAATCGTTTCGTACCAAGCGTGTGCGTTGTGCTGCGATGCGGAAGACTTGCGCTCACGAAATCAGTGCCTGGGAGAGGGTCATAGATTCCCGTCTGGCTCAAGGCCCTGGCATGATACGGGGTCACCAATGCGGCAAGGCTGGTGCGTTCTATGCATACATCGGGAACGGTTTCCCCGGTAATCGGTGACCAAGAATGGTGCCATATCATTCAGTAGTACTGAATATTGGTATATATAGGCAGAACGTTTCACCGTAAACCTCTGATGGATTCCTAAAGCAACGTCAGACTGAATCGGATCGGGTCCGTTCAGATAACCCGAGTGTTTACGCTCAACATGAGGGTCTCTTCTCCTTGTCATCAACATGAGCGTTTTGCGCGCTTCCACTGCGAATGCTTCCTTTTTCTCTCGCTTATATGCGGTTTTCAGTGTGCCGGTCTCTACGATCCCTCCAGCTCCGATGTCAGCTGTTGGGGAGAGTTCATGAGAGCGTGTGAGTCCCGCTCTCGTCGCTTCCTGCTGTTGTCGACGCATTGCATGCCGAGGCTCAAGTACGATCTACATATCGATTCCCATTTTCACCGTCTTTGTAGATAGCCTTGATGCGCTCTTCGCAGCGCTGTTCATTCACTGAGCTCAGGTGCTCCCATCTGTCCACCGAGTTTGCTTCTCAGAGCATTGCCAACCTCTATAGTGTTCGAAAGCTTCGTTCATCTCGTTCGATGCCGTCCTCCGTTTCCGCGCTCGGTGCCGTACCGTACGATCATGAGCAACTTCTGTATGAAAACTACGGCGACTGCGCTGTCCTCTGCACGTGGGAGCGCGCGCTGTTCCATGAAAGCCCGTACTTGTGGAACGCAATGTTGTCCTTGATGAAACAAGTACCGAGAAGCAAAATCCAGGATACAGAACATGATAACGAATTTCGATGTTCCGGCGCCCCGTTCGAGCTAAGCGATGCTGCACGCTCCACTGGAAACAATCGCTCCGATGAATCTAGTCCGAGTCCGAGACGCTCTTTTATGCAAAGAGCAGAAATGCGAGCTTCTCGCAACGTATCATAGGAGAAGTATCATGCCGTTGTCGAATGGCGTCTTATCGATGGGAACAAAGATGGAAAAATCTGATTTTTTGAACGGAACAGATGATTCGACTTGACAAGTTCCGTGAAGTTTCGGCTTATACTTGTGACCGAATCGTTCACGGACGACCTCGAGTATCTTTCCTCGTCAACCTAGCGGTGCAAAGGGCTGCACCCATGATTTGCCTTGAAATAAAGAGATCGAATCCCTGAAGGATTTGTGATATGCGCGTGTCTCACATAAAGAAAAGAGATGGGCGGAGGCTTTGCCTCATGAATTCGATGATGATATCGGTAATTTCACGAACCTTCGTTCGGCGGCGTCGCCAAACATCCTGAATCCGGTGACGTAACAAAAGCCAACGGCAAAGCGTCGTAGCGGGCACTTCACCACTGAGAACGCTGAGCCTACGTATGCATCCGCAAGCCCTTCGTGCAGCACTCGAAATTACAATTCTATACATGTACATACGGTTCGGAAAAAAATCTCAGGGCATGAACAGTGCGACCAGTTCCATGTTTCAGTTTACTCTGACACGCGTCCTAGTGCAGGTAGCGGGGTGCGAGCTTCAGCGGCATCGTCCTCGCTTGACCAAGAAGCCTTGTAGTTACAGCGGGCGCGCTCCGATGCCTGAACGTCATCGCGGGCCCATCGGACAAGTCTCGCACTGAACGCCAATAACGCAACCCTTGTATTCATCTTCTGCGTGTTGTGCAGGGGCCCGCCCTGGCAGCGGTTTCTGCATAACTCGGCACCGCTCAGAGGACCTGTGGCACATCCACGGGACAAGGACATGATACGCGGGCGGCGGGTACCGGTCCTGGCCCTGGTTCCGCTGACGACGGCACCTCAGCCATAACTTGCGTACTGCGACGACGAAAGCGACGTGCTTGGTGGCACACGCTGCGCGCCATGGTGTCGCTCTCGGTTCCAAACAGCTGCCGAGGTATACCATCACGAAGCCATGTTGCAGGACGTTCACAGAATGGGGCAGGTACAGCCTGTGCTTCCCGCTCAGTCCAAGTCGGGGAACGAGTCAGCACACCAATAGGCCCAGCGAGACGACGTGTCGCAGCCGTCACAGACGCTTGTTCTATATCCTCGACAGGCTCATGCCTGGTGTTGGTACCGCTCAGCGAACCAACAGTTGACGTACTCGAGGAGCGTGTGCGCACACCAGGTCCGGTGCGCGCATCGCCTCTGTAGTGCCATTTTGTGAGCGCATTCTCGTGCATCCTCGAGCGATCTCGGGCCTCGACGTGTACGCCTCTTGGAAGGTGTTTGTGAGTCGATATCGAGAAGCTTTGGGGCGGAACAGTTTGCGTGAAGCTGAAGGAGCGAGCCCTCTGAAGCTTTGCGCTTTGGGGTTTGACTCTCAAGTCACCCGAGATCGTACGTTCGCGAACGCAGATGCACCAGCACCGCCTCACGGCTACGTTTTGTATTCCGTTTTCGCTGGGCCGGCACGCAACCTCCTCGCGTCGGTCTGGGACCATTTGCGACGTAGTGGCGTGCGGTATGCGTGGTATCAGGCAGAGAGCTCCTGTAGAGCGAGCACCGTCAGGTCAACGGTCACCAAAGCACACGTTGTCAGTTCCGGGAAACGCGGCCACATGCGCGGAGCCAGGGACTCGTACGGAAAATGATGTGCTGCTGACGTTGCGAGGAACCCGAACTAGTATTTTTCTTTCACCCTTTGTCCTAATAGTCTTCCTTTTCTGGCAAATAGTACGCTTTTTTACGAGGGTATTGCTTTTTCTATTGATCTTCTCGGGTGTGAGCGCCTTCTTATGGGTGCGGCGCAGCAGAATGTGGGTGCTGGAAGTTCGTGACTGTATCGGGAGAATGGCCACGATGCGTTTCCAGAGGCGTCAAATGAGCGTCGTTCCCGTCAGTATCGTAGTGAAAGCCCGGTGCAGGACGCAGCAGCACGCGCCACAGCCAGCTACAGCAGCCCAGACGCATGACAGGCGGCGTGCGCAAGGGACACCAGCGCCCGAAGTGCCAGAGTGGAGGGATGATATTGATTTTTCTTTGACGCCACAGCCGTCTTGCTGGCTACCGTCGACACTGAGCATCGACTGCTCTTCTCTTTGGGCACTGCTGTGGCGCTTGGGTCCGGGCGACGATTAGCCCAGTGTACGTTAATCAGCACGAATCGATCCATTCGGTGAGCGTACCGGATCGCCAGCCATTGACATGCTTCGACTTGTGAACAAAAGGAATTTCGGGGCAGTGTGGATTGGGTGCTTCTCTCTGTGACGGGCGCCAAAGCATCTCATCGTTATGCTGTGAAGAGGGCTGTCTCCGAAGATGACCTTTTCATCGTGCGCTGTCCAGAGGGTTCTGTAGACAGAGCGAACCATGTCAAAGATGATCTCGCTCGGAAAGCCTGGAGAACATCAAAAAGAATTCATAAAATTTCGCTGGGAATATTTCAGCCCGTACAGCCGTTCCCAATGCTCTGCAGTAAAAGGTTGCCACTGTTCGAACAAGCGTGCAAGCAACGACCTGGAGCAGCGGCGAGGCTGCGAGCGTTTCAGAGACCCGGAGGCTTGCAGCGCGGGAGTGTGCCATGCGCTCGCTCTGGCGGCAACGTGAGTACCTGTCGAGGCCGTACCGCGGTGTCGCTTTCTAATTTGCACCGCGAAACAGGAAACGAATGTCATGGGCTTCACTAGTGCATCTGCAACTGACAGCGATGCCAGGCAGCGAGGCAGCTGGACGCAATCCGGGGCCTTGTTCGGGCGCTGAATGTTTTGTTCGATGACAAAACGTGTATATGGACCATGGATCCCAGGTTGCGTGATGGATGGGCATTGGCTTTCTGGAAATCACTCTTTATTTGAAGCTCCAAGTTTTAGTTCGAGTACCCGTACTTCCTCTCGGACTTGGGGGTCGTTCTGTACGTTCCATCGTGCGCCGAGTGCCTGCAGCGCTGCAGCCCGCAATAGCGCCTAAACCGCTGATGCAGATGCTGCACAGAGAGAGAACGGCTTTGCCATGCCACTGAGGGCGTCATATCGCGGAACGCTTCACCAGATACGGAGTCGGAGTACGTAATCATTCTGGGAGCCTAAAAATGGGCAAGCAGACGTCCTCTATGCGGCGGCGCGAATCGATATACCAGGATTACAACCTGAGCAGGGCGATGCCCAGACACAGCGCGTCCGCTCCTAGTCCCAGAATACACTCTGACGGGGCGATGAAGTACCTCACGAACCTGAAGAACCATTCGACAGTGAGCCTCGAAGGTTTTATGATACGCGCCGTGTTTGCAGCTCACCCGGGCATCTCTGGCAGAGGGATATGGGCGATTATCAATGGCATCACGAACGATTGCCGACATGAAGGTCAGATCGAATTTGTCGACAAGAAGAAGTGACACAGGAGCACGAATGAAGCTTTTGTGATCCGTGCGGCTACACAAGAGCACCGTGCGGTACTGGGGCTGGCGAATCCGGCAGCAAAGATATCAGAGTTGAAGAAAGATAAGGAAAGATACTATCGCCTCGCCCTGCGGTATTTCGTGTTTCTGGACCAAGAACTCGAACGCAAGGCGGAGATGAAGGTGAGAGGGAAAAAATGAAGAGTGGGAGAGACGGAAGGCTGTCCTAATTGGGAAGCGCTTCAACGTGGTTCCAATGTGCAACATCAAGTCAGATTTCGTGACTATCGACTCGAGAATCCTTTACGGCATCTTCAAGGAGATCAGTCCGGAGTTCAATGTACGGAAGACAGAGTTCACCGGCGAAACCCGGGAGGCGTACTGGAGGAATATATTCGATTTCAAACGTCTCAATACGAGCAAGCAGAAGATATTCACGGGGATGATCGAAACCGGTGTAGTAGGCACGTGTGTCCACTATCGGCGGGTGAAGGCGGATCGCCCTATCGTGCCTTCGGCTTTCCCCGTGACGAAGCGTGAAGATAAGAAGGAGGTGGGCCCTGGAACGTATAGTCCCCTGGATAACGACTTCGTGGTAAGCATGGACCCAGGGAACACGAATATCATAACCATCGCAGCACCCAAGCGTGGAAAAAATAGTAACAACGGCAACTTATGCCAGAGAGACATTCGTCTTTTAAAGCTCTCGAGAGCTAGAGACTACCGAGAATCGGGAATAATGAATGCGAGGAAACAAAGTGAGACCTAGAATTCAGGAGTGAAGGATCACCTGGAAGCTATGAGCGAGGTGACGAGCCGCGGAGCGGACTTTAAAGCTTTTCGGGAATTCATGAAAATTCGCGTTAGTCATTGGGGGACGCTGTGGAAAGAATATTCAAAGCCCTGGTGGGCTCGTCTGCGTATGAGTCTGTACTGTGGGAAGCATCGTGCATTCGCGAACTTTTTCAATCAGTTGAGCGCATTGAAGGAGGACGAGAGTCAGAAGCTCGTGGTAGCATACGGAGCAGGGCGCTGGGCGTCGAAAAAAAGGACTACGCCAGCTCCAACTACAAGAACGTACGAGGAGTGCACAAGGGGTTTCGTTACGATACCTGTAGATGAGTTCCGAATGTCGTATACACACCATGAGCTGGGGTGTACACTCCAGAGTGTCGACATGGAAAAGTGCCAGCGGAGCCCCGAGGATATACAAAAGTACGCAGCGCTGACGGAAGAGCAAATGGAGAGGGAAGCGAAAGTTCGAGGATTGCTTGCACTGGTGAGTACAGCTACTAACGGCAAGAAACGTATGGTGTTTGTGAACCGGAACTTTAATGCCGTTATCAGTATAAGGAGATGTGCGGTGATGGAGACGAGACCTCCGAAGTTGAGAGAATTTTATGGGGCAACCTCTCAAGGTGGAACTATATGAGAAAAAGTTGAAACCAGTAGTGGGTGGCCATTCCAAAAAAGCTGGGAGGCGTCTGCACTTTAGCTGGAGACGTTCTGTCTAGGGCGCGTCGGTCGCCACTACTGTACGCCGCTGAAGGCAACGTTTTTCTTTCGAAAGGCGTTCGCTGGAGGTGTCCTGCACTTGAAACTGTGGTTCAAGGACACACGGGTGGCTGGTTCCCGAAACTCGCGTCCAACACTACCGACGAGCGACGCCGTGCTCCCCGAACGAAGCGATGAAACACCGCATAAACCTGCGTAAGCTCGGTCGAGACTCAGCCCACCGCTTAGCTCTCTTAAGAAATCTTGTTTCTAGTCTGATTGAGCACGAGAGCATAGAAACGACCGTGGCGAAAGCGAAGGAGTTGCGTCGCGTTGCGGATAAAATGGTAACGCTTGGAAAGCGTGGCGACGGTCTGTCCCGAATCCGAGCTCTTGGTTTCGTTCGTGGACCGCATCTTGTGCAAAAACTGTTTCGTACGCTTGCGGAGCGATATCGTGAACGTAACGGTGGCTATACTCGAGTGATGCGATCGAGGAACCGACGAGGCGACAACGCCCCAATGGCTATCGTTGAACTCGTTGACTCGCCGAAGGGAGTAATACGCCGGCCACTGGAACACTACCAACGTTCAGAGCAGCGGCAATCAGTGTAACACAAACCATTGATCGGTGCATGAGACCATGAAACCGCGGGCATGGGAATCTAAAGCGCGGAAGCAAATGGCCATGCCGGTGGCGGCACCTGTGAAATGAAGTTACAGTGATGAATTGGAACGCTGTACCCAGCAGGAGAGGTATTCCTGCCCTGTCATCGCTCAAAATTGAGAGCCTCAAAGCTGGTACTCGATGCTCTAGAGTAGAGGGTGTTTTCACTGCTGGGATTAACATGGACAGCTTCATTGCCGGGTCAGTTGGTCCACTCTGTGCACTCTCGGCCTGGGCCGTATAAGGGCTTCGAACCGTTTTATGCTGCGGAAAGGTTGACGCCATCCATAACGCGGCAGCCGTCCACCGTAAAGGATCGCTTCGCGGTAGCGCCGTGATTATGAGGCCGCCACTCCTAGAACTGAGCTCCAAAGCGCTCGGCAACGCCACCTGCTTATGCATGTGTACGCGTTGCACGTACCGGATCGCCAGCACGAGCTGCATGCTGTCTGGTGTGCTTTCACGTAATGAGCTTGGAAGACTAGAATCCTGCGTTATCACGGAGGCATGCGCGGCACGCGGACCTCGACACGCTGCACCTCGAACGCGTTTGCGTCTGACAAGTGTTGGGCCACGCTGAGGACTTCCGTTCCAATCTCGTAAATCCGTGTCGAATGTGGTAAAACAGCCAACGGATCGCAGAGAGTCTCAACTAAGTGAGCTGGATATTACAAAAGAGGCTGCTTCCGGGGACACTATTCGAGAATCTCAAAAGTGGCATGTCTTTCTGACGTAATTTACCGTCAGTCACATCCTCCCCACGCTTGGGTACTGCGATGTTACGATATTCGTGTTCCCAGGGTCCGCGTCAACGATCAAGTCGTTATCTTGCGCCTTCTGCGTCGCAGGATCCGCCTCTTCCTTTTCTTCTTGCGGCACCGCGCCAACGACAAGGTCGTCATCCCGCACTTTCTGTGTCGCAGGATCCGCTTCCTTCTCATCTTCATGCTTCGTCACGGGGAAAGCCGAAGGCACGATAGGGCGATCCGCCTTCACCCGCCGATAGTGGACACACGTGCCTACTACACCGGTTTCGATCATCCCCGTGAATATCTTCTGCTTGCTCGTATTGAGACGTTTGAAATCGAATATATTCCTCCAGTACGCCTCCCGGGTTTCGCCGGTGAACTCTGTCTTCCGTACATTGAACTCCGGACTGATCTCCTTGAAGATGCCGTAAAGGATTCTCGAGTCGATAGTCACGAAATCTGACTTGATGTTGCACATTGGAACCACGTTGAAGCGCTTCCCAATTAGGACAGCCTTCCGTCTCTCCCACTCTTCATTTTTTCCCTCTCACCTTCATCTCCGCCTTGCGTTCGAGTTCTTGGTCCAGAAACACGAAATACCGCAGGGCGAGGCGATAGTATCTTTCCTTATCTTTCTTCAACTCTGATATCTTTGCTGCCGGATTCGCCAGCCCCAGTACCGCACGGTGCTCTTGTGTAGCCGCACGGATCACAAAAGCTTCATTCGTGCTCCTGTGTCACTTCTTCTTGTCGACAAATTCGATCTGACCTTCATGTCGGCAATCGTTCGTGATGCCATTGATAATCGCCCATATCCCTCTACCAGAGATGCCCGGGTGAGCTGCAAACACGGCGCTTATCATAAAACCTTCGAGGCTCACTGTCGAATGGTTCTTCAGGTTCGTGAGGTACTTCATCGCCCCGTCAGAGTGTATTCTGGGACTAGGAGCGGGCACGCTGTGTCTGGGCATCGCCCTGCTCAGGTTGTAATCCTGGTATATCGATTCGCGCCGCCGCATAGAGGACGTCTGCTTGCCCATTTTTAGGCTCCCAGAATGATTACGTACTCCGACTCCGTATCTGGTGAAGCGTTCTGCGATATGACGCCCTCAGTGGCATGGCAAAGCCGTTCTCTCTCTGTGCAGCATCTGCATCAGCGGTTTAGGCGCTATTGCGGGTTGCAGCGCTGCAGGCACTCGGCGCACGATGGAACGTACAGAACGACCCCCAAGTCCGAGAGGAAGTACGGGTACTCGAACTAGAACTTGGAGCTTCAAATAAAGAGTGATTTCCAGAAAGTTACTACCCATCCATCACGCAACCTGGGATCCATGGTCCATATACACGTTTCGTCATCGAAAAAAGACAGATCATTGTGGGCGCAGACTGCCGTGCGCGCTGCCTCGTAGCGCCGCGCCCGGCGCGACGCTACGCCTCCGCCACCGAAGGCCATCGGGGCGCAGGCGCCACCGCAGAAGCAAGCCTCCGCCGATCGACTGCCTCAGGTCAACGCGATGCAGCTTTCGTAGTGTTTTGAGCGGAGCGCTCGCATCCTGTGTAGGTTTCTTTGGCTTTGCACTCGCCTACATAAGGCTATGCCTGGTCAACCTGCCATAAGAGTTCATGACACGCTAGGATTCGCCGTCAATGTACGATTCCAGACGGATGTGCTCGGAACGCAGCTTGCAACGCGTGACACAACGTTCGTGCACGTGGCGCTGCAACAGCAACGGCGACAACGAGCGTATCCGAACCGGTCTGGACGACGACACGTTCACCAGAGCGAACAGCGACTCGACGTGCTCCATCGCAATTCAGCATGGCGTCCGCAAGGTACAGTTCAACGGAGTTCGTCTCGCATGGAGTTGTGGCTCTCGACGGACGAGGGTGAGGTCTTCGGGCCGGCGCCGGCGTTCTCTGTGAAAACAAAGGCCGCACCCCGTACAGAAGTTCCCGGAAAAACGGCATCCGGGAGCACTGCGATGTTGTCGGCCTCGAGGGAACAGGGCTCTGGAGACGGTCGGACACGCGTCGACCGTCGACGCCTCAAGTTGCTCTTTCAGCTGGCCTGCGATGCGGAGTCGAAAGGCCGTTTCGCCGAGGCAGCAAGCCTTGCTCGCCAGTGTCTTGAACTGGACGAGTATGATGCTCGCTCCTGGTTGTTGCTGGCACGTCTCGAAGCGAGCCTCGTACATGCGGACGATCGCAGCTGCACAGTCAGTGTCGTCAACGGCACGGAGGGCATCCATGTCTGCACAAGCCACCAGCGTGCACGTAACACTTACCGTCAGGGCGTACTCATGTGCCCCGATTCAGTGCATCTGTTACATGCTTGGGCGATGTTCGAATATCGACTCGGGGAGATCGAAACTGCACGGGAGCTCTTCCGCCGCGGTCTTGCTCTAGATCCGGCGAACGCCTACATTTACCACTCGTGGGGACTGATGGAGTGCCGACGTGGAGGCGTCGAGAAGGCCCAGCAACTCTATGTTGAAGCATCTGCATGCTGCTTGAATGATGCGATTTGTAGCGCCTGGGCCGAACTCGAGGCACGTGGCGGCCGAATGCGTCTCGCTCGCTGCATTTTCGAGCTCGGTCTGGTAATGCTGCTTCGTGATTTCGCGGACACGCTGCATCTTACGGGTTCGGATACCGAAGAGCACGATCCAAATCGAGAAGCGGTCCGAGATATGCCGTACGGCTCGCTTCGCAGTCTCGTCCGGGTGCTGGTTGCGGAGCACTTGAGGGAGAAGGAACGCCCCCCAGTTTCTGGCTTGTGTGGGAAAGAGCGTGACATGGCGTGCCTATCACCGAACGCTGATGCCCGGCCTACGCCCGGAGAACGCAGTGAGCGAGCGCTCCGAGCCTTACTTTTGGATTGGTTATCTTGGTATAGAGACGGGCGCAACCCGAATCTGATCCATATTCGTCTCACGGTACGCACGCGATCGCGCAGAGGTGATCGATATCAGCTGGCTGCGGACCATTGTGTGCAGTATGCAGACTCGGAGCTCACCCATGGGTCCATCACGCGAACACGGGAAATCCTACAGTGGGCACTGGATCTTGATCCCACCAATGTGAAAGTCCTGCTGGCGTGCGCTCGTCTTGATGCACAACGTGGCGCCCATGAGCGGGCTCGCTCTCTGTTTCGGGCGGCGGAAAGCGCGCTCCGAAAGCGAGGAACTGCAGTTGAACGCATAGACGATGCGCAGAGTGCGAGTCACCGAGTTGGTGTCTCTCTCTATACATCCTGGGCAACGATGGAGATGAATTTGAGCAGGCCGGTCGAAGCAAATGCCGTGCTTGAACGAGGGAATGAACGCTTCCCCCGGAACCACGCCCTCTACCAAACCTGGGCACTAGTGCAGGAAAAGCGGGGACAGCCGGATGCAGCCCGCCAACTCTTGGAACAATCCGTTCGCTTGCGACCGAACGCGCCTGCCTATGTCGCATGGGCTCTGCTGGAGGAGCGCGAGGGCCATTTGGACACGGCACGTGAGCTCTTCGAAGCCGCTCTGCAAGTGGATCCGAGCCACAGCGCCACCTACAATGCTTATGGTCGTCTCGAGGCTCGTGCCGGGGACCTCGAAAAAGCTCGCCGTGTTTTTCTTCGTGGTCTGCATGTCCAACAGGCACCCTGCATCTATCATGGATTCGCCCTCGTCGAGCTACGCTACGGGAATGGTATCCGACGAGCAGAGGAGATCCTTTTGGAAGGAATCGCGCAGAAAAGCGACAGAAGTATGTTTCTATGGCACACACTAGGTGCTCTCGCTTTTCAACAGAAAAAGTATGAAAAAGCGCGAGAGATTTTCGCCCAGGCGCTTCAGATCTACCCCAGCAATAGTCGATTGCTTCTCGGAGCGGCGCTCTCGTACGCAGCAGAGGCAACGGCTTTAGACGCGGAGAGGCCGCGCCAGTTATTTCGGCGCGCGCTACAGGAGGATTCCTTTCACGGACATGCATGGCAATGCTGGGGAGTATTCGAGAGTCGCCTTGGCAACGTGGATGCTGCCCGGTTACTCTTTGAACGCGGCGTTGAGCGATGTCCGTTCCACGTACCACTTTGGCAGGCGTACGCGCTGCTGGAGAGCACCGCAGGGAATATCCGCAAAGCTCGCATCCTCTTTGAACGCGGCATGCAGCTAGAAAGCGACCACGTTCATCTCTTGAATGCTTACGCATGTATGGAAGCACGAGTCGGCAACTATCAAAAGGCACAGTGTTTACTGGAACGGGCGCTGCGCATCGATCCTGGGCATGGTGCAACCTGGAACGCGCGTGCCTTGCTGGAGCTGCGCAGAGGGAACCAGCACGGCGCTCGCGAGGTGCTAGAGGAGGGCCTCGGAAAGGACGCCAACCACGCGCCGCTGTACCGAACCTATGCGCGTCTGGAGTTAGCGCTTGGCAACGTTGAACGAGCACGGCTGCTCATTGAACAGGGCCTTGTCAGGGATGCCAGCGATTCCGGCCTGATCCAGCTGCGCACTGATTTGCAGAAGCCGTCAGCAGTTTTCACAGCCGGCGCTTTTGAACGGTGGGCAGATCTATCACCGCGAGAAAGCGCCGGAAGCATGTCCGTACTTGCACGTCTTCAAGCAGAACTGTCCGAAGCATCAATCTCAACGACAGATTTTGATCTTTTCGCCATTCAGTCTGTGGACGATGCGCTGCAAGAGGGCCATTCCTCGATCGATGCACGCTAGGGCCTCGCGAGCACGCTCCGCGTATGCATGCAGATTGTGTGAGAATCGACCAGGCGGGCGTCATTCGGCAGCCAGGACGCCATGCGTTTTGGTGAACGTGCCTGCGTGCATGCGATGCGCCGCCAGTTGCCTGGCGACGGCATTTGTGCTTTTCTTTGGTACGTGTGCGTCATTCGAGCACGGACGTGTCGGACACGTGGCAGACGCGATATGCATGCCATGCTGCATGCACCGCTGCGATCGTTTCCATAGCGTAAATCGACAAAAACACGAACACACAAATGCATGTTTGCGCATAGAGCCTTTCCGCTGCAAGCACACATCGTTGTGCTTTCGGAATGCGCATTCCGCGCAGTTTGCAGTACAGCGGCACCGATCCTGGATGCGCTTCAAGACGACGTCGACGCTCTTGACGAGGTTTCCCATCATAGAACGTATAACTTGCCCTTGTTTCCGTATAGTCTGTCGCAACCACAGGTTCCTGGATCGAGTTGGATTTGCGACTGGGACGTGTCCCCCAAGTGAGGATCCTGCTTTCGCTTTACACGTGCTTGAGCAGCATCCATGACAGCAGGCACCATAGCATCCGGAATGCAGGATGGAGACCGACGGGGTCCCGTGGTTCGATGTGGAACGGCGCTGGCACAGACGTTCATACAGTGATGAGCGTGCACGCTCCAGTGCCACTACTCATAGCTGCCAAATAGGTACGGCAGCGCAGTTCGATTGTTTTCCGCGGGTTTCAGACCGTTTCTTCCAACCAGGAAATCCCCGATTGACCAGTGCTCAATTGAGGTAACGATCGAGACAGAGGAGGCGCGCTCAAGGCAGCAGCGGACGCTGTGCATGGAGCAGCCAGCCGCGAACCAGATCATGTGCAGGCGCTTCGTCGCGAAAGTATTCGTAGAGGATGCAATGGGGACAAGTGCGAAGAGATGGGATGCCCTGCACGAGCCTATGCCGATGATTGCCAAAAAGGTTTAGCGGTCTGTGAAGACTCCGTATGGAAAGCAGCGATATCTCGACAAGTGAACTCCCAGGCGTGTGTGTGGTCCTTCATTGCTCAGGGCACGAAGCCTCCTCCGAACATGCAGTGCAGATACGGATTTCGAAAAACCGCATGAATGGAGGACGGGATTCGCGTCCATGCTGCACGCATCACCGCCTAGATTCTACTGGATGCAAAAGAGACCGACGCTGCGAACGCTTTCCAAACCGTCCGCATTCCGCTAGCTCAGTGGTCGATTCGAGTTCCTCAGCAGCCGCTCGTGGCGATGAGGTTCACCATCGAGTAGGAATGCGTACGATGGGCGATCCTGAATCCGGCCCTCTTGAGGTTTGCTCTGTGCTCGGATTCGGTCCTGATCGTATGGGCGCTTGTCCACGATCGCCAACCAGAGCATACTCCCTGCAAAGTATACCCACCACTGCGAACATGTCCAGTCATAGGCTTCTACCAGCAAAAAATGCACAGAATAAAAGCGCGAATCGCTGGAGCTCCGGCTCGCCAGCGTCACCCGGGGCTGGCCTTTATTATCGCACGCTCAAGATCAGAAGAAGGCACTGGCCTTCCGGACGATTTGGTGCCCACACTGGCCATTTCCACACACCAAAACGATGTTCATGGGCTACGTAAGCATCAGAGCGCGTCTAGCATGACGGCGCTGTCGCTGTCGGCGCTTCTCGTCGAGTATCGCATCAGCGCTGGGTCGCACTGTGCAGTCGTGCCGGGAACCTGTACCCGTTGCAGATCCTCAGCGATAAAAATGGAGAACTGTCCATCTTTCGCTCCTTGTCTGGCTTCTGCTAGGAGCTGTCGGCTACTTCGACCATCCTGATCGTCGTACCGCGCGCTTATATGGGTCAAGGCGAGCGCTCCCGTCAGATTGGCGCGCTTTGCAAAGGCACCAGCCATTCGTGCTGTGCTATGCTGGACGGATCGAGCACGATGTGCCAGTTCATCACCGAGCGTCGCTTCATGGACAAGTAGCTGGCATTGATGCGCAGCTGGAAGAATCAGCGTTGAATCGTATGTATCGCCGAGGATAACGAGCTTGCGCGGACCCGCTGCTGGCTGCAAGACCTCAGACGGTTCAATCCATTTGGACGCGTCGTGCGGATGAGGCACACTTCGTCCAAGCTTAAGCTCTTTCAAGATGGGGTGCGTCTCCAGTTGGTATTTCTGGCGCAGCGCGACAAGATCGATGCGAGGCAAACGCTGTTTTTCGACGATCACGTAGCCGAAACAGGGCACAGAATGTCGCAGCGGGGCCACATACACAGAACCACGTTCATCATCGACGAGCTTCAGTGCGATCGAGCCATGGATTCGCGGATCCTCGGGCATACTCTGGACATCAGCGAGCGACGGGAAATGAAAGTCAGTGCCGGCTTGCTCGCAGGGCAACATAGGTAAACTGCAATCCATGGTAGGGGCCAGGGTCTCAGCCCAGGTTCGCAGTGCCGCGCGCGAAAGTCGGTTGTCCTCTACATTCATGAACTGCCTGCTCCATTCGTACCAATCACGCAGCACGTCAGGCGCTGGGGGGACGATTTCGTGGAGTCGCAGTCGCAGCCGGGGATGCGCTCGGCCGACACCAAGCGCAGACCGGACCAGGAGTCGCAGCCCCGGCGGCCCGTACACATCGACGAGCGGCAGACGGCCCCGACGGTCTCCGGGGGCATCGCCGCTATCTCCTGCAGTCTCACTTTGATCGTCTGGAATAGAGTTGGCTCCGAGGCCGCACAGGAGTCCTGCCAATCCGAAACAGTGATCTCCGTGCAGATGGGTCAGGAAAATGCGCTCGATGCGCCCCATGTGTAGATGACTCCGCATCAGCTGGTGCTGGGTCGCCTCGCCGACGTCAAATAGCCACAGCGCAGCTGACTTGCGCTGTTCCGCAAGGCCTATTCGCACCGCCACAGAGAGGACATTGCGGCGGGGCGACGGTGCAGCTGCACCAGTGCCCAGGAACGTCACCTCGAGTCCCTGGAAGTTCCCCATCAACTCGGACGGGACCGGCGTACTGCTCTCGGGGGCAACTCCCGGATGATAGGTAGCACCGATGCTGCTGCCAAAGCAACGCTCGTGTACATGTGTCTGTTTGCACAGTACCTGCGCCGTGCGAGCACCGAGTCGAAACTGGAGCAATGCGGAGCGTCCGCCAGGCGTACGGCGATGCCTGCGTCCGCATACCGAGAGCAGCACGTGGCTCATTTGCTGCATTCAAGACGGCAGAGCGCTCTTGTTAAGCGTCTCTACACTGCGACAATGCAGGTGTCGTTTGAAGCCCTAGACGCAGAATCGCACAGCCTTGTACCAAAGCACCGCGTCGAGTTCTCGCTCCTGGGGAGCTATGAGCACCCCAAGCGCGCTAGGCTCTCACGACCCAAAGCGCCCTTGAACGGTATTCTGACCGAAACGCGGTGCCGCTTGCCCGATGCAAACGAGCCCAAGCTTCGTCCCGCTCTCGATCGATACCGTCACCGCAACGCTGTACCGCTCGCCCGATTCAAACGAGCCCAAGCTTCGTCCCGCTCTCGATCGATACCGTCACCGCAACGCTGTGCCGCTTGGCAGGCGCGAACGAGCCCAAGAATCACACTGAGGCACCAGAGGCGCTCAGCTCTGTGGTGTTTGCTGCCTGAGCAACGACCACTGCGAAGTGCGTCCCGCGCGGCTACGTCCTCCGCACCACACCGAAAACCGCTTTTTCCAGGCACCAAAGGCCACACAGAACCTTTCTATCTCCTGCTCCAGTACCCTATTCGTTGGTGCTACGGCCAAAGGTAAACGTTTCCGCTACCCTCAAAGGCGGTACGACGGCAGACCTTGTTGCGCTGCGCAGTTTCGCGCCTGTCCCAGACGCATCCCTGGCGTTGCGCTATCGCAGCGACAATTTTCGCTTCAAAGCGTCTGGTTTCTGCTCGCCGCTGCTTTCCTCGGCGGCGTTTGATGCAGACAAGGAGTGCTAGGGTGCGAAAGTCGAGGTCACCGCGAGAAATGATCGAAAAGGATGACGATTTTCTTGATAGACAAGCGCAACCGCGGACACGGACGCTACCGTTCGCAGCATTGCTGACGCGCTTCAGGAGGCGGCGGCTGGGACACGCGTCCGCTTTGCGAAGGCTCACGCTGAACCTGCTCGTCCTTTTGGGGCTATGGACGGCTCTGCGGCAGATGGTGTGCCTGGTAACACCTGTTATGAACTGGCTGGGTCAGCGCTCGGCTTGTTTGTCTGCCCGCGAGCGGCACTGGCTCGGGCTCGACGGCGAGTCGCTAGACCCGCTCAGCCCGTACGTTGTGGCGCCCAGCGCGCGCTCTCTCTATCACGCTTCCTGTAGCGACGATGTCATTGTAGTCGTGCGCACCTCTAAGAAAACCTATCCGAAACGAGCCCCGACGATTATCCGCACGTGGTTGCGCGACTTTCCTCGCGAGCGGGTATTCTTCGTCTCTCCCGACGCTCTACCAGACTATGGCGCGCAAGTCCTGGTACTCGATGTCCTGAGAACCGATATTTACTATGGGCACACGTATAGTCCGGATGCCGTCGGGACGCCGGTTTTTCTAAGACTGATGAAAAAGTTTGGAGCGAACTACGTATTGATCGTCGACGATGATACATATGTTTTTGGGGAGAACTTTTGCAAGACGCTGCATGAGTTGGAGTCGAGTCGGCGTTCTGAATTTTTGTATTCCGGGTTTAGTTTCTGTATGGATGCACCATATGGTGCCTATATGAACAAACGCTGCATCACACCGCCCGAGGCGAAGCGACCTCTGCCAACGCATCGACCGTGCACCGTGGGTTTCGCCTACGGCGGTGGCGGCGTTGTCATGAATGAAGCGCTCGTTCGCGCACTTGCTTCAGTGGCGGACGAGTGCTGGAATGAGACCTACTGCATCCGCGGTGGATCGTTGCGGACCTGGTGGTGTATGTATTATCATCCGGAAATTTTCAAGGGCAAGGAGCAGCACATGGATATGCATTGGTCCTTCATGCCGAATCGACCGTCATACTATTTACAAACCATGGGCGCGCGAGGCCTGGTCCAGGGTGTGCCTTTCAACTCGAGCTTCAGGCCAGCGAGTTTCCATCATGTCGAAGGCGCCGAGGCGTACTGGTTGTACTCATTGCGACTGGCTCCGGATCCGCGTCAGCTGAATGTGCCGTCAGATTGGCGCGGCCAGGTCACGATGGCGCACATATTTGGACATCCGCCTCCATGGGCTGGTGACTGTGAAGGTAGCTTCTTTCGAAAAGCCCAAAAAGAGGCCGAGGAGCGAATGGAACGCTTTCGAGGTAAGCTCAAACAAGTTCATCAGGAGGCGCGTCCACACCCCTGAGGTGAATCTGTGGGGTTCGCTGCGATTTACCCGCATGCGAGCGAACAACGTTGACTGGACTCATTCCTGATGCGGATTGCTTCTCTATAAGCCTGTTAAGGCGCGCACTCTCGCATTCAAGGATACGTTGCATGTTCTAAAATATGCCAAGGGAAAACAACTTGTGCCGAACGACCGAGTACGGAGGGGACAGCGCCGAATGTGCGCCGAAGCCCTCGCCTCAGCAAGTGTCTCGCTCCATCAGTTGATACGGTGAACGCACCGATAGCGTCGTCTGCACAGAATGCCACAGTTCCACAGAGGGTGAGCGCGCGCGCGTGCATCACAAGCACGCTACTGGCCAGTGTGCGGATGATTGCGTTGCGCCCTACCGGCCCGCTGCACTCGACACTGCACCATGATTCGAAGACGCATCCTTCTCCCTTGCAACGCTTGAGGTCGGAGCGCCCTCACGCTCCATGAATCGAACGAGGGACTCTTGCACCCGATTTCGGGCGACTTGATGTCGTATCAGCTTCGCCCAAGCTAAGACAAGCCACGGACCAGCACAAGAGAGTGCTGTCCAAGTGCGGCGCAGATGCGTGTATACCTCGCGAAGCGTTGGCGCCAACGCATCCGTGACACGACATGCATCGACGCCTTCGATGCAATCGATGGGATCGCGCCTCACCTCGGGCTGGGAAACGTTGCGCATGAGCGCGATCAGCAGCAGGAAGCGTGTCTCCAGCGTCATCGAGTTGCTGAGTGCGTGCACGCTCCGCCAACAACCGGTCTCAAGTGCTTTTCGGTGCATTTGGCATCGTGCTAGTGCTCGCTCTAACCGCACTGGGACACTACCGGCAGAAAGCACAAGCAAACGTTCCAAAAGCGCCTCTAGTTGTTGCCGAAGAACAGGTGCGAGCTCGGTAAGCACGAGCACGTTGCGGCTTGGTACGGCGATGAATGGCGCTAGAGCAGTCATCAGGGATTTGCAGTGATCGTGCGAAATCATGAGCGTATTTTGCTTACAGAGGACTAGCCGGACCTGGCGGAGGCACTCGGCAGCAAGGCGCTGCTCTCGCTTGCCGTTGTCCGCTGCGTGAGCGCCTAAGATACACCGGTAGGCGAACTTGATGGTCGCTAGAAGGCATTCGTAGTCAGCAAAGCGCTCAAAAATGGACCAGTCCGAAGAGGCAGGTACCCAGGAGCCATTCGTGAGCGATTCCATGGCACTCCCGCACCGTTGCCGCCAATGCGTACGCCATGCCGTTTCTGTCAGTGTCGGGTGACACGACATGTGCAGCAGGTGCGAGGCCGCCCCGGCTTCCACAGCAGCTGAAACCAATTCTGGCAATATCATTGCAGGGCAACAGAGCACATCTGCCAGGATGACGGAGAGCCGTGCGAACGCACGATCGGCCTGCGAGTCGCGAGGTTTGCTCCTCCAGTGCGGTTCCAGATGGTGTTTCCATATGTTGTGTGCCCAGTGCGAAAAACGCGATGGACCTGGATTCGCAGCATCATACGCTGACGGTGCGTGCTGTCTCAGACGCTGGGAACCGTCCACACACCGGCAAAGTAGATCATAGAGCCGCCCATCGCATGTGCGATCCTCAAGCACAAAGCTCACGAGAATCCGAAACGCTTCCGAGTAAAAGTTTTGCAATAACTGAGCGGTGGAAGCAGCTTGCACTGTAGAGGAGTTCATGGACTCTTGATCTACGAAGAGTAGAACAAGCGGGGCGACCGGCGACAGCTGCTCAAGTCGCAAGGCGCACGTCCGAAACGGCTTCGTCTCGATGACGTCTCTATCAGGATCCTCGTCCATGCTCGCGTCACCCTTCGCTACCAAATAGCCCGAAGACTCGTGTCTCTGTTCCATGTATGCGAACTCGTCCAGGAGCACCGGCAACTCCGGTGTTGTTTCGATACGGCAACCTGTGTACCGCTCGCCGAAACGGTGCGCAAGTGATATCAAAAGTTCCAGCGCGTCCAGCGACGACTCCAGACTCTCCGCTTGTTGCAGATGTGACCGATGTTGCATAGCAACGCAAGTCCTCGTCGTTGCTTCTTCGTCTTGGACAAAATCTGGGCTGCCGCCATTCAAATGGATCCATGCTTGAACCAAGGCCACGAACGTGGTCTGTTCACATAAAAGTTCGACCAGTGTCGGTCGCAAGCGTGATGGAGCCGTGTTCAGGATTCGGCACAGGAGCTGAAAACTTTCCAAACGACAGCACAGGTCAGGAAGGGCAGCAGCGCTTGCAAGGCGCAGTACGACATTTGGCAACACAGGTGAGAGGTCAAGGTCGCTACCACTACATTGTAGCATGTTTAGCACGAGCTCTCCGGCCTGCTTGCGTAGGTGCGTTCTTGTGGGCTCGGTTGCTAGAATAGTGAGCCTTTCGAAAAGTCTCAGCCAGCTGTACGGAACCGAACCGATCCGCGTGCCGCGTCTCGCGAGCGAACGGAACAACACACTCAGCTTGTCAACGGCTTCTGCTCGCAGGGTCACATAGTGACTGCTCAGTTGTTCTTCGTAGCGTTGGAGTGCTGCGAGTACGGAACCAGTGTCTTCAACTGACTTTTGGACCGGTCGACGAAGGCGCTTGCTGACCGGGTTCACTTCCGTCCACGTTGCGGGTCGTCGGGGCGGTCCTAAACCGTGTTCGTGTCTCGCAGTAGTCATGTTGAAAGCAGCTAGCTCTGAATCAGGCACTAGAGCTCTTTATAACAACAGAAAAGACATATATGCGCGAGCATAATACCAGTTTCAGAGGGCAGAGCGCTGGATATGCTGCTGTGTTGAACGTCGCAGCGGCGGCACCGCGTCGTCGAGCATCCAGTAGCAATGATCCTGTAGAAGATTCAGGGATTCGGGCGTAGAAGCACGAAGGCCGAGGTTTCCTCAGAATCATGGCAGTCCCTTTCGGGCAATTTGAAGGCGTATTTATCTTCTGTAAGTGTTTCTCATAAGCTGCAGCATTTACGCGAGGCTGTGCTGGAAACCTTAGTAAGAAAACGTTGTTCCGCATAGCGTCGGAAAGGCGGCTTCGTCACTGTCGCTTCCGCTTCGAGTACTTGCACTGGTAAATGGTTAAGGAGCTCCACTGCACGTGATGTAAGAATTCGATAGCATCCAGAAGGACACCCCAAAGGTGAGCAGTCAATGCACGTCACAGGGGCGGTCGCTTCGTACCTGCTTCACTATGAGCCGTATAGGAAGCGCTGCATCCCCGTGTGTATCCAACGGCGCTCGTTCGCGTTTCAGCTCGTGAGACAGTGTTCAAAGTGAGATCATAGTGCCAGCTGCATCGGTTGCTGGTTCGCCCCGGACAGTATTTTCCCGGCCAAGGTTTCCTGGTTGTTGTTTGCTAATGGTGACGCTTTTCGTAGCCAATCCCTCCCCGTGCCCTGTATGAACAAGGTACACGATACTGGCTGCCTGGTTCGCTGGAGAAAACCTGCTCAGGCTTGTGCAAGACAAGGGGCAAGAATAGAAATAAATGAACATCTTGCGATCAAAGAAGCTTTTCTAGGTGTGCATGGTTCCTCTCCGATACCGATCGTCAGAAAACCCGAAAAAGAAGAATACCATAATCGTTTACCAGACGCCCAAGGTATATATATATATACGCGACGCTCCGGCCTTTCGGAATTGCGGAACGCTACCACGCCAGGGCTATTCAGAGGACGGGAATCCTATTCCATTTTTCCTGACCACTGTTCTCCTTCCTTCGGAACGCTTCCGCATTTCGGCGCAATGTCCTCATTGAATTCTACTACGATGGCCCCGAAAGTTTGCTCGACACAATGCCGCTGGACGTTCTGCAGGTAAGTGAAATTTCTGAATGCTCACCGAGGCGCTCAAGTCTCGGTGCGGAACGTGCTTGCGCACACTGTCGCTGGTGTGATTTCACCACAGCAGGCGTCGCGTCTTCGACTGCATCGCCATCTGGCGTTGGGTCAACGTAGCGTCAACCATCCTCTTGCATACGACTCTGTTTCATGCTCTACATCTGTATTTGTTTCAGCGTGCTCCCGTGCTCCCGATACGTTTTTGTGGTCCCGGAAGCATCGACGGGGATCGCACGGCATCGATGCTTGCCCACGATGGACGCTCTTGTCGATAGAGCAGGCGTGCAGCCATTGCGCGCTGCAGCATCTCCACCGTCATAGTTTACCACCGAATGACGCGTCTTGACTGTTATTTGCTTTCTCAACACGTTGAAGAACACAGCGACTGCATGCTTCTTGCGTTTGCACAACCGATACCGTTTGCGACCCCAGCGCTATCTAACGTTCTGCTGCCGAGGCTTGTCCGTGTACGAAACTTGGGCGCCCATGAACTCTCTCAAGCGCAGAATCCCTTCAATCAGTTGCCGTTTTTCTGCACCAGTGAGGTGAAGGTGCAACGCCTATGGGATGCGCCACGTGAAGCGCTCGAGAATGACCCAAATACGTTTTTGATTGTTGAAGTTAGTCTGATTACTTTTGGCACCTGCGGTGCAGATGTTCCGTTCGCAGTCGTTCCGCGGCGCCGCGTTATGGTATTCTAGAAAGCGTGTGTACAAATCTAGGATCCTAAAATCGGACCGCGGTTTGTCTTGTATCCCAAGCATTCGTTGTGTTGGCCCACGAAGATATGATCAAAGCATTCCTGTGCATCGATGGCGACTAACAGCTCTCTGTCCGGAACTCATTCGAATTGTTTTTTGGCGAGGCGCATCAAGGCCAGGGAAGCTAGTCGGACTTCCTCGGAGTAATACGCTACGCGATCCGGTATGGTGTCCAGCATCTCTGTCCCTTTGGTGGAGCCTCCCCGTTGATGAATCCCTGTTCGGAGGCCCTGACACGGGTTGCAGACGGGTCGCTACAGTCAGACAGGTTCTTCTTCCTATCCCGCGTCGTCTTAGTTTTTCAAGGATCTTTATGTTCTTTCTCCGGTGGTTTCTTCGCGCTCTTCCCAACATGGTAGAGTCTCATTGGATATGGTCGCTATCCTCCATACCCGTTTTCCTACGGATGCAGATGCGCTGGTTAGATTATTGCACTGAAACTCGTTTTGGGTATGCAAGCATCTACAAGTGCTCCAGTGCCTTTTCGTCACTCTCTCTGTCGCGAACACGCGCGTGGACAGAAACGCCTTTGCGCTCTGTTACGTGCACAAGCAGAAAAGTTAGAGACAAGTTCAGGGCTGGTGAAGGCAGAGAACGGCAAGTCGAAGAACGGCACCACGGACACGATCGATTTGTCCATTCGCCCGTGTGCTTGAGACGAGGTTTCTAAAGCAGAGAAGACGCCTGCGTATCTGTTAGACCCTAAAGAATAGGTTTGGACAAAGATCACCGCATTACCAATTTCAGATGCGTATTCCCTGATGAATTTTAAGTGCCAGAGAATGACAATTCCCATGCGCAGGACAAAAGCACGGAGCTAGGAGGAGCGAAGCATAAGATGTTTAACGATCTCGCCCGTTTGGCGATTTACACAGCGAACACATCATTGAATCGCCGCTCATGCTGATATTGCCGTCCTTCGCGTTTGTCTCCTCTTTATGAACAGCGGCATATGGGTACTCTTTGAGCATGCATGTACAGGGGGTCTACGATTCCTCCCGAATGGCGTTTCACCCAGTGAGAGGAACACTCGTGTCTCCCCGTGGCGAGCATTCGCGTTTCAGTACCACGTCGATCGCGTGTTACTCAACACGCGCGACGGTTTCCCATGGATTGCTTCTTTTCCCTTGTTCATACGAGTCACTTCGTTGCGGTTCGCAGCAGCGGTACGGAAATTTCACATCGAGTGACGTATTGTGTAGTATTGCTTACAGAGCGAATCGAGTGAATGAATCGACAAAGAGGCAGTCGTTTAGACAAATTTTTTACGAGTTTCGTTTCGGAAGCAATACATTACGAATTCAGTCTGTGAGAACGGTTGTTTCCCTATCTGCTAACCGTTGAATGGCTGACTCGTACGAGTACAGCTCTTTCCCGTGAGCTAGCAACGAAATCATTTAGACTTGACACTATGCATCACGAATCTGCGTATTGCAATCCTTTTGTTGAATACTCGCGAAAAAAACAAACAACAATGAAAACGGCGCGTTCGAACAGGTGTTCCATCATTCACAGTTTTGAGTACGCTACTGCAGCAAAGGCGCATGTTCGAACGTCTAGTCCCGAGGTGCACGTTCGGTGCTGTTCGCACGAATTCCAGCGCAACCGAAGAGCCACACGAAAGAAGCAACGCATGCTCCATGAGCCGCCTTGGTATGCAGGCTCTCGCCAACTGATGCACCGTCAGACTATGGCCGGCATTGACGCTGCCATGAGTCGTAGCTGTTCAAGGCGCTTGGCGGGAACGAGGCTGCGATGCGTGCGCATCAAGTCCGTGCATTCACGCGCAACGTCGCATGTATTCGTTGACCTGCGTGCTGCTGCGAACTTTCCCAGATGGAGCAAGAAAACGCGGAAGAGCGCTTGATTAACGAAGAATACAAAATATGGAAAAAGAACACTCCGTTTCTCTATGATCTGGTGCTGACAAAGGCACTAGAATGGCCTTCTTTGACAGTGGAATGGCTTCCAGAGCGTCGGCTCGCTGAAGGGCACTCCAGCGTCCTCGCGAACCTGTTGCTTGGCACCCACACCTCCGATGCTGAGCAGAACTATCTCATGGTAGCAGAAGTCAGGCTTCCGTACTATGAGGGTGCGTCCGAGAACGCGCCGGCTCCGGGTGCTCCTGGAGCAGGAGCCGGAAAGGAGGCAGAGGCTAGCGGCTGCGAAGACACCCTGCTCAGCCGAATCGAAATTCGACAGAAGATCAACCACGATGGAGAAGTCAATCGCGCTCGCTACTGGCCGAAGAATCCCTTCATAGTGGCGACCAAGTCACCATCGAGCGCCGTGTACTTGTATGACCTTTCAAAGCATCCGAGTAAGCCGCCTACCGACAGCCGCATTGAAGCGCAGGCGATTCTAACTGGTCATCAGCGGGAGGGTTTCGGCCTTGCTTGGTCGCCCGACGATCGAGGGAACCTCTTGTCATGCGCCGATGATATGCTCATTTGCCAGTATGACGTTCGGGCCGTCCTGGCTGGTGAGGTCGCCTCCGGCAATGGCACCGCTCCGACGCGATCGTCATCCGAACGTGTGTCAAACTGGGGTGGTCCGCCTCAGTACGGCCCGCTGAGAGTCTACACTGGCCACAAGGCCGTTGTGGAAGATGTAGCCTGGTGCATGCACAACGCCCATATGTTCGTGTCTGCCGGTGACGACCGCCAGATCATGCTCTGGGATACGCGAGAGACGAGTTCGAGTCGAGCAGCTGCGACCTTTGAGGCCCACAAGGCTGAAGTCAATTGTGTCGCTTTCAGTCCTTTCAACGCAAATTTGCTCGCTTCGGGATCCAGCGACTCTACGGTAGCTTTATGGGACATTCGATATCTGAAAATGAAAATACACTCATTTGAAGCGCATTCAGATGCTGTTCAACAGCTTGTGTGGTCACCGACTGAGGAAACGATTCTAGCCTCTGCAGCTGCGGACCGTAGGCTCATGATATGGGATCTTAGTCGAATCGGACAGGAGCAGTCCCCTGAAGACGCCGAAGATGGACCACCCGAGCTTTTATTTGTCCATGGTGGACATACTGCAAAGATAAGCGATTTCGGTTGGAGCCAGAATGATCCGTGGCTCATCGCATCTGTTGCAGAAGATAACATATTGCAAGTTTGGCAAGTTGGTGAACATATCTACGCAGACGAGGACGAGGAGGACGAAGACGGCGCTGAAATCGAGTCTGAAAGCGATCCGGTGGGTGCACGTGACACTCCTGCTCATGGAGCCGAACGCTCGGATCTTGCTCCTGACGATGACGTGGACGCTGCGTTGTTGGAATGAGCCAAGCGCTGCTTGCGAGCCCACAGAGCATGACGCAGGCGAGCATGCAAAGCGTAATGTTGACGGCGCGCTTGCGGATCACGCACTAGGTCCGTATTAGATTCAAGTGGAGCATTGCACTGCTCGCTCTGGTCCTGCCTTGCGACTTTTCTCGAACATTTCTGTATACGCACCGCCTCGATATTCGTATTCTAAACATAGGGGCGTAGGGATTCATACATCGTTTTAGGATTCTCGGTCGTCTATTCGGGGTTACGCTTTCGACGTTCGGTCGCTGAAATGCGGTGCATTACCAGAATCAGGATAGTTCGCGAAGCGCTCCAGCAAGGTTTCCCAGAATCACCTCCATCATCAGCTATTGCATACGCGCAAGCTTCCACGCATCTCCTTTGCAAGCGTATCGCGTGCTCCAATCCTGCATTCTCCAACGTTTCGATCTTTCTGCTTCAAGGTAATTCGTGGATGCAGCAGTTCACGTCAATAGATCGGCGAGGAAAACCACTGGACGTCGTCCCATGACGACTTGCTCACTAGCTCATGCCAAACGTTCACTGGACTGCTCACGTCCATTCCTCGGCCCGTTCCAAAGACAAGTCCTGTTCTCATTGTGGAGAACGACGAGACGAGATTCGGCAATAGCAGCACACGGCTCATAGCGTACGCTCCCAGAAGCTCTCGTCTCTGCTGTTCACATCGCGAAGCGTCCTGGACTCGCACTTGAGTCGAGACAGGGACCGCCTCTCACAGAGCAAGCGTCAACAATCTGCGTGAACGGAGCATAGGCGAAACGGAGTTTATCAACTTGGTCTCCAATCCGGAGTGTCTCTCCGACACCTGCTTCATCACGGACGTCGTGGCGTTCCACGTGTCCTGCATCGAACGGAGCAACGTGCGCTTCCAAGCGCAGCGTACAGGGTACTCGCGCATGGAATCGTTCAGAAGAACCCCGTCATCGCGTGGCACCGCACAGGGCGCAGGAACCGTGCAGACCGTTGGGCCAATGCTTCTATACCCGTCAAGGGCGTGTACCGTGCTAAGAGGGCAGCGTGCACGCGCCACAGGGTCTGTCTCGAAGGCGCGTTGATTATCGACACCGAGAAATATCTGACTCTAGTGGCTGCATCACCGCTGCGAAGGACGCACCGAGGCCATATTCGCAAGCGTGACAATGGCACCCGCTGCGTAGATTGCAACTACGACCGCCTGCGCATGCCTTGCACGAACAATAGCCGAAAGCAGCGAAATCCTGACTTTCATGCTGCCGCCGACACCCTTTGACTACGCACAACGCAGTGTGAGGAAAAGGAAAGATCGGCGTGTGTAAAACCGGAGCTCGAAAGAGAGCAAAGAGAAGCGGGTGCTGGGGAAAGCGCGCAAAGACTGTTCTTGATGGCAGAGGCACGAGTTCCAGATTTCCACGTGAACTCCGAGTCAGCGATGAAGGACTCCTTTCCATTGTACGCTGATAGGCGTTGAAAGACGTGTCTGGGTTACGTTCTCGTGGCGTTGGTTTCGGGGAATGCACAACAAATTATTCGCTGTCATTGGTTATCGATTTCGTTCAATTTACAGATCTCGTCCGATTTTCACGTAATTCGGAAACAAAACCCTTGGCTTGCATGGGAAACACTTGCGCGTTTACGTCCGAGGTGCCTCATCGGAAGCAGAGTCCTGCAACCAGCTCGAGCTGGTTGAAAAACATATCATTTTCGTTCCTCGCATGTTCGTTGCGCTCTTACCATGCATAAACCGAGGCGCAAATCTGGAGGCTCTACTAGAATCACAACCTCCACTGACAAACGTTTGAGGGCGAATGCATCACGCGATGCAGCACTTGGCGAGGCGTTGCACTAGTCCAAGCAAGTTTGGTCCAACACGGAAAAACAAAGTCCGAGCCTATTCCCATGTTCACATTCCGTGTCGCAGCTTACAAATGGCATCCATTCCATTACTTGCCTGTTGATCTGTTCCGGTCGCAAGTCCACTGGCGATGCGAACGCGAGCCATGCGAATACTGCCCCCGGTGTGCGTCTCGCAGCAGATGGTGCTCGCGTACGAAAACGCGACCCGACAGCGATGTGTTTGGGACACGCTCCATCACGAGGAATCTTCTTTTCCGGGAGAGCGATGCTTGGATATGCAGTTCCCGAATTGCTCTTGAATCTGTAATACTAGTGCATATGCCTGTTTGCGTTGAATGTTTGGGATGGAACGTGCTACGCAGCGAGCCACTGCCGATGCCGGAAGACCCTCTTGCAATAATGCCGTTATGAAGGTAACCACGTGAACCCGCTCCATACGAGCGTCGATGGAATGCGGAGCCGCTGCGGACGCTTCGACAACGGGCACCACATCCTGGTCTTCTGTGCAAAAGTGCAGAGCATGGGGCGGGTCCTCCGGCCTTGAAGGCGGTCCGAGCACCAGACAGTATTCGCCTCGCGGCTCTCGCTGTTCCAGGTACGCGGCAGCTTCACGAAGTAAGCCCCGATAAACCTCCTCGTGCACTTTGGTCAACTCTCTTGCGATGCAGATCTGCAGTGATGCGTCCGGAGGTTGCACCGTTGTTGCTTCCGCTGCTGTTACATGGACGCTTCGGGCTGCCAACGCAAGATCATGAACGGTTTCGCGTAACCGATGCGGTGCTTCATAGAGAATGACCGGGCGATACCACGCTTCGCGAATGATGGTCTCCATCAGCTGCGTTCGCTTTTGACGCCAGCGGCTATGACCAGAGGAGCGATGCGGTAAAAACCCGTAGAAAGAAAAACTGTTGCCGAGCAGCGCCGCCCAGTCTTCAGCGCTCACTGGACCGCTGTTCGGCGTGCTGAGAAAGCCACTGATCGTCAGTGCCGCCAGAGCTGCGCAAGGACCCGGAACACTCACTACCGGTATATTGCGCTGGATTGCCTCGCGAACCAGCTGGGTCCCAGGGTCAGCAACCAGGGGCGTGCCTGCATCGCACACCAAAGCAACGGCAGCGCGACGCTCTTGCAGTTCGCTGAGCAGAAACGGAACTTGCTCTCGCCAGTTATGCTCATGGTGCGCCACCTGCTTCCGCATCGAGATACCATAGTGGCTCAGGAGCTTGCCGGTATGCCGGGTGTCCTCCGCCGCTATCCAGTCCGCCTGACGAAGTATCGCGAGCGCCCGAAAGCTCAGGTCGCCGAGGTTGCCAATTGGCGTTGCAACAACGTAGAGACGACCTCGCTCAACTGCCGGCAGCTGCAGAAACTTGTCTACCTGGTTGGAGCCGGGCACCGACTCCGCAGAGCCAGAAGTCCCGTTCACTTCCAGATCAGCAGCGCACGTTGTTAAACAGCGTTTGACACGCCATGTTCCCGGTTCCACAGCAGGACCTCGTGCTGTTGCTCGGTTAAGAGACGGCAGCGTTCGCAGGAAAAGCGCCAATGATCCAGAAACGCCTCGAATGAAGAGGCAACCAGCGCGCCAGGAAGCTTGCCGTGAACGTCTCTCCCCGAAATAGTCCGCGCTTCCGGGAAGAACACAGCCACGTGCCGGTCGAGGCGGTGACAGTACCCGCATACACGCTGCGGGGCTCGCAACCGTAGACTGCAGGAACCGGATACAAGATTGCGATACTGTGATGTTGTCGAAACGATAGATTGGAGTGTAGAGTCGCCCGTTATTCGCCACGTCCCGTACAAGTAGAGGAGCGTAAATGTTTTACGACAATGTAGGGTAAAATCCGTATCCACACGCAGACGCCTCTCAGCCGTTTGGACTGGCGGCTTACTGGGGGCTTCAGCTTCTATTCCTGGAACTCGTGCACTCAGTTCCGTATGGTGCTGTGGCAGCTCTCCATACCTTTCAATTGTCGGTGGGCTCCGCTTCCTCCTCTCCATCAAGGCCTTCTGAACTATACACCACAGCTCAGCTCTTGGATGTTCAGTTCTTTAAAATGAACGCACTTGTTTATGGCCCTACTAGAAGACCTTTCGGGAGGGAAAGGACCTGCGGAAGAAAGAGGAAACGCTCCTTTGTGTGCTACCGTGAGCAGAAAGCTTCAGCGACTGTCCCAGTGGAGCGATGATTATGTTTCACAACTGAAAACGCTGTTTTGATCGGGTTGAACTGCGGAGTCTACGGCGGACTGAAAATCAGATTTACCCGATAGAATCAGCAAAATCTCAAACGCAACGGGAATCCTGAAATGCCACATTATCGAATAGAAGGACGTCACCAGATGTCAGGCGAAAAGTCTTTCATGATTCGGCAAAGTGTTTGGAGCTGTTGTATGAACCTTCTCTACGCGCGAATCAGCGGCTGCCACTTGAATTCCCAGCAGCCAGAACAGATGATGATGTCGTTGCTCTCTTCGGGCTCGTTTGCACATGAAACGAGCTCCCTCTTCACGAATACCCATCAACGCTCCGATCGTCTCGTCCGAAGGACGTCCCATCGACTGAAAAACGAACCTAGGTTCCTGTGCCTCACACCGATCGCGACGTTTCGGGAAAGCTGTTGTTGCGACTTCTATGGAAGATGGTGGTGCGTGGAGCTGCACATTTTCTGGCGACTGGATCCCAGCGTTTTCAGGACAATGCGAACAAGCTGTTGAGATGCAGTCACGCCCGTGGTGGCTGTTATCGTTACTTTTGCTCTCCGTCAGGTGATCAACGAGTCGTCTTATAGCATTGACCGCTAGCAGTCTATGACAATACCAGGATTTTGACACGGAGCACATCTACTTGTTTCCTTCTTTCAGTATTCCTCAATCATCAGAGTCGTGTGGTATGACTTACCTGAAGGAGGCATGCAGCGCTCCTTGCACTGTTCGATAAAGCATCTATCCTACACGTAATTGCTCTACGATCTATTCGGTGCGTTGCACAGCGATTCTGATCGATTATGATGCACTGCAGCGTACGTGAAACATAATTGAGTTGAGCGTCCCTACTATAACTTTTGTCAATATTGTTCTCATTGCCATCTAGTGTAGGATTGCTGTCGGCAATCAGGTATGAGCGCTACAGCGAGATGCCGCGGTGCGACCTCGGACGAGTCGCGATGTCCGCGGCGACGACTTTGATCTAGATTGCCCTTCTAATCTTTGGATGGTATCTTGCCAACACCGCTCATGGTGAATGCCCCTTTCTGCTTCGTAACACTGCCATACAGCGTAGACAGGCGTCTACAGGGATCAACGTGGAAGCAACAGCAGGACAGGATCAGCAGCAAAACGAAGAGCGCAAGGAAACGGCAGCTAGCAGAGACGCCGCAAACGCTGAAAGCTCAGCAACGGACGGAGGATAAGCGCTCGGGTTCTATGCGTCCTTGGCCAGTTCTTCGCTTCATCAAAGACGCTACCTTCTTCTTTAACCCTTTTCGGGATCCAAACGCTCGGCCAAACCCGACGGAAAGACTTGTTCAGCAGCAGGCGATGCCGCGTGCGGACCCAGAACGAGCGCCGGGCGGACTTGTACTGGTCGCTGGGGCCACTGGCCTGCTCGGGAGACGCGTCGTAGCGCAACTGCTTGCTGCTGGGTACTCGGTGAGGGCTCTAGTTCGTTCAGAGAAACGGGCGGAGCAAGCACTTGGCAACTTGAAGTATCCAAAGTCGAAGCTCGGGGAACGCGCTGCACCAGGGACTCTGCAGCTGCTCTTTGGCGACCTGTATAACGTTCCACCCGAAGGTGTTCAGGATGTGACTGCCGTAATCTGCTGCACTGGTGTGAAGATCGGTCCTCAGGACGATACTCCTGATCGTGACAAATACGGCCAAGGAATCAAGTTTTACGAGCCAGTAGTGCTCGAGGACACCCCCGAGAACGTGGAATACCGGGGCGTGCAGAACCTCGTGAGCTGCGCACGGGACGTGCTCGTTAGCGGCCAAAAGATCGTACTGATGGACTTTGAGGATGCGGAGACAGCCGCGCGGCAATGGGGTCCGGTCGACGACGTCGTCATGGGCGGAGTGTCAGCGTCGAAACTGAGCTTCCCCGAACGAGGCATTGGTCGCTTTTCAGGCCTTGTCCGCACGGATAATTTCGGGGGCTTCGCTTCCGTGCGAACGCTGCCTTTCCAGATGCCACTCAACCTACAAGGCTATGACGGAATTGAACTCTTGGTCCGCGGCGACGGCAAGCGCTACAAGTTCATCATACGCTGCGATGATCGCTGGGACGGCATTGCCTACTCATGCTCATTTGATACCGAGGATCATCGCTCGACAAAAGCATGCCAACGAATTCGTCTGCCGTTTGAGCGCTTTGTGGCGGTATTTCGGGGATCCACCAGGCCGAATGAGCGTCCACTGGATCGGAGCAACATCCAGGCGTTCCAGATCATGCTGTCGAAGTTTGAATATGACGGGGCGTTGAACCCTGGCTTCAAGGCCGGGGATTTCTGCCTCGAGTTCCGCTACATCGGTGCATATCGGGATGTGCTCGGAGCAGAAGCAGACAGAGTGCGTGGTCATGGGGCACAGGTGGTGGCTGGCGGCACCGCAACTCAACGTCCTCGGTTCATCCATATCTCATCGGCCGGAGTGACTCGGGTGCTGCGTCCGGACGAGTTTCCGGATCTGAGCAAGGAACCTCCCGCTGTACGGATGAACGCACAACTCGGCCGTGTACTCGAATGGAAGCTCGCTGGTGAGGATCTCGTTCGCAGTAGTGGGATTCCGTATACCATCATTCGCCCGTGTGCGCTCACGCTGGAGGAGGCGAGCGGGCTTTCCGCTTTGCGCCTGGAGCAGGGTGATTGGCTTCGTGGCCAGGTCTCTCGTGACGACGTTGCAGCGCTGGCGGTGGCCTGCCTCGATGAACCCGCCATGGAGGGCAAGACGGTCGAGGTGGCAACGAGTGCGGCAACTGAGCGTCCGACGATGCATTCGCTTCGTGAACGAGCACTGCAGCTGGAACGTGATCAGGATGCAATCCAGCGCAAGTTTGCTCCGTTCCCTTACGTTCCGCAAGGCTCATAAGCGGGCATGGGTGGATCCGAGGGGGTTCTATCCGGCCCCAGTGCGGCTTGCAGCGGCTCTCTGGGGCGCAAGGCCAGATCAGCTGTTGCTGCGGTGCGCTTTCTGTTGACGCTGGACGGCGATGAAACCTGTGAACACGGGTGCACTGAGGCGCTTCACAGCAGCACACATAGCATGCGACGGCGACGACGACGAGACTCGTGGGAGCGGTTTACGCGCGAGAGGGCCCTTGAGATGCACCGGCTGCCAAGCACGACACAGATATACTTTTGATCGAGCGAATGCTTTGCGAGACCAGTGGCACGTTGCATCGGGGGATACCGAACGGATGGATTCCTCGAGTCGCCTGCGGTTCCAAGAAACATGCCCAGGACTTGGTGCATGTTGACTGGCCGGAAGCAAGTCACACTGGAGGTCAGCGCTCGATGGTGGTGCGTTTCGTTGAGCCATGTCACCATCTTGGGATTCAATGGAGATTCGGCGAAGAAACCATTCTGGTGGTATTTGCTGCATTCGGGCAGCATGGTATCCGACGTGCGTCTTGGCAGCCTGGTCGAGCAGCATCACCAGTGCAGTTGCGGGAGCGCGAGTGCATCAGAAGCGATGATGCACAAGTGCCGGTAACGCGTGAATGTTGTAGCGTTCCGTTTCGTGAATACGGCACGCTTGCGAGGGCGAACTCTCTGAATGCACATCTTGCATAGTGGGAAACATAAACGATTCAAATACGGGGCTAGTCTCGTCGAGGTTTTCTCACGAGTGTCTCGTTTCGGACAGGCGTCCAGCAACCGTCACCAGCCACCGCGTGTGCTGCATAGGCCACACGGACTAGAACAACGCTTTCGTATGTCGGTGTCGGAGTCTGTTCACAGGAAAATCGGCGGTACGCTTCGACAAAACCTAAATATTCCGCGGGATTCGTGGACCGTTCCCTCTGCATAAGAGCCGAGGCCTCCAGCGTCTCGAAACGCAGTGAACAGGTGCAGCGCTTCAGCTCGCAGAGAACCGTTTTGAGCAGAGCAGCAAGCATAAAAAACGATTTGCATGCGTTCATCAACGCTTCCTAGAGGAAATCGAGCTGTTCGCGTGTTGTCGCTTCTTGTGAGACAGTCCACAAAAGTCTGTGAGCACCAAGTTGCCGCTACTTGAGACGCCGATCACCGGGAACGACACTACGTTACCGCTTGTACGTGACGAGCTGCAGTTGACGTGCTTCGTCCGAGTCCATTGATTCACTAGTTTACGGAGCGGCGTTGTTCGAAGACGGTTGGCTTCGGGCGTCGTGGTTTATGCCTGCAGCTGATGATTGACCGACGTTACCAAGAAAATGGTGTCTCGGACGAAGACGTTATGCGGGAAAGACAGGCATTGGATTTCAAATCGAACCATGGTATATTCTTATCAAGCACATGATCCCAAACGAATCATTTCTGATGCAATCAGTAGGCATTTGCACGCTGTATTCTGGCACAGGGTCCAAAAGAATGCATTCTATCGCAAGTAGTTGCATTCCAGTGAGCAATCACGACACGGGGCTTTCGAATGAGGCCCGGGCTATTCCGACACATCGCGCTGGTGCTGGAATCAGCAGACCGACCGCTCTTTCTTCAGGAGACAGTTGCAACCGTATCTAGCCTGTGCTCTAGATCAGGATACCAGAAGAAACGCTCTGTGGGAGCGTCGCCGACCCAGGAACCTCAGACGAACCTCGCTGCTCTGTCCAGCATGCAGTACGCCGTTTTCCGGAGGCAGCCGTAATCGGTACGCTTCAGAGATGCTCAGAATTTAAACTCAAGATCAATGCATAAGCGATGCAAGCGAGCTCCGCGGGCGAGCGTCAGCAAGGCGGCTCGGGTGGACACAGCTTCCGGTCTTGGCGTGCAGCACTCAAGGTCCGAAAAGCGTTCGCCATAAGCCTGGGGCGGAGCGTGATACCCACCGTGCTGCGTCCTGAAAAACGTCTGGACCAGACGGCGCTTCGAAACCCTCAGCGTAAAATGCATTGCTGCCTTCAGCGGGTACATCGCCACCACCACCACTCGCGACAGCACCCGAGGATGCAGTCCTCCGGGGTTGTGGTTGTGAAGGTTGTGAAATCGTGCTCGTCGTTCCATACTTCGTCTGAAGATCGCGATACACCATGCGGCTTATTTGCCATAAAGGCAGAAAAACGGATCGCAAAAGAGTTTGGCGTCCACGGGCACTGGTGCTGGAACGCTGGGCTCTATTCATGAAGTAGACATCCTCCGCGGCAACGGTTGATTCACTCTGGACGGAGTTGGGATCCCAAGTAGCGGCTCTTCGGGACGTGGCTCGAGCCGTTCGAGCACCAGCGGAGAAGCGTACCTCATCTTTGGTGGAGGCATCGAAATCGAACCGGTTTTCAGGGAAGCCACCGCCACCGCCAACGCGAACAACGCCCTCAACACCAAGACGACGCCTTGCAGGTCGCCGCCGCTTGGAACGCTCGTAGCGGACACGCTCCATGATGTCGTCATCATCGTCATCATCATCATCATCATCATCAGGGCTCAGCACTTCTACTGGAACGATGGCTATCGAGGAGGAAGAATCGGCCACTGCAGCAGTAACTGACTCGGGCGCCGCCCGCCCGACGTGAACGATGTTGCTTTGCAGCACTCCAGTCCCGCCCTGTGCATCAAGTGTAAAGTCTCTTTCGGTTTGTTCCGTCGCATCATGACGTGAAAATATTGCCGGTGATCTTGCTGGCCTTAGATCCTCTCCCAGATCCGGCTCGTTTCCGTCCATACCGTCCAGAATCGTCCACGCGCCCAGACCAAAAGTATCATCCTCGCCGTGCGACGCCGTTCCAGCCGCTGTTCCCCCTTGAACGTACCCATCAACATCTTCTTCCAGAGTGCTATCCGCCTGCCACTCCCTTCGATGATTCTTAAAGAGCGAGCTATACGAATCACTCTCTGGAAACGGAAGCACTTGCTCTTCCGATCCAGACTGCAGCCTCCGAAGCGGTCGTCGAGCAGCATCCGAACGAGGTCTGCTCGAAGCTTGTGCGATATCAGTGGAGTCAGTGTCGGAGAACCAGCCGGCACCGGCATAGGCGTCACGAGCGGAAGCCTGTGCACCACGGCGTCTGCTGCGCTGCCGCAGACGATCCGCAGGCGGCAGCCCGCGAAGCACAAGGTCAGAACCTCCACTCCAACCGAGCACGAGCGCCAAATCTTCAAGGTTCAGACGACGAAGACGGTGGTGATGATGCCTTGAGCGTAGTGTCGCCTTGATTCGCTTTGATGCGTCATCGACGTCGTCCTCGTCGCTCGCGAGGTCATCAGGAGACGCGGTGCTCAGCCGTCGACTGCTGGACAGCAGCAGCACGAGCACACAAGCGATGCACGCGAGGATGCCCATCATAGAGAAGCGTCTATTCGGCGCCCAGCTTGACAGCGTGAATAAGCCGAAGACGCACAACACGATAAAGAGGGCTTGCAGGTGAATACCGTCGGGAATACCGCGAAAAGATGGACGTCCACGCTGTATGCTCATTCGACTCGTCAAAGGTTCTGTTCTGTACCGCGGAGACGCTTCTGTAGTGCGCGCGGCCTGATAGAAAGCGTTTCCCACTGGCTTTTGCCGCGAGTCGCCTGATGTACGCCGCCTATTCGAGTTTGGTATGGAACCAGGGTGCTCTTGGCAATGCGGCTGCGTCGGAAACGAAACAAGCTGCCGCTCGCGAACAACGTATCCCCTGTATGGACGTTTTGTTGCAACCTGCTTTCCATAAAAGCGGCGGTTTTGAACAGTTAACGAGCTGCAGCGGTACGCGGGTATGGAACCCACGAAAGCAGCCATAACCTGCTGCGGCCTGCCGCGACCCATACCTGGCGCAGCGTACTCGACAGGCTCGCTCAAGTCGCCACAACCAAGCCAGCCCTTGTTTACTCGTGTTGATCGCATCTTGTTGGACGCAGTCTGCGGCCCGAACGGTCGCAGAGTGCTTCGGTGCCTCCTTGCTGTCTGTGGGGCCGTTTTCGCCGACTCCGCCGAGCGTGCACCGCTCCGTTCAACGAAAGACTCGCGTAACGCCCAAGGAGCCCAGACAGTCACCAGCACGAGACGTACAGAAGTACGCTATCCAGCAGTTTCAAAAAGCACCCTTGTCCTCCACCGACCAGACTCGCAAAGGTTTGCGCCGCCGGCACTCCGAGTCCAGCAGAGTCGGTGACTCGGAATAAGCCCCACCTTGTCGTGCGTTCCCCTGGGGTTCACACCTCGGAAACACGATAGTAAACGATTTGAACAAAGGAAGGAACACGTTCAGTGCACCTCCAACGCTTATTGGACAAGAAAAGACGCGTCCACTCACTTAGAAGCGGTCGCTGCGAAAGGCGAGACAAGCTCGTCGGACGGAGCGCCTTGCCATGACTGCGTGGTGCCGCATCCAAGAAACAGCGTTTCCCCTCGAACGTGTGCAAAGACGAAGGAGACCCTGAAGCGACCACAGCGCGCCCCAATGGACTTGAGACGAGGTCTCTGTGCAGCGAAGCAGGGTTTAGGGGCACGAGTAATCGAAACGGGTGCAGAAGATGTGCTGGTTTTCGCCTATGGAACGACACCACGGGAGCCAGCAGCCGACTCGGTGGCAGCGAGAGCGGCCCCTGGAACCCTCAGTGGACGCTGGGGCACTCTGGACGATGCCTCGCCCTCGGAGACTGACTCGGAGAGTCTAAGTACATCCTCAGGTTCTATGAGCAGCTCCTCATCCGCGTACACTTCCGAAAGCGACTGGGACGGGCTCGGCACCAACGGCGAGGCCGCAGCGCCGTGCGCTGGCGTCTTGTCAACGCGTACCTCTCCGCCGGTATCGGAGCCAGTACAGCGACGGATGAACAGACAGAAAACACGGCTAGCAAGCTTTCTCGAACCTGCCGTTGGTCATGCGGGAGAGGTGGTGCGTCGGCTGTCTCCGTCGTCGGCACGCCAGCACAGCACCCTGGGCCTCTTCTGGCAGGGCGCGAGTCCGCGAACTTACCGAGGACCCAGCCAGCACGTACCAGCAGTATCCTCGACACCGCGGTCTGGAAAGGCGTTCGAGGATGTCTATCGAACGGAGACTCGGACGAGGACAAGCCCCGATACGGAAGCATCGCCCGACGCTCTAGGGAGTAGCGCACAGGAAGCACTGCACACGAACCGGCAACTTGTGCCAGCAGCACGTCGAGAACGCGTTCGTCCTCCGCCGATCGATACAGCGTTCGCTCTTCCACAAGCACATGGACACGCGAACAAGTGGTCTTCTCTGGTGGCGCTGAGACATCTGACACTAAATGGTCAGCCAGGGAGCCCTCCGAATTCGATGACGCTCCTCCAGGCGGACGCGATGCATCGTTCACTGCTCGACTCCGATGCATCTGAATCGGAGCCGGATTCAGCTGTTTGCTCTGGTCGAACGGGATCTACACAGTGTGCAGGGCTTTCTTCAGAGACGCCGCTCGCTTCGATACCGCTGAACGGTGCAGTGCGCTTTGGACCCGGTGAGGTCCTGATCCCCGTTCGCTGCGCTTTTGCATCTGCGTCTGCTGCTGGTGAACCTGGAATGCAGCCTCTCCTTGCTGTTGCTCATGGCTATCCGCGTTTCCCGATGTTTCAGCATGCAGCTGGAGCCTGTCCTGTGTCTTCGTCATCGTCGTCAGCGACGACGAGCATGTCACCGCGAGGCGCCATGAGTCCCCCGTCGGATCGGCGGGAGGCGTTCTGGCAACGTTCCGCACATCGCCGTGGCGCCTGGGCAGGTTCGTTGTCGTCCTTGTCGCCGGGTCCTGTCCTGAATCAGAGCTGGAGCTCCATCTATCGCAGCAACCAGAGGTACGATGGAGGCCGTCTTGGCCTATCTTCGGCATCAAGCGCGACACCCCGGACGGCTTGTGCGACCGGCACGCAGCCGCTGCTGTCGCCGTCATCAGCGCTACGGTCGCATCGCAGGCTGCATCGACGGCTTGACGAGCTGCTCGACGGCATCCTCAGGCACGATCGAGCGCTTGCAGAAGACGACTGGTGGCGTGAGCTGTCGGGTCTGGTCGCCGATGGGCTCGTATCTGCTGCGAATATTTTCTATCGCCTGAGCGCACACCATGCGCTGCGTGAGCGAACGCAGCGCTCCGAAACAGCGGCCTACGGAGCGCTGCATATCACCCTGCACCTGATCCTGAACGGTCCGCTGGAGGCACTCGCTGAGGCTGTTGCCAACGGTCAGGTGGATTTTTGGCAAGCGCTGCATGGGCACTGGCACGCGCAGTTGCCCGACCTCAAATCCCTGAGCGAAGCCGAAACCGCGCGACACTGGCGTATGATCTTCCTCGTTGAAGTCGTGGAGTATCTCACGCGCAAGTTGCGCTTTCACGAATCATACCCGCCATTCGAAGCCAACTACGCTCTCGGACGCTTTTTCCGACGCGTCGAACTGGAGTCTACGGATAGCTTCCGCGTCGTGGAGAACCAGGAGACCCAGCGACAGCTTTTTTCGCTCGACACTGTGACGGAAATGGTCTCGATTCTGCATTGTCTGCTGGATGCGGAACTCGGTCTCGCACGGAACGCTGGTCGATTCCTGGCATCGCGGTCCGAGACGGCATCATCCACGTCAGGCACCGTGACGGAAGCGGATCCCGTGCTGCAGTTGTATCGGGAGCAGACGCATTTGGGTGGCCTTTTAGCGCTTCTAGCACAAGATGCTACAAATCTATATCAAATGGTCGTCTATATGATGAGCCGCATGCATGCGCGCCTGGGCAAGCGCAGTGTGAGCACGCAGCGTTCGCACTGCGGCACGAGCGGGAACGCTACCACCGCGACACCAACAGCAACCACAGCCTGCTCATCATTATCAGGTAGCGGATGCACTGCCTCCGAGGCTGCAGACCTGCGAGAACTGGCTGTGGTGCTGCAGGAAATGAGCGGGTACCTTCGCAAATTCTTTGAACGACTTTTGGAGGCGGATCTCATTGAGCAGGTCCCGTACATTCCACCACAGCTATTGATTCCCGCCCCCGATGCTTGTATGGTGCCATCTCGTTTCCCGTTTCTGGTGATTGCGCGCTTCACGAACTTTGCGGATTTGCATCGGGCGATTGCGTCTGGCGCGCGATCCGAGGCAGCCGCTCGATCGAGGCCTTGACTCAAGATTGATGCGCGTTGCATCGATACTCGTCATCGATGACGTCCGCTGTTCGGACGCAGTACTGCGTAATCCCGGAGTGATGGTGTTCGCGCGAGCCGCTCGTATGTAATTGCGCGCATGGGATGCATCCGCGGGACGCACACCGTCATTCGGGGCACCCAGTCTGTGTCAAGCGCAGCCACAAACCACGATCACTAAAGCTGTCGCTGGAGGCTCGCATGTCACCGAGTGTGATGCATCTCGTGTCCGTTCGTGTATCGTACTCTGCACGATGATCGCCGTGCCTCAGACCTGTGATCGGCGCGCAGCATCATCTCGATGCGAGCGGGGCGTCGACCTGTGCGCGCCCCCTGTGATCCGATTGCCCAGCTGTTCGGCGGAAGTGGAGGCGTCCTGCGCTGTGCGTTCAGCGACGCTCAGAGCGGCCGCACGCAGGAACTGACCGAGGATCTGATTCGGTGCTCAGTTGGATTCAGCGAGGCTCGATCGACAGGCGATACAAAAGCGCTCATTTGGCTTCGCAGAATGTCTACGCATGTGTTTTGTCCTGGAGACATTGCACTGGTGTGGATATTCTGAGAAGCTTAGCCTGTCCAACGAGTCGCGCCACGACAGGTTCACTCGCTCTCTCTCTGTTTGCGTACTGCATGAAACGGTTCGATGATGCGGTGTGATGGGAACCTAATTTGGATCGCGCACTGTGTGCGTGTATCACATGCAACGGTGCGATACGCCGCAGGGTTCTTGCGTGAAACTGTATAAAGCTCCTCTTCATATAAATATGTAACTGGTGGCGCTCGTTGTGCGTCGTTTTATTTCTCGGTAAAACGAGCGGACTCCGTGTCCATTGGAACATTGCTGCAGCATGTTCAGAGGCAGGTCCGCATATCGACATTCTCCGAGGCCTGAGCTCCCAATCGCGTTCTTCAGCAAAGCCGCATGTAATCGAAGGAGCATCACCATGAGCGCCGTGCGATCACTGGTGCGCGCGGCCTTTTGTGCACGACGTTCAGGCGAGACGATGGTACGAGGCGCATATTTGGTGTCATCGTGCGGCGCAGCATGCGCTGTAGTCGGCGATGATGCAGTTTGCGTCAACAGGACGCAGTGCCGGATCTGCTGATGATTCTATACACCCACACGAAAATGTCTCATCCGTACATGGTGATGCAAGTTTTGCAAGAAGAGGCAGTGCCGGATCTGCTGGTGATTCGATACACCCCCACGAAAATGTCTCATCCGTACATGGTGAAGCAAGTTTTGCTAGAAGAGGCAGTGCCGGATCTGCTGGTGATTCTAGACACCCACACGAAAATGTCTCATTTGTCCAGAAGCGTCTTGTACGATGCCCGTCGCAGATTAGCGTAGGACACTAAAGTACTCGCTCTGGTCCTGCCTTGCGACTTTTCTCGAACATTTCTGTATACGCACCGCCTCGATATTCGTATTCTAAACATAGGGGCGTAGGGATTCATACATCGTTTTAGGATTCTCGGTCGTCTATTCGGGGTTACGCTTTCGACGTTCGGTCGCTGAAATGCGGTGCATTACCAGAATCAGCATAGTTCGCGAAGCGCTCCAGCAAGGTTTCCCAGAATCACCTCCATCATCAGCTATTGCATACGCGCAAGCTTCCACGCATCTCCTTTGCAAGCGTATCGCGTGCTCCAATCCTGCATTCTCCAACGTTTCGATCTTTCTGCTTCAAGGTAATTCGTGGATGCAGCAGTTCACGTCAATAGATCGGCGAGGAAAACCACTGGACGTCGTCCCATGACGACTTGCTCGCTAGCTCATGCCAAACGTTCACTGGACTGCTCACGTCCATTCCTCGGCCCGTTCCAAAGACAAGTCCTGTTCTCATTGTGGAGAACGACGAGACGAGATTCGACAATAGCAGCACACGGCTCATAGCGTACGCTCCCAGAAGCTCTCGTCTCTGCTGTTCACATCGCGAAGCGTCCTGGACTCGCACGTGAGTCGAGACAGGGACCGCCTCTCACAGAGCAAGCGTCAACAATCTGCGTGAACGGAGCATAGGCGAAACGGAGTTTATCAACTTGGTCTCCAATCCGGAGTGTCTCTCCGACACCTGCTTCACCACGGACGTCGTGGCGTTCCACGTATCCCGCATCGAACGGAGCAACGTGCGCTTCCAAGCGCAGCGTACAGGGTACTCGCGCATGGAATCGTTCAGAAGAACCCCGTCATCGCGTGGCACCGCACAGGGCGCAGGAACCGTGCAGACCGTTAGGCCAATGCTTCTATACCCGTCAAGGGCGTGTACCGTGCTAAGAGGGCAGCGTGCACGCGCCACAGGGCCTGTCTCGAAGGCGCGTTGATTATCGACACCGAGAAATATCTGACTCTAGTGGCTGCATCACCGCTGCGAAGGACGCACCGAGGCCATATTCGCAAGCGTGACAATGGCACCCGCTGCGTAGATTGCAACTACGACCGCCTGCGCATGCCTTGCACGAACAATAGCCGAAAGCAGCGAAATCCTGACTTTCATGCTGCCGCCGACACCCTTTGACTACGCACAACGCAGTGTGAGGAAAAGGAAAGATCGGCGTGTGTAAAACCGGAGCTCGAAAGAGAGCAAAGAGAAGCGGGTGCTGGGGAAAGCGCGCAAAGACTGTTCTTGATGGCAGAGGCACGAGTTCCAGATTTCCACGTGAACTCCGAGTCAGCGATGAAGGACTCCTTTCCATTGTACGCTGAAATGGATCTGCTTCAATGACGACGCCGAGGCAGTCGCCACCGTCTCCAGTGAGACACGAGCACGGAGCTCAGCGCGCATATAGGCGACAAAGGCCACTCCATAGGTACCATTCAGGCTCCTGGTCCAAAGAACGTAGAATTGGATGGTGCAAACTCAGTTGCAGCAAATGCCCGGTCCAACGATCGGCGATCATTTGCACGATCGCCGGCACTTGGTCGGTTATCTGAACGAGTCCCGAACCAGTCTCAGATAGCTCGAATATCACAAACACGATACACTGTTCACCGTAACAGGAGCGATTCGGGAAGCAGGACAGCCTGCGCGTTGGCGCCTTCAGGCTGAAGGGTGCATGCCGCACATTCGAGCTCCGTTGTCGCTGCTCATACAGGCGATATGCAGCCAGAATCCACCAGTGCGATTCATCATCGATATGAACACTAACGAACCGGCGACTTGTCTGAAAGATTGCGGCCAAGGCGAAGGGTGGCGCTTTTGTGTGTCGTTCTGGGAGCCAGGCTGCTAGGGCGGCTGTCCCGATATCACGTTCCAGGTCCGCTGGCGTCAGTGAATCTATGAGATTGACCAGTAACCTGTCGTGGGCCTGCGCGTGCTGAACAGCAGCTGTCTGCAGTACCGATGCCTGCAGCGAGCGAATGGGCTCCTCGTCAAGCACCTGAGGTGCTACCGCGCGACACAACGCATAGATGAGTCGGTAGCGTCCGCTGCCGCCAGCCACGAGGTACAGGGGCTCGTAATCTGGGGTCTGCAGTCGTACACACGATTCCGCGTGTAGGACACGAACGAGCCCCAGCATGATCAAATACAGAGGTGCTCCGACGTTCATGGAAATGCGCGCCACCATCATACCGTTTGCAACGACGTCCACCAGGAGACACGCGGAGACTCGTACTGGACGAGCTCGCTCTTCAACGAGCTTTATGAGACGTTGCATGGAATCCATCAGACTGGAGCGCTGGCTCGGATACAACAAGGGACCACTGAGCGGAAGCAGGTCACGGATACAGACGAGCGGATGATGTAGCACCATTTCCAGTACACTGCCGATGCTATCGCTATCGATATAGGGATGCATGTCAAAGGCGGGCCGAACGTGCAGCGTCGCAAAGACGCTAGTGGGTAGCTGGCTCAGGAGGACTCGTCGTAACCAGGATTGTAAAGCAAGGCACAGACAACGATAGACAGAGGGTTCTCTCAACTGGCACTGGGGTGCTGAGGCTGGTCCCCCAGGGCTCCGGACCCCCGCGAGTAAAACGCAGTCGTCGATACTCAGATCCAAACACCAAACGCGTCGTTCACCTTCCACGAGATAGCGATTGCTCCTCTTTCCATAGCTCGGACGCAGCTTATGTTCGAGGCGAGCCACGAGAGCAGCGGCGCTCGCTCCCAGCGAAACGACAAGTCGACGTTGCTGCCAGTCCGGCCACTGGCGAGTGCTCCAGAAGAAGAACGGCTTCCCGGCTCGCGTACACGCCAGAACGAGGCACTCTACGGGTCTTTTGCCATAGCGCTTCGTTTCCAACGCTTCCGAGGTCATAGTGGACGGCAGACGTCAACGGAGGCTCTGCGCCAGCTGCGCAGAAGGCAACAGTAGTGTCGTTTAGGTACTGCGAAAGGTATCTCCAATGCAACGATCTGGTTCCACTGCGTCTGCGGATCATTCGTTTATTTGTATTGAACTCAACGCAATATGACTTGGACGTTCCGTTCCTTTATCGAGTCAACGATGCATCTAACCGCATTCGTGAGCGACGTCTTGTCCAGCCTTGTCTGCAACGCAGTGCAGGGACCGGATAGCGCTCGCGCTCCGTTCACGTCACAGGCAACGTTAACAAAAGACAAGGACTCTTCAACGATTATACTTTTCGTCATCGCGCCGAGCTCATGATGAAAATGGTGAAACTGTCATCACTACGACGACGACGACCACGATAAGGATCACAACTTGGTCCACCAGTCCTTAGACTGCAACGGGCTCCTCAGCTGGAGAGTCCGAGCCTGATTCCTTCTGGTCCACTTTCTGCGACTTTTGGTAGCTTCGGAGCGTTGCAAGATCCTCCTCAAGGCCAACATCATCCTCTGGATAAGCAGGGCCACCATGATGCGAGGTATCATTGCCCAGAATTTCCTCCTCCGGAGAGACGCGCAGCAGGCCGAGGAACTTGAGGATCAGGAAGTATCCTCCGATGACAGTGCATACAAACGACCAAATGTAGAGAATCTCAGTCAGCTGAGCAGCGAGCTGCTTTCCGTAGCCATAGAATACACCACCTGAACCATTGGCTGGGGCATAAACCATAGCGACATAATCCGGTTTCGCGAAGAAGCCAGGAATGATGATTCCCCATGTGCCTCCAAATCCATGTACTGCAATCGCGCCCAGCGGGTCATCGATACGCAGCCTCTGTACGAGCTTATCTCCGAAAACCCAAATAAATCCGCCAATGATACCGCAGCACAGCGCGGAGTACGTCGGGATTGTCGAGCAGGGAGACGTTATGGCGACCGTGCCCAGGATAAAGCCATTCACCATAGATGCGCAGTCAAAACAGTGGTAAAAGAATCGCGTGATCATCAGCGTTGTGATACCAGCAGCTGCAGGTAACACGAGCGTGTTCACAGCAGCTAGGGCCACCTGACCTGCAGTCGAATACACGGTCGGTACGCCGTTCAGATTGAAGCCACCGCGCACTGCGCTACCAACCTTACCACCATCCGCGTATGATAACACACCCAGCTGCGAACCCGGATTGAAACCGAACCATCCGAACCACAGCAGGAGGCCACCGAGAACAATCAACGAGATATTATGCCCGGGAATGGGACGGATCTTCCCATTTTCATCGAAACGGCCAATTCGGGGGCCGATGATCAAAGCGCCAACAAACGCTCCAGCACCGCCAGTGATATGCACTACGCCGCTGCCAGCAAAGTCAATGGAGCCCGCGGAACCGTAGATGCCAAAGCTGCCGGTGATATGACCGGTCGTTGGATCTGTGACTTTGTTGTAGAACACATTCAGCCATCCGTTGACGTCCCACATGGCATGAGAGATCACTGGGTAGACAAAACCCATCATGAGTGAAACGAACCCGATGTAGGCGAACACGCGAACCCGCTCACAGATCGCTCCGGCAACAATGGACGCGGCTGTCAGGCAGAAAGTGAACTGGAACCACCACAGGAAGAGAGTAGCTCCATTATTTGTACCAGATGGAACCGATAAGCCGGAGAGATACGTGAACGCATCTTTCGTCAGCGGCGACTGCATGTGTGCCAACGCAAAATGCTGAAAAGCAATAAAGCCATTCGACTTTGTCTTGTATATAGGACTGAGGGGTAACTCCGTAACAAAATTGTCGTAGGTGAGCAGTGCCTGATTGATAGGGGCGAACGCAAAACCGAAACCAAGCACATAGTAGGCGACACCGCCGACGCACGCATCACAGAGATTGAGAACGAGCGCATTCTTCGCGTTCTTGTTTCTTACGGAGCCCACTGTCAGCATAGCGAAACCAGCTTGCATACAAAACACAAGAGCTGCAGTCAGCAGGAGGAAAGCAGAGTTCACACCATCGACTATATTCGCCAACGCAAAGTACAAGCTCTGGTTTGCGGCGGATAGCTTAGGCGCGTCCGCGTTGAGCCCGAAGCGGTCAGCTAAGTAGTGCATGATGAGTACACACCTCTCGTTTCCGAACACAAGGTAAACGCCAGCGCAAGTTGAAACTGAGGTCCAGTTGCAGCCCGCAACTGGTTGTAAAACGATTGAGCCGAACAATGCTAAAGCGCAATACGTAACAGTGCTCCCGTCTACTTGCGATCGGATGCACGCGCATTGCTCGCGTACCCGCGACGCTGGAAAACGTTCAACGGCAACGCCCAGATCCAACGGGTGAAATGGGATGATACTGTATGAATATGCACTCAACGGACAAAATGTCCAAGACGACCGTCGGACCTCTTCTCCACCTTCCGATCCCGTTTTCGAGCCTGTGAAATTCTGAAGGTTATGCACCATGGCAAATGAAAGAAAGCCTTTGCAACCGGTGCCCAGACCGAGCGTCAACGGAGCACCAGCGACGGCAACGTTCTTGGTGCTCGGGCTCATCGGAACGCTTTCCATCTATCTCCTGGGATTGCGCCACTGGGACACGGAAGTGTTCCTGCCGCCGGGTTTAAGTAGCGTCGTTCCAGCCGTGTTTCGGCTCTTCCTCTCTGTTTTTGCGTTTCGGTACCCGGGGGAGGCAATCTTTGCATGGCTCATGCTATACTATTTTCAGACGGTCGAGAAACAAATGGGTACACGCAAGTTTCTACCGTTCGCCGTGTTCGTAACGCTGGTCCAACAGGTGCTCCAGTACACCTATGGCCACTGGGTGCGCTCGTTGCCGTTGACCAAGTCGGGGCTGTATGGAGTGGCGTTTGCTGCGCTGGCTATAAAGGTACACTTGGAGCCGACGGTGAAACATCGATTGGTTGGTTGCACGTTGAGCCAGAAGCAAATGTCGTTGTTGATGGCTGCGTTTCTGGTGTTGAACGACTTTCTATTTGATCTGCTCTTCAACCACAAACCCGATGTATATTTGTTCGGTCGAAGCAAGTTCAGTGTATCTGGCCTCATGGCGGCCGTTTTTGGGTACACAGCAGGGTTGTTGTATTTGCTTCCGGCACTGGGCCCAGTAGAGCGCTGGCTGGTGCTTCCGTCGTCGCGGAATCCCTTGGTCGTCTGGCTGACGCTCATAGCGCATCAGGAACTGGAGACTGTGCCTTATCATCTGCAGTCTGAACACATGCGGCTCCTTGAAGCGGCGTACAATCCAGTGAACTGGTGAAAGGTTTGCAGCGGGATTCCCAGCTACCATCGGGGACGGCTCGCGCTGGAATCCGAGTCGGCGTTAGGCGTGCTCGCTGATCGAGACTTTTAGGCCCATTCTCGTGCTGTTTCATGATCATACAAGGCAACAGCGTCTGTGCGAGGAAGTTTTTCCGCAGTCTGGTGGGATGTGTCGCTACAGCGACGAAGAGTCAGTAGCCTGTCCAGTGCACATAAACGGATGCATTGTCTAATTCTGCGTACTTGGCCGGGTGTTTTTTTCATTTGTCTGGCACGGACTCCTGCAGCTACCATGATAAGAAGGCATCCCCTGCGTCTGGGTAGAGCAGCGTACGTATAGAGGACTTTGACGGACCTGCACAATGACATCGCGGACGCACGCAGCACGTTAGCCGCGTGCATGGCGCGGCAGCGCAGCGTGAGCGCGTAGCGGATGCGTAGGTGCACCTGCGCGTAAACAATTATGGACATATTTGTTCTGAAAACTCTAAAGGCGCATCATCCCCTGGCAACGCCGGTGCACGCATTCATCCGTTCGATGCGAGATCGCATGGGCAGGGGATGCGTGCGTGCGTGCGTGCGTGCGTGCGTGCGTGCGTGCGTGCGTGCTTGCGTGCGTGCTTGCGTGCAGCCTTGCATCTCCCCGTTTGTCATGAGGCCTTGCCAACGACGCTTCCGTGTGGTGCCGAGATCAAGCGTTGAGTGCTGATCAAACTACATGAATAGAGGGTGGAGAGCGCAGCATTGTGGTGCATGGCCTAATCGCAGGTCTGGGAAGCATAAAACCCTGGTTATGCGTTTCAGTGTTCTCGACTTGGCCTGAGCTGGCATAGCGGTGGTCGCTACCTATTCAGGTCCACGAGACGCCGTGGGTTGCAAGTAGGCGCGCTCCGCGAAGAGACTTGCTTTCAAATACACGGCGCATCTGCCGCACGAAATGGCGCACTCGACTACTCAACATCACCGTGCCGAAGAATATCGCCTTGCGAATATTTGCCCGCCGCCGCGAAATCGCAAACGCTGAACCGAAACGCTCGAGCGGAATGCTGAACGCTGCAGCGTACACGACGCTACGAATCACCGTGCGCGTGCCTTGGACAAACGAAATATACCGAGGCCACTGCCGGATGCGAAAGAGATCGCTGAGAATCTCGGCCCGGAAAAAAGAGAGCACGAGCGCCAACAAGGTCGCGAGGCGATAGAGCGGCGTCCCGAACTTGAGAAAAAATCGATAAATAACCGCTAGACGGAGCATGCGATATGTGACAGTGAATGCGGCGGATCGCCACGTACGCAAGTGGGTCCAATGGAAGCGCGGTAGCTGATAGAGTGCCGGCTTGCCGGCGACAATGCGACGACGTTGCAAGTACCAAAGCACATAGCTGCCGCAACCACACGGAACAAGGTACTCGAGAACTTTGCGACGACAACTGAGCTTCCCCGGCGGCAGCAGTTCATCAAGGCATGTCTCGAGGGCGAGCTTCAGCGTGCGACCCAAATCGCGATGACCCCAGAAACATAACGATTCATAGAGACAGTAGACCATGCTTCGAACGATGGTGCGAACGGTAACCGTCGGGCGCGATGCTTGGTCGTACCACAACAGTGCCCAGCGTTTCCGCCACGGCACCACGAGAGCCGCGGAAGACGAACCGGTTTTCGCGTGAGAAGCAGCGCTGGGTACATCTCTGGCAGATAACCCCATGACATGCCGTTCCCGTCGAAGTGATGCAGCAGAACGATCCACACTCTGTGCAAGCGCTTCAGTAGCGCGTCCGGCACACTGAGGTCGCACGATCGCTGGCTCTGCTGGCGAAGCGCTCTCCACACGAAGAGACACTGCGGGACTCGGCTCCGCTCTATCGTCCGGTGCCACACTCAGGGCCGCTCCATGCCTAACGATCTCGTCGTCTTCGACAGCTGCATCAGGTATATTCTCGGTTGTCTCTCGTGGTGTGCTCAGCGGGGAATCCTCATGCTGTTCAAGTTTCTGTAACATAAGGAGATGGCGGAAACGGCGTAGAGCCTCTCTACGGGCACTTTGCGCTTGCGACGCCTCGTGCTGGCAGCCACGAAGTGAATCAATGGAATTGCTTCTCTTCAGGTGACCATCTGGCACCATCTTCGGACGCTGCGGTGGAGCCCAGTGATGTGCTGGTAGTACTCGTGCAGGTCCTGGTAACGAACCGCGCCCGGTCATCGACGGCGCGCAAACGGCAGCAGTGGCAAGTGCATCAGAGCGCATCATGTGCGCTCCGGCCGTCCAGGCAGGTTGCAACACGGCCACTCTGCCGAACTCCTGTGCAACTTCGTCTAAAAGTACATGGGAGAATGTTTCGCTCACATGCACCGGCATATCAAGGAGGAAAGTCGCGTGCATGGTTGCCTCGCTTCGAGTCCGCTTGAACAGAAACTCATTCGAACCCGATCGTCGTTCTCGCAACTGTCCATTTATATCGGGAGCTGAGGACAGCAACACTGCGAGTTCTCGCCAGCAGAGCCGCCTTGGCAAGCCCTCGAGACAACTCAACGAGACACTTCTTCGGAGGTGAGACTTTTCATTCAAAGTTTCACCCGAACTTTGAAAGCTAGGAAACGCCTCCGGCTCTGATGAACGCAGAAGCACACCCCGAGTTTCGAGACTCTCAGGGTTACGCTCGCTCGAGGCGTCACCACCGAGGGTACCACACCGAGTGCGCCCGTCGTCGCCTGCGATGGGGCCGTTCAGCCCCCTAATATCAGCAGCATCCGTAACGCGACAAGACGCTGGGAGCACACGGGCAGCCTTAGCGTCCATGATGATGCAGCCCGTCTCGCACACCAAGGTGCGGAGTGCACGTACCTGACCAAAGCGTCCACGCACGACAACCCAGGCACACGATCCACGCACGCGCTTCGCTTCGCGCGACGCTTTGCTCGATCGCGGCGCCTTGCCGGTTGCGATCCCGAGGGCGCTGCTGCCGCTCGTCGCTTACAGGTAACACACAGCGATGATTTTTCCGACGACAACGCGTTTGTATGGACCATAGATTCCAGATTGCGGGACAGATGGGTATTCATAATCGAAAATGCGTCGACGGTGATGCACTTTACCTCCAAGTTCGATTAATTATACTTCCTATCGGATGAACTAGTCGTGTCGTACCTTGTATCGTGCGGCGATTGCCCGCCTTGCTGCACTCGTCGTAGCGCTTGAACCGTTGGGTAGATGCATCACAGAGACAGAACGGCTTTGGCATACCTCGGCGGGCGTCGGTTCGAGGAATGCTTGAACTGACACGGGGTCAGAGTTTATCACCATGCTGGGAGCCGGGAAGCCGCGTAGACAGCCCTACTGCTTGCGGCAGCGCAAAGCGATATTATGGGAGTCCACTGCGACCATATCGACGCCCAGACGCAACCCTGAGCGCCCCCGATCCGGGAATAAACTGTGTTTCGGACGAGCTGCTCGGATCTCAGTAAAGCACTCGGCGCTAGGTGGAGCATGAAGCAAGAGTCTGGCAGACTCGTCCGACTCGCGGGACCTTCCGCCTCGAAGGTCAACTTTCGACAATACGGAAACCTTTTCCTCTTTTTAACCCTAACCGTAAAGGGGCAAAGATATTGTTATGTCGTTGCTAGTTAGTGCTTCGTTTCTCTGCTTTTTTCTGCAGCGCGCTTGGTACTTTGCACCGAATCGATGGCGTTTGCGCCGCCTGTGCCAATCGCGGGAAGCGCCTCAGGCCAGACGTGGCTTGCGCTAGGACTTCAGCTCAGGAGCTCGAGCGACCCCGGAGCGGAATGCTCGTCTCATACGCATGAACTGCAGACGTCAGCTTACAATTAGAGCGCTCCATGGTGATGTAAAAGCTGAAACCTCGGATAAAAGACGCTGGAAACGACGTCTGCGGAGAGACGAGTGTTCGATGCCGCCGACAGCGTCCGGCTGGACCCGCGGCAGCCGCTTGGACGCTGCTGGTGTCGCAGGCGTTGGCGGTGCGCAGCCTTCGGACCAGGACGCTGCCTGCCTTCTCTGGTGCGAACGATTCCGGCCGACGTGCGTTGAGGAGTTGGCTGTGGCGCCAAAGAAACGAGTTGAGATCGAGACTTGGCTCTGTCACGCTTGGGAGACGTGTTCGAACAGCCAGTTCGAAGCTGCGCCCTGTGCGCCGCAAGTGGCACTCATTTGGGGCCCTAGCGGTGCCGGGGCGTCAGCGACTTTGGACGTTCTGGCCACCCAGCGATTTCGAGCGACGGTTGTACGATGGACTTGTACCGATCGCTACTTTGACACCGAGCTGGGAAGCGCCTCAGTACTGGAGAGCTTTCTAGAGTTTCTGTTGATGGTAAGCAACACGCCCGCGGATGAGTGGCGTGGCAACGCTAGCTTCACTCAACGGAGTTCGGTGACGCATCTACGCCAGCAGAACCAGCCTGGTGCGGAGCGGCTTGGGGCTAATGCCTCCGCCGGACACCACCACGACCGATATCTCGCCGTCGTCGAGGACTTTCCTGTGGGCATCCAAGAGCGCGACCACGCAGTTTACAGTTCGTTCCAGAGTCGTTTGCTTGCGCTGCTTGCCGGACTGCGACTGCCTTTGGCCTGGATCTTGCCCAGCGACCCGCACTGGCGTGCTCGCCAGATTCGCTTCTTGTTCGGAGGCCAGGCAAAGCTGCCGGATCAGTTGCCGCCGTGGGTGCGACACATTGAGTTTCTCCCGGTGACTGAGAGGCGCATTCAAACAGTTTTGCTTCAAATTGCCGCGAGACTGGCTGATGCGCGCGATGCCGATAGGTTTGGACGTTCCTCGGCACTGGAGCAGATTACGGCAGAGTTAGCTCGACGATGTGCTGGCGACATCCGTCGGGCCATTCAATGGATGCAGTTCTGTTTCGTGGGCCAGGCGATGGAGCCTATTGCTGCGCCTGGTACGAAACCAACCAAGAGGGGACGCTTTCTTGAAAATTGGAAATGCTTGTCTGAACTGATGCAGCATTTCGAGGGAAATGCGCGGATCGGTCTCAGCCATATGATCGCGAGAATTCTCTACGATAAGCACCAAGCAGAAGAATGGCAGATCGATGATGAATACTGCATCGATGACATTGGACGCTCGTGCAATGCTGATGGAGATATCGGCAACATCACCTTGCCGACAACGGCTACAGAGTGCTCTATGTTTCTCAGTGCTTTGCACGAGAATTTCGTCGAGCATTTCGTACGAATAGAGGACGTCGCTTTAGCGCTAGCGGATTTTAGTTACGCTGATATGATGCAGCGCAATAAGCTCGATGTCGAAGCGGTGATCGCGCTCCAAGTTGCTGTTTGCGGTGTACGCTGCGCCAACCGGTGCCACGCTCCTGCAAGGTTTCGGCCAATTCGTCTGCAGCCACGTCGGTATGGAACGCACGCCATCCGACCGAGTTCGACGTTGTATGATGAAAACGTGAACGATTATCGTGATGCGACAGGGCTTGGGCGTCGTGCATGGGAGCCGGCTGCGTTTACCATGCGGAGCAAAGCGACACAATTACCGTGTTGGACATCCCCGGCGAATGACACGCTGGAGTCGGCTGAGTCCACGGCTCTGTTCCTGGATCCTATCGAGGATGCGGATAGCCGCCCGAGCAGGGCATCAGAAAACACAGGTCAACCTCTCCGTAACGATTGCACAAGGTCGGCAACACTACTAGAGACCACTCACGTATCGACAATCTGTGCACCCTGGTCTTCCAATCGTAGGAGGCGCTACAGCGTGCGAGTGATCAACGACAATGCGCTGCCGATGCACAGCGTTTCTGCAAATGCATCACGCATCTCAGCGGAAGCGGGACGCGCTCCTGGACCCTGGAGCGACCACGAGCCGGCAGCAGCATTTGCGGTGGGTCTCGCGAGCGATGAGTTCGGTCTGAGCGGCGAAGCGCACTTACCGAGCAGCCGGAGACAACGCACATCCACATCGGGGACGTCACCCTCGCCAGCATACGAATCTTCAGTCGGAGAGGACACTGTGAGACGAGCCCGTGTTTCAGAGGCCCTTTCGCCCGACATTGAGCCTCGGGATCAAGTCCTGCATTGTCTCTTGGATATGTATGAGAAACGCACTGACCATTTGTGTGCATCATGAGTCAGCGTTCGATCTGCGGATATTTGCGGATACCTGATCAACCGCTGACGAAAAAGTGCATGCGCAATGACGCGCAACTAGCAATAAGAGACGGTAAAGTCGTACCGTTAGCTGGCCCTTGCCATTGGGTATATCGAATACGACCCCGCTCTGCCCAGGGCGCGGATATATTCAGCAAAGGCCCGCGCTCGCTAAGCAGCATTGTATATCGGCAACCGTGAGGCCGCTGCTGCTGCTGCTGCTGTGAGCGTACGTCTGCCCCTGGTATGCTTCGAGTCCAAGCCCGAGCATATTCCAGCGCATACCAGGGCGCCTGATTACGGTAACGTATCGTTGATGATGCTAGCCGCAGCTCGCGGGTTACCAGGTTGTGTTGGTATGCGCTTCAGAAGAGCGCTTGTCCGTTTGCTTGCATACGTGCATGCACGACGCAGCTCTGAACCCATTTGCGCTGCGCAGGCATGCTGCTGCAGTGAACACGAGTTTGAGCGCGGCGCGTTCAGCCAGTTGCAGTCTCTAGAAGATAAACAGACTTTACGTTGAGCTTACGGGAACCAGTTTCCGTCATGGATGACAGGAGCGTTTGTTGCGCTGGATACAGCCCCACTTCGCCACGCTTCTGGGACAGGATGCCCACATATCGATATCTCACGTCCGAGATGCTCTTGAAACGCTCCACCTACCAAAACGCTCAACTGGAAACTGCGGAAACCTTCTCCGTGAGCACCTGCATTCGCGCCTCCCGCACTCGCCTCGAAAACCAACCTGCATGCAGGTTGATGAACGAGCAGGGGCCGATCCAGCACACCTCTCCGCAAACAAACGCAGCAGAACGTACGCGCTTCCACGACACATGGTCACAGTGCACATGCGCCAGAACACATCGGTGACTATACCAGATGCTTGACGAAACCGAAGCCGATAACAACGACGGCGTACAGTGCCAGCATTGACCAAATCACGAGCATCTCGGTCCTGCCCGGTACCATGTCCGTTCGCCGGTGGCTCTTGCTTCGATCACATGCATCCAGCAGCACTCCGAACGACTCGATAAGCAAGATGAGCGGGATCACAATCCACAAAACGTTGGCAAAAAAGAGGTAGACCCACTTGTGGACCCAGCTATTCGCCGGGTTCAGCTCGCGACTGCCGGTGAGCCACTCCGGACCGAACGTCATCCAGTTGCCGTAAATTTCACCTGTTGCACAAATCACTTGCCAAAAATGTCGCCAAGGCCGTCGTCGGTATGTCCCATAGGCGAGAACGAGCGCTAACGGACCCCAGAGAAGCGCCGTCGGCACCTCAAGTGCCGCGGTGCAGTCGTGAAGACGACCCCAACGCGGATCCGCCTTTGCGTACTCTTTCCACGGTAGAGCCATGAAGTGATTTGAGCGCTCAACTGTCACGGTGAGGGTAAGGATGAGCCACGGCAGCTCGAGCCCCAAGTGCGTGATCGCGTCCAGCAGGTACCAGACGATCACCGCTTTCTCGCCGGGAGTCAGCGGGTCGTCTGCCTTGAGGACTCGCGGAGCACTGCCCGAGCTGCTACTTTTATTCATCGCCACGTTCGCCATATTCTAGGTTTTCAAACGAAGCGACAGCTCTCTGGACGTAAACGAACGAATTCAGCACCGAGAGACGCTGTACGTCGATTTGGACAAAGCAAGATCAGCTGTGCATCACTAGTCTGCCGAGCGCAGGGCGATGATTGGCAGGGCGCCACCTCCGTGCGCCGCGCATGGAAACGGTGGCGATCGCGCGCATTCACCCTGTGGCGATGCGCGGCACGACTGAGACTGCAGCATGCGCCACCATTGATTCGCGCACGTCTGGTCGTTTCGATCTGCGTTGTGCGAACGCCACGTGTTCGCGCGGCGTCGTCAAGCGCGAATGCCTACGCGGGATGGAATCGCTTTGTACAAAATTAGCGGAGGTGCAGCACTTGCCCAGGGAAACGTTTCCTGTGCCAGATCGAAGACGTTGCTGGACGCTTGCACCGTTCCATATCCAGGCGTTGATCGAGGTGGCGTTCCCGTACCGCTCTTTCCTGGATACTGATTTGTCTCATCAACATTGCCCGCATTTCAGCACGTTGCTTGCACAGCGTACGAGACAATTTCTTCGATCGTTCATCCGCCGCACAGCCGCTGGGCGCTCCGGCCGCACGAGATGGTATACAGCGACCAGATCGGAATTTAAAACGGCGAGGGAATTGAACGCATGAGGGCAAGAACGAATTCATCCCACCAGTAACAAAGCGTGCATGCACCATCTACGCCCAGCGTTGGATGCCTCGATCAACAACCCGATATGTCTGACGCTTCCGAAGCGCGCCAGCGGCGTTGTTCCGCGTGAACTTTCGAGATGATGTGTGTCGTACGCAATAGGGGCATTGTGTTGGAAAGCGGAACATTTTTCATGAGGAACATCGTTGTCCAGTAGAGAGAGGGCATCGGATCTCTGCAACGACGATGGCACTGGTGCGGTGCAGGTCAGTGAGCCAGCAACGCTGAAGCGCCGCACATATATAGACCCAGAACCTGTTTCCTGGACACCTGGTGAAGAGTGCGTGTTTTCCCTGATTCGAGGTGAATGGCCATAGAATGGTGTCACGTCAGTTTACCCCGTGACGCCGCCATGTCTTCACTCTATGCGCACGCAGCCGGTAGCAAACGTAGCACAGCTTTTTAGGTGACGGTGCACGAGGTCCGATCCAGCGACAAGATGCCTGCCAGGCACCTGAGATCAATCATCAGCCTGCGGCCTGCGTGTTCCTTGTTCGTTCGGCGCGCGTGCAGCCCGACCCGAGACTCTCGCAGGTATGCAGGGCGGTGCCTGCCTGCTTGTCTGTATGTCTGTATGTCTTTCTGACCAGCTGCTGATATGCGTTCCACGCGCGTATCGTTGCGCCTGGAATGGCCTCGCACTCAGCAGCACGTGCAAAAATGGGAGTGACTGGTTCAGGCCCAAGGTCTGATACGGATCAATGGACGCTTTCCCGGATGCCGAGAGCACTCTAGCCACCGGGGATCGCCAGTTCACGTACACGAGACTACGCTCAGAAAACTTATGATCATTAATGCCGTGCGTTGGCGACTCCAAGGTTGCTTGCCGAACCTGGGGGTCGAACCAATTATGATAGGTACCTGGGGACCGTCGCATGCAATTTCAGCGATGTGCATGGTGAGACGAGGACGTTTCTTGCTTGCTTTTCGAGGCTTGGCATGGGTGGCTCCGTACCAGCAAGTTACATACAATTTTAGATGAAATAGAATCGGTCCACTCACATGATGCGGGCGTACGATCCAAAGCTTTGGGCTCTTCACATTATCATGCGCACTAGTCATTGCCGACTGTTTATGCGATTGCTTCTTCTGGTCTCTTTCACCTCCGGCTTGAAATACACCGGTGTTTCCTTCTCTCAATCTCGACTTTCAGTCGTCGAAGAATGCTGATGGTAGCGTTAACGTCCCGATTTCGCTGCTTGCGGCTGCTATCGACGCACATCATCGTATACAGACGGTCGTTAGGATCGTCGCTTCTCTTGCGAGTTTCACCTGCTTCGTATGCAGCCTCAGTGCACCCCTGGGCAGCGGTGAAATTCGACTGTGGTCTGATGCTCCGCCAATGTCCATCTAAGGAACACCACCACCTCCACCTCCTACTCCATGTACCCTGAAGGCTGGCCTGTGGCACGTAAACGCTTGCTTCAGCACACGGTTGATGCCCTTGGCGGATACAGAAGCTTGCTGTCGATGGGCTCCTCTATCTCGTTCTCAAATGCCGTACCCGACAATCGCCGGCTTCGTCTTAGCGATTCCCCCAGCGAGGACTCTATCCGCTGAACGCACTAGCGCACTGCGTCGTATACCATCCAGAATTTGTGGTGCTCGATTCTGTCCATAATGTAAAGAGAACCGGAACGAATACCCCAGGTTAGAGAACAAGTCGACAAATTTCGATCCACTTACGTTGACTTCATACCAAGCGATGAAACACCCTGCACTGGAAGAGATCGCGACGGTGACTGCAGTCCAATTGCATACACGTTTGCCGTGGAAGGACAAGTGACGCTGAGCCTCTCGGATCGTATCTCGTGACAGGTACAATGCTGGTGGGGTCGTAGCCGGCTTCGTCGATGGCCACCAAGCAAATGCATTTGTTTTTCGGCCAGAATGGATCATTTGACGTGACAAGTTCAGTGACCGCTCGAGACGAGCGCGTGAGCAGCGCGTCAACAGTCGCCGTCGAGTTGTTTTCGTTGTCAATTCATTTGGGCGGCGAGCTGCGCCTACGAGTTGCCTTCAACCAGAGGAAAAGCCTTGGAGAATGCGTGCTCTGAGCGTGCAGCGCGGAACTAGAGGAGATGAAGGGATACCACCACGCATGCGTTTGATAGTAATACCGTTTATTTTACGAATTGTCGTTCGATGGCGTCGCCACTCATCGTGATGGCAGTGACGAATCGAAACCCAGTAGCAGAGCGTCAAACGAGCCACTCGTCAAGGCCGATCAAGAATCCTAAAACTTTGCATGAACCGGTGAGCGCCTTTCTGCTGCACTTTTGAATGTCGATGATTTAGAACTAGGAAAAAGCTCGGAAAAATCAAAACCAGGAGCAGGGCGGGCACTGCATTTTTCCATTCAAATCTGACACAGGTATAGAGGGAATCGAAACCAAAAGCGTGCCACCACAGGCGCATTCATCTACCCGAGAACCTCCGCGAGGCAAGTAAATGCAACAGCATTGGCAGGCAAGCACTTTTAAATGAGCGCGACTCGCTTTCGGTTTGGCGTTGTATTTCAGACGCGAAGCACCCGGATGCTGGGCACTCGCGACACACCCGACCCGAGTCCCGGTTGACGGAGGCTCACACGGTCCTCGCAAACTTGCACGCTTTTCGCTGTATCGACCATCAGGTATAACAAAGCGCGATGCCAAGAAAGCATCGCGTCCGAGTCTCGACGACGAGAGCTCGACCGGCATTCGCCAGGCCCCTCTGTAATGCTTGCAAGGAAGGACGCTGAAGCTGTATCGAAAGCAATGGCGAATGAACCCGTGAGCTTCGGATCGCCCGTTGCAAGCACGACGTGCATTCAGCAGCACCGAAGGCATTGTTTCCGCGCAAACCAAAACTCAGTGACGCGGTTACCGCCGTTGCACATGGCGGACGATCAGGATCCGCTCTCGAGTTGAGGTCGTCGGCTGGTTCGTGAGAGCCCAGCGCGCCAACACGCCTGCGAGGTACAAGCGGGTACAGCACGATTCGCCTCGATGATCGTTGGCAGCTACCAGTCGTCCGCTTCTTCCAGGGAACGATACACTGTCGAGCGATCGTTATTGTGTCGGTCTGGTTTCCGAGATCGATGTTGGTAAACGTTCGGTGCGTTTCGCATGCACCGACCCTAGTTGGAACCCAAGACCAGTGATTTGTTCCACTGTAGCTGCATGTGCACTTGCAGCGCGCGAATGTGTACACGCTTGTCTCTACCCGACACGGGAAGGCTTCGCGCGTTTCGGTGCGAGCAGCGTCCATCTTTGTGCTGCGTCCAATGGCATAAAGCCTTGTTCACGAGAGTGCCGAGGCGTGCTCGCCGGGCCGCCAGACGACAGCCACCAATAACTCGTACCACACTCGCCACTGGTCTGTAACATGCGTGGAACGGGGTTTCACTCGCGAAACGCGGGCTGAACCCAGACAGTGCCATTGAATGCACTTTCCGCGTCGTAGAGAACCACCATCCGGGGCCATACTCGCGGCACACGTGAGACATCTATGCGGCGGTTTCCGTTCTACGCACAGCAAGCGTGCCAGACCGCTTCAGGACGCCGGGCGGAAAAGCGTTTCTGGGACACAGCCGCATTGCTGTCTTATGTCTGTCCTGGCACGTTGCTCCGCGTTATATCCGAGAAAGGGGTGCTCCGCCCAGCGTGTGCGGCAGTCTGCGGGAAGTATGTACAAAACGAGTACGTAACTTGCCCCCGGATACCTCGGTACCATGCAGCAGCAGCAGCTTTTCCACCTGGGTATCCTTTCCAAGCGGTAGACAACGATGCAAAAAATGACGCTTCCAGTGTACCGCTGACGCCATCGTTACAACGTCTGGAGGGACAAGAGCAAGCCTTGGAATTGTCTCCGGTGGCGTCAGGTGACGAACGTCGATTCGATAGAAATCCCAGAGTTTGTACTCGGTTTCCAAGAACGCTATCCGCTCATCAACAGCCGCATGCAGCGGCATATGATCCGCAAAGCGGTGCCCACAAACGCAGTTATCGGCGGGAAACCAGTGCGGCCCTGTGTCCGCAAACAGCGAATCGTGGGGCTGTCTCCAAGCCTGCATCGCAAGCGCCCTTGCCAGCCGGTAAACGCCTTGCCCCAGCGCAATCAGTACCCCCAAGATATTCAGATGGAAGACGGCACATCGGCACTGACGGAACTCGTAATCCGGATGAAAGAGTATCACACCGCCGCCGGTTCGCGGTTCAGTAGTGACAGCTTGTCTGCGGCGAGGTAACTTGGTGCGCAACCAGCGGCGGAAACGCGCTCGCGAGGTCCACGGCTCGCCACTCAGGGCTTCGAAGCTGGGAACCGAGCGACAACCCATAGCGTGCGTTCTGCAGCAACCACGAACGCTTCAGCACGTCATATCCGTACACGGGCGCACCTGGAACGGAGCACCGGTATCGGGAACGCCACTGGAAGAGTTCCCAAAGCCAGAACAACCTCAATGCAGCGTGAAAATTATCAGTTACGCTGTGCTACGGTACGTAGCGCAGGGCACTTCCAGTGCCTACGAAATGTAGCGGTTGCCGCGTTGCTGCCTGCACGCAACCTCCCAAAGAATACCCAGAGCGTTGCACGAAGACCCTAAGGTGCTTTCGATGAAGTCCTACTGAACACACGCAAGAGCTCCCGCGTCACTGGCCGTGCCTCGGAGTTCCGGCGACTTGTGAATCAACGATTGACGGAGGGCGCTCGGTTCTCGGCGGTATTGCAAAGTCGCCAGCCACACATATCCAAATATAGGTGCCTTTTAAAAATGATGATAGAAGCAATACGTTCGATTTTCGAGTGAGTGAACGCATTCGCTGCTTGCAGGTGCAATTCATAGTCAGCAAACCGTAAAACGTTCTATGACCGTGGTGGGTATACATATACATACCCAGTCGCAGACGCCTCCCAGGCTTGTTTGCCCAGACGACTGCTATCGGCTTCAGTCTCTCCTCGCACACTTTGACCATGAGAGTCTGCACCACAGAGTCGGATCGTGTAAGCTCCTCGGGTATCGTCTTCAGCACTGCACATCTTCTGATATTGACGGCGGCGTTAAGGTCTCGGTTCACGAATTGCTTGCGTTTCTTGCCTCAGGTGCAACTAACCGATGCAAGGATTCCTCGGACGCGTGCCCTCTGTGGTACCACAGTATTGCCACCGTCCTGTCGAGCAAACACCATTCTCGTCCATCGCCCTTCCTATGCTCCTTAGTGATTTGCTCTTCTTTGCTTGGTGGACGACGAGATGCGGATTTTTCGCTTATTTTTCCCCGCAGCCGGAGATGGTGGTCCTCCAGCATCCTTGACTCGCAAGTCTATACCTTGGCCCATGATTTTTTATTTCTTCAAATGGACGCACTTTAGTATACTCTCAGAAAAGAACCCTCCCAGAGGGAGAAGGACTTGTGCGAGAAAGACAGCATATGTCCCGGTATCAATTTGAGCTGAACGCTTCAGTGATTCGCTCTGTAGAGCGATCATTCCTTTTCAGGATAGAGAACATTCCTTTCATGGGCGTCAATCACGGAGTATACGTAGGAATGAAAAGCACCGCTGCCAAGACAGAATCGGCAAAAGCTCGAAAGAAATCGAAATGGTGAAATATCACGTTGTCCAGTAGAAAGACGTCGCCAAACGTGAGGGAAAAGTCCGCTATGAATCGACAAAATGAGTGCTGTTGGATGAGCCCTCTGAATGAGCGAAACTGATGCCGCCAATTGTATCCACTGCAGCTAGAACAGATGATGACGCCTTAGTTCTCTTCGCGTTCGATCGTGCGTACCATGGGCTCCCTGCTCCGCGAATACCCATATCCATCCCGAGCGTCTCGCCCAAAGGAACTCTCATCGACTGGAAAAACAAAGTCCTCGTGTTTCTCACCTATCGCGACGTTTCAGGAACGCTTTCGCTGCGATTTCGGTGCAAGATGGCCATGGTTGAACTCGGACTTTTGTTGGAGAGTGTATCTCAGTGTATTCAGGACCGCACGAACAAGCTGTTGTGAAACAGAGACTCCCCTGATGGCTACTATTATCGCTTTTTTCTTTCCGTAAGGTGATCAATGGGTCTTTTTATAGCACTGACCGCAAGCAGTCTTCGAGAACATCGGTTTTTGGCGCGGAGTGCATCTACGTGCCTCTTTCATTGTTCCTCAACCATCAGAGTCCAGTGTAGTGACTACCCTGAATGAGAAATGCAATCCTCCGATCACTCTTCAGTAAAGCATATATCCTGCATGCAATTCATCTACGATCTATCGGCCACATTGCAGCCTGACCTCGATCCCCGTTTATACGCCGCATCGAGCGCGGAACAGACTTGAAAAACGAAAAGCTTCACAAGATCAGGTCGGCACAGGTGGCGGCCGTGCAAACCCAGTGCTTCATCGTGTTCGAGATTTCCCCAAATCAAACGGCTGCAATAGACTCGTTGTCTTCAGCACTTTTATAGGACCACACGAAAGCGTTGGAAACACTGCACAAAGGTTTCAATATTGCTCGAAAGCGCGTTTGACGCTGCAGTTGTCGCTGCGTCCGCGTTCGGTATAACTCCGTGAGAGGCGTTTTCCAGTGCTAGCTCGACCAAAACTATACAGTCGATAGAGAGTGACTATCAACTGGAAACTTGAAAGGACAAGTTTACAGGTCAATTCTCGCAAGGATTCGTCAGGCCGCACCTGAGCAACCTGCGCAGCACTCGAGTTTCTGCTTGAGCGCACGTTTTGCGAGATCACGACCACAAGCACCCTTGCAAGCACAACCAAGTTCCTGGAGAAACTTAACGAGTCCGCAGCACTCTCTCAACTAGTTTCTACGTCTCCACAGAGCAGTGTGCGCGGCTTTCAGTAACGTGCGTCTGCAGCGGGTTTCCATATGCGCCGCTGTCAACCTGTGGGCGCTGCTTTCGCCAGCGCACCGTCTCGTAGCGAGGCGCTGTCGACTTCGAGTTTCGTGGCTTACTGGGCACGCTCGGGAGCCCCGGAGCCAGCAAACCGACGACGCCTGTTACGGATACGTTGCATGCCCGATGCAGCTCCGTTCGTGGTGCTGCGGACGAAACACTGGCGACTCCGCCACTGCTCAGGTCGCTCTCGTATCGAGGCTCTCAACGCCGATGTTACCGAATTGCATCAACTCAAAACGCCTACGACATGCTCTCCTGAAATGCCTGAATATCCAGTCGACTGGTCTGCTGCGGATGAGGATGACGCTCACGGGCACCTACATGGAAGCAGGACTGCTGCTCAGCGTGGAACGAAGCAGTGCGTAGGCGCCGGACTGGAGACGACTCATCCTGCATCTTGTCAGCAGCGCATCAGAGCGCAAGACGCTCCATGCGCAACCACAAGCCCCCGAGCAGCAGCGCTCGTGATGCGAATGATCAGGACACACTTGGCAGCTATGTTGGCTATACTGGGCATTGCGCAGCAGCGGAAGCAGCAGCATGAACGCCAGTCCATTCGGGACTGCGTATCTAGGATGAGTACCGCCTATGCGAAGTATCAAGCGGCGTCGATTCTTGGCTTTGCGCAGCGCCCACCAGTTCTTACAACATCCGGGGAGCACCGTCCCTGCTGCCTGGGATCGTGCAGCGATTCAATCCTCGGGTCAGACGCGGTGGCGGACAGCACGAACGACTCACTGCCGCAGTGGCTACGCGCATGGCGCGGCGGGCGCTCGTGGAGGGCCAACCTACACGTTCCAACAACGGCAGCGAACCTGCAGGATACCGGAAAGCAATCCGGGCTATCTCGGGAACTTGTCGTTATCTCGGAACGGCTGCTAGAGCGAGGCCTAGCCACGGGACGCTCAACCGCACTCGAAATCGAGTCGAAACGAAGGGCAATCTCTTCGCTGTTGCAGCGCTACACCGAGACTACAGACTCGCCGCAGGGCTCGGAAACCTCAACTGGGTGCGTACCGAGTTTTCGCATGGAGGCAGGTATCACCAGGAGCGAGCAAGACGCGTTCGACGAGCGCACCAGCCGCAGTGGTACCGCCAGACGCCGCGACGACTGGTATGTGCCGGCTTCAGCGCGTGCAACACGAACCCGGAACCCCATCCGCGAACTCGTCCAGGGATGGAAACGCTCACCAAACCCGTCACGCGAACTCATTGACCTTTCCATTGGCGATCCAACCGCTTACCGGAACCTTGAGCCTCCATCGCATCTCTTGGAATATTTCGAAGGTGTGTTGCGAAGTGGGCGCTACCACGGTTATACGCACTCCACAGGCATGGAGGATGCCCGCTCAGCGGTGGCGGAACATTTTAACCGCCGACTCGGTCGAAAAGCTCTAAGCTCGCGTGATATCTTCCTGACAAGTGGCGTCTCAGGGGCGTTGGAACTCGCTCTATCGGGCCTCCTGAACGAGGGCGATAATATCCTGGTGCCGTGTCCGGGATTCCCGCTCCTGCGCACCATAGCCGAAAACCTGGGCGCTTTCGTCCGAGAGTATCCACTGCTTCCTGAACAAGGTTGGAAGATTCATCTGAGCCGTCTGGAAGCATTGGTCGATCATCGAACACGCGCCCTGGTGGTGAATAACCCAAGCAACCCGTGCGGCTCGGTCTGGGATGCCGCGCATATCACTGAGATCCTCGCTGTCGCTGCCCGGCTGCGTCTACCGATTCTAAGCGATGAAGTCTACGCGGACATGGTGTTCCCGTCAGTTTCCTTTCATTCATTCGCTGCGCTCAGTCGAGAGGTACCCATTGTGACCGTCGGGGGTCTCTCGAAACAATTCATTGTGCCTGGATGGCGACTGGGATGGGTTGTTCTCCATGATCCAGTGGGCGCTCTAGATCGCTGCGGCTACCGTGATGGGTTACAGCGACTCACCACGCGGATGCTGCTCCCGAACGCACTCGCTCAGGCGGTGGTCCCGTATGCGTTGGGCGAAGAAGCCCTGCGGAAGGCTTTTCTCGACGATTTGATGCTGCACTTGGCAAGCAATGCTTCGCTGTTCACGGAAAAGCTGCGAGCGGTGCCTGGATTACGCTGTATCATGCCCCAAGGTGCGATGTATATGATGATTCAAGTAGACTGTTCTCGATTTTCATCCATCGCGAATACTATGGAATTCTGTCAACAGCTCTACGATGCAGAGAGCGTACTAGCGTTGCCAGGCGAGTGCTTTGGTGCTGAGGGCTTTATCCGTGTGGTCACGTTCCCGCCACAGCGCATCATCATCGAGGCCTGTGAACGGATCAAGCGCTTCTGCACGAGTCGATGTGAAAAGTAGGGTTGCTGATGCGGCGAGAGCGGTTCCTGTCTGCCGTGAAAGACCAATGGAGCGAAACAGGGACCCTTTGAGATGCGCGTCGGTTATCGGCTGTCGCGGAAGCGGTTACATCCGGAACGCTCCAGTGCCGCCAAGCGGTTGCTGCCCCGGCTTGAGGCTCTTGGAAACAGCGGATACTCGTTTTCGTGCACCAAGGAGCGGTTGCGCGCCGCCATACCGCACAGCGACGACACCATAGTATCCTTGCAACCAGAAAGGAGAAGCGTGCTGCTCCCGGCTGGCCGAGGTGTTCTTACAAACACTACGGTACGAGTTCAAATTGGGTACGTTCAGCGTGAACGTTTCTAAAACCCAGAAGGGATCGTAACTGGCGTCTTTGCGTATACTCTTGCCGAGCGTATGCAGCGACTTGCAGTGTTTGTGCCTGGCGCGATGCACGGAAGCGGCGTATATTTTCTGTCGCAAAAGCGCTCTATAAAAATCATGCCTGCGACCGAGGACTTGCATTGAGAACACAAAAACTCGCCACAGGACGTTGTCTCTGGCGGTAGACAACGGCTTCGCAAGGATCCTGGAACCATGATTCTCGGCTTGCTCCAGATGATGAACTGAAACGTCATCTATACACGTGTCAGGATGGAATGGAACGGGAAAGTTTTCGTTTTGTTCCTGCCTTTCGATTAGGCATGTTTTCGATAACCAACTGCGGTATTCGAAGTGCTGGAATAAGACACAGGAAGACATGGGTAGTTCTGGGGTTCTCGGTCGTCGTTTTTCTCTCTCTCTCTCGGAATGACGCCTTCGACGCTTTGCCGCTGGAGTTTTCCACTTCACTAAAATCAAGAGGACTCACGATGTCCACGAACAAGGCTTCGTAAAAGAACCGGTATCGTGATCCAATGCGCACCTACAACCCTCTACGCCTACCCGTTCGCTACATCTAGGGTACCCAAATCACGCATCCTTCAAAATTTCCATGTTTCTAGTTCGAGGCACATCGTGAGCGGAGCAGTTTGCTCTTCTGGGGTGACGTGAAATAAAAACGCGATATCGTAATTTGACGACTTTCTCATAAGCTCTGGTCGTGGGTGCCATGATCTTCTTACTTTAAATGATTGAAATCCCCGAACGACAAAGCCTCCTCCTTTGTAATCATCGACGAAACTTTACTCGATAACAACATGATACCTCGAATGGAAGATGCGCCCAGAGGCTCCCATTAATTCTCTTTGTATAGGGATGAGTCTTGGACTTGTGTCATTTCAGCGATCGCCTCCCGTGGTACATGCGTCATCGCTTGATACGTCGACGGATCGAAATGCCTCGACTTTTCTCCGTTAGGAAAAATGTTTCCTTCCAGTACTTGATGCACTATGGACAGTACCGCGTTTCAAGAATGCTCAGTAGAACAGAGCATTGCGGACCTGCGCGTGCAGCGGACAGAGTACTCATCAAGAGTCTCGCCGCGGTGTATCCCACGATCCTAGGGTACAACACTTGGCGCGGAAACCGAGCGCCGCATCTAGAGTAGCCCTCTGTACCCGTCAAATGCATCTACTGGGCGTTGAAGCAAGCCTGCACGCGCCGCACCGGAGCTCTCGGAGATGGAGGAGGATGCAAAGCAGACAGATGGGAACGCCCGATCAGCGTCAGGTTTCATCTCTGAGAGGGGTGCATCGACGCTGCATCGAAGGAAGCTGCAGACTGCCAGCAATGCGTAAATCGCAACTTGCGTCTGTGGAAGAAATGTGTCGACAAGAGCCGGCCACTATAAATTCAGGACTTGAATGCTGCCATTAACAACTGGAGGCTGTTGATAACACAGTAGGAGAGAAGGGAGAAACCGGTGTGTGGAAAGTCACAGAAAGCGTAGAGGAGCAGGAGGCAGTTACGGAAAAATCTCGCCAATGCTGGTGCTTTTGACATTTTGAAACAACCAAAAGATTAGACTGGAGGCTCGAGTGTGTCATTTGGACCCGTTCCATTTTACTCTAACGAGAATATAGAAGATGCCGGGTGTACGGAAGCTCTCGTGTCCGAGGTCTTCAACCGAGCGCCTCCTTTGCACGTTTACCGCGGAGGCAGGGTTCAGGGAGCGCCCGCCGCGTGCAGAGAACGCCGCTCTTTGGGCCGCCTGCCTCATGTGCTCGAAGCGTGCCGCCCTGCTCCTAGTGTGAGCAACCGAAATCAGAACCTGGCTACCCTACATGTAAACCAGAGGTCGAGCAGCCGCATTCCCGGGAAATGCGTAACATTGGCGTTATCTGCTATCAACGGCGAACTGGAAACAGTGTCCATGATAAAACCCTGGAATTTTTTACTCGCTACACAGAGTCTGAGCCTCGGTGACACTTGTAACCAAGCGAGAATAGATTTCATGGATGGATACTTGCCAACGCATTGGAGCACGGTGGTATCTGCATGGTACTCACCAGGGAACTCATTCACATGTCCATGTACCACGCGACAGTTCCCGAAAAACCGTACAGTCGCCAATCTTCACAGCCGTGGCATCCTTGGAGTGCAACCATGAGCAGTGAGGCAAAACCCTTGCATCTTTTCGTTCCAAAGTTGCTGCCAAGCATCCTTCTGGTCGCATTACGATGCGTTCTGTTGCACGTTCTAGTGCGGACGCCCAAATCACGCTATGTAGCACAGTGCTCACTGATGTTTGCGAGCACAACCACGGGTCACGATGCCCTTATTCTACGTATTTTTCTAAAGCGCTTCTCCGAATTTCTGCCTACCAGGCTGGCAACCGGTGATGATCCCTATACATGGTACGCGTTTGATGTATGCCGCTGCGGGTGCACGCGCTCTCTCATGCTGGGAAGCGCTCGACGAGGCGGGAAACAACTCTCCTGCCCTTGGCACCAGATGCGCTTTTCACCAATATCCCATAGACGAGCGTACTCTGTGACGATGACTCATCCTGCAGTGCGGGCTGCTCTGAGCGTTTGTACGAAAACGAGAGAACTTGATGCAGCGTTCGCAATACTGCAAGCATGACAGGCGTAGGCGTATTCGGTAGGTTTCCGTCCGCCCGGGGGTAGCTATCGGATGGATGTCGAGACTCGAGAGAGCCGGCTCGTAGAGACTTACGCCCATCTGCTCATCAACTTGCAGCTGCAGATTCATCCCGAAAATACACCAAAACTGGCTCTCGAACTTGTCTATCACCACGTATGGCCGCATATCCTTGCAGATGACACTGGGCGAACCCCTGAAAAGAGCTGTTCAGTTCACGCACCACCCCTTTCGCATGAACATTCACGCGGATGGGTCTCCAGAAACTTTAGCAGAACTTCTCTTGCCCGCGACAGACGAATAAACGCCTCCGTGCGCTGCTCCTCCTCCCAGGTCTCGCCGGCCTTATCGCCAGCGGTTCGACGCCAGTCTGGGTGCAGCGGTGCACATTTGCTGCGGAAAGTTCGATTGACAACGTGCGAGCACCAGTCACCCTCAAGACCGAGTACTCGAGCCGCGTCGGTTACAGTCAGATCCAGATTACCTCGCTTGGCGTTGAAGGCCTGCAGCCGCTCTTCCTGTTCCCGGGTGTAGTCCTTCACCCACTCAATCGCGCCGTCAATCGCGTAGCGTTTGCAGAAGCCGCAACGAACCCCATCTTTGTTATAGATGATCTCACTCTGAATATTACCGTTTTCGTAGTAAGTACGCCAGTGACCCACTTTGCGAGCGCGCATGGTCTCTTCGTCCTCGACAAAGAAGACTTTCTCCGACTTGAGACGATTATTCGGGTAGTAGTGTTTGCGGTAAAGGTACGGCTGGCCAAGTGCAAAGTGCATGTCAACCCTACATATCCCACTTGGATCGTAGTGCTTCTCTTCAACTACGCGGTCGTAGTAGGATGACTCAGCGGTGGGGTCTGTGGCGTCCCGACGAAGGCGTCGCACGAAGGTCCGCATCAGCTTCAGCATGCCGTTCTCGTGGTACTCACGAACTGTCTGCAGCCGTCCATCCTCTTCGTCCGGTTCGGTGTCCTCGTCATCCGATCGGTAGCCGTGGTACAGGTCGAGGACACAACTTTGACGTGTGTAGACGCCAGCAAGACGCAGTGCCTCTGCCGAGGACTGGTGCAAGTCTAACTTGTGATTAACTTCGGTGCTCAGCGCGAAAACCGCATCATCGTCCTGTGCTTTGTTCGTTGGTTTCATGTTCGAGACTAGCGGTGTCAAGTTCGGAGACAACGCCAGGAAACTGGTCCTGGACACGCTTTTTGAAGCACTCTTCAAGCGACAAGTCGTATGTACGAAGCGGCGGTGGCGGGTGTTGGGAGCGCCCTGCCCCCGCCAGGCCGCCACCGGGTGCATTCCTGTCCGCACGTTCCAGGCGAGGATCCTAGGGCACAAGCGCTGCACCTCTGATGAAGCCTATTGGTTGGGGGTTTTCGCACCTGGACCTATGCAAGCTTTTGTAACTTTCGCTTTTATGGGCGTAGACGTGGAGCATAGGTAGTTCTATAAACGGTAAGATTGGTTACCTTTAGTGTTCTTGGCGAGTTTTCGCTCGTAGCGTTCGTTACCCGCTCAGAGGGGGAGCGCGTGGTGATGTATGGTAGGATGCGGGCTCTTCGTTCCTTGAGCGTTTCTCGTGGAGTTCGAATCGTGCAGTTACGACTGTAAACAAGCAGAGGAGAAGCCCGTAAGCTCAACTGTTCAATTGCTTGTGGGGCACTCTGTTCCATTGATGCGCGATGCGGCACGCTCATAGTCGAAGTACTTGATGCTTGCGCTGGTCAGCAGCAGCAGCAGCAGCAATAGCACCAGTGTCCAGATTGAAGTAGCGGCATCCAACTTGCAGAGCAGATCCCGCGGGCTACTGCTGCCGCGAACAAGAAGGCTCCCAACGGGCGTCCCTCTCTAAACCCGAGAAGGCACTGCTTCGTGCCGGGCTCAGGGGCATTGTCGCCCGCCGCTGCTGCCCTGTCCTGCGACCGGTGCGCCGAGTGAACAACGCTATTCGCAGTGACGCATGAGAAACACCGACCCGAGCGCTGCACGGCCTTTCTATGGGACAACGACAGATGACTCAACCGTGTTGGTTTCCGATCGTAAAGCGCAGCTCATATGACGGAACCACAGCACTGCTCAAAGTATCCGCTCGCACACATTCTATATACGCAGCGGAAGCAAGAAAACTCGATGGACGTGCGCGAGGTGCTCGGTACATGCATGTTAGAATAGAATGGAAAGAAACAACGTACTTAAGACGGGCGTATGCCCCAAGTATGGGATCTCTTCGCACGGTCATCGACAACAGCCTCTGCGAGCTTGCTCTGACACTGATTCCTATTAAACTTTCTTGTATGCGGCTTGATATAAGCGGGTCTCTCCTTCCCCTGTAGCGCCGTTGTGAGCCGTCGAACGATGTGCATGGCAGTGCCCAAGTCCCGATTCCGCCGATTCCAGCTGTCGTCAACACAATCATGCAGAGACGCAAGATGCGATATACGCCTCGTTTGCGATGTCCATCTTCTTTGTAGACACCCTCGATGCGCCCTTCTCAGATCTGCGACTTGACTGAACTCAGGTGCGTTCATATGACCGTCATACAATATCTTCCATCTCAGAGGGCAACCCTGTGGCACGTGAACACTTGCCTCATCGTTTCGGTACGTGCTCTTGACAGGTGCAGAAGGCTCTTTTTGATGCCGTCCACTATTTCCGCATCCGGTGTCGTACTCTCTGATCACGGGCTTTTTCCGGGAGCTGCCCTTCGGCGATTACTTTGTCCGCAGCCAAAGCAAGCGTACGCTGTCTCATGCGATCGAGAATTTACTTTGCACGATACTGCCCGTAATGCAACAACTAACGGAACAAGAATCTAGGCTGGAAGTCAAGTCCAAAAATTTCCACCCATCTACCTTCCCTTCCTGCCGAACAGTGGTCACACACGCTGCACTGGAAACGATCACTGCAATGACCCGAGTCCGCGTCCAAGACCATTTCCATGCAAACAGAAGAAACGGGCGCCTCTGAGCACATATCCCATGACAGGTATCGGGTTGGTGTGGAATGCGGTTTCGTCAAAGGCCAGAGAGCGTGAGATTTGTCGTTCGAGGGAACTCAATCGTTCGATTTGACAAGTTCAGTGAACGCTCGATGTCAGCGTGTGGGCAAGTCAGCAGACGACATCGAGTACCTCTTCGGTCAATGCAGGTACGCGACTGCGCGGAAACGAGAAGAACCCCAGAATGGAACGCGCTGCGCGCAAGGAGAAACGCAGAGGCTTGTACATATGAACTCGATGATGATATCGATTATTTTACGAACCCCAGGTTCAGGGCAACGCGAAACGTCTTCATTCCAGTAACGTTACGTATTCCAGTGGCAACGAGTCGAAACAGATACTCCGAAAGCACCACCACCAAGCATCCTAAAATGACGCATACAACAGTGCGCCCTTCGTGCTGCACACTGAATCTCCAGGCTGCACATCAAAGCAACTTCGGAAAAAGTCGAAACCCAGGAACCGACCAAGCTGTTCAGGATTCCTGTTGAATATGATGCGGGTCTAAGAGACGCACGTCTCCGCGGCAAAGACACCGTGGGTACGCATGGATCGCCGACCTCGCTTCACCGACACGAGTCTTTGCCGACAAGCGTCGCTTGTAGACACAGCGTCAACGCTTTGAACTGCCTGGAGAGATCCATGGCGCGTAAACGTCGGTACCTAGCCAGTTCAACACAGGGATTAAGGCGCCACTGCGAGAATGCCGCGGACTTGGCTGGTACGATCACCAGCCTGCGAGCGATGCATCCACCGACCGCAGTCCGGTCTCTGAATCTCCACGAATACTTCGGTTCGTGGACCAACTCGCTCAAGTACGACGTGTTGACACCAGCTTCGTATTGTCTCGGGACGACAACACGCATCCGTCTCGAGACGCAGTGTTACCAAAGCCCTATCCCAGGTCACAAAACAGATACGCAGGGAACGCATTACCGTGTGCCCATCGCTCAGGAGTGGATGCTGGAACAGCTCTGCAGTGAGCTTCCTCTGCTGGCGCTCCGCGTAGACACCCGCCAGCAATTCGTAGCACTGACGGACGCACGGCATGGTCGTCACGAGGATGAGGCTGGCAATTAGCATCGAACAGACCGGATCACTCCAGGCGAGTCCCTGGTAGCGCACTAGAATACTGGTGATGATCACCCCGATGCTACCGAGGGTGTCGGCAAGCAGATGAAGGTACGCTGCCCCCATGTTTTGGGCACCGGCAGAACAAGATTCTCTCAGGTGATGATGATGATGATCATGATGATCATGGAGCAACCACAGTCCCAGGATGTTCACTGCCAAACCTATACAAGCTACCGGCAAAAGCGGCTCCACCTGGAGCGGCAATGGTTCCACGAGCCTCCACAGCGCCTCTAACCCAATGTTGAGCGCAACCAGGCTGAGCACCAGAGCGTTGGTATAGCCGGCAAGCACTTGCATCCGCTGAAGACCGAACGGAAAGCGGCGACTTGGCGGAAGTGCCGCTCCGTAGGAAGCCAGCAACGCCAGGAGCAGCGCGGAAGCATCCAGCAGCATATGTGCCGCGTCCGACACCAGGCTCAACGAGTGCGACCAGCTCCCACAGACAAACTCTATCGATGCATATGATAGGTTCAAAAGCAAGGCGAAGAGCATTTTCCGTGCCTCTCGATGGTGTCGCACATGAGCCAAAAAGCGATACCAGTGGTGCCGCCAACGTGATCCAGGAGCGTCAAACGACGTCTCGACGTCGTATTCGCGGAAAAACTCGGAATCGAATACGTCGCGTCCTTTATCGAGGCACTGGTTAGGCATCCACGGATCCAGAGCACATCGGTGCGCGGCAATCGTTCGCATACCCGAAAGTTGTGAAGCGTTTTCACCAGGTTCCGGGAGTTGATGGTTCCGCTCTTCACCCGCAATGCTCGTCAGTCGCTGCGGAGTGGCATCGGATTTTTGGCGGAGGCGCTGCACCAGCCACGATAGGATGCTTGCACTCGGCACCGTCAACCAGTACAGATGAAGTTCATAGCAACAGGCGGAAGCCTCGGTTTCTGGCAAACCCAAGTTAAACAAGAACAATAACATAAACACGAGCGCTGCAAACAAAACCGGCGTCATGGTCTGAAGCTGCTCCAGGGGCTCACCGGGCGCGCTTCTCGTGAACCACGCCAGACACCAATCCGCGGTGATGAGCACGCCCAAACGAAAAAAGAATACACTAAATTGAGCGATGCTTCGAGATTGTAAATGATCAACGAGGTAATCTTTGGGTACGCGTCTGGTCGGCAGCATCGCAAACAGGAAATGGAAGAGTCCATAGAGAACTAGCGCTGCGGTGGTAGCGATGAGGCGTCGGTGTGCTCGTTCCCGTCGCCGCAACAGCAGCGCGTATTCACCGGGCTCTCCTGCCATGTCCTGTTCGTGGCGCTGCTCTAGAAAGTGAGCGAGGGCAATATACAGAAGACCGATACCCAGGAGCGCTTTGTCGGTGACATCTCCCCAGAGCGTACTGTTGCCCGTGGCCTTGCTGGCAATGTAATCGCACGGCTCCCGGAAGCATTCCCAGAGCATCAGCGCCATCAGCACCACAGCTGACACCAAAGCAGCAATTGCGTCATGAAGGAGGATGGAGCGTTGTCTGTATCGCCAGCAGAGCGTCAGCGCCCGGAGCAAGGCGAGACCAGTTTGATCACAGAGGAGCACCAGCTGGGTGCCCTCTACTGCAGATCCGCAAAGTGCTAGTTTTGAAGCCGCCAACGTTACGCCTATGATATATAAAAGCCGAAACCGAAGCACGTTGCTCAAGTCCAAAAGCCGGGTAAACCGTCTGGGTGCCGCCCGCTGAGCTCCTTCGCGGCGTTGCAGCAGCAGCAGCAGCCGTCTGTGCTGCTGCTGCTGCTGCTGCTGCAAGTCATGAACCCCAAAATCGGCATCTTCGCCAAGATCCATGACAACAGCAGCACCGTTTTCTATTCCCGTTCGGTTTACCCAGAGGCTTTGTGGCCGTATCCTTTTCACCAACACCAACAGGGGAGCGAGTCCGCAGGCTCCGACGAGACCCACCAGCCCGAGCGCTGCAAAGAGCAGGCCCACTGCGCCCGAGTCTGCTGGGTGCACCAGCGCGCTTAGGCCACAGGCTTCGGCGATCCGACCAACTTGAAACAGCAGACCGAGTTTGAAAAGCTGAACATCCATCAAAGGCGGTCAGACTGTTGCCATAGCCAGCTGCAAGCGGAGGCTCGAGGAGAGCGGCGCCAGCACCTCCTGGGGTAAACCTAATGGAGGCGCGCCAGGCACCAGGTCAAATTCCTGGTACTGTGGTTGCGGTAACGAGCGCGGGGTACACAACGATGCTGCATAGATATTTTGTTTCCTTTACTGCTTCTTCGGAGGCTGGTTCCTAAATGGAGTGCAGCCAACAACGCTCATGACGCGTTGCGACTGGAATAGCGCTCTCCTTGGGCCTCTGAGCAGGTCTCCGGGTGGAACGGTGGCATGTGCGCTTGTGCAAGTATATACATAATTGCTCATGTATGTACAGATTGGTGCACACGGTGGTTCCTCGGCTGCAGAACAGTACCCTATTGTATTGTTGCGCTTGCGCTTCCCTGGAACGCACCCAGCAGTATCGTCTGGTCCAGAAGCAGCTGTAGAAGCGCTCAAGAGCTCTATAGGCGCTCAGTGCCTGCTAGGCAACGAATCAGAGTAGGCGCTGACGCCTAGCGCTGAGCGCGGGGCCGAACACGCCATGCGGCAGCAGCAGCAGCGGGCTCCGGTGTCCGCGCCTCCGCGTGGTACCTGGGCTGGCGCTCGGGCCCGCAAAGCGTGGAACGACCGAACGCTCGTATCCGCCGCCTTCGTCACGAGTAGTTTTTCTAGTCGTCGTCGTCGTCGTCGTTGTCAGTACTATGGTCAAACTGAACCCTTGTGCTTATCGCTGCTGCGACGCATCGACTGCCCGCACTGGGAAGCGTGCGCCGGCTGCACGCTACAAGACGCGACAGCGCAAGCAAGACCACCTATTTTCGAGCAAGTTGCAACGTTCTTCGCTGAAACCTTCGGATACCAGTTACCTGAGCCAGTGGTTGCGTCGAGTTCTCATCACTGGCGAACACTGGCCAAGCTCGCGGTTCGATGTGCACCAAAAACGCCCCACCAGAACAGGGTGGACAAAGTGCGCAGCTGGGCGCCACAATTGGGCCTGTTTCGAGCAGGTACTCATGAGGTCGTCGCGATACCCGAGTGCCAAGTACATCACGCTGCCCTGAACAAGGCGTTCAAGTGCTTGGAATGCGTTCTTGCCCGTTCCGCTGTAGCAATCTACGATGAGCGTCGACCCCGGCTGGAGTCGCTGCGCTACGTTCAGCTGGCCGTTGAACGCCGAACCGGCCGGGTGCAGCTGGTACTTGTCGGGTATCGGGAGCCGACCAGCCAGCCGGTTGCACCATCCCGACGGCGCACTGATGCCAGCTTGCTGACACCCACCTGGCGAATGCTCTGCGACCAGCTCTGGGAAGAGGGCAAGCGCTTCGGATCCAAGCAGCAGTTGTGGCATTCGATATGGGTGCATATGCACGCTGGGCGAGGCAATGCCATTTTTGCATCGGCACATGAAGCGAGCCAAACGGAGACCGCCCAGTGGCAACAGGTGTACGGTGACGCGCCGTTTATCATCGACGAACCTCTGGCTGGTGAACCAGGCCCGGTGATGGTGCTCCCACCGTTCGCTTTCCAGCAGGCGAATCTGACTGCTTACCGGGCGATGTTACCGCTGATCGGATTCTGGTGTATGCAGCCGCTGCCTAGCAGTGTCCAGCGACGCTGCAACGTTGCCGCGATGACCAGTCAGCCACAAGTCGGTACCGTGGCATCCAGGTCGATGCCAGTGCTCCGAATCGCCGAGTTCTGTGCGGGAGTCGGCTCGATTGGGCTCAGCGTTGTACGGCAAATGCAACAATTGCCGAATGCTCCTGCACACATCTACCTCTGGGCGAGCGATATTCATCCGGGTGGCCAGGTTGCGTTCTGGGAAACAGCACGCCGTAATGGCCTTCTTGACGAACGGGTGAGGTCCGCACTCGAGCTGCGCTACCAAGTCGGGTCGCTGACGGCACTCGCACAGCGCGTCCATGACCCGAAGGTTGCGGCTTCGATCGTGATTGCGGACCCACCGCGTGCAGGTCTCGGACCAGTGTTCATCAGTGAGGTGCTGGGCAAAGCGTTGACTCCGTCCGCCACTGATGATGCTGCATCGAGTCGTCTGGAGCGCTTTATCTACGTGAGCTGTTCGATGTCATCGTTCATGCGGGATGTGCGACAACTGGTTTCTTTCGCACCGAATGATCGCAACAGAGACGCTTCTGAGCCGACGGTGTGCTGGACGTTACGTCACGCCCAACCGTATTTGTTTTTTCCTGGTGCAGATCACTTGGAAATGGTAGCTGTGTTTGACCGACAGGTTCGAGGACGTTGTCGGATGTCGTAAACGCTGCGCCTGTATCGCGAATGCAATTTCCAGCGGTTGCTAGTCAGCAGCAGCAGCAGCAGCAGCAGCAGCAGCATGCAAGCTGCTCTCGAGTACGACACCGGTGAGCACTTTCCAAAGCGTCTTTGGCGATACCCGAGCGTGTCGCGCAAATCCAACACTCAGTCACTGCAAAAGTAGCCGGCCTGCAGCAGGAGCTTTGCCCAGTTTCAGGTGCAGTGCCGCGGATGCTGGAATCATGCTCCTCGTTGCTCGTGCTCACTCGGCGCATCGACAGGTCAATGGCGAGCCTCAGAGACTCACGGTGGCACTGGTTCGAACCAGGATACTGCTGCTGCTGCTGCTGCTGCTGCTCATCTCGTCGAACATCGAGTCATCGGTGTGAACACCAGCTGACACCGCCTTGCGATGCGCTCGTGTCGGAGACGATAACGCCGCCTGTCCCGATGTATACGCCGCTGCCGCTGCTCCTCGTGTTCTTTGCGGATGCATGAGGTCACTGGAACGCCTACCCTCGCGTCCTGGACGCAGCAACTCGTGTTCAGCGGCAAAGTGGCCACGACGGTAGCGGCCGCCACGGCAACCAATACGATGAATATCCCGGCGATCGACGTGCCGCCTCGACAACACCGCTGCTGCCTTTCCTTGTGCATCTTCTTCATCCTCCTTTGCCTCTATCTCTATCTGAATCGCTGCCTCTGCCTCTGTCGTTGACGTGTGCATCGAACGTCCACCACTCTTGTCGCCAAGGCGGCGGGGCGATCGACGGCGCCTGCCCTGTGCGTTGAAACAAGGATCGGCACACAAGATGCCGTCTTCACCCGTATCGACGTCTTCTTCGTCTTCGTCTTCACGATGGTGACGATCACGACCATCATCGGTGTCGCCGAATGTAATCATCCAGGGGATATCGCCCAAGATACCGTTTCCAAAAGGCCCGAGGTCGTGTTCCAGTGGATCACCGGTCCACTGCCACCACTTGGGATCGATCACGATATCGCCGTCACCGAGATCATCCGACTCCGGCCTGAACGGTGACCACAGACCACTCGACTCGTCCGAAGACGATAGTCGTAGTAGTTCTCGTTCATAGGCATCGATCTGTCGCATACGCTGGAGATGACGATAAGCAAATGCCAACTGGCCCAGGTTACGCGAACGCTTTCGACGCTGCTGCCTGCGACAGGATGTGCGTCGCCCGCTACGCACTCGTTCCGTTGCTTCGGTGAGCGCTGTGGCGGAAAGCATCGGAGGCTCGGAGCGTACGCTCTCGCGACGATGTCGCTTAGGATGCCTGCGTCGAGCCTCGCGATACACTGGTGACGCATTCTCGATATGGTCAGCACCACAATTACGATCATCGTCATCGTCATCAGTCAAGCTTTTCGGGGTTGCAGCTCCAGCACCGTGTCGTACCTGCGCTGCACGCCATGTTGCTGCTGCTCTTGGCGGTGGCGAGGGCAGGGCATGCTCACACGTCGCTACTGCCGTTGCCACTGCCACTGCTGCATGATCGAGGTGTTCACGCACGCTACCAGCATCCGGTGGTTGTGCTGTATCACCGCCAGCTTGCACTGGTATTGGCGTTCGTTCAAGCGCTCCAGTCGGTTCCGTTCGTGCGGAAACGGTACCAGATGCAGGCATCGTGCCAATGGGCGCACTCAACGCATCTTGTACCGTTGACGGTGCAACGTGCGGCACGTGCTCATCAGAAACACCGGTTACCGATACGTCGCGAGTGTCATCATCGGATATCTTTGTCGAATCTCTTCCGGGCGCTGATCTCTCCTCAGCGGATTGCAGCGGTGTTGCCGCGGGATCCCTCACCGTCGCTGCGAGATGTCGGCCTACTGCTTCGATAATGGTGTCGACGCTGACCATGTTGGCAGCAGGGTCGGTAACAGCCTCGGAAGATGCGGCACGCTGATCAGCGACCTGCGCAGTGCTCAGTACGGGATCCGTTCCGGGATGCTCACCAGGTGTTGGGGCAGCTGCAGCTAGCGCCGCTCCAATATGTCTCCCCGGAACAACCAGGTATCGTCGATGAGCGGCCGAGGACGCACTTGCACCTAACGAAGGCGCCTGTGGCGTGACGTCCACGCGTAAATCCGCTGTTGAAACTGCCTCCACGAATGCCTCTGGCGTTGCTTCCGTTTCCTGACGCAGTGCCTGGTGTGGTATAAGCAACACGAGGCCGTGTGTCGTTTTGATCGAGGTAATCGTAATGCGCTGATCACCGGCGTACGCTGGCAGCGTCGCAGTCGGTCCAATCGTTTCCGCTGATACCGGTCGATACTCTTCGATGCTGCCAAAGAGCACGCCTTCTGCCTCACTGGAGCTGGATACATCACTCTCCGCGGAGGATACGTCCGCTGCCGCATCGCTGCGCGACAGCGCATGCTCAACATCCGTCACAGAGGCACAGTCACTGCACGAACAAGTGATGTCGAGGTGCTTGTACAGCTCGACCTCTGCTTCCAGACACTGGCCACAGCTGCACGACACGCCATGCGCGGCGATGCACCGGTACTCGACGCCGTTCGAGAACATCGCTGTATCGCCAGTGATGCCTGCAACCAGACCGTCTGCAACCTGGGGAATTGCTGCCAGGTCTGGCAGCAAGAGTCGAGATGCTTCATCGTCAAGGAGCAGGGCCCGTGCGTCCGTGTTCTCATTCTGGATCACTGTCCCGGAGGATGGAGCCCCGCGCTCGGGAGCACTCGCTGCATTGGGACCGGATGCACCAGCTGCGGGGCCGAGTTTGTCACCCAGCTGCTGAATCGTAGCCATTCCAGCAAGCGCAGCACGATTCGGGACTGCAGTGGACCCGGTTCCATGCCCCAGGTTCAGATCCTGGCCAGTGTAGACTTCGCAATCCGGATGCCTCAGGAGATAGGCTTTCAGATTTTTGGCCAACGGCGACGCATTTCCCGAAATTTTCAGCTTCTTCACTCGATTCCATATGGGTACGTGCTCGCCGAGGCCTCCGCTCCCACTGCGCGCATCAAAAGAGCGTAGACGGCCCTGTTCATCGAGATCTTGGCCACAATATACTTCACAATTGGTGTACTTTGCTAAGTATTTGCGCAGGTTTTTCGCCAAGGGTGCAGCGTTGCCGCTGATTTTGCGCAACTCTTCGCGGTTCCAAATAGCGACCCGATCCTTCGCCCGATACTTGATGGTTTCTTGATTCTGGGGAATGGACACTACGAGAATGACGGGATCCGCGAGATCACCATTCGAACCGGGTTTCTCTACAAAGCGCACATTCTGCTGGACGAGCGATGACGGCGTCGTGTCGAGCGCGGGGCGCCATGCAGACTGCTCTGGGGCAGCGTTCATGTTCGTTACAGTAGTGCTGTTCGTTTCCGTATGTGCGGATTCGGTGCTCCCCGGAGCACCACATGTATTGGAGGATGGTTCCGAATCCGCGGCTGGAGGTGTGGACGGTAGCTCGCAGGCTGCGCTTGCCCCGGTAGCCGCAGATTCTCCCGTTTGTGCAGGCGTCAGTGCCGAAGCGCTCGACATTTCAGGGATTCCAGCGGCACCAGTGCCTGCAGTGCGCCCTAGTGCACACGCTGGAGGCACTGCATGGCTCGGCGATAGCTGCGAATACTCGTTTGCCGTGTTTCCTGCTGGATCGGTGACGTCAGACTCCAGCATCGGTGCTTTGCGTTCATGAGCTGCAGTTTTCGAGCTGCCTTGTATTTCGCTTGCGCTTCGTAATCGATTGTTCTCTACGTTGCCCACAGAAGCGTTCGACAATTCGGTGAGCTCTGGGGTATTTACCGCGAGGGGCGTATCCGCATACTGGACGCCCTCGTCGGATCGAACTGCTGCCGTTTCTTGCTGGTCCTTCTCAACGTCCGGAGAACCGTCTCGAACAACAACCTCCCCTGCTTCGTCTCCAGTTGGAGCTTGTGCAGCCTCTACAGATTCCAGCACCCTTTCAAGCGCACTCTCCCGTGCAAATGTTGATGGAGGTCGCTGTGGATTGCCTCGCACGGCATCCGATACGATTCGGTTCGCATCTGTGTCTGCGCAAGCATCCACCGTTACACATTCAGCCGGCACTTGAACTTGGCGAGCACCGCGCTTCTTTTCGATGCTGATACGTTCTGCAATTGTTTCAGTTGTTGGCTCCAAAGTGCCCCTAGCGTCATGCTGCTGACAGTTGATATTGCTCCATGGTGCACGAGCAACCGAAGGTAGCGTTCTCCTAGCGGATACGCTCACTCGGGTGGCTGCTTTTCGGGTTAGGCCACTTGTCTGGGTGCAGGCCTCGTCCGGCGGTGCGTGCACCAGGGACTCCAGCTCGACACCCGGGCATCCACTGCTTGGCGGACTCATCGGAACCCCATCCGAAAACTCAGTGGCTTGTTCAAGCTCGGTCATTCCAGTACACTTCTCGTTCGTACAGAGCGCAGTTTACACGCAGCGTGCAGTAAAAACTCTCCGTAGCGCTCGTGCTCGTGTCAGCAGCTATGGTGGTGTGCGATCGCCCTTGCAGCAGTTTCGAACCGAACACAGGTAGCAGGCTGCGCGGGTGACCAGAGCCAACTCGTCCAAGAATGCCTCGCTTTCAGCTTCGTCAGTACCTTCAACTCTATGTACTTGTCAATGAACCGCAGGAAAAAACGGCGTAGGCCCGAGATCGTTCACAGCTCGGCCCCGATCTGCGGCCGCAGCTCGAGCAAGCCGTCACCAGGCCGCGTCGCTGCGTCTATGCACCACCTATGGAGCGTGTGTCCCGAACGGCCAACTGCTGGTCGCCTTCCAACAGGATGACCCTCTATATCCAAAACCCAAGCTGATTACTCAAGAAGCGAATAGGAACACACAGCAGCTTGGATGCACCTGTTACACACAACCACCCGTTACCAATAGACCTCCAGCGAGAGAAAGCGCCGCCCATCCATAGATTGGGACACCGGCGTCGGCGTCGATGTCGCCGTCGTCGATGTCGGCGTCGACGGCCTCATCGCGATGAATCCACCGAACACCCGACATTCGTATGGCATTGCGGTAACGTGCAGTCATCGATCGACCATAAACTGGATGGCTACTTGCGATATGTCGTCAATGACTGGTCGACTGTGGGCTTGTGATCGTTGTTCAAATGAATGAGCGCGTTCCGTAATCATGTGAGGTACATGAATACCGACGGGCAGACGCCTCCTTGCCTTGTTCGACGCGCCCTCTGCTATCGGTGTCAGCCTCTCCTTGTACACGTCGGGTCTGAGAGGGGGTGCCCCTCAAGGCTGGTATACCGCAGCTGCACAGGTCTCTGCTTCAGTAACGCACACCTCCTGATATGTATAGCAGCGTGTAAGTTTCGATTCACAAACACAGTGTGTTGCTTGCTTCTGATTGTGTTCACCAGTGCAAGGAGTCCTCGAACTCGTGCCCTCAGTGCCACGGCAGTCTCGTCATCGTGCCATCGGGTGAACACCTCTTTATTTCCCTTCTTCTTCTTATTTTTGGTCACTTGTGCTTCTTCGATGGCTTGTTGACAAGAAGAGGATTTATTCGTTTTTTTCCTGCAGGCGGAGATGGCGGCCTTCCAGGATCCTCCACTTGCCTGTCCATTGCTTCCCGTTGGATTTTTGTTTCTTCAAATGAACGCACTTCAGACGCATGAGCTGTAACCGCGAAAAAGTATATGATTTCGCACACCTAGGAGAGTTACCAATTGAAGGGAACGTCTAGCAACGGCAGACGGTGCCATTTCCGCACGTCCGGTAAAGGCGTCACGATTTCGCTGGACGCCACGAAGCACTGCTTCATATGATCTTTCTACTCAGTTTTATGGAACGACTGCTGTGGTGTGTAGCAAGCCACGGAAATTACCATGCCATGTATCATGCAGGTCTTAGAAGAATTGCCTGTAGTTTCTATATTCTTAACTGAACATTGCAAGGAGGACTACATTCCTCTTCAGGTCAGTCATATCACAATACCCAGATGATTGGGGAACACTGGATGAAACAAGTAGATGCGCTCCGCGCGAAACACCGATATTCTCGAAGAGTCCTTGCGGTCAATGGTAGGACAGGATAAACACCATGTGGTAAGCGAAAGCGACGATCGCAGTCACCACGGGCGGCTGTGTTTCTCAACAACGTTTGAATATTGTCCTGAAAACTCTAGGATGCTGGCACAATACAGTGCTCGTACAATTACGGTCATCTTTCACCGAAATCGCTACGACAACGTTTCTGGAACATCGCGATCGGCATGAAGTACAGGGACGTCGGGTTGTTTTCTCAATCGATGAGACTGACTTGGGACGAGCCAGTCGGAGTGTAAATGGGAATTCGCGGAGCATGGTGCCCGTTGTATTTACGATCGGACGCGAGGAGAAGGGTGGCATCATCTGTTCTAGGTGGAGCGGATTCATTATGCGACCTCGGATTCGCTCGCAGACATGGCTCATACAACAGCTTCGACCACTTTATCAAATCATTGAAGGCTTTTTTCCTGACGTCTCGCGCCATGCTTCCATGAAGCAACATGGCATTTGACCGGTCCCGTTGCGTTCGAGCTTTTGCCGATTCTGTCGGAATGTAGAGCCGCTTTTCATTGCTCGGTACCCGCGGTGGTTCAACTCCATCGAACACATGTTTTCTATCTTGAACCGTAATGATCGCTCCACTGGGCGAATCGCGGATGCTTCCAGAACACAGGGACACAACGGGGCACAGGTCGTGTTTGTTCCGCAAGCCCTTCTCGCTAGGGGCAGGTCCTCGTCGATGGTCATAACAAAGTGCGTCCATTCGAAGACAAAAAGATCCAAGGGAAACTTTTGGTGATGCACGTCGGGGATCGTGGAAGCCTGGTGGCTCCAGGATCTACAAAGAAACGAACATATCCTCTTCTCTCCGAACAAGGAGCGAAGAGGAAGAGCACGGAAGATGGCGGAGGAGTCTGCCTGACGGGACGCCAACGGGACTGTCGAGACACAGAGGGAACGAGTTCGAGCAATCCTTGCATTGGAGCGTTCAATCATCGGCAAAAATCGCATGGAGTTCGTGAACCGAGACTTATATGCCTCCGCCTCTATCGGGCGACGTGCGGTGCCGAGGACGAGACCCAGGTAGCTGACACGATCCGACTTTATGGGACAACCTCCCAGGATCGAACTGTACAATGAGAAACTGAAGCCGACGGCAGTCGGCCGGTCGACAATGGCGGGAAGGCGTCTGCGCGTGGGTATGTGTATTTACTCTCCATATTCGGAAATTGCTGTTCGCTTCACTGACGTGTATTGCGTTCATGCCAGCCATGTGCTGTTCTAGACTGAGTTAATGATCAAAACTATGTGGATGTATCGAAGCAGTGCCTGAAGCGTACTCGAATTCTAAGGTTCGGACAAGGCGCTCCGACGCACACACAGCGCGCTAATAGATTCATGTCCATCGGGAGAAGCACTGCATCAGACCGATGGCGTGCTCGTCTTTTGAAACCATACTTTGGGATGCAGGTTGCGGCGCATCTAGATATCTTGAAGCTCGTAACTGCCGGACAGACAGAAAAACGCATCATTCCAAGGGATTGCTCAAGCATGTCTTGCATCGCTGGATCAGGTTCGGATGCCTGGCAGTGCTTCAACATCTGGGCTCGATCGAAACCGAAAGTCTTCGTACAAGGAGCCAAAATCCCTTTTCTGCTGACTTGCAGCATTTCCGTATTCGAAATACTCGAACTGGATGTACTGATTCTTCACGTAAATGATTACTGACGGGGTCCATGCAGATTTTCGGCTTTTCTCACGTCCATTCTACAAGAATATCTTTGCGTTTCCATGGACTGCAAAAAGGCGAGCCTGCGTCTTCGCATTCTATCGATAGTGAGGAAATTGGCGACAGAAAACAAACCCCTACGAAACGTTGCTGCTGTCACGAGACACTTTGAGCCTGCACGCCGCATATTCCAGGAACGGAATAGGTGCCTGTTGCTCCGAGCACATACCAGGCTGCGGCGGTGGCGTTGTACTGACACCATGCACCAGTTGACAGTCGCATGTGGTAATTTTCCGGCTCCGGCGAGAGATCGGTTGCAACCCAGAGGCCAATGGAATTGTTGCCAGAGGATCATGTCGAGATTGGGTAGACCCGTGGTATTCGGATTTGTTCATCGATCATCATCGTTCGTGACACGATCGACAGAGTGCATCCACGGACAACAAGGCAGGCAATTCGGATGACATGCGCTCGACCACTGGCTATGAAATCATTTGGTGCTTAGCTGTGAACGAGCATGGCGGTGAGTCTTCAAATCGAGGGTTGTTTAGGTGTGCAATACGGGTCAATGTGCCGGGCGCGTTCCGGGCAAGAGAGATCCGCGTCCACCATCAAGTCACTGGACGTATCCAGTTGCCCGATCAATAACGTTCTGCTTATCGATGATGACGTCGTCATTGAAGACCAGACACAGGCGCGGAAGAACCGAGGATACTCACCTGGTCCCGATCGACAGTGTATCGCGTCCACGTCACTGAGACGACAACAAGTTCCAGCCGCTACTGCCCAGGAAATGGCGCATGCTCTGGTCCTCCTCATTTCAGGATGGACGGGTTTCACGCCAGATGCGCTGGGCGCAGAAAAGCACGGGCCGTGATCTTCGCGTGCGCTTCTGGTAAACCGAGCAGGCCTCGTTGACATTAGTAGCGGCTGCACAGCCGTCTGCGTTTCATTTGGAGTGCCATCCAATCGGAGCATCGTCAAGGACGCCGGCCCCGAGTGTGCCGCGTACTCGCCAGTGATTGATTTCATTCATCATCACACGAGGAGATGGCATGCTGCGGTGGTGCCTGCTCGTGACTGCGCAGCTCACGCAGTACGGCATCAAGCTGCTCTCGAAAGTGTCGCAGGCGCTGGCGTAGGCGCGTGTTCGCCTGAGCATTGGCGACGCAAGCGCGTCGCCAAGCGTCCGATTCAGAACGTAATCGAGTGATTTCCGCTCGCAAGCGCTGCAACTCCTCGCTAGCCTCCGTACTGCGACGGGCTGCTTGTGATTTAGGGTATGCGGTGTCGACACGAGACGGGCTGGCGCATCGAGTGGCGATTTTCGTATCTAGGGCGATGTTCGAGAATCTTGTTCCTCGTCTCCGATGTTGGTCGTCTCCCAACGACTGTGACTGTATCAAAGCACCGGACGATGTTCCATTGCGTATCTTAGGCACCGAACCGCGCGGAAGCCGAACCTGCGGCTGCCGTATCCGACTCGTCACCGGCGATAGGTCATCGGACTGCGCTCGGTTTACGAAACTCGACTCGGACCTGGAAGACGAATTCGCTCGGCTTCCGTTGCGGCCATTCTGGAATCCGATGCCTGCTTCAGACGGATCACAAGGCTGCTTCCATTCAAAATACGACGGCGTCTCATCGACGAGGCTCATATGAAGACCGCTTTGGATGCCTTCGAGCATGCGCTCCAATGGCGGGGTCCATGCTTCCGGATCCGTAGCTGACACTCGAGACATGTCCGCAGCAGCTTTGGTGTTTCCTTCGGTCGATAAGCACAGCACGTCTCGACTGGTAGACGAGGCGGCGCGGGTCCGGGCTCCGCCTCCTCGCGCAAGCCACGGAGTCCCATATGCTTGTTTCGAAGCAGCAGCAGCAGCAGCAGCAGCTGGTGTTGCGACAGACCGACTTTGTCTCAGCGCAAAGCTCCCCGGCACAACGACCTGTTCGTCGGAACGCGACCCCTCCGCCTCTTTCGGGCTGCTCGCTTCACCTGCCCGGCTGTCGAACAAGCCCGGCGTTCTGGACGTGCCATCTACCTGACGACAGCGCCCGCGTTCTTTCGAAAATGTGAGCCTCCGAGCGACGTCCTCCATGAGGATCACGATATCTCGAGTACGTCCGCTTGGTTTAAGCGTGACGCCCACACGCTACCCAGAGGATACAAACAGCGTTGGCAGCGGAAGGGCCTCAGATTCCAGCGCAGTTGCGCGCCGTGCTCGGATTCGGAACCTCCACCGTCGCTGTCGCTCCACTGGGCGAATCGCTGCGTGCGTTCGCGCCAACGCGGACACGTGTCCTACACGCGATCGATTGCGCACGCATAGAGGGAATGCTGCTGTTGCATCGCGTGTTGATGGCTGATGATCGACTCCAGACTGCGCGATGCATACTGGGAAAGCACCTGTGATGCCGCAGCCGACCTCCATGATCGATGAGCAATACGTCCTGCCCGATGCACTGGTTGTTTCGTGCGTTCCATTGGGTGCCGAGTGTCTGCGGGGCGTTCCCGCGATAACGCCCTACAGCACCGGTGAGGAACGCGATCCAGTGGCAAACGCAGCGCGCAGCAACGACGTTCGCAAGCATATGGCCGGGCATCGTTTCGTTTGCACGTGGCGCGCACAGCGTTACTGCATGGGGCCTGCGCGCCATCCCGTAATGGAGGCGCTCGTCTCAGGAGGTACCCAGTGTCAATAAGCACACATGGGGCGAGGTGTCCGCAGGCGGCATCTGTGCATCTGTGAGCGTGTTGTGGCAGGGGATTTGGGTTAGACGAACGCGTTCTGGAATAGATGGCGAGGGTTCCTTTATCCGGTATCTTGTCCCGACATATTCCCTGATCTGCTGGTTGCACATTCGATGCATTCATGCTGCATAGCGATCAGCTCAACGGTACTAGCATGCGTTCGAGGCGGCTAATCAACGCTCCATGTCGACAGAGGTTCGCTGAAAATGTGCGTTGATCTCCATCGGGACGCACCCGAGGTGATCTCCTCACCATATCACATCGATGATCCTGTCCATAAAAACCATCAGTGTGCGCGAGTGGATCTCTAAATGAGCGCTGATTCTGCACGAGAAGGTGTTCGTCCACGGTCTGCAGTGAAGTGCCTGCAACGGCTTGGCGCACTCACGGCGTGCAAGCTGACCAGCACGCTGCGCGCTTCCGCCGCTTTCTCCAAAACGAGCTGCGTCCGGGCGACTGTGAGCCCCGTAACGGAAAGTGCCCTCTGTGCGCAGCTGGTCGACCATCGCCCGCATGACAACGCTTTGGATAACCCTGGACACTGCACGTGAACGAAACATCGCCACCAGGGTCTATGCTGCACTACCGAAAATACTCGATCATACAAGCAGATGCACTGCTTAGGATAGGATCCGTCTGCTCGTGAAGGTAACGGTGCCCGCACAGAGCTGTTGCGGCTTGTATCCCACGACAGACTGGCGCGATTGCCTCATCGTCCGATGAATTTTCGGTGAATACCTGAACACGAAACTCATCGCCGCATACTCCCTGCAATTTCTATGCAGAGCGTACACGTATGCATCTCAGTAGGCTGTCGCATCGGCCTTGGTCTCTATCTCGCCCAGCAAAACATGAGCTCCGCTTCCCTACCGAGCCTTTCGGGGGTAACGGTGCGCGCGCGCTAAGCCACACATTGTGGCGCCGCGAATCGTGGCGCTGCGGCCTCCGCCCGCATCACCCGCGCAACGGGCACACGCTGCGCACCATTCGCGTACCCGAGCTGAACACCTATCGGGTATGTCTGGCGTAAGCGGGTGTGGTACCTCAGCCTGATGCAACGGAACCTCAGCACCAACAGAACATGATTTGGAGTAATGTTGATATTTTTGACTCCGGTAGAATGCATTTACGAGCGTCCAGCACCAACGTACCGAAACAAGGCCTTTACAACACCCGAAGTGCGCGTACCGCATCGCGAGCGACTGCATCGCGTTCGGCGTCGAGCACTGACCCCAGTGCGGGTGCCTGGGGTTGTCGCAATTGCCTCGGACGCCAACGAAGGATCTACTCCTTCCGATGAACCCTGGTGGCGAGAACGCGCGAGGTTAGTGGTATCGAGACAGTCTCAGGCGACCGGAGACGCACCGACAAGTCGCCGGAGGTTTCTCCAAGCGCTCGTGCTGGCCTTGGTTGGTTTCGTTGCGGGTAGCCTTGGCAAAAGCGCTTCTTCAGGAAAAGCAGGGACGCAAGCGCAAGCAGTTACTTTGGCTCCGACACCTATAAATCCGTATGCCCGCCGTCGTCAGAAGAAGCAGTACGAGAAATACCTCGAGATACAGAAAGCGCTCATTGAGCGCAATCGACTACGTCGCAAGTATTCACGAAAGCCGCCTATAGATACGGATGCGCTTCCGTATTCCCTGTCAGCATTGAGTGCCTTTGTGGCTTCAGCAATCAGTACATTCATTGTACATCCTATTGACACGATCAAGACGCGGCTGCAGATGCGCGGAGCCTCGTGCCCGCTCCCGCCGAATCAGCTGTACCGAGGCGTTGTGTCCAATGTCTGGAAGGAGGCACCGAACGCAGCGATCTACCTAGGCGTCTATGAAGCCTTCAAGGATATATTCTTGCGAACACCAGTTCTGGGATCTTATCCAATGCTTTGCTTTCTGCTGGCCGGCGGGCTCGGGGATGCCATCGGTAGCGTCGTGCGGGTTCCGGCGGAGATTCTGAACAAGCGTTTGCAACTCGGTCTGAGCGCGACGCTAAGTGATGCATGGCGCGAAGTGTTTTGCGATCCAAACAACCGGGAGGTTGTGAAAGTCACCTGGATGGCTGTGCTGGCGCGCGACGTTCCCTACGGTGCCTTGCAGATCGCTTTCTATGAGCAACTGAAAATCCTGGTGTTGGTTCATCATGCAATGGGAGCGCAGAGCGCGAAGGGGCTCTTTCTTGATGCGTTACTGGGAGCGATTGCGGGTTGTGCAGCCGCCTTCCTTACGACGCCAGCGGATGTTATCGTGACGAGGCTGGCGTCACAGTACCCCCAGTCGTACATAGATACACGGCGTTTTATGGGCGTTTTGGGTACCGCACGGCGCATCGTCGAGATGGATGGCTGGCGGGGCTTCTTCTCCGGATCCCTTCAGCGAGCCGCCTACTATGCGCCGCTGATCGGCCTCTTCTTCTTCCTCTATGAGACGTGTCGCTATGTTGCGCTCCATCCAGAGACGGTGTCGCAGCTTGTCACCTCATACTTACCGTTATAAGCAGCGAGCGTGTGCGAACGACGGTGTGATGGATGAGGAGGATTTCGCGAGTGCCGTGTTACACTGTGCTGTTCGACGATTCGGGGCATGGCAGGTCGCTTCAGACCGTTCAGGCGAGCTGCTGCCGTCCGACGCCCTGCAGCACACACTGTGTAGGGTGACTCTACGGTCCAGCGTGTTTTTTCGATACGAACACGCTCGAGGACAGCAGCAGACTCGCCGTAGTGGATTCGCTCGGGAAATAGCGTGACTCTCGTCAGGTGTATGCCTGTAAAAAGATTGTTAGCTGCAGGATACGAGTTTCCATTGCCGTTCTGGAAACGCGCAGCTTCCTCAACAGCAGACACCGGGCACGAAGTTTCTCGTCGATATCGCTTTCGAGCGAGCAGGAGCATTGCGGACGAAGCAAATGGTCGTTTTCGATCTGTCGTGGACACTGGTCCAGGCGGATAGCTTCGAGCTCCTCTGCCAGGCGGCTGCAGTGGATGCGGATGCAGTCGCGGAAGTGCGTCGTTGTCACTCGCTCGGATCCGACGACGACTTGCGAGCGTGTGCTGCGCTCCTTCGCGGTCGATCGAGCACTGGCTTAGCAGAAAGACTACACGCGCTTATCGAATATACCGATGGAGCCGCTTCGGTCTGTCGCGTACTGAAGAAACTCGGCTACCGAACGACGGTGTTGTCGCCGGGGCGCTCGTTCTTGCGAGAGCTTGTGAAAGCAGACCTCGGTATTGATTTCGTTGCGGCCAATCGTCATGAAATGGACAGCAATGAGCATTTCACCGGAGCGATCTTGGAGCTTCTCGTCAACGGAGAGCGGAAAGCAGAGCTGCTGACCATGCTGGCGATGCGCGAGCAGCTCAGCCCGCAGCAGATCATTGCGGTAGGTGACGGGCCAGTGTCCGCCAAAATGCTTGACTCGGCGGGTCCATCCATCGCCTTTGGAGCACCAGCGGCTCGGGACGGCACCAATATCGGCGGCAAGATTCAGAGCAAGAGTCTCACCTGCATCTGGTTCCTGATGGGTATCCACGAGCGCGATCTACGGTCATTTTCATGAATAGAGTCACGTTTGCACTTGTTGACGACCGAGCGCGCTTTGCGTCACCATTGTCGATGATGCCGCTTTCTGAGACCAAATGGTGGCTCATTCTACGAATTCGCCGAAACAATACCGTGATGCGTTGCAAGCAGGCGCTCTTCATCGCGTTTGCCATGGCATGCCGCTTCCTCGCTGCGCAGTCGATGCGTCGCCTGCGGAGCAAAATCGCCGACAAGCGCGCTCCAGTACTGGTCGTGCAAAGCAGTCTGAGTGTTGGACCTTTGATACCTTCCAATCTGTTCGGAACGTTGGCAGGTCTTTCGAAGGCTAGACTATGAAGGAGTAAACGTCGTAGCGTCGTCGGATCGCATGCGGTGCCTGTGCTGGACGAATGCGCTTGATCCACTGTACCGGCTGGCTGGACGGCAGGCGTTGCGGCTGCGCGGGCACCAGTCCTGGTGGCGTTACCAACACTGTATGCTTCACCAACGAGCACAAGCATGTACTGGTGCGGAGCGCTCTGCCCAGTGGTCGCTGATACGGTCTGCTCAGAACGCGAAACTCAAGTTGTTGCGACAAATCCTGCGCAAGGGTAGCTTGGTGCTCGACTCGCCGAGCGCCTCGTCATCGCTGGGGAGCAGCGCGCCAGACCGCCGGTTTCTACAGCTTGTGAAAGAGCGCGAGTCAGAAAACAGCTATACGGCAGCCTTAGCGGAGCGCTGCTTGCGACCACAGCTGTTTGTTGTAGAAGGGGCGCGATTATTGCAGGACGCACTGGATGTGCACTGGGCTCCTGAGTTCATTATTTGCTCAGCTGATGCTGTGCAGGGGCTGTGGCGTCGTCACCCGCAGCTCATGGGAAAAATTTCGACCGACGGGCTTTTGCAGCAACGCACCTTTGTGTGCGAGACGGAACTGCCTACTGAAACAGTCCACTCGCAGGGTATTGTGGGGGTGTTTCAACGGAAATGGCTGCCATGGGATCAGCAGCGAACGCTAGTGCTCTTTCTTGATGGCGTCCAGGACCCGGGTAATCTTGGGACGATCCTTCGCTCGGCATGTGCAGCTGGGTGCCGCACGCTCCTGCTCAGTGATCAATGCGTTGATGCCTGGAGTTCGAAGGTCGTGCGGGCAGGTATGGGTGCTCATTTCCGCCAGTGTATCGTTGATAAGGTTTCGCTGGAGCATCTGGAGTGCCTGCTCGACTTGTTGGTCATGGTGCCGGGAACCGATGCACCCTGTTGTGCATCCCGCGAAGCACACAGCGCAGCGGAGGTCAAAGAGGCCGGTCTGAAGCCGCCCGCATCGGATCGGGGACACAATTTGAGCCGCATTCACCACCACGGGCAACGATATCGATTCGTCATTGCTCATCCAAAAAAAGTACCGGGGCTTGCTCATTTCTCCTACGATGATGATGCAATCTGGTTGAGAGCATCCAATTTAGATGCGAAGAAAACTAGAGCAACGGGTACAGCAGGGAAAATACCGCCTCATCGAGACATCAGGACACCCACGCTAGATATCCTGGTGATTGGAAACGAAGCACATGGCCCGAGTGCTGCAATTTTCGATTTCGCCCAGAGCGTAACCGGTTCATGTACAGTGGCTATTCCTCTCGACTCGGGCGTTGAGTCCTTGAACGCTGCTGCTGCTGCATCAATTCTTCTTTTCGAAGCCCGCAGGCAGCGTCAAAAGTTCGAGGAATCCACGGGCGCTGCAGAGACCCTCTAAAGATGCTGTTTCATGATGAATTTTGCGTACTGAAGCATCGCATCGCTCATTGCTCGTGCGTCCAGGGTCGATAAAAGTGGCCGCCGCCGATGCCGCTTGCATCATGTTCCCAGCGTAACCACAACTGAGAAGGGCATGCTGCAGTACCTTCACCTTTTGGTCCATGGCTCGCAAGGCCTCGAACTCGTCTGCCTAGACTGTCCGAACCTGAAATGTGGGCACGAAACAGGCAAAGGTCATGGCTGGCCTCCGACACGGCATTCCACCCGTTGCATGCAGGGCGGCCATGCAGGATTCTACACCAGGCTGCACTGTTCATTGCCGCTGCATGAATAAGTGTCGGTTGCTATTCCCTGCTGGTGCTGTTCGCATTCGCGTTTGCACCAGGAGTACCTGGCACTCGCGAAGTAGCGCAAAAATCACGGATTTCCGAGAGCGTGACCCCAAAATACACAGCGGCTCGTTGAAGTGCAACTGCAGGGGACACGTTGATCCGTGGAAGTTGCACGAATCTACTGTTCAGGAGCATCGTGACAAGTTTCGGCAATGGTCGAGCGGAACGTGTCACCTTGGCACTGTGTCCCTCTTGTACATTTAGGTATAGAAATGTAGGGAATACGGGGCAGAACATAGCACGCGCGCCCTCGAAGCATCTTGGATGCGTATCGCCCGAGTCAGCCGCAGCTTCAGAGCAGCCGTGCTATAGACGCTCCTACGTAGCTTATTGCCAGAACTGAACGCTGTGGAGCGCATGAGTCCAGTCCGCATACGTCTTGCGAGGCATGGGCGTCGACACGCGGCGGTGTTCCGTATCGTGGTGGCGGACTCGCGAGCACCACGCGACGGCCGCTTCCTCGAGCACGTCGGAACCTACAACCCGCGGGTAATTCGAGGGGCGAAGCTCGTTCAGTTCGACGTGAAAAGAACTCAGTACTGGCTGTCCGTGGGCGCCCAGCCGTCTGAGCGCGTCGCTAAGCTGCTGGGTTTGGCGGGCGTGCTGCCTCCGGCCCCAGTGCGAGGTCGCACGGCAGCACCGTCTGCAGCGGCACCGCAAAACTTGGGCGCTGTTCGAGGACTCGAATCTCTGGTTCCGACTTTCGCAGTGTCATGAGAATTTTAGTCGCGTACGCAGCCCATCAGAGCGGGAGGAAAATGACGCGGTTGTGAGAAGCGCACCGGAGCTGTACAGTTCGGAATGTTGCTGGTGCGACAGCTCGCAAATGGCAGAGTACCTTGCAATATTCCTCAATAGGCGCTATGGAATGCATCGAACAAAGCACATGGCATGTCGAGATAGAAGTTTGGGTTCTGCATTTGCAACTGTTGTTTTGCAGCGGCATGCTTCGAGCGCCAAATAGCATGTGGTTTGTGAACTGCACTTGAAGGGCCGCTGCAGGCGATATCTCCTGGTCATGTCGTGGCTACGCACATGAACGAGAGAATGTACATAGGAAATGGGGAACCTGGTGAATGAACTTCACGATCGCGAAGCTGGGGCGCAGATAGCCGATACCCTAAAAGCGCTCTACTCGCTTCTCGAGTCAGCGCGTCTTCGTTCGGATATTTGGAGCACTGGCTGGCAAGCATATTGCAATCTCCTTCAGAGGAGGTCAGAGATACACGCACCTCATTCCTGTGGAACGCGAAAACTGCACGTAGAGAAGTTGGCAGGCAGGCAGGCAGGCAGGCAGGCAGGAAGCATAGATGGATCTGCCTCTAGGGCCCCCGTGGTATGGAAGAAGCGCGCATACATTACTTGTTGCCTCTGAAATTTAAATGGAGTCGAATGAGCGTCTTCGTATTCCCAGGCAATGTCGTGGCACAATTCCAGACCTCGCGTCGGTGTACCACATACATATGCGCAAGGCTTGCGCTGTACCCCATAAAAATGCTACCTGTAGATATGACGGTAGGCTATTCCACCTAAAACATCTCAAGTCGTAGCAACCTTCGCTTCTGTAGACACCACAGCTACCACACCGTGTTCTTGTACGGTTTGGAGCAGCTTCTCCTCGAACCTAAACCGTATCAAATTCGCTCCCAGAGGTACACTACGAATGTTAGCAAACGGCTTTGACGGGGACGCTCTCGAGCGGCTACTCGCGGAGCTGCCGTGGCTTGCGCTCATCCTGTGCATACTCCCAGCTTTTGCTCGGAAGTTGCACGAGCTTGATCATTGTTCCACGGATATGGAGCGCAGCATAGGAAGCCGCTTGCTCGACCGAGTCCGTTGTCGCGGCCCGTGAAGCCCCAGTTACTCGTGCGCTCTCCAAGTTCAAGTTCATCCACGGATCAACACCAGTTAAAACGCCAGTGCAGTGCTTTCCATTTTTCAGCTCCACAGTGACTTGTTGACCAACGGCACCGCGGACGAGTCCGACCGGCAGCATCAGCGTTTGTTCTTGTGCAGTCGCTGCGACGCTCTGGACTACCGAGCGCTCTACCCGCTACAAAATGCTCGCAAAGAGCGTATAGTCACCCGCCAAGGTGACTCGACAAGCCCTCGACGAGTGCAGAGGTAAACATGGGCGATTTCTAGCGTAAGAGGCACCTCAGAGACATCTATGTGAATGGTTGGGGCGAGTAGAAATGTTCGGATTCTTCGTTCTGTCTGGCTGTTGCAACGGGGCGATACGTTGTCACGGGGCTGAAACAAGCAACTGCTGTCGCGTTAGCGCGAGACACTTGACATTTTGAACAAGAGTCGTTTCGATTTACCTGAACTTGGCGTTACGTGAGTGCAAACTATCGGGCGACTGTGAAAAAGACTCCGTTGGGTGCTTTGGCTGCTGCCACTCCACCGAATCAACCTTAGAAGCGCCTCGCTGACACGCGAAGCTGTGGCTCTTTCTAGGCCGCTCGACGAACGAGGCGACTTTTGACGTGTCCGAGCAGATGCAACTTGACAATGGTTCGATTGCGACGTCGCTGGTGCACGTTGCGACACCAGCAGCAGAGCACGTGTACTGCGTAGCCTGCCAGTGGTCTCCGGCGGACGGGGTCGCTGCTTCAGACGCCAACAACGGCCACTCTGCTCCCAGTAAAGCGCTTTCGCCCGAGGCACTGCTCGAAAAGAGACGGCAGCACTACCGCTCTGACTGGCACCGCGTCAACCTGAAGCGTCGCACCGCTCAACTACCACCTCTATCGGAGGCTGAGTTCACGGAACGGTGCAGGAACTGGGAAAGCGGCGGTGAAACCGTTCAGATGGATTTCGGCGGACTCGAGGACGAGAACACCTCAAGCAGCGAGGAACCCTGGAGCAGCTACAGCGTGAAAGTACCTGTGGGATCTGCGCTACCTGAGGACGCCCTGTTCTCCGCCGCTCGATTTGCGAGGTCGTCAGCCGTGAACGGCGAGCGTCAACCCAGCAGCCGCCGTGTGGCATGCATCTGGTGTCTGAAAGAGTTTTCCAGTGAGAAAGCCCTGCAACAACACGAGCGTACCGCGAGGCATCGAGAGAAGCTGCGAGAACTTGGCATCCCAGAATCTGATGAGCAGCACCAGCACCAGAAGCAGCAGCAGCAGCAGCAGCAGCTCATCTCCGGTGCATCAAAGGAAACGAGTCTCGAAACTGCAGACCTGGACGCTTGGCTCGCTGAGCGCATGCAAGAAGCGCGTCCCCTTGATATCCACGAATGTCTTTTCTGTAACCACAAGGTTGCCGTTGACGAGAATGTTTCAGAACAGGAGCGCAGCGGCGCTCTCCTTGCAAATCTCCGCCACATGGCCAAAGAGCACTCATTCTTTGTGCCCTATATAGAGTACTGCTATGATCTTGCCGGACTCGTACGATACCTGGGAGTCAAGGTCGGTCTTGGCTACTGTTGCGTGTTCGGGGGAAGGGTCGTGCCGCTCTCGCAAGACACTACGGACTCCGCGGAGCAGCTGTTCGAGCGTCGTGCGGAGGTATTCAGCAGCTTACAGGCCTGTCGAAATCATATGCGAGATGCTGGGCACTGCCGGTTGCCCGATTTTGATCAGGAGGAGGTTTGGGATGAGTATCAGGAATTCTACAGTTTTACCCCAGTACGAGCAGACGCGCTGCTGTCGTCTGCCGCGGATGCGAGCGAAGCGCTTTCTCCAGGCACGCCACATGAGGCTGCGGGTGAGGCTGAGTCTGTCGCTCTTGCGCCATGGGAAAAGTGGGTCTCGGTCGCCGAGGCACCGAGATCTACGCACCCACCAGATGAAGAAGTTGTTGGCCTTCAACTAGGTGCGAGTGGACGAACTATTGCACACCGGTCTCTCTGGCGATACTATCGCCAGCGTGTGCATGATCATCACCGCACGCAGCTACCTGTCTGCATTGCTCGACAAGAGCGCCAGCAGATGGTGCTGGCTTATCAGGAGCTCGCCCACACGGCTGCAATCGGCTTCACTGGACCCGCAGCGTCGCAGCCGTATCCCAGTATTCCACCACGTCGAGTGCTTGAGCGCTGGCGACGCGACCAGCTCGCACTGGCTGAACGGAACGCAGCGACGCGCCGCGGCCGGGCAGCACGTTCATCCATAGCGGTGCTGAACTCTGGCTATCGTGGCTAGTAGCGCATGTTGAACAGGATCCTCGGTTGCAGGCGGAATTGCGGCCGATCAGGCGAATAGATGCCGGTGTCTGAACGGAAGGTGCGCTGTTTGTTGGCGGCTCGCGGCCAGTATCGCAAGTTCGTATGCGGGACGCTGAAGTGGAACCAGTTCCTCAGCTAGCTTCCTGTTTGCACCTGGATGCTAAGCCTCGATGCTAGCTCTCTATGTGCAGTGTGCAGGACAGCATGCAGGCAAACAATGAAACAGAGCATGATCCTTATTCGTAAACAGGGCCAGTTATCGTGCCGACAGACCCAGGATCCGAGTAAAGGAACTTACGCCCTGCACGTCTAGCTCCAGATTCGCAAAGATATGCATGTGAGCACGGGTGCAAGTCCATTTAAAATCAAGCGTACAGCGCTTGCTCGATAGATAGAGAATCGAGCAGCACGAAAACTGCATGTGGATGTCACGCTGCAGCGACATTTACCTCCATTTTCTTCGGGCTTGGACGAGCGACAACGGCTGCCAGGTGAGCCAACATCAACAGCCGAGCGCGATGCCGTTCTCCTGCACGCCCAGCAATGATATGCAGAGTGACGGATTCCCATTCATTCCATCTGGTCAGCGCTCTTTCGCGACAACTGATATTAATGTAAGCAATCTGTTTGGAGAATTTACATACGCATGCATAAAACGGGACCTTGTTTTCGTGCTGTTCTGCCTGGTCGTGAAGCGTAGCGCGATGCGTCGAGTCCTCGGTCGTTTCCGCGGACTGGAGCTATACTGGCGAATCTCGTCAGTGCACACACGTCAAGTCGACGGATATCTGCCTCTGGAATCGCTGGAATCGTTCACCAGGGATATGGGGAGCACTCGACGCTTCAAGTATGCCCTCTTGGTGCACGCTGAAGAATCGAATCATGGAACACCAGCATCATCTATCAATCGCCCAGGAAAATCGTTATAGGTATCAAGAAACGGTGCTCCAGCCCCTCGATTCAGCGGAACTACACTGCACTAGTGCCGCGCTCTAGACGAAAGTCTGATCCCCGTTCCCCTCGCCACTGCTCTTTGTCCATCAGAATTCTTTAATAATTGTGCACCATGCCCACACGGCATGCAACACGATTCCCTCGAATATTCATTTGACAAAACGCTGCGGGACGCTTCGGAAGCACGAAGCATTTCCTCACTTTGACCGAGGCGTTCAAGTCTCCGCGCAGAAAGTACGTGCACACATGATTGCTGTTGGAATTATACCATAACAAACTACCTGCATTCGACTGCCTCGCCATCTGGCTGGACGTCAGCATACCGGGAATCATCCCGTACGTTCTGCTCTTTTGTGAGACGCTTCTTCTCTTCCAGTTCCAACGCGTATTTGTGCTTGTGATGCGCGTATGCTGTCCTAGACGCATCGATGAACATCGGATACATTGGATTGCTGCATTCGTTGTACGTTCTCTTCCGGGGAGCAGCGGTGCAGCCCTTGCGAGCTAGAATACGTCCAGGGCCACCGGCGACCTTCAAACGAAGCGACGTATCGGAAATTTGCTTTTCTAAATCATAGAGTATACTCGGGAATGCTCGCTGCTTGCGTTCGTAGAACTGCAACCTTTTGCGAACCTCTACTTTGTCTCACTGACTCCTGAAAAGTACACTCCGAGTGAGCCTTTCGGACGTTCGCGACTTCAATAATAACGAAGCACACAGAGCATGCTTCTCTGCTCGATTAGGTACCGAGCGCGTTGATGTGGCCCTGCTGTCATCATTCCACCTGTTGTTAAACGTACTTGCGTCCATTACGCTGGATTTCCAACGATATCTAGCTATGGGAAGGTCAGCTCGCATAGCATCTTCTGTCTGGTGTACCAATCCTCGCGGGAATGTTTGATAGAAGAATTCCAGAGGGATATAGGCAGCTGGCAGCTCTGCGTCTGGAACTGTCACGAACAGTTGCATGACGAGATATGTCACGCCGAGGAAGGCTAAGCGAGACTTTCTCGAATAAGAACCTATGCGATCGTCAATGAAGGCGAGCATGAATCGACGCCAAGGATACGTAAGATTCGTCTGCTGATCTGGGAGCGTAGAATTGGTGTTTGATGTAAGAGAAGACACCTTGAATGGGAACGAACCATGGAGAACGGGCTCGTACGACGATAAGCTCAACGCCAAGCTCAGTTGCGTACTTTTTGACCGCTTTTGATTGATGAAAAGCGACATTTTCAGAGAGAGCAGCCACGAAGCGTACATCGCTGAAGAATGAGGTGTCGAATGATCCGGTCTGTTTGGCGATTTCTAGGCGACCAAACGATTGATTCGCCGCTGCCACTGGTAGTGTCGCCGTGCTCGCTCGTCGCTGCTTTACGAACAGCGGCTTGTTTACACGTTTGAGGGCCCAAATACACAGGTCTGCCATTTCTCCGAAATAAAATCTCCCCGAGAAAGACGTACACACGTCAGTCCTGTAATACGTGTTGCAGTTTTACTATGAAATAGACGGCGCTGCTCAACGCGCAACCGCCTTCCATGGAAGCGTCTTTTCTTCTCCATCCATGTCTTTTTCTTTCCTTTTGTATCAACGGCACGGCAACTGTGCATCTTGAGGCTTCTTCTACAGTATTTCTTCGTGAGCATGCAGATTAGAATGGCTTGCTCCGGAGCCAATTGTGTTGATCGAGCTGGAGAAACTCTGTTTTGTGCGAAAGGCGTTCTGGATACGGACTGCAAGAAGGATGGATCTTCCCGCACCTGTTGATTGCCGAGTACCTGGCTTGGACAGGAGAGGTCTTTTTCGCACGCTAGTAGAGACACCATCAAGCTAGTCCGCGAACGTTCTCCAATGTGCAGGATAGAATCCGTTTCTTGATTACCTGCCAGAAAAACAAACGCAAACAATTAAGGTGTATTGCGACGGGAATTCCAGAATTCACTGCTCTGCATGTAACGATAGGGGGTCGCTGTTGTGCCAACGGACGTACTGCCAACGCCTGTTGGGCCACGAAGCACACCTACGACCTAGGGGCTACGCAACGCTTCTAGCAAGGGACGTTCGGGTCCCTCGCATTCGCCCCAGGCACCGAGCGGCTCGTCAGAATGTCAAAGGGCTGCTTCTTGCAAACTCCGCCCTCATCGCGCATAGGTGTAGTGTGCGCTCATGAAGAGTTGGAACAACACAGAATCGCGTCTGTGACACTGTTAATTCTGACGCACTTAGTATTGCCCTGCCGACTAACGGAGCTGGAGTGCAACTGTCTCCTTGGTGCCTAGCAACTTCTGGGCGTCACTATGGACGCCAACTGGTTACCGCTCACGCCCAGTGCAGCGCTGGCATCCGAAGTAGCCCCGCCCGAGCCGCTCCAATATCATGGCCAGTAGACAGACCCGCGAGGTCCAGGTACAAGTCTCGCGTATTGGACGAGCCCAATGGGCCAGTGCTCGGAGCGCCTCCGCAGTTGCAGGTGCCGAGCAAAGGCCTGTGTCCAGAGACGGCTACGCGTTCTCCAAGCGACCGCGAAGATAGCGCCGGACACTGAAACTGTGTCCTGGTCGCCACGGACCTCCAGTGTGACTGCACTTGCCGATTGACAGACAGCTCGAGCCGATGTAGCAAACAGGCAGAGAATGGCCTTTTGGTCTCTCTTTATGCGTTCGATCACCGGTGCGTCACCGAATCCATCAGGCCCCTATTCCTGCGAAGCATACCTGTCTGGAACAGTTGGAACGGTTAGTCGTCTGCATGGAAAGTAAACCCGGTTTCCTAATCACGACTACGACTCATACAGCCCGTGTTACCTGGCTCTATATAACCGCCTCATCGAAGTCAATGCACGACTCGTTGGCTAAGTACGGTTGGCAGCGGACCCGTTGCACTGCACCAGGCACAGCGCTACATGCTACCGTCCAGGCACATGCGCATTCGTGCAATGGACACACCGCGCTCTACACACTGCTCCATCACCGCTGGCGAGTAAGGAGTGGCTGTGGGGAGCGCCGCCGGGGAGATTCATGCTAGATCGCGACATGGCGTGCAGTGGACACACCGCGCTCTACACACTGCTCCATCACCGCTGGCGAATAAGGAGAGCTGTGGCGAGCGCCGCCCCCGCCGCCGCCACCGGGGAGATTCATGCTAGATCGCGACTGGCGTGCAATGGACACACCGCGCTCTACACACTGCTCCATCACCGCTGGCGAATAAGGAGTGGCTGTGGGGAGCGCCGCCCCCGCCGCCGCCACCGGGGAGATTCATGCTAGATCGCGACGGGCGTGCAATGGACACACCGCGCTCTACACACTGCTCCATCACCGCTGGCGAATAAGGAGTGGCTGTGGGGAGCGCCGCCCCCGCCGCCGCCACCGGGGAGATTCATGCTAGATCGCGACGGGCGTGCAATGGACACACCGCGCTCTACACACTGCTCCATCACCGCTGGCGAGTAAGGAGTGGCTGTGGCGAGCGCCGCCCCCCGCCGCCGCCACCGGGGAGATTCATGCTAGATCGCGACATGGCGTGCAATGGACACACCGCGCTCTACACACTGCTCCATCACCGCTGGCGAGTAAGGAGTGGCTGTGGCGAGCGCCGCCCCCGCCGCCGCCACCGGGGAGATTCATGCTAGATCGCGACATGGCGTGCAATGGACACACCGCGCTCTACACACTGCTCCATCACCGCTGGCGAGTAAGGAGTGGCTGTGGCGAGCGCCGCCCCCCGCCGCCGCCACCGGGGAGATTCATGCTAGATCGCGACATGGCGTCGTGTCGCATCGATCTGCGCCAACAGATCACGTGCGGTTCGCACGCTACCGTCAAGCGTTTTCCCTCGCCGCACAGCGCATTCCACAGAGCCAACGAGTATGAGCGATCAACCAAGCGTATCCGTTAAAGTGCCTCTTTATGAGAAGATCTACCAGTTAGATGGGTTCATTGGCGACGAGGAGCGAAACGCTTTACAACTTCCTGAAGGCGTCGACGAAGCTGGACTCTTCGTCACTGTCTACGTTTCCCGAGAGAGCACGTACCCCGGTGATGCACCAGCTGGTGGTGCGACTCCTCACGAGAACACAGGAGATCCGAGCGTTGCTCGCGAGGATATTGTAGACTGGCGTAAAGCGCGTATCGTTTGTCGTTTTCTGCTCGTGCTTCTCAGCAGAGAGGAGGTACGTCATCTTGATCAGTTGGGGGCGTCTGTGCCCAAGTCGTTGAAGGAGCGCATCGCCGAGCGCAATCGCTTTGAGTGGTCTCGTATTTTGCAAAATCGTCCGACGTACTTGCACTGGGGGGTAGCCAGGGATCACCCTGATGAGTGGACGCTACCCGAGGCGAAAACGTTTCCCCCGGGAACGATTCGTTTCGATAAGATCGCTGTACGCACCGAGTTTCCCGCCGAGCACCCAAGGATTCGCATCAACGTACCTTTCTTCGAATCTGGCAACGAGTTGCGCACGATCCGAGGAATCAAGGCAGTAGTCTACCGAGCAAAAGACCACAAATACTTTAAAGACGGTAGAAGAGATATTTTCGTGCCTGTCTGGGACTCTGTGCGGACCTGGGTCATCGACGGCGCAGGCATCGAAGAGAACGTTGCAGAGCTTTCGTTGACGGAATCTGCTTTTCGGACGGCATTAGGTGTTTCACGCAGTGATTCGTACATGTCGCTTTCACGGGAAACATCCCCGGGACCGGACGCCTCTGGTAGCGGGCGCTCAGCAGTGCGCCGGTCGATCTCGCTGAGCTCGGTTCGTAAGCTCAAGTCCTCAGCATCTCTTGATCGATTGGTGAAAGCCGGGGCGCCACAGGATCGCTCATTAAAGGCAGTGCGCAGGATCCATACAGCGGCGACCGTTCTTTTCGAAGAACTGTTTGGGGGCGTCGGTCGCGGCGGCAGCGGCCACCTTGATGTTGTCGTGGAGGAAATGGAGCCCCAGTCCGAGTACCACATTCATATGGCGACAGATATCAGCGGATTGGCACTTCACTGGGGAGTCAGCCGCAAGAAACCAGGTCAGTGGGTGCTTCCGCGTCGAGACTGGTGGCCCGCTGGCGTTACCAGCCAAGTCGATCACAAGGCTGTGCGCAGTGAGTTCGAAGCTGATCAGGATAACCCGGGCGTATGGCGCCTAGATATGTGCTTCCGCCGCGAATCCGAAGATGACATTGCAAACGGAGAGTCTTGGTTGCCGTCTGCACTAGTATTTGTTCTGTATCAAGCAGAGTACAATTTTTGGTCGAACTATCATAATGATAATTTTGTTGTACCAGTCGCACCGCCGGCGCCCTCCGTTCTTGAGGACGTATACGCTTCGTATTTACACACGTTGCAGGAGCAGGAAAAGATGCTGGGCGATCGCGCCCAGGGCGAGGAACCAGAAACCCTGCCTGTTGGCACAATCCTGGGTCTGGAGAGACGCTCGCTCGACGACGATGGCGAGACAGTTATTTGTTTCTCCGTCGAAGAGGATGGCTTCGCGCTCCGAGTTCATGCTGACTTGTCGCCGCTCGTCATCCATTGGGGGATCGCGCGGCATCGGGTCACTGAGTTTCTGCAACCCGACGAAAGTCTCGCGGTTGAAACCAAGGGTCGGACCTACCGCTTCGAAAACAAAGCCATGCGGACCGAATTCGTGCCGGATGAGCATCATCAGGGCACCTACTATGCGGAAATCCACCTGAAGAAGGAGCATGCACCGCGCGCAGTCACCTTTGTGCTCTTTAATCCCGAGCTGAATCGTTGGTACCGCGCTGAGGGCGGCGGCAACTTTGTGCTACGAATGGATCTGGAGTCGTTCTCGCAGCTCCCAGGAAGTGTTGGCAAACACGAAGACGTCGCCCAGAAGATCATCGAGGTTGAGGTCGAGTACGGATCCTGGACGCTCATGCACCGTTACAATTTGGCGAATGATATCCTACGGAACAGCATGTCTGCTTTGGATGCGGATCTTTTGCAGATAGTCTTTGTGTGGTTACGGTATAGCTTCCTGCGGCAGCTGGACTGGCAGCGCTCCTACAACACGCAACCGCGCCTGTTAGCGCACGCTCAGGAGCAGCTCACGACGACGCTAGCTCAGGTCTTTGTCAGTCGTCCAGATCTCCGGCTCTGGGTGCGCCTGTGTCTCTCGATGCTGGGCCGAGGCGGAGGCAACGGCCAGCGAATTCGAGACGACATCCTGCGGATCATGCACAAGCATCACATACCGGAAACGCCGGGTCATTTTATGGAACAGTGGCACCAAAAGCTGCACAATAATACGACTCCAGACGACGTGGCAATCTGTGAGAGTTATCTCGCATTTCTACGATCTAATGGCGACAAGAACGTCTTCTATGAGACGCTGCAAAAGCACGGCGTAACGAAAGAACGTTTGGCATCTTATGAACGTCCGATATTCGCGGAGGTGCAAACCTATCCCTGTGACACCAACAGCCTTATACACGACTTTGAGGAGTACCTTCACGTTCTGAAGAGCGTGCACTCCGGAACAGACCTGGCGGTTGTTCTGGACTATGCGCGCTGGACGCTTGATCAGGAGCTCATTAGCAAGGTTGAGCATATCCAGTCGGTGCGAGCGGAGCTCATGGCGAGTCCACAGGGGGCGCTCGAGTTCTCCTTCTTGATTGCTGAGGCGAGGAAGATGCTCCAGAGTACCTTAGAGCACGTCGAAGATCCAACGCGCGTTCGGGATATGCTGTTCCTTGACCTGGCGCTTGACGAGCTCGCTCGCTTGGCCGTCGAGAGTCAGGGGCTTGCCGACTACGTTGCCGAGACCGATGTCCAAAAAGCCTGCAATCTTTTGGTGGTTCTAGCACAGCACGTTGGATGGTCTATGCTATCCAGTGCGTTCCTGGAAACCAGTTATGATCTTGCGGCGCTGGTGTACGGTATTCAGTCGGACGTACAATTGCAGGAGCCAGATTTCGGTCTCCGCCTCTATGCGACAATGGAGCGCCTCATGGACTGCGTCGGGCATGATGTGGTGGAACGGCTCCACCACGACGTGCAACCCAAGGCGGTGTACATTGGCGTTGGCTGCAACATCGACCAAAAGGTTGTGACGCTTTTCTCGGAAGAGCTCATTCGGGGTCAGGCGGCCTTTGCACTGGCCCAAGTCCTTCGCCCGCTCATGAGGAATATTCGCAAGCAAGCTAATCTCGGAAATTGGCAGGTAATTAGCCCGGGATCATGCACTGGTCAAGGAGCGGTATTTGACGAGCTCCTGTCCATTCAGTACAAGACGTTTGCCGAGCCCACGGTAGCGTTTGTGCGCCGCATATCCGGAGAGGAGGAGATTCCCACCGGCATGGTCGGCCTCATCACTACCGACACACTCGACATACTCTCGCATTGTGCGGTTCGGGCACGCAACGAGCATGTCGTCTTGGCCTGTTGTTTCTCCGAGGAGCTTTTTGATCAGCTCACAGAGCGATTCCGTGGTGCCTGGGTCGCCGTGCGCTCCCTAACCGATGGTTCTCTGGATTTCCAACCGATACAGGAGGGAGCTGGACGCACCACGGCGGCGGATACGACGGATGGAGCATCCGAACACGCCCAACGTCGAGCGGTATCCATGCGCTCCGATATCGAGAAAAAGCCAGTGAAATCGGTGCTTGGTATTGCGCAGTTCAACACGCAGCGTGGAGGTTCCAAGTCGAACTCGCTTGCCAAACTCATCCGCGTGATACCGGACTGGATTCACATCCCTCCGTGCGCGTTGCTACCCTTTGGAGTTTGCGAGCAGGTGCTTGCAGAGGCACAGAATTCTGACGTGGGGGAGCGTTTCCAGCAGCTCATGGCGGAACTGGACGGAAAGGGGCCTACCGATGACTGCAGCGCCTTGCTCGCACGTTTGCGGCACTGTGTTCGGCAACTTGCACCGAGTGATACCTTCATGAAGGAGTTGCAACAGGTTCTCCAGCACGAAGGTTTCCACTCCATTGACAACCTCGATATGAGGCGCGCCTGGGAGTGTATCCTAGATGTTTGGGCATCCAAATTCAACGACCGGGCGTTTCTGGCGTTGCGCAAAGCAGGCGCTGTTGGGAAAACCTCATTGTCCTCGCTCTACATGGCAGTTTTGGTCCAGGAGGTGGTCCCTGCGGACTATGCCTTCGTCCTGCATACGAAGAATCCGTTCACTGGGGAGCCATCAGAGATCTATGGTGAATTGGTTCATGGTCTGGGTGAAGTGCTTGTTGGCAACTACCCAGGCCGTGCGCTCGGATTTACGTACTCGAAAAGCACGGGTCAAGTGCGCGTCTGCAACTACCCCAGCAAGACCAAAGCGCTTATTCCACGTGGTGGCTTGATTTTTCGCAGTGACTCCAACGGAGAGGACCTCGAGGACTTTGCTGGAGCTGGGCTCTTTGATTCCATCCTTATGCAACCAGCCGAAGAAGTTGTCGTTCGTTACCGTGAACTCAAAATTCTGCAGGACAAAGCTTACCTGGAACGTATCCTCTCAAAAATAGGAAAATGTGGGATTGAAATTGAGAGCAATTGTGGTAACAAACCGCAGGATATTGAAGGTTGCATTTGCGGCGAGGATGTGTACGTCGTTCAATCACGTGACCAAGTCTAGATATCGGTCGTTGAATGCGAAGAATTTAAAGTCTGGGATGCATTACCCGAGACCAGCGGACGCCGCTGGCAAGTGCTCGGTTTCTGCTTGCGCTGCGAGCGCTGCCCAGTGCCGAATGTCGTGGCCAGCAGGGCGACTTTCGCGATGCGGCATCGACAGGCGCTCCGAGTGCTCAGTCATATCGAAGCAGGGGACCTCATGACCGGTCAGCTGTTGCCCAGGAAAACCGTTGTCGGTGAAAATGTACGAGGCGTCCTGCTTGCACGATTGCTGAACCGTACCATACCAGTGCATCGCTCCAGACGAGAAGCCGATGTGCGCTTGCTGGAGCTTTGCTTTTCCTTGGTGGCAAGTTTTCCGCGTTTCAGCATCATGCGTATACGGTGTATGGAATGGTTCACGTGAAGCTTTCACCTGCGGCAAACCCGATGGACGCTTCTGACGCACGAGACGTCTCCGGATGTGAATTGACGTGTTCGAGCTTCGGTGCAGCGCGTGTTTGCACACATCGTTGCCGATGGCATCACTGCATAGCAAACCTGGTACCGTCGATTGCTTCGTCATCTGATATTCGGTCTGCGTACTGTGGATTATCTCGTGGATCCGGCCCTGTTGCATTCCCTTTTTTGTTGTAGCAGTATCAGCGGGTACTCGTGCTTGTGGGGCGTGTTCTTCGTCCTTGACGCGTGCATTGGAATCGAACCCAATCGATTCCTTTATTGGTTGCTTGCTCTCGTCGACGGAGCAGGAGTGCAGGAATCGCGCGCTAGAGCACATCCAGCGCTACAGGCTACCACTGAACGACGCAACTTGTCACCCGCGTCCTTTTTCAACGCACTGAGCAAGTTGGCGAATCCACGATCCTGGTCACCGTACAGCCAAAAGCCCCAGCGTCTCGTGCTCGATCTCGTGTACGCTTGGTGATGATCGATGACATGATCCGTATTGACGCACATTGGTGCTCAGAAGCGTAGCATCCATAGCTACAGTTCCCGCTCTTCTGAGCCAGGAAGGTTAGGGAACAGAACGCACGGGGTTCGCCTCATGAAGCGCTCAACATTGACCCAGGTATGTTTTCGTTCTCGTGCGATAGGTTTGATACTTTTTGCATTTACGCTTTAGATAATGCGATAGCGGACTTTCAGCACAGACAGTTCACGGTATCCGGGAAGGCGTTTGTGCGAATCTCGGATCCGACCATCATGCTAGCTAGCATCTTCAGAAGCGAGCATCACCTTTCGTACGAATGCTAGATCGAACGATTTCATAGTAACGAGGACAGCTGGTAACCGTTCGACCGGAGCGCCCGATTCATTGTTGCATACCGGTACGCGTCTAGGCGAGGGAAGCTGAACGAGCCTTCCCCGAAGTCAGAGGCTACTCGATCATGAACCGCATTCGGCGTCTTACTCTTTGGAGGATTCTCCACGCTGGTATGTTTTCGTAAAAACGCCTTGACAACGACATCAGATTGATGTTTCTGCTGCAGCCGTTTCTCCCGCTTGTCCATCCTCGTCCACTATTTGAAAGAATCGCTCTCTTCTTTTCGTAATGGTTTATTGCACCTTCCCGTTACTTTACAGGGTGACATATTCGTGGTCGCAGTACGCTATATTCATGGTGTCCTCCGGGTTCAAGTGCATTTAGTGGACGATGGGAATGAATACCGCCTTTTCTATGCTTGTGAAGACGATGCCACAGGTACCATTTCGTCACCGTCGACGTCACGAGCACAACCGTGCAGAAAATCACGCCTTGCCGCTCGCTCCCGCACACTGTCAGAAGAGCAACAGAGCATTTCAGGACTGGTGAAGGTAGCGAACGACTCGTCATTTGATCTGAGCGCGTCACCATCGCGTTTGGTAGCGGAGCAGACGCCTTGGATTTGGATTGAGTCAATGAGAATAGGCTGCCGCTATGAGCAGCTCAACGCCATTCGCAGCTGCATGCTCCTCGACCGCCCTTGGGTGGTTCAGAACGACGTTACCTAGAAGCACCGCAGAAGAACGTGCCAAAAGACAAGTCACGACGAGCTTCGTTGAGGGCTGGGCATGTTGCACCATCACGTCTGTTGGGCGGTCTGTAGGCGACCGACGCTCAACATCGCCCCGGGTGCTGATGCTGTCGTCATGCTCGATTGTCTCTTCTTGATGAGCAGCGTTTAACCGGTTTTCGAGTTCGCAAATTCAGATATGCGTTTTCTCGCGAATAAGGTCTCATCGAATGAGACGAATACGCGCCCCTTCTGAAGTAAGCGTTCGCGTTTCAGTACGGAATCGATGTGTGTATTGTTCAGCGGGCGACGGTCTCGCATCCAAGTGTGGTTCTCTGTTCGTCCGTCCACGCTTCCTCATGATCGGCCGCATGAACAGTACGGAAACTGAACATATCGTGGCTACTTTCGAAGTATACATTTGAGAACAACTGGATTGAAATGGATGAACGGGAAGGCAAATGTCTAGACTGAGTTTTATAGCATCTGGTCCAGGTGCACGACGTTCAGCACCAACGCTACGAGGCCGGCGATTTATCCACCTGCTGACTATTGATTAATCCAATGATGGGAGCAACGCTGTTTTCGGAAGCCAGTACCGACAAGATTTACGCTTCATGTGCCGGCACTCTAAGCTATAAGACGCAGTCCGTTCATTGGATAACTGCGAGAAAGAAACACAGGAACAAAAGATTCATACCGATATCGGTATTCCTGATTGTACTGCTTTGCGTCTAGCGAAAGACGCAAACTCGGATTAGCCCCAAAATGTGATTCCTGCGAGATTCCAGATCTATATCCGCGTCGGTTTCAGAATAAATACGACTGTTTGCGATGCATTTGCCAAGCGAGTGCTTACCGAGCCTTCGTCGATAAGCATGTTCGAGACTAGAAGCACAGCCATAAAGTCCTACAGATGCGCAAGTAGCTTTGGGGCGCTCCGTCGCTTTTTTCAGGGTCGCTCATTCGACTCTTTGCCGATGAAGCTCGTTACGGTACAGATATCAAGACGATTTACGACATCATGATCCGACTCGTATGCGAGATACTCCAAGCTGCTCAGTTGCACACGTGGAGCATGTTTCGATCATGTATTCTTCAACTCTTAGAGTTTTCTCTTGCAAGGCAACTCATGGGCGCATAGATTCGCACCCCTCCATAGACGAGGAACAAGTACGCAATATCATCGCCTGATGTCTAGTTCAAGAGCATCTTACAAAAGCTCTCTGAGCTTTGCACGTGCTATAATCCATGCCATTCTCGAGATAGATCCTTTTCACTCTGTGATCATGGACAAAGTGGCATTCGACAGCAGCAGCTTTTTACCTTTTATGCAAGACGCTCCCATGAAGCTCACTTCTGTTCTGTTCGCGAGGAGAAATGAGCTTGGGCTCGAACTTGAGCAACGCAGCGAGGGATTACTACGAAGAATGTGTCACCGCTTTTTCTACGAAAGCGGTGTCTACGGGTTGAAATGTTGCGCACGGCTCTCTAGCCTGTATTTCCCATCCAGTACGTGTTCCATTGTGGGCAACCTCGTGCTCTACGGAACCTATTATTGAATGGAGCATCTTGTGCTAGCGTGTGCAACAGCCAGAGTACTCGCTGAGGGCATCGCATCGAAGAAGCGCCTGACTGTAGCATACGGCACCGTGGGCAGACCTCATGACCCGTCGAGGGAATGTTCTGCGCGATGAAGAGGCAAGCACGCTGCGCAATGCGGCCTTCAGAGATCAAGGAATGTTGGATATACGGGAGTATCTGATCACAGTCAACTATCACTGGTGCGAAGGGCGCAAAATAGGCTATGTTTGGTGAGTGCGAAAACGGAAAGCAATGCGTGGATCGCAACTTCCGCTTCGGCATGGATTGCCTCGACTACAGCCGGAAGCTGCGACATCGGGACCTGTACGCTTCCGTTAACATCCGTAGACTTTCGGAAACGCATCGTGAGGAGAAGCAGAGCCAACCATATTTAAAACCGGAGATGCAAGAGATCGAACACAAAAAAGCCGCAGATAAAACCCGCTAATACTGTTGTTGATGACATAGACAAGTGACCCAAAATTGAGCGAGCACACACGCTTCGTGGCTGCCCCATTCCAAATTATGCTGACATGGGTCTAGCTCTGCGTTCGCTCTCTGAGTCATATCCATAGCCCCCACGCACTGGAGTGTTTGACGACATGCGCCGTGTCCCGGAACGATAACAATCGCACCACGAACTGCACAGGGAATTGCGACTTTCACGGTCGCAAGCGCGGAAACGTGCTTATCACCATATTACCAATACTTTGCAGCATTGGATAAGCAGCGCTTTGGTATCGTAGATGCTCCTTCGCGCCGTATACAGCCTCGACATCGCGAACATGAGCAAGGCGTAATGCTTGCAAGAAGGACGACCTTCATCGTGGCACAGATATCGCAATCGCTGGTGACTCTGCCTATGTTGTGTACTTTCCATTATGGCATACGAAGGCATCTCGTGACGCTGGCGATTTGAAACGCATGTACCTGTGTTGACGATGAATGCAGCGCCGATGAACAGGCGCAGCTGCATGACACCGAGACAACAGGTGCATCGTACACGACGGATGAGCACGAGACGGTACCAGCCTCGACGCGAGAACTCACGCGACCACGCACAAAAGCCCGATGCTGTTCTGATATTCACGCAAGCAGAGTTTCGAAATAGAATGCACTAGTGGATCATTCGTACAAAAGCGGCAAACACGTGCACTTTCTGCAGTGTACCCATCGTCGCACATGGTTGCAGAGGCCGCGCTTTCCCAGCGCGTGTCGTCTAGGCACGCTAGCTTCGTGCGGTATGCAAACGCCACCTAGCCAGGCGGGCATTGCAAGTGCTTTTATGTCCATGACAGGTGTCGACGAAAACGACGGCGGCGGCGAAGGCGGCGTTGTAGCCCAGCCCGAGTCATGAACTATCAGCGCTACGCTGCGACAGGGACAGTCGCACCAGAAACACAGTACCGACGATGCTATCCCTCATGGAAATGGTATCGTTCGGAATAGTCCAAGAGCCGCATCGCAACCAGGTAACGTTTGTTGCGAATCTGCTCGATCAAGAATCTGTAGAGGTCGCAGAAGCGATCCCGACCAAAAACTGCCAGCACGCCCAGTTGAAGCATGATGTACGCGATGTGTAAGAGCACGAATATCCCCGACTGAGTGGATTCGTGACCAGGCAGCGCTTGAAACAGAAGAGGCAGCATCGCAATGCAAGCAGTAAAGATACATATTCGTAGAAGATTCGTAAACACGAGTACTGGGGCCGCACCTCGCCGAAAGATGAGTCTTTCGGGAAGAATACAATCGGCAAGAGCCGGATGTTCGCTCGGACTTGTTCCTCGTGGACGGAAGAGCGCTGGCCAGAGCACCCTTTGCGGCAAAAACCCGCGCAGCCACGTCTGCACCCAGCGAGCGAAGGATACATCGCTGCTTGGAACGGTAGCCAACAGTGCGAAGTTGCGCTCCATGATGCACCCGAGCAAATACGGTAAGAGTACGAGCCATATGACCGAAGCACCCGCTATTGCGAGAAACTGCGTCATGTGTTCCGCCACAGACACCGAAAGAGCGAGCAGATCACCGCGCTGATAGGTCTGGTAGACAGTACGCGCAGCGGTCGCAATGATACCAATACACGTTAAGCTCAGAACATAGAGCATCAGGTCATTGATCTCGGCAAGTGTATCACCAGCCAGTACATGCAAGTAAGTAGAGACAGCTCGACCTATGACAAGCGGAATCGCCAGCACAAGTGCAATGCTGCAGCTCATAAATACGAACCAGAGCACAGCGAAGAGCACGATCCGCACTGGCAACAGTGATCCTCGCGAGGAGAAAGCAGGAACCTGCGGTTCCGGGACAGAGGTGACGTCAGCCGGAGTCGGGCTCTCGGTGCGCTGCGGTGTCGGGCGCATCACGAGATGCTGCAGGCCTAGCAAACGGCTGCTGTGGTGTGTCCAGAAAGCGACCACTTCTTGAGTGATCGATCGGAGTGGTGCCAGTCGAGTCAAACCCGACAGGAACAAACCGATAACTGTGGCGCACAGGGCGATATCCCAACCGGAACCGAGCCCTGAAACCAAACGCAAGGGAAAGACGTTCGGGCTGAACCATAGCACCATTTGCGTGGGTGCGTAGACCGTCAGCCCAATCACGGGAACGTAGAGTGCGGTGGAAAACCCCAGACGACGCAGATGAAACCGCAGAGGTCGCGTGACGATCTCCCTCAAGGGATCAAAGTCGGGATCGTTCGGGTCTCGCAGAAAGCGCAGCAACCGGGGATGCAGAACCTCTCGCAGAATGCCAATAAGCACTGACAGGCCCGAGATGTACAGGATGCCGATGGTCCAGTGAATCAGCACATTTCTCGTGTCGGTTTCGAGGATCGATCGGAAGCGCACCTCCACGGTTCCAAGGCCCGACGGAAACGCAAACAAGTCCACAGCCATACCGAACACCAATGGAAGCATGATGAACTCAAGCATCATCACCAGAATCGCTCTCGCTGTGACCTGGACGAAGGTAAGAATCCAGAGGGTGTTCCGAAAACGTTGCCAGCGCGCCGTGCCTCCTCTGACGTGGACGCGCTCCAGCAAGCGTATGCAACTCAAGATGAGACCCAGGAAGACCACGTATCCGATACAAATACTGTAAATGCTCGGAACGTTTCTCGATGAGGCAGATACCGCTGCGCCGGTGTCTAGAAGAGAACGCGGAACATCATCATCGGCGATCAGACGTACCCAGTGCACCAGAGGTAGCGTTAAGCACTTGAGGACAGGCCCCTTAAGCCGGAAAACCAGTGAGAGAACAAAGCGGCCCAGCAGCAGCGGGGACACAGCGAAAACATCGATGACCACCGCGTTACTAATCACGACGATGATCACATTCGTCAGCAGATTGACAAGCGGGCCTTTCAGTCCAAGCACTTCTGACAAAGTAAGGTCTTCGCCGCTGTCATGCTCAAGGAAAGAGAAAAGCCCAGGAGCGTTAGGTTCCGTCGTCCACTGCGTTTCTTGGGGGCTTGGCGCTGCCGACGGTGCTGTCCGCCCTTCTCCTGCAGGCGTGCTCGTCATCGAAGAAGGCCAGGAATCATCGCTCTCTTCAGAGCCGCCTGCATCATCTTCGATACCTGCCATCGAGCCTAGACTACGCTCCTCTGTCAACGGGAACTGCGTGCCTGCCGCAGGCACTGCAATGCCCTGCCTCGCCCAGAGAGACCGCCGCCGGTGAAGAGGATGCGGCACTCGACGAGCGTAACCCGTTTGCCCCACACGACGGTTTGTCAGGGACTGGAGTGTTCGGCGCGACTCCTCGCGACCGTGCTCTTGGATGGCGTTCAGTCCGAGGCACGCGAGAAAAATCAGGATACACAAAACCAGACCTAACGACAGCCGAGTCACGATCGTCGATAAGTTTCCGACGTTTTTAATCTGTTCAAGATCTGTCCAACTCTTCGAGAACCCAGCGTACCAAATGATCCAGGTAGCGTACGGCACGACGAGCAGCCACGCCGCAGCGACCAGCGAGGCACGAGCCAGCCGAGCGTAGCCGGACGCAACAAGGTCGCTCAGACCCCAGAAAAGATCCGCCAACCTCAGCGTGGTCGGTGCATCCGCTCGATAGACGGGCTCAAAGCGATACGCTGTTCCACAGAGTTCGCAGTGCGAGTACCCGGTCGTTCTTAGCCAAACGTGCAAGCAGTCTTCGTGGACGTACCGAACGGACCCGGCGCACTTGCAGGGACTTCGCAGTGGCCGATGGAGCTCACCAGGCTCTCGGCATATTCGACACTCCTCATCCGTCATCAGTGTATAACGAACACCCAGACTGCACTCTGAACACAGTCCGCTGGTGTTTCTGTGGAGCGTGCGTCCCCAAAGCAGAACGCTTTGTTCTGGTCGAATAACAGGAACGTTCACGAGAGCGAGACAAGGCCGCTGCCGTGCCGCTATCTAGTGCACCGCGCAGCTTTGACCAGAGCTGTTGCCGCAAGTACCTTGTGACTGCAAAGCGCTTGACGCTGCAACACTTCGACGCTAACACCTAATAGGTGCCCGTGTATGCCACAGAGTTGATGCTTGGACGCTCACAGCGTAGAGACCGCGAACGGTGTCGTCTCTTCTCCCCTAGGAGCGCTCTCGCTGCAACACCGTCGTGCCCTTGAAGGCGCACACAGCACGTTATGCAGACCGAGGATGCCGGGTGGGTGCTCTTATCGCACGTTGTTCCTGGGGACAGAGGGATTCTGGGAGCGTGCTTGAAGAGATTGGTGGGAGCATCGACAGCCGCGCCTGGACGCTGGGCAAGTGCACCTGTGCTGCTAGCTGCGCTTTGACGACTTGCTTGCTGCGAACTGGACGAGTGCACCAGAGCAGGGCTCTTCTGTTCTTCGGGGGTTTTCAGTTGCTCCGACTTTGGCAAGTGAACTGGTGAGCAGTCCAGCAGAAGACTTTATTGCTCTGTCTGGCTTGCAGTTGTCCCTGTGTACCTGGACGGTACTCGATTAGCGGCACGCAGCAGGGCACGCGTTCAGCACGAAAGACGGCCTGTGCGAACGAATGCTCTAGAAGCTTGCGCACTCGCCTGCCTCACACGCTCAGCTGTTATTTCACGGTGGACGTCAACGGGCATTGCGGCGACAGAGGAACGGAGTAGGGTCAATGCGCTGGCCTAGTGAGTTTGACGTGCTCTTCGAACGAGTGCCCTTCTTCTCGGGTGCTTTGTTCCACACACATACGCACCACATGGGATCTGTATGCGGACGGACTCGAATGTAATCGATCTCAGGATGTATCGATAGCATCCCATTCTGCCGCTATTGCAACCAAGTTTGGCTGGTATCCATCGCATGTCGTCGCTGTGCAGCGTTCACAAGAAAAGTGGCTGGCCTCGATCAACGCTACTCCCAAGTTGCCACCGCGGGCGTGAGCTCCCACGCACACCGCTCTCACAGGTTGCAGCAGTAGGCACTGAAGGTTCGAAGGCACCAAATATCTGGAGGTTCAGGTCCGTGAACAGGCTTTATCACTCTGGTATGTAAAGGGTTGGTTCGAATTCATTGCGCAAACATCGGGTACGCTGAAATGGATTAGACGGAACTGTATCTGTGATTGTCTCGGGTATACGCGCGCACATATCAAAGCGTTCCATGATGTCAGTGTCAGATCAGAGTGGAGCACTGAACTGCACGCACGCTTCGTTATTTTCGATTCCTTTCCGACCTCATGTTTTCGGTGCACAGCCATAACAATCAAAGTCCAGGAATAAGGACGAATTGATTGATGAGCAGTGTTGAGATTCCCGGCCGACTGTTTAGACTGGATTCGTCGACGCTGCGCCATTGGCATTCGCGACGTAATGGTTACCAATATGGTGCGCTACCTACCCGAAGCTGGGCACGTAGAATTAGCGAAATTATTATCCACTTCATACGCTCAAGCATCCACTCTTCTGCTTTCCCTTACGTTGAGCACGCTCAAATCACGCAGTCTTCTTGAATTACTGGATCTTTTTGTTTCAAGGCATCTGCACATAAATATTCGCTTCGATGCATTGATGAGGAGAACAAAGAATCTGGATGTCATCCTTTGATGGCTCGTCCATAAAGCCATGCCGAAAACTCACTCCGCTTGACACATCAAATGATCCATGTCGTTCGAAAGAGAAAGTCTCCTCTCGTTGTGGCCATCGACGAAATGCGATTACACGACGGTCTGAGACCCCTGCATGGAATACGGGCTCAGGGGCCGCGTCTCTTCTGCTTGCATGGAAAAGATTTTTGGACTCGGACTTTACTCATCGGACCGATTCCTTCCTTTGTAGATTTCGTCATTGCTTTGGAGGAAATTAGTGTGGATGCATGGAGATTTTTCGACTTGTGTCCCAGTTTGAATTCCGCTTCTGGTACTTGTTTCATCATTTATAGCTTTGCGTTCCCCAAATTCTCCATCGAATGGAACAGCATGCACTTGCGTGAGCAGCGGACAGCGTACTCGCCGAGGGCGTCGCTCAAAACACACGCCCCGGATCGTAGAATACGGGATGGGGCACATCAACGGAAGACGGCTTTGATGGGATCCCGCAGTACCCGTCAATTGCATGTGCCAAGCGATGCAGCAATGTGTTTCATACCACTGGGCTGCACGAGGAGCCTACGCGGTCGACATCCGGTAACTCCCGACAGCAGCCAAGTATCACCGCTGGAAAGCGCGCATCGAGGCTGTGTACTAGACACGTGAAGCATGGCAAGCGATGCATTCATCGTAATTTCGGTGGCGGCATGAAATGCGTCATCAGCAATGGAAAACCGAAACATCCGATCTTGAACGATACCTTCAACGTCGTCCGACTGCGGACAACGAATCTCGTGCGAACGGTGAGATCGGCGTACGTCTAGCCAGAGATTAGAGAGAAGAAAAGCAAGCAGTCGCACCAAAAGGCCACAAATGCTTGTGTTCGTGATACTGGGAAGAGACCCAGATTTTACTGTATGTGTCTGTGTGTGTGTGTGCCCAGTTAAGACGGCCTGGTCCAATTTATTCTGGCATGGATATGGGCAGATCAACGCTTTCAAAGTTCAACGAGGCGCAGATCAGTCTCGTGTGAAGATGATGGCATGCTGGGCAGGCTCCGCATGCCGGGCGATCGCGCCGATCCTCGGCGGCTTTTCCGCGAGCGCGCGTCGCGTATCCGACTCGAACTCGGGACGTGACTCGTTGCCATATCCGTTGATGCTCCAGGGTGTTGGATATCTGTTGGCAAGACGGCGTCGTAATGCTGATTTTCGTAGTAAGCAAGCCGAAGCACCCGCTGGACGGGGCCGTCTGAGTGACGGATACGGTACGACGGCGCGTCCAGAAGATAAATGATCATCTCCGACTCGAGCATTGCGCTCAGGGCGTGAACCTCGAGATGGCCAGCCCAGACCCCGTCGACACGCATCTTTTTCACGTACCCGTCAAAGTCGACAACTGCGTTGCAGCCGGTTCCTAGTGCCTCCGCCTCCAGGTAGGGTGCGTAGACCTTGCGGTTTTCACACAGGTAGTCGCACACCCGTTGTCGTAGTTTCATATGGTCGCAAATGTCTCGAGGGGCATGATTCCGACCTAGAATCTGAAACTGAACAGCACATGCGCGAAAGAAACAGTTTCCATCTCCAGGCACAGGCAGCAGTCGCATTCCAAGCGGTGCCAACAAGCGGTTGAACTGCCTAGCCGCAGGTCCCGCACGGTTCGCCCTACGACTCTCCTTCGACGGAAGGTCCCTTCGTCTACGACCCATATCAAGTTTAGGAAGCACTCAAAGCGATTCTATATATTGGTACTTCAGCTTGAAGCATTTAGCGGGTATTTCTCGCGAGAAAAGGGAGCGTCACTAGGAAAAGCTGCCTATGCGGTGTTGCTTCTGACCGGCACTGCGGCTGGGCAACGCTGCAGAACGCGCAAGATCGACGCGCGGGAACGCAATCGATGAACACGTCGTCGCTGCGCGTCTTCAAGTTGCATCTGAAGATGGACTCCCTGGTGCGTCTTCAAGTCGTCATGGCGCATCCAGGGGAATCTGACGGGTTCTATTGCTCTCTGAAGATTAAAATATCGATTTTGACTATACACCTCGTGGTGCCGCTTCGGCATGTACAGCGCTGAAGCGTCTTCGGATCCGCGGAGCGATGTCTTTCTCTAAGGTAATTCGCGATCGCAATGGCGCATCCGTGGAAGGATTCGATTGATTTCATCGTTCGTGGACCGGGAGAATCTCGATCGCAAGAGTATACCAAGAACGTCCGAGCTTCATTTCATGGAAATTTGTTCTTCGATTCCATGCACTGCTATTCTTTAGCGACTGATGAGCAATTCAGGGATAACGAATGTTTACAGCGCGTCGAATTGCGGACGGAACGATTCCACTAGCGCGCGTACATGCAAGGTTTGCGGGACAGTTCGTGCAACGTTGCTTTCAGGCACGCACCGAGGCCGACGATCAAGAGCTCATTTCTGAACTTGGTGCTTTCGAGTCTCTATAGGGTATATGAGGACTGTGGCATGCCATGGAAAGTCGCAGCGCGAGCGTTCGCTTTCGTGTATTCAGCGCGCACTAGCGACAATGCTTCCAGACGATGAAGGTTTGTTCAGAATACCGCGCAACGTCCATGAACACGTTGCTTTCAGCGCCGGCAAGTTGGCCATTTGCCGGGCGTGTCCGCAGTGGCAAGTGTTGTGGGCGAAAAGTCCTCGTCGCTCTTCAGCGCGCGCCCCGAGCCATTTTCAAACTTTTCAATACCCCTGAGAGTGGCACATTCCAAGTAATCCATGCTCGTGAGCGTCCTCCTTTCCCTGCTTACAGCTGGGGTGCGGCACGATTCGCCGGCTTCAAACTGGGATACCATTTGTCTCTTGCAGGATCCGTCGCCACAAACGGAAAGACTCGGCGCATTGAGGGCGTCGAGCCTGCCAGAGGGATTCATCAAACTCTGGGATGGAGAATGGACCCATGGCGCATGTGCGGCGAGCGCTGTCGACTCCGTGTCGAAGATTGACTCCCTGCGACTGCTTTTCCGTGCCAATGGCACAGTTTGGTGCCCAGTTGCGGAGGTGACGCACTCAGATGCGCATCTTTCCATGGACTGCGAGGATAACGCGGTCGCAGACTGTTCACTGCCATATCTTCGAGTCGATGGCGACACGCGCTGGTTCCGCTGAGATCGCCGGACGCGCGCGCGGCGATTGTTGAACCAGGTGGTTAGTTTTGCCTCCGGTTGCTGAAATGCTCGAGCGAGACGCTGAATATCATCGCGAGATGGATACTGGTTCTCCGCATACACTGCCTTTAGCACCTGTTGTTGCTCCGGAGTGAATATTCGGGCACCTTTTTTGGTGGACGTAAACGGTTTCGGCCGACTCTGGCGGGAACTTTTTCGCTCAGGCTCGAAGTGTCGGTACTCGTCATGCGCAGTATCAGCCCCGCGCCCACCAATAGCTCCATGCGTATCCCGAGGCGATACGGGATCCGGTTTATCCCACTGGCATGCGGGTTCCGCAATCTCCATGGATTGCGGCGTCTGTGCTACAGCCACAGCAGCGGTTGCGATCATCTCGAGTCCTTTGAAGCTTTGATCGAACCGTCCAGGCAGTCGGGTCTCTCGAAGTCGATTTTGGTAGTCGAGGTTCATATCCTGCGTCGTAAACGCACCGATTTGCAGTCCCGGGCTTCCGACTACAACTGTCCTTGTCTCGGGGAGCCCGCGGTTACCATCGCTCGACATTCTGCAGGGTGTTTTCGGGATCAGGGACGCAATAGGATCCGTCGCATTCGCCGTCGGATACCCGCAATCCTGGTGACGTCAACTAAGTGTTACCGTTAGCTGACGCCTTCAGAACACCGAACCCAAGGTTTGTGTCCTCCACTATGTGACGCCACGCTCTAAAATGCACGTCACCGCCGAGTGACGATGGATGAGAGGTGCCTCTTAGAAAAAGAATTCGATACGCACCTCTCTTCCAGCAGCCATGCTCTACACAGATACGAAACACATGCATGGACAAACAAGGCAGTGCGCGCGCCATCGCATGCATGCATGCGTGCGCGCGCACGTGCGTGTATACACGCACGTCGATGAAACACCGAGGCTGCTGCTGCTGCTGCTGCTGCTGCTGCTGTTCAATGAGCATTCGCCTTCAATGCATAGACCGCTAATGTACAAGGTGCTGATTGATGCAGGCCCGTGTTCACAGTCCTAAACGTACGAGCAGCTACGTTTCCTGGTACACAAGTGCGCTTCCATGGGATCCGATGCAGACGTCTACTCCCTACACCGATCGCCCGGCAATGCTGAATACCGCGTCTGACGGAGCACTCTGTATCGATTTGCACGGATTCCGAGCCTTCGTTTGCAACAGCTGCCGTGCTATGCGCTCCATATATAGAGGGGCGCTCGAAACTCCAAACCATTTGCGTCGCCAAGCATTTGTAGTTTCATGCGACAACGCGTGCATTCCAGTATATCGCACAAATGCAGTACATCAACTGACTCGATACCGCTTCCACATCCCCAAAACCAGATGCTGGTACCTGCTTCGTTCAAGCTCGATGTGTACCTTACCAATGAACAGCCTCGATGGTACGTTACCCCATGTCACAGGGCATGCGACGCAGGTGATCACGAACTTATCAGAACGTATGGTTGCTTTCGGGCAAGAACCTGATGGAAAACAGCGATCGCGACACATATTCGCTTGCGTCTGCCGGTGGTGCCTGATGTGCATCGACTCGGCAGGGGAAACCACTTGCTGTCAGTACTCCTTGAACGATGCCCGCTATGAGCGCATTGCAGTTCAAGCCTTCCAGTTCCGTTGGCACGCTGATGAAACGAGCGAACAGCATCGTATTGTCCACAATAATATACTCGTTCTCCTTGTCTTTCACTCGCTCCAGCGAGTCAGCAAACTTGCCGAAAAGGAAGCGCCATACTGTCGTGGTGGTGAAGCGCAGCGCACCAAGAACGTCGATTTCCCTTCGGGTGAACTTTTCTCGAAGCCACACCAGTTCCAGTACTCGTCGACCGATTTGTTGGCCAAGGTCCAGCAGTCGCTCCTCTAGCTCAGCGATGGAGTCGACTCTGTTCTGAAAATACGATATCGTCTCTGCAAAGAGCAGCGCGAACACGGAAAAGTGCGCCGACTGGTTTCGCCGAGCTTGCAGGAAGGGTACCGGCAGTGCCATTGCTGTAGTGCTCATCAGTAACGAACTTTGCCGGCTGTGTCAACGCACAGTTTTGGGCAAGGCGCCCGTGAGGAACAGCCACGCGGCAGGCGCGGTCAGCGTACCGTCTGGAACGTCCAACGCAAGCGCCACGGCAGACACGCGTTCGACTTCCAGCCGGTGCCGCTACCGAGAACGTTTCCCCTGTGGGGCAGAATATTCCTGTCGACTACTTTGCAGCACACGAGTATACCAGTGTAGTTCTTGGACACGTGGAACGCTGGGGCTCGCTGAGCAAAGACACCATGGTACTCTCTACCGAAGAAGCGTCGAAGCAAGTCTCGACACCGTACCCGCCGATCGATCCGAACCCGTCATTCACACGTGTGTTGCTCAACTTCAAACCCAAGGAGTACGCCGTCGTTGTTGCATCGGCTGCAGGCTCTGCTTTTTTCGGGTACTTGGCGGGTCACCCAGTACGTGTGCCGTCCACGTACTGCGCTACAGCCATCGGGACACTGGGGGGCTTTTGCTATTCGTTTCGTGCTTCACTGGGTCGGCTTCTCGGTTTCGAGCCGAATAACTAGTGCTATGCATAAGATCGTCTGTCGACTACGTATCACGAGGCTGGGTTTTCAGTTTCAGGCCGAATGACCTGTGCTTTACGCAACGCCGGGCATAGGCTAGGAATCACTGAGCTCCTTTTATGCTTTGCAGAACGCTTCGGAGGTTCAGCCCGGAGCTTCAAGCACAAGCGTTCGTGCTTGTGTGTCGAGCGCTACAGACCCGAAGCAACCGCTCCAGGGAACCAGCTACGCCAAAATCTCTTTCCAAAGTTCGTGGATCGTAAGAAACTCACTTTCTATCCAGTGTTCGATTTCCATCATACACGGCACCGCATAGGCGAGCGACTTGTTTGAGGAACGCTCACAGAGTGCCCGCGCATAACTACGAAGAGCCCGTAACGCCTCAGTGGGCGATACACTCCTCGAGGACTGGGGAGTCTCCTTTGCACTGACTGATAAGTGATTTTGCCTCGATCTTTGAAACCGCTGAGGATCTATTCGGATAGGTCTACCGGCCTCAGGGGGCAGTGCATCACCAAAGTCCTCGACGCCTGCGGCCAGTTCGACGAGAATCGGCTTTCCCTGACGCTTCGCGCTCTGGCCAACAGCGTACGGAGGCAAGAGCGTGCCGATGCTCTGCGCAGGCTTCCTGAATGGCTCGTTTTCCGCAAATATGCCCCTGGAAAGCAAAGGCTCGGGCGCGAATCCGTCGGCATAAGGTTCGATTGCCAAGAACATGGGTAGCGCATAGCTGAACTCGGGCATATTCAGCAAAAGGAGCTGATCCACGAATTTGATAGCGCCAAGAGCAGCAATGGGTTCTCCCGTTGCACCACGTAATATGCGTAAGGTTTCTGACAAGAGTGTCGCCCGCGAGCCAAGCAGATGCTCGGGCGGAAAGCGCAGAAGCATGACACGAAGGAGCAGGAAACAGGCCGCGGACACCTTCGCGTCATTTTTGCGCCAGTCGGATTCAATTCTGCGCAGTAGAGACCGGCTTTGGGACGTAAATTCACCCACGCGACTATGAAAGAGGATGAAAGCGATGCGCCGCAGGGAGCGCGCTTCATCGGCGGATACGTCTCGCGCCTGGAACAGTGCCGCTGTGGTTACCGACTGGCTTTGGTTGCGGGTGCTGCTTTCACCGATGAGAGCGATCTGGAGCGAGTCACTATGTCGAAAAATTGCCCCCAGGCTTTGACCAAGCAGAAGCAGCATCATTCGATTCTTAAAGCGAAAAAAGGCGATGTCTTCAAACGCGGAAACGAGTCGCTCCTGCAAGTCCTTCACTCGCCATTGGGAGCGCCCACCAGATTCACTGGATTCAGTGACTTCATTTTCGAAATCATCCAACATGGACGGTTCTAAAAGTTTGTAGATGAGCAGAGCGGCCCTGGTTTTGTACGCGACCTGCAGGTCTCCCTCGAAACAAGGTCTCCAGCCCGCTGCTACATCCGCATAAATTTGAATGTCACAGTCGTAGGCCATAGCGTCAAGTCCCCGACCTAAGCTGTGCAGCCTCGGGTCCAATGCCGCCGTCAGCTCCCTGACGATTGCCGGCGGCGTGTTTTCGGGGTCTTCCGGCGATGGAGCCTTGAGAATGCGCAATGCTACATCGCTTATTGCACTGATGAGCTTCCTCCGCATTGTCTTGTCCTCGCGAAAGACGGCCTCGACGAGAGGAATCGCATACGCAGTCAGGAACTCCAACCCGAGGCTGGAAAACGCGAGTCGCACGCTGCGCTCATGTTGCGTCTGCTGGGGATCGCGGGCGCCCAGCGGTTGCCAGTCCTCACCGGCAATTCCGATGACGGTCTCAATTGCCGCGCGAATACGATCAAGAAAAGTTAGAGGATACTTGGCCCTCTCTGAAGAACAGCGATGCACGAAACTTTGCACTGCTTGCAGAAGCAGCAGCGGGCACACTGGCTCTCGGTAGTACCGAATCGTAGCATCCATGAGCATGGAGAATGCTGAGAGCATTTCATCCGCGGCCAAGTCACTGGGCTTGATGTGATCAATCCACAACTGCAGCACGGTGAGCGCATGTCCATGAAGGTTCTGTAGGCGTTTCAAATTTTCAGCGCTAACGCCAGCGAGAAACACAGCGAGCACACGACGCTGCTCGCGACTCTGGAGCGCACTTTGCCTGTGCTCAGCTGCTAGCGCCTTCGAATTAGCCATGGGAGCGTTCGATGCCTTCCCGCTCGCCACCTCAGATAGCGCTAGTCCAGCACGAGGCAACGTTGATAGCGAAGGATCCGTAAGTATTGACTGGCTCGCTCCAGCGTTCCGGGACGATGCTTGTCCCTGTTGCGCTTGCTCAAGCGCAATCGCAGTCGTCAGCTTACTGATACAAGCGCAGAGAACAGCTGGAGGCACAGTATCGGATCCGGTGCTCAGCTTGATGATGCTTTCGAGAAAACCGAGCGAAGCTGACGTTGGAAGAACATTTCCTTCCGAAATATCCGCACTAGCGATACATAAAGCACAGCTATACGCGGTGAGGTGTTCCGCTAGAAAACTATTCACAAAGGACTTGCAGCGGCGGTAGAGCACGGGATTTGCACGGTAGGCGTCGGCAACGAGCTGTAATAAGCATGGCAACTTGTGTAGAAGGACATGCAACGCGCTTTCGCTGGGCGCGTCACTGGTGGCAGGCCCCACGCTGGAATCGTCTGCAGAGAAGAAGCCGCTCAGGAGCCTCAGCGCAGTGGATGCCGTTGAACGAACGGCACTAGCGTGTTTTCCAGCAGCTTTTGACGCGGCTGATCGATCCGACGCCTCGCTTGTTCCGTGGTCTCTTGGCATTTCGAGAGCTGCGTTTTTCAGAACCGACTTGGCAATGAGATCGAGGCTTGATAGCAGCAACTCTAGAGCGAGCGGCCCAGCCGTTTCCCCAGCGCTATCGTAAATATCACCCTCTGGCAGTTGCGCCTCTCTATTCTCTTCAACGGCATTTGCTATACATCGTCGTAGCGTTTCCAGCGTATCATCGAGAAACCTTGGCTCGGGGCACTCAGTAGTTCGGTAGTGTGTGACAAGAAGCGAGAGCCACTCTCGCAGCTCAGAGTCGGTGCAGCACTGCTCTAGGCTCTTCAGCGCGGGTTCCGCCAAAAGTAAAGAGAATTCGTCTCTAGAGAAGGCGGCGTCCCGTTGATCCAGTTCCGAGTTCATGACAGTGGGACCGACGAGGAACTAGGTGGGCCTTTGTAACAGCAGCTGCAGCAGCCGCAGCAGCAGCACAACGGGTCGCATCCGAAAAACCTCTGTACAGCGGCTCGCATTTCAGCGTCTGAGAAAACGGGTGTTCTCGCCGAGGCTAGCCGCCTGCGGATCTCGAATTCGATGTTGCTTCGGCTGCTGACAAGCGCCAGCCTGCTGCCTCATTTCATCATGAGTTTTACGTTTCTAAAAATGGATAGCTTGCATTAGATTTTGCGTTGCTGTATAGAGGCCGTTCTACACAAGGATATCATGGAAGTTCTTTCCAATCGAGGGTAATTTGCGTTCGAACCTAATCATGTAGCTGACTCCGAGTACCCGCAGACCTGCATTGGAAGAAGCTGTGCAGGATCGAAAGCTGTAAAAGATACCTATGGACACGTCGACCTAGCTCTCTGCGCTCAGCGTGCGTCGAAGTAGATGCATACAGTCGGTCGCACGAAGCTGCTTCTTTTTCCAAGTGGGTAACGTGCACTAAACCACTGCGAGATTCACATGCAACTCTGAACTTGTCGCTCTGTTGCTGCTCTTCATTTTTCTCTTCCCAACTTTTTTAAATGGTCAACTTCGGCGTTTGAGGAGAAGCAGTAAGGACTTTCGGACTCATATGCAGTTTTCAAATGCTCTGTCGTCTTTTCAGAGTGATTTCAATGACGCCTTGTCGCTGGAATTCGTCACGACCTCTGAATCAAGATCATTCGCGACACGCTGGAACAAGGGTACCTAAAATAACCCAAATCCTTATCGGATGCATATGCACAAGCCTTTCATCTTGTTGTTTCCCGAACAACAGCATGTTCAAATCACAAAGTCTTCATGTGTGCGATTTTGCTTTTCCAACGCAAGTTATGGGCGAAGCAATTTTCGCAGAGGTAAAGCCTTTTTCGACCGACCACCACCTATTGACGTCAGCTTCCTCCTGCACACCTCAAGTCTGAGAGACTGCCCCATAAACCTGCATCGCGTCAGCTCCTCGGTTCTCTTCTTCAGCACTATATATCGTCGGATACTGAAGGTGACGTTGGAGTCTCGTTTCACGAACTCCTCGCATATATTGCCGCTTGTTGAATTCACCCATGCAAGGATTGCCAGAACACGAGTACTCAGTACCATTGACTGCTCTGTCAGCTCTCCGTACTTTTCTATCGCGCGAAGCGCTCCGCTGCCTTCTCTCTATCTCGATGTTCTGAAGTGTACACCGCAGCTCATCCCTTGGATTTCTTATTTCTTCAAATGGCGCGCTTCTTTATGCCGTTAGATGAGGAGCTAACCGGAGCGAGAAGGGCTTGCAGACGAAGGACGCAATGTGGCCAGGTACCAATGTGTGCTGAACGCTGCAGCGACTCGCCCCGTTGAGCATTAAAAACGTCTCATAATAGAAAAAAACACTTTCTATGGGGCTCAACCACGGATTATATCGAGGAATGAAAAGCAGCTCTATTCTCCGATCGAATCAGCAAACATTCGAACGCAAGGGGAATGGTGAAATACCAAGCCGTACAACCGGACGACGTCGTCAGACGTCAGGGGAAATTTCTTCAACGATTCGGTACAGTGTGTGCTGTTCTACGAGCCTTCTCTCTGAGCGAAACTGCGGCCGCCAAATGAATCCACTGCAGCTCAAACAGTTGATGATGTCCTCGCTCTCATCAAGTTCGATCATACATACAGCTGGCTCCATCTCCGCGACTACCCATGTACGCCCCGACCATTTCGGCCAAAGAAAGTCGCATCGTCTGAAAAAGACAGAGCTACGTCTCTGTGCTTCGTGCCGATCGGGACGTTCCGGGAACGCT